TTATTGCATTATCCTAGTTCTCCTCTAATAGCGAAGTTTAAAGCATTAGTGCTTATTTTATAGACCTTCTTAAAGTTTGCTTTTGTGAGTATAGGTTTTAAAAGAACTTATTCCTTGATTTTATTAAATGCATCCTATTCCTCTTTTCCCTATTTAAAAGGTTAATCCTTCCTAATAAGGTTAGTTAATGGTATAAATAACTTTTTGTAGTTCTTAATGTATTGTTGGTAGAAGTTGATATAACCTTAAAAGCCCCTGACTTTTTTAATGTTAGTTGGGGTCAGCTAATCCTTAATTGCCGTAATTTTGGAAGCTTGTATTCTGATTTCTCCTAGTTGGATTGTGTATTTAAGGAAGTTGATTTTTTGTATATAGAAGTAACTCTTTTCTGGTTCTATTAGAAGTTTAGCATCTTAGAGAGTTTAAAGGACTTGGTGTATATACTGCTTATATTGCTTAAGTGTTTTTAAAAAGATTAGGATATCATTTAAGTAAACTACTATAAAGTAGTTAAGGTATTCTTATAAAATATTATTAATTATTGCCTGAAAAGAGGCGGGTATGTTAGTAAGGCTGAAAGGTATAACTAAGTATTTGAAGTAATTATACCTTATTCTAAAGGCGGTTTTCCATTCTTTTTTGTGTTTTATTTTAATAAGGTTGTAAACACCCTTGAGATTTAGTGCTGTAAACTATTATACTCCCTAAAGTCTATCGCGTAATTCCTTAATAAGCGGAAGGGGGTACCGATTTTTAATCGTGATTTTGTTAAGCTGTTGGTAGTTTATATAGAGGTATAGCTTTCCGTTTTTCTTAGGCACAAAAAGGATAGGGTAGCCTATAAGTAATATAAACGGTTGGATATATTTCTTTTTTAGGTTATCATCAAGGTATTCTCACAATGCTTTAAGCTATTCTTTGTTGAGGTTGTAGATCTTATAAAACTTGGGGTAACTTCCTTTTTTTAGGGGTATCTTATAGTTCTACTAATTATGCTCGGGTAGTCTAGTGTTAAGTATTGCTTGGAATAGCTTTGAGTATTTCTGGTACTTTTTTAGGATCTGTTTCAGGTTGTCTGTCTTTTTCTGTTGTTGTATGAAATAGATAAACTTCTTGAGTAGCGGCTGTACTATTTTATGGTGCGCCAGATGTTGTTGTCTTTATGTTTATTGTAAAGTTCCTTTTGGGGATGTAACTGTGATTTTTGGGATTTCTGGTAGGTAGCGTACTTGTTTAAGTATTGTTTGGATTTCCTGTATCTACTGCTATATTGCTTGGGCTAGCTGCTTTGTCTTTCCTTTGGTCCGTAGTAAACTAAGGTGCTGCTGCTGTTTGTTTGATTTGTTTAGGGGGTTGGCTGTTCCCGCTTTAGTGACTAAGTCTTTCTCTTATTCCTAAAGAGGTTTGCTGTATAAATCTGTATAAGCACTGGTATTGCGGTTATCCTTAGGGACTAAATTCGTTCCCTTATCTTTAACTTTCCCATCTATTAGTTGGTTCTAACAGATCTGGCTAGTAGTTTAATTGATTTAGGGGTTACTCTTTTTAAGCTATAAAATCCCTAATATAATTTCGTGTTTTGCTATATTTATAATATTAAACTGGATGATTTCCTTATAGTTGTTAAAGATAACTAGTAGATAATTAGTTTTTATATTGATGATCCTGTTTTTGTAGAGTACCTTTTATTTATTAATAGTGCTAAGTGCGTAGGGTTTTGTTTTTTGTTGCTATAGTATTTTATATTAGTTTACTACTGCTGGTAATATAAAGTTTCCTTGTACTCCGCTATTTAGGAGTACTATAAAGGGTTGTTATTTAATCTGCAGTATAATTTTTATATGCTTATATTTTTTGGTATCTGTTGTGTAGAGAGACCTTTTTGTGTTGGTTGAGGCCGGTTAAGGCTTATTTAGACTCGGCCTTGGTTGTTTTTTGTTATTTAGTTTTTTACTAGGATTTTTTTAATTTGTTGGATAGCTTTTTGTGTAAGCCTTTTTGCTACTCTTAGCGCTTATACTGCAGTAGTAAGGTTTTTTGGTGTTATGTTTTCTTTGTTAAGCGGTGAGACTATATTGGGTTAGCAGTGTTGGTGTTAGTTTTAGAGTTTTAGTTTAAGGTGTATTTAATAGCTGGTTTGCAGATAGTACCTTTATGGTTTAAGGTTTTATAGGTAGTATAGGGGGTAGTTTGTTTAAAGTTTAAGGATTGTATATCTTTAGCCTAAGGAGTATTATTAAATACTCTAGTATTATAGTTCCTTTTGCTTATAGAGCCTTGCTATTTTTATTATGCCTAGCTATTTGGGAAAGAAATCCTTTTTAATCTTGCTTGCATAATATATCCTATACCTGTTAAAAATATATAAAGCCTATAAAATTTCCTTGTGGTTTAGGTGCTGATGGTATATTTAAGGGTTGTTGTTGGGAAAATGCGCTGGTAGTAGTGTAGGGAGTTTTTTATAGACTGCTAATATTATTGCGCTTCTATTCTGTTTTAGGATTGCAATTTAGGTAATGCTAGTGTTAGGTACTATAGGGGGTACCTTATCTATCTGTTTATAGGGGTTTTAGTCCTTTAGATTTAGAGGTACTACCTGGTTAGTGCTAACTGCGATTGCAAGTAGTTTCCGTTTTGCTATTGTAAGAGTTTTTTAGCCCTTAGGCGCCTTTAGGAATTATTCTAACGCTTCTTTGCTTAAAAGGTGTGTATTGCAGTTGTTGTTGTAGTATACCGTTTAGCTTATAGATGTATAGTTTTCTATAGGTTCCTTGGTGGCTAGGTTAGCCTATTGTTACTTTAGTACTGGTTTCTAGTTATCCTTCTTTTTACTTTGGCAATTTTGTGCGAAGTGTTCTTTTTTGCTATAGTTATAGTATTTGATATTCTTTTTAGGTTTCTTTTGAGCGGCGTTAAGTTTTATTAGGCCTAAATGCTATCTGCTAGCTATTATCTATAGCTAGTACTGTTTTCTGGAGTTTAGCTTGTTTTATTAGCGGAAGGGACGTATTAAGTCCTACCTTTTTTTTTTGAGTTTGCGCTTGTAGATTTGGTTATTAATTCAGATAGCTAATTCTATGTATTGAATGAAATTGTTTAGTTAGTTTAGTTTAAATAGTTTGTCCTTTACTTTATCTTTCAACCCATTATAGAATATAAAGATCTTTGTAGTGTTAGTATAGTCAATTCTGGTATAGATTTGGCGGAACTCTGTAGTATAAGTTGTGGCGGGTCCCTTTTAGTGTAGTTTTATGAGTTCCCTTTCTGCTTGCCGTTCCTTATCCAGGTCCTGAAAGAGTAACCTAAGGGTGAGCTTATAGTTTTTAAAGTTGCTGAAAATGTTCTGGGTTTTTTGCTTGTATTGTTTAAACTTGTTTTTTTTGAGGAAGTTTGTGAGGTAAGGTTTAAACTATGCTAGGGCCTATTTTTTTAAGAAGGAGGCCGCATATATAACTTATTTTCTATTGAACTAATTGTTGAGGCTGTGGAAGCGCTGGTAAGCCCTAATCTGGGTGAGGTAGGCCTATAACTGTCCTGGGGAACTATTATAGGGGGTTGGGTTGGTAAGCTTAATAGATTTTTTGGGTTTGATTGGGGTGTTAATAATATTGGCAGTGCTTTGAAGTGTTCTGACTTTAGCCTTAAGTTTTTCTACTTTGTTGTTTTAGCTGGCCTGTTCCTGGATATAGGTATGGAGTTTCTTAATCTCCTTAACTATTTTAAGGTACTAGGCTTGTAAGAGTTCAAAGTTATTATTGTCTAGCTTTTGCTAGAGGTTCTTCTGGGTGCGGCTGGAAGATATGTTGAAGTAAGGGTGGTAATTGTGTAAGTTATTGCTTAAAGTCTATATAAAATATCCAAATAAGAGTAGTCAAAATGTGATAATTATAGCTGGTTCCTAGCTAATAAACTTAGTAAGCGGGTTTATATTTAAGGAATATTTAAAGTAGTAATATTTTAAATAATATATAATAATAGTAGATTAAAAGCTTTATAGCTATTTTAGGTAAATATTTAAATTAATTGCTGAAAAGCTGTTTTAAATTAATGCTATCTATTAGTAATAAGTATAATCTATATAGTCCATCTCTTTAGCTAGAGCAACAGGAGCGTTGCTCTTAGCGGCTTACTTAAAGCATTGCTTACCTGGAGCAATAAAAGCGTTGGATTATTTAAATTATCTAGAGCAAAGTATTGCTTTAATTATTTTAATTATCTTTTTACTCTATTACATAACCTGCTTCTATTATATAGCGAATTCTTTTAAGCCTGCCCTACTAGCCTATAGGGTTTATCTGCGCCTTTAAGGAACTAATAGTGCTCCCCTAGTTTTATTCCTATTATGTTTGTAATAAAATATTAATATAGCTGCTTTATAAAAAGTATATATAAATAGTATATAAATTTTAAAATAATAAACTATTTCTTTTTATATTTAATTATTTATAATTACCTTTATAATTACTAATTAGTATTAGCTGGGTTATATATTTAAATATAATATGTATTTAGGAATATTAGTATTTATTTAGGTGTGGGTTGCTTGCTTAGTTATAGGAAGCAACTAAAGGCTGCATCCTTTTAAAGCCTACTTATAGCTGTAGGCCTAATAAACTAATTAGCTTACTATAAACGCTAATACTACGATTCACACAGTTTCAGTATTTTGATTGAATTAAATGTAATATCCTTAAAACTTTAGCTTTTTGGTGGGAAACGGCTGTGCGTGAAGAGGTCGTCCGACTGATGTAACATTCAGGAGGTGCCCCACTGGCACCACCCACAGTGGGAGGTTCGAAAGGAAGCACGGTTTAGCTGAAAAGTGGAGATATTCCGAAATGGCTATCGGAAGGATCGAGCCAACATGTTCTGGCATGTTATATATCGTTCGACTCGCCGTCTTCCTCTTATCCGGAGCGGCTTTGACTGTCAAACAATCAAGTTCTGTTCTTGGGTTGTTAGCCTATCGTAATTCTCAGTTCCCTTAAGGCCGCACAACGATGTTGGATGTCGTCGTTATTGGTGGAGGCATAGCGGGCTTCAGTGCCGCTATTGGGCTAAGATTGTCAGGTCATGCCGTCACATTGCTTGAGAAGGAGGACGAGTTCAAAGAGGTGAGTGGGTTCCTTAATTTCTATAGACGGCATTAGCCGGCAGCCGCAATATTGCACAGAAAGGCTTTATGAACGGATACTAATGGAGCAAAAACCTTTAGCTAGGAGCAGGTGTCCAGTTGCTGCCCAATTTCACGCGCATAATGCAGAGTTGGGCCATTTTGGACCAAATACGTGAGAGGTCCGACCAGCCTGAGTATCTGGCTTTCCGCTCCTATCGAAATGGCGATCTTTTGCAAAATTATCGCGTCAATCCAGATTTTGAACGAACCTACGGTTTCCCATATCTCAATATACATCGGTATGATCTCTTACTGGTCCTCGTTGCCAAAGCGCAGGACTTGGGTGTTCGATTGGAAACAGGGAGCGCTGTTTCTCATCTTGACTTGGCCCAAAGCGCGGTAGTAACCACAAGGGGCCAGTCCTTCCGGGCAGATCTTCTTGTTGGCGCAGACGGAGAGAGAAGCTTTACTCGCAGCGTCCTTCTCGGTCACCCATACAAGCCTCAGGCTACCGGAAAACTAGTTTATCGATTTACTATCGACATTGAAAAAGTACGCGCCGATCCCAGCCTTCGTGATTTGGTGGAACCTTCCGCCATTACAGTCTGGCTTGGCCCGCACAGACACGTGGTCGCTTATGAAATAAAGCGTGGTGGTTTGATGAACATTGCGCTCACTTGTCCTGACCCTATTGAAGGAAGAATGATACCTGGTCCCCGAAAGGCAGATATGAATGAGTTCAGGGAAATCTTTGAGGGCTGGGATCCGCGGTTCATCAGGCTGCTTAGTATGGCGACGGAAGCGAGGTTCTGGACGCTGCTGCAGCTTCCACAGGAAAATCGCATATGGATCGATGAAGACGCTCACAATGTCATCCTGATTGGAGACGCTGCGCATGCTATGACGCCTTACCTGTACGTTGCTCCTGAGGCTATTTGATTCGGCCGTTTTTTCCACGCTTTCCAGCCATATACTCCAGAGTTGACTAATTCTTCACACTCCAGGGCCCAAGGTGCTGCACAAGCTGTTGAAGATGGTGCATTTCTAGGGCATCTGTTTGATGAACATGCCATCTTGGGTGACATCCCAGCTAGGCTAAAGGAGTTTTGCGAGCGCCGGCAATCCAGGGCTTTCACGGTGCGAAGCAGGGCTCAAAAGGCCGGTGAAATTTACCAGTTACCGGACGGACCGAATCAGGAGCTGAGAGATCGGCAACTACGTGAGGGCCAGCTTGTTGAAGGCTTTCCAAATCCCTTTGCAGACCCAATTTTGACGCATTGGTTATATGACTATGATGTGGAGGCGGATGCACATTCTTGCAAAATGGTAGAATAGCTTTGGATATGGAGTCGTTAAACCATCAAACGAGATATCCAGTAAGCCTTTGACCTCTAACTGCTGAATTGATGTGACTCGGGTGCTGCAGACCTTTCATCCTCATGATCTATCCCTGGTACTCCTTCAATACCACCCGCAGTGGCGGCCTTTCCCGCGCACTACGGCGACTTAACGGCAATAATGAGACTTTCTTGAGCATCAGGCGCGTACTCGCAAATCTTAAGAATCTTGAATCCACTCTCAGCTGTGAGTCTTTCCCATTGAGCCTTGGTGCGCTCCTGAGCCCCGAGTTGGCACATCATTGTCATATCCAAGAATGCGGCTTTCCATGGAGCCTGCTTTTCAGATAAGACCGTGTCGTCAATCAAGAGGTAAGAGCTCTCTGTCATGGCGTCCCTGAGATGTCTAAGAATCTCAACGGCCTTGTGATCAGGCCAGTCATGAAATATCATTCTGAGATAATATGCGCGTGCTCCTATTTCACTTTTAGTGGGAGTTGAAATATAAAGACATGGTGTTTTTCGAAGCGCGTACCTTTAATTGGCTGTGGCTTGAAGAAGTCGTGAGCTATGGCCTCGATACCCTCGAAGCCTGGTAGAGGAGTCGCTTCAATCTGGCTAACGACTTGTGCCTGGTCTTGAACGATAACCCTTCCCTCAAGGTCGGGGTATGCTTTCTTGAAGAAGATGCATTGTTGGCCCATGGCCCCGCCTACATCCACAAAGAGAGGTATGGCTGGTTCCGTATCATGCCCGTGAAGGACTTCTTCGCGAAAGTCAACAATGTCGAACCAGTTCGGCATACCATCCCTCAATGTCGCCATGGCCTTAATGTTGCCTTATTTAGCACTTGTATGACCACAAATTTCAAAGTCTTCCACTGCAGTCGCAGTCTAGCAAATGAGGGAGGGAAGGCGAGGGCAACTCGTCACACTTACCTGCATGAATACTTCCATCTGACGCGGGTGGCTTAGCAGCCACGGGAAAGCGTTGAGCTCAGTCTTATGTCCTGCATGCCATGCTAGATGATCCGGGTTTGTGGGATTTTTGTATCCATTGTCCCGCAAGAATTGGGGAAGGGCTGTGAAGGCCGGGAGCACTGTTTCAAAGCTGATGGTTTAACTCGTCAGCAAGAATCAGGTACCATGTAGACAAAGCATCAAGTGCCTACAAGTACTCAACACCTGCTGAGCAGCAGAGTGTGTTCATCCCCTTAGTGATGTTGTTTGCGCCGTAAGCATCATCCCCAGGTTGTGAAATCATATTGTTGGCCTGATAGAATCGCAAGAGGCGTTCTGGTTGAAGTAGTCAGTCTTGTCCTTGAGAGCAGAATCGAGGTGGAATCATACGTACTTAAAAGAACGGGGTCAATCTGAGTCTTCTCCGCCAACTCTTCAGTGCTCGTTGTACCGGCTTGGGATGCCAGAGCGCTGAAGATTCCCTTCTCTACACCAATGAAGGCAGCTGGAAGCTCAAGGGGCTGGACGAAGGTTAGCCAAGTCAAAGCCAGAGAGCGACTTGGGAGTGTCTCCGGAAATGGGGAGATTTTGGCTATCTAATTACTTACCGTAGACTGCAGCCTACGAGCGGTGTCGACAGGTATTTCCATCGCATGGCTGAGTTTACGCCCTGCCTCGCGCAGTCTTTGGCGAAGCAGGTCATTCTGCAGCCCAAGAACACTCTCTGGGTTGTCTGCAATAGCCTCAAGCTTGGCAGCCAAGTTGAGGGCTTCTTCCGGGCTGATAGCCATGATGGATCGGATAACTTTTGGATGCTGGCCGTGGAAAGACTTTACAAAAGGTTGCGGCGTAAGACAAGGCCGCGTAATCTGTGCAGCTCGTCATCGGCGACAAGACTAAATATATACCCAGGTGATTTCAGTCCGCGCTGCGTCTTCAACCCTGGATCCGCGCAAGGCACGACCAGAGGCACTGTTGTTCCTCCTCCAGCCGCCTACAGGCAATCAGTCAGTAAGCTCTCAGGACGAACACGGTCCACCTACCCACAAATATTGGAGGCTAGATCCACCAATTACCACACCTCCCTGCCAATGCAACAATGCTCCAAACCCCTCCCCAGCAGAGCAGGATGAGCAATGTCAGCACCAACTGCATATCAATATATCCACTTTGTTGGTTTGCTTGCGCCGCCAGCAGCTGAGTTCACACCGCTTTTGTCCGTTGTTTCGGTAATCACACCTTAGTCGTTTACCAACAGCGGCGGGTCTCCAGCCCCAAAGGCAAGTCTTACTGGCTGAAAGCAACGGAAGAGAGGTCCACTCGCAGTACTGCCCACGCACAGCCCCCTCCCGCACACCCGTTGCCCACTAGAACGCCCCCCCCCCCCTTTTTTAACGCATTATAAATAATTCCAATAGTCCTTTTTAAGAAAAAGTTGTATCTTTCTCAAATTAAATACTAAGCATTTAAAACTAATAAAAAAGAGGTTCTGTACTGTCTATTATATAAAATTTAAAACTGAAAATTGAAAATTTGAAACTAATTACATTATTAATATTATGTAAAACTTTGTTCTCCTATAAATATATTAAAACACTGAAAAACAATTAATATATAAATACGTTTCAGATAATGCCCTAAATATATGCTTATTTTTACTAGGTAATACAATAGTATATTATTTATTCACTTTGCGTCAACGGGGTGACCATATAGCATACGCTAGGTACTCATTTGCACAGTCAAGTGTTTAACAACTAGGTACCAATTCGGTCCTTACTGATGGGTCTGCAAAGGCTCTCAAGCCAACCGGAGCTATGCTGGCGAAAGTGCCTCGCGGCCCGGATATCAGGTTGGCATCAAGTCCCAACAGGTCCCTACGTGCCCCATTCTATTGCATCCTTCGCGCTTAGATACTGAACATCCGAGCGAACCTCCGATCACGCGGGATGGGTCATCCGTTCGACGAGTCACGACGTAATACTGTGAAATTCTACAAAGCAAACGCCCAACATGCCAGTTGTGTTCCAAAAAAAGAATGTAGGATCAGAGGCCGTTGGATGGAGTCCCAAGTGTAATGCTGAATTTTCAGCAATATTTCAATAGTGTGCCGCCATTGGATTCTGCAACGCGCCTGGTTGGGTTCGTTTTTCTGCATTACAACCGTACCTCGGTTTGGTCTCAATTTTGACATCTATGATCTGAGAGTCGTGGGGCGACACCAGCAGTCGAAGATGGTATCTCTGGCGACCTTGCCCCGCCAGAATGAGTTGTCTCCACCCGATATTGACCGGAGGGCTTCCTTTATTGCAGCCTGGTCTGTCCAAGGCGCTATTGGCATCATCGTGGTTGCCCTACGTTTTTGGGCACGGTCAATGCTCAAAACGCGGTGGAAGTACGGATGGGATGACTGGATAATGCTGTTCACATTGGTAAGTATTGTCAGGTATCTGCGCAGACTTGGGCAAAGCTGACACTCGTCAGTTAACATACCTTGGTTGCACTATCATGGTCATTCTCATCGGCATAAATGGCGGGACGCGTCATCTTGCGTACATTCAGCCACCCTCGCATGCGGTCTACGTTCTTAAGCTTCACCAAGCAACGCAGCCTTTCGGAATCATGGCCAGCGGCACGGGGAAAATAGCTGTGGCTTTCTTGATCATGCGCTTCCTACCTAAGACCGGCAAATGGCGGCAACGTTTTCTTTGGTTCCTTATCGCTATCACCTTTGTTAATTCCGTAACTACGTCCGTTTTCAACTTCACCCAATGTGACCCCGTCGCAGCTCTCTGGGATCCGGCGTTGAAGCCCACGGCCAAGTGTTGGGATCCAGCAGTCAACGCAAACTACGGTATTTTCGGAGCTGCTTGGGGATGTGCTTTTGATCTTATTTTGGCCACAATGCCTATAAGTATCATCTGGAAACTCCAGCTCTCTTTGAGAAAACGGGCTGGCATTATTGCTCTGCTCGGATGTGGTGTCTTTGGAGCCGTTGTCACGGCCGTCAAAGCCAACGAGTTGGAATTGCTTACGAAGAGGTCGGACTTTACATGGGTTCGTGTGTCCTCTTGTGATTTTGCCATCTTGTTCTATCAACTTCAATTATCCGCCCCTCCTCGAAACCAACAAGCCCCCCCCCCCCAGGCCTAGGACTGCGTTGAGTCCAATGCTGACTTGTCTCCCTCACAGGAAACATATACTTTATACATATGTGTATCACTCGAGCTCTCCGTGATTATCCTTAGCGGATCTATTCCGACTTACAAGCCGCTTTGGGATCGCTTCATCAAGCCTAGATTGCATACGAGGGCAAGCAGTGGATCCTACGCATCCGACTTCGGGACGGCCGGCGTATCCAAGAATCAAATGTCTCCTAATGAGTCAGTTTGTCAAGGTCTTGGGCACTGCTCTCAAGATCTTCGGTTCGTGCCGGTGGGAGCAATGAATACTGCAGGAAGGCATTGTGCTGCAGTCACTCGTTTTCCTGAAAATCAATTAATACATGCCTCATCTGAAGGCCTTAGTGAGGACTGTTCGGAAATACGGAATCCTACAAAGGTTAACATGGGTTTGAATTGTGGGATTAAGGTTACTGAGACCGTCAGGGTAGAATGGACGCAACATGCACATGAGAGTCACATGCAAGGTCAGCTTGTGTGAGTTTCTCCATCTCTTAGCATTGGCTCAACCCTCGGGTGGCCTCGGAATAGCGAAATATTTTTCTGCTTTGAACTTGAGAGACCTGAAAGGGAGAAACGGTCTGTTTTAGTTTCCTCTGGAGTCACAATTATGCTATGTTAGGTACGGCATACGTCCTGTATGCCCCTCAAAACACCCCATCACCATAGGTTTTACACTTAAAGTCTCGCCCAGACAAGTGAGTGTCACGTGTAGAACTGCAGTTCCGTGCGGCTGAGAATAGTGCGCATATCCAATTGTGTGGAACTGGTCGTCAGAAAGGTGGAGACGAACACAGCGGACTCGGGCAAGGGCAGGGCCACAGCTCGAATCAACACCTGAAACCCTCCAACCAACAAGACAATTTGGCCATTGATTGACACACAATCAGACCTTGAGAAGGGACGTCCTCGACAACTAGGTACACCGAGTTGTGAACCTCGGCATGTATGAAAACCTAGCCGCCTACTTCAATGTTGGGACCCGTTCGTGGAGATACGCTGCGCCGCTGGTGAGCCTGACCAACAAGTACTCACGTACAACAATATTCGTTCCTTATTGTGGGTCAGATCCACAATAGGTGAATCCTACAGTACTGTTTTGTGGTCACAAGAGCAATTCTCTTGAGAGGACTACCTAGGCAACTTTCAAAATGACTGTTGCCCCCACCTGCAGAATTACCCACTGGCATGCCTTTTATAGACACAGTGTCGCAATTTTTGTCCAATTGTGGAGCATTCATTGATCCTTCACAGCTCAGAAAGCAGATTGCAATTGGTAGGCAGCATCCAAATGCTGGAAATGTTGGGACACGGTAAAGTCCGGTCTGGTGTCATTGGAGAGTCCAGCGCCGCATTAGAGCCGTGAGAAACTCAAATTACTCAGCTTATTTACATTCTTCTGCTGAACTTGAGCTGGCAGAATTCTGGATATTCCCAAGACATGCCACCATTCATGCGACGGAGTGTTCTATCTACGATGACTGAAGCAACTGCGAAGGCCAAAGAATCAGGCCATGATAACAGGAATCCTAAGTCCTGGCCGGACTACAGCGCACCTAAAATAGGCTTCATTTCATTCCTCCCGTCATCTTGGGTACCCTTTGCGGAGCTGGCTCGAATCGACAAGACTGCGGGTATCTACCTGTTCTACTTCCCACACCTCTTTGGTACTCTCTTCGCTGCCTGCCTCACGCATCTTGGACCACAAAAAGGGGCAGACTTCCATGGACTGCTAGAAGTCAATGCCGTCCTCTTCCTAGGAACAGCATGTTTCCGAGCTTCGGCATGCTCCTGGAATGACACTATGGACATGGAGTTCGACCGGCACGTCGAAAGGTGTAGAAACCGTCCTTTGGCGAGGGGGGCCCTGAAACCTTGGCAGGCACATATCTTGACTGTCGTCACTGCTCTGCTGGCTGCGGCGTGCCTGGTCGTCCTGCCACTTGCGTGCTGGGTGGTTTCAATTCCGAGTATATTTCTACTCTGGCTTTATCCGTTTGCCAAGAGGTTTACCGATTTCCCTCAAGCGATCCTGGGTGTCCAAGTCGCCATCGGTTTTCTCATGGGTATAGCGGCACAAAACAGCTCGATTCTTGTCGAAGTTCTGCATGGAGATACAGAGAAGGCATGGGCACTGTCTATATCGATTGGGGCATTCTACATCGCCCAGGCTTGTTGGACCGTCATCTATGACACGGTGTACGCCCAACAGGACGTTGAGGATGATGCAAAAGCGGGCGTTCGCAGCATAGCTATACGGTTCCGCGGGCGAGCGAAGACTTTGCTGTGGAGTCTCTCGATGGTCAAAGTAGTCCTGTTGGTAGTTTCCGGCTTCGCAGCAGGGTTTGGCGTTGAGTACATGGCAGTCGCATGCGGTGGTGTTTTGGCGTCGTTGGTGTATATGCTTGTCACTATTAACTTGCATAGCTCCGCGGATTGTGCATGGTGGTTCAAAAACGGCTGTTGGTTTGTTGCTGCCTCCGTCGTCGGTGGTTTGTGCCTGGAATTGGAATGTGGTACACAGTGATCAATGTAGAAGCTATCGTAACGTTGAGAAGAGGGCTAGCATTCACAAGTCAGAAGTGCATGAAGAAACGAGGAGAGTTTTGAATAGAGCAGTCTTAGTCCAAGTATTGTGGTAGCAAAGGAAACAGAAATTCACATGAATCATTTGGTTAGTTGAGTGTGTCACGGTTTTAAGGGTGGGGGGCATGATCAGGGACGGAAGCCATCTTGAGCATCCCATGCAGGCTCTTGTTCGCAACCTCAAAAGACCACACACTTCTGTGTTTTATAGCGCGCTCTGTTCAAATAATAACATCATCTTAAGAGAGACTTTCCAGGCAAGGAAAACATAGAGCTTTCAGGTCTTTCAATATCTGATCTCCACATGCAATCCTTCAACATACCGACAAAGCACTGGAGCCCATGGATTTCATGTTCCTAGAGTAAGGTTGTGCGCAAAGCCATGGCAAATGATTCATATGATATATCCGGTCTAAGTGTATGGTCACGCCAGACGTTGCGGATTTCAAAACTTGGGGGCTTTCAAGACAGCATTTTACACCCAGTCGTGCATCATGCCGGAAAAAGTAGTAAGATACCTAGTAACTGCATTTATGCCCCACCGTCTTGGGCAACCCTAATTTGTCATGAGATACATTATCTCTATTTTTGTTGGGTCATTATTTTCTAGAGTTTCTACAACCTCGAAAAACATATAATCACATACAAGGATATTCTAGACAAAGGAAACTCACCGGAGGCAACCCGGAGGTTATCCTTCAGTAGACGGACCAACTTCCATGCAAATGACTCGACTCAATATCTTAATTTATCCCACCATCCCTAAGGACTTTGAAAAAGCTTAGGAACCCTTGAATCTGATAAATCGACGACAGCGACTCCTTCAAGCCGCGGCTTGTGGTCTCGCCGTTGCTTGCGGTCTCACTGTTGCTGGTGGGGTCGGAAGGACTCCTGCTTGGGGCCGAGCCCCTGCTGGTGTGGCCGGGGCAGGGGGTGCTGGGTCCGGCGGCGTCATGGAACGTGCGCGTCTATTATCTAATCCTGCTCTCCGACTCCTCCTTCGGTCTGCTATGATCAAAGCAAAGAGCCGACCCAGAAGCTCCTTCTTCTCCCACCGCACTCCTTTCTTGGTGCCGCAGACGTTGTCGTGCTGAAAGACCTTGATGACATCGATGTGCCACTCACGGATCTGCATCGATGCCCTGCTGTGGGTGACATATTTTCCTACCAGAGGATCACCTCTTGATGATGACAATGAACCGTACCCGTATTTGTTTGACCAGTCGTTCCGATTGAAATGGCGTCGTCGTCTCATAAGCTGTTCAAGAAAGCGCCAGTGCAGTGCTGTCCAGTCCAGATAGCCACCCGGCTCTCGTTGATTAAGCCAACTTTTGGTATTAGTGATCCAAGTATTTCTCGCGGACACTCCCATATCGGGAGCTACGACAATTGTGTCCCCCACTGGAGGTCCTGGGAATGCCTGGCTGTTGCCCGAGGTGCTGTCATCCTGTCCTGGAGGAAGATGTAGGCCGGGGTAATCTGGGCAGTTGCACATTAACATGTTACCTGGATCACCAAAATATTTCGTTCCGTAGTCGATGAACAGCTGCGTTCCACTTGGGATGGCCTCTAGGCTTTTGAATGTGATGGTTCTTCGCCCGCCAATTACGTCGTCTACGGCCTCGACGTTGTAACTCTCGCAGCAGTGGTTTACGAAACGGGTCCAATTACCATAGTCCTGGGCCGCTGAATGTGCTACGCCTGGTATTTCGAAACAGTAATCGTCGTTTCTTTTATCCGCCTCAGCTGGTGGAATAAGCTCGCCAAAGTATTCGTCGAGGACCGAATACGCGGGAATGTCAATTCCCGCGAATATCCCGAGGCCCATGCCAGCTACAGCGCGAACTTTGAGATTGACAAGATTAGTCTCAACTCAACAGTCCAGCCACGGTAGTACATGAATCAATTATCTAGAGAAATCGGATCTATTCCGGGACTCACTTTCAAACCTTTGTTGATAGCCATCTCTCCTTCGCTGCGCGTGCCAGCTGCGAACACAAGCACCCCCAGGGCAAACTCCCACGCCACCCTCGCATCTGAAGCAAACATGTTCCCACGCTCCATTGTTGTGCCTTAGAACCCCTCGGACCGTTCTCTGGCTGGCGATTGGTATATGGCTGACCCATAATTGCGAATTCAAAACATAGTCGTTAATCTCGCATGGAAAGCCCGAGGCGTTTCTTGGTACAAGATCGCCGGTATCAGCACGCTGAAATTGCGGCCTCAACAAAGCTGGAGGAAGTGAAGACATGATGTTCGTTTCTTCTTGCCCTACGGCGCTTCTTGGCGAGTGTGAGAGCCCCTGCTTAAATGGATGCATACGCAAGTTTCTCCGGTTGAGCTGGACAGTGGATGGCTCTCTTTGTTCACGGCCCGGAACAACTTCTTCTTTGAGCAGGCTATCATTTCGAAATATACAAGGGAGAGAAAAAGAAAGGCGCCTCCTGAGAGACTCGGATCCGGATGTGAAGGACAAGGCAATATCAATCGGACCCCTTTCTCGTGTGTTGCGGCCCGATGTTCAGTTTCCACACTCCGCCGGATTTGGCAACTCGCAACCCTTGAAAACCACTCCATGTGGGGTTGCTCAAAGACATCAGTAGTATGAGCAGGCTTGATAGGAATTATTACGGCGTTACCTTTCGTACAGGTCGGAAAAGAATAAAACTTCAAAGAACACGATAGTCAATTCTAGTCCGTCGCCCATAGCTAGACTCCAGTGTTTTACGAGAGAACATGTGTTGAATGGCTCTTCGTGGCTCGGATTCAACCGCCCAGGGTTGTTGAAAAAAGAAAATGAGAATGACGGAATCAGGTTTGAAGAGCTTGACGAGGTAAGAGGCTCCTGGATGCGATTATAGCATTGATTTCCGACTGGTATCTCTTTCAACATAATAAGTGACGCGCTCCAAGTTCACATGGCAAAATCAATAATCTATTCGTCAAACTTGAATACATTTTCAATATGCCCCCGGATCTGTTGGAGCCTTTTCCTTGAATGGTGAGCACTTGCACCCCTCAGCATCTCTCAACTCTTATCCCTGTTCAGACCCATGGAGACGAATCATAGCGGCTCGACCCATTTGGAATCGAACTCGCCATTTGTTTCCTGACTACCTTGTATGAGAAATGCCGGGCGTGGGTCAGCTAGGAGTTTGAACTCTATGAAGGCCCTTACGGACGCTTCAGTAAATCAACATTGGATGGTCTGGGCCTCAGGAAATACTTCTTGTCTTGGGCTAATTGGGGCTCAAAGCAATGCCTACATAGCCAAGCGCTTTTATGAGAGCTGGCGACGCAATCGTGACACTCAGCTGAAGATCAGACCAGGCCGTGGTTGGTGCGAGGTTATGTCCCCACCTCCGAGGCGGTTGCCAGACAATGGTATTTCGTCTACGTTTAGAACTCCTCCTTACAACGAAGTGTGTCACTTATATAATGTCATCAAATCCTCCTGGGTTTACTCAGGTCATCTTCGCGGTTACGAGTGAGAAATAAAAGAGGAAAATCTGGATAAAAGTCACTTTGCCGCCTGGATGCACCTACTCACGTCGTCAGACATGTCAACTGATAGCTGCCAGCGGCCACTTGGGCGGCTTTGCCATCAGCTATAGTCGGCCCAGTAGCCAGTGGGCAATAGTTGAGACCTGCGGGTCAAACTTCATGGCTGTCGTAGAGTGGGTTTGCTGTTGAGTCGGGAGCATGACTAGCCTTTTCCCGGGACCTTCCCGCATCGAAGATCATGCTGGCCTTCATTCGATCTGCACAAACCCTTCGTATATGTAACCTCTTCCGTACTATAGCTCCCATACCTCAAGATCACTATTGAGCATATGAAGATCTCTTTACACCAAGCGCTAGGCAGTCGCAGCATTCTTCACACCAGATGCATGAACCGGCCATTCGAAAGGCCATGCCCATAAAAATGGTGGGACCCACAGCATATCGCGGAGAGCAGAAATGAGGGACGCCATCCAATAAGCGGATTGCGTGATTGATTTTCCCTCAAATGCACAGAACTATGGTATCATGAAAAGTGTCGTACCGCAAGACTTCTCCAAGGGCCGATCATCACCCAACATCTCTATCGTTCACTGCAACTGCATGAACCAGGTAGCTTGCGTCCTTGACTATCAATATGTCAATCCCCACTGAGAAGTCACTCGCCGTGGCGGCATCAACCAATGCTGAAAAGGCACCATACCAAGTGAAGCTTCCCGTTGCCAACGATACCCCAGCGGCTGAACAAGCATTTTCGCCAAGCCGACAACAATGGTACCAATGGTTTGCGCCTGATGACACACCAGAGGAACGTCGGCTTATCATCAAGTTAGACTGCTTGATCATGGTCTTTGTCTTTCTGGCTTATTGGGCCAAGGTCTTGGATTCATCGGCGACAAGCACTGCTTACGTTAGCGGAATGAAAGAAGACCTCAGGCTCTATGGCAATGAGTTGAACTACCTGAACACAACTTACATGTATGGCAACTGTTGATCGCTGGACGGGCCCATGGGCTGACGGTGATTCTAGGGTCGGATTCATAACGTTGCAAATCCCGTTGACTGTTCTTGTACGAAGTACGAAGTCTGCTGCTACCTCGAATTTTTCGTTAACTTATGCGTTAGATGACACGTTTTTCCGCAACTTATTTCATCCCTGGCGCGGACCTCATTTGGGGCGTTCTCGCTCTGCTGCAGGTATGTGGTTCTGTACTCGTCTCGGGTCGACCTTGAGTCCTCATCAACTTTCTCACACGAATCTCGTGATCTATCAGCGCACACCATCGATGAAAATGCTAACGTGTCCCAGTATAAAGTCACTAATGTCCATCAACTATATGTCATCCGCTTCTTTGTTGGAGCTGCAGGCAGCCTTTTCTTCCCAGCCGTGCAGTGGTACCTCGGATGCTGGTACAAACGCTCCGAGCTCAGCAGAAGAGGTGCTTTGTTCTTCATAGCCAGCCAGATAGGAGGCATGAGCTCCGGGTATATCCAAAGCGGAGCACATGCTACCCTGGACGGGAAGCACGGCATCGAGGGTTGGCGCTGGCTGTACATTATCTGTGAGTGGAGATTCCTGGTGCCTGTTCGGCCCGCATATCTGATTGAAAAAAAGGCTTTGGTTGCACGATTCCAGTTGCAATTCTCGGGTTTCTTGCCCTGCCTGGCCAGCCAGACAATTGCAAATCGCGCATCCTAACGGCGCGGGAGATCGAGCTAGCGCAAGCTCGCATGGCCAAGGAGCACCGAGAGCCACGGAAGCCGCTGAGCTGGTCGTTGATTAAGACAGTGCTTTCTGGATGGCACTTCTGGGTGCTTGTCTCGTTCGCCTTCTTCTTCTCGCAGGCCGACGGTGTGTCGTCAAACAGCGGCCTCCCGCTGTGGCTCAAGAAGGAAGGGTACAGCGTCGAGTCGATCAACACCATCACTACTGTTTCTCCAGCCGTTACGATCGTTGCGTCTATCATCTGCGGTATTCTGTCCGACGCTTACGACGCTAAGGTCTCGTTGATTGCCGCCACGGCTGGACTGAACATTTTTGCGAGTATCGTGCTTGCGATATGGAAAGTCCCCGTCGAGCTCAAATTCTTTGCATTCTTCCTCTCTGGGTCGGCCGATGGCATTGCGGCCGTCATCTACGCGTGGGCAAACGAGATCTGTGCTGGGGATGCCGAAGAGCGTGCCATAGTTATCAGTAGCATGAACACCATAGGGAACACTTTCGGTGCTTGGCTACCCTTATTGTAAGTTAAGGACAAGAAAAAGTCCTCAGGAGTTATCTGATCTAACCTTTATTCTCAGTGTCTGGAAGACAGTTGATGCGCCAAGGTATCTCATCGGCTATAACTGGACTATCGCTCTTGACTTATCCATGCTTGGGATGCTGTTTGTACTGCGAGCATACTGGAATCGTGAGAAGAAGACGCTTTCTGGTTAGCCGAGAGTCGGCATGATTCGGGGGTTGTTTTTGTTGTTGAGGGCAGCTCTAGCCATGATCAACGCGGCGTCATCATGTCAGCGTTTATAGGCGAGCAAGGGCCAAATTCCAAAAGGCTTGGAGGAAAAGATACTCATAGATGATGTGATTTTGTAATAAGCAGTGGAAGACTTAAATGGCCTCGCAATGGCGTCTTTTTGACCATGTCTAGCTGCTGTGACTCGTTTGTTGACTGCCGTCACCGTCACTGGCACTCCCAATCTCGAGGGTCCAGGTTGGCACAGGCCGGCCTTGATTTGACCCCGGTCGAACGAGTGAATGAAGTCGTCGCAGTCCCCAATCTGAGTGAGTACGCCGCGGCCCTGGCGTAGAAGAAAATTCAAAGCAGCTTGCTAGACCCTTGGTCAATCGACCTTCCACAATCGTCGACTTGACGAAGTCCGCGAACTTATCTCCTTACCTTGCAATTCGAGTATACTGCGGCCCTTCCTCCTGCAGCCGTATATTTGTGGGATCGGGAATTTCTCCTAACTCTTTTCATCACCATTCAGCTCTCCTTAGCTCCATTCGCCTTGGGTCAGGTTCTCAGTACACAAGTATTTGGCCTGCGTTCACAGCTTCAAGGCTCGTTCGCGGTCTTTCTGGAGCGACGACACCATTGAACTCACTGGGGCACCTCTGTTTAGGCTACTGCTATTCTTGGGGATAGTGCTCAACCCCAGACACAAGCTTGGCGGTTGCTAGGCCTCAACAAACGTGGTGAGTTGACATCAGCGAAGGCAATCCAATGGAACAAATTACAGCCAGAACAGAACCCAATTTCGTCACCACAACAAGTGGAAAACGGACAGACCTTCCTGCGTACAAATTCGATCCCTTGCCCTTCGCTAACCTATTTTGACTAGCAGAGCAATACTTAGCAAGAAAATTCAGACTTTGTTTCCTTTTACACTTCTCCCGAAATTCACCGACTCGAGCAAGCAGCCGGGAGGTATTGAGACGACAAACGAGATCTCCTGCGGTAGCGGAAAACCAGCAAAGCGGACTGTCGTTGACGCCGAACCCACCTTGTTGATCGAACACCCAGCTCTTGGAGTCCTTCACTATGGGCACCTTCGATACCTCTAAATCCCTATTGACGGCTGGCGCCACGGCTGAACCGCGCAGAACAGTTGTCGTTCCAATTTGGTGGATTTCGGACGACAACCTTGTCGTCGCAAGTGTTGCAGGCGAGCCGCCTGTTGAAGAACCGACTCTTCAAGACGAGCCAGATTGGGAGATGCCGCGCCAACAAGAGCGGTCTGTCAGCACCTCTATGATCTCCACCATCAGTGACGAACTCAATTCTACCCCAATGGGCGGTCCGAATCGTCTAAGACGTCAGCCCTCTGCAATGGACCTCTCTACGCAGTATTCAGAGTCAGGCCAATGCAGCCGCCCCGAGTTTGATGAGGCTGCTGCTATCAACAAACAAACTATGCACACAGCCATCGCGACTCAGGATAACTCAGAGAAAGAAATCAGTGGCGCTTTACACCACTTTCACTTGTCAACTGACATGATTCAGGCTGGGTTGGTTAAGATTTCCTCCGGCCCCCGAGGAGTCAGCGCACAGACAGCAGCGACCACGTTGGAGAGCGGCGTGCACGAAGACATTAATGAGAGCGCAGACGACCAAAATGTTGAAAAGGTCGGTGAACGAACAAACCAAAATGCAGAAGACATGCACAGCAGGCTCGTTGTCACTTCTTGGAAGACCGCAGCAACAAAAGCGCATGGAGATAGGGAGGCGAATATCGACATCGGCCTTGAGGACCACGAGTTATCGCCACAATACGCGGAGTTTTTGAAATTCCAATTCAACTGTTCGCCTCACGAATTGCGTCACCATTTTTTGACAGAGAATCACAATACCCCTCACGAATGCACGGCAGAGCGCAGCAAATCTTTCATGGCCAAGTTGGACAGCGACATCAAGGCCCGCGTGAAGGTGAAGCGACAATCTCGAGGACAAGCCGTCAGACGTGTGAAGCTTGCCTCAAACGAGGCGCTGATAGACCAGGCAACTCAACCCAGCAATCTTCTGGGGTCACATCAGCATTCTGAGCCGTTGGGCCCGAAGGGACCTAACTATCGTGACAGCATGCTGCTACGGAAACCAGTTCCTGCGCATATTCTGAAGCAATATCATGAGACCAGTCCCACTCCGCTATTTGAGAAGCTACCAACTGTTGCAAAATTGCCCCCAGGCTTCGGAGCATCCCAAGGAAATTTCTTGTTGGGACAGGCACAGGCAGTCAGGTTCTCCAAGCCTGGAAAGGCACGCTTGGTCAATGTCGCCCGAAAGAAACCGGAGCTGACCTACGCCACCTCCTTGATCCCTGAAGAGGCAATCATGTTCTCGGCGGGGGAGATGGCCAAGTCTGCACGCCAGCCAAACAAGCGGACTAAGGCCATGCGGCATCGTGAGGCACACAGCGTAACTACCAAGGGTGCCACAAAGCGTGCGCCTGCAATGCGAGTTCATCAACAGTCCCAGATTTTGCACAGCGGCCCAAGTACCGAAGATCCCAGACCTCGCCCGTACAAGCGAGCAATCGACGACACTTTCAATGATCAGGAGCAGGCAATGAGATCCCAGAAGCTTCTGCGATGGCTCAAGACAAACGATCTTGCGATCGACCAGAGTCCTTCCAAGGCTCCAGTTCAACGTCCAGACGTATCGCTTGCAGCACCTGCATCTGAGCAGTCTCCCAAGGCACCCATTACAGAATATGCGTGCGCCATTGAAACGAAGGGGTCCTCTTTGCTGAAACACAAGCATGGATACTTTGGCCTCAACGACAAACCAACCCAGAGCCGGATCCCCGATGACATTGGCTCGATGCTGACCTCGTCGCACAGGAGTCAGGCCAATCCTGACCGTCATTCTGGAAAGAGTGGCTGCCCTTCGCTTATTAGTGATCACGGAGAGGAGCCTTGTGATTCCCCAGAGGCGGTGCCCGACACCGAAGATAAGATCTGGCCCCATCACTCAGGAACTTTGGCAGCGAAAAAGGAGGGTGACATCTTGAAGGCGGCAAATGAGACTCCTTCGAAAGTCAACTTATCTCGTATCCATATCAACATGAACAAGGAAGATTCTGCATCAGTAGACATCGGTGGCATCCGCGTCGAGAAGAATGGCAACAGCATCAGTGTGGCTGAATGGTTCCGAGCACCGACCTGCGACTCGTGCTCTAACCACGACCCCGCCGACGTTGGCTTCCACGAGCCACAGCGTGATGATGGGAAGCCCACGGACACGCATGGAAGATTTTCGTTGGCTGGACAGTGTGCGATCCTGCGGTGGCTGATATGTACATCCGATGCGGGTGAGGAGTTTGCCATGCCGCATGAATTCTCCTCGGTCGAGGAGGACGTGATTCCAGGTGGACTCCAACCACGACACGACGACGATATGAGGGCTGAAATGCTCAGGATGTTGCGCTGGCTCTCGGACCCTGTTGACCCACTACCTGAGCCATCCGACGACATCTCGGACGTCCTTCGGAGCATTCATCGGCCCTCGCTATCGTAGGAGGTGGCGTACGACTCATCTTTGACTTATGAAGACCAATGATCTGAAGCATTGGCTGGAAGCACGCTCGTTAAGTTCTTTCATTCCATGAAGCAGCTCAAGGCAGCGTGATCGGGCAGGGATTTGTCTGAAATGTCTCCCATTCGAATCAAGCCCACAGGCGTGACGGATGCTCATTTACCAAGCATAACCTCGACAAAGGAGAGCAACAGACGGGCACAAAGGACTCAATATTTTGACATTGCTGCAGCCTGAGTTCAACAAAGGATGCATGAGACATGAGAAGGCCCAAGATGATGAGTGGCATGGCCCGATATGTTGAAAAGGAGAGGCAAGGACGTTGGGGCTGTCACGAGCGTGGGATGCAGTGTGCCTGTTGTAAGGCTTGCGATAAAGGGCCAACTACCCACATAATCAGTGCTAGTCTCAGAATAGATCCTAGGAAGAGAGAAAAGGAAGCCTTTTCTTGACGATTTTAACAACTGTGGAATTCTTGCAGTCACAGATAGTTGTGTTTTGAGGATTTGAGCCTCTTCTCTAGGCGCTCCACACATCTGAGGATTAGTGGGATGCCTACGCGCTTGGGCCTGGCGGGGCAATTGCTCCGGTCGCTGACGTCACTGTTAGTTTGCTGGAACAACAGAGCAGCACAGGACGATCACTACAGCTACAGCTCCATTCCATCTGCCTGACTTTCAACAAGACGTGTTTTCAGACACGCTTCTCTTTGACACCCAGACGGCCGGTTTCATGAATCCATCAATATGGGCCGCCTTGAAGCTATCGCACGTTCCATCGTGCTGACAATCATCAACGGCGCGAAGAAGAGGTCTCGCTCGCCGATCGCGATTATCCTAAGCCTCATCTCCACCATCTTCTCCTTTTACCAGCTTCCCCTCCACAAGCATCGTCCCGAAGTATTCGCCAATCTACGTCGGCAGTCCTGGGAAGTCGGTGAGGACGAATACCTAGCTTCTTTCCGTGCCGAAGATGGTGGCAAGCCAGAAGATGCGCTCTCTCCAATGGGGGACATGGGCTTCTCCGGATCGGTAAGTTCTTCAAGGCCACCAGACTTTCGGTCTTATTGCGCAGCTTGACTAAGGTATTTACTATACAGTCGTTCTTCTCGACTGCCGATCAGAAATACCTCGTCAAATCTGTGCCGCGACATCATGAACACACCTTCTTCCGAAATGACCTGCTCGACATCTACGCTTCCTATATGGGCGCCCATCCGAAGACACTCCTCATACGCATATGCGACTTTCTTGCTAGCTCTGGGTTGGCTATTGGACACCAATTGAGCATGGCTCCCAATCATCACATCGTGATGGAGAATTTGATGTATGGGCAGGAGGAGGCCAAGGAGGCAGGCGCTCCAAAATGGGAGAACTGGGACCTGAAGCCTACAAGCTATTTCTATCCAGAACGAGACATTGCCGATGGCAGGCTGACGAGCGAGGCGACCAAGGATCAACTGGCGGATGAGTTCAACGACAAGATCATCCTGACTACGGAACAGGCACAAGAGTTCTGGCGCAATTTGGAGGAGGACACACGGATGCTGGCTCACTACAACGCCGTCGACTACTCCCTATTCCTCGTGCGAATCAACGCTGAAAACGCTGGACACGCGGTCAACAACCCGTCAGCATCTGGTTCCGCAGCAGAAAATGTCGTAGACGCGCTGCCTCGCGATCCGCCCTCCGTGCCTCCTGAGCCACCGTCCTGGCGGACCGGAGTTCCAAGCGCAGACGGCAAGTTCGTTTACCGCGCAGCTATCCTCGACTTTTTCTGGGCCAAGCACAAGACCCAGCCAAGAGTTATGACGTTCCTGGTTAACGCGTACAACAAGCTCATCCATCACCATGGCCCGATGAGCATTACTACGACGCCTGAAGAATATCGGGAGAGGTTTTTGAAACTGTGCCACGACATTGTGGAGGTGAGAGAGAATGCATCGGAGCTATGATTATTGCTTTGCTGGATTGTATGATACCCCTGGGCGTCTTGGAACTGGGTCCTTAATGAATAATGACATATTGTTACCTCGGTCTTCCGGGATGCCTTGCCCGTCATGTTGACCGATGATTGCCATGTGTGCTGGGATCATGGAAGGCTATGAAGATGATAGCAGTGATGAATTGTAGGAATCAATTGCCAGCAGATAGGCTGTTCTATATACCAATATTCGCGTAGTAGTCAATAGCATTTGAAAAGAAAAAACACTAAGACACTCTCTCGGTCAGCGCGCCATTGACGTTGAGACTTGTCGCCCAAGCAACACTACAAACATAGGAAGCACCGATTGACCATTCTATCACGGACGAAATCTAAGAAAATTTCTGAACAGAACACCTCACTCGCGTTTCCATTTCCATACTGTTAGTCCTCCAGCATCTCACATGCCTCATAGATGGCTTGAGAAGTTCCATCAATGTGGCCTGGCTCAAATGGTGTAAAATGATCACCAGGGATGTCGATAACTTTAACCTTTGCCCCTACCAGCTCCTCCCATGCCCCACTGCTTGTCTTCACATCCGTTCTGTCATGCAACCACTTGTTCTCTGGTAGCGCATAGCCCGGGGCCCTGAAGCCCTCGGTTGATCTCAGGAGTACCACCCGAGGCATCACGCCCTCCCGTCTTGGTCGATATTGCCCTAACAACGCGGCCCGCCGCAAATTGTTTCTGACAGCAAGCGCACTGACTGCTTCATGGAACCTCGCAGCCTCAGGTGGCCGGGTCTTCGCCGTGTGGACGTGTTTCGCTGCCATGGCAGCTTGGACAGTCTCTCGCGCCAGCGGAAGGTGGTCAAGGGGCGGAGGCGAGTCGATGAGGACCACGCCGCGCACCAAGCAGTCGCCGCGCTCAGAGAGCAAGCGAGCCATCTCGAAGGCAACGACGCCCCCGAAAGAGTAGCCGCCCAGGATGATACCGCGACTGGGACTACTCGGTCGGCTTTTGGAGACAATAGTAGCGTAGTGCTCTGCCATGTCTTGAATGCAGGACCAGTCTTCCTCGAGACCCGAAAACATGCGAGGATCTTGGATTGCATGCACAGCACGGTTAAGTGACCCGATGCGATAGTACTCAAAACACATTCCGGCACCCGGATGGACCAAGTAAATCGGGGCTGACTCCAAGAACTCCGATCCGTTCTGAATCCGCATGGGCTGTTTTTCAAGCCTAAGGCAGTTGCGAAGCAACTCCATCATTTCGTTCGATACTTCGGGTTCTTTCACGCCCTGTTCAACTCCATTTCGGCTGGCAGTTCTGTGCTTGCTGCTCGAGATTGTTGTGTCTGCGGCTATGGTCGTGCCTCGTCAGTTCAGATGCATCTCGCCATAGGCTCGAGCTGACTCACCGTTCGGAGAACATCTCCCGGTCCCTGGTGATCGGCTTCCTTCAGCAGAAGCAACATGAACAAGGCTCTCGACATCTCCAACACATTCGCACATCGATAACTGAGAGACACCAGGCGAATGGCCAAGCAAATCCTCGAGCTTCTTTTCGAGCTCCAGGATCATCAGAGAGTCAACGCCAAGAGCAGCAAGCTTGGTTCGTGAAGTAAGAGCTTCAGCCTTCACGCCTGTTGTCTCGGAGAGGATATCGACAACGCTAGCCGGGCTTGTCACCAGACTCTCTACCGCAGTGCTCTCGTCATATTCTTCGACAGATATTTCAGGCTTCGTACCCGCAGGCCTCTGTTCTTCAAATGCTCGCAACTCCTTCTGCTTGATGTGCTGATGTGCTTTGTCGCTCGTCTTTGGGAAGTTCTCGGCAATTATTTCAAAACCAGCTTGCATCTTGGAAAGCTTGGAGCATTTGAACTCCACTCCTTTCATAACTGCGATTACTCCTTCACCGTCGACAGCGTGCACGTCGGCAAATATGCTTTCCGCAGCCGCAGAAACTGAGGAATTGCTGCAGTGGACGTCGAATGTATGTCTTGGGCGAAAGCCCTTCCTGAACATGCTTATCGACGAAACTTGGTGACAGATGCAAACCGTGTCAGAATCAACATTCAAATTGGCCGCGAAGCCTGCAACGTGAAGCATTGTGTCGAGAAGAATGGGATGGCCAGCGTAGTTGGCTGCCGTGCTCGTGGCTGGCAGTTCACAAGTGGCAAAAATCTCTTCGGCGTCATCATCGACGTAGAGCTTGCGAACAGCCCAATATTGAGGGCCGTACTCGACCACCCTGCTGAAGATTTTCTTGTACATGGTGCTCGTCGAAAACATCTGGTGACCACCCAGTTCGAGACTGGCTTTCCGACGAGCCAGAGCCCGTTCCGTTCGCTTCAATTTACCGGCCGCTTTTAGCCACGATTGCCGCTTGATTTTCCCGGAACAGTGATCTTTGGGCTGGAGAGGCTTTCCTCCGTGACTGAAACTTGAGACTCGAAAGATTCGGCCGTTGTCTGTTTCATCGTTCCGATGAACGGTGACACTTATTGTCTTTGGAGAGTTTTGGCTGAAGAGGAGTGGTCTTGTGAAGGAAACGTCGCACAGTTTGAAGACCTGATGTTCTGTATTGGCTCCCTCGGTATGCGATATTGCTGCCAGTGCCATCTCCGCGTAAACAGAGGCCGGACACAGCGGCTGGCCACAAACGACGTGTCCCTTGATCAAGTCTCCTAGGGTCTGCATACGGGTGTGAAACTCTGCCATCGTATCGCCAGTTGGCTCCACGAAGTTCTCGAGGAGAGTGTATTGAGTTCCTGTTGGTCTGCTAGGACGAGCATTATGGGAGCCTGGTGCCAATTCGAGTGAAATGGGATTGTAATATTTCTTCCGAAGCATTGGGGCCGGGGGCAAGTCGGTCATATTAGGTTTCAAGGGCAGGTTCTCGAAAAGTGCTCGCCAGTTGATGTCCACATTGTCTCGATAGACCGCGCAGAAAATATCAGACAAGGTCTGAGAGGGGTCCTGGCCCTTCCTCAAAGTTGCCAGCTTTTCCGATGTAGTACCTGATAGTCGAGAGGCAACCTGAAGATAACATCAGTAAACCGAATCGCTTTTGCATACTGAAGACTCTGGACTTACCATTGGCAGTAACACTGGATGTGGCCCAATCTCGATCCAGCGTCCATCGAACAGATTTCCATGCTGCCTGGAAATGTTGTCAAGCCCACTATCGAAAGCAACTGTCCTACAACAATGTTCTGCGAAGTATTCAGGTGTGCATGCTTGCTCTCCTGGTTGCACAACTCTTCCAAGCACGTTGCTTGTGACTGGAATCGCGGGCTCTGAGAGGCATACGTGTGAAGCCATCTGCCTGACATCCTCCGCTACCGGATCCAAGGCAGTAGTATGGTAAGCAATCGGAACATTGAGCATTGTCGACCTCCTGCCATGTACTGAGATATGATCCTTGAGAACCAAAAGTTTCTGCTTGTCGCCGCCAATAACACAATCACCTGGTGAGTTCTCGCAGGATATGCTCAAGTCGGAAAATTCGCTTCGACTGAGAAGGTCTTGCTGAGCTTGAGCAGCGCTCATATTCACGGCAAGCATGGATGTTTCCCAAAGCTTGCAGGAGGTGATTATGAGACGTGCTCTCTGCGCCACAAGCCAGAGGCCGCTTTCAAGGTCCAGTACACCAGCAGTAACAAGAGCTGCGTACTCGCCCAGACTGTGTCCCGACACAATCGAAGGCCGAATGCCTGCGTCCATCAGAACTTGTGCGATTGCTACCTCAAGCACAAAAACACCAGTCTGGAGTGCTTGAAGTATCGTCGGGTCCTGTGGCTGGTATGTTTTATCTTCGTCTGGTTGGATAACAGCCAAGCAGCTTGGAAGACCCCAATCAAGCAGTAGTCGATGGCATCGGCGGACAATCGCACTGAACTTTGGTGACAGATCCATCAACTTCTTGCCCATTCCCATGTATTGTGAGCCTTGCCCGCTGAAAAGAAAGACCGTGGCGCGCGGGCTGTCTGGTGCTTCCAGAATTTGAGCGTTTTTCAGGTTCGCGATAAGGTCCTTGATCGACGAGGCCGTCGTTGACAATCGGTAACTTTGCAAGCTCCTGCGCGCAGTGCTCGTGTAGCAGACATCAGCAATCGACAACTCGCTTTGATGCTCCGTCAGGTACGATACGAGGGATTCTCTCAACTGCTGAAGCAGTTCCGCACTCCTGGCAGAGCAGCCAAAGACATGGGTTATATTGTCTCCAAGCCCGGGCCGCTGCTTCCGAGTATCGTCATGTTCTTGAATTAACAGTGCTGCATTCGAACCTGCCGCGCCGAAGTTGTTCAGAAGAGCAGTCCTCCTCTTCCCTCGCGACGGTGTCCAGTCCAGGGGCTCCGTGCTGATGACTGTCCCATCCGCGACAAGATCACGAATCGCCGGGTTCAGCTCATTCAGCAGTGCCTGTGGTGGTATTCGCTTGTGCTTTAGCATGAGAAGCAACTTCGTCAAGGACGCTACACCACTGGCAGCTTCGCAATGGCCAATATTCGCCTTCATAGACATGATATGCAATGGGTTGTCCAGGCTGCGACCCTTGCAGAACACATTCCGGATACCCCTGACCTCGTTCGGGTCCCCGGCTGGTGTTCCCGTGCCGTGTGCTTCCACCACGGAGATGTCCTCATGATGCATGCCGGCTTTAGTGAGCACCTCGTGAAAGAGCTTCTCTTGGGTCGGTGCATGTGGGTGCGTAATCGACGACGCCTGCCCGGACTGGTTCACTGCAATGCCCTTGATGACGCCGAGAATATTATCATTCTCGTTGACGGCATCACTCAGCCGTTTCAAGACGACAGCCGCACACCCTTCGCTGCGGCAGTAACCATCAGCAGCTTTGTCGAAAGCTTTGCATTGTCCTGTCGGGCTGAGGAAATGAGCCCTTTCGAGACCCAGATACATATCTGGACTGGTTATCACGTTGACACCTCCAGCTACCGCGGCTCGGCACTCACCAGCTGCAAGTGCCCGCGCAGCTTGGTAAATAGCAACAAGTGAGGAAGAGCAGGCTGTGTCCAATGTGATGCTCGGCCCTGACCACTTGAAAGCATACGATATCCTGCCACTCAAGAAGGCTCTCAGCGTTCCTGGACTATAGTAGACGTCAATGTTGTTTCTCAAGTTGTCAACGTAGTCCAGGGTCGCATTTCCGATGAAACAACCGAAAGTCTCCCGGGCAAAAGACGGCGTGTTGTCCGGAACATATCCTGCGTTCTCTAGAGCCCGATGTACTATTGTGAGCATCACGCGCTGCTGCGGGTCCATGGATGAGGCTTCTCTGGGCGAGATGTCGAAGACCTGGTTGTCGAATAGGAACGGATCGTCCATGAAGTTACCGAACTGTGTTCCCATGGATCGTTTCTCTTTGACTGGGTGACTTCCGTCATTAAAATAATCATCCAACTTAAAACGATCTGAAGGTATCTAGGATCCTCGTCAGTCCCATCCACTAATCATGGTTTTTGATCGATGAAGCTTACCTCAGAACAACTATTTATTCCATTCATTAGATTTCTCCACAATGATTCCGGATCTGGAGCCCCTGGAAGGTCCACGCTCATTCCGACAATAGCAATATCGCCTTCCTGCGATGTTTGCCCAGTGTATAACTCAACGGATGTGTCGATGACTTCGACATGCTCGGGAACGTCCTTCGGTCTAGTGAGGGCACCATTGCTAGGTCCGTAATTACAGACAGTCAGAACATAATGATTCCGGCTGCGCCTCTCATGAGCAAGTGAAGCAATTGTGTCTTCCACCGATATCCAATTAGTGCATTCCATCAAGATCATGTCCAGAATTTGGCTCAGCAGGTCTGTCGAGGAACCACCCTTCTTGGCTCGGATCAGTGATCCATCAATGGTAGATATTATTGGTACAACAAGGTCTTGCTGCGATGGAAATGCAATCTGGCGTTTCTCGAACTCGTCCAGTAGCTGGTACTTATACTCGTGTAGACAACGATTATGATAGAGGGTGAAGATGTTGGTGGGTATCACACGGCATTTCGTTGGGAGCTCAGTTCTGGCAAATTCGCGCAAAGCGTCTCCTTCGCCGCTGACTGTGACGATGTTTCTAGTATTCAACGAGCTCACGTAGATGGGCGTGCATAAGGTCTGCTCAGACACAGTCAGATGGCTCACGGGAACAAAGCGGTGTCGCTCATCACTTACTTTAGGAGCGGAATATGCCGAGATAAGTTGTAACATATCCTTTTCTTCGATATTACCGACGACTAAACTCCAGGGAGATTGAGTCTGAAAGAACTTGGTCTTTCTTCGTGCTTGCTCACATACTATGCCGAGCATGACCGCAGCACGGAAGCATTCTTCAACCCGAGCGAAATATTGAAGTGGGCTTTGAATGGTGGCGGCTGCTACAGCCGTGAACAAGCCGGCGCAAAAGCCTGAAACTGCAACTGTTTCCTGGTTATTGGAGCGAGGGCTTGCCAGGCCGTGGCTTTGGTATCTTAGCAGTTGCACAAGGGATAGGGTCGCGTGTTGTACGACAGGATGGTGGTGATAGCGCTGACATGGCTGTATGATGTCCTGTGGCCGTCGGAAGTCGTTCAGGTCGATGATAGTGGCGCCATCTGCCTGAGATGATGCCAGGCTGATTTCCTCGAGGAAAATCTTGTGACAGGTCTCCGCCAGAATTTGCCCTTGAAGAGAGTGAGAATCTTGGGTTGCCTGGTTGCGTGTAGCATTACTGAAAATAATATCAGACCCAAGACCGCCAAATACTGGTATCTTGGCCATGATGTCACATTGATTAGAGAAATTGAGTGTTGAATGTGGCAAGGAGTATTGATATCATCGGGGTCCCTAGTTTAACTTTCAAAAAAGAGATGAAGTTAACTTATAGGGTCAAGCAGTCTTAAATTCGCAGATTGTATTCTTTGACTTGAGAGACTCCTCCGGACACATCATTCAGCTCTCAAATTAGCCCAATATACATTTCTAAAGTAGAGAACCCCTATCTCAGACAGCTCTCTAGTTATGAGCCGCTCGGCCCGACCCATAACAAGTCTTTTCCTATGCAGCAAAGCTTAGTACGGCACTTGGGGTGTCTAAAAGACGCGTCATATTGATAAGCTTGATCTCGGATTTGGAAAGCTTCGGCGGCTCTGCATTATCAAAATGCTCAGCCGCAGACCTCGGGCATTTCTTTCCCACAACCCGTCTCCCACGATCCGTCAATCATAATTCCGATAACCCTGTTGTGGTCTTGAAGCAAGTCAGTCGTAATCCTGTCGTAAGCTGAATTCTGGTATACTGGCTCTGAACAAGTTCTCAGCCGCGTGCGCAGGTCCTGTGCTGTCTGTGGTATCACAAAGTCGCAATCCGGTATGCAGCTCGCCCGGACGTGCAGTGTCGAGAGGCACGGATATCACAACCCACTATGGTAGGTCTACTGTGTATCGTACTCTTTTCTTTTTGAGATCCCAGTCGAGAATTTATGGGTCCTGACTTGGCCCGTGCCATTTGTATTCTTTTGCCCTTCATCTGGATGCCGAAGTACTCTTGTGCCATGGTGGATCTGACCCACTTACACGGAACTGAGGCGCTGCATGTCACCACACTATCATACATAATATCACACGCATAAGTATGCGTACACCAACACGTGTAAGAGACCTGCCAAATGTGTGTGAGTTCGCATACAACTTTACCTGAGTCACGGGGCGCCTGCTGAGTAAGAGGATACCGCACGGGGTTGTCTGAATTACGTGTCAATGGGTATCAGATGTGGATACCAGGCACAAGCAGGCCAAGATAGAGTATTTCTGTCGCACAGACCAAGTCCCGGGTTGCTCTTAGAATAAATCCCGTTATCAATGTACGAGAACTGCATATGCAGATACTAGGATACTTATTACGTGTCGACAACTTGGATGGTTACTTTGAGGTATTATACTCGGTCGGAAATAAGTGGAAAAGAACAGTCCGACTATAGCCAGAAGACGCGTCATGAAGTCTCGCTATGGTGTTCTCGGTCAAGATCCTCGAAGCGGAGTTGACGTGCGATTGGAGTGTCCCAGCCGTCCTAGCGTACATTTAGGCAACTGATTCGCCAATGCGCAGTCCCTTCTAGCGCCTATACTTCCCGTCCTCTGCAGCATCATCAGGACCCAATCGTTTCGTTACGGAGACGTCTAAAGAACCTTTTGATTCCGTTTGGGCCCCTACTTTCACTCTCGCGTTTCCGAGTCGGTGTTTCGTGACGACAACCTACCCTCTGCTCACGCCATCTAAGTACGCCTCAAACATTTTCGTGAAAATGGCCCAACACGAAAGTAACGGGGTCACCGCCAAGCAGTATCAAATGGATGAGACGCAGGCTGGAGAACTGAGGCAGCTTGCTGTCGATGTCTCCAACGCCGTCGAGGCTCGCATTATGGGAGAAGTTGGCGCAGGAGAGCGGATCAGAAGATCGACGCAGAACGTGCAGATAGCTGGAATGGGTCCAGCCGAGTACTGGGGCACGCAGCTATGGCAAGTAAGTAAATTATTCCTTCTGTCCTGACGGCCCTGGAGTCTCTCCGTAAATCATAGGTGGCTTTCAATCAATCAAGTGATCATTCGTTTGAATGTTCGTTATTTCATGTGTGTACGAGGCGAGAAAAGACAAATTGACGAGATGAGCCGATGTAGCCACTGAAAAGCGTGTGCTTGGTCATGGCTCAAGAGTTGGGATTGCTGCCCGGTATCAATGAACAAAGTGGTCCAATCACTGCTGCAGAGGTGGCCAGAAAAGTCGGGACTGACGAGCTACTCATCAGTAAGTCGCCTGCAATGCCTCGAAAGCCACGATACTTTCCTGACTCCATTCGCAGTTCGCATCATGCGTGTCTTGACCGGAGCAGGCATCTGCGATGAGACCGGTCGGAACACGTACAGGGCAAACGAGCTCAGCAAGATTGCAGCGAGCTTGCATGGCCAGGCCGGCGTCAAGATCGAAAACGAGCTACTCTTCCCGATAGCGGCTAAGATTGTGCCATATATGCGGGAACATGGGTTCAAGCAATTCCCACGCAGACCAAAGGAAATGGATCCAACGCAGTACGCATTTGGCGGGAAGATGATGTGGGAGCATTTCAGGGACAGCCCCGAGCACAAGCAGTGGTTTGACACGTACGTTATGCTTTGTGATTGTTGTAAAACTTGTACTAAATTACCACAGGCTGATGGTCGAGAACCGTGCCGTCAATATTCCGTGGTTTCATATCTACCCCTTCGCGAACGAACTCGGACAGGCATTCAGGAATGACTCCGAAGATGTTTTGTTGGTAGATGTAGGAGGCAATCGTGGTGCAGACATTCTTGAGTTGCGTCAGACTTATCCCAATTTGCCTGGGCGTCTCATCTTGCAGGAACTGCCAGAAACGATTGCGGCTGTGGACAAGTCGTCCATGGCAGACATTGAATTACAGGCATACGACTTCTTCACACCTCAACCGGTCAAAGGAGCCAAGGCATACTTCTGGCGATGGATACTGCACAATTGGGACGACGACAGCATCCGCGTCTTCCTGTCTAAAACTGTGCAGGTCATGAACACAGACAGTAAGATCCTGATTGAGGAATATGTCTTGCCAGATATCGGTGTCGATATCAAGTGCAGTTCTCATGATATCCTGATGATGCTCTATCATTCAGGAATGGAGAGGTCGCTCAGTCAGTGGAGAGCTTTGTTAGACAGCTGTGGACTGGAAATTGTCAAAGTCTGGACCCGGCCAGATACAGACCCTTCGATATTGGAGTGCTGCATCAAGCAGGAGTGATGCAACGCGTTTTTTCTTTAGTGTGCCGTCCAACATCTATTGAATTGAATCCAAATGTCCGAAAATATTGCTACTTGCATGCTCTGTATCTGCTGTTGAGGGTTCTCTGCGTGATCTCGAGAAAATCTTTACCTTGACCTTTTCGACATCCAACATCATCGATACCTTGGAAACCGCTAGCCAAGTGCCCACACGAAACTTGTAGCTTCTTGGACTATGGTGGGCTTGATACTCAGTCAGACGCCGCGAATACTAGCAATGTGGGTCGGTAGTTCATTGGACCTTTCCAGTTCCGTAAGCTTCTAATACATGGGTGCTGCTCTGCCATTTCGTAAGATCCTTCAACTTTCAATGTCAGCTTAAGAGATTTGAAAATTGAGTACGCAGACCAGCGCCGTAAGACTTTTGCAGTTATTGTCCATTAATAGCCATTATATACCATTACATCAAGAAGCTACATGTTATTTGACCGAAAGTGGGAGCCACCACAGCATCCTCGTAAGACAAGCCAATTACTTCTCTGCGCGAAATTGCATACCACCTGACACTCAGTCCCCCAGAACAAGGGTCAAATTCTTGCCATCTTCGCCAAAAATACGTAACCAAGGTTTTGATGGGGGAATGCATCAGACGTAGACGTAACAGAATGGGCCGCCAGTCATGCCAACACTGGACATGGCCAAAGCAATCTCCATTATGTCTCCATTCACGCCAACGTCAATTGTATCATTGAGAGTCCCGTTACGGCTTGGGGGCTCATTCTTGGAGGTAATGGTGCCGCCGAAAGCACTTGTTCTGCTCTCTGGGTCTTGGTTCTGCCAGATCCACCACACGCGGTCAATTTGCCCGTGGTGCAGCCAGAAAGCTGGATCACCGGGAGCACTGTAGATATCCTATTGCCATGTTAGTGATGTACTTGCCATGCCAGACCTGGAAGCATCTTGGGGTACCTACACCAGCCGGATCGCCCTGAAATGTGAAGTGGCCGCCACCATGGACGCCAAAATTGCCAGTCATATTGGTGGCCTGCATGTTGTCCTGGAAGTCGATGATGTTGTCCCATTGTGTGAGCAGGTCGGTGACGTTCTGCTCCGTCGTCCAGCGCGACGACACCCACGAGCTGATATCCCGCTTCATGCAACGCGGGTTGTAGTCATACGTGGAGTTCACAGCAACAACCTCAGGCTCCTCCAAGGTGGGCGATATAGGGCCCAGGTTGACTGTGTAATTGGCGAAGGGCCCAGTCGTAACGCAGCCACCACCACTTCCGGGTGGGATATAATCCGCGACGTCCCCGTCCTTGAGTCCGTTGGTGAAGTTGTGTGGCTCGAACTCGCCGTTGCCGCTGAGGCTACCAACGCCGCCGTCAAAGAGCGGCGAGTTGATAGGGTCGTATGCCCACTTGCCCCAGTTCCAGTAGGGCTGGTAACCCGTGTAGCCACACTCGTCACGCAACGCCCGCTCGAAAGTCCAGACAAAGTACCTATGGAAAGACAAGAAGTTGGCTGTGAAGTGAACCGTGAGCGTCTGCGCTATATGGGGTACATTAAAGTCGTCGAAACGGCTCTTGGCACCCGGGTACTCAGTGTTGTTGTATCGCGAGGGCAAGGACATCAGGCAGTTTACTGCACTGGTGTAGTTAACGCGCTCGCTTACGGACAGGTCGCCCCTGTACAGACGTCACGTTTCAGTAATCATTGAACTTAAGACTTGAAGGCAATAGACTTACCACTCTCTTCGCTTGGCCGCATTTTCAACAGTGCAAGTCTGATTGGAGGAAGAGGCCACATATGCCTTCAAGTTAGCGAGAGCTGTCGCGGCGAGCCCATCTGACTGATTCGTTGGTGCAGGATTGTACCCTTCTGCCAAAGAAACAGTAGCAAAGATTCCGAGCAACAGACTAGTAAGGTAACGAGCAGACATGATGGCATGGATTAGGCTACCTTCACCGGGCTGTCTGGGCAGTATCTAGCTTACTCTATCTCATTGCAGTGATCTGCGCTCAAACAATGTTAAATACTCCTTCTGGACGATCAACGAAGCTCTTGGCGGCCGTTGATCAACAGGGCCAGCCAGAGATCACCAGGCACAGCCATTTCGTCGTGAGAATACACAATCCTGGTCATCTGCAAGCGCACGGCGAGTCGTCGTAATCATCCACACACGACTGTACTCGTTCATCGAACACGAAGCGGCATCTGAGATATGCGTTCCTATTCTAAGTGGACAGGACGTTGCCAGACCTGCAAGCCGCGGGCACAGGAAGCATCGGAATCGCAGCACGGGAATAGAATTTCTAGAGTTTGCGATCGACGATTGGTCTCCGCTTGGTGTGTCATGCTGTTCTTTCTCCGGACGAACCTGCATGTTATCACCGGCATGCCCTTGTCGACAACACATTCGAGTAATTATAAGTGACTCTCTTCCCACTCACCGCGTAAGCGTTTAGATATAGCATAGCCCCAGTTACACAGCATGTACACCGCGTTCGGTGGGGCTGGGCCGCCCACTTACCGTGCCGTTGGATCTGTGCTCCGCAGAATACTGCAACGCACAATGCATGTGCATGACCATTTGGATGGCCATACCGCACAGGCGGTAACCGTAAGTCTGGTCACAAGGATAGCTGCACTTGAACACGAACCGTGCCCATACTGAGGACTCGTGTGTTCTTTGGTCCGTGCAAAGCCTACTCTTTTTCGGCATCCGCCACCCGCCGCATGCTCTGGCCGACGCCTCGGGATCCTTCCTCAAGCAACTCATTCACCGTCAGCACTATCTAGTGTTTTTGATCATCCGCAATTGGGCACGGAAACCGATCAAGTGACGACGCTGTACCTTCCCTGTTCATATCCACAAAATGAATATCTTCTGCCTTCAGTCTATTGGTCATTGTTTTCATGCTGCCACTGGTCTTACTGCACTAGCCTTTCCCATCGCTTTATCTTGCATAGATCAGTAGATAGTATTAAATCGAATTGAATAGAATAAGAAAGAGTAAAGCAAAGGGGTAAACACGGACATTGCAGCCATGGTTGAGGCTTTTCCTACATCGAAATATGGCCAGGCAGCTCATTACCCTGTTTCAAATACTGCAGTCTCCTCCATTGAGATAATAGTAAACACTCTAATGCTAAATTTAGCTTTGATAATAAGATTCTTCTTGCTCCCTGCTCCCACAGCCTAAGTAACCAAAAGGCGGTGGCCAGCCGATCCACGACTTTGAGATGGGCTCACATGGGCCAAACATGATGAGGGCGCCCAGAATATAGTAGATACGGGAGGGACAGAATGCTCTCAACTAGCATAATTGTGGGGTTCCAAGCTCTAGCAGACCTAGAGCAGTAATTTTCACCGGTTCTCTGAAAGAGATGGTGGCTTTCGGCGACGTGGACTTGGGTGACGCATGTGGGGCAGAGGATCTACAATGTCGACCGGTGACTACGGTCTCGAGCTTCGTCGTTCTGGTACGAGTACGGCCAGAAAGTGTTGAGGGAATTCCGTCAGACTAGCTGCGCCTTGCGTTTCTCGTGAGTAGGATTCATGATAGCAGCACGAGCAAATTGTGCAGTCCTGGAAGGGTTCGTCAGAGTATACTAGCAAACGCGGCTATCATTGTCCTCCCCGTTGTTGTACAGAGAAGTGGGTGGTGTGGGCCTCTGCGATCTACTACAGGTAACCTACTCAATTTAGTATAATCCTACTGTAGATCACCATCATGGATTAGTAGGTAATCCCGTCCCATAATTGCAAGGGACCATTTCAAGCACTACGCCAAGCACGGGGACTTTTGGAAATAACAAGGCGCAGGCAGATAAGAAAAATTTCCGCTGCACGCAACGTCATGTTTGCAGATGCAGTGCCGCGTGTCCGATATGCGTGCGAATGGCAGGGTCAGTTGTAATGGAGACCTGCAGAACTGCAGCAGCCGCACATATTTTCGTCTAATTGGAAATACCAGGATTGCTCATCAAGCAGCAGATCGGTAAACGGCAGGCAAGAGACAGCCTGTTCCCAGAGGAGGGCAGCAGGTGCTGGTCGCAGGGTTAGAAATGGGCATTATTTGAGAGGCTCGTCGGGAACAACGAGCGCCTGGTTCTGCCTGCCCAAGAAACGGCACCACTTTACCTACACAGTTTGGAGCTACCTTTCTGGAACATTGCTTCATGATGCTACTATATGGAACAAAAAACTGTTGCCAATTTGTACATTAATATTTGCCTACATGTATCTAGATCCTCGCCTTTGCTCTCCCGTATTCAAAAATTAGCCGACTCAGGAGTCCGCAATCACCTCTACTACCACATCGTAGCTACCATCTTGGGCGTCCCCGCCCGAGTTCCATACTAGTGCATAGATCCCATCAGTATCCGTCGGCTCAGCCCAGAACTTTGACTCTAGCAAAGTGTTGTTATTGTACACTAGCTGCCAAGCGAACCGAGCGAAGCCAGTGACGGTGCCATTGACATCGGAGGCTCGGGTCATTGGTAAAACGCCAACGGCATTGTCCTGGTCAGGTCTGATATATAGAGAGCCCAGTGCCGTGCCGTTGGGGAATGTGGCGTTGACGACCCAATTTTCGTCGCTGACGAACGGCACATCCCAGGTCACTGACGTGAGGTTGGCGGAACTGTCGTCAGGACTTTCGGTTATGTAGAGGAGGCCTGACAGTTTGGGGGAAAGTATTAGAACAAGCAAATAACCTCAACCGGCCAGTCCATGGCTAATACGAACCGTCACTGAGGCTATATGCGATTGGAATTGCCGTCGAGTCGGCCCCGTACGCATAGAGGGTGGTATTGTACTCAATATCACGCTTTCCCAGCTTGCCAGCTGGAGTAATAAGGGCCGATTCCGCAGCAGCTCCAAGCAACAGAAGATGAAAAAGGCCCCGTAACTGCATTTTGAGTGTCTGGCACGTAATTCTGAAAACAAGTGGGGCCAGCAGTTGGAGTAACAACTAGGTTTCTTTGGACGTAAGAGCCGTATGAGAAACGAAAGTCGAAGTGAGAGTGCTGAACCAGAGAGCGAATGTTGAAAATGAGAAATAAGGAACAAAATAATAGATCAACATGGAAATTTCAAGACTGTCGGGTGAACCCGATGGATGTATGGGATTCTTTTCTGCATTGGCATCGAGTTGCAGATTGCAGATTGTGGTACACGCGTTACGCATAAAATTGGATGAACGGCGCAGCTCCTGGACAATGTATCATTCGCTCAGGCCTTTCAGGATGCGTCACCTAACTCGTTGTCTCTTTGTCAGCAGTGTAACCTCATTGCAACCCTAATTAGAAGCCTCACTCGCACGTAGCGTGGCGCACACAGAACATTTCCTTCAGAAGTGCACGAACCGGTGACATATCGGGAATTTTATTCTTAGATAGGGGCGTGGGTCCAGGTTTGACGCATTGCGTGGATCGGCTTACCTGTGCAACAGGGAAGTGCTGGGGTACATCAACTCAGTGTCTGTATCGATGATAGATAAATGAGAAACGGCAAAATGAGCCCCATATCCATTTCTAGGTGTGGGACGCTGATGCTTCAGTGAACAATCATTCTTGTCGTCGCTCATTTTTTTGGTCTGGGACTCAACCGTTTCAACCGAATTAAGCACTCCCTGACAGATGCCAACAAGAATCGGCATGTATTCAAACTCCCTTCTTTTATTGTTAGCTGGTGTATCAGGAGCATTCGGTGCCTCGTTGCAACCAAGAGCCACAGCATGCGTGAACAGCGCTTCTGATAGATCGTGCTGGAGCGATGGTTATGACCTCTCTACCAACTACTACGACGATGCGCCCGATACCGGCGTCATTAGGGAGTACTGGTTTAATATCGAAAACACCACGGTCGCTCCAGATGGAGTTGAAATACCAGCCCAACTCGTAAATGGGTCTTATCCAGGTCCCACAATCATAGCTGATTGGGGTGACACCATTGGTGAGTTGACCACAAGCATTGACATCGCATCGTGCATTCTGGGCTAATCTGAAGGATAATAGTTGTTCATGTGTCCAACTCATTGCAAAACAACGGTACCGGCATTCACTTCCACGGAATTCGCCAAAACGGCACAAACCAAATGGACGGAACGTCCGGTATTACTCAGTGCCCTATTGCCCCCGGTGATTCTTTGACCTACACGTGGCGTGCGGTCCAGTATGGCACCAGCTGGTACCACTCTCACTTTTACGTGCAAACTTGGGACGGACTCTTTGGTGGAATACTGATCAATGGTCCGGCAAGTGCCGATTATGATGTTGACCTTGGACATATCTTTCTAAATGACTGGTACCATGTAAGTACAAATCTCGCCTCCTCGCTTTCTCTATACTAAAGATCTACCAGGAAACCGCCGACTCGATACTCTACCAGGCCGCCACAACAGGGCCTGCAACTCCTCAAAATGGCCTTATCAATGGTACCAATACATACAACGACACCTCAGGGTCCAGATTCGAGACCACTTTTGAGGCTGGGACTCGATACCGTATCCGCTTGGTGAATGCTGCCGCAGATAATCATTTCCGTTTCATGATCGATAACCACACACTGGAAGTCATCGCGAACGATTTGGTCCCCATTGTCCCTTATAATACCACCGATTTAAGTATCGGCATGGGCGAGCGGTATGATATTATTGTCACAGCGAAGGACCTGACTAGTGGTGACTTCTGGCTGCGGTCCATCACGCAAACCTCCTGCTCCAGCAATGATGCCGCCGACAATATCAAGGGTATCATCCGGTACGACAACTCGTCTACCGCCGACCCTACGACATCTGCTTATTCCTATACTGATTCATGTCTCGATGAGGATGCTTCAAACCTCGTCCCATACCTGGCGATAGACGCATCCGCTAGTGACGAGATCAGTACAAATGCCCTCGGCATGCAAACAATCGACGACACCACCCTATGGGCTTTCAACTCGACGGTCTTCCGAACCAAGTGGGAGAATCCGACACTGCTACAGGTGGCCGACGGCAATGATACGTGGACCAGGGCGCAAGAGGTTATCCGGCTTCCAGATGCAGATAAGTGGGTGTATCTGGTCGTGAATTCTCCCTTTGTCACAGACCACCCGATGCACTTACACGGCCATGACTTCTGGGTGCTTGGAACTGGGTTTGGCGAGTTCGATGAGACTCAGACTGGGAGCTTGACTCTGGTGAATGCGCCCCGCAGAGACTCGGCCATGTTGCCATCGGCTGGCTACATGGTGATTGCCCTCAAGACAGATAACCCAGGTGTAAGCTCCACTCGCCCGCTCATGATTATTTGCTGGCCGTCACTAACTGCTTCGTTGTACAGGCTTGGCTTATGCACTGCCATATTGCCTGGCACTCCTCTGCGGGCTTCGATGTGCAGTTGCTTGAGCGTGAATCAGAAATCACCTACGATTACGATACACTCACCTCCACTTGTGCTAACTGGAACAGCTATGCCGCCAAGGATAATATTGTTCAGCCTGACATAGACTCTGGTGTATAGAGACTAGGCCGTCTCGAAGTCCTCGTCGACATTCAAGCCGTGGGTCGCGTGGTTAGGATACATCACATGATAGCGGATACAATCTCCCGCAGTCTACAAACAAAGACCACGTCTCATGGCCTGATCTATCGAGATCCGGCTGAAGCTTGACCTCAAGCTCCAGGCACCTCGGATGATCAGGCTCAACGAGCGTGAGAGGGTTGCATCTGCATGGATTGAGCCAAACCTTCGGCCACACGAGTAGAGTTATGGACTGATCACACTTCATGCAAAATAAGACTTCAGTCTCTTAGCATGCCACCTGATGATAAGCTTAATTTATTCTATTCTCCAATATGAGATTTGTAGAATATTTGTCTAGACAGTGTAGAAGGTTTCGTGACGCAGATGCTCAAGGTCGCCGCACATGTGTGAACCTTGACTCTGATTCTATTGTCTCGTCTCCTTCCGTCAGAACTACGCAAGCTGAGGTCAAATCGCAGGCTCGAGAGTCTTAAGACTACTCAACTACATTCAGCATGACTCACGAACCCATTCTTGATATGCCAGACCTTAGTTGAAACGCGGTCAGATACTCACATAATCGGCCCGCAGACTGGCTGCAACGCACCATCTAGCGGAATAGATTAATTCATATTCGAACATTCAGCACTGTGGTGGTGGTTCAAGAACCTACAACGCGGTCGATCGATCCTTAGCAGGGTCTTGTCCACGAAGGAATGCAGGGTGCAGTGTGCCGCGTAAGCTCACGAGCTTGACGCTGCAGCACGTCTACGCGTGAAAACACGCGTAACGTCGTACCAGCGATAGACATGATATTTTCTAGATTTGGTAAACATCTCCGTGTGATATTATTGTGCGCATCCATTTCAGTTCGTGTTTTGGTCTGCTGCAACTGCAATATCAGCCCTCGAGCCTCCCGGGCAGCTGCACGAGTATGCATGCGGTGCAGTCGGGCACGGCCCTGCTCCTTCGTGACTTCGCGCAGCAAGTGCGTAAGCCTCGTCGCCTCGACGGATCTGCTATCGGCTCTTAGCCCACTAGCCAAGTTACAGGTCAAATTATGGGGGAGATATGTCTTCGAGGGACTGCTTGAAGGATGGTTGATTCTTCGACCAGACTGAACTGTCGCAAGGCTTCGTCCAGCTTTGGTAAGGACTATGGCACACACTGTGACAGTGCAAGTGCTGAGAGCAAGCAAAGAGGATGAGAAGATCCCCCTTCCAGCCCAGCTTGGGCCCGCCACTTCGGCGTTGACTTTGAGTACGGATGAGGGTGCATCGGAGAGAGATAACGCGGCCAACGGGATTAACAATTACTTCGGCGACCGTCCAGACTGCTTCAAAAACACATTTCAGGAGGTATCGTTCGTCTTCCAAGCTACGATTGCCACGGCAACATCGTCATTTCTCACCGGGGTTTGCTTAATCGTCACGGCCAGTATCGGTCGCGATCTGGGCATGACGCAGGGGCAGATATCTTGGATCACAGCTTCAACCAGGTGCGCGTTCTGCCTTTGAATTGCCGTTGTTTACATTGCTCATGCCTTAAGCAGTCTTGTGGCAGGGGCTTTCCAACTGGCTCTGGGCCAGTTGGCAGACCTGGTTGGTCGAAAACTCATGTTCATAGTTGGAATGGGTTCATTCAGTGCTCTCGTTCTTCTGACGGGGTTCGCCCAGAACCCGTACTGGATGCTGATCATGTGCGGTGCACTCGGGATCCCTTCGGCCATGGTGGTGCCTCCCGCAATGGGCATCCTAGGAGCAGCATACAAAACTCCTTCAAGGAGGAAGACCTCGGCCTTTGCTGCTTTCAGCGCCGGCAATCCCCTAGGGTTCGTGTTCGGCAGTATTGTCTGCGGTGTAGCCACCTCAATATCCAGCTGGCGAGCAGCTGTAAGTACTTCAGAACCCGCTCAATCGAACACACATTTCTAACATTGTGCAGTACATCTTCGTGGCTGTTGTCTGGGCTGGCCTCGCTGTATTTGCGATCTGGGCGGTTCCCAACGTTGAAAGCTTCGCCGCTCGAAGTCCGTTAAGAGAACGGCTCAAAGCCGTGAAGAACTTCGATTACGTTGGCACAATCATGACAGTTTCAGGAACGGGTATGCTGACAGCAGCCTTAACGTATTTTGCTCCCTGGATCTGTGCCCGAAATTCGCAACACTAATATTAGATAGGTTAGGCCCCGGTGACGGCTGGAATCGGCCTCACATCATCGCCCTACTTGTCATAGGAGTATCTCTGCTTCTGCTTTTCTTCGTCTGGGAGAAATTCTTTCCTACGCCGTTGATGCCACCTCAAATATGGAAGGATCGGAATTTTACGCTCGTGAGTGCATGCCAGTCCTGGTCTCTATGAAACTTGTCAGCTCATTTGAACAGATTATCATCGTGTTACTTCTAGGCATGATAGGCTTCCAGGGTTCGACTTTCTGGCTCACCTGTGAGATTTCTCGATTTCTATTCCATCTTGCCTGGTCCATCGGAAGAAGAATGAACCCCGTACTTCTCTGATAAGCCCTTGCTTTCATTCTGGCTTCAAACTCACAAACAATAACCTGTAATATTGAAACTAGAACGCACTAACTCGGGCTGCTCTAGACTATATGCAGGATATTCAGCAATTATCTGCCCTGACAATAGTGGCTCATCTCGTTCCAATGATCCTAGGTGGAATCATGTGGAATATTTTGGCCGCAAAAAGTCTCCATCGCATCAACAATACCCTCATCATGGCATTCGGCTCCGTCGGATACATTTCTGCCGGCCTTCTTTTTGCTTTTATGAAACAAGACAGTCTCTACTGGGCCTTTATGTTTCCAGGGATGATTCTCACTGTTGCCGGGGGCGATCTCCAGAACAACGTCGCAAATGTAGGGCAGCCTCCCTCAACCCTCCTCTCTACTACGGTGGCACTCAATTGTGTTTTATGAGCACTCTGCTAACATTCATAGATATACGTCATGCAATCATTACCTCCTCACCAGCAATCACTAGCCGGGGGGATAGTCAATGTTGTAACCCGTCTTGGCTCGTCGGTAGCCATGGGAATTACGACAGCCGTGTATAGTTCGATACAGCTCTCCCCGGAAAACGCTGAGGATCCAATGCTCCGGTACAACAGAACCTTCCTCACGTGTGTAGCCTTCTGCGGGGCGGGTGCAATTTTTGTCCCGTTCATGAGACTCGGGACGCAGGGGAATTCCACAAAGCAGGAAGCAACAGGACACCCATGTTAGTACTATTTGACGCTCTGTCAGGTAACGATTGCCGCTAGCTGGGGCAGTCAAATTGGAGGTTATCAGATAGAACGATTTTCTACATTCTCTGTTTCGAACATTAGAGGTAGAGCGGAAGGAACCATGGTCTACAGCTATTATTGATATTTATCTCTGCTCGCCCACCAGCGACGCATTATAATTTAGAGACCAGACAAAAACATCATTCTTGTGACCGCTATCTTCCGAATTTTGTTAAGTATTCGTGTTTGTTGACAATTTACAACTTCCCGCATCCCGGCTCCTGATTTCCAAACCACTCTCACAACTCACCTCCACTTTTCAATTACTTTTTCCAAATTTTCATCTTTACACAAGTCAACCACCACGACCATACACATTTTAAGAGGAATTTTGGATTAATACTTTTCCGGGAACTCTTCGAGTCCTCCCGAGTACCAGTTAGTAGAGCATCAGCTCTATTGCGGCAACCGGGCCGTCACTGAAACACCACCATCAGAGCAAGACCTCTGTCGAAACGGTTAGACGCATTAACGAGCACATGCTCCTGAGCAACCCCGCAAACGCCTCCCTCTCAAGCTAGCTCAACGGTTGCCGTTTGTTGCGCAGCGAAGGACTCCCGGTCTGGTCGTCAAGCTCAACCACCGTGCACGGGTCTACGCCACCCTCAACGACCAAAGGCTGACACAGGGCGATATCCGGCTTGGCCGTCGCACGCCGTATGGCTTCACCACCTAGTAGGATCGAGCCGATTCGGCCTAGACGGAGATATGTCCTCAAGACTGTGTGGCGTGCCAGGCTGCCCGTTGTAGAAAAGAACATGATAAAGTCGACCGGATAGTCTCCGTTCTTATCGGCCAGATTCAAGCCCTCGGGCCAGACCGGAATGAGGATCTTTTACAGCTCCGCATTTGGGTTCTCTCCAGTTTGGTGGGATACTGCGTAGCCGTTGTGTGTTTTAATATGTCGGACGTATGCCTCGATTCCTTCCTGCTCGCAGAGGAACTTGACGATTCCAGCGTGATTAGAGGAAGCCGCCTCACTCCCCTTTTGTTGGCTAATATTATTGATACTGTACTGGCTGTTCTCTTGAATTGATAACATCTTCCGTCTCAATTCAGGGTTGTGGGCAGCAGCGCGGAACAGTTGCTTGGCCAAGACCAAGCATCCTACCCGGCAGGCCAGCCGCAGAGTGAAGTGAACGGTCTTGACGAGTTCACGACCTAGCGTGTCGATCACCACATCGAAAATCTCCTCCTCTGATCCCACGCTGCAGAATTCGGAGCTTGCCATCCTTGAAGCACAACTTCGATAAAATAATTGAAGCACGGCTCGGGGTCGATGGTTGGCTCTCTGAGGAGCTCTCTCAATATGTCGGTTTTGCCGTGCCTAACAAGAAAGCCGACCTTAGCATCATTTCATGTCTTATTATAACCAGCAAAGGAGGTATTAGCAGAATCGGTCTCATGGACTGATCTGTGGATTGATCAAATTCGCGAATCATGCAGTTGTAGACACAAAGACCTGCTTGTTTTATAGCAAGTGTATTGGGCACGTAAATGTTTCATCATACGGATTAGGTCCAGCCTATTTCCACCCTTCACAACTCCGTCGGTTGAGCTTACCACCTACGGTGTCTCTCTCGGTCTAGCTCGCCGCTGAGTACTTGTCTGTCGGCCGACTCCGACATCTTGTATCTCGAGAGTAGTTTGTACGTCCGCATTTCGTGCAACACAGAGTAGAGGACGTGGAGTCTTCCGAATAACTCTTCCTTCTGGTTTTTGAGCACCAACTGAATGCCGCACCGAGTCTGGCAGGACTTTTATGCAAGTAGACACGACTAAAAGTTCCGTGGTCGTCCTCCCCGCCCCAGCTAATTGTGCGCGTCACAACCCCTCACAGCCTTGCTTATGACGCAAACAAGGTTATTATACATCATGGGAATTTGCATCCCCGGCCGACTCCTGAGCCTCGCATTAGGCGCGATTGGTTTTCCCAATTAGGAGCAAGAAATAACGGTCTTAGCTGCTGCTTCTCCTCTCAGTTGTCTTTGCAATCTATTTATAATATAGACTACTGTATAGCAATGTCGCAAATTAACGGACATTGGGGTATTAGTGCAGCGGTAGTTGTCAGCTACGATTCTTTCCCCAAATCAGAATTGGAGTCCAGCCACCCTCCCACTCGTGACCATAGCCGGATACAGAAACCCACTCCTGTTTAGGTTACATAGTCCCGACCTCACCCCTAGTAAATAAGACCGCAAGTATTCGCTCTACTGTAATCCTTCCTAGCTACGCGTATAGTGTAAGCCTTCAATTATCGGGCTGACGGTAATTTTGCCTAGATAAATGATGAGGAACCCAATGCACATGAGATTGGTCTTCCCTTTGGTACGACACGGCCCGGTTCTTACAATTGCACGCCACATATTGGTTTAAGATGAGCCAAGAATTTGGTATTTTTCCGGCAGTATGCCGTCTTCTTGCGCTGGCACCCCTGCTTGTTACTGGCGCCCACGGACTCCAGTATCGCAGCACTAACAAGACCGAATTCGATTACATCGTCATCGGCAGCGGTCCAGGAGGCGGTCCGTTGGCGAGCAACCTCGCCCGCGCCGGTTTCGAGACCTTACTTGTCGAGGCCGGTGACGATGAGTTTGCCGATCCCTCATCCAATGTCATCGATTACTTCGTTACGACCGGAATCCACGATAATCTCCACTGGGACTTCTATGTCAAGCACTACGACGATCTGGAACAAGATCTGAGGTACGCTCATCTTGTATGGAGGAAGCCAGATGGGGACCTCTGGGTTGGCCCTGGGGGCAGCCAGCCTGAAGGCTCTGTGGTCTTGGGAGTCAACTATCCCCGTGGTGCTGTTCTTGGAGGCTCATCTATCATCAACGCTGGTGCGGTCTTCCTTCCCAGTGACAGTGATTGGAACTATATCGCGGAGATCACCAATGACACGACTTGGAAGTAAGAAAACCCCAATTATTGTCCACAGATGCCACGGAGCTAATGCTACTGAACACAGCGCGGAACATACACGCGACTTGTTCATTAAACTGGAGAACAACACGTACCTGCCCCGAGGAACGGCAGGTCATGGTTTTGATGGATATCTCCAGACTGCTATTGGCGATGGCACACAGTACACCAGTGGCCAACAGGCCGTGGATGTTCTCAAGGCTCAGATTTCAGAGCTAGGAAAAGACCCTAACCAGCTCGAAGAACTCATTACGGCCGACCCAAACTACGAGGATCCGAGCCGAGACACTACCGAAGGCCTATGGGCTCTGCCTTTCCACGCCAACAAGACATTCGGTCGCTCTAGTGCTAGGGACAGAATCATCTCAACTGTCAACGAAAACTTCCCTCTATATCTTCAGCTGAACTCTTACGCTACTCGCATTCTTTTTGGAAAGTCAAATAGCACCAGCACTCCTAAGGCTGTTGGTGTGGAATTTCTTGAAGGCAAGAGTGTCTACAAGGGTGACCCAAGATGGACAGCTTCAAACCAAGGCACATTAAAAAGTGTTTCTGCGAGGAAGGAAGTCATTGTCAGCGCTGGATCATTTAACACACCCCAGCTCCTGCTTCTGAGCGGTATTGGAAACGCCACCCATCTCGCTGAGCACAACATCTCAGTTGTTGTGGATCTCCCGGGTGTGGGGACTAATATGCAAGATAATGAGGAGATGGCAGTTACTGGTCTTGCTGCTGAGAACTTCACTTACGCGCCAAGAGATGGCTTGACAAGCTCAAACTGTACTTACGGCGCGACATTTCCGGACCCTTGCTACGACGCCTGGCTTCAAGGAAAAGGCCCGTACACGAACCCCGGTCCAAATTCTAACATTCTCACTTTGAAAACAGCACACTCACCCGATGGAGAGAGGGATGTCATTGCATTCTCTGGGTCATTTGCATTTCGTGGATTCTGGCCAGCTACGCCGGGTCAGACCTGGACCGAGCCGCCTAATACCTGGGGAATACATTCAGTACGCATGCACCCACAGAACCGCGCCGGCTACGTCAAGCTTCGCTCTTCAGATCCCACGGAGATGCCGGAGATCAACTTCAGGTACTTCACTGAGGGATCCGAGACGGATATCGAAGCCATCAAAGACTTCGTCGCATGGGGTCGCCGAGCTCTGCAGCGCGTTGAGGGGCCTACCGGCCCTGTCAACATTACGAGCCCACCATGCCCAACTGGCTATACCGCCAATGGAACCTGCTCGGATGCTCAGGCTGATGAGCAATTCATCCGAGATAACACTTTCGGGCACCATGTTACAAGCACGTGCCCTATTGGTGCTGACGATGACAAATTAGCGGTGCTCAACTCGAACTTCCAGGTCCGAGGCGTTGAAGGTCTCCGCGTAGTGGATGCTAGCGCTTTCCCTAGGATTCCTGGTGCTTTCCCTGTTATTGCGACGTTCATTCTGAGTGAAAAGGCTTCTCAGGCTATCCTAGGCGGAAAGTAATAATAGAATCATACTGATCTCAGGAATTAATATTTACTTTACATTAGAAGTAATCTTCTCTTCCAGCTTCCTCTGTAAAATAAAGCTAGCCAAGCCACCTCGAACCCACACAGCCTTGCTCACTCATGAGGCTTAAATCCCCGCAGTATGCTGGGTCTTGTGCGACTGTATGCTTGCTGCCTAAGTCTGGTGATAGTATACAGGAGCATGCCGAGTGGTGACCCCGCATCTTCAAAAAATGACGGAGCGAACCTAATGTACATACTGCGAGAGCATCTATCATGTCTTCCAATCAATCATTCTGACTGAAAGCCATCCAGCCGCCCTTCGCCCCGGCCCCCCAAAGTATTACATATCATAGCACGACTCGGATATGTGTGTGACGCTTGATTGCACATTTCGTACAAGTCAAGTTCATTCCATCGGGATCGTGCCAAGCTCGATCCAATCTGTCCCACTCAACGCGAACTCTCTAATATACCAACCACGCTGGAAATAACAGCGATAGGTGTGGCTCGAGGCTTCCTCAAGCTCCAATTCATCTCCATCAACGTCGCTTTGGGTCATTGGCATAGTCAGTCAAGCTATGTCTGTGCCATTGTCCGTACTGCTTAGAGCCTCGGGTTGTTTCGTGACCCAGTTGGCTCTTCCTCCAACCAGCTACCGCCAGGCTCGAACCTTGCTTGACTGAGCTTAAGGTGGTGATGGATGTCTATGTCGGGCTTGGTGGAGTTCAAGTTGAAGTAGAAGATATCGAGGTATGATGACCGTCATCTGAATTGCTATCGACGTTGCCGTTGTCTGACTTCTCAGACCCAACCACGCCACCCACAATTGCTGCAGTAATCAACAATATCAAGGCAACGGCAGCAGCGAGAAGGATCTTTTTCTTGGATTTCCATTTAGTCGTGGTCTCTTGAGCCTTGTAGTGCCCTTTTTACAATGGATGAGACGTCCGCTGTCTCCACGACAGTGCCATTATTTTGGTATTGGTATCTCAAAGATGACTGAGCTTCATCGAATTGAAGACCATCATGACCAACATCCACTACCTGCTTCCCGGTTCCCTGCTGTACGTTTTGACCGCTGAAGTCTGTATCAAGTTCGTTCTCATAGCCTAGAGCTGGCCGGTAGTGCCCTTGAGCTGGAATATGTCCACAGAGAACCGGCTAAGGATCAGGCTGGCCGCCTTGCTCTGTCGGGAGCATGGGGATTGGTTGATCGACCCTGACTTTGATCAGAGGTGGATGAATAATTTCAGACTACTCGGGTCGGGGATGGCGAGTTCAACGAAACTTCAATGACCGCATTGCGCCTATCCATTCGCTTCTTTTGATCCAAGATTTCAGAGTTCTTTCGGTGTGACCGTTTCAAGATCTTGGATCTGTCACAGGGTCTATAGAATATGAAACGAAATTGCTCGAGGGAAACGGTTACCGCACAGATTCGAGCTGTCAGCTGCTGATGTTTGCGTCCTTTTGTCTGGGCCCATATTTCATGGGGCAGAGGCCGTCCTGGTTTTGGAATCTTGGAAGCCCGCGGACCTCCATCCAATTGCAGAGCGACTTACCCGCTCTCTGCTGTCGTCAAGCGGTCGACAAGAGAGATTGCACGCCTCGCGAAAGCATAGACGTGGCACAGCAAGCGGGTCTCAATACACAATAAAGGGTGCGCACTGGTAATTAGGTAAGCATTCGAATCAAATTAAGCCAAGTTTGAGTCTTTTCGAAGCGCAGAGGTGGATCAGGCTGCTGGACTCCACCGTCGACCTCAGGGGTCGCGATTTTCGCCGCCACCGGCGGCGACAGACAAAGAAGCTTGCAAGTGGCATGTTCAAGCAAGACAAAGTAACTCTGTAGTTAGCACGCATATCCTCTACCCTCCTAAAGTAATGTTATCCGATACTGCAACGCCTCCTTCGATTGATTCCCCTTGCTAGGATAACTCACTGATGCTCATTTTGGAGCCACTTGAAGCACCATGCTGCCGGTAACAACCTACTGGAGGGTCGTGGTGTCAGGGATGCTCATATCTGCAGTCCTTTGGCTGCTCATATTTCGAGAGAGTTTTGGCATGGTGAGTACCACATTCGAAGGTAGCCCCTTCATGCCACAGTAAGCTTACATGCACATCCCATTCAATGTTGAAGGTCTCAGGCTTAGGGTACGCCTCGCAAGTCAGCCAGGTCGAGCCCGATGCACCATTAGCTCTACCCGGCACAACCAACAGCAGTCTCAAGCCGCTCATACTCTACGCATACTCAGAGTCTGAGACAGCCCGACCAAATCTCGAATTCTTCCTGAAGAAAGGTCTCCACGGCGGGGCAGATTTCATTTTCATATTCAACGGGGAGACTGACGCGGCTTCGCTTGTCCCCGAGCATCCCAATGTGAAGATTGTCCATCGAGAGAACAAATGTTTTGACCTAGGCGGCATGGGCGAGATCCTACGCAAGGACGATCTCTGGAAACGGTACAAGCGGTTCATCACTATGAACGCCAGCATCAGGGGCCCTTTCTTGCCACGTTATGCCCGGACAGCCTGCTGGTCAGATCTTTTCCTCGACCGTGTCACGGAGACCGTAAAATTGGTCGGCACTACCATCAACTGCCAGCCGTCGCCGCATGTCCAGTCTATGCTCTGGGCTACGGACGACGTCGGCACGGGGATCCTGCTGGACCCGGCACTGGCACACTCTGTGCCCCAGGAAGATCATTGGGGCACAAGCGACGATCCGGTCGGGCTCAGTTTCTGTCACGAGACGATGTTTGCTGCGGTCCATTCCGAGCTTGGATCTACAAGGCTCATTACCTCACAAGGCTATGGGGTCGATGTGCTGATGACGGCTTTCGAACAATCAGCAGGTGGTGACATAGAGGAATATTGCAAGGTTGGCCAGTTCGAGGATATTTTGTACGACAAGATGTACTATGGTTCCAATCTTCATCCTTATGAGACGGTCTTTTTCAAGTCAAATCGTGAAATTGATCCGACTCTCTTGGAGAAATTGACAGATTGGCACCTCAAGAATGGCTTCAAGAGTTGGGACACCTGCAAATGATTCTACCTAATTGAAAGACTTTTCGGATTCACGTGCGAACGACGGCGTCCAATTTCAAGCTTCGAAGCACCTAGTTCTTGGCCAAAGTTACTTACTGTCTACGTAGATGCTCATCGTAAGACCTCCCTTCCACGATAGCCCCCCCCCCCCCACCGCGTGTGGATTTGTACCCATTGCTCAAACTTTGATCAATGAAAAACATACTCGGACTAGGTAGTAGGCTCTCAAATAACACCATTAGGAATACTATGTCCTAAACCGATTCAAGAAGAAGTTGCTATTCCAATGATTCACAGAGCACGATCCAAACAGCTGCCACGATGAAATCTCATCAAGTTCACTTGAGTTAGCATAGAAAGTACGTATTGCAAACAGCTAGATATGAGTTTCCTAACTCTATTCCGGAAAGTTCGCACCATATACGTGCTGCCACTGGACAGGATCTACGACTACAGACCTGCAAGAGCACGATCTAAAGCCTTCCTTCGAGATGTCCATTCCTGCTGCGAGGACGCCATTGCCGCAAGGCACTAGACATCATGCCATCATACTCCACCTTACCTCATGAGAAGGACGATTATTGAGCAATTGTGGGCCATTGCTGGAGGATAGTGGCCTCGGCTATAACAAAGCAAGTGAATCTTGTAATCGGGCCGGTTGGGCGGCCTGCTAGCCACGGAGCTGTGCTATTGCTGAGAATGAAGAGCTTTGCCAGCCATGCCAACAACGCTAACAACGCCAACATAGGCCGGCGCGCGGGGCGCAAAACGCTGGTCAGTTCTCACATCTTTTTTTATGCACCAGCGACCCTGCTGGCTCCCCTTGAATTCGTAATTCGAGTTCAGACAAGCTTGCACGGCTGCAGTGCACTGAGCTTGGCTCCAAAACTCAGAAATGAGTCCGACAACCGAGGAGTCTTGGCCGCGTGCACGCCCCAGCATCTGTATAAAAAGGACCCATGTTCCTGCCGTTAGCGCAAGAGATCAGGTACGGGCTCTCGTTGATCTCTTAGTACACTCATAAGTCCCGTTATTTTCTTTTGTGCCTTCTTCCACACTTTTTTATTTTTATTTTACCGGGCCATTTAGTTGTCTTGACTCTACCTACCTGGCCAATGCCAATTCGAGAAGACAAAATTTGCTACAAGGGCCACGGCTGCATTTTTTCATTTGTAAATAGTGAAGTTGTCGGGACCATTCTCCAGAGAGCCTCGCATGGTTTTCGATTACAGTTTGACACAAGCATTTTATTCAACGCACTTACATGATAGTGGTAGGGTTTGGGCTTACGGATGTGATGATCGTAAAGTCTCCACCCCCGAACCAACGGATACCACCTGCCGTTCATTATGTAAAAGATTGCACGTAATAAGCTTTTCGGTTATCCTAGGTATAGCAAGCTCGGATCTATACAGTAGCTCGGTCTGGAGTATTGAAGCTTACTATGGTTGATGCCCGTCGGGCTCAAAGGGATCGTGTGCTGCTAATAGCGATTCATTCCAACAAGGCTCGGGAAAGTCCACCATATATGTCCATGCCAACGGCCCGTCGTTGCAATTGCGACATTCAACATGGTCAATCTCCGGTCTACAATGCTAGTAAGGACATGACCACATGTCTAGGGACACCTTGAACACTCGCAATCGTAGATCGATCGGCCTAAAAGCAAGATTGTCGTTGGGACCCACGGTATGGCAAACTTTGGACTGCATTGAAGACGCATCTGCATCTAGGCTATTATTGGTTGACAGGCGAGTAGGCGAGGAGACGGAAGATGCCCCGTCAAGCGCAGGACGTGCACGATACAGTATCACAACACCATCACAGTTTCGCCACATGGTAAATCGTGTGACATGCTCGGCTGTGACCAATGCTGATTGATGTCGATTTTGCCCTCGAGATAAATAGATAGACGGCGCGCGAGCGAGTCGAGCAGCCTGGTAGTCAATCTAATGACTGAGCTAGACAGTCACTATCTCCAGCCCCTTGCGTGGTTGAATGTAGCCAAGGCTCGGCAGTGTTGGGGTCGGCTTGGCGCATCCTCCCAGTCTCCATCGATTCGCTCCACGCCCTGCTGGCCCGGCGTTCTGGATCAAGTTGTCTCAATCTGTCAGACCCCAACAGGTTTGAGAAGGCGTCGTGAAGAGAGCAGCGGCCGACAACCCAATGACCCGGCTCGCAGGGCTTTCAGGCCATTCGTTGCCTGTCCGGCTGACAACGGACGTCCCGACCGCACAGGCGCCAAGTAAGGGGCTGGACTGAGCTTCCTCTTCCGGCCGGCGACAAGGCCAACCGTTCATTCGAAGGACGCCGCCGAGCCTTTGCCCAGGCCGACACCAAGGCTGGGTAATACCAACTTTTTGCATGGCATTGCAACCGTTATCTCTTGTCCCTGCCGCCTATCGCCCTTGGGCCACCAACCAGCGTTTCTGCGCTGGTGTCGCGGCGGGTCTTCCTCGGTCTAGGCTTTCCTCCACTTCTCGCTCCCCTCTGGCTGGGATTTCTTTGGGGGTGGACTCGAGGGGCCAAACACCCTGACACCTCTTGGTCAGCTCTGTTACTGTGCTTTTCCCCAGGCCGTGGGAACAGTGGGCCTCCCCACGCGTACGGCAGTATCAGTGGAGACGACTGATATTCCGCCAGGTGCCTGCGTCGTAAGTCGGGCGGCGATATTTCGTCTGAATCGACCAAGTTGGTCGCTACATGGGCAGATCATCAAAATGAAGCACACGAGACTGGAGACTCGGGGCATTCGCTTTTCTGTTTAGAGGCTGTTTGGCTTCCGCCAAGCTCGAGAAGGACGCAAGCGGGGTGAGAATGAGGAAGGTCCTCTCTAGGGCCTATACGAGGCGCACCCAACTCTATCTCTCTGGCGCATACATGTCTGGGCGCGCCACCCTGGGAGAAAAAGAAGAAGCCATGGAAGCTCGGCAGAAGCAGGCTAGAAGATCGTTCTGGTGTGCATAAATGCACGTCGATCCCCGTCAGCGAACTATTTCATGCCTTGCCCTCCCCTCCGCCGCCTGCCTTCTGGACCATCTCAGATCTTTTCCCTTCAATCTCGACAGGTCACACCCACACGTGAGCACACGTTATCGTCGTGTCCCATTGGTCAAGATCCCTTTCACCCCAGACTCAAGGTCAAGATACGACCGCCCGTCATGTCGGAGGTAGAAAAGGGCGAAGCCGTCCCGGCCACCGTGATCCACCGCGGCGACTCATCGTCCGATGGCGAGGTCGGCAGGATCGAGGAGAAGGAGAGCTGGGCCACGCGCAATGGCTTCAACCTGCGGTCATTCCAGAAGAAGGACTCGGGCGCCAACATCACGCTCGAGCGTCCCATGAAGACCCGCCATCTGCACATGATCTCCATTGGTATGGGCACCCTATTCCGTCGTAAAACGTGAGAAAACTGACAGGAGGTATTCTCCAGGTGGCTCAATTGGTGCTGGTTTCTTCGTCGGCTCGGGTGGTGCCCTGGAGAAGGGTGGCCCTGCTAGTCTGCTTCTTGATTTCGCTATCATCGGTGTCATGATGTTCAACGTCGGTAAGTCTTCGCTGGTCATCATACCTTATGGCCCCTGCCCTGAGGCTAACTCCATTCCCCTCCAGTGTACGCTCTTGGTGAAATGGCTGTCATGTTCCCTGTGTCCGGTGGTTTCTACACTCTGTCAACTCGCTTCATCGACCCGTCCTGGGGTTTCGCCATGGGCTGGAACTACGTCTTCCAATGGGCTATCGTTTTACCTCTCGAACTAACGGTCTGTGGTCTCGTGATGAAATATTGGACACCGGATACGAATGTTGGAGTGTGGATCGCAGTCTTCCTCATTATCATCACCCTTATCATGATGTTCGGAGCCCTTGGTTTCGCTGAAGAAGAGTTCTGGGCTGCGCTTCTCAAACTTTGCGCTATCGTCATCTTCATGGTCATCGCCCTCGTTTGTGTCCTCGGTGGTGGACCTGAGGGAGGCAGATACGACACATATCAAGGATCCAAGACCTGGTCAGATCCCGGTCCGTTCCGAAATGGTTTCCGAGGCTTCTGTGCTATTTTCGTTACCGCCGCCTTCTCCTTCTCCGGCACAGAACTAGTCGGTCTGGCGGCTGCTGAGGCCAAGAACCCCGTCAAGGCCCTGCCTGGCGCTATCAAGCAGGTGTTCTGGCGTATCACGCTGTGAGTCGACACTTATCCCTTTGTCAGGGCTCTTCACGTGTTGTCTCTGTGTGCTAATACGAGATATTCGATAGCTTCTACATCCTCGGCCTTATGTTTGTAGGACTCCTCATCCGCTCGGACGACCCACGTCTGCTCGGCGCCGACGGTGACTACGTGTCCGCCTCTCCATTCGTGCTCGTCGGCGAGTACGCCGGCTTGAACGGCTTCAACCACTTCATCAACATGGTCGTCGTCATCTCCGTCATGTCTATCGGTGTATCTGGTGTGTATGGAGGCTCGCGAACCCTGACTGCCCTCGCCCAGTTCGGCTACGCTCCCAAGATCTTCACATACATGGACCGCGCCGGCCGCCCAACATTCTCCGTCGGAGTCATCCTGGTGTGCGGCCTGCTTGGCTTCATCAACCTAGACGCTCAGGGTGAGGTGGTCTTCGATTGGCTCGTTGCTCTGTCTGGTCTCGCTGCCCTCTTCACATGGGGCTCCATCTGCTTGGCTCATATTCGGTTCCGCAAGGCCTGGGCACACCACGGCCACACTCTCGATGAGATTCCATTCAGGGCCATCGGTGGTGTCTATGGCTCATGGCTGGGTCTGATTCTCTGCGTCCTTGTCTTGTGTGCTTCTGTAAGTCCCACTTTGATCAACCCTATTATTGTTCCGCGAATGCATGGCTAACAAGATGCTCGCCGGTATAGTTCTACAGCGCCATCTGCCCTCCTGGAGTCGATGGGGTCGGTACGGCAGAGGACTTCTTCATGGCTATGCTCGCTCTGCCAGTCGTCATCCTGTTCTGGATCTGCGGGTACTTCTGGAAGAAGGAGGGCTGGTTGCGAACACATCAAATGGACGTTGACACCGGCCGCCGCGAGCACAACTGGGACGAGATCAACGCGTACCGTGCCAGGATTGCAGCCTTTCCGTACTGGAGGCGTCTGGTGTACAAATGGTTTGTGTAGAGTGGAGCGACTGGCCTCCACCTGCTGCCTTGTGTACAACTAGTTAAGACGTCGAGGATGCGTTCGCAGGGTTGAGTGCATCTGGTTTAATCAAATAAGAGCCTCTCAAGGCCGTTACTGAGTTTATTAGAATACACAGCTCTGTATTTCAATCTGCAACCTGTCTTCATCGTGCATTTTATTGCGCATTGGAGAGCTACTACCTTCTAGAACGATTGATCGTGAGATGATCACTTCAGCAGCGAAGAAGCCTAGTTGTTCGACTTTTCAAGTCACCCTGTCATCCTGGTTTACTTGTGTGTCATCAACAGGCTTGGAATCGGCCTGTCGCGAGTCACGACTTTCATTCAATCCCTAGTCATCCCTCGCTCTCTTCGGACCGAGCTAGCCGTAGTGAGGACGCTTCCACTGTCAGGTTGGCATTCCTGGCCTTGGCAACCCACCAATATGTCCTCGTGGCCAGGGACAGCGACGCCGCAGATGCGGCTTACCCTATCCCCAACCAGTACAAGTTCCCGCGAGTAGTCAAGATCCCTGAGACTTAGAGGTGGCTCGGTATAAGTGCCGATGCGGCATAAAATGTCTTCATAGGGTACTTCCTATCTCGATGTGGAAGTAACCAACCGTTCCCAATCTTGTCGTGGTATTTGACCCAAGATTGTCAAATATTGGTTCCACACTTGAGTATTTGACCGCCATTCATCATTACTACCACACACACGCCTCAATACGACTCAACATACCCTCTGGTCTTTGCATTATATGCGACAGCCATCCGTAAGAGGAAGCTACAGCTTCTCGAGCCGTCTCACAAGGACAGCGTTGAGGTTGCAATCTGACCCGAGTCGGAATGTGCTGGCACACCTATCCGCCAGAGATGCCGAATAAGGCCGGCAATGCGCCATCCACCAGACCCTGCATGCATATACATGCGCTTGCTTACTACCTGCAGAGAGAAAAGACGAACATGACATTTCAGATTTCCGTCCAATAAATGACACCCTTCAAGATTGTGCAGGACCCTGCGGTCGTGCCCACATGTGCAACACCCTCACGTGGCCGGAAGTCGAGGTGCCAGCCAGGCTGGTGCCGCATGTTCCAATGTAACTTGCCAATGCCCAAAATGCTACAGAATGACAGGGAGACAGACATTGTGATCCGAGATAGCGGGTTCGATGCAACATTGATCTTGAAAGACGGAGAAACTGCTATGTTGTTAGTCGGGTCGAGTCGCGAGCAGCCGGGTACAAAGCTTTTTGGTAGTCCGCTTGTGAAGAACCGACTTGCAGCACGTCTAATCGTCATCAGCACTTTATAGCTGGAAATATGAGGCTCTCCGATTTCTTCAACGCCGCCGCTCTATTGGCGAGCTTCGGCTCCTCTTTGCCCGTCCAAGATGCCTCGTCTGTCGCGGTCAATCCAGAGCTCCCACGGCTCGTCATCTATTTCCAGACTACCCACGATAGTTCCGGGGACCCGATCTCCATGCTGCCACTGATCACCGAATTAGACATCGCCCTAACTCACCTCATTGTCTGCTCCTTTCACATCAACCTCGGCAGCGAAATTCATCTCAACGACTACCCACCATACTACCCATTGTTTTCTACGTTATGGAACGAGACAGTGGTAATGAGAGAAGCAGGGGTGAAGGTGATGGGCATGATAGGCGGCGCCGCGCCGGGCTCCTTTGACTCATCCACCCTGGACAGCACGGACGAGGCAACGTTTGAGCTCTACTATGGGCAGCTGCACGATGTGATTGTGCAGTACGGACTGCAGGGCATGGACCTTGACGTTGAGCAATATATGTCGCAAGCCGGAATCACCAGGCTAGTCACGCGCTTGCATGCTGACTTTGGTGATGAATTTATTATCACACTTGCGCCTGTGGCCTCAGCCTTGACAAATCAGGGTAACTTGTCTGGGTTCGATTACAAGGATCTGGAGGCTGCTTCTGTGACTGCTTCAGGACAAGACATGATCGACTTTTACAATGCACAATTCTAGTAAGACCATTTCTTTTAAAGCCAAATCCTCCGCTCTCGCTGCTCTTTTGGGGTGCGCAGCGAAGAAGGCCAATTTTCTTGAACGAGCCTCTGATAATAGTATACTGACCCCTGACTACACGCGAACAGCAGCGGCTTTGGCACAATGTCGAGTCCTTTATGGTATGAAAGAGTGGTCAAGGCTGGGTGGGACCCGAAGGATATCGTAGCCGGCCAACTCACCAGCCCAGTCAACGGCGGGGGTTTCACCAGCATTGCAGACCTGAATCAGACTGTCATCGCACTGAAAGAAGAGTATGGCGTCATTGGAGGCATCATGGGCTGGGAGTACTTCAACAGCGTGCCTGGCGGAACGGCCGCTCCGTGGCAGTGGGCACAGGAGATGACTGAGATCTTGAGGCCGGGTTATAACGTGCAGCTGACGGTGACCGATGAAACTGCCCAGACTTTGGACACGGCTTGGAAGGAGAGCGTGATTGATGCAGAGTCGAACTTTGTGGAACCGAGGCCGAATGTGGATTATTTTGCAATGGTGAACGCATAGCATCAGGACGCGACTGCCCGTGGCAGATGATAGAGATCGACAGTAAGTTGTGTACTTAATTCATTATGGTCATTACGTACCACATTTCCCAGCCCAGATACCGAACCCATGTGAAGTCTATGTCTAAAAGTCCTTGTTGCAAATTGGTATCGAAAGAAATTCCCAAAAGAGCGATAACCCAAAATTCCAAATTCGTAAACCGTAATTCCCTAAGGCTTGAATAGCTGCTCCTTTCTGAAGAACATAAAAAATCCGACGCAAACAAGCAGCTGCAGTAACAGAGGAACCCAGAACCAAACATTGTCCAGCCCCTCCCATAGGTTCAGCGCCAGGTTTGGAAAGACTGGGCCCGGACCAATCTTATCTGGTGCGCTGGCTCTCGCAGCAATGGTGCCAATGGACCCAATCACCTGGGCTCCGAAGACCGTCCAGCTGACGTGGAAGCGGCCAAGAGTCTGCAGCAGAATCATGCCGAAGCCCACGCCCTGCAAGGCATCCAATACACCCAGCCAGAGCCACAGGCTACGGCCCAGCAGCGCGCCAGCGAGGTCACTCCCGACCCAGGGGAGATAGAGGCCGATACCACTTGTGCCCCAAAGGAGCTGGGCCCAACGCGGGGCGCCCAGGCCAATGGCAAACAGCGGCAGGGCCCACGAGTGCTCGTTGGAGAGGTACGCCATGACGGCCAAGATGGCAGCCCAGACGATGACGAAGAAGAAGATTGCGAGAACGACAACAGCCCATGCCGGCGCTACGGTGCTCGACCACAGGTAGCTCCAGCTGCGGCCGTATGGTGCCGAGAGGAAGTAGTTCTGGATGGCGGCGACGACGAGGAACCACACGACGATCTTGCGGCGCAGGACGGAGCGGTAGAAGGCCGAAACGTAGCCCGGCTTGCTGCGATACGCATCCGGCAGGCCTATGAAGAGCACGAGGGCGATAGCCCACAGGCCCACGGCGATGGGCAGCGTCACGCACGTGACGGTGCGTGACGACGACGAGATCAGCGTGTAGCCGCTGTTGCGCAGCTTGGTCGCGTACGAGCCCCAGTACCATAGTGCGGCGATATAGATCTGCTGCGTGCCCTGTATGGTACAAGCGCGGAACATCCACGATCTCACGGGGTTCCCACCTTCGGTCAAAAAGTTCTGTGTGAAGAAGAGAAAACCGCTGGCTGAGCCGACGGCGTAGAGACCCGTCGCGGTGTACTGAAGGGCCACGATGTCGAGTGACGAGGTTGCAAAGGGAATCAAACCCAGAATAAGGAACGCCGCGCCGTAGAAAATGAATGCAAGAGATAACGAGATAAAAAGTTTGACGTTGCGGAATAGGATCCACCAGAAAACTGAACCGGCAAGATAGATGCCTGAGGTGATATACACCTGCTCCGCACTCTGGCCATTTTGCCCGGTGAGGAGGGTGATCTGGTACGAGTTGGCGGCGATGATTTGTCCGAGGGCGAGAAGGAAAGCGTAGACCGGCCAATCTCCAACTTTAGCCAACATGAGCTTCTTCAGACCAGTCGGGGGTTTGTAGTCTGGGCCCAGATTGAACTCGTTCACTTGGGGATTGCCGTCGTCACGGCTGCTGGCAGCCGAGGTTGACCTTGAGGACACGCTGACAACAGATTTGGGAGTCTTCCCAAGCTTGGCATCATGGAAGCGAGCGAACCAGTTCTTCTCTGACGAGCGGATATAGTCCTCCACGCATAGCTTGTCGGAAGATAGGTTGCCCTTGTGGGAATCAATCAGCTTTGAGAAGGAGCTGTAGTACTCGCCCTTAGGATCGTTGAAGAACGGCTCAACATTCTGTAACTTGAAATCGCTTCGGCCACCGACGACAGTGTCCAGAGTCAGCACCGACTGGTTGGCTGTTGGCAGGCTATGCGTGAGGGAGTCATCGTGTTCGTTGCCTGAGGATGACCTGTTTGATGAGGTTTGTTCTTCATTGGGAAATTCATTTGCCTCCATTTGTGACTGCGTCCTGTCAAGCTCTGCAAGGGCGTCCAGCCTCTTGGACAAGAGCTTGCCCAAAGCGGACGATGACTTGTTCCGCGGAGCAAAAGTGGCCGTGGGGGTCCTGGGTGTGACCGCCCCGGAATTGGGCTCAGACATTGTCGAAATTGAGAGCATTGACGGTGAATGTGTGAGAGTTCGCCTAGCAGAGCTAAAGCCGCGGGTTGGACTCGGCGCCCGGCTGCCAACCCGACTCGGGAAAGCCGTTGAGGCAGCTGTGTGAGGTGAACTGATAGTGGGAGAGTTAGGCAGCGTGGGGGCAGGTTGAGGAGGATGCAACGCGAGTGAGGTGACCGACGATGACCGCGTTCCAGGTAGGAGATTGAACGTCGACCCTCGCCTGACACCGTCATGGGCTTCGATGGACCGCCTTTGCAGAGTGTCCAGATCTTGGACCCATTGCATCACAGGGAATCTCTGGATCAGTGATCTCGCTCTCATCAGTTTCCTTGTCTCCTGGGAAGAAGCAAGGGCAGACTTGATAGTGGACTTGAACTGGCGCAGCAAGTGTTTGGTCTCGGTGGACTCAATTGTGAACCACCAACCCGGCATCTGTCCCAGGCCACCAACCCGAGATCCCACACAGAGTGCACCCTTGCGGCCGAACTCGACTGCTACAAGCCCGAAAGGCTCGTCTCGAGAAGGCATCAAGGCGAATTCAGCTCCACTGAAGACATAGGGCGGGATCGAAACGAATTCAGGCTTCGAGTAGACACGCCCAGGGTATCGTTCCATTGTCTTTTGTAATTTGAGTGCTGCAAACTTGCCATGGTTGTCGATGGTTGGGCCGAGGCATATGAGCTGGACGTCCTTATGTTTGTCCAAAATGGCAGGGAAGACATCCGAGATGAGGTCAATTCCCTTCTGAAGAGACCAACGGCCGACGAAGACAAATAGCTGGGCCTGTTCTGCGTGTCAGCATGCAATAGTCCGGTCCAGGGAAAACAGGCATCACTCACGTTGGGATTTTCCTCCAAGCCTGCCCATCTCTGGGCCTGCACCCTCAAATCACCCCTCTTCTCCTCCGCTTCCTCATCGACAGCGACATCCATGGCGCCGATTTCCTTAGCCATACCAGCGTTCCAGTCAGCCATATCATCCGGGTCTGGGTTTGGCAGAGAGCCAATCTCGTGCAGACCCCAGAAGATAGGATATCGCTTGTAAGCTCTGACTCCGTATTTTTTGGAGACACCGACAGCGCCGAATCCACCTTGAAACTGACGAATGTAGCTGGCAGCCGCATAGAGCATATTGAACACCTTGTCGAATTGTACATAGGTCTTTACTGTCTCTTTGGGCAAATTGAAAACCTCTGTGATCTCGGACATCTCGCCCTTCGTACGCAGCGACCACATTCCTTGGAACTCGGCGTTATGGAGAGAAAGGGAGACTGGTATGGTTTTGGGAAGGAGGTACAGCGGTGCAAGGGTGCCGTGATAATCATTGATGTGGTACAAATCAACTGGAAAGCGGCGGAGAGTTTCCGCAATACACGCGTTCCAGGCGCTGTAGTAAATTGCGGACTCAATGTCATCCATGCGAGCGGGATATGGGTCGGCTTTAGTCTGAGCTCTGAACACTGGTGCGTCAAGAAGGACGAACGTGATGTTCCGGACCTGGTGGTACTGGACGTTGACAATGTACCGAACCTTGTTGATGGTGACCACCATTGGCTCGGCAACGAGGTCGACGGGATAGTCGATGCCGCCAACGCAAGGGACCACCCAGACGAGGTTCTGGTGTGCAAGGGCGGAGCTGCCCATCAATGAAGCCATTTTGCCGAGACCACCGATCTTGATCTTGATGTTCCAGTCCTCAATCTCATACTCCATGGTGGCAATGAGCGTTGTGCGACGGGGCGCCAGTGATGCTTCGGCTAGAGCTGTTGTCGTGGCAGGGTTTGATGAGGGAGCGGTTGATTTCTCCTTCTGGGCCATCTCACGGTGGTCAGACCGCTTCAGCTTAGACGCCGTACCCTTCCAGAAGCCATCGCGGGTATCGATGCCAACTTGGTTGAACTTCACCTGGTAATACGATCGTTTGAATGTCCATAGGGCAAGGCAAGCGCATAGAAGCGGCACCAGTCCGAGCAGTATGGACAGCATAAGCTGGTACCAGCCAGACCCGGTGGGCACCAAACGGTAATTCCAGTTACCGTCGTTCACCAGCAGCTTCCAGCCAACATAGGGCATTTCGGGACCTTTGCTGATGTTAATGACGTTGTCAGCCAGCGTATCAGGCTTCAGCCAGTCAAGAACATTGTCGCCGTCGACATCGCCATACTGCGCAGTCTTGTCCGGCAGCCCGTTGGGGTTCATGCCCCAGACGTTGACTTGGATCTGAGTGGGCCACTCTGCCTCGAGGTCGAAGGCCCAGTTGCTACCAGTCGAGTTACCATCGTCAGTCGTTGGATGAGTCAGGCGCATGGTGTTTGTGAGTCCATCGTCGTATCCCCACGCATTCCAGGATCCGAGGATGAAGGCATGTGGCCAGCGGCGTGCCTTGTGGGTGGCTACATCCCCCTTCACAAGGTCTCCGTGCTGCACATGGTCACTGCTGCTGGCCATCCGGCTCCAGTACTGGATTGTCACATGTTCGCCATGCCAAGCCTGTCTCTGGGTCCCTGACCAGGCCTGGTCTTCGAGGGTTACATTCTCGCTGGTATAGTCCAGCCACTCACTCCAGCTTGACCCCCAGGTAGTAGAGTACCGAAATTTGTCGGCACCCGGGGCCCGCTGGGAAACGTAGAGCTGGTTTGTGGACTCGTCGCGGTACAGAAGGCTGCTGGAATAGTTGCCGGTTTGAGGAAATACGACAGGATTGTCGCTAGCGCCGATCCGGAACATGAAGCGGTCGATCGCGTCAGTGTAGGTTCCTTCTGTGGTGGAGGCGTTGGTGATCGTTATCGTGTGGATCCCGTGCGATACATCGACTAGATTCGCGGTGATCTTCCAGATGGTGGCAGGCTGGCCCACAAATTGCGTACCTTCAGCCACGTCAAGGTTGACGCACGCGATGGTGTCATTGCTTATCCGGGCAATCGTTCCGTCTGACGAGGTGGAGTTGACGGACAGTGCGCTGATTACAGAGTCGCAATCCATATTCTGAGAGAATCGAATCTCAATTGGAACAGTCTGTTTCTCGCCAAGCTTGACTGAGGCCGTGAGTCTCTCATCATGTGAGGGCACGACCCCCGTGATGGTCGGCGCTGGGGTGATAAACCTTTCCTTGGGGATGTAGGCCCTGTAGGCCCAAGATTCCATGGTCAGACTTGACAGACATCCCCGGAGCCCTGTTGTACCGTCCAAAGTGGCTGACGAGTTCTGCAACACATGCTCGTCGTAAGGATAGAAGAGATTTTTGACCGTGGTCCCAACAGCAAAAGGGGAGACCAGGGCATCAGCTTCGTCTTGGCAATTGAAGTCAAAGTCTTTGCTCCTGTTTAAGTTGGAGTAAACAAGCCATACTCCATGGTTGCCGTCAGCGTCTGGTGTCTCTAAATCTTGGACACCATCTAACTGGTGACGCCACACACTCCATATGCCAAAGGTGCTTGGCACACCTGCGCTTCCAGGTAGGAGGACATCATCGGTGCGATTCGATAAGGTCTTCAGCATGTAGCCGTCATTCAGCACAGGGTACTGCTGCCTCATCTCGAACATCCGCTTGATGATGTTCCTGGTGGGATGTGAGGGGTCCTTGTGGTCAAGGCTGACGGCGTCGTCGTTGCATCCAGTTCTCGCTGGACCGTCGGGGAAATTTCCATAGTACGATACATCCCCGAGATGGTAACAGCCATGGAGCTGCCAGGCCCGACTGCTACTCATCGGCTGTCTGCCGTATACATAGTCAGACGAGGTGCTGTCAAGGAGATATAGGCTCTGTTCCTCGCCCCAATAGAGGCCTGGTGTGCCAGGAATCTCCAGGGTGGTGATGAACTGTCCAAGGATCTGTCGCTGCGTCCCATTCTTGATGGCCGGCCATCGAAAGACATCTTGGCTTGTCATAGCAATCACTGCCCGCGGATCAAACTTTCCTGTGTTTGCATTGACAAAGTCATTCTGGTTGAGCATCTCATTCCAAAATACAACGAAGTCTGTACCATCCAGACCAGTGTAACCGTCAAGTCTGTATCTAAGTATTAGTCTTTGTGGCTGTACTCACGGATGGATAAAAATTAGAGCTTACCCGAGGAATCTGGTCATTCCACCATACACGATATAACTGAATGCGGTGCCGTCCAAAGCAGATTGCCCAAAATCACGGATGTAATTGTCCGGATCCGTGGTGTTGGTAGACATTGCAGCAGCGGTGGCGTTAGTCGTGTAATGGTTGGGCTGCTTTCCACGGCCAGTGTACACCGAAGATTGAGCAGCAGTTCCCACGACTTCGCCAATGATGTAGAAATTATCTTTCCCATATCGCCTGGCACACTGACGCTGGTAGTCGGAAAACTCAGCCAGGGCGTCCACTGTCGACTGGAGTGCCTTGTCCATTCTGAATCCGTCAATATCAAGCATGGCGATCTGGATGCATGAGAGATGCTTGATTTTCTCGAGAACGTCACTGCGCCAGTCCCGTAGCCTGTCTTGGACTGAACCATACTTTGACAGCTGGTTCTCGTACACAATGACATGCCCGGTATTGGCTGAGTCACCGTACTGGTCGAATTCACTATCACGGCACGTGGTCTGATTGATGGTGATTTGCCAACCATCATCATCCCACATGCGTGGATATGTACAGTCGACAATGTCATTACCAGGCTCAAAGTCGACATAGCGTCTGTCGTGCTTCCACTCATACTCATATTCGCCCCACTGGAAGGAAGCGGTTTTGTTCAGGTTTCCCTTAAACCCTACGAGATCTCCCAGCCTATGTTATCTCGTGTCAGCTGTTGCTATTCAAGATCCAGACAATGTATGGGTGACTTACGTGGCCATAGTGTTGTCCAGAAGGACATACATGCCTCGCTCATGGATCGCATCAATGAGATCCCTCCAGTCCTGGATCCGTCCATGATGTTGGTCGAGCAGAGTCAAGTCTAAAGGGCTGTAGTTGTCACCTGTCCAAGGCAGGTTGATGAAGGGGCTTCCCATAAGGTAGACCGTCTTGATGCCCATGCCATGAAGATAGTCCAGGTTATCCATTACTCCTCTGATGTCTCCGCCGAACCGGAGCTGATTCGTCATCCAGTCATGTTCGAATTGGGTTCCGTTAGCATCGTCGTTGGAAGGGTCCCCATTCGAGAATCGGTCTAGGGCAAGAGTGTAGGTCGGCATGCGCCAGTTGTCTGGCGACGGCGTGTACGTGTGGCCCTCCCATTCTCCCCAGTAATCAAGGGGATGGCCAGCATCTGGGTTCTGGTTCAGGTTCCAGTCGGCCAGCGAGGGTTCGTAGGGAAATGCGACCGTCCCGACGAGCCACAGAGCAAAAGTGAAACATGACAAGATAAAACGACCCATAGTTGACACCATTGTGGAAGGAAAGGTGTGCCACAGGTTGAATGTCGGTGTCAGTAAAAGAAAGCGAAGGTTGGGATAGGGACGAAGAGAACCCCGTGGGGCAGGCTGGCCGCCATGATGAACATATGGGTCTATTTGAACCTTTCTCCTTTTCCGCCGATCCCTATCAATGACATTGTCCTCCTCCCTACATGAGGCGATGTGACCGGTCGGGCCTTGGAGGGCGTCGAATAGTGAGTACACGCAAAGAGCTCTTAGACAAGGAAAAGCAGCACTTGTTCGCTGAAATCACCCACCTCACGCTATACCGGAGCTTGAGTGAAATCCCCGAACGAATTTCGAAGTGTGGTCGCACTCAACGGTTTGATATCGAGGACGGAGGCATACCTGTAGACGGCTCTGCCCTATGGCGATGCCGTGACCGCACTACCTGGCAAGAGCCTTTCTAGCCTGGAAGATCCTGCAGCTGGAGAGTGGAATATTGTGGGACGGTTGGCAACGGATTGCGGCGAATGTACAAGATCTGGCCCTGTTGCACGCGTGTCAAACAAAAGTACTCTTGCCAGGCGGCCAGGCCTGTCTGCATGTGTCTGCGGCAGAGGCAGCCAGGGTCTCCACCGCGGACCACTTTTGGTACATGATCCCAAAGGGGAATAGCGAAGAATTCTCAGCTGTGTGCGTTCCTGCATTGACGTATCTGTCGCTCAAACCTCCCACGCCTCCGCTGCAGTCGCCAGAGGCAAACCGAAAGTTGTTGCGATGATGCAACATACGGTTGCAGCCCTTGATATGTTGGATGTAACGCCACTTGCGGCTGGTGCACTCTATTTGTTGGATGCCACCCCCTAATTGGTAAGAATGCTACCTGAGAGACGGCAATGTAGATCGAGGTTCAAGCGCGTCCACGGTGATAACCAGTCAGTGCGATGTCACCGTGCATTAGCAAAGGACTGCCGGGGAAGTGCCGTGTTCTAGATCCAACGGCTGTTCGGCCAGAGCGGGATTTCTGAGATCAGTTGGCCGGGTACCTGATAATCCTTAGACTAGGGCCGTCGCCACAGAGGTACAAGGTCGAGAACTACGTGTGTGACAGCGTGAGTGGAGCCGCCCCCCTGTGAATATTCCCGAAGATACGACCACGATCTTGATTGCGACGTGGGTATCAAGCGCCACTTGCAGGGACATGCAAGATACAGAATCACGTCGACCGCCAAACCATCCGGTGCTGCCAATCAACCCAACGTGGATACCTTCGGCGTGGTGAATGGTTGCTCCTTAGGTGTGATGCGGCTCAAGAATATTTGTTGATATCCTAAGCCTTACCCACGGCACTGATCTTGGTACGGTCGGCGACTAGGATGCCGCTATCTGGACCCCCACGAGAATGTATTTGCTCCGACCGAATGTGCGATACCCAATGCGAGCATGCTGTATTGGTCGAGCTGCAGCTGCAGTGCGCGATGTAGTCTGCGCAGCTCAAGGTGGTATTGTACGTGCTGTTGTTCGCTACTGCTGTGGACCAGATCATTCATGATCGCCCAGCAAAGGTCAAGATCTGCTCTGAGATCTCGCCTTTCAGGGCAGTAAGGCTGAAGCGTAAGCTGAGGTTCAAGATTCGGAACGTTGAGTTTTCTGAAAGATCCAGCCCACTCGCATTCCAGGAGTGTGAAAGCAGCTCGCACCGAGAGATCCTGAGCTGAGCAGAGTAGCAGAGCAAGCAAGCCTTCGACATGGAGGGTGTGACCTGGCATTACAGAGACGCCAGTTGGCAGCGTTGTATCCTCGGTGAGGAGGGTAGTCCAGCTCATCCCGTCACCAATGGGACGGGGGATAATTGAGAACAACGACAGGCCTAGGTCCCCCGTCATTTTAGCACAGTCCGACATCCCGTCTAGTTTATTAGCGTCATTGTTCGGTCATGGTGAGAGTCCGTTGTGACCAGGGTTGTGGTGGAGTTTGATGTTGAGGGGGAAATCCCAGGCCCAGAAAAGTTCTTGCTCGCTCGTCTTGAGGGAAAAAAAAAACATTGGATAAACCAATGGAAGTAGGGTTCGGGTCGTTACCAACTTCAAAAGCTCTCTCAACCGGCCCCCCTTCTCCTTGCTTATCGGTACTGCCAAACTCAATTCAAGATCAAAGTTTTCACTCTATGCTGGATTTCTGATCTTGAGGACTTCCAATCAAATCACAATTGCCCCTCATTTACAGTGCATTGAGTTAGGATGCAGGGTGCAGGCATCGCTGGGATTGTGGAATTCCCAGAACCGCCCGTGCTCCAGATATGCAAGCTCGCGATATTGCAATCCCTACATGCATCCAGAAAAGCAGAACCAGAAACAGACGGAAAAAATAGAACTCGACCACCTTGCTGCAGTGCATGTCTGACTTGAAGCGCACAGAGGTATGCGAGGTGTCAACTCCGCGTGGCATCCTCGCATCCGCTTAATCATGACGACTGGCTACCCCCGCTTGAAAACAAGAAGTCTGTCGTGGCAGGCCGTGATATCCGTCAGCACACATCAGCGTGGGACGCTGCCTCTTTTGATGGAGATGGGTGGGTTATTCCTTTACTGTGCAGTGGTCCCAATTACGCGGGAGGGGCCCACAACTCTTCCTCGACTTGGCTTTGAAAGGTGGGTCTACGATCTGCACTCGTAACAAGGACTGTGCTGGTGGGGGCCACGGCCGGGAGATTTGAGGTCAGGGCGAGACAAGGATTATGCTTTGCGGTCTGGGCGTTTCTGAACACTTGTATACTGTAGTGGACTTTTTTCCTATTCGACATTACACATGGGAAAATAAAAGCAGGTTTGACAATTTGGCATGTGTGAGGCGAGGGCCTGAAGCGCGGATCTTCGCCTCCCTTTGGCAATTAGATGTTTTCGTCACGACGGCTGTCAGTTTTCGTTGTCTCACGTCATGCTATGGGTCTAAAGTACGGCAATTTCCTTTGTTTTGTTACTTTTCGCGAGTTGCTTTTCCTGTGCTCTTCGAAAATAAGTGGTGTGGCAAAGTCTTGGCTCCCAAGCTCTTGGCTCGCGAGCTCTGACCAGATCAGATACGGGTCCTGCAACGTGAACTTCGGAGCTGTCAGAAGATAGAAGTCAAACTATGACAGTGATATCGCGACAAGAATAAACTCGGAGCAGACCTACAACTATCTACCAGTCGGGTTGCCGAATTGGACCTCGTATAGCGACAGCTGTCCACCTCATCAATTGTCGTGAGTCATTCGGACATTGACGTGAGCTTGAGACACTCCTCGCAATAATGTATACAAAAGTATCGAGATGTGGTTTCTCTTCCTTATTGAGGGCGTATCCAATGTCACACTCTTGACTTTTGTCCATTTGAAGTTTCAGCCACGGCATCCGGATCAGGTCTACGGTGGAGTCCGTAGAAGGAGATAGACACCGCTCTATATCACACTCCGATATAGGGGCATGGTGTCATCTCATATCTTCTACACTCTGATCATGTCAATAAGCTAGTAAACGCTGTTGTGCTTATCTAGGCAATTTGATCATGGTATTTGATACGTGCGCAGTAGTACTCGATTTTATAGAATAACGCTCGAATTGCCAAGCCGAAAGCATCTCATCCCGGGACAGTAGCCATTTTCGGGCAGATATTCCCTGCACACCCGCGCTCCCAACAATTTTCGCGATATCAGTAAGCAGCGCTCTGAGGCCCGGATTGTAACCATCAGACTGAAATAGGAAACTCATGAGTAAGTAGCGTCAAGATGTCTGCAATGCAACCAGGCATATCGGTGCCAACCCACTTACCTGCTTGCCAGTGGTTACTTCGCGCAACACGCCGAAGCTGCACCACCAACTACATCGTTGTGGTGAGCACTTTATGGTGACAGTTATCCTCATATTTAGGAAAATGCCGTGACCGAGACACTCACCCTTCCTCCAAGACCACAATCAGTGACAATTTCTGTCATTGGTTGTCGCTTCTAGCGGTACACACAACCCTTGTTCAAGCAGACCGGTATCAACAAGAAAAGATACATATCAGCCCGGGGAGATAACCAGCCACTTCCTCCCAAGCTCCGACTCGTGGAATAATGACCGGGGGGGGGGGGGCATTCCAAGGTTAGCAATCAGACACCTGGTAGACGCGACCGGTACCGCATTGCTTTTGAAGGAGCGTAGGACCAAAGAATTGTTGAGGACAGACAAGCACGACAAGGTCACCGTCGAGGCCGTGGTGCGCAGTTCTTGATCAGGAACAACAGCATTTGGACGAGCTTTTGAGCGCACCACTCTTTATTTGACTGCTGCCGGGTAAGTATTCATGATCGATCGTAGACACTCGTCTATGCTAGAATCGACGTGGTTTTAGCCAGCGCAATAGGTACGCCATCACATTTCACTTATGGACTCGGTAGCGTTCTGATTCTCAGGTATAAGAGGTAACCCCTTGTAATTTAGAGACTAAGATGAGTTCAATTTGGGATCGTTGTGAATAGATTGGAGCTTTGATCATAGTGCATGGGCAGCTGGAGGCTTGATTTCTGCTCCCGACTTGTGTGTCTTGGTACTGAAAACCTGGCTGTGAAGAAATGCACAACAGTTGTAGATAGCATCCATTCATCATTCTGTCTTGGGCTAACTGAGTCTTTCGGGCTCGGCCTTCAAGTCTTGGTTACACACGGCATCGTGCGGCGTACTGTGTTTCCGTCGACTGCAGCAGCCTGTCTCCACTCCCGCATATGCAAAGCCCATGCGTACATATGTATGTGCAATATAAATCCAGCCCTGTGGGCAATGGAAAGATCAAGAAGTCACGACATTCTGAGACTCCTGCTCTCTCGTCATTCATTAGCTATTATTACAGTCGAAAAACATGGAATCCATGATTAGTTAACTTGTAATAAATGGCGCTCGTGGACTCAGGTTCGCACAGCTTTTGCGAGTGTGATAGCTTAGACTTGAAACTGTGCGTGTCAACTGAAGAGTCAACACACCTTCTATCCTCATACAACGGACACAGAATTGTCCCGAAGTTCAGTGAACTGACGTTCTGATTGATAAATACAGGTTTGGCAGGATCTTCAAGATGAATGGTTGATTTATTCTCTTTGGTATGATCCTATCATGGCCCCCGTCTCCCAATTCAACCTCTGCACAACCGCTGCACTTCGAGGCAAGCCAGTCTGAATCTGCGGTCACTACGGCCAGTCTCAAAATCTTGGATGATTTACTCTGAGTTTTCAAGCATTATTACTGCGAAATCTTCGAGGTTAGAAGTGATGGCTGCTTCTAGTCTTTCGTAGGTTTACACGGCTACATTAAGGCAGTGCATGAAGTGGAACCCGAGAGAGCCTGTTCAAATGTTTACTTTATTCTTCTTGAAAGACTAATATCTGAACCAATGTACAGGTATATTGGAGAAATATCTACAGCTGAAACCTCTTTTATACAGCGTCTTCGCGAAGCTCTACCGCAGGCATGCTCTTGCACGCATGTTGTGAGGTAAGAACCAGCACCCACCTCTAGAATCTCATCATACCCCTCTTTACCTTGGAGGAGGTCGAGTTGCTAGAGAAGGTCGAGCCGATGTCTCCCCACTTGATGTTGCTAAACACCACATGTGTACCCGGCTCGTTCTGCTGGATCAACGTTGGATTACCCTCGGTGGCATTGCAAGGGCCGTTTGAGCCTTCATCTAGCCAGTTCATATATCCTCCTGCATCGTTCCACATGCTGAAGGCTAGCACCATACCCCGACCCAGGGCCTGGCCCATGGTTTTCAAGTTGCCGAACTGATCTGCGCTGCCATCGACAGCTGAGCACCACGTCGAGTTGATGGAATCACCGCTGGGCGCGGAGATGGCACTCGGAACAGTTACGCTGCCCTGCTGGTAGATGCGGCGGATCTCGCTGAGAGTTCCCGACGTTGTGCCGTCGTCCGTAATGAACTGTGTGATCACCGTGAAGGGCTTGCTCGTGTCGACCGTTCCACCCGTTGCCCAGTAATCTTTGAATCCCTGGTTATAAGGGTTGAAGCCACACCCACCCTTGTCACAGTTCGAGGCGTCATCGGCGCAAGGGTGGGGCGTGAACGCGGCGGCGGCGCGATTAGACTCGAGAATGTCCATCTCGTTGCAGCAGAAGGTCGACTTGTCTGTGTTTAGAGTGCCGTTCTTCCATGTTTCAACGGGGCACTGAGCATCGCAGTATCCTGCGCCGTAATTGGCAGCACCGGTGTTCAACTCGCTCCGGCCGCCGGTGATGTCCATCTCGGAAAGGTATAGCGCGCCATTCTGGCCGCAGGGTAGCGTGGAAAGGTCCACATCGAATGTCAGCTCTTGGCCAAGTAGCTGGAATGAAACATAGTTGCTGTTGTCGTTGTCGAGGAGGTAGACTCGTGGTGAGACACTAGACAGACCGCTCGCAGAGGGCACATATTGTGACAGAGTCATGGACGAGCCCGAGGTGACGATGCCTGCGCCTGTATAGTTGGCACCCTCGATGAGACAGTTCTGACTGCAGGTTGCTTGGTCTGGGCAGAGCGTCGAATTGATGCCGGTCGAGGTCGTGCATGATGCGTAGTCTGCTGTGTGTATCCAGCGATAGTTCCAATCGAGCACGACGGACGTGTTTTGCTCCACGCAACCACCGGTGGTAGTGCACTTGGAGGTTGTGAGCTGGGGGTGGACCTCAGGGGTTACGGTTCCGGGCTGCTGAGCGACTGTAAACTCCAGCAATGCCAAAGCTGCCACAACGGCGGTAGGTCTTAGTGTGGACGCCATTATGACCGAGCTGTCGGATGTAAGCTATCGAGAGTCAACAAGAACTTGGCAAAAGCTTGTCTGCTCTGATAACCACTCCAAAGCCTGGGCGACATCTTGCCATTTATTCCCGTCTCAAATCGCCCTTTTCGGAGGCAATCCACCGCGAACCCCTATAATTATTAGGAAGTTGGTTCACTCATGATGTAACTGACACAATGCGGGCCGTTGGTCCTGGGGAAATAGGAATGTGCTAGGCCGGATCGGGGTTGCGGAGGGAGACGGACGACTAACAAGCTCGGGGGTCTTCGTTTTGGGAGGTTGAAACGTTTAGGGGACCCTCTCTCGTATGTCCGATTCGTGCTCATCCCCAATTATCCAGGGTTTGCGGTTGCATCGGGCGCTTGATGGACTTGCCCCTGACAATAAGCCTAAATGAAGCTGTGTCCGAGATCCTGAGTCAAACTGCTTAGACTGGGCTCCTTAGTAATAATCGGATGACTACTTAGCCCAACGGCTTGTAGAGGGAAGTCTCATCGCTCACGAGCAAAGATGTTTCGAGAGACACTACAGTGCAGCGAATATGGCCCGGGAGAGAAGAACACAATGAAGATATTGACACCACTCCGGCTGATTTTCCCATCCAGGCGTAGCCTCATCAAAGACTGCTGAAATAGCTGGTCATTTCATTCATTTCAACGAATAGCAATAACGGAGCCTTAAAATCGTGTTGTAAAATAGAAATGGACCCTTCACATGCGAGGAGCTTTGGGCCAGACATCACTCTAGAGCATCAATGCATGCAGGCACGAAATAGAGATATCCCAATAGTGGAACAGACGGACAAAATAAAAGGCCGTCCGATATGGTGAGAGGATGCTGGAAGGTTCATGCCATTTTGTCACTGCGCTGCGCCGTTTCTTGGCATGTCAGTTTGCCTTTCGCTTTGTTTCTTGATCTGAACAACCGGCGGCGATGATCCCCAGATTTTTGAGCACAGACATATTCAGCTTCGGACTTCATCCCGACCGGTCAATGGTTGCTGAGTTCAACTGACTCTGTGGCTTCGCTCGGACGCTGCCGAGAGCTTCTGCATATCGAGTCACCACAAGCTTTAAGATACAAGCTCAGACACGCATTCCCGGGACCTCGGGAGCGCACGCAAACAGAGACCTACACGTATAGATCCTGAAAATCAGGCAAAGAGCAATTCAAGGACGGACCACCAGAAGACAGAGGATAGTGGCGCCATATGCGCGGAAGATTTACGCGGGTCGAACAGTAACGGATGATATATGGATGACTCGGCTGATTACGAATCCGCGGGTACTCCGTTGTTATGTGAGCATGAGCTTGATAGAACTACCTTGATCTGCAAAAAGCATATGCAATGAATCTCCATTGCTGATTGAATATCACATCTGGTGGGTTCTAGAGGAAGCTGTCCTCAAGAAGGTATTCAAACGATGATGCCGCCACAGCGTGACGGGTTTAGTGATTTACGGGATTGGCCAGATTTTTCGTGAGGACTTGCGTGCTGGCCATTTGGCGGGTATCACTGCTCCATTGAGACGACGTTTCCGTCAAGTGCCCAATCCTAAGTAAACTCATGTCCTGCAGCATGTCAACTCTGCTCCCCGGAGATGACATGCCTGTTAGTGCTCTGGCTTTAACCTGCGCGAGTGTCCCAGACATAGCCAAGCAGGGCGTGACCACAAGGATATATTTTAGTGTATGGTACCTATCCCAAGGATTTATGATCTTGAGATTGTGTTCTACTTCTTTGCAACGCGTCGACGCTGACTAGGATAGCTAGGTGAGCTACTCGGCGACGAACCTTATCACAGCAATCTTTGGTCTCTCACTTACCTCGTCAGTCCTTGCGCTCAACAGCGATGAAGGGACTATAACGACTACAGTGCAAGCTATCAGACACCCCAAAACCCTTGTTAATGAACGAATTGTGATCTTCGCATTATGCCACCAGGCCACCGCGAAGGGTTCATGTCTCAGGTCTCATGATAGAACCAGTTCTGGATGGGAGGGTTATCATGATAACAGAAGAAGTCATTGGAAATCGATATTGTTGGCTTAAAAAACTCACAATGACGGAGTAGATACACCCGCCCGTCGACGAGCCAAATGATTTAGGCGTGTTAGCATCTTGAAGACGGCACATGCGTAGGATTAGCTCACATAACCAAGGTATCGGCCGATATCCTGAGTCTTCACTGGCCACTCATACTTCCCTGGTATTCTGTGTCAAAGCCACGGCACCGGCTGGATGCCGTTCAAGCCGAGTCGCTTCCACAAACCCTGGAATACTCACACCCTACACAATGCTGGCTTGGGGGCCTAGTCGCTGTCATGACTCTCGGTACGACAGTGACGGACTGACACGAGCCTTGTAATGCAAGAAAAGGACGTTGATCTACAGCGAAAGCATCGCTTGGTATCAGTGCCTCTGTTTTAAAACAAATATGTGTACACATTTCCCTGTCGTTCAGAGCCGGGTTGGCTGATTGATACGTAGAGTTGCGCAGGTGTGTACTTCGTCCCCGCACTCGTAGACTAATCCAGGAGCCTTTTGTTTTGATGACGAGCGAGTCTGGATGGCTTTCCGCCATCAGGGCTGAGAGGAGACATCGTGATTTGATTGAGTTCCTGTGAACATACGCGGACGTCTTCGGGCCAACAGTATACCAAGGCAGGTGTCTTCCTATAGCTCAGTGATGTTGACATACCATCGACAACACGTCGTACCTTGTTGTCAGATGTACCACATCTGGGCCGAGGATGTGAGGCAAAGCATGATATATAGCACCTGATGAAGTGCTTGCCTCCTCTTGCAAGTGTATGGTTGACAAAGCTAGCGTCACGACACTACGACCCTAGGAACAGATCTCTGAATTCTAGACCTCTTTGCCAAGGGTGTTGCCGGTAAAATTTTGGGTCTGGAGCGAGCCGACCCGGACAGTGACTCGTGACCTTGGTTTCATCGTGCACAGCTGCCCTGCACAGAAGGGCACTTATGACGGCAGGCGTCGAATAAATCTACAGAGACAGTAGCCAATTTGTTTCTTGAAACCTGACGTTGCGATATCAACGTCGTGAAAGCCTACCGCAGGACTGTATACTTTTCAAGCGAAGCTTGACCAGGTGATGGTGGTATTAGAAAGGGACAGAAGGAGCTTGGTTGCGCCTTAAGCATGCGCATGAGTAGCCTGGTAGCAACCGTCGGCAAAAGGATTGGACGATGCGGCAATTGAAGAATGTTGGTCTCGGGCGAACGTCGGGTAATTAAGAGAGATTAAAATGCCTTCAGACGAATGAAGTGTGTTGCTAATATCGCATCTGACTCAATACTTCTCGCCTGCACGATCGATTTTATGGTGTTGTGTGCGCGCAAATCGCTCCGAAGAACGGTCATGTCAGACAGCCAAGACAAAAATGTGGCAGCTGCAGTGCTCGGATTCCATCGGCCCTGTCGGCTGCAGGCATCAAGGGCGGTAAGGAACCGTTTGCAGATCGAGGGTCTTCGCAAAACGCGCCCATATTTATTGAGCCACAAAGAGTCTATACGTGGCCGCACAGCGTCACATGCATGTGTTGTACATTGCCGACCACGTCTGCCCGAGTGGGTGAAAATACCCGAGTCTCTGGTCTCATCCGATCATGCAGTCGAATACCTCTAGAAGGATTTGCAGGCTTCCAGGACTTAGCCCCTTTCACAGCGCTGCTACGTGGTACACATAGTCTCGTCTTCTTTTCGGGCCCTCCTATTGGTGTCTCGGCGTGATTAAACTTTGAATGCCGTAGCACCCGGAAGCTTGAGGCTAGACGCCGAGCATATGGGCTATGAAAATTTGTTTTGTGCCGCGGAAATATCGGCATTTCCTCGCGATGTGACCAAGTCTTGAGCAACACGATGTTCAGTCAGAACGCGTCGATACAGCGGTAGATGCATCGGATATTCTCGGTGTGGTCAGCTACGGGAGGCTATATCCTATTCGTGTTGCTGCTCCTACCGCTCACCGTACATTCATGTTCATGTGCTACGCATGGACGCCAGTTCGGTGTCTGGATCGGCGTTCTCCACATTGGCATCGCTGGACATGCATACGTACCGAGTCATGTACATTCAAACTCAGCTACTAGACTAGAATGTTACCTCGCCGCGACAGTCCATCCCAGAAACCCCCAGCCTTTTGGGTTTTAAGCGCATACAGCTGGCTCCCTAAAGCTTTTTGCTGACCCACATCAGACAGAATCAACGCCCAAAAGCTATGCTGAGCGAGCTGGCCTTACTCCTCTCCCTCACTGTCAGTCTTGGGGTTACCGGCCCGCATGTTCAGGAGTGAAGCCGACACACTCCTGAAGTCGAGTGCTGCTCGCGTATGGCCTGACTGAAACGGCTTGGGAGTCGAGTCTGCTGCTAATGAAGACGTTTCTACCCCCACAATTCGTCCTAGAGGAGGTGACAAGTGATGACTTTGTCATTGCGTCGCTTGCGTGGGGCTTCACGCTGGGATTTGGCTGGCTGACCGTATCTGCGGCCATCACTCAAAGCGCTAAGACCTGGAGACGATATGGATCTCGATCAATACACAACACATACATTTGGTTGATTTGGTTGGAGGTTGTTGTGTGTATAATCTTTTCGACGATCTGTTGGCTGTATCTAAAAGGCACGATACCACCGAGGCAGGTTCTTTCCATCATCTAGCCCTTAGACATGCTGACTGTATTTTGCTGACCGGAACCTCTCGATATAGCTTCGCCTTTTACTTCACTATCCTCACAACATGGGCTCTTCAGGTTCAGTTCCTGCTGCAGATCATTATCAACCGTTGCTCGATCTTGCTTCCTGACAAGCGGGCCGCACGGCACTTGAAGTTCGGCGTGGCACTTCTCATCACTGCAATTAACGTATCGGTGTACTGCATTTGGGTTCCGGCGCGGTTACAAATTTCGGAACGATATGTCGTTATTAATGAATACTGGGATCGCACCGAAAAGGTTATTTACCTGCTCGTCGATGCAGCACTTAATTTATATTTCATTATAATCGTCAAACGCGTAAGTGTACCACCGTCTGCTAAGTCCTCTGGTTGATCATGATTAACAGTGTTATCGTAGAATCTGGTGGCAAACGGATTGAAGAAGTACAAGAGACTGACCAACTTCAACATCTTCATCATTGTCTTCTCCTTGTCGATGGACATTCTCATTATCAGCATGATGAGTCTCAAAAACACTTTCGTGTAAATTTCCCCGGGCTACGAGATTTACCGACGTCGAGAGTTGGGAATCCACACTTCGTCTAAGAACTCGCGCTAACTCTTGATTTAGTTACATGCAGTTCCATCCTCTTGCATATATGGTGAAGCTTAATATCGAAATGACAATGGCCGACCTTATCGCCAAGATAGCAAAGAAACAAGAGCGTCTCCCAACATACCATTCTAGCTGGAATCGGAGACCTGGCGGCGGCTCAAGAATGCCCAGCTTCGGCAGCCGCAACAACACAGTACAGCCTTTACCGCCCGCCAGAAACGCCGTGCCTTTCCGAGTGTGGCAGAGCAGCGTATCGGCAGGTATGGACAGCGCCGCGGTCTCTCGCAGGGGCAGCACCAACACCCCAGCGAACGAGTTGACGTTCGTGACCGTCCCCGAAGACCCGATCTGGAACACCGCGAGCCTTACTTCGGGGACGGAGGCCCCGGCTGTGTCCGATTTACCATTGGAGTTGTACATGGTGAAGGAGGTGACGGTGGAGTCAGATGTCGTTCGTCGGTCGACCTTTGCGCCGAATGGAAGCCAAGTCAGCTTGGAAAATAGCTGGGGCCGGGGGTCCCCATCGTCAGGAAGGGAGCGGACGGATGATAGGGCTACATTGCGGGAAGCTTCACCCCCGGTCATATGGGACGGCTCCCCATCCGTGTCTACAACCATAGCCACAGGAAGAAAATCCGACTGATGAGGTCGCTAATAGACACGATACGTGTTCATAAGAAAGGCCAGTATCGTGATTGATCAGCTTTTGACGTCATCCCATAACGATGGTACTCGAGATGGCTGAAGTCATCGTGCTGGTAAGTATACTTAACAGGTTTCCTTCGGAGCAAAGCCCTAAACTTGATCTCTACTTGCGGCCCAAAAGAATATCCGACTGGGTTTCAACCTTTGATTGGAGACCACACAAGCCGAGGAAAATTCGATATCCCTTCATATGTGCCAAAGTGTGTGACAATTTTACGAAGAATCATTCGCGACCTTCTTTCACAACGCCTGTCAGCAATATTCGGGAAAATCGTACCTTTACTGTTGGCCTCTTTGAGTCGGGGCCACGGAGTCACCTAATAGTCTTGTGGGTTGCCTTGGGCCGAGACCTGGGTCCGTCGAAAAGACGCCTAGTATAGCTCAAAATTACTGAAATCTCTTTCGTGAACCGTCATGATCATTACTCTGGGATGCATCCAGTTCTTCCTCAACAATACAGGCAGTCCATGATGCTTGATTCAACCCCATAAGGCCAGAGCAGCTTTCTTCAGAGCTACAATGGCCGGGCCTGAGAACTAGCGATTCTTTCGGATAGAAATCATGCGTTGAACTTCAAGGCCTTGCTCTTCACATCTGCATCTAAATTTTATCCCAGGAATCAGAGTCGAGGTTGGTCGATTTCTACATGCTGTGTGTCGCAAGTATCTGAAAGTCATGGCCTTGCTGCTTTCCTTACCATAGGATTAGGTTCACTAATATGCGTAGTCGTCCATTCCACCTCTACAGTCTGTCTGCAGGTAATTCCATGTGCTGCGAGCAAAGACTCATCGCTATCGTTGCCCTTACTTCCTGTGACTGTAACCTGCGGCTTTGACATCGAACCTTTCGTGATCGTCGTCGTCTGGCAGTATCCGGGCTGGTTCTGCTTGATGGCGTCGACGCCGGTGATCTTGCTGCGCGGCTGCATTTCGATATCATAATGTAAGGCAGAAGATCCCCTCCCATCAACACCGTGGCGCCCGGAGCCTTCCAGTCTGCTCCAATGGCCGTTGTTTTGGTGAGTGCTGCCCCCGCCGATTGTCACTAGGCCCGAGCGGCTTGCGGCACCGTTCCGTCTTTCGTAACCTATGTGTGCACTGTCCTTATTCCCGGATTTGCCCAAAGTTGAGGGCATAACTGATTTGATGACAGGACGAATGATCGGGCCCTATGAATCATTATATTAGTGGTTTAAAATTCGGGAAATCTATGAGTGGAACATCGGCGTACCAAGGTTGGAAGACACGAGGAGACGATCCCACTGCTGATTTCGATAATATTCCAGGCCACAGGAGTAGCCAATGTGAATGGGATATTTTTTGAGCTGTAGTGCAGATATACTGTGAAGCGGTAGATGCTCGTAAAGACGACGTAAGAGCCTGACATGAACATGAAGACAAGGAATGTCTTCTGCGTCAAGTTTGTCCTTAGTCGAAGGACATGCGGAAGGGGCAAACACAGTATACCGATGTCACATAAAATACTCGGTACTGAGACAAGTAATTGCGCCAAGAAGACATTAATGCAATATCCTTCCACCCAAGGTTCCCAAATCTTTGCTCGCGGTGTACACTGGAAAGCAGCGGCAAAGACACCTGCGATGTTCCAGGATGTTGAGAGTCCGCCGAACACGTAGGCCCAGATTCGGACGGACTTGATTGGAAATATACGGAAGTATAGGAACAGGAGAGATATTTTGTACGCGTTGACTCCTGTAAGGTATATAACCTCTGCCCCGACGATAGTCTATCACAGATATTAGGCACGAATGTTGGTCTGATTCTCGAGCTGAGCCTCACCTTATTCAGGGCTTGAAGCTGTGGAAGATTAAGGCGGCCCGAATGCAATCCCACCCCTTGTTCTACCACTACAAAATTGAAAGCTGCGTTTCCGAAGAGCAGCATTAGAGTGGCCAGGGTCAGCCAGTCGTCGGTCCAGAATGGCGCTTTGATTTTCAGTCTCGAGATACATCGTAGCGCTACAACGAGTACCGCAATAACTGTGAAGATGATGGTGATGTTGCGGACCTCTTGCCTCTTGTCCTCTTCCAGTGGCTGTTTTGCGGCAATGTCCGTGAGTTCCTGGAGGTAGGCCCTCTCAGCGGGTGAAAGGCTGGTATCGTTTACCGGATAGTACGCCGCAGTGGCCATATCGACAATATATCTGTGGTGCTGGTCAACTTGAAAGAACTTCAAAGAAGTCCGTGTGCTGTAAATATTTGAAAGTTCTGCTTCGCGAGGAGATAAATAAGGAGTGCCGCTCCACTGTCAAGAATCAAGAGGTGCAATTTTCGAAGTGGGGGATACCATGATCAACATCATCATCTCGATGTGAACCCTCGCATGCGACGGGCCTCGTACCAGTGATTTCCCATGGGGACGGGATTCGCGGATACAACGACGTTGAAACCTTCACGGCGACGTCAAAAGTGTGTGGGTAACATTATCAAAGTCCGTGCCATCTGGTGGGATGATCCCAGCGGGGAAGCTCGGATGCGGAAAGCATCGTTCATAACATGAACATGTAGTTTCATTACAATACCAAGATGGGAGTTTTAGGTGCGTTGTCCGATAGCTAGGCCGCTGAAGAAAAAGGCACCCGGAAATGGCCACATTAACGGGCCTAGAGTACCTTTGCACCGCTTCTTTTGTATCCTATACATCATTCAGGTACAATGAAATAGGGCAACTTTCAGCAGCCTGGCTGCTAGATAGTATAAGGCACGAAGAGGCATTTGTAGGTACCAGCCCTTGTGTTGTGAAAGGAATAGCTTGTTACCTTTCTCAGTAAGTTACCTTGAGGCCATTCAGTGTTGGGCGGAATACTTAGAGGGACGACTAAAGAGTCTGTTATATGACAGCTATCTAATGTGGTAATTGAGACGTCACTTGGGCTTCACGGCATGTGGGCTCAAAGTTTGCACCAAATTGTGTTGATTTGAAGAGTAGGCTGGCCTAAGAAAGAAAGGAAGGAAAGAGAGCTCTGGCGGAGCCCTTGGGGCTGCAGCTGTAGGGTAGGCGGGCCTTATCGATGAGGGTGCACCTGCAGGTACCCGCATGGGGGCCTGCAGTGACCAACCGCCCTAGCCCACAGCCACCAGCCTTAACTGTAATGATCGTGTCCCCTAGCTGACTTGGTGATCCAGATGATCCATCCGTTCCTGACCCAGCCCTGGTTTTGGCATATCTCGTGACTCAGCATCATAGTGCTAGTCGGGCTGCGTCGTGACATCTCCAAGCCCCGTGGGCACCGTGGGATCTCGTCAGCAGTCCCTTTTCAAATTCCCGTCTTCTCTCTCCCCTTGCCTATTCGGCCCTGTCGTCAATGCATGTCCAGGAAGTTTTTTAATTTTGGCACAACTGTCCCCTACTGCTTCAAAAGCTTACAAGCCCGATTTTGCCCTCTTGCACTCAAGCGCAGCACGGCCAAACGTGTCAGAATGGCGTCAAAACCTCCATTTACCAATTTGCAGCTGGTGGAGCGTGTCGACAGGTATGGTACCTCACTTCCCGCCAGGGTAATTCAATCTGATCCTGACATGGAAGCTAGCTGGCCTTACTTTGCCAAAGACCCAGATGCCTATCGGCAGAACATGCAAAACTACCATTACTTTCTCATTGAGGGTTATGACAAGCCCCTCGGCTACGTTCACAACCAATTCGTCGAGGAAATGGACTGGCCAGACTGCTGGAAGATAGATTCTGAAAAGCGACTCTTGACTCTTGTCTCTGCAACTGACTTCGAAACACGAAGTCGACTCATGAACGAGACACTCCGCAAGAATCACAAGTCCCAGAAGGTCCCCGAGTTGGCACGCTGGTCGGACGAGGACTTCCCAATATACTCTGCCACCGGAGAGCATGTCCTCACCATGAACGGGTGTGGCGTAGATATGTTCGGCATTGTCAACTTTTCTGTCCACATGATCGGCTGGGTAATGACTGCTGAGGGTGTCAAGATTTGGGTTCCTCGCCGGGCAATGACCAGGATGAGCTATCCTGGAATGCTCGATAACACCGTTGGTGGAAGTTTGCCTGTGGGAGAGAAACCCATTGATGGCATCGTCAGAGAGTGTGAGGAGGAAATCTGCCTCGATCCAAGCTACACCCGTGCCAACATCAAGCCTTGTGGCACCAACTCCTTCCAGCTAACCCAGACCGACTCGCAACTCACTGCATGCCAACATCAAGTGCAGTACCTCTATGAAATAGAGCTCCGACAAGAAATCGTCCCAAAGATCGGCGATGGCGAGGTCGGTGAGATACACTTGAAGACTGTTGATGAAGTCCAGGAGGCTATGAAAAACGGCGAGTTTAAGCTGTCTTGCAACATGACATATTTGGCATTCCTTATTCGTCACGGCTACATCAATGCCGAGAATGAGCCTGATCTCCCCGAAATCTGCGCTCGACTTCATCGAAAGCACCAGGTTTTTATCGCCTAGATGTCGAGATCTGAGTCACGGCGGAGGAAGATTTTAGGGTGCCGTACTACTATGGCAACCCTCGATACCCGCGACCCCTCTGTCTCGCATGTCGTTGATGATAATGACAACTTCCTCGCCAATATCCTCTTCTGTCTCGACCTGCTCTTCTCCAAGATATGACACGATCATTATATCATCAAAGGCTTGGGGAGAGTACTTGGCGAGCAAGTACTGGACATCTTGGAATGCTATAGGAAGTTCTCCATGTCAGCAAATGGAGGGGCCGAAATTATACTCGAAAGATTGAAATTATTTTAGATCTCAACGGTTACACGCCACTGAGCTGAAGCTCCACACAAGCGCCTCTCTAGGCGTCTAGTCGCTGGGTTGCCCTCTCAAGCTATCGTACAACATTTGCAAAGCCTCGTTGCGGTGGGCCTCGACATCGAAAAAGTGAATGAAGTCCCATCCCCGAGAGAAGTCTCTCTCGAGTTTAGCCGCATTTAGACCAGTTTCGCTGCCTCGGCCGGACCACATAACCCCCTGATCATGGCTCGCCTTTACAACACGCTGAGTTCGCGGCCGGCGGGTGCTATCATAGACTCTGAGGGCGTCTAGAGCTTCGTGAGATGTTTTTGTCTGGCCAAGCAACGTGGAAAGGATGAGCGCGTCTTCGATGGACATGCCGCCGCCAGACCCCAACCTGATTTGCTCCGTCAGAGTTCATTCCCAGACATTCCAAGTATGCGACTACCAAGTGGGCACATATCACTTACCATGGTGTAGTGGCATGAGCAGCATCACCTAGCAAACAGACAGGCCCGGCACAGTACGAAGGAGCCGGGATCGCATGTTCCCAGAGGTACAACGCGGTCTGTTCAGATTTCTCACAGAAGAACTGGTAATTTGTATGCATCTCGTGAGCAATCCCCCGATATTGCAGGAAAAGCTTCTGTTGCAAGGAGCTGGGTGTACGTACCGTTTCGATCGCTTTCAACAAACATGGCGGCCAGTCGTGGCAGATTTGCCTTATTTCATCGGCAGACACAGGACGAGTATGAGCTTCGCCACGGTTTTGATCGAGACAAGCAAGCAGCATGACTACCGCCTGACCTCGGTCGAAAATCGAATACATGGAGGCCACGCCATCGCCGACCCACCCGCGCTGCCAAGTATCGTTGATGTCGAGCAGCTGTTGAGCCTCGCTGAAGGGTTTGATGCTGAAAAGGTTCCACCAGCCCGTGTTCTTTGGATGGGCACATGGATTGTCAGCCCCCAATATCAATTTGCGAACGGTGCTGCGTATCCCGTCCGCACCGACGAGGATGTCACATTCATGGGTTGTCTTGTCGGCGCTGTGACAGAATTAATGACGTACGCAAGGTCAGGGATTCTAAGTCATTATGGAGCAAGTGCATAGCGACTAACAGCGTATGAGATGAAGGTGAGTATATCCATGTCACCATCAGCACCGCAGCTGTCCGGACTCTGGGCCCTGCAGTACATATATATTGAAAAATCGACAGACGTACAAGTGTAGTTCCAAAGAGTCGTCGGGCCTAGTCTCAAAACCTTCAAGCTGTTTGGACGTATGCATTTGCTGTGGGGGAGCATCTGCCAGGAGGACTCTCAGCAATGCCGCTCGGGAAACACTCCTTACGACGTGCTCAACGCATCTCCCCCCCTCTTCACCAACCATCGCGATGGTGCGACCCTGGTCGTCTCCGACTGCCATGGACGCGGTGAATCCGTCCAGTTTGAAGGCGCCTGCGGCCTCGAGACAGGCGACGGCATCGGGGGAGATGAGCGCGAGCGCTTCGAAAGCATTGTAGTGAATGCCAACGCTGGCCCCGGCCTCCCTGAAATTGGGCGCGGCTTCGAAGATGTGCACGTCCAGGTGGCGGTGTTGGCGGAGGGCGTAGAAGAGCGTGGCACCTGCTATGCCACCGCCTGCGATTGCGACACGAATCCTGTTGTGAGGCTGGGTCATCGTGAGTTGATATTTCGGCCGATGATAGGTTGGGGAGCACTTTTGGACTTGTGCTCCTGGCTTCCAAGAAAGCGGGCGATAGACTGAATGCAATGGTTTTAACTGGTGCTGCTTTCGGTGTCGCTTGCCAACGGCAACAGCGCCCTTGACCTGTAAGACTGGGAGTGCCGCTGGGCTGGCAGGTACTAATTACCGGCACAGCAATGCGGATGACTGCCTTTCTGATTTGGTTAATAGCTAGACAGCGCAGCCACCTCTCCCCAGTTAGGTTAGTCGCTGAGCAAGAGGCTAGCGGTATTCCTAATTGGGCAGGTAGTATCACGCACCGACTGATCAGTGGCTCAAAAGTTGTCTTTCGTTCTAATACCTGTGATGCAGTCCGTGTTTCTAATGGTGCTTATGTATGTCGATTCCCCTTTAACGTAGAAAACATAAACCGTATTGAGTTGGGATTTTGATAAAATGCGAGTAGCTGAAGCCCTTTAATCAACCTTTATCTATGTCTATGTACCTATGGCCTTCCCGCCCAAACATGCACTGAAGCCAAAGTACATGTTTGAAATGAACCGAATTCAGAAACTTCGCAATCGCTACAGTCCAAGCAAGCCAGTATTTTCGATAGCACCTCACCTCCCCACCCCCCAAACCCAAAAGAAAACGGTCTCAGCACCTGAGACCCGACGTCAATTCTAAGGAATAGATCACGTCGCCTGAGCTGATGTACAGAAATCAAGGTGACGTGATACAAGTCCATACTATCGTCCTCGCTCGACACTGATCTACATTACACTCTTTTGCTATTATCGGGCAAAGCGGCTTTGGAGTTATTGATCCAGTAGATAGTCTGCATTTGTGAGAACGGTGTTCGTATTGCAACTAATTACAAGATAGAACAAAGGTTGGGTAGTAACTTACATTTAATTTTAACAAGCCTCCTGTGACATGCCATCCTGTCAGCTGGAATCCTTCTCTTGACTTTCAGTAGAGGTGTGACTTCCTCCCATCTCGTCTTGGCTACCTTGATGACGAGGAAGTACAGAATGATCTGAATTATCGTCGCCATCGTTAACCAAGCTCTTATATTTATCAAACCTAGAGCCGTCGTTGTTGATCGGATGCATGCGTGCCATCAAGCTTTCCCACATCGCATCGCCGTCCTCAAAGTCGATCGGGTCAGTTGGTTCTTTGTTTGACTCGATGCTGCTATTAGTTGAACTTGTCCCTGGACTCTCACTGTGGCTGCTGTGGTCGGAAGCTTCCGGCAACTGGAACGCGACTTTTCGTGGTGCGCCCTTAGACGCCGTGTCTGAGCTTGGGGCTACCATCTTGCCCGGAGATGAGTGATCTGGAATCGCGTTGTCTGCCTCACATTCTGAGACCGCTCGGGCGGCTGCATTTGTCCCTTCCTGGACAGATACTCCAGGCAGTGACGACTGACTCTTTTTGGCTTCTGCTTCTGTATATGCTTCCTCAAGTTGCGTTTCAACCTGCTTAAATTCCCTCCATAATTTCAGCAGTTGTTGGTTGCGGCTTAAACTAGATTGGGCGCCATCAACCTCATTAAGCTGTCCAAGGAGGTACGCCTTTCTGGCGGCGAGGTCAGTTATTATCGTCATTGCGGCAGTGCGGATTTGTTATGGACGAATAGAGCTGGAGAAGAGAAAATAGGTTAGAAGAAAAGGTGCACAAGTGTAGCTGATGCACTGATTGAAAGGTATCGTAGTGGTAGTGTCTGTATGGTAAACTCTTTTCTTGGACAGCGAGGTTAGAAGTAAGGATGGAGCAGTAAAATGCAGCGTTGCTCTCGATGGTGGGGTCCCAAGCTTACTTTATAGAGTAACGGCCTGCTCGCTGAGCCTGTTGGTCACGTGCCTGCAATGGACGGCTATCCCATTCTTCGCAATCAAAAGGCTTACTATGTGAAGCAAGATACAAACTGCCATTTAAGACGGACTATATAGAAGATGGTGCGAAAGAGTGGCCCGCTCTATGATGAGCTAAGTACAGTAAAGCAGGATTCTAAAAACAGAACTCAAAACTCTACAACATGCGGTACAAACATTGTGACTTGTAGCGCCTACGCGTACAATTCAGCCAAGCCTAGTTGCGACTGTCGCTCCACACACAATTCTATCCCAAAAGACCAAGTATCTCATCGTTGAGGCCTTTCCGCGGACGGGTTAAACTGAGGTTCACAGTGTTGCCCCCTCACGCGTCTATATTGACGCCTGCCATGGCTGGTACCAACGTATTCTTCTCTTACGACCTCTGCCTTGCAATGTTCATGTCCACAGCCTGGGGTGCCGCATTGATTGTGAAACCCGTCGACAGAATCGCCGTAGATGATGTTTCGGCAAGTACCACAAGCCCAGCCGATAAATGGAGGTGCGCTTGACTTGGAGGAGCCGCTTCGACGACTCCGCTCGCTGGACCTAGAACGGTGGCTCTTGGGATAAGTTGCTATTAGCATTACCTTGGAAGTAGGTCTTCTTTGGCTTCTGCCTAACTGGTTCTTTTTGACCTTTGCGAATGCAAATGTAGACCGTCAGCGCGGCACAACTGTGGAACACGGCAGAGCAACGGCCAATCACATGTTATGGACTCTGCATGGCATTCCCGTTTCGGCATCCAGTACATCGGAAACAAGCAGCAGGAACCGGAACACTCAGCCATGGGGATGACCAACGTAGCACAAATGTCTTCTTGAAAACTTTCCGTTCAGATTGCATCTCCATAAGAGTGCGGAGCACTTTACACGCGTTCCCATGGTGACTGCACTGGCTTGTGCATGGAATGTCTAAGGACCGCGCCGGACGAGACATAGTGTCGACGCCTTCGTGTCTGTTCCTCGTTGTGGACATGGAGTCTGCTCATTCATGAGTTGCCATGTCTCGGGTGTTGGAGCCGGTCGGAGGGTTTGCATTCTTCAAGTACTTAACGGCCGCCCAGTTTGCTGGGCTGAGCGAATAGGTTACCAAGCCACTATCACGCACGACGCACAGGACAAGCCTCTCCACGTTTCTGGAGGGACCGAATAACAACGGGACTTGGCACGCTGGCTGTGTTGACAGCCTTGTGACAAGATGATGGTTGCGCGATGCAACCCACAAAGCTGTCATCCTTGATTGTCTCCATTGGAGACAGTTCCACGATTGAATCATGATTCCTTTCTTTCACTTTCGTGGGCTCCTTTCTTCATGATTGAGATGAGTATGCTCCCTGACCATGCGGCAGAAGCCGGCAACATTCGTTTTAAAATATTTCTTTTCACTGTCATGTCTATTCCCTGCTCTGGTTGTAGCCCAGGCGAGTTGCTGCGCTGATGCGTGCAGGGCTGCGGCTGATTCATTTTTCTCCCTCAATTGCCCTGTTTACAATATCGGTGGATTTGTGGGCTTGACTCCCATGGGCCTCGCTCAAGCTTGTACAGGAGGTGCTCCTCAGATCTCCAGCGCCTGTACCTGCCTGACCTCGTCAGCATCGTACTGCAACTTTCTATCCAGCTCATCGGCCGCAGCAGCTGCTGCAGCGTCAAGGACATCTACAAAGACAACAACCACCTCTTCGTCCTTGACAACAACTTCTTTGGCCACTTCGGCGCAAGTTGGAAGTGGTGGAAGCTCTCTGCCTTCCAGCACGGGGATATCTTCATCGACGACGGCGAGTTCCAGGACAGTAACGACCCAATTCAGCTCATCTTTTCCGAGCCATTCCAGCAGCAGCTCACTTATTTCGTCATCGACTAGCAGTAGCAGCTCACCTCCATCCAACAGCTCATCCCTATCCAGCAGCACCACCAGCACCACCAGCACCAGCACTACCAGCACCAGCAGTGGTAGCACCAGCACCAGCACCAGCAGTGGTAGCACCAGCACCAGCACCAGCAGTGGTTCTTCTGTTTCATCGTCGAGCAGCAGTTTCTCTGCTTCGTCGACAGCACAGCAAACATCCAACATCAGCACCAGCTCAAGTCTACCAAGCCTCAGTTCGACTGCCACACAGCAGACCGCATCGTTTAGTAGCAGTTTTGCCAGCTCCACCACCTCAAGCTTCTCGACTGCCTTGGCTTCACCTCCACTGACCTCCACTGTTGCAAGCTCTAGCGCTGTTACTTCACCGAACCAGGTCACAACGCCAATGATAACAACAACCCAGGCTCCCGCTTCGTTGACCAGCGTGATGTATTCGTCCCAAAGTACATCTCAAACTGAGAGTGACACCCCGAAAAGTACCGGAGCGACCTCGTCACGATCACAGTCCTCCCATATAGTGTCACAAGACGAGTCTAATTCTTCAAACTCGATTGAAGTCTCACGATCCAGCAGCGAAGACTCCCGGGGAACATCCTCGAGCATGGTTGTATCGTCGTCGAGCCAGTCGAGAAGTCTAGGCAAGAGTGAAACAGCTAGCCTGACATCAGACGTGCTCACCAGTACCTCGGGGTCGATGATGCCGGGCAGTACCTCAAGTGATGGAGGGTGGACTTCAGCTTCAAATCTGAACAGCTTGCGGGACAGCTCATCACCTGGAGGTAGCTCTAGTGGGATAGTTCCAAGCACACGCGCTTCAACTTCGCAGGAGGGCTCAACGACCGTTGTATCCAGCATCACGGTAGACACAAGTGGCACATTTCCGTTATCGCCCTCGACTACCACTGTGACTAGTGAGCTTTCACAAGGTAGCCCGAGAGATCTCTCTTCGACAATGATAGACATATTTAGTACCACATTTGTGGAAACCTCGGTATCAGCGCCCAGCTCAGCTTATTCGATGTCGCCATCTGGGAAAAGCACCAACATATCCACAAGTCATGGCCAAACCACAGTCGAGAGCTCGTCTACTGCTAGTCGTAGGGTCTCGAGCACTAGAAGCGGTGACCAGACATCGGCATCAGACTTCGTAGCCGTGCTGAGCAGTAGCTCTCTGGTGTCGATCAAGTCACCAACTTCAAGCAGCGAGGATGGGACGAAGTCTCAAGCATCAAGTTCCGATTCGCTCCAAGAGATGCATTCCACCGTGCTTACCAGCTCTGAACAAGACAATAGTCAAACACAATTGATGACATCGACTGGTGGTAGCACGCCGTCGACACAACTCAGTGTGCAGACGTCTTCTCAACAAGTCTCTGATAGCGCCATATCTGCTGTGTCTTCGACATTTCAGGATCTGGGAGTGCCTTCGATAACATCGAGCTCCATGTCACAGATCCACTCAGATAATACCTCCCCTATATCTACCAGTTTTCAGTCAGAAGCATCCACAATGACGAGCTCGATCCCACTTACTCACAGCACCTTGTACATGGGCGCGACGTCCAGCGGGACAACATCAATCACCATTTCAGAAAATGCCCTATCAAGCATCATTCAGGTCATCACGACCTCCTCTCCACAGTATTCATCCGCCAGCGTCACCAAACCAACTGAGGAGAACTCGAGCTCCTACATGACAACCCGATTGGTTCCCTCCACCCCTGCTTTAACGAGCCCAATAAGCAACGAAGTGCCGACCGTTACTAGTGACAGTGCCTTTGGATCCTATTCAACACCAGCAGGCCCTAGCATGACACAAAACTCTGAGCCAAATAGTTCAAGTAGCAGCTGGCAGCCGAGTAGCAACGATGCAAGCCTAATTAGCTCTGCTATCGGCACAAGCGAGTTCTCCCGAAGCGGATTAAGTAGCCATATGCTCACAGAGAACATTACGCCAAGTACAAGTGCTTCTTCTGCGGACACCGTTCCTTCGATTAGCAACAGTGAATCTTCTTCCTCGATCAGAATGCAATCAACGACCAGCGAGCCTGAACTCAGCTACCACATAAGCCTCTCGACCATTTCTGGCGACAGTTTCGCGGCAAGTACAAGCCAGGAGAGTCCGACTGCCACAGGGTCCACATCCACAACCACGGCTCTTGAGCCGACATCCCTAAGACCAAGCAGCATGCCTTCTGGTGATAGCAATGTCCCGGAGTTGTCCACACCAGAGACGCCTACCGCAGCTTTGAGTACTGAGAGCTCTTCCACCACTACTGGAATTGGCCACGAGCCTAGCAGTACTTCAACCTCAATCCAAAGCAACACACACTTACAATCGACCTTTGCCTCTTCAATTCGTCCGGACTCTAGCAGCAACACTGGACCCGGCAACATCACTCCTTCACCGTCCGGAGGATCCCAGACTGAGTCAACCTCGAGTGACAAGTCTTGGACAAAGGAAATTAGCAGCATGGATGCTATGGAATCGATAACGTCCTCCTATTTTGGTCTGACGGGGTCAGGTAGCATTGACATAAATAGTGCAGCGTGGCCAAGATCGTCGCTCACGCAGCCTGCGGCTACAAATTCATCGACGGGTGTTGGTGTGTCTGGATCATCCGTAGACCAACCTCTGTACACTGGTCAATCAGCCACTGAACAGTCTACCGAACAGTCTACTGAACAGTCTACTGAACAGTCCTCAGGCGCCATTCTCAGCCCAACGTCATCGGCGACGGAGATTTTTGTGGTTCAAAGTAGTGCTGCATCCGCAGTCTCAGGTGACACAGCTATACCAACCTCCCTAGGTTCTCCCGGGCCTTCTAAAAGCAGAACTAGCACGAGTGAGCCAAGTTCATACTCAACCAACGCATCCTTTGGCACTACTACCTCTGGAAATTTAAATAGCAACGCCACTTCGGAAAACCTATCTTCAATGGGAACCAGTGCGAATTCGGGCGCCAATTCGCTGGTTTCGCCTTCCACTCAAAGCTCCCAGGACTCCCTACCCTCATCATCTTTGGTGTCTGGAACCGCTGTCGACTCTCGGAGCCAGGGCAACACGCATGTAGCTTCAATTTCGACGCTCGACTCCGATAGCCTTGCAACGTCTTTTGTTTCCAAGATAGCTAGCCCAACAGCGTCGTCCGAGTCCTCGACCAGTGAGCTTTCGGATTTGTTCAGTTCCGCAACTCGAGAAATCTTTGTCACACAAAGCAACAGCGGGACCTTCTCAGCTTCAGATTTCACCACTACGTCCGACACTCTTGCGATTTCATCCCTTGGACAGAGCTCAAGTGCTTCAGGCGCCCTAGGAATACCAGGAGGTCCTTCGGTCGACTCTCATCAGGCTACTGCGCCCAATAGCCTTTCCACGCCCGAAGGAAACAACAGTACAGTGCCCAGTCGGCCGGCGTCTATTGATGGATCTCAATCAAGGTCTGAAAGCGATAGCTCCAGGTCATTTTCGACATCGACAATGGGCTACAGCAGCTATCATGACACAAGATCAGCGATATCAACATCACCCACCAGCAAAGCTAGCAGCAATATCATTTGGGCCTCAAGTATGGTGGACAACTCAACAACCAGTACGACCGTCGTGAATACAGGGCTCCGTTCTGAGAGCGATGTGCATTCGACTCCCTCAGTGACCCAGTCGGAGTCATTGCTACTATCTACTGAGCTCCAAGCGTCATCAAGTAGAAACTCTATGGATACCTCCTCCCCACAACCGAGTACTGGCCAGTCCAGTCCATCTTCTAGAACATTCACAAACTCATACCAAGAAAGCGTCAGTTCTCGTGTCCATATGTCCGGGCAACTGACAAGCGACGCGAGCAGGACGGGCGCCGATCCCAGTAGCCGTCCCACTTCATTTCTGTCATCCAGCAGCTCACTCGATATTATCGATCTTTTCTCCACAACAAAAATTCAAAGCAACGTTGTTGTAATTTCTGGGTCCACATCGAGCGCTTCCGCCACGCTAAGTGATATGTCTGATGGAACACAGTCTGACTTTAATGTTGTGTCCTACGAAAGCGGTTCAGCATCAATTATAACAGTTTCTCAAAGCCATACTAGCAGTATTATTTCATCAGAGTATTTTTCCCAGAGCATCACAGCAACTACAACATCTTACTCTGGATTGTACTTCCAAACTATCTCGAGCTCATTCCCGTCAAGCCGCAGCTCAGAAACACACCCTACTGGAGGCTACACGACAGAAATGGAGAGCTCGCTCATGCCCCCATCTGGGCCATCGTCGAGGTCCTTAGCTGACTTCCAAAGCACAAGGTCCAGAATGCCTGGCGATGACAATTCGACGAGTATTCAATCGTTAAGCGCTGAGTCGTCATCAATACCGACTGTGGGACCACTTACGACTTCAACCGCTAGTGATAGAGAGCTGCCGTCGCAGGAATCGGCCGGCGGAATCAGCAGCAATTTAATCGGTTCTATCAGCTCGTCTACCGTGAGTCGCGTCATGCTGACAAGACCTGCGTCAACAGGAGCTTCCCAAGCACCTACAAAAGAAGACCTAAGTGCATCCGGCAGCACTATGCAGCCTTCCACCTCATCGGTGACAAACAGCATTCACGAATCTGCATCGATGAGTATAACAGGCGGGCCCACCGTGTCACGCATGCCGGCAGAGCATACCCCGTCGAGCCTCGTTAACGGGACAACCGATTTTGTCTCATCTTCATTGTGGTTATCCAGTTATCAAGGCACACTGCTTCCCGCCTCAGCCCTATCCTCTCGGCCCATCAGTATCGTTTCCATCGGGATTTCTGGCATCCATTCTGATACCCCAGCCCCGCAGGCATCTGACTTTTCTTACTTATTGCCATCGGAGGCTTACTCGAATTCTCCTACCAATCCAAAGCCATCGACTTCTCACATCTTGTTGTCAACAAGTGGCGTATCATATAATCTTTCATTTCGTTCAACCGTGCATGATCTCAAAACATCTATATTTGGAAGCAATGAAGCCTCGCCATCTGACGACATAACTCAGTCGGAGACACCCTCCCACTCATCAATCTCTTTTGTGATACCAAAGTCCACAACGACTGCAGAGTCTGGCACATCCTCAGCTGTTTCTGTCACTTCTGGCGTCGGAGTTTCCTCCATTGTGTCCCTCTCTCCGGGAGGTTATCCCACCACGACTTTGTCAGATCCGTCCGTAGATTCTTTGGTTTCGACGTACAGCCAGCAAGCCTATTCAATGACGACTTCGACAAGGAGGACGTCCAGCAGCACCAATCGACGGGTCATGACATCTAACGGCACCGTCAAGGTCAGCGTAGTCGTGTCGTATACCTCAACAATCACCATTTCCTTGTCATCCGATTTTCTAGGTTCCAGTCAAGGCAGCGGCGGAGATGGTCAATTGTCTGGCACAGCGACCTACCAGCCACTGAGCCGCTCAAGCAGTGGATCGGAGAGCTTGACCAGTCCTAACGTGCCCGTTCCACCTCCCAGTCCATCATCCGAAAGCCTTTCTTCGACGTCTCTTGGATTCCGATTACCCACCAGTACTAACACTACGGGTGACTCTGTGACGTCTGAAGCTTCAACATCCTTGACAGAGCGTACGAGCAATGAAAAGCTCTCAATCACGTCTCGATCATCAACATCAACTACTTTGAGGATACGCAGACCGCCACGATCTGAGGCGTCAAGTCCACCAACAGCAACTGATTCGAAACCGCCATCTTCGTCCAATACCAGCCAGCAGCCCACAAGCTCCGCCGCTACTCCATTATGTTCGGTCACGGTCATTCTTTTCCTGGTCAGAGAGACCAGCACTGTGCCTTGGGGGATAGCCGAGACGACAGTGGCGGAGTCACCTACGGATGAGTCTACCTCGTCGTATGAATGCCTGCCTGTGACTAGGACAATTGTGACCGATCGGAGCACGATTTTGAAATCGACTGAAACGGTGACGATTACTTCAAGGTCCGGTACTCGTGGGCTCACAAGCTGAATGAGCGGAGAAGTAGCGCATCGAAGGCTCCGAGGGTTTCTGCCCTAAGTTTGCAGACACCAGATACCCACTTAGGTTTACCAAGGGCATTAGAGTATTTAGTTGAAAGGTTCTAGATATAAGTTATGACAGATGCTATCTAGCACGTAGGTAAAGCACGAGGCTCTTTGTGGAGCACTTGACTCTGACTCTGGTCTCTTTCAGCTATGGCTTCTATTCAGTTCTTGGAAAGACAGTCCAGAAAACCAGGTGCTTTCAATCGTAGAAAGCAAGTTCTTGATTTCTGTCGGGTTCATTTAAGTATGCTATGATCCGTACAACGCGTAGATGTTGCCTCCTTCCTAGCTATCCTCGACATTTCTAGACATGGCAATCCCCAGGACCCTGGGCTCGATGCTAACTGCTTTGCCCTCAACAGTCGTGATCAGGAACTCATCCAAACCCACTCCACCGTATGTGAGCGCGTCTACGGTGAACCATGAGTCGCAAATAGGGGACAAGGGCCCAGGACCAACCGTTCTGGTTGAGGTCTGGTACACAGCTCTCCACGCGCTAACAGTGCCGTTCGAAGATTCAGTCTCCAGGCCAGAGTAATATAGTCGTGCTGTAGTGTTGGTGCCTTTCAGTTGCTCAAGTAGCAGGAGTACATTTCGTCCACCAAAAGACCACTCCTCGACTGTTAGCCCGGGCTGATCATCCTCTGTCACAAGGGTAATGTTTGAGGCGGTCGCCTCATCCGAGAAGGCACCTGCGTAGACACCAGCCACCTCGGTCCTGGCCGCCTCCCTCACAGACGGCACGAACGTATCCACCAAAATGTCCGCGAGAATGCGGGTATTGTCCGTGGCGGACTCACCTGCCGATAGCACAGTAAAGCCCACCTTCATTTCAGGAATGAGTATCACATATCCCGAATACATACCCAGATCGCCCGCCTTGGTCATCATCATCATGTATGGCTCGCCCGGAGCACGGTAGATCTCCCATGGCGCTCCGCCCGCGGCGTCGGGGTTGGACAGGAAGGAGTGCGGCTTCATCCAGCGCCGTGTCACGGCCGGAGCGAGCTGCGCCGAGCCGAGCATCGCTTTGCCGACTTTTCTCATGTCATTTGTGGTGCTGAAATAGCCACCCGCGGGTGTCAGGTCGAGCAAGTCGGCAAACCACCAGCTTATTGAGGCGTTGTATGGGATGATCGATGTGTCAGGAGTGGTTGGTGGGCTGTAAGACGTCGAGGTGAGGTTTAGGGGACCCACGAGGTTCTCGTTGAACATCTCGTGCATGGGCTGGCCAGTGATGTTTTCAAGGGCGTACCCTAGGATCTGAAATCCTGCGTTGGAGTAGACTGGTGTCTCGTATGATGCGACGACAGGATGCTGTGTTGGGAAGTCTGTGAAGAACTCTTTGTTTTGACATGGTGTTAACCGCACGAACAAAGACTAGGCTAACATGTTCCGCGGAGTGATACTCACGAGATCGGTTGCAAGGTAATGTGACCAATGCCGGATCACCGCATGTGGATCTGGAGGCGTCACTCTGGCTGGGTATATCAAGTGCGTCAAACACCTTGGCCAAAGCTGCTGCGTGTGTCGGGTCCCTTCCGATGCCAGCCAGGTGGCTTGCCAGAGCCCCTACAGTGATCGACTCCCAGTCCACGTTGGTTGCAGGGTCAAGTTTCTGCGTCTTGGAGATTTCTTCCAGATCGGGCACATATTTCGTGATTGGGTCGTTCCAGGACTGATCGCCAGCTGCTATCAAGTAGAGGTACACAGTCCAAAGCTTCGACACGCTCCCAATACGGTAGATAGTGTCCGAGTCGACCTCTTCGACGCCGGCTGTGCGCTGGCTCAGTAGCTGGGCTGGTGTGAAGTGATGGGTGAACAAGGAGGCCTCGTCGTCGAGAGAGTAAAAGTCCACAGAAAACGCTGTCGTATCGGTGTCGAGTGGCCCATACGCTGTTGTCTCGTTCCTAGCCGCGAGAAGCTGCTCTCGGACTGAGTCTGCTGCCGCTTGGATATGCTTGCTGGTGGCCAGGCCCGTGGGCGCCGGATAATTCTGGTCATAAAGAGGGCATGGCTGGGTGTCAATAACCGTGGCAGCAGATGTTGCTGCCAACACGGCTAATGATATCCTGAATGAAAGTGGCATAATAGACAAATTCCGGGCATGTAGCAAGTGGAAGGCTTGTACAGGCGTACAACCACCATCCGAAACGTCCAGAGACGAACATTTATAAGTTTGCTCTTTTCTAAATGCGTAACTTCTTCGATCCTTGCTCGCTGTCGAGTGATCCTCGTCTAAGCCACATGCTGGGCTGTGAACTCCTTGTCTCTCCTGCGACCATCAAAGTGCGCACAGGTAGGAGCCACGATTCAATTGCTGAACAAGTTGGTCCTAATTTTCAGTCAGGGATGTCTGTAAGTGAACATGATGTGGGAAGAGACGACGAAGTCCGAGCAAGACATGGGTAAGGTCCGAACACAGCGAGGGTTGGATTCTGTGGCTTACGCCGTCGGGGCTGAGCAGCGAATGCTTGGCATCGGACTGGGTGGGTCCAGTGCGAGCGACGCTATCACCATTTCGAGGATGCTAAGTAAGCAGATCTAGATCCCCTTTGGATGTCATGACTTCTTCGCCCTGCAAGCTGAGTTGCTAGTGTCTATGTGGTTGTTCTGATGGTTCGATCTTGCTGCCTTAATCAACGCGCCACCATGACAGCTGAAGCCAGCCCTGAGCAACAACAACTCTTCCCTGCAAAGACTATTTTTTTCGTAACATTTATTCGTCCCTGGTCAACAGGAACGGTGTGCAGGCACACCACGAGCACTGCGATCACCATCGACCACCATGTCTGACTGCGTTGAGTTTCGCAGACTCATGTCGACAGTAAGGATACCCGGAAAAGACCTCAGGTATAAAGGGAATTGAGCAGCAGACCGATCGTGCCAACACCACGCGAAATATCGTTCGCCGCTGGAAACATCCAGACAATCACCTAAAAGCAATCGAAAGTCCTCCGTCGACAATTAGTCTAAGAGCCTGCCAGATGTACCATATGATTTTGCCAGGCTCAAGCACGAGGAGCTGCTCTGGCTAACATATCTTTGTGCAATCCGACTGAACGGCCTGCCAACCTCGACATTCTCCACGGAATCTTCAAAGTATTATTGTCAAATTAGCAGAAGACTTCCTGTGCGAAGACTAGCATTGTCCATTATCTCATGCTTCCTGCTCGGGAGACAGACTCTTAGCGCCTTCAATGAAAGGCCCTGTACGTCAGTCGCATTCTATTATGATGCTTTCCTCTGCCTATGCGGCATCTTTGAGGGAAAGCCTTGTAAGTGAGAGCCTGATCGCGGGTGAAAAAGCGTTCTTCTGACACTAAAATGCCCCATTGATGACCGGTTCGCCACCTCAGACTCGTACCGATCTCTGTGTTCAGCTCGCTTCCCTTCCTATTTCAGATTGCCATTGTCAAGCGGGATCTCGCGTGGGAACGATGAAATCGCTTCCAAGATAGAATCAACGCATCGATTGGGCAAATGATAGAGGACGGCGATGGTCAGAAGTGTCCTTCAAAAGCAACCTGCAAGTCGATGCAGTGAATAAGTTAGCGGGTCTCTTAGCTCCGTGTCTGACTCTGGTCTGTAGCTCGTGACGCCATTTTCAAAGCGTGCAATAGATGCGCTCGTTCGTAGTAAATGTTACGTTCGTGCTGACCTCAAGTGCTCGATATCCGGTGCTTCGATAAGACTCTCATTTCAGGGTGCCTCCATCACTGAAAAAGGGCCCCAATGCGAGCAGCTGTTGCGACGTTGACAGCACAGTAGCTTTGCAAAAAACAGAGAAATATTGATTGAAGTAGTCCGCACAGGCCCTTATCCCGTGCTGCGGCGCCAGAACGGCCCGATTCATCCATATTAAAGCCGGCTGGAAACAACCAAGCACAGCGCCTTTCTTTGAAATGCCAAGATATCAGACCGCGGATGCTGCATCCCCGAATTAACTCTTTTCGGTGCCGCGGTCGAGGCAATTCCGGGACATTCAATCAGGAGGACCAAAGAAAGCCAGTGCTGTCACTTCATATCTGCCCTTCCACCAGTGTTATTCCACCGCGATGTAATGGTTCGCTTTTCGGCATCACCATGTGGCTTCCCTCACCACGTTGCCCCCACGAGGCAGGCGTTCTAAGGCGGCTAACAGTTCACCGCCGGCCTGGACTGCCGATCGCTGGCGATCCTTGAGATCGATAAATGCAAGGCTTGTGCGCACTCGAGAATTTCAATGGTCTACTGTATCACCACAAATTAGTCTTTCTAACCGTTCCCACAGCTACACCGCAGCGATGATCGCCTCGATTGCTCTCTTGGTAAGCGGCCTCGCCGCCACGGTGCTCGGCCACGGCATGGTCACGACCTTCAAGACCGATGGTGTCTCAAACCAGGGCTTCATTTTGGACTATTACTACGACAAGAAGAATGGCCAGCCCGTGCCCGACATTGCTGCCTGGTACGCTGAGAACCTCGACAGCGGCTTCGTGGCACCCAACAACTACGGCACTCTGGATATCAACTGCCACATCAACGCGACTCCAGGCACGCTCTCGACCACGGTCTCAGCCGGCGGAAAGGTCGAGTTCGATTGGCCTGCGACCTGGCCTCATCCATACGGTCCAATCATCACGTACGTTGCTAAGTGCGCCGCAGATTGCACCAAGGCCGACAAGTCAACGTTGAAGTGGGTCAAGATCGAAGCTGTTGGCAGTAAGTCGTTCTCTTTTTCGATTCGTGCCTCCGCGATGGGCTCGGTACGGATTTTAACGACATCTTTCACAGTCAACTACACCACACAAAAATGGGCGTCCCAGACCCTGATCGACCAGGGCGGTAAGTGGACCACGACCGTGCCCAAGTCGCTGGCTCCCGGCAACTACGTGTTCCGCCACGAGATCATCGCCCTGCATGGTGCTGGCTCGCTCAACGGCGCGCAGAACTACCCCCAGTGCTTCAACATCAAGATCACGGGCTCTGGTACTGCCAACCCCACCGGCACCTTGGGCACGGCTCTGTACAAGAACACAGATCCTGGTATCTACTTCAACCCTTACACCACCATCACGAGCTACGCCATGCCTGGCCCAACGCTGTGGACTGGTTAAGCAGGATTGACTGGAGGCCTTTGGAATTCTTGTATATACGATAGTTCGCAAGCGTCGAGAGTGGCTTGGGTGGGGAAGATGGAATCAAACGCATTCATCGTTTTTTGCTCCACCTTCTTCCCATCCCTAGCGGCGTCATTCATATACAAATATACCCACAAATGAACGCAATCTAGTTCTCGCCCCATGGAACCATCAATTTTAGCTAGTCAGCCTCGCCGTGATCTCGCTAGCAATCAGCGTCATCAGCGCCTTCGGCGTAGGGCCCTGCCTCGCCGCCTCCGAAACCACCGTATCGTGAAGCTGGCCGTGCCCTTCGACAACAGCACAATCAACACCTTGAGTTTGAAGTTTCTCACCGAGTAGCTTTCCGGCGTCGCGGAGCACATCGGCACTGCCAACCACGATCAGCGTCGGCGGAAACTGAGCCGCCACCTCATCCGGCATCGACCTCGGCGACCCCAGCACGGACGCCCGGTCCTCCTCGCGCGGCATGTAGAATCCTGCCATGCCACGCAAGATTGGCTCGGAGATGAATGGGCCTCCAAATAGCTCGTACTCTGATAGGGTCGGAGGCGCGTTGTAATCTGCTGAGGTTATAGGGCAGATGAAGACATTAAAGGGAATTTCAAACTCCTTCCTTTCGATGGACATGATGTTCAGGCCGGCTGCGAGATGACCTGTCATCTTGTTAGTGTGCTTCGCGTGACCCAGTTTCCGGGGAACTCGTCGGTCGGACTCACCGCCTGCACTGTCTCCTGCCAGTGTGAAGTTCCTCCCCTGGAGACCCAGCGACTCGCCGTTTTCTGTCAGCCACTTGAGAGACTCGTAACACTGGTTATGCTGCACAGGAAATTGAACTTCCGGTGCAAGCGTGTACTCTGGAAACACGACAGGGAAGCCAGTGCGGAGCGCGAGGTCTCTCACGATGCTGTCGTACTCTTCAATGCTGTTGGATGGAGCAGAGTCAGTGGAGCTCTTGAATTATGTCCTAATTGACCTACCTTCCAACAGACCATCCGCCGCCGTGGATGAAGAAAATGTATGGTAGCGGCACATCTTCACTCAACCCCTCCGTCTTGTATATCCAGAGCTCCACACCGTCCTCTACAGGCGCTGTGAAGTTGGTTCTGTCCACTCCGGGTAGCTTCTCGTGCTGTTGCGACGGCGCAAAAGTTGCCAGGTACTCCGTGAGCGTGAGACTGGCAAGGATTTCAGGCGAGGTGAGATTGGCCAAAGCCTGGCTCAGCGGGTCAAGGTAGGGCAGTGAAAGCGCAGACATTTTTGATACAGTGCTTGGTTGCGCTTAAAAGATTGTACGGAGCAGGCAAAAGATGTTCCAGGGATGCAAATCAATGCACAAAACATCTTGGAATGCCTATCTCCCTTTATAATAACAAACTTTGCGCCATGATCGTGGTTCCCACTTTGGTGTTTTGTTCCGCAGTCACAACATCACGGAAGCAGGACTAAGCTGATCTGAGGGGTGAGATAGGCGTGGCGTCTATTTCGCACAAACTAAAAGGTAAGATACATATATACCGTGCAGAAGGATGATAGAACGTGATAGGATGGATAACTGTTATAGGCCCAGTCCTGACTGTAGCCTGCTCCTACAACAAGCGAGACTGCTAGTAATAGCTTGATGGGGCAAGTTGGCACATAATTGCAAGATACCTCCAAAAGTAGTCAAGTGATTGTCAGAATGCTCGGACATATGGTGAACTCCCACTTGGAGTAAATCCGACCCAGTCGAATGGAGCCCGTTGGTAATTGTTGAAGGATCACCACCTGGCATGTGAGATAAGACTAAAATCCGCTAACACGCTGCATGCATATTCTCGCTTTCGCGTCATAGCCGTTTTTTCTTGCAACATTCTGCAAAGATATAGCGATCGGTTCTCAGAAGGTCTTACGGTGTAGATGCGTGAAGATGGAGGCTTGAAAAGAAACAACACAAGATTTAGGCGACGCAGGTGGAGTTGAGAATCATCTGTACTGCACTGAATCTACTCCATCTAATCAAATCCGTTAGGGAACCAGTTGAGCGGTTGTCACTACGAGCTAGGCGGTAGTCAGAGTCCGTACACAAAATGCTAATCCTAGAATGGTCAACCCTGACTACCGCCCAGCCCCGTAGTGACTACCGCTTAACTGGTTTCCTATTTTGCACGCTTGCTGTTTTGTCTGCCTGAGGTCCTGCTATAAGCCGCATTATTTTGATCGCTCCACCTGGTGACATTCACAGTCAGATGCAAGGCTTCCACAGCTGCTTCTCTCGCAGCGAAGTTCTGCTTCAATTGCCGCGACGCCGCGATCTACCAATTTGAGCCCGAACGGACCCACACGGGGAACAGATTACAGGTGGCGGGGGGTAGAAATGTCTTGGCGGGGGGTACAAAATGTGGGTCCTCACCAAAATTGACGGGGGGTAGAGACAACATGCTTGCAGCATGCGGGAACCAGTTGAGCGGTCGTCACTACGGGCTGGGCGGTTGTCAGGGCCCGTGCATTAACCCTAACCCTCTCAAAAAAGCCAAGGCCTGACTACCGCTCAACCCGCAAGAATGTACACTGGGTTCACACCGAGTTTGCAATAAGTTTACACTTGCATCTTGCTTATTTAGAGGATTACAAAGAGTACCGAGTTAAGCCTCAAGTAGTGCTTAAGCCCAGCCTACTGGCCTCTTGCTTCACGCTTATCCCTTTGCCCTATCCGGCCCTTTTTTTTAATTTAATTACCAGCTTAAGTTTAAACTCAGTGTGCACTTTTGCGGGTTGAGCGGTCGTCCGGGTCCGTGTACAAAATGCTAGTCCCAAATTGGTTAACCCCTGACGACCGCCCAGCCCGTAGTGACAACCGACCAACCGGTCCCGTAGTGACTACCGCTCAACTGTATGCCCATTTTGCAAAATGGCTTTAACAAAAACACCCGGAGGCGAGGACCTGTACCTGTTTCATGGATGCATCGTTCCATGGTCACATCTGGAGACAGAAGCGGCTTGGAGGCTCACGCAGGCCCCCTGTGTTTGAAGGATTCGGCGCCAGTCCCGAAGTAAACAAACGAGGCCATCCTCGAGCCCTCCGGGGGCGGAAAATGTTTCGGCGAGGACCGAATCGGCCCCAATAAGCCAAGCCGGGTTATTCTGGGGCTTTGCTTGACCAACAGTGCCCACGTGTTTAGTATCGCCTATCCAGTAAGCATCGTGCCATGTCCGGAACATTTCCGTTGGCCGGCCGGCCGGCCACCACGACGCCGATCCCTCGACAACGGGACCATGTGCATTGGAGAGCTCGAAAACCAATTGTATGCAGCGGCCTTTCTTCTTGCCTGCCTTTCTCGACTTGCCGAGCTCGGCAGCGTTTCCTGATGGCCAGTTTGGTTCTGTGTACAGCTCTCCCAGGAGCCCGCGCCGAAGGCCTGCTCCTGTCATCTGCAAGCACTTGGCAGGCCCCGAGACGGTTCAACCAATCGATTCCTTGGCCTTGCTCTCCCCTTGAAGAGATGCAGACCTGCTGACGGCCACCAATGGTACGAGGTCGGCGAAGGCAACTCACAACATTGCGCCGCTGTCTGAAAATCGGTGTGTGTTCAAATCGCATATAATGACGGCTCCTCGCCATGATGAGTCTGTTTCTCTATCTACCACAAGCAACACAGCAATTAGTCTCTTCACACCTTCACTTTCTTTTCTTTTTTCTGTCTCTTGACGAGATACTAGCTCCTGGAGAGTTAGATCCATTCTTTATTGCCCCCCACAGTCTTTACATCTTCATCTCAACCAACTTATTTTCATTCCTTCATCACACTTGCTGCGCAAGGTGTTTTATCTCATTCTAATACTAATTCATAATGAGACTGCCAACTCTCGCTGCGATTGCCTTCGCCGCAGGATCTGTTAATGCGGCTCCTCATGTCTCTCGCCACCGTCAGCGCACAGTCAAACGCGCTGGTGACGTGGGAGACGGATCAACTGTGATGACCTTCTATGGCCAAAGCACTGAGCCAACTGATCTTTCCGAGGTCTGCGAAAATGACAATTTCGATATCGTCATCCTCGCGTTTATCACCAGCTTGAATCCTCCCAAGCTCAATATGGGCAAAGACACTGGCAGCCCGAGCGACGCGCAGAAGAAGCAGGAGGGCTGGGAACTCTTTGATGGCACTGTGGCACCTGAGGATGGGAAAAGCATTGCTGACAAGATTTCGGATTGCCAGGGGAAGGGTAAAAAGGTCATGATCTCTTTTGGCGGAGATGAGAGATTCTCGAATGCGACCTTCAGCAGCGAGGACGAGGCCAAGGAAGCCGCTGACCAAGTCTGGTATGTACCAACAAGTGGAAGACGTACCTCAATTACTAACGATTACTTTCACAGGAACCTCTACCTTGGCGGTACTGATTCAACAGACCTCAGACCGTTCGGCGAGAAGGTCACCCTTGACGGTCTGGATCTGGACAACGAGTCCGGCAACGGCAAGTTCTACCAGGAATTCGTCACTGAAATGAGGAGCAAGATGGGAACGGACTCCTCACGAACATATCTCATGAGCGCGGAGCCGATGTGCGCCTTCTTCAACGATGCCGACTCGTCCATCCCTGACAGCGTCTTGCCCATGCTTGACTTCGTCAACATTCAGTTCTACAACAACGAGGCCCAGGGTATCGGTGGAAAGGACTTTAACAGCGCAATCCAGTCCTGGGCCAAGAAGTTCGCCGCTGCCAGCCCTAGCCCGAAGCTGTTCCTCGGTGTCCCCGGTGGCGAGGGCGCTGCTAGCACCAACATCCAGTCCGCTGACGAGATCAAGGATACCATCACATCTGTCAAGAACATGAACATCACTGGGTTCGGTGGTGTGGGCATCTGGGATGCTGGATTTGCCATGAAGGATACTGCCTTCCCTGACGCTGTTAAGAGCTCTCTTGCTTAAGGCTCGACACAACCAATAACTCTTCGCATCTAAAAGACGATCTGGGTATCTGCATGTTGCAACTACCCAGAGGTCTGACCAAGTAACACTTTCGCTACGCAGTCAATAATTTGACGTCCATTCTTTTCATCTGCTCAATCCCAGCCTACAACACTCTTTCAACTTATCACACACAGCACGCTCGCTCTGACAACACTCATTTCAAAGTCCCGATTTATTAAGTCCATACTACACTCTTTTTATCAAGCGACAGCCTGTCATCAACGCATTGGCACAGGCATCGTTCCACTCATTTCGCAGTCGAGAACACGATGTTGCTCCAAACACAGAGATATGGGCAGACCAAAACAGAATATACCTAACATGGAGAGCTGGGTTATATCACACACACACAAAAAGGAACATTTTGTAAATAGAATCTCCATCGTATATACAAATCACAAATTCACACTCTTTCACAAATTCTTTGTTCGGAAAATTTGAGCCTCTGGCCATCTCAAGCCCGTTAGGACAGGCTTGCCCTAGATTTTGTCTCTACTTTCGTGCCTCAAAGATCAAACCATGATTCCTTCAAATAGTGCTCATCATGAGGCATGAGGGAAATTCTCATGTCGTCCCGCTCAAGGCAAGCAGGAGAGAATAGACTGCAGCTTGCCAAGCACAACAGCCTGCGCGGCAGCAGTTGCATCCTGCTTGTTACTCGCCACACCAACACTGATGCTTGCATAGCATCCCGACGTGCCAACGACAGAGCTCTCAGTGGGGAGCCTAGTGGACCCGCAAGTGCTGACGTCGGCGGCCGTCGACGAAGAGGCCGAGTTGATGCGCGACAGGACGAACTTGAAACGCGACGCGGACGAGCAGGTGCTGCTACTGACGGTCGGGTAGTTGACGTTAAGCCAGATGCCGCTGGGCAGGTAGGGCTTGCCGGAGTCGACGAGCGTGGTGGTGACGTTTGTGGAGAGCTGAGCATAGACGGTCTGGTAAGTCTGAGTAGCGGTGGTGTAAGACACTTGCGAGCCCGAGGTGCCGCTGAAGGCGATTGCTGGGATGCCTTCCAAGGCTGCCTCGGTGGCTGCGCCGACCGTACCGGAGATGAGGGTTGTGGAGCCGAGGTTTGCTGTACTAGGTAAGCATCACGGGCGAGCAACATGAAGTGCAGGGCTCTTACCTCCGACGTTGTATCCAGCTACCGCGATATCAGGGGCGCCACCGAAGAACTTTGGCGAGAGAGTCTGGATGCCGTATCTTATGGCCGTAACAGGGTAGGAATTAACATAGTTGAGGCGAGGGTTGGAGCTGTTCGACCCATATGCCGGGCTCCCAGCCGGACAGCTGTTGAACTCGCAGCCCGAGGTCACTGTTCCGGGCGTAGCATCCGATGAGCCTGTGCCGGACCTGTTGTCGGCCGGGGCAGAGATGATCACGCTCTCGCCTGCGCTGGTGAGGGCATCATAGAAGACGCGGATATTCTTCTCGGCCCAGCCGTCGTCGTTCGACAGGACGACGTTGACGGCCTGAATGGCAAGGGGGCCCAGGAGGATGGAAATAGGGATCTGCATCTTTTAGAAAATGGAAGACGAGTGTGGTAGGGTGGCGATGGTCTAAGACGACACATGTCAAGAGGGTGGCTGAGATGTTCTTTATATCGCCACCTAGACACTCGCTGTAATGTGGATGAAGTCTTGGACTCGGCTCATTGCCATGATCTCATTAGAGGCCTCGGTGTGGGAACAAGCATGGCGCTCATGGACCCCTCGGCTTGACGCGGGTTCGCCAAATGATGCGGGATTGATCAATGTAACGCTGCATCATAGAGTCTACGGATAGACCAGGTGCATAAAACATGCAAGGTGCGCGCGTCGATCAACGGTCTCCAACAGTTCATCCCACGTGCGACGGCAGGGATCATTCAACAACAAATTCAATGAACCACTCAGGTGCTAATCATGTCTCACGAAGATTTGCAGCTCTGGTCATCAATCCTCGTGCTCCAATCATCTAGTGCCATTCACCATGCCTGCTCTACAGTGAGCGTACACAGCCTTCGATGCCTGTACACGTTCCATTCATTAGGAACCTCATCCGTAACTGACTATTTCTCTGCTGTCTTGTTGCGTCTTGGTTTGACGTCGTTCGTGTCAACCCCATGATCTGTTTTCCTCTCATGGCCTGTACCTTACCCTTCGGAAAGCGAGCGAGAGACCACGGCCACGATTAGTTCTGTGTTTCCAGCATTGTGATGTGTCACATCGGCTTGCACTCGTCGGCATTGGCTGGGCCAGCTCCAAATCGGTTCCGCCTGATTCCAAATGTGGCAGCCTTGGTAAACACCATGTAGTTCGTGTACTTGAAACCAGTAGTAGCCTGGAGAACCTGCAAAGTAAAGCCTCAGTGATATTGAATGGGGAGAGTGTTAGAAAGAAAAGGCAATGTGATCTCACTTTCTTGACATCCTGGATGGTGTCACCATTCACAGCCATCTGCTTCAGCTTGTCCTCAGCAAGGCCAGTCCACTTCTCAATCGTGACATCGGAAAGCTCCTCCATATCGCTCTGATCGATGCCCATCTGTTGCAGCATCTCCTTGACATCGTTGTCACTCCTACCCTCCTCGGCCACGATCTCGGCTGTCGCACCAAGGAGACCAACTATGCGTCCCTCCTCATCGTCATATTCATGCTTGTCGTAGTGAACCTTCATACCGGCACAGTCCGGGTTCTCGCAAGGGAAGTCAACTGACTGGACGGAGGGCTTGTGGACGATGACGCGTAGGGGAATCAGCTCTGTGCAAAAAGAGACGATCTCCACTAATGATCTGCAGTCAGTTCTCAGGACGAGGAGAAAGGAATCCGATACGAGGAAATCGTAGATTGAGAGATAATGCTTTTGTCGCTGCTTACTCTTGGGGTCAGGAATGGGAAAGCGCTGGCCGTCGGTGTGTCGCACGTAGTCGCGCTGGCCAGTCTCCTGCTTGCAGTTCTGGCAAGCGTATTTGACGATAACGCACATCTTGCCTGTATGCCTTTCTAGCACGTGGATTGCGAAGACTATTGCGAAATGGGACCGTCTTGAAGGCTTGATGTTGATCTTTGGTGCTAGTCTGTCAATGCTGCGAAGCAGTGGCCCGCGGGGCTGTTTCTTGTTTCCTTGTTCAGGCTGTTGAAGCTGGATGCTGGGGCTCTGAGGGGGAGCTCATTCAACAAGCCTCAGAATCGCGGCAGATATCTTTTAGAAAGTGATTAACATAAGCCAGCTACGGAGAATTCGTGATCATTGAGCCTAGTATGATCATATGAACAATAATCAACTAGGTTCATCTAACAATAATCAGTGAGATTTTGAATGACCCAAGGTCAGCTAGTTCAATTCACTGCAATAGTTCGTGTGACATGACCTCGGGGCGGCGCACAATGTCCTCTTTCTTGTCATGTTTGACAAGCAGGATTCACGACATTTCATCCGCAATAAATAATCAACCACAACCCGCCAAGAGGTCTCATTGATTTCAATTTACAATTGTAATCAAATTCAATGTGCAAGTTCCCAATACCAGAGCAGTGCCAGTCTGCCGCGGTGGGTATCCATGCACGAGGCCCTGAGCTTGTTTGTTGCACCCATACAGCTGCTTGTACTATTATACGCGTGAAAAGAATTCCTAGTTTTATGTAAGTCAACACAGCATGATCACCATAACGGCAAAAGGGACCTCAGACTTCCAATCTGGGAGGCATCCTGGTGGGTGGTGATGCTGTTACAGACTGCCATGAATCCTCAGCTACAGACTTGGAGTATGGCTAATGATCAGAACCAATCGTGTATCGATGTCTGTGACAGGCCTCTGCCAAGTAAATATGAAATAAACAGTGTTTCGGTCTTCCAAACTGTATGCAAGTCCTCTGCCTGCATTGTCTTCACCACAGAACAAACCACTTTAGGGTGCCTGGGCACAAGGCACCGGAATTACCTTTATCAAATAAATCCAAAGCCTACGGAGCTAGCACAAAACGCAAATAAAAAAAGATCTTCCACCAGAGCTTGGATTGAGCTGCCCGACCCCGCAAACAAACCTTTGTAGGCCGCTCCACTTTCCTCCCAGACATCTCTGTCTGCGACTTGTGCAAGTTTCCTTCTTCTTCAAAGCAACAACTCTCTCAAGCATCTAATCCTACAATCCTCCATCATCGAACATGGCAAACGAGAAGGACGCTGCCGCTACTAGCGGTTCACGCAAGCCATTGCCCACATCGCCTCGTCGCGGTAGTCAGCCTGGTATGCATAAAATGCTTTCTGACAACACACTCGAGCACAAGAAGCTAACCAGTGACAACCTTGAAGCAGTTCAGCCTGGTTCCTCGAATGCCATGGAAGGCATCATCCATGAGCACAATGGTGTTGAGCAGCATCCAGAAGAGGTTCCACCCCAGTTGGCCCAGATTCCGCCTGAGCTTCTGCAATTGCTGTCGCCTGCGAAACAGTCTTTGGTACAGAGTTGTCGAGCAGCCATTCAGGAGTTGATCAACCTGACAACTGGTATGATCAATATGCCCCGTGATCACCGCTCGATACAGATGCTGGTTGCGAAGCGAAGCTTTTATGCACAACAGTGGGATAGAACTCTACATACGCTTCACCAACATGCAACCGTCATTCGCCAGGGTGGACAGCCTTACCCAATGTTTGCCATGGACGGTGTTATTGGTCAAGCTCTGGATCTCATCTTTCCAAACTTCGTTGCAGCTCGTGACAACAATCAGCATGCACACGGACCTCCACATATGCAAGCATACCAGCCACATACTCAGAATGGTCCCCCGGCGCCAGTCATCACCATGGACAAGAATTCTCAGGGCACTGGAGGCGGGCACACGGGAGGGTTGGCCGCAGTCATTGAGCGTCAGTCCAACTTGATGTTTCAGTTCATCAACAACAGCGACCATGTGCTGTCGTCACAGGCCAATCAATTGTTCAGTTTCCTCACAAGTCAGCAGAATGCACGATTCAAGGACTCTCTAGACCTGCAGGCTGCTCATATCAGGCATGTTGCCGCCAGGGAGAAAGAGGCGGCTGAGCTCGTCGAGTTGTTCAAGAAAGAGCGAGATCTGTTTAAGGACAAGGAGGACTAAGCCCTATTGAAATGTGAGCACGAGGTCCCCCATTCAACATCGTACAACTCTACAACAGCAAGAGATGGTGTGGCAGCAGTTTCCTGCGAGGACACCCATGCGGTAAAAGTGCATTCTCAAGGCGTCGTGGAATCTATCTCACAGAGGTGATGGAACCTGTGTCTACTGTTTGAAGGCTGGCTTACAATCCTACTGGGATAGTGGCAACGCACATTTGGTATCCTGGTGAAGAGGACGGGCATAATTGGGGACTGAGCCCACTTACCGGATGCAGCAGCCATCAGCCTTGGTCTTCACAAAATGCAGCAGGGGGGAAAATGGTTTGGAGACAATATGCGAAGAGTCACTGGTATTTTTTCATTTGTGCAAAACAGGTCTTGAGGCTTGGCCGGTCTCTCAGTCAGTTTACCATCAGAGAAACTTCATTATCACCCATTGTTCTCGTCAATACCTGTAATCTCTCATTTCGAATCGTAATGATCATCAAAAAGAAATCTCAGCATCTTTTGTGACTGGGTCAGAGGGAAACAGCCAGTGAATGAAGAAAAGAGATCGGTCGTGGTATGACCCCTACCCAGAAAGTCCGCAGCTTTGTAATAATATCCTCTTTCAGTCTCTATGGACTGGCCGAAAGCGCACCCGGTACTGAGGCTTCTCCCACATTGCATACGACCGAAAATCACGCTGAAAGACAACCTCCTCACCAGGGATCCTCTCCAAATTAAAGTTCCATAGCACCTTAGCAATGAACACCCTTGTCTGCCTCCACGCCGAGCCCATACCCGGACAGCTGCGAGGGCCCCGGCTGAACGGCCAGAACGCATCCCTCGCATCGTCTTCGAATGCCGCATCCCAGTGCTCATGGTCACGAGGCAACCACCGCTGGGGCCTGAAGCTCTCCGGCGAGTGGAAGTAGCGTCTGCTCCTTGTGAAAGCGAAGTGCCCATACTGGACATTGATGCCTTTGTCAAGATAGTGGCCGTCTACCATAGCGCCTGGAGACACACGCGGTAGACCTCCAGCGCCGATGACGGTGATGCGCAGTGTCTCCAGCAGGCAGGCATTGAGGAAGCGGAGGTGGGCAACAGTCTCGGTGGTAATGTCATGACTGCTTTGGAACTCACGTCGGATCTCCTCCGTCAGGTGCTGATAGCTCTCAGCATTTTGCGCCAGGAAGATGAGAGTGCAAAGGAATTGGCTCGAGATAGGCTCATAGCCCGCGCTCAACAGCTGGCCTGCGATGATCTCCATGTGCTTCAGCTCCTTCTTGTCAGGCTCGGGTGCGTCTGGCGGGCACAGATGCTCAAAATAGTCGAGGTGGCTGGTGTTACCCCGGCGTTCGATGCGGGTTAGGACTTCTCTGTGGTTCAAGGCTAGGGTCCGTGGCAGAGTTGCGATTAGTGATGGCGGTATGAAGAGAAACTTGAGCGGAGATAATAGGCGGAATTTCTTGGTCACTGCGTTGACGGCTAGAAAGAAGTTCACAGCCCATAGAGCGTCGAGAAGGGGCGCATTTCTCACTTTCTGTAGTCAGCATCAATGAATCCGGGGGGGGGGGGGGTTGATGTTGGGAACGTACTTGTCTGCATCTGCTTCATCTCTCGACTGTACGCCATGTCGGCTGATACGTCAAGCGCAAGCCAGTCAGTCCACTATTGGTGGCTATATCAGCTTTTGCTTGGTAAGACTTGGCTGGCTGGTGCGTGCAATTCAGACTCACCTGGCGGAGCTCAACTCCGCCTTCCACGCTTCCGAGCTCACGCATTCTGTCGAGGAAATAGTCGATATGTTTATGGAGAGTGGGTTCTTTGGCGTTCAATGACCGAACGCTGAAAGCTGGTGATAGTCTTTTGCGAACTATGCGATGCCTGACAGGGTCTCTCTCCCAGATAATACCATCTTCGCCCTCGCCGAGGTCCAGCCAGTCTGTTCTGGTGAAGTGTTCCATATGCTTGGTGTGCGATTCATAGATGTCTGGCGCTTTCCGTCAGCTGGCTGCTCCCTATGAACAAGTGGTGGGCTTCGTGACGCACCTTCTGCCGCCTTAGGTGTGATAAAAACAACCTCGTTCGGGCCGATCCGAACAACATCGCCTGCAAGACTGCGTTAGCCTTCAGTACCTTCCCTTCAATCTTGAGGCCCACCGTATTCATCCAAGACTCTGGCGATGGCCCAAGGATGTCTGCCCTGAAGCCTGATATTGTCAATCTTCCTCTGTTCATCATATGCTGAAATGTATTCGGCAACTCACCAGTGATAAGCCCACCATACGTTAGACACGGCTGCGATCCGTGGGCCGGGATACTTTGCTAGGGGGTGAAAACAAAGCAGGTAGAAGCAACGAATCGCAGCGTAAAGAATTGTCTGATCTAGATCAGCGTCGTCTTCGGAACAAGCACACGAATTACCCACAGTTCCAACTGCCACGCCAATCCACTGATCTCTGCTGATACCAACCACTGTCAGTAATTTGAGGAAAGATGCTGCCATGGCGCTTCCTTGACATGCATGAGCCACGCTCTGACCAGAGTCAACCTGATTGGGATGAGAAGAAGGCGGCAGCCTCATCGAGGTTCGTGATGTGGTATGAGCAGCTAAACTTAAACAGACAGGGTCTGGTTTGGAGTATCGACTGTGCCGCAAAAGCGTCCACCCACCCCTCACGGCAATAACAGTTGGTAGCCAAAGCGGCTAACGCATGCCCTCCAGGGTAGTGTGATGACCTGTTAAGGCAGGCGACAACCAACCCACGTTGTTAGTCCGCTGACCACCGGTTTCTCAGCTGCCCACTTGCTCGCTGCTTCACCGACCAGCACAGGTGAAAAGACATGACCGTCTATGACAAGTGGAATCGTGGTATTGGGCACAGGAAGGAATGGTTTTGTCGATGCCAGTGGTCGTCCACAACTGGCACTTTCGTTTCTCGACGTTCCATCGTAGGGCCACGCACATGCATACATGCATGCTTCTCAGCTTTGGAAGGCCTCCTGGCAGACACGGAAAAAACCAGTAATATGGCTGGTAACAGCGAATTGCCGGTATGATTAGTTGTAGACCTAGATCACGTAATCCTGTACATACTTCAAAACCTGTGGCGATGAAGGACCTGGTATCTATGTCCCTAGACGAGCGTTGGCAGCTGGCCAGTTGCAAGTCCTTGAGATTGACTTTGTTTTAATCTCCCTTGACATGGGTTCATCTTGTTGTTGATATGGCTTCCAATGCAGGACTCTCGTTTCTCTTCTGATGACGATCTCTTGAAACTATGGGGTGTTGAGCATGCTTTGCCCTTCGACAGCAAGGCAGGAAACAGGTACCCTTAGCTCTTGTCGAATCAGATGGCATTCCGATCAAGTTAGTCTTGGGATAAGCTATGGAAGTACATGAGGGTCGCCGCAAGCTCCCTCGGGCAGTTCAGTACTCAGATCCATTCTGACAACCCTGTTAGAAAACACCCCCTTTCCCAGTGAAGGTCTTGTCAGTGGACCCTGCTCTGGCTGTGAAATACAGGCCTTCAAAGTGAATTTGAACTACTGGCTGACCATTTGAGCTGGTGCACTCTCGAAACTTTTCGTTCTTCGCCTATTTTCGACTTTCATCAAACTCCATTACACCCAACTACTTACCCCTTCAAGGTCAACATTGGACAGTGGCCCCCGAGCCCGTTGATTCGCATCTCGCCCATCATGGATACGACGTGAGTACTCCCCAAATCATTCGCGCGAACCTTTTTCAGAGCTTCTCATGTGGCCATAATCGGAAGGCTGACGTATTGTAGAGCCGTAATCAAGCTAAGCTGCCAGGCCGCTGAGAGCGTGCTGCGCTTTCGTGCCGTTGGCTTCACTCGCAGGTGAGTAGCCGCATTCTTTTGGTATTATTTGGCTGCTGCTCCGTCACTAGGTATGCTGACGGCTCGCAAGACCAACGATCGATCTACAGTCCTTTAGAGCTGCCATTACCTCGCAAATTGAGAAAGTCGCCAAAGATCACCGTCACCGCTTTGAAGTTCCTCTGACCGAGGTCGCTAACTACGCAGGCATTGGCGCCTCTCGTGCTGCCCAGCAATGGAATGACATATCTCACGAAGAGTAAGTGACCAAACAGCTTGGGCAATGGGAATAATGGTAATGGTGCTAATTTCTTGACAGGAACCATGTTGCAGCCGAGTGGTTCCGCAACTGTGTTTGCAACCTTGTCAGCGGTGTGGTGAGCGACATTGGACAGATGGCTTTCGAGGACCAGGGCATGAATGCCTGCATGTACCTCGAACCTGACGACTACGACCCTTTCGATGTTCCCAGCTACGCAACAGCAGCGATCATCGGCAGCGTTTCGTCCTCGCCCTCAACCGATGAGGACAACTACTACGGCTTCGAACCACCTCAGGCCCATGAAAATAGCCATCAATCACCGGCCAATAGCACTCGATTCAAGGAGAATTGCACAGACGATCTCCTTCCGCTTCGACACGAGATTGAGAAAGGCTTCGCATCGGTGGAGCGGATGGCGGCATCTCAAACGGACACCTCAGCTCGAGCCGAATTCATACAGAATACAAAATCCCTCCGCAGTATTTGCGAGCCTGTTTACTCCGGTTCTTCGCAACAGAAAGTCCTCAAGCGCCCTGCCAAGCGAGCTCGCTTGGGTTCTTCGCCTTTGAAGCCGTTGCCACTCTCAGCTGGCCTGGTAGCACCGGCAAGCCACGACGTTCCCAGGGCGCAGCAGAAGTTCTGCTGGACGGAAGAGGAAGTCAAGATCCTACTCGCTGAGAAGAATGCTGGTCGGAAGTGGCAGGGAATTGAGAAGGTGAGCACCTCTGGGGGCCAGTCAATCACAGCCTAGTGGGGAGATCGGTGACCAGTGACCAAACTAATTCTGATATCCGTAGTTGCTCCCTCGTCATACCTTGAACTCTTGTCAGCGGAAGTGGCAGATTCTCAAGAGCAAGGATGCTAGTTTACAAGCCCCAGTAGATGATGTCAATGGCGGCGAGAAGGACCAAAGTGACCATTGCCAGACGGTCGACCAGTTGAAGGTGGGCGACCGAGAGGGAACCTCGGAGGCCATCCCAGTTCAAGAAGATGAGGACAAGCCAACGAGCGTCCCAACCAAAGAGAGCAACCAATGCCAGGCCGAGAGCGCAGACCTCCGCGATAATGACAAGCCGCACCATATCGAGGCCGCATTTTCCAGTGATGTAATGGAGGACGCTGGTGGAGTCTCTGCCGAGGACTCAACAACCAAGAACAAGAAGGAGAACAATCTTCCGGAGTGAAGATGGGGAGTCGTGGCCGCCACAAGAATTGATACATCCCGGCTTGTTTGACCCGGGTGTCTCCCTCCTTACAGCCCATCTCTAAGTCGTTTTCCACCCATGCCGGTACGGCATAAATCAACGCACTGCGCCAGGTGGGTCTGATGGACTAGGTCTGAAGGATCTGTCTGTCAAAGATGTTACAGTGTGCCTGGGAGGATATGACTTGCATTCACAACTTGACTTGCAACACTATGAAAATTAGAGATTTCAGGCATACCCTATAATTGTTTAGGGGGCCTAATGGAGTGGTCATTTGACAGAGATGCAAAGTTTGTAGTTTAACCCAGGTCACGTCCGTGCTTGAATGCGTCAATGACATCTGGAGTGCTTTTGATCACCTTCAATCAGATCAGACACCCGATACCACAGCAATGATAGCAATGGAACACATCCTGACGACTAGCTGGATATAAACGCATTGAACTCAAGATATTTGTCAGTTTCCATACGCAGATTTTGTGGTTCATGTCACACTGAGCTTCATACTGCCCCGGCTAGGACTCAGAGAGCTGTACACCAAGATGCCAGTCTCGCAGAATCCACACCGGTCACTTCAATGCATCCAGCATTGTTGACAGGCCGCTTCGTGAAAGATTGAGGAAGCCGGCCGAGGAAAGGTCTCGAGTCCCACGAGCTGCCCTGGATCCCGACCCAGACGCGTTTCGTGCGGCCAGGGTAAACATTGGCGTCCATTGCTCCCTGAGGGAAGTCGGTCCTCTCCGGGCCCCAGTTCGTATACCCAAAATAGTTGGACAGCGCACCATTAAGGTACGAAGCAGTGATGTGGTCCGGCGGGCCGCTGTCACTCAATATGTCCGGTGTGTTTGCGCTGCCTGTGTTGATATCGCCGCCGAACATATACTCGCCGTTGCGCGGCATCTGGACGACGTAGTCAAGGCCGTTTCGGAGCAGCGACCAGGCGCGTCCGCCGGGCAAGCTGCCATTGTCGGTGTAGGAGTGCCAGGCGCCTGCTTTGGGGAGGCCGCTCCCACCGAGCTCGGCGCTCATGTGCAGACGACCGCCGCGGATGGCGCGCTGCAACCCTGGCACGAAGTGTGGGGTCCAGGCGTTTGTTGCGTAGACGACGTGTTTTGCTCGGATCTTGCCGCGGGATGTGAACACTTCGTAATTCGCCGTGGTTGGAGAAAGGGGACGGAAGAGACGTTCAATGCGGTGGTGTTGGTGTCCAGGGAGAAGCTGGGGTATGTGTGTAGCAAGGACTTCAGAGAGTGGGTAACAAATCGGTATGGCCAGATAGCGCCCGCCATTTTGGCTGTCCCGGTCATGATTCCAGTGACCTCAAGCATGAGAGATATCTGCAGCAATATTTAGCATGCGACACTCAACACGTCGTGTTTATTACTCACGTTGCGAGCTTCTTCCCCTTCGAAGACGGCCCACTCCTTTCCAATGTCCGGCATCTCTTTCTTCAGAGTCTGCATCTGCTGAACCGCCGTTTTCCACTGCGCGTCGTCGAAGAATGCGTCGAGGCTGTCCACAACCCGAGCTTCGGCCGCCTGTCGTCCCTCCTCCGGCAGTGAGTTGGCTGCTGAGATCAAAGCATCGACAAGGGCAGATCGAAGCCGCGTCATCTTGGCCGCCTCGTCTTGTGCCACAGCCTCTTTGGCACCTGCATACTCGGCGTACGATTACGGCCTAATGTGGCCTCCATTCCGCCCCGTCGCGCCCGAGCAGGCCTGCCGGGCTTCGATCATGGCTACTCTGAGCGGGCCGGTGGTGGTGTTTTCCTTCAAAAGATGCCAGGCGATGCTGGTCCCGGACATGCCCGACCCGACGATCACAATGTCCGCATCCGTGGGGAGCTCCACGGATCGGTGATTCGCCACACCTTCTAATGGTGGCACTGGCCAGTAAGACATGCTTGGGTTCTCATTGGGAAGACCTGGGTCTTGGCCTAAAGCCAAAGACACGAAAAAGAAGAGTCAGACAAGATTGTACCATTGTGAGTGGACACTCAAGGCTCAAGACTCAAGGCTAGTCTTTAGTTGTATATGTCCAAAAGAGTGTCTTTGCTTGGAATGTGGTCTGACTTTGGAATAGCTGATGATGCGAGAGATGAGAAGGGTATTCATTTTCCACTTCATGGCCATGAGCACACGGAGCTCGCCACCATGGCGCTTACATACCGAGGCTTTGATCCCGAGATATCTACCACTTCAGCTTACATTAAGCCGAGTTGACAGACAAGAGGAGACATTTCGTCTCAATGTTGCATATGCAGTGTCAGGATGCAGTCTCGGCCTGAGTCACATCGACTTTCCAAGATGCCCCTGATCACTATGCATTAGGTGCCATGGCGAAAGAGGAACATCGAGCAGTGGCTTAGCGAGCCAACAAGACGCAATAGGACAAAGAATGTGAAACTAAGTTGGGCTCACCAGACTCTACCCAGATGTAATCAGCAATGCGGAGGGATTTTCGACGTTAGCGTAGGAGCGAAGTGAGGATGATCTTGATCATCACTTAGATACTAGATCACTGCCACCTCCTTTGATCCAAAGGCTAGAGAAATGTACCATGGAATGAGCTTTTAGAAGGACTTATCTATATCTTGGCTAACTGTGCGGAGCCCAAATTACACCAGGCCAATCAAGATCAATGCTACGGATGATCACCAATGTTGCCGAGATCCAATGAGCTCCTATTGACGAGTATATAGGGCTGATTGTTTGGATAGCCCCTATGACTCATTACGCCCATTCCAAGGACAAAGATGTTTTGATGTTTGGGTTGCGTTCATTCGTTCTGATATGATGACCACCAGAGCAATCATGTAATGCTCAGAGTCGCACAACGCCCCCAGTCACCCGAGGTTACGTGTGACTACCAACTTGATTGCTGTTCTAAGTTTGAGTTACTCAAGCGGCAGCGTGCGTAGTTACAATCCAAGGCAGTTTGCACGGTGACTTATCATTTATACAAGGCTTGTCGAGCATATAAACTCCGGGCCACAGTAAGAAACCGCAGATCCATTGAGGTGGCCGGAGAAATCCACTCCTCAACGGTTAAAATCGGTCGTAGAGCTCTGTATTTACGCGGGAGCTAGTAATGTTGACCTAGCCAGTGCTAGCATATAATAAACCCCTGCAAAGTGACTCTCATCTCAGGGGCAGACGAATCAGAAAGTCGCATCGTCGACCTGCCTTTCCTGGCTGGGACTAATATAGACGCTCTGCTGGGGTGACCCTGTATGCACAAAAGCTTACCTATTGACCTCATAAGCGGCCCGCTCAGCTCGAGCTTGGCACTTCCTCTCCCGCCAACAACTCATCCAGAAACCGACGTTCCTTAGCCACCCAAGGGTACGTCGTGATTCATCTTGGCATCGTGCCTCTGATGCGATTTGTTCGTGGCTGATCTGAGCAGCTTGACAAACAATATACGGCCTGTTCTTTCTGGCAGCTCCCTTGAAAATTGTCATCATCATGCGGTTCTTGGCTTTATCCCTCGCAGCTGTGATGACCTTCGTGTCGGCGGCCAAAGTCAATCTCCCCTTGCGTTCCCGTGCCAGAGAGCAAGCCGGCGATGATACCAGATTTCGTTTGCCAAGCGTCCGGAGCGTCACTAATTCCTCTGGAGTTAATGTGCCTGTGACGGACTGGTTCAACCGCACAGACAACCAGGTATGCGTTAAAAGGGACATTTACTGTGGCACTGGCTGACGATCTCCTGCAGTGGTACACAACGTTCGCTGTCGGCACTCCGCCTCAGAACCTGTACGTCAGTCCGGCTTCAAAGAGCCAGCCCTTTCCGTTTATCTCAAAAAGTAACACTTGTCGACATTAGGACCGCATTGTTTGACACTGGATCTCCTCTTCTTCTACTCCCGCGGAACAACTGCACCACCTGCGGCAACTTGACGCTGTTCAACCCTGGGGAGTCCAGCACCTTTTCACCCCTTCCCGGCACGGAAGTGGACGAATACTTCTCGACGGGCGCCGACTCGATCCCTTTCCTGGAGCCTCAGGGAGCCAAATGTAAATACGTCCACGACGCGATCGCTCTTGGATCAGGGGAACTGAAAGTCGACAGCCAGCAGTTTGCGTTGTGCGATACTTATGCTGAGGCTCTGGACATCTCGGGGATCTCGGGGATTATGGGAATGAGCCTGCCGAGTCCAGACAGCAAGAACACTGCTTGGTATTGGAATCTCGTTAACGATGGCCAGCTGGATTCTCCGTTGTACTCCTTCTATACTCCGCCTGGCGACATCGAAGGCGGGCAGGTCACACTGGGCGGAATCGATGAATCCAAAGTTGAAGGAGATATCACCTATACCGATCTCGACGCCACCGCAACCAACGACTTCTCCGCGTACGTCGTCGACCAGTTTGCGTTGTACTCCGATGGTAAAATCTTGACCAACGGGTCAGCAACCCCGCTTCCTCGCGGTCTGGCCATATTAGACACCGGCACCGCCTTCATGCAGACACCAGATTACGCCACCGCGAAGAACATATATGCCCAGATCTCCCCTAACATTACCCAGATAGATGCTGCGGGGGCCTGGGGCGCGCCCTGTGACGAACTAGAGGGCTTTGCGCCTGATTTGACGTTCACGCTGGGTACCACAGCCAAGTCGTTGAATTTCACCATCCCGAAACGTTACTTCAGCCTTGGCGAGTACCCAGGACAGCCGGGGATTTGCCAGGCAGTCTTCAACAACCCCGTGCCGGGCACTGAGATTTCCTATGATGACACCGCGGTATGGCTCATCGGTTCGCCGCTGCTCGACAAGTACTACACCGTATGGGATGGCGTTGGGCTGCGGATAGGCTGGGGCAAGCTCCTTGGAGCTGACCTCTCGGGCTATTAAGCTTGGCTGCTGCCCCGTGCGTTGTGAGTGGGGCTGTTGGGGCTCAGCAATACATGTCCGCGAGGCTGCGCGACACGGCTGAGGCACTGGAGCAAGTTGGAGGCATGTCGAGTGAGAAGAATCGACGGAAAAAATTGGACGGGCTAGAACAGACGAGGACAAATGGGCAAGGGCAGATGAAGGGGAACACACGGCTGAGAGGGTAGATGGCACCAGAGCACTTGACTTACAGTGTCAGCTGAAGACACGCGGCTGAGTCTATGGCCGCTACGCCCTCGGTAGGAGTACTGTGGTGTATTTGGTCCCGGTCGCATCAATCAGCGAAGCTTCTCGGGCCTGTTACCTGGTTTTCTGGTTCTCTGGTGGACTGAGGCTCTAGTGCACTGCGATTTAGCGAGTTGTGGACCAAGAAAGACCACAGAGCCAGCTTGGTCTGTTCACTGACGGCCTTGACAGCCCGCTTTCGCTCCACGAACCATCAAACAGTCTTCATCGTTTCTTTCTCGCCCACCTGATATCTACCTGTGTTCGCCATCTAGATCACAAATCCTCCATCAGTACTGTCACATCATCCTCGTGAATCGCCGTTTGACGCAACCCACCAACGTAGCATACCTACGTCTTTTCTTTTTCTCAAACTTCTTCCTCCACCTTCAATTCGAGGACGAGTACCTTCAACATTCACCACAAGGGCCCAGAAGCTCCTCTACGGTTCGACTGACGCGTCTGTCCGACTTCAGCCCTTCTGCCACGCCGTTTGTCACCATTTTAGCGACCAGAAACGTACCAGCCAACTGTGCATTCTTGTGTTACGTGCTGCGGAAGTTCAGAATGTCGAGCAACGCCGCCCCCAAAAAGCGCGCAACGTGCCCAGTCTGTAACATCGTCACTCTCAAGACCGGCATGAGTAAGCACTTGCAGCGGAAGCATCCCCACCAGTGGGTGAAACTGGGAAAAGGGAGGTCAATCAAGTACTACGACTGCAACATTCCGGGCTGCGAAGGACTCCGCGGAAACACTCTGCGAGATGTTTACGACGACCACATGAGCATATTCCATGGTATTGACTGCCCGAGGATGAAGCGCACGACGAACTTCACCTACCTGCATCGAAAGCATAAAGAAATCCTTCAGCGGCATATTGTGCAGGAGGCCACAGAGCTCAATGAGCTAAACGACAGGCTCCAGCTCCTCGAGCGCTGCCTGGCTGTCGACCCACCTAACGAGCCCTACAAAAGCTGTCACGGCTTCGACATCTTCACCACCTTCCAGACGAATGAACTCTTCCTCCCTCGTACCAAGACAGATTTGGCCTTGTACCTTCAGCGTCTACGCACTGCCAGGCACCAGAAGGGGTCGCTTTACACCAAGCCTGGTGTAATGGACACTCGAGATGGTGTCCTCGACGACCTGGAGAAGCTATTGGATTAGGGCGGGAGAAGGCGGCATTGTGATGGACTGGCTATGAGGAAATTATCCCTAATGCATTGACCAAATCTACTGTAACAATGGCGGATCTCACATTACGAAAATATCTTTATCAGAGTGTTCCTAATAACAATGATGACTGATCCTTTTGAAATTGCTTCGAGGGGGCATGACGAAGACAGACGTGTGCAAGTTGTGAAGCCAAGGGTCCTCTTTAATAAGCACTTGATGTACAAAGGCGTGCTGCTTCTTGCCGCCCAGTCATCACCCATCGTTTGACTAACATTGGTAGTCAAAAGGACTCATGATGCTCGGCCAGGGTGGAGAATTCAACATGGATCGTTTTGCAGAAATGCAATCATTACTCAGGCTAATTGACTGTTTGCAATGGGGGCCAATCCTTACAGAAACACTGTGCTGTCAGGAGGAAAACTTCCAGCATCACTACATCAGCAAGACAACTACGAATGACTGCCGAGCCTTGCACTCTATGATTGAAGGGGCGTGGCTGTGAGCATCCAGAACCGTGACCGGCAACTGTCCAAGAGGGGGAGAGGCATTCCTGCCTACTAACCCAAGTACCTGTGTATCCCATGATGGCTTCACTGATGTGTTTCGTGCTGAAATTCACCTTGCCGGCCACCGGACTATCGCATTCCCCCCAGTGCTGCTGTAGATACAAAATCCAACCTTTCGAGAACCTGGAATTGACGGCCTTGACCTTCAAAGCAACCCAGCATCTTCCTCACCTGGCGTATCTGAGAGACTCCAGCCTCCCCCAATAATCTGTCTTTCCCAATTGTCCTGTCATCCTCAATTCTTTCTCTTCGACTACCGACTCTATTACTTAAGTGCAGCTGTTCCAGGCCAACCCTAAGCTAGCAGATTGTCAGGCAAACTCTTCTTTGCGTCAGCAGATAGTTCGCTAGTGCTGATATCCTGGTATGTAAAGTACCTCGACATTCTCATCACCTGCACTTGGAATCTGAGGCTTCAGCACCTCGTTTGTACAAAATGTCATTGTAACCCGACACGCCCCGGGTTCCATTCACCGAAGATTTGGTCCACGGTTCTCTTCCCTCATCCACCCTTCCACAGTTCCTCATATAATAAAGTTCAGCAGCCTTCACGTCTACGATTCTTCTCTTTTTCACAGGGTTTGACTACTTCCAGATGCCCACTGACCATGCATTGCAGACATCTACAACTATGGCTACTCAAGCCGTGCTTCGTCTTAAGCAGTCAGGCGACATCTCCATCCGTCGTGCTAATGGGAACCTCCGATTCCCTGGCTTCAAGCAGGCCAAGGGCTGTGACACCACGGTGGACATGGATGAAGACCCAGAGATATTCATGCTGTTGAGTCCTATCGAGCTCATTGGAAATGAAGTCTTCCCACGTAATGACATGAGCGGAAGTGCTCAGTGTCTTCACACTATCTTCACCTCCGCCAAATCTCGATTCCAGCAAGACTTGCCCGGAGGCGAGAAGCTGCTCCAGAAAACGGACATCGAGAATCTTCCCGACAAACACTTTGACTACATCAAGTTAGATCTTATCGCAATCGATCCTCAGTTCGACCAGGCCTCTCCCATCACTATAAAGAGATGTCTCGTCTTGTTCACTGAGAACGTCTTGGACCATGCGCCAACGCTTCTTCCCTCAGGCAAGGGTAACACCATTGAGAGGGACTATGCTCGCAAGGCTTAGGAAGCCGTGAAGCAGTTCCAAGCAATGTTACCTAAGCGTGTGTCCCCATCCGCAGAGCTCGACACTTCGGCCAAGGCAGAGAGCTCCGAAGTGGTAGACCTCACCAAAGGTACTTTGTCTCCGTATTATCACTCGGCCTTCGATGGTAGTCTCCCCACGAGATTCTCAAATCAGTGTTTCGGCGCATAACTAACAATCCAGCAGATAGTGCGAGCGCCCAGCATACCACCAAACCTGAGGAAGCAGTCAAGCCGGGCGAGAATGGAAGAGCCACGCTGTCGATTCTGGGCAAGCATAAGAGAGCAACGTCAGACACTAGCGAGGAGGATCATGCTCGCATGAGGAAGTACCCAAAGTTCCTCCATGAGATGGCTTCAGCCGAGCGCGCAGCCTGCGACTTGAAGATGGCCCGCATTGACGAGAGGCTTGACGAGATCCAGCAGCGGCTTGAAGAAGGGGCGGAAGGACTGAAACAAGTAGCCACAGCCAAGACAATAATTGCTGATGAGGCCAAATCGCTGCAGGAGGGTGTGCGAGCTTTAGCAGAGGAGATGGGTGACGCCCTCGAAGAGCGCCGGCGACAATTTCGCACAACGCCGATTGTTATGGATTTTAATCCGCATCTCCAGCAGCGAGGTGGCACCTCCGGCAACATGGCGCTGCAGAACGACCAAGAGAAGCCAAAGCCCTCTACTGGCATGCAGACAGAAGGGCACATCAGCGAGGAGCCAGAGTACTCATCCGACTCCTCATTGTCTTCCACCTCAGCTGGTCCACATTTTCCATCTTCGGCGAGTCGGTGAGGTGCGAAGTGGCATGGAAACATCCAATGCTCTGAGAATCAGGCGAGCTCAGAGGACGAGTTAGGAGTGAGTCTCACGTTCAGTGAAGCGTCCTGTCATAGCCTAATTGACTATGACAAGATTTCATTGCTCATCGTTCAGAGGGAGGGCGACAGCAGCCAAACGACCAACGGTTCCAGGACTTCTGTTTTGTTGCCTAGAGGTGATCTAGGTATGACTCCAGGGGATGGGGAGTAAGTAATACTTGAGTGGAAGGCATATGTAAATCATGAAGGAGATAACGCCAACTTTGTTAGGGTTTTAGATTTAGCAATGACCATGTGCAGCTGCGATCGAAATTCTACATGCTGGAACAAGCAACAGTACAAGAGACCTGCCCCAATTATTAGGACTGTATGCTTGCAAAGCTATTCGGTGACGATTTGGAAAGCTGTCGCTCCTGCTGGCCAAAACTGTGGCCGTGCTATTGCGAACCATTGCATGATCAGAGGAATGTAATACTCGAAAGACATTCTTTGTGTGTTTGAAGTATTTGCGTAAGGCATGTCATATACATTGAAGATCATGAGTATTTACACATGAAGATATAAAAAGAGAAGGGCCTGCCGGATTGCCCGATAAGAGCCATCCGATCTCGCCCCCAGTGCTCCATAGCAGTGTGACCAGGTCAACGATCCAACGATTTATCCACTTTACTTGTGGGTGCCGGTTCCGACACAGTATGGAATGGGGTACGCAGTGTTGTTGCACAGAACAATCGGGCCCTTGACCCAGCTCATGCCGCTGTAGGTCTGGTCGGTGTACGAGTCTGAGGTGAAGGGCTCGTAGCTGGGCGAGTCGGTGCAGCCGGTGACGAGGTTGCCCGTCACGCGGCGGACGTAGGGGTTGCTCACGACGACGCCGTACTGGCCCGCCGGAACCCAGTAGGTGAAGGTCTGGGAGTCGGACGTCGTCCACTCTGTCTTGACGGTGATGGACAAGGACACCGTCAGGATCTCGGGAACGATTGTGTATGAGGCGCTCTCTGTGATCTATTTACAGTAGGTTATTAGTTGGCGGTGTTCGACTCTGGGTGGTGATGCAAGAATAAGAGATACTTACGGCAAGAGAATTGGAGATACTGTAGCCCTTGGTGACAGCAACTGTGGCTGTGTTTGAGCCGGTGTTGGCGATGACTGGTGACATCGCGACATCCCAGTTGTTGAAGTTGGTGTCAGTGAGCACCTGCACCTCCGTGCTCTCGTCACAACGCTTGTCCAGGGCTGCCACCGAAGGAGCAGTTGGAGGGCTGTGGATGGCTCTCTTGTTCAGCATCTCCCTTTTCGACTTTTGAATGCCGTACTCGAAATCCTTCATAACCGAATATGAGCCATCGTCGTTGGGGACAATGACATCGTCAAACTGGAGAATTCTGGGGGCCACCAGAGCTTGAGCAGCGCCCAAGAAGGACAGAAGGACCGCAGGCTTGATGTACATGTTGAAAAGATTGTTGTTGTTGCAGAGACAAGTTTCTGAGAGGGCGGAAAGTGTCAGGGGGGCTCCCGGCCAAAAAAAGCTTCGAGGGCGATTGAGTTCGACGAAAATGAGTGACGAAAGAACAGACACAGGTCGCACACGAAAAAGAATGGAAGGTATCCGAAAATGGAAGCTGTCTTGTGAAATAGAGTAGTTGGCATCCCATCTCAGCCCTGGAGGGCTGAACCAAGAGTATTTAAGCTTGTCTTCCGGGTGCCACCGCCGAACCGGTGTGCTCCAAGAGACCGGTTCGATCACGCGCATGACTACCTTGATATGGATCTAAATTCGGAGATGAGGTGGGTTGCACGGCGAGCCTGGCTCTCCGCCGTTGCGGTGCGGCTCCGAGTCATGACCTTGCGTGCTGGACGGCTGTGCAGTGGAAGCCCTCCTGTTTCAGACGGTGGGATTCCAGGCCGTCCGGGGAAACATGGCCTAGGTGTGGGTACGATAAGATGACATGGATCGAGCAGCTGGAGACCACAGCTTCTTGGCCAGGACATGGGACGCCGAGCGTGACTCGCCCATGGATGATCGTGTAAACACCCAGGCCGGTCGCATGCCTGCCCTTGAGCAGCGCAGCCTGCTCATGGCTATTTTAAACGTTAAGCTCAGGAACTCCCAAGACGCCGTTTGGAAAACATTTTATGCATTTTGCTTTCGGTTCGTCCCGAACTAGGCTGCTGATAGGCCACATGCAGGGTCACCTTCATGCGACAAGCTGTACCGTGCAGGCGGATCATGCAATTGAGCGCCGATCGCCAGCTCGTGGAGTTCCCTTGAGAGCTCTTCCAAGGGAGCTTCCATGTGCAGCCGTGCTATCCGCTCAGCTTTTCGAGTTAGGTAAAGATGAGCGGATGTTTGCAGGATGGTGGTTCAGATAGGTCTCGTCTGCGTTTTGTTAGAGTTGATGTCACGTTCGTTGGGCACGAACCCCCGGGCCAAAGTGCTCTCTCTCGCACCGCTGTGATGCGAAGCGCTGCCCGATCTTAACGCTCTGAAGTCGGAAGAATATCGACTTACTCTGGTGCGAAATGATTCAAGTCTACGAACCAGTGAAGGCGCATTGCAGAGACATGCGCTGATGCTCTCCAACCCCAGAGGCATAGAGCGAGGTCGAGCTGGCAAGGCCCATGGCGTTGACAGGGAATCCGAGCATCATGTGCAGGGTCAACGACTCGTATCCGGTTCTGATAACGGGAGCCGATCCTTGTTATATAAATGGAGCCGAGATAGACGGTCCTGCGCATACAACTTGTGGCATCCATGAACGTAGACTGACTCAGGATTGGGCGGTCACTGACGAGCAACTCTTTGTTGACATCGTTCCTGGGCAGCAACTTAAGCTTCAGGGCACGTTGTTCGGTCGGTGGCGATTGTCTCACATGCCTTCATTAGTTGCCCTCAGGACGGCGTAATGGATGGTTAGCATACTCAGATGGCCAGCTTCTTGTTTTAGAGGCAACCAATCCGGTAGAGCAAGGACATTCGAGCGTCGTTACAGAGCTTGACTTGTGGTGCACGGTAATGAAGAAATGCGGCCTTTGTTTTGTTGGTCGCCAACATTTAGTGGTGCCACGGTCCAGATACCTCATCCTGCAAGGGACCCAGCACAGCCCAGTGTGCCTCATCCACACGAAACATCAAGCTCTGTATCAACCACTTACTGAAGCTTATCGATCCTTTTTAACTCTTTGAATACGAAGGCAACAGTTGAGAAAAGTCTTTGTGAAGTCGGCCATTCTTTCGGTCGTGCACCCCTCCTTCTTCACGGGAAGCTGGATCCCGGTTTGGCCAACATGGCTCGCCAAGGCCACACTCTTATACGGCCATACGTATTTCTACTTTGAGCAATATGTATTTGCTCTCTCAAATCCTTTAATAGCTATTCTCAACCCGTTACATCACGATGCCTTTGATAGATCTACGCAAGGTGGCAGTCGGCAATTGGCAGTCGAGGCAGCTGGAGGAACAACATGAGCTGCTCAAAAAGCAGAAGGCAAGACATATACTTGTAGACATGGAAGAAAAGTACTATGCCTAGGCAAGACAAAGCGAAGTATGCTCGCTTGACAGCCAGGTTTTCAGGTCCTCACGCAGCGGGAGCTTGCGTGCAAGAAGGTATCCCTGCACGACCTGATTCCATTCGTGTCGATGGCTGTGTCAGCTTTCCCAATGAGGTCTGAGGCCGGCTGGCAATCCGATCCGAGAAAGCGCCCGATCCGAGAGAGCACTCGATGTGGACCATTCGCTATTTCTGTAACTCATTCGTACAAACCGTCAAGGGCGGCTTTCTTGACACCATGTCCTTCCCTGTGACCAATATCATGCCCAATCAGGGCTTCCTATCGAATATAGAAGCCTGTCTCCCTTCGTTATGACTGGAGTTCACGTGAGTTGTCTTCAGCCTGCTATCCCGAGTGCGACTTGCCGCCCAGGGCTTCACAGTTATTCGGTCATCGGTCCGTCCTCCTTTTTCTTCTTAGTTAGTTGTCACTAGGTTTCCCTTCCATCAGGGCCAGGTCTCACGACCGTGCATTCGTTCTCCGTAAAAGGTCTATCATGCGCCAGCTTGTGGGAGCCAGTTCGGCTTGTCTGTAGGTGGAGTTGGCTCTATTGGCAATTTGAGGAGAACTAGGGGGCTTATTTTCAGAAGTCAGTATGTGTAGCTTGAGAAATGTTTCATCCTTAGCCTTTCCGGACATCTATTGCACGAATAAGAGCTGTTTACGTCGAGTATGGATTAGTGGGCGTCGGTTAGGCCATCCAGTGTCCTGTCCGCAGTTGAAAATACCTGTTCCTGCAACGTCTAGCAGTCAATGCCCGAGAGATCAAGATTTCAGGAGATAAGGTGTACCGGTAGGTGAATGGAAGAGCTGGGGTTGCCACAGAGAGGCAGATGGCTCCGTTGTTCCAGGTCTCGGCTAGCATGGCTGCCTCCATCCTGACCCGTCTCACTATAGCTATGTTCTCGACTGAACGTAGTAAATAAACGTGCAGTCAGGCCATTCCTGTCCTTTACAAGCGCAAAATGAACTGCTCGCGTCAAGAATGGCCACGTCTGTCAAAGTAGCTCTCTTCCAATGCTTGCTTGACCAGCGCTTGGACTAGCTTATCGAGAAGCGTTCAAGAGGCTCACAGGCAGTGTGGATTCCCACAGACTGCAGTCGAAATCAGGAGTGATACTTGTAGAGTAAGGGTCAATACATCAGCTTGAAGGAGGGTCGGTGCTCGTGGTATTTGGTAGGCATGGCTCCTGTGCCTCTTTGTCAGCCATTGTGTATGCCCACAGCATCTTGGTGAAATGCTTGTTTATTTACCTGACCGAAGACTCAAGGCTGAAAAAACCTGTTGACAATCAACTCGTTGGATGTGTGTATCAAGTGCATGGTAATTGTAGTCGGTACACGTGCCGAGAGGCGATGTGAGCCCGGAGTGAGTGGGGCTAGCCGGCAGGCAAGGCTGACGCTAGCTCCAAAACAAGGCTAGCGCCGCGACTAGCTTCCACGTTGGCGCGGTAAGGCTGACCAGGGGCCACGCCCATAGGACTAGACAAACGACATCTGCTAAACAGCCATTGGACCTGTGTACAACCAGCACTTCTTGAGTCCCCCAACTGGAAATGTTTCCTACGATGCAGCTTGGACTCTAATCATGTATTGATTTCATTACACACTGCGACAGCCATTTGCCTTAGACTATTACGCTAAGATATCCATCTTTCTATGCACATAGTCCAATGGTAGGTGCTGCGCAGCTTAGTGCCATCGTCGGGCAGAAGGGCATTTGCCGGTGAGCACTCATAGGGTAATGCTGTTGAGGATGTTCATACGCCATGGATCCTTGGGAACGGTTGGGTTCTGCAACTGTGCTGAGAAGCGTGGAACGGACACATCTGGTTCGAGACCAATGTGCAAGGAGAATCGTATGAGCCTGTCTGGCTCGAAGAAGTCGGGTACTGAAGAAGAGACTGGCACGCCTCCGGCTCTCTGTACTTCCGGTCAGCCTGCGGGAACAGGGACGAGAATGTGAAAGCAGTCCTCACTGTACCTTGGCGAAAGTGTGGCGGAGCCAGGATTGGCTACTCCTCGAAGAGAGGGATCAGCTGATCTAGTTCGTCCGCGTGTTTCTTGATGCCCTTCCAGCGCTTGAGGGTCTTCTTAGTTTCTTTCCTCTGCCTCTTCCTCTCCTGGATTGCATTCTTGATTTCCTCTTCTCTGCTGCCCGAGAATGGATTGTACCTTGCGTACTCCACAGCCTCATGTTCCTCCTTTCTCTTCTTCTCTTGCTTCTTCTCTTCCTTTCTCTTCTCTTTACTGGCAGCCTTGATTGCAGCGCGCTGCTTCTCCGCGGACTGGACGCATCGCCTGATGATGGGGTTGACAGGCGCCTTCTTGTCGGCGTCAATGACACCCTCGATACAGAGAATGCAGGCGTCATTCTTGCAGTTGATTCCGAGCTTGTGCATGTCCGTCTTGCTAGCATAGACGAACGCGTCAGAATCGGAGACCATACCGTGGAGCGCAAGCTCTGTTGAGCAGCCAGGGCAGATCACCCCACGGCGACGTGCGGCCCTTGGGGCAGGCTTCGACTTCTTGGCGCGAGCCATTGGATGGTCTTTGTTCTCGTTCTTGTGTGATGCTTGGGCTTTCCTGTGTGAAGGAACGGTGCCCTGGAGAGGCCGGTGTGTGGAATACTTTTCGGGGGACAAATGAATCCCCACAGATCCCAGGAATTGCGGTCGGGATACTTCGTCCGAAGTGTCTCAATTCACCTCCTAGCGATACATAGGGCATCTACTCATTTGTGCGCACTGCGTCCGACTGATAAGACAACAATTCACCACAACCTACATGTGATGCCCAAAGATACAAACAGCTGCAGTCTAGATAATTCTAGCGCTGCAATGTTCTGCCTTGAAAGAGGGACAGCCAAGGGAGAGGAGTATCTCATGGTGAATTCATCAATCAAGTATATGCAGTTTCTTGGTTAGCGGAGTAGGCGATGGACAATTCACAAAGCCAGATCAGAACACATAAAATCTTTTATGTGATCACAAGCCAGTGTCTATTCTATTTCCCCCACCTCAATTCTCACTCTTAAGATCAATGGATTCCATAATTTTCCTCAGTGAACTGCCTCAAGGACTTGCGATCCCGATCCCTGACAGCAGGTATACCATCTACTCTACCTTTCCACTCTTTGGCAACGTGTTCTGACGATGTAGGCAGTCAGAAAGAGTCAGATCAACCGACTAGAGCAAGCATTACACGACCCAGAATTCTCCCCGAGAACATGTCTCTGTTAGCCAGCAAGAGTCCGAACAAAGAACACCATGGGTCATAAGTACAAGAAACCTCTGCATCCATCAGTTGCTAACGGCGGCAAGCATCACTGGTAAGGATAAGCACTGCCTCGTCAAGATCATCCGTGCTACATGTGGGCGTATGTTGACCAAATGTCTGAAACAGTCCGGAATGCCGAAAAGCGCCAATAGCCTCCTGTTTTGGCCACCACCTCTTCATTTGCAAGAAGCATAGGACCCATTGCTACACCAAGGTCAACCCTTGCCAACTATGCGAGGCGGACCAGCGTCGACGAGTAAAAGCTGAACAGAAGGAGGCCAATCAGGACAGGCTTCGCAGAAAGTTGTTGAAGGAGCAGCAGAAGGAGGAGGCAAGACGGAAGATGGATCGGAAAATGAGGTGGACAGAGACGCGGAAGGCTAGTAGACTGGCGGTAATGCGTAGCAATACGGGCTGAGGGAACGGACCGTCTCAGCGCTTGAGGGGACCGTGGTTTGATTGCTTCTGTCTGGATTAGCATTTCATGCCATGAGCATCATCTGCGTTATGTTTGTCCATGACCCGGATATCCTCCTGTGATCCACATAGATTCTGATTGCTTATGATTGACGAGGGATGTCTGTTCTGGCCATCAATTTACGCAGCTGCCCCCCGCTGGAGGATTCAACGGTTGTTTCTGTCCTCGGACTCCGTCAGCCACGATGCAAACAAATATACCTAGGATTCATTGAGAGGGGTCTGTTCGCGAAGGTATACTGCTGGCGGAACTAATTTCGTAGAATTGAGCTAATCTTGGACTGACCTTCCGCTGCCTTCCGCCGTCTTCCGGAACTTCTTGCTTGTAGAAACAAGCGGTCTGTCGAGGAATTCAGTACAATGTCGACCAATAAGACGGCCTGAAAACAGTCTATTCTACAAGATAAGCGCTCCGTCGCTTTCTTATTTCGATTTGCGTGATTCTGAGTGCGATGCCTTCAGGCAGACGATTCGTCCTCGGCTTTGCCGAAACACTTTTCCACTCAAAACGATTCCACCTCGCAAGTAATTCTAACTTCCTTCCATTACTGTTCGAGTTCATCTTATTGTTCTTTACAGTGACTCCTAACTTCCTATCACACGCCCCCACCACAATCTTTGTCCTCCAAACCCAATAGGCAGTCTCTTCACGGCTGGACGTCTCGGCGCTCGAGGCTGGCCTCGTCCAGTCGGCCAGATCCATTAGACCTAAACTTCACTACATCCTAAGGTAAGTCAGATCCTTAACTCTTCCTATCCATCGTCGTATTTGCCACCATGTTTACTCCGTACGAACCCTGCACTCCGCTCGTTTCTTGGTCGTTTGCGCCATCAACAGCTACCCATTGTTTACTCTGTTGAGAGGTGAGCTAGAGCATTCACCAATCCGTCACCACCACGTCTGCTTCCTTCGCCATTAGCCACTACATACCTCGCTTCCGTTGTCATCCGCTCTTCTAACCGATACATCACTCAATCCCTCTTCGCCGCCGTCTGCTTCAACTCCCGCTCTGATCACCTTGCTTTTGGACCCTGCCCCCTGAGAAGCCGTCACCAACGACGTGTACTTCTAGCTGCCCACTGGGCACTAGTCCCGGACCACAGAGTATCATCAAGCATAATCTGAGCCCAGTGAGGTAATGGCAACTACGCGGTAGAGAATCTAACAATCACAGCAGCTGTTCTCAGCTTGCGGACAGAGGTCCTTCTCGAGTCCGAAGGGACTCCCTTCACCAGTCACCGTAAGTCCAAGACTTCAATCTCTTCCATACATCCTCCCTGAATCATCCGCCACAACCCTGAAAATCCTCCACACCATCACCTGAGAACGTTCTAGGAGAACAGAGTACGTGGGTTTCAAAATGCTCTTGATCCGCCCGGACTGTGTCATCAGCCTATATCGAAAGTCTTCGATCATCAAAAAATCTGTTTCCTACCCGCAGCCTTGCAATAACGGACACATTTCCTTCCACAGCTTCTCCCGAAGCACTTCTTCTTGACCACCTCTTCCAGAATCTTCCGTCGTTTCTTTTCAGCGTGTTCCTCAGCATCCTTGGCGTCATTTACTCCAGTCTTCGTTGCCACGCCTCGATCTGACCGATAAAGCCCATTCACTTAAGCTCCGAAACAGTCGCTCAAGTATCCGACGGTCTATCGACTACTGCTGTTATCGAGTAGGACGATCACCTCAGTAAGTACGTTTCCAAACATCTTTCCATTACCCCACGCTCACGGCCAAAAAGCAATGAGAATCGCCTTGTTGAGCTTCATCCGAAATCATCTCCGTTGCGCACCAATCCTCGTCATCATTCATCTCGTCTTGAACATCGCTCCGAGTAAAGACACAATCCCAGTCTTCACACCTCCAGCCGCACGGGCTTGTAAGCACGAGTCGTATCCTACACGAAGTTTCAAGCCGCAACTGTTCCAAGCCTCCAGCGAGGTTCCGCTATCCATGGCCAACTTCCAGAGTTGCCCAGCTGCGAGCATACACCAGCTTAGGCCGGCGGTCTGCTTCTTCCTTTTCCTGGAACCTCGGCCTATCACGAATTGCCTGAATACTTGTATTATATAGCATTACAACACATTGACGACTGACAAGGCTGACTGCTCGCAGGCAGCTGAACCTAATGGCGACGAGGCTTCCTGTCAGCTCGATTGGCTACAGTGATGCAAAATCCCCGGTAGCGTCAGGCCGCTCTGGTGCGCGGCAGGACTGAGTGCTGGACCTAGTGTAGAGTTGAAACCTGTCCTCCAGAGAGGTAAGTAGAAACGTTCCTCCGCGAGCCACTAATATGCCTTGAAGTAAACAATGTCTGGACAACTAATTAACTTTGCAATAGATGGATATAGTAGTGCTGGTGGCAGCGTCAAGCCCGACAAGCGCCGCTCGACCTGGCGGGTTGAAAAGCTCGTCAAAGTTGAGGACGAACTCGAATCTGACCAGGAAGGCTTCAGTAATGATTCTGCTATCGATCCAATTGGATAAGGAGATGAGTGGAAGGGAGTGGAGCGCAAGGGGAAAAGAGAACTTCTGGCGTATCGTCGCTAGACTCGACTTGCCACCAACTGGCAAAAGGTGGGCCTCGCGAGAAAAGGAAATGTTCTGGTCCGTCCGCGCCAGACTCGCTCCTCCCGGCATTCATCAGGCCAGTAAGGATGTCAAAAGGACCACAGAGAGGTCCTGAAATCGAAGGAGCCTCTCATTGAGTCAACGGAGAGCCTGATGCGCCAGAAGAGCCCTGACGAACCTCTGCCCCGAGACGAAACGTCTTCAATCTTATCTTGAAACACCAAGAACGCAACACCGCGACCACAACGGTTGGAAAACGTTGGAATGTCCAGGAAGAGGAGACTTTCTGGCAGACAGTAGCGCAACTTACTCCTCCCGGCCTTCATCAGGCCAGTAAGGATATCAAGAGAGGTTCTGAAGTTGTGGAAGCCTCTTGTTTAAATAATAGGGAACAGAGTCGTGAGTTCTTGCCACAGGAAGGCTGGGACCAAGAATGCGACATATTGACAAATTTTCAGGCTCTTCATCCGAGACGCCTTTACTGGTGTTAACTCTGAGTCTCCTGAGAATCCCGAGACCTCAGAGAACAACGATACCGCGATGGTGCCTCCCCCATATGGCCCAAACTTCGATTCTTACCAAGATGAAAAAAGAGTTTTTTATCCTTCTATGCAACTTGCCCAAACTCCCTTTCTTTAGTATGGCTCCACCCTGGGAAACCGCCCAGCCGAAATTGATTCAACCTCCGGAGTAATGCCCCTCCAATCGGCAAAGCGACACCTCATAAGGTCACGGGAACGAAGCAGCTCTCGGATACATGGCTTTGGGGGCAATCGTGGCCAACATTGTGAAGACTGGTGCGGTTCACAGGTTCGAAGCTCCAACAGCGGGTCTATCAAGAAGACGTGCGCTGCCATCGAAGCGCACATGGCAAGCGCCGCTCGACACGCCAAACCACAAGCCTCGCCAAGTCTCCGGACGATCTGAACTCCGATGAGGACAGAGGTCCAACTATAGATGGCGAGCAGATTCGAGCAGGCCGCGCCAAGTTTGGTGATTATCGCCTGCTGTAATGAGCCAAAAATCGATGAGAAGCGTACCAGCGCAGATATGTCCTGCCCTCAGAACAACGGCGGCCTCCCTAACAGCTCCACCTCTATCAGCGACGGCGGAATAGACAGACAACTCCCCCCTGCTCCTGACATGCAGGGCCTGCTTTCTGGTCAGAATGCTGCCAACCAGCCTTCTTGAACCCCTAGGTGAGTCTTATTCCCTACCCTAGATCGGTCTAGCATTTTCTGAAGAACTTGACAAAAGTATTGCGGAGCCTCTTACTGAAGAGGGAGGAGATCACGATCTCGAGGCGTTCGTGAATCGAAACTGGCGGATATTTGACTTCACCTCGGAGGAGGGGGGGCAGACTACCCAGATTCTCGACTCGTGCCCTCCACATTGCACAGTGTCCAACTTATCGGGGGCTCGAATTGCCTTTAATTATCTCCAAATTCGAGATTTTCCCCATTTCAGCCGGTAAAAAGTTGGTTCAGCCTCAATCTGAATACAATTGGCAACATTACCAATGTGAAGACGACATTGGAAATAGGATCGGGGAGCTTGAGTCCTGGATGGATGAGCAGTTCATCAAGAGCCTCGACCAATATCAGACTGATGATGATTCCAGCGACAGGAAGAATCCTGTACACCAAAAGCCCAGATGGTCATCAAGTTGATGGATAGTGCTGAACAGGTTGTTCGGATGCACGGTAGGCAACACTATAGTATATTAGCCTCTCCTATAAGCTGACTATATTTAGATGACCGATCATGGCTCCACCATCAGGCCATGGACTGTCTGGCCTCCTTAGAACGCTCATCACTATCATAAAGACAAGAGATGCTCATAAACCGCATGCGAAGTCAATACTCCATCTTGATAGCATAATCTGGACAATTGGCCGGATCAGACCATCCCAAAAGGATCCGAATCAGGCCTCCTAGCGGACAGAGGCTCGACAACAGCTTAGCTCCGATGATGACATCCTTCCCTTTCCTTACGGAGGATCGGTTCTGGCAGTCTAGGAGCAAGCTCATCAAAGGAAGGGGACTGAGGTCCCAGATACTTAATAGGGGAAACCTGATACGAAAAGAGTGTGCTCCCTGAGACTCATTCGATAGGGCTCGAGAGGAGGAAGCTGAGTCCCAAAATTCTCTTGCGGGCACTATTTCGTTTGTCTCCCTATGTTCGGGTCTTCCTATCTGGCTTGGTGTGGGCCTTGCCCCGTGCACAAATGGTACTGAGTACCTGGTCGACTACAGAGGAGTTGTGTGTGCACGCTGCAGGTGGTGGGGCACCCTTTGGTCTCAGTGCCTTGCCCATACATTGACGCCGGCTAGGTCGGGGACTCTGCCTTGACCGTGCCAGCCTCGACCTTCATCTCCAAGACCGTCTGGATCTCCACCTCTCAACAACAACGAGCCATCAACCACGATGGATTCTCTGCAAATCAAATTTGTCCTCAATGAGGTTCAGGCCCGCCTCGAGCGCTGCCGAGCCTTACCCAATTTCGACCAGCATTCCAGAGGGATGTGCAAGGAGGTGGCGATCCTCCTCCTCCAGGGCGAGGCTGGCTACGAACGCCTCAACATAGCGGCCAATCACAACCACCAAGGACCCCAATCCGACGCCCATCTGGCCGCAGAGGCGGTATCACATGCTTCTCAGCGTTGGAATGCCGAGATGGAACGTTTGGGAAAAGTCGGGTAAGTTTTCACACACTTGGCACTACTATTCTATCTCCTCCCACGACGGTAGCAATTGACACAGGCACACAGCTTCGATTTGAACCCGCAGGAGATCGCGCGGTTCATTCAAGATGTCATGACCGGCTACGAGGTCTATTTCGTCGACCACCAAGAGAAGGTGGCAAAATACGGAGATGTCTACGGAGACATCGACGCCATTCTTGACGCTAACCCAGATGTGGAGGCGATGGGAGAGTAAGTAAAGTTGCCCTGCAAAACGTTGCCCTAAACATCTCCAGTAGTGATGCTGACTGCTCCGTCTGGCAGGCCTGGTGAGATCGCACCCATCCCCGCCTCCAACGGACGCATCGGATGCGCTTTGTGTGGAACGTCCCTGAACGGCATGGCCGTCCTGGAATCACACAACGAGGCCATCCACCTGAACCGCAACATGTCGGCTTGCACCGAGTGCACCTGGACCCGAGGTCAAGGCCGCCCCAACGACATAATCGACCACCTCCAGTCGGAGCACGATATCTACAGTGCTAGCCACCCCGACTACTTTTCCACCAACATCAACCACATCGGCCGCAAGAACAAGACGCTGCTTCGGACGCTGTTGCGCGAGGATCGTCACATCCTCGCATCTCTGAGAGGCAATGCGCCTCCAGTCCATGCTATACCGCCGGACTGGTCAAAGACTAAGCTGGCAAGAGATATTAGTAGCACCAGACGCCAGATCAAGCATCAAGCGGGCTGGCGGGCGATAGTCGACGGCCAAAGGGTCGACCGTATTGCGCAGTAGGGAGCCTGCCCCAGCCCAGTCGCCCCTGACAAAGGCCACCACGCGGGTGGTCCTCAGACAAGTGATTGTCGTACATCTGAAGGTGTGGCGATGGATCTCATGTGGGTGGAGCTCCCTCGTGTTGTTTCAGTGAGGTTGTTATGGCGAGGCCTTTTATACAGACGGGTTTGCGGTGGCTGTTTTTAATACGAGGGACTCTTGAAAAGGGTCTATCTTCATTCTCAGTCCGGAAGAAACCGGTGGTTGATTTGGGCGACAGATTCCGCCTAAATACAGACGTAATGACAAAAGTGATTCCCGAAGTGCAAAGCCAATTAGCCAAAAGCAGAGGTGCATTACAACGTGACCAACCGGCGTGACAGATCAGCTAGCTAACATTACCACAATATTTAATGGTGCGCGGGACGATCGCCTACAATCATCAATTCTTCACATCTGGCCTGCGTATGAAATCGTTGTGCTTGACTCGAGAAGGCCAGAGCACCCACTCTATCATCACGATGCTCACGTTTCAGCTATACTCTGCAGCCCTCGTCGCCTCGATGGCCCCCCTGGGCCCTTTCGCATGGGCGCAAGAGGCACCCTGCGATGCTTATTCGCACGCTTGCCTCAATGTTATACAAGCCAATACATGCTTCGCCGCGTACATTCGTGGGAACAACGTCACAGAGATGCTCCGATGCGTCAATGTCAGCAACCAGACTCTTGCAACCGAAGAGGTCAGTATAGTCCGCTACCATAAGCAGGGAAACATTCGTATCGCTGACGAGTCCAAGCTCTGTGCATGCTATGGATGCACCGAGCCCAGCGTGCAGAAGTTCGTCGTCAGCAGCAACATCTGTCAATAGTGCTTCGGAAGCTGACGTGGTATGAGCCTGCGCGACGTTAAAGGTCGGGATGAAAATGCTTGGGGGCCAATTCCGGATCGCAGACATCGACCATCACGGGACGCACTAAATGCTCCAAACTTTTTAAAAGAATACAAATAAACAAGTAGATATCGAGTTACAAATTGAAACTTTTCAATTCCAACAGCACTAAGCTCCTTCATTTCCATTGTATGTTTGTTATGGTTGGGCCTGACCACAGGCTACCCAATTCAGTTCACAATACTGTCCTCGAGCCAAGGACTCCTCCCCAATACCAAGTCTGTGGAGATGACTTGATGCACTGCGGTTGCGTCGGACTCAATTTCTGGGATGCGTTCGAAACCGGGGGACGAGCAAACATCCAGGCTGGAAGTAGATCCCTGTCTTCTGAGATACCGAATGAATTAACTCCAGAAAGGCTATCTGCAGCCGAACTTGCTACAGATTAAGTGGTTCGCTTATGGATCTCAAAGCAAAATGCTCAAGATAGAACTTCTAGTTGATCATGTGCTCCTGAGATTCAGCGGAAGCCTTCTCTTGGGTGACTGCTATCAGCGACAATGTACTACCAGATACTTTTCCATTACTAGAGAGCACAGATAAACAAAGAGCAGACGGAGATTGCTGAATTTTGTCATCTAGTGAGCTGACATACAAAGACCCTAGTCCTACTCAAATTATTTTGTAATGGTCACAGAGTCCACCACAAGCCATGTCAAGCCCTATGTTCCAATTGACATGGAAACTTCATTGGATCCCTTGTTCTAATACAGAAGATTAAGAATGATATACGAGAAGCTTGTAAGTATCTGCGAAATTGATATATATCCGTCCGCTAGGTCTCACAAGCCTTGTGAGCCTTACCCTTGACCTACGTCAAGCGGCTTTGAGTGGGATCTTGTTCCTAACTACTCTATTCCACTAGTCCAGCAATGAGACATTGCTGCTCAGCTTGCGCCAATGCTGCAAGGATAACAAAGGCGAGGTGCTCACGAAATAGTACGGCGCCGCAAAGGGTCCTTCGTGAAGGCTCTTGAGCACCGAGTCATCTCTCCCTTCGAGGCTCTCTGGAATGTCATCCAGACCTCAACCCTGGCAAAGGAGATGGATGCCTGCCTCGCAACCCATGGTGGAACTGCTTAGTTACTATTGCAGCACCGCTACACCCTTCCTGCATGACAATGTGATTGCTGAGTTGGAGAGCTTCGCTCGCGAGCGCAATGTGCATGGAATCGGCAGCTGGATGGTGCTCGACGAGGCCCAGAATGATACCGGAGGTCAAGCTGTGGAAATATTGCAGCCTGGAGTCAGAGTGGACCCGGGGCTGAAGGGCATAGAGCAAAATTCTCAGGGCCCTCGATTACAGGAGGCTGTTGACAGCCACAGTGACCCCGGTAGTCAGACTGGTTTTCGTAGTCCATCTCTGGCATCTGCATGCATTTCATGACAATGCAGAGATATTGCCTAGTCGATCATGAGCTGCTAGTTCTTGAATCATTCCTGCATGTTTCCATCGAAAGCATTATTTAAAAGTGAGCTGGATTTCGTCCATCCGTGGTCATGGCTAAGAAAATTAAACAAGTGTATTGTTTTCAGATTATATGCCGGGCAGATTCACTTATGCCATCAACTGGTTAAACGGTATAGGGTAGGCTCTGTGCTGCCATGACCTGCTGTTGAAAAAAAGGCCACGGTCCCAAATCCGCCAACTACGCAGACGTTGCATGACTTTAAACCTCTCAAGTATTGCACCACTTTCCTGTCACCCTACTGGTAGGCCTTGAACCCCAGGTTAGTCTGAATCGCCAACCACACAAACTAAACTACGGTGTGCCGGGTACATATGCCCGATCCTAATAACAGGCTTACATGCAATACTGAGGGTCTTTGAGCTCAAAATCGCTTGGACATACGTGGTTTCAATGGCCTAGAGAGTCTGTGCCAGCAATTTCTAAGAAGGGGAGCAGACTTTTGACCGTGGCTCAAACAAAAGAACACTCAAATAACAACGAAGTTGACACTTTAGTGGCAAGTCCTAAGCTGAGTGGTTGGCTACAAGTTACTATGTGATGTGCAAAGAGGATTGCACGAGAAAGACAAGCAGAGTCACCTATTCTACAATGTCATTCGCTGCCGCATGCTTCACAAAGCATCTTGCTCTTCCAGAACGCTGGAGGGAAATTTGTGCCAGTAAAAGATGCCAAAATCACATTTCCTTAGGTATAAGCGCAGTGTCTTTAGCTACTAGAAGGCAGCCATTTGATCATGTTCGGGTCATGAATTTGTCGCTGTAAATTCTCTCTGACAAAAGCTTACAGCTATCAATACTATTCTTATGTTGCATATGTGGACATGAGGTGGTGATGAGACTCTCCGCTGGGCTTGGATATACAAAATAGATTCGCTTGCTCCAATCCTTCACATTATACGGCATGCATCGTCTGTCAGCATGCATCGTCTGTCAGCATGCGGGCTTTCCCTGATGAGTTCGCCACTAAGAATATCCTCTGGCAGACAGGGATCAGTCAAGGGACCCCAGCACGAATCGTGCACAGATGCCGAGGCAGTTGAGCAGCACGGACGCCAGCACATGGAAGAAGGACACAACACTCCGGCTCGTGTTTACGGGAATCGCAGGAGCTCAGCATGATATTTGGGCTGTCAAAATAGTTTTCAGCTTCAGTAGTTCAAAATCGGTAATATTTCTTGTGTCCAAGCAGTAGCAGTGGCCGTCTAAAGGCCTTGTGAAGATCTCTTGGCATACTGTGGTCTCACTAATCACATCTCAAGTGGGTCCTCACGTCGTTGTGGGGCGCCGAGGTACCTGGGAAATTTCCGTCATGCGAGTCAACATATTTCGCCATCCCGTCTTCCTCAAGCTACAAGACTGCTAGACTATCATCATCGCAACATCACCAAGGCCCAATATCTCCAGCAACCCACAACACAATATCACCCACAACACAATATCACCATGTCTTCCGCAAGCCCCAAGCCCGTCAAGATCACCACATTCCCCTTGCGCAACCAGCCAGGCCGCGTCGCAGGCTACACCATCGGCGCCGCGTTGATGCTGCTGATCTCACGGCGCGGCTTCATCGCCCCTGGCTCCGTCATCTACAATACCCTTATCAAGACCCCTGAGGCGGCTCAGACAGCAGCTAAGATCCAGGACTGGGCTTTTCTCTTTGTTGTTGGGGCACACTCGATCGAGGTGCCGCTCTTCGCCGTGACGAAGCTGAAGAAGCATGGCGTCCCGTTCTTCAGCGTGCTGTGGTGGAAGTGGGCTGTGGCGTGCTTTGTTGGGGGTCTCGCTGCGTGGAAGCATTTTGCCCTGACTGTGGCGGCGGCCGAGGGGAAGAGGGCTTAGGGAGTGTACCGGGAGTGATATGAGGTTGTCAGAGCCGGAGCTGGCCTGTGGAGCGACGTCTGGGTCGAGAGTCATGAGATGTATTGGTACGAGATCTGTCACCTGTCAGAGAGACTGCCAAAAGCAATTTGAAGGATGTCAGTGGCTGGGAACTGCTTAGAATCTGTGAAGACTTGTCGGTCATCTTGTACTTCATGACCACAAATCACCCAGCCATTATACCATCTAGGGAATACTTTCGACGGCTGCCTACCATGTCAAGCATGCACTCCTGAATCTTTGATATCCTGGCATCACTTCTAAAATATGACGTCTCCATATTTTGGAACACCACACCTACATACGATGTAAACTCCCATTGTGGAATCTAGTGATTTGTCTCACCTCCTAGCATCTCGAGCCGTTGTGAACCAGCCATTGTACATGCTCTATCAGGACATTCTTGAAGTTTCGATGGATTTGGTCCGAAAACCCAGAGTTTTTATCGTCACTCATCAATGGCACCACGAACATCCTCACCAGGCCCAACCGTCATGAGGTCTCTAGGGAAAGAGGCGGAGCAACCAGGGGGACATCAGCCTGGGGTGCGATTGCGGACGTCGCCCCTCATAAATCCATCGCTTATCCGGTATCATCTCCAAGCCATAAATTTATGTAGCCTTTCAAGGGACCTTCGTCGTCCGGTCGGTGACCACACAGCCGCCAGCCAAAAACCACTACGCTTGTAGCCCCAAGAACAACCCCCACTGCCGTTGTCTAGTATCGTTGTTGAGGCCCCAGTATCTTGGGAAGGGAGCCCCTGATTCCGACGATCCGAACCCGTCGCGTCGACATGTTAGCGCCAACAAGAGCGTTGGCAGATATTTGTCGCCTGCTGCCAGAAGTTGTCTGCTGGGCGACCTCATATTGGTCACTTAGGAGATAATCAACTTGGGGCTTGGGCTCCTCAAGCATCTTCGCCCTCGATTGTCTTTTGTCCGCCCAAGACTACTTCAGGATGCTCGCCAATGCCCTGTTCCGCTCCGTTGTCACCGAATTGGCGGCATTCGGTGTCAGACCCTGCGATCGTATTTCAGAGTGCAGCCTTGCAAGGCAGCAAAAAGTTCTCTTTGCTTGAAGAATCTCACTTTTATGCCCGCACAGCCGAATCACTGCCAGGGTGAAAGAGGCCTCAGATGTGTCAAGTGCGGGGATCATAATCTCCAACCTGACAATTGGATCCGCCCCGTGCCTTTGAAGCACAGGAGGGCCAAGATCAATCAACTTTGGCAACTGTGATCGTTTTGAGCACCGGCTGCCGCCTCTCTTCGATCTGGCAATGTCTTCCCGTCAGAAAAGGGTACGTCCTGTTGATAGAAATAGTGACTGATTGGGACTGAACTAACTTGATACAGAGTGAGCACTGTTGATGGCGTCATGAGAAAAAGTCCAATCTCCTATCTCCAACACGAGATACCTTCTTGTCTTATTGCCAACCGCTCGACGAGTTCAGGACGTTGGCTTCATTGTGATGGATATATTGTTTTATAGGAGGGAGTCTTGTTGTTCCAAAGGTCTTGTCACCAAATCGCAGGCGAGATTGTCTCCCACTGTTTCGTGGAAGTTAGCATATGAACTGAAATCTTCTTGAGTGTGAGAAAAAGAAGAAATATCCGCGGGATGGACAGAAATTGCGTTGTACTCGACCTTGCCGTCAGTCTTCTGAGCCATTGGACCTGACGCTCGCCGTCTTGCTGGACACGAGATCGAGTGCGATTTCGGCCCGCTACCAATTGACCATCACTTTCGTGACTAGGCGTAAGCGGCTCCCAAATGACTCTCGAGAAGCTGAAGAATTCGAAGAGCAGAAGAGCAGCCAAGTGATGCCTGCATTCCGTGTAGCTTTTTGGCCTGCCTTGCTGCCAGGCTTCTTTACCTCTGCAATAGAGGGGACGAAGGAGAGCCCTTCCTCGCCATCGGGTGCCGGTCAACGGTCTCTGATATGGAACAAGTCATGTCTGATACACCTATGTGGTTGGTGACTGTTAGACCCCGATTTTCGTTAGAATATATACTGAGACGTTGGCACCACATTGGCTTACTTGAAAGTCACCAGCAATATAGCACCGCAAGACTTAGTGGTGCAGGGCAGGTCCTAGGAGAAAGTCGGGCATTGGTGGAATGTTTTCCAAAGAGTGCTCAAGCAGGCGGCTCAAATGCTGCATGATCGCCTCAGATTGTCAACCAGCAGATCGCCCCAGCTGGGTAAGTCCGAGCTGGCCTTGGGGCTGTGTCAGTACATGATCTGAGAAGACTGCAACACTGGTGCAGTTCCCCTTACTGTCCGAAGTCTGAGAGACTCAGCTTTTTGTAGAGGCTGCTTTTCCCATTCCTCCAGCCACTTGTTGTACTCTTTGATGAACGACCCGGCATTGGGTGAGTATAACCGCAGAAGAGACTTTTCGGAACAATGTCCATAAAAGGACCCCGCGGTGTATTCTCGAGAAGAGGCTCGCTGGGGCTGTTGTGGCCCATCAGGCTCTCCATTCTTTCGACAGAAGGCTCCAAGGACTTCAGGACCCCTTTTCGATTCTTCTCGACATTCTTCCTGGGCTTACCAAGGCCAGTGTGCGCGAGACTGGCCAGTGCGGACCAGAAGACTCGCTGTGGATCTAGCTTTAGCCACATTATGCCACACATTTTTGTGATGGCGATTTCTTGATTGGTTGAGGGCGAAAGTCGTGTCTTGGCTTCGTTCTGGAGACAGGTTCGACCTAGCGAGGCAAAATCTTCGAAAAGAGGTCGAATTTGTCCCAAATAGGGATCCCGATTGTCGCCATCCTGACTTGAGGCTGGCCATCGCTCAGTGCAGAGACGACAGTGGTGGCGACTGTCTTAGTTCCCACAATATGTCCATCGACATCGCCATCATAGTCAACCTCAGGCTTTATCATTTACTGAGCCTCGCTCGTCTCATGTCGCTCAACCTGCTCCCCACCGTTGTCCGCAATGGCCTCATCAATGGTCCGGGGCGGAGAAAATCGTCACCCATGAGGTGCTGGATGCCCCAGGTCACCCTTTCCGAGCCGGAGCCGTACTCCATGATGATTAGTTCCCATGTGGAGTCCATGAGAGGCCGGAACGGTTGAGGAAACTCCTGCTTGACCACTCGTAGAAGACGGCAGAGCCGCCACTCTTCCTCCGATGCTCAATATGGTCTAGAAAGACGATGTGCTGCATAATTTGACTTTTAGAACGCAAGCGCGGTCGGAAACGCCCGAGGTCTCCCCTTGGCACCTAATTTCTCGCCGTCTTCGCGATCTGGTTGGACATTTGCAATCGTTCCACTCGGAGCTCGAATACCGAAATATTGTCAATCGACTTGGTTGAGGAATCAGCGGTTCGTTCTACTTGGTGGAAGTATTGTTTGAAGGCTTCGATTGGCACAGGTCGGTATTGGTAATGTGTGGGAAGAGATTCGGTCTCGTCCAGAATTCTGTATCAAGAAATGTCAGCTTTGTACCTTGAGATGTGGTAAGTTAGAACGTAATCCCTCGTGGGCCTCTGCCTACCTCCGACGCCTGGCGTAGAGCTAGAATCCATCTTCATAGGTCTTCACCTACCTTAGACAAGATCGAATCAAAAGGTCCAGATTCTTCACGACTGGGTGGCAGTTTTTGCTTCAAAATCAACTCCTTGTAGCCTCTATTAGTTTGCATCATTTCTTATTGCTATCTTGGGCAGATGAGCGCCGCCAGTGATGAAGAACGAACCTGTCAAAGATGCCGAAAACCTTTCTCTCCTGAAACGGGCCAACTTCATGCGAGGGCATTATGTTTCGTTTGATTTTGTTCTGTTTATGTTTCTGAGTCTGATTATTAGCAACGATGCATGCGTTCCAGCCTTACATGCAGGCTCCAAGTAGGCAAGAAGAGATCGACCGGGAGGGGACCAGTGGACGGCACCCGCAACTGGCTCGGAGTGGGGATCCCGCCAAAGATTGGATGCTTCAGTCGAAATAGTGCTCTTGACATGGTCCAAAAGAGTAACCTGTAGCCTGAAATTGTTATTATTTTCTCGTTGCCTCCGTTCTGTGGATGGACTCCGGTATCATCACTCCTCGTGATTGGCTCGCATGGACCACTGTAATCAGCCGGAACATTCCAGCTTCAACTTGCTATCCAGGTGCTGCCAACAGGTATTCGGGAGGCCAAGCTTACTTAAATCTGGTAGACTGCTATCAACATTTTGCTTGATGCTTGATGCGGCCGCGCCATCAGTGCAGTCGTTTGGGTGTACGTGCGCTTGACAAGACTGACTGGTCAGTCACCAATTAGCAACCGGAATTCACTTCAAGATAGAAAGTGGAAACGGATTATCGAAAACAAGAAAGCCGAGAGCTGATGGCATTCTTCCAGTATCACGAGAAGATTCTCGCGCATTGGCTTGGATGAAGTGAAAGTCGTACAAGGTCTTCATCCACTTCGCGAGGGCTTCGAAGAGTTCGCGGACATGTTGGTGTGAAAGGGTTTGATGAATGTTAGAAATTACCTGATTCTTTTCCACTGGGAGATATGAATGGTAGAGAGCAAGATCAGTTTTCCAGCGGTTTCCGGCAGAGGAATCAGATCGAAGTCCCGAGCTACCTGCCCCTTCTACATCCGGCCCCGTCAGACGGGCCTTCGTTTTCTTGCAGAGCGCTGCCAAAACGCCACGACTTGTCGACACTGCCTACCATTAGTTCGCCTATTTTCTTTTCCGAGTCCTAATCAATCCGACAGCTCTCAACAGACACCGCATTTACGCTTTTTCTACCTATCCTTCCTATCCCCCAACGGTACGACTTGACTCTGTACCTGGTTCATTGCTCCCTCTCCCATTCTGCAACCGCGAAGTTGACCAGCAACTCTCAGATCTAGATACAAGCAAGACACTCCTCCAAGACGCCGCCCAGAGTCTGTCCTGGCAATATGAAGATTGCTGTTCCCGATCAGTATCAAAATTTGGCGCTGGAGCCTTCACTCCCGCAATTCAGCACACTGCGCTACCCGGTACGTAACCCCTACCTATCTGCGCACCAAGTACTTCTGGCTAAATATCAATTTGATGCAGAGAACCTCCTCTTCGATGAGAATGTGGATCGCTGAGTCCGCCCGCAAGAAAACATTCAAGGGACGCAGGGGCTATCGATGCTGCGTGGCGTGCCACGCGTGGAAGGAGGGCCATGGGTTCGTGCGCAGCCTCGCCAAACGAGGCTCCCTTCGATTCAGCCTCCGCATGTTCCGAACCTGCAACCGCTGCTCACGAATTCGGAAGCATTTGGAGGAGCAGGAGCATATTGACCAGTACGGAGGAGTAGACGCTAATCCATAGGTAGGCGGCATTCCAAAGACTCTTTGTAGGCCAGTCCCGCAAAGAACCGACCGCTGACACTTGGCACATAGGTGCTCTACATAGTTTCGAGATCGAAGCAAAAAGCCTAGGGCATCATAATACCCTTCGTGAGTTGCATTTGCGGCGGCAATGAATGATGTGGCCGCTGACTGTCAGCAAACAGTCGCCGTATTCGAAAACGTTGAGGGACGTATAGAGAAACAAGATTCATCAGGACCTCTTACAACTTGTGTTGATTTTGTTGTTCCCTACCCGCATCACTCCATCTTCTTCAGACCCCTTCAAACACTTGGCTCTGCCACCGTGTGTCGGCTTGACACCAAGTAGGGCTGCCTGTGGAAAACGCCAACTAGATCATCCAGATCTAGTGCCAAGCGCGAACAACACTTCTTGAGGCCGCAATTACTCCAGCAAACACCTATACAGTCAGATGCAATACTATCACGAGCGGAAACAAGACTCTCAATAACTCCCTCCCTAAGCTCTGGGGAGCAAGAGAGAAGCAGCGTCAAGTGGAGAAGCAACTGCTGGTCCTCAACGAGCAGGTCTCGTAGCGTCTCGGGCTAGGTGTATGCTGCCTTCTAACCGCAGCTCCTCCTCGCCCGGCACGTCCTATCGCCGGACAAGATCGTGGTGAGGCGCGCTCCAACCAAGTCCCACCGAGGTGCTCGAACAGCGCAGATCATCTCCGGCCTGAACCTCTCGCCTCGCCAAACTCGCAGCCCAGAGGGCGCTGGCCTTGATGGCGGCCCTTGACGTCGCTCAGGGCGTCACCTCGGCCATTGCGCCAGAGGCTGGATTCCCTGCTGGATGAGTCGTCTCGTGCTCCGGCAAGTTCGAGATCACGGTCGCAGGGGTTAAGGCACGACAAGGCAAGACTCACAGTCCTTAGCTATAAACCCATAGCCAATCAGATGTCCCAGGGCTTGGGGCATTTGTTCAGGCTATCGAGTGTTATAGCCACGGCCTCTCTCTTCCGGGAGCGGGCCAGCGGCTTACTTATATGGACATCGAGGCTGCTGAACTGGTATTTCACATGAGATTTTGTGCCCTGCTTCACAAGGAAGCATGGTATGTTCCTTCCTATCCATCCTCAGACCTTAAACCTTTATTTATTAACAGCTCTTAATATTTTCAAGGCTTGAACTCCTCCAGACCAACATCCGAGACATGCACCTCGAGTGTTATAGCCACTGCCTTCCGATGGAACACAGAATCATTCGACATCATCGACTGGCCTACAGAGAATCCAGTCTCAAGGACGCATATACCAAGCTCCTCATAGATCTGGCCCGCTTCCAGGGCATCTTGGCCTCCCTGCTCGGCAAGGAGCAGGAAGCGTTCGGCGTCTTAAGACTGTGGGTGAACACGCTGCGGAGGAGGTCCAATATCATCTGCCAAAGCAGTCTTGACCCACAAGGTCAGGCTGTAGGTGGTAAGCGCAAGGCAGAAACCCCTGAGTTACTATCAGAGCCTATCAAGGCACCAAAGACAGGTGCAGACCAGGCCCTGGCGGTGCATTCATGCGAAAAATAGTCTGCAGCTACGAGCCTGTCCAGTAGCGACAAGAATTTCGATTCGGACGGAAGTCTACTTCCATTCGCAAGCCTCCTTCCAGAGAACTGGAATGTATGCGATAGTGAATACCTATCCTCTACCGCAGGCAGAGGCTTCAGCTTTTTGGGGCGGTGCTAAACCGGCAAACGGATCATGCAGAGGAAGAGCTCACAACATGATCCCCACGCCAGTCAAGAACACCTCCAGTTCACGTCCGGCGTACGAGAACGTGAAGATGACGGTATGATGGGTAAATCGCGCAAATGTTGACCATCTCCCGACCAGCGCTGTCAATGTCGACTGGGAAATGGACAGCTGCTTGGAAGAGTTCAACGGTGAAAGAGGCTATCACGTTAGATCTCATATGGTTGGAAAGCAGATCTCCCAGGGCTGGATCATGGCAATCAAGCAGCTTCCTAACGTTCAGAGCATTGTGGAGGGCTTGAAAGACGAGTATGGCGTGGAAGAGGGCCTGAGAATTGCACAGCTCATGGCATTCGAGGATGTCCTCTGTCCACTTTCTCCACTCCAAGCAAGACCATGGAACATGTTTGCGTAGGAGACAAGGTACCCTTGTGCCGTCATTGAGTAGCAGCTAGATCAGCCAATGGTGACAAAGAGTTCGGCAAGGAATACACATTCTACCATGCGAGATTCTGCCAAGTCAGGTCTGGTGTATGCTTTTTCCCATTCTTGAATGTGACCTCCAGTGATAACAACGGGCTTGACAGAATGTATTGTAGCAAGACCCGAGCGATCCCATGTGCTTCTCAGCCCACCTGTGCTGTGATCTTAAATGGACCCTGGGTGGTAGCCCATGCACCGGATACGAAGGCAAGCAAAGAGCTGAGGTCGGGGGCACAGAGATGGACAGTCGCGGACGAGCAAGATGGTGACTAAATATAGCAGAGGAAGAATCGAAGAGAGGGATTTGTAGCACAGGGCTGCACTCGTGGTGTCCATATCGTTGTCTGGCCCTCGGAGTCCGAGTCGTGCAGGCTTCCGGGACCTATAGTCCTCCCGGGCCTAACCCCGGCCCCGGCCCCGGCACTTTTGGATCTCTTTATAGAACGACTTCCCCTTAGTATATATTCACTGCGACCTGTCCCTCCTCTTTCAGCATTGGTCCCGAAATGCCTCTCGCCTGAGCCACGTGGGCGTGATCTCCATGCTTGATGTTTGTCGTCCATTGTTGACATCATCTTCTAACTTCCTGGCCTTGTATTGTGATACGCTAAACGGCTGGCACCAGCTATATCTCTTTCCACCCCTTCCTATTCATGTGCTCCGTGGGGAATACGCTTGTCTTCGGGGAATTGGCGAGCTTGATTCGGGCGAATTCCTGCATGGCGCTAGGCGTTTTGCATGCTCCTGGGCGGCTTCGGTGTGGGCAATAGTTCTTCTCAGCTATCGTATACGGTCGGGACTCCAGGGTCGATTTCAAGGGGGAAGCTGGTTGTTCGAAGGTATCTCTATCAGTTAGCAAGAGTTTGGAAAAGCCTGGGAGGGAATACGAAGGTTCTTGCTGCCTAATGGCTGTGCCGTCAGTGCGAGCGCCTACCATGTTCTGTCGACGGCGTTTCAGTAACGCGTTATACGATCAGTCGTGTCATGTTTGACGGAAGGTCTAGGCAAGAAGAATCAATGCAGTGTCGATAGCAAGGAATCGAGCTCAGCGAAAACACTCCGCTGCGGCTAATTGCAGGTCTGCGACTAGCTCGGAACGGACGAGCAGGAGCTCAGCAGGGCAGCTCGGTTCAGCGTTCAGGGGGTGTCCGTCTGCCGGAGAGGTCCAGTCAAAGATTGAGCAGTCCTTGGAAATTTCTGACACAAGTGATTCTAGGCGGGAGAATTCAAAGTTAAGTGCGGTCAACAATGCATCCCGGCCAGCAACTTTTGTCGCGATCCCATCCTGCCAAACCTGTGGACTCGGGACACATTCTACTTCTTACGGAGACCCACGGAAGCCCACGGAATCCAGCCACTACACACAAACAGTTTGTCAGATACTTCTTCGATTTAAGTAGGTAAGGATACCCTCTTTGAATATCCTCATACTTTTGCGTCTATCTTCCTCCCGCCGCGAAACTCTACAACAAACCTACTCCATTCAACCTCCGGTGGACGACCCAACTACCCGAATTCTTGTCACTGTCGAGTTTTCACCTTCCCTCGGAAGAAGGAATGGGCAAAGACAACCGTTTTCGCGTTTTTTAAACTTCTCAGGCTCTTTCTAGGCACCGATGCCACTAAATCATCACCCTGCTCGCCGACTTCAGTTTTCAAGGCACCGCGTACAACTTCGACAGTTGAGGCCATCATCGACACCAACGACTTAGCTCACGAGACTTGCTGTTTTCAGTCAAGAGTGAACTAATCTAAGTATTGCAAGACTCGTCCAACCGTTCCTTGACTACTCCCTTCCCTGTCACCAAAGTATCAATGTCCAACTCCGCAAGCCCTATCCCGTTGGCCTTGTATACATTCTTACAGCTCCGTTCCATGGTCTCTTCGCCGCACTAGATTGACCATGCCTCTCCAGTGTCAAGGTGGCTTTGTATCGCAGAGTTCGTCATTGCAGCCGAGGGAGGCGGAGCCGAATCAGCACACTGAGGTTGCAATATCGCCAGCATTGGAGAGAAAGCTGGTGACCCTGAGACAAATCACACAGATCCGTCGTCCTTGCAAGCTTCGAGTCAGGCGAATGGAGGTGGTTACCATCGCCGGTGGATGGAATGCCGTCTTCTGCAAAGTGAGTGAGCCTACCTTCGTCGATTGACCACTTCAATTGTTGTGGTGGGCGGACAAGCGGACGACCCGTTCCTGGACTACGACCTCGGAGGCCGTGTCTACACCGGAGAGCGTGCTCTCTGCACGCAAGTAATCACTCAGTTCGTTTTGTATGCTCCAGGTATGTATCCTCCAAAAGTATCTCTGATATGACAGAAGTTTAACTCGACCAAGTCATTGATGCCAGTTGTGATGCCACAGAAATCCGTTTTTAATCCCGAGTCCACGAGCGATGATGAGGATGGAGACATCACAATAATCCAGGCTGCTAGCCTCGCCAAGCTACCGCAATCGATCAATGTATTGGCCGCAACGAACATGCACCTAACTACGAGCGCAAGGAGGGCCAGATGCCCTTCTATGACTGGTCTGGAGAGGTATGTCATCCACGGGCAAATGGGAAATTTCAAGGCCGTCGTTTGATGACAATGCTGAAATCAAGATGTAGACTGTACTTCCCCATCAATGCTATCGCATTGTGTCTGCCCGAACTCGGAACGTCCCTGGGGAACCCGTCACCTCGACAACTAGATCGACAAGGGCACAGATAATTATCCGCTGACCTGACCATTTTGCTACAGTGTGTTCATCTGAGATGCTTGGTCAGACGAACAACGCAGCACGGACGGCGCTACTCACAACAATTCGAGCCGGTACGACAACTCCGACATTAAACGCCTGCTTGATCAAATTCCTCACAACCAAGAGATCACAGTGTCTAGCATTCCGAAAGGGCCTTCACAGCTTGATCAGAAGCATACCAGAGAATAGAGAGCGTTGGGCATGGCCATCGGCCGGAGGACAGCTTTGGCCGAGACATATGGACCTTACGTAATGACTTGTAAGTAGCCACTTCTAAGAACCAGTCTGTCCCCATGTAATAGTCCTTCAAGATAATTGATACAAGGAAGGGTGACTAGGTTCTGGCCTCCTAGCTCCAATCCCCCGAACATAAACCCTCTCCTCTTCCCAGTGAGAATTTCACGCTCTCCTTGGCGAGTACGATGGACACGACATTCAGGCTTCCCGCCTGAGCCCAAATCCTCCGCGCTCCCTCCCACCAAGCTCAGCAGATCAACGGGTGCTGCTAGCAAGCCATTTTCGCGCCAAGCAGAGCGATACATTGGCTCTCCAAGTCTTCTATGTTCCGCCTCATCCCTTGGAGCACCTCCCAACCCAGCTCCATCTCTGTTCCACCCCAGTCTAGACGGAATACTTCGAAAGGAGGAAGAAGCTGTGAAGATACAAGAGGTTCTCAAATCTCTTGATGAGCCCAAGCAGCTGGACCGTACAGAGTCTCAGCGGCACAGTGGTGAATACCGCTGTGGTGAGGCACGCGTCGCCATTGGCAATACAACCGAGGCTAGCGACGGAGAGAAAGCCGGCACCCAGATTGTCACCTCCGCGATTGCGCCAGAGATGAGTGGCAGATAGCCTATCTTCAGGACTTATTAAGTTACGATCCCACCCTTTAAGGTGTTTGAGAATTTCAATGCTGGAATAATGTGTGGGAGGTCGGTGGCCACTAGGTTAGTTCGCGACCAAGCGCATTCATGAAAGAGGAGATGAAGACGTGCAGACAAATCTGACAAGACAAGTGATCTACAGGGCGCTACAATGGCTGCTGACGACGAGCGCGAGAAGGGCCCAATGAGCCTCTTTGGCTCTATTCGAAAACGACTCTCCACGCCTGCAGACAGCTCTGTTAGTGGAAGAAAAGAATAGATGAGATAAACGACCAACAATTCCCATCATTGCAGCTTCCAAACAGCCTCATTGAGGCTCAGACCAGCTTCCTAGCCTTACTAATTCAAAAGATCAACTCTTGATTTAACGAGGCATCGCAGGATGAGCCGCCTCCAAGGAGTCCATCACACTCAATGGGGCTCAGAGGAGCTTCCTTGTCTCACTTGTGTTCAAACCCAATTCCAACCCTATTCATTAGGCAGCTGCTCCCACCTTGCAGGTCAGCGTAAAGAGTCCGCCAACCTTACCGAGGCCCAGACGAGCTTCCTACCGTGGCCTGGGAGGAACATTCGGACGAAGCCCGGCATTAACGAAGGTTCCTCTTTCTTGGCTTATCCGACATTCGACTTCTGAAAATACAGCCAAGATCTTGCCTCCCGATCCGGTGGCTTTAAAATACGGCCGTGAATGACAGAAACCACTTCATGTGTCGCCATTCAAGGAGCAGTCTGACTCCTTGCAATGGATGCTCTCATGGCAGGTATTGGAACCGAACGCACGCTACATTGAGATCAAGGTACTACACGGTTCCCTGGAGAGGTTCCGACTGCGTATCCGCGCAGATTTCAACATTGAATATCCCGCAGTCTTGTTGGGACGTCCCTGGACACTCGCCGTTGGCTTTTTAGTCTCAAGCTCTCATTCAGTGCGGTCTTGTGTTTTCGGACATTCGTGTCTAGAAGTGTCCACTCGGTACACCCTTCCAGGCAAGTCTCCTGTGGCACTTTGAACAGTCAACAACATGGTAGCAGGAGGACTTTTGTCAAGGTGGGAAGGCTCAAATAAGTCTGGAGTGTTAAATAGATAGGAAGGGGCGTTCCAAGAGATCTATGGACTACTTGTCAAGATTCTGTGTAATTATATTCTGTAGACCAACCTTCAATGCTCATGGCATCGTTAGAGATAGACTCGACACGCTTGAGGAGCACTCTACATACCTTACGCAGCTTTCCCCAGAGATGCAATCTAGCATGCTTTGTTCACCATATTGGAGAGCAATTAATGTCATTATGATCGTTGGCCATGCTCACCAGTTACATCCCTAGAATAAGGTGTTAATGTCAGGGTAAAGAAAATTAATATTCCCACTGGAACACTTTTTTTATTTTCTCTGGGGAGCATCGGCGAATCAAGCATTCCCTTGCAGATGAAACTCAATTGACCAAGGGGCACGTGGTCTGGGCCTACGGACTCTGGATGTATGCGCTGGCATCGATATCTAACCCCAAAGGAGCGGCAAAGGGGACTCGGCCTGCCGTCTGAGCATGTCACAAGCAGCATCTGGGCTGGTGTGTTTTTCAGGACAATACTAGGGCAAGGAGTAGTTCTTGATGTTTGTGGCGCACACAATGCCAATAGGAAATCAAATCCAGCTTGAGGTCATAAATCTGCACATCAGTGCAGCCCTGGGCTCTGATCTGCGAATGCTCCGCCCTGTTTTCCTGCAAATACCGTAGGCATTCTTTCTATTCCATACCAGGTTTGGCGCCAATGTAGGTGACTCAGTGTGAAAGCTAGCTGCTTTTCTTCCTCGTTGTTCTGGTTTCGTCCCAGCGCCTGGCATCAGCCAAACACTCGCACACTACATTGTTTACAGATTGAATAGACAAGCAAAATCTACCCCGCAGTCAGCACTTTATATTTAAATCTGACTCTGGTCAGCCTGCCAGTGCCCAACTGCTGCGCTTCGCATCATCCACACCAACCTTCTATTCATTTCACATTCAGTTACTACCTTCCTCAATCCACTACGCTCCCCCACTTGCTGCTGTCTTCCTCCTGCAGCTACTTTCCCCAGCGATTGCCCTCTAAGAGATTACTTGGATCTCAACCTGGACCTCGTCATGCGCAAAACGCACCCACACTGCTACCAGCCGCAGCGTAGTCCCAGCATTCGTCGCTCATCACTTCTCGCTGCCGCCTTCCCCCGGCAGCTACATGTGCATTCCTCAAGCCGTTCCTTACTCCAGCAGCAACTCCTATCCAGTTGTGGATGACATTCAGCAACACCGATGTAGGTAAATGTCAATTCTCCATCTCTCTGCCGGGACTTGGCCATCACGGAGGATCTGAACCAGCCAATAAAGGGACCACTCGACAAAGGCGATGAACACGACCACGTTCCTCGAATACATTATCGCCTGCAGAGGCGACTAGGAGGTCGACTGCCTTGTTATTGTCATGAACCCTATCATGTAAGTAAGCGACACTTTTCTGTCTTTTTCTGAACAATGCTTCCTCCTTCCATCCTACATTTACTATGGCCCTGCCTTCCATTTCCAGCGTTCTTAGCCTGTTGCACACAAAGAGATGACAGCCGGATCAACGCGGCTCTGCGCGTATTGCAATCCCAATTGTTTGGAAAGTCTTTATTCTGACCTCTACCTGGACAGCAAAAGCACAGAGGTCGGGGGCATTGCCAGTAGCTATGATTCCCATCTTGCTAGACAAAACCCGCGAGGCGCCGGCCAAAGGGCTGGGCTTAGGGATCGAAACCTAATGATTTCTGACCTACGGACTGCTGAGGCAATCCATATCAACGGGTCAAGACTGTCTGGTTCGAATTTCACTGGCACTGAAACAGAGACAGAGACAGGCATGAATGTTTGGTGAGTGCAATCATTCTGAACACCTCTGTATTGTTTGCCTCCTAACAATGGAGCCCTAGCCCACTTTTCCTGCCTGCAGCGGCAGCGGCCCTCTCACAGCAGGCTTGAGAGCCTTGCGCCCCACCTATCGCCCGTACAGGCCCATCGTAGCAGCCTCACTCGGTCCTCGTTCTTCCTACGCCCCTGCGTACAGCATCAAGGCCAACAGCGGTGCATTCTAGCCCGCGACCTGGGGCGCTGTCGCAGCACCGCCAGTGCCTGTTGACGATGATGAGTCTAACTCCGACTCTGACTCTGTCTCTGACTCTGTCTCTGACTCTGTCTCTGACTCTGTCTCTCCCCCATCCACGGCAACCGCGTCTGCTACCGGCACAGTCTTGCTTCCCGCAGACAACGACCCAATCTTTGGTCCAAAGGGATCACGCATGGCCTCATGCACAAAGTATCAAGGTGAATGGCTTCGCAGTCCGATCCAGTGTGTGCTCAGCATTGTGAGCAGCCATGTCTTTAAAGGGGAGGTCAAATCTGATCGAGCCGTACTGATCATAAACATTGGTCTGGATACAAGAATGAAGCATTCCACCCACAAACTAAGCGGTGTCGCACCACGCACCCTTTCAGCTACAACAGCAGCAATAACATCAGTCTGGCTGCCAAACTGGCCAGAGCTCCTAGACCTTTAGAAGAAAAACTTCTAGGTAGACAGCTGATTAGATAACAACGGGTCCTTTTAAGTCCTTGAAAGAAACAAAGTGGCGTACAAGACAGTCTCAAGGACCACAAGATATGCGAGAACTGATTCATCCAAAGCGGTGATATCATATCAAACTTGAGGAGCAGGGAATGGAATTATAAACGATAAATGCTTCATTTCCAAGTTACCACCTTATATGCCTGCTACCATCTTTGAATACCCCTGTTCCACTCGTACTACGTCGGACACTTGCCGCCCGTGTCACTCTCTGTTGGTAGTCTGTGATCAGTCTCGAGCTAATACTTGCATGGCTTACTTGGCCTCGAATCATCAGAGCCAAGTCCAGTCGATCACCATGTGGTGTATCTACTTTCCGCGAGGAGAACTTCCATCATCACTGCAGCGGTCCTGAATGTCTGTAACCCTAACCCCTGCTGCTCCTCACGTAAGCAGCTGACGTCTGACCTCGTCTTGCTGCAGTCATGGCTTATCATGGGTCAAAAGCTTTATCTCTTGTTCTCAAATAGGTTGTCGAAGTCTGAATTCTCATGTGGAGGCGCGAGACTAATGTCTCGCGAGTTATACCAGGGGACTACACTCCCGCACAAGAGAAGCATACGTCTCCTGACTCTTCACGCGGGCGGGTCCTTGCCGCTATCTTCCCCAGTCGAGTGTGAGCTCCGGGTCGTCACCTTGCCCGACGTCGACTCTAGTATATCATGGCCGTACTATGCGCTCTCATATGCTTGGCAGGAGCCCCAAACGCTACAGAAGGCACCCCCTGGTAAAATCGGCATCTTGTGCAACAATATACAAATCGCTGTTCCGAAGAATCTGTTTATCGCGCTCGTCAGACTCCGACAGAAGTTCCAGGAGCCCGTCGCCATCTGGATCGACTACCTGTGTATCGACCAGTCGAGCACAAGCGAGCGGACGCAGCAAGTGGCTTTGATGCAGGAGATATTCAGTCTTGCCTCCGAGGTGCTGATTTGGCTCGGTGAGCCGTCCTCGACTGGTCTGCAGGAGGGTGGCAAATTTCAAGTGTACTACCACTGGGGAGAGGATAATGAAGTCGAGCTCGTCACAGCGTATCGGGACTCTTTTAGTGAGTACCTGAGAGGAGGCAATATCTTCAAATTTTTGGATCTGGGCCACGCATACGGCATATTCTGCCTGATCAATCTTCTCAGCCGGCGGGTGCCCGCATCGCAGATTCCGTTTCACGAGTCATCGGTTGATTCACCGGAGTTCAGACAGTGGGTCGATGGGCTCTGGACTGCGGTTTGGGAGATGATTGACAGGGCTTGGGTAAGCTGCACCCATCCTGAGATCAATGTGATACTTGCTAATTACTGGCTGGCAGTGGAAGAGGACATGGGTTGTACAAGAGTGTGTTTATGCCAGCAAAGCCACAGTGCATTATGGACATCTTAGTGCCAGCTGGGAAATGTTCAGTGACGCGGCGCGCTTCTTCATGGAGAGCCGCCTGGGCCATGACCTTGCTCAAGTCAGGCGTTTCAACGTGTCCGGATCGACAGGAGACCCTCTCCCGGAACTATGCGGCCTCATCTTGCAAATTGAGTCTCCAAGACGCGCTTTGAGTCAAGGGAAGTATCTCTCGCCCCTTCAGACCCTCGTCCGGTTCCGCAGCAGACACGCGACGGATCGGCGAGACAAGGTCTTTGCGTTTCTCGGCCTACTCAAAGACCACTTTCTCACTCCAAATTACGACAAGGCCACCCACCAGGTGTACTCGGAAGTCGCCAAGAGGATCATAAAGTCTACCGAGAGCCTCGAGTTGCTCACGTCAGCGAAGCCAAACACGAGTGAGGACATGGGGACCTGGGTGCCTGACTGGAGCACTACACCTGGAAAGCACGAGTGGCAAAGATTGGAGCTCCTACAGTTGTATAATGCGTCAAAAGGAATGGCGCCTGTGGCAGGGATGCACCACACTTCTATGCCGACCCCTTTGCTTTTGGTGTCGGGCATTTGGGTCGATCGGGTAATGGAGGTCTTCCAATCTTCGTCAGCCCCAGAGGACGGATACTCCAGATTCCAGACAACAGTTTCGCATTGGGAACTTCAGGCCCGCAAGAGCTTCAAGATTCTACACAAAGCCTCTTTGGGTGAACATCATCTCAGCGAAGATGAGTCTATAATGTCTTATACGGATTGGATCGAAGGTGGATATTCCGACGCGTTTTGGCGTCTTCTGTGCGGCGACATGATGTACGCCTTGGGGGCCAGTAGCGAAGGCACCTACCGACGGGCACAACCAGAAGATGAGCAATTGTTCAAGGCGTTCACCGAGGGAGTTGTTGGTCTTAATCGACGGATGAGTAGGATGACTGTCAAAGGCAAGAGAACTTTCTACCCTGTCAGGCCCGAGGCGTCAAACCGCACAAGGAACCAGTTCTTCTATGCGATGCAGATGATGACGGCGGGGAGGACTCTGTTTGTCACGGATCAAAGGCGCTTGGGTGTCGGGCCCAAGGATACTGCCGTGGGAGACCACGTTGCGGTGATTGCGGGTAGCAATGTGCCGTTCCTCCTGAGAGATGTTTCTAAGGTGCGCCGCCAGGCTGCGGTGTTTGAGAAACTTTTGCCGCGAGAGACGATTGAACAGAGTAAGCCTGTGCCTTGTCACGACGTACATCAATGTTGCAACATCGTCGGAGACGCTTATGTGGCTGGAATTATGGACGGTCAGGCTGTACAAGCTCAAGTCTCTCGGATTTATTTGGAGTAGTCACAGCCCGCCATTCATTGTAATCACAGCATGGACTTCTTTTGTGGCATACAGGGAGGGTAAAATTCGCTTCAGCTGGTCATTGTGCGCCCTCTCCGGAGCACTGGTTCATTCGCCCTATATGAAGACTCCAGCCTAGAGAGGTTGTTTCGCAGGCCTTCTACAAGACATCGTTCTGGAACAGCTGGACAAAGGCTTCACTCTGGAGAAAATGGCGAACGTAAGTGATAGGTGCTATACAAAACTGCTGCAAGAGGCTAAGTAATACTACTTCACTGTGTAGGAGCGAGTCATATTTCTCCACGGCTCGACCTTCACCCAACCATCCTCCCAGCCTACCCAGAGAGAAGATGGTGCACGTCAGTCAAGCATTGCCCATCTGTTCCATCAAAACAAGATCACTGACGCGAATGTTCTCTCACAGGAGCGTCAGTGCCAGTGACTACAGGGTAGAGAATGGAGGAAGTGCAATGATGACAACGCCAATGACGAGCCTGAAGACCAGCCAACCTAGTCTGGATTCGAGTCGTCGCGAGGCATCAGAGGTACAGAATAGTCTACGACCAGGCTGCTGATATAGCCCACATGGAATTGGACCGCGCCATCTTCCGAGCCGCAGCCGCAGCCCTTTCGCTCCGTCCTCCTCTCATGTCCTAAGATCCGTGGCTCTGCAAACCCTAGATTTAGGCACACCAGGACCATGTCTAGCAACATTACTCATCAGTGTCAGCGCCAGGTCATCACTCCTGCCCATGCCTCACTGCCTCGCTCTAGCCCTCCTCCTTTTCTCTCTTCTGTCTTCCAAAGCACAGGTAGATGGCCATAATCTGGCCGGGAAGCAAAATACTTTGATAAAAGTCATTTCAACTTGATCGATTCCTGAGAACAAACAAATAAATGATTCCATAAATTCAAGGGCTTGAACAAAAGAACGAAGTTGAGTGACCTACGAGACTGACAGCAAGAGATCTGACAACGCTTCAGACGTCTGAAATAAAAACATAGTTAGGTACATTTATTCGAATTCCATGGAAGTGCCATTGTCCAGCGAAACCATACAGCAGTAGACTTGAAGCATCACGGACCTTGCCTGTATCTTTCACTGGAGCTTTTGACAGAACAACACTGCCATAGAAACAGAACATGCAGTTTCACAGGTTTCTTTCATGTTGTTCAGCATCATTGTTAACACAGTCCTCCGCTACACATTATCTCCAGGTATAAGAGGCTTCTCGAAATAGATAACACTCATTGGAAAAGACTGCCTCAAAAGCACTTGTAAGTTGGTCAGCAGCACGTTCCGCGATGACTTGCCCCTTCTATCTTAGATACTCGCTAAATATAAGTAATGATTCGGTTATAGATCCAATGCCAAGTGCTCCGGGATCCATACGCAAAGGTCTTCAGGGCTGTGTTGTCAGCAGCACGAGAACTTTGTACCTGATAGACCAAGGAACAGAGGACTGGGCTCGCTGCCCCTGCGTGGCAATAACGCCGTCATCGACCATCCTGCCAAACAATTGCCAGCCTTGCTGCTGACAATTTGAACAATTTATGGATATGCTCTTTCCCGTTGGCCAACGCCCTTCGTCTTCAGTACGAATTTGGCAAGCTACTTTGGATGCGGGCTCTCGAAAAGAGACGGCGAAGTGAATTGGTGATCTTAGTAGTGGACCTACATACCTGTAGAAACGGTAGGATGTACCTCATTACTTCTATAGATGATGTTTGTCATCCTATTTGTATGTGCGGTGACATAGCTTGTTAATCCGTCTGAAAGACAATTATTAGCTGCAATTATATTCACATCGAAGCGCCGATCGATTTTGCTATATCTCTAATAAATTCTCCCAAGGAGTCTTTCCTTGCTGCTTTCCCACCTATCAGCTCCGAAGTTGACAAGCCATCAACTCTTCAGCCCCTTGGTTATTGCCGTCTAAATATCTCAAGTCCATCTTTGCTGATGTCTGGCTTGTTGTGCGTATCAGTCCTCTCATTTGTTTACCTTCCACGTCATCTCTCGCCATGGAGTCAACTTCGCAAACCACCTCCGCTCCGATCCTCCTCTTCGAGAACGTCGAGGAGGGCGAGGTCATTTATCAGGTATTTGCTCCAATTTCAATTCAATTGTCTCTTCTAACACTTGATTCATAGCGATGCCTAATTATCAAGGCACGCTACACGCCTGTCGCCAACGCGCCGGCCACGGTGACAATCGAGCACAAGTCGCCCAGCGGGGATGAACTATACCCGACTCAGACTTGGCCTGTTGCAGAAGGGCATACGAAAATCATCGCTATGCTTTCCCCTGGTTTCAATACCCTCGTCGTACAACCAAACGGCCGCAGTACTGAAAAATCCATTCTGAACCTCACCTATTTGCCCCTCATGCAGCAGCCGCCACTTCATCTGGCCGTAATGGTCGCAGATGACTCGCCTCTATCAATCGACTACGAGCCAAATAATGCCTACCCCAATTTCGCCGCCAACGCATCACTCGATTCCGCCATGAGTAGGTTCCGCATGCTAGCCTATATGTGGCAAGCAATGATCGCAGAGGACATGCGCATGAAGGGCCTCGGTCGCCGATCCTTCCGCCTAGATGAACAGTGGGGAGTGGATACCACCAGCGCGAGGTTCAGCCACGCATTGAGGGATGCAAGGCTGTGGGAAGCTGGAGCAGCGCGGTCGACCGCGAAGATCCACATCTTGAAGTCCACACACACTACCAAAGACATTCGAAACGCGAAGATCTCGCAGGACAATGTGTTAGCAAGGAACAAGGCAAGGCTGCATGCCTGGTTCGAGGAGGCCTTGCAGGCCTCTGGCCAAGGTATTTTCCTAGCTTCAGCGAGGCCTATCGTGGCAGGGCTGATCCTTGACTCCACCTATGACCATGATGCCAGTTTTGTGCTTGGGCACGCCGCAATGGGCTCCCACAACGCCACCGGAACTTCCCTGTGCGTCTTTGGCAGCCACTTGGCGTACTCATGGCCGCGAAACGTCGAGGACATCACACCCTTCCTGGTTGACCCTGGCCATCCCCAAGATGGAACTGTCTCCATCGCCAACACCACGACCGGCGCCATGTGGGAAATATGTTCCATTGGCCAGGCAGACTTCCTCCACCAGTTGGGCCACGCATTCGGTGCTTCTCACATGACCGGTATCATGAGAGGTGCTTGCGCTCAGCACTGGCCTCGGAACTTCGTCGCGCGAACAGCGCCAAATCATGAGAGTGGCGAGGAGGGCTCCGTCGTGATAGACGGTGAGACCGTGAACGAAGCCACCTGGGATCTCAAGAACGCCCTAGCCTTTACCTATCTTCCGCATTTCAGGCTCCCCAGCGATAGGCCATTCCCCGTCGATGAATTTGTGGCCCGCTTCGCCAAGCCGGCTATCTTTCTTGATGAGGGTACCGACGAGGAGGGTAATCATGAACTTCAGCTGAAGATGTCCTCCCCAGTCGGCATTTTCTGCATCCTCTGGAACGGCGAGCCGAGCGAGCCTCCGTCATTGACGAACCCTTTGTTTGGAGCGAGAACTTCGCTCAAGCAGATTGAGGCCAACTTCGACCGCGACCAGCCAGTTCGCCTCGCCGTTCTCGCCAGGAATGGAAAGGAAACGATCGTCCCGGATGTTTGGACTCTGTTCGAAGACCCATGCTTCATCCGCATTCCCGGTTCCGACGTCATTCTACATAAGCGCTCGGTCATGTGCAAGGATCTGGAAGAAGGCGTCCAATCCATGCAAGACAAGAGATTTTGGACCTGGGCGACCCTCCTCACCAAGCGCATGCAGCATGGCACCATCGTCGGCGTCAAGCAAATCGACATATGTGTCACCTGCGTCCTAGAGGGCGTCTACGTACGCTTCCAGGACGGCATCCGCGTCAATTGCGGCCCAAGGGTCCAGAAGAGCTCGGGCGGCAAATTCAACAAGCACTTCCGTGGGCATGTCCCCCAGGAGCTTATGATTCCTCCCAACCAGGAGATCCTGGGGTTCGAGGTTGCGCGCGATGCGCAGGTTCTCCGTGGCCTGCGGGTTCGCTTGAGTAACGGCGAGTCCAAGGGTGCAGTCTGCCGTGGCGGGCTGTTTGAGGAGCGATGTATACTGGGTATGTTGTTGACTACTTTGTCAATAGCACTATTTGCCAACTTTTAAAGGGATTCTACTAAGTAAATATGCCTAGAGCCCCCAATTGAAGAGCGAATCATCGGACTTTATGGTCGCAATCACTTCGGCGAGGAGTCCGACGGGATGGTCGAGCTCGGAATCATCACGGTGCGCAAGGACGCAAACCTCCCTTACGAAGTTTATGACATGCCTGAACTCCAAAACACAGACGGAGGATTAACTGTGGGGAGCATCTCTGATCAGCCTCTTCTGAGGAGTATCCTGCTGACTTGTTGAGAACCAGGAAGCCGATTTCGACCGCGACGACGACCCCTACGCGGCCCCTGACGTTGACTACGACTCCTCTGAGGAATCCGACAGCGGAGAGTCTGAAGACGCGGACCTTCTTCTACAAGCCTTTCTCGAGTTGAATATTGAATAAAGAGGAGGAAATGGTCTAGACACGGTATGGAATTGCTTTGGGGAGGTTGAGAATTGTCTTTACGGCACAATGGTTAGCACCATTGGGTGCTTGACTTTTCATCACAATGATCTTATCCCAGTTTCCTTCAAACATCATTCTCATATTCGGAATAGTTGAAGGACGATATTCCGAGGCGATGGGTGGGATACATTCGATCGGGCATCAAGATTTGTGGTCAACAGAACAGAGAAACGGCGAAGCCTGTCAAAAGGCCAGCACGAAAGTGTAAAAGAGATACGACAACCATGCATGTATCCGCCGCTTGGCAAGAGGCTTCGAGTTCTTGATCGCATGGCAACCCGTCAAGGACTAGAACAGCTTTGTCCGATATCAGAGCCAGCAGGAAAACAACGAGGATCTGGTAAATGAGCACTGAAAAGATGTACTTTAGTCACCGAGAAACGTGTAATTATATGAGGCAAAAAAAAAAAAACTTGTGCCATCAACAGTCAGTGTCACTGGCAATGTCACGAACGCAGGAAGATGGGTTAATAAACAAACCCACATACGCTGGAGGCCTCTACAACTTATGAATCATTTAGTTACAAAGCACGCGACCAAGTACAAAGTTCTCAATTGGGGTGTCAAGTCTTTTATTTTGATATGCTATATCCGGCCTCCGGGGGTTGCGCATGCTGAAGATGCCGTCATCGGATAGGATGTCGAGTCGTTGAGTTACAATGAGCAGACGCTGGGCTTTCGGGGATCTCTGGGGTGCTGTTCTATCTAACACCAAGCATCCCAGCTAGCGAACCTGAGTCGAGCCTGTTTTGGCCAAGCTGGCTCTGCTCGGATTCTTGCCACCCCTCTGGGCGGCGACCTGGCCTGGCCTCTGCCTGGCTCTGGGCGTCCAAGTGACTCCTTCAGAATCTGGCATCGCTCCCCCGCTCGTTCAGGCGACTTGTCAGTCCCAAGGGTGAATTATATGTCGATGGCGGCGTGCGGGAAGGAAATAATCGCGTTCTCAAGCTCGCGCATGACGTATCCGTGGGCGAAGGCGTACAATCGAAAGAGGTCGGCGAATGCGGAGGGCAAGGAAAAGGTGTAGTGTTTGGAACCGGCCTGTGGTAGCCTGAGTGCCTAGTCTTGGAGAAGCTCCAGTTTGTCTCCCGTTCACGCACTGCCTGCGCAGCGAGCTCCATATCGTGACGAGCTCTGTGAAGTTCAAGACTATTGGGCGGCAGGAGGAAGTCGAGCATTGCTGGATTGGGCAAAGCACTTCATGAAAGCCAAGAAGGTCTCCGGCTGGTCGTCAGGCAGGTTGGCGTGGTCAGCGGTCGTCTTCGAGGAGCTGTTGGCAAGCAGGGTGTAGAAGAGACCATTCTTGGTCACACCAGCACAGCCACCCTCTGGTGGCGACGGCAGAATCGTGCAACAAGGTTTCGTTTCCTTTGAAACTTTTCGGCTCGCCTGTCCCAAGGTCCCCTTTGGTCCTTGTGGTGACGGGGTGCTGGGCAGGGTGTTGAGGAAATGGGCAGGAGCCTGGAGAATCATCACCTTTCCCTGAGGAGCGCCGAATGCTCGTTACTTTAGCTAATTGCCGACCATGCTGGTACTGTTCTGGATTCATCAGCTCGTGAAGCTGCTCGGTGGCCAAAATTGCCCCATCCGGGGCAGCAAGCCGTTTTTGCCCGTAGCTTTATTCCTCCAGATTGCCTTGACGGGCTCGATATTGGACAACAGGTCGATGCGGCTACTGGCGTCGAAAGTCTCTCGAGATAGCAGCTCACGCAGACGGCCTGAGCCTTGAATGAGGGTGTCCTTGTGTGTCAGGACATCGAAGACCAGTCCGAGATCGCTGGTGAAGAAGGTGACGCAACATTCATGCAATGCTTTTGGTCCTCCTCTGAGGCAATCAAGCTGTAGCACTCCAACGCAAGGTGATCATCGAGGTGTGTGAGCGGCATCGGTGCAGACAGTGAGGACGAGCGGGACGCCAAGTTCACCAGCCCTGGTCAGTCTGGCAATATCGCAAGCTGCTGACAAGGACGATACCTCTGAGATGCCCGGTCCCTGGGCAGACTGGGAGTTCTCTGAGGCAGGGAAGAGGCGAGTTCCGTTGTAATCACTGTCCAACTTGAGAAAATGGACACCATGCTTGCCCGCCTCGGTGTACGACCAGGGTGCACTCAATGCACACCTAGTGCACTGCCCGCCCCGCCCAAGTCGAGACAACACGACCTTTCCCGAATTGCAGGTATCGCACTAGGGTCCTTTTCCCTCTGAAAAAGGTCCATTGCGATATCCAGCATGAACAGACCCGCCCTGTCTTCGATCTGGCCGGGAAAATTCGCGTCCCAGGTAGAGGGCCTCGAAAACGTTGGCCTTGGGATGATGCTCGCATGCATGTTGCTCAGCCCTATCGGAGCCCGACAATACGGCTGAAGAGGTCTGGAACTGTTTGTGGTGGCCTTGTAAGTTGCGTGTTTGTATCCTGCAATTTGAATGCGGCTTACCTAGATGGTTGCTGCCATTCCTGGCGCTGCCGACGTCGGAAGCGCCCCTCTGGACGCTGGAAGAGAGCGGCCCTCTGGGCGCTGAAAGAAATGATCTCGTCAAACAGACGATGAGTAGACGCGGTATTGAGGTCGCGCTGGAGAGCAGATGAGAGTACTGCAGTTGAAGTTAGTGTTTGGCTGGGCTGGTCCCACAACGAAACCACTGTGGTGGGGAAGGTGATCACCGCGGCAACCTACTTGGAACAATACAATCTGTGAAGACGATGAATATGTCCAATATGGGAGGGAGCTTTGGTTGAAGCAATTTGGATGGGTTTGGGTTTGGGATTGGTGTGTGATGTTGAAAGAGAAGAGATTGATCGAGGGCGGGGTGGTCGGTCTTTTATATCTGGAGATATTCTTGCACAATCTGATACTTGTGGTCCGAGCGCTCGATAGTGATTCACTGAGAAGACAATACCAGTGCAATGATTCATAGCAGCTACAAGAACCACGCTAGTGGTGAGCTCTCTGCTGAGCTTCTGCTTTGTGCTTATTGGTGACCCCGTTGAAGCAGTTGTTTCGCCTGAGTCTCTTGGATACCGTCTTATTTCTGTTCATTCGTCTTATTTGTGTCCATCCGTCTTATTTCTGTTCAGTACTTCAAGGTTATGCCTATCTATTCAGCCAGGAGCAGCAAAGTCAATCACATTGTCTCTTAATGACCTCTCGCATTGTTCCATACTCCAGAAAACCGTCCTGGTCCTTGGAACAAATAGCAGCTTGGCTGATTTTCGAGTCACAGCCCGGGAAATGGGACGAGAACAAGCCTGGCCTGGCAGGAGGAGAAAGGTGATCGATCGATGCAAGCTTCCACCACTGATACGAAATCAGCAAACGTATCGATGGGTACAACGACCCAACCGACGAATAAAAACTGACAGTACAAAGCATAGCAGGGAGGAGCCCCTTCCAGCGAGTCAGCTAGACATAGTATTGAAGGCAGTGGTTTGCAGATACGAAGCAGCTGTTCAGAGGACACAGCATATGGAGCTCGGAGCTGACGGGCAGACGGTTCCCAGCATCATTTAGTTACAAAGTTTTGTGGGTTGTGGCTTCTATGGCGCAACTTTGGACGACGAATCGACAAGGGCGATATTTGTGCGTCAGTTCATCACTAACATTGAGCCTCAGAAAAAAGACACCATGGCATCAAAAAGCTGCATCAGACCTAACGATCCGATCTCTCACCGAACCTTACGAAAAGACCGAGCCGCGTTCCTGCCTCTGCCTACCTCCGTATAAGCCCATCGCCAAAATACCAAGATATCACTGTCTCGATTGTTACACCCATCCTTCTAGAATGCTAGAATTGAAGCCGATGTCGACGCCCTCGCGGCGACATCCCTTCCCAATTCGCCCGTCCATTCGTGACTCCCGAGACGAAATGCGGGCAGAAAGTCTACATATGCTGGTAAATTGTTGGCTCAGAGGCTCTACCAGGAAAAAATATATTTGGCTCTAGACTTTCGTTGGAATCAAACGTTTATTGAGAAGAGGGGGGAAGAAGAACGGAAAATGCGAAGGAAGGGCACGAGCTGGGCGAGGACAGCATGGCTGGCGGGAACAATGGATGATCCAACTTGACATCTCTGCAGCGCATTTTGCCTGGGCTCATTATGATTCAGTCCCTCCCTGCTCTTTGATGACAATGAGCAGAGGTTCCAGTTGCTCCGCAATCTTAGTCGGGACCGCGACCCTGAACGTCAACATGCCTGGAGTTGCCCGGTGACGAATGGCAAGGGGCACGGGTTCGCACTTGTTTCAAGCATTCGGTATTTTTCTCTCGGTCCAAATCTAAATCTTCTGTCCCCTGGACGCACCATTGCAGAAGCGACAGGCAGGTGGAAAAAGTGTCCGTGCGCGACGACAAGGCTGAAGGCTTCCTGATGTGGAAGCCCGCTAACTAGCGCCTTGGCGCGGCTGAGCGTGGCGCTGTACCAAGCACCAATTGACATGACCACGCCCACGTCATACAACTATCTGCCCTAAATTATTTCCGCAGGAACAACCCCTCGACTGTCCTCAGGGATTGGGAACGAAGAGTTGCCTCTGTAGTCGATGTGGGCGATCCAGACGGTGACGAACGGCGGCATGCAATATTACCGATTCCCGACTTGGCAGTTGGAACGTATTGCGCACTTCACTCTCACTCAATTCTCACTATCTCACTCGTATATTCCCATTTGTATCCCGTCATTTTCCAAAAACCTAATCTCCATCGCGATTGCGGTCCCATCGCCATGTTTAAAGGTAAAAAAGGCTCCATGGCCGTATCAAGACATGCGGATGCACACCTTGCCGACGTGGGTGCCACAGGTGAGATACTCAAAGGCAGCAATTATCTCATCTCGTCCAGAGCCAAACTCTTTCTCCACAGGAACCGACAATCCCCGAGCTATCACGTACCGCGTGACCTCCTCCAGATGTTGCTTCGAACCGACGATAATGCCACGCACCACTGCGCCCTTGGACAGAGCAAGCGCCGCGACATCAGGCATTTGATCCTGGGGGCAAGAGGACAAGAACCCTATGACGGCGATGGAGCCACCGTAAGCCACCGCATTGATGCTTTGGGCAATTGTTCCGGCACCACCGTTCTCAAAGATGAAATCGGCCCCATGGCCCTTTGTAATCTTCAGAACCTCTTCGGACCAGTTCGGTGTGGTCTTGTAGTTGATTACATGATCGGCACCGTAAGTTTCCTGGACATGCATGAGCTTCGAGTCAGAAGACGAGGTGATGATTGTCGTTGCCCCAGCTGCTTTGGCGAGGATGAGACCGGTGATGGAAACACCACCGGTTCCTTGAATGAGTTAGACATCAGACTTGATTCTAATCAGTACAAGTGTGTGAAGTGACCTACCAAGGAAGAGTACCGTCTGTCCAGGCTTCAGAGCAACGTTGCCATACAGAGAATTCCATGCAGTGGTTCCAGTACAAACAAGCGCGGATAGCTGAGAGTAGCTGAGCTTCGATTCTGCCGGTATCTTGATCAAAGTAGAGCTGGGAAGTGAGATGAACTCCCGGAGAACACCATCGATCTCACCACCGAGACTGTGGTTCCAGTCTTTAATGGCTCCATAAAGGGTGCTAAGGTCGAAAGCGGCAATGACCTTGTCACCTTTGGCGAAGTCATCGACGTGACTTCCGACCTTTACAACGTCGCCAGAGAGGTCAGAGCACGGAATCACACCATCCTTCACAGGGAAAGGGTATCTTCCGGTTGCGACAGCAAAGTCGCGGAAGTTGAGAGCGACGCTTCGGATACGGATCAAGACCTCAGTGGATGAGGGTTCGGGTACTGGCTCTGTGCCGGTCACAAGGTCTTGAATGGAAGTTCGTTGTGCCAACCTGTAAACTGTCTGAGTTGCCATGATGATAGGCTGGTGAAAGTGTTGGGAAGAGCAGTTATTTCAAGACTGTGATAGACGATAAATTTGGAAGTCCGAACGTGCTTTGGAGGCAAAGCTGGCATTTGTAGATTTGAGCAGCCTCATTATATACGAAAACCTTCCACCCTGCTTGCAGATACGTAAGACCTTCTCTGTATGCTAAATTGCCTTTCTTGCCTAAAGACCCACCGGCTTCATTACAAATGATCAGAAGTTTACTGCATTATTTTGGGGTAAAAAAGACATACGGGTCTACATGATGACTGGGGACTAGATGAGCGGCATCCCGCCGAAAGAGTGTGCATTTGTGCGTTCTATTCTAGATCAGCTAGCATCTCAAGGGGTAGCATCTCAATGTCCCACTATTAGAGGACCTGTAAAGAATGCTGACAGTCAGTAACAGTGGGGCGACTGAGGCGCTATATTTCAAGATGCTCGAAAGAAGTGGGCAATTGTGACCCCAAGGTTGGGGTCAAAAAGCTACGAACTCACTCGTGCACAAAGTCCGTCTCCCGAGGTTCACAGCAAATATCTGCTTTCAAAACGATGAGCAGCAACAGAACTCATACTCTCTTGGTTGGCTTGTCGTGCAGCTTAAGGCAATGTATTTTGCCATTGAGCCACACAAACTGAAGCAGACCACTCCGTGTAAGTCAACATAAATGAGCAGGGTTGTCACAAGAAGATCTTTCAAGTTCCTGTGAACGACGGTCGTTGATCAAGTCCAACAACTCTATGGGAAGCCTATCCTAGCGTCGAGTGGAGAGATGTAATCACTGTCTTTGTCAGATTTTAGACAAGGACTTGCTCTGAGATCTGACAGTTCGGTTGGGGGACATGAATGTTGGAGTAGAAATGATTCTGACTCCAACTCCGGGGTTTACTGTTCAAAATCCATGTCGTTACCGATCGTGGACCGTGATTTCGATATCACCTCAGCATGATTAATAATCCTCTTGCCATGGATATATAATTTCTTGCACTTCCTGTGCATTTTTATACATTGCTGGCTTCGTCAGTCTTTGTTCCCTCTGCATCCAAGCTACACATGGTGTTGACCATCATTGTGAGCCACAGAAGCGGGGTTGGACGCCACCTAGTGTGCACGTATCAACCGCCGGGGGGTGCATGTGTCTGTCGAGCTTGTCCCGAGCTGCATGGGGAAATCATGAGCGACAAAGTCGTTTCGACGCTGGGACTGCCGCACGTAGTAGCAATGAAGGAGAAAATTCTTCCTGAAAATCGAAATATTTACCTGAATTACTGGATTCTTAGCGGCAGTGAGGTTAACGAAGTTCACTGTCATGGCGAATGGTACAGAGTCCGGGGCGGAACAACGCGCAACCGCATGGTCGTCAGCGATGCTTGGTAATCAGGATCCAGAGCTGACGGTCACAAACAGTCGTCACCGAGGATTTGCCTTTACAGAACCTAGGCATACCTCATGCTTGACGTTGGCCCTCGAACACCCCACCTTTCCATCGCTCTAGGATATCCAGCATCCCTAAATTGGTAAATCCTATTTCTTGCCATGTCTGCCCCTCGGGGCCGGCCTCGGCGTAACGTTCCGCCCTGCAGATTTTGTCGGAAACAATTCAAAAGATATGAACACCTTGAACGTCATGAACGCACCCGTACGATCCCCTGTTCAGATTCTGTTCTATCGTATCATTATCTGCCATGATTGAGGGTTCAAAATGCGGTCGATAATCTTAGTCAATGACCAAAAGCTCACCAAATGTCTCGACGTAGATACTCGGGAGCAACCGTTCCTGTGCGACTGCGGCCGGCGATTCTCCCGAAGGTAAATCTAGTAATAGGATAGCAATGGAGAAAAGTTCATGAGCAATTTTTAAGACTCTATGAGCTAACCTTTCTAATAGGGATCTTCTGTCTAGACATCAGCGCATCTCCCACGCTGATGAGACAGAAGATTGTAACAATACTCGAGATCTTGATGCTGGTGAAATACCGAGATCAAGGACAATAGACCCATCTGAAAGCATACAGCAAACTCCAGTGGCTGGTTTGCAAGAAGGTCTGCATGAAGGTCTGCATGCTGCCCATGGATCAGAATGGCAACAAGCAGTACCCTCCGTACAGCATGCCTCTCTGGGCATAACGGAATCACTCTTGCCCCAGGATAACGTCTTTCACGGGCTGAATGATTTGGCTCTACATGATATCACGGCAACGTTCCCAGAACCATTCCAAGATCTATTAACACAGGACCTGCTAGCTGGTTTGGATGGCCTCGATTTTGACTCCATATGGAACGACACACAATTCCCAAACTCGCTCCTACACACTGCCCCTCCAGACGGTAGCCAAGACAGCCAGATGAATCCGTTGGCCCCCTCAGAAACTCGTTATCAGGAACATCCTCTACACTCACAGGATCACCGATTAGAGACCGAATCCGAGTCGGGATTCGCTTCGAGGCTTCCTTCAATCGAGCCCGAGAGGCCCCAAGTGGTGCCAATGTATGTGGCTTCGACACACGATCCTGGAAGCCAGTCTCAGGAAACCCAACGACCGAGACAAGTTCACTCCATTCGGCCCTGGAAGATTTCTCTCGATGGTTACGCCCGAATACTCGACAATTATGCCGAAGTCCGAGAAATACTACCAAACAACTTCACCCTCCCGTCTAAACACACGCTCTCTCGCTTTCTCGAGGGCTACTTCCGCGGATTTGCCATCCACATGCCGTTCCTACACCCCGTCACCTTCTCTGCCGCGTCTATCAGCGTCGAGCTGCTCCTATCTCTGTCTGCCGTCGGAGCGCTTTATCGCTTCCAGCCTGCCATTGGGTATCAGCTCTACGCCGGTGCGCAGGCCCTGATCTCTTGGCGCACGAGCCAACGGAGCCGTTCTGCGTTGGATCGGTTGACCAAAGATTCTCGTGGAAGGCCTAGCACGCTGAATCTTCCTATTGGACCTAACGACTCCACCGGCTCGGCTCTAAATGAACCAAAGTCTGAGGGACAAGGCAAGAAACTGCAGTTGCTGCAAGCCATGGTGGTAATCATGGCGATGGCGTCGTGGGGCGATCACGATCTGACTCAAGACGCGCTCGGAATGTCTACGCAAATCGCCTTTCTTGCCCGAGAGTTGAGAATTTCCGACCGCGAAAAGGTCCCACTTCCAAACCAGCCATGGAGCGACGGTATACAGCATGAAGAGCGTCGTAGAACGCTTTTTGCCGCCTACGCCCTCCTCAACCTACAATCCGTAGCCTTCAATGTGCCGCCGCTGTTATTAAACCAAGAAGTCGCAATTAATCTGCCTGGATGCGCGTCAACTTGGCAAGCACCAAACGCTGCCGAGTGGTCTACGTTACAGGACACGTATATGAGACCGGGGCCATTCCAGGAAAAGCTCAGCGGTTTGCTATCAGGAAAGCGCGTACACGTCGAAGAACCTCTTTCATCTTTCGGGAACTATGTCCTCATACACGGTCTACTCCAACATGTCTTACTCACTCGCAACGTAACTGGATGCCTGCCAGACGCAGGGGGTGTCTTGTGCGACAGCGTTGTGGAAAATGTTCAACTTGCACTCCGTGCCTGGCAAGAATCCTGGGAGGCGACATACGAGTCCACGACGGACCCCTCATCCCCCAAAGGGCCCTTAGGATTCAACTCGACCGCCATCCTGCGCTTGGTGTACATTCGACTCAGCGCCAAGTTTGGCCCCAGTCGGCAGTTGCTCTTCGCACGAGAGCCCTGGGCCATAGTCGAAGCCTTTTCTTCAAAACGTGCCATCAAAGCAGAGGACAGGTCACCTCACCTGGATCAAGCCGTGCTGCAGTGCATCCATGCCTTGAGTATTCCCGTCAGGGTCGGAATCGCGTTTGTGGCACGCACCCAGACGATGAACTGGAGCGTACAGCATGCCTTGTGCAACCTGGAGTGCGCGTTCCTCCTGACGCAGTGGCTCCTCGTTGTATCAGAATGCGTCGAGGCTTCGGGTCTTGAAGCGTTGCGCGTGAGTGAGCGCAGATTGGTGAATGTTATCGTGAGTTTGGTGCGGGAAACCGAGCTCGGGGACTCCTTTGATGAAGACGGCCAGAGCCATGCCGTTCAAATCAGAAATCTGGCAAGCTCCACCATGCTTTTGTGGGCGCAAATGTTCAAAGGGTATCATGTCTTCGATATGGTTCAACTCGTTGGTAGCGGGTTGGCGATGTTAGCCGAAAGGCTGGGAGAACAACCCGCCAGCTCAACATTCGAGTTAAATGATTAACGGGAAGGTATGATATAGAGATTCTTTCCATGTCGTGGCAGGCCAAGAACACAGCTGGGTTACCTTGGAGACTTCAAAAAATGCTAGACTGTGAAGTCAAAATTAATTTCAAAATCTCAGCATCTCGAATGCCACGACGGCTTATAATGTTGACAATGCACCATTCCAGCCTGGCTCAATTATTCAACCTAGAGCCCAGAATAAGATTGATGAATATTCAGCCAGTACCAACATTGTTCGCAACCTCTGTTTTATTAGTTTTTAACAACACCATCGATAATCAGAAGTTGCCTGAACATATCTGTTTCGTGTGCTTGGCAAATGGGCTTCCTCCTTGTCTCCGCCCTTATGAGTGAATTAGCTCCTGCTATTCAAACTCAATGGTATCGGCAGATTGATTCTCTCGGTGCTTTTGGATGCGTAGCATGCTCCCCCGCCTCTCGAGACCATAGACCCGGCATCCATCGAGATGCAACAATGAGACCCTACCCACATGCGAACATCATATCTCAAAGCAGAAGATATCATGATAGCACAGCTGACCTCGAACTAAACCAAAGCGACCTGCAGGGAACCCATAATTAAACCCCTGCCCCTTTGGTTGGAAGTTTTGACCACTGAATGGATCTGCTAGCACTTCCTCGGAACCAAGTGTTGCACATGTACATTTCAGCATTGACCGGTGAAATGACCGAGACCGAGTGGCACGCCGGCAAAACGAACCCAAAGTCGTTCTTCGTAGCAGGGTTGGGGATTGATAGCTGGCATAGGCAAAATGCCGGTAGTTCCGCACATTCGTGTATGCACGCCTAGATGGCATGGCACTGGTTTACTACCACTTCATATTTCTAGTAGGAAGTTTAAAGCTCAAGCTCTAGAGCTGAAACTGCGAACCTCAAGCTACAGAGGCTGTTAAACGTTTATCCCAGTCGAAGGCAAATTCAAATGGAAACTATGTTTGGGAGGTTTTATGAGCTGTGTGCTTCATATCACGTCGTTGAACTCATCTGTACTGTCTATCATCACAACAACAGCTACATTCATCCTCTGCTAATTGCTGTACCTCGTCAAAATGGGATCTACTGTCCATCTGCCGGCGAAGACGTTGACTGCTGGACTTGAATTCCAGGACAAGCCCTATGACTTCTCGCACGACGGGCCGGGAGAAGTGTTCATAAAAAGTGTGTCCCGCGTTCGTACATTTATTGAGGAGAAACTATCAGTACGTGCGTTATTCTGTTACTCGTCCCGCACTTGACCTACAGCTGTTACAGAGTGCACTCACAGGCAGCATTTAGACATTCGCAAGCCTTGAGACTCTCGTGAAGCTGTCGCTCGGCGATGGATCCCGATACATGAGTCCACCGATTTTCATAGACGCCCGCTCACATGAGGTCAAACTTCTCGAGTCTGCTCCCGATGGCGTCGAACCAGGTATTACAGTGACCATCATGCCAGAGTACGTTCTCGACGTCATTGAAGGCCGCATGCATCCCCAGCAGGCATTCATCAGGCGAGCTAGGCCACCATACCTGGGTCCCTTCCCAATGTACTTTACTCCAGGTGGCCGTCCCAGGCCTTTGTCTCAGGACGATCAGCAGGCCTGTAAGGATCTCCCAAAGGCTACAGAGGACATGGAACAGATCAAACGCGACCTCAGGAGATGGGGCTACGGATTGGTGCCAAACGCGTTGTCACCAGATCAGGCCAAGATCCTAAGAACTGCTGTCGAGCAACAGGCCGCAGGAGAGCAAGCTGCCGGAATAGCTCATATGGACGGTATGTTCATGAAAAAGGGTGATCAACCCAATCAACGTGTCTGGTGAGGCTACCCTATTTATCATTTCCAATTTCTAACGCACGCTACAGTTGTGCCGCCCCTTTTTACTCTTTCCAATCAGGTGTGATATACCTCAGCTGACGAAACATGTAGGAATCTTCCCGGCAAGGGAGATGAGTTCCTTGACCTGCTCAACCATCCTCTGATAGATTCCATCGTCCCTTGGTTTCTAGGCAGTGCTTTCACGCTGTATTCAATGACGGCTAACATCGCTCGGCCTACACGCTCTGGTATTTACATGCACATAGACCAGATGGGTCTGGGGCCTCCCATTGACCATCCACTACTGCTGAATTTCGTTTGGTACCTCATGGACGCGACAGAAGAAAGCGGTGCCACGCGATTGTACCCGGGATCTCATAGCAAGGACGTTGCGCCTCCCACGTTCAACGAGATTGTACGTCACATCACGCATACGACCTCTATTCCACTTATGAGATCGGCGTGTCATCTCCAAACTAACATGTACCAGGGAGGTTCTATTCCAATCGAAGTGCCAGCTGGCACGGTTCTTATCCTGGATAGCCGCATTTGGCACTCGGTGGGAATCAACAGGACAGAAGCGATCCGGCCTGCCATTCTGCAAGCTTTCTCTCGATTCTTCATCCGCAGTATAGAGAATTATCCCCAGCACTTGGGCGAAGAAGTTAAAGAAAAATTGTCCGATCGACAGCTTGCGCTTCTGGGGTTCCTTGTTCCAGTGCGAGAACGCGGTCATCCTCAAGAGGTTTACACGGCTTACAAGCTACCTGGCGTGGATGCTGGCCCATTGAGGGACCCAGCGAGCCATTGAGGCAGGCAACACTGCTCTTTAAAATGGGAAAGGCTCTCAACAGCCATCAAGCAGACTTTCTTGAGGCATGATCATATGTTTAGTAAACTGATCCGCACTACCCTTTGTACTGTATGGTATTGAAAATAGCCACGTTCAACACGTCTTGAAGCCCTGTTCTCAAGAAAAATAGGAAATGCTTTTCCCCCGAAGGCTAATACGATGGCGGTTCGTATCCCCTCAGATATTTCGACACTCCCGACTCTTGCTTTGGCATGTATCAGCCTGCTGCCATGCCCATCATCCTGGAACAAGTATGTTGCCGCAACGAGAAGGTTCAATGCGTGACGGTCGTATGTCGGGCTTGAAGACACCGCATCGATATCTGGAGGAGTCGTTGGAACAGGAGTTGCTGGAGCTGGGCAAGTGGTCAGAGGTCCTGACAAAGACCGGAAGGCTTTTCATGGGCCACAAGGTGTCTTTACTGGGCTTTCTATCGGGCGCAAGGATATGTTGCATTGTTTGCTCAACGAGCCACCGAAGCATTCGTCCTGCGTGTCAAAAGCCAGTAGCTGTAAAGCAAAGCATATGAAGGGTGAGATGAATTGACAGCAGTAATATCCTCCTGTATGTTAGCAATTCGCTATCCTTGTTCTAGTCAGGTGCTCTGTGATTGCACTGTGATTGGGTCTCGAAGTGCCTCTGTAGGTTCCTTCAAATTTGGGTTGTCAATGGAACGAGTCTTGATTTGTTTACATAGCGCGAGCTCACCCTTGGCACACCCCTGGAGCCCTTTCTGATACACATACACCCTTTTAATATACTCACGCCCCTAGCTAGCCGCCTGACACCAGGCACCTACTGCCCCCAGACTGAGCTCTTCTCAGTTGCCACTACAGATATCTCACCCTTGACAGCCACTACCACAACTGCGCCGCTGGGTTCCAGTTGCCTAGTGAAATAGTACTCCTCCAACTACGGCACACAAAGACACGCACAAGCGGAGGATTATGCCTGCTTTGACGAGCAGCAGTACAGATGACAAGTCTCATTTCGTCATTGATTATTAGGCTCACATGAGCCTGTCTGTGGTCAGCTTATTGTTCTAAGCTGTCCCAGCGGGGAGCATTCATTGGGACATAACCCAAATGCTCAAAGGTAGCTCGTATGGCTACGACAATATTGACACCGGTACTCCCTGCTCAAAAAGCCCCCAGAACTCCTCTGACCGAGAGCTGACCTGTTGAAAGAACTCAATAATACCATCCCTTTCTGCCAACATCCTCGAATCTCTGCTTCACGGCATCTGCCAGTCCGCCCTTTCCGATAGCCCGCAAGAGCTCCGCGACGCTGCAGCTCGTGCCATAGTCGCCCACTTCTCTCTGCTCTAGCTTGTTCAGTAGCTCCATGAGCTCTTCCATGGTCGAATTTCTCGCGTACTCCATAAGGGCAATGCAAATCTTAGTCCAGATGACAATCCACCGAGCATCCATGGTCCCACCTGCTTGTCTGAACTCAATTGTTGGCTTCCGACTCTCTGGCTGGCGGGAACGGTCGAGTCTGTAGTTGCCGAAGGAGTAGTTTGGCCGCCACATCCCTGGGGATGACAGAAGAGCGCCAACATGGGGCTTGCATGAGCAATAGAGGAGTTCTCTGAGTGGCGGCGCACTGGCGTTCCTGATGCTAGGGGCCCGCTGTGGGATTGGATAATCACCATGGACTGAGCTGTGTCGGCGCAGAGCGGCGTTATCTGCCCAGGGGAGACGCCATGCCTTCTCTAGATGCTCACGCCTGTCCTCCTGGGCAGCGAGACTCTGTCGCTGCTGAATACCGGCAGGCGTGTACGCTCCCTGTCTGGCAAGATATCGCAACCCATACTCCTGATCCTGCCCAGCCTTCCAGTCATGCGCCTCCGGCTGCATGTAGATGTCCTCAGATATCTCGTCCAGGACTTTCTGCGTACTCGGCATTCCCGCAGCGCTCGCAAGCCTCGAATCGAGGCGGATGCCCGCCAGCGAAGGGTTGATCAGGCGCTCCGGAGGATGGAGGCGAGACAAGACGGGGTCGACAGCCCAGAACAGCATACCAAGGCGCTTCAGAAGCCACAGCGGCATTCGATCTTCCTTACGCAGCCCGAGGCCGCAGTGCACGTGGAACCCGCAAGACGGGTTCAAATGGATATTGTATGAGGTGGCGAGGGACTTGACCACCTTGACGATCTGAGAAAACGAGGAAACATCGTTACTCAGGAAGGCTGGGGATATAAGTTCCACGCTGATCCAATGTCCTCTGATGCCACTAGGAGGCATGACGCTGTAATCTTGCGCGACAGTCCACATCGTAAAGTCCTCTGCCTTGCTTTGATCGAAAACATTACAAACGACGACATTTCGAGATATGGTCTCACTGACCGTCCTGCCCACATGGTGAGCGGCTTCCTGTCGAGCCCTGGAGCTGTAGATCGAGAGCTCCGGTGGGATTGGGATAGTTTTGGACAAGGGGCCGACTGTCGTACTATCTCGTTGATGCTCGACCTCGATCAGGAATTCGAGCTCAATTCCAAACGAAATGGTTGGCGCCATCTTGGCGAGTTGAGTAACGAGCTTGAAGGGGAGGAATAAGGGATCACAACGAAGTTGAAGACGGGACTGCTTTGCAGCTTTGTTTAGAGAGTAGATAAATGAAATTCAACAGTCTGAAATCAGTGATAGAGCTGGAAGACCGCTTAGCGGGGTCAGACACTGGGTTCTTTTTTTGCATGTCTTCAAAGCTTCTGGTCCTCTTTACCATTCCATATTCGGTGACCATTGAATCTGCCCTCTCGTCCTTCTTATTAGCTATTCTCTTGCCGGCAGCTAGATCTACTATACGAATTACCAGTCAAACACTGTGTTCAGTTTGAGTGACATGAGATTACATTCCTGACCGTGAATCACCTACGCCCAGCATATGGACATAATCATTAATATAACCTACACTCGATCTTGATTTTGTTGCTCCATTCAGCCAGACCCAATATGACTTGAGAGGGTAGGAACAGTTGGAATTCAAAGTCCTATTGCAAGTGTAGAGATTTCGTCTATGTATATGTAGAGTATGAGACGCCTATGAACAGCCTGATTCTTATGGAACTTGGAGTGAAACTTGGTAGGAAGATTGTAGATGAGGTTTAGTATCTACAGAAGTACTGCATCTCCGTGACAGCAAAGTAACCCCACTTGTTGTCAAATAGGTCATACGCTTCCAGCAAGCATAGTTCAAGCAGGAATACCTATCCTAGATGAGAACGTGCGGTGGTTTCAAGTATGAGATATCCATCTATTACGATCATTAGGACCCAATTGATTCCAACATGCCTCAGTTTGATCACCACTATTCTTAAACCTCGGCGCCGGTGATGTTACTCATCAACATCGGACCTCCAGTTGCAAATTTTACCTGTCTCTTCATCCCGGCAAGATCAGCTATCTCGGATGCTTCATAAGGCCTAACACGGGTAGCTCCACACCAATGTTTTGTATTGCCAATTCTATCTCACTCTCAGAATCTGATCAGATCATGTCGATGGCTAGCGGCACTCATTATGGTTCAATTTGCATCCTGTGCCTGTCCAAGCCGGAGCCATACAGAACATATCTCTTCACTCATGTCAACAAACATGAGCTGAAGCCATCTTCAAGCTGGGATGCGAGCAATATCTTACAATCATCTTACATTATCATTCATCTAATTCCATCCGTGGAATTGGAGACATTTCTTTCTTCTGCCCTCCTCACAGTGGAGACTCGACTTCATCCTTTGAAGTCTGTGTTAAACCTGCTCGCGCAGATTCTCATACGAGTTGCTTACATGCGTATTCGCCTCATGTATTTCTTTGACCTCGACAAGCTTTCTACCTCCTTCTTCACCAGACCGATCGTCCGAACTATCTCTGCAAGTCTTGGTCAAGCTCATTTGCGCACGCCCCCATACAGCTGTCTTGTAGCCGGATTCATCGCCTTTCATCTTTGAAGTGGACAAGTCTAAGACTTCTTTCGTCTCTTTCCTCGACCAGTCCAGCTGCACCGCCACCATATTCCAGGAGGCCATGATTTATTCTTTAACTAACTAAATCCCAGACCTGCTCTTCTCCTTGCCCTTGTCAATCTAAGACATCTTCCTCTCTTCCCTCGACCAGTCCAGCTACACTGCCACCACATGTCAAGGAGAACATAATTTATCTTTTTACTACTCCAATCCATCCCATTCCAGCCAGCACTCTTCCAGCATTGCTATTCTCAATCTTGACCTTCCAATCTCAGCTCTTCCATCGTTGACTCTTCCATCCTCGAGTCTTCTATCCTTGACTCTTCCAAACGCCATTCTTCCAAGGTGGGCTTTTCTAACCTTTACTCTCCCAACCCGTGCTCTTCCTGATCTAACACTACCTGTCTACCAAGCATTCTTCAGTGGCACACCTCCCTGATTCACCATCATGTCTTACGCAAGATTTGATGCCATCAGCACCAGCCCTCGAGCTCGAACACCATCGGGGCCGCGATACCCATCAGCGTTTGTTCATGGCAACACCTTCGCCTTGCCCTCTTCACCCGACAATCTGGCCGGACTCTCCGATGATCCTTTCAACATGAATTCCACCAGCAACCGCCAGGCGCAACATTCGTTTGCCCACATCACCAATGAAGACGTCGGTGAGCATGGTCGATTCACACGATGGCTGGAGAAGACCCAGATGGAACAGGAGAAGAAGTACAACCGAACAGTGACGATCTCGCCTTTGCCCGACTCCCTAACTGTGGCCGACGTTCTTCCCCGGGTCCGTGGTGGCGTGGAATCGTGCTACATTAGCCAGTTCGAGGAGAACCGTATTGCCATTGTCACTTTCAAGCTTCCCGCAGATGCTATCACCTATGCTGAGTTCTGCGCCGAGACACCGGTCTGGGGTCTGTGGACATTTCAAATTTCACGCCCCGGTGTCCCCTTTACTTGGGAGCGCCGCGCAAAGGTCCAGCTATACAAGACAGCCCCTGGAATGGGAACTGTTTGGAACCGTGGTGACATCCCCACCGAGCCCCGAACCGTTGTTCCTGCAGGCTCTCGCTGCCTCGTTTACAAGGAGTGTAAGCCTTATGAGGTTGCCGGCATTTATCGTGCCCTTGATCTTCACAACTCCCAACACCAGAAGGATCAGGTGGAGGGAATGTGGCTCGACGGCCCAGTGCGTGACCAGAATGGAGCGCCCATTTACGGAGACCTGCATGTCTGGTATACCAGCATGAGGGCGGCTCAAGAAGCCAAGTTGCGTGTTGTCCAGCTTGAATATGAATACGACCCGTGCTCAGATGGCCCAGAGAAGCTCATACTGAACCTTGATGAGGGAGAGGTCCGCATTTTCAGACACCATGAGCCTTTTGTCGACTTGCTAGCGCTCGACTCAAAGAGCCTCTTGGCTTTTACCTTTGAGGGTGTCATTGACCCTGTCCAAGCATTCTGGCAGTGTCGTACTCCTCTTTTGTCCATTCCGGACACAGGTATCACCGGACGCTTGCAGTGGTCTCTTAACAACCTGCAAACTGGAACTCTTCCTCCTCCAGCTCCACTGTCCGACCCTTTTACTGATACCCGTGTGACAACTACTGGCCTGTGCACCAGCAGCATCGCCAATCACGCTCCACAGCAGCCCAAACCTGGTCCTGCTTCTTATAGCCTCAGCGGTTTTAATCAGAACGTTGCCAGCCTCTGTCAATCCTTTACAGCCAACCGCAATGCTCTTCCCGGCTATCACCTCTCGCCTTTGGAGGCCTATGTCGCCCGCACCCAGGAGCGTCAGGCTCTCGGCTTTCCGCCCTATTCTGGTGCACGCCACACTGAGCAGCCGTACCGCGCCATCGGTCCTCCCAGCAATTTTGCAAACAACAGCAGCAGCGGTGGTATCGGTAGTAGCAACACAGGCGGCAACTGTTGCAATCCCAACCACAACTACTCTAACCTGGGTGGCCTCAACCCCCAGAGCGGACGCCAGCCTCGCTCGGGATTCTATGATTCCTAGGGCGATAATGGCACCCGGACCAAACTGACGGATGCTCCACAGGAGATTCAGGTTCCAGGAGATGCTTCACTCTTGACTGTACATGATTCGTCTTTCATTTCTAATTCTACATCTCTTTCTTCGGTCTCTGTGTGCGCTACTGGCACACCCGACCAACAACACAACGAGGCCGGCAATTCTGTCGAGAACGGTCGTACTGATAGCTCTGGTACCGGCTTCAGCAACGTCACTGGGCCTGATGATTCCGGCACGCTCAATGACAAGTTTGTCAGGCCTGACTCGGCGACCTGTGTCGTTCTGCTTGATGACAAGGCCGCGGAGTCTGGAAAGCTCGTGTCTGACGAGCTCAAACCTGTTGCCAACCTCGTTGCTTCTCCCGCACCTGGGAAGTACTCACGCAAAGACTTACACACACAGGACGCCTTTTGGACGTGCAGTCTGGAGGAGTTTCGTGCTATGAGCGATAAGCAGTGGGCCTCTTTCGGAACCACCTTCTACATTGCTCCAGATGGCTTTGACACCGCTACAAAGCACGTTGTCGAGCTTGATTGAAAAGACTTGCTTATGGGCGTTAGTGAACATGGATCCAGTCCTTTAGTAGCACTTGGGCTACTTTTGCGACTAGACTTCTTCTATCTTTGAAGCTTCACATGAATTATGAAGAAGAAAAAAAGCGGCGGCTGGGATTGAGCAAGCAGGGCGGGTGTCTTTTGAGCAGCACTTGGGCTGTTCATATGATTCACCCAGCCTCCTCTGGAAAAGCTTGCGCAACTCCGGATATCATTAGGGTTCAGCGGATTCGGCAGACTATTGAATGGCACCTGAGCTGTTCATAGATTTGACACAGCCTGTTTTCACAAGGATGCCCGCAGCAACAAGGCTGTTGCTGGCGGACACATTTGGGGTTGAGGATACAGTCAGTCCTCTTTTGAAGCACACCCGACCTGCTTCTTTCGGATTGTCTTCTGACCTACTTTGAGCTTTCTCGCTGAATGCCTGGGGACTCAGAATTATTTTTGCTAATGAGCGGCACAGCCGTTCTCCTACTTTGCACGGGATTCACACTCGGACACTCTACTCTACTCAACGTTCTGCTTCATCCCAACAAGCAGAAACATAATGATACTTTGCGAGTTTTTGGTACATTTTTATTGCTTTTCTGGCAGGTCGTCTCTGACCTCGAAATCGTTTCTGTGCATGGTGTCTATGCTTCTACAAGTATTCATAAACGCCCGACAGTACCTGGAATGTAATTGACCAGGCTCTAGAGTGTGACGATACGCTGACCAAACTCCGAGACAAGAGCAAACAGCCCGTCTATCTTTAACCCCCAACAATCATCCAAATGATTGCGCCCAGACGCCATCAATGACAATTAGAAATGCCGAGGAGCGCCTCTTGCCATGGTCGCAAGCTGTGCGGCGATCTGCGCATCCACAGTCTTCTTCCGCTCCCTCGCGGCCCTCTCACTCTCCTCGTCAACGACAAAGAGTTCATCCGGGCCGTCGTCAGCGTCCATGACATCGTACTGGCTATCGCCATGGTCGAGCATCGTGGCGGCGGTAGGGTTGAGTTCCTCCTGGCCCTCGAAGGCCTCCGCGACGCTGTTGTATCTTTTGGCCAAGTCGGTCAGTGAGTTTGGCCGCTTCAACTTCGTCTTCTTGGTGCCATTGTTCTTGTTCAGGGCCCCGCGCTTCGCCTTTCTTTTGAGATAGTCCTTGACCAGCTTGTCTGCAATATTCTCCTTCGGCTCCCAGGTCGGGTTCTGGCCCTCCGGCCAGTTGCCTTCCCACCGCACCTTGAACCAGTGCACCCCGTCCAGGACGTAGTCACCTTCGAGACGCTTAACCACGTAGTCTTGCTCGCCCTGGATGAGATCTAGTGCCGGATCGAATGACGTTGTAGATTCTGCTGGAGGCACTGGATCCGCCAAAAACAGCTTGGGTTCCTTCTTTTCCCTTCCCTTCTTCGACTTCATGCTCGCAGGAGTCTCTGCAGACATAGGTGACTCATCGGCTGGCCTTTTGGGCGGCCTTGGAAATGTACTCCCTATGGGGGTGAAGCCGGTAAAGCCGGTAAAGCCGTTTTCATGAGACAGCGATGAATTTGCGCAAGGCGAGCGTTCTTGACCCTCCTTTCGATGTGACTGCGAAGTGGCCGGCGTCGAGGCTGTGCCTTGGCCAGGTTTTGTTTGTAACTTTGAATCTTTCGAGGAAGTCACATTCTTGGCCAGTGGCTTCGACATCGATGGGCGCTGTTTCATTGCCTGCGAGAGATAAGGCGGCAGCGGTATAGGCGTCGTGGAGATCACAGGCCTCATCGGGACCTGAGAGGAGCGATTTGAGGAGGAACTAGAATGATTGTTGTGCTCTTTTGCGACTTTTTTAGCCATGGTACGCGTGGGAGAGCCATATACGGCCATGCCGGCCGCAGTTCTGGCAAGGGAGCTGGGTGGGTGAACAGGAGCTGGTATTGCGACGCTGCTAGCTCGCGAAGATTCACCACCAGAACTCCCTGGTACACCTGAACCCAGCTGCGGCAATCGTGAATCTTCCAATACCCTCACTTTCAAATCGCCGTTTGAGATACCCTCGTCAAGCGACTCGCTCTCGAGTTGCCGATGTATTGCCATGTCTGCGTCCTCATCTGCCTCCTCCAGCTCATCCAGGATCTCCTCCTCTGCCACCAGTTGCGCCAGTCTGCTCTTTCGCGGTGTGGACAGCGACGGACCTCGTTTTCGTTTTTGGAGTATCTCCTCTTGTTCAGAGTTCAATTGGGGCTCTGGAGGCGGCCGGGCCTCTATCATCGCTCTAGGTGGTCGTCCTGGTCTGCGCTTCACGCCCGGTTGAGGACCAACAGTGGCAGGCGTGACCAATGCCTTGCTCTCGGCTGCCGCATGCTCTTCTGCTTCCCTGGCCCTCTCACGCTCTTCCTCGCGGCGCAGCGCATCCTGATACTCCCAGTCTTCCAAGGTACGCGGCGAAACGTAGTCTAGAATCTTGCTAGCATCCACCACAGGGCGGGCTGCTGGAAGGTCGGGCCAGCCTACGATGTAATAGCAGCGGCGCTGTCGAGGATCGTTGTAGGATTTGAAGGGCCCACGCGGGAGGACAACCTTGTCAACGATGAAGGCGTTGCTGTCGTGGACAAGCCGCAGGTTGATTTGAGGTGGAGGAGGGCCACTGCCTGATCTGTATTTTGGGACCTGGGGACGAATCGGAATCTGAAATCGTAACGGGGGTTTCTCTTGATTTATGGTCATCTTGGACACCCTGAGGTCGGAGCGAAACTGCTCCCAGCCAGCCTCTGAGTCGGCCATTATCGGCGCAGGGCCGACGAGCCTGGCCGAGGCTCGACAGGTAGGATGCTGCGAAATCGCCTGCGACTCGACACGTCGCGCGCGCGTGCACAGAGCCGGCAAGGGAATACACCAGTAGTCATGGGCGAAGGACTTCGTGAAAGGCAAGCGATGCCTTCTGTCGCCCAAGGGCCGAGCCCTGTTCGGGGCTGCTGCAGTTGTTCAAGAACGGTCAAAGTCGCGCGTCAAGTCGCGATGAGGTGGGTGTAGCGGTGTATCGCGCCGGCCATGTGATTTAGTTGGGGTAAAAGGCGCTTAGTTGCCCTAATTGACCTAAATAAGGTTATAAAAAGTTAATTAAATCTGAATTGGTTAAAAAGTAATTTGATTAATAATAAAAATAAACTCAATTTAATATTGGTTTCTAAATAAAATTATTTTAAAATTATTTTTAAAAATTGTAAAATTATATAAAAATATCTTTTTATTTAATAGTTAGTTCTGATGCAGAAATTATATCCCATTTTCTATATTAAAGTCTGAGCTTTCAGTCTCGTAGATGAACGTAAGGAAATAGCAGCAAAGACCGTGGCTCGACTTAGTAACGCGGCAGGCACGCGACAGCTCGACGGTGCGGGCGCCAGGTGCAGGTGGACTGAGGTGGTGGTGCAAGAAGCGGGACCGTTGGAAGAGCTTCGAAAGCTTTGACCTCCACCACGCCAGCTCCCCAAGCACCAAGCAAATCTTCCACCCGCACAGCCCATCAACGTCACCGCTCCACCAAATTTCTGGTCGACACGAGGCAGACATTTCCACACCCATCCTCTCCCAGTGTCCACTGGGGCCAATTGCAGAACCTCCAACTCCCATCGCGGATCGTCGTGCCCGCACACAAGAGACCAAAATGATCGCCTCGACGACAACGGCAATGCTCCGCTCAGGCGTCACCCGCGGCGGATGCGCCCTGCAGCCCATCCTCCTGCGCAGCACCACCAGCTGCCCCTACTCGACCATCACAGCCGCCTCGCCCTTCGCGAGCGTGCGCTCCAAGCTGTCCGACCCCTCCTCCACCACACCCGCCCCCGCCGGCACCAGGCCCTCCTCATCCTCCTCGCCCATCCTCACAATCCGCCGCCCGGCCACAAGACCATCACCAGCGGCGCGCCGACATGCCTCCTCCTCCTCCTCCTCCTCCTCGACACGAGACCATGACGCGGACGCCGCGGCCGCCTTGCGCGCGGCGCAGCGGGCCGAGGCGTACGCGAAGTCGAACCCGGACATGCCCCCGCTGGACTGGAACTCGTTCTTCCAGCTGCGCAAGACGCGGCGCCGGTGGCAGGTGGGCTTCAGCGCGATCATGTCGCTCGGGTGCGGCACGGCCGGCGCGCTGGTGCTCGGGTCAGGGGCGGCCGACTCGCTGACCGGCCAGATCCCGCTCGACCCCATCCTGACGCTGGGGCTCATCACGCTGGGATGCATCGCCATGGGGTGGGTTGTCGGGCCGAGTGTTGGGAATGCCGTTTTCTACCTGATTAAGCGCAAGTATAAGGCGCCCATGACTGTGGTAAGTATTACTATGTATTGACCTTGCGAATGGTTTCATATGCTGACGGAGGTGGGTGTTGCAGAAGGAGAGCCAGTTCTTTGCCCGGATCAAGAAGAACCGCGTCGACCCCTCCAACTCCTCGACCGGTAACCCGGTGCCTGACTTCTACGGCGAGAAGATATCCAGCGTCGCTGGCTACAGGCAATGGCTGAAGGACCAGAGGGCGTACAACAAGAAGAGGACCACCTTCATATGAGTGACTTCACCAGGACATGTCAGCAAGACCATGAGGACAGAACACGCTCGGTCACTGACATTTAGCTGCGACCTGGTGGCATCACAATCTCCAGATTCCTTGGGACCGGGATTATGGGGACAATCTGCAAGTGGGCTGGATTGATGGCCTCCGATCACCACAGTTGGAGGTCGAAGCTAGTTATCGATGGGAATGGATGCAAAAACACAAGTATGAGTCTCATTTGCCGGAGTTCAGAGCCTCTCCATAATTGTATTTGTACCTACAGGACCGTAATGCCGCAAAATGGACATGACATCCTATTCTTGAACTTACCTCTATGGATATTGTGAAAATTGAAAATGGGCCAATTGGCCAGTTTCTTCGGAGGTCTTTCAAAGCGAGATCATTCGAGTAGACTGCTATAGGCAACAACTGGCAGCGCTATAAGAAGGGTAAAGTACTGTCTACTTCCTGCTTCCAAGCCTTCATTCCCCCTTGGATGTCGCCAATGAACCTCTTCCCATCCCGACCCAGGCCAAGGTCCTTCAACTGCTTGGCCACGAGCTGGGAGTCATTGCCAACCCTACACACAACATAGATGGGTGCGTCCTCTGGCAAATCTGGTGGTACCCAGTCGGGCAAAACCTCCTCAGCCGCACCATCCACGCCCTCTGGCCTCTTGGCCCTCCCAGCACTCTGGATCTTCGAGTAGGGAATACTAATAGCCCCGTCGATGCATCCAATGTCAAACAACTCTCTTTCCCTGACGTCCAGCAGCACGGGCCTGGCCTTGTCCCGGCCATGCAGTACTTCCTGGTACGCCTGAGCAGAGACCCTCTCCCCATCGCCTAGGATCCTGACCGGCCCGCTCATGCCCCCACAGAACGCAACATAATCCAGACTCCCGCTCCGCAGCGTCCCGAGGGTAAGCCGCGCCGCGCTACCCTCACCACAGGCAAAACACTCCTTCCGGCGGGCGCGCATCCTCACAGAGCGGAACGAGGGCGCCCCAACCGCGGCGCCCGAGAAGAGCAGCAGCGTCGGCGGCACCGCGGCACGAGGGGTGGTCGCGGGGAGGTGCATCCCGGCCGCGACGATCTTGATGGCCTCGAGGGCCTGCAGCACGCCCATCGCGCCGACCACGGGGCCCAGGACGCCGCCCTCGCCGCAGCTGACGACGCTCTCGGGCGGCGGCGGCTTGGGGAAGACGCAGCGGTAGCAGGGCGGCGCGGTGGGGGTCGCCGCTTTTCCCGTCTCGGAAGAGGGGAGGAGGACGCCCTGGGCGGTGGGCGGGCAGTTCAGGACGATGAGCTGGCCGTCGGTGCGCAGGGCCGAGGCGGAGACGAGGGGCTTGCGCAGCAGGACGCAGGCGTCGGAGATGAGGTAGCGGGACGTGGGGTGGTCGGTGCAGTCGAGGACCAGGTCGTAGCCGCTGACGATGTGCTCTGCGTTCTGAGGGGTGAGGTGCTCCCTGTATGGGATGTACTCTGGAAGTGGGTTAAGTCTGTCGTGGTATTAGTACTCTGCGGGATTGTGGTACTTTTGAGCGGTCATAATGTGGAAGAGGGGCATATTTACTCTTTGCAATATGCGATCAGGCTGTCCACCTTGAGCATGCCCACTCTCGACGTCCCATGGGCTATCTGACGGTGGAGGTTGGAGGGCTCGACGACGTCGCCGTCGACGATGCCGAGTGAACCAACTCCAGCCCCGGCTATGTATGCTGCCGCCGGACATCCAAGGCCACCGGCACCGATGATGAGGATCTTTGAGGCTTTAAGCCTCTGTTGACCTGTAACAGCATCAGTAACAGCATTCAAGTGTGAGAATGAGCGAAACTGACCTTGGATGCCGACGATGGGCAGAATCAACTGCCTCCCGTAGCGGTCATATTCGTCTGCGTCTAATGGCCATTTCCAAGAGGTGCCGTTGGTATCTGTAGTCGCAGTATCTGCCTTTTGCTGCTGTTCCTGAGCTTCTGCGTGAGCAAGTTGTTCTCTGAGACTCTTCAGCTCCTCTTCAGCTTTCGCAATTTGCAAACGCAGCTGCTCTGCGCTCTTCCCTGCAGTGTCCATGGCAAGACAGGGAGACTGGCTGGGTCGTTCATGAGTCTCTCTCTGATAGCGCACCCAAGGATTCTGCTACGGGTGAGTGAGCCGTGAGCCGTAGGGCTGAGATGACTAAAATCCGGGGTCGATGGCGCTGTGGAGCTCCCATCCCTACAACCGTTACAGCGGGATCGACTGCCTGCCGCTGCAAATATCAGAACCCTGATAGCTCGCTTTGCCTATCGATTAATTTTTTGAAGGCTGTTGATCCTTCCAATCCTCCTTCACATGAAAGCCAATTCCACGATTCCCACGCCCACATTTGCCTCCGAACGATCAATTTCGCTCACACCACCACTAACAACATTCCCAAGTGCTCAAAGATACCGTTCAATATGGTCAGCTCTCACCCAGCTTCGCCAATGGTCTCCCTCTGCACGACTAACGATGACAACATAGGCCCCAACAGCCCCCACAAAGCGCAAGACCCTCCGCGCAAAAGCAACAGAGCGCCTCGCCAACCCCCTCGCCCCGCGCAAGGTGCACCGGCCCTCGGCACAGGTCTCGGACAGCTTCATCGAGTCGAAGCGCGACAAGCGGCTGATCAAGCACTCGTCCTTCGTGTCCCGCATCTCCAAGCCCGCCGCCAAGACGCCCACCCAGCGCAAGAACCTCAAGCGCCGCGAGAAGCACCGCCAGGCCCAGGCCGCCACCAGCCTCGCCGCCCTGTCCGACGCCCTGCCGACCCTGACGCGCGACGAGGTCGAGGCTGGTGAGACCGAGGCCGCGGGGCGGATCCGGCACAAGTCGCTGAAGAGCACGCCTGGTGCCCTGCGCAAGAAGGAGCGTCTTGTGCGTGGCGAGATGGAGCGCTTCGGTATGAGTCTTGCGCAGCTCAGCACGGTCAAGGAGCAGCCTGTGGCGCAGCAGCAGGTGGAGATGGATGTTGAGCAGAAGGACGGCGAGGAGGAGAACCGTGCGCCTTTGCAGAGCACCGCGAACCGGTTCGCTGCTCTGAGGGGATTTATCTCTGCTACGATGGAGCAGAACCCGGCTTTCTCGCGACAAAATGGTCTTGCTGGAAAAGCAACTTGAAACCCGTGCGCGACGGAGGTATACAATACTACAATCACCCTACCAGCTCACGACGCACGCATTGGCCAGGCCTGGAAGGTAGAAAGGGGAGCATGTTGAGACGAGGGCATGATCGACCGTCGAGACATTTCTCAAAGAACCCATGCCTTTGACGTGGGACGGACTGCAAAAGATGCGAATCACCAGCTACGGCTTGGCCAAAGTTCCCAACAGGCGGTTAATTTTGGGAGGTATCACCTGGGCTGAGATACCCAGAAAAGTCGGCGCCTCAAATGGTACGGTCAACGGCAAGATCAGCGGGGACTTGGGGGGACAGAGGCTTGAGGGGTATGAATTCTACGGCCACAGAGGCCTGGGACCATGGTTTCAAGGGGAATTGGTGAAGAGAAATCAACATAGAGTTGAGCATCGTACTGCAACTTTGTTACAACGGCAGATACACAGGATCATCCAAAGTAGACCGAATCACAGCAATGCGGACCATTACTTTAGTCGGGTCATATATCCTGCTACTCGTGGTATCTCTTCCAGAACGCGAGTATCAAGACTCATCATGCCAGAGTCAACTTGCTCTCATCTCATGAAAGCACAAATGCTCAGATACCGGTGCTACTTTGCTCCGGTAACCTTCCTCCTCTCAACCGCTTCGGCCTGTTTGGCAGAACGAACACTCAAGTTCTAAATGAAAAGACCGCTACACGCCAGTCGTCGGCCTCAACGCCTGTCACGGTGCCCCCTGCAGTCTCACGCTTTCGAAATCATTTGCCTGAATATTGTCTCAAACGCCTCCTGCTGAACCGTCATGCCGAACTCCTGATCCTATCTCCGAGACATACGTTGTACCGCGGTCGCCAACGTGCCGCATAGTGTGTGCATCCAGGCTTCCACGTGTCGACGGTCACGTATCTCGTTGGAAAGCAGTGCATGATCACCTGACGCGGTGGCCGAAGACCATCCTACGCAGTGTCACAAGCTCGATGGCTTTGCCTTGCGAGGCTGCTTCGATTCCTGAGTCCCTTGTTCCCTAGTTTGTGGGTGCTGCTTTCGCACAGAGATGCTGCTTCGCGTGACCGGATCACTAGTCGATCCGCGGCGCACCCTCCTGCTTGGGGAACGGGCTCGCGCTACGGCGCCTCTCGCCCTCCTTGCGCAGACTCTCAATGATCTTGGTCATCTCCTTGCGTGCACCGGCAGCATCAATCATCTTGTTCGCCATGCTCATGGACACCTTCTCGCGGGCGTTTGCGTTGAGCAGCCGCTTGACGAGCAGGTGGCGCATGAGGATACAGACAAAGACGCCGCAGTCGTTACCATTCTCCTGCTGCGGGCAGTCCGAGATGTTCTGGAAGCGCAGCGGCATGCCCAGCAGGACGGCCATGCGCTCGCTCGCGCGCCGGCCCTCGTCCACGTTGGCGCCGCCCAGTGAGTCGTAGTGGAACGCCACGCCGTCGATCTTGGACACCAGCAGCAGCGACCAGTGCGACCCGTCCGGCTGCGTGCGGCTCACCGCGTCGTTGATCGGCAGGAACACGTGCGTCACCTTCGTCATGTCCGGTAGTGCGGAGCGGATCGAGGCTGGGTCGTTGCGCATCAGGAGGTAGGTCATTGACGGTCGTAGCAAGCAGATTCGCGCCTGAGGGTATTTCGGAAGGATCTCGTGCTCGAGCCACCTGGAGAGGGTGGGTGTGTCAGTAACCGCAGGAAGGTTGTGGTGCTACCGTGGGGCCAAGGTGAGGGTGTCACGTACTCCTCCCAAAAGTGGATATTCTGTACGTAGCGAAGTTAGCACTCGGGCTCTGGGAAGAGAGTCCACCGTTTTCATGTACGCACATTATCAGTAAGCCAGTCATTCCGCAATGCCTTGATATCCTCATAAGTAACTATTGTTTGTCAGCGGGGCTCGGTCGCTCGAGAGGGTAGCACTGGGTTGTCGCATACGGCAAATGTCGTGATCTGCGAGAGTAAAGTTTGTGTCAGCTCGTTGTCAAACATCGATTAAGGGTAAACGTCGGGCTCAACTTACATGAGAGGTAGGGTGCAGTGGGCGAGAGCTGGTTTCCGTTGGCGTCAGTCATCTTACTGTTGGCTCTAGTCACTCTAGAATGAAAGTTGCCTCTGGAGTCGAAGCCCGTGAGGCGCAAGCTGGCATGGGGAGGTCTTGGTCGAGGCGAGGTGCGCCGAGCCGAGGAAGCAGAAGACCAAGAAGTAAGATCAGAAAAGGCATGGGGGTTGCCGGTGTTGCGCCGGCTTGCTATCCTCACGGGTCTCCCAACGCTCTTGACGACCTTGTCGGCCGGCCGATGCTGGGGGCCGAGGGTCTTTCGGACGATCTTGTCTATTTCGCTGCCGTTTCCCCCGGCTGCGCCGTTGCAGTCCATGCGGTCGTGGCGGGCTGTAGCTCTGGTTTCGATGCAGCCCAGACCGCGACCGCTGCCAGTGCCAACGCGAGGGTCGGGACTGAAATTGGTGGGGGGAATAGAGAGGGTAAGATGGGGTGAAAGCGAAGCTGGAGAGCTTACAGTCTCGCCGAACCGGCGGGCCACCCTGTCTCTGAAGGGCATGGTGGTGCGAGCCCTTGCCTTTGATGGTGAGGAAGGGATGTGTGGTAGGTAGGTGGGGGTAGGCGTGGATTCGCGAGATGAGGCACGAATCCCACGGCTTCCGATGGGTGAGAAGGAGGGAGAAAGGGTTGATCTCAAGGGGTACCTCCCTTGGGATCGAGGAGGGTCCGAAGCGGACGACCGAGGTGAGCAGCTGCTGAAGGGCGCCGGACAAGGCGTGGTATTAGTAGTAGCAGTTGTACTTGGCAGCCGGTACAACCTGCTGCTGCGAGAGTTTCGGCAGCCGCCGACAAGGAGACTGGCAGAGTGAATACGGTGATGATATTCGTCGAGGGGCGAGGTCGAAAGTAAGAGGGGCGATCGCGACGAGTCGAAGGTGGCTTGGGCTTTGGGGACGTCGACGTGGGGCTCGCGGTCGGATAGGGCGACCAGTCCGAAGCGGCTTTTGAGAGCAGGGTTTTTGTCAGATGCAATCCCTGGTCCGATCCAATTGACTAAAGGTAGGGGTCGCCCAGACGAAGCAAGGTGAGATTGTTGGGTTGTTGCAGGTCAAGCCGAGCAGAAAATGAATTAAATAGATGCGTGTGATGAAAAGGTCAAGTGCTGCTATGTGAGAACAGAGTGAATACCAGAGGTGTTGTCGCTGTTGATGCTGCTGGTGACGACGACGATGATGATGCTGATGTTGGTGAATGAAAAGGTGGTGTGGTATGCTGTGCTCTGCTCTGCTGCGGGCAGTAATAACCGACAGGTCTCAGTCCAGCTTCCAAAAGCCCAGACAAAACCAAAACTGCGGGGGGGAGGCGATTCAGACCAGAGCAGCGTTGACGAACCACTGGCCACCACCGGTTGACATTCAGAACCAAAACGGTCACTGGAGGTAAACTTCCGTCTGAAGTGCTGGTGCTTTGCTAGTGGTGGGGTGGGGTGGGCCACTTTATCGTCAATGGGGCGTGCCAACGCGGAAACATTCCAAAAACAATGGGGACCAAACCGCCTCTCGGGGTCTGCAGTACAGTAACTTTCAACTTGTGCTTGTTTCTATTCTGTAGATTCAAACAAGAATGGAAAACGACAGCAACAGCAACAGCAACAGCAAATTAGTAAACCAGTACCAGCTTCATTTCGTTGTTTTGAATCAGTCCTGTTAAATGGCACTTGGGGTCGTCCACCAACCAGCTAAAGCCAAGATCGAAGGCAACCAGAGCTGGGGAAGGGATGGGAGAAAATAGCTTCGATATGGTCGATGTCATCGCATGTCGTCGACAATGACAAGACAGCCGTGCCTGGTGATCACTCCCCCTTCTCGTTCCTTCTCCCACAAGCAAGCGACGGGAGGATGCCGGCAGGAGCCCGCCTGTCATCCCGCCCTCGAGTGACGTAACACGGCCTGCTACAGTACCCTCTCCTTCTCCCCTCCTTCTCTGCCTCTGCCTCTCTCTGTCTCTCTTAATCAATCAGTGCAGCTGCGGGGTCCCAAGCTTTCTCCAGCTCCGTGGTACGCAGCACCTGTCAGCCACCCCAAGAGCTGCGCCACGCCCATTCTAGGCTCCGTGATCGTCAGTCGCTGTGGCTTGGCTTGGATGGGCCAGTGCGACGCGACGCAGCAGTGCGGATGCTGTGCGAGGCGAGGCTCGGCTTAACTGACGCAACCCACGACGAACGACATCACGAGCCGTGATACCCTCGCCTTCCTCCGTACAGTCACTGATCGATCCTTTGGCCTCTGTTGTATGAGAGTGAGTACTCAGCAAGAGCTCTATGCAACTCTACCAGGTCTCGTTTCATTCATGGCCCACTGCCAATCGGGTCACTGAACTCCTCAAGTCCGCAGAATCGACCTCGGAACCTGGTGTTGCAACAAGCTCACGAACGTGTCGGAGATCTGCTACAACCTTAACGCTGCTTTCAACCACCTATCCCTCGCATGGGCCTGCATGGGCAAGCCTAGGCCACACGGTTGAGCGCCGAAGTTCATCGTAGATGCAAATGTAAGCTTGTTTTGAGTAGAGAGGCTGTCTAGATACTCCAGCCAAAGGCCACATTTCCATCTGTGATTAGCACCCTGAGAACACACACGTTACCGTCAAATATTTCCTCTCCTTGCTCGCAACGACATGTTACCTGCAAAGCTTGTTGTACTGCTCTGCACCCTTCCCAGTCGCATGCTCCAAAAGACCCCATGTCTCACCGTGCCCACGCCACCATGTAGGCACGGCTTGTACCTGAACTACACTGCCATCTCTCAGCCATATCCCTGCATGGATCAAGTGTCTATAATTGCCTGCTGCAATTGCTTCAAGTGATTGGTCGTTGCATCCTTTCCCACGTTGTTAATCGTCTTCCCGACGTCAACTGACTCCAGCTTGTCCTGAAGTGCCCCAGCAAAACGGCGAGCTTCGCCATAGGTCTGGATACATCTCAACCGGTTCTGCTCTTGCTGCTGTATAACCTGTGATCTTTCCTTCCTGTGCTTGTCTGCCATTCTCTCGACCACTCGCTTGCCATCCGTTCGATAATCTTCAATCACGTCAACAATCGCCGCCTCTTTTGTCTTGAGGCTTCGCAGAATGGTCTGTCAACGTGTCAGTTGAAAAGGCCGAAGCCAATTGCAAGGGTCAGCGCTTCAGCTTACATTGACGATCCTGTGCATAGTTTCTGCAATGCTGTCAGCGTACGGCTCTGTCGCCTTCTTCCAAGCTCGCGTTCTAGCGTTCAACTCGGCGGCCGCTCTCTGATCCAGCGAGTCGTCGAGCCACGCATTTGTCCCTTTGTCGACGTCAAAGCTCTTCACGTGGTCCTCGCTCGAGGGGCATGGGCTAGTAGACCGTTCTTCCCGCGGCGCCAATGCAGCCAGCACTCTCTGGACAATGTCATCTGATTGTTGGCCGTCCTGAAGGTGTGACACAGTCTCTGCAGCTGCGGGTCTGTTGGCAGCTGAAGGCCGGATCGCAGCGGAATATTGTCGGGAGGCAGCACGAGCATCAATCAGGCTCGGTGCTGCCACTTCTGTTTTCTCTGGCTCACGGTCTGTCGACTCATTGCTGATCAAACGCTGGACGAACGCAGACGAACGAAAAGGTTGATCATCCTTTTCTGGTCCGAAAACATCATCACCACTGTCACCACCTATTCTGCAGGAGACGTTACCTCCTCTGTCAACATGCTTGGTGGCATAGATCGCGTCTTTAATTTGTCCTACCACTTGGGCGGAACTGTATCTTGGCTTCTTCTCCGGCCGCTGACGGTTTCTTGAGGGCAAGTTGGCGGCGGTTGGGTTCTGGCCCAATGTGTGAAAAACCCCTGACTGTGAGCTGCTCTTCCTCATCGGTGAGTGCTGCACTAGTGGAGGTTCGTGGACATTGACATCTTCTGGAAGCTTGCGTTTCAGTGGAAGGCGGACGTCTGCAGGCGCCTCTGTGAGGAGGGTTCGACTGTTGGTACTCATGTCCTTGAGCACGATGCGCTGTCCACGTGTCTGCGGGAGCTCGTTATCAGTACCTGCGAAAGTGTTGCGGACCTTTCTGTCTTCAGGCTTCTTGAAGTCGGTCGCAATTTCTTGCTTTTGATGGTTGTGCGGGTTCAATACCACAACGGCATCGGCTACATCTTCCACTGCCATCTCAGCCTTGGCATTGCCACCAATGAGTTGATCAGATGTGTTACTGTAGTCATTTCCGTAGGTGCTGCCTGTCATCTCTTCATCCAGGTGCGGCACCATTTCCTCGGCGTTGAGTTTGGAGTGGGAAGCATTGCCTGGAATAGATCGTGCAAATATAGCCTGGCTTGTCAGTGCCGCTCGGCGCGACCCACCTTCAGCAGTACCTGCGAAACCCTCCGCAGGACCGTCACCATCTTCGACAGCCATAGCAGACTGCAATCCCAAGACTTTCTGACCCTCTATGGCGAGCTGCGTCTTTGGGACTCTGGGATGCTTTCCATGGTTTGATTCAGATTGCTGACCTTGTGGCCGCAACTTGCCGGTGGTGGTTGACCTGTGCGACTTGCCATTGGTCTTAGGGCCGTTAGGACCAAATGTAACAATGTTCGGCTTGCGATGGGAGTCCTCTATTGATTTCGATGGTTCGCCACTTTGGTCAAGGCCATTCGTTTTACTTGCTTTAGCATGTTTGGTGGAGGAAGGCACAACGGTGTCCTCCTTGACCTGGCCCTTGCTCTTTGAGGTGCTGTTGACCACAGGCTGACGTCGAACAGCTGACTTTGTCTTGATCTTCGCAGCAGAAGAATCCGTTTCCTTCATAAGCTCTGCCGTAGGCTTGTCACGCGTTAGGGCAGCCCGGGTCTTCTCAACTGCTGACGTCTTCTTTTGCTGCTTCGACTGTGCATTTTGTCTCCCTGAATCATCGAGGGAATCTTGTACCTCTTCAGCGGCGCGGCCCCGTGGGTTCGTCATTGCAGCTGGTTGACTCTCGATCTTCCTGCCGGAACCTTTGGCTGCCTGCATCTGAGCAGCGGCCCTCGTTTTGCGGCCTGAGTTCCTGGGAATCATGTTTAGGGAGCATTCAAAGTCCTCGTCATCCTCGTTGTCGGATTCCAAAGATGAAGAAGTTGAATCGGAAGATATCAGAACGGCGTCTTGTGTTGGATCCACAGTGGAAGCCACCCTTGACTTCAATACCTCTTGTTTAATTAGAGGGATTGTGTTGTCTCTTTCCACAAGCGTAGTAGCTTGATCGTCTTCCCCGTCCCATGGATGTGCCTCGGAGCTTTGATGAACCGGTGGAGAATCTTTTGATTTTGCGTTCTTGGTGGCGCCCCTGACGAGTGATTTTGCCTTTGGTGCGGCGTTCGATTTAGACTTGGGCACAGGCTTCTTCACCGGCTGCTTCTTAGCCGCAGCTCTCTTCTTGGCGGGAGGAGCTGCAGGAGAGTTGCTGTTTGATGCTGGCAGGGAATAGTCATAATCAACGGGCTCACGGACATCCGCCTCTCCAGTGTCCGTCTCTATTTCCACTTCGAGAGCGGACAGCTTCGCTTTACTGTTGACAAAAGACTTCTTGGCGGTTGTCTTGGGTTTGGGCGCCGTTAATTTGGCGGGCGGCTCTTTGATGCCCTCTCTGGCAGTCTTGCCTCGTTTAGCCGATGGCCCCTTTTGCTGCTGCATCTGCTTGGATGGCTCAGAAGATTGTGTCACCCTAGAAGGACCTTTAGCAATTCCTCCAGCCACGGACTGCTCCTTCAGGGCTTCGAAGACGCTGGACGTATCAGATGACGCTAACATGCTGCTCATTTGTACGGGCTGGGCTGACTGTGGTGGCAGATGAGCAGCTTGGGAAGCACAAGGCGTGGGCGACTGATTATAGACGCCCTCGTCCGCTTCGTCCTCTTCACTCTGCCCGGAATCGCGATCAAGGGACATGGAGTCGAGGTCGGGACCAGAGGCGGGATGATCTTGAGTGTCGTCCACGAAATCATCGTGTTCCTCGTCCTCGTCCTCGCCATCCTCGTCGTACTCGTCAGGAAGGAACGAGGGTTTGGCTTTCTGCTGAACGGGACGACGGCGTGGAGGTGCTGTCCACGAATTTTGTGTGGCAAGAGGAGACCCAAAGTTGGCCGATTTGGGAGTGACGTTGGGTAGAGAGCGCTGAGAGTCCTTCACAACACCAGGAGCTGGTGTGTCCATTGTGAACGAGCTGGGGAAAAGATTGCGAGAGGGGGAGACGTCAGGCAGTAAGGAGCAGCGGGAAGAGGTATCCTCGCAGTGTATTGGTGTCCCTGAGGGTGGTCTTGGGAAACCCACGAAGGCTTCCTTGGTGGGGAGAATAGGGAGAGATGGTAACAAAAAGAGGTCCTCGTGTGCTTGATTGCCGAGATACTTCGGGTGGTGGTGGGAGGTGTGAGAAGCCAGATGTTGTCGACTTGGGAGAACTCGTGTGGCTCTAAGGCTCAGACACGAAAGGGAGGGTCAGGGCCTGGAAGTGCTTGATTGCGCCTGCCTTGGAGGTCGAGGTGTAGATGCATCAGCCACTGCAGGTTTTCGATGCAGACGGGCAGCGACCAGGAGCGACCCTTCCAGGTTTGTGTAGGAAACCGCGCACCCTCGCACCCTCGCACTCACTCACCTGCATTCGCATCTTCCAGCAGTCTCAAACCTCTTACCTTGCACTATGAGCAAAGACAGTCAAAGTAGGAAGAGTACCTATGAAGAAGGTAGATTTTTTCCCAGAATTGCACTCCTGTCGTCTTCCAGGCTTAAGTGAGCGTTACCGCAAGGCCGTCGCAGGTGAGCATTTTCGCCTCCTCCTCCTCTGCCTTCCATCTTTTCTCTCGCCCATCGTGGTAGCCATGGAAGCTGATGATCCCACAGTCTCCTCCCTTATTCATATTGGACGACCTTGTTCAACCTTATTCAAATGCGTAACAATGCGCCCTTAGTCGAAGGAGCCAATTGAGCCCTCCACAGCTTGTGTTCGTTCAAGATAAACACCTCGCCCTCCCTTCCGAAGCAGAAGTTCGCAGCGCCCCCATCCACCAAGATCTTGCCCAACAACACACCTCCCGCCGACCACACGCTAATGCCATCCCCTGTTCCGCTATAAACATTGCCATAGACGTCGCATTTGATCCCATCAGGGATACCTGTGTCAGCCATGGCGAAGAGGCGCCGGTGCGTGAGGAACGGCTGGCCAGAGTAGTTCGCCACGTCAAACGCATATCTGGTGTCCATGGTTAGCAGATGCTCTTCTTCATCCATATTTGGGCATGTCGACTCACATGGTAGACGCCCGGGTCAGGTCCGTCGTCCCGTCCCCATGAATCCAGTCAGTATCAGTGACATACACCGTCAGCTCGTCGGGGCTAAAGCAGATCCCGTTGGGCCGCCCGAACCCATCCGCTAACACCCTAACACTGCCTTTGCCCGCGACGCCTCCATTAGGGTCGAAGCGATATACCTGGCACGGCAGCACAGGCTTCGGCCGAATCCCCTGCTCGTACCCGTAGATAGGGTCCGTGAACCAGATCGACCCGTCGCTGTGCACCACAGCATCGTTGACACTGTTGAACAGGCGCCCGTGGAAGGATTCAACCAGCGCACGTGACGCGTACGGAGGCCGAGGCTCCATATGCACCAGCCCTCCCGGCTCTGCCGACGCGTCGAGTCCACCCTGTGCGCAGAAAAGCACGCCGCCCCGGTAATTCACGCCGCCGTTCGCCATCGGTACGCCATCTGGGTTGATCTCCTCCACCTCCGCCGTCGTCTTGCCGCCCGACCTATTCAGCTTAACCCGAGAGATTTGAATCTTCTTCCGGCCTGTTGCGGGATCTGGGTACTGGTTGCTGGTGATGAACAGGGTGTCGTCGGCTGCGATAAACACTCCCGCCTCGTGGGCGAATGGATACTGCTCATTCTCATGCAGCAGCTCCAATGTAGGCGATTCCCCAAAGAGAGCCTTCGCCGGCTCCTCGTGGATGGAAAATGCAGACGCGTCTACTGCCATGGCTGCTATCTTCTGCTATCAATCTCAGCTAGCCTAGCTAAGTAAGTCTAATAACTCAGGTAGATTGCCCCGCGTGCTGCAGCAGGTCAATCGCAGTCGACAAAACAAGATGCCAAATTGTGACGCTGGACGCATATGGGATGTTGTCGTTTCAGAAAAGGGCGTGCGTGTTCGGGCAGCATCTTTCCGCGGGTTTTGGCGAGCGGCAAGGTCGAGACTGGGTTTCTGCCTGGATCTGACCTGACCTGTGGTATTACTGACGTGTCGGGGAATAGATTGAGTGCCCGATTTCGCTGAAGATCACCACATTTAGCATCGAATAGGATGATTCCAAGCCCGACGCCGCCCTCGTCTCGAGGCTTGCACGAGTCAAGCTTTGCCCTATCAGGCCCTTAGAGGACCCAGGGCTGTGGATGGCCAAGATTTCTCGATGTGGCTGGCATTGGTGTTGGTCGGCAAAACATTCCTTGCCACTGCAACATCGATATACGAAGGAATTCTGAGAAGCCTGATAGGAACAGCCTCACTTACGTCTGCAGTGACCCATCTCCGCGAATGCTACCAAGCCAGCCGGCACTTTACTCACTGTGTTTCCCTTAAGATGCTTGTTTCCCACGGCGTCAGACCCGGAGTAAGGACCGGGTTGGAACAACGGGCTTCCGGGCCGCCAAGATGCACCTTGGCCGGGACCGTGCTGCTGCACCTTTCGGCCTCCGTCGGCCTCCGTCGACCACACTGCGGCGATTCGTGAGTCCGCTCATCAATCCCGTCTAGTAGGAGTCTGAAGAAGCCCAGGAGCATCTTTGTTCCATTTCCAGCCCTGCGCTTAACTTTTATGCGTGGGCATTCATCAACTGATATGTCACAAAATAGCCTCCGCAGGCTATGTCTATACCATGAATAAAGTCACCAAATTGTTTACTACCTAGCGAGCGAAAGACTATGTGGAACTCGAACCATAAGAAGGATTGTCACGCCGGGCATCGTCCAGCGAGCACTCCCTTACGTTGTGCCCCGGACATAACTGAATCCGGCCTCACGGCCACGTACACAGCTCTGTGACAGTGTGATGAGAGATAGTGTGATGAGAGTCCACCATTGAGGCATATGCATCACACTCCCCAGGTTTCGACTGCCGTTTTCCTAGAACTTGAGAAAGTGACCCCCGGCACATGCTTATGGACCTTGTTTACTGCTTAACCGGCGGGCATTTCGTCGCGGCCCCGTTCTTCACGCACTGGTTCCACTCTCCATAGACTCCCTCGCAGTACAGCACAATACGGCCGTCACCGTCGAGGCCGATGCCTAGGAACTGATCTATCAAGTCACCAGTTAGCTTCGACGCGGCAGAACATGCGAGAATTCATCGTCCCCTTTCAAGCTTTCTCTGCTCATATTCTTGACTTACTCATGTCCATGAAAGTGACCTGCTTCTTCCCGGTATTGTCATTGCAGGCACACTTGAGGCTCGTGCCGTTGCAGGTATCGCAGAGTGAGAAGCCCACGTCGCAGTCACAGCTACCCAAGGCACCGCCGCTAAGCAGGTTGTCAGTATCCGTGTTTGGGCATAATCGCGATCGCTCGTCTAGGTTCTACTGAGGGTGTTGGAAACTTACTGCTGCTGCGGCACCAAATGGCCGTTGTTGTTATGAAGACACTCGTTGATGTTGATGTGCGAGGTGAACAACGCGGCGCCCATGTTGCGGGCACCGTTGGGGTCAGGGGAGCAGTCGCCCGAGACTTGCAGCACGTTGCCCTTCTGGTCCAGGCTGTTGGCCGAGCAGAAGTCTGAGAAGCCGTTCACCCGGACAGGGAAGTTGGTCATGCGCGCGGTCGCGCCTGCGGCACTGCCGGTGACCGCGATGGAGCTGACAAGAAGAAGGCTGAAGGTTTGCATATTTATAAGAGGTCGACGATAGTGTTAGTTAAGAGCGTTTGAGAATCACGAGATACGAAAATGAAGGAGAGGTGGCTGAGCATCGAATCATTCACCCACTTCCACCTGGGCGAGGTGAATGATATCAGTGTTGTCCATTGATGCCGTACGGGCCAGGCCCGCTGTCCCGTCCCGCCACGGAAGCGGCCTGGGATAGTATATGGAGTGAATTGTTGATGATTCACGGCTTCTTCCGGCTCACAGGTGTTGATTTCAGAGTCCAATCACTGAGTGGGACGTTGAGAACAACAAAGAAAAGTCAAGTGGCCGGGCCGAGCTTCGGGTGTTTGGTACAACTGAAGAACAGCATGGGCTGAGGTTGGGTCGAAGACTCTCGTATTCACTGGGAAAGCTTGGAGTGAATGAAAACTCGGGAGGATGCATCTAGTTGCTTTGTCTTCTCTCAGCAAAGAAGAGTTATGCGGCAACTGAGTATCCTTCAGAAGTCCTGCCTTATCCAAGCCACGATGAGAGTATATTCGTCGGCACGAAGAGAAACTTTCTCCGCTTTCAGCGCGGAGTCTAGCATCCAAATGAATATTTATAACACGTTGGTAGAGTACTTTTTGAAGTAGAAGGACCAACAGGTTGCCAATCTTCTGGGGCTAGACAAGACAATTTGAAGAGATTAAGACTTTTGTGACATTTAAATTGAAAAGGAATTGACTACAGTAGAAAATTTACCAAAACAGGCCTTGGATGGCGAGATGAATCGAAATATAAAGAAAGACCTACCGGCCCAGGCACTGAAGCACTCACTCGTTCCGGTGCTAAAAGGTATGGACTACCAGGTCCTGGTACATCGCAATTGGCAAAGTATCAGAGACTTCTTGTGGGATAATGAAAGTTTCAAACCATGAAAACTCACCGTTCGTTCTGAGCTCCTGCTTTAAAAGTCCGGCAGGGTACGAAATATGTCGGAGAAAACCTACCAGGCGCTGAGACATCTTGAGAATTTGATATAAGAGCTTCAAACCACGCGGTCTCCTCATTCGGCTCCACTTGAAGTCATCTTCACACGCAGAAGAAGGGCCGACGGTAGAGATCCAAACTGTCAAACCGATAGAGATCCAGGTCATCAACTCAGTTAGCCTCTGTACCTTGGCCTTTACGAACGTGGCTTGGAGGGACTCTAATATCTCCTGATAGCTCGCGAAGCTACACCCCGTAACCTCATTGCTTTCCCCGAATGCAAGATGGGCCATGAAATTGCCGAATTGGTCATTGAAGGACGTGCCTGAAAAGTCATTGTAACACCCTTCAACTGCTACGACTATGTCGATACAGCTTACGACTTCTTGGGAGTGGTCTGTAATGGACTGGAAGGTGGCAAGACGGTCCTTCTTGACCTTTGCGGCACTGACCTGGTTAAGGGACACAATTATCGTCATGTTGAAAATATTCAGGCTAGGATCCCGTTTAAATAATTCTTGCTGGTGAGTGGTGCGAAATCGAAAGCGATCTTGCTCTTGCCATGGACAGAAGAACGTGGAAATACCACCACCAGAGCCTTCTGCGCACCTTATAGCCGATTGATTCTCGCACATACTTTAGAGCAACTGGCTTGGGTGAACAATAGTATTGTTAGTTGAAGCGATGCTTTATAAGCGGGCCAAGCGGAAAATATCTACGGTTCAATGGCATCCATGACGTCTCTGGACAGCGGAACAAAGCGAATGATGAAAGACATGAACAAAAGCTGGATCGATGTGCATACAGAATGTGAGTTTTCAAGAATGCCTCCCGAGGACAGAGGATGTGAGCTAGTCCCGACAAGATCTGCTTGATTGAGATTGTCGTAGCTCTGGACAAGATGTACAGAGCAGTTGTGAAAAGCTTGCAATGAGGTCGCAGAGGCGGTCCTGCCGTTGTGGTTAACAAAACCAAGCCTCATCACGATCTATTCGAGAGGGAATACAACTATCCTTCCACACGCGAGGGTGTAGCTTCACAAACATGCATGAGCAATTCAATGAAGAAGATCATGATATTTTACGTCAATACTCTCGCACTATCTAACCTCTTTTCTTATAACCAAGGAGTGAACACAGCCTGTGGGCCTACTGTTCCCAAAGATGTCGCCCCAACGCCATGCTGATTACCAGAAACCGCAATGAGTGTGAAATGCGAGACCAAAAGACTCAAAACAACCTCCCCAACCATCCATGATGCTCATTAAACACCTCCGTCCGCAAAGCCTTCCTCACAAAGCCCCAGATTAGCCAACAGGCTCCCAGCCTGCACATCAATCCCAGCAGCCCTCTCATCCTCAATCCCAAACGCCAGGAAGAGTACATCATCAACATAGCCATGGTACTTCAGCCCCTTGTTCTTCCACGCAATGCTAGTCACATAAAACATCTCCGTCGTGTCGGGCCTGCCCCCCGTGCCCCGGACGGTGCCCCGCCCAGAGATCCAAAGCGGCTTCGAGCTGACAGCGAACATCTCAAACGGCGCCCGCTGCCGGAACACCATGACGTACGGCTCGTACACGCTGTGGAAGTCGCGGTACGCCTTGTGGTGCAGCACGGCAAAGATGAACGTGTTGGTGTCGTCGGGCACGCAGCCGGGGTCCGACCGCCGGCACAGCGTCACCGCCAGCGAGTTGGTCGCCTGGTGGATGCTCTCGTGGGCCGCGGGGCTGCCGCCGACCTGGTCCTGCTGCTTCTGCGTCGCGGCGTGCGCGAGCGCGGGGAGGTACCGCGCCAGGCACGCGTCGTCGCGCCCGGACGTGTGGCGGCCCAGGTCCTCGCCCGCCGACCCGTCGCTGTTGAGCCGCGCGAACGCCCGCCGGGGCGCCACGTCGTAGTGCACGTAGTGCACGTTGTCCGTGTCCCAGAAGATGAACCAGTTCTTCTCGACGGCGCCGTAGGGCGGGGGGCGCTGGAGCTCCGTCCCCGCGGGCGAGGCGAACTCCTCGGTGAAGGAGGCGCCCGCCGCCGCCGCCGACCCGACGTCGACGCCCCAGTCCGTGATGAGCCCGCGGAAGTCCCGCACCCACTGCCCGAAGCAGTTGAAGTTGGAGTTGGAGCCGTAGATGGTGTAGGGGTTGCGGGGGCCGTAGAAGACCCGCGCGTCGTGCGGCCCGACGTTGAGGTTGAAGAACTCGAGGTCGCCTGTGCACTTCGTCCCGTCGCCCGCCGTCGGCTGGACAGGGAGCGTGGTGGGCTCACCGAACCCCCGCCCGTCCGCGCCGATGCAGGTCAGGGCGTCGTCGATGAACATGGCGTTGCAGACCAGCTCGATCGAGGGCTCGACGAAGAGCCCCTGCTGCTGCTGGTCGTCGTCGTTAACGCCCCCTTGCTTCTGTGCGACGACGATCCACGCAGACTCCAGCCGCGGGTGCGGTATGATGTTGGGGTTGAGGACCTTGGAGCTGCCCATCCTGATGGGGAAGTACTGCCTGTCCTTGGTGGTGACGGAGAATATCTCGGTGTGGAGGATGCCGGAGCCGCCAGGCCTCACCTCGGCCGGGGGCTGGAAGCCGACGATCTCGCCGTTGGGGCCGATGAACCTCGACCCAGACGGCCTCGACGGCGAGGACACGAACGGTACCTCATTATCCTTTGCACTGTCCGTTAGTGCGCTCTGCTGCATGGCGGCCTCAAGCGCAGACGGCGACGCCACCGCGAAGGGCGACGTGTACGACGGCGCATGCGGTGAAGTTGGCGAGCCGCCGCTCCAGTCACCCACCTGCAGGCCCAGTAACGTCTCCGTGCCCGCGGGCCCGACGAGCCTGACGCACAGCAGCAGCAGCAGGATCGCTGAGCCGAGGACCAGCGAGAATCGCCTGAAGTCTCTTATCAGCATCCTGCCTGCTTTTAATTCCCGACTCGCTGATGCTGGTGGTGGTGGTGGTAAAACATGTGTAGGTGGCTGCTTTCTGCAGCAATGGTCGATTATCTCCCCTCTCCGTCTGAATCAGTCGGTCAGGTGGTAGAGGGCGCAGGTAGGGTTCATTCACGTTCTGGATTCTGGATAATACGCAGGAAAATGGTAAAGAGATTTGTCTCTAATGATCTGAACTCTGAAAAGTGCAGACCGTGGGCGAGTCCGAGAGGCGAGTCTCGCAGGAATCTTGAAACACCACGAAACCCAATGACATGCGCCATTACTCGACGCAAGGAAGCCAATTCACGTGTGCCACAGGTTATTTCCAGCAACAGTAGTAGCAGATGAAAGCTCTCCTCGTTCGGGACGTCATTGCTACGAGTTCATCGCATGGTTCAGCCAGTCACAGTCGATCGAACCGTGTTGGGATGGGTTGACAGCGACAGCTTGGTGCTGCCCATGGGCGGTGCATTAAAACATCGGGTCTTGGAATATCACAATTACAGAAAAGCCGAAAAGCATGCCCATCATCTGCAAGGTGGTAGAATCGACAAGTGCCGGAGCCAAGCCTTGCCCAAAAGCCTATGGCGAGCCCTGACAGGCCGATGGCATGAATTGCCCACACACCGGGCCAGAGTCCGTGAGCTGAGCCAGTTTTGCTTGGTTGGGGGGGGGGGGGGTCGGTGACTTGTGGCCCCCAAGTCCCTGGGTAGCAGTAGTAGTTCGACGGTGACCTAATCTTTGTTCTTTCTTAGCTTTGGCGGCAAGGGAAAACAAAGCATCAGCGGAAACCCAACGAGGCAACTCTGAAGCTTTCGCTTAACTCTCACCTCGACCGTTCTTCCCAATCCAGTGGCTGGGCCTTTCACATGCTCCCACGGCTTCCCCTTTTCCTTTCCTCCGCCTCGGAGGCCGCGGCTGGACGAAGGGCTGGCACCAAGGCGGCCGTCACTGCTACTGCAACACACCACGAGGGGATCAGCATCCGCTACGCCAGTCACTGGTCACACCCTCTGCATGTACTTCCCTCCCCTCCCTCTTCCTCAATAGATGAACCACATGCCCGGGAGCGGGGAATGGGGGCAAGGACCGAGTGACAAGACGACGTGGCTGGGGGCGCTACTGCACTTGTGCACAAAGGGGGGAACAGACTGCCGAAGCGAAGACGAGAACAAAGAAGCTTCCGTGCTAATAGATCAGCGCCCGTGCTGCCCTTCTTACGCGCGCTCGCGTGTGTGGGGGGTCCAGATAGCGGGAAAGTGACATGCTGGATGGCTGGCGGTGACTTGCTCAGGTACTTCGGCCACCCCTCATCGGCCCCGACATGGACGTGGGCCCTAGACGCACCCTGTCGAAAGCTTCTAGCCCTTTTGCGGAAACATAGTCCGTGCCGCACCCATGTCCCCTGCTCAACCCCAGATTTTCAAGGTCGAAAAAGCCCCGGGACCCTGGCAGGGTGGGGACGTCATTTCTCAACTGCCTCCATTGGCCGGGCCGCTATTGCGGTGCGCAAAAACCGTTGTAACGCCTGCCAGGAAGCAGTCGTGGCCGCTGTGGTCCTCGCAGACAAAGTGGAAGAATTGCTGTCGTGAGCAGAGCGTGGGCAAGAATAGTCTCGAGTTTCAAGAGGGTCTTGCCGGAAACTATTCTGAGTTGCAGATGGAGCCTAGCAAGGCTCGATTGGGTTTCCGGATGAAACGGAATGTGCGTCATGAACTGTGAGCTTCGCCTGTTCTGCGCACCACGAACCTTTCTTGCGTTCGATGGACGGCCAGATGGGGTGGTGTCGACTCGGCTCTGTGAGCCTAAGCAAACTTCGCAACACCTTTCCCTTTTCAGGGGACCTGGTCACTGCAGTGCTGCCCCGTCCAACATTTCTGAACGCGACGGATTGGCGAATGCTATTCATGGCATGATGGACCAACTGTCTTAGCAACGAACTGTATTTCGCCCATATCTAGTTGGGAAAAGATAGGTAACATGTATACCGAAATTTGTTTCTATGATCATGCTTCCAGCTTTGGCGTCTTTGGCGGAAGTCCCGGCGTAACTCTCGTCTCAGGGCCAGGCGCACTTGCGTCTGCCGGACCCAGCGTCCTCTTGTAGAAAGCTTGCGCAAACTTGACTGCCGGCTCGTCGATAAACCTCGTGACCATCTCTGCGCACCAGAACGTGACCGGCAGCAACACCAGATGCGGTAGCAGGAAGGCCACCTCCAGCCCCATGGGCCCCACCATAGGTAGTGGGAGCCTGTTGACCCACTGTGGAATGTTCTGTGCCTGCTCGATGCCATTGGCCCCGACCCAGCCCACCGCGGTGTAGATCCTGTCTCCCAGCGTCCAAAGTACCGGTCCATGGACGAGGTAGAGCGAGTAGGATACCCGTCCCAGGTACTGACAAAAGCGCGACTCGAAGAAGCGCTTCAACCAGTGTATACGAGGCACGGCTGAGATAAGGAAGGACGCAGCGAAGAAGAGGTAGAACCACTTGTAGTCAAAGGCGGCCTGCGGCTTGAGGAAGGAGAGGTAATACCATCCCCTGTTTTTGCGTAGGAGTTCCACGTCTGTTGTCTGGGAGGGTATACCGCCCAGGTACATGGCCACAACCAAGAGGTGGTAGTAGATGAACTCTTTGTATGGGGCCAGCCTGGCAAGAAATCTCGGGAGCTGGCCCTTCGCCGAGAGCAGATCTAGGTCCGCAAGGAAGACTCCCATCATGAAGAAGCTGCAGTACCAACCGTCGCAGATATACATGAAGTAGAACATGAGACCCGCGAGGCACCACAATCTCGCCTTTGTCGTCGCCCGAGATAGGGCAAGCAGTGATGTGTACACCGCTATCGACCCCTTCATCTCGACGGGGATGCTCCAGAGGTGAAAGTTGTACGTGAACCACGGCTCGCCGCCCATGTTGAAGATGAAGCTGAAGTTCTTGAGCTCTGCGTACCACCACCAAATCTCGTCCCGCATGTTGCTCTGCTTCTTGGCTCCGTGGATCCAGAGGCCACCGAAGGCATGCCACGTTAGCATGTATAGAAAGGTCGTGCAAATGAGTGGTATGTATAGACGCATCCACCTCCTGAACAAGGCAGAGCCCAAATTGTCGGCGAGCTTGGCCTGGTCGCCAGCCTGGATCAGGCTCAGAGGCTTAACGGACAGGACATAGCCTGATATTATGAAGAAGTTGGCGACGGCGAAGTGGCCGCCATTGAAGAAAAGGCGTATTCCATGAAAGCTAGCAAAGCGGTGATGGCCCTCGAAGCCAAATGCGTTTTCAAACATGTGGTTTTCTTGGGGCGTGTGGGCCCAGAGCTCGTGGTGCTGCCAGTACACCAGAAATGCGGCGAAGCCTCTGATGCCATCGAGGTAGGCTGTTTTGCGCAGTGCCTCTGTTGGGGCGGCTGACTTTGCTTTGGGCCAGACGACAGCCTTCAGTCGTCTGAGCGCCCAGCTTGCCTTTGGTGATTGCAGCATCCTTGGTGATGCTGGTTTCCAGTCCGCGAATGATGCTTTCCATGACTGTTTCTCGTCCCAGTCCAAGTGTCTGATCTCGTCCCAGTCCTTGCTATCCAAAATGCCCAGACCGTGATGTTTGGCCGACGTTGGCTCCCCCATACTGTTCCTCGCAGATGAAGTTGAGGACACACTTGGGTCGGGTGACTGTGCCAACAGGCCAAGCCCCTGATCTTTTGGCTGAATTGATATTGGGAGAGGCGGTGGATCTCTGCCTGTCCGTCTGGATGAGATGTTGTCCAAGAACGAATTCATGAAGGCTGCAGGCTACTGCGAAACCTCGGCGAACTAAACTGGATGTTTCGACGCGATTGCAGCGTAGTGTTTGGCATAAACCCCTCCGATAACAAGGTCGTTTCCAGACCAAGGCGATGGCGTTTGATCTACTGGAAAGTGCGTGGCTGTACTCGTTCCTGCGCAGTTGTCTGGGGTTGGCAGGTGCCTCGATTCGTGATAACAACCCCCTGGTTGCTCGGAGATTGAGCGCAAGCAGAGTGAATGCTGCGCAGGACAGTTCGAAATGACTTTCACAAGCCAAGAGCTGCTTTGGGATCGGCCCGTATAAAGCTGATCAACACAGGCACCGAGGTCGAATGATCAAGAGTGCTAGCTCTCGACGGATTCTAAGCGGGGGACGGCTGCGGGGGAAGACACCACCTTGTCAGGTCGTCCGCTAATGTAGGGTGGCAGACCTGGGCACCTTGCAGATCGATTGACGCTATCCCGTACGCGAAGCAAGGTACAGCACAGCGCGTCAGTCCTGCTCATGTGTGCATGCGGAGGATCCCGCGGACTAGATGCGATAGTGGACGTGGTAATAAAGTCGAGTCCCAGGGAGGGTAGGCGGAGATTCAAGAGCGGTTCGCGCGGAGAAGCTCAAGTGCTCCAACGGTTTTCTGACAAAAAATGGCGCACGCTCGGTGCTTGCCACGTGCGAGATGGACAATGGCATTCAACTGAGTTTCAATTGGAAGAGAATGACGTTTTCAACCAGCGTGGGGTGGTTGAATGTCCAATATCTGCCGTCACTTCTGATATCGACAATGACGTGGGATGACAGTATTATGCCGGTGTGTGTCGATATGCATCCCCAGCCTGACTGATAGATAGTCTCCAGCCTGGAGTCTAGATGGCAGAACACCCTCAACGAATACGAGCGTTACACATGCGTGATGCTCTCCTTCGTTATGAGCGAGCGACCTCGAGGGCAGAAGTCATTACTCGGCGGGCAGTCGGGCTTTTTCGGGGACGTTGACTAGTCAATGTTAGTGGAACGAATGCCTTAGGCTCTGAGAGTATCCCCCGTGCTCAGCTGAGAAGCCCTGAGAAACGAATTGCGTTGGGGGGCCCAATCGCGATTGGAAGATGCACATGCGTTCCAGGTGTGTTGTACCGCGGCCCCGAGAATACAATCTCCAAACGCAAGGTGAGCTTGGGCTTGCGATTGGGCTGTCCCGTTGCCCCCAGTCGAGCGGAGGTAGCGTGAGCTGCAAGGGGTCCACTAAACAGGCGCGGCAAGGATGCTCTTCTGTCACGCTTGTTTAGCAGCAACGTCTGGCGGTGGGTTGCCTGTCAAGGCTGCCAAGGCCCTTTGATCTGGCCCTGATGATGGCCTGGCCGAGAGCCAGTCCTGGCTTTGGGTCCGTTCGAGCTCATGTCGGCCCAATTAGGATCTGCATAGCGGTCGGAGCCGGGAAGATCGCCAGTGTGTTTCCTGTTTGTGGGTACCGCCCCGGCACTAAGTTCTCGCGGGTTAGCTGAAGCGTCCTCCTACAGTAGAAAAATAAGCATACCTAGAAAAGACTAAGGGCCGTGACTCGATCTTCCCGTCATGGCCGACTGCTGTACAGGTCCCTAGACGCTGGCTTCATCGTGCATTAGGCCCAGCAGCCACCTGAACGACAGCTCGTGTATCGACAAGCCCGTACGATCGCGATGATCAAATCATATGCCTCGCCGAGGTCTTCAGGAAACAGCCCAAGGGACCTGGTACAGGTGAGATGCCTGTGAGTTCGGAGCTCGTGCATACCAGCCGTTTAGGCCAAGACAACGGTCTTGCGATGGCAGTGCAATCGATGAGACGTCTCGACGAGTGAGGCGTCGGAGAGGAACATTGCCAGACTGGGGATTTGGTGCGAGGCATGTCGTATGACGGTCTCACGGCGTTACTAGTCAGCGCGATACCACTGCGGCGGCCCTGATCTCTCTGCCCCTCCATCCCGCCAGAGTCAATCCGGATGCACACCCCGCTCATCACCCACGATAACGCTGCTTCCCAGGCTCGAGCCAGGATTCTGCGCGCGAACTGTTGTCATTGCTCACCGATCAGAGGTCAACGTTTTTGCCCAGCAATCCCCGCCTAGCCCCGGCGACCCTGCCAAATTAAGGGTTCCTGCCCATGCGTCAAGTGAGCACAAATCGATATCCTATCGTGATTGTCCTGCACGTGAAGTAGACCCCGGGCAACGTTGCAAGCGGCGGGAGGTGGGCGACCGCCGTTCCTCGATGGCCTCGGATGCCCATGGCTGCGCACTTCGCCCATGCGTCAAAGTGGACCTGGCGAGTTCTTCCGGGGTCACACCGCATTGGGTGATGATCCGACGAGGTTTGCGTTCATGATTGAAGCTTTGCAAGGGTCTGTCCGGCGCCTCTAAGCAGTGTGCCAGATGTTGGGCAAGTTAGTGCAAACATGAGATGAGGCGTACTTACGGCTGGGAGGGGGCGTGCCGGCCACCTGCACCCGGATTCTGGGGTAACACCCTCCAACCCTCAAACAAACCCGGAAGTCTTTTTTCCTCTGGACTCTTGTACTGAGGTACCAGGTAGTCTAGGGTGTCCTCGACTCCAACCTCTGATCCTTGTCTCCATCTTCCCATCTTCCCATCTTCTGGCCCTCTTGAACACAGGTCATCCCAATTCCCATCGCTCTCGTACATGACACTTCGGGTACTTCCTAGTCATCTGTCTGTTCCCGAACAACCATCTTTCCAACACCAGGACAACCAGTAAAAAGAAACAGTGGTTGATCTTATATATGGATGAAAAGGGAAGTGCCTCTTGAACACCGCCGCCACCCACAAGAGAGCCACTGGCCTGGCACAACTTCACGATGTACTCTCCAGCTTCTTCATCGTCACCGCGATCCTCGCTAGGGACGTGGTCGCCCACTACCCCGAGTTTCTCGAGCAAGTTCAGAAACCGCGTTCCCACGCAGATGAGGAGATGCATACCAATTTACTTGACCTGCGTTCTTGTCTTTCTCTTGATCCTCAACGCCGATCTGTTCACGGTATCAATTCCCAGAGGAGGTGGCCCAGTCTTCAAGCGCGGTGGGACGATTGCAAAGCACAGCTCGACTGTCGCTGGGCCAGCAATAGCAGTTGGCTTCCCAAAAAAGATCTGGCAAACATGGAAGGTGGATCCGCTGCAATTTGAGCAGCGCGACAGCAACACCGCGCGGACGTGGGTGCAAAGAAACCCGAACTTCAGATACGAAGTCCTCACCGATAGCAACGACGTTGGATATGTCGAGCAACATTTCGGGCCCGGAGGCTTCAACCGACCAGACATCGTCGACCTGTATCGCAACATCAATGCCACAATTATCAAAGCCGACCTGTTGCGGTACATGGTCATGTATGCTGAAGGTGGTGTGTACGCAGACATCGACGTCGAGGCGCTGAAGCCGGTGTCGAGGTTCATACCAGACCACAGGTACGCAGAGGAGGATATTGACATGGTGATCGGCATCGAGATCGACCAGCCGATGTTCAAGGACCATCCGATCCTGGGAAAGAAGTCTCAGTCATTCTGCCAATGGACGTTCATGGCGCGGCCGAGGCTCCCAGTCATGATGCGTCTCATTGAGAACATCATGTCCTGGCTGGCTGACCTCGCGAGGCAACAGAACGTACCTATTTCAGAGGTCGTCATGGATTTTGACCAAGTCATCTCCGGCACGGGGCCATCTGCCTTCACTGCCGCGATCTTGGAGGAAATGAACGTCAACCGCTCCAAGGACAGCCCTGAGATCACTTGGGACGTGTTTCACGACCTGGATGAGTCTAAAATTGTATCGAGGGTCCTTGTCCTAGACGTCGAGGCATTCGCGGCTGGACAGGGGCACAGTGACAGTGGCAATCACAACGCGCGGGGCGCCCTAGTGAAGCACCACTATCACGCAAGCAACTGGCCAAGCCGTCACCCAAGATTCAACCACCCAGTATATGGCCCCGTAGAGCATTGCAACTGGGAGCCAAACTGCGTGGCAAAGTGGGATGCCGACACAGCTGCCTTCGCACTCATGACTGAGGAAGAGCAGAAGACCTTGGCCGAGGAGAAAGAGGCCGAGCAGCAGGCCGCGACAGCGCAGCAAGAGCAGTTCCTCGCGAGGATCGCACAACAGCAAGAGGCGCTTCAGCAACCTCTGCATCTCGGACAGCAGCAAGCAGTGCCAGCACCAGCACCAGCACCAAAGCCTGAACCACAGCCGGAATGATTGTGCCTCGTTGTTTGAATTTTCTTCTTCTCCATCATACACTGGATTAGGGTCATGCCTTCTTCTTTGGAACTCACGGCGTTTGAAAGGGCAAGGGAGCGGAGTTACCCAGTCGCGGTGCCGGCAGAGAATGGATGTCGTTGACACTGCGGCTGTGGGCCGGCCTGGTGTGGTTTGGGTTTTGCCTAGATGGAGTTGTCGTCGATCCAAGCCTCGCCATGTTCCTGCCCCGTGTGCCTCCAATGTGGATCTCCCAGGTGTCGTGAGTGACGCGGGGGCCCGGGGGTGGAGCGTGTGTTGCAATGCAACCCCTGCGAACGACTTGTCGCGGCACTTGCTGTCCTGTAGACCGGTGAGCTGATAGACACACACGATTGTTTCTTATGTATTCAGCTGGGATGGAGGCCTTGCTGAGCGTGCCATCGGCAGCGGTTTCATGGCTGGAGAATGCAGCACTGGCATCATGTGGATCGGTGGCTTAGGTCCCCCAATCAGCTCATGGCTACCAGCCGAGGCACTTGTCCTGGCACAACGAGACAGGTACTTCTGCATGATACTGCCTTGGAATGGCCGAAACCTCAGGCCTTGATAGCATGAGGCAGCGCTGTCTCCATGGTGGGACGCGTTGTCAGGGGCGGTTTCGAGCTGGTTCGTGCCGCGCTGGGAAATGAATGAATGAATGAATGGCCATGAGGTTGGCAGCGAAGAACAAGGCCTAGGGAAGACGAGATAGAGTCGTTCGATCGGAGTGGACTGGAAGTCAGATAAAAGACCCGCATCACGCGAGATACCCTTTCTAGCACAAGATTTTGTCAATCAAGACGCATTTGCAATTCAATCTTGTTCAGGCGTTGGTGATGTTTGAAGGGATTGAAATTTCGGGTCTCAGTTGAGGTGTTGAGGCTGAAGACTTGTTGAGTACCTGACGTAATATCAACGCCACAGAAACTGCGCTTGGGAGGATGAATCACGGAAGCCGCGATCTGAGCTCTCAGACTGTTTTGAGCTCAGCTCTACCAAGACAGTTTCTGGCATGCAGTCATTCGAGAGTTCGTGATTCTGTCGCGTGGATGATGGGCTGTGACTAGAGGAGTTGCTATGTACTCAAATGCACGTCCTCACAGAAGAAGGCGACTTCTCCTCTCCATTAATCCCTCCATGCCTGCCTTGATGCCAACCTCCTATTCAGGCAAAAGGGATAAATACCCTCGTCCTTGCGGACTCCTCATCGTCCCAACACGGATCCCAGGTATACAAATCTTTAACACTACTAACATCATCATCGTCGTCCCTACTTCGCCTCACTCAGCTCGCCGTCAACTTCCCTGCGAAGCCTGTGCCAATCTCAACGACATCGCCCTCACCCTTCCCATGGCCTGCGAATCGACCGGGGTCGAATGGGAAACATGAACATCAGGAGTCTCCTGTCCCATGAACGTGGGATGAGCGGGCGAGTGCCCGACGGCTTCCCCCAGCAGCAAACTCTCGAGCGTGCCACCAGCGAGCTTCTCCTCCTCCAGCATCCTCAGTGCAGCCGCCCACATGTCTCCCAAATACCTCTCTTGCGTCTCTATCTCGACTGGATCCGCCTCGTTCGCTTCGTGACAGCGGGCTTTGTGAACAGGCCAGTTCCAAATCTGGCAGTACTTCCCGCAGTAGATGGCTTGGAGACACTTGGCGCAGACGAGGTACCGCGCGGGTGCCCTGCCACAGTCGGCGCATTTGTTTACGTCCTCATTATTTTGTGACTGGCCTGGAGCATAAGCACTTGCAGACTCGGAGCCATCATCAGTTGGAGTGGAACCAGGAACGATGTCCATTCGCTCCGGGTTTGTGCTGTATGGCCGAGCAAGCCCGGCTGAATTCGCAGGCTCGATGGCTCCCTGCGGAAGGTCGCCGATTTCGAGCGAGCTGGCTTGAAGGCTCGGGGCGTCTGCTGAAAAGGCATCTCGAGAAGTGGCCGTCTCAATGGCGTTGGCCGAGCTGAGGTCGACCTCAAGGTTTGACTCGTCGCTGCCCGGCTGCCGACTCCGCCTGAGCTGCGGAGTACAAGCGGTTTCCTCGTTTTGAGACAGTTCCTCGACACGTCGCTTCGTCCCACGTGGCCTGCCAGTCTTGAGGTTTTTTGCTCTTGGACGCGCTGCGATGGCCTGCTTTTGCCTTCGGCCTCGGATGCTATCGTCAAAGGCGCCGTCGAGCTGCGAGGACTCCGAGTCAGAATCTAAAAGCTTCTCATTCTTTCTGGGATTCTCCACTAAGGATTGGGAATTGCGAAGTGCTCTGGATCTGGTCATTACACTGGCTAGTCCTCGCTTCTTTAAAGCTGCGGTTGGTATCGGGGTCACCGCGACTTCGGTGCCGCCATTTACTGGGGTTTGGCTTGCCATCGGGCTAGAATTGATGATCTTCTCGATATCAGCCACCAGCTCGGGGATCGGGGAAGTGTCTTCGAGGAATTCGTGGCTCTGGCTGAGTCCTTGGATGTTGCGATCAGTGGGAAGCCCGTGGTAGCCAGTCAGGGTCGCCGTACGATCTTCGTCGGGCGATACTCGAGTCGAAACGTGTTCCGTGCTGAATGTCAATTGCTGCTTTGCATCAGATGCTGCAAGGTCTGTTACAAAGTCTTTGGTTGAAAGAGCTTGGTTCTTGTCGGCCTCAGCCTGAGAAGGCTTGGTCTCAAGCTCGAGCTTCGCCCTTTCCACGTCTCCTTCGTCGGGGGTCATGCTTGCTAGTCTCCTGCTCCTTCGTCGAACCATTCCAAGCGGTGCCTCCTGCCGTCTCTCTGAGGCGCTGTGTTGCCTGACCTGAATGCTCTTTGTGCTGTCTGCTGAAGCATCGTTCGCAAGCTGCGCAGAAGCCCGATCTGTTTTGAACCATCTCGTGCTCTTGTTCGCTTTCACTGATACAGAAGAGCCGTCAGCAGACTGCTCGGAGGACGTTGTAGTGGAAGCGATATCTTTATGCACGCTCTGATGGTCGTCTTCTTTGGGGGAATGAAGATTGGGGGACAGTGGAAAGGTGATGCTGCTGTCCTCGCTCTTCGTCAACACCTTGGTCGCATCGGTCTTAGGAGTTTCTGAGCGGGCCTTTGCGCTCGATGAAACGTCCTTCGAGATTGACCGTGCTTGCTCCGAGTGTGCTCGACGAGGCGCATCGTTTTCAGCCTTCGCTGGCACGCCATGATCAGAGTCGCGCCTCTTGTTTGCGGCGGACTGTTTGACGCGTCCGTCCTGAGGAGACTGTCCAGTCAACCTTGCGCTTCTGCGACGGCTTCGAACCACCGATCGCGTATCCATCTTGTCCAGCAATCTGTTTTGTGGGTCTTGGGATCGCTTTGAATGGATTGATTAAAAGCTGTGGCGCGTAGCGACAGGGAAATGACCAGGATCGAAGCGAAATCGAGACTGAAGGACTACCATGGTAAGTTTATCTGTACCATGGATGACAGCCAGATGAGGTTTGCTGAGAAGTAGCCGCTTCACGCGTGGCTTGGAATGGATTCACTTGCCTGCTTCTGCCCCCGTAGGTATGGGATCTGATCATGGGGCGCCCATAAAATCGAGGCCCTAGTCACTTAGTTTTCCTTTCAATGCTTTGAAGTCAGCTAATCTTTCATCTAGGCCTTTCTCGAAGTTACTCCTATTTGGTAGTCTCAGGAAGTGGCCAAATTCTGTGGAAATCCCACTCAAGAGTATAGCATGCCGCAATTCTTTGACAGTAAGTTTGATCTTAATGACATTAACTATGACAGGTATCTTCGTGGGATATGGACGATCCACTGTGGATGATAATGTTCTAAATGCCGAAGAGGCCAGTTCCATGAATCGTCCCCAAACTCAAGTGGGGAATAAAGGCACCCTTTGAATCGAAGCGTTCCTCCTAGTACGTTGAAGCAGCCACTCGCAAAAGGCTGCCGAAAGATAATAATGTTGCAACAAAGTTGGTCGTGATGAGAGGCATTCTTGCAGACGAGTGTGATCCGCGTTACTCTTCAAGCTCCAACAACCACTGGTTCGAGATGACCTTGAAGGAAATCTCAGGTCGGCCCAGCAGCTTGAAAACCAGGCCCTCCCGCCTCTGGCCATGAAATCCCACGCCGTCGGCTCGGCGGACCAACTCGTCAATGTCGGTCGCGAATTCGCTGAGCTTGCATCTTGCAATCAATGGCACATGCTGGAAATTCTAGTGTCAGTCATCGAAGCAGGGTTGATGAAATCCCAAACGATAGGGCTGTTGGACGAGGACACCATGTGCCCACAGGCCAAGAGAGGTAGGAAGAAGGAGTGCGGGGTCTACATACCGGTAGCACGTGTCTGTTGCAAATATTCCGAACCTCGTCAGGATCAATGAGTTCCTGAGCGTCGATATCGAAGACCTGGAAAACGATGAATTGAAAGCGTTCTCCAGGGGCGAAGTGGATGCTACTGTCAAGACTAGGGCCAATGAGCTCGCCCGAGATGGCAACATTTCTGATACCAACTTGCGCCAACTTTGCAGGCAGTCCGATGTCTTTTGCGGCTCTCCAGAATGGGCTGTTGGCAGTGTCACCAATGTCATGTTGTCTGCTCGCGATTCCGATCCGGCCATACAGGGTGCGCTGCGACGAGTCCGCCGGCAGGGCGGGGAGCGCCCTGTCCCACTGCGAGTCGTTCTGGACTCGGTACACCGTCATTGACACGCCGTCGAGCTTCTCGGTGATCTCGTACGTGCAGTTGGGGTAGATCGAGGTGAAGATCTGAGGTTTGTCCTGGATCCGTGGGCAGCCAGGCTGTCGGATAAAGACCGGTGCTGGGCCAAGGATATGGTCCTGGGCATGATTACTGACAGTGGAGCTCTCCCACTTCTTGACTCCGAGGACATCTTCGAATGCCATAAGTTGCGCAACTCTCAGACCCTCCTCCACACCATACTCGTCTTTCAGGCCCTCAATAATTCTCTGAACCTTGGGGAGCTGCTCGATGGTCATGAGCCAGCCCTGGGAGATCTGCTTTCCGACCATATGAGATCTAACGTGATAGCCTCTTTCACCGTTGAACTCTTCCAAATGGCCGTTCAATTCCCATCCAAAGTCAATGACAGTGGTTGGAATGAAGCTGTCGATCTCAAAGAAAATCACATAGTCACCCACTTTGCTGTTGCTCTTGTTGACGACGACATTCCATCCGCCGGTGATGGTTACCACCTCAATTCGCTTTACTCGAAGCTTGAGCGGACGACGGATCTGTGTGATCTTTCTCAGGGTCACCAGCTTTCTCTCCAATGCTGGCGATATTGCAACCTCAGTTTGCTGATTTGGCTCCGCCTCCATCTTGGCAGTAGCTCTTGGTTAGTGTTGAGTGGCTGGGATGATAGTTAGGGAATTTGGAGTACTGAAGGTGAAAAGAACGGGAAGTTGTGGTGTTGACCTCGTTGACTGAGGGAAAAGAGTGCTGATGTCAACTTTTGGCGAAAGAAAGGCGATGAGTGTAACAAAGACAACGAGCTCTGTTCAAAACATGAGAAATGAGGATTTGTGTAGATCAGATGTCTTCAGGGTAAGCTCTCATTGCTTTGTTGCCAGGTTTCCTTTTTCCAAATGATGAAAGGTGCGTCCAAATCAGAGCGTCTGTCGTGATTGATGCCCTGTCTGCGAGAAACACCCAGTGATTGAAGGTTGTCATCTGCTTGGGAGTGCTGAAAGAAGCTGGGCAGGGTATCGGTGCTAGCCGTGCTGCGATGCTGCACGCCTCGGGTCCTGGTCGGTGCGGCAGTCGTCAAAAATCGGGGCCCTGGGCCGCATGGCGGCGGCCCGAACCGGGGGTCAGCACGGAGCTAGCCCCGATGTGGCCCCACTTCTCGCCGGCGAGCCCCGGCCCCAGCTCCGTATTCAGGCCCACCAAAGCTGCGGTGATGAGGTCATCCTTGTCTCACCAAGTTTCTTCTGGCTGCGACTTGGCTTCGAGATGCATCGACCTCTACTCCTTCCGCCATTGGGTAGTTGAAGGTTGTGGAGAATCCACACTTGGCAATCGACACTCCACAGCGTAACATAGCGTCGCTGTTCGTCGTCAGTTTGACTTTCGGCCGAATTATCCGAGGAGCTTTAATAATCTGAAACAGATTTCTCAAGCTCAGCTTTGGAGCTCAGCTTTGCAGCGGACGCCCACCACGCGAATTGAAACCACCACGCCCCAGACCCAAAACAGCTCAACATGGCCGAGCAGAATCGCAAGTGGCAGACCCGTCAGGATGGTCTTGACAAGGTTTTCCAAGTCGCGGAAGCGGTGCCAAAGCCTGGAGCGGGGGAAGTACTCGTCCGTATCAAGGCTGTCTCGCTGAACTATCGCGACACGGAAGGTAAGTGGTGGCTGCATGGTATCTTACCGCATAATGTATAAAGTCTGATGCACTCTAAAGTTGCCATGGGTCTTTATGGCCACCACAAGACCATCGATGCGACCTCCAAAGAGCCCCTGGTCCTGTGTTCCGATATGTGCGCTGAGGTGGTTGCCATCGGCTCGGACGTCTCATCATGGAAGACCGGCGATCGAGTCATGGGCACTTTCTGTCAGGACCACCTGACTGGCCAGATCAAAGCGCACCACATGGGATCCGGACTAGGCTTGCCGTTGGAAGGCGTCCTACAGGACTATCGTGTGTTCCCAGAGCAGGGGCTGGTCAAGGCGCCGGACTACCTCACGGATGAAGAGGCTAGCTGCCTCCCTGTCGCAGCCGTGACAGCATGGATGTCTATCAATGGCTTCAGACCTCTCGGACAGTCTGGCGGCAAGGGACAAGTCGTGCTCGTCCAAGGCACCGGAGGTGTCAGTATCAGCGGGCTGCAGATCGCTAAAGCAAGCGGGGCTACAACCATCGTGACATCGTCATCTGACGAGAAGCTCTCTCGAGCAAAGGCACTCGGCGCCGATCACACGATCAACTACCGAACAATCCCAGACTGGCAGGACAAGGTCTTGGAGCTTACCGGCGGCAATGGAGCAGACATCATCTTTGAAGTTGGCGGCGCCAAGACCCTGCGCAAATCCTTCAAGTGCGCGTCCTTCGGGGGTATTATAAATAGCATTGGCTATGTGACAGGCAAGCAAGACGACCCTAAAGATGACCTGACCAACATAAATGTCCTTGCCTTGACCCGGACAGTCACCCTCAAAGGTATTATCAATGGTCCCAAAGACAGGTTCGAGGAACTGTGTGATTTCTACGCACAGCAAGGGGTTCGGCCAGTGGTGGATCGGGTGTTTGAGTTTGGACAGGCTAAGGAGGCGCTGCAGTACTTGTACAGCGGGTCACACTTTGGGAAGGTCGTGATTAGCGTCAGTGCTTAGTATGATCCTCTTTCGCGTGACAGGAACTTGAATGAGAACCATTGTGCTCACTGCAAATTCCCCCAGTATTTTCCATACACTCTGGACAGGGTCTGTCCTTGTTCTAATTGTAAAATGGAGGTAACCGTCTGCTCTGGTGTGAAGGAAAGTTGCGCTTGAAGTTCTCCTTTAGTCACCTGTCACTATGGAGGTACCCATTATAGCATCGAAGTAATAGGTGAGGAGATCATGTTAATCAAGGCATGCTCGATCAAGCACACGCGGACTTCGTGGTAGGCAGCGCATGTGACTGATAGATATTGCCATTACTATTTAGTCATCGCACCATCTCGTAGGCAGTACTGAGGTTGTAGATGCGATTCAATATTCGCAATTATAGAGTCACTCGACCGAGAGAGTAAGTTTGTGTCCAAATTCATTCACCGGTTCGCGCTTGCGCCGCGCTTCCGTCAAAGTGCAACTGTCGGTCGCTCAAATTGTGCGCTAATTGCCACCACCTGAGATAAATAACTCATCGGTTTGCACTGTCTCATGAATCTAGTGACTAGTGATGAAACGTCTATGGTAATACAAGATCAAGAATCGACTAAAATTCGACCAAGCACAAAACAGAGTGTTTCCAACTTTTACTCCCTCCATTTGATTTCCTACCGTCACCATCATCTCCAACTCATACTCACATCCATTGCAGTCACCACAAAGACCGATTCCAATTCAAAATGGACCCTTCCCACCAATCAAACGACATCAACATGTGGCGATTAGAATCCTCTCTAGGACACAGGGTGTCATCCCCTGCCATAGAAGTTTCGCCGCCCAACGAAAAGCAGAACAAGCACGAAGCCGCCGTGCTGAGAGGCAGAGCCGAATTCGAGGGCTGGCCTGAAGAAAAGCTCACCGCAGCCCTGGTCAATCTCGCCGAAATGAACAAGCTACTATCTGATTCCATGGCTCTACCACCCAACGCGCAGGAACTTGTCGACCTGAGACGCAAGGCTAAAAGCGAGGGCTGGTCCGAAGCGAAGCTCACCACCGCCCTGATTGATTTCACGAAAAAGAACGAGCCATCTGAGGCCGAGGCTGTACCAGTCAATAAGCAAATACCGTCGACAACGGTGGTCTTGGAGGAAGCGCTGCGCTGGCAGAAGCGACAGGAGACAACCCGCATCACTCGCCAGGCGGAGAACGAGGGGTGGAGTGACGAAAAGACCCTGGCTGCTCTCCGCCTCAGGAACTCGGTCCATCATGAGCTTAAGGGAAGCGTTCTGTGGGCTCTGAAATTTGGATGGTGAGATGTCAAATGTATGCTCCCATGTCTGGTTTGAAGCGACCACGAGCCGCCCGCATGGGAGCAATGTTGACTCAACGAGACGCACAACAAGAGAGATGACTTGAAGTTCGGTCATCCATAAGTTCGGAACGACTTACGCATCCAGCGGCGTTAATGGAATTTTCACTGCTGTTTGAGGCGCCAACCGATGAGTGGGAGTTCCCACATTTTATCACGGGAGACATCAGGGATATTGAATGTCTGAGATATTTTCTTAGAAGGATGGCCGGATGATTACGGATCTGCAACATATTACGGGACTTTAGTGTGGGAGAATGAACAGAATGGACAAAAGGGCTCCAAACAATAAAGCTTGACGAATCGAAGAAGTTAATTCAACGCAGAAATGGGGAAATTCTCTTGAGCTTAGACATCACATTTTGCAGTATCAGTTTAGGATCCGAAGTCAAAAACAAATGCAACCTGCTTGAAGAAACCGTGGAGGAGTAGCTTGATCGATTTAACACAGATGCGTAGCCAGCTGATTCTCTCTCACACGAGCCACACATAACTTGTTTCTTGCCTAGTGGGTCGCCGATTATCAAAGCCTTGGCCTCTTTCTGTGGCAATAGTCATCTAGGACTGATATTATGTGCTCAGTCACTGTCTAGCCCATTCATAGACCGATTTTGCTGGTTTCAATAGCTGGTCGACGAAAAGCTGCTGTTTTTTTTTGTCTCTCCTTGACGCTCTTCGTAGGCATTTCAAATTAATACAACTCGCCCTTGACCTGCATTCTGGGTACTGTTGGAGGCTCAATGACTACACTTCAAGATGCTTGAGACTTTCCAGGACGACTGCAAGACGATGGCGAGACTCGCGACCTGTTGAATTCGCTCTTACAGTCCGCAAAACACAGGCAAATCTCCAATAGATATCGAAATTAATTGATCGAGAGATTACAATACACGAAGAGGATGTATGTACAGTACTTTGAAACAGATTCCAAGTCCAAACTCCATCGTCGCCCAGCCTCATAAACTTATTTTAGTGGTGCTGACGCTCTGGCATCGCTGCAGGTAAGAAATCAATTACCTGAGCAAAGATCCCACTGATGGATTATGATTCCCATCTCTTGCTGACTCCGCGCAATCATCGATTGTAGATTGGGTCGTCTGAATCAGGTGGGTAGCCAAGGCTGCACTGAACGGACATAGCATCTTAGTAAGTGATCTACCAAGTTAAGAACGTTGAACTCGAGGGCAAACTTACGCAAAGGCTGATCTCTTCCTCCTCGCAAGTCTCTGAGGTTTCGGGGTTATCGACACAATTATATGCCAGCCCGGTTACAGGATCATCATATGCATAGATCTCTGTTGTCAGAGGCTTGCAGACGAAGTATTGCGAGTCGCAATGCCCGATTGTGGAGTTGATTGTGAGGTCCTGGCTCAAAGCGCAGCTGCTGTCATAGACCTTGTCTACATCTCCATCAGCAACGTATTCAAATATCAACATGGCATGGCCCAAAATGGAGGTGATGAGAAGCGTAGAAAGTTAAACGAGACTGCATAGGTAGCTGAAGATCTGACAGTATGGTGGTTGATGGAAGGTATGACTAAGAAAAGAGACCACAGAGAAGTGTATATCTTACACTGCGCCATGCCACCCCCGAGATCATGAGGCTCAGTCACACCAAGAGCATAACCTTCGCAAGCCGCATTTGCGACACCGGTCAGGCTTAATGCGACCAGATTGACGAGGGCAGATATCTGGACCTTCATCTTGACTGTAGTGACTGACTGTTTCTGTTTGAGTAGGAAAGAATGAATAGTATCGCTGTGTGAAGGTCGTGGTTCTCTTTATTCCTCCGGCGGTTGATGAACCTCCGGTCCTAATAAACATCTCCTCGCCTCCCTCTTCAGTGTCGGCCCTCCCGGCTAAAACTGAAATGCACCTGCATCAACGGTCTCGACTTCATTTACGATGCGTGCAGATATTGACGATGGCGTCGCAATAATGCAACACTTCTACGCAACTCTTTCTGAATGCAACATCGCGGGCCGCAAAGGGGCAGGTGGATGTTCGAGCAGGAACAATAAACTTGCATACAAACATCCCTGGTAGCCGCTCGTATCCGTCGGACCCGGGATCTATGCGGGAGCGATGCAAGGGTGAGGTTACTTCTAGCTTCCCCATTGGGCGGGTCGATCGATCCAGGCCTTGTCTTCGGGAAAATAGGAAAACAACAAGGAATATTTTGGATAGACTAGAGTGTTCCCCAGCTTAGTCTCAGGGGCGGCGGATATAGCGGCAGCTCAATAGCCGCTTCTGGACGCGGCACACCTTGTGGAACAATGTCTGCTTTTCGACCGGTCTGCAGTCCTGACCAGTCAAATGATGGTCATAGTTTGACGCCGGCTCCTTGGCATTGAAAATGCCTCTGCACGCGTGCAAGACTGCTTCCACATTGGTTTGCTGAAGCCACTCATAAAATATTCCTTCTAACAAGGCTCCCTCTGCGCTGATGTTACTCTGGCCCCCAAGTTTTCTATAGACGGTACAGATCTGTGTGCTAAAATCGCTCAGCAGCGAATTCGCTTGATTCGGTTTCTCATTGGTAAGAGTAACGCACAAACGTTACTGGCAGCTGTGTTTGCGTGCAGAAGCAGTTTGTGAGTTCTGCGCTGCTTTTACGCTGTCTCTCTCCGTTGATTGCCTCTACTAGACACCGCTATTGCAGTCTGGTAATGGTGAATACACATTGATTTAATTCTGTACCTCTCTTGCCCTAGCAAGACAACCTGCTCCGCTCTACAGCGCGTGGTTGGGGTACACTCGGTCGAGGCTATCAGAGGCCCCAACGCAATTTATTCTCTCCGGGCCAATGGATTGTTCATATCAATACAGATGACTTCTGGCTCGAATGAATGCTTAAAACAGGCCTCTAAACCACCATAAACCTGTTGATGCATCGGTACGGGGAAATGGCTAGCATCTCTGCTTCGGCCACGTGCAGCCGCTTCCCAAAGTTTCATGGTTATCATTCAACAAAGCACGTCAAGCCAAGGCCACTGGTCCTTTCAATCTGTGACAAGAACGCTCGATCTGATCCTCGGTAGAACTCGGTTAAGCCATAATCTCCAATGGGACTTATAGAGCAATGCGGCCTGAGCCTTATTTGAGGCTGATCATGATGCAAATCCACAAATCAATCACACACAGCTGGGCTGTTTTGCACGCTACCACCCATCACCAGAGGACGGGATGGTGATCAAAAAGAATTCTTGGGCCAAATCGTGCAGTATCTCCCCATTTATGCACCAATTGTGAATCAAGTCAGGCGTCGATGTCTGACAGAGGCTTGACTGCCACAGCGAGTTCGGTTCCAAAGCTACTCAAGAGGCTCCGAAGATATATCACGGGCATCTGTAGATCCGCGATATGAGAATGCGAGGGGTGTTCGTCTGTGTCTTCTGACCATTGATGGCCTACTTTGCCAGTGACTAACCACTCATATCCTCAAATTCTGAATACATACAATGAAGCTCTAATGAGTGCTGGCTACATGAGCATTGCCAATTTCACCGCTCATGTAATAGGAAATATGCCAATGCCGTCTATAGAATTCGGTTGAGCATAATCTCTGCCCAGGATTAGGCTGTACCTTCTTTTGCTGGCATAGACAGCAAGCTATCGCATCCTTTGGTGATTTCTCAAATCTCGCGATGTCAGGTCTTAGCCAACCCCTGCCGCCTCATCTACACTCCAGCGTCAAGTCGATTTAGTCAAGGTCTCGTCTTCCAACCATCAGAGACGGGATCATTTGGTACCGACATAATGTAACAGACTTCAGCCACAGATGCGGTCGCGCTTTCGATAGCGCATGGCACAATTGTGAGCAGATCGTTTCTCGCTATAGCGCAATTAAGGGCTTCACTGGTTTCTGACTTTTGGTAGAAGCATTAGGCAGCCGACCGCAACAGTACGGGATGAAAGACAGTGTTGCGATACATGGTTACATGGCGAAAACTTCAAGTGGTTCGTAAAATTGTCCGCTGGATTGAAGGGTATCTGAGGCTTTCCGGGGATGTACACGATGATATTAAGATGCCATGGGTGAGATCGCATTCCCATCTCTTCAAGATCAAATCCTCATACCGATGTTGAAATCAACTGTCCAGTGTTGCTCGACCGTCATGACGCTGGCGCCCACTCATTTCTGGATTGGGAGAAGGGAAACGATATCTTCAGATCCTTACTAGGCCGCAGTTGCCTCTTGGTCATGCCCTTCAGGTCAGCCGGAATCGGAAGCAGCTCCCTATTGTACCAGGAGCGTAACAAATTGCGCATGCCCACGGATTCCTACGCTGATAAATGTTCACATGAAGGCGCGACCTTCCTCCCTAGCGCAAATATAACATACGGCAACTCCCCCATGTCCCAGCGAGCAGCACGTTTCTTCCAATAGATTGGAGGGAGTCGAATGCCTTCGTCAAGAATGGTGAGGACCGGCGTTGCAAAGTTTAGTCATTGTTGATCGGGGAGGCGAATGATACACAAACAGATAGGGCTGTTGAAGGGTATTAGTCAACAGGTCCCTGGCCACTACGAGATGATTCCACTCCCGAGAAATTGTTCCGTCGGAGTGAAAATTTGATAGCATCCGAGAATTTGATCTCTCAATAACGGTTGTTGATTCGTGAAGATATTATGCAAGGTAATTGTGGCTGGACGTATTTTCGCACGCCATAGAAATTGTGACAACATTCGTGTGTATGCGCGGCAGGGGGACGGGGTGCTTAAGTCAGGAAAAGTAAGTCGAACTCTATGATGACGTTTCTCAGAAAACAACTAGCATATGTTCCTTCGCAGTTCCCCTAGCAAGGTCCGAGGTCCGGGCAACGGATCGGTCGCCAAGAGCATGCACCACAGTGAGGACGTAGTCCTGGCCTGGACTTCAGGTCTGCACTTTGTACCAATCAGTAGTATTCTCAGTGCACACAACCGCGTAATGTACTAACATATTGAACAGTCGCGGCGTGCTGATGGTGGTGAGCCGTGATGATTCAGCATCATCAGGATTGAAAGCTTTTCATACCAAGATTTGCATGTAGACAACATAAAAGTGGATGTGCACTATGTCAACGATAGTCACCTTTACAAATTTAAATCCAGTTACTCACGATGCCCGTCCACATCACATCGACATCAGGTTCATTGCGATGAAGACATGCAAGCAATCGGATTCTCCACCGAGATGAGTGTGTGACATCCCGTGCGGTTTCAGTAGCGGAGAGTCACGGTTCTGAAGAGGCTAGCGCTAGTGATTTGACACTATGTTAGTCGTCACGGTGCGACATTGCTGATTATAAGGAGTTCCATTCATATTATAGATGTGTGGAACGTACAGTGCGCACCTCGAAAGCGGTATGATATTGAGCTTCGATCGACACAAGCGGAAGAACCGACGATGTATGCGTGGCCTAGAGCTGTCTTCACTCAGAATACAGTTCCCCCGAACTATAGCTTCTCCATTTAAGCACAGGGTACGGAAGTCCCTGTAAAACGTGCGTCTCACATAAGCACATAAGGTTGCTCCTCATAAGTCAGCACTGGCAATATCGGTGCTGTCGTTGGAATGCACAAAAGCCCTACACAGTCTCAGAATGAAGCAGATAATTCGTAATCTGTAAAAAGAAAGACAGATTCGTCTCAGCATGCAACGATAAAATACAAATGCATGATAGGACTAGCTATCATGATTGCGACGTATGGGGGAGAGATCCTCCCGTTACGGAATTTCTGGATTTCCCCAATCCAGTCGTTAGGGGACGCCGAGATGACCGGCAGTCAAACCCGCCCATTGAACGGTGTCACACGAGCTTAGTTGCGGTCGGGCTGCAGAATGTCGGGGATTTGGCTTACGTGGGTACATATGCACGCAGCTCAAGCCCGACTAGATCGATGCGTGAGTGGCTGCGTTTCCGGAGCTGAGGCAGTGATCATCGTAATCGCTTACAAGGAGGGTGACACTGGCAGAGACAAATCATACATAAGTACAACATCTCACGAAGACTTGAAGAGCGGCCACCCGAAGATTTTTAAGAACCTTTCGTTCTCTAAACTCTATCGGCGACTCACCTCTTGCTGCAAAACGGCCAACAGCTGCCACTGCATACGAATATTCTCGGCAAATGGGTTTCCAAGAATGAACCTCGACATCCACACAAAATGGATACATATCTCCTGAAGGCAGCGGTACTCTACGCGCTGTCTGCCACACAGCAGACGACAACCCTCGTCGATGAGTTCCTGCAAAACACGTCATTCGCGAACTCAGACCTGGACCCACTCGCGTACGAGCTGCTTGACCTCCGCACACCACTCGAGCGATTGGGGGACTCCGAGATAGTGATACCAGCACGCCTCCAGCCGCCGATTTTGGCCATTGTTCGTGGATGCGGAGATGCGCTGGCCCGCGTCGACGCTGTGCTCAGCGAGTGCGCCGATGGCCCACTGCGGGAGGCTCTCTGGGTGGCCAAGGTGCCGGAGGTGCGAGATTTGAAGGACGGGTTACAGACATGCCGGCGGGCTCTGCAGGTAAGTCCCGCTCCACGCTCTTGGCTGGATGTACGACAGTATGCTGACGAGTATCTGTAGCTCGCCTTGGAGGTCGTGAACCTGTACGTGACCACGCACTGCTCCTGGAAGTGGAGAGATTCCCGTGCTGACGAAATATAGGGCGGCGGCCAAGGAAATTGGTGCTGATGCGGAGACTCTCTCGACATATCTTGACCAAGATACATCTAGAGTTTTGGCTCTGATCCGCCGCACAATCCAACAGGCACAGGAAGGCGAGAATAGGGATGGAATGAACTTGATTCTGAAGAAGTCACTCGATGATATCCGCCTCTATGTCCAATCACTCTGCAGGTCACCCACCAAGGATGATTTGAAGCCAATCACTCCGCCGATGACGATGAGGAAGCCTGTTCAGAAAGAGAATGAGGAGTCTGTTCCACCACTTCAAAGTTCGAGTCTTCTGTAACTGACACTCTGCCATAGGGACGCATCGACAGTAGTGGTATCCATGTCGCCCGAAAATACGAGCCCAGAGAGTCCGATACTGCCACCAATGATGCTTGGCAGTGGGCTGCGACCAGCCAAACGCTTGAGCAATGCATTTGGCAGGTGGTCACTGGGCTCTACAAGAAAGTCAAATGCTGCGTCGACCCTAGCATCAACAGCCAGCTCCGTCTCTCGACCGTCCTCGGCGCTGTCGTCTATACGAACACCACGAACACCGGTCGACGACGATGCATCATCGATAAGCAGCGCACCCCAGACGCCCGGAGCGTCTCGGCAGGCCTCGTATACATCTCATGTGTCGTCACATCGGTCGCATAATTCCTTCCGCTCAAGCATATCCAGCCGGGGCTCTCGGCCACGATTGACCTCAGCATCTACAGCCCCTCATGGACTCTATCCTCCCGCCCCTCCCGCCAAGAATCCACGACGGACAACATTGTCTTCCATGAACGAGAGCATTCCTGCCCTACCGTCTCCGCCGACACCTATCGACAACTTCTCAACACCCTTCAAGGTCTTCGACCAAATTTCTATTGCGGGCTCTACAACATCTCATTCCTCTGACCGACGTGAATCAGAGGGACTCACGCCTTTGCCTCTCTTCGCCGTCAGTCCACCCGACAAGATTTACATTGACCCTAGTGAGCTACCTCTCCGGTACCAGTCGAGACCTGCAGCCGTCATCGACCTCGTACGGACCAAGATGCTCTCATTCAACGAAAAAGGATCCGGACACGCCGTAACGGCATTCCACGTGGACGTATCTCCAGCGTCCTACATCGTCGCAAGTAAGCACGGCGACAAAACCATCAAGATCTTCGGACTTCCGCTGTCCAACGTCCAGTCATCCCTGAAAGTCAACTTCTGGGTAAGTATGCAGCCACGGTCGCGGGACTTCTTCGTCTCCAGCCACGCCATCCTGTCGGAGACGAGCACACTGCTCGCCGTCGCCTCCGGCTTTGGCACCAGCCTGGAGATTTGGAACTGGGAGCGGAAGAAGAAACTACAATCCATCGAGTCAGCCTTCCGCTGGGCAGCCGTGAAAGCCGACATCTACGACACAAAGCTTTACCCCCTGGCCTGCTACCGCGAGACCGGCGACGCCATCGACCTATACCCAGTCGCCGAGGACAGACCCGACTCCAAGAGCTCCAGCAAGAAACCATTCGGCAAGCCCATCTCCCTCGAGTTGTGCAAGGCCGGCCTGCCCCACGTCCCCAAGCTGCCGGAGCTGGCATACTCAGCCACATCACCACTGCTAGTGGCGGCCGCAGGGCCGCGGCCGCCGCGCGCAGGCCACCCGCCACCGCCTCACTCAGCCATGCTGATGGCGTGGGACCTCGACCGCCTGGGCAACGATGGCAGGCCCTCGTCGCGGCCCAGCCGCGTGTGCATGCCCCGGCACGCGGAGCTCGAGACGGCGCTGCCTTGTGGGATGGCCACGCACGGCAACATCGTCGTGTCGATCTGGATCCCGAATAATGTGCGGGTGATCGGGCGGCCGGGCGCGTGGCAGGTTGAACCTGTAAACGTGCATGAGCGTTGGGTGCTGGTGTGGGATCTTGCAACGGACAGCACATCGGTGTTCCCTATTCCGGACGAGAATACTATTGCGTGTATCAGTCCTGACTGTCGGTATGTGGCGTACCGGCAAGGACCTGGGGCGGATACCGGGGTAGGTGGAACAAGGAATTGTCTGGTAATATTGGATGCTCTCAAGGGCGGGCGGGAGTTGTGGAGGACACCAACTTTTGGAGGCGGGATGGGCATGGCGAGGGCGAGTGAGCAGTTGTTGGATCTGTCGAGGGTCATTTCAATTTCCTTTTCGTCGGATGGCAAAATGTTCTTTGTGGGTGATGTTGACGGATCAGTGGGAGTATACGAGATACGAGGGGATGGAGGAATCAACACCAACGTCGTTCAGAAGAAATGGTGAGCGGTCAGCCTCCTTGGAATCAGAGCTCGTGGAACAAACACATTTGCATGGAAAATTATTTGCACATACAGAGGGGGTGTAGTCCTATGTACAAGTAAGAAAGCAGTCTAAGAATATGATCTGCAAGATGATATCCCGCCATGGTTTTAAGTACGGAAATAAATAATTATTGATCAACAAATTTGTTGCCTCCTCTTCTTCATTGTTGGTGTCAAACCAAATACAAACCAACTTCAAGATCGTCAACGTGAACGAGCATCAATGTGAAAGCAGGTTCATAATCTTTTTCCCTTTTTTCAATGTGTCAATTCTGTCATTACCTACGCGAGTGCTGCACCTTCTCAGCTTGCGGAACAGTATATGCTACTTTTTGCACGTGCAAGTTGCAAATATTTGTAGAATTGAAAGATTAGATGTGGCGTTATGTCCCATGAAAATACTAGTGGTGATTGAAACTTCACCAACAGCAGTAATCTGTTAAAAGTAAGGGATTGTTATACCGTCTGGGATCTTAAGTGACAGGCCGATCACTATCACTGGCCAGTCATGAGTTCTCATGATGTTGAGAGTACTGCCTGACCCCAGGATGAGCCAACCATCCTCGTCCTGGTGTAGTTCAAATACTTTGATTCACTGAAGCAAAGCTAATGGTCATGATTATGCAGACTTTCATTACTGAATTCTATTTACTATTATTGTTATGAGACCGTGGCAACCCTTTCTTTCAATACTGGGTCCCACTCCCGCAGCCTCGACAGACGGCGTCCATCAAGACTAATTAAGACTGGGGAAAGAGAATGACCCGCTTGTACGAAGACAGGCTCATAGGCTGGTCATCATGCACAGTGATAATAATGTGCATCGTCTGTATTGATTTGTAGTCAGTAAATTGTTTCGATGGAGGTTGGTACAGTTAGATAACTTACCTCATTATCATTAGACGTAACATTCACCACAGACCCAGCCGCATTGAGAGGAGTAAACGTCACATTTGGTGAGATGCGAGGAATATCGCCCTCCAAGCGGAACGAAGGCTCCCTGTAGTGGAACCAGTCGAACGACAGCTCATCCGAGTCAGGGTCCCACGACTCGGAAGCATCCAGGACGACAGACTCGCCGAACGTGTACGGAATCTGAAGCGTACCACACGAGCCGTTGACAACTGCAACGGGCTGGTGGTTCGGGGCCGCAGACGCGTTGCCCGCGTTGACGGTCCACTGCATACGCGCGGCAAAGTCGTACTGGTAGGCCTCCCTCCAGCGCCAGATGCTGGCGAACTGGCTGAAGTAGGTCTCGTTGTTGACGCCGATGGCCCAGTCGGCCGCGTCGCTGAAGGTACCCTCGGCGTCCGACGACACCATCAGGATGTAGCGGCCGCCCCAGCCACCCCACTCAGGGTGCTCGGGCGTGTTAAGTCCGTTGGGGATGAGGCCGAGGAAGGACGGCGTGTCGCCCTCCATGATGTAGGACCAGTTCAGGTAGTGCGCGCCCAGTGGCCCGATGCGGATGTGCTCCTGGAGCCACTCGTTGCTCACCAACGACGAGTCTGGGCCGCCCTTGTCGAAGTGCCGGAAGAGTTCGCCCGAGATTCCCTGGTGGTTTGTCAGAGATATGTGTTCGGGGTTGATGGATCAAACGGAAAGACTTACATTCCAGGTAGCAATGGCGTACTCGCTAAAGCCGTGAATAGACACGATGTAGAACAACGTGGGGAAGTTGGTACGGATCCAAGCACCCGCGTCGTCCTGGTCCGAGATGGAATGTACCCGCAGCTTCCGCACGAAGGCTGCGACCTCTTCCTCGCTTCTCTCGTTCTTGACCTGGTTCAGCGCCTCAGCCAGCACGTTGGCTCCACCCCAGGCAAGCACCCAGAGCGGCTCTTCGCTGGCATCCACGCCAGCGATCAGAGCAGTCGAAGCATTGCTAGGAGTTGGCTCGTCCAATGCAGCCAGGCCGTACACTGGGTGTCCCGTGACGAGCTTAGCGGCGACCTCATCTGCTGGAGGATACACACCCGCCGCTGGGACGTTACTGTTGAGGTTGTCGACGACCTGGGAGTAGCCGTTGATGACACCGAAGATGGATGGCGTGTCGATCGAGTCGTTCTTCCATGTCGACGTGACGGCGGCGATGTTGACGATATCGAGCTCGTTTGCGTATGTTAGGAAGCGGACGAGACTCATCTGGTCGTCCGGCTCGTTGGAGATGTCTGTCATGACGAAGACACGGGTCTTGTTCTCATACTTTTCCGTCTCGCACAGGCCGTTGGCCTGGCGGGTCCGGATGGTACCGGCGAGCGCAGAGAGGGCGAAGCCGGACAGGGCGAGAAGCCCCCGGAGGGAGATAGCAGCACCACCCATTGTTGCTGTTGTAAGCTTGTCAATATGGGCAACAAGTACGAGTGCACTCAAGACTCGCTGGAGGACTGACCCTCAACTGCCGAGTGAAAGGAGGAGCCATTTATATATGTGCCGCCGAGGGCATCTGCCCACGACTCCATTGCTATTACTCGTGCAAGGCAGTAATCATTGGGATCTCCTCTTCTCATCCCCCTCCCGAACTCGGTATCTACTAGCCCACTGACTACTTGGCACGTCCCGTCGGCAAATTGCACCTTCGACGCAGTAGTCTAGTGTCTGTCTGCTGTGCTTATGCAATAGCACCCGAGGAGCCCACTCTTTGCGAGAGCGCGGCCCGATTAGAATAGTCGACCATGACGATGGGTTCACGGGACCAGCAAGAGTCTTTGCATTTTCCCCACATATCCCCGCGTCTTTCCCAGGAACAAGTGTGGGGTGCAGCGTGATGGTTCCCCATACTTTGGCAGCATGTTCCTGGCGGTGACGAAATTGCGGGAATACTTGTTAGCCGACTTGGGGGCCTAATCCGTCCTCGGCTTGGCCCAAAGGGTTCGCATTCGCCGAGGGTTCTGGATTCTGGATTGTGCAGACCAGCCAGTCCCCACAGGTATCCGCATCTCTCCCCCATGTATGCCGGTAGCTAGACGCATGTCATGAACCCATTGACACGGTATTTGGGCTTCTCTCGGCTTGCCCGGTCGGATAAAGTCCGTCGTGCCGACCTGACGATCATTCCACAAACCCGCCCATCGCTCTCCGTCGCTGTCCATCCTGCCGTCTCGGTCCCGAGATAGTTCTGAAGTCTTCACTGCAAAGGACTACAGAAGTGCGCGATGGCCTGTGTATGATCTGATTCTGCTCGTCTAATTCTATTGCTTGATCCGGGTCTATCCTCGCATGTTCGCGTCTCCGTCTATTCCATTTCACTCAATTCGACCTCCCCAAACTCCATAAGCATTGTTCTGGTGTCTGCTGTGTATAGCCCATATCCGATACCGCCCATGTCTTTTCTGTGCCATTTATCCCCCACCCTAAAGACCCATCGCGCTCATCCAGACAGGCTCTGTCTCTAGTCTTGGTTTGTGTAGCTCGTTCGCCGTCACCGGAGTGTCGTGAATTTCTCGGTTGTAGATGTTGCAGTCACTATTCCCTTGTCAGCCAGACTGTGTTCAAATAGTGACCGGTAATCAAGTCACAAAACTCACAACGAAAAGCAGTCAATCTCATCACGTCTCGGAGCTTGTCTGTTCACCCACACGGCCACACTTCTCGGCGAAGCTGCAAAGACACCCCAGCCCTCGCGGTCAATCACGATCTCGCCCCAGCAACCACCCAGGATGTCCGTCCATCTCTCGCCGGCGTGCTCCGGGCCGACAAACATCGTTTTCGTCGTATGAGTCCAACCATTGGTCACGACTACAGCCATGCCGGGGGTACCATATTGGGGATAGCCAAGTCTTGAGAAGCCCACGGAATGAGGATGGTCGAAGTAGTCGATTTGAGGTCCAAACGCATACAATTTGCGTGCCTGGACGATCTTAGGGAGAAGCTTACCCCCAAAAGGTGGCTCAACGAAGCCCTTCCCATCCGGTCGAGGGTAACCGTAGAGGTGGCCGTAGAACACACATGGGATGCCACAGTCCGCCCGGAGGAGGATGAAGGCATATGCCAGGGGCAGGAAATACTCCGCAATAGGAGCTGCCAGCGACTGTCCTTCCATCTAAAACCCAGTTGTCAGTGTCTGGCCAAGGTGGGTAGGTCAATTCAACAAACCGTGTCATGATTCGCAACGAAAGTCTGTGACGGTGTCAGCAATGGGATTGCGTCGAATATCTATGGTGCATCTTACCACAGCGTGTCTGGGCCGGATGGAAGCCAGAGAGCCATCAAAGACTGTTCGTAGGTCTGCTTTGTCCTGAAATGACAGCCTCGAGAAGTTGTTGACAAGTCTCACGTCAAAGAGTGAGATTCGGTCTCCCATGAAGCTGATGAACTTGGATAGCACATTCGAGTCGTCCCGCCAGTACTCCCCAACAATGAACCAGTCCCGTCCGACGGTTCGGTCGATATGGTGAACCAAATCTCGCAAAAAGCTTGCCGAATAGTGTTTGACGGCATCCAGGCGCAGACCACCTAGCCTGACCTGGGAGGCGAGCCACGTTACCCAATAGAATAAGTCTTGGCGGACCGCCGGGTGGTTGTGATCCACATCAGCAAACATCCTACATTGCGTCTCGTCAGCGATGAAGATACCCGGGGGCATGATCGCATGCATACAGGTAGTCATAGCTGCCGAGCTCCTCGTCGACATCCTGTGCCCACTCCTTGCCTTCGAACTTCCAAACGCCCTTGGAATGCGTCTTGTGGTCATAGTCGATCCCAGTAAAGTGTTCCTTGTTCCACTTCAAGGGACTGTACGCAGAACCCCGTCCAGGAAACTCATATCCAGACCAGGCCTCGATCACACACGACTCCTCGCAGACCTGGGTTCGATCTTCGACCTATTCAGCCAACTGAGCCCACAGCCCTCCCCGGAAGCGGAAAGCTCATCACGGGAACGAAACTCACCTTCACCGACGTACTTGGTGGCCACAACCTCCTCACTATAGTCCGCAGCCGCCTTGTGGTTCAGTACCGCGTCGAACAGGATGCGGATCCCGTACCGCCCGGCGTTCTCGGTCATTGCGACGAGCTCCTCCTTGGTACCCCACTTGGTGTGCCGGGAGCCCTTCTGGTCGAACTCGCCCAGATCGTACAGATCGTAAATATCGTAGCCGTTGCCCGTGTACCAGCTGGCCTTGCAGGCCGGGGGGATCCACATGCTCGTGACGCCGAGGGCCGCGAGACTGGGCAGCACCTTCTCCAGGCGGCGCCAGTGCTGGTGGTCGGCCGGGACGTACCACTCGAAGCCCTGAAACATGGTCTGGTTCTTTGCATTCGGCGGCGGAACGACGCCCGCTGGCCGGGGTGGTATAGGCGGCTGTCCATGAAAGGGGCCGAAACCCTGTTGATGGCCGTTCATGGTCATGACGGGAAGCAATCGCTCATGTCTCTGGGTTGTTGAGAGATCAAGGAGGATCGATAGAGTGTAACAGGGGATAAATAGCCAAGATATGAGCTAAATATGGCGGTTGGCTGAGTTCGAGCGAAAGAGCCTGCGACGGTGTTGAGGACAGCTCCAACAGTCTCCAAGCTCTGACGTGAGCCCCGGCGATGCACGATAACGTAATCAGTCCGCGCTGCACTGCCCCCTGAGCTTTCATCAACTGGTTTTCTACGAAAGACTGGTCCAAGATAGTGGGACAACTGACGTTGAAATGACTCGTTCCCCTTATTTTGTCCTCTGGATTAAGGTGAATGGATGGGTATCCTTCCCCAATTCCGCTGCGAAATGTTCCGACCTAGGCTCGCTGTTTCTTTGAAATATTTTGAAGTCGTTCTACTAGTGCTTCGATCTATCAGCCAGGAGATTAAGCAACATAAATCCGTGGGAAAAAGATATCCGAAACGTTAGCAAGGATTTTTTGATTGAAATGAAATTAGCAAGCCACATCAGTCTGCATTTCCCAAGTAGAGTCAAGGGACGAGCATATTTAGATTGGCCGTCGTTATGAGTGTCGACATCGATGCCGGTATTGAAACTCATAAAATGGAAAGTAATACATAGAATGAAACGCTACAACTTCTCTTTAGAGCGATGGGAACCTAATACAAGCGGTGTACGCCTCAGGGCGCTTTGTTGTCTCAGTTTCTTAGGCTCTCCCTATCCGTGGCTTGGTGCTTCCACACCGCCGCTATTGTGTACTGCCGCCAAGCTTACCTATCCGCTCGGTAGCAATTTCTGACCCGACTTAACCGTTGTCATCCAGGAATGAGATGGGCATGATAGAGAATAACACGAAGGCCAAAGAATTTCCTCAGTCCAGCAATCTCAGACACCGAGGTAGTGACAATCGGTTCATAACAGCTCAAAGCTTGAAAACCCTGCTCGGGATGTCAAGGCTAACGAACGCACGCTTTTTCGAAGCATTCTTCCAACGCAGTTGAGTAAAGAGCATATGAGGTTGGATCAGTAATTCTGACCGTCTTGGGCCCGCCGTTCTGTCGCTAATATTGATCATTCCGCTTGCCTGGGGCTCAGCCGAGGCAGTGAAATAGGAGCCAGCTCATCTGCGGCGCAGTGTATCCCATTTTGTGAGCTGACATGCATCAGTCTAACTTGTGCAGTAGCTTGATACGGGACGGAAGGATCGAGGCCGGTCGCTAGACAGGCACCAGACACGACTTCCACTACAGTTTTAACGTTATATCATGCCGATTTCGGGAAACTGTGACTTCAATTCATCCGACATACACAAGAGTCGGGCTCTCTATTGTCGATTGATCTCGTGATCGGGAGAACATAGGACCATCAAAGAATCAATGTACTTAAAGTTACATGATAGAAAAAATCAGAAAGAGAAGGGGGTTTGCAGCTCCAAGTCGTGATATAAAGGTCGCTTTGCCTTCAAAAAGACTGTGATGCTTGTAGACCAACCGAAAACGCATTATCCCCCCAACTGCTTCTCAGAACTTGGCTAGGCTATTATCTATTCACATAATCACTATGTTAATTGTACAAGTGCTCCTTATAACAGCGAGGGCGGCATTAACTGCTAATGCCAGCGCCCAGCGGGCATCCAGCCTCGATGCCAGCACCACTTGTAACGAAACCTGCAAAGAGCTCGTTCTTCGTGTTTCATCCTGGGAAGCGGAGCAGAGAGCTTCAGACTTCTCCTTTTACACTGTCCCGGAAAATTACTCTTCTGCCCTTGCGCCGGGCACCATTTTGTCACTGGAACGGACGACAAACTTGACAAATTACACAGTCCCGACGCCGCTGACCATGTCTCGAATGCTCTATACCACCGAAGACCTGAATGGAACTGTAATTCCAGCGTCGGCTTACATTCTTTGGCCATCAAGTCCTCTCCGAGTACCGGTAGCAAATTCGTCATCAAACAACACGCAGTGGCCGATGGTCGCGTGGGCTCATGGCACCTCGGGAGGTCTATCGCCCTGCGCTCCAAGCAACTACCGGAGCCTCCAGTACCACTTTCAGGTGCCCTTCACCCTCGCGCTACAGGGCTACGTGGTCGTGGCACCAGACTACGCAGGCCTCGGCGTCGGCAAGCTTCCCAACGGAGACACCATCGGACACCCATGGGCAGCATGGCCGGCGCAGGCAAACGACATCGCAAACGCCATCAAGGCGGCACGCAATGCTTTCCCCCAAGTTCTCGATGCCAACGGACCCTTCGTGGCGATGGGTCATTCCCAGGGCGCCGCCGCTGTGTGGTCATTCGCAGAACGTCAGGTTCAAAAACCGGTGGCGGGCTACAAAGGGGCAGTGGCCTTCGCGCCGCCCACGGGCATTATCGAGCAGGTCAGGAGGGCCCGATCTGACTACGCCGCAAACAAGACGCAGCTGTGGACAAATGCCTTCCTCAGTTTCCAGACGCCGCTCATCAAGGGCATCACCGCTGCGTATCCGTCCCTCAATCTCTCAGGCATGACAGAGCTTGGTCGAGATAGATGGGTCAATGTCCAGGAGGCTGTTCAGGGGTGCCTGCCGACGAAGCAAGTAGCGAGTATCGGTGCCCCTTCGGTGGAGATGGCATATCGTAACTGGACGGAGCAACCCACGGTTCTTGAGTTTGAGAAGAGGGCTGCAACTGGACGGAAACCCTTCAAAGGCCCATTTCTAATTATGTCTGGAGACTTAGACTCTATAACGGATATCAACAACCTGAAGGAGACTGTCAGAGATACTTGTGGCACTTTCGACACAAAAGGTGTCCAGGAGAGTTTACAATTTGTCGAGTATACTGGGCAGAACCATTTTCCCGTCATTCAGGCCAGCCAGAGTAAGTGGTTTAATTGGGCCAGGGAGAGATTCTTTTCGTCTGCAAATCCAGATCCCGGGTGCAGTTTTGAGGTTGTCAAGGGTTTTAGGGGCGAGGAAGCTCTCAACTCATTGTTTCCAAACTTTCTACTGGAAACTGCGGGCCGAGGCGACAGCTGGAAATACTCGCTCTAATGCGCAACACCTGTCTAGACTAAGAATGATGTGTTATGAGAACCGTTCATGCGCCGGTTCTACAGACGTTACGAATCTGATCAGCATTGACATGGACGTCGGCATGTTAATGATTTAGTCTATATCGCGGTACACACATATCGATTACTCGCATAATACATTTATCTTCTCGAGTATTCTCTAACCATGATCTATCTGCGATAACCCTGATGCCGGAACATTGAGAGCTGTGCATAGCTGTCTCGAATTTATTACAATCACGATGACATAATTTTTTGCTTCAAAACCGCATACAGGAATCTGTAACATCATCAAGTAGAGATTGAGAACTGCAGCGCATTTTTACGAATCCTCAGGTCAATCGAAGACAGAATTTTTATGTTGCTCGGTTGCACGCCGAAATCAGCATGACAGCATCAAGTGGTAGACTCATCATGAGCGCACTTCAACCAAGGGTCTGGTAGTGCCACGGCCTGTCTCTTCAGCCAGTTCAGCCGGAAGTGACTCCAGCTCCGCGTGCGCTTTTGCCTCTTCGTAGTCCTCTGCGTGCTCGAAATCAACCAGATAAATACTTCCTGGTGGATCATCTCGGATAATGAAGTTATACCTGTTGATATCTCCATGCACCAGTCCCAAGTCCCCCAGGCTGTGCAGTCGCCTCAGCAGAGCCTCGCACCGTGGCAAGTCATCCAAGCACGCAAACCTGCCCTCGACCTTCTCCATCAGGAAGCCAATCACACGGCCATTCTCCGTCAGATGACCCAGAATTTCTGGCGCAATGGGCCGTCCATCGTCTGGTTGTCGACTTTCAGCCAGAACGCAATATGCCCATGTCTCATGAGTAAGCCTTGGAATCTGCCACCCGAAGCAAGCAATTTTGGCGATTGCTTCTCGCCCTTGATAGCGCGTCTCATAGACACCGAATTTGAGACGTTTGATGTACGGCAGGGATAGCACATCTATTCGCTTCTCGTGCCAAGTGAAGGTGACTTCTTCGAGGGGTTCATCGGACATTGTGACTGTGAGAGAGCCATCTATGTTACGGCCGAGATGCATCTTGGTCCATGGAGTATCGGGGAACTCCGGCAATTGGGGAATGAGAAGGTTAGGGCGGCTCATGGTGTCCTCATCGAAGACGTCGGCGGGGATGGTCAGGTAGTGAACTCGTTGACCAGCACGAATGCGGTACATCCCTTGCTCGTCATTAACTTCTTGGGATAGCACCTCAATTGAGGTCCTTGGCACGGCCCTCGCCATGTTGGGCGTGGCTTGCTCCGGACTGTGCACCCCGAGGGTGGGGATGGTGTAATGTCCACAACGCAACGCGGGGAAGTCGCGAGCGGACTCTCAGCGTAGAATTATAGGTAAAGCGACTACATGTGCCGCCTGTGCATCGCAGCCCGCAGATGCGCACGGCACACACGCCCGGAAAAGAACACCAAACCAGCAGTACAAGTACAACGAATTGGTCAAAATTCGCGTTCATATTCCTGATCAGGTGATGGAACATCCCATCTCCGAATTTTCCAAGCTCCGTCCATGCAGTTCCCACCAAAATGTATCGCCATCATCGTCATGCTTCAATTTTCCTCCTGCCGTCTAGAAATCAAATGCTATAGAGTTTCAATGCTGAGCAATGTCGAATTTGTTTCGAATACCCAGTCTTCGAGGAAGATCGCCATGCCGCACATGATTTAGGCGACGACATGGTATGCCACTCCGAGTGTAGAACATGGACCGAACATGGACCGATCATCACTTAAAGCCTTTGAGTAATAAATGTTCGTTAAAAATGCTGGGCCTTGGAGCGATAAGAGTACAATCAATGCCATTTCAGATTCAAGGTCCGCAAAGCCCAGCTGAAGCAGGTTATGAAGCCCTGGTGTCGTCAGAAGATCACACTTTGCAGAGTCTGATAGATTTAAAGCTCGTTGCAGATACTTGCAATTATACAGATCCTCCCCAGCATAGATCTGATGCGAAACCGCCTTGGTTAGACTGTGCACACCTATAGACTGAGATCGTAAGGTCTATGTCGGCACTAACGCTGACGAGCTTGTACAATTCCTACCGGGCGAGTGTGTTTATGAGAATCCGTGCACATATGGATTTCGTAATATGTACGGAAGTCTGGCGTAGCTTTTCGGACGAGTACAAACATTTGACTGACAGTTGACCGGGCACCCACTTGTCACGCCGGATTTCAGTTCAGACACTGCCAGCGAGTTTCTTCGCAAGTTTGGGGAGATAAGTGTGAATCATACTCTGTACAATTCGCATCCACCCGGTTCAGAGAGCAGCGCGGAGCTAAGATACGGAATGAACGCATTTGATTTCGAGCCTACTGAGGGCTGCTGACGCGTATGATGCATGACCCGTCGCCTTTCAATGTACCAAAAGCGATTGCACGATGCTATTCGACAATCAAATGAAAGATGGCATATCGAGATGTTCTAGCAGTCCATGTGCCAGCTCGGCTGGCAATCTGTCGAATTCACCGAGGGATGAGGGGCGAATTTGGGGCTGCAATGCTTCCACTGGCTCAGGTGTTTCACTGATAATCATCAATAACCGTGTGAGGCACGTATATTGGTGCGAGAAGACAGATAATCAGAGAGAAGAGAAAAGTGTCAATCTCTCAAGGCTCACCCCCGGCATCTTGGCAAGAGAAATGTTGATTTGAATGCGTAGTGTTAGCCAATGAAGTTGACCAAGAGATCTTGGTCAGATGAAGACAATCCAAGGAAATGAGAGAAATGTGTCCAAAGAATTAATCATAATCGACACGATTTAGCCCTCAAGTTCCTTTCCTTGCCACTAGGAGGTACTATCTACATTGTCTCAGCTTTGCTTCTTCGTACTTCATGTCATGTCTCCGGCCGAACTCAAGCTTCAGTTCACTTTCCATTTGAAAGAACTTGGGAGACCCTGGGGGGAAATCCAACGTCAGAAGCCAACAGAAACGTCATGACATACTCGAACCCCGCAAATTAAGCGATACGACATCCTAACCAAGTTTCAGTAAGTCGGAGATAGAGGCACAATTAGCCTGTCGCAAAGCATTCGTTCAATGGGGCCTATGGAGGCAACGTCTTGATCGCAAAGATTCCTCTATGTCGCCCAACTCTCTCGAAGTGCATCTTTTGAATTTCATCTGCTCATTTGCATGATCCGAGAACTCCATCTATGTTGAAAGTTTATAGACGCGCTGGGAACTTACACGCTTCCTCTCTCTTAAAAAGGAAGTCAGCGTCCGCAATCAGACGCCGACCTTTCAATGCAGGCTTTGGCATCTTAAAGAATCTCATGCCTAGATATGCCAGGAAAGAAAACATTTCCCTCAAGCTGACCTCTTATTGATGAGGCACCCAAGTTTTCAAGAATAGAATGCAGTTCTCTTTCAGTGACAAATCAAACCAGCCACCAGGATACCAATTCAATGTACCTCTCTAGCTGGACTAGAGGAAAGATCAGGGTGCTCTATGTTCTAAGAGACCGCTCAAGAAAGGAAAAGACTTTGTATGAATAGTCAATATTGGATGCAAAGGACTTTTATGTCGGCATGGCATTGTTGAGAAGCCAGGCCATTTTAGAGACAGCAGATATCCCTACCAGTAGGCCTACAGAATGGCTTTCAGCACTATTTCACATCTTAGTATCGAAATAAATACTAGTCATTAATTTGAACTCAAAGATATAACGATTTGTAAAACATTGAGCATTAATAGAAAAGGGTGTGTGATCATCGATTGGCCTTAAAACTTTCACCCCAAACATAATTGAGCATTATTCTATGTGATTACATCTTGCTTTTCAGGTATATAAAGATGAAGGTAAAATTTACTTGTGCTTGTACTGGTTTCAGCGTTCACCAGAGTGTGTTCGTATTCGATCGGTGCACTCCCCCTGGACTGGGCCAAGCAGGGGTCGGTTCAGTGACCCCCGAAGGCCGTGTCGGAAAGGTCACCCTTTGCTTTAATGAAGTGGGCGGCTCAATTTGTGCTTGATTCTGATTGACTCCGGGCCCCTCTGGAGTAGACCTTTTCTGCCCGAACCATGGCCACCCCCCCGACCATCCCATGAAGCCCCCTCGTGTCGTTTCAGTTTGGGATGTCCGCGATGGCCCGGCCCCTCCAACAACGATAGAAGTAAGATGCAGGTCTGGAGACTTTTCTGTCTGGACTCGCTGTTTTCCACCCTCTTTGGTGGCTAAGCTGTCCTTCATGGTTGAGATCGCGGGAGAGCGAAGACGTTTCGAATTGTATCCATCTACCACCCAGCGCTGCTCCGGGGCCACTGCTTCTCCAAGACAGAAGAAATTGGAGTCAACGAGAGGCCCGCCGATGATTTTCCAGTGAGGAGAAATCAAGTTGTCCCCTGACCCGGCAGAAGCTGAAGCCGTGGGTCCATTTCGATCTGCGCCCGCAAGATAGAATGGGTTCATTTCACGCCAAACATGCATCCTGCGGATGATCTGGCAGCTGTACATTCTTCGTGGTGGTTGCTCTTTATCTGGTTCGTCCCGATAGATCTCGACCAACAATCCGATTTCAGGCGGCGATTCTACTGGTCGTGGTCTGGAAAGTATGATCGCTAACGGGGTCTTCGGATTGCGGCTCGCGATCCCAGTCAGAAAGGGTGGTGCACGTGGATCCGCGGGCTTTGCGCTATACCATTCCACAAGGTCTCGATTTGCGGGAAATTTGAAGGCTGGGGCAACTGTGCCTTGGTCCATCCGGTCCATCCCAAGAATTTCACGCCGAGCACGGTCGCCAATAGTATGCAGCAAGAATCCGGGGTACTTGACTTCCAGGCCATTATCAAGCAGGTCTGTTTTCCCAGTCCAACGACTAAGTGGATTCGGGTAGTCGATTTCGTGAGCAGACAACCACGTTTTGGGCGCCCAGCCGAATCCCTTGTGGTCCTTAACCTTGTCGCCGGGAAGGAAGATGATACCAGGAGGGATTGCACCGCGATAAGACCCATGAAACGTCTTCCAAAATTCTGTGACCAACTGCTCTCTTAGTTTGTCATCAACGTCTTCGAGCTTGGTAAGACCGGCTTCTTCTATTTGAGTGCCTTGATATTTGAGACCAAGCAGAGTTGCGAGAGCAAGCGTTTCGTGTGCAGTGTTGCTTGTTGTCTACATGACGGCCAAATTAGTATCGTGGCTGCAGCTCCACAATATAAATATACATACCCTCCATCGCGCAGCGGACCACGCACTTGCGATCCAAAAAGCGGCTTTCTCTGGCGACATGTGCGTTCGTTGATCCTCACGATCACCCTTGCCCATTATGTTCTGTGCAAGCATATCTTTCACTGTACCCGTGAGCGGAGATTTGAGTTCGTTGTCAATGAGATATCCCAGGTCCTCTTTTAGTTCGTCGTAGCTGATCAGGTTCTTCCAGTCCAAGCTCTCGGTTCTTTCGAGAAATGCAAAATGGAGTTGCTCGCTCAAAAATGATTCCTGAAGTGTCCAAAGTCGTCTCATCCAGAAACTCGCAAGTATCTTCATGGCTGTCTGGGTTGGCTTGTCCTTGGCTCCGTCCGTGCTGCACAGCCCGTTGTCTAGCACCACTGTGTATGTTGACTGATCGAAAACTTGGAAGATTTGGCCTATTGCCTTCTTCTTGGTCTTTTTCTCGTCCCTCGTCATGTTCTCTTTTACAGGAACTACGAGGGTGTCCATCCAAAATCCAATATCCTTACCATTGTTGACGCGTTTCAGTTGACGTCTGATGAACTTGAGCTGGCATGTGTGGAGCTTGTTCTCTTTCTCGTTTCCCCAGCCATCAGACCAGACATGTGAAATTGTTGCGAAAGTCCTGTCTCCTTTCTTTGGAAGGGCTTCCACCCTTAGCTCCACTGGTTCCTCACTGTCGTCGTTTGAAAACCTCAGCACTGGTATATCGGACGCTTGAGTTGAGCCCCTCCCTTGCAGTACCAGCGTCACCTCATCCATATTTGGACCAACCATCTCACAGCCACCATCTTGGTCCTGGTATTTGCAGCCCGGGACGCAAAGAGGAGAATATGCCGAGCTGCTGTTAAGTGTTTTCGCGTGGCACTCATCCTGCGTACAGTGCTCGTGGCGATCAATCATTCTCTTGGAGTGCTTGTAAGCGTAATACGCTTGCAATAGTAGCGTGGCGTTGGACCTGAGTTGGCCCTTGAGAAGAAGCACCGCCCGAGGGCACCATCGATCTTCAAGCATTCTCATGAAAACCCACCGCGGTGGTCCCCAACCGTCATCGTCATCGCCATGCCAGCCTTGCAAAAACGTGCTCTCGCCGTCATCTCCAGAGCCTTCCATTATTCTGGATTTGACCTGCCACAAGCACTCACCCAGAGTCATCAAAGCCATGGCCTTCTCGTCTGATAGATGGTTGGCTACCTCGTTGCGCTCAATGCGGTATTCGACATGGTCCTTCTCGATGTTGTAGCCACAATTTCTTCGTACCACTTGCCGGGCTTTTTCCAGGACGTATTCGACTTGTATCATCCGGGCCCACAGATCCTGTGGATTGTTTTTCTCCCAATCCACCCATCTCTTCAAGGCCGCATTTAGAGACTTTGTACTCAGCCAAGGTCCTGAGTGAAGCTCGTCGATCGTTAAGATAGGATTTCCATCTTCCTGAACCACCACAAAGATCAATCCAAAGAATAACCACGCTGTAAGCAGAGTGTCTAGACTTTGATGTGGTGTGTTCTCATCCCCATGTGTCTCAAGCTTGTAGCCCAGCTGTAGTTCCCATCCTAGCTGTTTGGGGAATTTGTGGAATTCTTCCTTTGTCCGCGGTAGGCGTGCACCTGAGAGATCCTTGGCGATATATTCAACCTGGATTACATCGACTCCATAATCTTCTGATAAATGATCCATGTTGATCAGAAAAAAAGGACCTGCGAAGTAGAAGAACTCAGGACTAGGCGTATTGGGGAACCGAGCCACGGATTTAGATCGCGGACATAACCTGCGCTTCTGGCTTTCAGGCACGTAGTCTATACTGGTAGGGTGCAAATAGAAGAAATCAATTTAATCGAGAACAGACGGGCCTCAGGCTGCCAACTTCCACTATTTATAAGTTCAATCCTTATTGGTAAGCCTAGGTACAGAGTGCTTGATTGGAGTCCCTGCAAGCCAAGCCTGAGTCCTGGGCCTCTATTGATAGTCAGGGGGGGCCCCGGCAGAATTGATCGCCCTTAAGGAAATTGATGGTACTACAATATTCAACGCCACCGACTGCTATTGAGGGGAAGTGCATATGCACAAAGATAGGCGCTTTGCGAGTTCAGAACGGAACAAACGCAACCCGAGCGGCATGCAGAAGTTGTGGGTACCTCTGCCGGCCAAGCAGTCTGCCTAATCAGCAACCAAGCTTCTCAGAAAATGCCACCAGCCTCATGCAATCATCGCTGAGTCCACGTCCATGATCTGCTGACAGGATCATGGGTGACACGTGCATTTAAGTGGTTGGTTTTACAGCAGCCATGGGCAAAGCTGAGAAAAGAACTAGAAAATCTCACCATGGAGGTATGCAAATCAGGCTCTGGCTCATGCGAATCAGAGCTGGACTCGACTGCACCGGAATCGACTGGACCGTAAGAACCGAAGATACCGAATGATTTGCCACGTTTCCTGTTGCTGACAGACAGTGAAGTCTTGCAACTCGTGGAAGAGGCAGCTGAGCGTGGGCGTGAGCGTGATTTACGCGGTCGACACTCGCAGGGGCGCGAGCGAGGTAAATTCACCACCCTCCAAGACGGGAACCGATGGGGGCAAGGGACTCGATGGAAGAAGGGCCGAGGAGGATCATCATGTGGTTCGCCATTCACTTTTGGTTAGGGGGGGTCATTCTGAATCAGCCCATGTGTTACACATGTCACAATCGGGCATGACTGGGCATTCTTTAGATAGCATAGCCTACGGGACCCCCACCTGATGCACGCTGCGGCCTTCGTGTAGCCAGAGAGGGTACACCTACAAAGGAAGGGTGTTGTCCTGTGGCGGCACACGTTTCTGGCCAACACTCTCCTTGCTCGCCCCGCTTTCTGTTCACTCCTGCTAAGATTCAGCGTTTCTCACAAATCCTCATCATATCACTACAAAATGAGTCTATTCTCCCGAAGAAAGGTTTGAGTCCTCTCTCAGGCGTAACATGAGCGCGAAGTAGATATTGTTTTGCTGATCAAGCAATGCGCAGGCGGCAACGCTCAAAACAGTAGCGCTTGTCGACGACCCTTCCCATGAGTGCGTACGCTAACAAGTGAAAGTCGCAAATTCTCTTCGAATCGTTGACTGAGAATTAGAATGATCATCGTGAATCCTTTCAAAAATGTGAGACTCAAGCATCTTGGCGACGCAATGGAGTCTTGGGCTCAGAATGCGTCCAAAAGACTCCAGACTCGCTTCAACATCAGGGCGTACTCATTCGACGTCTACGAAGTGTTTGAATCTGGCCCCAAAAGACTTCAGACCTTGATTGCCCATCTTCAAAACAAGGTCAACGAACTTGATTGGGATGAAGAGTCGCCCCTCCATTACAGACGATCTGAGATTAAGGTTCAGCGCAGTTCAAAGTCTGCCATGGCGTCCCGAGATGTCAAGGGCAAAAAATCACCAAAGATCGTGTTCGTCGCTCACAGCCTGGGGGCATGGGTGGTGAAAGGTCTCTCTCCATCGCTTAGCGGAGCCGCTTGTCTTGTCATTCTCGATGCAAGAGCATCTTCAGCAAATGGCGATTACATGCAGTATCTCTTCAAATTGACAGAACTCTTTGCCGTGCAATCAATCAAGCCAGCACGTCTCGAAGAGCTGCGCAGGTTCCTTCAAGAGACCGACAACACCTTCAATGATAAAGAACTAGGGGTCCAGAATCTTGCAACAGGAGATCAAACCAAGTCTCCCTTTCAATTCAGAATCAGACACGAATCTATATGGATATCAGGAGATGTTAGCTCGCCTGCCAGTCCGGTAAGTCTTGTTCATTGAAAAAGTTCCAGCGTTTTCTTCCTAAACAATAACAGAGCAAGAAACCGCGACGACTTAGCAAGACCATCAACATTGGATCTTCGCTGCGTGGAATCATCCCAGGAGGACCAAACCCAGGCACTACTCCAGGCTTATTGGCTGTCCAACTTTTCAACAGTGTCAATTTGGAATCCATGCTGAATTCGTTGATCTCTGATGACTTGGGTCTCAAGCGTGAGAGAACTGAGGAACTGGCAACATCATTTTTTCGGACCGGCGAGTTCCACAACGCTCAGCGTTTATTCAGCATTCTTGACAACCAGGGCTCCAATCTAGCCCAAGGCCAGATGATCAATGTTCGGCTAAGCCTCGCCCAGACATTCCTCTACACAGGCGAGTACCTTGAGGCTCGGCGCCGACTGCAAGATCTCAACGATCAGGTTCTGCGCAACAAGTTTGGTCATCTGAAATCGCATATCAAGCTCGAAATTGATAGGTGGCTCGCAGTCTCCTCTATCTTCCTAGGTGACTATAATGACGCGGCAGAACGCCTTCGAAGGTTGCTCGATCAGTTTGACGACACGAGAAACTCGGGACCAGAGGCCAATGATTTTTATATTGCAGTGAGAAGAGATCTTGCCCTGACTTATGCACATCTTGGCCAATATCTTCAAGCCGAAACGTTGCTCAACCGAGTCGATGAAGATATAGCAAATTATCGTCCCAGTGATGACATCGACGTGAAAATCACAGCTCTCTCGGTCAGCTTTGTACGCGCGACATTGTTTATGTTTTGGGGAGAAATGTCCGATGCCTTACGAGAGTCTGAGAAAGTACGTCGGGGACTTCAAGAGCAACTCGGAAGATATCACTTTCAGACACTTGAGTCTGCAAGCCTTCAAATCCGCATCCTGACATACATGTCCCGGTATGATGAAGCTCAACCGCAGTGTGATGCGCTCATTGGAGACATGTCACGAGAGTTGGGTCGCAACCACCCTTTGACCTTGGGAGCCGTTGAAATCCTTGTCCACATACTCCGCTCTCAGTCTCGATTTGCGGAGGCTCTGGAAACAGCAAGGTCACTACACAACCGGACTGAGAGTTGTCTTGGAGCCGAGCACCCGCAGACATTACGTACTAGGAGTCATCTTGCAGCCACTCACTTCGAGCTTGGCAACTATAGAACAGCAGAGAAGGAAATTGAGGTCGTTCTCTCAATCGGTGATAAACGCTCAAGCCTTGGCAAGACAAGGCCGGACGTTCTCGAATATCATTGCGTTAAGGCACGCATACTGAACAGAACCGAAAGATCCGAGAAGGCCTTACAGCTTGCGTTGGATACCCTCGAAAAGCAGATGGTGCTGTACGAAAAGGTGACAGCAAGACCGAAGAGTGCATCTTCAAAGATCGGGCGCTTGGATGGTCTGGTCTCACGACCCCCAACACTAACGTTCAAGATCAACGATAAACACAGCAATCCTGTCGAGGCCATTGAATCGACCTTGAATGACATGGAGAGAGATACAAAGGGAAGGAACAGGAACTTTCCAATGATATCGACTCTCGAGCTACTCGCCCTAATCCTCAGACACTATCGGAGTGAGCAGCTGCAAACAATTGATCCTGGAAGAATCATGGGAATTGTTGTCAACCACCGACGTGCCAAGCTTGGGGATGACCACTTGGACACATTGAACTCAGAGCTCCTTTTGGCATTGATTGCTCGAGACGAGTCCACACATGACAGTAGGGAGTACGCCAGCGACGCGCTGTACGAAGTGTGGCGCAAGCTGTCAACAAAGTTTGGCCAATCTCACCCACTGACACTGTCTGTTGAGCGGGAAGTTGTCGTAACGGATTGCATGCGCGCAGTCTGGGTTCAAGGCGGTCCTGCACGCCGACAAAATGAACTGAAACTCGGCTGGGAAATGCTCCCGTCACCCAATGACCCGAACAAGAATGATAGAGCTCATAGTCTGACTCTTGCGCAGTGGGAGGATGTGGAGTACGTGTCTGAAGAGGTTCTGCAATTTCAGGAACCGCAGTTAGGGCCGCTGCACCCCGAAACTCTGAAATCACTCCTTTGGCTTTTGCGGGTGCGGTCGATCCTCAAGTCTATGCTCATGAACAGTCCCGAATCCGGAATACATATTGACGTGAAGAAAGTATGGGACGATCTCCGGGATAGACTACACAATTCGAACGTCGTTCAAGAGCGTCCCCTTGAAGCACAGCGCATGGAGGAATTAGCCTTGGAATTAGCTGAGCAAGAGCGAAGAGCTACTGATGCTGCGCTCCCCCGTAGCGGTGAAAACACGTCTAGCTAGTATTCTGGCCTTTCATTGTCACGACACGGTTTCTTATTGCGATTATTTAACGCGTCGGATAGTCTATCATTTTGAGAGCAATGTCATTTCACATTCAGTCTCCTCACCATGAAGCATGACATGTAATTCTTTGTCCTTGACTCAGACTGTTGTCAGCGACGGGGTCTCTTGGAATGGACAGGCCTGTGAAATCGCAGCTTAGAAAATGCTCACATGTTGAGGAAGGTAATGGGTCATGAAGTAGCGAGTCGCTAGGTTTCGCTAGTGCCCGGACGGTCGGATTCCATCCGGCTCATACTTGTTAATGATTTTAGAGTAGCCCGCTCAACCTCAAAGCAATTCCGGGAGGACATAATATAGCATGCGTGCCGCTATACTAATGCACGTGCTACTGTTTCCTATCAAAGGGTCAAGATTTCAAATCTCATTGTTTGGTTTAAACCCTGGTCGCACTATGGTATCAAGACTTTACACGGTTTGTCAGTGGCCCGAGATGGAGGCAGTGTGTTCTCGGGCCGCCATGTGATGATGGATCGAAACCCCCAAATTTTCTCTTCCTGATTTTCCATGCGCAGCCTTTCGCGGCCACGCGACAAGGTTTTCATTGCTCGTAACAGAAAAATCTCTCAACACTATCGGGGAACTAGGTAGCATCTGTCGATGAGGTGTATGTCCTGGCCTCGTGGTGTCCAATTTGTCCGCTCGAGAAATATTTCCTTGGACTTTGACGGAAACTGCTTGCTGATTCGTAGATTTTGAGTTCGGCATATCAACTTGGACATTGCTTTGTTTGCCATGATGGATTGACCAACAACCATGTGTCATGACCGAGGATGGTTGAAAGCGATTCTTGACGGGACGCTTAGGCCTTCCGCGAGCGATTTCGTCCTTTCTCCGCTCGGCATCATAAGGGTCCTTGTCCTTGTCTCCTTGCCCGTACCACCATTTTTCCTCAAGCGGGCGAAGCCTACCTGGGAAGAACTCTTTCAGCAATGGCCTCGCCTGCTGGTAGGACGTCTGAAAGTCCATCAGACAGTCCATGACCTTTTGTGTCTTGATAGTGTCAATAAGGATTAGAGGTAAATTGTGTCTCTCAGACGATGTCTCAGTCGCCGCGAGCCAGGCGTTTTGGAACATTCCAGTTGCACCAATCCCTAGCAGATACCAAGTATGCTGTTTTTCTGCGGCGACATTGATAAGAAGCAGCAACCAGAACACGGAGAGTACTCCGCTCATTATCTTTGTGATCCAGAATCCCATTGGAAGACCATAGGCATTTATCGATCCTCGACACCTCGATTCCCGCCTTAGCAGCTCTTGCGTCCCATCATTTCTGGTATTGGGCTTTGAGAACAGCGTGAACTTTTCCCACGGCCTGCTTGTGCGAGGGCTTCCGGAGGCGCACAGCTCCTCGAGGTCCAGGCAATAACCCCTACCGAAGATAACAATCACGTCTCTAGATCCATTCCCAGATGTAAGTGCGTACGCAGTGTTTGAGCGCTGTCTATTGGGGAGCTTTTCGGCCCTCCACTGTGGAAGCCAGCCCGTGATCTGCACCATGAATGTCCCAGCTACGACTATCATCATCACTGTCCATTCACGGTCCAGCACGATGGGAACCACCGCAAGGGCTAACTGCAAAACCGTGATCAAGGCGCCTGCGGCATGAATCCGGCCCCAAGAAAATGACGCCGGACCGTTCATGTTCAGAGTTGCCTCGAACACAGAGATCCGCATGCCGTGATCCCCAATTGGATCAGTCCGTGATAAGTATGACTCGAGGTCGCGAAGGATGCGTCCAACGACCCAGTTCTTGTTCTCCCGCTGGTAGCCCGAGTCCAGATTGAATACCTTCGCCGGGTAGTCGGGCGGCGGTAGTAGTCGACCATCGCCAATGATGCTGACGAGGGACACAAAGGCGTACGCAACACATCCAAATGAGAAGCAGACCGGGGTATAGACCTTCCCTGTCCCTTGCGCCAGGGCTTTCTGTACCACATCCCCACCTATTATCATCAGAATCGATGTGACATCACTTGGACTGGCCCACTGCATTTTCAGGCCAGCGGCTGATGTATTCATGATTTTTCACTTGGTGGCTGCAAGTCTTAGCGTATGGAGGTTCGGGGCTCTGGTCGTAATGCTTTAGTCTTGGCCGAGCTTGCCGCATTCAATTCAAGACTATACAGGACAGGCGGTCTTAGAGAGAGGGGTCGGGTACGTGATGACCCAAAGACGGGTAGCATCCTGTTTTCATGAGCTTGCTGGTGGTCATCGCAGGATTATCTGTAGGACTACACCATCAAGATGTGCCCCCAATTCACACCCTCCTTTTACACCGTTTGCCAGAGAAGTGCAAGATGCTCTACAATGGCTAAAGGTCAGAACTGTTAACTGGGCGCTAAAGATGCTGACTGCCTGCATTAACATTATGTTAAAAGAGTGCTAACATTCATTACCCTGAACCATTGTAACTAGGCTGCCGGGCAATCATGCGTGTGGTCACACGAGGTGCAATGTGCCCATGCATCTTCGCCCTGTCAAGACATGGGGCCAAGACCTCGGTCAAGTTGTCCTTGTTGTGGTATGAATGCCAAACATAAAAACTCAGAGCCTGATTGTGGCATTGCTTCTGTTATCTGTGCCGGACGTGGCAGTGATTAACACGTTCTTAATTGGGTGGGAAATCATTAGCCCTGTTGAGGGGGTTCCACGCAAGACCACCGACAAAGCGGGCAACCATTGAGCGGCTTGTGAATGGTATACTTGTATTCGCCCAAAAATGATGGTGCAGCTGCAGGGGGGGCACCACTCCACGTCTGAATGATGCCCTACTTGTCTCATGACCAATAAATGGATAATCAGTCACGGACAGCAAACCGGTGAACTGGACAGGGTGGGATTCGCTTCGTTGCTGCTTATACCAAGACTCACACAATGGCCATTTTACGCATTCGTTGTCGGCGTTGTGTACCCAGTAGTGGAATATGTCGAGTGATCAGATCCTTCACGTGCCTGCGTGACATATACCTTCGCAACCACCTCTGTCCTGTGGTCACATGGTGGGGCTGATACCAATACGACGAGCAGTGGATCTGTTGAGTCAGCTTCACAACAGTTCTGAGAAAAGACCGGCTCAAATCAGGAACGGTTCTAATTGGCAACCATTTTAATTTGGGGACGGCGCAAAGGTGGAAAGATGCAGGGCGAAGGAACAGTATACGGCGCTTCGGTATAGAAGTTGGCCCAATCAGAATTAATACTCTTTATGACAGAAAATCTTTCTTTTCGAAATCTTGAGTAATTAGAATTGAGTTGAAAAAACGTCCTCTCAATCAAACCCATCTGGCCTTCTCTTTACGTACGTTCCTCTTTTCTGGTAAGGAAGGAGAGGCTGGTTGGCTGGCTGGCCGGTAAATGTTCTGTACCTTTCTCTTCACACATTTCCCCTTCCGTATCGTTCCCGAATTTGAACCGTTCTTCTGGTTGAAATTGTTACAGAGCCGCTCCAGTAAGTACCTGAGCAGCGCTAGCATAGCGCCGTCACGGCTCAAGTAGAGTTCAAATAGCTTATAGACGGACAGCATTGCAACGAACAGGAAGGCAACTCCACCAAAGCGATGCGAGCTGCGAGACCAGCACTGATCAGCGAAAAAATTGAATTTCAAGCCTTGTCCTGCGATTGGGTGACGCTGAGTATCTTGCATCCGAAAGAGCGCTAGGAGCAAGGACGCTGCCGTCTCCGTCGCATTTGTCTGAATCATCTGGTACGCATGATCCCTTTCGAGTCCCTTTATCTAGGCTCATGCCATCGTGAGATATTATCTGCAATGACTGAAACAGCCTGTTGAGACGTCGAATGCTGCCTTCAAATCCTTGGAAGCCCCTTTGATCAGGAAAATCCATGCAAGACATGATGGAAAATTTATAGAATTTGGCCAATCTGCCCAAACTTCACCATGCCCATGCGTATTCACGTGAAAGACTTTAGGATACGCCCGGTAGGAAAACAACTTCGACAGGCCAAGGGCACATAATTTCTAAGCTCCGCAAAATCAAACGACTGACGGGACACCTCAACTCATTGTCAAAAATGAAGAGATCGGTCTAACGCATGATCTTGCTCAAAACGCGATATAAAGAGGTCGTCATAATCACGAAAATCTCTCCAGGGCTGCTAGTTTGTTTCCCAATCCGTGCTCTATGTAACACAGCCGGACTGGATGAATCTTTTCTGCTAGCGCTTTCACCAGGTCTTCAAGCCTTCTCTTCCGAGATGGAATTTGGCCGAAGGCTTCGGGCACGACCCTGCAATATAATACTGTGATCTTTTCTTATTTTGCCATTATTGTTGATAAACATCTTCATACACACTTGGCACCCATTATTCAGATTATTGCCGAAGTAATGCTGATTATTGTTCGCTCAGCTGACCTCGTATAACACAGTCAACTGGGTCAGATCGTCCTGACAAGTTCGACCACATTGACCAGATACCTGACTCGACTGGTTCGGCAGGAATTTCTTGTGATTGCTGACATTCATTTCCCATGCTAAAGCAGTGGCAGTGGGGCTCAAGCAGGCCCCGACCCCACTGCCCCTGGACAGCCACAGTGTCTAAATAAGTCATAGCATATCAACTCTTGAACAATAGAACGATTCGCTTCTTTTGCCTTCTCATGAGGCATACCAAAAGATCATCGGTCTTTTTTGAAGTTCTCACGCGGCCATATGCCCAAACTGCGATGCCTTCGCTTCGCCACGTTGATGCCAGTCATGCTCCGCGTCCATGGTGAAAGCCCGCATCGCCACCACTCTTTCGCCTTGCGGTCTAACAACCTGTCAGTTTTTAGTCTGTTAGGATCAATACGACAGACGGTAACATGACATAAGCCTCCCTGCCTCGATTCGCGAGGCGATATGACCTCCTGGCCGGTGAAATCAATAAGACAATCCCACCGCGTGATTCATTACATCGTGTTCTACTGCTAGGCCACGATTGATGACTCATGTGTTGTTCAGGAGTCAGAAAAGATTGACTGCGGTTGAAGAGAGAACCTTTTGAAGTTCACGTCAGGGACTAGTGAGGTGAGATAGGCTCAGTCGCTGGGCTGGCTTATGAGGACCCCTGTTACTGCGATCCCAAGCGCCAATACGGAGCCTTAGTAGCCAACCGGATTAGGAACCAAGCCCTGTCAGCTTCGGAGGAATCGTGCGCCTCTTCGGTCCCGTAGCGCCTGACGTTGGAAATGGCGATTTTGCTGAGTGGGTGTCAAGTGACTGCTCGGCCCCGAAGCAGCCTCAACCAAGTTGCCGGGACACTTCGAAACCGTTGTTACACTTCGGCCGCAATGTAGACTTAAGATTTGTGGAGGCCCATTAGGCATTCTGGACTTTTTGATGGATTTGAAAGGCTCCCTGCGGCTAGTTGAGGCCTGGATGAAACGGGCTGTGGCTGTGCCGCGCCAATTATGCAGGCCATGTGCAGCCTAACCGATCCCAGGCAGCCAGGCTTTCCCGTGCAGCGCCTATGCAATGAGAACAGAGGATTTGTGTAGAAACTCTTTAACTTGGAATAAATATTGAAATACCTCACAATAGCATCCAACAAGACGTCCCCACGAGTAACACAGACAACTGAATATCTGAACTTACCTGTTGACCAAAACCAGAATCATCCTTCCTGTTTTCAACGAGATCTTACGGTCAGGAATATTGCGATACATCCTCTTGAGAGGCTACAACAGATCTCATGATCGTCCAAAAGCCGTGTCATTCGAGAGACCCAGAGCATGTCGTTATCACACCGACAACCTCATTACAGCTCTATCTGGAAATGGACCTTCACCTGAAGGCTCATGCACAAAATACAAAGACATCCACCCCAGAATCCGACATAAATCAAAGAGTCGATAGGAAACAGAGCGCTATCGTTATATGTGGCTTTGCTGCGATCGGGAAGTCTACCTTCAAGGCTGCATGCGAAGAGGGATACGAGGGCCTTCCGGTGGTAGATCTCGACTCCAGTCTCTTCCCGAAAGGACCATCGTGGCCACATAATTATCTCGACGCCATTAAAGAGAAGCTTAGCGATAGATGCATCCTGATGATCTCGACGCACCAGATCATTTATAGTCGGCTTCTTGAGGACGGCGTCGACCTTGTCCTCGTTTACCCCAAAAGGGAACTTAAAGCAGAGTGGCTCGAAAGAATACAACAGCGCGAGGCGAAAGCAGGAACTGGCAATTCTGCAAGCATTTGTGGGGTGGTGAATAATTTCTGGGATGAATGGATCAGCCAATACGACCAGCAAAGCGGATGCCGAAAGTATGAGATATCAGAGGGGGAGTATCTTCAAGCATCTGTCGATGATGTTGTACACACTTTCCATGAGGGGCGCCCAAGCTCGAAGAGGGACGATAATAGTCTGGTGGAGGAGCAAACATAAGACTACTTCTTCGTTTTACGATACCATTCTAGCGTCACATACGATTATCATTAATACAAATACTTGAAGACCACTTGGGAACAGCTTCAGGGGTTGATCCCACCCAGAACATATGAATTTAGTGCATGGCAAGTACAATAGGAAATGTTTACTATGATCGCAGACTGGTTACTTCTGAATGCACGAAGCCGAATGGACATTTGCGAACATGATCTGCTATCAGTTATGTCGCCGCTAACCAATTGTCCAGATAGATTGTGCTTCTGAAATATACCTGCTCGTAAATCTGTTGACGATGAGTACACTCAACAACAGTGCGACTGGCAGGGAAATAGGACTAAGAAAACTAAGAGATAGATGTGCAAACGAGTGACATCTACTCTAACACCGTGTCTTGAAGCAAGCGTTTGTGCCGTCCATAATACCCAGTCACCCTGGCAATTCAATGGAACTAATGGCTATCAGTCTGTCGAAACATTATCCAAACTATTTCCACCATCCATTGCATTATGGTGAAGCACGATAGGACAGGGATCCCGAAACTCAACGCCTGAGCCTTGTCAAATGCTTGTCGGATCTTGAGTTTATGCTACTGCGGGTGTCTTCCGCCCTGTATAGTATTTGTTTCCAATTACAAGCGTTATAAGAGTTACACTTGGTGAGTCGCGATACTGCAGGCTAACAGCATTGAGGTCATTCCCATCCTAAAGCGGCCCTCAGCTTGAGACTTAGCTACCCTTGGAAGTTGGAACCGGGCCGAACTTCGCTTTTCAGCCGTCATCTATTGAGTCCACAAGGCAGTGTACCACCTTATGCCACAATCATTTCCAAGACCCGGGCGCAAATACCTGAGGTAGTTTGTCCGTGCGTGCCATCTTCACGGCCGAACTACTCTCGTTGCCACCAATCAGCGTTGCAGGCTGCATGATGTTCTTGACCGACGGTCATTGAGCTCGGCGTATTCCACCCTATCATAATTTCCGCCTCGTAGCATGACGGCAAGCTTTACCTTGGCGGGGAGATTCTTCCCGAGAGCCGGGATTTTGTCGTATTTGAAGTCTGAGAAGTCTAGCATGAAGCCGATACAGGACTCAGACGCAGTGTTGAAGTCAGAATGTCATGCCAGTTGGTGGTAATCAACATGACGCCTTCGAATGATTTAACTCAACCGTCCGCGGAGATCCTGCGACCATTCTGTTCTTTGAGATCGTGGATTATACCTTGTTCAAGAAACACATTGGCCTCATCCAGTAGGATTACGGTGCCACAAGGCTTAGATAGCTGGAGAAGTTTCTCGAGGCTTATCTCAACCTGAACGAGCTAGCTGTCGACATACAGCGTGCAAACATGATGGCGAGGGGCGTTCGGTCATGTTTGCTATACTTTGGGTCATTCTTCTGTTAACAATAGGCGGGGTGAGAAGGGTACGTGGTACTTCTTGGTGCGGGAACTGTGGGGATGCTGTTCAACATTCTGATGGCCAGTTACCCCAGAGATTCCGCGGCGTATGGGCGGCCGCTTGAGTAAACAGAAGGCGTTGGCTTCAAAGCCCGAGCCGACGATCGCAGGTGACACGTCCAGGAAGTGCTTCTGGTATTAGGAGTTGATTATCCCAGAGCGGGCCATACCCTGAGGCCTCTTTTCTTCAGGGATCTGCCTAGTGAGAGGGACGACGATTGGAGAAATGGGGAAGTAAGCCTGGAAACTGCGAAACAACAGCTGACAGAGTTGCCTAGATATGCGGCATAAATATATGACGACCAAGAAAAGCCTCGAAGAGCATAATTAGTGCGTAACAGTTCGAAAAGCCTTGATAATTGTTGTTCGACGACTAATTAGAATGAGAACACCGAATGTGCTGTAATGAGCTAATATAGCATCTCTTGAGGCGCTAGAAGCGCTAAAGAGGTCTTCGACGATTCTCATCTTTCAAAGAGAGGCTGGCTCACAAGCCGCAACACTGGGTTGATTTTTGCCTTCTCCTGAGGTTGATTTTTGCCTTCTCCTGAAGCTTGATTGCCATAAAACGAGTCGTTCTCGTCCTCCGATGCTTTGTCTCGGACCATGCAGCACCGCCTCGTCGTGGGAATGATGCTGCTGAGGAGTCCCGAAAGCCTCCTGCTTGACAATGCAACTCTCATTCTTAATTCAGAGAGCGAGTAGATCATGGATCATTTAAACATCAGCCTTCAGATTGGCGTTGCCAGGATGAATTGTTGAATCGTGGTAGATCGAATAGGTCACATATCCTGACGCTCTTCATCTTGTGGGCAATGATAATGGGCATAGGAAGCACCTTTGTGTACACAAGGGGGCATGTCTGCAATATCATTGAACACATGTGTCAACTTGTTCCTTGAAACATGGTCAGGATTCAATGTTTCTAACTTTGTACCAATAGTCATAAGCAGTGTAACTTGAACACGGTGCACAACTCGCAGCGCTGGCTGGCACTGGCAAATCAGTCCACCTACGATCTGAGCGGCTCCAAGTAGAATCTCGTAACAATGCAGCAAAGCAATGCAGCACAGTTGATTATTTCCGACTTAGAACTGGCTGCATGTCAGCGCCAAGGTAACACAGCAGCAAAGTGGGGGCCGACACGGCCTTTTAACTAGGCTACAGCATCGCCTCTTTTCCAGGCCAATCTTGAATACAGTACCTCTCCGGGTATTTGTTTTCTTTGAAACTTTCAGTATTCAATGTTTCTAGGATAGCTCCATCATCACGATGAAACCTGCAGCTCAGACCATTAGGGAGCCCCAACGGAGTGAGGCTGGTGGGCATTTCACATTGCTCAAAAAGCGGAAACTAGAGCACCAGGGGTCTTTACAAGAACTTATCGGAGGTCATGCGGACTCCTCTGATGGTGGCTCTGTTGAAATGTCCACATTCCTGATGCGAAGGAGTGAGAACGACAGTCTTGACGGCGTCGCCATTGAGAGATCAAGCCCAGAGACACGGACCGAAGAGGCTGGGACGGTCGCCGAATCAATAAGCTGTGACAGAAGAAGTCTGAATCCCGGCACGACAAAATCACACAGCTATACGAAACTCGCTCGGTCAGACTGCTGGGGAAGGCTATTGAAGAGGTAACACTGCTATCTGTGACCAACCCGATCGGACTTGCATGGTAGCTTATGTTTAGTGCAGAAGACAGGCCATACCGGAGAAGCCAAAAGTTGTGTACAGCCACAAACGACGTCGCATACTTAAAGAGGTCCTCTGGGTCCATTTACTGCCTGTTGCTATCAACTTCACTCTGCTGGGGCTGTACGTGCAGCGAGTCTCATGGACGCCACCTTGGCCATCGACCAATATCCTCAACGCCTTGCAGTTCGCTGCTAAGATCCACGAAACCCTCATGATCGCATCTCTAGTCAGCGTGCTTCTCCACCACATTCGATACAGACTTCTTTCTCCAGGCCACGCTGGTTTACCGTTAGGCCTAATCACCTCTCCGTTCCGCCTACTCGACGTCACGTATCTCTGGAGTCAGGAGTTTTCGGCCGCTTGGCGGAGTTTGGAAGTGTTTAGCATTTCGGAAGTTGCCACCATTGGTATTCATGTCTTTCTGTTTGTTCTAGCGGCGGTCCTCGGTCCTGCCTCCGCCATCAGCATGCTACCCAGGCTTGGAGAGTGGGAGCTCGCGGAGGCTATTACGAACGCACCTTTCTATGCCAGTCATGATCGAAATAACATCTATCAGGTCTATTTTGGTGCAGAGCTATCGGATATCTTTTCACAAAGAATCACGGCAGACTTTATTCCCGAGGCTTGTGATTACGGAAGCCTCTCACTCCCTCAGACCAACATTTGCCCCCGGCTGGGCTTGATGGACATTACCCAGGGCATGTTTCCCCCCAATTCCAGGAACCATGGTTCAAGTGTTCTCCCATTCAACGTCTGGACGCCCTTGAACCAATATAATATCTCGGTCCAAGCGCACAACCAGGCTGCGCTTCCAGCTCGCATTATAAGTGTGGATCTATCTACCGTTAGTGATAACGGATACAACGCTACAGTAGATGTCACAACGCCTACTGATGCTATCTTACATTTGACTGAGATACTCATTAGTCACTATATCGACCGCTGGATAGCGGACTGGCAAACTGTCACCCCTGCAAACTACTTCGTTTCCAGAGGAGAGTACCCTGTGACCTTCACTCCATATCCCGGGCACCTGCAATCCAGACGGCCCCACTCATTATGGAAGCAACCTTTCGTGTCCTCTTCTTGCTCATCCAATCTCGATCATATGGCCTCGGAATTCACAATTTTTGATTTTGACCCAACGCCAGACACACCACCTTACAGAGTCACATTGGACGCAGAACTTCTGTCCATTGTGTTGAATGGCACAGGCATGGGATTTATCGACAACTCGAACCTAAACGTCACGCCGAACTATTCGCCTTCGGCTGCATTCGCCTACACTTCCCAGTGGGCCACCACTTTGTGCCTGGTGCAGGCATATTGGATAGATTCCTCTTTATCAGGCTCTCCTTCCCGATATTATCACGATTACGAAAATTCAATGGGCGACCTCGCGTGGAGTTGGCGTCGATGGAATGATGAAAATCGCAATCGGACGTGGCCTAGTGGACGCAGCTGGTTCGAGGCTAATGCCGCTGAAACTATCCACTTGGACTTGGACTGGCTGGCCGTTCTGGATCAAGGGACCGGCAGTGACAACACAGGTAACCAGAGTTTCTTCGGCGGGGTTAGACAAGTCTGTTTAAGCCCATCAGCCCCATATTATATTCGGGTTCATCCTGACTCTGTATGCATGGCAAGCGGACTTGGTGCAGGAATTGCAGAAGGCCTTTCGAAAGTGCCATACAAGTTCGGCATTCATGCCTTGGGTTCTGTGAAAGAGATCAGGCATGGCCAATCTCTTCCCGCCATGACTTTGAGCCCGTGGACCTCCTCTCGCTCGTCGGAAACCTTGCGCTACAACATCTCTGGAAATTGGACCAGACGAACTCTCACGCCATCTCAAATCATGGAGAATTCAACACGGCTCGATTTTAAACTTACTCAAAAGCTATACGGTTACAGATACAGCGGCGTCACGATCATCCTGGCATTCGTGGTATTGTTCCTCTATGTGGCCACCGTCTTTGTCCATATCTCAATCATGACTTTTGGCACGAGCTGGAGCAGCAGGGCTTGGAAGAGCCTCGGAGAGTACTTCGTTTTGGCGTTGCATTCTCCCACGCCCACATCAGTTCTGGATAATACGGGAGGCGGTGTGAAGGTCTCAAAAACGTGGCAAGCACGGGCGTCTATCCAGGAGCTGCAACATGGAAAACGGGTGGGCATCGTGGTTGCCGACCCGGGCGAGTCGGATGATGGTGAGCCCTTACTGTCGGAGGTGCAGCCGGATTGTAAATACTCGTAGTCCGAGACTTTGAGCTCCTTCTAAGAGCTGTTGCGCAGCAAAAGTTTGCGGCATCTTCTAACGCAGCTGAAGTCTAATATATATGATTGGCCTGACGGCTGATTCACGCGGTGTAGGTGACTTGAGCGAATACAAAGTTACCTTGCCCGGGTGGTGGAATTGTTCTAGTGAATAGGAGGGTGGGAAACATCTGGTTCTTGTTGTATAGATCGGCTTTCTTGTGCCTGCTGTGGGTTGGAAGGAATGTGCTCATCGACGATGGAGGCGGACCATCTTCTTGTGGTGTGCCTTTACTAGTATATGCTCAAATGGAGTTTTCACCTTGAGACCCTCGGCGCGCCTTTTTATGAAGGCTATTTGATCCTCCTAAATGTCTGGGTACTCGAAAGAGCCAGCGCAAATCTCGCAATCGAAGGGTCTCTTGAAATTAGTACTTAGAAAGTGCTGTCATGAACCTTCATCCAGCATTTCCAATCCTAGGCCGTTCGCGGGGTCCCACGTATGGATCCCCGCAAAGGACGTTAAAAAAGCGCCCATTTTGAGACTTGAAACCGGGAATTCTAGCAATGAACTGGATAGAAAAAAACTTGAATTGCATTTCAGCGATTGAGACCAGATTGCTCAAGGGTACGCCGACATGTCTAGCGTTGAGGCCTTTTAGCTTGGAAAACAGCGGAAGAATTTATAAAAGAAGGGTCGTCAGGAGAAAGATGCTCAGCTAACTAGCCAGGCCTCAAGCTGCTTATTATAATGTTATCGAAATATCTGCCAGCTAGCCAGGCCTCGGCTGATTTCTTTTCTCTTTTTTCAGATTATAATGTTATCAAGAAAAAACATCAGCCAGCCAGCCAGCTGAGTATTTATACGGCTAGCTATCTGGTTACACAACGTGAGACCGGTGTAGACCAGGCCAATTATCGTGCTGCGCCCCCATACTTGTGCTGACCACCATCTTCGCGATACTGTCGTGCCACCCCAAGCGCCCTATTTATTATTGGCTGTACCGGTGATCGCGCCTCAACATCGCACACCCTGGTTGATCTTGACGCGTCGGCCACAAATGATTAGAACGGAAAGAAGAGGGAGAGAAGAAAAATTCTTCAGGATTCTGAGGATATCCATGAGCACTGTAGGGGTCTACGACTCATCGTTCTTCTGAAGCTGTTCATTGTAAGCTGTGATCACCTCAGAGTGGTGACGGCCTAGGATACCAACAATTAATTCGCCACCTCATCAAGTACTTGTGTGCCTGTCACAGTGCACGAAGGTCTTGGTAAAAACTTCTTATTTCGCGAATGAAGGAAAAAGTCGGTTATCACAGGCCACGATAGTGAATGCTGAAATATACTGATCTAGTGAGGCTACCGGACAATATGCCTATTGTTTACGGTGGCGTCTTGGCACCTTTTCTCTCCCAATTGGTATGGGTTTGATCCTGACGAAACTTGGGCTCACATAGACAAGAGTCGTGAGGAGATGATATGTACATGCAGAGATGATATGTACATCAAGATCATGGTTTCTCTCAAACTTTCTGCAAGCATCGGTTTGCACGGATTAGCTACTTAGAAGAAATTCCGAGAGTGCCTTCCTCAAAGTATCGATCCTTTCTCATTGAGGCCGCCGAGATTCCTCATTTGCATAGCATCCAAGTAGCCCTGAGTAGTCACCGCTAAGCCACAGAGCTGCAGGTAGCGATGTGAGAAGTCACATCTTCCACATTTCCCAAGGCTGTCATCTGCTGCCAGCAGCCGCTTCAAACCTCACAAAATATTCACGAAACCAAGCCCCAATCGCCACAGAAACGATTGATTCCAAAAGAATATAAACTCAGCCACGGTTGCGTGTTAATGAATACACCCTGTTCCACAGCGCAACAATTAATCCCAACCTATTGTACCACCTTCACTCAACAAATAGACCAGTCCCACGAACTCTCCCATGCCCTTTCAAAATAGAGGAAGAATGATAAACCCAAGAGATGCATATCCGCCCAGACCCATGGGTAATTTCTCTTCCAGATCCCCAAACCAATCCAAAACCAATGACAGTTGCCCTGAAGGCCGTTCCACCAAATCTGTGCGAGTGATGGGTATCCCTCATCCCAAATCGTTGACGTGCTGGATAATATCGAGTATCATTATCACTATACGTAGTATTTGCTCCCAAGGCACAGCCTCGATGAGATCTTTCACCTTCAGAAACCATCTCTTCCAACGGCTGTCCTTGAGGTTGCTGTTTTCGTCTGGCATGGCTTTCCCCTTATTGTACCCTGAGATCTTAAATTTGTGAACATGTATCCAAGCTGAGAGCTTTCCTATGTAAGATAAAGTGGTTAGCCCTTCTTCGTCCTTCGACCGCTTGTAGGTTCTGATTTTGGGAAAGAGTTTGTCACCAACGAGACCGTAAGGGAGAAAAAATCTTACCGAACACCATGATGAAGGGAGTCTGCAAGAAGACTTATTGATTGCCAGTGAGTTACTATAAGACGAGGGAATAGAAGGTTCAAACTATGAAGTTTGGATTTGATGATTGATGTGTTGGAAGAAAGGAGTGACAGCAAGAGACGAGAACTGGCAGCTTTAAATAGTTTTTTTCGCTTTTAATATTATCGAAGGCCATTTACTGAAGTAAAGAGGACTCTTTGCACCAGATATAATGAGCATTCTTGAAGTGTCTCTTGGGATGCTGTCCTGCGCCTAGAAGCTATCGACGTTGTGGCATTACGCGATGGTAAAGTTGAGTCTAAGGAAGAACTGCAAGCCGTCTCTTCCTTTGTTTCTGTTTCCCATGATTGGTTCATTGATCCTCTTATATGGTGAGAAACTTCACATAAAATGAATTAGCTTGCAACATGTTGTGTGGACCTGGTTTCCAGATGGGCTAGATTGTGGTGGTGTCATACATGTATTCATTATTGTCTGCTCTGTGCTTCGACGTTCACCATTTCATCACTTGATAATCCTCCGCACCTTCCCAAACGACCAGCTTTACAAAAAAAGACAAGTAGCCGAGGGGAATCCTTGAGAAATGAGCTGATACCAAGTCGCCATCCCATCAAAAAGAGAAGCCGGAGAGACTGAGAAGTCAAGAAAAGGGACAACCCAGAATCGATTAACGGACGATTTTCTACTTGAACTTCAAGACCGATACCACGTCAATGTGGACTGGGTACCCACGAGTACTAGACAGTCAGTCTTGTTTGCAATCCCAAGCTGAAAGCACTATACAACATCGGTCATCCAAGAGCCCAGACTTCCAGATCACGCATTATCCACGGCTGCTGTTTAAGCTCTTCTCATCTCACAAGTGAGCTTGCCAAGACATTGATCGAAAGCTGCAATGGGAGAATTGGAGAGAAAACGACGAGGAGTGAGCATATCAGAGAGGCTTTGCTGCCACGAGCACAAGATACAAGTCCACAGATTTGGATGAGTTCGTCAAAGTGAGTTTACAGTCTCAGACCTATGCTTGATGCGAACAATCAAGAGACGGAGCATATCGATGCCTGCACATGTGGATTCACATTTCAGCTCAAGTCCACTGAGCTCTTGGAAACACTATAGCATTATCCGTCGATAGCTTGCCCAAAGTGTTGATTACATGCAAACCTACTGGCAGGCATTGGGCGAGCGAGGCGCAACGGGCGACCCAGCAGACTGGGTGAGATGGGATCACACGCATGCGTGGAGTTCTCCATGTCAACAGAGCACTTTACAGGTACATATATGCACAGTCGCTGGCGTGGGCATCTGACACTCCCTTGTTTGTCTACATGTACCTAGAGCATGGTTTTCCTCTTCTATCTCTGGCATGTCAGGCAGTATTTCGACCCATGTTCCGAGTGAGGCTCTTCAGATAGAATGTTATACCTAACGCTAGCAATTGAAAGGTCGGGCCAAAGAGTTTTCGGGTGAAGGCTTGGTACCTTGCCATAGATGGATGGCATGTGGGCATGTGGTGAGTATGGGCTGCACCGATGATCGATCTGTCCAAGGCGGCCTGGGCCGACCAGGGGAGGGAACAGGTGCAACGTGATCGGACATCTGTGCAAGTGGATGCGTTGCTTGTTTGTACTACGTACCCATTTGGGCAGGGTAGCACGCGACGTTGAACACCCGCCCGGAGATGGTGCAGCGGGCGATGGCCCTGTCAATTGTTTCGATTGTTTGCGACCACTGGGTCATTGTTCAACGGTGCAATTAACAAAGGGCGAGGTTAAAAGTCCGTTCGCGCCCTCGACAGAGCAGTAAGTGAGACTTGGTGGCTTGGGAGTCGCGTGGTGCGGGCGGTTTACAAAACAGCCACGCACAGGCAGGGCAGGGCGCAGGTGGAGTGCCTCATCTGCCATGCCAGGGCGCTCCCTCGACGTGGTTGGAATGTGCGCATGGATGAAAACATGCCCGATATCAAGGCCAGCAAGGTCAACCGACCGCAAGCAGGGCACAACGAATGTTCTGGTAGGGCGCGAATCAAAGTTGCAGTGGCTGTGGCCCCATCTGCAGCGGTGGTTTTGTGGGTTTATGTCTCAACTTGGTGCAAATTGAATTGAATTGAATTAAAGTTGCATGAGGATGGAGACAAGGCCTGAACGGGGCACCAGAGTCTTGAGAGGGTCTGCTCAAGTGATCGACAAGTTGTGGGCCTCAGGGCAGAGGGGGGAAGAGAAGAAAACCCCAGGCGCGTATGCGTATTGAATTGTCAATACTGCGGGACGCCTCTGGACCAGCTCGTATTCCATCCTGGCCAAGGCGACGCGGCCTTTGGCATTGGCATCATTGACCAAGAGCAGGTGACGTGAGAAGTTGAGATGATTTGAATTAGGTGGTCTACTAGCTGCAAACGCAAAATAAACAGACGAGCCAGGCGTGGCCAGGCCGTTCAGGTCGGGAATGGCAAAATGCAGACAATGCCAGGATGTACAGGTCCCCGAGGAGGGGGCAAATGGGGGCAAACCGTATTGCTTAGGTAAGGTTATAAGGCAAGGAAACGGGCTAAATCCGGCACAGGCTTAGCGAACCATTCATAGGACTGGGACGGTGAAGTCCCACTGTAATCCTCCCGCCAATCGTGTCCGTGTTCGCCGGGGAGTCGTCACCCGCTTGACCGCTTCTGGTCCAGCGGCCCCGAGCTGACAGGGGGTTGGGACAGGGACTTCCGTGGCTGGGCCTTCACGGTGGAATGGGAATGATTGGAATGCATGGGAATGGAGGCAGGGAGGGAGGGAGGAACCGTCACTGTACAGTACAGTACTGCTTGGTGTACACGATCAGACTGCAGAATACGGTACACACTCCAGTCCCTCAGTCCCATCAGTACGTAACGCGTGCACACACACACAGTCACCCACACACCTCTCTCTACCAGGGCACCAGGGCTCCTCGCAGGCAATAGCGCTCCATCGTCCATTTTCCCTCGCCTGTTGACAGGCCTGAAGCCGTGTGTGCCGTGTACCGTTTGTACCGTACCTGCGCCTCTCTTGACTGTCTTGACCTCTTCTTGACCTGTCTTACTCGTGCCCATCTTCCGTGTCATACCATACCTGACCACACCTTGCCTTACCACATCATCCCTCCTCTGCCACACAATCTCCCATTGAACCCTCAGGCTCTCTCACTCTCACCTCCCTCCCTGACTTTCTCTCTCAAGGGCCTCGCCGACGACCACGACTCGACGACACACCACACTCGTTAGAAAGTGCAACGCTGCAGCCCGAGGACGGTCGTCAAGAGGCAAAGAAAAGAGAAAGGAACATTCGCTGCTGGCTGACGACGACCACTGGTTTCATTCGCTTCAGTCCGACGATCACTGCCGCGCCAAGTAGCCTCGATCACCCACCAGCCATCCACAATCCACAGTCCACAGTCCGAATTCAGCACCAGATCCCAACAGCCAGCCCATCCGATCATCCCAATCCACGGATCCGACGGCCTCTCCCGCACAGACTGCATTAATACATTCCGTCGCATCCCAAACGCAGCCACGACTGTCGAGGTCAAAACACTATTTGCTCATCCTCGTCATCGTGATCATACATACAACCTCCCTCTCCTCCAACCCCCCGATTCCCACAGCTCGACTCGACTCGACCCGACTTCCTCTCGAAGCTGTGCACCGCGGCAATAATCTGGACGTCCGACGCGACATAGACACCCGCTTCAATACGACACAGCACGACAGCAGGGATCGGTCTCAAGGAGAGCTTCGTTACGGAATAGCGTACATAATAGGGCCAAGCGACGATTAACGCGAGCATTCCAACCGTACATACAAACATCATACGCACCGGATTATTCAAGACTAGGAGCACGACCACACACCGGTGCCGATTCTCACACAACGATACCCCATCCATACGGCTGCACCGCTCGAAATTCTGTGCACGGCAGCCCATCTGCATTGAACCGATTTGTATAACGGCATACGGCATTGTCCCCAATTGTAATATCTAGTCTGCTTCAACTTCACGATGGGTATGTTGGTCTCTGCATGATCCCCCCTTTGCTCCTCACGCCGGCCCAACTCTCCCCCAATTCCAATCACCGAGGGGCCCAGCCAACGTCACAATGGCCAAGCCGCCTGCACACCTTACTCTGACCTCAAAACCTGAATTTTGACGGCCGCCTCCTCACCGACCTGCCGACCGTTCCGCCGTTGCGCTACCAGCTGACTGACATACCCCTCTCCCACAGCGGAAACGACCATCGTGCCCTTCTCGACCCTACCGGCCTGCGCGTCCTCCTGCGGCCCCCTCTACGATGTCAACGGCGCCTGCGTGCCTCCAGCCGTAGCAACAGCCGACGCCACCGCCTACGATGCCTGCTTCTGCTCAGACGCCCGGCTCGCAGCCTTTTCGACCACAACAGGAGGCGTGTGCGATGCCGCCTGCACGGCAGACCCCTCGGGGTACGCCACGATCACAAGCTGGTACCAGAGTTTGTGCGCGAATGTAAAAGAAGTAGCCAGCTCGTCATCGAGCAGCAGCAGCGGTAGCTCAGGTAGTTCCTCATCAAGCTCAAGTTCAAGCGGCGGCGGTTCATGGTAAGAATAGCTTCGAATAAAATCTTGAAACACACATGTAGCTGACCACCAATTCATAGGCTCGACGGCCACTGGCGCTGGGTAGTCTTCATCATCATCATGGTCGTCGGCATCGCAGGCATCTGGATCGGCGCTGCCCTGTGGCGGCGGTCTTACCTGCGCAAGAAGGATCGGCAGTACGCGCTGGGCAAGAACCTCGCGCAGCGGACGGGCTCGGGCCAGAACCCCTATGGCGGCGCCCCCGGCGGCACGCCGACACGGTCGCAGGGTTCCATGCACCCCACTCGCCCAGGCGTGTTCATGCCCGCCACCATCTCCGAGGCCAACGTCTACGATCCTGAGAAGCCGCCCAAGACCAAGAAGAAGTGGCGAGTCACCGACAGGACGTGAGCAGGCGCTGGCGGTTTTTTGAAGACAGGAGAAGAAGGGAAGGTGTTTAATGAATTGGCCGATCTACGACTATTGCACCCAGGGAGCGCCTGGCGGGAGGCTCTTTGTTTCTCTTCATGTCAATCAGGCACTTGCCTGGAGAAGGCTCAAACGAGCTCATTGATGAGACCAACAGGTCGGATCACTTCCAAAAAGAAAGGCGGACCGGCGTTATTATGTTTGCTATTTTTGGTGTGGGCGAAGACGCCCCTACTGCACCCAGGAGGCGTTTTATTGTGGGGGAACTTTGGACTCCTCTTTTTTTTTGGGAGGAAGGAAGGGAGGGAACAGGTGAAGGATTCTTAACGAACTCAAAAATGTGGTTTGTTATTGTTGGCCTTGGTCGGTGGTGCTGGGAAAGAGACATTTCTACAGCACCGGCAGCATCATCAACATCGTCATTATCGCCAACACTCTTCACAACGAATTTCCTACTCTTCTTCACTGGCTACAGGCATCTATATATATCAAAATACCAGCATCCAATCCCACGTCCCACGCTGTCCTGACAAGACGGCAGTGAGGACGGGGATAAGAGACCCATTTTCTACTTCAAACAGTCAGTTGTCTTTGCAAGCTCCTACGTCGTGAGGCCTGTCTCGAAACCGAGTTTGGGGGCCACATCAAATGAGTAACCCAAACCCAGCTGCGGCAGAGCGCGTTGTGGAAAAGTCCCAGGGGGACCCAAAATGCCCCCCCTCTTCCAGTCCCTCCCTCAGTGTCTGTCGCTTTCCCTCTCCCTCCTCACATTCAATCAACCAACCAACCACGACATGCGGTGGGGGGTGGAATAAACTCCCCAAAATTTGAAATGGAGCCCGTCGTAATGAGTCCTGCTCGGTTTTGCGTGGCCCAGGTCAAGGGTGTCCCGGCCACACGGAGGTCATGCCCTGCGCATCCATGCACACACACACACACACAAGCAAGGTGAGCGAGCGAGCCCACAGAGTGCTTGTCTTGAGTGCATGGATCACAGCTCGGGGGGGCAGGGGGGTCGTCAATATTTTTGCATGAAGTCGGGCTGCATGGGTTCTCCTTGGCAAGCCTGGTTCTGGGCGACACCACACGAAACATTGTGGCAGCTTTCTGTCGTGCCTTCGCGTGCATGCAGAGAAGGAAAGAAGCCTTTTTGGAAGTCAACATGGCGGGCGTACGGAAGGGGCTCAGACGAGACATTGACTTTCTCAGCTGCGAGTCACTACACTACCTACATATGGCTCTCAAACGCATATACATTTATCTCTTAATGAGACTTCTTCCTTATCCAAATTTCCATTCGATTTCTATAGGTATGATGATATGACTGCGTGCCTCTCTGATGCCGCGATTTATGACCTTTCTTTTCGTTCGCCTTTGCCCACTCTCATACGCGGCGTTCATTCGTGTACTCATGTGCGCGTATGTCCAAATATTCCTCCTCTTCACTGCCGTTGATCAAGCTTCAATTCCTGATAAACGCTCAGCCTGCTCTTCGGCAGGCTAGCCCCTGAATATCCAAATACGTTTCCGTCAACACTCAGGTCGAGATGCTCAGCTTGCTCAGCCCTGCATCATCTCCACTCTGATACTCAGCAGCATCCATGTAGAGGTCGATCAGGCAACTAGCAGACCAAGCTTGGGTTGGGCACTACATTCCATCGTCGTCAGCATTTATTTCGAATATATATAGTCCACGTGGACATCAAAACTTACCGAATCGCCACAGAACTCCCCATTCTTCTGTGTCAGCTCAGCCAGCCCGGCCCATGGGCTCTCCTGGATCATTCGTTTGCACCCCATCAGTCTCTGTGTGACCTGCTGGAACGCTTCGGTGCGGCCCTCCTTGTCGTTAGGGTCCCGACGAAGCAGATCGAACTTGAGCAGCGCACGTAGGAAATAGCCAGTGGGCCACAGCCATTCTGGCCCTTGGTGGTAGTTCCTGCCCTTGGAGGTCGCGAAGTCGGTCGAGTCCTCCGAGTTGATATAGTACGGTCGGTAGTTGAGGTCCGCAGGGTCGAGGGTCGCCATCCCAGTCGGGCCACGCAGCACACCGTCCGTGAGCACAAGGGCGTGCAAGGCGTGCTCCGGGTCGAAGAGGTCTGGCGCGGCGGTCATACTGATAGGATAGTTGGGCCTCAGTTGGTAGTCCTCATACTCTTTGCCGGATTTGTACAGGTCCTTGTAGATGCCACGACGGTTGATGACGTTAGGGTTGACATCGTACTTGGAGTCCTCGTCTTTCGACAAGGGCACGTAGTAACATCGCTCAAAGTTGGCCTTGATCAGATCCGCCCACTCCTTGAAGCCGATGGTCGACTTGTCAGCTTTCGTCACGCTGCTGTACTTGAACTTGCCCTGTGCACTCAGTTCCTGGACCCAGCGCAGCGTGCTGTACAGAAGACCTGTTATTTCGACAGCTGCGCCATCACGAGGGGTTCCAGGGACACCCTTCGATCCCGCACGTTCGGACTCGCCCATCTTATCCATCCATGTTCCACAATTGGACTGGTTGCCGCCGAAAATGAATCCGTTGGTCCAGTCAACCTTGATGTCGATGTTGAATCCCTCATCGCTCATCTGTGAGTCGATCTGCGGGCCTGCATTGGCCTCACGGAAGGACATGCCCTCAGCATGGCGCTGCAGGGCCTCCTGAATAATGTCCTCAATAGTGCTCTCTTGTGAATAAGCACGAGGATCCTCTACATCAAACCATGTGTCGTCATAAGGCAGGAATCGACGCTTTGTCTTAGCCTTGAGGAGGTCGAGGCCGTTGGGTGCCAGCTTCGTGAAGTCTTGGATGTTTTGCAGGAAGAACCAAATTGAGTCGCGAGAGTTATATCGCGGAGTGTTGCCGGAAGCGAGCAAGTTGGGGATCATGCCGTGTTTGAGAACACTGGCAAAGGCAAGAATGTGCTCCTTCGCCTCGTCGAAACGCCCAGTACCAAGCAGAAGGCCCCGGAGGGAGATGAAGACATCACGACCCCAACAGCGCGCCCACTCTACCGCAAAATGAGGCAGACCAGCTGCTAGAGAGGGTACGAGGGTCTTGGGGTAGAGTGAGCCAGAGTTGACGACTCCAAGCTCTTGCACACTGACCATGGCCAAGCTCTGCAAGAACCACTGGCCACTTTGGACGTTGTTGTTCATCAAAGAGATACCTCTCTCCTTCGCCGCCAAGTAAGCAGTCCGAATGAGGAGTCCAAAGTACCGAGGCAGAAGGAAACTCGGAATCTTGCGAATCGCATCAAATCGTTCCTTGAGCCAGGCGGTTGGCTTCTCGAGACGAGAATACAGCTCACTCTTGGAGGCGCGTTCGAGGCGGCCGATAGTGTAATCCAAGGCCCATTGTCCATCTCGGAGGTTTTGACACAACGGATGGGCGAGGTTGTTCTCCCGAATGACATCCTTCAGAATGCTCCACCAACCCTGCAAGCCGGCATAGACAAGCTTTCCATGTCCTGGAAGGTCATAGACGCCGTCCTTACCACCGCTGGCATCACGCTCTTCAGCCTCGCAGCGGTAGAGCAGGAAGTTGAGATCGATGAGACTCAAGTCCCCGAAAGCCTCCTTCGCTCCCGAAGTCACGAAGGTATCCAGACCCGCCGAATGCTCGGCCGCGGGAATCCAAGTCTCGAAGAGGGCGATACTGCCAGGAGGGAATTTGTCACGGACCGTGATTGTCGTGTCATCTCCCTTGACATCGATGCGGACCCCTGGAAGGTCGACGACGCGGCTGGGCAGACCACGCAGCCATTTCTTGTCCTCGAGCACCTCCTTCTTAGCCTCCTCGCTCGTGTCGACCTCGAGCATCCAGCTACCCAAGTGCCGGACTTTCGTGCCAGCAAGATGGACAGGGTTGAAGTCACCGTTGCCATTTCCGTATCCAGGGAATGCGGTGTGTGCGATGAGGAAATAACCCTTGCGGGATTCTGGATGGACCCTATGGACAGTGACATACTGATCCTCGTGATGGATGAATGTCTCGTCGTATTCATCCTGGCCCATCAACGTGTGAATCTGGTTCAGCAGCTTCTTGACACCGCCGATGCCGTTCTCACCGCCACCAATCTTGATTTCCTTGCCATTGGACGATTCAGACTGGTACTGCCTCGTCTCGCTCACCAGGTCGACGAGTTTCGGATAGACCTCATCATAGCCCATGACACTTCCCGTCGCGCTGGCACACATGTTGACAAGTGCAGCATTGGGTAAAGTGTCTCGCGCATCACGCTTTTGAGCAGGTGTCTCGTTGTCGTGAGTGCAGTCCATGAACAATGCTTGTACCGGCACAGGCTTGATGCGGCGAATGATCTCCCTCGTCAAGCTCGACTCACCATTCTGTCCTGTCGGAGAGGTGGGTGACCTGTTCTCGTTCCTGGAGATCTCGTCCACCTCGAAACTTCCGATTGGACGACCTCCGTGGCGATGGACCAAGCGGCTGAGCTCACCAGTGCTCCAAGCCTGCATTGCCTCACGAATCAACGAGCTAAGACCAAGCCTCTTTACGAAAACGTAGTCCATCTCTTCTGATCCAGAAAATAGTTCCGCAACTACATAAAGATCTGGCCTGATTCGGCGGGCCTCGTCGAGAATGTGCTCAGCGACGTGGATCGGAGTGGAATGGCAGTTGTCGATGCGGAACCCAGCGAAGTACTTGGCCAAGGTGCGAGCATACTTGGTCATATGGTCCCAAAGGAAAGGGCTGTCTTCGGGAGACTTTCCGTACCGCAACTTGACACAGTCACCCCAAACAATAACCTCACGGCGGAGGTATACTCTTGAGTCGGGCCCGGCGTTGTCAACAAGCGCGTTGCCGCCCCAAACCCAGCCGTTATTTGCAAGCGCGAGGTCCTCCTTTTTGTGCTTGGCTGTCTTGTCGTTGGATGGCAACCGCGTGAAATAAGACTCGATCAATGGACTCTTGGGTCCGATCGGACCCATCTTTGGGCCGTGGTCATCCAATCGACAGTACTTTATCCGGTTGAGGAGCTGGTCAAGGATGACAGCAGACTCGGCGTCGTACTCTTGGTAGTACGCGACGTTGATGACGTCCAGTCCCGCGGCGAGCTTGCTCCGAGCGTCGGCCTTCTGCGCGTCATCTGCCGACTCAAACTTTCCGACGAGGGCCGTTACGTAGGCAGCACCGACTTCTGGCTTAAGCTTCCTTCGAAACCGCTCTCCCAAGTGGTTCGTGCCCTCGAGACCAGACCGTATGAAGGCTGCCTGCTCTTCGACAGTCCCGATGGGCAGCTTCACGGAGGCCTCGTCGGCCCGTCCCTCAGACCACGCCTTGATACCAGCATCCGCGTCACGGTCGACATCGACCACGTAGTACTCCCAAAGACGGATCTCGCTCAGGACACCTTTGACGGCCTCCATGATCTTCAGAAGATCGTCAACAGCCTTGATCTCAGTCGGCAGGCCGAGCTTGTCCAGCTTGTAGCCGAGTTCGAGCAGCTTCGTGTCCAGCAGGTAAGCCGGCTCCAGCCATGGGGCGGTGGTCAAGTTGTAACCGGCATCGGGGTGCTCCTGAAGCCAATCAGTGTTGTTGGCTGTGTGATTGAGGACAATATCCGTCAAGCTCAGCAGCGAATGCTTCTGCTCCAGACTCTGAACCAGCTTCTGGACATCCTTCTCGCCATCCGGGAAGCTGACTGGGTCCCAGGAGAGCTGGTCGTAAAGACTGTAAGGCGAATTTGACTCTCCACGAACCTGCAGAGGGGTGAAGTGGATCATGTTGTAGCCTCTCTCACTGATGCCGGCCAGGTGCTTCTCCCAGTCATGAGGATACTTGCCCATGAACTTGCTCAGGATGGAGAAGACAGAGAGTGCCGGCAAAGGCAGCGGCGAGCCATCCAGGCTCAAGCGGGGAGCTACATCGATGTAGTAAAGGGGGGACTTCTGCTTCTCAACACCGGCAGAGTCATTCTTGAGCTCGTTGGACAGCTCCGGGAGAGCTGCGTAGGTGACGTAGTAGGTGTAGGGGCCGGGCTGGTAGATTGGGATAGAGATCTCTATGTCACGAGTGAAATTGGGAACCAGCCTGGTCCAATTGACAAGAATGTCAGTCAGTAAAAGGTCAATTGGGCGCTGGGGCAGCTCATGGAGCTGTTGTTTGGGCTGGTCATGACATACGGGAACTCCCTGAACTTGTGTCGCTGGAACTCATGTCCCTGCTCGGGTATGTTGACCCACAGGCTGCCATGGCGACATATGCTCGAGGTACCCTCGATTGTGAAGCGGATGGTGATGGGGTCGCGTGTCTTGGGCGCAATGTAGACATATTGGCCGGCCACGTCGGGCGAGCCGTCGTCGTTGAGGGGCAGCAGGTGAACCTCGTTAGACACCATGGTTTTTGGGATCATGTTGTCAGGACGGAAAGCTGCCCCGCGCAGAGCTGGGCAAGAAGTTGGGGAAGGCGCTCATGCACACACACGTGTTTGGAGTGGAGGGGCAAGGCAGGCGGGCCTGGCTCGCTGGCTGGCAGTGGCCGCGCGCAGCAGCAGTAGCAGTAGCAGCAGGAGGAGGAGGGGCAGTCGGGGGATCGGCGATTGACAGGCGGGCTGGAGCTGGGCCTAGCTGGGGATATTATGGAGAGGATGGAGTATGGACAACAGAGCACAGCTGTGGAGGCAAATGTGGCCGTATAGATCAGACTCAATTAAGGACTTGAGGGAGAGGAAGACTGAGTGAGATTGGGAGTGAAAGTAAGAGAGAAAGAATAAAGAAAAAAAGAAGCGTAGTAGTAAGAGACAGAGAGCTCTTGTCAGCAAGGAAGATCTAGCTAGGCTTGAGGACGGGAGCTAGAGGAAAGACGATGCCGGACTGCAACGGCAGCACTTCAGGTAGCGAGTATAAAGGTGTGGCAGCGTAGCGCAAGGAATGGAATGGGGCAGAAGAGAGGAGTACAAGACAGCTCAGCATAGCACAGCTCGTGCATCTTGTAGTGAGAAAAAGACACATCAAAGGACCGGGACGACTTCCAGGTTCCTTCCTGTCGCACACGAGGATGCTGGAGCCGCTAGCTGGGTACCAAGGTAGTTACCTATCTGGGTAGCTGCGGTTAGCTGCAGGAAGCTTCGAGGAAAGGCACATCGTGGATGGATGGACGCGGCCAGCATCATGGGCAAGGCATGTATCTCTCCAAGTCCAAGCCCAAGCGAAAAAGTACGGGTGCGCTAGGCGAGCAAGAGAGGAGCCCGTAGCATTGTACTGTCGAGGTACAATGGCGGTGATGATAACGATGGACCGGTGATGAAACCAAGGTCAGATCAGGTCTGGCCAGGCTGGGCTGGGCCATGGCAGCACTCCAACTGGGGGCCCCATGGGGCGGCCAGCTTGATTCCTCAATGCATCAAGTCGGTGGGTATGGTCTGTTTCTGTTTCTGTTTCTGTTTCTGTTTCTGTTGGTACACCAGCAAGCAGGCAGGCAAGCGAGCAGTCAGCAGGATAGCTTGCTTGGAGTGTGTGGGTGAGATGGGATCGAGATGACGGCCATCCTCGAGTCGTATATCGGTCGTCTGATGCCGGTAGATATCTCGCTGCACCATCGTGAGAGCCTCCAAAGTCAAGATCGACGATGCGTCAACCCGCAACTGAATCAGGCACTCTGCTCTCTGGCAAGCTAGTCGAGCCGTGGGCAAAGAAACGAAGGAGAAAGAAAAAAAGAGCACAACGACGCAACGTTGGACCCCCTGCCAGGAGCCATGCTAAACTTAGACTAAGGCCAATGCAACCCAGGCCGCACCACTGCGAAAAACCATGTCTAGCGGCCCGGGAACAAAATCTCTGGGATGGATGGTGCTGCGCTACTGGGTATGCGGTGAGGCGATGAGACGATGGCTCTTGATATTGTTTGTTGAGGATCAGAGTATGAGCACCTGCAGGGCTTTGCTGGCAACAGGAACAGGAAAGGCTCCTTCGGCCAGCCGGCCGGCCTTGCTGACTCCCTGGTCGTCCGTCGAGGCCGTGGCTGGCAATTGTGTTTGGAAGTCTTCGTCAAAAGTGCCTGGAGATGTGGCTTTTCTGGCAGAGCTCTGGAGCACAAATGTTTGGCAGTCTCTGGGCAAGATGCAAATCTCTCAAATCCCCATGTGCAAATGCCTAGACGTCATCCCCCGGCCTGCTCTCCAGTCTCAACAGCTATCATCCCCACCACCCTCCCGGAGCTGCAGCTCCTTGACTCGACAAGGATCATGATGGAACGGCCGAGCCTTTCTGAGTGGGACTGCCGCCAGGTCGCTTCATGAGCTGGCAAGGACGGCATCGAGTTCAAAGCGAGTTTAGCGAGCTGGCTCCGGTGAGTCTGTCTGGTCTGGGGCACTAAGTCGTAGAACAACTGCAAAGGTTGTAAATAGTTGGAACAGGATGTGTCATGTTATTTCTAACCTTCCGCCAACGATATTTACATCGCTTTCGGACAGCTGCTTCCTGATCACATCTACAGCATTCCTGTTCTCCTCTCGAATGAAATCCTCCGTCTCATTCCGCAGCTGGTCAAAGTCGTCCTGTATCCCGGTCCGGAGGTCATCCACCTCCAGCCACACCCGCTCATCAACATGGCCTTCTATGTCTTGGATCTGTTCCTCGAGCTTATCTAGCTTATCCTCATACTTCTTTTCCTGTTCTGTCAACCGCTGATCAACCCACTCTTTCATGCGATTCTCCATTTGTCCTAATTGCTCGGCGAAGATTTTGTTGCAGATTCTCTCAATGAACCCGACCTCCACACCCTCGGAAGCAGAATTGTTGAGTTTCCTTTTCTTGGAACCCGAGGCAGTGTCTGACTCTGGACCGCGCATTAGCACATGCACGTCCAACTCAGTAGAGATGTCTTCATCTTACCATGGTCGGGAGGCACTATTGGTGGTGGTGGCGGTGCAGGTTCAAGCTCTTCGTATGACGGTGGCCCCTGGGCTGGAACTCCATCGCGTGGGGCAAACAGCTCGGGGCCGATAATCCTGCCATTCTGGCCTTCGTAGGCACCACCACCATCCGCAGGAGAATCGGCTGAATGCAGATCACGGCGGCATAGAGCCTCACAGAGCCACTCTAATTGGGCTCTAGGTAAGAATGTATCTGGGACATGCAGACTAAGCGAAGTCTGTTGGGCGAGGATTTGAGTCGAGTCCAACACGCCACCGTGGACTTTGTTGTTTGGACGTAGAGGCCAGTCAGGCGCCACAAGATCGGCTGCTTTGGCCAATTCTAGCCGTATGCAGACCAACTTGTGACCTTGTAACCGTCTAGACTCGGTCGATAGCTCGCTAGAGTCGAGGGCAGCGGAGTGGATTCTCTCCGGTGGGATACACAGGCAGAGACTCGTCTTTCCAGAGAAGGGCTTGCGAAGCTCGAGCTGGATTCGGAGCTTGAGCAGGGCGGTCTTGGAAAAGCGATCGAGGTCGATTGTAAGATTTATCGGATTGGAGCTGGAGTCGCTGAGATAACACGGCTGACCATCCTGTCCAGCCCATTCCACCACAGCTGCCACAGGATTCACCGTCTCAGGAGCATCGGCGGGCAACGACGGAGATGTGGTCATGGCCACTTCTTGAGCAATCCTATAAGCACATCAGCAAGTAACAGTTCACAAATCAACGAGGTCGGTGATGGAACCCCTGCGTCGAGCCCAAGGAGCTCGTCTCAGCAAAGGATCCCGCCGACCCCGGCTTTCAAACGGTAGATCAGTCGTGATCCAGGGGAGAGAAGCGCATCGAGGACCAAACGGCACGAGTAGACCGCTGGAGTTCGCCAACCGGCAGCTCTTGGGAGGCCCCTTCCTAGTGACCTGGCTTTCGAAAGCCTGGCAGTGTAGGTGCGAGAATCGCAGACAGGCAGCTCTTCCAAGGCCCCGCCCAACGCCCAGGAGTGATTAGATCCTGTCGCGTGGCAGCTGGGAGCGAACGACGCAGCGCTCTGCAGGTGCTACTCCGATGTGCGATGGAGTATTTGACGTTCGGCTTGAGACGACGGCAGGGAGAGAGAAGGGAGGAGGGCGTGGGACGACAGGTCGTAGGTCTGCGTAGGTAAGATGACTGTGACAGGAGTCGCCTTTCCCAGATCCAGCCGACCTCTGCAAAGTCTGGCCTGTCGTTGATCGGTGATGGGAGAGGCTGGGCAGCGGCCTGATAATGATAAAGGCTTGATTAGATTACTGTCGTTGATGCGATGCAGTAGGTAGGGAGGTGTTTAAGCAGTGGAGTCGTGACAGAGCAACCCAACGCGTGAGCTGGACGGTCCGTGCGGTTGCCTAAGAAATCGGGTGGCTGGGAGACGGTCCACGCCGGCTCGCTTAGGTAAGCAGCGGTACTACGGTACATATGAACTATGGCCAAGACAGCCTCTTCAGTTTATTACCAAGCTCATGCTTTTGGATACACAGAAGCCAATCACAAGATTTATATATGTTCTGCAACTAGGCATCTATACTTGGCGCTATTGAAATTGGCGAGGCATTGAACATTTTTTTCGATAGCCGCAATGAAATCAACGAGCACCTCTCACATCTGAGCGCCTCTTGAGCCCCTACTCTCGAGGCTCCTGCTCAACACTCACGCATTCACACATTCGGTGCCATTATGTGGTTGATACGATACTGGCATGCCTTGATAAAATCCTCAGAATGGAAGTCCTTTTGTGTCTGATTTTCAGCTAGTTCGACATGATCCTTGCCAGCTGCTACGTGAATCCCGTCGACCACCCACATCTGGATTTATAAGGCGGAACGAAGTCTTCAGCTACCTATGGACTCAGACATGATAAGCGTAAATGGTGGTATTTGAGTAGAATTTCGAAATTATCTCCCATAAAAATTCTTCATGTCTCCAGTTGGACGCGCATCCCAGACTTGCGTATATTTACAACGAGTCCTTCCTCGGACTGGAAGGCAACTTGGAAGATGTCCTTTCGAATGGGGCAGCAAAGCAGGCCTTATCCCCAAACCAATTCATAGGCATTTCACAATCAGTTTCGTGGCGTTCTAGCCTTGGCTTGCATTGCGGGCAGCAAATATATCCAGCTAGGCTGACAATGAAAGGATGATACATGCTCTGACTGGCCCATTCGGACTTCAGACACACTGCCCCTTTCCAAGGAACCGAACGCTTGCTGACACAATTAGAATCAAGCCACAAACGCATGGGGGTTCTATGAGAAAGATACGATTGTAATGTGGCTATCCAGATCCAACTCCAAACCTCGGAATTTCCAAGCCTTGGAAAGGCCAGCCCTGGAGGCACTAGTGGGTCCAACCCGAGACTCAAGATCTACTCCGCCTTGTTGAGGATCGAAGAAAGGCCTTCAGAGCGAGGTTCAAGCCTCACAAGCACTTTGGAGCAATGCTTGTCCTTCGGATTTGACCTCAGCTCGACTTCAAATCACTGAGATGGTCAGCGCTGCCAAGCGTTGGGAATGTCCAACACGCGCTTCGCATTTAAGAATAATGGCAAAGTGTAATATCTAATGTAGGCGGCGACGACTTCAACACGTCTATAAAATCCAGCTCTCAGCTCAGGAAAGTTGACAGCTTCACTCACAATCATCCCCACCCACATCGTCCACACCCTAATATAATCAGCGAATTCTCAAACTAGACATTGCTACCACCACAATGCTCTCTTTCACGTTCCCTCTCCTCGCTGCTGCTGCTGCGGCCCTCTGCGGACTTACGGTCCAAGCAACCCCTACCAGTCTCGTCCCTCGCGCGGACGGGCCGCCAGACCCAAGCAGCTGCAGTCCCAGCTGCGAGTTCCTGTGCACCAAGTTTACGCTACACACCCTCGAGATCGATGGCACGGCCAACTACCAGCTGTCGGCATCCAAGACGCTCGCCGTCAAGTACGACGGCGAGGAGGTCTGTCCGATGGAGAGACACGAGTGCCGCGGAGGGTCCTGCGACTTCCGGTACACTTGCAAGGAGGGATGGAGCTTCTTCCTGCCCGACCAGGCCATGGAGGGCCCGTGGGAGTTCGATCTGCAAGGATTGCCGTACACTCGCTATATTCCCGACGGATGGCCGCAGCTCGGCCCGATTTCCATGGATGATATCGAGTGCGATGCTTGGCAGTGTGGAGGTGAGTTCTTGAGGTGTTCGATTTGTAACTTGGACACACCAACTGACATTATATCTCACCGCAGGAGGACTCAATCCTATGACATGCCGCAACTGCGAGATTGGTATGAAGCGCCAGTTCTATACTGCTGAGAAGACTTGCGACCTGCCAGAAGGATGGTAGATATTTAAAGGATATTGAGAAGCACGAAAGTCGAGCAGTACTGTACATGTATGCACTGTGAGAAATAATGTCCTAGGATATTGTGGATTTAAATGGCTCGTACATTTCATGGAAGACGGAATAGAGCGATAACTAATCACATGGTTCTCTGATTGTAAAGTGCATTGTCTTTTTTAAGATAGTTCAAGAAGACCAGACCTCGAATAGCACATCTTGAGTGCCTCAAGGCTACGCTCAAGGCCATCCGGTGATGCTTGCTGTACCAGATTGTATACTTGTTCAGGATGATTCGACCCGCTGACTTGGGATCTGATATCGTAATCTGCACCGCAACTTTTGGCTGTCATAAGCAGAAAGAATCCTAGACGGATAGGCCTCATATACATAACGAGTATGGGGATAGATTGAATGGATTTGACCCTCTAAATGACGGGGCGATGGATTAATTAACACTACTTCTCAACCGTTTTCTATCGAAACATTGGCGAATAAGCGTTGGCACTTCTATTGAAGGTTACACATCGTGATGCAAGCCCTCCACGCCTTTTGTAGATTGTATCCCTAACTCTAACGAGTCAAATGATTCTATTCTTGGTGTTCCCAATCCTGATACAGACTACGGCCATCCACCCATTATCCACTAAAGCACCCAAGTCAGCGTCGCTGGGGCGAGGTGAGGACCCGCATGTTCATGTTCGCTCTTCAAAAATGAAGCCATAAGAAAAGATGCCCAGTGTAATGGCGTTTCAAATCAAACTTAGCAAAAGATGCAAATCACTGTGAGGCTTAACGGGCTCTAAATAACTCCGACATCAGTCTGCCCAGGCCAAGCGTTCTAACGATGAAGATCTATATTTACATGACACGTACTGAATCATGCCCATCCCGAAGTCGCGCGCGCTGCCCACAAGGCGAGATGTTACATATGATGGACGTAGCCACGAATATTTATACAAGAGTTATGTCCTTAATCTCCAACACACGATTGTAGCGTCGACCTCATTCAGCTTGAGCCGAACTAAACAACAGAACAAAATGCAACTGACCAAGTTTTTCACTCTCCTCGCCCTGGGATACGGCGCCATGGCGTAAGTTCCTCGGATATCTTTGGGCTTGCCAGTTTGAATTTCGAGAAGATAAATTTCAAACTAATTACCACTCGAATCTTACAGGCAAGGTACACCCACAGACCCAGACCAGTCATCGGAGACAGTGACAGCAACCCCCGTGCCCCCCAAGGACCCCGGCACAAGCTTCTTCTGCCAGTCATCGGACCTCAAAAACCTGGACAACTCGGAGGGCATCTGCAACGCCGCTGGCGGGAAGTACAACATCTTCTCTGGGGTAAGTTCCTGGCAAATATGGCCTCATATCTGGGAATAGGACCTTCGCTGACAACCCTTGCGCCAATAGTGCTGTGTGGATACTGCTGCCTCAGGCGCGGAGTCGTCTTATACACAGGGCTGCAGCGACAACGGGGGCACCGTCAACAAGCTGTCCTCGGGCTCGTGTGACCTGGCTGCGTGAGAAACGGGATAGAAATGGAGAAAGGCGGTGGAGGACGCCTTTATCAAGCTGATACCCAGAAGAGCGAGCTGCTAGAAGCAGCATTCGACTGTACTCGAATTTAAAAGCTAGGATTGTACATTGATCGACCAATTCACTTGTTCTCACGTCCTCCTTCTATGCTCTAATCCTTAAGGCTTCCATATACCGGTATTAGCACATCTGATACGGCGGGATCCTCCTCAATGTGTCGTTTCTGCTATGGTAAGTGCTCCAGCCGGGCGATATCCACAACAACTCAAAACATTACCCGCCAGTAGACACCAATCATCCGAAGGGCTGTCTCAGGCGGGCGGCTCGCAGGGCATCCGCAACACCCCAGGTGGGAAAGACTGGAACCAGCACGCCCTTCGGCCGGATATCTCGGCCCTAACCGTCCAGGTCCTCGCCTCCACCAGCTCGGCACGCCTTCACTAGACAGCGCCATCCCGATCCCGAGGGGCAGTCAAGAAAGACCAGGAGAAAAGCCAAAAGTTCCAGCGCCGATTCCCAAGAGCGGCCGGATTTCCGAGAACAGGGAACGGAATGCATGAAACTGCAAGACATCGTGCATACGCAGCTACAATATACACGTGTACATAAAGCACTTCCATGCCACCCTCCAAGTTTGACAAGCCCAACCCGCCGGACTCTTCGGAGCGACCCGTCAGATCCGGGGCGTGCATTCCGCCCGCCGATCCGGGGTGGGTTGCGTTGCGTCTTGGTTGTGTGTGTGTGTGTGTGTGGATGTGTGTGCCACCCCGCGCCCAGGAAGAGGGCCGCGAGCAGGCAAGATCCCCTCCCCGCTCTCCTCCTCCGCATCATCATCATCTGTCATCGACACGTCGGGATGAGGGACAATCTGCGTAGGTGGTTAAAGGGGAGGGGGGGAGGGGTGAGGTCGCGTGGTTAGCTTTGCTGGCGGGCGTATATCCCTCCACTTGCCCCGCACCTCTCGTATGCTGTTGTTTTCAACTATTGCAAATCACAGCTACCGCAACTACTCACTACTTTATTTCGTGTAGCTCGACAGCTCCAGGTTCGAAGCCATCGCAGGTTGGCAGCCGCTCTTCACCTACCAAGGGGCAGAGTGTCCGTGGGAGCGCCTCAGCAAGCTCGCATTCGTTTCGGCCGACTCGGACTCCACTACCACTCCGACGCTGGAAAACCCAGCACGAGACCTCCGCAACGCAAAAGTAGGATGGGTAATCAGGTTTGCTGATGAACAATGCTTGATAATACTCTATTCTGGCTCTCCTGGCTTGTCTGTTTGTGTTGTTTTGTTTTGTTTGTTTCTTTCATTGGTGCTTGGATACATCAATCCTCTCTAGTCTTTCTTCTTCTAACACCGCGCTGGGTCCCTTACCCAATCCAACTGGCTCTTTCTTTTTCGTCGTCTTCGTTTTTCCTGTTTCTAAATATGCGAATATACTCAATTCTGCAGAGACATATTCTTCCTCCTGATGATGCTTCACCAAGTGCCGGCCATCTAGTGTTGTATGTATGTGTGAAGGGCGAGGGAGGGGACAGGAAGGGATCGTCGCAGCGGCGGGGAGCACGCGCCACCTTCGCCCCTCCCAGCAAGGAACCGACCACGTCGTATCGAAGCGAAAAGATCAAGCAGAACTCAGAGATCCATCAAGACTCCCCCAACCGCCGAATTTCGACTGGCTGTTCTTCTAGTTGGCCGGGGCCATCTTCATGGGCTTCTCACCCAGACCGTTCCTGTTGCGGAAGAACATGACGTGCTTGCCGGGACCCTCGGCGTCGGCGCAAGGCTCGACCCACTGGCACATACGAGCACTCTTGTACATGGCCTTGATGAAGCCGATGGGGCCGTCGGCGACGTCGGCGCGGTAGTGGCGGCCCATGACAGGCTTGATGGCCTCGGTGGCCTCATCGGCGTTGTAGAAGGGGATGGTGCTGACATAGTGGTGCAGGACGTGCGTCTCGATGATACCGTGCAGCAGGTGGCGGCCGATGAAGCCAAACTCGCGGTCGATGGTCGCAGCGGCGCCCTTGACGAAGGTCCACTCCTCGCCGGTGTAGTGGGGCAGGGACGGGTCGGTGTGCTGCAGGAAGGTGATGGCAACTGACAGAACAACAGTGTTAGCGATCGACGAAACCAACATTACACAATACATCGAAGACAAGAAAATACTCACCAAGCCAGTGGTTAACCCAGAGATACGGAATGAAGTACCAGACGAGCATGTTGTTCCAGCCGAACTTCTGGACAAGGAAGTACAGGGCAAGAGCTGTCAGGCCGACACCGATGTCACTCATGACGACGAGGTGAGCTTCCTTGTCGTCAAAGATGGGGGCACGGGGGTCGAAGTGGTTAACGCCGCCGCCACGACCGTTGTGCTTGCCCTTGCCGCGGCCCTCGCGCTGGCGCTCGTGGTAGTTGTGGCCGGTGACGTTGGTCAAGAGGTAGTTGGGCCAGCCGATGAGCTGCTGGCCGATGAGCATGAGCAGGGTGTAGATGGGGGTCTCCTCGGTCAGCTCGGACAGCTCGTGGACCATCTTGCCGAGGCGGGTGGCCTGCTGTTCGCGGGTGCGGGGAACAAAGACCATGTCGCGCTCGAGGTGGCCGGTGGCCTTGTGGTGCCTGCTGTGGGACATTTGCCATGAGAAGTAGGGCACCAGGAGGGCGGAGTGGAGGACCCAGCCGACAACGTTGTTGTACAACTTGGAGGGGGAGAAGGCCTGGTGGCCGCACTCGTGAGCCAGGACCCAGAGACCGGTGCCGAAGAGACCCTGCATGACGGTGTACAGGCCCCAGAGGACGAAGCGGAGCGGGTACGAGGGGATGTACTCGGGTGTGACAAAGTTGTAGAAGAGATAGAATGTGGAAGCTAGGCAGGCCATGTCGCGGAGAACATAGCCCATGCCCTTGACACCATCACGTTCGAAGCAGTGCTTAGGGATGGCGTCGCGGATGTCCTTGATGGTATAATCTGGGACCTCGAAGGTGTTGCCGTACGTGTCGACCAGCTTGCCGTACGAGATCTTCTGCTTTGTGGCATCGAGGGAGGACATGGAGGACAGGGAGGTGGAGGAGGCCGATGGCCGTGGCGAGTCCGAGGGCGAGGCAACGGTGGTGGAGGGGGCCGAGTCCGAGTCGCAGGTGGTAGAGGTGATTGTCCTCCGTAGGGCCGGGTTGCCCTTGGAGGACACAGCCGTGGAAGCCATTGTGTGCGAGGTGAGGTGTTGTTGACAGGTAGGAGCTCGTTAATGTTGTTGAGCCGAGGACAAGAATGCAGAGCTGGGCTGGGGCAGGAATGGACCGTGCTCCTGGTCAACGAGGGAGAGGTGCGTTGACAAAACAAGCCCTTCTTCTATGTGTCACAACAGATGTTGTTGGTGTTTTGAGAAAGAAGAAATTCTAGGAATAAGGGCAGAGAAGAGGTGGTGACTGGTGTGGTGTCCTAGGTCGATAACGACAAAGACTGGACTGGGCTGGGCTGGGCTGGGTTGGGTTGGGCTGGACGGGCCGTGGTATTTAGGGAAGGGAGAGACCAATCGAAGAAGAGGGAAACAAATTGGCGTCGACGATGGCTCCGGGGGAGAATAAATTAGGAGAAGGAGGGAAAGGCTGAACGGATGGACCGAGGATATTTTGTGGCCAGCAGGCACGAGTAGCAAAAAACACCAGGCAGTGTGTGTGGGAGTCCGGCTGTCAGTCTGTCCTTTTTGGGGGGTGGTAGTGCGGTTTGCAAGGTACATGTACGTACATAGATACGTACATAGATAGAATCCAAGCAGAAGGGAACAATTTTAGTTTCAGGCACGCCCAGGCCCTCATCAAGGGTCCCTCTCACTCGCACTCTCTCTCTACACAGCCTACACAGTACTTACTCTGCTGTGGCTCACTGGACTGGCAGTCTGACTGGTCTGGTTGGCAGTCTCTTGTTCCGAGGCTTCTGCTTCTCTTCTCATGGGCATGGCATGGCACGGCAAATTCATCCATGCGTGCCATGCTCCATCCATCCAATCCTCTCCCAATCCTGTGCAAGATACAAGCAAATCTGCAGCAATCGGGGGGTTGATTATCCCGGGCCAGGGATTTCTGTTGGGGATCGCCCCGGCCGGATGGCAAAATGCAATGTGGGGGCCCCCCCTCGAGTTTCAATCCCAGAGGCCTGTCTGTGTCTGTGTCTGTGTCTCTCGGGTCTCAGCCTTGGGGGCAGGCTGGTGCTGGTAGGGTGAGAAAAAGGTACGTATCTATTTATCGTTGCCGCCATTGGTAACCATACGGCACAGACCGCCAGATGGAAGGTGCTCCCCGTGGAAATACGGTACAAGCAACAAACTGCACACTGACTCGACCGTCTAGCTCAGTCTGGTTCTTCAGTCTGGACGGACAGACAGACAGACAAACGGACAGACAAATTTTGGGCTGAGAGGGATGATCAAGCTCACGGTTCCCGAACACCACCAATACACTCACCCAATCTCGAAAATCCTGATGCTGAGGTGAGCAGGCTGCCAGGTAGGGTACAGTCAGTCAGTCAGCCAGCCACTCCTGCCTGCATGTGCATGCGCATGTGGTCGTCACATCTGCACCTATCTGCAAACCGCAGCTGAAGCTCGAGCTGGGCTGGCTAAACGGAGCTGCAGCTGCTGACACATGCCGTGCCTCCTTGGGTCTCGCTGTCCCTCCCCAAGTCCCAAGTCAAGCTCCCAGCGAGGCTACTTCACTGGTTCATACATACCATACCAGATCACATTTTGTGCTGGCCGTCTACCGAGCATTGTCACAGGCTTGAGCGAGCCTCTTCCATTTGTCCAGACCTCGCGACGATGATCCATCTCAGGGTCCATGGCCTCGCCTATTTCTCGCCACCGCACATCGAAATTCGGAATTGCCAGACATGCCTGACATGCTAGCAGACAAACACTGCCGAAACGAGCATCGCCCCTAGGGTCACCCACTTCCTGGCATTCCCAGCTCCAAGATCGTCAATGCTCACCCTGGCTCGAGCGTGGTAATTCCACGGGGAAGAAGAACCAAAGCTTCTAGCGCCTCTCCTATCCTGGGGGTTCCGCACACTGGTCAGACAGCCCACAGGCCAGACTCTGAGGACAAGGACAACCTCCGTCCGATCTTTGTGTTGCCACCGACCGACCGCCAACGAAAATGCTGTCTCGGCAGACGTTGGCTCCTGGCGGACGCCCTCACCGCTTCCGATGCAAGCTGCCACCGTCTCAGCCTCAGATGGACGGCGGCAGCAGCGCAGCAGCACAGCAGGTTTCGTTGTTGACCGGCACAATATCACATGCAAGCCCCATCTGATCAAGCTAGGCTGTCTGGGAAAATCATAGCCGATTGGGACGGTACGACTCTCATCACAGTCCTGCTGCCGGATCGTCCCGACCTCGCGGGCGACGTGGTTCATTGTCGCTACATCTGCTTCCGACCACTGCCATTGTCATCGTCATCACATCAAGAAAGACTGCCCCCGCCTGGCCGTTGATCGGCAAGCTTTGTCTGCTGTGTCCCGCGCTTGACGGGTTCGAAAAGCGTTGTGCCTAAACTCCTTCAGGAGCGCCGGCGTCAATGGATGATGCTGCTGTTGCTGCAGTTTGTATCAGGTCAGGCTCATGTCAGGCTCAGGTCGGACCCTGTCCAGTTAGGCATTGCATTGACAGCTCCCTCTCTCACATGCCAAAGACTGTGCCTCACCCTTCCTCCAACTTTTTTTTCTCGCATCTTATCTTATCCGTCGGTCTAGGAAGATTCAGGGGTCCTCCAGCCGAGCTTGGAACAAATGTGGGGGAATAAACCTATTTTCACACCCTCCCGCTGCACATCACCATCTCCTTCAACATCCTTCAACGCCCATCAAAAACACATCACCGCCTCATCTGTTGCGAATTCTCCCATGATATCGACAGATCATGATGCCATGTCAGACGGCCACCATCACCTACAGGGAAATCAGTCAGGTGACCGTATGGCGATGGCCCAGTGTTGGCCCAGGGCTTTGTTCGGGTGTGAGGATCTTTTTTTTCCCTCTTTGCCCCCAAAGAGTTGCTGCAGGGTCCAGACAGATCTGCGCGGCGAGATTTGTTGGGAACCCCGATTTGTTGAGCCTCCCCCTTCCAAGGTTCCTCCTCCTGCTGGCATGCTGCTTGCTACTTGGCAGCAGCGGTTCCAACAGGGCCACGCGAAGGCCCTAAAGCCCCGAAGGGCCAAGGCCCTACCCACTCGCGGGGGTGGGGCCTCCCTTTTCCCTGACCTGGGCTTGCACTTGGGTTTAGCGAGCGATGCAACCCGCTGGCACACTAATTCAACGGCCCTCCTCCGAGTTTTGTCCACTTCTCCGTGACCAACCTCGGGCATCCTACGGAATTCGTGAAGCGTGGGCATGTGGGACATCATCACCTTACCCAATCGCCAGGTCACCATTGTCATCTGCACGCTTGGATCACGGGAGGATCATGAGCTCAAATTTCCAAATCCTTTTTGTTTATTTCATGCCGTTGGCTTGCGATGCGCTTCGCGTCATTTGACAGCCAAATCAACCCCTGATATCAGTACTCGCTTAACCCAACACCCTCGAGCACACAGGAGCAACCGCGCAGCTCGAAGGATCGATCGCATGCAGCCTGCAAAGTTGCAGTGAATTTGAGTGTTGAGGCCTTGAAACGGGCCTCAGCGAGGCTATGCCTTTACTTCAATCTCGGTCAATGGTGCCATTGGCATGGCTTGTTGCTGTTCTATTAACCTTCCCTAACGTCGTGTTGCTAGTGCACACTGGCTGCCTTCCGGAGCGAATCGTGCATCATAGCAGTCGAGCATGTGATGTGGCATCAAGTGACCTAGGGGAGGCCACCGACAGCATGGCACCTCGGCAATCAGGGCGCGGAACATGTATGCAACTGGCTGTTGCAGGACAACCACCTGTGTCTGTCAAGTGAGATCGAGGTGGTCCGCATTGAGGTCTCGCAACTCCGCGCGACGCAACATAACCGCCGTGCCCAGCAGGACCCAGCCCTAGCACCCAGATCAGGGTCATATGATAGAGGAGAAAAGAGGCATCGACCTCAGCTAAATCTTCCGGCTCTAGCAAAGCGACCTATTGTGCTATGAAACCGAGGACGTCGAAGATGACCATGCTGCAGGCAAGGCTCGGAAGGCTTTGAGGTGGCATCAGCCGCTAGGTAGCTTATACGAAGCCGTTTTCCCTGTGTTGTTGTTGTTGTTGTTGTTCGCGCAGAGCTTAACGCAGGTAGTGCGAGACGAATGCTTGTGTCGGCTGCCCAGAAATCACGCGTCGCGAGTTTGTCCGGAGATCAAACACCAGCGGTGGGGAGTGCTGTCTCGATAAAGGCACATTATGCATCTCTATGCACTGTCCAGTGGACATTAAGCTACTCCGATCAAGCGTTTCCACCACTGCCAGCTGCAGTGTCATGGTCCTCATCCAACGCGGCTGTTTGTCCTCATCCAAAGCGGCTGTTTCTCTTTTGCTCGGTATGCTGAAAGCCTCTGATCAACCACAACTCCCTCACAGAAATCTTGTGGCGCGGTCTGAGAGACACCAGAAATCTAGATTGCTACACGCAGTACGAAGGCCAAAGGGGCACTTCGTGGACAAGACGGATCGCCGGTTCATGGCGTACTTTTCCGACGCCGAAATGGCACAGGTACACGAGAACGGGCTGGTCTTTAATGTCTAGCGAACAAGTCTCAGTGCTGCCAGAAACCGAGGTGCCTGCTGCGGGTACCTGGCATTGATGAGGTAGCTAGATGGCCTTCATGTGCTTCCCTCATACATCATCAGCGACCTCGAATCCAGGGGTTCCGGCGCCGTGGCTGCGCCTATCGATAAGATAGCATCCTCGTCCGAGAGCACCGACACGACGAAAGTCTGCCTCAGCGTTCCACGACAGCAATGGACATGACTGTCTCACTTCTGGCGGCACTGGAGGACCAGGGTTGGTGGAAGGCGTGGCGTGTGAACGCATATGGAGGCGAGATCGAAACAACGTGCAGATAGATTGTCGACGTGCTCAGGCAGGACATCTAGGTCAGCAGGAGAGCCCGGAGGCCTTCTCAAGGATGGCGAGTACGCGATGCGGTGCTGAAATCTCCTACATCCGTCGAACGAGATCTAGAGCAGTACGTGGCATCCCGTCTGCCTCACATCGTTTGTCCAAACTAGAGCTCGCGGACCGTCGACCAGCGCCAAAACAACCGAAGCTCAGGTCTTTTGCCCTCCCCAGCCGCGGAATTGCCGCCAACAAGCTCGCAGAAGCAACCAGTGCCTAGAATTAGCATCGATTTCATTTCCCCCCGCGACCTTGACCCTCGCGGCTCTTTGCGCAGCCCTCCCCGCCCACCACATGGCGCGATGCTCTCGCCGGCCAGCTCGGCTGCCACTCGACCGTCGCGTGTTCCTGACCTGGTGATGACAGCTCTGCGGCGCTGTCAACGGCAGGGGCTGGGTCTGTATTCGGGGGCGGGAGAGGGTCGCGGGCTCAGGAGGTAGGGGGTCGTCGTGGGGAGGGTGCGATGCGGTGGCGGCTGATGCTGCTACTGCTGGGAGTCCACTGCCATGGCTCTGGCAGGGCATCAGGGTCACATTGACCAGGCCTGGAGGATAGATACCAGGTGGTGCTCCTTGATTGTGGCATCCGGCTCGTCTTGCCGCTGGCGCCGTGCCTCTCCTAGCTGAGACAGACCGGCCCGGACGAGTGCTGTCCTGCTCCCTCGACATGATGATGTGGTGAAGTACGGCAAAGATAGCAAAGCGTGCTTGTTACGCCTGCGGTGATCTGATCTCCCCATGATATCTCCCCATTATGGCTCAGGTACCAAAACATACAAAATCACTACTCTGTCCTGGCCGGACTTGTCCACAGCCCTTCACTCTATCCCGTGAGTGAGGAGTCGAGAGAGGCAACAGGATGTCGTCCACGAGGCGAGGAACGACCAGCCAAGCCTAGCGGCCGATGCTGCTAGACGCGTCGGCGCAGTCAGGACGTACGCGCACGGCTCGTGGAACGGAAGTCTTCAACCTATCACCGGCCAGCCGGGCATATTTGGCGGTCTCGTCGAAGACCCGGGAGGGCCAACCGCCTCCTAGCTATTTCCGGTCTCGGTAAGGCAAGGTGAACATACTATTCCTGCGAGTGATGAACCTCTCTACTGCATTCAAAGAACGAGTCTACCGGTCGATTTCGTTGCGTACACGCGGCTGATGTTCCGTCAAGACCAGCTGTATCTCAGCCAGGCGGGCGAGCTCCCCTGCGAAGATGTAAATATGAGAGACTGCAGTCTCTCCTTCGCCTGTGTCTGGTATCACTTGACCCCACCAACTTATGCAGCCTTTCACATTCGCATTACAAAGAGCATCAAATCCATCAACTCACAATCACAGTCATGCACAGGAACAAGCACAAGTCGAAGTTATTCAACAGAATATATATTCAGGCCACAACCGGCCTCCCCTGATCCGCCGGTCCAGAACATAAATACAACCGTGATGTACTCCACATTTCCCTTCCCGAGTCCGCTGTCGGGCCCCCTTTCTTTTCCAAGCTTCCTCCGTCTATATACCCTTTCCCCACACCTGTATATCGGGCGGCATATATATCATGATCTCACACGACTTTCAGCTCCCTCTCAATTGCCTCTCCGCTGTTGTATGTACGTGCGCTTGGAGGATCTCGTGTGGTTTCGAATCCGCACATGAGTATGTTCGTATCTCTCCCCCCTTCGGTTTCCTGCGCTGGTAGGTAAAATGGCTCAAGGGCTTCGCATCCGCTTGCTTCCTCCTGACATCGTCTCCAAGTCCGCTCAGCACTTGAGTGGAGGAGACGACTACGGAGTTCAAAAACTCAAAAAAGGCCACAAAGGCGCCGTATGCTGTGAAGAAAAGGCAAAAAACAAAAATGCTTCTCGTGCAATACACGAGACACAAATGTCCGCAGATGCCACCCATTTCTAGAATCGCTTCGAAATATCCCCAAGCCGCCCCGAGCAAAAATGCGCTCTGTGTCTCCGTCTCCAGTCCAGCGTCTAGGCGAGGATTAGGATATTAATAAATAAGGTTGTTGGTAGAAGTTATGAAGATTGTGTATAAAAAGGGTTGAGACCGTTTCGAGTCGTTCCTCATCATTACAGTTTTATGCAATGGGAAAATATGATCGATGCAGCGGTCGTGAGACCAAGCTTTGTAAGGTTTCGGTTTTGTAGGGTCGTCGGGCAGATGCACCCAGCTCCAGGCTGTCAATTGTTCTCTTTCGGTTCGCTCAAGAGTTGTGCTTGCCGGCCTCTCGTACCGACTTCATCCACCGCTCCTCGTCTCCGGGCTTGCCCACCAGCTTCTGCTTCTTGCCACAGATGGCCGCCTTGACCTCGTCCATGTTCTTGGTGCTTAGAAGGGCCATCTCGTGCTCCAGGAGGACTGCGACGCCAGCCCTGACCAGAACGGAGTCGCCCTCGAAGACGTAGACGTCCCACAGTCGCGCTGCCTCGTCGAGTGCGACATGCCCGGTGAAGAGCGAGGTAAAGATGTCGCCCAGGTATACATCGGCATCGTGGTCAGCCAGAGCCGTCAGATGAGCATGCAGTTTTGGAGATTTTGTTGCGAGGGTCTGCAGCAACAGGTTGTAGGCGGATGACTTGGCGCCCTGGTCGTCGGAGTAAAAGCTCAGGGGGAGGGAGCGGTTGAGGAGGTTGGCCAGGGCAATGAATGCCGCCGTAGGGTTGGGAAGGTTGAGTAGAAGGAGCGCTGCGACGGTCTGAAGTAGATGTTAGCAACCAGGGAACCGACTTGAGAATTACCAGTGTCGTCGACGACTTACATTACAACCAGTGACATAGCCAATGTCGCTGCGGTACATGGCATAGGCGCTCAGCACGTCAAGCAGGCTCTGATGCAGCGGCCCACCGGCCTGGAAGATCTTCAGATCCCGCCACGTCTGGGCCTCGACATCCTTGCGAATGGTTCGCATCCAGGCCACGACCTTGTGGTCCTCGGGACTGCCATGGCCGGCCTTCTCGCGGGCCTCGGCCTCCTGGGCCCTGGCCAGAGCGGCCTCGAAGGACTTTTCCGTGAGGCCCAGGTCGTTCCCGATGGCCTTAGTCCAGACCACGCCGCGACTTCTAGAGGCGACGCCCCTCCACCAGAGCTCGCGGGTACGGCGCTCGCGGATCGCATCGTTCCAACGGGGAACGATCTCATGCTCCCAGATTTGCATGAGGCTGTCAGCTGCAGTGTCCTTGTTCTTGGACATGACCTTCTTCTGCTCCTCCCTGCGTCGCTCGTTCTCTGCGCTCCTTTGCATCATCTTCTGGTATTCCTTCAGATGGCGGCGTTCCTCGGCAGGATCCTTGGGTGGCAGCCATGAGGGACGTGTGCGAGAAAGAACGGCCTCCTTCTCCTTCGAAATGGGAAGAGGATCAATCATGATGTTGCTGCGACGCAGGGGCGGCAATTCTGCAAGAGCAGATTTGTGCTTCGGCCTGGAAACTTCGGTTGTACTCGCCCGGCGAGCCTTGGGAATTGATCCGGTGCTGGACCTCTGCGACTTGACCTCCAGCTCTTCGGCGTGCTCTTCCAGCTTCTCGGTGAGCTCTTGGGCGTCCTTGTTAAGGGCAGCCAGGGTCACATTCCAGCTGTTGGCGCGTGCCAGGTGAGGACTTGGCATGCCTTCAGAGAGGGGAGACTTGAGAGACGACAAGGCCGTGTCGGATTTCCAGGAGGGTGACCGCAGTGCACCGATGGAGCCACTTTCGCCGCCAGATGCAGGAGTACCATTTCCAACGCTCCTGACTCTGGGCTTGGGCGATCGCTCTGGGGAGTTCGATTTGGAGGTTGGGCGGCTCACTGTGCGTTCAGAGTGGGGCCGAGGAGACAGAGGAACGTTGTCTAGGACGAAGCCCTCGGGAATGTCGTCACCGTCATCCTCGTCGCACTCCCGCTCCAGCTCAGCCTCGGTCTTGCGCTCGCGGGTTGACTGCCAGCTGCCTCTTCTTGGCCTGAGGGTCATACTAGAGGCGCTGGGTTTGATCGAAAGACTCGGTCGGAGTTGGCGGAGATTGGGACTAGGCGTGCGGCTGCCTCTGGAGGCTGGGACCGAGGGTCGGCTGTTCGGACGGCCGTTCATGCTTCGGGGCTGTGAGGTGACGTATGACTCGGAAAGGAGCTGGGTCGTGTTGGTGCTGCGCACATTGGATCTCAGGTTGTGAGGCTGTAACGCTGGTGCACTGGGCCGCCTCTTCTTTGTGGTTGTGATCTCGCGCTGGGAGACTTGAGGGCTTCGCGGCTTGGACAAAGACCGTTGCTGTTGTTGTGATTTGGGCAGGCTAGTCATGGACTTTGCACGCAGATCAGAGGCGTAAGAGGCGTTGTAGGGGCTGGGGTCGCGTTTGGGCTGTTGCAGGTCCCGGTCGTAGTGAGGTGCGTCATCGTCGAGGCCGATTTCTTCGAAGTTGCTCACATCGGTGAGAACGCTCTCGCGGTCTGAAAAGGAAGAGTGGAAGGAGGAAGATTTTGAGGATTTCGAGGTGGTTAGGCCGGGAGGTGAGCCAGAGCCGGGCAGAGCGGCGGGCTCTTCAACAATGGGTCGCTCGTATATCATCATCCTGTCATTATTTGTCGAGGAAAGATGTCCTGGATACGAGTGAGGTGGAAAGATTCGAGGACAAGAGACCTGTTGAGCCAAATGTTTTCTCGAATGTTGGACGAGTCAAGGCGGTGCTGACCCTGATCTTCCCCAGGATCACTGTGTGCCGGCGGTCGGTTAGGCGCAGGAGACGTCCACAGGCCGCAGAGTCAAGTGGTCGTGTGCGTGACGTCGTAGGATGGCTGCCCCGTGTTTTGCGTCCTTTGGGCTCTAGGAATAGCGAAGGCCGTGCCCTTTTCCCTTTTCCTTTTTTCTTTGCCCGTTCCTAGGAGGGGACTGACGTGGTGGAGGCCGCTTGATCTGATCGGGTGACTGACGGGTTCACCGACTGGAATTGAGCCAACAATGGACAATTTGGTAACAGGGGGCTGGTTGTCGGCAAGGTTCGAAGATGGGACGACAGACGCAAGAGGCGCAGGATAATGCGGCTGGACTTGAGACCCCTAGCTCGTGGCACGGAGGGATGTGGGCGTTTGGAGTAGTTTAAGTGTCTCACGATCCCCGGCGATCTGATCTGTGCAGGGTTGGGTCGCAAGCCAAGAGTCGACTGGACTGACGTGTGTCTATGTACGTGCGAGCAGGCGAACAATTGATGGACGGGCGCCAAAGTAGAGCCAACAACCGGATTGGACGGTATATTGTGTGTGTGGATGTGTCCGTGTCGTTAGAGGGAAGAAGAAAGGACCAGAAAAAAGAAGACTTGAACAAGCGAGTGTGGTGTGTAAAGTGTGGTGACTGTCGTCTAAGCGATTGTATTGTAGATGGAATCGTGCAATTAGTTTTAGTTTTACGCTGGTGATGTTTTCGTGTAGGTTGGACAACAACAACTGCAACTGCAACTGCAACTATTACTCTGAGTATTCCGGGCTATCCGTAGGACAGGCAAAAGAAGAGGATGGTTGGAGGAGGATCTAGGTCCAGGTCCAGGTCCAAGAGCCGACAAGAGGGGAAACGAATGACAAGAGGTTGGAGACAGAGGAGGAGAGGTTAGGTGAGGAGGGATGGAGTGAGGCGAAGTGAGGTGAGGTGAGTAAGGAGATGCAAGATGGAGGAGAGGAGGTGGAGGAGGAGGAGGAGTAGGTCGAAATGTCATAAACAGGCAATCAATCCGTCAGGCAATCAAGCAATCTCTCGATCCATCACACCCAATGTTAGCTGCAGAAGGCACAGCACAACAACGCAGCACAGCATGGCATGGCAGGATGGCACAGCTCTCTCCTTGCTCCTGTCTCTCCTCTCTCTCTCTCTTTCCCCCCGTCTGCCTCCCCCACTGTCAGCAGCAAAGCAAGATAAGACCCGCATGTCAGGATCAGGACGGGGGAGTTGCACCGTCCCTGCTGGCCCTGCTAGCCCGTTGCCCTGCTGGAGACTGGACCCAGGGCCCAAGGACCCAGAACTTGAGAACCAGGCACAGGGAACCAGGGAACCACCCAGAGGAGCCACTGAGGGCCACCAACGGCCCCACCAGAGAGAGCAGCAGCCAACGCCCGTCCAGCCCGTCATGAAATTACGGTGTGGTGTTCTGCAGTAGCGTGCACGGGCCAGGCAGGGCGTTTTGTCGGGGATATCCTGCTGCACTCTCCATCCTCCAGCCTGCATCGTCGATTCATTCGATTCGATTGTTCCTTTCACTGATGACATTTTGCTTGCCAGTTTGATTGCAGCATGCACATGCATACCTAGTGGCAGTCGTGGTAATGTACAGGCATCCATCCTTCTCCAACCCAGCCTTTAGTTATCATGCATATGCATGAAAACAGAGTTCAGATGGTGATGTCGCGGGAGTCGCGGATCGGTGAGAGATGGGACGGCACCGTGGCTGTTCCGTTATTAGCCCGTCAGTCCGAACGCCGACTGCACGATTGCACATGTCGTCGTCGCAGTCCTAAACGGTAACGGTACACCGATGCGTGGGTTGACAGACAGACACAGACAGCAGACCAGCATCAGCACCCAGGATGAAAATTAAAACAGCCTTTGCACCTCTTGTTGGACTACTGCAATCGTCTAATTACTGCGTGCCCCTTGGACACAGTATAATATCACCAAACGTAATCAAGCTTCCCGCCAGATGGATACCGCCTTGCACAAGCGACGTTCCAGAACATCATCCACCACTATCCACGATGGGGCCGTAGACGGGCCTAGCTCTTCTTCTTATTTCCTGCCTCCTCATCAGACTTCAGCCCCCAAATTCAATTACCATCCCCAATACCACCTCGTCAGGCTCATCAGGGCTCGCCTGGACTTTCTCCGTCTCTTAGTCTCATCGTCCCATCTTTGCAAGGCTCTCGACGCCGTCGGCGGGAGTGGCTGCCGACGCCAGGAACGGCGCCTAGACCCTGCCTGCATTGTGCCTGGATCCTGCATCGACGATGCTTCTGTTGGTGATGATGATAATGATGTTGGCTTTAACGGTGCTGCGTTGGCAACCAAGGGTCAGGGCAAAGATCAGGGCCAGGACCATGTCCAGGACTAGGACCAGGATCGCAACACCAGTTGGTCTGCCTCACGAGCAATCTTTAGCTTGCTTTGATAAGTCACTCACTCATTCAAACACTCGACGGCTCGACGGCTCGACTGTTGGCTGCGGGCAACGGATGCCTCAAGGTTGCCCTAGTGAAAGCCACCCCAAACGTCATGGGCAGCCACCTGCGTCCTTGGTCATCCTTCTCATCTTCTATTTTTTCCATTCGCCGCTCACTCCTCTTCCAAGCCATTTCGCTTCCACACCACTGGAATCCTAGATCGGGAGAGGGCACGAGTACCGAAGGCACTCCCGAAATTACCGGTGATATCAGTCAATTGGTCTAGTTTGGCGCCGTCTGCCCTCTCCTGTCAGTCGTCCTCTCTCTCCCACTGAAAAGGAGGTCAGCTTATTTCCCCGGCCCCGCCAATCAAACCTGTCCGCCCAAACATCGCCGAAATTACCACTGCGCTGCCTCTCTCCAGTCTTCCAGTCTGCCAGTCTGCCAGTCTGCCAGCCTGTCTGCCTATTGTCCCTCTCATTTTCCTCGACAAAGGGGCCTGAGCCTGTCAGCCGGTTGGAAGCCACGGTCCGACAGCACTCCCGGGCAATCAGGCCCCATCGCCAGTGGGTTCGCAGCCCTGCAGTACGTGCGTACATGCACGGCACGGTTCCTCCAAGGACCCTCCAGGACCCTCTACCATGGCGCAGCAGAGATCGTGAGTGACGATCACCGTCCATGCTCCACGCTGCCGACCTCCTGCATATCCTGTATATCCTGCTGCACATCCTGCACATCGTGATCCAGCAACATCGAATGACTTTCTGTAGGGGAGACACCGGCGCAGACAGAGGCTGGCATGCCCGCCCATCGAGGTCAGCCAAGCAGCCCATTCAGTCGCCCTTCTCCTCGCAGGGTTTCGCGTGGCACGTGACAGGGTGTTTTCGCATTGCCATGCCCGCGGTCAGGCCTGTCATGCTTTGTTGACATGTTACGGCACGGGCACAGTAACAGTAGCAACCCGCGAAACCCACGCGTCCCGGCCGGGGGGAGGGGTGTGGAGAGAAGAAAGGGAAAAAATAAAAAAACCCAACCCTTCAAGGTTCATGACTTCGACTCGGACGACAACGCACCAGCGAGGCTTACACAGTATTGCCCTTTTGCCCGCAAGCCAAGAGCAGTCCTTGCTCACCGCGCACCCGCTCCAGACCCCGGCCCAGGTACCCGCCGTTATCAAACTCAATTGCTACCGTTCATGCGGCACCAGCGCCCTTGCTCAGCCTGCTCAGGCACGCCCGCACCTCCTCCCGCGTTGACCTGTCATACGCCTGACTAGCACGCCCTAGAGGAAAGGCTCAAAAGCAGCGGCATTTTCTCTTCGCTCGCTTCTTGGGTCTGCGGTCTACTGGCAGCTGGCAGCTGGCTGTCAACTGGCTCAAATGGCCTACCACCTGCTTCCGACGTCCTAGCACACTGATGGCATGTATCTGTGTGATTGAACCTCTTAGGCGGCTGACATCTCGTCCTCGTACTTTTGACTCCTGGTGATGTCCTGCCCGGTCGTCAGGATCTTGGTTCTCCACGGGGCTCCTCCCACAGCCCAGCCGGGAACTACCCCTGCCGGCACATACGTGCCCCCCCTTCTTACTGTAAACAGATGCCACGACCGACATGTGCTGGATCTTGGACCGGGCCATTACCTTGATTATCAGTGGGAAGGGTGCTGAGCCCTTCGTTCTTGGCGTTCTGTCCGTACAGGGCGTCTCTTGCCTTGAGTTCCACTCCGGCATGATGGCGTGTACTCAATCTCGTAGCAGCTGAAGTGCTCGCTTGTGGCCTGTCGACTCCCTCTCCAACGGGAGATCGCCGGCTACCCTGCTAAAGTGTATTCCAAGGGGCACTGTATACTTTGTCGACACACGACAGACTTCAAGTATCGATCCACCGGAGGCAACTTGACTAGCAATTAACACTCGCAGCTTATGTGCTGTGGGGTTAATATTCAAGAAACTTGTGGGCGCAATTGGTCTCATTGCCAGCATTCCAATTACGCTATTTTCAGAACAGGTTCCCGTCGGCTCACATACAAGTGTCACTGCTTTGGTGACAGGATCTCCGGCTCTTAAGTATTGCGTGGAGAGTAAAAGGGCACAGAAGCTGCAAATGGGGAAGACCAGCTTGGTTTCCAGTAATTGCCGCCCTTGAGAGACAGCACTAGGTGGCTACATGGCGCACTCCAGTATCTACTAATTATCTATCATGCTTGATGGCCTGGTATGCTTTCCGATATAAAAGATCAGATCCAGAAGTAGATAGTGAAGACAAAGACGCCCGATGCCTGTGCCTCGTATCCAAACGCCACGATGTACTTGCCCTGCATCTCCGCGAACTCGTCGATCATCTTCTGTGCCCCCGCGCCGAACGGGGTGTTGTCGTGGAGCAGGTTGTAGGTCTCTTCCTTCTCGTCGGAGTGGTGGTTTCGGAAAATGCTGTTGTTTTGGGGGAAGTAATGAGTCACAAAAGTTCAAAGGATACAAGATGTGTGTTAGTGTGTCAGTGTCTAAGTGTGTGAAGAAGTGAGTGAGTGAGAAAAGAGAGGCAAGTGGCATCCGAACGTGAAAGTTAATTACTCACATCAAGTCTTGCGCCTCACTCTCGCCCATCAGATCATACACCTGGTGCGTGACCTCAGAAAGCTGCTCCTCATAGACGTCGAGGTACTTGATGCCGAGCAGGTCGGCGGCGCCACGGCCCACAGAGCTGACCCAGTCGCCTGAGTTAGGCGTCGAGCCGTGGACGTCGTAGCCCAGCGCTTCGAGGTCTGGGATGGCCTTGAAGGTGTGGGCTGCCTAGATGAGCCAGGTGGTGACGAGGAAGATCAGAGTGAGGAGCTTGATTGTGTTGGTCCTGTATGTCTGCTGGGGAGGTGTAGTTGAGATAGTAGTTGCTTGTCATGAGACTATGGTGGTAGTGATGGCAGGAGTATCATTGTTGACAGTATTTTGGGACTTCTTGCATCATTCATAGAATCTAAAGGTTTCCTGTGACCATACCATAGAGTCCGTCATTGAATCTTGTGGTCAATTGTCATTGCCCCGTCACTCGGCGTGACCTGAGTGAGTGAACCAATTCACTCGTCAGGTTGAATCAGTACCTTTATTGGCTAGCCTCTCATTTGTCTTTGGACTTCGATATCTCAAGCCGATACCACAATCAAGTTATCGAGCTAAAATCCGATGTTCTTGCAGAAAGATAAGCCGTATCGGAGCTGACTAGCCTTATAGAATCTTTCGGTAATGAGACCGTCAGAAATGGCTGGCCTTAGGGTGTTTTCCATCATGAATTATTCATGATGGGTACGCATTGGATGCTGCCACAGATACTCTTGGTGGCCGACATCACTTTTGAGTTGAATTTGGTAATCCACAAAGCCACTGCGCTTTGGATGTCAGGAAGTTGTTATACCGAAAGTCTTGTTTTGGATAATGAGAACCTCTCCGCAGAGTACATCAATAGGACCATTTTGCCATTGTTGATGTAAGTATACGAGAAGCAACCATCATATATTGTCATCATCCTCACTTGATATAATTTTAGGCTTCCAAGTTTGCTTAGTGGTCTTACTATCAATCACATATTCACTAAGTTCGAGAAAAGGAAACGCTGGTACAGAAACTATCACAACGAAGTCCGACCAATATTCTCTTAACCAAGTCTGGTGATCCTGTAGCTTATTTCCCTCGGATGGACAGGGGCACACCGATGATGTCTTTCGATTCGTTGTTGCAATAAACGCTGAACAAGGTACTATACCATGTTGAGAAAAAGTAGGTATATGGGAAGTTCGGTCTACTTGAAATGGTCAGTGATTCCTTAAATCCCTCGATTAAGAATTAGTTCCCTGCACACGGCAAATTGTGCCATCTCTTCAAGGGTCGAATGATGTGGGTTTAAAAGAGTATTTGAGTGACAACCTATGCGCTCGTTAAAATATTTTTGCCAGTTTGCATTCTTATTTAAGTGAGGGAACGCTTCTTCAATTGAGCTGGTGCCTACACAGAAGGCGATAATCTCACAGCAATTGCATATAAGATGACATGCTTTTGGAGCAAAACAACAGACAATACAACACTCGAGACTAGACACGATAAGTGAGATAAACCTGCTCCCTTGTTGCGGTTCCAGTTGCAATGGTGGTAATTTGGTGCGGCGGCTGCTCAATACGTCTTGCAAACGGAGATCAATGGCAGGTGACTGCGCCTCGTCGTACGGATGATGAGGTAGAGGCTCGATTATGTGGACGAGAGATTCGCAGGGGGAAAATGGCATGCTAGGCTAGTTTGAATAGAATACTAAAAGAGCATTCGACGTCTGTTGATCTGAAAATAAATCTCCAGTTTGTGATAGGGGCTTTCGATGCTCCACATTGACCGCACAGGAGGACTCCCAATCAGCATTAATTTCCAATGATCTGGCCGGCATGTCGTTAGCGACCGATGTCTCTGACATGGGAATGTTTTGTAGTGATTCTAACCTTATTCACCACCGCTTCACCCGTCAATCCAATGTTTGCCGCCGTGCTCTTCAGCGTACCCCCTACCTTCATGAATGTAGCCGCTTCAACTTGGAGGTCTTTGTTCTTGATTAGCTGGTAAGCGTTGAATCCCCAGCGATCCTTCAGGTCCTGCACTTCCGGCTGTTGCTTTCCAGAAAGGGCTGCAGGATAAGCCTTCTGCAGTTCTCGGAGATCGTCTGGGTTGATTTCAACCTTCCCTGATGCTGCGGAAGGACGAGCGAGGATGAACGTATATCGGTGTGGCCGAGGGCTGATATAATTTGGCAGAGGCGCGGGTCCAACATATGAAGATACGTTGCTCTCACTGGAAATGACCAGCTCGCCGCCGTCCTTTGTCGAAACACTCGTGGCTAGCCAATGGCGCACTTGACCAAAGTTGGCATCGTTGTCGGCCATGAGGTCCTATTATATTTATCAGATATAGGATTTCCTGACCATCAGCGCTTGAATTTACAGGATCAGTCATGATGAGCACATAGTCATCGCGATTCTGGGAAGGCTGTGATGATTCGATCAGTCTACGAAGAAGACGTATGCAGCAGAATTGAATGTAGACTCGGGTTGCATACAGGGGGTTTTAGGTAAAGCTTTGGCTCGAGTTGGGTCTCTTCGCGGTCGAGTTCTTTTCCAGGAGCATCCAGAATTGTGTTGGGCCATTTGAGTGTGAGGCTGGATTGAAAGTCAAGCCCTGCCGGCAGAACATCGGGAACCACCTGATGTTCCTGTAGCTTCTTATTGATGTTCTGAATAGTCGACATTTCAGCGCGATAATGCTATGAGGAGACAAGATTCAAATTATGATCATCAGTGCTGGAACAGTACCGAGGGCTGGCACTACGAATGTGTATTTAAATATGCTGCTTGGAATAAGCATCCATGACGTTGACATGACGGCCAACTGGTGAAGCGTGGTGATCATGGAGGAAACCTCAGCACAACGTCACTTTCAGGTCTCTGTCGGCAATTGTTTTCCTTGGGGAAAACTCTTCGGGTGTGCCTGGAATTCGAAGAACACGCACACGTTCAAGTATTAGCTTAAAGGGAATTCATGAATGCCCTCGTGAGTTCCATAGTGAATCAGTATAGATGATGTAGTATAGGATCGCAGCCGAAACAACTGCATATCTTTCCTCGCATTATTAATTTGTATGTGTCATCATCATTCGTGCTGAGAAACAGGCTCTCGTCGAGCGTGAGAAGGTAAAATAGGGCCGCAGAGGTTTGGGGTATTCTTAGATCAAGCACCCATACCTACACAGGTACATTGTAGCCACGGCGCACCTACTACTAGTACACCCACATTAGTGCATAGGTTGAAGGCGAACTTTGGAACAAGGCCAACAATACACTTTGAATTGATCCTGGCAGAATTCAAATGAAATTGAAATTGAATCGTCCATTTCAAATATGTGGTTGACGTTCACATGTGAAATGTCATGCACCATCAAAGGAGTGTCGCCCACGGCGTCGGTTATACAAGGAAAACAATGTTCGCAAATTAGACGCAAACGGCAGTGGTCTTATGGATGACTGCTGTATATCAAGGAATCGAAGGTGGTGACGCTCTTGGGACTGGCTAGTGTGTCTACTCCCTGACTGCCGAGGAGCTTAGAGCTGTAGGCACTTGCCAGCATGTTGTCTTCGAGCGCAGGTTCTTCGAAACTGTGGGAGAGCTGATCTGCTGGGCTGCAACGGGATGCGGGGACTCCAACATCAGCCAGGGCCGTGACCTGAGCCCGATGGCAAAGCGCCAGGGCCGTCAAGCTACGATTATACCCACTGTGACTTTTTTCTTTGAAAAATCGATTATGGAGTCGCAATAAAGGAACTACTATCCTCATCATGGACGGTGACACCAATTGCGACATGCTCACTGGGAGGCTACGCCGCGACTTGGTTTTGTCTCATAAGGAGGTTGCGTCGGATATTCTACTTGTTCCTTTCTAAGTCCATTAGAGTTTTTGTGTTGGTTGCAAGAGATCACTGGTGGTGACAGCAATAGGCTAGCAGCTGGCAGATCATCCTTAGCACAGAGATCGACACCCTGCACTTTTCTTCTTTTTGGCTGTTTGCCGATCTACGGTGAACAACAGATATGAGCAAGCCACGGTCGAGTCGCGTGGACTATTGACAAAGACTGACTCAATGGGTCGCAAAACGCGTCATTATGGGTTGGCTATGCCTTCGGACAAACAGCGAGCAAACTTCGAATCGGAGAATTCTGATGCTGCATGTGTCGAGGCTTTTCCAAGGGCTGATCCTTTGCTCGCCTATGATGTCTCCTGAGGTACCAGATCGCATTGATATCCGAATCATACAGGAAAAAGTTGACTGAATAAAGCTTTGAATTCTGAGTGGTTCAAATCGCAATCTCGCCCTGAAATATTAGATTTTAACAAGGGTCACCTTGGTACGCGATGCCAAGACCGAATGAGCTGTACAGTATCGACCCACAGGACAGCCTCATCAAAGACGTCGGGCATCGATGTGGATCACAAGGCTATGGCTTCTATTGCATTTGGGTAAGATGTACATCGTTCACTCACACGTAAGTTCTCCTCGGCAAATGCTTCAATAATTGTACCTGTGTCTTCTAACACCTGACCGCTGAATCTTGACCATGTTGCACGTTTGTTGGAATGGAGTTCATGCCGCTCTTTGCGTGTGGTAGTGCAAGTGGGCCAGTTAGAACAAGGCATGATCCCACAAGTTGAACGACTTGCAAAAAACCCTACAGGTGAGAAGTCACGGGCTTCACTCAAATCAATCCGGAAAAGGCTATGAGAGTTGCCTATATATACGCTCATCTCTTCATCTCCTCTTAGAGAAGTGCCATCAAGTCTTGACTATCACATCGACCAGTTACGACCTAAAAGCACAACAGCTTTACACCCAACTATCATCATGGCGCCCAGCAACTTTGTCAAACATCTTCGGCTTCACGCTGTCGAGATCTCCGGAGAAGCTGTTGGAACATTCTTGTTCCTGTTGATGGCACTGTCGGCTGCCCAAGTCGCCAACTCTGATACTTCACATGCTGGAGATGACATCCACCCTGGGGATATTAATCTCACACAGCTTCTGTATATCAGCTTGGCATTTGGATTCTCCCTTGCTGTCAACGTCTCCATCTTTGCCAGAGTCAGCGGAGGGCTCTTCAACCCGGCCGTAAGTCTTCAGCTGACGCCTGTCACATATTCATAACGCATTCAAATATAAGCTGACAATATGGAATAGGTCACCCTTGGAATGTGCCTCATCGGCAAAGTCACATGGATCAAGGGTATTTTCTTGACCGGCGGGCAGATCTTGGGAGGTGTTGTCGCCTCGGCTGTGGTCAAGGGCATCTTCCCAGGCACCTACGTCGTTCAGACCAAGCTTGGCCATGACGCTTCTGTCGCCCAGGGCCTGCTCATCGAGACTTTCCTCACCATGCAGTTGATGCTCGCAATCTACTTCATGGCTGTTGAGAAGCACGAAGGCAACGCGTTGGCTGCCCTTGTTATTGGATTTGCTCTCTTCGTTGCTGAGTACGTGTTTATTCCAGCAACTTTGGACTGTTGGTGGTATCGTAACGTGGACTGACTGTAGAATAATAGGTTGCCCGGTATCTACTATACTGGTGGTTCCCTCAACCCGGCCAGAACCTTCGGCCCCGACCTCATTACGCTCGACTTCGGTGCCACGCACTGGATTTACTGGGTTGGCCCATTTTTGGGCGCCACGCTGGCTGCCGTCTTCTACAAGTTTATCAAGTTCTTGCAGGCTGAGGCTGCTGAGAACAGTGATGACACTGAGAGGCAGCCTCTTCTGTCATAAAGACAGACGGAATAGATTGCCGCTGGACTGTCAGTCTAAGATGCCGCCAAAGCATCAGATCGACATAGGAGTTGGCATGAGCACCGAAACACTGGATGGAGAAAAGAAAACGGCAGCATGACTGAGTCATTGTTTCTGTCATTGGGGATAGTTTGACTGAGATTCGAGACAACCTAGACTACCAAGAAAGCTCATTCTGTAGAGCCAAATTCTTACATTTTTGAGTAAAGACTTGTATGCTATAACCGATCTCGTGTCATCTTTCCTCAGCTTCAATATCAGAAATCAGGCCCTCAACTAATAAAAAGCTTTAGAAGTTGTGTGCTTGAACATTTGCATATTGTATGATTATATCTAGCCTGATAACTCCATTTGAAAAGGCAAGTTAGACATGAATTTTGCATTGGCTACTTATTGCCCGAAGAGTTCTCGCCTGACTAGTTTATGACCGGGCCTGTACTTGCCACTAATAAATACATGAAGAAGGGTTCTGATTGACTTATGAAAGCAGCTGATCTGATGTTCAATTAATTGGAAATTCATGGGAGTTCGTGGTCTTGAGAATGAGAGGCTGCAGTCAACGCTGTTTTGAGGAGGCACATCTGTCAACCATTCCTGGCTTTGTGCCCTCATAAGGGACCTATACAGAGCAAACCGTGCGCAAAAATACGTCCAGCACTGCATCGCCACGACACACGACCTGCTGAAGGTAAGTTGTGTCAGTTGCAGTTAGACCGGTCTGGAGCAAGTCATCGTCCTGTGACTTTGTTCCAGAGGTTTTTGCCGTCGCTTGCATATCGAACGAGTTGAGGGTCGATAAGGAATTTCTTGATTGTGATCCCGAAACCATACCACCATCGACCCGACAGCTCTCGCCCATCGTCAGCATTTTCAGTGCGGCAAGCGTCTCACGACCTTTCTGAAGAGCCCGCCGCACAACCAGTCGTCGGATCGCGACCGATTCCTCCGGACTGGCTTCGTATTCACCCAATCGACATGACATGTGTGACTGCTCGCCGTTCAAGTTTTCCGAGGTTAAAGGCGTTCTCTCTCTTGAAGCTAGTGTGCCGCTGTTGCACTGTATGTCGGCAACAATATACTCGTACAATCGCATCACTAGCTGAAGAGATGATACAGTGAGAAGCACTGAGCATGACTCTTTTAAGCAGCGTGTACATGATAAGAAAGAATGGGATGTGTTGAGAGCTGCGTTGATTCGTTGTATACAGATGTCGAGGCGACATTGACTTCCATGCGGCGGCGACGCGTTGCCCTGGGCCTGGCACTGGGCCATGCGGTGAAGGGAGTAAAGCATGTTGAGCGAGTCGGTTTGTTCTTTGAAACAAGCACAAGCCTCTTGCTCTTCTGTCCCAGTAGGCCCAGACGCGTCGGGCGTCTCCGATGGAGACAAAGGCAGGGAGGCAACGTCGGCACAGACGCTGCCCGCAACGTCTGAGTTCGATATCTCGTGATTGACTCCATACAAACTGGCGAAGTGAGCCTCGAAGGAAGGTTCTTCTGTTGGCGCGGGAATAGAGCAGCAACCTTGCTCCGGCATGCCGTCTGGCGAAAGAACGCACTGGGATTGGGGCTGCTCGATATGTGCCGAGTTAGCAAAGATCCATCGAGTCTGAAAGATGCCGAGGTTCAAAGCCATACACTTACGTCACTGGCATAGTTTAAGTGGTCAAAACCTGGGGTATTCTGGTCTTGCATCTGCAGACCCATCCCGAGCAATACACCGTTGATACCGGTCACCCACGTGGCTTCGTTGAGACTTGTGCCACTCGTGGCCGGCGTACTCCAGTTCCAGTCGAGGCTCGCCTGCCTGGCAGCGTGTTGCTGGCGGATGCGAGCATGCTTGTCAAGTGTCTTCCGGTTGCAGCTGCCCTTTGGCTTGCCAGCCCTCATCGCGACACTGTAAGTACAAGGCAGGTCTTGGGTAAGACACCGATCGCAGGCAGTGCCCCCGGAACACTTCACTTTCGCGGAGTGACAGAAGTCGCAGGCGCTACGTAGCCTGAGGGTTGGGCGATCCTTGCCATCTCGAGCTGGAACCCGAGCTGGAATTGGTGGACCGTCGGCGACCCATCGCTCGCTAGTTGATGACTGGGGCGTTGTTTCCCCGAAGAATCTGTCGGGCATGGTGTGCATCTTTCATGTAGGTGCTCAGATGACAGTGAATCGAGACTCTGGCTCTCTAATGCGAGAACGTCGTCTAATAGTCCTAGGGAAGCCGCCGCACACATCCCAACCATCACCGGTGGCGTGCGCTCACCGATCCATACTCCAGGGACTCGACTCAGGTGTGCTCAGAGACCCAAGATTGAACGTCGAAGCACGGACGATCAGATAAATACACTGTGGATTCGCAATGGATCTGATAACCAACCCGCAAGCAATATCCACCAGGATCTTGCGGTCCCGCTCACACTGAAGCCCATCAATAACTGTGTTTGACAATTGTGTTCCTGCCGGGGATTTCACAGAGCCCGTGGGTTGGGGTCTAAGTGGATATGAGTGGACAGGTGCTGCTGATGTTTGAGTAGTGACAGCAAGGGTGTGCCTGAACATCTCGCGGGTAAGAATTGTTCCTCGTACCCAGGAGCGAGGAACGACATGTTTCGTCATTACAATATGCATTCACTAGAATGGACCTCCAGGCTGGGACATCGAGTTTAGGAGCACTTGGCCACTCGCGACTATCACCTATGAAGCTGAAACTGTTCGTAAACCATTAAAGAGACATACGAGAGGTCTTTGAGCATCGAATCGCGCACTGAAAAGCGTCCCTCTGCCGAAGTTTTGGCCAAGACTGGTCCCGTCTAATTTTGTCGCTCCACCCCGACTTCGGTCCACCTCGCGTCTCGATTGTGGGGAGGCATCGTCAGATTCAACAGCGGCGTGTGTATGCTCGAAGAGTTTACAGATCTTCTAATTGCCATGGTTCGTCGTCATTTCAATTCAACATTGAATGCACTTTGAAGAACAGAATATTGGATGAACCATACCTTTGACGAACCAAGGACTTGCATTTCCGATAGCAATAATGACCAAGTGCGGGAAATCAACCAAGACAATCAAGTAAGGCTTATGGATATCATAGTGACAAACTGATTTGTAAACTACAAGGGTGATTATTTGTATACATCGTCAGTGTGATTGAGACAAGCTTTTGACTAACCGGAGAACTATTGTCAAATCTAGTTAGAGACAGGCCAGGGAAGCGTACGTCTTAACAGTGTCTTGGCAAGAGAAGCGGTCATTCTGATTCACGGGTCTGAGACGCTGTGGAGAAACCACGTCACTCAATGTGAATGAATGGTCTGGTGGAGACAACTAGAACGTGCTCTCAGAATTCACATATGGGGCCAAGCTTCAATGTTAGGCAAGGAGCTGTATAACTTCCTGGAAGCAGTCTTGGAGAAGTGACTGTATTTGAGCGCTTGGTTTCAGAGAACACAGAATGCTCTTAATTGAAAGATCTATGGTGCCCACATTTGCAGGAGCTAAGTGAGAGATTCAATTATGGTTGTATGGCTAAATAGAAGATGCTCAAGTGAGTGAATTATCTAGTATGAGAGAACGTAGTCATGTACGCACATCCACACCTCGTTTTCGGAAGACGGAATGTGGGAGATCCACAATGAACACATCTATGGATGGCACTGGTTGTGGATCTGCGACACAAAAACTCGCCGAGTATAACCTCCGATGACACATCAAAGACCTGAAAACTGCCCTGGCCTGATGGCAACATTCGAGATGTGTACGAGGAGAGGTCTGAATACTCATAAATAGTCTTCCGGCTCGGAAACCGAGCCTTTTCTCCGATCAGCCCCGCTTGGAATGGAAGTCGACGGTGTCAAGTACATAACTGGTTCTCAGAGGTTGCGGTGGTTCCCCCATGTTGAACCACCCAGGGCCTCGTTTTTCAGCCAATAAACCATGACCAGCCAGAATTCCTCAGTGCGAAGCGGTGTGCCGAGCCCTGACGGCTCTTTTGATGGGCAAATGGAACTAAACGACAAGAATGGCTCACGGGAAACAGGAGCGACCTCAACACCACCTCTAGAGCCTCCAAACGGTGGCTTAAGAGCGTGGGCATGTGTTGCTGGATCCTTTCTTCTTCAATTCTGCTCCTTTGGCTATGTTAATGCGTAAGTACAAGTGCAATCTGAGACTATCGTTGGAGCGAACAACGCATGAGGACGCTATTCTGTATCCTAACTAACATGGGATTTGTGCGCTGATTCAAATCGCAGATGTGGAATTTTCCAACTCTACTACAAGGATGTTCTACTCCCGAGCCAGTCGTCGTCAAGTCTTGCCTGGGTCACAACCCTTCAAATCTTCCTTCTCTTCATGCTTGGGCCGTTCATCGGCAAGCTAATTGACACCCATGGCTCACGCATGATACTGGCTCCTTTCTCAGCCATGGCCGTCTTCTCAGTCTGCATGCTGAGTCTCTGTAAGACTTACTGGCAGATCGTACTTGCCCAAGGCGTGGCTTTCGGCCTTGCGACATCAGGCTTGTCACTACCAGCAATGACCCTGGCGACCCAGTGGTTTTCCACGAAGCGCGGCTTAGCGGTAGGGATAGTTTCGTGCGGCTCGAGCCTGGGCGGCGTGGTCTTCCCTTTGGTTATCCCGACCCTGCTGGACAAGGTCGGCTTTGCGTCTGCTGTGCGCTGGGTGGCCCTGTTGCAAGGGGTCCTGCTCGTCATTGCTAATATTCTATGCTCATCACCATTTCCACCAAAAGGGAACGGAAATGGACAGAACAAAGCGCCCTCAGCTGGGTTGAGGGCCTTCAAATCCTTGCCCTGGCTGTTCTTCGTGATGGGATGTTTCTTCACTATGTGGGTAAGTAGAAGTTTTCCTTTCTGCCAGAAAATATTTCCGGCGTTTCTTCCTTTACTGGCGACTCCTTATCGTCAATTGATTACTGATCCTCTTACGTTAGGGCCTATTCGCGCCGCTTAATTACCTCCCGGAAATGGCAGCGCAGAAAGATGTGATGACTACACAAATGGCTCAGTACACGCTCGCTATCGCCAACGCTGGCTCAGTATTCGGGCGAATTGTTCCTGGTTGGGCTTCAGATCACCTGGGCCAGTTCAACATAATGACGATTGTATCGCTCCTTAGCGGAGTTCTCTGCCTTGCATTTTGGCTTCCCCTCGAATTCTCACCATCATTTCCTGGAATAATTGTGTTTGCTTTGCTATATGGGTTTTGCAGTGGCGGCTTCGTGAGCCTCGGTGCGCCGTGTGTTGTCAGCCTGGCTGAAGGAAAGATGGATGAGATTGGGTTGAAAATTGGCGGGTTTTGCTTGGCCATTGCCCTAGGCGCATTGACAGGGCTTCCGATTGAGGGCGCTATCAAGGATAGCCAGGGAGATAGCTTTGTGGGTTTAATGATCTTCGCGGGCGTCTCCATGGTTTTGGGTGGCATATTCCACGGGGCGGCCAGAGTGTTGAAAGGTGGATGGAACCCAACTACGAAGGTGTAGGGATAATTCAAAGAGCATATAGAACACAGCTCAGAGGCCAATTAATCAATAATACATCTGAATTTGTACAGTAGTCATATGAAAGTTATCCATGAAACAGAGAATTTGCGTATAATGAATAGAGTGCGAGATTTTTATGTTTCGGCATTCCGTAATGAATACTATTGCCAAGAACAGATCGCCAATATTTTGAGGTGAACGGAGATAATTTCTACTCTCTCTAATCAGTAGAAGGATCGTCGAAACCCTACCTCAGTACCACAATGTCACTTATGCGCAAAGTGCGGATACAAACTTCGTCCATTTCGCTTTTTTACATGCCATCTCATGACTATCTTGGTGGTCATGTTTGAATCGAATAATGCTGTATTGATAGCGGCGGGTTGACTTATATACCAGTCATCACTGCCAGTATTCTTGCTTGTAGGGACATAGCTCGATTGGTGTAGACTCTTAATCCCGTTATTAGCCAATTTCAGATTGCATCAAGAGCATTTAGTATATAAATGATAGTTACTACACTGCCCTTCTCTTCATTTCTAATTCCACATCGAATAGGCCAAGCCAATTTGTCTTGTCCGTTTTGAAGTAGTAATCATTTTCTTTCTTCATATTTGGCCTCACAACAAAATCGTATTGAGTGAATAGCTGATAGACAAGCGCGTGGACCATCTTGTCGCTGATGTTGTTCCCCAGACATTTTCTGGGGCCATAGCCAAAGGCTTGGAGGTTGTATCGGAGCTGAGGCATAGGACATCTGCATTAGCATATGCAGAGTGGCGCAAATTGGCAACGTGTGCATCTGTCTTGGCCTTAAGCCGACTCACCTTGGTTGCAGGGATAGAAAAGAACCGACTAGGACGGTACTCCCGGCTGTCCGCCCCCCAAAAAGGATTGCGGATGTTGATTGCGTGAGCGTCAACAACGCACGTCATCTGGATCGAGATTCGATTAGCACACTACCAAAAATGATAGAGTCTACATGGGCTTCTCTGCTTCAGCTCACATCTTTTGGAATGCGATATCCGCCAAGGATCTTTTCCCGTGGCGGCTTCTCCGGAAACGAATACGACAGCACTGGCTGGAGCCGCAAGGACTCTAGCAGACAATAATGAAGCAGCGTGTCTTTCTTCCCGAGATACGAATCGATGTCGTCGGCATGTTCAGAAAATTCCCTTCGCAAATTCTCAGTGACCGTGGTATTGTCGGCGAGAAGGATGACACAAGAAGTCATAACGTGAGTTGTCACATCCAGGTTTGCGAAAAGAGACTCTGCGAGGGTTTGGAGCACCTCCTCGCGGTCTATCTTTCCAGATTCAGCAGCCAAGAACAGGGACACAACCTGGTCGTTGATTCCAGCTTCAACACGACGCTTGACTGCAGAGGCGTTGAATTCCTCCCATTGGTCAATGTACGTCTTGGTTAGCTTCCACGAGTCCGTATTGAACCATTTGGTCAGCCTCGACCTATTGATGCCCCCGTCGATGACACTAGCAAAGGCCTTGGTGAAGAGCTGACCCAGATCCCACAACCTGTCTATCTCTTGCTGGGTTAGATCCGAATAGAACATGTTTGCAATTTCGTAATAAGGGTATCTTGTCAGTGCCTGAGCAGCATTCACGACAAATCGCTCGCTGCCATCTTTCTCAAGTCTGCCGGGAAGGCCGTGCTGTACCATGTTCTCAACGTATATCTTGGCGTGTTCGTTCAGAGTACCGACCATGTTGACAGAGACTTTGTGGGAGAAGTGCGGGTCGAGTTCCTTGCGGAGGTTGATCCAGCGCTGCCCGTTGATCAGGCCTGCGCCTTGGCCCATGATTTGGCTGAGCAGCCATCCCGTGTTGGCAGCGGGAGCTTTGGCGTGGTCGGAGGCGTTGGTGTAAAGAGCCTGGACATCCTTCGGCTCCGTGATAACCCTTGATGAAACAGCCATGTTATCACCCACAGAGTCACGTTGAGCTACGGCTTGGCGGAACTCACACTTCAGGATTGGGTCCAACCCATATTCTATAGATGCTACCGTACTTCGCCTGCCACTCATACGATCTTTCTCTCGCACACAGGAACTTCTCCGTCATCTGCCCATCCCAGAAAGTGAAAGGAGGTCCTTTGATGTTTTTGCCGCCGTCCAGGCTAGGGACGTAGTGTATGCGAGATAAAAGGGCCTACGTGGTCATCAGTTATGTTTTTGCAAAGCACCCAGAGGAAGACTGTCTCACATTGCACACCAAGTCCAGGATTCTGCGAGCAGCACGGCTTCTGATTGCTAGGAAGATCGCAGTACTAGTCACAGCTAAAGCGATTGCTACAAGCTGCATCCTGAAGTTTCCAGAACCTATGTCATACATAATTGTTGAAAGAAGGACCACGATTGGGCCACGTCGTTTGATTTTGCTAAGCCGCGGAAAAGAGATTGGTGTACCTCCGGTCCAGTTAGTTTTCCTTGCGGAATATACGCGAGCGACAACAAGGTCTGGGAGACCAGAACTATCACGTAATATGACGAAGTGACAATCATACGATACTACACTTCTTTCGGGGCCTTCAAAGTCTTGTCCTACCGACTCATAGTCCCGAGGATGCCGTGGCGTGGCGTGCATGGGTCCTCGTGAATATTCGCCGTCGATATTCACCGCGAACTCATGCTGTGGGTCAACATAAGGCTGGACCACCGGCCATGTGGGTTTCTATTTCTAGGAACCACGTGCCAAGAGCTGTGGATTTCTCGGGGTATTCACAATCTGATCCTGACGCGGCCAGCTCGGTGAAACGAGCTCAGTTGCCAAGTCTTCGCGATGGAAGGAGCCAGTGTAGATGTTGAACTGATCGTCGCCGGCGCTCAGGCCAAAAGTAAACTCAAGTGATAAAGTATATCCGACGAATTTGAACAATTGAGAAGCTCGCTTACAATCTTCACTTGAGAGACCTTCGAGAAAACTTTTGAATATCGACCTTCGAGTTTCATGAATCCTTGTCAGCTTGAAGTTTTTGAGATCTTGCGACCTTGTCAATAGCAAGTTTGCAGCTATCGACACGATGAAGTGTCTTGTCGAACTATTCAAGGATCGTGTTTTAGCAAACCCTAATGCTATTGCTCTAGAGGACAGTACCGTGGCTGGTGTTTCCCAACGACTGACCTACCAAGAGCTCGACATATTATCTGACCGCTTGGGCACTGAGCTGACACAACATGGAGTCAGTGCAACTGAGGTCGTCCCAATACTTTCAGGGCGATGTACTGGCTCAGTCATAGCTATTCTCGCCGTCTTAAAGCTGCGAGCATGTTACGTCCCAATGGACATTGACACTTGGGGTGCAGATAGGCTCGAAAGCACACTCGACCGGGTGAAACCAACATTAATCATAACGACAAAAGCCGGTGTACTGTCGAAAGCTTCAGAACAGTATCATCTACTGTATATCCGGCCGGATGGAAGCGGCTTCGAATTCCTGGCGCGCCAAGTCGATCCGACAAACACGCCACGGAATTCCAGCTTGCAGAGTCAACATGACTGCATCGAAGAGGACTGGGCATACATGATCTTTACGAGCGGAAGCACTGGGAAGCCTAAGGGGGTGATAGTAAAGCAAAAGTCGATATCGACGCTTGTGACGGAACACGACCCTCACTTGCCATTCAATTTGAACGCCGGTCTTGAAGACAGAGTACTTCTGATTTTCTCATTTGCATTTGACGGTAAGCTTTCGTCCAGATACCATCCTTCAAGAAGAAAGCTAATTTCTGAATATCATGGCCAAAGCATGTGCATACGTCATCTTGTCTACGCTGTGCAATGGGGCCACCCTCGTTCTGTCAAGCCCTACAACATTGGCGGACGTGGCAGACACTTGCTCAATATGGATCACCACGCCCAGCATCCTCTCAGCCATGGACCCGACAAATGGCTACAAGAATGTGAAATGGATCATAATGGGTGGTGAATCGCCCACACCGTCACTGATCAAGAATTGGAGCATTCCGAATCGAAGGCTCATCAACGCCTATGGCCCTACTGAGGCCACCTGCGTGGTGTCCATGGCTGAGCTGCGTCCTGGGACACCAATCACCATGGGCTGGCCAATATCTTACTGCAAAGTACTCCTCGTGGACGCAGACGATAACGAAAGCGACGAAGGCGAACTTCTTCTGGGCGGCCCAGGGATAGCGGTCGGCTACCTAGGAGATGAAGAGCTCACCAGCGCAACGTTTGTTCGACGAGGCCCTGACGACGAGATCTTCTATCGGACGAGGGACTACGCCAAGCGGACAGCAGATGGCTACGTCTTTTGCGGGAGGAAGGACGGCGTTGTGAAGAACCGCGGCTTCTTGGTGAACTTGGAGACTGAAGTCGAGCCAGCCATGATTGACTCGAGCGGGGACGAGACATCACTCAGGGTTCAGCAGTGTGCCGCAATTAAGTCGACTGAGGGCTCACTGGTCGGATTTGTTTGTCCTGTTTCTGCAGCGGAGGGCCTCCGCGAGCGGATGCTTGAACACTACTCGGCGTTCCTAGTGCCAGACACAATTCACGGGATCGAGTCGTTTGAACTCACTCCAAATGGAAAGATCGACCGAAAGGCACTGGTCGCTTTGCACGAGAAGACACAGTTGCCGCAATTCTTGAACGCGGACATCTTTCTCCAGCACGTACGGGATCAGGGCAAATCCATCACACCACTAGAAGCTGTGAGACACGCTGTTTGTACGGTTTTGAGGATAGTACAGGCACGAGTGAATGATCAGGCTTCGTTTCGTGCCTTGGGTGGACACTCGCTCGCTGCTGTGATGCTGGTGTCCACGCTGAGAAAACTGGGGTTTAGTACCGACGTCGCGACTATTTACTCCAAGGACACGGTGGCTGCTATTGCGTCGGCGTTGGAGAGAACGGAAGTCGATTCAATGGAAGCATGTTCTCTGGAGGCGACTGAGGCTGACCGAGCAAGTTTTCGAGAGGTTTTGACAAGTTCCTCCAGCAAGCTGGCCGATGTGCAAATCTTCCCCGCGACCGACATGCAAACTCGCATGGTCAGGGGAACAGTCGCGAGTCCATCTATGAACTTCCTCAAGATTGGTATGACCTTCGATCATCCAAAAATGGACCATGGAACGTTCCTCTATGCCTTGCGCCAAGCGTGGATTGCGCTGGTCAAAAAACACTCCATATTACGCACTTCATTCCGCCTTGACAGCCTGTCCGAACCAGTTCAGATCTTGGACGGTGCTCATAATATTCAGTGGGACGAAATATTAGTAAATTCCGAAGCTGAATGGGACACGATAAAGGACGACACGGCTAATTTCGGGCCCAAGGAGCTCATGTCCTTCGACGAACAAGACCAGAACTCTTTATCCAGGTTCCGAGTATTCACCCTCGACGGAGTCAAATCCAGGGTGGTGTGGGTGGTACATCACGCGCTCATCGACGGCTGGTCGGCATCTATTGTGCTTCATGACCTATGGGAACTGCTACACGGGATCCAGGAGGCTCAGACTTCCTGTCCACAGTTCTCCGACGCAGCCTGGTGCATGCGCAACCTGACTAGGAGAGACTCAGAGGTAGCGAAAAGTTTCTGGAAAGAATTACTCCACGCTCAGAGCCAGAGCATCCCCCGTCTTCGCATCCCTCCGCCATCTACGGAGGCGTTAGGGCCCTACACGCAGGGAGAAGGTCGCCGGAAATTGTCTATCAAAATGAGCCAAATGATTGAGGCCGCTAAAGAGCGTGGAGTGACTACGGCTTCACTGGTATACAGTGCGTGGGCAATCTTGCTCTCCAGGTACTGCGACTCCAAGACTGTCGTCTTGGGTGCCGTTCTCTCCGGGCGAAGCCTGCCTTTGGACGGTGTTGAGAAGATCATTGGGCCAATGGTTAATACGCTGCCCATGCCAGCCGCAGTGAACCCTGATATGGCCGTGTCAGAGTTCCTGCAGCAAACATTCCGGTCTCTCTGCCGTCTGCTCGACTTTCAGTGGACACCCAATTCGCTGATTCAAGAAGCCACGGGGTCACTTGGTACAGAATACTACGACACTCTGTTGGCTATTCAGTACGACTTCCCAGCAAGTGAATGGCATGGGCATGAGCCGCGCATGTGCTCACCTCCATATGATGTGTCTTACGTTGAGACCACGGAAATGCCTCTGACAGTCATGCTTGATGTGATTGATGAGCACTTGGACGTCAGGTTCATGTATAACAAATCGTATTTCCGCGACAGCATGATCGATAGCATGATGAGCCACTTCGAAAATATATTGGCTGCATTCCTTGATGCCTGCCTCGAAGACCCACGACAATCTGGGCACACCGTTGGCGATATTTCTGATCGAATGCTCGGACAGAAGGAGCTATCAGAACGCCTGAACTGCACTGGTCAAGAAGTCGAAGAACCCTATCAAGGCCCAGAGACTCTTCCCGAGGCACTTGAGGTATCGTTGAGCAGACATCAAAATCTTTTGGCCATCGAAGGTTTGAACAGGAGCTTGACTTACGGTGAGCTGGACAAAGAGACAGCCCGAATATGCCGGGTACTACAACACTACGAAGTCAAGCCGGGGAAAACTGTTTGTGTCGTTGCGGACGGTTCCGTCGAGTGGCTCCTGGCAATCATGGCCGTTGTCAGAGCGGGTGCTGCGTATTGCCCGGTGGATCACAAGCTCCCTTGGGAGCGGCAGAAATACATGGTATCTGTCTGTTCACCGCCAGTGGTTCTGTTCTCGAACAAATCATCCAGGAAAGGCAGTCCCGGATTCGAGAACGTGCCTGTTCTGCTCGACGTCGAGACCATACTGTCAGATGACGAGAAAAATGACAATCCAGATGATTCCAGTGAAGGACCTAAGGAAGCCTTGAAGACAGTTTCCTCACTGGGGGGAGACATGATCGCCGTGGTCATTTTCACCAGTGGCAGCACAGGCTTTCCCAAGGCCGTTCAGCTTCAACACAAAGCGATCCTCTCACTCTTGAGCCATGCACCAGCTAGGCTATACTCCCAGCCTGGCCAACGCAACGCCCAGCTCCTGTCCCTCGGTTTCGACTGCTGCGTCAAGGAGGTGTTCTCCAGCCTATTGTATGGGGCGACACTCGTGTTGAAGGACGCTTCGGACCCTCTTGCACACTTGTCCAAGGTCGATGCCACCGTATGCACTCCGTCCTTGATTTCCAGCCTTGATCCTGCTCAATACCCCAACCTGAAGATCATAACTCTTGTCGGTGAGGCACTCCCATCTGTCCTGGTGCAGAAGTGGCTGCCCGGAAGGATGCTTCAAAATGGATACGCCCCTGCTGAGTGTACGCTTATTGCGACTGCCCATCGTCTACAGCCCAACACACCAATCTCCATCGGCAAGCCGGTTCCACGGGTGAATTTCTATCTCCTTGACTCCACTGGCCGCCCGGTACCTGTTGGCGTGACTGGTGAGATTCACATCTCGGGTATCCAAGTGACACCAGGATACCTCAACAACACCGAGGAGACAAAGGCTCGCTTCCTGTCAGATCCATTCCGCGAGGGCTGGAAGATGTTCCGAACAGGTGACATGGGCCGCTGGCTCGAATCTGGTGACATTGAGTATATTGGCCGTAATGACAACCAGGTCAAGGTGAGGGGATTTAGGCTTGATCTTGGAGATATAGAGGCTTCCATACTCCGAGTGGCGCCAGGAGTCGACAATGTTGCTGTTGTAGTAACTAGGGGCAGTCTTCGAGCATTCGTGACGCCAGAGAATTTGGATACCGAACAGCTTCTCCAAATCCTTCGGAGCCACTTGCCAGACTATAGCACTCCAAATAACATCACCGCGATGAAGGAGTTGCCTCTCTCGCGCAACGGCAAGGTCGACAGGGCCCGACTTTCTGAGATGCGGCTAGAGCGCGATTCTGGCCACCAGCCACTAGCATCCCAGACTGAACGAGATGTTGCCAAAGTCTGGGCCGAGTTGCTTGGAAGGGACGTGGCAGAAAGCCCAATCGGTGCATCTGACGGGTTCTTCGACATCGGAGGCCATTCACTCCTGCAGATCCGTCTCACACAAAGACTTTCGAAACTATGGGGAATCAAGGTCCCGCTCAGGGTCATAATACGGCATCAGATTTTGCGAGAGTTATGCCATGCCTTGGACGAGTATTTGGGGCGGCAGAATCTTGACACGACGTTGGGTCAGAACGCGCCAACAACAGGAGAGGACTATTGCACTAAGCGCTTTGTCGACACTCAGAAGTCCTTGAGGTCTGAAAGGACGCCAGCTTCATATCTCGAGCAGGAAATGGTACTCAATCAGCTTCTGTGTGGAGGGTCACCTATATGGAACATTGTGTACTCCTGCAATGTATATGGTCCTCTGGATCTTCGACGACTGGCTGCAGCATATCAGCGGACATTGGAGAAGCATGAAGTCTTACGGTCTCAGTTCCATATCGAAAATGATGGAACTGTTTCCCGCTCGATATCGCCTCTTGGTGAATGGAAGCTGCAAAATCGCACATGCACCCAAGATGACGTTGACGAGTTCATTTCCAAGACTGTTCAGCACCCAATGGACCCTTTCAAGGAACCACTTTTTCAAGTGCATACTGCCAGCATAACACCATGGAAGACGATCATCATCGTGGTAATATCACACATCATCGGCGACGGACCCACCCTCCATCACGCTCTGAGTGAGCTTTCAGCCGAGTACTGTGAGCAAACAACCGCAGCTGGTTCTGATAACCCCAATGTCCCGAACTCGGCGCCAACACCACCTCTGGACTACCTCGACTGGTCCTCATGGGCCCGTAAAGCCCTACTGGGATGCCCTAGCGACGATACGTCAGCTTTCTGGAAAGAACAACTCTCCAACCCAGATGTATGCCGCCCCCTCGGCCAGCTTCCCCAGCCTCACAGCTACCGCGGTCAGACACGCACATGGATCGTACGGCCAGAACATCACAGGCGCCTCGTCAAGCTGAGCCTTGGCTATGGGATCACTATGCACCAGCTAGCGCTGGGTGCGACATTCCTCGCCCTCCAAAGCCTCGAAGCTCGACCAGCCCGCGGCCCAACGACCATCGCGCTTGGGGCCCCGATGACAATGCGGACTGAGGTAGGCACTGAGGACATGTTAGGAATGCTCCTCGATCGTCTTGTTGTGCCCCTAACGTGGGACTTTGGCGCTTCTACGGGTGAGAGCACGCCGGGAGGACCAAGCCCACTAGCACAATTCTTCGATATGGTTGGGGAACGTAGCAGGGCTGCCCTCGGGCATTTTGTTCCTCACCGAGTTCTTCGCAAGATCCTGCGAGAGGCAGATGACGCTGGGACCAATAGGGCAGAGCTAAGCCTGGAGTGGCCACTGTTCCAGGTCATGGTATCGTTCCACACAGCCATGGAAACAAAGGGTGGACGCCTGAGGCTGGAGGGCGTGGAGACGGTGGAGGGCGAGGATGTGCGGCCTCAGTGCGCCAAGTTCCCAGTCATGGTTGAGTTTACGGATAAAGGCGACCGGGGACTGCAAGTAGAGTTGGAATGCACGAATGAGTTACTGGAAGACGAGCGGGCAGACAGGCTGGAGAATGCTCTGGCGATGACTCTGGAGCTACTGGGGTCAGGGACGAGTATCGATGGGATCATGCGGATCATCACTGACGCTACGGTCCGGCACGAAGACCGGCTGCCTACACCACAGTCGGAGAGGGAGAGTCTGGACTACAAACAAGAGGCTGAGGGGAGGGGAATCAGTGCGAGTGATGACCGCAGGGTCTCGATTATCAGGGAGGCCGTGTCAGAGTGCCTTCATCGTCCTCTGGACAACTGCCACGGCGCTGAGACATTTTGGGAGCTGGGCGCGCATAGCATGGACGCCTTAGTCCTGCAGAAGCTGTGCGAGAAGAAGGGCATAGAGTTGGATTTGAGGACGATGTTCGAGACGCCCAACTTGACAACTTGGTAGGCACCCAGTTCGCGTATCTAAAATAGGCAGAATTTTAAATTTTGACTTGATGTTCTCGTACGCTCTATCCATCATGTTCAAATTTGCAAATGTGAAGTTGCCGTGCTAGGACAATTCCTCACTGTTCCAGCACCTACATGGCCAGTTTGCGCATGCTACGTCCAGTTTGTTTCCAGCATGACACACGCCGAGGCTCGAAATCTTTGCTTAACGTTGCCACGCGTCGTGTGTACCATAGTGGTGGTACGGATACTTTTGGATATCTTGCTGACGCTGACTGACTCGGTGGGTTATGTGGACGGATGGCTTTCGGCTGCTTGGCTGGGTCATCTACGCCGAAGATATTCACCGATGTACCCATCGGGGCTAAACGGGTCCACGACTGATGCTATCGGCCGAGCTCATCTACAGCTGGCAGTAGCATGCGGCCCGGTGAATATCAACATAATTTTGAAGGCGATGTGCTCCTGAGCAGTCATCGAGTGAAGGATTTTGTGAAGGATGATCGCATGTAAATAGACTACAACACTCAGGAATTCAGCAGAACACTATTTGAATGGTATCCACAACTTCGCAACCCAAAGAAACCCAGACCTTTCTAGAGTCCTAGCAAGCACAAACATGGAAGCTGAACTAGACCAGCTCTTGGCATCCGCCAAACAAGCAGCGAGGGCTCTCGAGGGCCCTCTCGCGCCTTTCGTCGACGATGCCCTAAGGCTCTCCCAGAATCCAGACTCCCAGTCCCAATCAGGCACACTGCGCGCCAAAATCCTCGACACGATCCAGACGCTGGGAAAGATCCAGCAGATCCTCACCCCGCCACAGGTGCAGTTCATGGACGCCATCTTCTCCGCGACCAACACCCAGATCCTGGTGTGCGCCGCGCAGTACCGCCTGGCCGACATCCTGCACGCCCAGGGGCCCCTGAGCGTTCCCGCGCTCGCGGCCGCCTCGGGCATGGACCCGGCCGCGTGCGCGCAGGTCGTGCGGTACCTCGTCGAGATGGGCTTCTTCAGCCTCGACGCCGCTGCCGGGGTCGTCGACAACAACCGCACCTCCCAGCTGCTGCGGACCGACCACTGGACCACGTGGCACAACTGGGTCGGCCTGTACGCGGGCGAGCATTACGATATTTTGCGGAAGCTGCCTGCTGCCATCGCGGCCGGCCAGGAGCGCACCGCCGCGCAGATCTTCTTCGACACGGATGAGCCCATCTACCAGGTCATGGAGCGCATGGGCACGACGGCGGCGTTCCACAAGGCCATCGGCGCGTTCAGCATCGCTGAGGCCCCGGGGTTGCTTGCTGATTATCCCTGGGCCGAGGTCGGGGATGAAGTTGTGACAGACATTGGCGCTGGCGCTGGTGATTTCATATGGCATTACCTTCAGGCATATCCGACGGCCAAGGCAGCTGCGTTCGAACTGCCGAAGACGGCCGAGTTGATCCAGAAGCGCTTTGAGGACGCGGATGATGCTGTAAGGGCACGTCTTGTAGAGGTTCAAGGTGGGGACTTCTTCAAAGACTCGCTTCCGCGGTCGGCGGTGTATTTCTTAAAATTTGTTTTTCACAATTGGGATGACGAGCATTGCGTGGCTCTGCTCAAGCGGATCAGACAGTCGATTGAACTGAAACCCGGGGTGAGCCGCGTTGTTGTTGGGGAGCATATTATCCTGGACGGGAAGCTGGGCAGCTTTGCCAGGTACGCCGATATCAGGATGCTGTCTAGGGTGAGGAATCGGGAGAGAACGCTGGAGGAATATCGAGTGATCGCCGAAAGAGGCGGGTTCACGCTTCACCAAGTCGTCTCGCCTCGGGGCTGCCTCACTCAGGTAATAGATTTGCGTCCAGTATAGGTCATAGCCAGCGCCGAAAATGTTGGGCGTTGAAGGTTGAAGTAATTTGATCTGGACGGATAATTCCCTAGGTATTCTGGCCTTCTTATGAGTGTATGGATGGACAAAGCTTTACGAGACAACCCCCTGCCGGTGGATCTCCTCATCTTTGTATGAGGTACGCTGGTCAGTACAGTAGTTGTGACTAGAGAGCAGGAAAAAGCCGACAGGTGGTTAGGAAGAACCTTGCATGCCCGGTTGACAACTAAAATTGCCGCATGCTATATGTGGTGAGTTGAAGAGACAAGAACATTCGTACAAGAATGGCATACGCTGAAAGTAAAGCTGATTGACAGTTGCGGTTGATTGAAAATGCGATTCCATCTTCTACGGCTCCCCTGCCTATCCCTGATTTTGTTCGCCAGCGCCCCTGGTCTATCTTGCTTATACCATACTGCCCGTCGTTTTCATTATCAGGCACCTTTTCGCTAGACATCTCGCTGGTCATCTCGCTGGTCGGGTCCATCCTCAGCGGCAAACACCTTGAACGCATGAACTTCTATAGCGGACAATTGTGTGATGCCCTTGTGTCTGTCCAAGAAGTGAGACAGCCACACCGCGGAGAAACGGCGGGTCTCCCCCCAAGACACACCCTAGGTAGATTGGGGTCCCTTCTAGGTGGAGACAATCTCCTCGCTCTCCTCGAGCACCTCCTCGACGATCTCCTCGATAACCTCTTCCTTCTCGCCGTCGATCGCCTCTGCAGCCATCTTCTGCTTGATGAGCTCCGCGCCGGGGTCGGTAGGCACACCGAGGTCCTCGCGCTCCTCGGCGACCTCGGCCTCGATGTTCTCGCGGAAGAAGAACCAGTCCTCCAGCATTTGTCGCCGCCTCTCAACGACCTCCTGGTTGGCGCCAGTAATGCGTTGAGCATCTTCCTCCTCGAAGACGCGCGAGTAATCACGGAGGTTCTTGCGGATTTGCTTCTGCTCTTCCTTGGTGAGCAGGGTAGCAGGCCTCGGCCGCCAAGACCACTGCTTGAACTTATCGACAGGTTCCTCGCGAAGGGTCTCTCCCCTGAAATCATAGATGTGGTATCCATTTTCCATCTACAAGCAATTTGTTAGCACAAAAAGATTAACTGAAGACCACTGGAAACTCGAAGTGCTTACAGAGTGCTTCCATGATGAGGCCCAAGATGCGACATAACGTCCAGATGGGTCCCACTCGATGTCTGTGACACCGTAGTGGTCCCCAGTGTTCATGAGCTGGAGGTTTGCCGTCAGGTCCTTGTCGGATTCTGGCTTCTCGCCCTCGAAGTCGAGGTCGAAGAACTCGAGCTCGGAGCTCTGTTGGCTGGCAACGCTGGCGACGACCACGAAACGGCCTCGTGGAGACCAGTAGATTGCGTTGCTGTTCTTCTTCTCCAGGGTCCTCAGATGCTTGAAGTTGCCAACGGCGTTACCCTTGACCTTCTCGGGGCAGAAAAAGGACACGGACGTCTTAGGGGCGACGGCAGTCGCTCCTGGTGCCTCAGGGGCTGTGATGATGACGAATCGGTCACCCTTCGGCTCCCAGGCGAAGTTCACCACGGTCTCTTTGACAGTGTCAACGACCTCGACGGGCACACCCTTCTCCTTCACTCGGAAGATCTCGAGAGTGGTGGCCTGTGACTTCTTGGACTTGGAGTGCCTGTCGACCTTAACGCAAATGTAGGCTGCCTCGGACTGCCAGTGGAGCTTGGCATCGGAGACGCTGAACAGATTCAAGGACCGAATGACCTGCTTGGAGGGAATGCTCATGAGACCGACCTTGGCCGGGCTGCTTCCAATCTCAGGAGTCCAGTAGCAGAACAGCTGCTCGTATGTCTTGACGCCTTCACGCTTGGGAGTGGCGGGCGCCCAGTCGAAATCCTTCACACCCTCGATCTTGATTGTCGTCTTGTCCAAGAGACCCATGCTTGGCAGGGTGTAGACTGAGATGGATTGACCTGGGATCAGACGAGCGACGTACTTGTCATCCGCAGACCACTTGAAAGCAGGCCAGGGGAACTTCTGAGCCTTGGCGGCAGGGCCGTCGTCACCAGGCGTGTCAAGGTTGGCAAAGGACCGGAGGGGCTTGCCGGTGGCGATGTCCCAGACTATATAGTTCTTGCCGTCGTCGTCGCGCGTCAGCTGTGGGTGCCCTTCCTCCGGGATGGCAATGGGCCGTGCAGACCAGGTGACCAGGTAGTTCTCGTGGGGGGAGTAGGCCACCAGGTTGACGAAAGGATGGCCGAACCTGCGAAGCCTCGACCAGCTCGCGCCTCCCCACAGCTGGACACCGAGCGCATGGATCGATGTCAGGTAGGTACCTAGGGGAGACCATTGCACAAAGGTCTCAGTCCAGAACTGGCGGTCCACGATGTTTTCGGGGGTGTCCTTGTCGTTGTTCCAGAAGACGCCGACGGTGTCGCCACGGTACATGACGAACTGGTCTCGGCCACGGCCGGATGGATCAGCCAGGAAGGACCGCAGGTGCTCGTGCTCCTGGAACGGCTCGATGTGGGGCTCGTGGTACTCCTCCTCTATTCTTCCCTCACGACCATAGCGTTCGATATCTGTCAGCTTGTTGACGCGGAGTGTGTGCTTCTTGTCGAGAGGGACCAGGTCCAGTTGTCGCACGGCTGCTGCGGCCTCGGCCGCTGAAGAGTACTCGACGAAGGCGAACCTGGAGGTTGACACAGTCAGAAAATAAGATCAGGCGAAGCACACTCGACAGCAAATCCCAGGCAGCAAGGGCGACATACCTCTCGGAGTCTCCGTTCTCGCCGATGGGCATGTAGATCTGGTCCTCGCGAGTCCTGCCAACCGAGTTCAACTTCTTCAGCAAGAACTTGACCAGCTTGGGCTTTTGAGCCTCGTTGACGACGGGCAGGCCGTCAATAACTACAAAGTGGTCATAGCCTGAGTCGAGCTGGACCTCGTATTTCTCGCGCAGGTCGGACATGTCGATTTCTTCCTCATCGTACTCGTCGTCATCGAGGTCGGCCTCGCGCAAATGCTCGAAAGTTGACGCCATGTTGGGCGATCGTATATCGTTGATGGTAGTGTTTCGTTAATAATAATCTGTTTGATTGGTACTGTTCTGTAAATGACGCCGTCGTGGTGGCTGTTGGCCTTTTGCTATGTGTGCGTGTGGGGTGGAGTTTGGTCCCAGGAGCTTCGACTTTGTTGACAAAGAAGCCCTCTGATCAGCGCCGAAAGTGCGACGTGATTCTGATGAATGGCCTGGCCGATGGACGAAGTGGTAGGCGAGCAAGGCTTCGGTGTTGGGGATGACCGAGCTGGAATACTGGAGCAGCTGTCAGACACCAGTGGCTGGAGTTGTCGCAACGATTGATGAATTTTCCCGTGATGGAGTTTTGGCAGGCCAGGTCGAGGTGGGGAGGGATAGGGACCACGGTACGGTACGGTGCACACACTGCCAGTTAGTCAGTTAGTGCCTGTCTGTCTGCCTGCCTCTGGCGCTGCCTAAATAATTCGCGTCCAAGCTTCTTCTTGCTACCAGCTGGAAATCAGTGGGACCTCTCGTGGGACTTGGTGCTGGCCGGCGCAGGAATTTCCTGACCTCCGACTCCAGCGCTGCCTCACCGCCTGCTGCATTTGGAGACGTGGCATCCGGGTACCCCGCGACCTTTTGCTGGCAGGACTCCAGGAGTACATGGGTACAAGGTACGCGCTAGCAGTATCGAAAAATCAGCTTCCATCAGGGGGGGAGCTGTCACCTATTGTCTGTGTCTGTGTTGACTGCATCGTGTAGCCTCCCACCATCCCCACGTCCAAGCTACCACGACAGGCGAGACTCACTTGACGGGCAGGGCATTCCAAGACGACTTGACTCCTCCTCTCCTCCCTACACTTGACTGTCTCTGGAAAACCTACGTCTGTTGCAAATAGTCGAAGATGGTATGGAAATCCGCCATCCTTTCTCCCAGTTGGACCCTTAAGACACTGACTGACTGCCACTCACACAGTCTTCCTTCAGCCCAACCCAGATCTTCGAGGAGGGCACCACCGAGGAGAAGGGCGAAAATGCACGTCTCACCGCCTTCGTCGGTGCCATTGCTGTTGGCGATCTAGTCAAGAGCACTCTAGGTCCCAAGGGAATGGACAAGATCATGCAGTCTGCGTACGTACCGGCGTGTCCATTTCCCTGCCAAGCCTCCATGTCTAACCTCTCCTTCCTCTCAACAGATCTACTGGAGATATCCTAGTCACAAATGACGGCGCAACTATCCTCAAGTCCATAGCCCTCGACAACGCTGCCGCAAAGGTCCTCGTCAACATTTCAAAAGTGCAGGACGATGAGGTCGGAGACGGTACCACCTCCGTCTCCGTCCTGGCCGCCGAGCTGCTGCGCGAGGCAGAGAAGCTGGTCGACAAGAAGATCCACCCCCAGACCATCATCGAAGGATACCGGTTAGCAAGCCAGGCTGCGCTGAAGGCCCTCGAGGACTCCGCCGTCGACCATAGCAAGAGCCCTGAAGCCTTCAGGAAGGACCTGATAGCAATCGCAAAGACGACCCTCAGCTCTAAAGTCCTCTCACAAGACCGGGACCATTTTGCAGAGTTGGCCACCGAGGCTGTCTTGAGGTTGAAGGGCTCCTCTGACCTCAGCAATATTCAGATCATCAAGAAGGCCGGTGGCAAGCTGAGCGACTCCTATCTGGACGAGGGTTTCATTCTGGACAAGAAGATTGGAGTCAACCAGCCCAAGCGCTTGGAGAAGGCCAAGATCCTCGTCGCAAACACCTCCATGGACACGGATAAGGTCAAGATCTTCGGCGCCCGCGTGAAGGTCACATCTACGAGCAAGCTTGCAGACCTCGAGAAGGCGGAGAAGGAGAAGATGAAGGCCAAGGTCGAGAAGATCAAGTCACACGGAATCAACTGCTTCATCAACCGTCAACTCATCTACAACTGGCCCGAACAGCTGTTCACCGACGCCGGTATCATGTCCATCGAGCACGCCGACTTTGACGGTATCGAGCGACTGGCCCTGGTTACAGGAGGAGAAATCGCATCCACATTCGATCACCCAGAGCAAGTCAAGCTGGGGCACTGTGATTTGATTGAGGAGGTCATTATTGGCGAGGATACCCTTATTAGGTTTTCTGGAGTCGCGGCAGGCCAAGCCTGCACTATCGTCCTTCGTGGTGCCACAAATCAACTCCTGGACGAGGCTGAGCGAAGTCTGCACGACGCCCTCGCCGTTCTTTCCCAGACTGTCAAGGAGCCACGGACAACGCTGGGCGGTGGTTGTGCAGAGATGCTTATGGCTAAAGCCGTCGAGGCCCAGGCCACACGTGTTGAAGGCAAGAAGCAGGTAGCCGTTTCTTCATTTGCCATCGCTCTGCGGCAACTACCAACCATCCTGGCCGACAACGCCGGTCTGGACTCTGGCGACCTAGTCGCCCGCCTACGGAAGGCCATTTACGACGGCATGACAACATACGGTCTGGACCTGATGGTTCCCGGCGGTGGCATTGCCGACATGCGCGACCTCGGAGTTATCGAGAGCTACAAGCTGAAGAAGGCGGTAGTATCGTCGGCAAGCGAGGCTGCTGAGGTGAGTTACCTTCTTTGATCAACATTCATTTGTACATTGCTGACCCTGGTTACACAGCTGCTACTCCGCGTGGACAACATCATTAGAGCGGCTCCCAGGAGACGTGAAAGGCATTGATCGGGTGGAGCGTGATGGGTGACCCATGTAGATGCAGATGATCCTCAACGACTGTACAATACCCGATAGGGCCACCACAGTCAGCCGTGTAATGACAAGACAAGAAACAAATCGTCTTTTGTGGGCGCATCACACGATCCCTTGCGGGACATTAAGGCGTATTCTTTCTGGTTGTAAATTATCTACTTCAAGGGACGCTTGGTCTTCCAGTAAATCGGGTTCCATGCCAGCACCACTCTTCCCGCAGCGGTGTTCCCATGTCCTTGGTTACGCGCGACCGATCACAGAACATCCCAATGCGTCGTACAAAAACGAATCGTCCGTCACAATCATCCTGGTTTGTAAAAGTTAGCTGGGCTCATCTACAATTTTCAAGATTGACTTGGGGCCTCAACTGACTTAAACCGGTGCAATGATTCACAAACCTTATTTCAACCGCATTTGACATCCCAATAGGGATGAGAAGGTATCGTCATGGACCCTGGAAATTTGTGGCTGACCGCACCTCGGGGCGGAAGCTAGACGAAGACCGTGGAAGCTGCGAGGAAGTGAAAGAGGCCGATAGAGACGCAGTAATACATTTTGAAGAATCTCGTCTGTCCCTAGGCGCGGAAGGTAAGAGATTTGTCGACAAGCCGTGCAGGATGAGTTGCACTCCTGTCGTTACGCCCCGTCGTTACGCAGCGCTGTCCTGGTTTTATCCCAGAGCCAAGAATGGTGTCTCAGCCGAGGGGTCATGATAGCATCATAGCCCCAGTGTTTTCCTTGCATACAAGCTAACATCAACCTGCCGCCCACCTAGACAGAGAAGGCTCAACGCCTCGTGGTTTTGATGACGACTTGTGCTGGACTTGTCCCGCTAGGTCGGGCCGGCGTGGTCTTTGTGGAGTAGATGTGCCGGATTCCGGTGACCGCTCCAACTTATTGATTTACTTGGAGATTCTATCGGTACGGAACGCCTCGAAACGTTCAAACTTCGTTTCTACGTGTGAAAATGCTGTCCCAATGACACTGGTCTAGCTGTAATTATTGGGTTTACGGTTTCTTCTCTGAGTTGTCACGATTGACTCTCATCAGACTCTCCATCATGACGTCGGCTGGGTATCTACGCAAATATCTATGCAACTGGCGTACTCGCAGCAACGATTCCTTGAATTGAGACTGCTGAGAAGGACTTTCTCATGAGCGTATCGAGCGACTTACTTCCTCTTCGTGAATTTAATCATCACAGGCGGCAGCGTCGTAGTGAATGTATCTTTGGCGTCCCGATCAAACGATGCCCCAGTCTCACCGGGAGCAAAAGCAACATCAAACTCCCGCACCACCCTTGACAGCGCGATCCGCAGCGAAAGAAACGCCAAGTTCTTGCCGGGGCACTGGTACGCTCCCAATGTGAACGGCAGGAATGGCGCCCCGTCGGTGCCCAACTCAGCCCTCTTCTCGCCGAATCGCTCCGGGATAAACTCGGCCGCCTCCTTCCAGTACCGCGGGTCATTCTGAATGAGCTGCACGGGCACGAACACGTTGGTATCGCCCGGGATGAACGTCCCGTCCACGGTGATGCCCTGCGGCGGTGTGACGCGGAAGCCGCCTGTTAGGAGAGCCGGCTTCAGGCGCAGAGTCTCGTTGATGATGTCGTCGATGAACGTCACATCTTTTACCTTTTCATAGCTCCACTGCCGGCCAAGTGCGGCATCGAGCTGGGACTGGAGCTTCCTCTGCACGCCGGAGTGCTTAGAAAGGTAGTACAGGATGCAGGCCAGGGTTGTGGCTGTGGTCTCGCTGCCCGCAACGATGACGACGCGGGAGTCCTCGTGCAGTGCTGGGTCGGAGGGAGATGCTGAGGGCTCCTGGTCCATCACGGCTTTGATGAGCCATGACACAATATCTTTGGGATATTCTTCTACGTCCCAGTTCTGAATGGCTCGTCAGTCTGACAATATTCGTGTGCCAACGCCCGGCGAGAGTCAACTGACCTTCTTCTTCGCCTCGATCTCTGAACCGCACCACGCAAAGAATTCCTGATAGGCAGCTGCGGCTCCAGGTATCTTTCCCATCATGTTCAGCAACCAAGGAACGTGACTCATGATACCGAGGACGTTCATTGAAGAATGCACTCCCTCAATTGCTGGGTGCTCTTCTCCTTTGGTCACCCCGTAGAACTCCTTGCCGAATCCGACCTTGCCTGTTCATGAATCAGCACCCGATGAAAGAAAAGCTTCCGGCGTAAAGCCGCGGATTACAACAAAGCGCATCGCAGCGTTGATAGAATTTTTTGCTCACCCATTATGTCAAAAGATAAATACATGGACCAGGCTGTTGCATCGATGGTCTCCCGCTTGGACAGTTGCTCGATAAACTCATCGACCTTAGAGTTAATGAGAGGCTCGTAAGTATTCAGCGCTGTCATGTGTGTTAGTCAAGACGGCCCGTCATTATCATTATTGGGGCTTCACCCTTAATAGAAAATCCTCTATCCCAAGCTCTACGCCTGCGCTTGTGCTGTTCGTGATCCCTTGTCATATGGATCGAGCACTTCACCGGATCTGTGTCTACCTGACCATACCAGGTCGATTTGCGACACTTCGACTCAGGGCCATAGATTAATGGTACAGCTGACTTACGAATGACAGCAAGCTCTCGAGGGCCTAGGCTTTGTCGTCAGTACCACCGCGGAAGCTTGATGTGGTGGCTGTACTCACCGGTCCGAATAAAATCTCCATACTCGTGGTTCCACTCTCCCACCTGCTTGAAGTATTTGAGGCCTCTGGACGCCTTGTAAGCCGAGTAGAATCGAGAGATCTTCGCAAGAGGCGGGCCTGGAAACTTTCTGAGTCGGTGGAGGAAAAATCTGTAAATGCCAATACTGAGGAAAACTGCCCCATTGAAGGAAGCGGACAATAGGCAAACCCGTGCAAGCGCAGCAAGAAGAGTAAATTGAGGGTAAAGATGCACCGCAAAAATGACTCCAAGACTGACGAGTCCCATGGAAACAAGTGTATACATGAAAGCCTCCACTTCTACAGTTCGCAGGACTGTATTGTGGAAGACCAGCCCCAGGACCGCGGCAGTTGAGGCGGCTTGGACAGCATCAACGTTCCCGGGGGCTAGCAGGTAGTTCGAAACTCCTGATACTAAAGACATGTCTGCTATGAAATTGCACCGAGTGATACTGACGAAGAGAGACAGCTATGTGCATTGTTGGCAGCTATTACCTACGCGGTATTTAAAGACAAGTTTAAACCGCTGCAGCCTAATCATGTCGTCTTCATTGGTCGAGTTCATATTTTATACACGTATACAGTGCCATCGCGAGAGTAACGCCGGTGGATCACGATGCAGTCTTTAAGCAGTTGGTTCTTGATAAACATATACGAGTTCCCAAAGCGGTATCAGAGTGGGGACCCCAGCGCAACGAAACTCCACGCTGACAAGAAAACAATCGAAAAAATATATGAGGTGACTCTTGGCTTTTGGAACCGAATGTGACATGTCTGTAGTCTACATGCTTCCCCACGTCGACCCTGGTGACCCCCCAAGGGGGAAGCGCTGAACAACATCCCCTAAGCTAATTCTACTAGCGCTGATTCCGTACCTGCAGTCAAACAGGAATCAAAATCATTGGCTCTACTTGTCACAGCTTTATTATAAGATTCATTTTTAAGATAATTGATTATAACAGGGTTACTTTTACACCTGATATACTGCCTTTATATACCGAGGTGATTATAATAGAGTCTGTTTATCTTTGACGTTATCATTGGTCGAGTAGATCTCGCCATTCAATGAGGGAAGATCACGACGACCTCTTCGAACATTTTCGGGATGTAAGGCTGACAACACCTCCGTCTTTGGGATTTTGCAGATGTCGCCCTATCGCTCCAGCATACAGCAATTGGTCGACACTCTCAGGCATCCGGCATCCATCTTCTCCCGGAAACAAATTGGCTGCGACACCTGTGGCCTGGGGTTCCCCGCAAGAGATGGCGAGGGCATCGGTTCAGAAATACCAGCGTTCGTCTGTAATCCTTCTCACAGGCCAAGAGACGAAGAAAAAACCCCTGAAACCATTACCTGATCATCATTTCGTACTTGCGAAAGGTAATTGCCCCGAACCCACACCATCACCACATGGTACACTGCCCCTTCATAATTCCTGGTCAGACACTGGGGCGGATCATGGATCATTTAACTGATCACAGGATTGTTCTCGGAGACTTGCCAGATGATGATGGCTTCTGATTCCTCAAGAAAGTCACAGGAACAATTCGGAAGTTAACGCAACTTGTATACTCTGTACAGCCCGGCAGATCCATGTCTGACCTCGAGAATGACTGTGATAGGATTGAAGGACGCACGACTGCAAAGATACTGTCAAACCAGCAATCTGAGGTGACTCTGACATGTTGTGATGCATCTCAGCTATTACGCACAGTGCAATGGTTACTACCCGGTATGTGTCAGGTATCTCATTACCTGGCTGGGGCCACAAACACAGGTGTGCAGGTCATTTGCTCGAGAGCACTTTGAGATTATGCCACTATTCTCGGCCAGTGGTGTTCTGCTTGGTACAGTCTTGGCGGCGATGGCTGTGAGACGAACAGGCTTAGATCGATGTTGTACATGTCATATGGTATGTGTGCTAGTCGTATTGTCAATTGTTTAAATCACTGAAAAAGGTCCGCCAATCCACTAGAGGAGCTAGCTACACACACCAAGGCAAGGTCCACGGAATTTGCCCTTGGCCGTGACTCATAATTCGTCAGTATCTTCGATAAAACAAGAACCACTGTGGACATTTGCACCGCTCAAGCAAAATAAGTAATTAGTACAAATGACCATTAGATTTTGATTATTTTAATCTTGCCCATCTCGAAAGCATGGACACTAAATATGAACAACCTGAAAATTCCAATGCACCCAATCCTCAACCCTTGACCACCTTCAAATCAAATCACCTACAACAAACACAATCAAACTGTCGTTGTAATTTCATTCATTCTCTCTATAAAGCTCTGACCATAATATTTTGAGTCCACCCGTTCGTCCTATTTCAGCCACCCAGAAACATTGGTTGAACTCGTCGGAATGTCTCATCGTCCACGTCATTCACATCTTGGAGAGGATCTAATCGACCAACATGAGGCACCACAGCCTTTTTGGAGCTTCGACGACCTATCAATGTCTTTTCATCACGACCACTTCCAAATGTGTGTAGGTCCACTTTGTGCTATCTGTGGTCTTAATATTAGATATTATCACGACGCTGTTGTCGTTGGGGACTTGTCACGGGAGTACGAATACGTACAGACCAATCGCGAATATCGCTCCGACTGCCAGGAACCAGCCGTCTTTTCGGCAGAATACACAGACAGAGATTGCTGTACTTCGAGCAAGGGTTGCGATATTAAACTACCCGGCGTGTCACAATATTGTTTCGTGTACGCCGCCGATACTGATAAATTCAACGGTGGCCCTGATGGCGAGAACACGATATACATCCCAATGCACAGGTCGTGTTTTCTAATTGCCATGAAGGCACCGGTGTGGGACCAGGCAGTTTCGAGTCCCCTTCGAGCCATGTACCGCGTCTTACGACATCGCTTCCAGGTCAACTGGGAGCAATTGCTGCAGTGTCGTCCACCACCGCACGACGAGGATTTCATTGACATGGTCAGCATGTTTGACAAAATTTGCATCAGTTCGATAGGATTTCAGAACACCAAAGGTGTAGAGCGAGGCTACTTTCATGAAAGCTACTTCCGTGATGCAAATGTGGGAGACAATCATTACCTCAACCATGATCCGCTCCATATCCCAGAGCTGACATCGACACTCTTGGCGAATTTGGAGCCTTATGTCGCTTCCGAGCACACACAAGAGACATTGAAATTTCGCGAGCGCCTCGCGAGATTGCCTGGGGAGCTAAAGCTCCTCATATTTGAGCACGTCACTGCAGCCCATGACTGGCCTCTATCTTGTACGAGGTTGCTTGGCCCCCGTTTCTGGAAGACGCTGTTCAATAAGAACAATCCATGCTTTGCATGGTTATGGGATCTGGATCAAGAGATGGTTCGCCAAACCGACCCAGACTTGGTGCTAGACTGGGAGCTCCTGTTCAGGAAGCTTTCACAAGGACCCAAAGTAGCTGATTGCTTCAGAGGCAACTCTGAGTCTGACTTCGAGATCTTTCGAGGCGTTTTGCAAAGAACCCCCTGCGGTCTTGAAGGGCGGCGTCGGATCTGGACACTCTTGGAAGAGATGTACATCGGTGATAGAAGTACACGCTGGAGGCTCTGGTTACAAGATCCTGAATATGAGGCCCGGTATAATCCTGTGAGAGACATAGAGGAAGTACCTGTCTACTGGGGGAGAAACGGGGAATCGTTTGGGTGTGAAACGCTACTGGCGCTTTGAATGGAGAACGGAGAAGACCTGCTTGCCGATCCGTTTCAACCTTGGTGGGCGGGTGAAAAAGTTTTATGTTACAAGTGCTTGAGGTTTCGCCGAGTTACAGTGCAAGACGGTTCCTTCCGAGGTCCCACGCAAGGGAAGTGCAACTCCGGCATTGGTGATTGGACGGGAATGGAGCTGGAATGAAAAGGAGGGGATTTCACAAAATGGCCAGGACGACGCCAAATTGAGCCTTGTTGGCTTCCCAAGACAAGATATTATATTGCTCACTTCGCCATAGGAGAAGAAGAAATTAATCTTGAACCAAGTGACATCTGCAACTACTACCAACGTATCATAGCAGCGACAACATATTTGCTCATGTTCTCAGTCCATTGAGATAGCTTACCTAGCCCTCTATGAATTCGATTTGGTCACCGACAGGGACTTCAACGTCTTGGTCCACATTCCATAATTCCATCAATTCAACATGGTCACTGATAGGCACCGCAACCTCTTGGTCCTCATTCAACGATTCCATGAATTCCACCTCGTCACAAGTTAGAACTGAAGCCTCCTGGTCCTCAATGATCGACTCGGCGTCGACTAGTCTACTCTTCAACTCTACGTGGTCTAGTCTATCTCAAGAGACGCTGACGAACAGCCCCGATTCATCATGGGGGCCTTCTTTTTGTACTATTGTGGTCCCCGGAACATCAACCTCAGCCTATGGAAGCTCAGTTACTGTCAGCGTGACCTTGGGTGAAAGTACGCCGTGAGTAAATTCCAAAAGCTGCAAAATGAATAATTAGATATTGGATACTCGCAGGTCGTGCAAATGCTTATCTCGGGAAAGTCCCATAACTTCAGTATCACCAGCGGTCTCGGTACCCTCTTCAGCCCTGATACCATCTTCATCGTCTACCCAGACGTTCAATCCACCCTCGGAAACGTCAACTATGACAACCTTGCCACCGGGTTTTGGGGCCCATTTCCGGGTTCGATTCGACAGCTTTCACTTGGATCACGACCACAAGGTCAGATGGCTCCTCCACTGTCCTTCCCATTATCGGAGGGCTTGCTCTTTGGGAGGTACCGACTATTCTGAATGTGCGCTTCCAGCTCAAATTGCCAGGCTTCCATATCCCAGCTTTCAGCTTCCCTTGCATTCGAATACTTTTTGCTTCTATTGGGGACTGCGATAATCCACCGACCGATGATGATGAGAGTTCTCAGCCATCGTCATCACCATCGCCGTCCTCATCTCCACCATCAACCTCCTCCTCGCAGTCATCAGATCCATGTACTCAGAGTAAGACGACCAGTGATTGCCAGGTAACCTGCTCTCTGTCCCCTATGGCTGATGGCAGTACAATCACGGACTGTTACACGACCGTGTGCTCGATAACGCGTGCGCCGTGCAGTATCACTGCAACGACCTCGACTACGTTTATTTCTACGACTAGTGCGCTTCAGTGCCCCTTAGACTATAGCAACGACGAACATTCCAGCTCCTCGAATGGTCCTCACCGTCTCGACCCGGATGACACCACCACCACCACCACTACTAGCAAACCCCCACCCAGTGTGACAGCACTAGGATTAAGTCCGAGCCAGTGCGTTCTTCAGATGGATTCTGCTCGGACATCAATTACTTGGCCTTGGACTCCCGGGGGCGGGCTGGTTTTGAGAAATGATCTTGACGCGGCTGGCGTGACTACATTTACCGAGGCGGCTAAGACCAATTACATGCAGGGCACCAGAACCAGCTTGTTACGCTGGCTGAGCTCAACGACTAATGCGGTCAATTGCGGTCCTTCAATTGTCAGCTTTTCAGGACTGGAATACCAAGCTGCCTTGGACGCCGCACCCGACGACACGAGCGAAGAACATCAACGGAAACAACAGGCTATGCCTAGTATTGACCACGTATTCGAAAAGAATTGGCTTCTTATGTTTTTCTGGAATATCATCGACCCAAATGCCCCGCCACTGTCCAGTGTACCTAGTCAATTTCATGTTATCCGACAAATCAATTGCATCGACCTTCACAACTTCTTTTTTGGGGTCCATCGGTCGAGAAACACAATGGGCGAGCTTTTCAATGCTATGCCTGGCGGTGACGCCAACTTCTTGAGCCTTGCAGGTTTGGCAAGAGGCCTCAACAATGCCGCAAAAGCAAGGCGTTGCCGATTTCGTCTCTGAGTGGATGTAGTCTAATTCTGACACAGGGCAAAGTCTCCAATCCAACCGACTTCACTCTGAGGTGCAACACTATATTGGCCGCAAAGTGGAGGATTCGGCCGACTGATGATTTTGATGGCGGGTACAGGAAATTCCAAGAGTGCATCACCTGGGTGCAAGACATCTGGCTTGGGTTCGAGGCGCTTAACAGACCAGATATGGACAATATTTTGACCGAGACCCTGTGGCAAGTTTGGGATGTTTTGTAAGCAGCAGCCCCTTGCATACCTGTGTACTGTTGGCCAATCTGCTGTGAATGATCAGCTCCCACCGCCGCGACGACATGGCCGTATCTGATCCCTGGACTAATTCAGCAACAGGAAGATAATGGAGCAGGTTGCGCGGGATGAGAACTTCGGTGCCGACAAGTTTCCTATCGCGCAAAGATTTACAGAGTACATGAAAACACTGCAATCCAACATAAACACGGAGTCGAACAACAGAGTTCCGCAGCTCTTCAACACTCTTCAAACCGATTTGAATATTTTACGCCCACTTGCTCTCCATCCAGACCAGGTGGGCTTATATAATGGAGTGGAGACCAAACTGAACTTTTTCCGCAGCTTCGCAATGAACTCTGGCAAGTGGACGTGGGACTCTGATCTTGGTATGAACACATATCATACTCCACCCTCCCCTCCATCACCTGCGTCACCAACGTCCGAGTGCGGTGAATTGTCCGGTATATCTACCTGCAGTGCCGCGGCGGCTACAGATAGCACAAAGATGACCTCCATGTCCGCCACAGAGGTCACGCATAGTCAACCGACACCGTCTTCGAGTCCGGCCTGCACCTCGGACTCCGATTGCAGCAGTTTCTCATGCCCCCCAGGACAGCGTGCTGCATGTGTGGAAGTTGGAATGGGATTGCACGCTTACAGGCAATGTCAATGCACCGTATCGGTGGACACCAATAGTCCACTATCTTCAAGTGAACCACCAGGGCCGGGCTCGTCTGGGAGTTGCACCTCTGCCTCAGATTGCAGCGACTTCGCCTGTCCATCTGACAAGGAGGGTACATGCGTCGGTTATGGACTTGGGGGACATGCATATTCGACTTGTGATTGTGTCGCACCATTCCTGCCACCATCATCGCAGTCGACTCCATCACCGCAGTCAACTCCATCATCGCAGTCGACTCCATCGTCGCAGTCAGCTCCATCATCGCAGTCGACTCCATCACCGCAGTCAACTCCATCATCGCAGTCAGCTCCATCACCCCATTCAACTGCATCGGCGTCGGAGCCGGCGCTACCGCCGCCTTCAGATCAGTCGATACTCTCCGCCCCTGCTGTCGTTACTACGGCTCCACTGACTCCTCCCGCTCTTTCTGGATGCGTCATTTGGGCCGGTATCTCCACTACCTCCGGGACCTGTTCGTGATCCTTTCGTGATTCAACCGGTGTTAATTAGTAGTATTGGTTTTCAGTATTTCTTACAAATATGAGGAGGCTCAGATGGAATGCGGCAAAGGCTTGAACAGCAATCAACTGAACAATCTCATTGCGAGGCACAGATCGACGTCAAGCCCCTGACTGTTTAAGCAAGTGGCATGCTTCAATATCTATGTAAATTCGATTGTCCCCATGACATTCTCCCCAAGTGTGGCTGACGAAAGCACCTACAACATGAGCTAGCCTTGCCTTTCTGCATGTCCCCCCGAGTTGAAATCTGGAGCAAATTCCATGCATAAATGCGTTCCGTGTTGCTAAATGTGTTCTTGTGTGCTCAGGGACATGACTGTTCAACAATAGTGACGCAAAAGAATGGATAGTTGAGTTCATATACTAGTTGCGGGTTTTCTCGGATCATGAATAAGGCCGTCTTGCACATGCTGCATGCGTGGAGCGAGACCCCTCCTCCTGTATGCTTTTGAGTAATTATATAAGATCTTGAAACGATGTGTTGGCCGGGGTCCTTTCATTATTAGCCTTCTGCTTCAGTACGAGTCTCTTAATGTTGCAGTGGCTATTGATTGTATTGTGCGGCGCCACGACGTCTCCATCACCATTTGGGCTGAAATTCTGTTTCATTTCTTATCCTCTGGCACACCTACCTAGACACTTAATTTGAGCTCATTTTGCAAATCCCTTGTGAGCGTTGTGAATCCTCTCCTCTCTTCAAAGCAATCATACCCTTACGCACTGCGGGCATAACTTTGCATAGAAGTTGATCACCTTTCACAGCTTGTGTGCTGCCATGGCACGTTATCATCCGCGAATAATCGCTACAATCGATGTGCTCAAGTCTTGAAACGGAACGGTATGGGTTGTCTGTTCCCGGTTGGTCAGTAGCGACACCTCGCCGCGCCGATTACTCAGAGCTGACATTTCAACCCATCTTCGTTGTTGGGAAAATCATCTGTCTTGCGCAAACATTGCCAGGATCTTTGATTTGTACTGCCCGGACCTTACTAATCGTTCTCGTGTCAGGCGAGTAAGCCAATGGCTCGATTTCATAGCTTAAGTGGGACTGTCCGCAAAGAGCAAACACCAATCGCATAGCAGACATGCCAGATCGAAGATTCGCGACAGATACACGTCAGAGACTGCGCATCCTTTCTCGACAGTGGGTTCTGGCCATGCATGTCTAGGTGGAAATCGGGCAGGAATGTTGACACCATCTCCCGTGCCATGACGCAGCAAGTGCGGACGTCCTGTGAGGCTGCGCCTGTTGCTAGAAATGCAGTCGGACGGCCGATGGGACACAAGAGGCGGTGAGAACGATCGATGGTTTCAACGCCCTTAAGCGCTTGTGACGCACTGCAACATGTTTCCCGCGACACTTAAGACCACTATAACGTTCTAACAGTCTAGAACTCCGGATCTGCGATCAGACTCGGGAACTACGCTCAAGGAACCCAAATAGCTTCAAAAGCGAGTTTTGGTCCTAAAACTCCGCGATTGTTGCCCCGAGCCGATAGATGGTTAGGTTCTCGCACTCGTTCATCGCGCAACGTAGGCTGGAGATTGAAGGGCTTATGCTTCTCCGCTCGAGCCTGCGGTTTGATATAAACATAGTCTCAAGGGACAGTGTTTTCATTTAAGACTTCCTCAATATGAAGAGACCTTCTTGGCAAGAGGTGTAAGATTCGGGGCTGTGGAGGTGAAGCAAGTCACTGGGTGAGCGACGCAGGGATGAATGATGCAGACTGCGGAGAAAACTCTCCCCAGATTCTGGAGGGATGCAAACGGGGTCAATCATGTACCCCGGATGCAGGTCCTCGGGATGGATGGGTTTTTAACTTCACGGAATGATCCAGATCGCTCCCATCAACCAGGAGCACACCTCTTCCACCACCCGACGCTTCCGCGGTACGCCACGTGTGGCCGTCCAGTCGTCAGACACCCGGGCCAGGTGTCACAGTTTCCTTCGACATTATCGATGCAAACATGTGAAAAACGGTGGAATTGATGTATCAGATGATCAAGGGCTGGGCCAATGGGACCAAGATGATTTGTGATGTGTGGGATGTTGATATGTCTCTGGCAGTAACTTTTACTCCACTGCGAATCATTGATCTTCTTTTCGAAAGAGGAGAAAGTTTTCGAAGCAATCTTGATCCTTCAAGGGGTGCTTCCGATAGAAATGATTAATCACAACGAGTGATCATCGGGCGATCAAGCGCCTCACTATTGCATTGTGGACCCTTACGGTTGTCTGAAGTTGGCGTCAGGGACATCTGGATCCCCGGATAGGCGACGTCTTCAAGTGCGTAGTCTCTGCTAGTTGCGGCTCCGCTTTGTCAACAACATGCTGTCTTCGAAAAGTGTCTACTCTGTGCGGAACACATCCGCGCGTCTCATTGGGGACTCATGTCGTTGATCGCTGGCAGCATTCGTCAGAGCTCCGTCTCCTGAAAGCATATATTTGTTCAGTAACCACTCATGTGGAACCGCGAAATTGACAGATGACAATGCGCTGAATCGTATTTGAAAGGATGTCGGAGTCCGCAGCCCTGTGGTTGGTATGTAGGGGCAGAAGATCACAATCTGTCGCTAGAAGCCCAAATCCGCGTCAACCGCAGAGACGGTGAGATGTTCAGCGGTTGTGCCGGTCATTTGAATCAGGACCAGCGAACAGTTGCCCTATATATGCTAGGTGATATCATTTGCACGCAGGATGACTTCGTTGCGGGTACCCTGAAGTGAGCCTCTCCCTGTACGCAGTCGCGTGATGGTGCCTGAACTTGCATGGGATCAACACGCGGCTGCTGTAGGGTACCATTCCGCCGAGGCGGCACATAGGACGGTGAACTGACGCCGTCGAGGCTAGCCGCCGAATCTCCGCAGCACTTATGTAACCTATTGCGCCTAACTAGACACTTCGGAAGTTCCCCTAAAGTTTATTTTGTTTCGATGGCTCTAACTATGCAACGTCCTCGCCCAACGCTATTCGGCTGAACCCCTATACTCTTAGCGGCCGAGACCCTCAGGATCAATCCGAGGCATAAGGTTGATGATGTCACGTCCTGACCAATTTCCCCTTGCTCAAGCACCACACACTGCAGACGGGGCTCTCCCCAGATCGCCATGACCTAGACCACATGTAGTGTATGGTTTGGACGGCTCTCTGACACTAGGCACGTGGCCCACTACGGTCAACGGCATCTGCGCAGCATGAATAAGCGGTGATGAGGGAGCCCAATCGATGCCGCGCAGGGAAGAAGCCTGAGTCGCACTCTCGGGCTCTGGCGGCTGTTCCTAGGTCGAGCCTTGCGATGTGCTGTCTAGCTGAAAACGGGAATTCTGCGACACCCAGAGACTCCGACGTCACCAGCGTTGCTATAGCATTGCGCTGTGTCCAAACAACGCTCCCTTGTCATGACCGCGACGCCGTAGAAGCATCAGCCACTCTACCAGAAGTGGTTAAATCCCGCCGCCCTCTCCTGAATGTGTTTGTGTTCCTGGGAGGTCTCTACTTTGTCTCGGGTATTTCTTCCCACCACCTGCCTACCCGTTGTTGATCAGTACCTTACGCCTTTCCCCATTTGTCTCCATTCCATGTCGTCGGTACCAGCCGAATATTCACATCACCTCCTACTCTCCTCCAGTACACGTCTTCAACATGGAGGGACTTGTATACGGCGTGGCGGCGATGATAGTGAAGGATGTTCTCAAAACACCATACCTCAAAGGCCGGGACTACGAACGTAACGTACGCCAAGTCTATCGAGATGTCGACAACCTTCAAATCACCTTGGACCAAACCAAATCCAACTGTGAGGGCCAGTCCCTAAGCAAGCCTCACGCCGAGTTTGTAAAGCGCGCAGAGAAGCAGAAACGAGACGCCTACCGCACGTTGCGCAAGAACTACCCACGGCACGCCTCGAAGTCATGGCTTTTCGAATATGCCTCGACACCAGGCGCAGAGATGAACTTGCTCGACATAGGAAAGGAGGCCAACCAGACAGCAAAAGGTCTGAATGACCTTCTTGCAGAGATTCGATTCTCTAAGATAGGAGGCGACAAGGGAGATGACAAGGAAAACACCGAGGAGAAAGACAAGCCGAAGGAAAAGTCACCAACGCGGCCTTCCCTTGACCTCTCCAGAGTGAGCTCAGGTGACACACCATCAAAAGGATCAAGCAGCCCACGCAGCATGTCCAGCCGCCACAGCAGTGTCTTCAGTCCTGTACCGATTCAGCCCACCGGCATCTACAGCCCGCCCAGCAGCACTTCGAGTTTCTCGGACCCTTCAAGGAGACGCTCAACATCCTCGGCCAGGCGGAGCGGAAGCAACCACCTCGGCCATCGTAAACAGGAACTGTTGACGCCATCCTCATGGCCCAAGTCAAACCCTTTCGAAACTATCATGGAGTCGGGCCACGGCCGCGAACAAGCACTTGATAACCTCCAGTACGGCATCGACCAGGTCCTGAGCGCAGTTGACAAGGAGCACGAGTACGAGGCGATGGTGTTCCTCGAGCACTCCCTGAAGGAAGTCCTGCGGCTACAGCGGTCTCAGGGCTTCAGCGGCTCTCAGATGGGCGAGGATCTCGGCGACGCAGTTGAGGAGCTCGATATGGCGATGCGGAATCTTGTCGCGGCCAAGAACGACAAGCAAAAGGACCGGGCCCTGAGGGGTCTCAGCTATGCGCTGGAGAGTGTCGACGTCGCGCTGTACGCGAGGAGGAAGCAGAAGGAACACATGAATGATCCGCACCACCACCCGCGGCACGGGCACGCCAGCCCCGTCCGCGTCGGCAGCAAGCGCCGCGAGCGAGGCAGCAGCGAGAGGAGCCGGCGATTTTCGATGCAGTGAAAATACCCCCGATAAACCAGATCATGAAGCGTTGTTTTGAAACAAAGCATGTTGTACTGTATGTGTAACAGTATAGGGCTGGATGGCATGGAAGAGGCGTTCTATTATGATTATGACCTTTACTTTCTTTCACCTTGTTTCCAATTGTGTACCCGCATCGCAGCAGAGTCTGCCACAGCGGCCGAGGAACAAGAATGACTGGATGAACAGTGAGCAGTTGGGGCCTCCTCGGAGTCCATCATTTGTGTATATTGTGTGTATCTACTATGATGACAAAAATGGTTCGGTCGCGGGGAATTTGACTCAAATTTCACACCGTTACCAAATACCTCTGAACCCATTTCCGCTACGGTGGATCACTTGGAGACCATCTGTGGCGCGTCGCTTGAGCACAGAAAGCTACTGTTGTGCCATAGATTTGCCGAGTGTGTTTTCTCACCAAATGCCTAACTGCAATGGTTGCTCAGGAACTGCTGCCGAAGTGAGGCTGTATAGCGTTTCCCCCTTTCCAGTTGTCTCCACTATGTGTTCTAAGCCATTTGGGTGCTTCCGTACCCTGGTTTCAGCCAAGATCGTCGTAGTGCATACATGGACAAGGAGACCAAACAACAACGGCGACATGCGCTAGGAAGGCTGGTTCTCGTTGGGCATCCAGCTAGCAGAACGCCTACACAAAGCTATTTCGGCCACAAAGAGCGACTCAAGGTTATTGTGATGTGCAGTTTGAAGGAACGGCCAATTTATCAGACACATGCAGGCGGCGACAGCACTTTCGGGGAAAGGAGGGAAAAGAGAACGGCTAGAGACAGGGCCTTGAGGAGTGAGACGGCTACGGATGTCTAGAAAGAATTGGGTGCATCCCAATGTACAATCCAATTCATATACCTCCATTTTGATTGCGTGTTCTTGTGTATTTACATGTCCAGGAGTATTGAAAGCTGAAATGTGCAAGAATGGTACGAGGGATTAAAGATAATATCTAAACGCACTCCGGACAAGGGCATTGGTGCATTTTTGCTCTGGAGCTCCCAGCCATGTATCAGAGTCACCGCAGAGAATGCAAGATGTGCTTGGAAAAATTGCTGAACTTGCACTTGTGCGAATGTCCTTCCTTTCATCATCCCGTCTCTGCACTCTTGAGGGTTATGTGAAACTGGTTTGGGGGGGGGGGGGGGTTTCCTCCGTCTCGAGCGGAACACGGGTGGAGCCTCGGAACTTCGGAAGATGACATAATGTCACGACGAGCACAAAGAGGTCCGAGAACCGGAAGCATAGGCCAAGCAAGTTGTCAAAAGACAGCCATGCTTTTTGCAGACGATTGCTATAGAGGCATATGCAGTCAGGCTGTCGACGCGTAAAAAAATTAAAACATGGCATCTACTGCCACTGGAGTCGCTTCCGCGCAGGCAGACGACTCGTTCGAGCTGTATGACCTCCGGGTCGAAGTCGTGTGCCCGCCAGGGGAGAGGATTATGTGCGGTGCTAAGGAGGGTGACTACTTCACGCTTGAGGGCGAGATGATGTACTTGCCTCCTGGGCAGGGAATCAGCATCTACAGCTTGTGTGAGTTGGATCATCATCATCGAAGAACAATCAAAACAATGTCAGGTTTGACTGATAAGAGGGCTAGCATCCGTCCTCCCCCTTTTGGCAGCGAAGCAACGAGCGACACACGCCAACGACTGGATGACATCGGATGCTCTGATTGCTTGCCCTGATCCGAACTGTAACTCCAAGTTTAGAATAGTCCGGACAGGGAAGAGAAAATTCAGCCACGCCGAAACAACGATCGTTGGACTGGAAGGGAACAATTAGCGGATAAAGTTGCCGTCGCGATGCTCTTGCGAGCTGGTAATCTTGATTAAGCTATAAATAGTGTGCCAGATCAATGTGCCCTCCTCCCCCGGTGTCCAGCAGTGGAAATAAGTTCAGTCCACCGAAGGAATCGTCCCCATCAAACGCACCACTCAGCAGAGAAAGATCCGGGGTGCGAGGTAAGGAGTTCGACATCGTCAAGAAGGCTGGATCCAAGTCGCTAAACAGGGAAGGAGATGCTACACTCCCCATGCCGAAATGCGGTGTCGCGTGGCTTTGCGGCGTCGGTTCAGAATTCACATCCCTCTGGTGGCCCATCCTCATGGGACTGGCAATTTTGCGCGAGATCTCAGGTGTTTTCCTTGTGCTTGTGCTATCCCCATCCCGTGCCTCATGAGGAATAAGTCCGAATAGCTGTGCGGAGCTTTCGGTCCTCTGAAGTCGCTCCTGGACTTCCTTCTTCTCCAAATATTCCACCGCTGTTGTGAGAAGAGACTTAGATATCATAGAGTATTGTGCTGCGTGTGCATCGATTTTTGCAAAATGGTCGAGCGCCGTCACGGACATGCGTGCGTATTTCTCAAGGATGCGGCCAAAGCCACCAAGGAGCCCAGAGCCGAGGACAAGCGACCCTGCGAATAGCCACGATCTGGAGGGGAAAGTTAGCTCAAGCGTGTGGATGAACATGTAGTACCGAATAAATATTGAACTTACACAAGCACTGGACGTCGTCCAGAGATGAGCCCCTTCTCTACAAGGTCCAAAATCTGGTCGACCATCAAGCTGGCAGCGTCGATACAAGCATCAGCCAGCTTCGTCTTGCCAGACATCAAGCCCGCTCTCCCGTAAACAGCAGATGGCTCAGGGGACAAGCGCCTATATAGCTCATACATCAAGAATGGTCTTGACACCAACATTACAGCGTAGTAATACGATGCGAGGACCTGGCAGGCCCCATTCACCTCAGCAGAGTTCTGCTCCGTCGACGAAGACACCACGCTCTTGAGCTGCTGCAGCCACCTCACGGAGAAATCTCTCAACTGCCGGGAGATGCCCTCGGTCAATTGCAGAGAGATCTTGCGTCTCGAGTAGACTTCCACGACAACGCCTTCAAGGATAAGGAAGATCTGTACGGACGCATTGAGGATATCAAATACCTCCTGGCCATCATCGTCGACTTGGCGGTAAGACACCGTGCAGTCGACGTCACTCGTACTTGGCGGGCGGCCCATGGAAGTGCTGAGGAACAAGTCCACGATGCGTAAGCTCTTCCACAGCCTGTCGCGTTGCCTGTGAGTCTCGGGTCCAAATCGGCTGTTGACCTCGGTGCGATGCACGCCGATGGAATATGCCGCACGCACTGCGATGCCGAAGAACAGGAATGCGCCGTTGATCTGACACGCACACAGCATGTACAGGGTGACGAGGACAAAGGCCTGGACGGTGTCGACGCTCAGGTTGCCGTTCAGGTTCGCCAGGGCTTGGTCACGGGCGTACTCAAAGTATAACTGCGCTGTCTCCTCGTTGGTCTGCTGCATGCCGATGGCGATGACGAGGTAATTCACCGCCGAGGACACGTCGTCAATGCGGTTCCCTGCTTGGTGGTTGGACGCCCAGATGGTCATGTCCTCGACCAGCCGCGCCTTGCTGACGAAGAGGTCGGCCATGCCTGACGTGACGGACAGATACGTCGAGATAATTTCTGGTAGGTCTTCGGTCTTGACCTCTGGAGGCGACGAAGCACCCGAAAGGAATGATGACCTCGAGACTGCGTTTTCGAGCACCGAATAGCGACTCGTCTGTGGGGCAAAGGCATACTGATCAACCCGGTTAGTGACGAGTTGGCGGACAGTCTGGAAGAACGACAACGGTGCGCAGTCGCCGATGAAAATCAGCTTGCCCTGGGCATCGCAGAGAAGCCTTGCTTCCCTAGGCACCTCAGCCTCTTCGTGGTCGTCTGTCACGGCGGTATCGCTACTCCTCCGGTGAGCTGTGTTGCCGGCTGCAGAGCCGGGCTTCACCGGAGGCGTCGGCAGGACGGCATGGTTGGTGGCAGCCGTGATGCTTGAGTGTTCGAAGTCAACTGGGTGCGGTGTCCCTTGGCTGTGGTTGTTGCCGTTGACGGACACAGTAGGAGAGTTAATGCTCGGTGTCCTGGGGTGTAGTTGGTTCCGTGGACCAGGCCGGCGGCGCTCTCGTGGCGGAGAGTATTTGCAGGCATGGGGTCTTTGACGACGTGTGCAATAACTACATGGCAATTTGCCGTCACATTTCACTGCATTGCGTGTGGTATTAGCAGATTGGTTGGCACACTAGCAGCAGAAGATACACGACGGAATAGGGCTGAGCTAGATCAACAAGTGGGTAGACAAGAAGTAGTGAAGAAACAAATAGGCGGAAGACCGTCTATCGCACGTGGCGATGGTGCAGAGAACAGGCACAAGGGAAATTGTCCATCCGTCCACACAAACGCTGTGAAACCACAACCGCAATAGTCGAGGGGGCCAATGGCAGAACAGGCCGGCCGGAAGTTGCCTACCTTTCCGTGCTTTGCAGCCGTCACAAGCACTCTGCACGCGTGCTCGAATGTACTGAGGCTCCCCGGTAGTGGCCTGATCACCTCCACTGGCGCCAGGAGTAGTCGACTTGTCCATCTCGGGGGGTCATACGGCGAATGGAGACATTTAGTCGGGGGCAGAGTCAAACTGTCGGGATGAGAGGCGGATCCGGGATCTGTGAGTGCCTTTGACGTGCGGAAGCGGAAGATTTTGAGAGACTGGGTTAGGAACACAGCAGCTGCGGAGTCGGAGCTGGCCCAACCTACTCGGTACTGGAATTTCTCGGTGCTTACGTTGGGGCGCTGGAGTGACAAAGAGGACAGGGTTAACCCCTGAGTATCCGCGGCTTTGTCGTCGGTGCTCACCAACACGTACAACGACACCAATTCCAAATTCTTGCGTAGTGAGTTTCTTTTCGCATTCCATCTCTCCTCTTGAGAATCTGCGCGTACAATTCTTCAAGGAATTTGCAGTCTTTGAATCGCTCAAGTCGAAGAACACCAAAAGAGGACCCAGATGGCTAAGCATGTAACACTCACCGTCGACCGCTAATCGAGAAATGTCCATGAATATCCTTGCCATGTTCTCACTGTCACTCACGTCATTCAAAAATTTAATGCCCAGAGAAAAGGCTCAGGCACTAATGGATCATCATAAAGACTTGGGTATTCATTGAAGCTGAAGCGTGCCCAGCCATACTTCACTATGGCCGTCCTGCTGCGATCTTGCACAATCTCTTTGGCGGATCGAGGTCAGTAAATATTATGGGCGATGGCCAGCTGCCCATATTCTGGCAATATTTGAATATCAGGTTCGGGCAAGAAGTATAAAGAACTAGGGTCTCCGACATGAAAGTATAAGCTGCTCGAGTCTTTCCCCGCGGTAGCTGCAAAGCGGCGTGTGGATGAGATCCGTCACTGAAAATGACTTTGAGAATTTCAAGGACCCACTTTCCCATGCACAGATGGCAGTGTTGTGGCACTACACCACATGACGATACGTCCCAGGGCGGCGTTCTTGTGGCTTGTCATCACTACATCGGTCTCTTCTCTGTCCAGTAAGAGAGTTAGAATCACAGCTCAGGAATTGAAGGGTTAAATCAGAGGTTGACCCAATTATCATCGTTCGACCGACTTTCTGCAGTTTGAAAAGAGCACAATTGCGGTCTTGAGAAGCTGCAGGCCAACAGCACAAATGCGGTGCTGAAGGGCAACCCCACGCAGATCTCTCTAGGCAGTGCGTCTCGTGAACACCAAACATGCTGCCATTCGTTGCTGACGAGCCCTATTCTGTACCCATAATGCTGACAGTCCTGCAATCCGCCTGCAAGCCGCGTGGGCGGTACCCAGTGGGATAAGCCGGAACTAGCCTTGATTTGCCAGTTGACCCCCTTGACAGTGCTGTTGTGCAACATATCTCGCTGGACTCCACTCCGAAGGGCACAAGGGCGGCATTCGCTAGAAGTCTACCACAAGAACTGTTGAGTTTTACTGTGCTGTTGAAGTTGTTTCCAAGCACGGCTTGGCGAGGAAAGTACGCATGGGAACCACGAAGCCATTGTGCAAAAAAACGATTATAGCCATGGATAGGGCCACGGGTCTGGACAGAGCGGGGTCCTTGGACTGTTTCTGAGGTCACTGTCCACCTGAGTACGATCTTAGAGCTTCTAGAAACTGTGAACCACGTTTTCAGGAAACTGCCGCAGGCCCATCACAAGTTGAACAATGCTTTCAGTCGCAAGCCGCCCCTCGTGCTCTTTGCACGATGCCTCAATGAAGAAGCAGTTGCCATCCGTGACTCGGCGACAGCGCAAGAGTAAAAGCTCCGCCAGGAGAAAGAGTACGGTCATGGTGTGGTTTTGTGTGAGTGTGTACTCAATTGTCCCATTTACTTTGCGATAAACACTTGCTGACCGCGAACAGTGTTGGTGCGGGTTTGGTGGCATGTCACATCTTGCGCCAGGATGTGATTTCTGCAATAAATTCCAATGCGAACATTGTACCTTTCAGGATTTCACGACTGGTTGGACGGGGCAGATACAGGATCTTTATACCTGGTCTGAAGATGCGGCTCTGCCGAGTCCAGCTCCAACAGAGCCTCAACTTCTCCAGCCCCCTGCTCTGACAAAGGGCAAACCAGCCAACCTCTTCACACCACTGGAGCCCTACCCCACTCGTGACACCCTTGGAAGTCTTGATGGACTGCTGTCCTCCCCTAAGTCGGAGCATGTCACTCCGCAGAGCCTCAATTGGCACAGGAGCGCACAGAGGGATTCTCTGGTCTCACCCACCATCAAGCGTCGAATAGATCTCGGCTTGTCATCTTCGTCTCCTGATCAAGTGGATATCATCGACCTATCCACTAGCCCCCTTTCCTTGGGTACGTCCAGTTCCGAAACGGTAACGGAATGTGCGTCTTCCTCTCTGGACCCAACGATCACGATTGATCACGTCCTTCTCGCTTTCGACAGGTGGAAATTAGGATGCAACAATAGAACAAATACATCCGGGTCTTTAAAGAGTGCTAGCTCGCTCCCTAAAGGCGAGCTTAATCGATCGTCGTCCCCCCAACAATCTCGCAAGCGCAGTTCTGATCAGGACTTATCTTCTAAGCAGAGTGGAACCAAACGATCACGGGTTTCCAGTGATAGGAAGCCTCGAGCAACGAAAGAAGACAAGAATCTACTTGCTTGCCCTTTCTGGAAAAAGAATCCAATCAAACACCGAGACTGCTTCAAGGGTGTGAAACGTATTAGAGATGTCAAGCAGCATCTAAGACGGAGCCATCAACAACCAGTATTCTGCCCCCGGTGTGGGGTGGAATTTGATGGAGAGGACGCGGTCCCACGTTTAACAGAACATTCGAGGGCAGTCGAGCAGTGCGAGGTATCACGCTCATTCGTGCCACCAGATGGCATCACCCAAACCCAGCAAAATGGTCTCAATCGCTACTCGGACCGCAACGCAGACGAAAAGGAGCAGTGGTATGTGATCTGGGACTACATATTCCCCGATGGCAGAACCCCACGGCCAAGCTCGCCATACGTCAATCAAGACCTGTCGGAAGACATGTCCTCTTTTCGCGAATTTTCGCACAGCGAGGGCTGGAATACTCTGGATGCCGACTCTGACCTACGCCATGTTACGCTTTACCTTGATGAAGACATGCTGCGGGCTTGCTTTAATAGGATTTACGAGAATTGGCTGGCGAAAAGGAATGCCAACTCTCAAACATCCGGTGAGGAAAGCCCACTTGCGCTCTCGGATACCAGCACCCCTGACGAAAGGACACCCGCCAACGATCCAACAGCTATCGACCAAATACAAGGAAACAATTTCATGACGCTTGGCGGATTTGTAGCGGATCCACAGTTGAATGACTATTGGCTTACCTATCAGATTGACGATCAGTTCTTTCCTTCAAACGACTTTGCGGCAAAGACGAGCTTGAACCTGGTGCAGACCCTTCCAAGTGTGCCTTTGCCCCCAGCTCATGAACTCGAGCATGAAAAACAACAAGCCACGGTGGACCCAATACTGATAAGCCGCTGATCGACTTGATCTGGGTAGTCTTTCGTCGTGCGGCCTCGGATGGGCGACTTGTCGTTCCGTAAGGCCCTCTCTATGGGGCTCCAACGGGCCGACCTAGGCAGGAGGCAGAAATAAAACCGAAACCAGGGGCAGCTTGACGGTTGAGACGAGGGCGAGATTCCTTTCAACACAACTCGGTCTATTGAGTCATTGCAGATCCACCACCATGCATGTCATGTACAGTAGTTACACTGAATTCTTTAGCGCCGGCGATTGTTGCCAACTATGAATGGAATGCTAATTCTACAAGCGTAGAAAATTCCTCGCCTCTAGCCTTGGTGTCAAAATGACAGGACCCGTCAGTTCATCCCCTTTGTTGTAATCCGACGGGAATAACGCCGTGCCGGAAAGACGTTATAGGCAAGTCCGGACCTCGTGGCGAAGACGGACGACCAATCTCGCTATTCGCGTGCATGAATCGGATTGAGAACAACCGATGTCCTAGCTCGGCATCTTCCGATCAAGAGCCAAGGAAAATAGACACATCAAAAGTGAATGACATCTCAGCCTTTCGTAAAAGAACTCAATATAAGCTTTCCATGGGTAACATATGCGCAGAGCCTCCTCCATCGAAGTTCTAGATTATGAATGTCAAGAATGCAACAACTTGCCTGTGGATATTCGAACAACTCGGCAGCGCGCGATACGACATCTTTCTTCAGACATGCCTTTAGCTAGCTTTGTTGACCCTGTTATTGTCCCTGATACCGGGTGATCCTCCAGTTCGACCCAGGTAATCGATCTGGGACCCAGTGTAGAGTCCGTGCTAAATCCGTTATCTACCCCCTTCCATCGCCCTCGTAACGCGTTGCGTTTGACGGCTAAGCGGCGCACCGCTCAGGGCTGCCTGGCGTTCCCTCGGCCCCACACGCTTCTTGCGCAATCTAATGCTGTTACGCGATTGCGAGCGTGCCGTGTACTCACTCAGGGGGAACCTAACCACCATTCACTCAAGGCTGAGTCTGTAGCCTCACCATCAAAGGCTCCTCTACTTATCTTCCATCAGCAACAGCGATTCACAACCAGTCACTGGCAAATCTGATGATCTTCGCCAATCCATTGCGCTCCCGATCTCTGCGATCGCCATCACGAAAGATCTTCCTGGTGGCCGGGGATGGAGATTGTTGCCGCTGTCATGACTCGCCCGGGCTGTCCCGCTCCTGAAAGCCGATCTTACAGCCCGCCTATTCTTGGGACTCTGGTTGGCGAGCCTCAAATTCGGGTCCGCTATGATGGGCCGCCGTTCCTGGGCGTTTGCCGGGGTTCCAGGAGCAGTCCGGGCGATCACTGAGTGAGAAAATCGCATTAAAGGTTCCCTGACCGCCGTATGGCCCTCTCGCCGCTCCGGGTTCCTGATCTTCGATGCTTGTTTTCTCCATCGATTGATTGCGTCTTGTTGGACCGTCCGATGACTTGGCCATGACAATCGATGCCGCTGTCATCGACCAATTCGGCCAGCCGCCGCCCGGCATCGACCTCTCCGAGGTGCATATGCCGGGGACGGACATCGGGGTCATAGTCTTGGTTGCCGTTGCGACATTATCCGTAATCCTCCGGCTGGGCTCGAGGCTTGTCCAAGATGCAGGGTTGCGAGCAGACGACTATCTCATCATTGTTGCTTTGATCCTGTCGATTGGGACCTGTGTCATGACGGTTGAAAGTATGTTTTCATGTCCTGCTACCCATTCAATTAGCTGCAAGTGACTAACAGATATACACGAATAGTGACTGCGGCCGGAGCTGGAAGGCATGTCTGGGCTTTGAAAACAGAACAAGTAGTAGAGACATCAATGGTCAGAACTGTCCACCCTCCAAAGGGTTCCACCCCCGCGAAGCATAACTGATAGGTCAATTGTACAGGACCTGTTTGCTTTGGGTATCATTTATACTTTAGCAGCCATGTTCATCAAGGCGTCGATCATACTACTATACGTACGGGTCTTCTCAACGACAAACAAAGCCTTTCGACTATGCATATACTTCGCGTCATTCCTGACTGTCGCCTTGGCTGTGACCTTCATAGTGGTCATTCTTGCTGCCTGCCAGCCCATGGAATTCTTCTGGACACGATACGATGGGCATTCAGAAGGCACTTGCATCGACTTGGGCAGCTTCTTCGTCGCGTTTTCCATCTTCAACGTCTCGCTTGATGTCTTCTTGCTGGTGTTACCTATTCGGCAGGTGCTGAAGTTACATATGTCGGCGCGGAAAAAGATAATTGTCTGTGCACTTATGCTGCTTGGAATTTTGTAGGTCTCATATCTTGATTTCCAACTGGCCGCACAGTTCGACTGACAACGTTTGACACAGTGCTTGTGCTGCCGGCATGATCCGTATCTACTATATGCTGATGTTTGCTTTTGCACACGACCACACGTGGGCCATGGGGCCAGTCGGGCTCTGGGTGTCGGTGGAACCCGCGATCGGCATTGTCTCGACCTGCATGGCTAATGTCATGCCACTATACTACTGGCTAATGGAGAAGGCTAACCCGGGGGAGCACGCCGAAAGGACGAACAGGCCGCGGTCGAGCGATTACAGGGGGCTTGACAGGAGTCGTCTGCAGACGGTTATCGAGGGCAAGCTGGTGCTGAGGCCTAGGGAGGACGACGAGATCCGCCTCACGACGCTTGCGACTGCAGGAAGACAGGAGTCGGATGAGGACAGCCACCACGAGAGGGGTATTAAGGTCACTTCGGATGTCACTGTCACAGTTAGCGAAGGTGCTTCACGATCACCTCAATAACCTTGGATCTGCTTACGAGTGAACCTTGACTGAGATCGGTCAACCATCTTCGAGAAAGCTTTCCGAGTCAGTCGTGCCCAGCCTGCCAGCCAGCCTAAGGGAGGGAGTGGTACTGTTAGTAGCAACGATGAATCATCACGTCTTTTCTATCTTCAATCTGTCCTCTTCAAGACCGCTTTCTATTGGCTGCAAGCTTGCACCAGAAGCTGATACAGATGAAGGCATGAACTCATGGACGTCACCCCATAATGGGCAGTTCCTCATGGCGAACAGCCAGCAGCTTGTTGCACAATCTCAAGCCTCCATATTTGCCATTGCACAACCTCGCCCTAGGCTATCTGTCCCACCTAGTCGACCAATGGACACAGCCAGCCTCGTGGGGGCGCTATCCGTTGCCGTCTCGCTTTGGTGACAGACAAGTACGTCTTGCAGTAGCCAAGTCGCTGCCCGGTGCACGACCCACTTGTGCATACCCATGGCCTGATGGAAATAGACACAGCAGCCCATAAGGTGCACTCTCATTGGACTCGTTCCGGAATTCCGGAGCTTCTCTGACGAGCCCCGGCAGTGGAATGTAAGCGGGAACGGGACGGCCCAGGCGGCATGTAACCGAATCGAGAGATGCACCCATAAAGCATGCGACGCTCGTATGAGTCTGGACCGGCCGTGACAGTTTCAACGCGTCGTGGTATCTACGGGTCGGGGTTTTGTTCGCGGGTTATTGCATCGAGCGCCTCCACATTGCACAACCCTGGAATTGAGAGGTTGAGCTGGGTCATATGTTGCATGTGAAACAAGCATATCGATTGACGTATGATCCTTGGCGCACTGATCAGGCGAACTGTCGAGAACCACATCGATCGACCCATACCTGATTCGACTTGGTGTTACAATGCATCTACGCCAGCAAAAGTCCAGATGGTCCATGAACATCGCGGAAACTTAATCGACTGTCTGATTGGGGAGGGGATGGGGCCATCAGGACTGGAAAGTGATCTAGAATCGAGACGGCTTCAAACTATATCAACGAACAGATATCCCTCTCCTTCGTCCAATTCTTGATTCAGCCACTCTCAACTCATTCACGACTCGTATTCAACATATACCCAACTCAACAACAACTTTGGCTGCGCCAATAACTGATCACCGCTATATCACGAACCACCATCCGCATAATACAACACAAAATACACCAAAATGTCTGCCTTCCGAGCTGGTCTCTCCCTCTGCAGCCGCCGCGTCACAGCATCCTCCGGCAGGGTCCTGAGTCGACCACAGAACACCGCCACTTCCGCGAAGAGGTGCTACTCAGATCTGCCCTTTTACGCATATACTTCAACAATCGGCCTAGGCGGTCTTCCACTGTACGTGCCAAACCACTCCCAGCTCTCCATACCTTCTCAGAGCAGAGACATCGTATCACCATGACATAACCATGAGCAACGGAACATCAGACTGATAATCTCTTTCCGAATAGGGCGTTTGGAGGTGCTGCTGGCGTTATGGGAACTGGACTTTACGCACTTGGGAAGGACCCACGAGAGATTAAGCACAACGATCACGAGGCGCAAATGGCACTGAACCCGAAGCGAATGTACCGGGATTCGAAGTCCACACGGTGGACCGCAGTATAGGTTGAATACAAGCTTCAAATTGTCAAATGACCCATCATGACTTCTGTGCCCTTGTGACTGGGAGCTCTCCATCAAACGTTGTAAGAAATTGACCCTTTTGTCATGTTTGCCAAACGCTCTTGGGTAGCAGTTGTGTAGGACACAAGACTTCAGAGTCCAGCTCGTGAACCAGAGTTTTCGCTCCAGACTACCACTGGGGCTGCCGCGTGCGAGCTTCTTGGGCGTAGGCAGGGGTTGGGCCAGCATGCGGAAAGGGCACGTATGCATCGGGTGGCCAGAGCGTTTGAGAGCTGCTCTGTAGCGGGGTTTAATGTGCAGAATGGCGTTTTGTATTCCAACCTATCGATTCCTTTCCGAATCTCACGAGATTTCTGCACTCTGACCAACGATTTATTAACAAGAAAAGTTCGTCTGAGAGCTGATGTTTCGATGCTTGGCATGTGAGCATGTTCTTATGTAGTAGTGCCCGACTGGATCATAGACAGACACCAACAACCAACTTTCATGGAGAGACCACCTTTCGAATAATGGGGTAAATGTTCTGACATCATTAAAACAACACCGTCGCACTTGATAAAACACAGTGAAAACGTCACTGTGGACACCCTTGTGGCTTACTTGCCTTCGCATACAAAGAGAAGGTCATTTGATAGAGAGGTACTACATAAGAGCTTATCCCAAGGGAGGTCAGTCTATAGTCCCCCCTAATCTTTTGTTTATTCACTCCCAAGATACTGTGGAGGTGAGACGGATACGCGAACTCAAGCTCGTACTCGGATACGTATGAACAAAGTAAACCTTCCACGTGCCTTCTGAGGTTCTAGTTTTGGATCACCGTCGTCAATGGCGGCAACGATATTTTGAACATCTCAAGTTGTACGTGTTCCCGTCTTGCTCAATATAGTGAGAATGTCTCGGTGCAGGTGCTGTTCCGACACCCGCGGTGAGTAGCCAGCGTTTTGAGAGCATCGTGAGCGTTCCTGACTCGAGTTTCCAGATCTTTTTTGATAGTTTCAGAGGAACCGATGGCTATCGCCTGTTCTGGGACCTTGTTCTCCAGGGATTGGACTCGCTTGACGGACGATACAACGACACTTATGGCAACGATTGCCGCCAGGTCTGGACCATCCTGGTCCTGAAACCCGGCCAAAAGGTCTAGATGCTGAGTGGCCATGTGGCCGAGTAAATGATGGAATACATCGTCGCCTGTTTCCGCGGTGCGACTTATTCCTGTCGGCTTCATGGTGAGAAGAATCACTAATTCGCATACGGCTATTAGACTGATGAAACTATGGCTGGGCGCTACTCTAGGAAGGGTCACAAGATGATTCAAAGATAGATGATCTACAGTTCTTTCATATCAGCCAGATCTCTTGACCCCTGACGTCTTGGGGTGATCAGCTCATGATGTAGGAGGCCCATCGCGCATGGTCGAGTGCAAGATGCCCGTTAGCCAGCGGAAGTTTGTTGGCGCTTGAACACGGCATGTGAGAGACAGAATCTCACAGGTCCAATTCAATGAGCTTCATCAGACTTTCATACACCTCCTTGCGTTCTTCCCTCCCCGACAGTTTCCCCGCCAATTGCCAAACTGAGCCTTGCCCCCGAGCAAACATTTTCCTAGAAGCTAGCTCGGAGCATCGCTAACATTTTAGAATTAAAAGAGTCTTGTATGATATCGGCGTTGATATGCCGAGGACCAGAAATTGAGCATTCGACGAAATACGCGGGATCTCCAAAGACTATCGGACCGTTATCAAATTTTTATTCCTAAGTCATGCTGATTTCACCCCTGACTACAACTAAATGACATATTTCTTCTAGTTCATTTGGATTTACCATATCTGCGTGAGTGTTTGATCATTATCACGGGACTCTCATTAACATCTGCAGGAGCGTGTCTCGTCCAAGCCCCTACGTATGAATATATGCTCAGGTTTGTACTATGTCTATCAAAGACACCTTCCACCGACCCAGCGTAACTGGTGAGCAGAATAGACAGGTTTCATGTTTTTGTGCACAGTCACTACGGCTTTGTTAATACCACCAAAGATAGTCCCACGGTCGATTGGTCGGTCAAGCGATTCGAATCTTTAAGGTGAATTAATAAATAACCCGTCAGCGAAACAATATTTTAATACATATGCGTGTGAAAGTTCATCACCAAGGAATAGCTCAAGAATTGTATAGAAATGACATGCAATAGGGGGCCTACTCCCATAGTTGAGAGTCATGGAAATACCTGAAATCCTTCTAACAATCATTAATTCTAGGAAACGCCCAGCCATGCAAATGGGTTACTCATTAGCCCTGTGACCCGGAAGACGATTTGATGGCATATTCCTGATCACTCTCACACCTTTTGAGCATGCGTGAAAACTCCTGGTAGACCTGCTGTATGCTGACTCGATCGATCTGCTGTTGATCGTTCTTCTTCACTACTAGAAGGTCATGCTCAACCATGGACAAAAATTCATGGATGAATTCGGAACAGTTTTGGTGTGAATGTAGTTTCTTGATGAACTGACTTGATGTCAGTAAGTTTCCAGGTGCTTCTGATCGAGAAATTCAAGCTCACCTGTTCCACCACTGGTTTAATGATCGCTCTTTTCTCGCCCGTTCTCTCTTCAATCTCCAACTCAAAAAAGGTGTGGGTCTCGATGTCATGCCACATAACATCGCGAGCCGTCCTTGCTAGCAGGAATTCGTCAAGCAACTGACTACCTCCGAGCATCCAGGTGATGAATTCAAGATAGAGGCACCCCAACGTCCATATGTCGTATGAACGTCCTATGGCTGCGCCTTGCTTGAGATCGACCTCTGGCGCACGATAGCCCAGCGACACACCCCATTTGCCTCTTGGTGTCATGGACTTCGTTTGATGGATGCTGAATTCTGCAAGGCCAAAGTCGGACAATTTGAGCGTTCCCCCGACACTGGCATCAGCCTGGTCCGGTCCGGCGAAATACAGAACATTCTCCGGCTTGATGTCACCATGATGTCCAAATACAACGTTGTGGTTTCCCGCCGGGTTTGGATCTGACTTTAAGTAGGTGGAAACATGCTCGTGGATCTTCGTTATGCCGCTCGCGATCCCCTTGCATTGTTTTGCCAACCATAGGACTGAGTTCCTATCGAACGAGGGCGAGGGGTTGATTCTTGTCCAATATCCTTGCAAATCCGCCTCGGCCCAATCGAAGACCAGGAAGAAGCGGTCACATTGTTCATACGTAGCCAGGAGAGATATAAGATGCTCATGCTTATTGCCGCTGAATTTGTTGAGCATCTCTACCTCTTTTTTGAAGGCTGTTCGGTTCTGAGAGTGCAGACCCTTGATTGCGAAACATGAAGCGTTGGATTTGTCTGGTGATTTATGGAAGTTGTGGTGCTGAGGGTGGATGGCGACCTTGAAGACGCTAGCAAAGCCGCCTTCAAGCGCTGTCTTATGGGATATGTGCGGTTCATTCCCCAGGTTGGTCTTGACGAACGGCAGAATGATCTGGTCTTGAAGCAAATGATGCGTGACCTCTCTATGCCCTTTAGACCGGGAGAACACAAGAGGTAAAGTCGTCCACTGCCATTCTTCAAAATTTCGGATACTGAGCTGGTCCCAACTCTGAAAGCCCCTCAAAACCGTGGCGGGTTCTCTACTGAGCCTGAGATCGAACAGCTTCTCGTCTCTGGGTCGAGGAACCTTGATTAATGGCAAGTCAGAGTCGCTCACACCATCCTCCAAAATTTTGAGAATGTCCTTGGTCTTCTGTATGATGATGAGAATGGCAAGAACTTTTATGAATGATCTGCTATTGACTTGGCCGTCATGGCATAAGCTTTGGTCTCGATGAGTAGTGGTATCCTGACTTAATTTCTTCGCGTATGAGGCAATGGTTTTTTCGCTGAAGGAGTTCTTGAAGTGAGTGGTAAGCTCATGTCGGACCCGGTGTTCAGTCAAAATCTTGGGCAGTTGGTCCTTGGCGAAAAAACCTTGCTTCTCATGATGTGTTGGTATTAGCTCCGAGAAGAGTTCATCCTGTAGAGACCTTGTTGAGCGATCGGGCATGTCGTGTGGTGATTGGCCGATGACGTTCTGTTCATCTTCATCGAACGGAAACGGAATAACCGAACCATCGGAGCCGCTGTGATTCCTTAGGTCGTTCGTGTCGGATTTTGTGATTGTGACACCACATTCTTCGTTAGATTGTGCATTCATAAGCCGCCCAGAATCAGTCTGATCTCCGGAATCCAAACACTTCGTGTCAACAACCGCCACCGATGGATGCCTAGCCATCTTTGCGCTCAGCTCCAAGCCCATGTTGTGTTCAATTTAAGAATTGGGTAGAAAAGGAAACAGGTGGCGACTTCGTTTGTGACTGTGTTTCTCTTTCTATATCGTGCTTTACAAAATAAAAAATGATGAGGTTCGAGATTATTTACAGTGCAAAAATGCTGAAGCAAAGAGGCAAAGAGAAAGGAAAGGAAAAGGAGTGAAGAGGGAAACGCCTGGGAGGGAAAAGAGAAGAAAATGAATCGAAAAGCTTTCTTCACTTTTGGAGGCGCAGGAGGCGCGGCTTTATCCATTGGCAGATGCAGGCATGGACAGCTAAGGTAATTTCATTCTCAGCCTATTATTTAGGGGCTGAGTGGTGCACAAGGCGAATTCTCGCCCCTACAGGTGATACAGACTAATTGCAGGCTGAGTTGCGGGCTGACTGCTGTCAGCTCACCACCAGATCTGACTGTTGCTTCGGTGACTGACTTGTGAATATGGTGAGCTGCAATCTTTTTGTCGTTTTTACACTCTACAAGGCATGCTCAGCTCATGAAAAGGCGTGCGGATGAAGTGGTTTTGCGCAACCTCACCAAGTTGACATAGCAACTATTGGCCCAGACTCATCAAGGAGCCATCCCAAAAGCAATTTCAGATTTGACCTGTCGCGTTTAGTGTGCCCTGCCGACATACGGGTGCAGTCGCGTGGCAAGGTGCAATTGGTTTCAATCTAGTACTATGCTGGTATAGCGTCTATCAATATAGGCAAGGTGGCAAGTTGGTATTATATAAGCAACTGCCCCCATCGGAGCGTTGGCTGTCTCGGGCTCAAGTTGCGTCGACCCCGGCCCAGTTCAGTTCACAGACGCCACCTCATCCTGCGGGCCTACTTACAGTGCAGCACCAGAGCGAATTCTTGCGGACAACTCAACTTCATACAGGTTCACAAGACCCTCATCGTGGTGGATTCCACCGGACTGTCTGATATGAACGCCAGAAGACTGGCATGCTAGGATGCCATACTGGATGGACATTGGCTAATCGACATTCAGACGCAGTAAGCACAGCCGGGTACAGCACCCGAGATGACTGTTTCCTACGAATGGGAGTTTCAAGACCCAGATCTCAAAAATGGGACAGAGCCGAGAATCTACATCTGAAGGTGTGCGAGAAGAAGGAAGAGCATGCTTCGCTTGAAAGATTTCCGTCTGCGGGGCATGAGAAACAAGACTTCATGCTCTCACCCACACTATCATTGAACGGGTAAATCGCTGCCAGCCTCGTTGAACTTGCGCGCGGGCCGAACAGAGGTTTCCCAACATGACACCATACTTGCATGCATACAACATCGGTGAAAAAACCTATCCCGGATGGATTAGGATGGTGTGATCTGGATGACTGCTGGTAACCACACTTGTTGGCCTTCCTGGATGGACCACCAATGGGGAAGACAAGATGTAAGGCAGGCTGGCTGTTGCAATTATTCTCCAATGATAGACAAATCAGCACACACTCGTTAAGAAAGGGGTGTGGAAGGTCCGTAAGCGGTGGTGCATCTAGACCCTTGCGCCCGTGCAGATGGCATTCATCCACACTTCTCAAAGATTGGATGACCTATCAGGACTTCATCGAGATGATAGCGAGCTGCGTGTTTTTCCGCAGCGCTGCAGTAGCGGGATTCAATTGATCCATGCGGCTCTGCTGGGGAAATAGTCTGCCCCCAGTCCCTTATTAAATCCACTTCTGGCTCGCGAGGCAGAATGGGACCCACACATCTTTCCCATAGCTCCACCGAAACTTAGCCACACAGCGTATCGAACATCAATTCTGGGAAAATGAGTTTTGTCAATGGTACCAATGGTGAAGATCTGACCAATCGCTTGTTAAGGAAATTGGTGAACAGCGCTTTCGACCCCGAAGAATTCTGCCCCGATGGTTGTGTGAAAAGCATCATCACACCGGAGACAATATCGAGGAAATTAGAAGCGGTGAGAGTCTTTCCTTCCATTGAAGATCAACAAGACGACCAAAAAAGGTTCGGTAGACTTGTGGACTTCATCTCCCAGGAGAGCAAGACAATATTTGCGATTGTGCTTTGCTGTGGTCTTAACAAGGAAGAAATTCGACAAGCTTTCGCTCAATTCAAAAACCTCGGACTTGATGATACCAGACTACCTGTCCTTGAAGATAATCACCAACGATTCTTCTTCACCGGAAACGATTTCCAATGGCCGTGGGACATCCTTCGAGTGCGAAGTTTCTGTTTGTACCAGTGGAAGTTTCTAGCGCCAGTCTTCAAACTGAATGGACAAGGCGAATTGGCGCTACACAGCAAACATGTGTTTCCATTCTTGCGGGTGAACCAGCGCGGGGATGCCGGAACGTTTGGTGAGGTGTATCAGGTCACCATCCATCCTAATCATTTGAGAAGCGCTGTCCATGTAAGCCTTCTCAGTCTTCTTTCTACTCTCATGTCTTCAGTACACATAAGCTGACATTTGAATTACTGATGGTCGGAAGGCCCCCGTTGCCATCAAGAAACTGCACCGTTCATACAGCGAAGACAAAGCAAAGCAGCGCACACTTGTAGAAGCGTGGGTGAGAGAAGTCAGTGCACACAAAGATATCTCTCAGTTCAATAGCTCGAACATCATCAAGTTCATGACAGCTTTCACGAGAGGTCATGAGCGGTATCTCATGTTCGAGTGGGCAGACGGGGGGAATTTACGGGAGTTTTGGACCACAAATGATCCCATTCTCACCCGCGTCCTGGTTAGAGATGTGATCCTTCAGCTTCATGGACTTGCCGATGCATTAGATAAGATGCACTCCATGAATTACAGGCATGGAGACATGAAGCCAGAGAACATCCTTCGAGTCAACACTCCTGGTCAAAATGGTTCTTCGAATCTCGATGTGGGCACACTCAAGATCTGCGACATGGGCTTGAGCAAAAACCACACTATGGCAACCCGGTTGCGAGATGTAGCAACAGTCACGTAAGTTTTCCTTGACTTGTTGATTTGTTCAGTGTTGGAATAGCTGTAGAAGTTTTCACAAATATGGGACATTTCTAGGTCCTTTTTCGCATTTATCACCTTGCTTACCATAATTGCGCGCCTGTCAAATGCATTAACTGACGCGAAACAACTGCAGCATGTTTACTACATGGAGATATGAGCCTCCAGAGGCCAAAGACGAGGATGCGCCATGGCCACGAAGATACGACATTTGGTCCATTGGCTGCATCATCCTGGAGTTCATCGTCTGGTTGGTTGATGGACCCAGGGGACTTGACAAGTTCAACAAGGGGATCGTCAATGATTTCGGGTCAGAATGTCACTACTTCGAGAGTGAAAATCGGAACAGAGTGGCACCGTTCAGGGTACACGCAGCAGTGCGTAACATGATGGAAAGGCTCTCTTGGCATCCCGAATGCGAAGACGGGACGACTGCCTTGGGCGACCTTCTCAGGGTTGTCAGAACGAGACTGCTGGTTGTAAATTTGGGATCAGAGCGTGTCGGAGAAGGAATGGCCGGCTATGGAATGACTAACAGACAGGTTCCGAGGCGCGCCGATGCCGCGTCACTAAAGGCGGCTCTAGACAACATTATTCGCAAGGGAAATGAGAGGTCGACATACTGGCTGAAAGGTAAGGCTTGGCATGGTGTACCGATTTTTCACACAACGCAGGCAGCCACTCCAGTGCCCGATAGCCAGAATTCCCTGGCTGTAGCTTGGAAGCACTCTTTTGGAGGTAGCGGGGGATTACTTACAACCGACAGCTCGTCCCTCGATGTGCAAATGCTGACAGGAAGCTTGCAAGTAGGTTAAGTCTTGATATGTCAACCTATCGATTGACACCGTACCGAATCGCCATCGACAGCTAATTCTTTCTGGCGTTCGCAGACTGTACGTCCCTGGACCGTGAGGCCACAATGAAGTGTTATCCAATTGTTGCGTCGCTGCTGACGAGTCGTCCATGGATCCGAGCAGGAAGTAAGTGGGCTTACTAAATCGAGGCCCCTTTCGATTTAATATGTCAACATTGACATTCCATTGGATCATAGTATGTCAGTGGTTCCCCAGGCTTGCTGTTGAACTACGAATGTTATACACTGACCCGAAGTATCTCGATAGCGTGTAAGCTCCTCGCCGCTATTTTCATGCTGGCAGCACTGGCTAATGACATTTTCTGTTTTCTAGAACGTAAATATGTCCTGGTAACCACAAGCAGGGTGATTGGAATCTGACGGACCTTAATCACAAGGTTGTGAGTAAAAATAGTTTTCAGGTTCCATAAATTTGCGATGCTAAGGCTCTCACAGGTCCAGGTTTGTTCTGCCATGAAGACTCGATTTCATTTCGGACAGTAGAGACTGATTTCAAGCAATCAGCTGAACAACATTTGGGAATTCACCGTCGACAATAACTTTGCCGCAAAAGTGGTTGAAACAGCCACTAATGCGCTAAGTTTCCCCAAAGACAAAATCTCGCCTGGTCTTTGTGCCAAGTGCCGACAGCTGGAGTTTTGGAAACCGCACTTCAGAATTGTCGACCGCTGGGACATACTTGAAGATAGTCTACACACATGTGACTTTTGCAGAATGAGATATGAAGTCTGCAAGCATTTGGATCGGAAGGAGTTTCCAGAAGTTCGATTCGACCGCGATCAATCTATTCTGACGCTGAATGATGCTTACCCGCCTGTCATGTCTATATGTAGAGGTCCGGGTGAGTCAAACCGTTTCGCAGATAAAAGTATTTGTTGACGAGCTCCTGACAGCCACCTCGCAGAGTCACAGATAAACAACGCAAGTCACATCCAGATCGGATGCCCAAAGCTCCCCGAAAGTGCGAGCCAGACACAATTCGATATCCTTCGGCAGTTTCTGAATGACTGCGATGCTGAACATCCTGAATGTCGGGCTCAGAAGCTCGGATCCTTGCCGACGAGGCTCATCCATCTGAGTGCTCAGGGTCCTTTCGCCATCGTCCTCTATGACACCCAACCAGAGGATGTCTTAGACTACGTTGCATTGTCGCACCCTTGGGGTCAGGGGCCATATTTTCGCACTACCTTGGGCAATGTGGAGGGCTATCGGAAAGGCATCGACTACGAACAGCTGCCGGCTACTTTTCGGGACGCAGTCATTACTACTCGAGAGCTCGGACTGGAATACCTTTGGATCGACTCAATTTGCATCATTCAGGGCGAAGGCGGGGATTTCGACCAGGAAGCCAAGCGTATGGAAGACGTGTTCAGCTCCGCATTCTGTGTGATTGCGGCGAGCAGTGCGTGTGGGCAAAATGATGGCTTCCTTAATCGGCGAAACTCACAGCGCGAATTCTTGACCTTCGAGCCCGTAGGACTTCCTGCACTGTATGTGGGCCGTTTCATAGACGACTTCAACAAGGATGTACTCCAAGCACCGCTGAGCCAGCGCGGGTGGGTGCTACAAGAGAGGGCACTGGCGCGGCGAACGATCTACTTCACCAACTGCCAAACATACTGGGAATGTGGGAAGGGTGTCAGGTGCGAGACATTGACAAAAATGGACAAGTAAGCCTGCAATTCATTCTCCTCTAGTCCACAAACACAAATCTTGTGACTGACTGATCTCCCTACGTCAAAGTAAATTAGCCTCCTTCCTCGGCGATCCCAACTTCCCGTCCAAGCTGTCCAATGATGCGACCACACGCGGAGTAAAGATCCGACTCTACGAGGAACTCTACCGACAATATACGCGCCTCAAATTTACGCGCATCTCAGACAGACCGATTGCTATCGCCGGGCTCGAGAAACGGCTTATACGTGATCTCAAGGCAGAAGGCGGGTTTGGGGTCTTTGACGATGGCCGTAGCCTCTTCCAGCGCAGTCTCCTGTGGCAGCGCGGCCGAGAATTTCCGTCTTTGGCGAAGATCCCCTGCATCCCATCCCTCTCAGTGCCAACCTGGTCATGGATGGCATATGACGGTGGCATCGACTTTCTGGACCTGCCGCTTGGCGGAGTTCACTGGTTCACGGACGCCATCAAGAGCCCGTGGGCACCTGGAAGCGCTGATACATGGCATACTGGTGATGGAAAAGAGTTTGTGGAGTTGAAAGCATGGGCGACAACCTTCACATTGGGAGATGCAAGTTTGGCGACCCATGATGGAGTTTTGATTGTGTATGATAGCCCAGGCATGATCACTATGGGGGTTGAAGATCTGATGTGCGTGGTTGTAGGCAGGGAAATCAAGAAAGATACGGTCAGGGAGACGACTCATTTTGCCCTGGTCATCAAAGCGTCTACGGGGCCAGTGAGTGCAAAAGGAGGAAGTAAGATCTACGAGAGGATTGGTGTGGGTTATGTGAAGGGCAAGTGTCTTAATCTGGAGTCCTCGGCACAGGCTGTCTTGATTCGTTAGCCAATTACATTATTACACTCCAACCCGGCTCACACCCTTGGTACGTATCTGGCACTTGCTTACTTCATATACAATGTGAAGCCACGTAGGCGGCATCTCGGCGGTCTGATTTCAGTGGAAGATTTTCAAGAAGGCAAGTAGAGAGAATTCTGGGTATTTCAGGGCCCTTGCAATCTTCATTCTATGAGTTAATTTTGGTCGAGCAGACCTTAAAGTAGATGAACTCACCACAATCTGTCAAAGACCTCGGTAAAACCTACCCAAATGGACGGTGGAAGAGGTGTCCTGGCCGAGTTCCGCAACATGTTTAGCGTATGACGGCGTGGAAAGCACATGAAAATTCACATCGTGCAATTCTCCCTCTTGAGTAACCACGGACTTAGCGGGGCCCGAGGAGGGTTAGATCGCTGTCGTCGAGGTGAGCTCTCTAATTCCCCACCAGCTGCTTAAAGTAGTCGTTCACACCACTCTGCCTTCGAAATGCATTAGCCTCCTTGATGATGCGATTGTGCTCGCCTCCGCTGTTACGGCGCTTTCTCTTGGGGCCCTCCATCACAGTATCTTTGCGCGGTCGAAGCGACATCTTCGGACTGTACTCCTGCAACCTGTCAGTAGCACAGCCAAACTTTCTTTTCTTACCGTGGCAGGGGTGGAGCTGCTTTAAACCTGTGCCGCGTGCTGTGGGCCCGCTCCCAGTTGGCTCACATCAAGGTCTATGCTAAAAATAAGCACAGGACTGTTGGCCACATCCCGGGTATAATACACTGTCGTTGGGCTTCTGGCCAAGCTTGACACGAGGACGGTCAACAGCCAACGCGACTCACTGAGCTCGCCAAAGGTGTGCACACGAAACACGATTTTTCTTTCGCTCTGGTATCAACGGGCTTGACTCACTGCACAGCAACACGGGATACAATAAACAGACGACTCAGCCCGAGGATTTCGCAGCTGATGCAGGCCAAGACGAAAGAACGCCGATTCCACCACAGAGCAACGAGAAAAAGACTGCACCTTCAAAAGAAGAATCGCGCGGTTTTGCTGCGAAATACGCATCCTACCTGCAATTTCAAAAAGAAAATCCCGGCTATGACCAACTGGCCGATGATATACGAAGAGGGCAGGCCTTTGAAGCTGGCCTGGCGAGGAGACGCGAGAGCAGGGAGCTTTTCTTCTTCTACGGTACTCTGATGGATCCTGATATCGTGCAAGAGGTGATGGGACTACCGGAGCCGCCGGTGTTAAAGCCTGCATTGCTCAGGAATCGGGGTCACCTGAGAATGTGGGGCCCTTATCCGGCATTTCTAGCGGACCAGGAGCCAAGAGTGGACGTTAAGGGAATGGCATGTGAGATCGAGGGGACTGAGAGGAAGGACCGGCTGGCGACGTACGAGGGTGATAACTACGATGAGACCAAATGCTTTATTAATCTCGTCACCGAGGATGGCGAAACAGATTTCATTGTTGCGAGGGTGTTCGTTTGGATTGGACACGAGGATGAACTGAGTGATGGATCATTCAACCTGGAGACATACAAACAGGTCAAGGCGAAGCTCTACCATGGACAGGTGTGAGGCTAACATCTAGAACTGGTGCGAGGTACAGAGAAAGACCTGTATAGCTTTCTGAATAGAAAGCTTTTGTTGCGCCTGTTTTAGACTAAGATTATTGGCCATCTCGTGATCGGCGAGGAGCAGATGAGCATACAGGTGCTGGTGGTCAAAGGTATCGGGCCGGACCGGGTTCGATGAGAGCATTGTAGGAGAGAATATCGTCAAAGTGTTCTTGAGCATTCTGAGATGGCCTCTGGGGGGAGGCTGTCGCGGCAAGATGTCCAGGTGGCTGATACTGGCACTATATGTTTCATACAAAATATGGAAGATGAAGTAACACATATACCCGAACAGGAACAGCATTGTGTGTAATGGTAAGTCATCGAGAATGACGAATTCGTGAGGCCCCTGATGAAAGCCTCATGGGGTAGCGAGACCAACCCGCTCTCGGTTGACTTTGACTATTGTGTTAGCTGAGAGACCATGGTCTCATCGGACTAATATTCCGCGACACATCTTGATGAAGATATCAATACTAAGGGCACCGGATCCCCAAGTGTGGCACCTAAGCACACCATGAACTTGTAGCATTGCGTTCCAACCCGCCATCGTGACACTAAGTTGACCCCATTATCGGATTCCAGGAAGGCAGCCTTCTTGGAACTGAATATAACTTACCCGCATGGAGAGATCTCGATTCTTATCCATTGTGCAGAAGGTGTCAGAAAGCCATTCAATGTCATCTTCCACTTCACCAGCTCAAATCACTCAACCAAGTGCCATCGCACTGATCACTCTCGCACACGCACAAATTAGAACGAGGATCTCTGCCGACGATGGCACAATTTCACCTATTCAGCAAGTTCCTAAAGAGCTGCGAGATGACATTTGGGATGTGGCGATCCGAGATGACGATCCAGGCGTACATTTCCTTGCCATTTACGACGCATTTATCGACGCTTTCGTAGTTGACTGTACAAAAAGAGTCCGTGGCTGAAGTGATGGTGAGGAAATTCAATCTTACAGTGTCGGCTTAGTAGCGCCTCGATCGCGAGGTATTAGCTGCCACCCATGGGTTGATTGCAACCTCTCCACCTATTTGATTGAACGAGGTCATTGGACAACCTGCATTGATCCTCGCGGCAGAATGAACCGGCATTCAGCCATACCAGACAAGTCCACTTATTTCGAGATCAAACCAACTGAGTTGGTCCGCAACTAGCTCTGCTTGCAAGAGTCCAACATCATCGGTGAACACGGAGTTCCAGCGCGACAATGGGCAGTGTCAATTCCTGACTATAGGCCCTTCGATAGATTTTCTCTGAATTCGGCTATGTGAGACGGTAAATATCTCATGGGACAGCGTACATGATTGCAATTTCATGCTGGAATTCCCTCCTTCAGGAGTCATCCCGATACTGGAAGCGTGCGTTGGGGAACGACGGCAATCAAAAACGTTGTCGTGGAATTCGATCCAGCATGGATTATATGGGATTTTCTGATCGCCCGGGTTTTGTCAGGCTCTTTAATGATGACAGAGAGAATATGGACGCCTTTGAAGCTGGAAAACCTTTGCTAAACAAATATTCCAGGTAGGTGAGACACATGACGACGGTAGACCCAGTGTGGTTCGGAAGCCGGTGACACGAACATTCGAGATTGTTGACGCTCCTCATGCCGTCGATGCCAACAGATTCTGGCCTACGTTCGCGATAGGGCTGTGGTGCGTAGCCCCCCCCCCCTCCCAGAGGGTGCCTGAATATGTGCACATGTTCAAGACGCAGAAATCTGATGCTTACCATTGCTTTCTTTTATGCCATGAGGTTTTGAAGCAGGGTAACGGTCATCGTGGTATTGTGGGAAAGAGTAGGTGAGGATCTTGTTCGCTCGGAAAAACCGTGCGGACATTTGTAGGCGAGATTCTAGCTCTGCCTATCTGAAAGTGATTAAAAACACTGGAGCGCAACAGAGATGAGATTTTCGCGCGGTTAATTCAAGGCATACAGTCCTGTTGCTTATTGGCAGGGAAGTTCACGCAGGCTGGTCAGCTCTTCATATATTCCTTCGAGCCAAACTCTGAGCCACGTCTCCTTTACCTACCTGAGCCACTTTTACCCGGTCACCGAAGCTAGGCAAACTTGGATCTATGTTCTGAAAGCCTTCACATTTTCCACGGGTTCTTAAATTTATTAACGTCCATCCATACATTACTCTGGACATCGTGGTCTGTCTTGGTTTACAGCAGCATGGCTTGTGAACACGACGACCCATTATAGGTAGCCAGCCTACTGGGCTAAGTGCTGCCGCATCTATCGTGCGTCACGGTCACGAGACAGTGCTTTCGGTCTCACCTCCACAGAGACAGAAATTGTTGTGTGAATCATTCTATGACTAAGTCCACACTTTTTTATACATGCGTCATCAATAAAGCTTCCACCCTCCCGTTCTCTGGTCCTGAAATAGTTTACCTGGATCGTACTTTGACGCCACCTTCTGAAAGGCCTCCAGGTTGCCCGTTGTCTCTAGGGGCTTTTGGAAACCAGAAGCCGCATAGTTCTCGTACACAAAGTCCCTTGCAAGGCCTTCATCTTTAGTAGCGCGCATCACGTTCTCGATGAAGGCTTGAGTGCCATCTTCAACCTGGACGCCGACTTCAGGGTCATCCCAGAAATTTGTAATCAAGAGCAGGACCAAGTCTTCTTGTGGTGTGGAAGAAGGTTCAAAGCCCAAACTGTTCTTGCGGGTTGGATTAGAGGGCGGCGCAGGAATAGACTGTAGAGTCATCGAGGATGTTATAGAAGCAATCTGTGAAATCTCCTTGACAGATGTCTGCCAGAGACTCTCAACCTTGGCCAGGATCGTCGGTGAGATTTTGAAGGTTGTGGATGCGAAGATTGTGCTGTTACGATTTGTCAATGGGGAGAAGTCCACGTGATTTGATGTGGTACCTACTACAGATTCGGGGTACTCTGTGCTTGTACTTCATTTGCGAAGTCTGTGACGTTGGAAATCCGAATGGTATTTGATAGTTGGGAACCAATGCTAGTAAAGTTTTTCAGATTTTCGGGATCTGAAGTCGGCTGAGCATAAAAGATGGCCGTAGAAACAATCCACTCGTCTACCGAGCTAGAGTAGACATGGCTCTGCTCTACAGAGGAGAGCTGATTGAAATTATCAGGACTTTTCCAGGTTGTGAAGGCCTCCAGCTGCTCCAAGATAGTCGAATAGTTATAAATGATGTTACCGCCCCAGAGTTTTCCCTGGGGTATGGTCTCAATATCCCAACGGGTTACTATTCCAAAGTTGCTTTGGCCTCCTTTCAATGCCACGAATAGATCTTGATGTGAGGACCAGTTGGCATTGATGACCTCCCCACTGGCGAGCACAACTTCTATGTTCTTGACGGCATCACACCCAAAGCCATGTTGAAGGGCGAAGAAACCGATACCGCCTGGTAAAACGTCATGGCATTAGCTAATAATTCATGCACAGCACTGTGAGATCAGGGATGTACAACCTCCTGAAAGAAACCCGCCAACTCCCACACCAGAAGCTCTACCACCGTTGAGGGAACGACCATGTGCATCCAGTACCAGGTACACATCTCCCCAGGCAGCCCCGGTACCCACTGAAGCAGTGACTAAATCACCATCCTCGACAATACTGACGCTATTGAGCGAAGTCAAATCCAGTGTCACTCCCCCATCGATGTTGGAAAATCCTGAATTGGTCGCATGGCCTCCGCTCTTGATGGCAAAAGCACTGGAGGAGCTCTGAAGAATTTTAACTACAGAAGAGACTTCTGCGGTACTCGAAGGCTTGACGATACAAGACGGACGTTGAATTTGTTGCTGTACATAGGCATAGGAGGCTTCAGAAGAGTTGTATGTGGTGTCTCCGGGAAAGAATACCGCGTTGGCAAGGATCGCAGCAAGGGCGTAACATGTTGTGTCACTTGAATTACCAGCGCTGACAAGGACGAATTGAAACACTGAAAGACACAAAGTGTGTAGGCTGCATAACGTTGCGCGCCTCATTTTCGTTGTCACAACGATTCTGTGGCTCAAGGGGTGGTCAAGTCGGCGCTTCGCCATGCGCAACGGGCGAGGCACGTCTTTTTCAAGATATCGGATACGACCCTGCCAACTGTTAGCTTCATCACAACGTTGGCTGCCCGGTGAGCAGGGTGGAGACTATTGATGTCGCAGGCGCAAAATTCAGCACAACATTTTGATACCAGGATGAAGGTGCTCATGCGCCGCAGGTTGGCAGGTCACTACTCTGCATACTCGGGTTCTGTGCCTTCAACAAGACCCATGCATGCTTGAAGAACAGTGGGGCTTTGGTGTTGGTTCTTCTAACATGAATGCTACCCTCAGTGGGCTGTTGTCTAGCTCGTCTGTCCCCGCAGCGATGCTACCTCTGGGTGACTTGTTGGTTTCCAACATGCACACAGTATTGATACACTGCTGGTGGAACCAATCCCGGTAATGTGTTAATGCTGGCCGGGATTAAGACAAATCAAACTAGGGTACAAGGCAAAGGGAGGCACGTGCACTTTACGTGTGTTGGTTGGGCGGATCTTTCAAGAAAATGCATTCTTGTGAGGCGCTGCGCCATGTAGGGGATAGAACCCCCTCATCTGAAAGCAAGAGGCTAAGATATTGCATGTTGAAGCTGCTTCATGAGCCATAAATCTTGTCAGCCAATTACTTTAACAAATATACTCTTCAGCACCTTGAACGATCTCCATCCTGAGCTGTCTGACATCTAATGCTCCATCACGCCATGACTTCCAAAGACTCCGTGCTGATAACTGGCTGTAGTGATGGGGGCCTTGGCGCTGCTCTAGCAGCCGTTTTTCATGAGCGAGGCTATCGAGTCTTCGCAACCTCTCGAAGCTTGAAAACGATGTCAAAGGTTGAGAGCTTGTCTGATGTTCACATTCTTCAGCTTGATGTCACGAGCGCGACGGACATTCAAGCCGCCAAGGCTGTCGTGAGCGACAAAACCGGAGGCTCTCTGTCGTACCTCATCAACTGCGCAGCTCGCAATCACTTCATGCCGCTGATAGATGAAAGTATTGCGGAGGCCAAAAAGGTCCACGACACTAATATCTGGGGGCCGCTCGCTGTGACGCAGACTTTTGCGCCTCTGTTGATCAAGGCTAAAGGCACTATTGTCTTCATCACCTCCGTCGCCGGCCACTTGAACACACCTTACCAAGGTAGGTACGATATTGTGGCCTAGAAGTTCGGTTTTGGTTGCTGACTTGGTTTAGGGACATATGCTGCTTCCAAAATGTCTGAGGAGATCATAGCAGAGACCATGCGACTAGAGCTTGCACCGTTTGGAGTGAAAGTTCTTTCTATCGTATCCGGAGCTCTGAGAACTATGGGTCAGAGTCATTTCGATGATTGGAAGTTGCCAGCAGACTCTCTATACGCATCTGTTGAAGAGACCATCCGCACCAGGGCTCGCGGGAAAGAAGGGGCACCCAGAATGGAACCTGAGGACTATGCTAAGCGAGTAGTTTCAGAAATCACGGCTAGACGAACGGGCAAGTTCTGGTACGGCGCAAGCGCTGGAATTGTCAAATTCGGTGTCTCATACCTTCCTACATGGCTAATGGTACAGGATTACCTACTTCCTTGAACTTCGGACCACCCCCTCATGATTCTGCTGGTATAGCTGCTGACATAATTTTAGGACACTGGCGTGCAGATGAAGACGGGGCTCGATGTTGTGGCGAAACAGTACTCCAGCAAATGACTTAGGGGGTGTGAACTGAATGGGAAAGTACCTCAAGGTCGAGAATATCAATCACCCAGTTGATTCAAGTTGTCCGATAATTTCAACTTTGGGCTACGGTTACCTGTGTGTTAGAGTCGAAATATTGAAAGGATGCGATACGTTCCATGTGTCTACCTAACTGCCGTCTGAATTCGATGCGCAATGCTTGACATTCATGTACCCGAAATAGAAAAGGGAACAAAAAAAAATGCCTAGCGTTACTATCACGACAAACGAATGGCCGTCAGCGCCTCTTGTTGGTCCAGATTGTAATCGCCACCAACATGTGTTGATACTGCTATCCAAATTCATTTCTTTATTAGCCTCCCTCTCCGAAGCCCCACCCATCGGCTCGATAATCAGGCATCCGAAATCCCGAAGGTGACAGTCACCAACGTCAGGGAAATGGAGCTATTCGGTCCGAGTCCAATTCCACAGTGCGTGAGCAGTAGAACTATTTAGAGACTCACGCAGATTCATGTTGCATTGCATTTGTGGTCGACGTCCAAACAGTCTTGGTCCCAAGGCATCCACTTCAATGGTCCAGGTCTGCCTGGGCACATGTGCAGGGAGTGGGTCTCATCATCGTGTCGTTGAGCCTTCACCAAGCCAAGTTTGACTTGTGTTGGTTGTTGGTGTGGTTGTTGGCTGCAGCTGAGCCCAGCGCCTGCACTTCTCCCAATGCAAGGTCACAATTGAAAAATTGCTAGCGAGACGCGAGGTTGCAATCAAAATGGAATCAAATTCGCCGACCCGCGGCTAAATTTCTTGACTTGAAGCATCAAAGAGCTTCTGACAAATTTTTCGGGGTCTTAGGTCTGAAGGATATTCGTCCAATGGCGCGGTCCATCCCACTATAACCGACTTTTATGGAGGGGTTCCATGAGTGGTACGTCTCTGGCGGTTGTAGTACATCCATCACCAATGTTGACCAGATCGCAATTGTGATACCACTGGCACTGTTGACCTGAAGGATCCCTGTCCCCTTGCGCCAAAGACTCTGAGCCGTGAGGGTCACGGCTTGATTCCACTCAATAGACCGATTTGTTGGCTCTCCCCGTCCAGAGGCATTGTGCAAAATGCTGGTCCAAACATAGAGCTTACGTTTGGTTATAATCTGAGCGCACTCAGGTCGTAGATGTTTGGTTTGCATATAAGGTTTGAAGGCGAGAAATGTGATCATTCCCAAGCCTCGCTTGATCTAATTGCTTTCGCTAGAACTCTGTGAATCTGTTGGGCTAGTGAGCGTCTGCATCTATTGACTTTGGGCACCTTTATGTAGCAGGATATGAAAGACTACCGATGTTGCTGCTTGAAAAACTAACGATTTGGGAGCTGTGGGAGAGCTGGATACATGCAATTTGTTTATCATTCACGATCTCCAGTTGACGTGAATACTTTTTGGCCTCAAGTCTGCTGGTATGGTACGGTTCGCTCCGTCAAAGTTATCGCACATTGATGTATTAAAAGAAAATCAACGGCCATACCAACTCGAGGGAGCACGTAGAAACAATTCACGACATGATGCTGTTACTGAATCACACGAAAAGATTCAAAGTACGAAGCTGGATGAAATGACCATTCTATTGTTGAAATATTTGCAAGCATCATGTCCCGCGATCTCCTCGGTTGCTGTTTTTTGCATATTAATATATTCGGACCACGAGGCTTGAAATCTCACTGCACTGATGCGATCCGAGCGAATGAGGCCTATGCGACGTCGCTTCTATTGATAACATCCTCCATAGTTATGTCCGGGGCTTTAAAGTCGCCCTGACATTGTACGCCGGCAGTGTCAAAGTTCGCCAGTTGATTGTATGCCTGCAGTCGTTATCGGCCATCTCCGGCTCATAATGTTCTAATACATGGAACATTATGTGCTTCATTGCATATGAGACAAAGAAGCGTCCAGGGCTGCCCAAAGAGTCAACGATATTCGAGTGAGTATCGAAGGCGATACACTTACCAGGTTAGCTTCCCGGTACCCCAGACGTGCCACGTGTCGGAAACATCTGTGAACTTAGATGGTCCCTCTGGCTGTGTTGAGGTCTTTGCACCAAAGATCGTTGGATCTGCGAAGCGAAAGCCGTTGAATGCTCGGGGTTCTGGATAATAGAGGTCATCTTGAAGAATGCCCCCTACGGGTATACCGACCCATTCTCCTTTAGCGACACGAGTTCCGTCAGAGAATGTGAAATCCTTGAGTGCACATCGACGGGCAGTCACTTCAGACGTTAGACAAAATGGTTCTTCCATAGAGAATATCGAGGATTTACCTGATTCAACAGGCGTCCATCGTGAGCATTCCTTTAAGAAGCTGTCCATCAAGGGCAGACCCTCGCCTTCAATGAGGAACCTAGAGCCATCGGGCCCTTCAACCTCTTCACGAAGGGGTTCGATATATTCTGGGTGACTGCAGAGGCTAAAGATTGCAAATGCAAGAGTCTGAAAATTTCACTTCCATTAGTGATAACATTGTATACGTCCTAGGGGAGCCTCACCGTCGCAAGACCTTGTACGGAGCCAAACCAGATTGCCATTATCTCGAACGCCATTCTGTCCGGAGTCCACGGTTTTGACTTGGGTGAAGTGTTAATGATCCACTGGATGACATCGTTCTGTTGGTTTATCTGTGAATCAGAAAATGCTTTCTTTCACTCAATCGTAGAGCCAAGACTTACGTGCTTCTTCGCGGAACCTGTGTCCTTCATTCTCTCCTCAATAATGGCGACCAGTCCGTAAAAGAATATTCTCTGTCGCTTTAAGAAGAATGGGAGGAAGAGTCCAACCACACTAGTTCCTTATTAGGTAGAGAAGCGCGAAGAAAGGATCGAGTCTTACGGAACAAAGATCTTGGGCGTGATACGGATCAATTCGGAGCCATACAACACATCCTCGTTGTAATAGTATGCTGCATTGACAAACTCGTCATCCCCAACTACCACCGTCAGATTTTTCACAAGCCTGGGGAACCTTTGCCTGCTCACCATAATCCAGACCGAAGAAAGCGTAAGCGCTGATGTTGGTGACTACTTTCTTGCAGAGTGTCAAGACTGGGAGATAGTCAGTTCTGTATTCAATACGGAAGATAGCATTTGGCTATACCTACCGTTAATGCTGTCCCCTCCTGGTCCAATTGCCTCAGAGAAGGTCTTGTCGATAATGAGCCGAGTCCCCGGGGTCATTTGTGGCAGATGGCACGTCAACAGAGTGCGAAGTGTCCGGACGAAGCCGATTCCCTCAACACCCCTCTGATCATGCCAGTTGAAACCATTCATGGTAAATTTGGGCTTTAGGATTTCCTTTGCAGCTGCATGCAGTGATAGTTGCTCATTTGTGGCATTTTTTATATCATTGATCAGTTCAGGAGAGGACACCAAAGTCATCCAACTTTCGGGGGAATTGATGCGGATCGCCTTTCCGTTCATCTATCATTCATCACTGGTCAATACTTTGCTGCTTTTTATCAGATGTTTGATATTGCATACCTGGCTGTAGGCCTCCATGATCCTACTGTGGCCTGTAATGGGATATGTGAATAGTTCCCATTGAGTCTTCCAATAGCTCTTCGTGTCTGTGAAAAAAGATGCCCATTTTGTCTCGAGCGAAAATTTCTTATTACACATTAGAGAACATGACATCCAGCAGTATCATGAGTATTGAGACGCTTACCGATATCGCCACTGAGAGCAAGATGATACACAGCATGAACGTAGCAGGCCGCAAGGTGAGGGCAAACCGATCTGCTGATTCGGCAGACAGATGAAAGAGATTTTCCATCTTGGAGATGGACTAGGCTTACTTGTGGAACGAAGTGATATGAATCCGACTCTACAGCCAAAAAAGAACAATGGCATTTACGTTTTTGACCTCGAGATTGCCAACACAGGGCAGCCCGCTCTTTCTTATCACCTCCTAGGGCTCTGGTGGGTGTATCTCAATCCCCCAGTGGGTACTCCTGACTTCAATCCCATGACAAGTGACAGCCCCTTGTCAGAGCTGGTCGTTTTTGGACCCAAGCCTAAGTAGCCAAGCCCCACTGCCCCCGGCTGCATAGTATACTTCGTACCTTCAATTTCCCCTCCTTACACTACCTCAGATCCTCCTCTTGCTTCCTGGGATCTCCTTCTTACTTCAACCCTGTCTTTCCCCGAGTATCAGAGGCCTCGGCGATGTTTTTGCGGAGACATATGTCTCGGAGGACAGATCCTACAATGTATAGCTTCACAGGGCCACTCCCCTTGGAAGTAACGAACCAGCCTTGTTGCAAAGAATGAAGTGTACTCATTTGCGGGCCCTTGTTTTGTGAAGCGGCACAGTCAATACTTCGTCTTGATTCTGTTGGTTCTAAACTAGCGCTGTTGATTCTATTTGCCTGACGGTCCAACATTGCACCTCAGTCCTGCATGTGTTGGTTCCAACTTGGCCTGGCTGCTTATCGATCCATCAGAAACAAATGATGCCTGGCTTCGTGATCCACCATTTCTGTCCTTGCAGATGGCCAATGAATTCTCATCCCCTCCAAGGATGAGTTGATTCTCAGCGGCAAGATGCAGTTGGTGAGGAAGAAATGATACCTTACCATCCCACCTTCCCTTCCAACCTATGTAGATCTCTGTCCAGGGGTAAATATAGCCAGGTCAGTGTACACTACGCGCCAACCGCAGACTAAGTTGTCGCCCAAAATCCACTTCTTCAAAGGGGAGGGGAGGATGAGATAAAACGTTTGCACGCACTGTGTGTTCTGTTGGTTGGGACGGTGGGACCTCTACTTTGATACTACGTCAGCTTTGGACCAACACCGGCCGGGAGCTGTGCCGTGCGCCTGGAAAACATTACTGGTGGCTACTCTGCTTGTTGGCTGTTTGGTGACCCGGGTTTGAGAAATTGAGGACTTCCACTTTTTGAGATTGGAAAAGTTGTTGGTGGGCAGTGCATTTCTGATGCAACCCCCGCCCCCCCCCCCGGCCCTCCATTCAACCAACAGACAGCCCGACACCAGCTCAGGCTGCATGGTGAAGGGCTCCAGACTTCCTTATGTCACACAATGCGGCCGTGAACAAAGGTTATATCAGCTTCATACCAGTCTCGGACACGAATGGCTTCAGGCTCAATAAAGTGACTGGGAAAGTTTTCCTCTGTAGCACTTCCTCTTCATCCGTCATATTTGTCCCACCAAAACCATCATTCTAGTTTCTACTCTCCACCATGTCTGTCAACTACTGTGAGATAGCTCTAGCCAAGAATCCAAGTGGTGCTGAGCCCAACTTTGTCGATCCACCTTCCCTCCTTGCCACTGTACAAGCAGTCGGAATCACCTTTGGCATTGTGGCTCTACTTCTCATCCTTTCGAGGCTGTATATTCGAGTCCAGAGCAAAAATGCACTAGGAGTAGATGATGGTAAGTTCTCATGATCACTTCTAGGGTTCTGCCTGCACCAGGTGAGCTTGTGTATTGACGAAGGTCTAGCTTTCATCGTTGTCTCCTTCGCCCTTGCCGTCGCCTATACATCGATTGCTGCCACATGTAAGTATCACATTGCTTTGCAAATTTGCAAATCACTGAGCTCATTATCTTCACAGTTGGACCTGTTACCAGACATGCGTGGGATCTGCCAGTCTGCTACCTTGACGCGGCATACATCAAGGTAAGACCACACTCCGTGCCAAAACCACCAATATACTCAGACCAGAAGTCTAACATTCTGGCAAAGAAAAGCTTTGTGGCATCACTTTTCTATGGACCTATGTTGTTCTTTGCCAAGGCATCCATCCTCCTACTCTACTACCGCGCCTTTAGTGCTGAACGTTGGATGAAATGGTGCATCTACCTATTTATGGTGATTATGTTCGCAGCCTATTGGATGACAGGTAAGCTGGGGGGCAACAAGAAAACCGTCTTTCCCCGAACTCGGATTCTAATCATAGCTTTAAAGTTCCCTTGACTTTCAATTATTGCATGGCACACAGCGGTCGAGGATGGGACTTGAACCTCCTGTCCTACTGTAATCATTTGGCAACCCCAGGTCTAGTCCAAGCAGGCATGAACATTGCAGTCGATGTTGCCATCATCATCCTCCCCTTGCCAATTATTTACAAATTGCACATGCCTTTCGAGAAGAAGATCGGCCTCGCCATCGTCTTCGCAACTGGTCTATTGTAAGTACCGTGTCTTTTTAGAGGGCAATGTCAATATTTAAGGTACACTGTTCCTGAAACATACTGACTTCTTCCAAGTGCCTTGGTTGCCAGCTTATTGACGGTCAATTATCGAATCCTCATTGTTTACTCAACAGATAGTTCCTGGGCTGGAGCGCAGACGTATATTTGCATGTAAGTTCATGTCTTCTGTCTTGAGCGACTTGGTGCTAATATTTTCTTAGTCAAGCGGAAGTATATGTGACGCTTGCTGTTGCTTGTATGCCGTCCCTCGCTAAATTCTGGAACATCAAATTGGTTAAGTCGGCATTCTACCGAAGCTTCCAATCCCTCTTGTCCCGCGTAAGAGGGTCTGACACGACGGCCAAATCCTCTTTCAAAAATGTTGATGAGATGCCGTTTGGAAATGATTCCACTGCCGTTCTTCAAAGGGGGGTAGGTTATGTTGAGATACGTCCCTCTCGCAGTAGCGATGGTCGGCAAGTTCCAAACGGGATTTACAAGATGACCACATTCAAGACGGAGAGAACGGCAGAAATCTAATTCACCGTCAGGATACCAAAGGTGTTGCACAATTTCTTGAACGGTCACTGAAAGTAATCATGTCAAAAATCTTGAAGTGCATGAGTAATTGAATATATTACATATGATTATCTCATGGTTGGGCAAAGGAGGTTTGTGCCACCATCTTCCCTCAGACCGCGCATGTGTGAAACATTCATTCTGAGAGAGGAGGAAAGGTTTATTTAGAGACTTTAAGGACAACATGTTATGCATAAGTCAATGCTTGCCTGAAAAATTATTCATCGTGCGATTTGAGATTACACTTTTATTTTGACATCAGCACTCGGACATTTGTACGTTGTAGTCGAAGATAATGTCTTGCTCAATATTGGCAAAAGACTTCCCAGAATGTACCCGCTATCAGGACATCGAATCACGAAGGCTGCGTCAGTCGTTTGCCTAAGTTCTTGTAGATCTCAATTTGTGAGCAGGCGTAAAAGCAAGAGGACTTTACGGCATGTCTTCAAGATGAAGGTATGTCGAGCCAATTGTGCTGAAGATCAGAGAGCGGGGCCGGAAGATGAATGATATTGTTTGTCTAGACTAGAATTCTCGCTGCAAGATTCACCTTTCTGCAACGCCACTTTCGAGCGTACCAAGATATGGCGCCAATATTGCATTTGAGGAATGAACGCCCTTTCAGGCCGTCAGTTTGAATCCACCTGGGACCCCCTTCTGGAACAATCCTTCGGGATCGTACTTTTCGCTTGTGGCCTTGAGTTTGGACACACTCTCATCTCCGTAGCCTGCTATGACATCATCTTTTGAGTACCCGTAGTTGGTGAAAATATAGCGATGCAGCAGACCCTTATCGCGAGCCAGCCTCCTCAGCTCTTTAACAAGGCTTTCAACTTCTGCGAAGATACGTGTATCATCGTCGGCCAGCTTCCATGCAGGATTGATCAGGACAACAAAGAGGGGTCCATCAGACGGAGGAATATCCATCGCGTTACCGCCTGCCTTTTGCGACTCTTCTAGAAGAGCTTTGGTAATGGGGTGGAATCCGAACGAGAAGATAAATCCCTCCGAATCCTTCACTCTGGACAGGGTCTCCTGCCATCTTTGGTAGAATGCTTCCATCAGAGGTATATCGGGTTTGATCGTAATTGAAGCCCAATACTGTCTGAACATATGTTAGCCAAATTACCAGCCAAGAAGGATGAGATGCTCACCGTAGGCCATCACTAGAGAACTTGGACAACTCATCGCAGAAACCGAGGTGCGTTGATGTCCGCATCGTACTCATTTGCTTGATCTGCGGCTCCATTGTTGTAAAGCGCTCTAGGGAAGGTGGATTTTCTTTGCCCTGTACGTGATACATCACACAGGTTACGACCTGGTGGCCGAACCCGTAGCCAGCACTGGCCATGACATGAGCATCTTGGTCTTTCTCGTTCAAGGCAAAGTCGCAAGCACCGCGGACAAGCTGGGAGAAGGTCTCGGGCATGTAATATGTGACGCCACCCCAAATACTTTCAGACTTGAATGTGCGCAACTTCAGAGAGGTAACGATACCGAAGTTGTTTAGACCACCCCGAAGGGCAATCCAGAGGTCTGAGTTCGCTTCCGCATTTGCCCGGACCACTTCCCCGGATGCGAGAACAATTTCAAACTCAAGTACCGAGTCACAGGCGAAACCAGTCTTACCAGAAAACATGGAGAGGCCACCTGGAGTCTGATCAGCTTCAATATCCCCCTACAGGGCCGTCGCTATAACGTACCGCCTAGAACTAGTCCAGCAACACCGACACGCCCGACACGCCCGCCCGCGGTAGTCAACCCGTGGTTTTCCAGCTCCTTATACACAGTCTCCCAGGTCTCTCCGGAGCCAACTTCGACGGTGTCGTCCCCAAGATTAATTCCTTTGAGACCTCTCGTATCGATGGTAACGCCATTCTGAATGTTAGCGCTGCCAGCAAACGGCGTGTGGCCGGTGCCGCGAACAGCCACCTGACATGATCCGTCGAGAAGATAGGGACGGAGGGCCCGGATCAGGTCCTGAACTTGCTTCACAGTAGCTGGCTTGGCGATGAATGAGGGCTTGATCTCATTTTCGAAGGCGCTAAAGTAGGAGCCGTTGTCTTTTTCAAACTCGCTGCTACCGGGGCGCAAGACTGCTGACCCGGCGAGTGCACCGGTCAAGGCAGTCATGATTTGTGCATCTGACATGTTGTCAATGGTGTTGATAGCAATGAAGAAGATTTGTTGGTGTACAGAAAATTCAATGTTGAGGAGGGTATGAGATTAGCACACGCATGCGGAAAGTTGGTGGGCGTGGTCGAATGAACAATGTTTCAAAAGTGAGTTAAGTAATATATAAGCTGAGGAAATCAGTTGAGGAAATGACACCTGCTCAAGAATGACCGACTTTGGGAGATGTCCAACGGGTTCGACGCGGTGGGGGGGGGGGGAGATCGTGCCTGGTTTCGCGCTCAGCAGTTGCGGCTCAGCAGTGGCGGCTGAGGAGGGGTCGTGGGGTTGCAATGGAACTGTTGCATAACCAACATGTGGGACACGACCTATGATTAGGGTGGGACCACATGAATGTGACGGTATCATTGAGTTGCATGACTGTATGTTGGCGCTAGGCGGCGCCAAGCGAGCAATGTAGCTCGCAGGCTACATAGCGTACGAATTGATGCATGTTGGTTCAACCCCGGTTAATCGTCTACCAACTTGGAAAGTCCATTATTGCCGCTGTCTGGTGGAACTTGTATCGTGCCGTAGAAGTACATGATCATATTCGAAATTATACTTTATTGACAAAACTGATTCGTATAAAGGCACGGTCATTGCTTGCCAGGTACCCAGGTCTCCACTAAGGCGGATATTGTACAGCAAGTATTTACGAGGTTGACCACCTTGCTGGGTACTCTGGCAAATCCCGCATCTTCGTACCGGACTTCTTCGGTGTGTCTCTGGTACTCTTTTTCTCGGAATCGTACATTTCAGCTCAGTAGCTCAATGTTCATCTAAGTAATTCACTTTGTATACTGAGTGACTCGGTGTGCGGAAAGGAGCATTCAGCCGGGATGGTCACCATGACGCCTCACTTACTTTGCAATGGATTCATTACCCTGCGTCTATAATATTACGAATCACTGACTTCACGTTCTTGTTATAATCTCGAGCCAGCACACTGAGAGCAACGTTATACAAGATCGCGAACATATCCAGCTCAAGCACCCTACTTTTCATTTCAACGTCCTCGTAAACGAGCATTGCTCCTTGTCTTTCAAATTAGTCGCAAGTTGCTTCTCACTGCGCCTACGAGTATGGAACTTTCGTATATCCACCTTGCAACCAGCGTTGCAGCCCAAGACGCTCGCCTTGTAACTTTGGGTTCCGTCATATCCCTCCTCTTTTTTTGGAGACTTCTCAGATTCTCACTACTTCCATGGGTATACCATTCTGATCCTCAAGAATACCCTTACTGGGTTCCGTTCATTGGTGTGTCGCACCAGGTCCGCCTGAAGGGGCGCCGTGCCTGAGCTTTCAGGAGCTAATTGCAGACAGGACATTTGAACTCCTTCTTCAAGAACTCAAGCAAGCTTTTATCGGAAGCAAGGTATGATTGACTGCTCGCATTCAGTTCACATTCTTATTTCTAAGAGGTTCTATATAGGTTGCACTTTCAAGACTCCAGGGAGCCTTTCGCGTTGACCGTTGCGGGACAAAAGTGGTACGTCCTCACGAAGCCCGAAGATGTCACCTCAACATATCGGATCGACAGTGGATCACTTTCCTACGACATCTTTGCAGTAGAGGTGATGGGTATGGTGGGAATCACGGCAGAGGGAATTCGCAAGGCGTTCCAAACGCAGCACGTGAGTCCAGATGGCACCACCATTGTGCGGTACAAGCATCTGGTGAGGCTTTGCAAGGAGTACCAGCTGGAGCAGCTTACGCCAGGGCCAGGACTCAACCGATTAGTAGGGCCAGCAATGAATCTCCTGAAACGCCGCCTCAACCACGATTCGGTCGTGGATCGAGGTGCAGCGTGGTATGCAGATGATATGCCCACTGTCAAAGGTGGCGTCCATGTTTCCCTGTATCAGTGGATTTCCGACGTCTTCATCGAAATGGGTACGACCGCATACTTCGGAAACCTGCTTCTGCAGATCGATCCAAGCCTGACAAGGACTTTCATGATATTTGAAAGCATCTCATGGCAAGCCATGTATCAGTACCCACGGTTCCTGTGTGGCGACATGATGCGGGCCAAAGAGAAGTTACAGAATGCTATGGCAGAGTATTTTGCATCACCTAAACATACAAGAGCCGATGCATCCTGGTTCATACTCAAAATCGAAGAAGAGATGGACCGTCTTAACATTTCGTCAGCCGACAGCGCGATTTTCTTTTTCCAATTGTACTGGAGGTGAGCAGGATCGTCAAAGCATCCCCTGCACCCCACAACACATAAGCCTCTGCTGACATAGTCTAGCATCAACGGCAATACTCGAAAAGCTCCGTTCTGGATCCTATCGTATCTACTGTTCGACACGGACCTACTTGCAGCCGTCAGAGCCGAGACCGCAGGGGCGATGGATGGGACGAATCCTGACGTGACCTGCCTTGTCAACGTGGACGCTTGCCCACGATTGAATAGCATCTGGGAAGAGACTATCCGCCTGACTGCATTTGCTGCATCGGTTCGTTTTCTGACCTGCGACCTAGAGATCGGAGGCAAGACTCTACGCAAGGGCAATCGTCTCATGATACCGCAAAGACAGTTGCATTTCAGCACGCGGGCGTTCGGCCAAGATGCCTCGATGTTCAATCCTGACCGTTTTCTTGAGAATCCTGCTCTTCGACGACATCCGAGTCTGCGTCCTTTCGGTGGAGGTGCTACCATGTGCCCAGGTCGCAACCTAGCGAAGCAGACGACCTTGGCCTTCGTTGCCTTGGCAGTGCACACGTTTGATATGGTCCTCGATCCACCGAACCAGAAATTTCCACGTCCATCGGAGGGCAAGCCATCAATTGGATTAATAGATATCATGGAAGATTCTGATTTGAGGGTCCGACTGGTACCCCGACCAAAGCTCCCATCGTAGAATCTTGCAATGCCCGGATTATGTGTTCAGGGTTCTGTTTGCTAGTAATACTGGGTGGGCGGATTACGAGTGATTGAATATACCAAATTAAACTCTGCTTACTGGGAGATGTTCACAAGTTCAGACACAAATACTGCCCAAGTGCCCCAAAAGTGATCTTATCACTGACAACCAAGTTTAACATATGAACTTGAGCTGTCCCACCTGAATGGGAAGAAAAAAGGACAAGGCAGGACGTCACATCTAGAAAGGTTGATCTGCTGATTGCTTACAGTCTGGCAGATAGAGATGTGAAACCTCAACAAGATAGATGAGCTTAGAAAACATTGTATCAATGAGGATGGCCACACTCGGATAGAAAATTCCACAGATCACATCAGCTTCCCTCATGCCCTAGGAATATTTCACTGAAACTCTTCTCACTCAATTATTAGAATTGGCCTATTTTTATTGAACATGTAGTCTCGGGTGAAGCGAGGCTCGTAATTCACTGCAACCAGGCAAGTGATCAGTTGCAGTGGGTTTGCGCCTCACCCCCCCCCCCGGTACACAGGCTCCCACCCGCCCTATGCCATCCGGGCCGGGCAGCATCTGACCTCAATGATTCCGGGCATCGCATCACAATGATACAGCTGGCAGCAAAGTGAAAACCAAGTAGTTCTTGTTGGATGCAGAGGTATTGAGGCTGATTGCGAGCAGCCCAAACCAGGCGGACGTGGACGGAGCTCCTGCAAAAAGATATGGTGATAGAACCTTTGCCGCCACCAGCGTAGACAAACTTTCGTCGTAGGGCCCCCAAAGATACGATGGTACTGGTACTACCTCCTGGGGAAGGCTCTACTGTCTCTTTAGTTATGCCTTCTTTGCTGCCCTGACGGTGCTATCCACCACAGCTCGAATATCAAGGAAACGGAGCCGGTCCTACACCGGTAGTGACAACAGTAGTTATTTTCCAGCTTATGAGCCGGAATTGACACAAGTCAAGAAGCCTTCATTGGAGCGAATTGTACTCACAATCATTGGCGCGATGGTAAACAAACTAGAAGAAGTCACCACGCAACTCAGAAGATAATATGCTCTTTTCATTGATCACTATGTTATGAACGCCCATGAACTGGTTCCTAATTGCGTGGAAATACTCAGGTGATTCAGAGATAGTCCCTTACTTGAGGTCAATGGGTAGCCAAAAGAGAAAGGAAGAAGAAGAAAAGACAATGGGAATGTAATGTCTGCCCCCAAATTCGATTTCCAGCTGCACTGGTGTCACCCACAAATTCCGGCTTGCTCAATTCATGATACTATGATCCTCAATGTGTCGCTGTTTGTTTCACCTATCAGGGTGCTGAAATCATGTCCAATGGGAATCGAACTTAAAGGTCTGGCTAGCTGACACATTTTTGATTGGCCTAATTCCATGTCATGTGACTCCCCTTAGGTCGATATAGCCTCCCCTGGATATTTACGACTTAAACAAAGTTTTCTTCTTTGCTCTTAGATTCGTTATCTCTAGACGCATTCAACCACTTCCACTGCACTCTACTCTACACCGATCTGATATTTTGTGAGAAGTCTCAATTCAGCTATAATTATGGACGGCATGCTGTATACTGCCATCAATGTTTACTTTCTCGCTTCGATCCTATTTTTGACTCTTTTTATTCATCTGGGGTTGTGAAAAAGAATTCAAACATCTACTGTTTACTTAGTAGCAACGCTGTATGAAGTCCACTTTGCTCTCGGCCATTTCACGATGCTGATGTACTGTTCAAGACTTTTCACGATCCATTATCTTCGGCTGTTTGAAAATAAGGCTGCTAATACTGGGTTCTGAATCAGAATGTTTATGCTTCATGTGATCTGGATGTAAGATGTCGTCGATCGCAAGAGAGTGTTTTGGAGTAGAAAATGTCGATTTGAGCTGGTTGCCGATTTTGATTGAAAGCCCAGCTAGCTATCTGGGAGATGAGGGCTGGCGGATCATAGAGTGGCTGCTGCTTCAATTTCCACACTTCGACGAAGGTCAGGAGCTCTTGGGGTGCGTCAGCACTTGCAGACCTGCTGGCGCACCGTCTTCGAGAAGAAGGGCTTTTGAGGCGATTGAGGCAGTCCTCCGAACATGATACGTCATTCATTGAACAACACACCATGTAAATATCGTATCGAGATGCCATTTGAATCCACTTTCATATGATTTTGTCGATCTTGAACGGCAGGGATGACCGGATAGCTGAATGTCAACAAAGGTGCGCACCCAAGAACCAGTGGCAACACACAATTGGGGTGTGCATATCCTCATACGAGTGAGGCTCAAATGTGGATTGTTGGAGGTCATGTTAGTGTCAATCAATACATAACATGCATTTCAGCTGGATCCTTATCAACGGCAAGTGCCCGAAAGAAGGGCACGTGGATGGGCCACTACCTAGTTTCTGACGTAGTGAATTGCCTTGTGACAATTCAAAGCCATTGGCATATACAGCATGAGGGCCAGTGGGCTTATTGCAACGATCGTACAACATTTCCGTGATGTGAGGTTTCAGTCCATGAGGGTGATAAGGGGTCCGACCAGGCTAAGATACAAGTTGCTGATTGTGATAAGGCTACCGTGGCGGGGCGACCTGTGACTACTCGCCTGTCTTGCATAAAGCAGGCCAACGAACATGTGAGATTTCAGCGCGAATGGTAACAATTTTAATACCCTTTTAAAAGGTGGGCCGATAAGACTGAAATGCAAGCTCTTGGGTTACCTCGGCGGGGTGATCTGTAGGTGTTGGCATTCGGTAGAGGGTAAACAGGGGCCAAATGACTTGTTGTAAGGCCTTCATTGTGCCACACTCAGGTGAGCGCAAGCCGTCCGATCAGGATGAGATGCGACGTGGCTCACACATAGGCAGAGCCAATATTGGTGCCGAGAATCAGATCAAGGGGGAAGCGGAATGAAGGCACGCCGGGCTTCGGCTGGATTAATGATGTGTACTATCTTGCATACCACAAGGTACCATACGTATATATCAGTACCTTAGACTTCTGTCGGGACACAGCTTGTTTGACCAGAGCCCCTCGGCTCCTTTCATACCCGCACAGCCTCAGCGAAGAAGTATCAGCCATCCCTCGAAATTCACCTACCGTACTTTCAGGAAGTCATCTTTTGACTGAAATCGTTGTCATTTGATGTCAACCTTCCGTGATCAGAATCCTTGCGGGGCAATAGAACAAGTTAATTCGCGGCCATCCACCTCACGTAGACTTGCAGAGAGGTTATTGCATGCGTGGGTGCAACTCAGGTAATGGATGTCATACAAATATCAAATTTATAGCGAATAGCAATTCATCACTACTCCTGAAAATTTTGTTTCGCATCATAGAGGTTTCTGACCAACGGCGGTTATGACTGCTCCTTGATGGACCACAACGCCTTGCTCCGTCTCCTTGACCGCTGCTGCAAAAAGGTCAAGCCACGTCTCGCGGGTGAGTGGTGCATCAGGTTCCTTTGCCTTTGGTGGAAAGAATACTGCAAGCTCGTCCCAGACCATCAAGTAATCATCAGTCCAACCTTTGAAATCCTGCTTTCTTTTCTCGTGCCGGCGCAGGCGCGCTTTCTGAAAGCCATACTGGTCCAGATGCGTATCCAGGACATCCACCCAGTCATAACGGATGCCCTTGGCCTGAGCACCTCCCTTGAGTACCTGTACGACGTTGTCACAGGCAGCCTTGGATATATGAGGTGCAGGCGATTCCACGATGAATCTGTCACCTCGACACTCCTCCCACTGCAGAAATCCGCCAGGCTTCAGCAGCTCAGATGCCACAGAGAGCACAGGTGTCAAGTCTGCATTGGGGATGACGCTCACAAAGGCTCTGATATGGACGATATCGTAGACACCGATGAGTTCCGCGGGCAAAGGCTTCGCAAGGATATCAAGTTGCTTGAGGGACACGGATACTGGTAAATAGGCTGAGTCCGGAAAATTGATGGGGTTGATGTCGAAGCCGTCTAGTTGGGCAGAAATATTGGCCTGTTCAAGGGCAGAATGTAGTTCACTCAGCCATATCCCATTGCCGCAAGCGAGATCGGCAACCTTTGGCTGCTGCGACTGCTGGGAGTCGACGACAGACTTCTCGACGGCTGGGTCCAGAAGGTATCCGATGGTATTTTGGATGAGGAAGTGCTGCAGGTGCAAACGTGCAGACGATTTGAAGTTCCGGGCCGGAGCGACCCAGTACTTGGACTGGTCGTAATTCTCAACATGCGCAGAGGAAGCTGTCGCCATCTTGGTTGAAGCTGGAACAGAGGAAGGAATGCAATACAAAACAGTATTCGCGGGAAAATGTTTGCAAGTCGGATGAACTTCGAAAAAAGAAGAAAGGCCAAATCTGTGAGATCAATCAGCGAGATTTCCTCTGCCGTTTTGCCAGTTCGTGTTGGCGGGGGGCTGGCTCCAAATGTTACGGCGGAGACGAGAAAGGATTGGACTCGGCTCGTGGTGGTGGCCACCAACGTTGAGTTATGACAGTAAGACAGCCCGTCTTGGCAACGCTTGTGTCACAGCGACAAGAAAGAAATACGATAACGACCCATGGGTTGGAGGGTTGGTACCCCCCGCCGAATATGCAAGTAGGTGAAGGCTGGAGGGAACATACCTCTGATTGCCAATGTGTGACTGCTTTGAGAAATATGTGACGAAAGCACTGATGAGTAGACATGTGGTTTGTCATTTGTGCTTGGCAGCAGCCAGGATTTGTCCCTGCATGTGGGAGCCTGCTTGAGGGATATCTAGGCAGGCTGCCTTGGCTGCCGACCTAGGCCGTGAAGGGAAGGCTGTGCTTACAGGCGGCGACCATTGTGCTACACAACCCTTCCCTCAGATGTATGGGGGGCTTTCGAACTTGCACAGTCTTCACAAAGAAATCAGAAAGCAATAAGCGCCCCTTCCTGAAAGTCCGAAATAGTGGGAGAAACTGGCGATCCGATTTGTCTGTTTCTCCTTTCCCCTGATAGCTGTATGCCCTGACAGCCATGTTCAATCAACAGTCAAACTGAGTGATGCCGCTGATGCCGTGGAACTTCAAATGATTAAGATAGACCACACTGCTTCAGTCACAGCTCGGTCTACGTATGTATGGCTCACTGATATTGGGCATGTGTCGAGTATTAAGAGCGATGACCGGTTCGATCGTGTCCCTATTTTCCTTTTCGCTGCGATTAAACCGCAGGATGTAAATGGAATTGATCAGACCTCTGCCCAATACCTGGCCATGACGGTCAATACAAGGTCAAGTCGTACTTCTACAATGTGAGTTCCGCATATATTTTTTTTCATTATGCTTCTATACGAGCAATAGTACAATGACGCTGAACGGTCTCTGTATAGACATGGCAGATAACTGCCAGGCCGGCAGACGGTATGATGGTCAAAGTCAAAATAATTGATGGTACAGCAACAGTAGAAAATGGTTTTGAACGGATTGTCAGGTTTTCTAGGATCAGTATGGCAGATGCGATATTAGATGGTGCGTCATTTTGCATCAGATCGAATGAAAATGTAAACGCAGAAATCATTGTTGGAGACATAGTGACTTGATCTTCCCCTTGTGAGCCGTGCAGTCTACCTCACGGTCACGACTTGCTGTACGAATGTTAACATGTAACCCTATATCTTTCACGTACGCTCCATATACAAGGTTGCTCAAAATCATCAGATGTGGTGGTACCATGCCAAGGAGAAAGCATGCCTCTCTTCATACAGGTAATACATCAAGAACCTCATGCGAGATCCTGCCTTCCCTAATTACTTGTCCCCCATTCATCCAAGAAACCAGCCGAGCTCGTAGAGGTTCGATCCCCTCAAGTGCGCATCCCGAGCCTACGGACTTCTGGTGCGTTAAGGGAAAGATGTGCTTGCGGTTGCGGCTTTCTCACACCGAGCAGGAGCGGCGCATCACCAGAGTCTAGACGGGGCTTGAAAAAGACAGCCCAACTTTCCTGAGCGGGACCAGCCAACGGACGCGCCAGGAATGGCAACAGCATGAGCGTCTTTGAGCCATTGCCAAGGACATCTCCCACGTTGGAGCGCCCGGACTCGTCACAGAATTTTATCAAAAACCAGGACTAGCGACCGAAAATACCTGGATTCTCCAGAAGATGGTGGGATAGAAGACCCGGGCAAGCAGAACAAATATGCATGATGAGGACGAAAGCACTACAGCGAAGAATGGAGCTCGAGGGCCGGTTGATGACAAATGAGTGAGGCAGAAGTCGAGAGATGCCGCCAGGGAGCATTGGAGCTTACTAGTACATCTCGTCTCCAACAGGATGCTATAAAGAGTAAGCGAAAATAACATAGCGGAACCGTATGCTCAAGTGAACTATGGTGCCCAAGACATCGATCGGCCACCGTCGTGCACAGGCCCAATCCCCTCCAGCTGGTATGTGATGAGTTGTGACGAGAATGGTAAGGGGGGCCACTCAATTGTCATGTTCTGTATTTTGCGTATCCACTCACACATTCGTGAGTGGCTCCAAGGTTGACCTTGGGAGGACTCAGGCCACATGTGGCCGCTCCACGTCAGCTTATCCGGACGAAAAAAGCAGCTCTAGGGGTCTGAAACAGTTGAAGAAAGCTTGATCGACATAAGAACCGAGCCGCCTCATCAGGGGGCAGGGACCCTGGGGCACGGCAGCGGTTCATCTGGACGGCCGGCTGGACGGCCGGTAGTCTCGAAGATTTTCCAATTGGCCAGGGACGACAGATATGGTGCTGGGATCGTTCTGGAAGTTTTGGAATGAGGATGCAGGGGGGCGCAGCAGTTGATGAGAGTTTTCCAAACGAGCCTGACGAGATGAAGGTGCACAAATGATAGTCGTTGCGTATGCAGACTGACCAGGTTCAGGTTGAAGTTAATGAAATGCGTAGGGTAATGATCGTTGCTCGTGACCCACATGTTTTGGAGGTGTGCAAAGATGTGGCCCTTTGATGGACGAAGAAATGGGGGCCAACGACTCGAGTGGATTGGCGATGACGACATCAGATTCATGAGGATGTGCTGTCCATCGGCTTGGTACCTCGAGCACGCGCTGATGGGGAGGGGAAGGGGAAAGGGGCTGCGAGGTGCTCCATCCATCCGCTCTGGTGGCCGTGGATTGAGTTAAATGAAATGAGTGTAATGAAGGTGAAGCAGTTGGATCAAGAAAAAGCTCTTGGATGCATGTTATCTGGGGCATATCTCCTGAATGTGTGTCCATGCTATCTGTGTCTGTGTCTGTGTCTGGCTGCCCAGGCCCTGCCAGGGCGGCAGCTTCGAGATTGGCGAGCCAGACCAAGCTTGCTTCAGAGGCAGTCAGGGCCTGGACCCCTCGGAGCATGTGTGCATCAAAGTACCTTGGTACAGTAAGCTGGAAGGTCCGAATGCGGTGTGCGTGCAGGTGCAGGTCTGGCTGGTCTGCGTCTGACTTCTGACTGACTGGCAGGCGCGCAGGGGAGGAATGCAGATTCCAAGATTGGTCTCGCCGCGCCTGCCAGTCCTGCAAGTGAGCCCCTCCGAGCCCCCCACCCTTCCTGCCTTTCCAAGGCCAGGGCCCATGTCAACGGCCCAGCTCCAACGGCCCATGTCAACGGTGGCCGACGGTCGGTCGAGGTCGCTAAACCTCAAACGCTGATGGATCTGGGGCTACGTAACCAGGAACTCAGGTACCGAGTCACCAAGTGTAGTCTAGGTAATCTAGCAGTGTCTAGATATTGTGCCTCCGTCCGCACACACACAATCAATCACGCACCAACCTGCATCTGCACCATCGCAGCGCCGCAGGATTGGGCCTTGGAAGCGACCTTGGAATCCCATCCAGTCAGCCTGCTGCATCCCACCCACCCGATCCCAGATACAGCAGGCAGATTGCATGTGCAGCAGCCACTCATTTGATCCATCGATTGCGACGCGTTTTCTTTGGGTTGCGTACATGCTTTAGTCCCGCGCTGCCCATCAGTCATTGGACGGACGGAGGGGCTACGCCCAGAACGGTCGATAAACGGAACGGCGCAGATCTGGGAGACAGGACCTGGAACTGGGGACTTCGAGTGGCAGGGGATGGGGCACTGGGACGAGGTCTTGGACGGACTTGGATGATCGATCATAGACTCTGCACTTCGAACTCTAACCGGTGGACCGACAGCACATTGCGTTGCATATCATTGCCCTACTGTACGTCCGTACATTAATCAATCAACGCTGCCAATCTTTCTCTCTCTAGTCATCTCTGGTCCTTCGTCATTCTTTGTTTTTTTCCTGCAACGGCCCGATCTCTGGCATCGGCTTCCCACGTTTTCGTCCTCCGTGCCCCTTGTACTCGTTCGTGCCTTGCGCCCGCCCTGCCTCGTCATCCTTATTTCCGCCGCCACAGAACTAACCTTGGCCCGGCCGGATCTAGAGCTGTTACAGACCCCAACTTTGGGTCCGTCAAGCCACAGGAAGGAGAGACCAGCCGAAACCCCCAACCTTAAGTCGTGCGACAATCCTGCACCAACAGCTCGAGCATTTGGAGAGGCTTAGACGCCAGGAGGAAACAGAAGGAAACGAAGGGGAAAAAAAGAAAAGGAATCCAAAGACAAGGCACCACCCAAAACCAGCATAGGACGCTCGCTACTCTCCTCGACGAATACCCACCCCTCGGAACTCCCCCGCCATCGCCAACTCCAACTCCAACTCCAACGCCAAACCCCGAAGCCAACGCCACCGCATCGCATCGCATCGCATCGCACGCCCCTCCACACAAGACGTTGCTTTGTTGGTGTCCGACATGAGAAGGTAGCGCCATGCTCATACCACAGCGCTTCCAACGAGTCGTGCCAGTCCTCGTCGTCCTCGTCCTCTGCATATTCATCCTCTCCTCCAGCAGGTTCCGCGATGCTGCCATCGTCGACTCAATATCCCACCAGATCGCAGGCGTGCACAAGGGTGACCAGCCCAAGTCTGCCGCCGCCCTGGAAGAGGAGGCAAAGTTCGGCACCCCGCCAACGACTCCCACACCGCGACCACCTCTGGAGCCCGGCCAGTGCATCCCCGAGATAGAATTCCTGAGGCGCGAGGAGCTGCAGCTGAGCGACAACATCATCTACTCCAGGAGATGTATCAAGCCCAAGTTTTCCGATGACGTCGACCGAACAGTCATTCCCAAGCTCGAGGGGCCCGTCATCACCCAGAAGACCAACATAAACCTCACCTCCTGCTCCCATGTTGAGGCTCTGCCCTGCGACGAGCTCTCCATCACCGTCACCCCGCCACCTCCCAAGGAGAAGTATCCCCACTTCGTTTTCGGCGTCGCCACATACTACGAGCGCATGGTTCAGGGGCTGCCTGCCTTCGAGCACTGGCTGGCAGGGACCGATGCTCTTTTGGTGGCCGTCATCGTAGACCACGCGGGCAACGACCTCGGTGCCCTCCAGCAACTCTTCGCCCAACATGGCATAAAAATGGCCACAGCCAACGGCGACCCAAATCTTACCATCGACCAGAATCACTTTGTCATGCTGCGTCCCACCGTGCAGAACATCAGCCCCGATACGAAATGGGTCGGAATCCTCGACGATGACACCTTCTTCCCATCACTGGATGCGCTGAGCAAGACTCTTGGCCAACTAGATCATACCAAGGAGCTGTGGCTCGGCCAGCTATCGGAGGATTTCTACTCGGTGCGGTCATGGGGCTTCATGGCCTTCGGTGGCGCGGGCGTCTTCCTGTCGGTGCCATTGGCCAAGAAGCTGGAGCCGTACATGGAGCAGTGTCTGGAAGAGGCGGCCCTACCGTCGGGTGACGGCATGCTGCGCGACTGCGTGTACTACCATTCCAAGACAAAGCTAACGCTAGTGCCTGGGCTGTACCAGCAGGACATGCGAGGAGACCTGTCGGGCTTTTTCGAGGCCGGTTTCCGCACGCTGTCGCTACACCACTGGAAGAGCTGGTACGTCGAGCCAGTCGACAAGATGGCGCAGATTACCAAGGTCTGCGGCGACTGTTTCCTGCAGCGCTTCCAGTTCGGCGAGGACACCCTGTTCTCCAACGGCTACTCGATCGCCATGTACCGCAAGGGCGTACAGGGCCTCAACCTCGACTGGGTGGAGGCGACCTGGAACCAGCACGGGCCGGAGTTCGACTTCAGCATCGGGCCACTCAGGCCGGCCCTGCGAAAGAACGAGAAGAGGAGCTACCGTCTGAAGGATGCCGAGTGGCTCCAGGACGGCAGGCTGAGGCAGATCTACGTGTACAAAGCGGACTGGAAGAGCGGCGAGACCATGGACGAGGTGATTGAGTTCTTGTGGGACCCGAAGGCATCTCAATAAGGGCAGTGAGCAAGAGAGATTTCGGTCCGAGTTTTCTTTTTTCTTCGAATTGAGTATGGCATGGTACGGCATGGCATGGCATCAAGGTTGTCTGGGCGGCGTTGGGCGATGCAGGAGTTGGCGTCTTATATCCACCCCACTCGACTTCCCGGGCACATAACTATCCGTGTTTGGGGCGTTTGTGTATATGGGAACTGGGTGGGTCTATTTTTCGGGGCTGCGGGAGTTATTCCATCTGTGGTGAAGGGGACTGCCTGCACAAAACAAGACCGTGCTGCTACTTCATGGAAGGCGCTTATATATATACTGCACTCGTATATATGGGAGGCTGACACAACTACTTTTTGTGTTGAGATGAGAGTCTCGCAGCGGTAATGGAATTTAGAGATTCAAGCGTGTTTAGTTATTATGGTGGTACTTCTAGTATCCCGTGTCCACAGTGTGCTCACGTAGGGACTGAGCCAACTCTCAGATGCCAGAGGTTCTGCCCACTGAAGCTGTGACTATAGCGACGACTCTTGAAGCCTACATGTCAGTATGGACTTGCTGTGCTTGTCACTCATAGTCTTATCTCGAGATGAGCCGACTGTGAGCCTGTGAAATGGCTTTGTCACGCTACTCTCAAATTCCTCCACAGTTGGAGTGACCGTCATTCCGTTCAAGACGCCAGCATATATACGATCGATGAGAGACGATTCTGAACCAGCCACCCAAAGACTTGTTCGCCGTTACAGCAACTGCCTACTCACTGAGAGACATGAAGACCATACTCACTCATCACTACTCACACTCAAGTGAGACTTCGCCTTGTCTTTTCCTACAACTATAATTACCCGGAGTCCGAGGCCAGACTCCTGAAACCTTGTCTCTCCATCAAAAAGCATCGACGGGCACACAAACTCAGTACTCAACACCCAAAGAAACCAACACCAAGAGAATTAAGACACCAGAGGAAACCAAGATTAAGTCAATCAAAGGGAATCGCCGTCGAAGGAAACCAACGCGAAGGGAAATCAACACCAAGAGAAATCAGTGCCAAGCGAGACAGGCAAACCTTCATCGCAGTCTCGTCGATACACGAACAGTCCGGGGGCTCTCAAACAACAGCATCCCATCAGTCACCCTCTTTCTGCAATAAGTCCCAGCATCCACCAAAACCAAACGTACCATGCCTGACCTACCCTCCGAGGGGGATCCTCAGCATGGGTGCAGGGATTGCGGGAGCGAGCAGAATCCCTGTAATTGTAAAAAGCCCCTTCCGAATCCCACGCCTGTCCCGGGACCGACGCCGGGCCCGGCCCCGATACAACTGCCTATTAGGACCAGGCCTCCACCTGGTCCCAACCCGCCGCGTCGTTGAGGGGCAGCAACGAGGCTGGGGCCGAAAGACTCTGGTCTTAGCGGAGGAGAAATAGCGTTCTGGAAGTCATCGCATGGCGGTCGGGCCTGAGCGTGAAGCGGGACCGGGTGGCAATCCTATGTGGACTTGAGGGGGGTTTGCTCTTGGTGAAGCTGGGAATCATGGCTATTAGCAGATGATTAAGTTTAGGGCAATGATACCACCCGTTAGCATCTAAAAGACTGCTCTGTTTTCATACAACATGAGGTTCGTGACGGTATTTGTGACCAGCTGGTTGTAAAGAGTGGACCATCTAGTTCACCCGATACTAATTATTGCTTCAATTGTGCTCCAACTCTTGAGCTAAGTAGTATATGTATAAATATCGTACAATGTAGACTCCTGGGACATCACAAATAAAGAGGGGCCAATTGAGATCACAAGAGCCCAGGCGACTGCCTTGATATACTTCAGAATAATCATCCGAGTCTTATTCATGATCAACACAACACATTGCCACAATAACGGAACAGTCGAAGTCAGCATATTATGCAGGCCTCCCGGGATAAAGCAGTTACTCGATGTGGTAGCTTCCACACTAAACTTGTACAAGCAGATCAACTAGTGGGTCCTCCCCTCGACAGTGCCCTCAATGCCTTCTAGGTCGCTATAGAGCCTCCACTGGTAATCCAAGCTCGGATCGTTGAACCTAGCCTTGATATCTAGTGTCTCAATGGCCTTAATATCCTCGTCCTCTAGCTTGAAGTCTGCCTCGACGTTTTCTTTTATTTGCCAGTCAATGGTGCTCTTAGGTATGACGGATCGTCCGTTGTTGATACCCCAAGCCAACACAATCTGAACAGCGCTTTTCCCGTATTTCTGGCCAAGTTCCTTCAATAGCGGCTGATCGATTACCCTCATCATATGCGATATATCCTTGCTCCAACCTGTGCTCCGATAGAAGTCATTCATGTTCCCAAGGGGGCTGAACTGGACTACATGGATGCCCTGAGACCGAAGCCACTGGTTAAAGGACTTTTGCTGCAAGTAAGGATGCACTTCCATTTGATGAACAGCAGGTACCTTGCGATTTGGTCAGCTGATTATCTTCTACAAAGTTTCCTCGCCTGTTTTTCGGTGGCACTCCATGTTGGACTTACTGTTGCACTCTCCCGCATCAAGGTTTCCAATTCACCCCTACTGAAGTTGGAAACCCCAATTGCTTTAACTTTCCCTGTCTCTACCAGCTTTTCCATAGCTCTCCAAGTATCAACAAATGTCGTCTGTCCCAGAATCATTTTGCCATTACTATCTCGAGGGAAGCGGTCCTGTCCTCTGGCAAAAGTGCAAGGGTAATGCATCAACAATAGGTCCACATATGGAGTGTCGAGGTCTGTGAGAGATTCGTCGAGTGCCCTCTCAACATCTTCCGGGTGATAATTGTTGCACCATAGCTTCGTGCCGAGGAAAATCTCCTCGCGGGGGACGCCGCTCCTCTTGATGCCCTGGCCGACCTGCTTTTCGACATCGTAGACCCGTGCCGTGTCAATGAGACGCAATCCCGCCTTCAGAGCCCTGGACACCGCGTCCTCTTGAGCGTCTGGGTCCTGGAAAGTCCCAAAGCCGATGGCTGGAATGCTGGCGCCCGTGTTGAGCTGGTGTCGGGTTTGACGCGTAGCAAGTCCACGCCGTTGCCGTAGGTTGTAGAGCCCGATTCTGCCAGTGCTTCTCTGGGCCAATCGTAAGCAGGTTGCAGTGATCGCACCAGGTCGTAGGGTTGCCATTGTGATAGAGGCTGAAATATTGCAGGGGATTAGCGATGGGTAGGACGCAACTCACTCGTCTATTAGGCCGATGATGAATATTACTTATGATGAGGACGGCACGATGTTGGATAGCTCGGGGCGGTGCTCCCCTCACGCCCTCGAGCCGAGGGTCGACTTCGCAGCTTGCTGATCACACAAGTACCTAAGTACCTACAATCCATTCCAAGCCACCTACACTCACACTCCGAACAATGAATTATGCAGTCTTCTGGAGACTGGAGAAAATTGAATGAGAATAGTAAGAGGTGAACTGCGACGTCATCACTTACAATGATTCCACAGCGTATTCTTGGGAAACATCTACTAAACAAACCTTTTTGACTAAATGAGGTCTTTTTGTTATATATGGAGGAGTATTTGATCCAATTAAGTTTTCTTTCTTAGCCAGAGTATTTAAAATTCCGAGATGATGGAGACTAACGCTTATCTGGATGAACTTGAAAATATAACTAGTATTTTAAATCTCAACCTTCTAGGTTAAACTTATATAGTCTTATCTTATAATTCCCTATACACACTATAGTAATTCTCTAAGACGCTTTTAAAACTAGACGCGATCTATAACGCAAAGCCATACCTATAGATACAGATGTTTATAGCATGTACCTTGGGCGCAATCTTATAGTGGTCTGAATAATGGTATCTAAGAGCCCGTGAGTCTTTTTCAACCCACAGCTTTCTTCCCATTCTGACAGAGCGAAGCACGAAAATTAATAGTTCTTATTTAAATCGTTGAGAACAGAAATAAGAAATGCCCCGTTACCTACTTGTTGAGATCTCCGTCTTTGGAGCTGCTTACTCTCTATATCACTCTTAGAGATAGATATCACACCCCGAGCTCTATCGAAGAGATGGTGCTTCCGTTAGAGACAATATTAAATAGTACTTAATAAGATTAAAATAAATAGCACAGGTTTAAAAGTCACATCAAGAAGTAAAGCGATCGTCTAAGAGAGTGGCCCTAGTACGTTCAAAGTAGATTCATTGAGGCTAATGTTTTAAAAAAGGGACTTGAAAATTTGTTTTCATCTTTTGCTCTGAACAAATTCAACTGCTGAATTATGCCTTTTAAACTATATATTTTATCATTCAAGCTTTTAAAGCTATAACCTTTAACTACTTATTATTTACAATTGCACGTATTTTTACAGAAAGAGGGAAGCGTTATTTGAAAAACAAGATAAGTGTGACGGCACAGCTATATAAGACTGCACTGTATTCCAGAAGGCGTTCTGGAATTCTGAGCTTTTAAATAAGGAAACAGCCCTAGCTATAGTGCAGTGGTCAAGGCGCTGTTTTGATAAGAAATATCTGCTTAATTAGAAAACAAAAGCCTTCAGTCGTCATGTAATCATGAGTGATTTTCCTCCTTTTTGTACTTAAAAAGAAGACTAATAGCTGGAAATAATTACACCCACTCTATGATTCGCCACCACTCCTCAGCATATTAAGCGTAAAATGTTTTGGCAGCTGGTGACATTCCAACCTCCGCGTTGTCACTTGCCACGACCCGATGCCAAATGGCTTGTTACCTGAGACGCGAAGCATGGTTGTGCCAATTCTCGCCCTCGAGACGAGCACACACGTGTCCCGCTAGACCAACAAGTTGAGACTAGCAAGATGGGCAGATCGTTCCGGGGGCTGACTCGCTTCGTGAGCGAACAAACCTTCGAGAATCAATGTCTCATACGACATTTCGGACATTTCCCCGCGATTCCTTCCGTCAATCCCCATGGGGTCCCGTGCCCGAGATGGATGGCACTGTCAGTGTTGCCCCAGGTTTTGCTCCACAAGGATCCATGCCTCTCATGCTGAACGAAGTTACCTCGGTGCCCCGGCCACTTACACATTACTAGCAATCCTGACAAGTTCTAAGGATCGTTTGAGGTGTCTTGCATGACTGCGGCGTCATTGGGCAATATGACTCCGTGTTTGCAGGCGGCCCAGATGTCTGGGCTAAAGTTGGAATTAATGAACCTTCAGAGTGAAACATAAATACTTTGAACTGCTCGAATGCTACACACCATTGTTTCCCAAATAAATACGCTCACGTTGGAGGACGATCTATTCCGCCTATTCTTATTGCTGTTGGAGAGACGAAAAGCCAGATTTCACCCAGACTCAACATAATGGATCAACGGCACCGATGGATGATACATGGCAAGCTTGAGAAGAGAGCTCTGCTCATTGCCATCAACGCCCTTGCCGGATTGTCTATTTTCTTCTTCGGTAAGCCTACTTGCGCCGAACATGGTCGCCGGGAGAAGTGGTGGAATTAAAAGACTGACGCCCTCAAGGCTACGATCAGGGGATGATGGGAGGCGTCAACGAGTCTAGAGACTACATTGACCTCATGGGCCTCGGCTACGTCAACGACGAAGGCAACCCGGTAATCATCAACACTCTCCTCCAAGGAGGCATCATGTGCGTCTACTACCTCGGCACTCTTGTAGGCTGCCTCATCGGTGGCTCCTTGGGAGACAATTACGGACGAATCAAGGCGATCGGAGCTGGTGCCCTCTGGGGTATCTTGGGCGCCGCACTCCAGTGTTCGTCCATGAATCCCAGTTGGATGATCTGCGCGCGACTCGTCAACGGCATCGGAACCGGCATCCTGAACGGCATCGTCCCGGCGTGGGCCTCCGAGCTGGCTGACTACACGTCTCGGGGAACTTTCATCGCGATGGAATTTACACTGAACATATTCGGAGTCGTCGTGGCTTACTGGCTTGGCTACGCTGTCCGGTTTATTGACAACGGAAATTCGCCTTTTAGATGGCGCTTTCCAATTGCATTCCAGATCATTCCCCTGCTGTTCCTACTTGTCGCATGTTGGTTATTTCCAGAGTCTCCCAGATGGTTGGCCAGAGTTGGCCGAGACGATGAAGCGTTGTATATTCTGCAACGTCTTCGTGGAACACTTGGACCTGACGCAGGACTCGCCGAGGCCGAGCTTGCTGATATCAAAGGGGTGGTGCAGCTGGAGAAGGAGACGGATGGAACTTCGTACATTGCCATGCTTTTTGGCCTCAGATCCGGCAAGTTACACACAGTCCGACGAGTCCAGCTGGTCATCTGGCTTCAGATCATGCAATGCTGGACCGGCATAGCCGGCGTCACAATGTACGGTCCAAGTGAGTCGCATCTATGTCCCTCACCCCGTTCCTTGGGTTTCAATCCCTTACTGACCTGCTTGCGCGATTTTTATAGCCATCTTCAGCATCGCCGGCTTCAACTCGGACAAGGCCCAGTGGGTTTCTGGATTGAACAACATTACCTACACCTTTGCGACACTCATCTGTGTTTTCACGATCGATCGAATTGGCCGCCGCTGGACTTTATACTGGGGATCGGTCGGGCAAGGCATTGCCATGTTTTTAGTCGGTGGCTTCTCGCGAGCCGGTCTTGATGCGCGATCTCAGGGCAATGTCGACACGGCAAACCAGTGGGGCGCTGCCGCGGCGTCCTTTGTGTTCGTGTACACCTTCGTCTTCGGTGCCACTTGGCTTACTGTGCCGTGGCTATACCCAGCAGAGATCTTTCCTCTGCAGGTACGCGCCAAAGGCAACAGCTTTGGAGTCGTTGGATGGTCTATTGGCAATGGGTGAGTGTGCGAAGATCACAATCCGCGGGCGGCGTGTATCCCCGAACAAAGAGCTGACACCTTGACAGCACACTAACTCTAGTTCTGCCGTACATTGTCAGTGCCATCAGCGAGAAGATGATGTACATCTTCGGAGCAGTCAATCTCATTAGTATTCCAATTGGTAAGTCAGCGACTGAATCCCCAGATATCTAAACATATGCACAAGGCCGCTAACACGTCGTAGTCTGGGCACTTTACCCCGAGTCTAATCAGCGCACACTGGAAGAGATGGACTTGCTTTTCGCTGCAGATACTCCCTGGTCTTGGGACGCAGAAAAGACTTTTGCAATGCTGAAAGAGCAGAATCCTGGTCTTGGTGGTGCTGCGAGATATGATGGTCGTGATGATCTGGAGGCCAAGGTGGTGGAGCCAGCAACAATACACCACGAGTAGGACCGGGACAAGGGGGTGGTTCTATGACAAGACTGCTTGGGGATTGCTCGACACATGTCACTGGAGCTATGGTAGATTTTAAGCCATTCAATCTGACTGGTACTCGCAAAATATTTTGGTCTTTCTGTAGGTTGCATTATCTCTGCATGCACGCGATCCAACCTTATGGGTAGATGTCGGCCATTGAAGTATGTAGTAATGCGGCGCGTGTAACCCCTGCAGCATACTACACGGCGTTTCTGGAAAAGAGGTCAGAATTCCAGAACATTACGGGCATCAGTTACAGGCTACAAGCTAGTCATAATAATGTGCCACGCAGCAGCACCTGTAATGTAGGATCCAGGAGCATGACGATCTGTACATGCACACTTGCATACGACAAAGTCTGTGCACATGGACGAGGGACCCATTTTAAAACCCCAGGCTGCGGTGCTTGCATGGTCAATATGGGGTATTTCTGGAGAAGACGGCTCTGATTCGCATGTGCCCTCGAGACGAGTTGAGTCTACTCCAAGCCTTAACACACCAGCCGGCTCCGGGGCTGCCCCGCTTGCTACGCGACCCGCTCCAGGCGCTTTGCAATCTCTTGGCGCTCGTCAGTGGATTCCAGCTCCAGCGCCATGCCCAAGCTATGAATTAAAGGCTTTTGGGCGTTCACTGTGGACACGACACCAAAGAACGCTCTCAAAGCTAACGAGAATCTGCCTCAACACCATCTAATCTGTCTTAATTGAAGTTTGCAGAGTTGGCGGAGGAAACATGTCTGTGCTGGCATCGTGTCGTTTGCTTCGCGGGAAAACAGCCTGCATCACCGGTGGCACAACGGGCATCGGTCGAGCAATAGCGTTGGAATACCTTCGACAAGGAGCCAATGTCGCCGTGAACCACCTCGATCTTCCCCAAGATTCAAAACACAAGCACAGCCTCCTGGAAACGGCGCAAGAGATCAAGAGCCGAGGCGCGAGCGAGGGCCTGCCGGCTGGAGAGCTCATCGAAGTGTCTGGAGACATCACGAAGCCGGAAACAGGTCAAACTTTAGTCGAAGAGGCTGTGAAAAAATGGGGTGGCATTGATATATTCGTCGCTAATGCTGGAATATTTAAAGCATGCGAATTCCTCTCGTGAGAATTGCACCTTGCCCTCCACCGCTCTTCCTGCTCACGTTAAGCCCGCGCATGATGCTGATTTAGACTTTTCGCGCTGAGATAGAATCGATCAGAAATTGTTTGACCAGTCCATAAACGTGAATATCAATGGCACGTTCTACACATGCCAGGCGGCAGCTCGTCAGATGAAGAAGCAAGGCCGCGGCGGATCAATAATAGGCATCTCCTCGATCAGCGCGTTACAAGGTGGTGGCCTCCAGGTACACTACACGCCGACCAAGGCGGCTGTCCTATCAATGATTCAGTCAATGGCTATTGCGCTTGCAAAGGACAAGATCCGGTGCAATGCCTTGTTGCCCGGGACAATCCACACACAGCTGGCGGATCACGACATGGCAAACGATGTCAAGCGCAAATATCTAGAGCATCGCATACCCATGGGGCGGGTGGGCAGACCAGAAGACCTGGCTGGACCTGCGGTATTCCTGGGCTGCGAGCAACTCAGTGGATTCATGACCGGGTCGCAGATGTTGGTGGATGGCGGAATGTTCGTCCACCTGCAGTGATTCACGAACACTCGTCTCGGTACGCCTGGATTCCATTCGGTATGCCTTTTGGCCTTTGTGAGTCATCAGTGTGAAGGTGACATCAAGAGTCCAAACTGCCAATAGACAGCTAGAATTAATCAGCCATAAAACACGGCCCCTCGTGACTTCGTGACCATCTTGTCTCCTGCTACCTCCTTACTCCAGTGACAGTGAACACAGACCCTTGCGTGTATAATTCGGTCCCTGTCAGCTTTAGTCGCGACACGTATCAATGGCAAGAACTCAAGTCCCTGGGTCACTAAGTCCTAAGTCTGGGTGGTGGGCCATACTTAGAAACCGAACTACCCCGAAGGGTGACGGCTGGTGCATAAATGCACTCTAACTCGATTATGTAAGCCTGCATGCGTACCTAGGTATTTCAGCCGTCCAATCGGTCTCCAGTCATCTAGTTTGAGTTCTTCTATTTCCCAGTTCTGCGTGCTTTGGCCCCTAAGGTACCTATCATAGTTGGTAGATACTTGACTCAAGTCCATTCCATTCCGAGATAACCCTCGAAACGAGCTTCGAATGCTTTCCATTCAGGTCTCTGCCAGCTCTTGATGGCCGGGAGACATGCCTTCCGCACGCACCTTCACTAGGGGTAGGCAATCTCGAGGGAGGGGTCTGAGGAAGACCACAGGCTGGTACTAAAGCCCCCCCCCCAAACCTTCTCTATGTTTTTCTTAGAGGGCCATTCCACTCCGCGGTCTGTAGCCTGCTGCAGAATCATTTGTCTCTGACATGACGTCCCACTCAGTCTCACTTGTCGCCGTCGCCACATCAAATGCGACGAGAAGAAGCCGGTTTGTGGAGGCTGTACGAGGACGAAGCAGTCATGCGTATATGGCCCCGTCCAGCCTCACCGAGCACGCGAGACTTCAAGTTCCGCATCCAGGACCGAGGGACAGTCGAGTCCACCAGTGGCGGACACGTTGGCGGGTTCCCCCACAACTTGTGAGCATGGGAAGACCGGGGGAGTTGCCGAGGAAAAGAGAGGCGTGTCAGAACCATCTTGGTCGCGCATTAATGAGCAGAACGGTCTACCAGCAGCCACAGTCACAAGCATCAGCAACATCACTGCGTCTACGACTACTCCCTTTGAGGATGGCGATGCCATCTCGCCCCTGTCGCACATCAACGTCTCCACGCAGCCGACCTTGTTAACTCCCCAGCCCGAACTCGAGCCCGGCACGCTCTGTGCGGATACGTCAACCCCACAAGATCGCCAAACACGAGCATCATTCAGCTCCTCCCGGGCCAATGTGGACAACGCAACCTCCATCTGGGTTGACTTGCTCATCCATGACGCTGCTCTGCAATCAGAACATCCGGCCAACGTCGATATTGACTTGGAAGGTGTTGATATTCTTGACCACTCGCTTCTGCGGTCCCCTACTCACTTTGTGAACAAACCGACTGTAGCATATCCAGCACCCGAGGAGCTCGGACAATCGCCCGCGTCGTCGTGCCCACTTCTTCAAGAGCGAACTTCCAGCGTCATAGAATTCGAGGCCTTGGAGAAGAAGGAATGGCAGTCGGCCTCGCCCATTTCACTGACTTCTTCGGAGCTCGTGCTGTTCCAGCATTTTGTGCGAAAATTAAGCCAATGGGTGAGCTAAATTGTTATTTGTGTTCCTCGTATTCCCCGACTTCGAGTCTTTTTGTTTACACGTATTGATGATTCTTAGTTGGACCTGTTCGACCCACGGAAACCTTTTGCAACTCTGGTACCACACTTGGCGGCAAGTGGTCTCACCCTAAATCCTCGCGCGCGTGTACGCCGCTAAAAGGAGTCAGATGCATAATGTAGGACTGATGAATGCCATCTGGGCTCTTTCCTCACGCCACCTGTCCCTGAGCAGCCAGCCAAACGAGACTCCCTTGTACGATCCCAATGATGCCCTTCCATACTACTACAAGACACTGCGCTACGTCCAGAAGGCCATGCAGTACAATACGTACAAGACGAGCCTGGAGCTGCTCGCCACTTCACTCATTGTCTCCACATACGAGATGCTGGACGGATCCAGCCAGGACTGGGAGAGGCATCTTCACGGCGTCTTCCTGATCCAGCGCTCGCAGATCATACACGGCGATTCGATGGGTCTGCGCCAAGGTGTGTGGTGGGCATGGCTCTGCCAGGATGTCTGGGCCGCGTACCGCGAAAGGCGTAGGCCCTTCACGTTCTGGAAGCCGGTGCGGACATTCCGGGACCTGGAGCCCTCTGATCTCGCTGCTCGGTCTGTCTACCTGTTTGCGCAGGTGGTCGGGTACTGCTCGGGAGAAAACATGGAGGACGGCGCGATGGAGCCCTTAGCACGAATCTCCAGGGCTAGGGAGCTCAGAGGCGTGCTGGAAGACTGGAAGACGTACCTGACTGCTGAGTTTGAACCGCTGCCTCAGCCGCGCTCGGCTGAGGATGTCTTTGAGCCGATTTGGATCCATCCAACAGCTTTTGGTAAGTCAACTCCCAAGCCTGGACTCGAAGGCGTTTACATCTGACGACACGTTCCACTCAGCTGTGTCGATGCAAATGTATTACTGTTCCCACATACTATTGTTGCTCCATCAGCCCATGTTAGGCGGGCCCGAGGTGTATGCACAACAACGACGAAGTCTGCGAGAATGCATCAATGCAGTCTGCGGCATTGCAATGACTTTGACAGACTTCGCGTCGAGCGTCATGTGCTCGCAATGCCTGTTCATTGGTATGCCCCGGCCGCAGCTGCACCGTCATCCATATCCCTGGTTCCCAGCTAATTACCATCTCGTGAAAAATAGCTGGGGGTCCATTAGAAGACAGTGGCCAAAGAGCCACGGTCCTGAACTTGCTCGCTAGCTGTCGCCAACGGGCGGGCTGGGCTGTTGACGATCTCGGCGAAAAATTGAAAATCATGTGGCAAGAAGGGCCGACATAGTGGGCGAATTCAGTCATGTGAATTTGTTTCAATACAATGGTGCCTCGCGCCGTGCCTGTGTTCGCGGAGAGTCCCATGCCTATAAATTCTGTCGCGTACGTCCTAATCCTCATGCTTGTGCTACCAAATCAGGTAGGCATCACGAAATCCTTGTTTGATCCTAACGAGCTTGTTATGATTGACATGCACCATTCGTCTACCTACGTCGGATGTCTACGAAACGACGGGGCGTTCAATTTTTTTTTCTTTTTTGGAAAACCAGACACTCAAATTCTTGTGCTTCCTGATGACCACTTCCTGAGCAAGACGCTATGTCGAACTTACAAAGTCTCTCATTTATGTTTTCAGCATCCAGCTTGATGTCAGCTCTTGGTATGTATTGAAGAAATCAGCAAATGCCGTCTTTCTTTCTTTCACTACAGAACCCTATTGTTGAGTTTGTCGAAAAGTTTTTGTACACTTGGTGTAAACACTTGTAATGTGAGAGTTTGGCAAGAAAATTCGGACCTTTTGGAAAAGACTTTTTATTTGAGTAACTACGCATGCATGTGTTTGATGAAACTTTTACATATTTGCAAGGACACTACATTTGCATTTTCAATGCTCATCAATATCACGCTCGGATGGATGGAGCCTTTGCTTCGACTCGTTGCTAGTCAATGTACAGACTGGTCACTGACGGACGTCATCTTTCCGGATACTTGATCAGTGAGTACCTGTGTTAGTACGCAGCCAAGGTGTATATCAGCTTACAACGATAGTAGAGTATTCATTAGAAATAAACGCCCACAGGAGCAGAGGCAGATATCGGCAATGGGCATCCCGTTAGTGTACGCTCTACTAATCTAAATATATCACCATCGGAGGCGGCTCACAAGCGAGCAAGAGTGACTAATTGATATCCTATTATTCCCCTAGCCTCGGGCTTCATCTACAATGACGACACTCATCAGTCAGCCTTGGCGTAGGGGCAAGTTCCGCGATTTTTCCTCCAACGTCCAGTCCACTCTTAGATGTCCGCACAGACACGGGCACGGCAGGCCGCGCCCCGTTCGCGCGCCACCAATTCGCGACCTGGGGTAGAAGCGAGCACGCGACCGGCTCTCGCGCATTGCAGATGCGTGTCGTGCGGCCCCCGCGGGCTGCTGCATGTTGATGAGAGTGGCGCTGTCTGGGTGCCTAAGCAGGTGATTTTACCTCGTGGCTGTTACTTGCTTCTTTGTGGCGTTTGGTGGCGGGAGAGATGTTGTCCTGGAGCAAGTTTTCTGAGACATGGGCTTACCGCCTTGCTTTTGCTGGGTGGCTGAGACAAAACCCACCTGTCTTATAGGGCTAAACATCCCGTGGCAGCATGGCTTTCATTTATTCCACTTCAGGTCCTTTTTTCGCGTCTGTTCTCGCGCTGGGACAATGTGCAGTGGGACAAGTAACGCGTGCATCGTACCACGTGGAGAGCCCTGTCCCATGCGCTCGGTTGCCTCGATGCTGCTGCTGTTCATCACGGGGATGTGGGAGAAGAGGTTTGTGTACCGTGGTACACGGAGCTTGTGGGTTAATGTTGGAAGTTTGTGGGGGTAACGACGAATGTAAGCATGTTGTTTAAACTTTTGCAAATCTTGGTGAACATAAAGTGTATACACGGTACTTGGGATCGCATCGCAGCCCATGTTCGGATGCAGTCACATCGGCTGCTACGCTGATATGCGCACCCGCGAATGGCATCGCACGGAATTTGCGATGCCAACATCAGTTGCATCTGCTGTGTACCCACCCCTTAATGCTTATGCTATATTGCCCGTTCCGACCTTTAATTTGCAAATTTGCACACTTGCGAAAGCCCAAGACTATGGCACCGCCCATGCCAGTATGGATGATAATGACTGCACCCGGGCCTCTCTCCGTGTCTTTGTCAGATAACGATAAAACACCGACGGAACGGATACAACAACGGATAACCGCCACCCGGCGACCCTCGAAATGAACGCTAGTGAGCCCAGGCGAACGGACCGGCCGTTGGAGTCCCTGCCTCGTGGCGCGGGGGAGATACACACTTCGCGTTAGAGGAACCGAGCCGTGGGTGCAGATCCCGCAACAGGGGGGGCCGCATGTGCCAGTGCAGCCTCAAATGCCATGGCAGTGTAGTAATTGTGTACTACACTGCAATTATTGTGGCGGCAGCTCGGGTGTCAATGAGGCCTGAGATGTGCGTGACGAGAGCCACATCGCGGTAAGCGGTACAGAACCACCAACATGAGGGATGAGTGATGGAAGAAAAAGGAAAAAAAGCTTGTCACGGGTCGGTTTTGCGGGGGAGATCCGGTGTGACGGTTATCTGGGGAGGCAGGCTGGATCGAGTTGCTACCTCGCAAAACAAAGTATTTTTGGGGTTTGCGGAATTTTATTGACACATCTCCGAAGTAACCCTCGACTTTAGTGTAGATCGAGTCGCGCCGGGCGTAACGTCAGGGTCAGAGTAACGTCGTGTTGGGAGCGACCCTGAGGTCAAAGCTAGTCCGAGGTTAAAATTGATGTCGGGCTCAGAGTTACGGTTACGCTTCGGCGACCCTGAAATCTGCCTCGTGAGGCATTACTCGTGTGCGTGCTAGTCTATTTGTTTTGTATACCTCGAAGGCAATTGACTGGATGATTCTCAAGTTTGATTAATGGTTACTACCTAGGTCTGGGCCTCTCGGCAGCTATCCCTGACCACCCTTCAGCCGCCCTGCGCTCTTAGCCAGCCTTGAATCGGCTCGCCGCAATATGCGGCATCTTTGGGAGGTTGCACAGCTGGCTAACCGATGTCACAATCCTTGTAGGATGGCTTATCGTTTTGAAGGAGCCATTCCGATGAGCAGTCCAACCCCGGCCTCAAGTGGGTGTAGGGCTTGTCCAATACATCGGAGGCGACGCTGTCACTCTTTCTCCTGCCGTTGCACTTCTGCATGAGCGGTCTCTCCATCAGATGATCACCACGCTGCAAAGACCGCGACTGAATATTCAATTCCCATTATTTCTCGTGCCCATTTGAGTAGTAGACTGTGCCCTGATACAAGACATTGTGAGACGGCAGTGACTAGGGAGAGCCCGTTGGAGCCTCTCATCGTGCATCACTCGTGAATGGCGTGAGTGGAACGTATCGCGTAAATCGTCACGTAGACAACGTATTGTCGGTCCCTTTTTCGCGTCGAGTACCGGTTCCCAAGCTTTTCTGGCTTGATCAACTCGACGTCTCATGACTTAGACAAGCACAGCCAGGACGCAGAATGACCCCAGCACCACCATGCCGAAGGTATCGGCCGCTGCGGCCACAGCACTTGATGATGTCGACCCAGATGATGAGGATCCCGCGGATGATGATGAAGCCGTTGAGGAGCCAGAGCCGGATCCCGATCCCGACCCTGAACCCGATCCAGATCCCGAAGCCGCTGTACCGGTAGCTGACGAGCCCGATGAACCCGACGCGCCTGTCCCTGTCGCGGTCGCAGTTGCGAAGCCAGAGGAATCTGTCTTTGACGCGCCAAGTTGTCCTCCTGGGGCGCCGCCACTACCAGGCAACGCGGTGTTGCTTCCCTCGGACGTTGACACGGCCTGGGCGGTTGGCGCACTTTCAGACTCGCTGCTGCCACTACCGCTGCCGCCACCATTTCCTCCACCACTTCCTCCATTGCCAGGCGTGGGCGTGGCCGTAGATGCCGGCGATGGTGTAGCGTCGCCTCCTGCCGCCGCCGCGGTGGTCGGGGGGAGAATAGTTGTGAAGCTCGAGGTTGCCTTGACGTCCACGCAGTTGCGGTCATAAAACAGGAACGGGCTGTTAGACTGTTCGCGGAAGTTGGAGTCTCTGTTTCCCGTGGTCAGTGTTTGTGTCTCATATTAGGCAAGGTGAAGGTGCATAGGGTTCAACTTACAGTGGTGATGCGTATAGGAGACATTGAGAGGAACCGAAGGCGAAGCTCTGGCACTTTGTGTCTGACTGGCAACGGGCTGAGCAGGTGTCGAAGGTGGCAAGACTGCCATCGCCGCTGTAGTAGTAGGCCTTCTCGCCTTTGTCGTAGCCACTGGAGAGGCCGCAGGTGATTTCACATGTGGCAGTGGAGACGAGGCCGAAGTAAGTAATTGTTGAAATCTTCATGGTGACAAGAGCAATAAGGTACTGGTGTGTTGAAGATAAGAAGGAGGAGTATTAGATACAATATGTAGGGATTGAGTTGTGAATTAACTGTTCCGATAGCGAGCGAACGAAGATAAGCGAGCGAATTGTTGGGCTACTAAGCAGCAATGAAGAGATATAGTCCGACTGAGGGAGAAAAAATGGGCACGCGAGGAGATCATCATGGGCTGTTGGCGTTATATCAAGGGGCACTGGGAAGGTTAAGCGCAAATGAGAAGAATAAACCAGGCATGGTTACCCAAGATACGAGGGTCGAAGTATCGATGTATCGCACTAGATCAATGGGAGGCAGAAGGAGAAGAAACTACCAGCCTTCATGGAGGGTGACTGCAACGACTGATACGAATGCCACGGCTTGGGTCCAATCAGTGATACTAAGGTTTGGGTTGCAATCTCCGCTGGGGCCTGGGTCTTGTGTCCCACGATCCTTGGCCGTCCAGGGTGGCACACCCAAGTCGGGACTAGCGGCGCGGATAGGCACGCGCTTCATATCGAAAGACGGTCACGCTTCATGCACGAGACCCTTCATCATAAGCTTAAAAGCGCAATAATGGCGTGGTCCTATGGAAAGGTTTTTCTCTCCTACTGCTGTTCCTCGGCCTTGGCTCCGATCCACTCAGCGTGTAAACTACATGACTGACTGGCTGGATTTTGGTGGATCCAGTACGCGATGCGCAAGGAATCTAAGCATTTACTCCCGCGAGAATAGCAGCCGAGGAAGGCCAGACTAGGCACTGAGTTCAATTTTGTACTAAAACGCGGCCGACTAGTCGCGACTAGAAAAGACCAACCGCGGAGCAAAACCTCTTTCCTAGCATCATGATGATCTTACCCTGTGGCGATCCCGTCCAGTCAAAACTAAGTTTCTATTACTCAAGCGCCAGTTCTGACCTCTGATCGTTGTGCCAGGGATGCGAACAGGCTCCGGAACTCAGGAGATGCCAGTAACCGCTGCTCAGGGGGTTAGCCGTCCTGCCGTCCTCCGCCGCTGACTCCCCGTCTGCGACTCCAAGAACCAACTCCTGCAAGCGTTGACCCGCCTCTTCTCCGCTTGTCAACATGGAACAGCCGAACCCCTCCTTTTGATGAGTTGCCTTACTTTTTCAACTGTGTGGCTTTCATTCAGGATCGGCTATCGGCCTTGGACATCAAGGCAAGTTCCGGCGAGAAGCAACAGATTGAGGAGGCCAGCGCGAACAACACACCTCGCATTTCTACTGACAACACCTTGGGCGGAATCTGAACGCACCCTGTTCCTGCATGCACACACGTCGTGCTCTGGGCCTGTGAATCTGGAGGGCTGCAGCCATAATTGCAGAACCAGAAGAGTCTTCCCCCGTATTCCACCAGCAAAAACTGGTGACTGGAGAGAATGCAGAGTCAGCTGTTGCTATCTCGCCAAGGGGGGTCTGCATTAGCTTGCAGGTGGCTGCATAGTTGACAGTTGATAATGCCCCTAAATGGTCACCCTCCATCACGGTGAAGCCCAGGCATGGATACGTCCAACCAATTCTCCAAATAGCCTGGGCGCTATACAAGTCAGCCCGCTTTTGGGTGGGAGCACACCAGACCAAATCCCCTTTTGGGGAAGTCTGGTTCGCCTAGTCTGGATGGGCATCGAATGTGGGCAGCCCGGCAGCCCGGTTTGCTGGTGTGCTGGCGGCTATCGTGGGCTAGTTCTTTAACGGTGCGGTTCTGTGCACGCGGGATTGTGACTCTGATTCGGGCCTTCAAAACTGCCTGCGCCCCCCAACACGAAGTGGCAATGGCACCTCTGAGCGGTCCGGCCGACGGCATTCGATAGACACACCGCAGCGGGCCAAGAACCTCGGGACGTCGAGAGTCCGCGTGCGTGTATCCGGCATGGGATGGCTGCGCCGGAACAGTTCTTGAGAACTTCGAGGGCTAGTAGCTTCTAATAATACACTGCTCTTTGTTCGTAAGTCTCGTCTATACCTGGCTCCGGATAATGCGCGCTTCCGCGTCTGGTCCGCTTCCAAATGTGCTTCAAGGTGAACATGACAGGACAATGACGTGAATACCGAGCCCCGTCCGGCTTGTACTACTTGTGGAAGATAACTAAGAATAAGTGCACACGATCTAGCTATCTAATTCCAATTAATCGTCAGAAACTCTTACCATAAGGGATTGTTCTAAAAAAAATATGGCTGATCATTTCAATATTCTTGACACCACACGCAAATGCAAGCATTCGCTTTGGACACATGGTGACTTCATGCGTAGCAGTTCTTGCTTGTTCCCACAACCCATCAGGTCCTCGTCAAGTAACAGCCGAGCATTACTAGAAGTGCGAACAGAGGATGCATACATATCATACTTGCCAAAACTGGCACAAGAGCCTCAGAAGAATTCCACGTAAATTGCAGGGCCCTATCGCCTTGTGGGCCCATATTTGCGCTGGCCACTTCGTCGAGCTCAAAACGCACGATAACTAGGTCAGATCTGACACGAGCCTGTAACAGCGGAGTGATGAGTGTCGATGAATGTGATCAATCGGTGTGGCTGCAAACCTGTCAGTTGTCTACGCAGCGCATAGGGTCCGCTCATTAAAACAAGATATGGTGTCTAGGTAGATGTGCTTTGGCGGCATTCCGCGCGGCATTCCGAAACTATTTTCAGGTAAAAAATAAAAAGAAATGTAATGCAAATCCTTTAATACCATTGTTGAGAGTACTTCAGCGGCCGATTTCTTGTTGTAGGAGGGAACTGGTACACTTGGTGCCTCGTATAGTGTTTTCGAGGCCAGGATCTTGCCTGTATACCATTTGTTTTTGGAGCCGCTGGGTCTTTCATAATGGCTATGTGTTGTGTAATTCTCCACCAAGAAGAATCATTTCAGACTATTTCAGAAATGTTATGCCGCTGTGTGGAAAGACATGCAGATCCTTGTAGGGCTCCCAGGGATGTGAGAGGCACTCGCAATAATTAACAAATAGGATGAATACATCAAGAAAAAGTGATGGCTTGACTTGGTCTCTGCTTACAGTCATGTGCAAGCGACGTCAGACCGAGCTATACCATGGACTTTGATCAGCTTTGTCTCTCAAAGCAGCAACATTAAAGTCTCATCTAGGCGCAAAACGGGTATGCTGCGGGTTAGAGGGGAACAAGGCTTGTCTATGATGGCATATACTGGAGTTTGGAGCAAAAGGCCCCTTATTTGATTTAGAAGAGCTGTATTTGCTGAAGTAAACTCGTCCTATGTAAGTAAAACGACAAATTTCCCTGCGCAGATTCCTGGCCCCCATCTCTTCCAACCTCGCAAAAATGTAAAAGCAATTCACCATAACAAGTGTCCACAAACGAATACCTCTCAAATTTTTCTCGAGTGTGACTAGGAACTGACAGGCTTAAAGCTGCTTTGTTTCTCATCTATCGGATAGTGGAATCCGCGAGGTATCGGATTCTCGGCCACGGGAAGGCTGAACACGCATTTTGCTCAGATCCAAGAACCGTGGAGTCAAGACATGCTGCTCTACGGAAACAGCGGAATCTCTGGGATTGTCAAGCTAGTGCCGTGCGCTTCACACTTTTTTGACAGTCTGTCAAGGAAGACCGGGCCTGGCTGCTCCAAAAGAACCAGTTTGAGTTCTCTCAGCCCCTTGATCATGGGGAATTCTCTGACGACTGCCTCGGATTTCTTAGGTTTCTCCGCTCGACCTGGTAGCCAAACCAATTGCCGCCTCGCAGCATTAGGGACCAAATGAGAAAGGCTCGTCCAGTAGCCGGGTTCCTCAATCAGCGTGAGATGGGTCAGATTCCAACGAAATCGTGAGGTCTGTTGACTGCGCCACCGCATCCACCGCATCCACCTCATCAGCTGCTGGCGGTATTGCGTTCCGGAGGAATAGTTCCAGTATAATCTGGTGATGCCAACGGTCAAGTGTGTGATGGCTGGAATTGCTGAGCGCCTAAATCTGTCCCAGCAGGTAAAGTTGTTCCAGTAGGATGGCATAGGCGGTGCAAGGTCTCCGACCCAGGCAAGATGAAGATGAGGCAGCATGTCATGTCGTATTTCTTTGACTCGCAGGAGGGCTTTAATGTGAGGTGGAAATGGGATAGAGTTCACATCGTGACCGAAAGCCCTAGAAAGGCTGAAACGGTGGTATCGTATTGAAAACTGGCCCTTGCTGTAGGGGATGCCAATACATGATGATGGGGTGCCAATTTTGTAAATTTGGATCCTAATCTCGGCTGGAAGTGACATGAATGGAAAGATAGATCGCTTTGCCAGTAAGGCCAATCTTTCGGACCTTCGTGGTTGTGGCGCCAGTTGTTTGGATGCCTCACGTTCCGATGTCTGTTTTTTCGATGCCAGTAAGGCCAATCTTTCGGATCTTCGTGGTTGTGGTGCCATTTGTTTGGATGCCTCACGTTTCGATGTCTGTTTTTTGGATGCCAGACGGCTTGATACCATTCGTGTTGATGCCATGTTTCAATGATGCGGCTTACTGTTGTGTGATCAAAGCACGTATGCGAAATGTCGCGATATGAAGATGTTGAAATATGTAGTGGCAACTGAGGCATGTGTAAATTTTTAGATGATCAGATCCTTTGGTTTTGTGTGGCCGATATGTTCCTTGGGTCCATTCTAAATAGTGAGAAGGTAGTTTAGCTAGTCTGATGCGCCAACATATGCAGACTCCGATAGTTCTGTATTTTGGGAGTGTGACCAGGCACCGGTACCTTGTGATTAGCAGAAAACGTTGTGTCTTCTCCAGCTATGTGCGCACATTTGGTAATTTTACGCCGTGACTGCAAAAAGAAAAAAGGTCATTCAGTTCTGATTCTAAGCTTAGCGTGCGACGGAGGATTGCTATCTATTACTCTAGAATGCCCCCATGACTATCATTTACCTCACTAGCCTTATTTTCCCAGCTTAACTTGCTGGCTTAACTTGCTGGATCCGAGATTGACTGGAGGCTTTGTACCTACTAATGTACGCTTAACACGGGTGTCCGTCAAGGTACTTTTCAGACTCAGCTCACATTTGAAATTCAGACCCTCGGGGGCAGGTTGTGTCCTGAGGTTACCATTAATTGACGTGTTAATTAGTGCTCAAGTCGACAATGGTCCCGTGAGACTACTAAGGTCATATCTGTTACTTGCATTTATCTGCTGTAATTGCTGACTTACTTCGTCGGTCAGAAATCTGTATGAAGCTATGTTGATGGGGCAGATAGGTTGCAGTAGTAGTGGGCAGTTTTTCAATCCCATCAGGTCTCTTTCCACGTTCCCCAAACGATGATACTGAATGTAAGCCAGCCATTTCTTCCAGTCACGCACGCTACACAACTGGCATGAATGAGCGCACTAATGCTAGACCGAAATCAAAATCCATAGACCTCACCAACAAACCTAGCCACCGTCTACAAATTCTGTCAGCTTATCCCCCAGATTCTTCTCAAACTCCACACTTGTCTGCAGCCCAGCCTTAGCCGTGGCTACGATGCGCGCCACAACGACTGGGTTGGTAAAGCCGGCCTGGAATGCCTTGTAGCTCTCCTGGAACTCAACGAGGGTGGGGAAACCGCTGCGTTCGTTGATGATACGCTTAGCACTGGCGATGCCCTGACGGTCCCAGCCCGCAACGCGGCGGGCAAATGTGTCGACAAAAGTCTCGAAGTCGTCGTCTGGGATGGCACGATTTATCCCTAGATCGTTTTGTCAAAGGAATTGACTCGTAACAGAGTAGGAAAGGATGCAGGAGATAGAATCCTCGCTAGGACAAGAACGAATTTCCAAACGAGTGGGACTGTACATATTGAAAAGCGAAGCATGTAGAAGAGCTTTTGGGGAAAAGATTTCCATGAACTTATACAAAGGGTACTTGAAGGAGAAAATATTTCACGGAGGAGCGTTGGAAAAGTGATATATCAAATTGCGGCATTTGAATGCAGACCAATCTGTGAATCAAGACGTGGAAAGAGGTACGAGAGAAAGAGGGACATACATCCGTATGCAGCAGCCGTCTCAGAATCCAGATCGTCAGCCCCAATGACGATCTCAAGAGCTCGAGAACGGCCAGTCAACCTGGGTAAAAGTTCTAACCCGCCGCCGCCTGGTATCACGCCTGGTGAATACCCAATGAAAATCAGCGTCGTTCCTTTTTATAGTTGAGTGGTTTTTGGGACCTGTCCATTTCCAGGCAGGGGTCTATGCGAGCAAGCGAATAGGCAGACAGCAACATACCAAGACCGACCTCAGGCTGACCGAACACGGCCTTCTCCCTGCTAGCAAACCTCACATCCAAGCAAGTAGCGAGCTCTGCGCCACCTCCACGGGCTATGCCTCGTATGGAAGCGATGGTTAGAACAGGCAGGTCGGCAAGGCGCGTGATGTTGCCCCAGTAGCTGGCTGACGCGGTTGCGGACGAGGTCGCATTGCTAGGCGGGGTGAGTACGTCGAAATGACTGAGCCAAAAGTCCGGAACAGCCGAGTCGAAGACCACAACTTTGACATCCGGGTCGCTCGCGATGCGGTCGACAAGGGCGAAGAAGTCGAGGTAGAATGCGGTGGTTTGGATGTTGAAGGGCGGGTTGGAGAAGCTGGCACGCCAGTAGGAGGAGGTGACCTTGGTTGTGACGATGAAGGATGAGGCGGAATTGTTAGTGGGTATTGCGGCGGCGGCTGCCAGACCAGCGAGGGAAATGAAAATGTACCAATATGGACGCATTTTTGCGATGGATTAAAGCCTCAGATACTTCCACCACTTTGTGAGCAGAATTCTCGGGTAGGACACCAATAAGAACTAAATTGCAAGGGCAAAAGCATTCACATCATAATCCGGTTAGGATGCTAGGTGTAACTCGGAGGTCCAGATGTTGAAGGATGCTGGCGCCGTCACCGAATGCCGGCGAATCGGTCTTGTCATCAAGACTCAGAACAGCCCACAAGACCGAAATGACAAGCGAGTTAAATATATTCCAGATCAGGAAACTGAATCTCTGAGTACTGGAGGTCCATAGAAAGCATTCAATCACATCGCCCGAACACTGAAACCAACCAGCCCACCATGTTCCGCCTCTTCAAGTCCGACTTCTTCAACTTCGAGGCGCTACGGCTACTCAGCTTCACGGCACACGAGGGAGGCGAGGTTGCCGAATTCATGGCGGCAGTGGGCCAGATCACGGATCTCGACCTAGAGAGCTGGTACATGGTCTGGATCGAAGCAGCATCCAAGGCCGAAGAGTTGGCACGGGAGGCGGAGCTATCGGGAAACCGTGTGGCCGCGCGACGGGCTTTCTTCCGGGCGTCCAACTATCAGAGGGCGGCGCAGTTCATGCTCGACGGCCGCAAGGCAGCGACTGGTCAGGACCCCCGGATGCTATACGATTCTGAGGCGGCCATCTCCAACTTCTGGCGCGCTGTCAACCTCATGGACTCGTCGGTGCGAAAGCTCGAGTTGCCCTACTCGCCCTCTGGCTCCGACGACGACATCATCAAGCTCCCGGCGTATCTCCACCTGCCGCACCCGTCCAAGCGGCGGGCGGGCACTCATTTGCCGCTCCTCTTCAACACGGTGGGCGCGGATGCGACGCAGGAGGAAATTTTCTACATCTTGCCCATGACAGCGCTGGAGCTGGGATACGCGGTGCTCACCTTCGAAGGGCCAGGCCAGGGCATTGTGATTCGGCGACACAACATACCCTTCCGCCCCGACTGGGAAACCATCGTCAGTACCGTCATCGACTTCACCCTAGCCTACCTCGACAGCCACCCGGAGCTCCCACCCATCGACAGAGACCGGCTCGCCCTAGCCGGCTCCTCGATGGGCGGCTATCTCTCGCTGCGAGGCGCCGCCGACGCACGCATCAAGGCCTGCGTGGCCATCGACCCCTTCTACCGGATGTGGGACATGCTGAAAGGCCGCGTGCCTGACTCGGCCGCCCAAGCCTTTGCCGTGGACAGCGTGGTGCCAGAGTCGGCGTGGGACGGGTTGTCGGCGGTGCTGGGCTGGTGGAACGTGCAGACGCGGTGGGAGTCCGGGCTGACGAGCTGGATGCTCGGGGCGAATTCAACGGCCGACATGTTCCGGCGCATGCAGACGTACACGCTCGAGGGCCACCTGGCACGGGTGCATTGCCCCGTGTTCGTGACGGGCGCGCGCTTCTCGTTGTACTGCCAGCCCGAAGTCAGCACCGAGCGAATCTGTTCCGAGCTGATCGGGCATGGCAACAAGAACGTTGTCAAGTGGATAGCCGAGGATCCTGGACAGGGAGGATTGCAGTCCAAGGTTGGCGCTTTCACCGTGCTCAACCAAAAGATATTTGCCTGGCTGGACGGTGTGTTCGGGATTGATCGCAAGATCCAGGCCAATAACGAGGTTTAGATCGAACTGCAGTGGCATAAGCGAAGGAGGCTCAAACAAAGGGATTCGGCGATGCAATGGTAGATGTATGTAAGTAAGCAAGGATGGTATTTGCCTCGGTTCGGCGTTGGGTCAAGCTGCAGTGATGTTTAATTATGTAACATGTTACACCAGCAAGGGCTGACCAATAGCCTCGTCGCCGAAGAATGTACGTACTCTTACGCGTATTGTATGTATTCTTACTATTGGCGTCTATTGTCTCCCTGTAGCCACTGGTCAGTTGCATCGCCGAATTATTAATGAGGACCTACCTACCTTGAGACAAAGGCTTGGACAAGCCGAGGCATGATATTCCGCAAGCATGCAGGCGAACAGGTAAGCAGGTAGGCAAGCAGACAAACAAAAACAACACAATCCTACTAATATCAATGTGTTCACAAACCATGATGGATTGGTGATGGTAGGTGACAGCATCGGCCTCCTTCTCTACTTGCCACCCCTTGACAACTTCTCCCTTCATTTCTGTCATCCATCCTTCCTTACTCTCACAACATGCCGCTCACCCAGCCAGAATCAGAGCCACAACAGACCATCACCGAGGCTGACCAGCCGGCAGCCAAGGGTTGGAAGTTCTGGGCCATCTTCCCTCCTCTATGCATCGCGACACTGCTCGTCGCCCTTGAGTCAACCGTCACATCCACCGCCCTGCCCATCATCGCAGCCGAGCTCAATGCGGGTGACAACTATGTATGGTTCCTCAATGGCTTCCTCCTGACGGCCACTATTTTCCTCCCTCTCTATGGCCAGTTCGCCGACGTCTTCGGCCGGCGCTGGCCCACCATCGCGGGCGTCGCCCTTTTTGCACTCGGCAGCGGCATTAGTGGAGGCGCCAACTCGGCAGCCATGATGATCGCCGGCCGCCTGGTCCAGGGTGTCGGCGCCGCGGGTATCAACTCCATGACCCAGATCATCATTGGCGACCTGCTGCCTGTGCGCGAGCGCCCCAAGTACATGGGCATCGTCTTCGCCGTCTTTGGTGTCGGTACCGCTATAGGGCCGCCCATTGGCGGCGTCATCGCCCAGAATGGCGACTGGCGCTGGGTCTTTTACCTGAACCTGCCCGTGTGCGGAGTCACCCTCATCATGCAGCTGTTCTTCCTCAAGGTCGTCTATGTGCGGCGCTCGACCTTCCTGGCCCGCATCCGGCAGGTCGACTGGGTCGGCAACGTGCTGCTGAGCGGCTCCGTTGTGTCCATCCTAATCGCGCTGTCGTGGGCCGACACTCGTTACCCTTGGAGCTCATGGCACATTCTCGTGCCGCTGATTCTGGGCTTCGCCGGCCTCGTTGGCTTCCACTTGTTCGAACTGTCCCCGTGGTGCCCAGCGCTCCCCGCTATTCCCCCACGTATGTGGTTCAACCGCACCAGCACCGTCGGCCTGGTCCTCAGCTTCCTCCAGTCCATGCTCATCTACTGGCGCACCTACTTCCTTCCACTGTATTTCCAGGCCGTTCTCCTCACCAGCCCCTCCCGCTCCGGCGTGCTCCTCCTGCCGACCATCCTCATGGGCATCCCCGCGGCCATCCTCGGCGGCGGCGTGCTCTCAAAGACGGGCCGCTACAAGCCCATCCACTTCTTCGGCTTCGGCGTGACAGCCCTGGCCACCGGCCTCTACATCGACTTTGACGCCCACTCGTCCCTGGCCAAAGTCGTCTTGTATCAGCTGGTGTGCGGTCTCGGCGGCGTCCTGCTCTCCGCGATGGTCCCCGCCGTGCAGGCCGCGCACCCGCAGGCCGACGTCGCCGCCGTCACCTCGGCATGGAACTTCTACCGCGCCTTCGGCTCCATCTGGGGCATCGCGGTTCCCGGCGCCATCTTCAACAGCCAGATGGCGCGCCACGCCAGCAAGATTCTCGACATAGACCCCGCCGTACAGGCGGCCATTGGTGGTGGCAACGCCTACGCGCACGTGTCCGACGTCTTTGTCAGGTCGCTGCCGCAGCCGCTGCGCGGCGAGGTCATCGCCGCGTATGAGGCGACCCTCCGCACCGTGTGGGAGGTGAACCTGGCTTTTACCCTGCTCGCGTTGCTGTTGGTCTTTGTTGAGGCTGAGATCCCGCTGCAGACAACGCTCGAGTCATCGGATCATCAGCTCGACAGTGGGAAAAAACAGGAGGACAAGGAGGCTGGGTTGGTGACTCCGCCTTCTGCATCAGACGAGAAGTAGAGCATGCATATGTGTCCAAAGTAGCGACTAAACAAAAGTCATCGGGGATCGCTGTGTGTGGGGAGGGGGGGGGACGGGGTTGACAGACGTGCACCTAAGCATTAACGAGCTTATACTTCCCCTTGCGCTCGCGCATCAGATTCGGGTGCCGAACGCACCCGGAACTGTGTACCTAGGTATCCATGTAAGCAACGGAAGATAGGTATGCCCTAGCCCCGGCCAATGTATGTGTATTGTGGTCACGAGGGACAATATCAAATTGGGCTGAGACCGTCAGGAGACTCTGAGCACTAGGGCAATTAGCGCCAAAAGAAAATTTAACGCATACGAGACTTACAACTGCTTATGGAATTTATTTTGTTTCTAGTACCAAAACTGCCAGGCAAATACTCGCGTGGTACTGGTCAGCTTAGTCGTGACGAATGTCACCGAAATTGGAAGTGACTTTTGACGGTACATAGCAAGAAATCTAATGCACAACTCAACTACGTATTGCTGGGCCCATGTTTTGTACAGCCATTTGCCTCTGTCCTAGACCACAAATCGTCGACTGGTCTTCAGATCCCGCCTAATGTCCCGAATAATCTGGTATGCTGCCTCCTCCCGCGTGGACAGAGCCTGCAGCGAGACCTGAGGCACCTGACTCGGTTGGGACAATATCGCCGCCCCGCTGCTACGCCACGGCATCGCCCGCCGGCGCTCCTCCTCTTCCTCCTCCTTCTCCCACAGCCCACCGCCGGACGCCGGCGACGTGGACGAAGGCCCACGGATGATGGGCAGCATCAGCGCGCTCATGACGTCCAGGATCTCCTCGACAAGAACCAGCGTCATGCGGACCTTGAGGACGGGGTAGTCGTCCATCGGGCACGAGCAGGCTGCGAGGGTGGGCAGGGCGAGTAGAGGGAGCGGAGGGGCAGGTGAGGCGGAAGCAGCGCCGTCGGTTGCTGCTGGCGTCGGTACGCCGACGGGGCTGCTCCTACCGCCGCAGAGAAGTGTGTCGCGGATGGCATGCAATCGTTCGATGAAGAGCTCCAGCACGCGGATGTAACAGGAGCATATGATGAGCGTAGTGCCAGGGTCCAGAACTGGTGGTGTTTTAGATAATGCCGCGGTTATATGGGCTGTGGGCAGTTCGCGGATGCTGCTGGTGCTGTGCAGGTTGCGCAGGGCCTGGAGGAAGAGCATGGAGAGCACAACGGTCTCGTCGAAGTCATTGGGGGTGGCAGGGCTCTGTCCGTCAGAGGAGGCAGTGGCGTTAGTGGTGGCAGTGGATGCCGTCTGATTCGTGACCTGATTGGCGTGGTTGAAGAGACGCACGTTGATCTCAACCAGCTTCTGGAGCCACTGTCCGTCAGTCTGGGTGGTGGTACGAGGCCGATGCTGAGACTGTTGCTCCTGCCTCTGACTTTGACTACGGCTCGGGCTCTGTCTCTGGCTCTTGCTGGTCGACGTAGTCGTCAGACCTCTCATATTCCTGCTTGGGTAGTTGTCAAAGAATCCGGCTACTTTGCTGCTACTGCTGCCGCCGCTCACGGCGATGGTGGTAGTAGTTGCCGGCGTCACGGTCCCACTGAGGCTCTGCAGGATGCAGTATCTATTCTGATCGGTGTTGTTAAGGTTTGGGCTCGCATGTAGACTCTCAGGGGTCGTGGGTGAAGTTTGCAATAGCCCCAGACCCAGAGACGACTGGAAGTCGAAATCGCTTATCGAGAAGGCACTCGCAGTGCTCATGTTCCAGTCAACATCCACGGACTCGTCGCGGCCTGAATCATGCGAGACGATCCCATCCATCTGGCTGTTGTCCAGCGTCTCCGCGGCGCTGCCGCTGTCCATGTCGGCGCCGACGTCCTGGAAATGATGAAGTCCCGGGCCTCGCTCGACAGCAGGCGTTGACATCAGCTCGCGCATGGCGTCGTCGAAGCTGCTATCGCCATTGTTATTGTTGTTGTTGTTGTTATTATTGTTCGCCACCGCGTCCGGGAGGCGGATGTCTCCTCCGGCTCTTTCTATTTCCGTGTTGAGCATCGACAGGGCCCTGCCCGGCTTGCCCACGCTAGCATGGCCATTGCGCCTGTTGTTGGCCCGCAACGATGTAGTCGACGACGACTGAGACCTGGCCCCACGGTTCCGCTGCGAGGGGCTCGACGTACATGTCGTGTTTGCCTTGACACATCGCTCGCAGGAGCCGTTGTCGTGGCGCTGACAGCTGAGTTTCTGGCTGTGACAACGGTCACAGGCTCGGCGGAGGACTATCGGATGTTCTATTTTTCATGTTTTGATCTTCAGGGTCCAGTCTTTGTCACTAGCGTGCAAGGCAACGCTGTCAGGGAGCGGGGCTCTCGGAGGGTAACGTACGAGGCATGCCATGCGGCGACATCTCTTCCAGAGGCCTGCTGACAACAATCCGGAGTTCATATAACCGCCCACCTGATTTCAGAGCACAGAAACCTAGCGCTTGCCACTGGAAAAGAAAGATTGCTGGTTAGATAAGTGGTGCTTCTTGCCACGTTCAAGCATATATAAAAGGGCGTAGCTCGCGACTTGGCACGATGGCTTGTCACGGATAAGATTTCCGAACAGCCCGCGTTGAAGAAGGCTGTGGTGTCTTTGAGATATGAGATAAGGTATGCCGCTATCCGGGTCCTCGATGGCAACAATGACAGCAGCAGCCAAAAAGGTTCTTCCTCTCCTTTCGTTGGTGACTGGGCGTGCATATGGGATCCTCTTCCCCCACCTTTCGCGCAGTTCCGACACCCTGGGACCGCTTCCTACCACGTGCCTAGACAAACCAAAATCCTGGCAACCAACCGCGCCGCCGCCTGCTGACCAAACATGTATTACGACCTATCATTGGGTAAGTCGGATCTGTGTAACACGACATGTTCGACATTACTAAAGACGGGCTTACACGAGCTGACATTGCATGGTGACGTTCGACTAAACTAGCAGTCTCCATATGCATCTGCCATGGCAGGGAAGACCAGGGCCCTGTTGTTGAGAAGGATCAAGCATATTCCAGTCCTTCTTGGACTAGTCCTTTATGTAGAGGTATTATGATGCCTAAATTGGCCAATTTAGGAGACTGGTAGGCCGGAGATTACCCGGTCACAGGTAATGAGTGATAAATACCTGGACACATCCGGTGTGCAATATCAAGGGTAAAATCCTCTTAACAACATATCAAGAACTAGAATATTTTTATTTATTTCTTTCTTTCTTTCCAAAAACGAAATATAGCTGTACGCCAAGACCCTAGATCCGCGTCTAGGTACAGGTGCATACTCATAGGTAGGCAGCCCTCAGCGTGGGTAAGTTGGCTGCTCGTATCGAGCCTGACAATGAACACCATTCCGCGAACGTAAGCTGATTTGGGTGCCTCATGGGTGCAGTTGGCCCGCCCCCAACAGATGCTACGATACGGCACTATAGATTCGGGTTGATAGAAATATCATCGATCTGATACTTCGTAGCCTTTCGGCATTATTCCTTTGTTTCTGTCCGGAATACAGCCCGTCTGACTCCTGCTTTAAGAACATCCCACGTGTTTTCCAGCTAACGTAGCCGTGCTTACTCGGGTAATCCCTCTTTCTTCCGGATGATTAATGTGAGCTTTCAAGGCATCTAAATGCATATCATCAAAGCTTAATGGGTCAAAAGCCATTCCTTCAGCACGTGGAAGAAAGAGCGCTGATGTAACGATCTGGCCTGGGCCCAAGCCAGTTGAGAGACAGTTTAGTCTATTTGTTCTTTTGTGGCCTTTGGCCCCATGAGCCGTTTCCATATCGGCGACCCCTCCCTTCCAACGGGCTCTTGTACAAACAAATAGACTACTTTCTCGCGTCCACACTCTAAAGGGCTTCACCGACAGTTTCCCTAACGGCGTATTTTGTCAGACGGCGTGATTACGTTCTGCAGTCACCAAATAGTGTGCGGCGTGTGCGGCGTGCCCAGACGTAAGACGGGCAAATCTTGGATTGATACGAGTGGCTAGATGTGGCGCTTTAACTCAAGAAGGCGAGCACGCAATACTTGCTCAAGTGTAAACGGGCAAGACGCATGGCGAAGATTTGGAAGTTTATAGCATATGCATTGCCCCGATATACTTTGTACACTGCAGTATATACGCAGTCAAAAGACCAGGTGTTCGCCAAGTTATAGGGAATGAATTTCAGAGAGCCCAGTTTCAATTTCCCCTTAATCTCTGAACAGAAAGAAGAGGTGATCACGGTTCAACGAGCGACTTAGGTGCACCGGCCCAGCCGCAAAGCCAAGTCTTGGGGAGTCCACCCGAATGGCTCCAAGTTCCTCCAGGATTCTCCGAGACCCTGAGGCTGAGACCGGGCCGGTTGGAAGGGCTGCCACATCTGACTGTGTTGTTAATGTCAACGCAAACGGTTATGTATGAAAGATCCTCCAAACTTTCGACTCGATAAGGCCGAGGCACCCCGATAGACTCGGCGTTGTGAAAGCAAATGGTCAAGATGCTGTATCCACTCGGCGTTCCAAATGCAGTAGGTGAGAGTTTGTTTGAGTCATTGGCAACTTTGAAGGCCGAATAGGAAAGACTCAGATACGAATCAAATCAAGCAAAAAAAAGGATTGCCGAAGCTACGGGACTTTGTTACTACATCGTACGAGACTGACAGACATGGTAAACACAGTCCACCGTGAGACTGTCACGGCTTCGTGAGGAGTGGTTGATTAATTCAACTAGATCTCTATTTAAACATCAAGCCGATATAAGAAGTAGTTTGGTATTTTACTATCAGCGTGATCAATGAAAATCATTCAATCCCTTTGCCTACTCATCTACATCCCCGAAGCATCACAGCAAAAATGGACCTATCGCACTCTCAACAAGGCGTCCTGATTGCCCTCCTCCGAATCTTGCCTCTCGCCACGGCGACGACAAGCGGCGTATTCTCATATCTCTCGCATGAATACGTTGCAGGTTTCAAGCATCGCGACGTCACCTACGAGGCGCGCAGCGCCACTCTTCCTGGATGGTGGATCCACATCCGGCCCCTCAGCCTCGTCGTGATATGGGGCAGTTTCATCCCCAGCTTCATCCTCGGGGTCCTCAACGCCAATAACTCGACCATATTTGGCCTCCTCGGCGACGGAAGCAGGGGCGTTGTCGGTCCACTCGCTAGTCGTCTCTACCTCATCGGTGGGATAGTCAGTACGTCTTCCTCTTCGGGTTCCACAGTCTTTCATTCCCTCTAATAAGAGATGTGACTTTCCATGCTCACATTGAAATCTTGCTCAGGCATTGCTTACTTTGCTCAAACGGTGGCTCGTGGATTCGTTCCGCTCCAGCTGAATGTTATGATGGTGGCTAAGCAGCCGGCTGCCAAGCGGGAGGCTGCCTTGGACAAGTTCCTGCGCATGGACTTTGTCCGTGGCTGGACGGCTGGATTCCCGGTCTTTGTGCTGTTCCTGGCAGCGACTACCGCATGGGTCGCGGATCAGCTGTAATTGAATGTGCTTTCAAGACAACTCGCGATGTTGGAGATCCACCAGCACGAATGACAGTTGGCCAAATATGGTCTGCTTTGGTGGGCAGAAAGCATTTCAGGCGAATTTATTGGGTATAGGGATTATAAGGATTATAAGATGTCCGGGAAGAGAACATATGCTGGAAATTTTCTTTAGACTCCAAATTTAGAATGCATTCCAGACAACATACAATTTATGTCTTCGAGTTGCACAAATGACAACTGAAGCGTAGCTTCCCAAGCCATGCAATCCATATCCCAAAGTTTTCTATATAAATAGGAGGACACTTTTATCATCACTCGCACCTTTACTAAACGGTAATCAACCGATGATTTGTAATTTCTGCATTTGAAGATGTAATGCAAGTTTTCGCCACTAAACAATGTGTATTCTGCTTCGGTCCTCTCAGACAATCAAACCCAATATACTAATTTCTTGCCCTTTACCTGTCCCTTTCTCATCGTATCCAAACCTGAAGGAATAGCAGCCAGACCGCCCTTGCACACTTTGAGTGGATGTGTCCTTAGCTTTCCACTCGCGAGCAACCCCACCATCTTATCCGCCCAAGCCTCGCCATACGTACGATCTTCGGGCGTCGCATCACGATGATACGCACCCGCAAGCATTACCTCCTTGCCTAATATTGTCCATCCTAGGATCCAGTCATGCTGCACATCGCGGCGCCGAATCGTCAAGTTCCGTGGGTATTGCTCGAGCGCGGCATATCGACCTCCCGCATCCCCAATTGCCCCGTAGCAGAGCGCCATAGTGTCGGGCGTGCTGATACAATCCAAAGCCAATGCTAGCGTCCCGCGAGTAAAATCGCGTATGTCGTCGCGCACCGTGGCCGAATTGTAGTCGAACACTGCTACAGCACCGCGGTCGCGCGCCAGGTCGAAGCTTGCCGGCGAACACGTCGCGATTGGCGTGTAGCCGGCCATCTTGAGCATCTGCAGGGCGACCGTGCCCGTGGCCGTAGCACCGCCCTGCACTAAAACATATTCACCGCGGCCCTTTGCGCGGCCCTCGCCGTCGAGACTGAATTCGAGCCCCAGCGAGCGGAAGACAAAACCGACGGTAAAGATGCCCATGGGCAAGGAGGCGGCGGTGACAAAATCCATGGCGTCGGGAATGGGAACGCAGATGCCGGCAAGACTGGCCACGTACTGCGAGAAGGCACCGTTACCTGGATTGCCCGGGTTGGCACCAAAGGTGAAGCCAATGACGCGGTCACCAATCTTGAGCTTGGTCACGCGATCACCCAGGCGCACAACGGTCCCGGCCAGGTCGGCGCCCGAGACGGCACCGACTGTGGTGGACTGGTCGAGCAGCTTGTGGTCGGACGGGTTGAGGGCTACCGCGCCGACCCGGATCAAAACCTCATCAGGCTCGATGGCCGGTACTGGTACCGGTTTGAGCGCTAGCGCGCCTGGACCGGTGGCGACGAGGGCACGGTGGATTCGCGGGATCCTGGGTACTGGAGCCGGAACTCCATCTTGGACTGCCATGGTGACAAGGATCAAAATCCAATATATGAGGATTGGAATTATGCTGGATACGAGGGGACGAGGATGTGTAAGTCCATGGTGCTTCGAGGACGTAGGTACTTAGTAGATCATCAAATTCGATCGTCTTAAGTCGAGATAATTTTGGCTTGTTCCGAGTCAAAGACTATTCGCAGAAAAACATTGACTGGACACCGAAGGATTCATCGGAACTGAAAATAGTTGAGAAGCGTGCAAGCGAGGTGTGAGTCGGCGCTCGTTCTCAAGCCTTTCTTATTCAGTCAGACACCTCGGCGATCCTGCTGACAAGCCTCAAGGTGCAGTTTTGCAATGCTGGATTTTCGGTGCAGGCCAGTTCCGATCTTGGCGGATGAGTTTATTGTGCACCAAATGGCTGTCAGATGGATTCCACCATCCTGTCATGCAGCTCGCCTAATTTATCTAATACATCTGTGGATGACCCAATGTAGCTTCTGGACCTTCGCCGAACCACAAAACTCCGGCTTGGAATCGTAATTTTCTGAAAAGGGGATCGCGGCTTTTCGTCATAATACACTCATATGTCCACTGTAAAAGTCGTTAGCACGTATGACGAGGCTACCACAGGTTGGCCACACTCGCAAGACCATCTTTTGGGGGGCATAACTGTATTTGGGCTTCATGGTTTAGAAACTTAATCCTATCATGCTTAGAGGTGGACAGAAGTGATTATCGTAGACATATTAACGACATGATAACTTGAGATAGTGACTAATCTATAATTTTGTCCCACGAAAACGTTCCGAGAAGCTATCCGGTCATCAAAATTTGTGGTGGTTCCATTTGAGTAATTAATCACGGTTTTCAAGACCACAATTTCGGCATAAACTCTTCTCAATCCAATTCATTTTGACATTGTGAAGCATATAAATCGCCCCTTTGACGTATTGGAACATCTAGATCATCTGATCACCATAAAGCAGCACCACATCTATGACTTTCAAGCGGTCTAAAGCCGACGGGTCCGCTGAAACTACCGGCGGACTGGTGTGAGCGCTACCTGAACGCCATTGAAAGGACTGACAGTTAAATGCAATGATTCAGTCCACTGTTTAGGGTCTTTGGCCTCAATAAACTCAAACTCTTGCGCAAAACGCGTCAGAACCATCAAAGCCTCTGTTAGCGCGTACTGCTGTCCGAGACAGATACGCGGACCGCCGTTGAAGGGTAAATATTGCTGCAAACGGAAACATATCATATCGGGTCAGCAAAAGAACAATTTGACGTTGGTTTCGAAAGCATGGCCTCTAGGAAAATTGGAAGGCAGAACCACTTACCCAGCCATACGTCTGACCCTCCTCCCATCTCTCAGGCCGGAACTTATCAGCGTCGGGCCCAAATAAGTCCTGCCGCCGATGCATCGCATAGACCGTGTAGGTGATAGCACACCCTTTGGGAACGTGGACTGGTTCCTCGCCGTTCACGCCTCCTCCACGGGGAAGCACTGTGTCGGTTACGGCAACCCGCATGTTCGACGGCACCGGGGGCCACAATCGGAGGGCTGTGGTGAGAGTCAGAGGATACTGTCAACCACGCCCAGGGGAAGAAAAGGACAGAACAAAAAGGCCTACTTACTTTCATTGATACAATGCTTCGAGTATTTCAGATCCCGGAGCTGCTCATACTGCGGCCGCTCGCCGTTGAATTGCTTCACTTCATTTCGAACCTTGGCCCACATCTCGGGGTTCCGCGCCAGTGCATGGAACAGGCTGGAGAGCAAACTCGCCGCCGTGTCACGCCCGGCAATGAGAATGTTGAGTAGCTCGTCGCGGATTTTATTCTTGTCAGTGGTGGTTTGGGCAAGCTCCTTGAGAAAGTAGTTGCGGCTACCATTGGATTGCTCCTGGTTGTCTTCATGGTTGTCTAATTCGAGCGATGGCTTCTTCGCTGCTGCCAAAATTACAGCGTCATTCACGAAACGGTCCACGTAGGCGCGGCAGACCTTATGCGCCTCCAAGACGGCCGGATCGGTCCTGCGGAAGCGCCAGAATGGGCCGAGGCGGAAGAGAGTCGCGATCTCGTTAAGTGAGATCTGGAAAGCCTCGCTGAAGCGCTGCTCGGGCGGTCCCGGATTGCAAAGAGTATTGGTAGACTGGTTGAAGAGGAACTCGGTGGCGGAGTCGAGGGTGAAGCGCATGAATAGCGGCGCCAGGTCGACCGTCGTACCATTCTGAGGGCGGACCAGGCGCAGCAGGTCTTCGATGTGCTTGTCCACTAGTGACAGGTCGGCGACCTGGTCCTTGACGAAGTTTGGCCGCAGCACGGCGCGGGACTGAGACCATTCGTCACCATCGGTCACGAAGATGCCTCGGCCGAGTAGAGGTCCCATGATCGGAGACCGCTCGCCTAGACAATAATCCTTGAAGCGCACAGAAAGGACCGTTTTTATGTTCTCCGGATCCGTAGTGAAGATGTAGCGACGGCCCATGGACCGAGCCGAGTACGTAGTCCCGACTCTGGTGTGCCTCTCAGTAACCATATCGAGGAACCTCTTTGCCCGAAAGGAACTGAGGGCGGAGAACACCAGGTCCAGAGCCAATACAGGGTCTTTCTGTGGGTACGCAGGAGGGGATTTGCAGTGGTTTTCGATCCGGAACCTGCGCTCCGAGAAAAAGGCAGATGCGCGGGACGCAAAAAAGAGGAGAGCAATGACTGCCGCAGCAGCATAGGTCAACTCGGAGGGAGTCCTCGCCATTAGGATGGAGGAACTTGGTACACGGCTAGTCATCATGGACTGAATTGGCGAGGTAGCAAAGATCAGATTGAAATCAGCAGCAGATAGATTCAACATTGAGGTAGATGAGAGTGAGAGAGAGTGAACCGTAGAAACGAGACAAAGGGTGAAATAGTCAATCGGCAATCCCCGTCGAGCCACAGCAACCAAGTACAGTATCCTTTTACTTTTGTCTTTCAGCAGCTGCGACTCGCTTACCAAGCTTATAAAATAGCACAATTGGATATTTCGTTCATCTTATCGGCAATGATGATAGAGCTTGACCCATCGCCGAACGTGAGTCTAGACTTTGGCGTTGAAGGATCGACTGCACCATGTCAGACCCGAACCAACATGTGGGTAATCCATTCGGCGGTGGCGAGGAGCTGAACAGGTCTCGGCCCCACGGGCGAGGCTGACAGCAATTACAAGCAACCAAGAAAGATATTTGTATAGTCGGGTGATAATTTCTACATATTTGATGTGCTTGCAATTTCATAGCTACAGACCATGATATTGGACTTGGCTAGCTCTCTCGTCAGTTATTGTCATATGAATTCCAAGGGCAAAGAAGCCACCTAAGGATACATACCTAGGTAACATGGCCTACGTGCAGGCCACCTCAGAGCCCATCGCCATCATTGGCAGCGGCTGCAGGTACCCCGGAACCGCAAACACGCCCTCCAAGCTGTGGTCACTTCTCAAAGAGCCCTACGATCTATCCAAGAAGGCTCCAACCAGCCGTTACAACGTCGACGGCTTTTATCACGAAAATGGCGAACACCATGGCACAACCAACGCTCCTAATGCTTATTGGTTCCAAGAGGACCCTCGCCTATTCGACGGTATGTCTTTTTATTCATATCACATTCAAAGATCGTAGTGGTTTCCCTAGTAGTCTGACACTGAAGTTGTGTTCAGCCTCCTTCTTCAGCATCACCCCCAAGGAGTGTGAGGCTATAGACCCTCAGGGCAAAGTCCTGCTCGAGGTGGTATATGAGGCCATGGAGTCGGCGGGCCTCACTATCCAGTCGTGCACCGGCAAAAAGGTCGGCGTCTTCGTCGGCACCATGACTGCCGACTATGACTCACTGTGCGCAAAAGACGAGGTAACTGCAAGCCAGTATAGTGCCACTGGCACGTCGCGAGCCATCATCTCGAATCGCGTGTCCTACTTTTTCAATTGGAATGGCCCCTCCAGTAAGCAGCTTTTGGGTTCATTTTTTAATTCTTCAGGGAGAATCATCCGACAATCCCGTGGCCTGTTATACTGCTTGATTGAAAGCCTCTGTTAGGGCTGTAGTCTTGAAGACAAACTCTTGGAAAAGGGTGGCCAACTTCGACCTTATTTTTAAAAGAGCTTTTGAGTGAATCGGTGGCTAATTCTAAGTACTGCAGTGACGATCGATACGGCATGTTCATCCAGCCTGGTGGCCATGCATCAGGCCGTGCAGAGCCTTCGCATTGGTGAGAGCACCATCGCCTGTGTGGCCGGCGCAAACATCATGCTGGCGCCGGAGGCATTTATAATCGAAGCCAGCTTGCATATGCTGTCGCCGGAGGGAAAGTCCAAGATGTGGGACGCCTCCGCAAACGGATATGCCCGGGTATGTCGAATTGTGCCTTGTGTCTACTATTCTTTTCATTTCCTTGCCCGGGGGGGGGGGGGTCAATCTGAAGTTATTTCAATAAAATTAGAATACTAACCTTTGCGATACGAATAGGGAGAGGGCGTCGGTGTCTTTTTTCTCAAGACGCTCTCCCAAGCGTTGGCTGATGGCGACCAAATCGAGTGTGTAATTCGCGAGACAGGCGTCAACTCTGATGGACGGTCCAAGGGCATCACCATGCCATCTCCGGAAGCCCAAGCAGCTCTGATCAAAGACACATACAACCGCTCTGGCCTCGACCCGCGCGATCCTCTACATAGATGTCAGTACTTTGAGGCACACGGCACTGGCACGCAGGCTGGCGACCCTCGAGAGGCTGAGGCTATCCATACAGCCTTCTTCGGTTCACCTCCAGGCTCCGAGAGCGAGACTATGCATATGAGTCCATCGGCACAGGAGCAGCAGCAGCTTACCGTAGGGTCCATCAAGACAGTGATCGGGCACACCGAAGGTGCTGCAGGTGTAGCAGGGGTGTTGAAGGCGATGTTGGGTCTCAAGAACCGTCTCATCCCTCCAAATCAACACTTGGTGACTCTAAACCCGAGCGTTGCTCCGTTTTCTGCCCGTCTCAAAGTGCCAGTGGCACTCACGCCCTGGCCTAAAGCCCCGCCAGGGCAGCCACTTCGGGCGAGTGTTAATTCCTTCGGCTTTGGGGGTATATATATCACTCATTTTCTGTTGACTCTGTGGATATGAGCGCTGACAAGAACAGGAACAAACGCTCATGCCATTTTGGAGCGATATGAGCCGGGAATCCACGGCCGAAACATTTTCTCAGAACAGCCAAGCACACAACGCCGGTTGGAAAATAAGCACAACTCATCGCTCGGGTTGCCGTTTTTGATCTGCGCAAATACCGAACACGCATTAGTAAAGAGGGTCGAGGATTACCTAGAGTACATCAGAGCCAACCCGGACATAGATCTAGTCGACCTGGCCTGCACACTCGCTCTTGGCCGATCCACCTTGCCACACAAGGTAGCATTTCCCGCGTCTTCGCGCGAGGGTCTACTTCTGGCGATGGAAGCCAAACTCGAGACTGTCAAGTCGAAATCCGGTGCTGAGCTGAGCGTGCGCACCAAGGACGCCCGCCGACATAAGATACTCGGCGTCTTTACTGGTCAGGGTGCCCAGTGGGCGACCATGGGCAAGGAGTTGATGGATTCATCGCCGGTATTCCGAGACTCGCTTTTGAATCTGGACCAGGTTCTCAAAAGCTGCGCTGACCCTCCTTCCTGGTCGCTTATCGACGAGCTCGCTGCGCCAGCACAAGAATCCCGCCTCGGTCAGGCCGCACTCTCACAACCTCTCTGTACAGCCGTTCAAGTCGGACTTGTAGACCTTTTGAACGCGTCCGGCGTCCGGCTTAGCGCAGTAGTTGGTCATTCCTCAGGTGAGATCGGCGCTGCATATGCATCGGGCGCGGTGGACGCCCGCGAGGCCATTCTCCTTGCCTACTACCGTGGCTTTCATGCCAAGCTGGCGGGTGGCGCTGGGGCTGATAGTTGTAAAGGTGGTATGATGGCCGCTGGTATGGGTGTTGAGGATGCGCTGAACCTTTGCAGTGATGACGATCTCGTGGGCAAGGTCTATGTGGCAGCGAGCAACGCGCCAGCGAGCGTGACGCTCAGCGGCGACCTGGATGCCATTCAGAGAGCAAAGGAGCGTCTGGACGAGACCAAAAAGTTCAACAGGCTTCTGCAGGTTGATACGGCGTATCACTCGCATCACATGGATCGGTGCGCGGCTCCGTATCTGGAGTCTTTGGCAGCGTGTAACATCCGAGGCAGAATGCCGAGCAAATCCTGCTCCTGGGTGAGTAGTGTTTATGGACCGGCTGGTAGCCCCACCACGAAGGAGCTCGCAGGTCGGTATTGGAGAGACAACATGGTCCAGCCAGTCCTGTTCACAGAGGCACTGACCCGCGCACTGGCTGAGCATGGGCCTTTCGATGCCGCCCTCGAAATCGGCCCACATCCAGCCCTCAAGGGACCGGCAACGCAGACGATGCAGGATGTGATAGGGAAAGTGATTCCCTATGTGGGAGTACTCTCTAGGGGAAAGAGTGATCTCTCTGCCTTATCTGAGGCGCTGGGCATGCTGTGGTGCACTTTGGGAACGACAGCCGTTGACTTGAACGGCTATGCAGCGGCGCTCGGCTTGCCAGTGTCCCCTGGTTCCTATAGCATCATCAAGGACCTCCCACCGTACCCGTGGGACCACTCGGTCATGCATTACCGAGAGCCACGCGTCATGAGGCAGTACGTCCAACGACCGTCTGCTCCGCACGAGCTGCTCGGAGTTCGTACCCTCGACGACTCCGAGTCGGGTTTCCGCTGGCGGAATATCCTGCAGCCCGTCATGTTGCCTTGGCTGGTTCACCACCGCTTCCAGGGCCAGATTATCGTGCCTGCGGCAGCTTACTGCGTGATGGCGCTGGATGCTGCTCGTGCTTTGGCTGTCGATATGGATGCGGACGTGTCAATGTTCGAGGTGCGTGACCTTGTCATCACCAGCGCCATCACCATGCCCGACGACTCCCAAGGCGTCGAGACATTGTTTTCGTTGCAACGGGACACACGGCACAAACAAGCTGGCTCGGTAGTCGCCCACTTTATCCTCGACTGGAACCCGGTGGATGGAAGTCGCCCTGCTAAGCACGCTGTCAGCGGTACTATTGTGATACACCTAGGCACGCCGTCTGAGGGGGCACTTCCAAGTCGGTCTACCCAGGCAATAAGACACCAAGACCTCTTAACCAATGTGGACGTGGACGAGTTCTATGACGCTGTCAAGGAAATAGGATTGGGATACACTGGGCCCTTCCGGTCGGTGCAGGCGTTGCAACGGCGCATGAATTTCGCCACGGCCCAGCTGCAGAAGCCTCATCCCGAAGACACATCGGTTTTGCCAGTCCGCCCTGCCCTCCTGGACTCCTCCTTCCAGGCGGCATTTGCCGCCTTTTCTGCCCCAGGCGATGGTGCACTGTGGACGTCCTTCCTCCCGCAGACCATCGACAGACTGTGCTTCAACCCAGTCCTGTGCGATGTGGCCCCGGTCACTGAAGATGACGACCGTGAGACCCGCATCGTTGATGTCGAGGCGAACATTACACGGTTTACTCCCACCAGCCATAATGCCCAAGCCAGCTTTTCGGTCGATATCGATATTTCCAATTCCCGTGGCTGTATCGAGATTCAAATCGAGGGCCTCGTGGTCTCGTCCTTCGCCAATACCACGGCAGAGCATGACCGCGAGATGTATCTGCAGACCATTTACAAGCCCGACCCTTGGGACCACTTTTCTGTGTCGTTCCTAGACGCAGGCGTAACTATGGACGCTGAGTTAGCCGAACTTTGTAGTCGAGTCTCTCTCGCTGCTGATGCGGACAAAGAGGAAGAGGGAGCTATGAACCAGTTAATTGCCTCGAACCCATACAGACAGCATCTAGAGCTTTTGCGAGCCCTTGGAGGATCCTTTCCTTCTTTGGTCCCTGGCCTCATCCAGGAAATTCTGCAAGACAGCCTCGACATGTCACTGTTGCACCGTCGTCTCACGCACGTCGTCGACCAGATCAGCCACCGCTTCCCGGCCATTGCCGTCCTCGAAATTAATCTAGGCGGCTCAGCAACGTCACTTACGCAGAGCATCTGGGCCGGGCTCGCTGCCGCTGCAAGCTCGTATACGTATGCACACCCAGAGCACGTTTCGCCCCCATCCCTGACCCAAGGATTGAGCAACGGCCCACAGCCGCATAAATTCCGCGCTGTCCTACATGCCAATGACAAGTCCTTCTCCGAGCAAGACTACGCGATGAATACATACGATCTTATCATCGTCTCACAGGGCATCGGTGAGGACGTGGTGCGGGACATGCGTCAGCTTGTCAGGTCGGGAGGTTTCCTTATCACGGTGCAGGCCCAGGGTCAGTTCCTACGCGAAAAGATCTTGCACTCCCTAAACAACACCGCCAAGACCAACAACGTGATGATCCAGAATGAGATGCTTCCAGCGAAACTCTCTCCACAGACCTCCCGGGACTGCGGCTTTGGACCATCGCTACACGAGTACACCACACCCCGCGCCGGAATGTCATTAGTCGTAAGCCAGGCCGTGAGTGAAGAGACAGACTTCCTCCGCTCACCTCTCGACAACGTTTCTCTATCAGGCGTCCAGGGCACCGTTCTCATTGTCGGCGGTAAACGGCCGGAGACTGAATGCATCCGGGATAGATTGCAAGGGCTCCTTGCGACGTCCGAGTGCAATGTGACATCAGCACGCTCCCTCGAGGAAGCCAGTGCGGAAGATCTCAGGGGCCTGAGGGCCGCCGTCATCCTGGCGGACCTGGACGAGCCTGTCCTGCAGACTATGACCGATTCCAAGCTTGCGGCACTCCAGGTGCTCTTCAGTCCCGGCCGTTACGTACTGTGGCTCACCAGCGGCTCTCGCGCAGATCAGCCCTATCATACTGCCTCAGTAGGCATGTTGCGTACCGTCAAGGGTGAGACCCCAAAAATGCAGTTGCAGTTCCTTGACGTCGACACGCTGGCTGGAATTGAAGATGCCGTAGCCGCAGCCTTTCTTCGCCTGGCCTTCACTTTCGAGCAGGGACCGCCGGATACGCTGTGGACCGTTGAGTCGGAACTATTCCTCGAACGAGGTCGCACCTTCATCCCCCGGCTGCTTCCCATTCAGGACTCGAACGACAGGCTGAACTCGACACGTCGCGTCATCAATAGAAAGGTAAATACCGAGAAAACTGTTGTAGATCTTATTGTCGAGAAAGAAGCTGGCGAGCTGGTGTACAGCGCCAGAAACAGAGGACGACCCGAGGACCTAGTTGCCGTGGACCTCGGCGCCGAAGATACAGTCGTTGTCCGGATGCTGTATACCAGTGCCTGGGCCGTCTCGTTTGACGAGGAGACGTTCCTGTTCGTCGGCGTTGGAATTACACCCGCTGGGCGAAAAGTTATCGTCACTTCGCCCAGAAGTTCCTCGTGGATGTCGGTATCAGCTGCCTGGCTGCACGAGATCCAGCCATCCCTTGCTGTCAACGAAGACCGACTCGTTCCTCTCCTAGTCAGGACCCTTCTCGCTCGACGACTTATGAGCCTTAGCCAGCCTGGACCAACGGCTACGCATGAGGCAGACGGATCTTTTGCCTCTCTGTTGGAATGTGCGCAGCGCGGCCAAGAACACGAACATCCTATTTACCACACCACCATAGACCAGAAGAAGGCGGCTTCAGATGAGCGCTTCATCCTCATCCATCCTAGGTCCACACTACGGAGGTTACAAGACACCTTGCCCACCGAGGCTGGTACGCTCGTCGACTTCACCCTTGGCCCGACGTCAGCATCGTCGCTCGCAGCTAAACTATCCCACCGTTCACTTCTAGCTCCTAAGGGATCACTGGTCCAACTCATGGGTCAGGTGGACACACGAAGTGAGGCGGAACATTGCGTCGCGGAAGCCATCTCCGATGCGCAAGATCTCCTCACGAAAGCTGCGGCGCACCTGCATGAAACGGCCCCAGCTGTCACAGTCCATCGAGTGGTTGGACAAGGCACACAGCCATATTTTGGAGCGGTAGATTGGATCACAGATGCGCAGAGACCCCTGGTCCAGCGGATCCGTCAGATCGAGGCCTCGACCATCCTAAGCCCCTCGAAAACATACCTCCTGGTAGGCTTGACGGGAGACCTTGGGCAGAGTCTGTCTAGATTCATGGTGGAAAACGGCGCGCGGTATATTGTTGTGGCCAGTCGTAACCCAGGCACGGCCAAGAATTGGGCTGCTGACGTTCAAGCCATGGGCGCAACTATTCGCCTGGAAGCCCTGGACGTGACCGACCTCTCCGCTGTGAGACGAATGAAGGAAAACCTCGCCAGCGTGCTCCCTCCAATCGGTGGCGTTATCAATGGGGCCATGATTCTGGCAGACGGGTTATTTGCTGATATGACGGTCGAGAACCTCCAGAAGGTCCTACAGCCAAAGGTAGCCGGGTCACACAACCTCGACGTCGCATTCTCGGATCCCGAGCCGGATTTCTTCATCATGTTCTCGTCTCTTACCGCCATCGGTGGCAACTCGGGCCAATCAAACTACACTGGAGCCAATTTGTACATGGCAGGTCTTGCAGCTCAGCGACGAAAACGTGGCCTAGCCGCCTCTGTTCTGGATATCGGCATGCTCGTCGGCATTGGCTACATCAACCGCGTCGAAGGCAGCGAAATCTACAAGAATCTCCGACGACAAGGTTACCGGCCCATCTCCGAGCACGATATTCACCACATGTTTGTTGAGGCCGTAGTGGCAGGCCGTGTCGGCTCTGGCTCTGTCTCATCGCAGCTCTCTACTGGTCTGCAGCGCTTCAATCCGCACGGAGACAACGAGCTGCCTTGGCACTCGGATCCGCGCCTCTCACACCACACGATAGACGCCAATGGAGAACTCGCAGCTTCAAGTGGGTCCGGCGACGCGCTTCAGAGCGTGAGGGGGCTCATCCAGGACAGCCAGACCCAGGAGCAGATCTCAGCAGCCCTCCAAGAGGCCTTTGCTGCTCAGCTCGAGTCGATGCTCCGCCTGCCCGGCGGTAGTATCAACAAGGATGCCCCCATCATCGACCTCGGTGTGGATTCCCTGGTTGCAGTCGAGATCCGAGCGTGGTTTCTCAAGGAGGTGGAAAAGGACGTGCCTGTTCTCAAGATATTGGGCGGTGACTCTGTAGCGACGGTCTGCGAGGAGACTGCTAAAGAGATCATGGAAGAGAGAACGGCGCTGGAGGAACAGGCAGAAGCCAGCGACGCAGGTATTGGCTCTGTAGACGACACCATCAGCTCCTCAGACATCAACACAGGCGGATCCAGTCTCTTCGACTCGCCCCATGCGGTACCCACTGCGTCTGGAAACAATCAGCCGGACGCGACTTATGATCAGATCTCCCTCATGTCCTACTCCCAAGCCAGAATGTGGTTCCCCTTCCTCCTTCTGGAGGATAAGACCACCTATAATTGCACGACGTCCTATCGCCTTCGGGGCCCTCTAGATGTACAACGATACGAGGATGCCATCCACTCAGTTATTCAAAAGCATCAAGTTCTCAGAACCTGCTTCTACACTGATCTCTCGACCGGCGAGCCCACGCAGGCTGTTTGCTTCACGTCTCCCTTCCAGTTGAAGAAGGTGGACGAAGCTGAAGATGACGGTGACGTGGCAATCGAGACTCAACTCATCGCAGGCCACATATACGACTTGGAAAACGCCGGTACCCTCATTGCCACCCTTCTTAGCCACGATTCCGAGTATCACACCATCATCTTTGGTTATCACCACATCATTCTCGATGGCGTGAGCTGGCAGCAGTTCCTCCAGGAAGTCGAGCACTTCTACATCAAGCCTACCACCAAACCTGCGCTTCCGGCGGCCGACTACATAGACTTTGCCGTTAAGCAGCGCGCCGAGCTGAACCTCCCTGCCTTGCAGAAGAAACGGGCTTTCTGGAGAGATACATTCTCCCAGCTTCCCTCGACAATCCCGCTCTTCCCCTTCGCTATGGTCAAGACGCGCAGGTCGTTGCAGCACTACGAAGCCAAGGAGTTCCAACTCGAGCTGGACCCGGCACTGGTGCAGCGCATCAAGGCCGTGAGCACCGAGCACCAGGGCACCTCTTTCCATTTCTATGTCGCCGCGTTGCAGGTGATGATGCACCGGCTGCTGGGTATCGACAACGTGTGCATCGGTATCACTGATGCGAACCGTTCAGACCCGGCATTCATGAAGACCATCGGCCTGCTTCTCGACTCGCTGCCGCTGTGGTTCCACCTCGACGAGAACGAGACTTTCCGCGACCGGTTCCAGCATACACGCACCGCCATCTACTCGGCGCTGGGCAACTCCGGGGTCCCGTTGGATGTCATCCTCGAGGATGTTGGTGTAGAGAACTCAGTTTCTCATATGCCGCTGTTCCAGGTTCTAGTCAATTACCGCATGGGTGCCTTGGCCCAGGAGACGGTCGGGGACGATATTCAATTGGAGTATCTGGCATATACGGATGCTCGCCATCCCTTCGACTTCATCCTCACCATCGATGAGAAGGGCGGTAGAGGTGGCTTAACGCTCTCCATGCAGAATTATCTGTACGACCAGGCCGCAGCGGACGTCTTCATCGCCACGTATATCCACTTCCTCGAAACCTTTTCGAATTTGCCACTGGCCAACATCACCGAGCCTGCCCGCTACTCGGAGACTCTTACCAAGCATGCTGTCCAGCTCGGTGCCGGTTCGCACCTTTCCGTTCCCATGGGACCTCGCACCCTCCCCGCACGGATAGAGCAGATGGCCAACCATTTCAAGAACGATATCGCCATCACAGATGCCTCAGGCTCATTTACGTACCATGAAATGGAGCTGCGAGTCGATGAGATAGCCATCGCCCTGGAGGGAAAAGGCGTCACAGATGGCACGCGAGTCGGTCTCTTTGGGCAATTGTCGGCGAACACGGTCTTCTCACTGCTGGCTATTCTCCGTGTCGGGGCAGTCTACGTGCCGCTCGACGAGCGGAACTCGGACGAAAGGTTGGCGGCCATTGTGGCAGAGTCAGGCGCTCGTGTCATCATTCACGACCAGGAGACTGCATCCCGTGTGCCTACTCTGGTAGCAGGAGCATTAACGACGGTCGAGCTTCTGGATTCTTCTTCTACCGTCCGGCCCCAGGATGAAGAAGTCAAGACGACCAAGACGACAGACAAGTCCTCACCTAGCAAGCTCGCCTTTATCATGTTCACTAGCGGCTCCACAGGCAAGCCCAAAGGTATCATGCTCACTCATAGGAACATGCTGGCGCACGTGACCGCCGCAACCGCCACCATGGGTCTCAGACGGGAGACGGTGCTACAGCAGAGCGCGCTTGGCTACGACGCATCACTTGCGCAGATCTTTTACGCCTTGGCCAACGGCGGCCGGCTCGTCATCTCTAGCAACCGGGGAGAGATGGGCACCATGGCGCATCTGATGCGCAAGGAAGCTGTTACGTTGACCTTAATGTCGCCATCGGAATACACAATGCTCATGCAGTACGGCTCGGACGACCTGAGCCAGTGTGAATCTTGGAAGGTCGCCATGTGTGGTGGTGAGGCTTTTCCACCGAGGCTCAGGATTGGATTCCGAGCATTGAGTCTGGAACGCCTGGGAGTGTGGAATGCTTATGGTGAGCCCCCTGCCATGTGCCTTGTCGCAACTTGACGTTTGACCCCTTGGATGCTAACGGAATGTAAATGCAGGTCCTACAGAGATCTCGGTCGCGTCTAATATCGGACTTGTGGACTACCGTGACCCGAGCTTAGACAGCGAGCCGTCAGTGGCCATCGGGAAAGCCCTGCCTGGATATAATGTATGTGTGGTCGATGAGAATATGCTGCCAGTGCCGGCTGGATGCTCCGGTCAGCTCGCCGTGCAAGGCCCAGCAGTCAGCCTTGGCTACCTGGGTCAGCCTGCCCTCACAGCACAGAAGTTCCGGCCTGCTGCTGCCATCTCCATGCCATCAGTCGGAGTGCCTGTAGCCACCGACATCTGGTACACTACTGGTGATATGGCACGCATGGCAGCTGACGGGTCGCTACTCTACCTTGGACGTGTAGACCAGGACTCACAGATCAAATTGCGCGGCATCCGTATCGAGCTTGACGAGGTGGCCAACTCGATCCTTGACACGGCCGGGGGCATCCTCTCTCAGGCAGTTGTTGTGGTTCGCGGTGAAGACCAGGCCCAATTCCTTGTGGCCTACGTCGTATTCAGCACCAAAAAGGAGCCCGTTACTGTCGAGCAATATCTTGAACGTCTTCTGACGCAGCTTCCTCTCCCGCTGTACATGCGCCCTGCCCAAGCCATCGCTCTAAAGGCCCTCCCCACCAACGCGAGCGGTAAGCTCGACAGAAGAGCTCTTCAAGACCTGCCGCTGCCGACGAGGGCTTCGCAGCAGTCCGAAGACTCAGACGAGCTCACGCCAACGGAGCGCCGACTCAGGCAAATCTGGGAGACTGTCCTGGAACGTGACGACGCCAAAATCACCCGCTCGTCCAACTTCTTTTCGGCGGGTGGTAACTCACTCCTCCTGCTACGGCTGCAAGCGGAAATCAGCAAAGCCTTCCACGTCCGTATCCCTCTTCCGGAACTTTTTCGAATGAGCACCCTCCAGAGCCTCGCAGACTTTGTGCAGCAGTCCGCTGGAGGGCATGCTTTGAAAGCCCCAGGAGTCGCGGACGGCGCAAACAGCAGCAACAGCAACAACAACAATTTAGATTGGGTTGCGGAAACGGCGGTCCCTCAATCAATTCTCGAGCTAGGCCGCACAGTAAACACCAACCGATCTGTCAGCCGAGCAAGACCCTCTCGTCGTGGTGGACTCGTCGTGATCCTGACTGGCGCCACGGGTTTCTTGGGCCGCCACATTGTGCGCGAGCTGCAGTCGCGTCCCGAGGTCATCCAGATTGTCTGCATAGCAGTGCGCAACCCCTTCTCGGACGCGGCCCGCGCCATCGAACGCGACTGCCCCAAGGCGGTGTTGTACGCTGGCGACCTCCGTTCGCCGCGCCTGGGCCTGGCCGAGGACGAGGCCCGTCTTCTCTTCGCCGATGCCGACGCAATCATCCACAACGGCGCCGACGTGTCCTTCTTGAAACCGTACGCGACCCTGCGGGCGCCGAACCTGGGCAGCACGCAGGAGCTCGTCCGGCTCCGGCTGCGCATGACGGCTCCCGGCCGCCATGTCCCGCTGCATTTCGTCTCGACCGCAGGCGTGGGAATACTATCCGGCAAGAAGCACGTGGACGCCGTGAGCCTGGCGGCGTCCTCTCCGTCTGGCACGCCGGTGGACGGCTACGTAGCATCCAAGTGGGCGAGCGAGGTCTTCTTGGAGCGGGCGGCCGAGGGTCTCAGCATCCCCGTGCGCATCTATCGGCCTTCCAGCATTACTGGTGACGGCGCGCCAACTTTGGACATTATGCACAACGTGGTGACGTTCTCGAGGCGACTGCGAGCAGTGCCTGAGATGCGCGGATGGCGGGGTTGGTTTGACTTTGTCGCGGTGGAGAGCGTCGCCAGGGGCCTGGTCCACGGTGTGATCGGCGAGCATGTGTCAGATTCAACTGCAGCCAAGGATGTCGGCTTTGTACATCTTAGCGGAGAGCTCGTCATCCCCATCGACGAGGCAAAGACGCAGATGCAGCACGAGACGGGCTACGAATTCCGGTCGCTTGACCTGACGGCATGGGTGCGCGAGGCCGTTGGTGTGGGTCTGCACCCGCTGGTTGCGGCATACCTCGAGTCGACACTTGAGGCTGAGACGGACGAGCTGTGGTTTCCCAAGTTGCACAGCGACCTCACCAGCTTGGATGTTGATAGGAAGGCAAAAGATGGTGCAAGATAGAAAAGAGGTCACCACTGGATGGAAAAGATGCGAAAAGGAGGGTAAATCAAGCCGCAAATCGAGCCGTAGCACAATCAGATGGACTGAGACAGGAATTGAAGGGAGAGAATCTAAAAATGATTCGGAGTACGAAGAAAGGCAACAGAGAATCTGGATTGAGCTTGTGGAAGATCATGAAGGTGTCGTGGAGATGAGAAACATTGAATGGAGACCCCGCGCCATGGTTTAGCGCGCGTTTGTCGCTTACAATTTCGCAAGTCTCGGAAGTACCTGAGCGATACCGTACTGTACCCTATTCATATACCTTGTGTATTAATACGAGCAAACGATGTAACTCTATGTTTTGGCCAACACTAGGCACCGCTGAGCCATCTTAGGTAACGGGGCGAGCCTGCAACAAACTGCCAGCAACGGCGACCGTAAAAGTAAGTAAGGGAGAGCCGCGACTGTGGCAGCAGTAGGACTCAGATATTATGAAGCTTAGCTACACAGCCGATTACCGATTAGTGGGCCTCCACATGTGTATTGCAGTGGCAATGTGCCAGCAAAAAAACAGGACTTGGTCACAGAGGTGTCTGTGGAGCTGCCTGCTCGGCCTGGCATCCCATTGCCCACGGCTGGCCCTGAACTTCAGTGAGAGAAGTCCACAAAGTATTGCACTTAATTCGACATGTCCAAAAAAAATACGCATGTGTAAACCAGGGGTGTATTTCTCTAAGTGTACTCTGTGACTCCTTGTAGACAGGTGTCAACACATTAGTTGTCTGGCCCCTGGTATGCTGAATTGTCCCATCTATCGTCAATTCCACGACAGTGACCAGACCAGTGAGGTCCACGCCTACCCGCTAGTCATCCTTTAGTGAATGCGGGCATGTGTCAGATGGTCCTGTAAAGATAGATCTTGCCCTCAAATCCGTCTCATTTCTCCTTGATGTGAGTCCTCGGTAGACAGGCCGAGGGCTGAATCAACATGAATGAAACCATGCTGTTCGCCAGTGTGCTTGTCGCTCAAGCCCAAGTCCACAGCCCCAGGTGATATGTGTGCAAATGTATTCCCTCGGACCGCATGATGCCGTGCACCCGCGCGGGAATGACTGCTTTAGTACCGAGGGATGCGGACGACCTGGTTGTCCCGGAGCTCGAACCACTCGAACACCTCTTCCTCTTCATCGTCTTGTCGGTAGCCGATTTTCCCCTCGATTCCATTGCCTGCACATCTTTGAAGGAATGCCGACACCACCTCATCCTCAGGACGATCATTGAGTATGATCGTCAAGGAGTTCAGACTAGGAATGACAGAAAATTTCAGAAGGAAGTTCTTAGTGCCAGGGTCCAGTCGTGGAGCGGGAGGCGGTAAGGGGTGTGCCAAGGGCGCCGCTCCAAGATCGTTCATTATGTCGTCCAAGCTATCAATGTCCCGCAGCACACAGAAGTCCTCAGGAAATGGACGTACAATACACGCTGCCGCCAATTTCAAATGCCTCAGATGCCAGGGAAAGAGGTGGGAACGCAAGCTGCGCCATCGCATCCACTTGAGCAGAGCGTCCAATGGCTTGGGGGAAAAGTTGCGTGAAGGCTGTGAGAAGGGGTCGTCGATGAGAATGCTTAGGCTGGTGATGAATGGGATGGCTTGGCGTTTAAAGCGGTTCCATGCGTAGGTGAGCCTTGGACATGCCCACTGGTCATCTTCGACCCACTCAAAGTGATATCTCGAAAAGAGATGAGGGAGCATGTCGTCGCGGATGATCTTGATGTTCATCAGAGTTCTGATGAGAGGAGGCAGTCCGAGCGAGTCCTTTTCATTGCTAAGTTGGATAATCTCTGGCATTTCAAGGTCATAGAACATGAGTCGAATCTCGATAGGGAGAGACATGAAGGGGAAGGTGCTCTGTGAAGGAGGCGAAGGGACACCCTCGATGGCTGATCCCTTTGACGGGGCCATCTTGCTCAGGTGGCACCTTGTCTGTTGGTGTCTCTGCTTGATGGATGAAAATAGGTGAGCCTTTGTTGATGAAAGTTGAATGGAAACCGAGGAAGCGGTCTACACCAAGGGACCTAAATAAATGCCAGAAATTGTTGGGAGTTGCTGCCTGAGGTGCCTTACTAGGTGTTGACGTAAAGCCGCGTCTAAAGGCACGGACGCGTCACCCTTTCTGAGGGATGGATAGAAACAAATGCGGGTTCAGGCTTAGCAATTAACCTACTTGACTTCTAAATACTGAAAGGACTGTACGGTGTGTAATCTCGAGCGTTCAGTATAAGACAAGGTTCGAGCAATCCAGTGCAAGCTTTCCGGCTATCATGAGTATAAGCTCCGTTTTCTCGGTGGCTACCTGGCCTTTCATGTAAGAACCAGATTCAACTTACGCAAAACAAAAGACTGACAAGGAGTGTTTCCAGGCTCCTCAAAGTCCTTCAAATGGCTTGATAACAACCTTCTGTCCAGAAACTCCCTTTTTGTTCTTCTCAAGCGCCTCATCAAGAGCCGACAGTCCACCCGGCACCACGATCGGTCGATTTGGCACAAATAGTCCCTTACCTATCCAACCATCCTCGCCACCGAGATTATCCGCCATGGGCTCACTCAGGTGCCTTAACGAAGGAGAGCTTCCGATTCCTACGATCCCCTTGAGCTCTACACTATGGCCACGCTTTGCTAGCTCCGTGATCTCAGAGCTGAGGGCTCCGTGCTTTCCTCCAACAATAGCAAGCAAATCCTCCAGGTCCGCAGTGATCCTGACCAGGGTCGCACCCGGGGTCTTGGCCAATTGTAGTGTTTTGATACCCAATGAGAGTGTGGTTTTGTGAGCAATTGTATCAATGGCAAGAGGAAGCGGCAGGCCGCTAAGTGATTGGTGAAAGTGCTCAGGCGTTGACTCGGTCGCCCGATCCAGTACAACATGTGCTCCGAGCTTCTTCAGAAATTCCACATGGGCCGGGCTGGAGTTTGTGACGATTCGCGAGAACCCGGACAGCCTGGCGAGCTGGATGGCATACTGGCCCACAGACGAGCTACCACCGATTATGGTAATTGCCTTGCCATTACCAACAGTGTCACCGCCTGCGCTCCATGGGGCTGGCAGGCCAAAGCCCTGGCAGCTTGTTAGTCGTCGTTCATCCTTGAGCACTAAGACTAATCCAAGGAGACTGGAACAGCCTTACAGATTTGTCATACAAAGCAGTGACAGCTGCTACAGTGCCCAGGTGGACGCCAGCGGCCTGATCGTCTGAGATATTGGATGGTGTCTTGGATATCAACGCAGCTGGCATTTTCGTATACTGCTGGAATGTCGAAGACTCATATTTCCCAATAATTCCTTGGAAGAAGACCCTGGTGCCAACCTCGAAGCCCTCAACATCAGGCCCCACGGCAGCTATTTCACCAGCTGCGTCGGAGCCAAGGACAGCTGGGTACCCGGGCAGGAATACGCCAGTCTCATGCACCTTCCAGTCAACGGGGTTGATTGCGGTGGCCGTGACCTTGATGGCAACCTCGCCAGGCTTCAGGGCTGGGAGGGACACATCAGTGACGGTGTGGCGAACATTTGGAGCTGAGAAGGTGGCTGCTTTGAAGGTCGAAGGGACGGGCATGGTGTACCTATGCTGGTGTGGTAAAAATGTAAGATTGAAGGAGTAGACGATCTTGAGGGGTGCTGATAGGCTGCACTCGTATTATCAACAGATCTTGCCTGTTGTTTTGGACTCAGTTTCTTGTCTACTCTCTTTAATCCAAGTCCTCCTCATCAGGTGTCTTTCACCCGGGTTCTTATAACCTGTGCACTCTTCTGTCCATGGTGCTATACGGACTCTAGATATGAGGTCTTTAGATTTATCATCACTTTCTTGGTCTCTCAGTCAGTGGGCCATATATGACTATGTGGTAGGCTGCTGATTTTTGTATCAGTAATCAGCTGGTTTCTGATGTTGGGTAGCTTTATTTTCTCTGGCTCTGAAGGGCGTAAAGGATGAGAAGGCGTGCTTACAGCACTGACATTGTACCATTCCATTTTGGTCTGTTGACACTAGTTTACAAGATATGTGCGTGCTTGTTTCAGCACTTTGTTCATTGGTATTGAATTTGAGCTTTAGCCCGGTAGGCTGGCAGCGCTTTGAATAGAGAACTGCCAGATGAGGCTCACGTATATCCCATAAACAGGTTGTAGACTGTGAAATCATTAGATTTACTTGACAACCTGACTGAGCACTTCCGTTTCTTACTGTACTGTAACTGAGAGTCGTAGTAGAAAAGCAAACGCTCACACACACCAGTTAGCGTCAAGCTGAGACAGTCTAGCACCGTTAGTCTAAACGGCTGTCCGGCAGCGAGGAATGACGTCAGGCGGGTTTTCGGCACCGTAGCTTGCATCGCGACTGTCCCGACTTTGCCCTGCTGGGCCCATGCTCTGCCCAGCTCTGCCCTTTGATGGGCCTGTTGCCGCTGTTTCCCCTGCTTCCTCCCAAGCACAGCCAGCTTCTGAACAGGTCCTAACCAAAAGTCGGCCCTTGCACAGCCCTCTCGACATCCACTTGCAGAGCTCTCCCGACCTACTTGACTCATTTTTTCTTCTTCTGCTGCCCCATCTGGCCCATACACAATGCCACCTACTACAAGTACAATATAATTCTTATTTCCGCTGGTCCCTTTGACACTGATTTGCTCTGCTCAGCTCTGCTCTGCTCCATTCCGTTGCTGTTGTCCTGCTCAATCCAATGTAACTGACTGGATTCTACCCCTCGAAACCGGCGCCCCATCCGAAGCAACTGAAGCAGCCGAAGCAGCAAGGGGTCGTCGATACAGCTGTCTGTCTGGTCCAGTCCCTCACCGCCAAGCCAGCCCATTAATCCACTCGACACCCTGCCAGCAGACCGGTGGTCGCATACGTCTTCTCCTCACGGCGCGCACGCTTTACTCTCCGATTCCCCAGCGACAGAGAAACACCAAGTCAGTCAGTCGAGTCTCGAGTCCCAGAGAGGCCAAGCAGATTGCCGATCATCCGGCCTTGGCGATCCAGCAGCCCTACTGTGTACGGTCCAGACAGTGCTTCCCTCGTACCAAGACACTTGACAGGTCTTGGCTCGACCCGGTCCCGTTGCCAGCGACACCCCAAGCAAAACACAGGGATTCTCCACCCCTCCCGCAGGCTTATCGCCAGGCTTGTCATCTGTCGACTGTCGTCATCGTGCTGTGTTTCTACCTCTGTCCGCCCAAGTCAAGTCAAGCGTCAAGCCACACGTGCTCCGTACAGCACAGTACAGGACAGCACAGGATAGGAACTGGGCGTGGCGATAATCTAATCTGCCCCGACGCACACTAAACCTTACTCGCAATCTCAGATCGCGGGACAAACAATGTCTGGTCCCGCCCCTGCAGACGGCACTGTCCCCCTGGACATCAGCACTGGCCAACAGATTGCCGATGCCCAAGCCGCATCACAGGCTCCGGACACCGCTGCTGCTCCTGCTTCTCCACCACCAGCTGATGGCGGCGATGACGAGCATGCAAAGGGCATTCACGGCCTGAAAAAGAAGGTCACCGGTAAGAAGGAGGAGCTGAAGGACAAGGCCCATCCGCCCGGAGGTTATGATCCTACTCCTCTGCCCGACTTCCCTTCTGGCTGGACGGTCAAATTTGTCTTCTCCCGCGCAGAAAACTTGCCAGCCGCCGATCTCTCAACCCAGGCCTGCGACCCTTATATCCACGCTACCTTGACCGCTCCGATTCCCAGGAGGCACAAGGAGGACCCTGCCCTGACTTGGAGGACGAGAACGATCCGCACAACGTGCGAGCCAGTGTGGGACGAAGAATGGATTGTTGCAAATGTTCCGGAAAGCGGCTTCAAACTCAAGTGCCGCCTCTTCGATGAGGACTACCCCGACCATGATGATCGCCTGGGCAACGTCACCTTCGAGACCAGCCATATCGGAGAAGGCTGGGGCCTCGGTCCAGATGGCCAGTGGTTCGATATCAAGAAGCGCATGGCCAGCAAGCGCGCATACTTTTTCAAGGCTATTACCAGCACCGTTGAGAAAGGTGGGTCCATGACTGGGCGCCTCAACTTGAAGATTGAGGTTCTCGGACCTTCCCAGGGTAAGGGCTCACAGATGTACACCGTGGGGCCGTCGATATACTTCAAGCATTTCAGCCCATTGTTGGGCAGGTTGACGGGCATCAAGGTCAACAAGGACGAGGCGCAGGATGAAGTCGAATATGATCCCAAGTCGGGAGAGAAGAGGATCCAGAAATACGAGTAAGTCTCCACCGCGATGTCTGATCCGGCTGCACAGAAAGCTGACTGTCATAAAAGCTTCCAATCGAACGAGCTCCAGCTCTCAGGTCCCGTGCCAGAGCATCTCTACCATCGTTACGTGGAGTTCAGCTCCTGGGTTGGGAGCATGTTCACTTCCACGGGTCTCCGTGGCAAGGTTTTGCACAAAGCCTTGCACAAGCAACACAACCGCATCTACAGCTTCAGCCAGTCGACACAGTGGGGATCGTTCCAGCCATGCACTGAGGAAGCCTCCTTGGCTTTCCTTCGCATGGCGCATTTTGACGAGGGCGGTCGTGTCTTCACCTATGTGCTCACCCTCGACGGGTTGCTGAGGTTTACCGAGACTGGCAAGGAATTCGGGATCGACTTCTTGTCCAAGCATACCATGCACTCTGACGTGGCAACCTACATAGCTTGCTCCGGTGAATTTTTCGTCCGCCGGCTCGCCAAGGCAGACGCCCCTGAGCACCAGGGCGAAGCCGATCCTGGTGAGCCCACCCATCCGTCTGAAGATCTCGCCGGAGGCCCACCAAATGATCCACCGCCGGCCGACCCAAAGCATTATCAACTTGTTATCGACAATGACAGCGGTACATACCGCCCGGACAAGAGCGTACTGCCGTTGCTCCGCGAATTCCTTCAGCGTAACTTCCCTGGCCTAAGCGTGGTCGTGCTTCACTGGGAGGACGACGAAGACCAGAAACTCAAGGAGAAGCAGCGGCAGATCAAGAAGAAGGAAGGCGGCACAGTCCAGCTGGTGCAAAACCGCAGTCCCGACTCGAGCAGTATCAGCAGCAGCGACGAGAGCCGTCTGGACAGTGACGGCGAGTACGGGGGGCACAAGCACTGGAAGAGCAAGAAGGAGGCAGCGTGGGACATTGTCGAGGACCCGCACAAACTGAGGGATCTCAGCTTGGGCGGCAAGTCTAGTGAGAACGCGGCTGGGCATCAGGCAGAGGCTTAGGGGGCAGTGGAGGAGGCCTAGAGGGCGACGGCCGCGGGCGGGTGTGGAGCTTACGACGAAACGTATGGGCGGCACTTGTCTTTATGAAGTCTCTGACGAATTATACCCGCGAGTAATGTTTTTGGATGTCTAATTGTCGGCTCTTCCTAAGGGAAGTGAGGGGATAATGTTTGTTTTCTCTTTTCTGTGTCGCCTTCGGGCAGCCCAATCACGGCACCTGGGCCGTCTGCGATGAAGTTGGCTTCACCTTATTGTGGACCTTTTTGGATACCTGCTCAACATTGCTTTCTATTATACTATAGCCTGGCTTCGTCTCCATCCTAATGAAAGTCTTGGTGCTTGATGGTCATTGCCTGTGCCTCACCCTCTCATGTGTATGATAACAAGTCTCATGATGATCTCTACCCATCGAAACTCGCCATGATGAGATGGAATATGGTGACTGCTAACGAGCCGAAACACCTCACCTTTGACATCACCAGCTGTTAAGTAGAGTGGGCGCCGTTTCCGGCTCCCATGAGCCATCATGAGACACTTCGCAGAGATGAACAAAGCAACTCGGACACTCTACCTCACCCGTCCCGGCTCACGCCCAAGCATAAGAAGCAAGCAGATACAATCCACATTGCTACGCCCGCCTGTCTCTTTCCTCTGCATACTTACATAACCCGACGACGGGAGATCACGAAGTCCGCCAGTCGTATGACAGCTGGGGCACCCCATTGCACGGCGTGGGGCTCCTTGTCATGTGTCCATTCCCTCCGGGGAATCCAACACGGGGCTAATTTTTGGTGTCTGTGAAACTCCTTATTGGAGATATCCTTGCCTTTCTTTTCGTTGTGTGATGCCATCATGAACAAGATTTCTGGGCGACGTCCAGGTGATTTGCGATGTAGAATACTTACAGCAATCCACCCTTCACCATAGCATATTCGATGTTGACACAAACTTGCTGGAGGCCGAAGTAGGTAGCTATCATCTTTACATACCAAATGTATGCCTTCAAAACATCAGCTCAACTCTTTCCCCCAGACGCATCATGCCCGACACTACCAACACCATTTCCCTCACTCGTCTCGCCCTCTGCCCCAGTCATCTCCCACCCCCTCCCGCGATACCTCGCCGGCCAGATCCCACACCTCCCTGGCGCCAATATCCCATTCGGATCAAGGCAGTCCTTAACCTTCTCATTGAACCTCCCCAGCGCGCCCCCGCCCCAGCCGTACGTGCCGGCGACCTGGTCCATGAGCGCGAGGTGCGTCCTGTACTCGCCGTAGCCCAGCGCGGCGGCGTCGTCGACCATGGCGCGCAGGCAGGCCAGCGCGGCGGCGCGCGACGCCGCCGACCCCCGGTCGTACACCAGCTCGACGATCAGGTGCATCTCGCGCAGCCCGACGATGAAGGCCGGGAACAGGTCGATGCCGAACTGGGCGTGGCGCGCCCGCGCGAGCTCGTACAGCGCCGTCGCGTCGGCGCCGCGGATCGGCGCGATCGGGCTGAAGGCTATGTGCGCGCCGTTCGGGACCCAGTTCACCCAGGCTAGTTCTTGGATGTCGGGGACTGTGGTCGGAGGCGGAGTTTGGGTTAGTTATGTGTTTGTATATGTGTGTATGATAGTGTCAGGTAGAGGAATTTCATGAGCAGACAGGCAATGAGAAAACTCACCTCCGGCCGCGACACGGTCCCTCGCCCAGAAGTACTCCTCAGCCGGCAATGTCCCCGGGTCGACCTTTCTGCAGCCCGGCACATTCATGAATGCCTTATCGACAATGTCCAATTTGTACCGCCGGATCGGCTCTGGCCCGTAGCTCATGCCGTAGTAGATCCACGTGCAGTCACCCAGGAGTGACTCTGCCGCGGCCTTGTGGATCACCTCTGGCGGAATTAGGCCGTCGCCGGTCCAAAATTTGCTGCGAGGGTGGCCGCGGCCCGCTATAGTTTGGGTTACATGCCGTAGCTGAGCTACGTTCTCTAGGATCATGGAGATGCGGAGGGGCCGGATTATTTCGATCTGGTTGGCGTGGTGGTGAGTCGTGGTTTGTTTGAAGATGTGAGGGGATACTTACAAGTTGCGTGAGATCTTCTTCTCTCGGGAATGTATACATCTGAGGGAAATGTTAGCAAGAGACGTTGTTCTCTAACGATGCATAATCAAGTCGTCTTACAAAGCTCTCGTGCCCTCCCGGGTTCGGCATTAGTGTCATACCCATCTTGGTAACAATGCCAAAGTTTGATTGCGAGAATAACCCGCTTAGACCTTGTTAGCTGCACTTCAAGTTGTGTGATTTGTGACAAGCGTATCATAACTCACTCTGAAAACGGTCCATACCCGTAAGGAAAAGCCTGCCAGGTATTACTCCCGTCCATGGCGCCCATGCCGGTGCGGAACACCTCCCCGGTAGGCAGCACGACCTCGAGTCCAGAGTGGCAGGCCCAGTGGTCGCCGTAGGGCGTGTAGCCGACGCCGCGGTCGACCGTGTTGCCAATAATGCTTCCGCCACCCAGGTCCGGCGTGTCCACCCACATGTGGCCGTCCAGCCCTCGGTCCCGCAGCGCCTGGTGGAGTGCGTAGAAGGAGACGCCCGGCTCCACCAGGCACGTGTAGTCCTCGGCGTTGATGTCCAGGATCTGGCTCATCCGCCGACCTAAGTCCACCGTCACGGAGCCGCGGACGCGCGGGGCTGCTCCACCGTAGCCCACTGTCTCGGGAGGTTAGTTGTGGGTGTTGAGGGATGGGAAAGGCTTGCATTGGAAGAACGTACAATTCCGACCCATGGAAATCGGGAAGATGGGAATTAGGTACTTGTTTGCCCACCGCACGACCTTTTGCACTTCCTCCGTGCTCCCTGGGTAGACCAGGGCTGATGCGACCAGCTCCTCTTCATCGAGGATGGTCATCATGTCATGGGTGTTGGGGTCTAGCGGCATCGCGAAGTCAGCTTCCTTAACCCTTCAAGTTGTTAACCGCGGAGGGAGAATGCCACTAACGCTCCATATACCTAGTCATTTGTCAGTCCATTTGCATCGTATGTCTCTGAGGAAGCCAAGAGATGCTTACCATCCATCTTTTAACGGCTTGTCATTCACCTCCACATTCTCCTGCCCTATCTCCTTGCGCAGGTCATCAAGCGCCTCAAAGAATTTGTCCCTATCAATGCCCTGAGGGATAACGGGGAGCCTCTGCCTCTCGTTCAAAGGCTTGGTCCGCGTGTCGAAGATGCTCTTCTTGGCGTCCCGGGCTTTGTCTAATAGAAACGGTGGTATGCCAGAGTGAGTGGCCGGCAGCACCGGCACGTCTGTGTTGGCTTCTTCCAAGTACGGCGCCATGGCTATTCTCAACGTAAATTTGTAACTATGATTGTATTGTCCTGGTTTATGTCGCTCACTTGAGCAATCTATGCTATAGTGACTTGGGTCCTATGTGCTATAAATGCATGTCAGATGGGGAGATACTATGTCTACCCCGCGAAGATCCACGACTCCAAAACGGCAGACATGGATGTCGATGCGGTCGCCAGATCTATTCCCCGCAGGTCTCACGATTACAGTACACAGTCGCATTGGTATTGACCGTGTCATACCGGGAATAACGCTGCTCCAACGAGAGGCATTCGAGCGTAGGTTGCTACAGATGGCGCCTTGGGTTGTGCTGCAGGTTGAGATATAAGTGCCGGGCGAACCATGACCCGCACGAGCCAATGCACCAATCACTCAGCAAACTACTACAAGTGCGAGTGGTCAAGGTAGGAGCTGAAGACACACAGTTTCTGGTCAAAGCACAAAAGTATAATGTGAGAGTTGGATGCGAACAATGGGAATGAACTCGTCCGCCCTCTTATTCGGCTGCATGTAAGGAGGTCCCTTGGCTCTGGCTTGCCGATCAGTAACCCAGTATGAACCTACCAAAGCAGCACATACTGAGTCCCAATGGCCGTTTTATCATCAGAGGGCATCCGATTCCTGTTCTGTTGTGTCCTAATGTGTTAAGAATCAGATTCGCCAGTTGAGGCTGTCCCTCATGTCGGCGTGCATACTCACAAGGACCCTGATGAGCACGCGAGAGGACCTTGATGGACAGGACGGCGTCTTTGAAAGGAGGGCGCAGCCTTCCCGCCGCGAACCGTTTCTAGGCACGGCTCTCCAGCCATGATTGTCTTGTTGATTTCGTCTTTTGTCCTTGTGCTTGGTTTTAGCCTTGACAGCAGTCCATCCTGTGCGGGACACAGCAGAACGATGCCCGAGCTCAGTGAGAAGACCAGGCAGGAACTCCTCTATGGGATTCCCGAGGAGGAAAAGGAGCCTGATCATGACTGTATCGACTCAGATGTGCCTGTAGACAGGGACGATAACGACGTGCTTGGCGATCTCGCCTTCTTCCCAGCAGAGGTGCGGGTCTTGATTTACCGCCAGTATTTCTTTGACAATGGAACGTCCTGCCATGTTCGCCGGTCAATGAGAGATATCCGTAGCCAACTCAAAGAGGATGCGGAGGACAAAATAACACCCAGACCATGCACGACCGCCCACTCGCTGGCGAGCAATATTGACGGCATCTCCTTGCTCCAGACGAACAAGCGGATGTGAGATACCCAAATCAGGCCGCCCTCCAAAACCCCCTCCGTCAACGGTTCACTAACAGCAGCTCCCCCGAAAGATGCTCAGAGGCCCTGCCGGAGCTGTACACGCAGGCGCAGTTTCACTTCGACAGGCTGTGCCCACTGCAGCACTTCCTGTCCGCCACGCCGGCGGCGAGCCTAAGCCTCGTGCGTTCGGTCCGGTTCGAGTGGGTGACCTACACGTTCATCTACGGCTCCGACTACGTGGCGGACTATGTGGAGCGGATCTGGGAGCCGGTGTGCGCGAGGCTGATGGGCTTGGAGGGCCTGAGGGATCTGACTGTTTCGGTGCGGCCTGGCTGGGCTGGTGGCTGGACAGTGCTGGGTGCGGCGAGGGAGAGGTGTGAGGATATGCTGTTTGGGCCTGTGAGGAAGCTGGAGGTCGGGAATGTTGTGCTGAGGTGTGAGGCGAGTTGAGGTTTAGGAGCAAGTCTGATTGAAAAATCCTATACTCGAGAGTTTTCCTTCTTGAGGAAAGGGGGTCGGGTGGTTTCTCATGGCTAGTGAAAGGATCAGAAACATGTCTGTATTCTCTGCTTGAGATTTTGTGATTGACTTGGTGAGAGCCCATCAATCTAGTCCCTCGAATCCATCAGCTGTCAGGCGGTTGGATGCGAGTGAGGCCATCACGAGAGGCGCATTTAGAATGAGACGACGTTACCGAGAAGAGTGGAGTCTGGCCACAAGTCGGACGAGTGTACTGGATTGGGCTGTTTTCCTTCAGGGGTTGAGCCCCTGCAATCGATTAACCTCAGCACATCGGACGAGAAACGCTCCCTCGCATTGCTTGGCCTGGAAGGACTGGAACGCCGCCCAGCTGGGAGGGAACATTGATAAGAAGCCACCTGGGCACCTTGGACTCTGAGCAGTCCAACTGTCGCAACAAAGCTGTCATCATCCATCTCCTCTGTCCTTTTTTCATTACAATTAACCTCACCTTCTTAAGAGGTCCCTTATTTCCATATACACCTATCGTATAGCGTGGTACCCCGAGTACCTGCAGAAACAACCCCCCACACCTCGGCAGCATCCGAGCTAGGCGGTGCTAGGCTGGTTTCAGTGGGCGATCCTCCACCTTCGCATTCTCCGACGATCCGCCTATTTTCGACACCTCTCGCCACGGCCTTTCATCCATCAATTCAACTTCTTACTAGACTCGCTATTCATTCTTTTCGAGCCCCGCGCTACAACCGCATTCCTTTCGTCGACATTCCTTTTTGGGAATCCTTTTCTGCTCGCTCGCACATATCCGTCGTTCCAGCGCAGGCAGCTCGAATCCGCCACCAGAATCACCCGACATGGCACGCCGCCAACATCTGACCTTGACGGTCGTCCTGGTCTTCGTGGGCTTCCTCACCTTCACATGGTTCATGTCCTCCGGCAGTCAGTCTGCCGCCGACAACTATGCCGCTGCGAACTTCCCAAAAGACTCGACAGAAAGCTTGAAGCAGCAGCAGAACTCGGGCTGGTCGCCCGGGCAGGTGGACTTTGGCCTCGGGGACAACATCTTGTCGGGTGGCGCCATTGCGCCGAGACTGGGCAACGAGACGGCCAAGTAGGTCCTGCCCTGCCGATTCGAGGCTTTCTTGCGCCTTTGGATGCACGACGCTAACCCTCCCTCTCTACACAGGCGCGAGCTCGGTCACGCCACGTGGAAGTTCCTGCACACGATGATGGCGCGCTTCCCCGAGAAGCCGACGCCCGAGGACCAGGTCGCGCTGAAGACCTTCATCACCCTCTTCTCGCGCCTGTACCCGTGCGGCGAGTGCGCGGGGCACTTCCAGAAGCTGATCGCAAAGTACCCACCGCAAGTGTCGAGCCGAAATGCCGCCGCCGGCTGGCTGTGCTTCGCCCACAATATCGTCAACGAGAGGCTCAAGAAGCCCATCTTCGACTGCAACAAGATCGGTGACTTCTACGACTGCGGCTGTGCCGACGACCCGGGCAAGGCGCCCGAGGGTGAGGCGAAGAAGGTCGGTGCCGCTGAGGCGGAGCTCAAGGAGAGGGAGGCGGCGCCGGAGCCCGAGGTACATGTTGCTGCGTAGAGATTTACCTGGGCGACGTTGATATACTGGCTGGAGGCATACAATCTTGCTCTGGGCAGGTGGGTCATGATTTATTCAGGCGTTCCGGGTAGTGTGATGAGCACTGGTGTTCACGGCGGCCGCATTGCATAGAATTCAGTTCAGCATATCGCATATTTTCCAATAAATGAATACCCGAAAGAACACTCTGTATCAGACGCAGTGATCCCTGGGGTTTTCTTTGCTCGTGTTGTCCAAAATGGCCATCTCTGTTTGGTCCGGCACCAGTCGGGCGACTTGAAAATTCCACTGAAAGTCCCATTTACCCTAATTTGTCTCAATGGAAATCTGCTGGCAACTCGCGGCCTAAAACAAATATTCAAGTATGCACATTACACAAAGCATTCGATTCTCATGCTGATGTCGCAGAAAGGGATGACCCTCAGGGTTAGCACGTGTGGTGATGACGGTGTTTTGCCTGCCGGGAGGCAGCGGCAAGTCAACGCGTCGGAGCTGCCTTGAGCTTCCAGCAGCGACGGAGCTCTGAACGACCACCGGCCCAGCCCATCTCAACTCCAGCTTCGCCAACTACACTCTGCCCCTCGACATCCCACCTCCACCACAATTACGATACCACAGATACTCAGGAACTCCTTCAACCCCAGGAAACCCAACAATCTCGACAACCATAGCAAACATGGAGTTCGGCACCTCAGGAAACCTGTCTGAAGGTACATGCTCCACTGCTCTCGACGGGCTACAGCTCGAGTACTGACGTTGCCTTGCGAACAGATGGCATCCACATTGACATGAACAGACTGAAGGCGGGAGAGGTCAAGTAGGTCTTCTTTCCCGCTTCACTGATGTGATCAATGCTAACTGTTTCTGCAGCCTGGGTACCTCAATGTAAGCGACCCGAACCGACGTCAAACAACCTGTACCTAACATGCGCAATAGTATGGCAGTCACCTTCAAGGACGGCGTGATACTTGGTATGTCACATCAAGACTCTCCGTTGACTGAGGCAAACCTCGGTACGCATCAACGCAAAGCTGACCCTCCATCTACCCTCAGGCGCCGACTCCCGAACCACAACCGGCGCATACATCGCCAACCGAGTGACAGACAAGCTGACCCGCGTCCACGACACTATCTGGTGTTGCCGGTCCGGATCCGCCGCCGACACACAAGCCGTCGCTGACATCGTTCAATACCAACTGGGTCAATTCCACATGATGAACGGAAAGACACCCACGACTCAGACCGCCGCGGCCATGTTTCAGGAGCTTTGCTATGCAAACAAGGACATGTTGACGTAAGTTCGAGAAAGACAAGAGTACCGAGGGCATACAGATTTGGTGCATGAAAGCGGCGGGATTATTCAGCGGCTGCACTTCCCTGGACTGCTGTCTCCCAGCACCGTTTAGCCATGTCTGAGTCGCTGACAACAACTGTTTGCAGGGCCGGCCTCATCATCGCAGGCTGGGACGAGCGACACGGCGGCCAAGTCTACAGCATCCCGCTCGGCGGGTCCCTCCACAAGCAAGCCTACTCGATCGGCGGCTCCGGCTCGACCTACATCTACGGATACTGCGACGCGAACTGGAGGGAGGGCATGAACGAGCAGGAGGCCGTGAGCTTCGTCAAGGAGGCGCTCAAGGAGGCGATCCGGTGGGACGGAAGCTCGGGCGGCGTCATCCGCATGGTGGTGCTGACGGCCAGGGGCGCCGACCGGCACCTGTACCTCCCTGATACCGGATACCAGGTGCGGCAACAGTGAGCGGTGGGCGTGGGACGCTTGCCTGGGAGGCATGGCACGTGGGGTGCTCTGGGTCAGATGATGAGGCGGAGGCGGTAGTTCATAGAGGGTTATACTCTGATGTGAGTCCTCGCATGATCCACACGGTAGACGACCCCGTTTCTTTCCAGTGATTCGCGAGGTCTTCAGCGGCGGTGGTGTACGATATCACGAAAGAAACCAAACAAATAAAGCTCATGACGATGACAGGCGCTGTCGAGAGGAGATAGCCTACATGCATAGAGGCATTGAAATTTCACGAGTATAACGGCTCCATTTGATAGACAAGGGGTGACTGAAACGAAGAGGGCACTGACCCGTAAAGCAAGCTTGAATCAAAGTGCACGATTGGAATGGGACTGGCCGCTTTAGACTCTCCGGGCTGGGCATATCGCGTGGTACACTGGCTCGGGTTGCTGTTCTTTTCGCAACACCTAGCGTGCTCACGACGCATCGCACGAAGCTCGCTCCAGGAGTCGAGCAAGTCCACTGCGTGGGAGAGGGTGACCTCCAAGAGAGAGGCACCCACAGACACACCACTGCACACCCGTCTTCCCACCCCGCCTCATGTCTCTTCATCTGATCTCAGCCTCAGGCGAATCAGTCAACCTTCTCCCGCCCGTTTCTAACAACCGCCGGAGTGGCAAAGTCGGGAGAATTGTTTCCTTTGCAAATTGCTTGGTCGACATCTCGATTTACTCCTGTACAGTTCGAATGTACTGACCATGATTTTACACCATGTCCATGCCCCAGTGAGTGATCCTGGGAAGGCACTGAAATATAGCAATTTATGGCATCAAACTGGGTGGGCTATCGATACTGTCAAGTATACTGGACCATCAATAGCGCCAGCGCCAATTGTCACGCTCATACACTAATGTCTTTAGCTTTAAGCTTAGGGCTTCACTCTTGTCTCGTACATGTAGAAATACTGCTACATCGTCATAATCACCCAGCACTGAAAACTAGGTTAATGATATACACTTCCAGGTACAGGATGCTTCGATTTGCATCAACCAGGATGACACCAGTGAAAGATATAGCCACAGCTTATTTCTCCGCCTGTGTGTGCTATGGTCAACAAAAGACGATGAAAGGCCAAAGCAAAGTCTTGAACACGGTATTTTGGTCTAGGAAGTTTATCACAACCATCTCCCTTGGCGACCTACTCATCCTATATTCTTGAGTGACCCGACTTACCTGAGATGGTTGACTATGCCCTCCCAGATGCCAGCTACAGGTTCCTGTATTCTGCTTTGGGTCAATTCGGGCTGTAGAAAAGAATTGCGAAACTGATAAAAATATATACAAAAACATAATGCAGCTGCCTCTTGGAAAACGCAGTTGGCTGAACCTTAGCACGTGCAACCGTCGTATCTAGTATGTGACTAACTCACTTGTTCGGCACGCCCTAATCGCCATGAAGAAAACCTAGAAATATCAAAATATAAATATGTATCCATGCGCCACTGCCCACCAAGGTTACTAACATTTTCCCATTGGTCACAGCCCGTATTAAAATCTTTCTGGCCTCCCTCCACGAAGATGGCTTCAACGAAGTCATGGGACGATTTGCCCGCAGAGATCCAGCTCATGCTGCTAAATGCCTTCGTCCAGAACGGGAACAAATTGTCTCACTTCGCCACAGTATCACGCGAATGGCAGACAGTTATCGAGCCACACAATTTCGGCCGCCTCAAATTAAGCCCGTCATGCCTTACCGATTTCGCTTCGAAGACCCGGCGCAACAGGCATCTCGTGGGTTACATATGATTTTGTATTGAGCTTGAGGAATACGATAATGGCTTAAATATGCCCAGGCCTCAAATTTTCTCCATCTTAGAGACCAACCTTGTTGCGTCAGCGCTTCGGGATATGTTCTTGAATCTCAGCACATGGACGCCAACCCCTACCGACAAACTGGTGCTTGATATCAGTATCTACTCGACTAGCGACTTCGAATATGGGTTCAAAGATTTAACCTTCAGACCCGACATTTCAAATCAGCGCAGCCTGCGTCGTCGTTTGAGCCCGGTACTAATAAAAATATTCGACCAAAAAAGTACGTACCTACAGGCTATAAACGGAGAAAGGAGCAAGCTCTACCCGAATATCAAAGGCACATTTGGTTCCATCGGGCGGAAAGGTATCTTTGACGACAGCGAAACGGAAACTTTTTGGTGGCAGCGATTGCCCTCAGTGCCAGCAGTAACCGGCATCTTTTTGCGTCAGCAGACGCGACGACAATGGAGCCCATCCACGCTCGCACAGATGTTCACCCGCCTCCCCAGGCTTCAGGAGATCTATTATGAGCCATGGAGGGATTGGGTTCCTGAAAACCCCTTGATCACCCGCAAAGGTGAGAATTTCCTCATCACATTTACACTCTTTTTCTCTTGTTCAACACTAATACATGCATACTAGAATTCGAGGCCCTCTTCACGTCGCTTGCCTCCAAGGATTTACAGAAGCTTGTGGTATTCGAGAACTTCCATTCCAGCGTGCCTATTATTGACCCTGGACTTGGCCACATATGCGCGTTAATTCGCGCAGCCAGTCGCATGGCTGCCGAAACAAGTCTCAAGCTTGAACATTTTTCAGGTTCATTCCTCATTGACGCCAGCGAATTCTTTGCTAGTTGCAAATCCTCTTGGACGTGGAGCAAGCTGAGATCACTGACAGTTACTTCACAAAAACTCACTGCTGGAGAGGACCAACCCGCTATTTCAGAGATGCTTAGAATAGCAGCGGCAGCAGCTATGAATATGTCACGGCTTGATACTCTTGAGATCTGGAACGGAAAGTCGAAATCAGCAACGCTTTTCAAGTATCAGTCAAACAGGGGCCAAACATATGCCGCTTTAACGTGGAGAAGCACCTGGGGGTTCGTCATCGAGCCTTCCGTCATCCAGGCTTGGATGAGTGTGGCATACAAGCACGGCGCACGTGGGCTTACCAGCTGCACGGAACTGCTCGACGTCCGCGATAAAGTCAAGTTCCACGGCGATGCGATTCGCTATTTGCAGCTCTCACAGCCGGTGGCCCGGCCCGTGTCGCTGACGCAAATCCGAGTGGAGCAAGTGATTCACGACCATTGGGATAAGTGGCAAAAGAAACGGCGAAAGGAGTTCCTGGACCACATGATACGTGAGGCTGACCCTGATAATAGGGAGCACCAACAAGTGTTAGCAGATCTGCGGGCAAGGTTCAGGGACGATGAGGAGGAGGAGAGAGAGGGGAATCAAAGCGACTGAGTGAATCGAGGTGATTCAGGTACCTCTCTAACATGGTCAAATAATGCCTTGAGTACAAGTTCAAGGTTGCAAGGGCAGAAAGGCTTCAAAATCGAGGTGTGGCTCTTTCCACTCAGTCTCTTGCCGATGTCAACACAGAATGGGAGCCCTGTCCTCTTCTGACGTTCCTCTTCTTCGACAAAAACAGCAGCAACAGCACCACCTTCCAAGATGAATCTAACCGCCTACTCAATGGTCTGGTCACCCTGATTTGCTCCCTATCAACAGGCACCGTCGATTGCAACTCTCACCAGCCGTCTCTGGCTCTACTGCCAAGTCGTGCGGACAACAGAACGGCTTTTGTTCTTCCGGAGATCACTGTGGAACTGTCATAGAGCCTTTCGCGCCTCGTGCTAGGAGGGAGATCAGGGCACAAATTGGCGGCTTATTGCGTCTGCCTGCAGCTCTATGGGAGAGGATGTTGGCCACAGCGTTGTTGTGGTAGACTGGGGATTTGTGGCAGATGTGATCTCAACTCGCGTCTTCCGGGCGGAAAGAAGGTGGAAGACGTGGCGAGACTACTGAGGCGTGCAGTTTGTTACAGGTCGGTTCACTTGCATATCCTCCACCGTGGTGGTGAGCAGGTCGTCTTTGTGAGGCCTCACCATGGAGCTGTGATATACCTACTACGCACGTGCCATGTTGTTCAAGACCGCTGCGCCTTGGTCAAGTGAGTGCATGAGCCTTTTGGCGATCCTTGCGTTTGCCACGTCGGTAGCTTCGGGTTCCCTCTAAATTGATCGTATGAAGCTATTTTTGGAAGGTTGAGAGAGAGAGAGAGAGCGAGCGTATCTTGGTCCCGCAGCGGGTCTGAATGAACGTGCAGTATAAAAGAGCACTGCCCACGGGCGAGCCTGTGCTCTGTGAGATCCATTCTCCCGTGGATCTCCGACGGCATCTGGATCCCAGCGATGATGAGATCCAGGCGGAGTGATATCGAACGAACCTTGTCAGAACGACCAGTTGAGCAGTCTAGCAGTATTGCACCAAGTTGAACATCTCATCTGTTATTGAGCACAGCTTCAAGGTTTGCCTCTGTTGTACGGCCCAAAGCTCAGTTTCGTTGTGAGTGCTTGGCAACAACAGAGACGTGGCAGCCTTATTTGAAACAAAATGCTAAGGTTGGTGATAATAAACAAATACCTTATTGACGTGTCAAAGACCTCAGAGAGGCAGTTCAATAACCTTTACAATTACTATATGAGGTACGTGTACACGAACAAGGACGATTCCTGGAGTCGTGACACTCTCCCCCTCATCAGCAAGCTTAGCTGTCTCACAGGCATGAGGTCAGCCTGCGTGCCTGACGTCAAACCCCCTCAAGACCCCTTCCCTTCGACGGGCAATCTAGAACAAGGGGGCCGGCCAGATGTGAATTAGAATGTGTATCCACTTGGTTCATCTGATCGCCAGGCCGTAGTAGGGTCTTGGTCCCGTACACACGACCCTTGTCGGGAGTAATGCGGTCCCTTGAGGGAATAACATCGAGATTTCATGCGCCCGGCACTAGCTAATTACACCTCCCGGCGCTTTTTCAACCACAGCCTCGCGGCCCTTTTATTTAGTGGTGACTAGTTATGGTAAGTGCTCAGGCGAGCAGCTGCTAGCCACGCATGTTTTGAATACCTGATCTCGAGGGCTCGCGATGCCGTGCATTTTGAAGCAGAGAACCCGAAGGAGCAGGTAAAGCCCTTTATCACATCTCCGGCTGTGCTCATCCCTAACCCCCTTCCAAGGCCAAGCAAGCCCCAACGACCCGGGGAGCCGGGCAAGGCAAGGAGGGTCCACGAGACGGGGGCCCATGTCGTCGGCCGATGTGACCTCCAGGATCTCTGCCTACCAATCCGCCAGCCTACGTCAGGGGAGGAAGCAAGAAAACAACCGCCCGAGGCTGAGACAAGCGGCGACATGCAAAAAGCCACGCAGAGGGTAGATTGAGGGGCAGGGCGATTACAGCAGGGGAAGAAAAGAAAAGAAGCGCGCTTGTCCCGTGTGCACATATATGTATGTATGTGCGAGTGTGCCACGATGCTACGTACGTACGGGTGCGGCCCCAGACGCACCTGGGCGGTGAGAGCGTGGGGTGGGAGATAGAAGCCGGATGGAAGCGCATCCCGGGCTGCGCTACGGTTTACTCCGAGAGGGAAGGGGAGAGGGGCTGCATTAGTCGAGGCGGGCGCCATCTGATCGCGGACCCAGCTCGTCTACACAAGCGCACCGACCGGTCTCTTCGCTTTTCACGGTTGGCATATGCCAGGCCGCACATGACAAGATGAAGACGTGGGCTGGGCTGGGGGAGTATTTCATTTGAGGGGTTCGCCGGGTGACACGCAGCCGTTGTGGCAGGTCTGACAGATGATGCTCTCGTGGGGGTTCACGACTACACGGGGCAATTTTGTGAGCTTCGAGATTATGGACTATGTATTTGAGGTGTTCCCAAGCAAGCGGGCAGGATCCCGCCCGCCGCTGTAGGATCCCTCCCGCCGTCTCGTCGCCCCGGATTTAGGGGCAGGATGGGCACAATTTGGTGTGACGTGACTCCCAAGCAGCCGGCGGGTGCCCTGGGAGTATGAGACCTGCTTGCTCTCCGTTGCCGGGTGAGCATGTGCGACGAACACACTAGAAAGGCAAAAGAAGGAAATGGGAAATTGCACAAGGGGGAGAAAAGGAGAAAGAGAACGAGGCTGAATTGTTAGATCCGATCGTATTTGCCCGGATTTTCAGCAAATTATCCCGCTCGATGTGTGGTGTATGTGGCAGGGGGATCCAGGATCGATCCGCCGTGCCGCAATTGCGATGGCTCTTATCGCGGACGTGGCGTGAGATGGATAATAATTCTCCGTCCGGAGAGGGCAGCTGGAGTCGATGTATGCGGGCGGGCGGGCGGGCAGACCTGTTTCTGGCCGGAAGGGCCGTCGCACAATACTGCAAGACAGAGGCACTGAATACAGCTGTCCCAGTTTCCTCCGTGTTGCCTCTCCCGATCCGTCCCTGAGGTGTCAGGATGTCTGTGTGACAGAGGTAGAGTACCCCCAAAATTGCTTGTTCCCTATACTACTCGGCCGAGGCACGTAAGCGCGGGCTGGCGAGCTGTTCCCGGGTGGCCCCTGGTTCGTGGTGAGACGGGACAAGGCGGTGGCGTCGTGTCTGAGACCCCTATCCTGGCCGCGACGGCGGGAATCCCGTGGCGTTCGCTGGCCGCCCCTCGATGGAGACACGTGTTGGAGCTGGCAGGCGATATCGATGGGCTGATGAGATGAGGGAAACTGGTCCCCCTATTATGCGTGTCTGTGGCAGGTGTCTGGACGCCACAGCCAGGACATGACCTGGCTGGGGCGTGTCTGCAGTGGGACTTGTAGATGTGCATCCTGTCCAGACTGGTCCGTCAACAGCACCTTCAGCAGGGAAACAAGAGAGAGATCGATATCTGGGTGACCTATTTTGGTTGTAGAGCAGGCGGGATTATGTCATAGGTGATCCGGTATAGGAGGACAGGCGGCCGCTCATTGAGACAATTTCGCCGGAATTAGTTTGGCATGTGGTTAGCACAGGGGGGGTCGGATCCGCAGGCGACCTGTTACTTGGTTGCTTGCCATACCTACTGTAGTGCACATACGCGTAACATCTGGTTTCTGCGTTGTTGCGCCTCAAGACCCTGGGGACATTGGCCTAGAAGCCTAGTCCGCTACAGTACACAGTCGAAGCTCGCCTATTGATAGACGCCGGATTGGGCGCTAGAGGGTCGGAGCGTCAAATACCAAAAGCGACTGTGTATATGCTGGCACGGCAGGTATCCATACACGGCCACTACGGCTTGGCCTGCTCGGTGACACTTAATGTCTGTGCTTTGACGTTGGTCGGACGGGCTGGCAGGCTGGAACGGAGAGTGGACGCGAATTGGCTTCAACGCGCGAAGGTCAAAGTGCAGTGCTGGCCCTTGCCCTTGTGAAGCCAATCCTGCCGCTGGCGTGTGTCTGGCCCATCAATCGTGTCTCCTCTCTCGGGCAGTGATGGGCAGTGATGGGCGTGTTTCCCCTCCTTTCAGATGCTCAGAGCCTCCACCATCATCGTCAGTCTGCAGCACCAGCAGCTCTGCGATGTTTTCCCCACTCGGGACAACACAAAGACGAGGGGGCAGAGGGGTCCAAGGCAAAGAGGGGGCAGAGGGGCCAGAGGGGCCAGAGGGGTAGGTTATGTAGATGGTGTACATAGAGTAGCTGGCTGTCGAGTCGAGGCGAATAAAACAAGTGTCAATGTGTTGTTGCACCACGAGTCATCATGGTCGTCCGATGCCTGACTGGCAGGCTGGGCAGGGCTGGGGACAAGCACAGCAAAACGAACTAGCACAGCAACGACTGGAGCTTCGTGTGGACGAGGGTGGGCTTCGGTGGGCTCGGTGGACTTTTGTGGATATCTGGAGGCTGAGTGTCGGCGGTAATTAAAGATCTGGGAGAGATTTCTAGGGGTCCAGCAGCAGCGTCAAGCATCTTTGTATGTATGTATGTATGTATGTATGTATGTATGTATGTATGTACGGGGTGCTCACCGCGCCTCGCCTCGAATCTTGGGATGCTGGCGTACAGAATTGCGTGTTGGGTGGCAGAGGTCCCCATAATGGTAGTGAATGCTGTCTTGGGGGGTCTGGGTGCAAGGTTGTTTGTGTTGTTGTCAGTGCGTCAGTCGTCAATCGAATCGAGAATTGCAGCGCCGTAGTCCAAACTCCAAAGCTCGTCGGGCCTCTGCCGCCCTATCGACTCTAGCACGCAGCACGCAGCGGGCATCCCACCACCCCTCCAATCCCCTGTCCATGTCCCCCCCTGTCAGCCTGTCTCCCTGTCTCCCTGTCTCCCTACCGACTGGCTGCCCTTCAGCGCATGGGGGTCTAGACTGCGGTAGCTAGTCCAACAGCAGTACGTATTCAGAGAGCTCTGACCGCAAGATTGCGGAAACCTGTCTGTGTCTGTCTGTCTATCTGTCTCTCGTCTCTCTCAATCCATCCACCCATCCATCCAATACATCCATCTATCCATCCACACCCCTCCTCCTCCTCCTCCCCCCCAATCATCTATCAACCATCTGCATCAACAAGTCTGGGCTGCTTTGGTCTTTTCTTGTCTCTTGTCCCTTGTTCTCCTCCTCCTTCTGCGCTGCCTCGTCCAACGACCTCGCATCACATCACATCACCTCGCATCGCATCGTCTCACCTCTTGTCCGCGTCGACATCTCCGCATCTCGACCTGTCCATTGACTTTTTTCCCCCTTTCGCATTTAGACAAGGCGATTGATTGACTTCGTTTCTGTCCTGCCGTGCCGATACGATTGTTGCTACGCATGTTCTGACTTGTAAGTGTTGATGCTTTCATTATCTCTATGCATTTATCGTCATTTGTCTTGCTTTCTTTCTTTCTTCTGTTGGGAGGGTGGTCAGAGAAGACGGGGGAGGATATCGGGCGCCGTCAGCACCACCGCGAACCATACGACCACGACCACGACTCCGACTACTGCCACTACCATTGCCCGTTGCCCAGTACCACGATTTCGACCTGTGCATCATGCGAGACTTCAGCTGGACGACTATATCTTAGCTGCTACCGTACTGTGGCTACTGTCGAAGACATTGCTTTGAAGACACGCCGTTCTGAAGTCATTGCCTTGCCGATCGAGACGGCCTGTCGCTCTGTGACGTCGATGGTCCAGACCAAGCAACGCAACACATTTCAATCCAACCCAACAACACAACGCAAACATCAACACGACGGCATCAGGCCGAGTGATGCAGTTCCACCTCGACTGCTACATCCAGGAGAAATAATCACAAGCCCTTGATGCTGCACTCTTATGTCAACCAGCAGTGTTGCATCGTCACGGCCCATCCAGTTTCTGGTTCCTACGTGTGGAGATAAGGCCACCCACTGCCAACGGCCTGATCTACCTGACTCTACAAAGCTGACCGGCTGGTTGGCTGCCCAAGTGGAAATCATTTATTTTTCTCCCTCTGGCTGGGGAACAATCTCCATGTTACTTATTCTGCAGTCAGCATTGTGATGTACCCTGTTTGTCTCTAGCTTCCTGCTGCTACTTTTTTGTTGTTGTTCTTTGCTGCGCATTTTCCTGTATCTGCTTCCCCACTGGGCCCCCCAATTCCCTTCCCGAAACTTTATCGCGTCCTCAGGCAGGACCCAACCTTGAGACAGCCCAACCTGCGTGCAGCACGCTAATTCTCGTCTCCGCCCCGGCAACAGCTCATCACCATTTCTTCCTCCACATCCTCCCTCAGACGCATCATCGACGACGACGACGCCGCCGACGCTGACGAACACCACCCCCGCCGCCTCGTCGATCTCATAATAATTCCAAACCAGAGGCAGCAAGCACGCGCCACCTGACGACCCATTCCCATGCTATGGCAGCTGTCATCGGAGACTTTGCAAACCATTCCGGATTCCACACTATGATCGCAACTCAGGGCCTTCCTTATTCCCAAGAATCATCCCACGCCACCTCACACTACCGATCCAGCAGTCACTCAAGAAGTTCTACCCCCCGAAACCACCCTCCAAGCCGACAGCAGTCCTCGCGAGCCTCCCCACGATACTCTGCCAGCACCGCAGCCAGAGCGCCGCCGGCTGATGACACGGGCGCGTCGAGATTACCCTCGCCCCCGGACTCGTCTTCTGGCAGCGCCAGTGCCGGTGTTGGAAGCGCCTCACAATCCCACGAAGACTTGAAGGCAAGGTACACAAACGCATCCCAGAATGGTCAGAAGCAGGCCTACATGGACGACTCATCCGCGCACCAGCCTGCGCAGGGATTCTCCGCTGCCGGTCTTGCTGCCTCCGATAATACCCCCAACTCCTCGTCTCAGACCGTCGCCGGATCCACCCAGCCAAGTAATGTCCTCCCCTCTCCCGCCTCCAATTCTGGCGATCGATGGACCGCATCGCAGTCCACACTGAACTCCTCGCCAACCTCCCCCACGCAACAAACCACCATCAAGGTCCGCGACCTCGCACACGTCCAGGCCCTTGCACGGTCGGGCATGACCTCGAGCACAGTCGACGATGATTCACCCTTACAAGCATTGAAATATGACCTAAGCGAATGTCCGATCGGAGATGTAATTGAGATGGTCGCAGCATTGCTCACCAAGATCACCACCACCAACGACCAGCAGCACGACGCCCTTAGCAGAAATGCTATCGAGCGCAATGCCAGCCATGTAAAGCAGGCTCAAGCTCAGAACGACGGCTCGGCTTCGGAGAACAGCATGAGCCCCTTGAGCAGCAGCGTGCTCGCCTTCCACGGCAAGAACGTGCCTGCCATCACCATCTTGAGCTACCTCAGCCGAATACACAAGTACTGCCCGACCACATTCGAGGTATTTTTGAGCTTGTTGGTCTATTTCGACCGTATGACGGAGCGGGTCAACGACATAGTCATGAAGGCAGAAGAGGCCAAGAAATCCGGCCAGGCGCAAGGGCCGACCGAGTCGGACGTTGTTATGAAAGAGGCCGATGACGATAGCAGCGACAGCGACGAGGAGTTGGACGAGGACATTGCCGACGATTCAGACAGTGATGGGGAGCAACCCAGAGGGCGTCCCGCACCCTCAAAAACGCAGGGGAATGGCTCAGGGAAGGCCTCAGGGGCACCCTCTGCCGCCAGCCAACCCACGTTCTTTGTTGTCGACAGCTTCAACATTCATAGGTTGATCATCTCTGGGGTGACGTGTGCGAGCAAGTTTTTCTCGGATGTCTTTTACACAAATTCGAGATATGCCAAGGTACGTCTGTGAAACTGGCTTCGTCCTATTCATCCTTTGAAGCTTTCCTACATGCATCTGTACAGTAGACTAACTAGACTACCTACAGGTTGGAGGTCTCCCCCTCGCTGAGCTCAACCACTTGGAGATACAGTTCCTCCTTCTGAACGACTTTCGACTCGCCATTCAAGTCGAGGACCTGGAGGCCTACGCAACGATGCTTGTCGAGTTTTACGCGCGAGAGGTCGTGTCTCGATCTGCTGCGGGCGCGGCTTAGATTGGGAGCAGTGTATTCACGGTTGCTGATTTCTGAAAGATAACTATGTATGCGAGGCTCATTACCGACGGGCACCGCCAAAGCACTTTGGGCAAAAAGGCCTTTTTGATACCCGGATAGATGTTGGGATGACTAGATGAGAGAGAACGACGAGAAGGGGGGCATTATCGGTATCAGCGTAATATGTCGCCTCTGTGTGTGAGAGAGAAACAGAAAGAGCGCGAGGGTGAGAGAAACAGAGAACACTCAGAAGAGTTAGTTGATTGATAGGTGTGGGTATATCATGACACGACGATTTCTACAATGACGTGAGAAGAAACGAGCCTGTTGATTTCTACGGTATGGGGAAACTAGGGCAGATCGGGAGCTGGGCGGCTTTACCTCCCCAGCCCCCCGTTCTGGCATGTATAATACGCGCACACGGAAAGCAGCAGATCAGATAGTATGGACGATGGTTGGATGGGCATGGCGTAAATGGTAGCTACATAATGGTCGACATGGATGGAAGTTGGGGGGGAGTAGGGATGAAGTTCCTGGGTGTTCCGGTTCTATAGTCTGAGTTGGGTTGTATTCTATGTGTGTGAATGGAACGGCATGGATACCAGAGTGTTATAGTGATTAAGATGTGCGTGTGTGTGTGTGTGTGTGCGCGCGCGAGAGAGACACATGTATTTTCCGGATGGTCCTGGTCTCGACCTATGTGACACCCAACACGTTATACGCGTACATTCTCCCCCTTCGCACGGAACTAGAACTCTCCTCGACGATCAACATGGGAGCCCGTCTGAACTGGGGGGGAAGGACACTTTAGCAGGATCGAACACCCTGCGATCAAATGACTCCTGCCACTGGGGGAACGCCCGAGGAGAGTGGTGTGATCTTGTCCGTGAGCCCTGCGGACATGGCTATCTGTGTCTCGATCGGAGGTAGCGGTCTCGGTTACCGAACATCGGGTACTGATCTCTTTCCTCTCCAGGGATTGCGGAAGGGCTGCTACAATTAGACGATGAGGCTTTGGTGGCTTGGTTTTAGTCTGACTGAATGGCTCCGAGTGGTCGTGGCTTCATAGGTTAAGGCGAGACAGATATTGCGGTGAAGGTCGTCACCCCAGCTGAGACACAGGGAGATGTCTTACAATGAGTAGCAGGAATATTTGGAGAATTGTCATAGTGACAAAACCAGCCAGACTTTACTTTGAGCGAGGTTGAACACTCCGTAGACTTCGGGAATTCAGAGCTCTGGCGATCCACTTGAACCTGCTGGGAAGACGAGTTCACTGTTGATGTACCCGAGAACGTGACGAGGCCTTCGGGATACAGACTATGTGATGCAGTATAAGTAACGTCTTGGTCCCGATTGGCTTAGATATTATGCCCTAAGTTTTGTGAAAATATACAATGTATTGGTATCATCTAATAATAAAACGCTGTACCTGAGTACTCATATATACTTCCGTTGACAGGCATGACCATCATTACGCGTGGCCTGATATGGCTGCCTACACCGGGGCACTACAGGTCGATGCGCTGTGGTTAAATTGCTCGTATACTTGCGGATCATTGGTGACGTTTCCAGTGACGCTTCCTCCGAATGTGAAATATCCCTGACTCAACTCGGTAGGAGTCTTCTGGATCTCACTGGCGTTTCCGACAACCCACACACTTTGCATTCCTGGCCCAAGGTTAGCAAGTCTCACACATACAAGGAACGAAAAGAGTCTGTGACTTACCCATGACCATGTGCTGCAGGACGTGGCAGTGGATCATCCACACTCCCGGCTCGTTGACCCTAAGTCTCCAAGCTCTCCAGCCGGCATCAGCACCGGCCGTTGTCTTGGTCTCATAACGGTACAGCATAGTCGTGTCCCTCTTCACAGGCGTATACCCAGCCGCCACCCTCGCAGCCTCAGTCGCGTTAGCGTCATACGTCCCATTCCCACTGCCCATATCGTAGTAGTGGGCACCGTGGGCGTGGAAAGGGTGAACATCGAGGCCGCCGTTCCCATTGACAAGCGACCCCGTGTTCTGGAACACAATCTCCAGCACCTCGCCGACCTTGGCGGCGTAAGCCTTGTTCTTGGGGTCCCAGCCGCCGTTGGCGATGGCTTTCTCGTAGTCGGGCACGGCGACGTCACCGCGCAGGTAGATGTCGACCAGCAGCGGCACGGGATAAGCCACCAGCTCGTTCCAGTTGAGCCCGTTGAGCTGCCAGATGGTCTGGCCGGTGGTCGGGCTGATGAGCTGCACCACGTCGATCACCACCCGGCGCGTCACCTCCTCCAGCGTCGGGAAGTCCGCGTCCGGCTTGAGTGGCTGTAGCGTGTTCTCCAGCCAGTCGTACGTCTTGGTCGTCAGGTTGAACACGGGCGCCGCCGGCGCGGGCGGCACGGGCGCCTGGCCGTCGGCCGTCGTGCCGTTGTTGCCGGTCATGTACCGCAGCACGCCGTAGCTCTGGTATACGGACGGCCGGTCGCGCGTCTCGAACTGGATGAAGAAGTCCGACTTGCCCGCGGCGTCCAGGTCCGCCTGGCTCTTGGTCTTGAAGAGCACGTCGAACCGCTGGCCGCTGCCGATCTGCATGCGGTACGTGGCCGCCGGCTGCGTGTACTGCCCGCCGTCGACGGCGATGATGGTCAGTATCTCGTGGCCCTCGAACGCCATGATGGTGTGGCTGAGCGACGTGGCCCCGATGAACCGGAACCGGTACGTCTTGTCCGGCTCCACCTCGATCACGGGCAGCTGGCACGACGCGTCGCCTGGGATCTCGCCCGCCGTGTGGTTGATGGCCACCCCTTGGCCGTTCAGCATCACGGCTTGCACCTCGCCGCCGAAGACGAGCGGGGCTGCGAGCAGGCCTGCCTCAAAGGTCGAGTCGTTCTGTTTGAAGTGCTCGTGCCAAAGCAAGGTGCGCTCGTCGTCATATTGGTATGGCGGGGCGCCGCAGTCCTCGACGATGAGCGCTCCGAAGACCGTCAAGGCTTGCATGCCCACGTGTGAGTGGTAGAAATAAGTGCCGGCATCCTCTGGATGAGCTTCAATCTCATAGTCGAAGAAGTTCAGCGGCGGGATCGGCCATTGTGATGCTAGCACAGCGCCATCTGAAAATTGTGCCATTCGTTGGGCAAGGCCGTGCCAATGCTGTGAATATTCGTTAGTTGTACTTCTCTGTGTAGGCTGGCTTGGGCTTCCTCATACCATCGTCAGGTTATGATCCGTCATATCATTGTATACCCGAATCCATGATGAACGTCCTGGCTTAATCCGGATGGCCGGTCCGGGAGAGGTGCCATTCACTACCGCGGAGTGTCGTTGGTCGCACGCTTGAGAGATATCCTGGGCTGTTATTCGAAGGACATGATCGGGAACGAATGTGTTATCGTGGGTGACCAAGCCAGCACCAAGGACAGGAGACAGCAGCCACTGCAGGCAAAGGAGGGATAACGACAGGACTCTCATCTTCGCAAAAGGCACACGCTAATGGAGAAACATGAAACGAATGACTATGGCTAAGCCAAGAGGGGACTTCCAGATTTCTATACATCTTGACGGGATGATTTGAATTATTTAAAGGTTTGGACTTGCGAGTACTGTAACTAACTATCACGCGTGCAACCTTGAGGAAAGCTTAAAGAGATGGCAAGGGAGGGATCTTCAGCTCCATAGCTCATGCGCGCCTAGATCTGGGTGGGGATTATGTGGAATAGCAAATAGTGCATGGACACCCCAGCTTGTGCTTATTCCTGGACTGCAGTTCCAGCTGGACCCGAAAGACTATTTCCCCCCTTGCCAAACTATAGCATAACCCGGGCCGCAGCTCATGTTGCTCTGCCAATAAGCCTCTGCCTTCGTTTTAGCATCGCCGCGGGTTGTCGGGCGCACAATTCGATCTATATCGACCATGAGACGTGATTAGAATCCGCTAAAACGTCGGTGTGTGTATGCCTGGCTCAGCTCAAGCTATTGAGCTGACCACCATGGCCATGGCAATGCCCGCTATGAATCATCAGACGACAAGCTTCAGGGTCCACGGGAGAACAAAGTGATAAGCATCTTGGTCTGAGCTTGCTCGGGCTATGATGAATGCCCGACCACAAAGCCGCAGCGTCGGGTCTGCCGGACATGAACAGCCAAGGAACCCGCAGAATTCTATTGAGATTGCCTTTGCTGCACGTGTGAGTGTGAAGTGAGTCGGGTGCGCGTCTGAGTCGTTCTCGTATCCACGGAATTATCCGAATCCACCTCAACCGCTCGAGTGTGTGCTGCATGAAACACGTTGCGATGCACACATGAGTTTGCTGCACAGCGCTCCGTTTATGCAGAGCATATCGCGTGCGGCGTCGCACACGTTGTAACCCTGCTATTCAACCACAATTCCCGAGACGTAAGCGCCAAAAATGAATAGTCATGCGTGACGATCAAATGTAGCTCCCTGGCTCGCTGCATCACATCTTATCCTTAATGTCTGGTGGATATTGAAGATGAATAAAAGAATGGTAGATTAAGGCACACCCGGGTTATGAAAGTCTACGTGAGAGGTAGCAGACGGTGCGTGGAAGTGGTACCGCCGCCCACTTTCCACCAAGATCTGCACGCAGTGCGGGCGTCAAGTCGCCCACTTGCTCCACCAACGATCAGTGTGATGCGCCGAAGTCGAGTCTAAAGAAAGCACGCAGTCTTTGCTTTTCCCGCGCCACTTCAGCTGTCTTACTTGCACCTTTGCACTACTTCTAGTGTTGTCTTACATCTGCTCAGCGCCCAAATATCGATGCTGAGGCTTAGGAGGTCAGATTGTCTCACATCGACATTAAGACCTTCATGCGGCGTCAGTGCATACGCGTTTCGACTTCAAATGGATATTCGGCCCAGTCACACTACGCTGTGCGGGGGCACCGTGTCTAGATGGTGACTGGCTGATGGTTGGAGAGGCTGAAAACTAAATACACATTGTTCGTCATTCGCGCTCAGCATCTATTTGCGGTGCAGATACATTTTTCGAGAGAACCTTGACGTCTGCGACAAGTGTTAGAATTCTATATTGGGCGAATCCTGGAGTATGCCTAGGGCTCTCAAGCTTTACACACCGAGACTTCGGCCCACACAGCTTCCAGACCATTCTATCTTCGGAATCGGCGCAGTGGGACACAGCAGGAATGACTTACTTAGGCCGAAATCGAGTCGTGAAGCGTGGAATGATGCCTTGGCTACAGCCCTAATAATCTTGCGAGTCAAGTCTTGACATTATATCTGGTTCGATCGACATGGCATTGGAAGTGGCCGGAAGTGCTGTTCTAGAGAGCTTCAAGCCCCCAATGCTGTCCCCGGCTGGTGATCATGGCACACATGCACGATATTCGACGTGAGTAGTCAATGAAATCGAAATGTGATAATGAGGTTTGGCCGACTGTCTCTAAGGTGTATGTTGTTGGTGAGGATATTAATTCAAAAATGATCTTGACGTACGTAATGTAGATAGTCACGATAAAACTTTTCGGATATCGGGTGGACAAAAGCATGTGAAAAGCAGGGCGGCTCTGCGGCTCTTACCGGAGAAGTCACCTAAAATAAATGTTTCAGATTCATGATCGGGGTAAGAGCCATTGAATCCTTCATCTGGTTCCCACTTTATATGTTGTTACTCATTCTTGACTGTGGCTGTGGCTGTCCTTTCTCCTCGACTTACTCGCTAGAGCCTCCCCGCCCCATGCGTGACCAATTCAGTAAGATTAAGTGCTTGGCACCTCACTATGCTACAAGATCTTCTTCTTGTGAAGCTTGACCGCCCGGGCACCGAATGGGATAGTAAAAACAAAGAATATTTTGTTGTTCGCTGCTGTCTGGCACTGCATGGTCAACCCACCGCTCTGTTCGCTGTTTTGCAGTTCAGCCCTGACTTGGCTCTCGGAAGATTGGTTCACATCCACATGGTCTGTACATACTTGTCGCCTCAAGCAAGCAGGAGAGTTATCATTTTGCAAGCGCTTAAGATCAATTCCAAGATGACAAAATCGATATTACCAGGACTATCTGTGACAGGTAGACTATGTCTCCTATTAATCATAATCATCATGGAATGAGAAAATCGGTTGAAGTCTCTTTTGGGTCTGTACAGCATTCATGAATTCGAAGTACGGGCGTTGTCGTTCACAAGATGGCAGGCGGATGGTATTACTTTTGCCGGTAGAGTTTCCGATGGTAGGAAATCCGTGTCCCTCTCAAGATAACCCAAGTATAACTGTGTATCCGAAGCAGAGGCTTCCATACTCTGGGATGGAAATTTCTCGGGGCAGAATACAAGTACCTTGTTTCCGGGTCCATTTCACTCAAGCCGGATGTTGATATGGCCGAAAGACGTGAAGATGAGATACATCACCAAGACATGTAACAAGTAAACATCAAAGAATTGCTAGCATGCAAGTTGATAAACCTGTGGCAATGGGCTCGAGTGCAAAAAACAGTCGGCTCAGTGCAATATAATATGGCGATAAATAAAGGGAATCGACTACCTAGGTAGCTCGTAAGAGGACGTCTTGTTTAGGATCTGTAAAGACCTAGTTGGGCTGCTTCCACAGATACTGTTGGAAAGGCTGGTTGCACCAGTCGTTGCAAATCGCCGACAGCCTGCGGTGGCGGTATGTTAAGGGAAGACCAGATGAGATGTTTACATGTGTTTCGAACTTCTACAGACCTCCAACGAAACTCGATTGCGACCTTTTGAAACTACTCACCCCACTTGTACTTTTCACACGTAGCTCAGGTGTCCACTAGGTAATACTTATAGTGGGTATAGTCTCTTATATTAATTTACGGGCAATTTACAGCTTTGCAACGGCCTTACGGATGCTCTCATCCAGGTCAAAGTTGAATAGATAGCCATACGTCGCATGAGACTCATCTTTCAAACGCAAAAGATCAGATCCCTCCGCACTCGATATAGCCATGTACCTGGCAACGTTCTCCTTGCTCCGACGAATAATCTCTTGTGTTCTAGTTCGTCTCGCCGCGTCGTACGCCTGAAAAGCACGTCCAATATCTGCTGGCGCCTGAATCGAACTCAACAGGCCACATAAGGTGTACGCGTCCTCTATGGCCATCCCTGCGCCTGCTCCCATATGCGGTGTAGTAGCATGCGCAGCGTCTCCCAGGAGGCAGACTCTGCCTTGATAGTATGGTCTCTCATGTGGACAATGAAACATTGCCCACCTCTCCCCACTGCTATGCTTGAGTAGCAATTCTGCCAGGCCAGGAAGTAAGCCTTTGCAAGCCCGCGCGAGTTCACCTTCTTCAGACGGTACTCGCCACTCCTTGTGTTCCCAGGTATCTCCAGTCGGGGCGCATGTGGCGAACATGTTCAGAGCTGATCCATGTTCCACTGGGTATGCGATAGTGTATCCGCTTGGGTAGAGTAAGAGGTTTCCAGTTCCTGCCAGCTCCTTGCCCATCACTTTCTCATAGTCGTCCCGAGGTACCATGGCACGGTATCCGAAGAGTCCAGCATAGATCGGCTCGGCGTCCTCTCCGTGCAGGAGCTTTCTAGTCGCGCTTTTGATGCCATCGCACCCTACAACTGCAGATGCGGTGGCAGCTGAGCCGTCCGCGAATTTGAGATGAACGCCGTCGTCCAAGCCACCTTCGTTCTCTGTGAAGCTGACAAACGTCTTATTGAAAGATGCTGACCCTTCTGGAAGTAGCTTCACGAGCTCATCAAGCAACTTTGCTCTATGAACACAGCACCTAACAGGAAACACCATTCCGTCAATTTCCTGGACTTTTCCTACCAGATTGAAGATTTTCGCCGGTATCCTAGTCTCTTGCTCGCCATTCGGAACCCAACCCCTTCTATATGTCAGAAAAGTATCCGCAAGTTCCGGCGACTCATTAGTCGTGACGTGTTTCGCGTAAGCACGAAGCATTGCCGGTGAGAGACTGTGAATTGCGCGGATGACGTTGGGACCAAATGTCACGCCGGCGCCGATCTCGCCGAATGATGGTGCCGATTCGTAGATATGGAAGGGGACATTCCGCGCGGCCAGGCCGATGCCGAGGGCGATTCCCCCTATTCCACCACCGACAATAGCAATTGTGAAGGGCTTCGTATGCGCGGAAGTGTTCATTTTGAGTTCAAATAGAGGACCGCGAGTAGCAGTGGGTCAACGGAGTGTAAAGCGTATGATGTGAAGAGTCGTGGCCTTGCTGATAAGCGGCGTCAGACGAAAAGCGTGTCGCTGACTACTGAACTGCACTACCCACCAAGATGATCATACCTAAGTACGCATTATCAGTCCCGACAACCCCGCATTACAGCACATATAAGCGATCACTGGAACGGCTCAATAGTCCCGGGCGCCGTGCAAGTCCTTCTATTGCTCATTTCAATCTCTCGTTGCCGGTTGCTGACCAGGTGGCAAAAAACATTAATGCTGGCCGGCAAAGCGGATGTGTATTCCACGTTCTAAATTACTAGATCCCCGCCTCTCCCAAGGTCCTATTCTTGGTTCAGATCCGATAATAATGCTTGTCAACCCTCTGGTCTATATGCCCGAAAATGGCAGACTGCTGAGTGATTATTGTAGATAGCTTGCAGAAGCGCCCCTGAAACTGACTTAGGCGAAGAATAAAGAATCCTAACACCTGATTCGTTATCGTTTGGGTTGAGAACGGAGGACTTACGTAGTCTTCACAGTCGAGCAAGCTATGGCTTAATGATGCTATGTCTTCACTGCCATCTGTGATAGGGGCCCTTGTCTTGCCAGATGGAGGACAAGGCCGTATCAGTAGATATACATATGTAGTCACGGTTCCCAATGAACTTTATGGTGACAGCACTCGTCCCTCACAAATTCAGGCTACTCTCTCTTCTACAAATAGTCACTTGACATCCACCAAGATGTCCGAAATACTTGTAGGGGAGTACTTGTTCCGTCGTCTCAAGCAGACTGGCGTTCAGACTATCTTTGGCGTCCCGGGTGGTAAGTCTAGAATGACTCGATCATGGAGTCTCGTCGCTTTCAGCTCTGCGTATTTCACAGAGGGTAGGACCAAATATTGATCGATCCTCAATGACCAGATTTCGAGCTTGCTCTCCTCAACCTGGTTCCTGAGCAGGACCTTTCATGGGTTGGAACGCCCAACGAACTCGTCGGTGTATACGCTGCTGATGGCTATGCACGTGAGAAGGGTTTTGGAACCCTTTTCACCACTTTCGGACCGGGTGAGCTGAGTGCTCTATGTGGCATTGGCGGTGCATTTTGTGAGAATGTTCCCGTGCTGCACATTGTCGGCTACCCCACGAGGCCCGTCCAGGCGAGTGGTAGAATCATCCATCACACACTTGGTGATCTTCGCTACGAGTAAGTTTGACAGGCGGTATTGACTACTTGAAGTTGACCTGTTGCAGTCACTATGTCAAGATGTCCGGAGAGTCGAGCTGCGCCACAGCCGTACTCGAGGATACGCATACCGCAGCCAGTGAAATCGACCGAGTGATCAACGATCAACTCAATGCTTTTCCACTCTAAGCCTGGATAGTACGTACACATTCTGGGAGATGAAAATTCTAATTCAGTTGTACCTGCTTACATTTTAATTCTAGTATCGGAGTCTCAGAGGACGTCGCGTATTCCATGATCCCGTCATCGTACCTTGAGAACAAGCTCATCACTGCTCTTCCCCCGGGCAATGCAGACGTGGAACAAAAGGTCATTTCGGCGATTTGCAAGGCTCTAGCTGAGTCACAGCGCCCTATTCTCCTAGTTGACGGCGGCGCTGCCCGTAGCAGCTGGGAGTTCTCTGAGCTTGTTGACACTCTCAGAATCCCTGTGTTCACGACGACGTTGGGTAAGGGTATTGTAGATGAGAGCAGCCCCTACTATATGGGTGGCTATGATGGCATCGGCTCTCTACCGGAAGTGACGGAGATTGTAGAAGCGGCGGACTGTGTGCTTTGGTTAGGAGGCCTGCCTTCTGACTTCAACACGTAAGTACCACTTCATGGAGTAGCTCGGATTTCGTTTCCAGCTGACGCACAATTTGCACTTAGTCTTGCGTTTACTTTCCACATAAGCTCATCCGCGACTGTGATTGACTTTCAGAGACTCTTCGTACAGGTAGGGTGCAGGATACGCTAAGCGAGGCAGACCTAGCTAATAACAAGGCAGATAAACGATACGAAGATCGAGGCCAAGATCTCACAAATTCTTCCCAGACTTACCAAAGCAATTGAGACAGAGCAGCCTCTCTCTGGCGAGAGATCACATGTCAAGCGCCCAGAGCGTCCCGCCGTTCCGATGCCTAAAGCTATTGAACAGGATTGGCTGTGGCCAGTGAGTACCTCTTAGATGCTTAATGCCTCCATAGTAACTGATGGGCCTGCAGCGCATCTCGACTTGTCTCAAGCCCGGTGATCTCATCGTGACTGAGACTGGGACCGCCCAGTTCGGCTTTAATATGATTACCATGCCGCATGGTGCGAAGCTGTGGACACAAGCTGTATATGGAAGTATCGGATACGCTGCCGGTGCAGCGATGGGAGGCTCCATTGCGGCCAAGGAGATGGGTACCTATAAGCGGATCATCCTGATCACGGGCGAGGGGAGTTTGCAGTTGACTGTGCAAGCTTTCCCAATCCTGAACAGACATGGACTCACGCCCGTGGTGCAAGTTTCAGGATTCCTTTTCTCTCTAGATTAGGCGGTAGCTGATGTATTGTTTCAAGATTCATCGTCAATAATCTTGGATACACTGTTGAAAGATACTTCAATGGCATGGAAGCTGCATACAATGATGTCCCAACGTGGGATTATAGCATCATGTTCCAGGCTATGTCGCCAGAAACAAAGACCAAGTCATACAAGATTGATTAAGCAAAGGACTTGGATGCGCTGCTGTCGGACGAAGAGTTTCAGAATGCTACGTAGCCCCAGGCAAGTTGAGCCAATACTCCAGATGGCTGCCTCAAAGTAAATTGGACTAATAAAGTGTACTCAGTGCGTCGATATGATGCTGAGCCCGAAGGACCTCCCTTCGAACCTTCAGAAGACATTCGAAATCAAAAAGGCGGAGGTTGATGCTAAAGGCACAGGTACCTCACTCTCAGCATAGTGAATGCATTTGAACAGAAGTTCTCGCGCAGAATTCCTGCCTCGCGAACTCCCCGTTTATGCCTATGTACTCAATGCCGTTAAGAACACCCCCCCCCTCCAGACTGAAAGTGCAGTGTAAAAATCTCGGATAGTACCATATCTCAAAATGGTAAGCCGGTATCACGAGAGGAATCGAGAGACAAGAAGAGCTGCCATCAGTGCGTCAATTAAAACTAAGTCGGCGCTAGCTTCAATCGAGAGGTGAACCCTTAGGCAGGTCCGCGTTTTCGATTTTCCCGCCAGTTTCCCGACTCCCACTGCCTTCGACACAGAGCATGTCACACTCCGAAGAAGCCTCAGCCGCCTCCTTCCACTGCTTTCACCGGCTCCCGAAAGAGATCCGCAGGGCGATATGGCGGCAGTGTCTTCCGCGCCGCGTTCTCGAATTTGACGTGCCACGGCCCGATATTACCTGCCAAGATCTGCCCGAGGAGCTCCAGGGAACAGTCAGCTGCGAGCTCTCGTCCACAACAGCCCTCAACTCCGGGCCTCCCCTAATCACGCAAGTATGCTTTGAGGCGCATGAGGTGGCATTCGAGACAGGCCGTCTAGCCAACTTTCGCGATCTCTGGGATGGCTACAACGTCAATGTCTGGGGTATGGGTACTCCCATGCGCCGCTCCTGGTTCGACCCCGCGCGCGATGCCATTCATCTGCACTGGGAATCTCTGTACGATGCTGAGTGGACAATATGCGAAAACCCTATTCCAGTCGTCTTATCCCTCGGCGCCGAGGCGGCACGGGGCGCCTCGTTCACGTGGGACAGCGCCACCTCTTCGGACGACTCGATGCAGCTGCTCAAGCAAGCGGGACAGTCGTATATGCTCTGTGTGTACCGGCCCGTCAGCATCCACGCGTGCCGCAAGGACGCGGTGCGGTCAGGGCTCTTTGGCCTCCTTGGTGAGGAGCGCGTAGTGTTGGTGGATGTCGGCGACGACGCGCGGATCCGGCTCTTCGACGACTTCAATCGGTTACATGGGTCTAGCAAGGACGCCCAGACGGCTGGGTTCTTTCAGAGTTGGCGCAACTCCGGCGCAGAATTCCACAAAGAAAACGTTGAATTCTACCAAAAGGACTGGCTCATGCATAAATCAGTACATGCGACCCCAAGCTGGGAGGAGGACTTGAATGCAGTCTGGACCTTTATTCGCAGCACAACTCCAGGGGGCCTATCTACCTGGGTACCTCACTGGGATCACGAGTGGATGAAAAAGACGTTGCAGGATTTGCCAGAGTTTCGACCTGTATATATGATGAGATTATGTATTGAAGGATGCACGTAAGAAACTGTTACAGCACTCAAGATTGACGAGATGCCTAGATCGCGTTGAGAGTATTGAGACTTCGCGTTTGCCAGATCACTATAGAGATATCATCCGGAGGAGCTTCTTGGCACCCTTGGAACAAAGTAGCATTCGCGCTTGGTCGTCGGCGCCGAACAAGACCCGTCGTTCCGGCACTCCGGCAGCTCGGCATTCAGGTTTTGTGGATCCACGTTTTGTAATGGGTAATGTGTATGTGGCCTACAGGCTCACCTAGGACCCCTATCGCGGGACTTGGCAGCATATCACGGGGAATAGAAGCCATGGTGTCGCCAATCCCGATCGATCTCGGCATTTCATCTCATGCATGGATTGTCATAGGTGGACGACTACTTGATGGCGCGGAATCTGTTGCAGTGTTGTAGGCGACTCGGCATTTACGGAGCATACGTGTGGCACCGAAATCCGCTCAAAGGCTGCTACCTTCGCTGTGTGTGATCTGTGCGGCGGCGGGTAGGAAGAGCGCATAATTTATCAAGCTGTCGTTCCGGGGGATGTTTTTCAAAACTAGCACTATAAAAACAACAAGTCTGCCACAATACTTAGCATCGAACTTTCCATTTCGCCGTGACTCAAACCCGTAGTTCAGACTGCATCCCAGCTGCCATTGCTACAATGTTTTCGAACATCGGCCAGGCTACTGGTTCTGCCTCGGTGGCGATGATGCCCTTGATTGCAATTGGCCTTGTAAGTCTTTCCATCGTTGTAAAGCCCATCAAAACTCGTTTTCATCGAGGCTCTGAACTAACGGTTAGCCATTGATCAGCTTTTTGCATACTTGTTATCGTATTGCGTCTACCAACTCATCTTCAGCCCCTTGCGCAAGTTCCCAGGTCCCAAGCTATGGGCGATTTCATACATCCCCTACGCTCGCCTCTACACCTCCGGGAATGGTCATCGTGAGATATTGAGACTTCACCAAAAGTACGGCCCGATCGTCCGCGTTGGTCCGACGCACCTTTCCATCAACCACCCAGACGGCATGCAAGATATCCGCGGTCATCGGAAGACGGGCGAGAACCCCAAGGACACTATTCATGCCCTTCCTAACCGAGACAACATCATCGGCGCCGACCGCGAAGACCATCAACGTTTCCGTCGCGTACTAGCCCACGGATTTTCTGCGCAGTCTATGTTGGCACAGCAGCCTGTCATCAAGCAATATGTCGACCAGCTCTTCAGAAAGTTGCATGAGGCTTCTGAAGGCGGCACGAGGCCTGTCGATGTTGAAAGGTGGTTCAACTTCACGACATTTGATGTCATTGGCGACTTGTCGTTCGGCGAACCTTTCGGGTGTTTGGAGGATGGTACATATCATCCTTGGGTTGACATCATTTTCAAGAGCGTCAAGAATATGGCATTCTTGAGTGCCAGCAGACGGCTTTCATGGATTGGGCCATTGCTCATGATGACTGTTCCTCGCAGCTTGGGTACCAAGCTTGCTGAGAACAGGGAGTTGTCTCGACAGAAAGTACGGAAGAGGTTAGACCTCGGGGCCAGCCGTCCAGACTTCATGGACGCTATGATTAGGAAATCGGAATCTGCTGGTTCGGTGAGTTGTGCTATGTACCTGGATCACTGGAATCGTTCACCACTGATGCATCGCAGACGATATCTTTTGAAGAGCTCACATCCAACGCTTTTGTACTCATTGTCGCGGGCTCGGAAACAACGGCCACGTTGCTGTCTGCGGCGACTTTCTTCCTGGCCACTAACCCTGCGTCCTTGTCGAAGCTCAACGACGAGATTAGGTCAACGTTCCAGAGTGAAGATCAGATCGACATGCTCAGTGTCCAGAACCTCAAATATCTAGCAGCTGTCTTGGACGAAAGTATGCGGTGTTACCCCCCCGCACCCAGCGGTAGCCCGCGTATGATTGGCAAGGGAGGCGATAAAATCATTGGCGAATTCATACCAGAAGGGGTAAGTAAGATATTATTGTGTTTCTTCAAGAAAATGGATCATCTGACTTGAGCATCTCATAGACCACCGTGGATGTGTGGCAATGGTCTGTGTACCACAACCCTGACCATTTTGCGATGGCTGAAGAGTTCATCCCCGAACGTTGGCTGGATGACCCGAGGTTTGCTGGCGATGCCAAAAGAGCCCTTCAGCCCTTCTCAATCGGGCCCCGAAATTGCATTGGAAAGAAGTACGTTGTCCATTCGGAACCAGGCCTGGTTGTGTAACACGTCGTGAGACCAGCTGACAGTTGCTCTTTTAGTTTGGCCAACGCAGAGATGCGACTCATCCTCGCCAGGTTAATCTGGAACTTTGAAATACGAGCCACGGAAAATTTGCAGAAATGGTACGATGATAGTGAGGTCTATATCTTGTGGCAAAAGGGGCCAGTGAACGTGTATTTAATGCCTAGGATCTGAGCCAGCCATAGAGTTCCTGCCCTGCCCTATATGCCGTTGCAGGCCTGAACATACGTATCGCTTTAAACCAACATCGATACCGTTAAACTCTTGATTGTATGTTGATACTATGTTAATACTATGCTGCTATTTAATTTATATACTGTTGTTGTGTTGTCCAACCCCCCCTCTTCCTGGTAAGGTAACCGATATCAGGTTAAGACGTGCGGCGGGGTTCGGTATTTCATCCAATTCCCGCCGCGTTCGGGGTCCCATATTTAAAGAAGTACTCGTTTGAGTAGAATCAGGCGGAAGCTAACTTACCTCCTCTACTAATAAATCAGCGGGCTTGATTGGATTTGTGATATCGATTGACTAACCTCGTCCAGGACTGCGCTCATGGTGCCACTAAAGCTTGGCCTCTTCTCAGGAGACACCAAATCAACGTATTTCACGATTCGCAAGCAACATCCGCCTCCAAACATAATCCCCGCCTCATGGAATTAACGAACAACATAAAGGCACAGATACCTCACTCTCAGCGTAGTGAATGAATTTAAATAAAGGTTCTCATAATATACCTACCCTTTAGCCTTTCTATTAATGCTTATATACTTAATGCCTTTAAAGCTTATATAATGGAAGAAAATGTCCAGATAACCCCTATTATCATTATTATCGACGTTTATAATAAGAGAAACATGAAATAAGTCCTTAAGAATCCGTAATCTTGGTGGGTTCCAATACTACACCGGGCCAAGCGGAACTGCTCCTTCCAAGTGGGTACTGCTGAGGTCGCTGTAGCTGAGCTTGCAGGTGCTGAGCTGGCTGTTGCAGCTGTTGTGCTTGATGGGCCTGCTGCATAGCCTGAGATTGAGCGGGAGTGACCCGGGGCGGCATCTGAACGGGGTGGTTCGGATATTGCCCTTGAGCCATTTGCCGGTTCGCCTGTTGTTGTTGATGATGTCGTAGTTGTTGTTGCTGCGCTTGTAGCAGCTGCTGCTGTTGCGCCGCTAAGAGGGCCTATACATACTCAGGTTAGATCGTTTGCTGGTGAACAAGTTGAAACCGAGCTTTGCCGATTTGAGTTGGAATTTACCTGTTGTTGGGGGTTTGGCGTCTGTCGGCGGCGAGCTTCCATCTGCCTCTGCTGCATTGCTTGGAACTGCGCCATTTGCGCAGGGTTTGGCGTCTGTCGGCGGCGAGCTTTTATCTGCATAGCTCTTGGCGTCTCACCAGGCACTTGTTGCGCCATCATCTGTCTCTGTTGCGCCTGCAGTGCTTGTAGACGCTGCTGCTGCTGCTGCTGCTGGACCGATGCTGCATCTGAAATTCTGCAGGTTAGCCCTATTCAGTTCAGAGGGGCTAGGCACAAAGGACAGGGGCGTACGAACATCCGTTGGTGCTGTGCATTGGTTCTCCGCTTTTGTTTTCAGTTACCCCGTTTGATGACCCAGTCTGCTCATTCGTGTCCAACATAGCTCCTTTTCTATCTTGTTGCTCCTTCCACATCAGCTGCATCTGGTAGTCCTGAAAAGCGCGATCATGCACTCCAGCTGGAAAATTATCAGGCGCAGGAGCTGAGCCCTCCGTAGACGGAGCCTCACCACGCTGTGGTATTTGGCGGCGCTCTGTCAGGATGCTAGGAGTGGTGGCGGTCACCTTTACTCGTCGAATTGGCTTAGGTGGTCTGTCTGTCTCGTGTTCTTTTCGAATGTGTTCTTTGAGAGATCTTGGGGTCAAGAAAGGCGGGTATTGACATCCTAGCTGAGTGCACGGGTATCTGCGGACATGGCTCACTTCGTGTTCGATGCGAAGCCTTTCTGTTTCAAACCCCACAGATGCTCGAGGACATGACCGGAGTCTGCAAGTGTGAGCGAACATGCAAAATTCATTTCGAAAGGTTTCGAGGTCCTGGAGTGATACCCCTGGGATATCCGACTCGTTGATGATGTGGATCAGCAAAGTTTGATATTGCGAGAGTAGGGCTGACACGCCCTCAGCCATTGCTGGGGTAGACTTTTTTTGTGTAGCGTCCGATTGTGCTGTTGTCATGGTCATCAACAACTGACGTAGATTGCAGGCGGGAGGCTCAACTCACAGCTTTCGACCTTCAGCCGTTGTTCGAGTTGCTTCAATGATCTAGCCGAGACGGCCGCCCGTACGCATTTATATATGGCTGGGTACTCGCTCAAATAATCCAATCTATCATCTTGAGGTGGCTCGTCGCCACGAAGTTCTAGACATTTTCCCTCAAAAGCGGCATCGAGTCCAGCTGAGAGCCGACAAAGGAGGTCGTAAAGATTTGATTGTCTGTCGAGGCCGCGACTCTGACTCATGATGGTCAACAAATATTCTGTCCAATACTCAGTTGCATAAAGTTGAAGTCCGTGTACGCCGCTGACTAGTGCTTTAAATGTTTCTTCGCATTTTTGGCCTAGAAGCTTTATACTGGAAAGGAGACATGCGATAGAAGCAATGCATTGCTGATTTAGTGCAGATTCTTCAGAAATTTGTAGAGTCGATGAAGAACTTTCTAGAAACCTAAAAGACAAGAAAATTTAGCCAAACGGAGTTCGATATCGCGGTCAACGCAGTACCTCCTTGACTCACTCTTTTACCGAGACGTGAATGAAAATCAGTGTTGTATCGCTTCGTTCTTCAATCAGGGATCGGCAGACGTCCAGAATGTACTGAGGTGCGGGAAGCTCGGTTTCAGGATTGCCAGACGAAAAGCCAACGGCGGACAATAATTCAGACCTGCGTAGCGGTCGCCTTGCAAATGCTACCCAGCCGAAAATACATCTGATGTGGCTCTTCGAGTTTTGGTCGAGGGGCGCCAGAATCTGAGACAAGAGTTTGAAGTAGCTAGATAATTAGCAAGAACTAAACCTTTTACCTATGTGACAAATATACTCACAATGAAGAAAGCTCACGGGGTAGTTGGTTGATCGAGCTCCTTAACTCGTCCCCGCGGACGAAAATGTTGCTACTGACGAAGTCCAGGACCAGGCGGGCGTACAGGAACATGCCTACCACTTATGTTAGTCTCATCGTGGGTCGTCAACGGAAGTCTGCATTATTCTTAATCGGCTTCGGTTTTGATGCTCAAGGAGGCTACGGGGAGAGTTGCAGGACCAAGCAATGAAAACGGATCTTCGGTTAGAGAATAAACTGACCGTCTGATTTCTGTGATATCTGTTGGCCAATATTCTCAATCTCAACCGCGCTCAATCCTAATTGCTTCAACCGAGTGTCTAATGCTCCTAGTCTCTGCAAAGCGTACTCTTGGATTGCCAAACTCAAGCTGCTCTTCTCGGCTGTGAGCGAGACTGTCGGTTTCTGTCGAAGCATATGAGATATGGTCGTAGACGGACGGCCGGAAATAAATGCTTTGCAAGTAGCGCTCTCTGAAGAAGCAGCCTTGAAGACAATCTGCTTCATAAAATTCAGCAATCGAGCCTGTATGTTTGGAGAATGATCGCGAAGTTCATCCACACCATCCAACACAATCCAAACATAGCTTCGTTTGCTTGGATCCTCGGCCGAGGTGATTAGAAGGGTCTGTAGCAACTGCTCTAGGATCGGTACTGTTGGTACGTGTTTCTTGAGAACGTATTCGTTATAGACATTGGCCGTTAAGTCCACATCCTGGCGCAGTAGTTGCTCAAGAAGAGACTTTAGGACTTGGTCATATTCTAAAGACGTAACAGACGTATTCGTGCAGAAATAGTGAAGGACAATATCGTTACGCGATTTCACAAATCTGATCAACTGCGATGATATTACACTTTTCCCGGAACCTGCTATACCTGATAGCCAGAGGATTGGTGTTTGAGATGATTGTCGTAACCAAGACTTGATCTTAGCGTTGTTGAGGATCCATCCGCATGTTCCTGGGTATTTGTTACCTTGGCTGGCCACGGATTCGAGAATGGCTGGTTGATCGTTTTCGTTTACCCGTAACCACGATTGAATGGTATGAAATTGCTTAGCGGACTGTTCTTTTTCTTCTAGGCTGATCTTCTGGAGACTCTGTTCTCTCCACAAGGATAGTTCTTGACGCATCTGGCGTGCTTCTGAAATATCAATAGCGCTTACCAAACGATCTATCAGGTCTTCATGTCGTTTCAAGTTTTCCAGTATGTTATCGAAGCGCCGTTGGAATCTTCCCCATGAAGTAGAAAAAAAGAGCTTCCAACCTAAAGCGTCCACGTTAGCAACTAGTGCTGATTTTTGTAGACATGCAGAGCTGGTGACCCCTTTGCAAAGATAACTGACCACTCCGTCGCACAAATTTATAGGCGTGTTTGTGAAATTCGAGGATATCTGCGTAGAATGCGGCTGTTGATTCAAAGAACCTGGGGTCGCCAATAAAGGACTTGCGAAGGATCTCAAATCGTAGCAAAGAGCTCCCAATACGGCCGTATGCTCCGATGATAGAGTCAAACGACTCAATGTGTTCAGACGCAATTCTCAAAATGAGGGTGATGGGAGCCCAAATCCACGGCAAGTATGGAGTCCCATTGCAGAGTGTATCCACAACTTTGGAATAATGCTCGAGACCATCCAAGAGAGGTTTCAGACGCCGCATGTTGCAGAGCCATCCTCGGGAACCGAGTCGATTCTCGATGTCAAGTGCCTCTTGTCGGACGCTCTCTAGAGAACAATCATCGTAGTCTTGAGAGTCCTGTTGTGTGATCACCTTCTGAAGGTCGTCGAAAGCGTTTCGCATTGTTTCCTGCACGACGGCAGGTACGGCTTTGCGCAAAGGCATTGCTGACGACTGGCTGCCTCGACAAGCTCTCACTAGTGGCTGCTGGAAATCTAGGTGGATAAGGAGGAGGTGGACGTGAGAGGAAGCGTGAAATAAGCAGGAATGGTAGAACGTTCGTTGTTGATAAGCAATTACATGGCTGTGAATCCGAAGCTCTATGCTGCGAAAGATGTGGGCAAAGGCGATCGCCTCTTTTGAGGCAACTAGCTGCCCTGTACAACCACACAAAATGCATATGCAGGAACTCAGCCTCCAGTGTGACCTAGCTTCGATTTTAGGCCAACCGGTGAAGGCAGGTCGGTATGACAACGCATTGCGCTAGGCCCGACCCGTCTTTTTCTCACTGCAGAATGAACGTATGGTGCTGGACAGAACATGCATGTAAGCTGAGCCCCTGTCAGGCTGACAGCTAGTGATCCCATATGAGGAGACGACGTTGTTGTGGCTATGCAGCAAGATTAGGTCGCTAAGACAATTCACCGTATTTCAGATCTAGATGCAGATCTCACATTCCTCACTTCTGACGGGACATATGCACTCCAAAGTACGACTTTTACATCTAGAGTACTCCTCCGACACTAATTACTGTTGATTTCCGGGTCCTTTATTCCTTTTCCCGTCTTGAGATAACAACGCGCCGAAGCGTGAGAAAGATGAGTTGGGCCTACGGTCAGCCATCGCCCAAACGACGGCGCTTAGCAGATGGGCAGAACGCTTCTCAACAACACTCTAGTTCTTGCTCAGACATCAATGAATTCGTACAACAGTGTCCCCCGGGCCATGGACTGTCTTCATTGTATCCTTCACCTTCGACTCCATTTACTGGCCAGATGACTAGCTTTCAATTCCACCAGACTACCCAGGCAGCTTCTTGGCCGCACGCAGGTGAGATAGAGCCCGCATCCCATGGGTCGTCTGCTACTGCTCAGCCATGGGGGAGACCGCCAAATACCCAGGATCAAGCAGGCTGGAGTTGGATGCCATATTTGGCTCCTACACATGTGCCATACCCCGGTCATGTCTGGCACAACCCGACCACCATCCTCCCAATGCTCCATCCATACCACTCTCAAGCCTTTCCACCTATGCCGAGCCAAAATAGTTTTCCCATACCAACCGAAATCGCAACAATATCACACGCTGCTGCTCCTGTGGCTCACCACGGATCTTCGTCGCCCAGACGTATGTACGACATTGTCCCGTCTGATAGCGAGGCCAAGTTAAGCCCCGAAACCGAAGACATGAGCTCGATGGAGGAGCTAGTCTGCTTTGGCACAGTATGATCCAAATCATCACGTACAATACTTTGGACGACTTCTAAATGACGAGTCCCAGATTCCTCGCATACATACGAAATGTCACCGATCAGGCCGATCAGATTTCCCGAAGAATTTCGCAGTGGAGCTTGTGTCCTGGGACCGGTTCAGCTCAACGGAGACGGAACTCGGTGTCCGTGGAAGAATTCCACCAGAGAATGGGCAGATGATTCAAGGTCTCTTGGAAGAACCATCAGTGGAACTCGAAGTCTCTTGCAATATCGAAGGACCAAATACTTCTGCCAGCTCTGACAGGTCCATTACGCAAGTGTCCTGCTCTTTGGCTATCACTGTCTACGGCTTTTTCGGGCTTTTTGATGATATCGGAAGCTGGCTCCAGGACTACCGCGTCCACCTTCAGGATCCAGTTGACGTGGAGAGGCCGGGAGTAAAGTACTGTAACCCACACCGGCTATCAGTCGAAGACATTAGTTCTTGTCCTTTGGTCTCGACATGTGTCTTTCAGAATTCGAAACTCAATAGACTTCAGGAGATAGACAATCGACCTGATTTCTTGGATATCTTGAGCAGCCATGCTGATTTGGAAGAAGCATCGCAGCCGAGAGCCGTTCGGACGAGCCTGCAAAGGTCAGTGAGGGAGGACAAATCTATTTGTGATGTTATTGACTTCAATGAAAGTTAATACTAATGTTATTTCCTTAGACACCAAAAACAGGCGCTCACATTTATGCTCAATCGGGAGAAAAGTTGGACATTTGATAAGGATGGCGACATCTGGGAGGTTCGAGAAACCTACGCAGGGCTTCAGTACGTCCCGGCCCCGAGCGGTTTAAACAGCCTACTGTGACTGACATTTGCACTTGCAAGATTCATAAACAAGGTTTCTGGGACTGTCCACTTCGAGGAACCACCGGTCTTCCGAGGTGGCATCGTTGCGGATCCAATGGGGCTTGGGAAAACATTGACGATGATTGCTCTCGCCGCCACAGATCTCGAATCAGTACAACATGGAGAGTTTCCCATGATCGACAATTCGATTGAGCATCGTGACAACGGTGTTACACTGATAATTGTACCTCCTCCGCGTGAGTGGCTCTGGAATGATTTACTTTAATGACGACGTTGCTGTAACAGGCCAGGTTACCTCCGGAACTTGTTTGGAAAATAAGCTGACGATAAAATAGTTCTCGGCACCTGGCAAGAACAATTGTTTGAGTAAGTGCAGTCCTGACAGACCACTTGTGCAACCATTCTACTCAGTATTGGAGAGTCGCTCATTTTCCCCAGGCACCTGTTCGAAGGAAAGATGAGTCTGCGGCTTCATTATGGAAAAGCAAAATTGGTCGACCCAAAAGACTTGCAAGGTGTTGCGATTGTGCTAACAACATATCATACGGTGTCGGCTGACTTTAAGAACAAGGGAAGAGACAAGGAATCATCAGTCTTGTTCTCGACCCAGTGGCGAAGAGTTGTCCTGGACGAAGGTGATTGTCCCCAGTGCCTCTAGGTTTCATGCGGAGACCTTGGCTAACACCTGTTTATATTCAGCACACTTCATCCGCAACGAAAATAGGCAAATGAGTCGCGCGATTTGCGATCTCCAATCGAGCGTCCATTGGGCAGTCACTGGTACTCCCATCCAGGTGAGTCAACGTGGCGGAGCTGTAATTCTCTAGCGTGTTTTCAGTACTAATAGATATATTCGATCGCACAAGAACCACCTAGATGATCTTTCGGCTCTGCTGAAATTCATCCGGGCCTACCCCTATCACCAGCCCAAGCAGTTTAAGGCTGACATATCCACTCCATGGAAACTTGGCGAGGAAGAAAAGGCCATCAATCGTCTCAAACTTTTATCAGCGTCACTTGTTCTCCGGCGACCAAAGACAACGATATCACTTCCACCACGGCGAGACTCGCAATGTCCCATCGAATTCAGTCCCGAGGAGAGAAAGGCCTACGAAGAGGTCCGGAACCGAGCCATCACCAAAATCGAGGAGGCTCTCCAACCCGGCCCAAACACTTCATGTGGCATTTCTTATGTTAATGTATTGCAACAAATTGAGTCGTTGAGGCTTATCTGCAACCTAGGACTCAACTACCGCTCAAGACACGACAGTGGCGAAAAGGTACTCCAGGAGGATTGGACATCTATGGCGCAGAGTACTTTCAATACTCGACGCGAGCTTGATCCAATAAGCTGCCTACATTGCTCGTCAGACATTGGACTGGCAGAGTCTCTGCTTGATTTTGCCGATAGCAAACGAGAAGGACGTTTCTTTCGCTGCCTCAAATTTTGCTGCGGCGAGTGCGTCCAAAAACTATTTCGGCTGAGACAGGAGGTTACGTGTGGCCACAGACCTCCTTGTCCCGGAGCTACTGTGTCTTTGGAGAGTAAAGCGATCGAAGTTTCTGGATCCCTGGAGAGTGCGAGATTGGAAACTGGCATTGAGCTGCCCTCAAAACTCCAGGCTCTGGTGACTGATATCAAATCTCTTCCGATAACAACCAAATGGTATGACTTACGTCCTCTAACGGAAATATCGAAATGGATGAGATGATACTGACCGAGTGCAGTGTTGTATTCTCAACTTGGAGACTAACTCTAGACCTCGTGGAAGCTGGGTTAAATCAACACTCTATAGCTAATGTTCGCTTCGACGGAAAGGTGCCTCAGAAAGAGCGGCAGAATGTGGTTGATCGATTCAAGAACGACCAAGATACTCGGGTCATGCTCCTCACTTTATCTTGTGGCGCTGTAGGGTCAGTAGTGTACTGCACCCTGGGTTGTAATATGATTTCTGATCCGTAGCTGACCTTGTGAGACAGACTCACACTGACAGTAGCATCACGCGCATATCTCCTAGAGCCGCATTGGTAAGATTCACCGGAGTATAGCCAACAACTGCTTTATTGACTGTGTTAGGAATCCTACCCTTGAGGAGCAAGCACTTGCCAGGATCCATCGCATCGGACAGACAAAGGAAGTGTCTACAATTCGCTTCTATATCAGAGATTCATTTGAGGAGGTAATCAGCATCAAAGAGTTCCCCAACTATGTTAAGTCGCCCATGCTCATGTTCCCTGCAGCAAGTCATGAAACTCCAAACGAAAAAGAAGCAGCTCGCAGGTTTGTTGCTCGCTCCACATGATGGCGGAGACGCAGATGAAAATCTGGGAGGATTACATGTAAGTGCATATTGAATATCTTGTCTTTGGAGCCTATCATACTGACACGAATCCAGAACCTCAGATCCTTGCTGTAGAAATTACATTGTTCAACCCGTGCTCGGGTCTGTGGCTTACCACAGCAACGAAATGTGCCGGTGCTTGTATCGGCCACTAAGAATAAAGGGCACAACGGTGCATCATCTTACATTGTAGATCAATCTATCGTTCAAGAGTATCTCTATGTTATGACCCTACTGGATTTGAGCATCTATGCACTTTCTAGTCTTGAAATTGATACCTCTTTCTGTGCTTTTTAGAAAGGTAATATCTAATACTTAGCGAATGTTCTAATGATCACTCGTCCCTGAGTCCCCTAAGTCGGGTGAATCAGGCTTATGTTTAGGATATATTTCAGGCGATCGGTGAGTGTAAGAGGATTTTGACTATGATCACGGTAAGTTAACGAGATAGAGCGAATTTTTGAATTGAATTGCTGAAGTGTTTTTCATGCTACTTAACTATCCGGTAACGAGTGTGTTCTCAGGTCCATGTCTTCAGCCCGGCTTACCTGGAGCGGTGGTCGCTCCTCGTCATCATCCTGCATGTCTATATTAACCAATATCTGGAACCTTCTTCGGCATTGTTATGCGCTGTGCCGCCATCTCATAAGGGCATTGCCAAGCCAAGTCGTGATTGGAATACCTTTCCGGATAAATACCTGGTCCACAGGAAAGACTGGCGTTGCGGATAGATTTAGTGACCCGATTCTTTTCCACTTGCGGACCATAGCGCTCCGGGAGCCAAGACCTTCCCCATCAATAAGCGAATCCCATCCCGTGTCCGGGAGCGTCAGGCGGCGACTGGCCGTGACCAACCATACAAGCATTGATGCACGGCTAGGATCACTCATTTGCGAGGGTAGGTCGACTCGACGGGGGTGGTTTCCCATTCCAAGGCAGCTCAACCAGAGCAACTCTAATTGAGCCGCCTATCCTTGGGTCATTGAGTGGGCAACCCCTGCAAGTTGCAGTCGGCACACTGCCGAACAAACACCAATATTAGGTCGAACAGCGATCTGCCAAGGGGCTTTTGATTGTTTATCGCCTGGTCTAGGACAGGCGGCCCGTTTCAACTTGGTGTTGCAGCAATAAGTGGGTGGTAGTATCGGTCAGGGTAGAAGACAGCCTCAGACGGCCAGATGGGATTGGTGGGCACATTGAACACTCCTTCGAGCACGTCCATATATCCGGAATAGGGACTCTTACAAGATGGAGGATGATCCACCGCTGCGTGAGACGTGGCGGTATAAGAACTCAGCCCACCCAAAGCGTATTTTCAAAAAGAGGCACACACCAACCTCCCAACTACCAATCTGTTGTCCTACAGTGTGAATCAATCAGGCTAGCCGTCCATCCTTCAAGACATACCTGTCAGAACCCGGTCACACAGCCCAACATGAAGACCTTCGCTAGCCTCGCGATGGCACTGCTCGCCGCCTCGCCAGCAGCCGCCCATTACAGGTTCAACAAGATCAACAACAATGGAGTATTCCAATACATTCGGGAGAACACTAGCAACAACTCCCCTGTAACGGATCTCGCTTCGAACGACCTGCGATGCAACACCGGCGCGAAAGGTGAAGGAACGGACACGACCGCTGTCCAAGCAGGTAGTTGTACGTACAGACAAGACCCCACCGAGGCGCCTTTCCGTTGCCTGATGAAGCTTGATCAAAGCAAAGAAATTTAGGCTGGCTCCCTCACATGTAACTAACATATAATAGCATTCACCTTCTCACTCGACCAAGCGGTATACCACCAAGGCCCGGTCACAGTCTACATGTCAAAGGCCCCCGCTGCCGCCTCGGCATACGTTGGTGATGGAGACTGGTTCAAGATCGCGGAGGAGGGCCCGACCTTCAGCGGTGGCTCCTCGACGTGGCCCATGAGGGCTAGCTACACATACAGCATCCCCACTTGCATCGCCAACGGGGACTACCTGCTCAGGATCGAGCAGCTGGGTATCCACAACCCCGGCTCGCCGCCACAATTTTATTTGAGCTGCGCCCAGGTCACCGTGTCTGGTGGTAGCGGCGGCTCTCCTTCGCCGACGACTAAGATCCCCGGCCACGTTAAGGCCACTGACCCGGGCTACACCGCTAACGTGAGTTGATGTCTATATGCCAATCGAGGTACCCATACTAAAGTCTACCTAGATCTACAACAACTTCACCAACTACACCATCCCTGGCCCCAAGAAGGTGAGTACTGGAGCTATCACGTATCTTGCTTTCTAAAAAGAGTCTTTCCATACTGACTGAGATAACAGATCTCCTGCTAGATTCAATACCTTGATGCCGTGCACCTGTTCAGTTAGACAGAACACTCGGCCGTCGTAAAGGGGCGTGTTACTTCGGCGGAACACAGGGGCTTCTCAACATCTCGCGTACTTTTACTTCGAATGTCCATATTTAAATCAACAATAGACTGTCTATATCATTCAAACTTAAACGCCCATCACGAAGTGCCTGGTCCTGTGTTGTCAACGCGCAAGATCCCCCTCCATTAGGTAAAGTCAGTCTACAATGCCCAAAGGGGGGGGGGGGCATTCCTAGCCTAGCGTGAGGCTTTTCACAGGCATGGTGGTAACGCACGTCCTACAGTGCATTCTAATAGCTGCAATGATGACCGACAGAGACCCTCGTGGGCCCCTTAGCGTGGTTACACAACTCGGACTTCATGGTGTTCTGCGGCGGTACAAGCCAGCGCCAAGAATGCAGCCGACCTGAAATGTATTCCCTAGCCCTGGGAAACGCCGCGAGCGAACATATATAGTCGCGTCGCCCAACAAGAAAATCCTGCTCCTGGGGTCTCACGCAATTGCTAGGTAACAGAGGGCGCTACATTATCACACATTTCTTTACGTGGGACCGTCTCCAGCCCAAAAGATGACCGTCATCACAAAGAGCAGCAGCAGGAGCAGGGCCGCGGCGGAAACCCTACAAGGCCGGCTCGAAATTCGTTTCCCGCAGAGAGAGCTGAGAGACGTCCCCCAAGACGAAGAGTGGTGCGAGCTTGTGGAGGGCGAACATGTCACGCGCATCCGGTTCCACGACTATGCCCAGGTCTTCAACATCCCCGGCCTATACAACCAGCTCTTCGGCGGACCCGACTCGGAGACGAAATGTGTCTCGCCGCAAGTCATGACCACGCTCCTGCGCGACCAGCTGCACCTGCTGCTTCACGACGGCCAGGATAGTGAGCAACGTGAGTGCAGGCCGAAGCTGCGGATCTTGGATCTTGGCGCGGGAAATGGCATGGTAGGCGAGGAATTACGCTCTGTCATCCAGGAGTATGATGGTGGACTCCTCGCAGACTCCACCAGCATTGTAGGATTTGATATTCTCCCGGAAGCAAAGGCAGCGACTGAGCGCGAGCGGCCTGGTGTGTACGATGCGTATGTGGCTGCTGATGTCACGGAGTACGTCAAAGCGCCGCCGAGCAGCCCCACTGAGACGATGCTCTTCGCCCAGGGGTTTAATGTGCTGACGTCGGTCAGCTCGCTGGCTTTCGGGGACGGAAGTGTACAAGCGTTCAAAGCTGCAGTGTCTCTGGTTGAGGATGGCGGGTTGCTGGTGTTCAATCTGAAGGAGAACTTTGAGTCGGTGGATTCTGATGTAGACGGCGAGGGTGATGCTGTTGGTACAAATGGATTCTCAGGCCTCATTAAAAATGCTGTTGAGAAAGAAGTCCTCTCAATTGTGGCTAGAAGGAGGTATTGCCATCGTTACTCTGTCACCGGAGAGCCGCTGTATTATGTGGCTGTGGTAGCCATCAAACACGCGACGCTGCGTTAAGAGGCTCTGGGTGCTCATACACGAGAAAGCTTGAAGGAGGAAAAGCAGAGAGAGAAAAAAAGAATAGATTTCGTGGGTAATCTGGGGTTGGACCAGACCCTATCAGAGTGCTTGAATAGATCTTGGCCAAGCGAAGTCAAGAAGTATCAGGACTCTCTCTGCGACTTTAGCAAAGAAGCGAGTGTACTTGAGCCACACTGGTGTGGAAACCTGCACCTCGCAACTTTTATTGTATCATAGTAAGAGCTACCTAATGTGGATGGCTGTGACGAGTGTCTTCTGCCTCTCTTTATTCCTTTCTCTCTTTCTTAATCTTAATCCTTTCCACACATAGCTCGAGTCTCCGCCGCCACTACCCGAGCTGACATACTCTGCAACTCATCTCTAAGGTCCTGGATAGTCTTGTCTCTTGATCGTACTCTCTGGTCCTGAATTTTTATAATTCTTTTTTGGCTTTGTATAGTCATCTCCTGGCATTCTATAGTCCCCCTTCGGGCTTCTATAATTCTCCGTTCATGTTCCGTAACCTCGCGTCGCCTGAGTGGGAACGATGTGGTCGCCTGGGTGGTCCCGACTTGAGCCCTTAGCTCCGTCAAAGCCTTGTCGCATACATGACACAGCTCTGCTACCTGATGTCGTTGGAGCTGATGCATGTGATTGGACGGAGCCCTTTCAGGTGACTGTCGCTCCATATGTTGTGTTGTTGTGAGAGTCACACCCAGCCCTGCATAGCCAATTGGGAGCAATGGTGGTCTGGGCACTTGAAGGCTCCCCTGCTGAAAGAAAGGGGTGGTCTCATTCAGGACCTCGGAATACGGTGGTGGCAGATCCGTCTTCTTCGGTTGCTCTCGTTTGCTTTCGCTATAATGGCTTTGTCTTCCACCCATTGTGCATCTCTTGTCTAACTACTGTTGTAGGGGTGGGGACTGTATGTGGAATATTGTGAGGTATACCTAGATGATGTTGCTAGATTTGAAGTGAATGAAGTTTGAGGAATAAAAGTGACATAGGTGCATGAGAGAACAGGTGATTGTAATAGAGACGAGAAAACCAGCCGAGGACTCACAACACACTTATTTATAAAGCTCGTGGCCTAAGACTCAGGCTAGGTGGATAGCTTCATGGCATCACGACCACGTACCGCCAAGTACTTATAAGAACCAACAAAGTACAGGCCCAGCCTACGAGCCGGCCCAGCTTAGAACCGAGCCCAACTAGAACCGACGCCTGTGCAGCTTCTTCAACCGAACCTCGAGAAACTGTGCGCCCTACCAGGTTGGCCACTCAGGGCCCGCCAACAAAGCAATCCCTGAGCTGGCATGTTAAAGAAAGGCTTCCATTTTCTGGGGCTGATAAAGGCCAAATAGGCTATTTTCCATTCTGACAAGGGAAGGTGGCGGAGGGGTGAATTACTTGGACGCAGCACATATGATGAAGTACGGCATACCTAGATTCGTTATTCCATGGATATATAAATGTTATTGAACATCACATAGTGATGTGTAGGCGGTCGCGCAAAGGGTTACAAGCACAGTCAGTGTAGGCAGTTAGTTTTATTGCTAGCATGCCTGTTCTACCGCCGATTGAAATGTACTCTTAAATAATGCTCCTATACTCCATCCATAGATTATGCAAATCTATATTTTCAAAGATGACTCAAATGCTTCTCACCATATATTTCGGGGTATAGTTGAAAGGTCTCCATTCTGAACGGGCGGCAACGTTATCGCCGGACCCCATGTGCCGGCTGTGGGCCTGGAAGTGCGCTCCTGAGAGTTATGCTCTTTCGGCGCAGGCTAAAGCTGAGGATCTTTGCCGGCAAGAGTCATCTCGAGAGTAAGTGTTGTGGTCTTCCATCTGGTCGGACTTCTGAAATGAATGAGCAATAGTAAATAACGATAATTTGCTTATGTTCACCTCTTGGCTACAGTGGTTCAGAACCTCAACGAGTTGGCTGCTAACGGATAAGAAAGCCTACGACATGTAGGTGCCTGGAGAGATCTTCAATATTGACGTGGTTAGCATTTGCATCCGTATTATCAGGGACCTTTACTGATCTGCTTCTGGGCTCTGAAGACGGTGAAAGTCGTCGATGGAGACGCCGTCATGTGAAGGTTAGATTTGGCCGAGCGGGTTGCCGATGCCCCCATTAATAAGCTTCCGGTGATCGGCAGGTCAAGATCGGATCCGGCACCAATGCAACGCGGGGATCCACTACTTGATTGCAACATCGTCCGGCTTTATTCGTCGGTTTTTCACCGCAGATTTCTGGTGCCCTTTCCTGGTTTCTCACTTCTCATATCGTCTCTGCCATGCACAGATAGGTATCATCATGGCAGCAGACGCGAGAGACGAGAGAACACCACTGCTCAATGGGACGAGCAACGGCCACCAGAATGGAACCATCACCGAGTCAAACGGCACAGGCAATGGCAATGGAAGCGTCAGGGACCAGGACGCCGCCGAGGCCAAGAAAGCGGAATCATGGGTCACCCGGGTCTTCGGCCCTCCAAATACAATCAAAGTCCTCCTCGCCGGCTTCATCATAACCTTCGCATTCAGCTTCACCCAGGTGCCAATTTTCTACGTCTTTCATCTCATGGAATGCGACGTTTACTACGAGACGCACCCACCATACACCGGAACGGGAGACCGATGTTCCATCAACGAAATAGCCGCTGGGACGGCAACTCAGTTCTCTATTCTCGGCATGAGCACGACCTTCTGCGGAACATTGAACCTCTTTGTCACGGGCTGGTCAATTAAGAAGTGGGGTCCACGCCGCGCTCTTTTGGGGCAGACATTCATCCCCGCCATCAGGGTTGCTACACAGGTCATTGGAGTACTGGCCGGAGGAAACGCGGGGATCACCATCATCCAAACGACGCAACTCATCACGATACTCGGAGGACCTGCTGGATACATTCTCGTCGTAAACACCATCGCAGGGGAGCTGGTCGAGCCTATGCAGCGTACTGCAGTGTTTGGCCAGCTCCAGGCGTGCATCATGCTGGGTCAGGCAATCAGTTACCTTCTTGGTGGAATGGTCGGCGACACATTTGGCATCAGGATGCCGTTCCAGGTTGCGTTTGTCCTATTCTTACTCGCAACGCTTTACTCCGCCACAGTAATTCCCTATATTTCGCCCGAGTCTCTCTCGGATGGAAAGAAGTCTGCCCCGAAAGGGATAAGGGGCTTCCTGGCACCACTCAAGATCATGGCTCCACAACGCATACGGTTCATGGACGGCCATGTTGCAAAGCATTTTGGGGTCTTTTTCCTGTGCTGCGGTATTTTCTTAGCCGTGTTGGCAACTAGTTACGGCCCTCTACTGATCCAGATGTATGCGACCGCATACTTCGACTTCAATCAGGCCGACAATGGGTGGTTGATGAGCGGGAACGCATTATGCAGAAGCGTTTTTCTCTTCTTCGTGTTTCCTAGGATCATCGATGCAGGGAGAGACTGGTGGGTCAAGAAGACCGACCGTCCTGGGCCCACCCCGGCACAAACAAAACTCTCGCCGGATCAAGATGGAACCTCAGGGGACCCGAATACATTATCTCGAATACCATCCCGGCCGGAACAGCTTGAGGCGCCGATGTGGTCCGGCAATCAGATGTCGCAGGAGGAGTCCATGCCGCAACCGGAGTCGCGCCCCGAAGACGACCGGACCGCAAGTCATTTCGATCTCTTCTTCCTTCGATGGAGCCTCTTGCTTGATGGATTGATGACTGGTGCTGCTGCCCTATGTACGAAGAGATGGCACATCTTTCTCGGTAGGTTATCTTGAAATCAGCACCCCCCGGCCCTTCTTAGCATGAGATATGAAGAGACAGCCCTGTTCCTAACCAGCTTCTACCAGCTTCATTCCTGCTCCCATTGGGATCCGGCTCTGCCCCAGCAGCGAAAGGCGTCATCACCGAGATGTGCTCGCATGGCGACCGTACCGACGCACTCAATGCAGTCACACTCGTCGAGAACATCGCAAGGCTAGCGACGCAAGGTCTCTTTGGCTTCATTTTCTCCGCACTTGCGGAGGTTGGAAAGGCCCACATGACGTTCCATGTCAATGCCGCTATCGCGATTGTGGGCATGGCAGTGCTGTACTTGTCACACTTCCCTCCCCCGAACACAACGATCTTGGAGGAATTTGACGCAGATGATGCTGAAGCGTCTGGGGATGATGATGCTCCGAATCTGGCCAGAGTCACGTCGCATGAGACGGATCGATAGATTGGTAGGGAAAGAAGGGTTCCAGGCTCTGATTCGTATGGGAGGGGCATTTCATTGTCAGTATACAGGACAAGACCGTCACAAGAGAGAAAAACGGAGATTCCATGAAGACTGCTTAGACAAGACAGGAAGTAAGATTAGAAAATAATTCAAATATCAAATAAATTAGGCTCCAGGGAAAGTCTACCCGACTCATGCTTTGTGTCAAGTTTCCCGTATCCATCATCTTACACACTTTCATACTTCAAATTGCAAACAGCCAGGCGCCTGTAATAATATTGGTCACCAGTTATGGATTCTTGATTCAAGTATATTTGTCACGGCCTATTACTTTTTCCCTTCGAATTTGAGACATTGAGGTACAGGGCCTCCTAGGAAAGGCACACGGGATGAAAATAACTTAGTCTAAGCGCAAAAGGCCGGAACATCTATGCATCGAGCGCACACTATCTGCGCATGCTTATTTTCTTTCACCGATCACCCGTTCTAAAGATCCGTGCCCCCATTGGCCCACCCATGGCCATTGCCATGCCTGCCATTGCCGACCGGAGTGCAGTCATCGAGCTTTGTCTTCGCGGGTCCCTCCCCTGGCGTTGAACAGTAGCATTACCTCCACGAGTTTGCCTGTTCCCCCGTGTGACCCGACTTACAGCCCCACGAAAAACACGCCTGATGGACTGCCCTGCTCTCCGTGCCAAATTACGGAGTCTGCCACCCCTCGGCCAATTTCTGGCAGCGTCGTCACCCTCCCCTGGCCCAGGTATCTGGCCCGCCGCTATTCGAACGAGACCGGCGTCAAATATCTCCCTATCTCCTGTGTCGAAACGTAAAGGCTGGGGGAATCGCCCGGCTCCCACCGGAAATTGTGATAGTATGGATGGCGTGGGTGGTGCTGGGGGCTCCGCGAGGATGTCTCGGATCGAGGTCCTCCCTTCTGTGTTATTGTCCCCATCGCGACCATAGATGCGAAGATTCTCCATGATCACTGTCTCCAATTGCCTCATTGAAGGCCTATTTGCAGGATCGTGCACTACAGTAGGGAGCGCAAATTAATATGATGTGATGTTCTGGCAGTGGCTTGATGCGGCCTCAATATTTCATCTCAAGAATGTTCGAACTGGTGTTGCAAGGATTCCATAGAAATCGAATATTATAGATACATTCAAAAGATTGTCCGGCGTAATAGTGTAGTGTTTTCTTTTACAATCAAGCATGAGAGAAGGTAAGCACTTACTCATGCACCATGTTATTAGGCACCTCAATGGCTCGTCATATTCTTCCGCAATGCGGTCAAAGATGAGTCCACCTCCATATGTTAGGCCTACGACTGTTGTGTGACCGTCTGGATCGAAATCAATGTCCAATGGGTTAGGCGGAAGGCCAGTACAGCAACGTGTTAGGAGCTGCCACATGACCTATTGCACAGGTTACTTCTTCAGATCCAAAATCTCGCAGATGCTTTGAGACTATACATTGCCAACGCTGTATAGGTTCGACTTCCAGCTGTAGTTCCCCGCTACTGGGTCATTTGTTCGGCTTGGTGGTCCGTCGAGATAATCCCACTCCTGCGCAAATTGTTCCTAAAGGACAAATATTAGCTCTGATTCAGAGACTGGTTATTGGTCTCAATTTGTCTTACGGGGACATGGTTCTCGACCTTGCCCATTCTTCTTGACCGTAGCATAGCGACTCTGTTGTGCGAATCGTCAGCTTACGGGGAAAATACGAAAGTTCTGCAAGACACGCAACTTACGTATCGTCTCTCCTCTGCTCCAACTCATCAAGGCGGTATCCTATACCTAAATCCCCGATCTCGAAGATTGTCAGTTGCTTTGACGCTCAGAACGGTTGTCTCAGGGATTGTCTCATACTTTGAAAACGGGTATTATTTCATGAACATGACTCCCTGGATCCGAATCATAGTCTCCTATCATGACTGTTTATTCGTGAGTTTGATGGTGAATAGCGTACCGTGCCGGGAGATTGCAGCCACTCTGCTTACTATTATCGGGGTCAATATCAAAGTGTATCATAGAGGACGCTGTCTCGACGGGCACATCCTGTGGGATAGTCTCGTCTTGTAAATCAACAAGATCTGTTTCAGGGTTGAGACCTTCGGACCACCTGCCGGGGTAAGACAATGCCACACAGGCCCTGAATACTGCCTCATTCAATCAGCATGGTGTTCCGAACTTGGTTTGCCTAATGCAGGGAGCTCTTTGTTACCCACAGCAATGGAAAATCATCCACAGCTCATCGTCTCTCAGTTTCAAGTCCTGAGCGGAGATTTTGTCAAGTAGGCCGTCGATCGACCCGTGCTTGAGAAGTTCCATTGCATACATACAATCTTCCGAGTCTGAATTGAGACTTATGCCCGCCATGGATGCATTTTGCCCTGGGCTGCGTGTAAACTTCCGTTGTACAATATGTCTTGCCCCGAGCATCAACTAGATCGAAAACACCATAGTCAGTCACAGAGGGGGCCCGAATGATAGTCACGCGACATATCGTAAATTAAATCACCTCATGATTTCTCACTCACCCTCATATTAGAGGCTTCACGTCCCATATTTCCATTGCGGCGGGGAACTTTTACCACCCATTGATCCATTTGGCCATTTTGGTCCTCCAATTCAACAAGAATCACCAGGCCGCCTCCACCTTGGCCAAGCACCTTTCTGAACCGGAAAACGAGGGGATCCAAACTCCTCATGACCGGATTCCTGCCGCTGATGATATCGCCAGTGGCACGTAGCAGACGCTCTGGATCCATTTGGCCGGGAATAAGGTGGTAGCGTACCAGCTGTCTGGTTGCATTTGGATTGAAATAGCGCATACGCGGTCGTCTTGGGTCGCGCCCCTCCGTGTCAGCTGTCCAAGACAGTCTCTTCGGGACTTCATATTTTTCATAGCGGGGGGACCGCTTGCCCCTTGCATTTTGTTCAGTCCATGCTGCTTCTGCATCCAATCCAGTCCAAAAGGCGTTCCAATAGTCTAGATGCTCTTGCAACTGTCGTCAATTGGTTAGCAATTCCTCGAAGAATTAATTATAGAGGCTTCTCAAGTCTAATCAAGTTCTGAAAGGGACTAATTGAATGGCCTGTATCGGAATGAAAGATGCATTTCACAAAGGAGGGCACTAACTGCAAGTCGTTCTACCCCTGTCAAGCCATTCGCCATCCCAACTAAGCCGCCGCCAGGGTCAGACATTGCCATAGTTTCGAAAAAATGGTGTATTGGGAAATAGTGCACATATAGCTGTGTGAACTATCAATCCTCATGTGTCTCACTCTCGAGGGACCCTTTTTTTTTATTACGTCCACTAGGCACGAAACTTGAAGTGACTTTGTTTTTTGGGATTCACTTTGCTTTTGTTTTCGCCGAAGACTGACAATAAAGAGGCAGCGATGTGGCTTTAACCCCTTTTGAAGGTCATCAATGAGCGTGAGCCGTTTTCGGTGTCATTGACCAAAAGGGGGAAAGGAAGGATCCTAGAAGTCAATTCCATTGCCACAGAAGAACCTGGCAAACCCGAGTCATCCTATCGTCAAGAAATTTCGATGAAGTGATTTTTGATGAAGAAGATCGAGCCACTAGGAGTTCAGAGAACAATGCGTTCAGTTTTGACGAAGCCACCGGTCCACGCCCCACGTCCCATTCTCGCCCGCTTGCGATGATATTATGTGACACGTGGATATTTGTTATAAGACGATGATAAAGTTCACTGGCACTGCGCTTTAATGACAAGGCATTGTCCGCTTGCACATTTCTTATTGTTTTGTCTATTCATCCACATATAGCAGACAATAGTCATTGTGAGTCTTTGCAACTTGCACTTAGGTATTGTGGGAGGAAAATAGAATATTGTTGCTACATATACAGAAACATATATAAGCCCAGTATGGGCCCCATGCATTGGGCAAATGCTTCGTAGCATCCTCGAGGATTTGTTCTGCAATCCAAGAACAAGTGCAACTTTCTGCTATCCCAAGCTTTTACACAAAAATCGGAGACGGGAGAAAAATGCCTTCACCATGGAAAAAGCTCGCTTCGAGGAAGAAGTTTGGTGCGTGTCGGTCCCAACCTCGACAGGCTGCACCGAAACCCCCATCACATGTCCGTCCACTTACTGAAGCCCTTAAAAGGGCAAAAAAAGTGGCTAAGGCCGTGGCTAAAGCCTTCAAAAGTCCTGTTCCACGCCGATCTACTCCATACGTCGGTTTCAATTTCCAACCTGACTTAACGGCCGATCATATCGAGTCTGATCAATTGGAGATGAATATTCCTCGGTCTTTGTCTTCGTCTCAAGCGGAGCTTGAAGATTGACCTGGTAACATCTCTTTACATAGGTAGTTCTGAACTAATCAATTGCCCCTTCATAGCCTCAGTCTGTCATGGTGCAGGCAGAGATAGATGTGAAGTTTTGACGGCAATTGAAAGAGATAGATTTGAGTGTCATGCGTGTTAAAAATCAGACTGAAACCCATTTTATAAAAAAGAGCGCCCCGTGCACACACGATAAATTTCAATCCGAAACCCCTGCTTCCCTCGAGACTTAGAGTGTATAACAGTCTTGTTTAACCCTGTAGCTAATAAGATATAAATATTGATAAGTCTTGCTACCTTGTCTTCCCGTCGACTGGGTGATTGCTTTTCAATGCCGCCACACGATAACCTGAGGTTTGGAACACAGGTTGGGGGGTTCATTGGGCTGGCCTCAAAGTTTGTGGTTGATTCACAATTTCTAACATTATTTGCAGTAATTCCAGCGTCTTGATGTCGCATATTTAGTCATTCGATCAAAATGTTTGAAATGTCAAAATGCTAGGTGCTATACAGTTTTTCAACTATATGCCGAATCTTTCTGAAAGCAACACATATAGTTTTCGCCCCACCCTAAGTCGAGACCTGCGGCCTCATTGGTGAGGGCATCTGGGTTGCATTTGACATATCGCAAATGTGACGAAGGAATCCTTCTATGCCGATCGGGTCTAGTGTGCGGCACACCAAGCCTAATGACTGAGGAAAGGAGAACACCGGACTTCCTCCACAGCTGATTTCCATACGATCAAGACTTTCTAGAGAGATCTCTCATTGTCATATTTGACATTTCTCAATTCCACAAGTTTGAATGATTTTATTCTTGTCGATTTCCTGGCGGCTGTGGGGCGGACAGCTGTCTTCCATTCGGTTCAGCGGGATCTTCAGGCAGGCGTTCACCACACAATGATCATAAACCGTGGGCCGGGGTCTCAAGCCAGTGGCAATGATCAAACCAGGCACTTCCTGTCAACAAGTCAGCGGCATGGAAACTTCTCAGGCAGATCAGCTGATGGCGCAGCCTCGTTCAAGAACTTGCCGCCATCTGCTGTGATCAATCCTCACCGGCCGGGAAATCAGGGAGCTCCGAATGGCTTGTCGATACATCGCGAAGAGCTGATTCGCTTATTTTGGGAACAGGATGTCCCATTGCGAATAGTTCAAGACATTATGAGACAGAAACACGGGTTAGACGTAAGGTACGCAGTAATTACATGGTCGAGCGTTTTTGTGTCTTACTGAGCTTTGATAATGTCCCACAGCATAAAGGTCTACAAAACACAGTTTCGGAAATGGGGCATCCGCAAGAATCTCAAAGGGCACGAGGCTCTGAAGATAGCCACTGGACAGGATTCTTCACCTGTATTCTGGCCTGATGATAGAGACGATGAGTACGTCACTCGCGTTGATTGCCATGTGAAAAAGAGTCATCGGGCATTGGTACATGCCCGAATTGGGATGGCAAACGAAAATGTTGCTGTTTTGAATCCTGCACGCAGACTTCGAGGTCCGGACACGCTCGAGAAAATCGAGGCTGCTACTTACTACTTCAAGATCTATATCCTTGGCAATCGTATCATGAGATCATGGTTTGAAACTGGGCCGTCCTTCGGAGAGCAGGAAGCTTTTAGCTCCCTTTTCATTAGAGGGCTGGAACGCTTATCTCGGAATGAACAGCAGCAGCAGGCCTTTAAAGACATAAATTTGTCCTTTGATTCCCTGAAGAAGCTTGTTATATTGGATCACCCTCTAGTATACCTTCGACTCATGGCCTCTATTGCAGCATTCAGTCAATATCCGGAATCTGAGGTCTGCTCAACCATCTTTCGTTCGCTTTCGGAATACCTCAGGAAGCTTTTCCTTATCATCCAAGGGCCCTATCATCCTCTAAGCCACGCTTGGGGCGAGGCCCTTTATATCTCATCGTCCGAGGGTGCCGAGTCTTACGTCCTTGGGGTAGCCGCGACTGCAGTGCGAAGATATATGCCCCATGAGCTGAGGATCGGCATGGGGGCTTTGAACATTGCCGAGTGCGTGCCCAGTAGTGCGAGGGGTCTAAATGAAGCCTCGCTTCGCAACGGTCTTAGAAATATGGCGATGCGTCCAGACCTTCTACCCAAAGCGCAAGAGACGAGGCTCGCACTTGCTGAGCTTATGCTTGCTCAAGGCAGATTGGTTGAAGGCATTCACTTCTTTGCGGAGGCAAGAGCGTTCCAAGCTGCCGATCCAGTTCGCTGCGTGGACAAGACCTTCTGGACAGCGGAGCTCGAATGGAGAGCCGGAAACGCGTTTGGCTCTATCAGCACGTTGAAATCCGCGCTGGCGCATGCCGACTTTGAGACAGCGGATAAGACAGGTGATGGAGTGACGAGAAGGTTGAAGGAGATTGAAGATGTTTTGCGCCATAGGCAGAATCTTCTCGCATCGGAGAGTGGTCATTATGTCAAAGCGCCGTGCCAGATGAAATGGTGGTAGGTTCAAAAGAGAATTTGCAAATAAGAGGGAAAAAATCAAAGACCCTGAGATGTGAGCCTTTCAATATTGAGCCGAGCAGAACCACAGTTTCTCAACTTCGCACAGTAAGAATATCACATAAATTGCGATTGATTCGCTCATACAGGAGAGTCACGTCCAAAAATGCTTCCAAGTCCACTGTCCAAGCTTCTGGGAGGCAGACAAGTAGAGGCTGCAGGGGCATGAAGTTGGGTCGCTCTTGGTCCTCCAGTACTGGCTCTGTGAGGACACGTACTGTTGGATCACAAAGTGGACAACCCTAACAGTCGATGGGAACATAATGAAAGGACATTCCAGGGGATAATGGCGCTTTGTTTGGCCCACAATAAAGCCGCGGTTTCTCATCGGACTCCGTTCAATTTTGGTAGACCACAATGCATCGAAGTAACCCTCCCGGCTCTAATTAAATGACCCTTCAAAGGTAACATAATGACTGTTTATAACATCATAATACCTCATAAGGGCATTGTCATAGTTTAGCAATTATACAAGTCATTGTTTCTCTAATCATCTTCCTAGGTGTTCAAGGAATGATGGAAGTATATAATGTCAATGATTGCAGTTGATTTCTCCCAGTCAATCCTTCCAGTACCCAAGATCCATTCATATCTTCAGATCATTGATTGGAATCCCAGAGACTGTTCTCAAAATGTCTACCTCCCGCTTCTTCGAGGACATTCGCAATCGGGTAGGTAGCGTCATCGACATATACATGCATGGGGTCGACCCCTCGACGGCTGATGAATTCGCAGGTCTGATTCGCCTCCTGAAGGAGAATTCCATGGAGAGTATCTCCAACCTGCCTTTGAAGCGCCAGGCCAATATCTTCGACGAAGCTGTGGCCCGGATTGTTCTGCAGAAAGCCGCAAACACCGCCCACGACAGTGCCGAGCAGACCACATTGCTCAGGCTCGCTCGTGCCATGCTATACGCGCCCAGTATTCCCAACCCCGCCGGCACGCTCAACGTAGAGTCGCTCATCGATGAAGCCTCAGCCAAGCTCATGAGCCTCCGCACTGGATTTGTGGACTGGATTCACGAGTCAGGCGAGATCAACGAGGCGACAAAGCGAGATCTTCATGCCTATGACAATATCAGTTGCTTCATTGGTGTACTGTTCACAACGCTGATAACGTCGCCAGATTTGAATCACACGGATGCTGTAAAAGCGCTAAGCGAGTTCGGCTTTGGCCTCTTGTCCAACATCATTCATGTCGATTTGGAGAATGACCTCACGCGGCCTATTCGGATTTCCATGTATCATGCTCTGTTCATCTGGCTAGCAGAGACCTCTGAGCTCTTCTTGAAACAGCTGCGAAACTTCCCTGATGAGCTGGATGATTGGCTCGATGGACTTGAGTCCTTCTTTGACATGCTGAAAGTGGATCCTGAAGAACTCGGACTGGACTATCTTCGCACCACTACCAGAGTCTTGTGTGCATTCTTTGACCTCGAATAGTGTTTCGGTCTTGTAAAGGGTGAGAAATACACGAGATGAGCAAAGATCTAATATAGTGTAAAACAGGGGAATAGGAACTTGATTAAAATGATATTTGTTTTACTTAACTTTTAGGTATGTGTCGCTACTGTTTTGTGTTGCCTGTTATGTTTCTTGGAAAGTTCGAGTTTACTGTAGAAGCTGTCTCATGCCGGTGTCAAATATCCTACATATGTATGAGGTATGCACAGGATCATGATTTTGTAAATCTTAACATTGCCATGTACCAGTCTTAGTAGTTCGAAAAGTGTTTGCATAGCAAGACCTTTCGAAAATTACTATGTTCGTACACTTACCAAAGTGTCATGTAATACTGGTCTTGACTTTGTGGTTTTCATCAGGACAATAGCCAAAAATAGCGAGGAAATACTGCGCAATTTAGTAATACTTTGTCATCCGCTTCTTCCCTTGCGCGTCTAGCCATTAATGAATCGTTACACTCGGATCTCGGGTTCCTCGAACTCACCAGCACGCTGCTAGGACCTTCTGACCAAAGGACCAAAGGTCGGATGGTAGCCAATGAAATTTATCGATGTGCTAGTGCTGACAGCTGGTGGTTGGGTGTACAAACAATGGTGAATGTCAGCTTCCCAGCGGCGGGTTTAGGCGGCCAGGAACACTCCAAGCGCCTGTTCAGTGTTGCCACGAGATCCTCCGCTCGCGCAAGTTCGCTCATCATGCCGGGGGCCGGTGAAGCTATACAAAGACTAGTCGGCTCGCGTTTAATTCACGGAATATGGCCGATAGATGAGATTTGTGGTGAAATGAACGAGGCACCTGTCAAGTTGACCGCTGTGCATACTCTGTATCCACAATATTTCCTCGGTCAACTGATTTCGTAGAAGTCCCCACATACTGGCTTGGCTTCTATCCCGGATGGTCACATGGTCTGCGACAAGGCGCAAGTTCTATCCGTGAGCCGGAGGTCCTAGCAGCGCGATTCTGATCTCGAGTGCCTGCACAAATGCACGGCACTATAGATGTGGAACTTTCGACCCTGATCCTGCCGCCACAATGAGCTAAATCTTGATATCATTTAGCAGCCTGGGCAGTCAATGAAGCCATGAGGAGTGGCCTGAGCCGTCGAGAAGGAGTTCACGGGTACACGACGGGTCTCACACCCCCTTGCAAAAAGGTAAGCTGATCCACCTGATCTGGCTGCGCCGTTGCATCGCCAAAGACTCTGCAGGGCGGGCCGGGAAGATCTCCGCTTCTAGTCTCCACGTGCCGTCAGCTCGCCGCGAAGAAGCAAGCCGACTTCTGTCGAATTTTCCGTTCACATCCTTCGGGTGCGAGATCTGACAACGAGATATAGTGCCTAGTTCCTGGTCGCCGCGGAAAGCCGGGATGATGGCCAGTTGCATCACCCACTCAGGCGTCTCAGTCGATGGGAATATGTCTTCCATATTCAAGCACTCGACTTGGAAAGAGCTTTGCTTCCAGAGGTATCAGGCTGTGAGCTCTGGACTAAGGCCTGTCAAGGTCAGGGGCTGGGGATCGACTTCGCCGCGTGGGTGGAGGTGAAAGGGTGGGCTAGCGACATGGTGTGAACCGGGTCTTTTGGTCTGATGCATATGTACAATATTTGAGGCCCGTCATCAGCCAGGTTTCCTAGCAGCACTAGAAGGTGTGTAAGATGGCATCTTACTATCGGTGGTGGCTTCAAGGTCCCTGCTCAGCAGTTCAGCAAGCCAGAGCCACGATCCTCGTGGGTCCCAATTCTCGTCGCCTAAACATACAGACAACCATGAAGGTAACCTTGAGGTCCTAGGCTGCTCCTTACCCGAAATTTCAATTTCATATATCTCTATAGGTCGGCTCCACAGCATGAGCCAATTCAGGCCCGTCATTCGCGACGTTTTGTTTCTTGCAAGGACTTCTCAAAACGAACATGTCATATGGTACAGATACAACTGCAACCCATGACACCGCCAAAATGTCAACCAATACTCGTCCAGAGCTCAAATTCTTCCTCTACTCGGATCCGGCGGAGGCAAAGACAGCAGACAACAAGAGGCTAGTGAGAGTCCATGTCGCCCGAAATTCTCATGCAAAGACCCGTTCTGCCCGGACCAGGGCGTCGAGAGGAGAGCAAGCAGATTGCCTGCGGTCTCGTAGCCACGAGCCCATTCGCCAAGTCGTCAGCCGAACCTCTTCTCCATCGTTGCCGTCCACAACCCCGACATCCCCAGACCTTTCGAGTGACCTCGATCTTGAGACATCCCTCTCGAGACCATTTAACTGGTTGCCGTCAGGGGCCCAAGCTCAATCCCTTGTTCAAGGGCTGTCGTCGTTGGAGCAGTCTCTATTAGACCATTGTAAGTGACACCCTGAAGGACACCACGCACAAAAGATTACGAACTGACACGGACCTTGTATCAGATGTGACAGTGCAGATACCGACCTGGCAAAGCCGATATGAATATCCTAACAATCCCATGGATCTCCCGCGGTTCCGTCATGGAATGAGGACGCATTGGGTCAACTTCTGTCTGACAGACGCTGGGCTTCTCCAAGGCATGTTGCTAGCCTCGAGCCAACATTTCGCGAACCTCTATCACGAAGCTGGGAACCCAAAAGAGGCCAAGGCATACGAGCAGCAAGCGTTGCATCACAGGGGCCAGCTTCTTCGTGCCATGTCCGATTCGATGCCGAGGGATACAAGGGATGTCACCGACTACACTGTCGCGAAGGGCATGTTTCTCGCATACAACGAGGTTTGTCTCTAATCCTATGCCTTCTATGACCAAGGTCCGCAACGCAGACGCAGAAGCTAACTCCTGTACGAAAATGTAGTATTTATCAGGCAACCTCACAGACGCAATGCATCACTTGACAGCGTGCGATTACATGATTGAGCTAAAAGGGGGCTATGGGACTCTAGGCCTGGATGGATTTCTGGCGCAACTCATCATTTGGTTCAGGGAAGAGTTATATGCCGCTATGAACGACAAGTCCTATCGTAGAAACAGAGCTTGACACAACCACGAGGAGCGGCAAGCACGGCATGCATGATATTTAAAAGGCCCTTGGATGGGACTCGGACCGATCAAGATAATCAGAGTGATACGAAAGAAGCGTCATGTATATAGAGAGGTGTTCGATCTAAAGAACCTGGCGTTCAGAAGGCGCGAGCCGCCTGACAGACCGCCTCAGCACGATTGTACACAATAGCAAAGAACCTGGTGTTCAACTAATAAAATTCTTAATACACGTAAATTGCGTAGTTGCCCTCATCTGAGTGTCACATCAATAAAACAGTGCCACCGAATTATAAACTGACATTTCTTTCTCGAAAGAAAATACGTCGACTGCGTAATCCAAAGTCGCATACCCTAGGAGAGATCTCTCCGACGCCGGTCAAGCACTTCCTCAATCACGACTTCTCGTAGGAGGCTACGGTTCACCCATCACCCCACTAAGAATCCAGCCTAACATAGTTTGCAAGTCTGTTCTGCGAAACCAACAGAGTTCAGCTGCTCCATTCAAGCTATGGTGAGAGCCAGCCCCGTCAACTTCCCTTTCTCTGAGGAAAGGGGGAAAGGGGGGGGGGGGCAAGACTAACACCAAGCGTCCTCTTGCCCGGTGAACACGACAACAATGCCACACCACGAGCTTCATTTGACCAGCATGACACCACACCGGCCACACCGAACCCATCAGTAGCATCTCCGTGAAGGATCGCGCGCGGGTGGAAGAAGATAAAGAAGAAGTAAGGTAGCGTTCAGCCGCAACATAGCAGAAAAACGATACCGAGCTCTAGAGCGAGCTTGTTGGATCCGTCAGCGGGCTCCAAAAAGCAACCTCTCGCTCTGGCAGGCGGCCGCCCTATCCGAGGGGGCACAGCCTGCGCTACGGATCGTGTGTAGTCGCAGTGCATCCTTACCTCGGCCCCTTTCTCAGCCGCTCCCACGTGGCCTGAAAGCTTGAAAAGGAGGGGGGGGGCAATTATGTTCTAAAAACAGGTGAAGGAAAAAGAAAAAGAACCCCCCCCCCGGAAAAATGCAGGCCTTGAGAAGAAACCCGAAGTGAAGTGAGGTCTCGACTAGGACTGTCATGTGTCAGTCAATCCCTTGCAAGACGTCGGAAATTAAGCTTGACAGTGCCACGGACGGGGAGCATAGGACCTTCACCACTTTACCAACTCGAGAATCACGGCAACATGTCAAATTTCTAACAATATAGGCTGCATATCATGTCGTGAACTTCGTCCATTTCTCATTCATCTACATGTCGACCTGCAGTCCTGATACTCCATTTTGACCCCATGCCCCCCCCCCTCCCAATTGCCTCCATCAGGCATTTTCCACCAATCCATGCATGCATCAGTCATCCAGCCGCCATTTCCAACCAACCACCTTTTGAGAATCCAGTCAGTCCCCCGTTCCGTACACATGCTACCCTCCAGCGCCCAATACCTGATGTGAATCTACTCCGGCCTCCTCAGCTGATAGTACTTCCGCAGCTGAATATCCTCATCGAAACCGACGTCCTCGTGCCGGACAACATTCCAGCAGTACAGCAACAGGTCAGGGAACCGCGTGGTCCAGTAGAGCAGATAGCCCTCTTCCATGGCGCGGTGGCCTACGACCTTCTCCTGCAGGGCCTCGGGCATGTCGCGGAAGTGATTCTTCTTGTTGCGCAGCGCGCGCAGCAGGTCCAGCATGCGCGACCCCGTGTACTTACGCTGCTTGCCCAACGAGTTGACAAAGTCCTTGTGAAGGCGCGAAAGGAAGTCCCCGTTCGGGATGACCTCATGAGCGCCCGCCTCGAGGGCCTGGAGGGCTGGGCTGGGCGGATCGCGCGGCTCGCGCTCGAACGCGTCTGACACGTCGCACAGGAACGTCAGGCGCTTCTCAGCCGACCAGAAGAACGGGTGCACGAGGATGTCCTTGGTCTTCGGCCGCTCCTTAGGGTTCGCGCTGATCATCTTCTCGATCAGATGGGTGGCTTCGCGCTGGTACTCGCCGAGCACCTCCAGCCTATCCAGGCTGTATGTGCCCTTGCGAATGTTGACCTCCCTCATAAATGAACCGCCGCAGTCGAAGGGGTGTGAGCCCTGCGTAAGGACGTAGAAGAAGACAATGCCGAGCGAAAAGATATCGATCGATCGGGTTACACGACGCCGGTGCTCACCCTGTTGCTGGTTGCTGCTGGCGGTGCCGCTGTGCGTGGAGCTAGCGTCTACAAGCATCGGACCAGTAGACGCGTCATCGTCATGTAGGAGCTCCGGAGCTCGCCAGCCAGCTGTACCAGCGTTGTGAGCCGTAGTAGCCCCAAGAGACGACTGGCCATTCTCCAGCTTCTTGCAGAGTCCAAAATCGGAGACCAGGATGAGAGGCTCGCCATCCATGTCAGTAGTGATGAGAATGTTTTGCGGTTTCAAATCACGGTGGACTGGGACAAGTTAGTGAATGTAAGAACTCGTAGGGAACCTTGCCCGTAAGTCGGCGCCTGTATGGCACCGTGTAAAGTTTGGACTAACCAATTTGCAAGGAATGAAGGTGATCCAATCCTTTGGTGATCTGCTTCAGGACACCGAGTGGGTTCCTGGAACCGAGCTCGGCCAGGGTGCGGAAATGCGACGGTTTTTCTACGACGTCCGCAAGTGAAGCCTCACAAAGCTGGAGGGCGATGTAGATGAAGTCGCCACGTTCTAGCTGGGCATAGTAGCGGATGACATTGGGGTGCAGGTCGACCTCGCGTAGCAGCCGGGTCTCGCGCGTAGCAATATCGTAGAAAGACCTCAACATCCGCTTGACCGCTACCGGCCGGTCCTGCCACTTCCCGGCGAAGACGATGGTGCCGTTGCTTCCCGTGCCGAGCTGCTGCTCCTGAATGACCTCAAGGCTGTCGTCAATCTTGAGGATCGGGACTGACACATTGCCGACGTCGTCAGGCACTGTCTGGATGTCGGGCTCGGGGCCTCGGGCTGTCTCGCCCAGCTTCTTGGCCATGTTGACTGCCTCCTCCACGTCATTGAGGGTCTCATCTTCAGCCGACCCATTATCGGCCTTATTTTTCTTCTTGTGTTGCTTGCCACCACGTCGGCCTCGGTGTGCCTTCTTCTTCTTTACTTCAGGTGGATTCTGCGCTGCATCCGTCTGCGCGTCACGCTGTACCTCGATGGGTGCAGCGATCTCGATGGGAGCCCTAGGGGTGGCTGGATCTGAGGCGGATTCATCCTCGATATTAAGTGCCTCCCTTACGGCCACGACCTGTTCGGTTGGGAGCCTTTCAGCTTCTTGGTCATTGTCCACGACTTGTGTCTCTGACGTCTCGTCTGATGAGTCTTCGTCCAGGTCAACATTGAAGCCTTGTTGTTTGAGAACACCTTTCGTCCAACGGACAGATTCCTTGGGAACACCCTTGACGCGGCGAATGATCTCGTGGCGGTATACGAAAAGAGCCGTCATGAAAAGCAATGCGACAAAGGGGTTCGTGAAGGCTTCAATGGCACTGTTGGCCGCTTCCTGCGGAAGCTTCTTGACCCTCTCGATGACGGTGCTGCTAGGGCTGGGGGCATCAATGGCCAGAGTGGGTACATCCGGGTGATCCTGCCGAGGGCCATCCAGCTGTGGCGGTTCTAATGGTGCCGAGTTGGAGGACCCTGGTAGGAGTGGGTTCCGGGGTCTGGTCCAGGGCTTGCCAAGAAAATGCTGGCCCACCAAAACTTCGGAAAGCCGGGAGGGGGGTAGCTTCTCATCTTCCTGCAACCAGTCGAGCTCGGCGATGAGCGCAGTTGGAGCCTTGGTAATCAGAGGGTATGCCCGAGCAGACATGGCATACCAATTGCCGGCAATCTGATCGAGAAAAATGGCGCCACTCCGCACCAGAGCCTCTTGCTCGTCTTTCGCCGGGAGCGCAGGTTGTGGCAGAGCAATGAGCTCCGTGTTTTTGTCCTCCTCCTCAAATGAATTGTAACTGCGGGCAGGACGGACGACGTCAAACGCCCTTGCAATTGGGGTCGGGAAATGCTCGACAAAGGATTGACGGCGCTCTGCATCCCGATCGAAGTCAAACCCGTAGACACGTCCATCGTGACGGCTGGTGATGTAGAGCTTGTCCATGGTAGTGGAGTATTGCCGCATCAGATCTTCGTCTTTAATGTTGGGGCTCCACTCGGAGTACTTCAGGGTAGCGACGGGGTACCCGCGTGGATTGGAGATGCCAACGGTGTACTCAGTCCGACCTAGGGTGATGGTGCCGCTGTGGCACTCCTCAGCGTCCATACTGGCGACGGGGTCGAGAGGGCGGGGGCAGCTGTCCCAGTCCTCAGCCTTGGACGCCGTCGGGCCAAACCATCGGATGGCACGACCGGTGGCAGCGTCCAGTGCCAGGATATTCGTCTCTTTCTTGCCGGTGTAGACAAGCCCGTATTCCTTGTTCTCATAAGGGGACATCTTCTCGACGAGCTCCTTCATGGTCAAGCCGGTGGACATGACGCCATCAGTCTTGCCGGGAGCGTACATGTAGATCTCGCCGTCCCCAGTTGGCTCGATGGCCCACACGCTCTGGTCCCAGATGGTGTTGGAGTCGGCATCGGCGGGGCTCTTGACCTGTCGGTGGTGTTTGGTCTCGACCATGGATTGGCCGAGAGAGATGTGCCAACGTTCCTTGCCAGTCCTCCGGTCGCTGGCGTACAGGTCTCCATCGATGGTCGCCAAAAGAACAAAGTCCTCCACTTCCCAATCATCGATAGACCTGTCGGGGGTCAACGGTGAAGGGGCTCGGACGGACCGCCCGTCGGGGTGGTCCGGAGCCGCAGCAGAGATAGCGCTCGCATCGTAGGTTTGAAGGTTTCTTGGTCTGTGTGGTGAATGGTGCTCTTCCTTGACGGACTGGGTGTTGGTCCTCTTCCTGCGCGCAGCAGCGTGCGGGGTGTCAAGGTCGTGTTGCGTCAGCGCAGTCGCAGCAAGATTGCGGATGACGTTGTCGCCCTCGAGGGGAGACTCGTGGCGGGGCTGGGCCCCGGGAGGCTTGCCATGTCGTTCGGCGTGATGGTTAGCAGCCCGAGGGGCAGCTAGCGACGGCGAGGCAAGAGCCGGAGGCTGTGGCTGGGCTTCGACGGAGCGGAAGTCGGCAGCTTCGACGAGAGGCAGCACCGGTAGCAGCAAGGCAGCGAGGACCCAGAAGAACTTCCTGTTGTTTTGTTGCTGGACGACATGCCGTCCCTCGCCAGGAGGCCGTCGCAGCATCATTTGTTTATCTAGCCGTCTAGTAGGGCTGCGGGATAATCGTCATTGGCGATTATCCCGAGGTTGTATGTCGATGGGGTGAGAGGGTGACTGTCCAGAGGCAGGTCTCCGGTGTCAGCGGGAGCAGCGGGTTGTGGGTTGTGGGCTGTGGGTTGGGTGTCCCCAGGGGGTTTGAGCGTCGGGATCCGGTCGGGTTATCAAAGCTGTCGAATCGAAGGTGACTGGAACTGGAATTCGAGGCAAAAAGGGCTGGCTGGTCAACCCATGAAGCAGTAGCAGCAGGTAGCAGCAGGTAGCAGCAGGAGGAGGAGGATAGTAGAGACGAGTTCAAGTTCGAGTTCGAGAGAAGTTTTGCCGAGTGATACTCTAGTCCAGTGCAGGCTTAGGTCAAAGCAGGTCGGAGCAAGGTCAGGTCAGGGTCGAGGTTCAGTCGTTCTGCTTCACTTTGGTGGTTCGGCCGAGTCGTGTACACCGCAGGACGGGCCTCAGCCTGATCAAAGCCAGGCCACGCACAGACAGACAGAGGGCGTCAAAACTCGGCAAAGCAAGCAAAATTCGGAGGGGTAGGCGATGGTGGCCGATGAGGAGAGGAGGATTCCCTTCGCTTCGCTGGCGGGTAGGATGGCCTGGATGGATGAGAGGTGGGAAAGGGGTCGAGGTCGAGGTGGTGCGTGGAACCCCCGGGGGGGCAGATGGACCAGCAAGCTGCAGGACTAGATGGTTCGACAGGACGGCCTGAACCAGCGGTGGCTGTGAGTTTTCCCCAGCACACACCACACACGCAAATACGGTAGGGGGAGGTAGGGGTGGTAGGGTGGCACTGTGGGTAGGGGTGCGGGACGGCCAAGTGCCAGGACGGGGTAACGGGCGAGACGCGGGTGCGTATTCGAGAGTGGCTAGCGTCGGACGGATGAAGTTGAACGGTAAAGGGCGGGAAGGAGACTGGAATGGGGCCCGTGCTCCGTTTGGGTCCTTGTAGGGAGGGATGGAAAGCTGACAGCTGCACACAAGACCGACCGACTGACTGATGGCCAAGGAGCCAAGGGAGAAGGGAGAAGGGAGCAGGGAGCAGGGAGCAGGGAGCAGGGAGGAGACGCAACAAGACCATCCCTATCCATCAATCAAGTCTCATCAGTTATTCTTTCATCCGTTGAAGTACACATTCGGATGGAAATAATCAACCGTACCACCCTGCCATCCTGCCCACCCCAATGTGAAGCAATATGCTACACAATCTATGGCTCAGCCTAAATTGCTGGTAGAAACAGAGCTGACGACAATCAAGACACACATACGATTATCAAGCCACACATCAGATCCCGACAGGAGAACCGATTGGAGGGACAATCATCGGCAAACCACACACCTCTGATGACGTTCCTCTGTCCACCCAACCCCCCACAATAACGAAATGCCTCCTTGGAGGCTGTCAGACAACCTGGCAGGCTGGTAGGAGCATCGTCAGACAGCCCCCAACACCCCAAGAGCCCAGTGTTTCACCTCGGGGCCATTCCCTCCAGGCATATACTGTGTATCCATATATAACCCAGCCCACGATCCCCTCCGCAGTTCCCTTCGCAAGCCTTATTCATCCTTATGTCGGACTCTGAGCTCTCTGCCGACTCGTTAGTGAGCCTTTAGCCCATGAGTCGCATTGCATGAACTCTAACCGTCTATGCCGTGCATACACATAAGGCGTATAAGGCGTCAGGGCGTATGCAGTCTCCCGCGAGTTTCTGGGCAGCCCATTGATGAGATACTGTCTTTTGCCACAACTAACTCCACCCACCCATCAATGACTCTGGGGTACTGTGCGATGATACCAGACCTAGCTCGCTAGACATGGAGAGATAGAACGGGGACCTGCAGTGATGCAAGTCGGCCCATGTCGATCGGGGAGCCGGCTCCTGAGACTTGACAATCCCAAATGTCGATTCTCACAGAGCACTAACATCGTCGCTGCAGAAATGGGTGGCCGTCTGATGATGAGTTTCTCCCACACCATGGCGGACCCTTGCGGATCGGCCCTCTCTCTGCAAGGGGTTGACCAGGTAAACAAGGAGGTTAGCTGCAGGCCTGTCAGCCTGTTTGCCACCGCATCCACCTAAGACCACTAATGGAATTTGCATGCCCATATATCGAACTCTTACCACAACAAAATTACAATGTAGAAAGTCAAAGTCGAGTTGGTGATGATATGGCATGGACACCGGAATACCAACAGTATGTGTGAAACTTCAGCCCAGGATTTGAACCTGGATCCCCGCCGCGTCACTTCGGGTACACTAAGCGCGGCAGCGCATCCGTGCATATGAACCAGGGATGTACCATTGATAGGCCAACTTGGGTTAAAGAACTGGAGTGGCTGCCATATACGTTCATAAGCCGGCTTTATCTGAGTTTTAACGGTATTTCCACGTTCAAGGACGGCTTCTACAAGTGTGATGCCTCTAAAAGGGCTTCACAGGTGGGGCAGAAGCCGTGCGCATGCTACTCGGCCTGAAGGATTTCTAGTTGGACGTGGATACCTGCACGTCATGTTGGCGATGAAAGGCTGCACGAGAAATGGATAGGAAGGACTTCAACTCCGATCTAGGGGATTTTAAGGGCAAAATCGGAACAGTATTCAGCAGATAGAAAGAACAGCAAAGCACGAGAATGGTTTCATCTCAAGAGTGATGCGCTGCCATAGTGTAGGGGCTGCTTGTGCCGCATACGTGACATGGTCGGTTCTGGAGAGAGGGTATCAGTAATAGTGAAAACTGTCCATCTGCTCCAGAAGTATGAAGATAGATTAAATACATTCGGTCCTTGACTCGCATATCCATATTTGAGACCAAAAGAAACCTCTCCTAGAACATTATCATGTTGGCCCAACTACTTTTCCGGAGCCCCCTATCATATTTGTGTACTCTTCCTCCCTAAGAAAAGCGTCTCGGTGTGAAAACTGTGTACGGCGACGCAGGTGGCCCTACCATCGGCATGGGGCTCATATATCCTGCGCCGAGATTCACAAACTGGGATGTAGGATCTATGTATTTCCTTATCTCCATGCTCATATTTGGGCTTGTCATCAGTATTTTGATCGCCGGGCCCTCCACACCTTGGTGTACCACAGCCTGGAACTTTGACACCAACCATCGTAAGTCTTCAATCCACTGATCTCTTTCATACCATGAGATGCCGTCGAGCAGACAGAAGACAGTCAAGTTTTGTGGAAGCTGTCTCGATAGTACCCAAAACACTTCCCATAGGGCGTCAAGGTCGCATTTACTCAAGGATGAGAAGAGTCCGTCCGATTTGGCCAAATTCCACTCGGGCTCGGACATCGACCCCGAAAGTAGCAGCTGCACAATAAGACTTCGCAGCATGAGGTTTGGCCCACCTGGGCTCTCTAGTTCGAAGTCGGACTCAAGGTTTATGCCACAGAAAAAGTAGGTGGGTACGGCAAGACTATTCTCGAAGAGACGAGCCGCAACCGAAGCCGCTAGCACGGACATTGGTGAGATTTTCTCCACGCCACCCGACATTCCATCAACAAGGAGGAGTGAGGACTGCGCCGTGGAAATCCAATTTTGGAAGCTTGAGGTCCTCAATAGCCAAGCTGCGCGAGCTTGGCTCGTATGATCCATTCGAAAAGCCTGCTGGAGGACGAGCCGCAGGCCGCGTGTGATGTCCTCTGGGTCGACTCGTAGCGCATCCAGCAGATCAGACTTAGCCATTCGTGGCGTCATGTTGCTGGATGGGTTGATTGGGTGATTTGCAAGCTCGCGGAATGGTGGTGGATCTGCACGTATGGCCTCAAACAGGGCGGTCTTGAATGAAGCTGCGAAATATTCTGGCGAACACTCCTGAAGAATCCCCCGAAGTTCAAGTTGAATCATTTCTCTGGTTTTTTGAAACATGAACTCATTGGATTGGGACAATATGCGGTATATGTCCACTTTGGTGGCAAGCCGCTGACTGCGACCATCAATTTTGTCCAGTCTGGAACGAATCTCGTCCAGCTTGTTGATGCTCACGTTCATTAGCTTATCTCTAACTCTGCCGAGACTCGAATTTAAAATTCTCGTTTCGTTCTTTATTCTCGTCAGAACTTCTTCAACGCGGGTGGAGTCAGGTATTCCCATAGTCGAGATGTTCAAAACACGCCTGCGCCCTGGAAGTCCCTCACAGTTGTCAGCAGGCACTCTCATTTCAATATTGATTGGTGTTGGCGACACATACATCCAATTTTCTTCCTGAGCAGAATTTCGATTAATGTTGGCAGATCTTGGAAGAGTAGTTCATAGAAGCCCGTGGCCCTGTTCGATATAGCCTCGTCCTCGTCGTCTCCAAAGACCTTAAGCTTGCAAGCAGCTTCCAGTGTGCGAACAGTGTCGGGAAGCTCTTCAAAAGCGTCCAGAATCTTGGCCCGATTCTCTGTTCTTTTCTGGATCGTCTTGTTCGCATTTGGTTAGCAAGCAAATTCTGTAAATACCTCGCTGCAACCTGGACACCCTTTGGCAGTCCGCACTAACAGCAAATATCACTTTGAGCCCTCCTCGGAGAATCGACAGTCCATATTGGTCAGGCAGCATCTCTACCACTTTCTCTGCCAATGGCACTGCTCGAGAAGCTAGCGTGCCTGCCTTGTGGATTTTTCGCTTGCCTCTTTCATTGTGCTCAGCTTTTGCCGTGTCCAGCAACTGTATGATCTCATCCCAGGAACAATTAAAGATTCCTGGGTCATCAGTCGTGGGCGCCTCACCATTCTCCGCGGCCGTTAAAGAATCATCGCAAATCAAGAGTATGTTTTTGAGAGTCCTGTGGGTTGTCAACTGCCTCCGCACTGGGTGATTGAATTCATTGAAGAGACAAAGATACGAACTCTGATGGAGGCTCCTGACCTGGCTGATAGCCTGACTTCATCATCGACCAATAGCACTCGTTGCGGTAGACTGGATGCACTTGAACGGGGTCAGTTCTAAGCCATGCCTCCAATTTTTGGGCCTCATCGAGAGTGTAGGCTTTCCCACGCGTATCGTCTAGTAAAGAATCCATGTTGCTAATGATTGATGCCTGTAGTCCTCCACACAATTTCGATTTGGACAGATGTGGTCTGCATCATCAGCATGAGATCCGTACTTCAGCTCCAGCGCACGATCATGCAACAAGAACAAATCGAATCATCCGTGCTGAACCGGTGGCCACAGGGTCGAGACCCGAGCTCGTCAACTCATGGAAATATGAGCTCTTCCCCTCCCTCCTGTGGTACTAACAGAAGCTGCCTGGTCCGCCACATCCCGCTTTAGACGACGTCTTCGTGCATGGTGACACGAGAATCCTCCCCCACATCACCGACAGTAATCTGAATGAGCACTCAAAGGATTGCAGACAGGTGTGGTGCAGTAGAACCATCTGACATGCGTTGATATGGGTGATCTTTAACGCCGAAAAGAGTTATGCTCAGCGATACCGCAGACGTCCAAGGCGATCAACTCCTTACCATTCTTACTTCACAGACGCCTCTTCCAAATGTCGACGAAATGAGAGCACATCAGGCTCTGGCAGCCTTTCCCAGAGCCGAGCACTTCAAGAATAAGGCTCTGCTGACCACCATCATGCATCACATCTTGTAGCGGGAGTATCTGCGTCTGTGAGTGGTCCAGTGCTGCTGGGATCCTCTATCAAGGAGCGCAACACGGAATTGAACGGGCGTTGTAATGGCATTTCCCCGCTCGAATGTCTTCGCAGAACAAGCGAGCAGCGCCACAACGGGCTCTATTTGATTCCGCGTGTCACGTCCATCTTTCCCCTCGTGGCAGTCAGAGGTGACCGCTCTTCGAATACATCAGACTAGAGAAGCAGATCTGGTACAATGCAAGCCGAAATGATCCAAAGGAACACCACAGCTATTTTCAGGCTCATAAACGTCTTTAAGTGCCTGAGTGTTGAAGTAAATGAGTCGAAGTACGTAACGAAACGACCGCTTGGAATATGATGGGAGCCAGTGAGCTGGCCAACGATTGACCGCAAGCAGAGGATTTTGAGCATGAGCCATGCTGACAATGTACCTCATAGTCACGGGGGATATAATACAATGTTTCCGGTGGACAAAAAAGCAATTTCTCCCCAAAGATAACCCCGCAGCCTGCTTCCATCCTGGCAGATGTACACTTCGTGTAGCCTCACAGCGGCACTGGAACCCCACGCCACTATCAGTCGATCATTGGGGGCGTCTCCATTGGGTTGGTCGAGACCTGAATTTAATTGAGTCTTGTGCGTACATGAACCATGCAGTAGGCTATTGGCAGATTCCGAGCGATCACTCGTCGGTCTCCCCGTTCCCACAGCAGCATATGTAGAGCGGAAAGACCAACGAGCAGGCCATGTTCCTTGCAGCAGCTGAAAGAAAAGAGCTGGAACGGCTGGTGCTCATATTGGCCCAAGAGGTCGAGGAGGCGGATATATCACCGATGGTCGCCCATAACCGGTCGACAACTGCTGCACAGCTGGAAGAAATTTCGCGCAAGGCTACACACGACAATAGAAATCGTTGGCTGAACGAAGAATATCTTATAATATCATTCATTATCGACTCCTTTCTCTCTGAATTTTTAATTCCTATCCCTGCATTCTTTGGCACCACCGCAAGCACAATAATTTCAAGCTGCTCTCGGTCAAATCTCTGTGCAAGCCTGTCTAAGACAGTTGTCAACCTTCAAGCCATGTCAGACGCATCGCAGATGAATTCATCGGTACCAACAGCCATTGGGGCTGATCACCACGTAAGGACTACCAGAACCCGTGCCGTGAAGTGATACAGAAACCCATTTGTACTATTGTGTGTTAATCTCATGCAGATGCCTCCGCACATGAGGCGGGTCCTTACAGCGCTTCACGACGACCATGAAAAGTTAGGAGAGCGACAGAAATCGTTGGATGATCGATTCGAGACCTTGATACGCCAGCTTTCCAAGATGGGGCAAAAAGAAGTACCTAAGCATGAAGATGATCGAGCGGAGACGATGTTGCTCTCCGACCACGACGAGGAGCCTGCACAGATCATCGCCGTGAAGCCGGAAGCACGGTTGTTCGAGTTCGAGAGATTCAAAAATAGGTACGGTGAAAAAGACCATCAGTTCTGCGTCGAGGCCTTGGTTGGCTGTTCGGACTTTCTTGGCGCGATCGAAGACGAGTTGTCACGCAGAGGCGAGCGCGCTCCACACCGCAACGCCCTTCCTCAGCTCACATATACCGAGGACATGATTTGTCAAGTACGGATTCAGTCTTTGGCACTATTGAACATCATCTCAAAGGTATCTGGAGCGTCTTGGAATGGCAGAGTCCGTTGCACATTCACTCGACCCTTTGCCCTGTTTATTCGAACGCTAGGCGACATTCAAAGCGAGCTTCAGAGACTGGAGACGAAGTGGGAAACCAGGGTTGTGCCCGAGCCCCTCCACGGCGAATCATCGAACTCGACGGAGGAGACACTTGAAGATCGACATGAGACTTTGTTGGAATTGCGTTGCTACGTAGACTTCGTGAAGCAGCACATCTTACCTCAACGCCAGAGGTACGACAATCTCGAGCGACCTGAGGCACGCAGCGTTCACTACACAGACCTATGGTACCTCTTTCGAATAGGACAACTGGTGTATGTTCCTAAGTTCGCCGGAGACGAGCCTACACCCTTGTCGGTAAGACAGAGCGTATTCCGGATCTGTGGCATCTGGCGCCCCGACACTTCTTCCCACTGGCCTGTTAAGCGCGAGAGACGAGAGGGAGCCACGAGTGCTCGCCGTTTATTCAAGCTGAAATTGTATTCGATTGACCATAACGGAGAGACATATGGACCCTACTTTCGCTCGATCGAGGTTCCGTTCTTCAACGGGTCTCAGGATGTGGATTCATTGCCTGTCTTTCCATTGTGCTGCTATTCGGACTACTCTGCGACGGCCAAAACGCTACAACAAATTGGTCAGGACTTCCTGGACAGAAGAGCGCAGAAGCACATCGCTTACCGTGGTTGGACTATCATCTGTGACCTAGCTGGAGGGATTCTGCACGATGCCGAGAGACAACCGCTGAAACACCCAGAGTACATTGAGAGTGATCTGATCGTCGACTTTAAAGAGACCTTCCAGAACATACCAAACTGGCGACCTTCTCTGCCCCGCAAACGAACCCGGTCCAGTCACTGGCTTCTAGGAGAAGACAAGATGCGGATCATTCAATGGACCACGAGCGAGTGTCAGCGGATCGAAAAGGACCATGCCGAACTTGTCCAAGAGAGTGACGGGATTGACCAAAATGACTACAACTTCCAATTGACCAACGACAAATTTTTGGGAGCACAAAAATCGCCGGAGTTCCAAATAGAGGACCTCATGCTGCTTCCAAAGAGGCTCTTCGCCTACGCACTCCGTGATCGCCAATTCCACCAGGTGGATGTGCGGTCCACTAGGCTTCCCAATGCAGCTGAGGGCTCTCCATTCGATAGTTTACTGATCAGCGAGGAGCATCGGAGTATCATCCGAGCAGCCGTTATCACCCACTTCCAGAACAAGCTTGTCGACGAATCTTCCGAGGATCCTCATATGTCAATGGACCAAGACTTCATACGAGGGAAGGGCAGAGGTCTAGTAATTTTGCTCCATGGAGCCCCGGGTGTTGGCAAAACCGGTGAGTCCTAGTCGGTTCTGATCAGTTTATGCCGTCTTCGAACATAGCTTGATTGATGTCCGCTGACCAAGCTTGATCGCCTGCAGCCACGGCGGAGGCAATTGCACTGGAACATCGCAAACCTTTGGTGGCCATCTCTTTCGGTGATCTGGGATGGAATTCAGAGAGGGTTGAGTCATCTTTGCGCGAGATATTTCGTCTGGCCCATCTGTGGAACTGCATTCTCCTCCTGGATGAGGCAGATGTATATCTGTCCCAGCGAGAGAAGACAGACAATCTACAAAGGAATGGGATCGTATCGGTATTTCTTCGGTAAGCCTGTTCACCTTGTCCTTCCCGAAGAAACCGTCATCACAATAGCTGACACATATATCAGAGTTCTCGAGTACTATAATGGAATCCTTTTCCTCACGACAAATCGAGTCGGCGTTCTTGACGAGGCGATAAAGTCTCGCATACACATCTCACTACTTTACCCTCACTTGTCGCGAGAGCATATATGGACGATTACCCAAATGAACCTCGAGCGGCTGAGAAAGATTGATGCATACCGATCAAAAGTTACGGGACAGAAGCCGCTGCAGTTCATCGACAAGGATATCTGTGACGAGCTGTCCAGCTACGGGACGCAGGAACATGAGCGAAGTCTGAACGGCCGGCAAATTCGCAACGCTGTCCAGGCCGCCGCTTGTCTGGCTTGGTATGAGCAAAAGGTCAAAGAAGACCGAGGAGAAGCCGTCCAGACTTTCTGGTTGAGCGTAAAGCATTTTCAGACAGTGAAGCAGACCATGATCCTTCACGAGGAGTACTTGACCAGGACCAAAGGCATGAGCGACGCTGACATGGCCAACCACCGGGGCGAGCGTCATGACAAGTTCAGAACGCGAGAGAACTCACAGACATACAGCGGGCTGGCAATGCATCAGCGTCCCGGAAGCCAGTCCTCTCTGTCTCGGTCCGATTCAGAGGCGTCGAGGCGGACGCAAACCCCGCAGACAGGCTGGGCGGGCTGGTCACAACCTGCTCCCAGGCAAAACAGCTATGGCTTCCAGTCGACACCACCCACGGGGCCACGTGGCGAGACCTCTGCGTTCATGTCGAGCGCGGGCAGCCCAGGTCAGCAGTATCATGCTTTCGGCCCTACGCCGGAGTTCAGCCCATCGACTTGAGCCTGAGATAATCTGCTGAATCATGTGCGCCCCGAGATCAGCCAGGCAGAAGGCGTATCAACGATGGGATCTTGCAGCATAGCGGACTGCTGTTCGAGTGCCATGGAAGGTCCTCAGGATCAAAGGGAAACCCTGACCGGGACGTACGGCGAGAATGTCCAGCCCTACCTGGATCGAGACTGGTGCGTGGCAGCAATGTGACATAGAAGAGATACATAAGCCTTGTTTCTGACTTCCTTGCATGTGCGCGGGTGTCTGCATGATCGGTCCTGACCAGATGTGCTGTACCTGCTACTGTAGATCGCGGGATTTCTTGCTCGTCGAGTGTGAGCACTTTATTAGAATCAGAGGCAGAGACCCAAATGTATGGTCGGCTGTTATTGAGATTTCAGTCACGTATCCGCGTTCTCACCGAGTACATATCCAAGATAATGTGGTTTGGACTACTCTCAACTCACAAAAGTTTCCAATAAATATTGTCCCTTGAAGGTCAAGATTCGCAAGACTGACATTCACATGGCCGGTGAAGATATTTGGATGATTTATTGCCACATCTGCTAGATAGGTTGTCAACTCATGCAGAGACCATCCAACCTATCTATCCCCAAGCAACAAGCACATTCTTCCCCTTCTTCCCCTTCCCCTTCTTCTTCCCACCCGCAGCCCCACCCTCACCCTCACCCGCCTCCTCCCCGGCACCACCAGCCTCCTCCCCAGCCGCCCCACCACCCCACGAGAACCCCGTCTCCCGCGCGCCGCCGAAGTCCCGCCTCACCCCGCGGCCCCCGCCGTACCCAAAAATCGTAGTCTGCACCTTGGGCGCAGCAGGCAGCGCGGGGAACGCGTCGTCGCGCGGCGGGGCGCGCCCGCCACCGGCGCTAGGTGCCGCCCGCCGGACCGTGGGCGTCGACGACCGGCTTGCGGCCGCGGACGCGGACGCGCTGCCCGTCACGGCCGGCTGCGTGCCGCCGATCCACAGCGGTGCCGATTTTGCGGCGGCAGTGGCGGATTTCTTGCTGCCCGCCGCGGGCGGAAGTGCCGGGAACGCGGCGGATGATGAAGACGATGCCGCGGCCGACCGTGATGGGCTGGACCACTGCACGGTACTTGGCCCGGGGCCGGCGAGTTCCGCGCCGGGGACGCTACCGCGGCGGGCCTGGGTGGAGTTCTTGAGCTTCAGCACGCGCGTGGTGTGCCTCTCGCGGGCGGCGGCCGTGGCACCGCCGCTGCCCGGGTGCAGCGAGGGCCCGGAGCCGGCGGCTGCGGCCCAGCCGCTGGAGCTGGTGGCTGCGCCGTGCATGCCGCCCAGGCCGGGCAGCGACGGGTAGTCCTCGTTGATGGCGCGCCAGTCCTGCCATGCTTTGTGTAGCGCATCGGCCTTGGCCTTGTCTTCGAAGAGGTCCGACACCTCGCGCACGAGTGTGCCCAGCGCGTTGGCTGAGGTGTCAGTGAAGAGCGAGAAGAACGAGTCGATCAGGCCTGGTGCCGTGAGGCTGCCGGACTTGTAGGAGGAGATGTGCGAGCGGAAGTCGTTCATCTTGGTGGCGTCGTTGCCTAGCAGGTTGGATGCGCGCTCGATGACCGCACCATGGCGGACGAGGCGGGCACGTTCGGCCGGGGTCATGTTGGCTTGGTCGGTCACGGAGAGTGTGGACAGGGCGTCGGCGAGAGGCTGAGGCTGTGATGCTGATGATGATGAGGCACCATTTTGTCGTTGCTGATTGCGAGCAGTTGCAGGTGTGGGACCGGAGGTGTTGGCTGTGGTCGTTAGTTGGCCACCAAAGGTGCGGTTAGAGATTGACTGAGCTGAGTGGATGGCCATCTGCCTCTGGTATGCAAGTTCGTCTCGTCGTAGAGGTTGTGCCGTGCTGCGAGGCAGAGGCGCATCAGCGTTGGGGTCCCTACCCCTTCCGCGACCCTCTCTCCCACCCCTAGATCGTCCACCTCCTCTCCGTTCCTCCTGATACGGTTCCCGGACGTCAAAGCCAGAGAGATCCACCATTCGGGCGTCTCTTCGTACATCCTTGGACAGAGTGTCTCTGTGCTCGCTCAATTGATGAGCCTTGAGGTCCATCTCCGACTCGAACACCACGAACTTCTTTTCCAAGCATTCGCGATCCAGACACAAGAAGTGATCCTTGTTGAAGTGCTTTTCCAGCGCATTGTAGTCCTGATAATAGTGCGGTGACCTAGAATCCCTCCTATCACAGATGAAGCACCGCTCGTGCTTGTTCCGGCAGTGTTCGTACAGCTTATCGTCGTCGTAGAACCTCTCGCCACAGAAGCCACAGAGGGGGTGGCCCTTGAACCCCGTCTGCGCAACATCTCCAGGCCTGTCATCGCCATGTGCCATGTGCTTGTGCAGAGCCTTGTCCGTGAACAGCTCGTGCTCGTGCGTAAATACCTTCTTGTTCCGCGTGCAGAGATCGCACATCTTGTTGTGATGCACCGACCGCACATGCCTGTGCAGGTCGGGCCAGCCCATCCCGGCAAAATCGCAGGAGAGATCGGGACAGTTGTACCGCAGCAGCAGGACCGTGTCGCCCACAATATCCTCATTCGTGTAGCGGATCCCTATGTTCTCGTCCGCACTAGAGATGTCGGCCTCGGTATAGGCTTCGAAACGTTTCGATGCATCGTCGGTGAAGATGACAAAAGGCGCAGGTGTTCGACAGTGCGCGCAGTCTTTATTCTTGTACAATGCCCGTAGTCGTAATGAGCAGATATGGCAGGTGGTATGGTTACAGGGCGCAACAGAGTGGTGTTGGATCGGGTTGGCGCAAATGAAGCAGACTTCGTCGTCGTCCTCGTCAGCGTCTTGGCCGTCGCCTGCGTCATCAGCCTTTGGCTTGGGCTCTGACGGCCTGAGGAGGGCTTCTTTGGCCGCTGGCGTGAGCCTGGGACCTTCGTTCTCCTGCTCTTCTGGCCTGGGGCCGTTCTGGTTGTTCCCGCCACGTCCTCCTCGGCCTCGATTTCCTCCACGGCTTGGTCCACTGCCGTCGCCTCGCCCTCTACCTCGTCTGGAGCGATCTCCTCGACCTCGACCACGACTACCGTCACCGCGCGGTCTTGAAGCAGTGTCCCCAGCTGAGCCTGCAGGGGCAGCGCCTCCTGTGTCTGCCATGTCCTTGTTCGTTTGTGTTTGTGGTTCTTGTGTGTGGCTCACGCCCAAAGTTCGAAATATTTCGAGGATGCAGAGGTCGTTCAGCGAGAGTCCCCACAGCTTTTTAGAAGCTTTCTGCTCGAATTGAAACCAGAGGTAGTTCGGATGCTCGATGCAGTGAGGTTGTGTCGAGGGGAGAGCTGAAAGTGCTGGCTCTGGCTGCTTAGGTTTGGAGGGGTAATGGCTGTCTTGCCTTTGTACGGCCCAAAGCCGTCATACAAAAAAGTAGAGTGGCGGCGGGCGGATTGATAATTGAAGAGAAAGCTGTAGTTCCTTACTGGCAGTAATTGAGTGAGACCTGGGTGCACAGACCAATCAGCTAACAACGGCGAGCCCACGTTCAGTAAGCGAATTCAACCCTGACCAGGATCATTTCGACTCATCTCACCGGGCTGGCGGGCTGTGTGTGCTGTGTGTGTGTGCGGGCTAGCCGGGCTGGTAGGGGAAGCTCCAGATCCCTCACCCTTTACCACCTTCACCCCTCCTTTGCAACCCTTGCGCCTCCAATGTGGATGACAAGCCATGCCCCGGATATTTCTTTTTCTGATTGCATCAACGGCTAGGGGTCCCTGGTGCTGGTACTGCTATTTCAACTGATGTTGGTGAACACCAAGGCTTACTAACAGTACGATGAAAATCAATTACTCCTCGTATTTTGCGTATCATGTCCTCGCTCTCAGTATAGTCGTATTGAATGTACAATCCAATATATACGTAGCACACACTCTCTTCCTTCTATACGCATCGCGTATTATTCCTCGCTCAGCATTTTGTGGGTCTTGTGGCTGCGACACGCGAACTCCACGAAAGAGTCATACCGAAGAGAGAGACAGAGGCTCATCTCGGTGAAGACCTTCTAGAAAGGCCCGGGGGCAACTGTACTGCCTCAGGCAGGCCTCTGTTTCTGGCCGCTCATTTCGTCCGATATTCCGATCTTGCATTCATTGAACGTCTGCGATGCGGCACGGCAACCCTCCCTGCCAGGGGCCAGATGTCCACCGAAACGCTTGGCCACCTCCGGTACTCGAATGTGCCTGTTCCGTAGCCCCAACAGCAAAAAACAACCATGCACGAACGGTGTTCAAGGCCAATATGTTTAGTATTGATTCAGCTATCTGTGCTGTTACGGTATGACTAGTCGCGATATGCCCGCCCAAAAAATAGTGATTATCCTGCCAGCAACCATATGGGCATAACGCTGCCATGGCATGGCCCTCAGTGGACATCGCAAAGCCACTGGAGCCCACTGAGCCACGAGGACACCTCGTCATACCCAATGCTCTTTCCAGCATGCCCTAGAGAGGACAAGAATAGAGCAGGTCGATGCCGCTCAAAGGTCGGCCACAGGCCTCAAGACTGTCCTACTCCTATACCGCAGACACCCCCATGTATGCAAATCATTAGGTCATATGTCAAGAACGCCTGCCCGAAATCACAGTGCACAGCCCCTCCGTGGTTGCGAAAGACAGAAACAGTCGCTGGACCCCGTTTGCTGTACCCAGTTGTTGTACCGTCTTCCTTTCTCGAATTGCGCCCAAAACCTGAAGGATGTCATGACCCGGCCGGGGGCGGTTCACTCGTCGAGGGGATACAGCTGGCTGCCGAGGAGCTTGTTCATCGAGAACATGTTGACCGTGGTCTGCTTGAACACCGCCTGCATCTTCTCGTCGCAGCGTATCTGGCGCTTGTCCGTGGGCTCTTGCAGGTCGTTCGCCTTGATGTGCTCCCACAGCTTCTTGACCACCTGAGGGCGGGACAGCTGTTCGAACAAATGGTTAGCTTCATGCATGTAGACGGACCGCATCGTCCAGTTCAGTTCAGTCCGGTCCTGTCATTCGGTGGTACATACCCGCTCGGCGCCCACAATCTCCTGCAGCGGGTAGCTGAGGTTGAACTCCTTCTGAAACCCACCGCCAGCCTTGCGTTTCTTTGTGGTGCCAGAGTCCTCAGTGTCCAGGTCACTGTCGTCCTTGACCTTGACAGAGCTCTTCTTCTTGGGCTTGGACTTCGTCTTGGGCCGGTCGTTGCCACGCCTCGTCTGGCGACCACGTGCTAGCTGGTTTTCCTGTGCCTGGAGCTCGCGGGCAAGACGGGCATCCTCGTCCTCGACCATTGATGAGGTTCTCTTCTTGCGTGGGGCTGTCGAAACCTGGATCTCGCCTCCAGAGGCATCATCCATGGCGTCGCCGTCTGTATCTCCATGCTCTTGCTTGGTGCCGTTCGGCAAGCCATTGCTGGTGATCTCCTCTTCGTACTTGTGTGGGGGCGTGGGCATAGACTCGGGAGGCGTCGGATCTTCAGCGATGGCGTCGAATCGTTGCTCGATCAGGGTCTTGATTGCATTCTGGGCGGCGGGGTCTTAGGTTAGTCCAGCAGCTAAAGCTTGGCCGGGGGGGCAGCGTGTAAAAGGTTGCCGACGTCTTCTTACCTTCTGGTCGCTCAGGTCCTTTCCTCCAAGCGACCGTTCCAGTCCCTGGCGCACCTTCTTCCGCGAAACGGTCGCGAGGTCGGCGGTAGCAAGGATGCCATCGATGATCGAGGTGTACTGCTCAACCTCCTCAGGGGACACTATTGGACCAGGTTAATAAAGACAGCCAGTCCAAACGTCGCGCAGCAACCACTAACAAGATGCCGACATGTTGACCGACTTGCATCAAATGCGGCCGAGGCAGAGGAGGGCGGTGTAGCGAATATCGACTGGTCAAGCGCTTATTGCCGGCCGCGGGGGGGTTGGGGGGTTGGGGTGCGGGATGCGCAAATGCTGGCAAGTTCTGCGAATCTTGAGTGCGCTGGACGAGAACGAGAGATGAATCCGTCACGAGTCACAAAAAAAATGTGCAGACGACGAGTCGGGTGGGTTGGGAAGCGTGGTGGTAAGGGGCAGCGGGCGCCTTGATCAAAGCATAGCTGTTGTTCTTTTGGGTGAGTGCCAGCAAGCCGAAACAGGACGTCACGAGGAGGATTGGATGGGTCTTCAGATGCAGGCGGATATAGCCGTGGCGAGAGGGCCAGCCAGGTGGATGTTGAGCGGGTGTGCCTGGATGCAGGGTGCGTTGGAGGTGGAGGATGAAGTTTTGGCGATTGTGAAGCCCCAGCGACGATCGCAAGCGACGCAGTCGAGGTCGGCTCAAAGCATCAGACTCTTTCTTTTGGTCGGCTGTGGTGTGAGGTGCCAAGACCCTTGGGACGAACGAGGGTGGGTAAAGTAGGTACACGCAGGCCAGTAGAGCTGATGGTAGGGCAGTGTCGATTAAGATGTTGAATCAGTTTGATGAACGGCACTCCAAACAGCAGAATGCAGAAAAAAGCAACCGGATGATCAAAGCAAGAGTCTGGTGATGATGATCTCTTGGGGAGGGATTGGCGACGGGAAGGGGATGGCAGGTCGTCAGGTCGTCAGTCCGTTCAGTCCGTCAGTCCGTTCGGTCCGTCCGCCAGGCTAACAGCCCAAGCAACAATGGACAATCGTTTTCTGATCTGCTGTCAGTTGTTTCCGCTTCTGGCCCTGGCTGCCCTGCTGAGCCTGCTGAGCCTGGTCTCTGGTCTAGGTCTAGGTCCTGGGGTGTCAGGTCAGAGGTCAGGGTGTCAGGGTGTGTGTGTGTGTGTACAGTATGTCGGGGGGCTGTCTGTCTGGGTGTCTGGGTCTGGCTTGTCTGGGATGTCTCGTTGTCTAGGTTGTCAGGGTGTGTCAGTTGTCAGTGTGTCCGTCCAGCTGGTCAAAGGCAAAAGGCAGAGGCAAAAGGCAAAGGGAGGACCCGTTTCGCAAACTCCAATCGATGAGGCTCGACCAGGGGCTGCCAGGGAGGTGTTGTGACCAGGAGTGTGAGTGGTTGGACGGTCTGGGCGTCTGGGCTCACCCCGTCGACAGGCCAGAGTAGCGCTGCTGTGCTGCTGGCTCCCGAGAGGCAGAGAGGCTGCTGGTTGGAGGCACGCGAAGGGCAAAAGCTGGGGTCCTCCGCCTTGTGGGGTTTGAATCGCGGAATGGCTGGATGGGAATGCACAGCGAGACGGTACGTACCGTGCCAGCGGTGCCCAGCTCCCCGGCAGCTGACTCCAGCGTCTGGTACACCAACCCCCACCTTTTTCTTCCTTTCTTTCTTCTGGACGCCGGCCGAGGCGAGGCGACGTCGGCACCAGACCACCCCTGCCCGTTTGTTATCGATACCGATAAACGGTCATCGCGGGGCACTACCGGTGCATCATCAGTGACTCTATCTCTCACTGACTCCTTCCAGAGGTTGCTGAGACAGCACCTACCAGGCCTTCTTTATTACTCTAGGGTAGCATCCCTACTCCCAGGTTCATTCATTTTGGGGCCCTCTACCGACTAATCCCACGGTGGAAGGCGAACATTGTACTACCACTCACTCCCTACGACCGCAGATCCTCAAGAGTTCAACCACCAACAGCTACGTTACATTACCTGTTAGGCCTCTCACTACGCATACCTACCGATCCTACTGTCTGCATCACACGTTCTCCGGAGAAGGGTACCTGCACCAAACATGTCCTACATCTCCGTGGCAGCTTGTACGCTGCCCAGCGTGCCTCTCGACTTCCAGGGCAACAGAGACCGCATCATCGAGTCCATTCGCGTCGCAAAGGCAAAGGGAGCCACTCTCAGAACCGGCCCTGAGCTTGAGATCCCCGGATATGGCTGTCTTGACCATCACCTCGAAGGCGACACGTTCCTCCACAGCTGGGAGGTGTTGGCCGAAATCATTGCGGACGAGGCTTGCAAGGGCATGCTCGTAGATGTCGGCCTGGGCGTGAGGCATCGCAACGTGCGCTACAACTGTCGCGCTCTGTGTACTTACAAGAAGATCTTCTTCCTCAGGCCCAAGATGGCACTGGCCAATGACGGCCTCTACCGTGAGATGCGCCACTTCACGGCCTGGGCCAAACCCTACGAGATCGAAGACTACTACCTAGAAGACGTCGTTTCTGAGGTGACCGGCCAGTCGAAAGTCCCCATTGGTGACGCCATTCTATCCTGCAAGGACACTGCGGTGGCCTGTGAGACATGCGAGGAGCTGTTCACGCCTCTCAATCCGTCGTCGTACTTGGGTCTTAACGGTGCCGAGGTCATCCTGAACAGCAGCGCAAGCCATGCCGAGCTGCGTAAATTGCACACGCGTCTCGACCTGATTTCCAACGCCACACGGAGACTAGGCGGTGTTTACGTCTACTCGAACATGACGGGTGTGGATGGCGACGCACGTATGATGTTTGACGGGTCCAGCATGGTCCTCTGCAACGGAGATGTCCTGGCTCAAGGCTCGCAATTCTCACTGCGCCCGGTCGAGGTTGTTACGGCCACAGTCGATATTGAAAAAGTCAGAAGTTACCGATCATCCATCTCTCGAAATCAGCAGGGCGCAAAGCAGCGAGCATTCCCTCGGGTCGAGTGTGACCTACGTTTAGGCCGGCCATCTCGTCTGGTACACCGGTCAAAGTATCCAGCATCGAAGGTGATGGAGCTTAAGACCCTCGATCCTATGGAAGAAATAGCCAATGCTCAAGCTGTTTTCCTGTGGCAGTATCTTTCCCGGACAAATTCGCCCGGCTATTTCCTTCCACTGAGTGGCGGTCTTGACTCCTCGACTGTTGCTCTCTTCGTGTACAGCATGGCTCGCATGGTACTTCAGGCCATCAACGAAGGGGAGCAAACCGTTCTTAATGATCTTCGCCGGATCACGGGCGAGAAGTCATTCACGCCTGCCACGCCCGAGGATATCGTATCCCGTGTATTTCACACCTGCTACATGGGCACGGTCAACTCAGGAGAGGAAACGCGGTCCCGCGCAGAGCGCCTTGCAAAGCGCCTTGGTGCCTACCACTCTGACATCAAAATCGATGACGCTGTTATAGCCCACGAAAATATCATTGCGCAAACGCTCGGTGGTTTCCGTCCAAAATACTCAATCGAGGGCGGCAGCCCGTCCGAAAACCTTGCCCGGCAGAATATCCAGGCGCGCAACCGCCTCGTCGTAGCCTACGAACTGGCCCAGCTGTCAACAACTGCACGTGACACTCCTCGGAAAGGCGCTGCGTTGCTTGTCTTGGGCTCAGGGAACGTCGACGAGAACCTGAGAGGCTACTACACCAAATACGATGCATCTTCGGCCGACATTGCACCCCTGGGTAGCATTTCCAAGACAGACGCCAAGAGCTTCCAGGCTTGGGCGCGCGACAACTGGGACCTTCCTATCATGACGGAATTCATTGAAGCGACCCCCTCGGCAGAGCTGCTCCCTCTGTCTGCAGGCGTACAGGATGATGAGTCTGACGCTGAGATGGGCTTCACCTACGACGAGCTATCGCAATTCGGTATGTGCCGAATAGTCTGCTAATTTAATCTTCATCACCCTTGAACACAATACATCTTCATTTACAGCAGCTGCTAACGTGGGCATCGAATAGGCATTTTGCGAAAGGTCGAGAAGCTGGGACCTTGGTCAACTTACCAGCGCCTCCTTGTAGACTGGAGGGACCGACCGGGCTTCAACCCAAGAAAGATCGCGGACAAGGTGATGCGCTTCTTCAGGTTCTACTCGATGAACCGACACAAGACGGTCATCCTCACGCCCAGCCCGCACTTATCCGCGTACAACCCCGACGACAACCGTCACGATCTGAGGCCTTTCCTATACGTCATCGACTGGCCATGGCAGTTCAAGAAGATCCGCGACGATGTGGACGAGCTGGAGAGGGAAATCGAAGACGAGAAGTCTGGCAAGCGGCAGGATGTTGATTAGAGGTCTGCGGCTTACAAGAGGCCTGCCGGTTGCAAGAAGTGTGGCTCTTGCAAGATCTGTCGTGTTTAGACTCGGTGACTTCTATTAGATCGTGTGATAACTCCTCGATAGAACTACAGACCTGTGTACCTGCGGTGCGGATATTGGGTTGCGCCGACATGTCAGATCACATCAACATGTGATGGAAAAAATCTGTCATGCAACGGGTACAGAGGCATAGCATGTGTACATTACAAGCGCACAGATACCGTTGCGACTTTCATCTATACGAGCGTGAAGCAAACGCTTCGCCTCTACCTAGAATAAAGACCACTCTACAAATTCATTTCGTGCTGCAATGTGGCGGTAGGCCTGCACTAATGGTTGGACCGAAACTAACAATGTCAAGGTCGGTAGGCCCTATCCATAGGCGCGAGCCTGGCCCGACGCCGTCTCCTGTTCCCGCGCTGCCCGGGCCCCCGAGGCGGAGTCACGTCCCCTGGTCGGTCAGCATAATTGTCAAAGGGATCTATATTATCCAGCGGGACCGTGCCGAGACTCATCCTCCAGGGCGCGGCCGGCGATGGGTCGTCGCCGAAGAACTGCCTGACCGTATTCGGCAGCCGCGGCGGCAGGTTCGCTATGGCGTTGGTGATGGTGGTCTGCAGCTGCTGGAGGTCGGGCCGGTGCTCCTGGCGGTTCATAAGGCACTTCGCGATTGTTTCGCCTGATGATGATGTTAGTCCTGCTACCGATCCTAAAGTGTTGCATTCTAGAAGATTCCAAAACATGAAAGATGGAGATCCGTTGCAGGAGAAAAGTGGTGCTTACAGAGGAGAGGCGTGAACTGCTGCCGTATGTCCCGTCCGGTCTGGTTGTTTTGGATCAGCCGGTAGCCGAACGTCCACCGCTGGTCTTGTACCTGGACGGGATTGACTTGCGGCTCCTCGCTTCTCATTCGTCCAGCAACGGGTGGTAAGTCCGGCTTCTGGAGCAGCAGAATGGACCACATGTTCTGCCAGGCCGCTCTGGAATCAGCATGTTATCCTTCCTACTAGGTCTTGCAGGCGAGGGAGATATCTTACCATTCCAATGTGCCATATGTTTGACCGGCTGCTGTACCGGCCGGGCCCCGAGGTTATGGGCCATGGAGCCCAAGCAGGCCACGGCACATTTGGAGGGCCGGTTGTTGGGTCATCGGGAAGCTGGTCCCATTCTACTGAGAATTGTTCCTGTCGGAAATGAGAGAGTTAGGGCGATCGAAGGGAGGGGACATTTCGACAGGCACGCCGATGTGAACCAAATTTGCTCACAGGGAGAAACCAGTATGGTTTGGCCCAACTCCTCCTTCTCCAGTGTTCTGCTCTGTTTTGAGCTAATTGAACTGGTGTGGTGCCGGGCGGGTTGACGGGGGCCCATAGGACGTTGGAATCCGTTGCAAGGCCAAAGTCTGCGATCTGTTGGGTTTGGAACGGTATTCAGCCACAAACATCATGTTGTGGCGTGTCTTACACGCTGGAATTCTTACTTACCTGCAACCGTGGTATTTGCGTATGAGGGGGATTCATTTGATTCCCACGTTCATCGTAACCTAGAACCAATACTAGGAGTTTCGAAGTGCTTAGAACATAGACAACACAAGCCAGGGACATACAATAGCATACTATTTTTTGGGTCCATGTCGAAGTGAACAGTGCCATGGAACCCAGTCGCCGGAAAATTCTGACCCCCTGGAGGTACAACTTCTGGCAAATCGCCGCCACTAGTTGGAGCAACGGTGCCCACAGGTTGCCCTGGTCTTGGAACGTGCCTGGGAGGGTACTCCATGGCAATGCAAGCCTTGACGAGGCAGTCAAAAATACGCCACAACGCCTCTGTAGGTAGACTATTATTCTGCCTCCCCAGCTTGTGAACCCAATTCTCCAGGTCACCAAGCCTAGCGAATTCCATGAACAGGAGCCCCACCGCGTTGTCGAGGCCGATTGCCATTTGTCGCAGCCTTACTCCCTGGCGTGTTTGTCTGACACCAGGCAACCTATCCTGGAAGAGGAAACGCTGCAAAATGTGTGGCGCCCTCAGTAATCTCTGTGAATCCAATAGGATGTCAACATATGGTCGAGAGTACTCGTCATGCCGGGGCATCACTCACCGTCATGATCTGTTTTTCCCACTCGACTGTGATGTCGTTCGGGGCTGCTGGTGTGCCTGATGTTGTCACCTTCAGTACGACATCTTGGCCCGGGGCTTGCGGATCACCCCCAGGAGTCCACCTCCAAAGCACCGCCATGCCGTTGCCGCCGGCGCCCAGGATCTTGATATAGGTGAAATGGTTCTCAACTGTCATCAGTCCGGTTGCCTGGCTGAACTTCGCTCGACCGACGGCGTTCGCGTTTGCCGGCAGATTCACAGCTTGCGGAGGTGGATTGCCTAACCGCGCCTGCAGCTGATTTGCTCTCCGTTGCAGATTCAGCCGCATCACGTTCCCGAAGTTGCCTTGGTAGTTGGCTTTTGGAACCGTTCTGTTCATCATAGCTTGCCAACGTTCCGGTCTGCCGTTGTTTCTCTCATTTTTTATGCCGCGCAGAGTCATCATAAAACCACGAATTCCATGTCTAAATTTGTGGAACTTGTCTTGGTTGAACAACTGAAATTCTCGAAGGTTGTTTTGCGCGACCTGCAGCGGCCCCGGCGGCGGCTGTACCGGCGCTGGATTCGGTGGTGGTGCAGCCGCCATGTTAGCATCACTTGCACACAATTATTGGAAGTAGAAGAGATCACACTTGTTGGAAGAGACGCAGCATTCATTTCTATACGGATATGTACTTGCCTGAATGGCAAACACATACGCTCGACTTTTACACGCAGATCGAGGACAAAGGGTAGACTACTCAAAATTCCTGAATTCCGTTTTCAGAAAGTTGCTACATATCACATAGTCTTTAGTTTCTACATGCTCATGTGAGCAAATGTATCAATCAGGGTAAAGACCGGCAAAATGCTGCTGGAGCTGTTCAGGTGCCTAAATAGAGGCAAAATTTAATCATGTGGAACACAGCAGCCTACAAAAACAACAATTGCAAAATTCGAACGCTCAGCGGTACACTTCCTCACCATGCAGATATAAATCAAGCAACCGCTCCACGGCATCAATTCCCATCTTATCTTCGAAACTCGTTGCTCTTGTTGATCTTCGGCCCTGTCCCTCATGAACTTTCTGATTTGCCCCCGTTGGAGTGTTCCTGGACTGCGAGACACAGACATCTCGTACCTTTTCGCTGAGCTCTTAATCTCTAGGCCGCAGACGTGTTGCCGGCTCGCGTTGTACGAAGTCGCGCGGCCGCTGGACAGGGGCATGACAGACACCGCTGCTATGGATGGTTGTGCTCAAATTCAATATTATGGGGCTCACTCGGAAATTTCGATGAGAGAAGATATCTGCCTCTTTTGATGCCTCGAAGTTATCTAGCCATGCCAAACTCCTTGGCCCGAGCACGTATCAAAGGTGATTGATTTATCCTCCTGTACAATTAAATTGAATATGCTAGACAATACCTCCATGGCGTCTTTCGTTCAATAGTCAACGACATTGACTTTGGGAAGGTCAAGAGATAGAGTTGATTGTGGTCTAAGCCTCAGGAAACAGACGATGGGGTTGGTAGCAAATCAATGGACTGTTCATCCAGTTTATGTTGTATATCAACATAATTCTTATAAGAAACAGTAATCATGCACAGAAAACTTCGTCAGCAACATATGCTCCTCTCATATGAAGAGTGTGAATTTCTCACATGACAGACTGTTCAATTCCATTTCACAATCTCCTCCGTTGGCAATTGCCGCTCATTCTGAACTTTTTACGTTCCTCCCCTCTCCCACTCCAAGCTTGTGATTTGCTCGATGTACCACCCCTTTACGTGATCACCCACCTATTACAGAGCTCTTCCTGTCCTGAAGTCCCGGAACGGGTCTATGTCGCTAAGGTCCTCTGTGTCTTCAGGTGGTTTTGGTGGTCGAGGTTCGCGAAAGAACGTATTTGTCCAGTACGCTGGAACATTCTGATTAGCCGGCAAAGTCAATTCCTGCGTGATCACTGTCTGTATCTGTTGTAGCGTAGGACGATGTTCTTGTTTCGCCATGAGGCATCTCGCCACTAGGTCGATCAAGGATTGTTGGTACTGGGCGGCCCACGGTTCGGCCGGGTCGAGTAACGACCACCCATATGTCCAGCGCTCTTGGTCTGGTGTTGAATTGGGTGGCTCCTGGCTTGCCATCCTTCCTGCGTAAGGTGGTTGATCCGGATCCATCAGCGTCATGCAAACCTTGATGATCTAATCCATACGAAGTCAGTCTTGCAAATCAATCTGCAATAGGGCAGTGTGTGTAGGTTTGATATACCATTGCTATCTGCCACACATTAGACGCAGAACTGTATCTTCCGGGGCCCGTTGTGATGGGCGGAGGTGGTGCCCAAGCCTGCATCCAAGCTGGCATCCAGGGCTGCATCCAATATGGTTGCTGCTGGCCATCGGAAGGGTCCTGCCCGCAAGGTATTCTGTCCCAATCCTTGCCGAATTGTTCCTACGAACCCACCTCGCGGTTAGCAACAAGGGATGGAGGCAATACATGCTGCATAACTCACCGGAAGTGCATAAAGAATTTTGCCGTCATCTCTTGCGCGCCATCTCTGCTCACGTCGCCGGTAGTCGGCAGCCGTTGCTGGCCCTTGCCCTGACAGACATGCGGGGGCCCAGGCGTTGGCCTCATTCTGAGCGAAGCCAAAGTCCCCAATCTAGATAACCTTTCATTAGACTCTTTTTTGCTTATCGAACCGGTGCCTGCCGACTAAATATGGAGCTTGCCTGTAGACGCGGAAGCGTTGTGTGGTTTGGTGTAAGGGCTACGGCCGGATTTTGAGGATCGTAGCCATAGAGGAAAACTAGAACTGGGTCAGTAGAGTTTACGTGTATCTATATCAGAATAGTTGACAGGATATCAGTGAGAGGCAATGGGAATACCATTTGTGGGGTCCTGAGGTACGACTAGTCAGTGTTCAAGAAACTGTAGCACGAATTCTGGCATGGGGATGGAGCCGAGAAGAACACTTTCGTCCGAAAGCACATTTCGCGTGAGCCATTCGGCAGTCGACCTCTATTTTCTTTTGGAGAAGAAAAAAACATTTATTGATGAATGTCAAGAGCCGAACAGCGTTGGATCTGTCGATGTGGATAGAGACGCGTACGATGACTTACAAGGTCCATATGCGCTATCCCTTGCCGTCCTACGTTGCCAGGAGTGAGCACCTCGGGGAGGTAGCCCCCTTGTGTGGGTGCAGGAACTGCTCCATTGGCTGGATTTAACCTTGGGGGCTCTTCCATCGCCATGCAGGCCTTCGTCAAGCAGTCGAAGAAGCGCCAGAGGACGGACTCTGGCAAGTATCTCTCCGTATTATTGGGCATGTCTCTGGCTGCTTTCCGAAGTTGAGCCTCCAAGTTGCCGAACTTACAGTATTCCATCAGGAACCAGCTGCCTTGGTGTCCGTCGATTTTATCTGCCATATCTGCCACGGCAGCAGACTTACGGGTAGATCTCATTGACCCAGGATTTGGATTCGCCCTGGGATGGTGTGCTGTGTAGAATCGATGTACAATGTGAGGCGATCGTCCGAGTTGCTGAAAGACATCATATTCGTCAACACGTGGGCTAGCTGGTTTTGAGCAGGTACTGACAGTTATCATGTCCCTCTCTTTAGGAATTTCCCCCGGGACCACCCGGGCTTTTACCCTGCTCCACGGGACATACTCCCACTGGACAGACATCTTCATCACCACATCATGCTCCTGCCCACGCCCCGGCGAATACCTCCATAGTGAGACAATGCCGTCACCTCCCCAACCAAGACATTGGAAATAGCGGAATGACGACCGCATTAGGCTGTAAGCGGTCTTGTACTCGTCTGTCACAGCGTTCCGAGCTTGACGCTCCAGGTCCTCAAAGCCTATTTGGTTCCGTGCAGTCCTAAAGGGGGCGCGACTAGGAACTGCGACATTGCGTAGCCGGTCCCTGTGGTTTACAGTGAATTGGGATATCACTGGTGGTGGATTCCCTGCTCTCGGAATCGATGCCGTTCGTTGATTCATGTCCATCAAGCGCTGCATATATACAGGATCCCCATTGACAGCTCTGTCTATGATTTCACGTCGACTAATATGGTGACCATACAAACCATTCCTATAGTAATGGTACTTCTGTTGATAATATCCCTGAAGTTCTACGACTCTGGTCGTCGCGTTCAACACTGGCTGGTTCGGGTTAGGCGCCGCCATTTTGTTGACTGTCTTCAAGCCACCAGGCGTAATGCTGAGGATTCCAATGGAAGCAGATAGGGATTGCTGACTGTGCGATTTAGCTGAGAGATCTAGCTGCACCCACAAAGGTGTACTTTATGTAGCTGTTTGACAAAGAGACGGCGAGAGGTTGTTTCCGTTTTCGGTCCAGACATATACCCGACTATGTGACCACCTTCACATCTACACGTTTCGTACTAACTAACATTAAACCTTTTAGAATCGTGCAGCTGTCTCTTCGAGTATAATAGATATTTAAATCATCATCTACAGAGACAGGAATATGGCTGTACCAAGGTCCCTGATTTGGACAGACACACGCATCTTAGCGGTATGTCGAACCGATGGTAGAATGACATATCTTACCTTAAAGCTGTTTGTGATATGACCAGATCTTTTCAAGAACAACTAAAGGAGGAGATGAACTCGCAGAGGAGCGAGAACGAGGCGTTGAGAGGGCCGAAATGAGATTGATGCGCTTTGGTGACGTGATTGGGTTTCCAGCCCAGGATATCACTCCAAGTATTTTAACACTTTCAAACATTCTTATAAATTAATACATTTTTCCGTGGCCAAACTGAATGGGTCACCGTTTATACACCATTTGTATATGTCTGCTGGTCGCGGGTTCTGACGTAGTGGGCGCGCGATGTAACACACCAGTGGCACTCAAAGGAACGAAAAGGTCCTAACATCACAACCGGCTTCTCATGCGGAACTTGTGAATGAGTGTGTCTGTGTGGAAGGAAGTAAAAAATTGCTCGATAATAAATTCAGTGCTGTTGTCTATGTTCAAATAACGAAAAGCCTGCTGACCTACACCATCCAATCTCAATGAAATACGTGTATCTAGACGATATAAAATCTGACGAAAACCACCTCGAGCCACCTACATGCGCATCAACTAGTTCACAAAATTAAGCCTAGAGGGCATCGGGACGAAGCAAGAGCTGGCCATCAGGGGAGCTCACGAGCTCCTGGACAGCAGTAACGAGCTCTGCAAGGATTGAGCCAACGAGCAGCTCATCCCTCTCACTACCAACTAGACCAACACGGAGATTCCCATCCTTAACAAACGACACAGCCTTCAGGGGCCGCGCAGCATCTCCATGTGGGTTCAGAATCTCCAACCTGGCAGTTGTACTGGCGAAGGGCATCTCGTCGGAATCATCCCAGTCCTGATGATGCACAATGGAGTCGAAGAATTGCGCATCCGACTGCGATGACCACTGGGTGCACTGCCTGGAGATCTTCTCGAAGCCAACAAAATCGTGCGCCGCTGACTCGCCGCTCTGCCGCTGTACGAACTGCATGAGGTCGATCGCAGTCCATGATGATTTGAAAGGCACGCGGATGGGCGTCAGCTGGTAGCAAGGACCGACAATGTTCTCAACGTTGGCCATGTCGATGCCGCGGCCTGATGTTACGCCACCGAACGTCACGTCTGCCTTGCCCAGGCGGCGCGCCAAGAGAAGTGCCCAAGCTGCGGTGAGCAGGTTCGCGGTGGTGATGCCCGCTGGAGGCTGGAAGTTCTCAACGGCGGCGTCTTCCTTGAAGACCCCTCTGTCCTCGGGCTGTGTTGACTGGCCTTCCAGGACGGATAGTGAAGATCCTCTCAGCAGTTGACTCCAGTAGCCGAGCGCTTTGGTCTCTATGCCCTTCTCGGTGGTGCGGGCCATGTAGGTGGGGAATGAGGCAAACTCAGCGACCTTTCCACCACTGTAGAAAGTCTCTAGATCTTGAAGGAGCCTTGGAAGGGAGAGTCCGTCATAAAGCGAGTGAGATAGCCTGATGATGAGACAGTGTTGGCTATTCTTGCCTTCGACATGGAATAGTTTGAGGAACGAAGAACCCAGCGCGAACTCGGATTCTATGTCCTTTTTACAAATATTGGCGACGAATTCATCGATATCCTCGTCAGCGTCTCGTGTGATTACAGGCGTATCGAGATCATTAAGCACGATCTGGAAGAAGGCCGACTCATGCTCGATAAATACTGTCCGCAAAATGTCATGGGCCTTGACCAGGTCTTTGCAAGCGCGGAAAAGCCTCTCTCGATCAATGTCTTGGTTGAGATGCAGCATGGTGTATTGCACAGATGTTCGTGGTACTTGCACAGTCCCCCTGATGTCGAGGGCCTGAGAGTCTGTCACCGGTGCCGCGTCCTTGATCGACCAATCGGCCACAGCAAGTTTAGGGCGCACGATATCGATAAAAAATTGGTCCACATTCGGAAGACCCAGCGTCGAGAAAGGTTTGTAGGGCAGGACCTTGCCAGCCGACGCGGAGTTCACCTTCAAGACTCTTGCCGCATCACCGAGACGCATGTGCTGGAAGATATCAGCCACAGAAAGACCGTGCCCCTGGGCACGCAGACCTGCCACCAATTTCATTGCCAGCACTGAGTCGCCGCCGAGACGGAAGAAGTTGTCGTCGACATCAATCTGCTCCGGACGCATGCGGAGAAGCTTTGCCCATGCAGATCGCAGGATGTCTTCCGACACGGACAAGTTTGCCTGCCCTAGGCCCGACTCCCAGACCTTTTTGAATCCGTCTCGGAGCTGGCCAAGAACATGTTGTGGAATCGTGGAGGCAAACTGATTCAGCACGCCACGGTCGAGATGCCCGTTCTGAAGGGGTAGCCTGTCAACCAGGACGTAAGCCGAGGGCAACAAGCTTGATGGCAGATCGTCCCTGATGAATTTGTCGAGCTTTTTGAGCGCAACCGCAAGGCTGATTGGAATTTCGGAAGAAACAGTCGCTCTGAAGCTCTCAGGATCTGCTTCGTCGCAGCTGATATCATGCCTCATGAACATGACTTCGACGTTACCCTCCTGGCTTGGCTGTTGCTCGACGAGGATGATAAGCTCTTGATCCTGTTCCTGCGCCTTGTCATTCTGCACTGGTTGGAACACCGCTGCAGCGGCACGGGATGACGCTGGCAGGAACCTGGCACAGTGTGCTTCCAGGTCTGCGACGTTCACTGAATGTCCCGATACCGGCATCATGTCATCCTTCCTACCGACGTATATCAGGCTCCCGTCTGGTCTCAGCTCGACGATGTCGCCGGTTGACAGCACCTTGCCTGCGCGGCCGATATACTCGGAGCTTCCAGCCACTAGCCAATCTGGAGACTCGACTGTTTCACCCTCAAGCATGGCACTTTCTAGCCAGAGTTCTCCTTGACAACCGATGGGTGACAGCCGTGATGGGTTGCGCGAGTCACAAACCCAAGGGACTGCTGCTCGAGGATAGGCCGACCCGGGCTTGATGCTTCCATGCGCTCGAAGCCTGCCTGTTGACTCCTCGTGAGTCAATGGGGCCGTCTGGTTCCAGCTCCAGATCTGATTCAGTTCCTCCTTGGGCATACATGAGACTTGGCCGACCTTCCTTTCAAGATCCTCGGTCAACTGCAAGCAAGCCATTTCGACCTGCGCAAGGACCCTGTCCATCTGTGCCACGTCAATCAGACTGGTATCAAAGCTGGCACACACCCTAAAACCTCCCTTGCGCAGCCCAAAGGCCAGCATAAGAGGATATGGGTTAAAGTGTAGCGCCTCGCGCACGGGGTCCCCAAGCCCAAATCCAAGCTCACCACCAACAAGCTCCGGCTCAGGCTGGACGACCAGGCCGGTTGGAGCCTCACACGCGTGCTGCGCATCCTGACTAACCCGCCGGATGTACTGCATGCCCATGTGCTGGAACGGTGTGCGAGCCGACATGGCCTGCTGCACGCTGCGCAGGTACGACGCTGCCGATGCCGCCCTGTCGATGCGGATGCGGATGGGCACCGTGGCATTTAGAGGCCCTAGGACGTCCTCGACGCCCGGCAGCGATATATCACGGCCTGTTAGCGTCTCGCCGAACACGACGTCGTCGCTGCCGGTGTACTGTGAGGCCACGAGCGCCCATGCGCCGCGGATGAGTGTTGCGATTGTGAAGGGTAGTCCTTCGGTTGTGTTTAGTTTGATTTGGCGTTCGGCTGTGCCATCCGGCGTAGGGAGGAAGTCTCTCGAGGGAGTGCTTGGGAATTGTGGCCCGGCCGCGCCGTGCAGTTCGTTCCGCCAGAATTCCTGCATGGCGTCTTGGTCGGTATCACGCACCCACTTGACGAAGTCCTTCATAAGCGCCTTGGACCGTACGTCAATGCTGCCATTTTGTAGGGCTTTTGTGACCATCTCGAGTATCAACGGCTCCGACCACCCGTCGTACTGCACGTGGTGCACAGTCCATACCAAGTACCGCTTGCCATCATTGGCATCATCGACGATGGCATACCGAGCCAAGCTCTGGCCGAGGTCCATCCTCTCTTTCCGATCATCTTCGAGATACTGTGCTAGATTGGCCGATTGTCTCCATTGGATGGGCTCCTTCAACACAACCTGTTGGAGGCCGGGGTCTTGAAGCTGGGCCACGCGAGTGCGCAAGATTGGATTTGCCGCAACGACCGCCTCCCACGCCTGCTTCAAGCTGTCGAGGCTCAGGTTGGACGGAATACACGCTATCCTTTGCGCGACGTATGACTCCGTTGACTTGAGCGAGAAGGTGATTAGGGACTCCTGGGTGGGTGTGCAGGGGTAGATATCCTCGACAGCAGCTGGCTCTATCCCGCAGGCCTGCGATGCTTCCAGGCACGCACTCTCGACTGACTGAGAGATCAAAGAAAATGGTGGTGTCTCGTTTTGAACATCCACGTCGTAGATGCGGACAGTTGCAGCCATGGCTTCAAGTGTAGGATGTGAAAAAGTACTAATGACAGACAGATCGAGGCCTCTCTCCCGGCAGACGGATACAAGTCTCATGGCGGCCAGGGACTCGCCGCCCAGCGCGAAGAAATTGTCATCAGGGTAGATGGAATCTTCGTCGACCTTTAGCACCAAGCTCCAAGCATGCCGCAATCGTTGCTCGAGGTCATTTAATTCTCTGAACTCCCGAGTAGCCTTCGCTGCTGGGCCCTGATCTAACTTTTGCAAGTCGACAGTGGCACCGAACTGTCTCAGTCGCTTGCGATCAATCTTGCCCGAGATCAAGGTTGGGATGTAGTTAACCGGGATGTAAGCGTTCGGCACCATGTATCGTGGCAACACCTTCCCCAAGGTCGTGTTGATAGTGGACAATGCTCTGGTAAGTTCCGCTGAAAGTTGAGCCGATGCTATTTCTTCCACCCCGTTGACCTTGGTGGTTTGTGAGACAAATGCCACCAACGTAGGTTGTCCTCCGGATGCCTTAGGAACGATGACCTCGGCGATCACGTTGGCATCCGAAGGCAGACCAGCCTTGAGCTGACTCTCGATCTCGCCAAGCTCGACTCGTTGACCACGTAGCTTGACTTGAGTGTCTTTGCGCCCGGCAAATACAATCTCTCCAGAACCATCCGGGTCATACATTCCGAGGTCACCAGTCTTATAAAGACGACCCCGACGGCCAGGATAGCCTCTGTGGCCAGCTAGAAGCCAGGCCGGGTCATGTATAAAAGCGGCCGCAGTCTTCTCGTCATCGTTCAGGTAGCCCTGTCCTACGATCGGACCTTCCACGAGCAACTCACCCACAGCACCAACTGGCAACAAGGTTTCGTGGTCGTTAGGATCAACGATCCAGATCGACGCTCCGTTGCCGGGACCGATGGAGATGTAATCTCTTCCCGTTGCGGCACTGCTGTTCACGGTGCAGCCGATTGTGCATTCACAAGGACCATATCCTATGACGATCCTTGTTTCCTGTCCCCACATGTTGACATCCCTAGGGGCGGATGCCTCGCCGCCCAGACCAAGAGCGCTCAGTGAGGTAATGACGTCCTGGTCCAGGATGCGTGCCACAGAGGGTGTGATACCCGCATAGTTGATGCGCATTTGCCGCATCACGCCATTTATGTCGTTGAGACGGTCCTCATCGGAAGGGATACAGAGGCAGCCACCATTGCCCAGAGTCAGGAGCATGCTGTCAATGCTGACATCGAAAGCGTAAGATGCGAAATCTAGGACTCTAGAGTCTTCTGAGTAGCCCACTGCCGCCGCTCGAGGGATAGCGCTGCTTGTATATGTTTGGTGTGATATTTTGACGCCTTTGGGTGTGCCCGTACTGCCTGAGGTGAAGATGATATACATCAAGGCAGTGGGTGGCACGGCTGGGAGAGTCGGTAATACTTGGTCGTTTGACAGATGTGAGAAAGTCTCCTCCTCCACGACAAATCGTTTCCCTTCTGGTAGAATATTTGACCCCAGGTCGTGTTGCATGCGTGACGAAACGATCGTCTTGGCGCTCACTTGGACTGCCATGTTTTGCAGGCGCCCAAGCGGAAGCGACGGGTCCATCATCGCGATGGTCGCGCCGGATTTCATCACCGCCAGGACAGCGACGATTGTCCATCTCGACTTCTCGAAGCACAGAGGAACGAAATCGTGCAGCTCCACGCCCGATTCCCTTAGCAAGCCCGCCAAAAAGGTGGAATACTGCTCGATTTGGCCGTATGTTAAGCTGCCGTCCCAGGCGTCGATACCCACTTTCTCCGGGTGTCGTCTCGCCTGCTCAGCGACCATATCCTGCATACAGAAGTCGAGAGTAGGAGGAAGCTCATGGCACCACCTCCAGATTGAGTCAAGGTCGTGAGTGGTTGGTGCCATGCAGCTCTGGATAGTTGCGTCAGGATTTGAAAGGCATATCCCGATGATGTCGACTAGAATGTCCACATGCAACGCCGCAGTGTATGGCAGGACCTTGTCGCTGTACCACACAGGGCGAATTGCGAGACGACCATCGTCAAGGCGCACCTCGAGGTGGATTGCCCCCTTGATGCCTCTAAGTCAGCAACTTGAAACACAGAGCACTTCTTCGATGGACGTATGGCTCACCTCGTTTTGTGCGTCAGCAGAGGCCTGCGATAGTACCCCGGTGCTTAGAGTTAGATATTTTGGACAAGATGTTGCCGTGCATAGGTCTTTCACGCTTGAGGCGTGATGTCGAAGGACTGTTTGGGTAACTTCTTTCAGGGAGCTGTCTAGTTTCAGCCCTGGTAGCACCTCATCGGTGGATAGACGTCTGGGTTTTCTCTGATGAATTTCATCATCTTCCCAGCCACCGTATGTCCATTCAAATTCCGCCTGGCGCTCCTCCCGCGTACGTATGAGTACAATCAGCCATGATGTGAGCAAGACATCGGCTCTCAGGGCCGTTGGCAGACATGTCTCGCTTGGTGAAAAGAGACCATCGATCGTGAAGTGCTTGAAATCGTGACCACCGGCCTGCGTGGGGCCCTGCTCATCGACACACACTGAACCCATTGTAAGAAAGGGCCGTGGCTCTTGAGTTCTCTTAGTTCCAGCGGCAAGAAGTGCACGAGCTCGACGCGCCTGGCTTTCAGATGCACAGAAACGCACCAGAGGGGTGACCTCACATGCTATCTATCTCATATCGATAGAAGGCCTGTCTTGCGACCTAAAGAGTGGACTTCCTGAAGTGGACTGGACCGGATTGTACGGACAGTACAGGACGGGAGTACGTGCTGCCGTCTTCGGTACGCCACACCCTCCCCTCCATCCGGCCAAACCCCGGCTGGAAATGGAAATAGATCCATTGACCTGGGTCATCTGCCACGCAGATGGCCTGCACGTTTCGGCGCATAGTGCAAAGCCCACACATACAGGTCGTGTGGATACGAATATTGGGCGAATCGTGCACCGTGTTGTGTGTGTTTTCGGTTCCTCGAGGTGTGGAAGCTGAACAAGGGTGCTGGGCAAGCGTGGAGACGGACCCGAAAAACCTTATGCATGACCTAAGTAGAGTATGCACCTAATGAGGGCCACACAGTGCTGAACACGGTGACTTACGACATACAGGTCATGCATGAATGGGAAGCAGGGTTACGATCTGATTAGATTAGATTGATCAGACAAGAAAAATTCTACAGTAGCAGGAAAATGTGGTCTGTTTCACCCGGGGTCCTCTTTCTCGCACTCGCCTGTGCCAGAGGGCGGCTATGAGTAATCGACAACGTTTAGGTCAATTTCCGAGGATCCATTTTGGCCAGGGAAAAAACCACGAAGCTTCTTTGTTTTCGACGAGTCGCCTCGGCCACGAGACGTGGGCTTCGGAGTGGGACGCGTGACGTTCCTGCATGTCCTCTTCGGATATCCGAGCCGATGTGAGCACGTAAATAGACCCACATAAGCGCAACACCCCTGCGATCTAGCTAAATAGCCATCCAACATTGGCAATCCGCGTCTGCCCGATCACGGAGACTTGGTGTGTCTGAAGCAGTGGGTGGGTTGCGATGAGATGGGGGCGACTTGCCGCAGTCCGAACACCTCGGCCGACCTGCCACATGCTCATGCTTTACACTTATCGAAGCTGAGATCAGTTACGCGGAACCAGACTGTACGAAGCAATACCCCAGCTGTCCAACTCACACCATGTCGAAGTACTCCAAGTTCTGGCCCAAGGGTGGTCTCCCTGGCATCTTGCATCACTACGTCAGTGCCCTACTCATTGTTGTCGAGCCTAAGTAATACCATGCTTAGCCTCTCACCAAGTATGACCGCTAACATACAGCGGAAATGTAGACGGAGACCCTCGTGACATTTGAATACACTTCCAGTGCCGCGGCTCGTCAACCACACAGTCTCCTCTTCATCGGCGGCCTAGGCGACGGCCTCGCCACAACCTCCTACACAGCCGACCTCGTCCGTGCTCTCGCGCCAACAGAATGGTCCTTCTTCACCATCAACCTCACCTCGGCAGGCCAGGCATGGGGCGTGGGCCACCTGGACCGTGACACGGACGAGATCGCGCAATGCGTACGCTACATCCGCGAGTACAAGGCGGCCAAGTACGGCGTCGGCGATGAGGCCAAGGTAGTTCTCATGGGCCACTCCACCGGCAGCCAGTGCGTGCTGCACTACCTGTACCGGCCCAACCCGCACACGAGCACGCCGTCGTTTGACCCCTGGCTCGAGCACGTCGAGCGCCTTCCCGTCGACGGCGCCATCATGCAGGCCCCCGTGTCGGATCGCGAGGCCATCGGGTGGGTGCTACAACATGGCATCGGTGATAGATCGCCCGAAAGCTGCCGTGAGGCGTACGCCGCTATGGAGGCCCTGGCCAAGGAAGCGGCCCGTGAGCGCAGGCTGGACGGCGCGATGCTGCCCACTGCACTGACGGACAGGATATACCCTCCCAACACGCCCATCAGCTGTCGGCGATTCCTCAGTCTTGTTAGCCCGGACAGTCCTCACTCACCTGGTGAGGACGACTTGTTCAGCTCTGATCTCGGCGAGGAGCAGCTGAGCAAGACGTTTGGTGCAGTTCACAGAGGCGGTCTGTTGAGGCACAAGCTGATGGTGCTGCACTCTGGGGCGGACCAGTCAGTGCCGGACCACATTGATAAGGAGAAGTTGATCGCGAAATGGGGCGATATCGCGGATCGCAACGGAGAGTGCCAAATTTGGGACCGAGAACATAGCGGTGTGATACCCAATGCCTCCCATGCGCTGAGCAACGATGATCAGGCGGAGCCGAGGCAGTGGCTTAGTCGCAGGGTGTTGAGCTACTTAGACACAGCGTTGAAGGTGAAGAAGCAAGAGTAGAAGGATGATATTAATGCGGAGTTTATATATATATACACACTTACATATCTATCTATATATACATGGAGCAGCGGTTCTCATGCCAGTGTTCAACTTGTTCAATGTGAATTTAAGTCGCTCGATGCTAAATATGGTATTAAAAGTCACGTATATACTCCGTATCTACACTAGAATCCAAATTACTCGGCCACGGTCTGGTGCATCACATTAGCCCGATAACTGGCTGACCTCTCCAACAGGTCCTCATGAGAACCTGCATCAACACACTGACCCGCCTCAATGAGGAAGATGCGGTTTGCTTTCCGGATAGTATGCAAGCGATGAGCAATAGCAATGACAGTTACTCCTCTCGCGGCCTTCTCCAGACCTTCCTGCAGCAGCTTCTCCGACTCAGCGTCCAAGGCACTGGTCGGTTCGTCGAGGATAAGTAGTGTGGGCTTGCGCACGAGCGCGCGAGCAATTGACAATCTCTGCCGCTGGCCACCGGAGAACTGGGATCCGTTGGGACCGCAGAGCGTGTCATACCCCTCGGGCAGCGCCATGATCACGTCGTGGATGTTGGCGAGCTTGCACGCCTCCTCAATGTCTTCCTGGCTGGCCTCCTGGCCCGGCTTGGCGCCCAGGCCGATGTTGAACTTGATGCTGCCCTCGAACAGCACGCTCTCCTGCGGCACGAGAGAGATCGTGTCCCTGAATGAGACATCGCGGGCTTTCGTCACGTCAACGCCGTTGACCAGAATGGCACCCGATGAGGGCGTGTATAGGCGCTCGACGAGCGAGATGATGGTCGACTTGCCTGCGCCGCTGGGACCGACTAGCGCGCAGAAGTGGCCGGGGCGGATGTCCATGGTCAGGCCACTCAGAACCTTGACGTCTGGCCGGGCAGGATAGGCGAAGTGAACGTCTCGGAACTGCACAGTAGCAGCCTGGCGGGCAGAGGTAGAAGGAGAAGCCGATTTCTCGCCAGCAGCCTCGACATCCGCTGAGTCTGAAGGGACATCGGTGATGCGCCCTTTCATGCCATCCGAGCCAATCTCGATGAGACCCAGAATCCTCGCCGCTGCGGCACGGGCACTTGACAGCTCCGGCGCGAGTGCGAACATCTGGCTGAAGAGAAGTGCGCTGACAAGGAGGGAGAAGACCACGATCAAGAATTGCGTCTGTGTATAGTTGCCCGCGATGATCTGCTTGGCGCCCCACCAGTATGCCAGTGCGTTCACACAGTTGCCAAGGAAGTATGTGAGGGCTTGGCAGAAACTCGCCTGCAGTGTGACCTTGAGGGTCTCCTGGCGAGGTCCTTTCAGGGATCGTCGGTAGTCGCTGAGGATTTCCTCTTCCAGAGAAAGGGACGCAACTGTCTTGATATTCGTGATTGCCTCAGTGCCGATGTCGACTGACTTGGTGTAGGCCGTCTCGTGCTTCACTTCGAATTTGCCGAGGACGTGCAGCTCCATCATACCCGCACCAAGGAGCAGTGGCACCAAGGAGAGACACACCAGGGCGATTTTCCAGGCAATGATGTGTGTCAGGATAATAGCGGCAACGAGGTTGACAGTGATCGAGATCATCGTGCCAAGAACAGAACCGCTCAGCCCAGCCAAAGCATTGCCATCTCTAGTGATGTACGAGAGAAGCAGAGCTGGTGTACGGTTATTGGACTGATGCCACTGCAGGTCCTGCTCGAAGAGTGAACGGAAAGATAAGACGCGCACTGAATAGACAATGTGCTCAGACACCCAGCCGAAGCCAGACCAGCTCATCACATTGGCGAAGAACTCAATAATTGCCAGTACGAAGAACATGAGTCCGAAGAAGTCACCGGCATCCCGGATACTGTCGACGCTTTTGCATACGTTCAGGCTTCCGACTGTGTTACCGAAGATCACGGCTTCACCGGAGAAGGCTCCGCCAACGATGATGGAGCCAAGAAGTGCAACGAAGAGAACGAGCAGGTGGGGCCTCAGGGCTGGCCCGTAACCTTTGCATAAAGCCCACAAAGACTTGGCCGGGGTCTCAGGCTCGTCCTCTTCTCCTTCGCTCGTTGAGTCCGGTTCGGCTTTCTCCTCGGAGCTCTCCGCGTCGTTCCCTGATGGGACATCCTTCTCAATCAGAGTCTCAGTCAGAGAAACCTGGTCGCCTTTGCCTGTAGGCGAATCACCACCTAAAGCATCAGTCTTTGGGGAAGATGTTCCAAGGTTCTGCATGCCGATCAGGTCGGCATACGTCCCCTTCTTGGCCATCAGCTCAGTATGATTTCCTTCTTCCACGACATGTCCCTTGTGCATGACAATAATGTTGTCCGCATTGGTGATAGTCGACAGACGATGCGCAATGGTGAGAACGGTCCTGCCTTCGGCAATGTTGTTGATGGCCTGCATGATCCGCTGCTCACTCCTTGAGTCTAGTGCCGCCGTAGCTTCGTCCAGGATGAGAATTGCTGGCTCCTTGACAAGCGCTCTCGCCAGGGCAACTCGCTGCTTCTGTCCTCCACTGACAAGTCGTCCCATTGATCCCACCAGTGTGGCGTAGCCATACTGCAGACCCTCAACGAACGAGCTTGCATCCGCGAGGACAGCAGCGTGTTTGACCAGGTTTACGATCTCCACCACTTCGGCTCCTTGTTTCTCTGCTGCGACCATGAGGTCCAGGCCATCCCTTGCTTCGGTTGCGATATCTGAAAGAACGGAGCTGAGAAGTGCCGCCTTGAGGTGTGCGTGTTTGGGATTGCTAGAGTTGATCAAACCGTGGGCAATGTTCTCGAGAATAGTTCGGTCGAGTAGGGACGGCTCTTGTTGTACCAAGCTGACGAAGCTTCTCAAGTCGCGGGTATTGAGATCGTGGAGGTCGTGGCCGTCGAATAGGATTTGCCCTTCAACCGGGTCGTACAGTCGCATTGCCAGGCCTGCGATTGTCGACTTCCCGCTACCAGAGAGACCGATGATGGCTGTGTGTTTCTTCGGTGGAATGCGAATGCTGACGTGGTCGAGCACGGAGACCTCTGGCCTGGATGGGTACACGAAAGAGACATCCCTTAATTCAAAGCCACCTTCTGCCTGCTCCAGGCGAGTGCCTGAAGTTGTCGTCCCATCATAGGACGGTTCACGATCGATGTCCGCGCGCAACTTCTCGAAAGAGGCAACTGCGGCGGTGAACAAGTGAACGAATGGTGCTACTTGACTAAGAAGCAGCGTGGCTGAGTTCAAGTTAGTAGACGTCCTGGGCTATGAGAAAGGATATTCCGACTGACCTTCGACCAGAATGAAAATAACTGTGAATGTGGCACCAACGGTGGTTCCGCCTGGACTACCATCGCTCACTGAGTCTGCAATACGCTGAGCTCCTTGCCAGAAAGCAAGACCGTTGGCCGAATAGGCGACAAAGTACAAGACACCTGACTGAATTCCTACCGCAGTGGCCTTCTTCAAGCCCTCGCGTTCCGAAGACTTGAGCGCGTTCGCAAACTTGGCCTCGAGCCGCTTGTTCGCACCGAACGCCTGCACTACGACGGTATTAGAAAGCGCCTCGGACGCAATGGATGCGGCAGTGGCGGCGTAGTCGGACATGAGGCCGGAGTACTTTTCGATGTAGTAACTTCCAACAAACGACATGACGAAATAGGCCGGGATGAGGGATAGCAGCATGGCGGCTAGCTCCCAATTCTTGATGAAAGCCACGATGTACGCGGTAACGAAGAAGGACACGCTGGCGAGGCATATCCCGACTTTCTCGGAGGTCCCCGAGCGGATTGTTGAGATGTCGCTGCTGAGTCGAGACGCCACCTCACCCGTGGGCAGATTGTCGAAGTAGGAGGGCTCCTGGCGGAGGAGGTTCTGGAGGTATCTTTCACGGAGCCTCTGCGCGAGCCGAGCGCCGGTCAAGCTCCAGCAGAGAAGATGGCCGTAGATGAGGACGAACTGGGCGATAGCCAGGTAGAAGATCAGCAAGATCTTGCTGTTGATGCTGCTCTGGTAGCTGGCATCCGAGTCGGAAGTGGAAGTATTGGCCGACTCATCGCATGTGACGTCGTTGAAATCGTTGAGTAGCTCACCAAATACGACTCCAATTAGCGGAAATGGAACACCAGACGCTATGGCACATAAAATGCCACCTAACAGCATCACGATGTCGACTTTGCTGGGGCTCCCTGCCAGAAGCAGGCGAGGGAAGCCCACGATCCCTTTGGCAAGTCCCATCGTGCCGCGAGCAACACACAAGACTCAAAGAGGCCTTCTGTTGCGATGCCCTGAGGTAGTCCCGGCTGGTGATGTGGTGGTGCAGGGGATGACGGATGGCGTCTGCTACCTAGGCATGGGAAAGGGTTCACAGGCCTGGGTGAGGAGTGTTCTGGGCCTGAGCTGTTATCAGTGGAAGGGTGGGGGCTTCACTGGGCCCGGAGGAAATGTTGCCGGTTGCTCAAAATAAAAACCAACGTTCGTCCTTTGAGTGGCAATCGTTCTGAACTCCAGCTTCCCATTAGTCTTCACGTGGCCGATTGTGGCAGGTAGAGAGGCACAAACATTGGAGATGCAATGCTACCCAAGTAACTTTATCTGACTGGTCACACAGCTTGGGATGCAATTATAACACGTTGAGGTTCTTCGCTCGGTATGTATTCCGGCGTTCTTCTGCCTACCACGAGAAAAAAGGGGCCTCAAACGCAGTGTTCAGTACCTATTTGTTGCCCCTGAATAGATCCAACTCAGAAAAGCTCTCAAATGACACGAGGAAACCAAAGTCACCAAAATGCGAGTTTCCAATCCGACGTCGGCAAGAGAAGGCATTACACACACCTGAACCTCAAAGGACGGTGAAGATTTCCAGCGAGGGCACTGGTGTGGCACCTCGATAAGTGCATATGCATATATACGCATACTGTGACAAGTGCACACTGCAAGATTTTCTCGTCATCACTGACAATACATGGGTTCCCTGTGTCTGAAACGGATCTGATTAGATTACATGACAGACTAGCTGCGCCACTTGTGTGTTTTGCGTGCCCACTAGCTCGGAACTCGGCGCTATATTCCTAGCAGCACACATTAAATTTTCAACTTGTTGTCCTGCCAGCATTGAGCCTCGCGAATCGTGACACTCAGAGCTTGGAACCCACCCAATTTGGTGGCCGTTTTTCCGCGAAAGCCTGGATACCCTCGGCAAAGTTGGCACCTTTGACCAGGCGAGGATACCATTGCTCGGCCAGCGCGGTCACAGCCTCCTCGACGTTGCCTGTTTCCCAGCCCATGCGGATGCCCAGCCGGCCAACAATAACCGCATCTGGGCTATTCTTGCATATCTCCCCCGCCAGCTGGAGCGCCGCACTGACTACTTCGTCATCGTCCACGACCTGGGAGACGAGGCCCCATGCCTGGAGCGTCGCGGCACTCACATTCCTGCCCGTCAGGGCCAACTCCATGGTGCGCTGGAGGCCGATGGTGGAGGCTAGACGCGGCAGACTCCCGGCCACAGGCACGATTCCACGCTTGACCTCGGACAGGGCGAAGACAGCTGATGATGCCGCTATTACGAGATCGCAATTCGCAACCATCTCGAACCCCCCACCCATGCAGATGCCGTTCACCGCTGCGATGATCGGCTTCTTCCCTCCCCGACGGGGCAGACCCGCCAGACCGGGCGCACCCATGTCGTTGACGACGCCACTTTTGTTCATCTCGTTCCATTCTGGGTCCCGAGTCAGCGCTTGTCCGAGAGATGTCGCACTCGTCCGAGGTAATACGCACCGTGTAAATCGGCCCCTGTGCAGAACGCCCTCCCCACGCCTGTGATCAGGCCCACCAACAGGCTCTCATCCTGGTCGAACGCCTCCCAGACCTCTGCTATCTCGCGGCTGGTGGCTTTGTCGACGCAGTTTAGCTTGTCCGTCCTGTTCAGCGTGACCTGCACGACTTTTTCTTGAGGGAAGGTGACTTGGAAGTGCTGGAACTTCAGGGGCCGAGACCGCAGGGAAACGGGCTGTCGATGATTCCCGGGCACTTTATGTGGGCCGGATGATGGATCTGGTGAAGGGTAGGTCTCCATGTTGGCTCTTCTTCGCGTGCTGTCTTGGCCACCCAGTCTCTGATTTCTGGGTGGTTCCTGCGTGCTGTATATGTACAATCTCAGGCCATGCGCAGGATCGCGGCGTAGATTAGCGACTCGTTAGACTGCCTAGATACGCGTACATCGGGCGGGCACTGTATGCTCTCCGTTGGTCATCTGCCTCTTTCCAAGTGAGCCGACTACCTCGGAATTACGGCTAGCTACCGTCGGACTGGCTACCAGCGGCGTCATCCGCGGAGGTTTATGAACTTGTTTGGGTCTCTTCTTAGAGTTCCACATCCCTGAGCAAGTTTGAGAGTCAAGCCAACGCGTGGCATTATTGACCTGTCTAGTTCTCTTCATATGTTCATCTTGCAAAGCCCTCCCACCTGAGTTGTCGTCATATAGGCCGAATTCACACGTTCTTCTTGTCCTACAAGCAACGAGTGCTGCTGAGCAGTCTCGCAAAGTCCTGTTGATTCAAGATGGAATCCATCACACTGCCCAAGGGCACATATCCCCCTGTGAAACTTCCTTATCCATTCCTCACAACATATCGAATCCAAAGAGTGTCGGAAGAGACGCCGAGGCTCATCCTCACTCTTGAAGACCAACCAGCCAAAGGTCGCGCATTACCACAACCATTACATTCAGATACGCTCTCATGGCTCGACTTGACGTTCTTGAGCGAAGATGAACGTCCACCAATCTCAGATAACAGCCCCTGGGCTCGAGCACGCCGATCCCCCTCGACGACCTTTCAATGGGCAGGAGATGCCCCGCCATCCTTGGCGCAGATCTGGAATGTGGTCCACGCCATCTACCTCACACATCCCACGAACGAATACTTCAGGCTCAGTCTGGTTGGAGAGGGCGCGAATATCATCAGAGATGAACTTTTGGCCACCGGGCTAGGAGTGCAGCATCCGAAACCACGACAGCCCCAAGATAATACCGCTGCACAGCAAGGGGATGGAGAGCTGCTGGTCCTCCGAAGCTCATTCTGGCAGGGCGCGGCCTCACCAACTGGCCCACGTCCTATCTGGGTGGTTGGGGATGGCACTGACAATCATCTGAGGACACCATTGTCTCAATATCCCATCATGCCCGAAAACTACCAGATCACAAATAGGTTTCCTGACGAGCCAGTATACACCCGCCATCCCGTTCGCCGGCCGAAGCCGCATCCGGGGTCGATCGCTTACAGCCGTTACATCGTGGAATGCGACATGCACTTCTCACTCGAGGTCATTGATTGGCAGAACGACGAGCACTTAAGGCTCTTCAACACGTGGCAGAACGACCCACGCGTTGCCAAGGGATGGAACGAGACCGGCACGCTGGATCAGCACCGCGAATATCTGCGCAAACTACACTTCGACCCACATGTCCTCTGCCTATTCGGGAGGTTTGACGAGACTCGGTTCGCGTATTACGAGCTCTATTGGGCAAAGGTAAGCCTTGCGCAAGCAGTCTGTTTCATGCATTTATTCTAACACGGTGCATCTAGGAGGACCACTTCGGCGCACACTACGACGCAGGCCACTACGACAGGGGCCGCCACTCCCTGGTCGGCGATGCTTCGTTCCGCGGCGCACGGCGCGTCAATGCATGGTACTCGAGCTGCATCCACTACTGCTTCCTGGACGACCCTCGAACGGCGAACGTGGTCGGCGAGCCAAAGGCCAGTGGGCCCATCATCCTTTCATATGAGAACTCTCAAGGCCTTACCATCGGCAAATACGTCGACTTCGGCCACAAGCGATCCGTGTACTCGACCTGCAGCAGGGAGAAGTGGTTCCAGCTGTGCCCACTGTTCTGGGATGGGCGCGAGAGGCCGCTCGAGTCGGCGGACCGGGCTGCTTGGAATGCAAAGCTTTAATGGCCAGCGTTGCAGTGTGCATTTACAAGGATTATTAGACACGGGCGGACTGGAGACGGGCTTGTGGCACCATAAGTGGGTGACTTTCTATGTAGATACTATTTTCCAATACGTGACATGCTATTGTCCTCCACCAACAGTGTCTCTTGACTGTGAAACTCATGAGTCGTCGTTGACGATCCTCGCTGCGTGCTCGCTTGGCGAAAGCTTGGTGAAAGCTTGGTTGATGCGATGTGCTACCTTGGCAATGATGATCATTCGATCTCAGCGTTGCAGTTCCATCGTCGGGCGTCTTCTACCGGATTTGCACCGATCATCACCATCACCATCTCGTAACGAACCTGAAATACCACGCGTGAGCGAATTCAATGAGGTTCTGATCAAGTTTCAATGTCAAATGGAGAAAATCCTGTATTTAGCCATCTGGTAGGCCTGCTATTTGCAGATCATATTCAAGTTCTGGCCAAGAACAGAATGCAGCTCCGTCTCTTGATAGGAGATAGGAGACAGGGCTGGCGACCCGAGGCATGTCAGTGGGAGTCGTGGGGTATCACGAGGCCGGAGCAACGTGGCAGACAGGTCGTACGGGGCACGATTCCACGCTGTCTGTCCGAGCTGTGGAAACAATGACAAAAAACATTTGGGCTGAGTCCGCCACATCCCGCTAGCGGTTCCACAGATGATCTGATTAGATTAAACTGGGCCATGGCTTTTGACGCGCCACTGACTAGCCGACGCACGCAGCGGCTGGCGGCCCACACGGTGCCTTTTCATTTTTCTGTCTAGAAGGGCCCACTTGTGCCGGATCTGATAAGATTATGCAGATAAAGAGTCGAGGAACAGGCCGGACCACAAAATCAATGGGTACGAATCGTCCTAGTCCCATTCGTATCTTCCTCTCATGCCTCTTTGGGGCCCGCAACTGCAGTAGTGTGAGCAAGAATCGTGCGCCAAACATGCAGGCAGCTGGCAGTGTGCCAGGGCTGAGAGAGAACAGGACTCCTCTCCTAAAAGTCCCTGAGAAAATTTGGCTCGGCATAACTTCCCATCCTGGAACTGTGTGCCTCCTCCGCTTTCCAGTCAAGAATCAACTGCACCAAGGTGTGATAGAATTACTGGATCATTCGCTAAAACATTGACGATGAGGGTCGCCACATGACGAACCAAGAAGTTGGCGAGGTTGGGTATTATTGTCCCGGGATAGTGTAGAACTCAGTCACATTGAGTGCACCTGAGCATAGAGTAGCATCAATATCAAGCCAACTCAGCCGAGGTCGGAGAGCAGACTTTGTGCCAGAGGCTTTCTAATAACACGCACTAGACTACCATTCTCGGGGCACATACGTACGCCTGGCCCAACTGATTGGAGTCGCCAAGTCTCTTCTTTCCCGGTCGAGACCTCGCCTAACACGTCCTTATTTTCTTGGCCACCAACGAGGACTTCAATCCCACGATTTGAGTTGATGACTATCAACTGAAGAAGAGAGACTTCCCGTCCCATCTGAACCAGCCGTCATTCAGAATCGATGGCCCGTCAAGAAGACAAAAGCATTCAAGCTGCCAACATGAGCTCTGAAGACATCAACAAGATGGCTCATGCCACGGACACGCCAGCTTCACGCGAAGACAGCGATGAGGCACAGCAGGAACCTCCAACGGTCATCGAAGGAGATGATCAACGCGGTCTGCAAAATGTCGAAGCCGTGACATTGAGCTGGTCGAAGACCTCGCTCATTCTGGTCTTTCTCAAGTGAGTTCACTCCTCCCTGATTCGCGGCCTCGGTGGGAGCTTGATGAATTGATACAATGGCTCGATAGCATCTGGTTCCTCTACTTCGTGAACGCGATGCAATCTTCGATCCTGTCCAACCTCCTTCCGTATGCCACTAGTTCCTGGGAGACGCACTCGCTGCTCAATGTCATCTACGTGGTTGCAAGCGCCATGTCCGCGGCAACCTATGTGCCGTTGTCCAAGGTCCTCGACGTGTGGGGCCGTGCTGAGGGTTTCGCGGTCATGACCACCTTCGCTACCCTGGGCATGGTCATGATGGCGGCGAGCCACAATCTTCCAACTTTCTGTGCTGCATATGTAAGAGATTTTTGATTGGATCCGCATTCTCGTTACTCGCAATATTCTCGAAGAGAAGCTGACAAAAATTCTCTCCCAGGTATTCTATAGCATAGGGTTTGGTGGAATGACATTCGCAATAGATGTCATTACGGCCGATGTCTCTCAGCTGAAGAATCGAGGGTTGGCGTACGCCTTCACTTCCTCCCCGTACATCATTACTGCCTTCGCCGGCTCCAAGGCGTCTGAGGGATTCTATTACAATATCAGCTGGCGATGGGGCTTTGGCTGCTTTGCTATCATCTTCCCGATCGTGGCCATACCGCTGTTCGGTATCCTGAAGTTCAGCGTCCACAAGGCCAAGAAGAACGGCACTTATGTCCCTCGCAACAGCGGCAGGACAATTCCCCAGAGTATCTGGCACTACATTGTAGACTTCGATGGTTAGTGGCTTGACCGAAAATTGCTCAGAGTATCCAAATACTAACACTACGGACCATCAACAGCACTTGGAGTCGTTTTGTTCTCCGTAGGACTTGTGGTTTTCCTGCTACCATTTGACATTGCCGACTCCGCGCCCAACGGTTGGAATACGCCCTACATTATCGCCATGATCATCGTGGGATTCTTGCTGCTGCTCTCGTTCGCAGTCTACGAGAAGTTCCTGGCCCCAGTGCCACTGCTCAACTTCACCTTCCTCACTGACCGAACCGTCGTCGGTGCATGCCTCCTGGACGCAACCTACCAGGTCGCGTACTACTGCTGGGACAACTACTTTACCTCGTACCTGCAAGTAGTTAACGACGTTACTATCGCCGAGGCCGGTTACATCAACAATACCTTCAACGTCGTGTCGGGCGTACTCCTGCTCCTGGTAGGCTACCTCATGCGCCGGACCGGCCGTTTCAAGTGGCTTTTGTACATCGCAGTGCCGCTGTACATCTTCGCTCAGGGTCTGATGATCTACTTCCGCCGCCCCAACCAGACTGTCGGCTACCAGGTCATGTGCCAGGTCTTCATCTCCATCGGTGGCAGTATCTTCATCATCGTGCAGCAGGTTGCCGTCCTGGCCGCCGTCGACCACCGCCACGTCGCTGCCGCCCTTGCCCTGCTCAGCGTTGTTGGAACAATTGGTGGCGCCATCGGCGCCACGTTGTCTGGCGCTATCTGGACCAACACCTTCCCCAACGCCCTGGAGATGTACCTCCCTGCGGACGCCATGGACAACTTCGACATGATCTACGAGGACCTGGACACCCAGCTGAGTTATCCCGTGGGCAGCGAGACCCGTCTCGCGATCCAGAAGGCGTATGGATACGCGCAGACCAGGATGCTTGCTGCTGGAACTGGTGTTATGGCCTTGTGTTTCATCTGGGTGTTCATGATTAAGAACATCAACCTGACCAAGATTACCCAGGTCAAGGGAACAGTATTCTAAAATAAGGTGTGGAGTATCTTCTTCGGACGGGAAGTATTTTATGCGGTGAGAGATTATGTTTTGTGTAATGATGTCAATGTTGTGTGGAGGATCATAAGATGATTACAATGATCAACCTTCCTCTTCTGGCAAAGAGGGAAAGGACTGCTTTGAGATACAAACGAGGATTGAATGATATGGAGGAGGCTTCAGAGCTACCAGTGCCATCTATAAGTGTGTTGAATCACGTCTTTGGGGCGTTTTGATCACAATTTTCCTTCTGGTCCAGGTCGATTTGGGGCATCAGTATAGAGGCCACGCCCACTGACAATGTAGCCAATGCAGCCATAGTGTAAAACACCCTCTGGAAGCCGATGTGATATGCCGTCAGCAAGACATGATGTAAGTCACTGCTCAGACCAAGCCCATCAATAGATGTGGGGTCTCTCAGCAACGATCGGATCTGGCCCTCCGATAGACCTAGTCCCCAGGAGATCAGGCTAGCCCTGACAACATTGTTGATGATGGTCCCCGTTACCGCCAGCCCGATCGTACTACCGAGGTTTCGGACGAAGTTCCTTGTCCCTGTCACAACGGCCATGTCCTGCTTGTCTACACCAGCTTGTATGGCTATCAGGCTTGGTTGCAGCGTTTGGCCAACACCGAACCCAGTGAGGATAGCGTAGCCGATTTGCTTCCCGAGCCCACTATTCTGGTCGAGCGTGCTGAATAGGCCCAACCCGACGGCCCAAATAGCCCAGCCGATCAAGATACTCTCCCGATACCGTCCTCGCCAAGTGACTATCAGTCCAGACAAGGTGGACGAGAATGTTTGCATAAGGGTCAGGGGAAGGAGGAGTGACGCAGCATGGACGGTTGAGTAGCCATATGCTAGCTGGTAGAATGTGGGAATGTAATACACCTGAGCGACAAAGTTCCAACCATTGATGAACATGGTGATACATGCTCCGTTAACCATTTTCTGTCTGAAAATGTATAGTGGCACTAATGGGTAGTTTGTCCCGTACTGCTGCCACAGCAGGAAAGCAACGGTGGTGCAAAAGCCCAACACGATCGGTAATATGACAGCAGTGGAACTCCAGGGGTAATCATCTCCAGCCCAGGTGAGGCCAAGCATGAACAGGATGGATCCACAGAGAGTCAGGAAGCAGCCGAAAAAGTCGACCTTGGCGAGCTTTTCCTTCCAGTTGCCATCAATCCTTTTCAGAGGCATAACGGTCAAAATAGCCACGGCGCATAGAGCGGTGAGCGGAAGATTGAGCCTGAAAATCCATCTCCAGCCTTGACTGGATGAAGTAGCCAGTGCACCGCCGATCAACGGACCAACTCCATTCGCGACGGCGACGACGGCGCCAAAGATCCCTTGGTATTTTCCTCTCTGGCGAAGGGAAACAACATCTGAAACAATGACTTGCGCAACTGTCATCAGACCGCCACCACCGACACCGGCGATCGCACGGAAGATGATGAGTTGTATGGCAGTGTGTGAGAGGGACGAAGCGAGCGATCCCAGGAAGAAAACAAGAAGCAGCGCGAGCAGCACATATTTCCGGGACCAGACATCGGAGAGGCGACCGTAGAGTAATTGGAAGGACGTGGACGTGATGAAGTACCCGCCCGCGATCCAGGACGCTTGAGTCCCTGCTTGAAGTGATGAAGAAACAATCGAGAGCGATGCTGCAAGCGAGGTTTGATCGATGAGCGCAACGAAGTCGACACTTGCACACGCTAAGAAAACCTATTCCTAATGTCAATATATTGAGCTCTGGTGTGGACTTTCGACGATTCCTTACAGTTATGATTTTAGATGGCGGAAGCGACCTAGTTGACTGGTCGGTATATTTTGGTCCAGCGGTGGCAGAATCTGTGTGATCGGTAGGCATGGGAGTGCCTTTCTCAGCCTCGTCGTTGGTGACCATTCCCGTGCTCATCCTCGAGGTGCAAACAATCTGAAGAAAGCTGAGGGATTCCCAGCCTGCGGTGTAGTCAAGGAGATGGGCGATGGATATCTTGGGCATCTTCTTGTTGATGATTGTAGTACTCATCAAGGTCCTTGACTTCTATAGTAATCGTCGACTCGAGTTGGCTCAAGACGACGGCTCATCAAGGTTCTTGCTTTAGTCCCGCTTTTGTTCTTGGCTCGTGTCTAGAGCTCCAAGCGCACCAGACGCATGAAATCCACTCAGTGTGTATACTGCGCCTTCACCGCTCCCGGTAAAAAGCCCAAGCATGATCGACGCGCGAGAGATCACCATTTATTATCGCCAAGGGCCCGGGCCACATGCCCTGTCATTCCCAAGTTGACCTCAAAGACGTTTTCAGCTTAGTATACTTCGCCTAGGAGCCGCCTCCATGGTCTGGGGAAATAGCTTGTGGTGTTTTGGACTCCGTAGTCAAGAGGAAGAAGTCACCATGCTGATGCATGGATTATGGTTGACGGAGAAGATAGACTGTCAGGTCTTTCCAGTAAGTTTCTCCTATGCAGCCAGTTGCAGTCAGGATCAACTCGCCATATATCCAAGGAAGTCGACGTCCTTTTCAGGAATGATTTATCATAGGGACTGATGAAGAATCCCTCATTCAGACAAATCAGGTAGAGCGTTATCTAAATCGAGAAAGCTTAGTCTCGACCCACAGCTCACACAACGAGATTTCAGGAGAATTTTCAAGGCATAGTTCATTCATGCCCACTTCCTCTGAAGGCCACTTGGTCTGCATAGTCTCACACGGCTGTGAGCGAGTCGAAAAGATGGTCCTAGCGGTGAGTACAAAGTGCGGCAAGAGCGTTCTCATCAAAACAAAGCCCAACTACCGGATCTTGCGAAACCAAGGATCGTCGCACAGCCAAGCTGGTCCGGACACAAAAATTCTCTCGGCACTACAACGTCGATCTGATTGAGGCCTGAATATGACGCTGGCGCCGAGGAATTCAAGGCACCTTGATGGCATATCATGGTCTGAGGTCTCTCTTCAACCCATTTTTGGCCCGCAATGCCAAGATGTTGCGATCAGAATCGGGAAATCGATATGTTGTGTTTCTTAAGTGCTGCCAGAAACATATTAAATCGGCACGCGAGGCTCTCAACCATCAATTCGAGGTGGGACTTTGAGCATCTGCTTATCATTGAATTTCAGTATGGCAGCTCGGAATACGAACAATGTGTATACAGGGCCAGACTCCCTTCGCGATTACTATGATCCAGACCAACAGCCTATGTTACCGATGGTAGAGCTTCCACAAAAGCTCAACCCATTTTACGAAGATGGGGTGAGAATATACGCCAAGATGATGAGCACGTTACCGGCCAACAACGTGAAGGCTCTTCCAGGTACGTTCTGCCGGAGCTTTTCATTCTTCTGGGCGAGTTCAAGTCGGCTTAGTCTATGTCACAGCTTTGAACATGTTGCAAAACTCTGTAAAGCCCGAGACAAAGACTATCATCGAGTACAGCTCCGGCTCTACAGTTATATCAATGTCGCTCATTGCTCGAGCCCTGTACGGAATTACCGACACCCGGGCTTTCCTCAGCAACAAGACTTCATGGACGAAGCTGCAGCTGATGAGATTCTTTGGTTTGAACATCACTCTTTTCGGGGGGCCCTCTCAGCCAGAACCAACAGATCCGCGTGGGGGAATCAACAAAGCGAAGCAACTGAGTAGTGAAAGTGGCGAGCAGGTGTTGAATCCCAACCAGTACACAAATGAAATGAACTGGAAGTCCCATTTCCGATGGACTGGACCACAAATACTTGCTCAAATCCCAGAGATCAACGTCTTTTGTTGCGGGATGGGTACATCCGGGACAATGACCGGGATCGGGACTTATCTCAAGCAGGCCAAGTCCTCAGTATTCCGTGTCGGGTACGTATTTCCTTTCCTCCCACTCAATGTTCCCGGATTCTCATCAAGTCTGACGTAAAATGTCTTTTCAGGGTCTGCACCGAGGCTGGAGACCGAGTACCCGGCCCTCGATCCTATGCGCTCATGTCACCCGTCGAGTTTCCATGGCGTGCTGCTGTGGACACCATTGAGGAGGTCGGCTCGTACGATTCATACAGGCTGTCACTTGAAATGTCACGGCAGGGTTTGATATGTGGACCTTCCTCTGGCTTCAACCTACAAGGCTTATGCAACTTCCTTCGGAAGCGAAAGTCTGAAGGCTCGCTGGAAGCGCTACGAGGAGATGATGGTGAAATCCATTGTGTCTTCGTCGCGTGTGACCTTCCGTACCAATATCTGGATGAGTATTTCAACAAGTTGGGCGACGAGGTTTTCCATCCTCTAATCAATGAAAATCTGCTCAGCGTTGACAGCTACAGATATGATGAGGCTTGGGAAGTGGACGTCCAAACCTTTTGCGACATTGTGTTTTCATCCAGTCCCGTGGAGATCACCATGAAAAATTTCTTTGCCAAACCTCGAAACGTGATCTTGGATCTCCGAACAGCCAAAAGCTTTGCCGAATATCATCTCTCGGGATCAATATCAAGGTCTTTGACATCTCTCGAGATGTTCACACCGTCGCCATTCTCCGACCCGATAGTGCTGGAACGTCAATGGAAGGAGCTCGAGTCTGTGTTTGATCCCACAACTATTGGCCTGCTGAAGAATATGGGAATTGTTTGGTTGACTTGTTACGATGGAGATACGTCTCGAGTGGCCACGAGTATCCTGAGAGCCAAAGGGGTTACAGCGAACAATCTCAGAGGTGGAATGCTAACTTTGTTATCCACTGCAAAAGGCGACAATAATGATCGCAGTGAAAGTGTTGATTCCGGAGTCGGATTACATCATCCTACTCAGGAAGAGGATGAGTGTCGTGCACAAACGCTGGCAGAGTCAGGAATCGAGCCTAAGGGCATTTCTGTTTTGCAGACTTGACGACAGGCATAAGACTAAAAAATGGGACATCTTGCTGCAAATCTAGTCTTCGATCCGTGCTCTCCTCCTATCACGCTATTTTCGGGGCTTTACATGAGTAGGATAGGTATGTAGATACTTGTCTGCACGAAATGCAGTACAGAGCGGTCAGACCAGTGCTGAACTTGAACCCCAAGCACGATGCAGTATTAGGCTCGTTGTTCTCACACACCATCTGAAAATTGAACCGGAATGCGATGCCCCGTACCGTTTTAGTATATGGTACTCAGTAAACGTATGGATCTCAAACATGCATTATCGAGATATCAAGTGATGCAATGGATTGAAATGGTTGTTTTGTACGCAGGTCTTATTCGCTGTCCACTGTAATAGTATTCGCTATCATGCATTTTTTTTTAAAAATATTCGCTGGCCGTCCTCACAGATTGCGATGCAATAGCCAATTCAACACTGACTTGAGGAATAACGCACTCTGAGCCACACATTCCCAGATATGCATTGACTGGCGACGGATACAGACTCCAGGATTTGAGAGAGCTTTTGCTGTGACCATTCTCAGTCCTGGAAAAGTGGCTCAATCAACCCGTGCGCGGCCTGTTTCTGGACGCATTTTTTCCTAATATCTTTGCACTGAAAGCTGGCAAATCATCCTTGCCAAATTTGTTGTGAAAACACCCGCCCTGTTTTTTCTCAGAAGTAAAAAATGGGGAGGGGGGGTGTCGGTGAGAGACAAGGATACATTGCCTATGGGAAAAATAGTGACTTTCTTCCTTGAAGATATCCGAATATTGCACGTATGCTCCCAGTGCATAATCTACGGGACAAGAATGATGCGGGAATGTGGAGTTGTTGATGCAGGTCATCACAAGCGTGACAACGAGTCTCATTTAGCGCGAACACTTGAACAAATTCCAACTCGTGACTTTCTCTAGTTGCAGAGCTGTCTTTCACAAATTCTGCCGAACATTTTTCTAGGGAAATATATGTCAGAATAAAAGTTGTGAGTGATTGTAGTAGAGATTTATTTCAAAGTAGATCAATCAAGTGGGCAAGTAAAGATGGCCGGACTCACCTCATTCGGCGATCGAGGTCATAGGAGAGGGACTAGGATGAAACTAAATCGTGAAGAAATGTATATATACATATATATAATCCATGGAATCTCTTCCCGTACAATATGAAACCTTGCTCAACCTACTCTCGCTTTACCCTAGTTCGCCTTCCCACCTCCTCACGTCTCCTTCATCTCAAACCCAACACACTTTGTCGTCTACGCCTCGAGGTCATCATGATTCTCAGGACGATTTCTCTCTTGATCTATGCCGTAGCCGTCCTTGCGGCTCCGGCTTTCCAACCTCCGGAGCAACAGTCTCCGGACAATTTCGAGGCTGGCTGCTCTTTGCGTTTCTTTCCTTTGCGCCGCGAGTGTGATGTCTCTCACAACAACGATACTATTGCCCGTGTCGGAGACCAACCGTTTGAAGACCCTGTCCTCGATATAAGATGTGACTCCGAGGCTGGCCGCATTCTTCCAGACTGCCGCCTGTCATTCGAGGGTCATGAATTTGTCGACCCCCTTTGGTACTTGATTACTCGAAGTCACCACCACCACTCCCGTACCAAGACTCACCATACCAAGACTCACCATACCAAGACCCACCATACCAAGACCCACCATACCAAGACCCACCATACTAAGACCCACCATACTAAGACCCCCAAAACAACGAGTGCTGTGCCGACCCCTACGATGACAACTACATCATCGTCGGAGACAAGCGGCTCTGGAACCACAAAGCCAACATCTTCGCCAGGAATCACGTCCCCACCCTCTTCTATCACCAGAACCAGCTCTTCAAGGACAACCTCCAAAATAATCACCACAAGCAGCAGTAGCACCTCCGCGTCTACTGAAAGCTCGTCCCAACCCAGACCTACTGGGACAACTTCAACGGGAACAAAAACTTCATCAGGGAAAACAACTTCAACGGGGACGACAACTTCAACGGGGACGACAACTTCAACGGGGACGACAACTTCAACGGGGACGACAACTTCAACGGGGACAACAACTTCATCAGGGAAAACAACTTCAACAGGGACAACAACTTCAACGGGGACGACAACTTCAACCGGGACGACGACTTCAACAGGGAAAACAACTTCAACCGGGACGACGACTTCAACCGGGACAACGACTTCAACAGGAACAACATCCTCAACCGGGACGACGACTTCAACAGGGAAAACAACTTCAACCGGGACGACAACTTCGACAGGAACAACATCCTCCTCGGCCTCCACTAAAAGCTCATCCCAGCCCAGTTCTCCCGGAACAAGCTCTACCAAGACAACATCTTCTTCCCGGGGAGTCACATCCACATCAACCTCTTCTGTCACTGGACGCCCTACGCACATCACCACAACTGAAACCTCAAAACAACCTGTCGCTACTGCACCACCAAGGCGCGATGACAATGATACTGTGTCCGACATAGTTAAAGTGCTCCACAACAAGAAGCACAACAAGCGGGCACTGGAACTCGGCCTCGGTATTGGCTTGGGTCTCGGTATCCCCGGTCTTGGTCTTCTTGGATGGGCGAGCACATGTCTCGGTGCATTGATCAGGGACGGTAGGCTTTTCCACCATGTAAGGGAGGAATTGGCCTGGTCCATAGACGACGCTTCGGACTTCCCGGTACCGGATCCGAATCGACCCATGCCTTGGTTACGCCCTAACCGGCGTCAACGAATTGACCAGGAGCTACCTGATGCTATCAACGAGTGGCGCAATCAGCTGGAAGAAGCGGACTTATCAGAACAAGAAGCAGCGGAGTTTGTGAACGGGTTTGAGGCCGGCATACCTGCTGCAGAAGCTGCCGTTGCCAACAGTCCCGGTGGATCTTCCGCTTCATTGGCTGGCGGCACTGTTGGGGGGTTCCAGACTCAAATTATTCAATCAGCTGCCAATTTGGCAACTTTTGGACTGGGCCCCGACGTGATGATCCAGACCTTAATTAATGCAGGTGTTCCCGCCAGTGAAGCTCCGCGCACCTTTCAGGAGATCCAACGCGCTATGGATGAAGTACCGGAATTTGGTCCCGGGCGGCCGGCCTACCACGCTGCTCTCGGCGTCATCTCAAACAATGTTGTTTACGAAGGCGCGCATGTTGCCGAGGCAGTGCAAGCCACCCTCAGGGGAGAAAGTGTGCCGTCGCTTCATTCGAGGCTCAGCTCTGCTGGCGTTCCTGACGATGCGTTGGACGGAACGGTGTCGGCAATGGACGACGCTATACAAGCCGCTCAGGCTTCTGGATCTGACGTGTTCAACGCCGGGCTCGACGTGATCAGAGACGCTGCCTCGCCAGTTTCCCCTTATACCGAGTCTGGAAGCCTGGCTGGTCTTAATGTCGTCGGAGCCACGTACACCTTCTGGTACGTGTTTCCCAAGCTCTTGTGGGGTGTCATGACCAAGTTGGAGGACAAGTCTCATTCGAAGAGACTGGAAGAGGCTCTTGCCCTCGGCCCGCCACCAGAACCGGTGCCCTGGATAAACATCACTTTTCCGTATGAGCGTTCATCTGCCCTGCCTGCGCCAGTCCCCTGGCCTCCATCGCCAACGACCAGGACCTCCTCACCACCGACCAGGACCTCCTCACCACCGACCATGACCTCCTCACCACCGACCATGACCTCATCACCACCGACCAGGACCACTTCGTCCACGCTCACGACTCCATCATCTACGCCCACAACTCCATCGTCAACATCAGCAACCCCGTCACCAACCAAGGACCCGGAACCGGCGCCACCCCTGGAAGATTGTTCGGCGACGACTACGTCGCTGACTACCCAGTACTTCGTCATGGCGGAACTCTACCATGGATTAAGCGACTCCTTCAGACATCACCTGGACTTTATTGCCGATCCTACTGAAAAGTGGATCACTTATTACGACAAAGTGATCGCATGGTTCGCCGGCATGCAAGCCAATCGTCGGTACAAGCCGGACGGATTTACTGAGGAATATATAGCCTTCTTGAGAATCAACCGCGATCACATCGCCAAATCGAAGGAGATTGTCGAGCATTCGTCCATTGTGTTTCAATCCTTAGTGTGCTTCGAGCAGTCAGAGGACACAGAGGTTGAGGACGCTTGTGTGGAAGACTTGAGATCACATCCTGATAAGCTCGAAAAAGCGCGCATTGAGGTTCGAGATGAGATGTGCAAGGTCAGAGAGGCTCTGGAAAATGGTGAGGCTCCCGGCGAGGTATCGCCGGATGAATTGCGGGAGTTGGAGAGGATTTTGACAGAGTTGCTGAAGATCAAGGCGACCTCAGAGATCGCAGACTTCAATTAGCCCCCGGGTTGTCTCCACTTGCAAGGTGCATCATGCAACTAAGCGCAGGACTTATTCAGGATTGGCATGGGAAATTCTCAGGTCTTTTCGCATGGCTTGAGCAGCTTAGCTTTCATAGTGTTGTTGCAGGGTTTGTTTGGGGCTCAGGCGACCACCGGTTGTCCTGATCAGAGTTGCTTCAAAAAGATGCGTTGCTTTTAAAACCACAGTCATTACCGTACACAATCAATCAACCACGTTCTTTTAATTTATCATGCCTATCAACGCATTCCCGTGATCTTCGAACAATGCTATATTTGCAATTCGATAATACAGGACATAGCCATGAACCAGGGCCAAGAATTAGATGAGCTTTGCGCGAAAACTTCCAAAAAGAAATGATGGCATTGCTTGGCTGAATAGAAGATCTCACCTGTTCTCTGGGGTTATTAGTGAAATCGACGATCTGAGATGAGAGCATGACTCAAGCTTCTGGCTATATTTATCTTCAGATCCGTCTATGGTAAGAGAGGCAAGCTACGCACATGTGCATCTCTACTTGACTGCATGATAGTTCCCGTTATTGTACCTACAGCAGCACACATAATCCAAAAGTCCCAATTGCTGCATAGAACTGGCGAGGTGTGTGCAGTGATTGTGCAGCATTACGTTTGACCTCTCGAGTGAGCACAATCTCCGACCGTTGGGAATGCCCTTTGTCCTGTATAAACATCTTCTTGTACACCTCACGCATTAGACTCAAATTCCATCACAATCTCCCAGACGATACTCCAGCCTCAAGCACATGGCACAGACTAAACACCACGCTCAGCCCCCAAAAGCCCAGCAGTCAACATCATGCCGATGGGGATGAACCCCCAGTGTCCCCACTCCCCGGCTCCGACCAGCCAACGACTAACCATCCCGTCTACAATTGCAATGGGGCTGTTGACCAGCATCAAGACGCCCATCAGCCGGTGTTCGCCGGCCGCCCACAGCGCGAGGCTGGCCAGGCCCATTGTAGCCTGCCGCACTCCGTACATCTGAACCAGCGAGTGGGATAGTCTCTGTGCCTCCGGCGTTGATGGCGTTGGGAAGCCTAGTACCGCGAGGGCAGAGGCCGGGCGCAGGACTCCGACTACCCCTGACAACGTTGGCAGGAGGTTCAGGACCGCGGTCGCGTTAGCGAAGGCGGTTGTGGTGAGACCAAGAAACATAATGGCTGATGTAAAGTTGTCGTGACTGAAGATTGTAGAATTCTGTAAGCTTATGTAGGGGATATGTTTCGGTTTGATGTGTGTACATGGCCTGGACTCGTGATGTTGGTGCTGCCCCTTGGCTCGGTTCTAGTGAAGGGTTGATTGGTAACCCCGCGTAAGACGGGAGAACCTTTGAAAGAAAGTCTGAACGGGTCGAGTGCTTGAAACAGCGCGTACTAACGCCTACGCGCACTAACGCCTGCGTGGCGTCAGCTAGTGTGAGCCCTATAAGAAAGGGGACGGGAGTTCTTTTAAAATTAGTCTTGTCTCAAATCTATGAGAAATAATGCTGCAGTGTGATATGTCGCCAACAGGACTAGAGAATGGCTGAAGCATACACAAGAAATTTGAAGGCGTAATTCGCTTACATGTACGGTCTCCAGTGGAGCTTTCACTCACATGATTATGGTGATTGGTACGGGTAATGCACAAGGAACTAGCAGAGGCTCCCCACGCTAGCTCTGGCTGAGAACGATAGCAACGCGGGCCTCTAGATGCGAGTCTGCGGACGCAGGCAAAACAAAGTGAGGGGAGGTCAAACGCATCTGTTCATGAACTCGAAGAGCTGTTAGGCTGCCGCTATTCCCGGAATAAAGCAGTACTTAGTGATATGGGCAGGGCTGATTTTCATTAGCCAATGCCGGAGCTCCACGCTTCCGCCGCCCCATTCCAGTGAATACATCAAAGGTTGGCCCTTGGGACGCGCCAGTACTGCCCCTCCGGAATGTCCAAATCCGCGTTGTCCATCCTTACACCGAGCTGCCACCTCCCCATGCCCGGCCAGAAGTTCTCAAATAAGCCCGTCAACTTCCCATCATCGTCCCTCTGGCTGAGGTCCATCCAGCCGACATGCGTTCGCGATGCGGCTTGCGCCATGGCACACTTGCACCACTGCTCTGTTCCGACGACCTCGGCTGGTTTTCCTTGTGGCACTGGGGGCTGAACGAGAGCAGTGTCCACGCCGAGGTACTTGAACCACTTGGTCGACATCGGGAAAGCGGGAACATATGGGATAGTCTTGAAGGATGCTTGGAAGAAAGGGGTGGTGCTGGCTGATGCCTCAGCCTCGTCGCCGATGGTGTCGTGAGGGTAGACTTTGCACTGTTTTGCCCCGTTGGGTAGATCTTTCCAGTCGAAGCGGGCTAGATGCTTCGGGATATTCCAGTCTTGAGTTCAATTAGCAAATTGACATATACCGTGGCCGGAAAAGACAGCCTCACTGTGCCTCCCATTGAACAAGGTATGTTTCTGCGATACATAAGTCCTCGTGACCCTTGGATTCTTCTTTTCTACCCATTTTCCCTTCTCGTCCTGCACACGGTATGTGTAGGCGCCCGGTATAATAACCAACTCGTCGTAGGGCCCCACTGGGGTGTCTGAATACCGGACGAGCATGAAGCTACCCACTCCTCCCGCGAAACGACCGGCCTCAGAGGAAGCGAAATGTGCTTCCTTCTCAAGAGGTGAGTATGCGATTGTACCCATCTCGTCCGCAGTCTTGCTTTTCGGGCTGGAGTAAAAGTAAGCTGCATAAACTTGAGCAGTGCATCTCCAAGGTGCTGGAGCTTTCTGGATGCTGACGTCGTCCATCGTGAGAAGCTCCACGTGGGTTCAGTCAGTGGCAGCTGATGATGATACACAATGTTTGAGCAATTCCGAACAGTCTTGTAAAGAGATCTTCTGTACCTGCAGAGGTGGGTGGTTTCCTGTGGTTTTTGGCTAGACAGTAATTCGAATGACTAGCTGTGCAAGCCAGGTGCCAAAAATCAGGGAGTGGGGAACTGATCAACACCTCGGCATCCACAAGGAATCAGGATCATTGCCGTTTCCCGAGCAGCTAGACCGAGCTAAGCAACGTGCCGGTCCTGTGATGCTGACTGTTTCACCGTTTCCCCTCTTTCTTTGTGGCATACATACACAATGGATATCGCGTTCAATATTGGAATAGAAGTACAAATGTATAGTGCGGGCTTGATTGTTGTATACATTTTCCCTGACTTTGAAACATGAACAATGGCACTAGCCTCTGGTCGAGATGTTAATATACAGGCTCATCATATTCCTGCGGCTATTTGGTTGTTTGTGTATATAGATTCCGTGGTCCGGCCCACTGGCTTCCCTCGTGATTTTCATCCTTCCAACTTATTTTAACTGAAGGGAAAGGTTTAGGAGCGAGATATTTTTTAAGGCAATGCTTTTATGTATTTGCTCGCGTGCCTGCGCGTTGAAGGCTGGACGGAAACAGACAACTTAGAGGATCTCTTTGTTCTGCATCACACCCCAGGCCGGCTTGAAATACTCACGCGGCCACAGAGCGTAGATCGGGGTTTTCCACGGGCTATAATACCAAATTTTGATTTTTCACCCGGAACTGTATTGGAGTTGAACCAACCATGGCCAACCCTAACAATTACCCGGCAAAACCGGCCGCTTTCGACCGTCTGCAGCGCACGATTGGGCACAGATTCGACGTCTACAGAAAATTTGGAGAAGTCGACATTAATATGGGATCCATGGCTTCACTCCTAGCTATCGCAAATCGAACGCAGCCGGTGGGCGGCGGGATTGGCTCTTTCCAGGTGCGGCCTCCACCAGGCTCTGCTGCTGCTGCGGAACAACTCGCCGCTGCAATCCAGAACCGAGGGGTGGGTGAGCAAGGGATGTTTTCCATGGACAACCCAGCTCCCCCACAGCTCAACTTCGCTAGCCAAAATGCCGCTCAAGCAGCTGTTGATGCGGCGAGGCTGTGGATGGCAGCCAATAACTTCAGTTTTGTGAAGCAGCTGGGCTGGGTAAGTGTCGTAACGGATTTCTGCTCTCCGCATACAAGATCGACGGTGATGCTGCATCAACACAAGTTTCCTTGTACCGATTCGAGTATGTAAGCTTAAGGCTGTCAGTCAATATGTATTCTGACTGTGACGAAAGGGTGCCGACGCTGTGGCGACATTGTGGTACTACTCGAATCCCCAAGGGAGCACCAGCAACGTGGTCTGCAAAACTCGAATATTCGGTCCTGCTTCATTACGGGAGTTGACTAATGAGCGACGAAAATTGAGAGTAAGCTATTTTCTTGCCATTGTTTTGTGGGGCAGTTCAGCAACGTACATCTTTTCATTTATTCATTTTCGAGGTCTGACTTTCTTTTCCCTCTTTCCAATTTCCTAATATGGTTTCTTGTTTCTCAATTCCAAGCACAAATACTGATACAGAACCCCAGAGACTGGCTCGGGCGCCGCATCTCCTTCATCGAGTCCAGTTATCTCAAGTCTTAGCTCCCTTCGCCAATGTCAACGCCCAAAATTCAGCCACGTCCCTAGAAACTAGCCGTGACCATGTGTGGATCGAATACGCGAGACATGGTGATCTGCAGTCATGGCAAGTGATTTCACGTTAAAAAGCAGATATGGACATATTTGCGCACTCACTGCGGTATCCACCACAGACCAGACAAATGCATTACGCTTTAAATGTGCGTGCATGACCTGTTAACACCGGAGTAGGTTATGCAAGGTGACAGAACAGGGACGGTTACAATCGTTTCCAAAATCTGTTCTCTGGCGGATATTCCACTGCCGTGAGTACACCTGATGGTGGTAGATGATGAGCGCATTGTGTCTTTTCTGGGCCGCGCACCACCCACAACGCAAGATGTACAACACTTACACAAGTTGAGTGAGATATAGTTGCCGAAGCCTGTGTCGCCATGGCTTATCCCCCTCGACACCAATTCAATCCTCATGCAGCATCGAATGGTCCAGATCTGCCCGAAGTCATACCGGCTAATCCTGCCTGGGGATACGATAACAATATTCATACAGACATCGAAGTTTCGAATGGTATATGCCCCAGTCCTGAATACGTCTAATTTCGCCTTCACTGATTACGTGTCAGTCTTCATCGACACCTTCGACAATAATGTCCACCCTGACGTACCCCGTCTGCAGGTATATCTCTCCGAACTCAGCACTGCCTACCCAAATATCGATCGTCTGGTCCATTAACTCCTAGCCATGAATGTTTCCAGGTCGGGGACTTCGGCCGCACTGCGCGCCTCTGGCAGTTTGGGATTCCAAATTTCCCGGGTCATAATTTTGCAAGATTGTAAGTCGGCTGAATCTCGAATTGACCTGCAAGTCTTTTGTGATACTACATTGTGTTTATTTTCTCTGAATGGCCCAAGCTAACTTGCGCAGACGTAGGCTCTGGTCCAGGAGGACTGGCGGTAAGAGGGGCTGGTATTTGCCTGAACAGTTCACAGCTGAGTGGGACCACGTCAACTACGAGCCTTATTCGGAGGGTATCACCAACTTGGCTACCGGCGCGGGCACTGTAGGAGCATACTCAGAAAGGAGCAATATCTTCCAGGTTGGCATGGTAAGATTTGAGATATTTTGAAAGGATGAAGCAGCTCCAACATCAGCTCACAGTCCCTATTGCAGGTCATTTTCTGTTGCATGTTAATGATACAGCCTGAATCCCCCCCAAGAGCATCGCCGGTGCCGCGAACAGGGGCCCAGATGGGCGCGCAAGGGTGGACGTATGTCGGTGAGCTCCGACTTCAGCATTTTCGCACAGAATTTGGTGCAGCCCTGTGCGACCTAGTCAGGCAGTGTTGCATGCACAGGCCCAGCGACCGCCCAGACTTAGCCAATCTAATGGCACGAACTGCAGCGGGCATTGCTGCCAATCCAGTCACAAATGATGACAAGCGCTGGATCACGGCAAGTTTACACGAACCGCCGCCGCCGCCGCCGCAAATCCCAAACCCTTGGCCGACTCTCCCAGTCCCTCCTACTCAGGCGGTTGGCGCAGCTGTCAACCTCCAATTTTGAGGCTCGTGGGTGTGGCAAGGAGCAGCATTGTGTCCCTAGTCTCCAAGGACAGTAGATGAATTATAGGTGCGAAGGAAGATAGCAGACGACGGTCACAGAGCGTTGAAACATCTGTCCGACTCGAAAATCAATGGGAGTACACATTCAAGCATTTAGGGAATTCGAAAATCGTCAGGGGTCGGCTTATCTCCCTAGTCTGATGCTTGCCTCAAATTTCGTCAATTGGTTGGAGCATCAACCAATTTAAGAGACTGTGTATTTGATACTCTTGGAACTTTCCAACCTGTCTTTGTATCGCTGAAATCATTAGCATCCGATCATTGGTTACTCTTTTAGATCGAATGGCCTTTCCGAAAGTCAAGAACACTCTGCGCTCGTCCCATTGCAGCTAATGGTCAGCGTGCTTATGTTCTACAGAACTGTCCCTTAGTACTAGCTCAGCGGCTTTCTGCGCCACAGCATACAGCAGCGGCATGGGGTGTGACGTGATCTCAAAAGGAAGGATGCCGGCGTCGACAATCCTCAGCTTTTTGGTCCCGTATACCCTGCGTCAAGTTGCTGTGTCAGTTCCAAATTTCTACTCTTTGGTATCCCGGGTAAGAAATGACCAGGTACTAAATCCTAGTACCATACTTACTGCAGATTGGAATCCACCACGCCGCCAAGGTCACGCGGTAGCATCGCCGTACTCCCAAACCAGTGGCTCGCGCCGAAGCTGGTGTTTTTATACCAGGCGAGCCACTCTGTATCAGTCGCATTTGGCCCGATCGGAGGATCATAGTAGGGATCGGCCACAATCTCCTCGAACGGCGCACTGGCGAACAATGTCGTGGAGCGTCGTGAAACAGCCACTGCCACATCCCGGTCGAACTGATCTGTGAGGAAGCGCGGTGTGATTATAGGATCGTCGAAGAGATCGGAAGAATTGATATGGATGTGCCCGCGTGAGAGGGGCATCAAGGGCCAGAAGATCGCGGAGAGGACGGTTGGAAAGCTCTCGCTTATGAATTCTATCACCGGAACTTTTCCGCCGCTTGTGTTAGCTGCAGTATCAGAACAACTTGTTGTTGTCATTGTGATAGGTCACTCACAGTCATGGCTGACAATCAAGTCAATCGTCGTGTTGAGAACGATCTTGGCTCCCTGCAGTGTGGCTGCTCCGCCAGTAGCGACCAAGTCCTGTGCTCGGGATTCGAGAATGTCGGGCGAAGCAAGCTGAGAGTATATGTTTGCATTCTCTGGTGGTTGCTGAATTAGCAGAGCATCAATGAACCCCCGTAGGGCACAATCGCGCAACTTACCACCACCCCAGATCTGCTCTGCGTTGACTAACGATATTTCCGGTGCAAATAGAGTCCGGCCATCAATTATAGATGTGTCATTCTGATAAGCCTCTGCAACCAGCGCAGACGTGCCGGTGCCTGGCTGATCGACGAGATTGACCCCTACACCAGGAAGATCCACAATTTGCGGGACCCCAGCTGCAGCTAATACATCTGGACTACCGATACCTGATCTCTCAAGGACAGGTGCAGAGGCAAGGGATCCTGAAGCAAGAATGATCTCCTTTTTTCCGTGGACAATATGTAGTCCAGGCTGGCTACCAGGAACCTCGGCACCAGGTTTGGTCCCAAACATGACGCCTCTTGCTGTTAAGTCACTGCTGAACAAGATTTTATCCGCCTTGTGGTTGGTCAAGACGGTGAGGTTGTCTCGATTCTGATCGGGAGCCCACAAGTATCCATCAGCTGCTGATGAACGCCGGTACTTTTCAGTAACGTCGTCATGCCAAATTGTCCAGGATGTCGAGGCTGACACAGTTCCGTCTGGGTTCCGATTGGACAGGTCGTTGCCGATCTCGAGGCCTGGAAAGACTAAAGGAAGCGATTCCTTGTACAATTCAACTGCATGGGGAATGCGCATCGGTATCTGTTTCTCAAGATTAGATCACGTTGAACCTCGCATTTTCATCCGTGGCGACTGACGGGAAAAGATATGTTGATATGGCCATGGTAGCCGTGAACCGCAGGATCAATACCAGCTCCTTGCTGTATTTGGATCTCGTCAGGCGGCGTATTCTTCTCGGTAGCTATCATATACGGCTCAAGGGAGTCCCAATTCCAACCTGGGTTTCCCAGTGCCTTGAGCTTGTCGACTTCTGTTGGTGTCGGCCTCAACCAGACCATCCCATTGACTGTCCGAATCGTCAGCATCGGCCTACCCCAGGACATAAATTTCAAGCTATCAACATACTCGATGTACTACCGCCAATACAAGCACCACTGTCAATAGTCTTGGAGAGCAGACCGCCATCCTCATCGTATGCAGGATACAGCCAGTTGCAATACGGATCATGCTGCACTCTGTCTTCAACATCGTATACCTTATGATTCCACCTAGGATCAGGGCCGGCTTCGATGATGAGGGTAGAGAATCCCTTCTCGCTGAGCTTATTGCCAACAGTGATGCCTGTGAGCCCCGCGCCGATGATGATATAGTCAAATGTCCTGTTAGCGGCTACAGATGTGTCATTGGTGACGGTTGTGGCTTGTATATTGACAGCCAGCGCGCTGACAAGCAGCCATAACTTCATTATGACAGTGAGAATCATGACTTGGTATCAAGTGGGTGCTAAGATGAGGAGACATGAATATTCCTTGCATGTCAGCTTCAGGTCGAGACCTCAGCTCGCAAGCATCATCCGCTAACGCGATCTGGGCATCCCTTGCCTGTATTGTTACCTACTACAGGCTGCGAGCCCCTCACATGCGTTGGGTGGCATCACTGCAGCATGGCGTCACTTGATGACCAAGTAGTCAGAACGGTACTTACTATTGTGTACTAAGATTGCGCCCATTTAAATGCTCTGGACTTAAAAGGTTGTCTTACAGTTAGTTAACGCAGTAGTTGAAGTGACTTAATTGCTGTTACTCCGATCCAACACCCCAGAATGAAGCAAATTTGCCTTAAGCCCTCTTTTCGTCTCGGTAGAGGAAAATTTGAACTGTGAATCCCTATGTCTCTGTCCGTCACGAGAAGGTTTCGCGCTGTTTGTGTGGTGTTGTGTGTAGTCTCTTAATGATTTTAAGATTTCAACATGAGTTGGTACACCCTATTCATCTTCCTCCCTAAATTGAGTGAGAATTGCTCGAGGTGGCCATTTGCCAGGCGCTTCGTACGAGACATCATACTCGTATCGTCCAGAACCAACCCAGCTGCCCTCACCATCGTCCTTCTGCCCTGGTAATACGATCAAAGCCTCCGTGTTCGGTGGAACATCGATGATCAACCTGAGACTTCGGCCCTCAGAGATATTCCACTTCACAGCAATCGACCCAATTGGGCTTTCAAACTTTAAGTCGACATTTGTCAGATCCCCTCCAGGCACAGGAGCAACCCGAAATTTCTTCCACCCAGGCTCGAGCATATTGATACCTCCTACGACCTCATGCAACCAGCTTGCCACGGAGCCAAGGGCGTAGTGGTTGAAACTCGTCATCTCGCCGGGATTGATGGTCCCATCGGGGAGCATACTATCCCACCTTTCCCAGGTGGTGGTCGCTCCCATGGACACAGGGTAGAGCCATGAGGGACATTCCTTCTCGAGGAGCATTCGGTATGCCAATTGTACATGATCCTTGTTCTGAGACAAGGCATGGAGAACCAAAGGTGTTCCAGCAAAGCCCGTGGAAACGCGGTACTTCGAGTATTTGACCAAGCGGGCGAGGCGATCAGAGGCGTTGCGAATTTGATCTGGAGAGGAGTGGAGTGAAAAGCAGAGAGCCAAGGCGAGTGCCGTCTGGGAGTCGCTAACCACTAAGCCTGACGACGCGACATAGGTGTCTTGAAATGCAGCTTTCAGGCGGGCATGATCGTTCTGATACTTGTCCGACAGAGTCTCGTCACCGACGACAGTAGAGATCTTGGCCATCAAACCAGTCACGTACACCAGATACGCATCAGCCACAAGCGTGCCATCGGTGCGAGCTAGGCCCGGCTCCGAGGGCGGAGCGTTTGGGTCAAGCCAGTCACCCAGCTGCCAGAGCGTAGGATCCCAGAGGAGCCCGTTTCGGGGATCTCTACGGATGGACTTATCGATGTAAGTCTGCATGCTCGGCAGCTGGCGACGGAGGACGTCGACATCGCCCGTCCATTGGTAGATCACCCAGGGCAAGATGATGGCCACGTCGTCCCAGACGGCTTGTGGTTCATTGGGCCACGATGACCTCCCGGTGAGTACATCTGGAATAACGACGGGTACGATGCCGCCTGTGTCATTTTGATCGACTGCGAGGTCTTGCAGCCAATTTGCGAGAAGTCCTGCGCTGGAATACAAAAACGAAGCTGTTGGTGAAAACACTTGGATATCGCCCGTCCAACCGAGTCGTTCATCTCGCTGCGGGCAGTCGGTAGGCACGGACAGAAAATTTCCTCGCATGCTCCACACGACATTGGAATGTATTTGGTTGACCAGGCTGTTGGAACAGTCAAAGTAGCCGGTCCGGGCCATGTCTGAGTGCATGACCAGGGCAACAATGTTGTCTGTTGTGGGTGGACTATCTGTGTCATCGAGAGTCCATCCGTTGAGTTCGAGATATCGGAAGCCATGGAAAGTGAACCTTGGAGTCCAATCTTTCAGAGTGCTTCCATTGCCGAAGACAATAGTGTCTGTCGCTCCAGCACTGCGCAGTGGACGGGTGCCTAGCTCGCCGTTCTCAAGCACCTCCGCATGCCTCAATGTGACACTGTGGCCCTCTTTGAAATGCAAAGCCTTGAGAATTTGAATCTTCCCTACCAGGTTTTGGCCGAAGTCAACCAGAGTCTTGCCGCTTTTGCTTCTGAAGATTTTCTTGGGTCGAACATTCTCTGTGACTCGAACCGCCGGCACATCCGGAGATATCAACGAAACCTTGTCCCATCCGAAGTCTAGAACAGAAGCCTTGTTCCAGCTCTCACCTTGGTCGAAGGACGCAACTTTCCAATGGCCCGGCAGGTCATCACGCATGTCATATACCTCTCCATCGTACAACTCGCTCGTCACAAGGCTTGACGGGTGGGCTGACCAGGATTCATCCGAGATGACCTGCTGAATTATGCTTCCGTCGGGATTCTGAATCTCAAGCTGCGCCAGCACGCCTAACTGGCTTCCATACACATTGCGGACTCCTGGAACCCAAGTGAGCCGCCCAGCATACCAGCCCTCGGCCACCTCGACTCCCAAGACATTCTGGGATGACCAGTCAAGATAATCGGTAACATCGAACACCTGATACGGCAGCCGATGGTTGTAGCTAGTCCATCCCGGTGCCATTTGCAGGTCTCCGACACGCGTGCCATTGATGTGGGCCTCGTAGACCCCAAGCGCCGTGATGTAGAGCCTCGCTCTCGGTTTGTTGCTACCAGACACCTTGTCTTTGGTTTCAACCTGGAAGACCGGGCTTCTGAACAGAATGGGTCGATGTGGCTTATCCTTGGGTGTCTGCTGGGTAGATGTAACGAACTTGGCGCTCCAGTCCGACCGCTGTAGTAGACCTGCTTCCACATTCTGCTGCTTGGTCCACTCCGTTGTCGAATCTCCCTTGTCGCCGGTGCCAGTAGCCTTCACTCTCACAGTTGCGGTTTCCCGCGACTTTAGTGGTGTGGATGGCCAAGCGATGAACAGGGAGCCATCTGTTTTGTCGCCGTGGACTTGTTTGTTTCCTGCCTGCCCTGCCTTACATATCTCTATTTCGTATCCAGTCTGCTTCCAATTCTTTGCTTCGCCGGCAAAGCTCCAAGATAGGCGAGGTTCAGCCGTTCCTATGCCAAGGGGATCCGTGTCTGGGTGGTGGTCGAACCGAAGGCTAGTCACTCTGACATTGGCCATGACTGGTTATGTCGCTGTGGTGGTTCGATAAATTGTTTGTCAGACAGTGTCTCAGGAGATAACACGCTTGTAAAGGAGGGGGAGATGATGCACAGAAGGCAAGTGAATCAAAACAATCCTGCTTCGTGACCGCTTGGTAAATGTGCGAAATAACCTTAAGGTTGGTCGTTGGTGTTCGAACAATGGCTTGAGACACATGTGTGATAATAACAGACCTCCATTTGAGGCTTGGGTGACGCCTCGATATCTTGTCGTTGAGGGTGATGCCGAAGATTAGCCACCAAATACCTCGAAATCGGGCGAGTAGTGACCGAGATACTTCTCTTCTCCTCATATCCAAGACATTGGCCAAAATGCTTGGGTGCTCTTACCGGTGGTATGGTAGGCTCTGAAACTCTCTCCAAACCATGTTATCCCCCGCTCTGGGCGGACTCGGCATTTCCGAGTCTATGCCTAGGTTGAGGGCGGCTTGGCTCGCGACGTCTTCAACCCGAGCAGCCAGCCCGAGGTCCAGAGTCTGCTGTTACCCCACGAGTTTACCCCAGATTTTGGATGCAAGGCACCGATGGGGATCGGTAGATGAGAATTTACCTGAATATGGGGTTCCAAGGCTGAGCCTTTGCCACATCTCAACCGCTGGCGCCGGCCAAGAGAATACGGGAACACCCTTGAAGGCTAAGATTGATGAGAAAAGAGTCATAAATATAACATAGTTCTCTCAACATGGGCAATCTTGCATGTCCCTCCTCCAATGGTAGTCAATTCCCCATCAATCTGTTCTGATTGTGTTGAACAGTCTCAACGCGGACTTTCCAGGCTGTCCAAATCACCATAACTGCTTGTATTTAGGAGCACACAATGGGTAATTGGGCCCAATATTATATCCCAGCCGTCGCGGCCATTGGGACGGCCATGTATGGTATCGACACTGGCATCATCGCGACCACAATAGGACACGCAAGCTTCAATGAGCATATGTTTCCACCCGATGGAGAAGATGCCGCCCTGATCGGCAAGCCTCGTCTACCCACGTCTCCAACGTTATCGCTCGAGCTAACACTGAGCATTGAACAGGTGCCGTCGTCTCCGTCTATAATGCTGGGCAGGCTGTTGGAACCTTGTTCTCAGGCTGGACCGCCGACCGATTCAGCAGAAGATATACCCTGACAATTGCAAGCTCCATCGCGATCGTGGGGATCTTACTGTCTGTGATTGGAACCAACGTCGGAATGTTCATTACCGGAAGACTGCTGACAGGATGGTCGTCGGGCATGATCCTCCCTGTCTCGGCGATTTACATGGCTGAAGTTTCCAAACCCCAAAACCGCGGTATAGTTGTAGGTTTCCAGGGGATGGGCACAGCCACGGGCTTCTTCCTGGCCAACTGGATCGGATATAGCGGTATTTTCTTCGAGAGCAACCTTCAATGGCGGTTTCCCCTGAGCTTACAATTCCCCTGTGCTGTCCTCATGTTGGTCGGAAGCCTGGTGGTGCTGCCCTTCACGCCCCGTTGGCTTGTCTCACAGGACAGATTCGAAGAAGCTCGTGCAGTCCTGGCGAGAATTCACTGTGATGAAGGCGAGGAGTTTATCGACCAAGAAATGATCCAGATTAGGGAACAGACCGCACTTGAGAGGAGCTACAAACGAGTCGGGGGCGAAAAATGGTACAGCAACTTTTTGATGCTATTCACGAAACAGTATATCAAAAGGGTGGGGTTCGTTTGCTTTATTCAAGCCCTGACGCAGTTCGGTGGGGTGACGGTGATCCGTACGTATGAACCTTCCCACGCTGCAGTTGCTCCTCAGTCTTTTAGTGCAATCTTCCAGAATGCGTCTCTTTAAGCTCTATAACGGGGGGCTAACGTATAGAAGAAAACTATCAAAACATCTTTTACGGGACTGTTGGTTTCACAGGCGACACAGCCTTGCTGATCAGTGGCATCTATGGCATCATGGGCCTCACTGGGCAGATCATCAACCTCCTTGTCGTAGCCGGTACGTATGAACGACAACTAATGCAGAGATATGGCTGACACACTTTTCAAACAGATCGCTGGCGCAGAACCACCACACTCTGGGTAGGCTGTCTTGTTCTCGCAATCATGCTGGCCATCTGCGAGGCCCTCAGCGCTTTGTTCGCAGATGGCTCCAACCAAGCCGCTTCACGCACCACGATTGCATTCATCTTCCTCTATTCAGCCTTCTTCGCCATCTTCTTCAACTCAACAATGTGGGTCGTCTGCTCTGAGCTCCTGCCAGTCTTCATCCGGTCCAGCGGCTTGGCTGTAGGGACTTTTGCTTCGGGAGTCGCTTCCATTATCATCTCCCAGATCACGCCGGCCGCTCTGGAGAACATCTCATGGAGGTACTATAACGTGTTCATCGCTGCGAATCTTTTGGGTGTTGTAGTCTACCTCTTCTTCCTCCCTGACACGAAGGGCAAGACTCTTGAGGAGATTGGCGAGCTATTTGGCGACACGCTCGCCACTGCTCATATAGGGGACATTGATGTCGACGGAAAGCATGGAGCAGGTGTGATCGAGCTCGAGAACGCTAACTACACTAGGGATAGGGAGGTTTGAGATGCTAGTCGACAACCAGGAAATGGCGTGCAGCCATACCAATATCATCCGTGACACGTGATATTATGATATCCTTCTACCCGCGTCCATGGTGTCCTCGACTCGGTCGTATCATAGCAAGGCCTTCGGTGGATATACTTCCTACAGCAGGCTGTCAATTTCTTGCTCAACGTCGCGCAAAACAGGCCATTCCAAGCATACATTTCATCTCCGACCGGCATTTACCATTTTCTTAACGGAAAGCATAGAGCCGGAAGAATTTTCTCAAGTTCGTATTGAATTTCGGACCGCGTGACAAACAATCGAGAGATCTCTGAGACATTCGCGTCCACTGCAATCCCAGCCATCAAGGCTTTGTCATTGAACAGAGACCCGTACCAGTCGTCTTATCCCCATGAAGGGGTTTCAACATGTCATGAACAGAATTCCGCGAGATGCCCAATTTATACAAGCCAGCTCTTTCCGCTCTGAGTACGTGTGGGCCCCACTTACAAGGTATCGTCCCCCTGGGTGGCGGCATTGCCCTGCTCCGTTGCCACGAAACCGCGTGAAAGGTGCGTATTGTAAATCCGAAAAAATTCGTTGATGTCATCTTCAGAAAATGGATCGGTGCTCGGGAGACCGGGTGAGGCATAACCGTCAAGAATGTTAGCGAGGTTTCTGGCTGGGGCATGGCTTCCTGATTCTAGGTATTGCTGCTTAGAGGGATGTTAATTATATGATTTTGCATCAATGGGTCTCTAAAGATGTGATACTCACTTGTTGCTGGGCTTCGCTTTGCCGGGCTCGATCCTGCTGGAACTCGAAGAATAACTGATCAAGGATCTCTCCAGGACCCAGATCGGAGCTCGTAGGGTCGGCAGGCTGTGGAAATGGGCCTGTAGTGTGCTGATTCTTGCTCCATTCTTGGCCTGGCGCAATGTGCAATTGAAGCTGGTTCTCATCGAAAGTCAAATTACCATCGTCCAAAGGGGACGGGTTGTGATGATATGAACCCAATTTGGCGTCGTCCACGCTGGTTCCCCAGGGGTTGCTGCCGAGGTGATTTGTGCTGAAGGGGCGATTGTTGTGTTTCACCTTTGCAATGGAGAGGGGCTGAATATTTCCCTTGTCGTTCATGTTGTTGGTGCCCTCGTAGGCCAAGTTGTCGGACATGTTGGTCTTGTTCTGGAATGAAATTTCGTTACGAGAACGGTTCGTCGCGCTGAGACAGGCGTTCTCTTCGTAAGTTCTACCAACGGTGATATCCTGGTGGGAACAAGCGTTAGTCGATCTATCACGACTGTCATGTCAATTTCAACTTCACTCACCTTGTGGCTACTGCCACCAAAGTTCAGAAGATCGGCTTGAAAACTGTCATGATTATAGGATCCAATTCTGGCTTTCTTACGTGGTGGATACTCTTCGACATAGCTCTGTTCCAGCTCAGGCTGCAGATTGGCGAATGCCAACGGAGACTCCTAGTCTCTGGCGGCAATGCCAGCCTGGCCACCGGACTCACTCTGCGCGCACTGTCCCGTCTTCTGAATCGGCATGTTTTGTTGGGCGATGTCGTATTGCTCTGTGTTTTGGCTATGCAACCCGTGGTTGCCAAGCTGCTTCTTCAGCTCCGCCTCGGGGCCTATCGCAAGTCTCGTCATGAATGAAATCTCCGAGTCGAGAATGCCCTTCACGATTGCCTTGCTGCGTGTCAACGCAACAACTACGGCGTTGAATCGCGTCCGGAAACTGTCGTATTCCTGGGGGTTGAATTCTTTGACCCAGGATGGGATGTTGTTGCCTCCGAAATGTGCCGCCCAAATAGCTTGGAAGATGCCCCAGCCCAGGAGTTGAACCTCAAGAGGCACAAGGGCCTTCACCGCTTCAATAGCGGTGTTGGTAATGGCATAATCGTCAAGCACCCCCTTGTTGAGTTCTAGGGTTGGTCTCTTAGCTGGCTTGTCAATGATGTCGGTAAAGTTTGTGATTGCGGTGCACAGTTGCTGTACGTATGCCGCGCACTCAGCTGCTGTCCTTGGCAGGCCATCCTCGGAAGAAGCTACAACGGCAACTCGATTCTTGAGGGATTTGTAGGCAGTATACAAGGCTTTGTATTCTTCCAAATCGGCGATAACGAAAGTCGTGTGCTTGTTGACTGGCTTCAGCAGTTCCTCCACACGACCCTTCACGTCCTGTGAGGACTGGCGTATGATGGAGGAGTTGTTGTTGTTATTCATTTCGATGGTGTGACGGAAGTGTCGGATATATTTCAGTTGAAGAAGAAGACAAAGACAAACAGGCTCCCAACCTCCTCGTGAGGGTGCAAAGCGCTAGAGACCTTCTTTGAGAACAAATTGGATTATAAAGGCAGAATTCTAATGGTTACTTACCCGACAACGGTCCACCACCGTTGAAATGTAGTTACAAGACAAGCATGTGTTGGACAACTTCAGCTGAACAAGCTGGAAAACGATCACTGAAAAGAAAAGAAGTGGTTTATCTTCCAGACAACTTCTGCTTGGTAGTGTTCTGATCTGAACGACTGAGCAGTGTAACGGGGAGTTTTTGGGTTGCTGGAAAGGCAGTAGAAATCGTCACTTTAAACTCGGACGGATGACTATATACAGTCAAAGTGAATTATGGTCGCAGCGGGAGGTTTGACGTTGGGTGACTGAGACCTTAGCTTCACTTCACTTCTTTTATGTGCACAGAATTCTGTGACAATTTGCCTTGAGATACCAAAGACCTAGCAGACCTCAACTTCAGTAGCTCCTGCAATCGATCAGTGAAACAACCAGATTGCAGCCTCTAGTACTAAGAATGACCTTGAACACAGTGCTCAAAGTCTATCACTATTCTGGCTACAAAAAACAGCATCGTGCTGTGTTCATGTAGATAATCTATCTGATCCTGAACGAAAGTTGGCATTGGCGCTTTGCAGAAGAACGAAATTTTTCATGCTCCATTCGCAACGAAATATCGGGCTGGGGCACAAGACTGGACTTCCTAGCCAGGGCGTTGTCTTCATTGGTGCCGTCTTTGGGGTTGTCGACAAACATTCGGCGTCTTGACCAGGTCCGCAGTGGGTGACTTAGAAAGTGATAACTTGCCAACAAATTCATCTTCTGTATGGAACTTGGTGTCCAAATGGATGATCTCCCATGCGCTCTGGGACCGGTCCTCGGAACTCTAGGTGGCGTCTGTAGGGCGGCTAAGGCGAGTCCTTCATTAATGTTGACCACGTTTTCGGCCTGTGCACCGCCGATGGCAGTTTCTTCGTGCTATTGCATATTAACTCCATGTCCTTGTATTGATCAATTGCCTAAAGAGGCGGTACATGCCTGACGCTAGGGGAGCCCTTGCAGACTGGTCAAAGTCTGCTGCAATTCGGGTGAGAGCAGGTTGATAAGGTCCTCATCCATTGCGTTTCCGCCAAGGCTGGCAGCATGTCCAGCAGGGGATTCGAAAACGTTCTGTTGCAGGGCTACCGAATTCTCGGGCTCCAGCGGCAAGTTGGTGTGCACCTGGCAGTGGCCGGTCCCAAGCCGAGCACCCCCTGCTTGTGCGGCAGCAGTATCAGTGTTGTATCCTGCATTGACCTGAGTGATACCCTGCTGGGTATTCGCTTGCGTGTACTGGGGAGCTCCGTCTTCCGCGACGCAGTGCATGGCACCAGAACCGCTAGCTCCAAATGTAAGGTTGTTCGCGGGACCGCTACCTGTAGAAGCGGCGAAAAGGTCATTGTGGACCCCGTAGTTCAGGTTGTAGATGGTCTCTCCATGATCTTGAACATCTTCTCCGGCGCTCTGGAGGCTCGGCTCCGTGGCGAAATTCTGTTCCAAAACTTAGTCGTTGTTGCGGTCAAGCCTGTACTCGCGACGGAAAAACTTACCAGATCGAAGTCTCCGTCGAGACAAAGATCAGCTTCATTAAATCCAGGCGGAAGGAGCTGGCTTCCTGAATTGGCGACGTTCGGATGCTCTGACTGGGTCGGTGGCTGCGCTCTGGAGTCCTACTCTGAGGCAACATTGCCACTCTTGCCGTCGTCATTCTTCCGCTTGAGCTTCTTTGCCTCATCGCGCTCGTGTGCCCTCTTGTCATTGATTGCCTGGTTACCTCGCTTCAACTTGAGCTCGTCTTTCGGAGCGGCAGCAATGCGCTTGGCAAAAGGGACATCGGAATCGAGTATGCTCTTGACGATGGATTTACTGCGCGTCACGGCAACAAGAACATCTTGAAAACGCGATTCGAAGTTATCGTACTCTCTGAATTTCCACTGCTTGTTCCACATCGCGATGTTGTGGCGGCCACAGTGGGCGTCGCAGGTGGAGCAGAGAATTTTCCACGCGAGGAGCTGGACCTCAATAGATGCCAGGGCCTTCACGGCTTCGACCGCTGTGTTCGCAATTGAAGTATCTTCAGCTGCACTTCTCTTGTTTGGCCTGTCGATCAGATTGCTGAAGTCCAGAATTGCCGTACACAACTGATCAATGCGTGCCTTTTGATCGGCGGTTGTCTTGGGAAAACCACCCATGGTCGCCCCTCGACCCTTCTTATCCTGATTTCTCAAGGATCTGTATACGGTGTCCACTGCGATATATTGCTCAATGCTCGTAATGGCGACCGCTTTGTGCTTGTTTTCGGGCTTGAGCATATCTAGGATTCGATCCTGCCTGTCCTTGAGATCCGCTTCCCTCTTCGCGGCCATGTGGGCCTGTTGCTGATTGTTGATCATGAGCGCGTGTCTCTGCTGAGCCGTCATGCCCTGAAGCTGCTGTTGCCCAGGCTGAGGAAGTTGTTGCTGTCTTGGGTTGTCCATGTTTACATGACAATGGGGACTAAGATGGTCTGGTTAGATAGATTTGGAGGAATATAGGTTGATAGATGAAGACATCGAGATCGAGTCTGGCAAGACTTCCATACCGATTGAAGAAGAGAACTGAATAGCTTCAAGGAGAGCTGACCTATCACGATGCTAAAGGTTTTCAGATAACAAAATCAATGCTTGACGATGAATCTTTGGATTTGTCGATGGGAATAGCCGATTGATCAGGTTGTTCTGCAGGATCGACGAATCTTGCAGTTGGTGGAGAGGTTAGTTGGTAGAAAGCCCAACCTCGTAGTGCTTCAGGAGGATCTAAGTAAGACGAAGACACAATTCACTCTGTTAGCCGGATGCCGAGAGGGGTGGCTGAAAAATTCATTACTGACACTCAGTTTCAGGTTCTATCGGTCAGGGTTTTTTTGCGTATATATAGTGAATTTGAGAGGTCAACCAGAGCTTCGCAACTCCGCAACGCTCTCGATGCAGATCAGGCTCCTTCGTCAAGTTACGGCGGGGTTCTTAGTCAGTCTTGAAGGTAATCCAAGGCAAACGACACGTGCCGTTTGTTACGCGCGCAACTCGAATGTGCAATACTGACCCGTAACTCAGACGCGGATGAAATCCGGCTCGCATAGGCCTGGGGGGGGGGGGGGGATCAGCAACGAACGATTGAAGAAATTACCCACTCAGCTTCGACAACCGAAGACTTTGTAATGATCGAGTGTGTTTCCTCCTTATAACTCCCAGATAACACTGCAACCTAAATATTTAGCTTAGCTTAGCTGAGCTGCTGCTGCTTGCTGACGGGAGTGCCGTACCTAGGTGATAACGGAGTAATTCCTACTCCACGGCAAGCCGATATCGTAACATCACTTGTTGTCCAATTCACTGAGACTTTTTAGGAGGGTTTCAAAATCTTGATATAATCGTCTCGAAGTTTTGAGACCCCCAAAGATGCAGTTTGCGACGCTGAACAACCATTGCTCCGGGTTGCCCAAGCAAAAGCAATGCCCAGAAGGTCGCCAAAACGTTCAAAATGCTGAGGTAGAATCAAGGATTATTTATGAACCATCAGCACTTGCGATCTTTAGATTAGCGTCTATTCTGCGCTTGCGCTCTGCCATCGGTTGTCTAAAAGGCCCCTCTCCGCGACCCTGCACAACTGGCAGGCGAGACGACGAGCCTCACAGACGTGTTTCAAAGACGGCGTGTGATTGATCGTTGATGAAGAGTATGAGACTAGTAAAGCAGTTTATGCGATAGTGGAATGATCGGCACTGTTTTATACATAGTAAGTGGAATTAAATATTAAGAAATCAAGACACGCTTAGTACTCGCTGACTCGAAGATCAATAGAACCGCTATCGTTCCTAGTGCAAACCGTCCAAATGTAAAGAGGTTAAACCATCTCGTTCTGCTAGGAACAAAAGGTACCTCTTCCCAGTTTACTCCTGCGTAAGACTCCTCTTCTAAACTCACGCTATCGTATTGCTCCCTCTCGTCAAGGAAAGTAAAAATATGTAGGAAATTCTCAGGGGATGCATCAGGATAGTAGTCGTAAAACTCCTTTGCTCGACGCAGGAGCCTTCTCCGCTGTACCTTCGAATCAATTATAAGTCCCAGAGTTAGACGTAGTAGGAAGTCCAGCACGACATGTCCGTGTCATGATAAAGTGCGCCAGCGTGATGATGAGCACATGGTCCTCCGTAATGGTATAATTCGGGAAGAATCTGCCCAAATGCCCTCGCTCTTCCAGTGGTATGAGTCTCGATAATGCAAAAATCCTGTCCCGGCGTTCTTTGCATTCTGATCTGTGATGAGTGACGATTAGGTCGTATAGTGGCTGCTGGATCTCCGGGTGCCTGTCAACATGCCGCCCCAGTACTAGAGGCAGAGCCCTGTATGAACCTGCCACATTGTTTGTAGCACCATTGCCCGACGTGTTGCCAAACTGATCGTTTTCTGCCTTAAGCATAGCATGGACTGAAATTTCGACCAGTCGATTCTGGCATTGCTGCAAACTAGCTCGACATGCCGGCCAAGCAAAAATTCCTGATGACCCAGAAACGGGACCAGTAAGGGTGGTTCGCAAGATCAGCAATATAGTCATACCAATATAAACCGTCACGTCCCACCGTCTTGTCTTGATGAGTGAATACACCGGCAAGATGAGGTTTTGATTTTCGGGTATGGGCACCAACCCAAGCCAGACCGAAACGCAGGCAGCGTTGTGATATGTTTGATCTATAAGGCGAACTTGGCTGCTGCGCTCAAGGTTGTCGTTTTGATTGACGCAGATCGCGTCTGCCCAGATGTGGGTCCATCCTGAAGGTTCTGCGGTGAGACTCAGTTAGTACAGACACGACCAAAGATTGGGCAAAACATGGGAAGCTCGGCCATTTAGGTAAACGATTTCCGATGCTTCGTCGTCGCCCTAGGTATACGAGACAGCTGTATAGCGCGGCGTCGAGCCTCGTGGGATTTCAGAGACCCTGAAGGACAGGGTGTGACGGGAAATTGACAATGGGAGGAGCAGTGGGAACTCATTGGAGCCTAGACTGTTGTAATAGACGAATTTCATCGGCTGAGTCTCTCTGCGCTGCTGTTTGATGAGTCTCTGGAGAACATCCCCGCATGGTGTAATTGGAAATTGCTGGTCTTTTAGCTAAGCAGTCTGCTTTGCTTTTAGTAAGCAGACTCGTCCCAGCAACTTGAATTTAAAAACTGAAATTCTTTAAAAAGCTTCTATGATTGAACTTGCGTAGTCTCATATGGCCGCGCTCTTATGAGAATCAGATTATAATGATTTTCAATTACAGTATTCTAATTAGAGTAATTGGTGAAACATAAATTATGAATTATTTACTACCCTTAACTTAGCCAGATAATAAATGTTTGATCTTGAAGTAGTTTGACTAAGACAAATGCCTGGTATAGTATTGTGACCGTATGTAGCACTAAAATACATCAGTTGATTAGGGAGTGTCTTGATAAGCTAGTGCTAGAAAGCCCAGAAGTGCCGAACGCATGTGATCCGAGTTTTTATATGGGATGATAGTCATCTCGCAATATTCGCCAACGCCATTAGATCTCCGAGTCTCAACCTTCGTCACCCTAGGATCCATCTGCGTGAAATGCACCAGAACCAAATAGTCCCAGTTGAACAGGGCCACGAACTGTGTGCCATGGTGGATGGCATACGAACTAGCTTGCTTCATCAATATCTCCGAGTTCCCATGAAAAAACGTGTCTCCAGTTTGACCTTGTGCCCTTTGTGCCCAGTATCGATGATCTTGTGTCGCGGTGATTTTTTTCATGGCGTCCTCTAGCATGACCTTGGTTTCTCTACTATTCTGCTTCGCTGGCGCATTTATGACGCCGCGCTTCTTGAGTTCGACGACTGCAACCGCCCGTGAAGTGCCTTGTGGGACCGGAGGTGTGCGGTAGAACGTGATATCGGCTCGGATGCCATTTGAGGACGCCTCTGACTGGCACATGACTTTGCCTTGAAGGGTCGGATTTGCCCATAGCGCCTGGCATATAGGGTGGATGAGGTAGATTCCCGCAGTGCGAACGATATCTCCCTCGTTTCCGTGTCCTGCAGGGTGTTCGTGGAAAGCCAGGCCCTCCTTATCGATTTCAGAATTTTGGGGGGTCTGTGTCAGGACTTGTTGACCGACTTGTATCCAGTTGGTGGCTGACTGGATGGCGAAGAATGGTGGATCAGTCGCTAGGGTGTGCTCGCCAGACGTGGTTGCGGTTACATTTCCGTCTAATTTCCAGTTCATAAAATTTGGAAGCTTTTGACCCAGAGCAAACGAGTTTCTAATCGTAATGGGTGCAGACATTTTGCTAAGCTATAACCCGGATATATGGCTTCAGGGAAAAAGTCAACTGTGACGCAGTGTCAAGGAGAGAAGCGTTGGTAATGTTAGAAGGATGTGATTGATGAAAGTGAGATTTGATCAGGAGTATCAAATGATAAGTGGCTGTTTCGTAGAGTGTTCAATGTTTTGTGGTTGAGTGTTAAGGAGGAAAAGACTGTTCCTCGTTGCGTTAACGGAGCAGTCTTTATAGTACTTGAAGTCCTAGACGAGGTCGCTGGACAATCACGTCCGGTTGGACCTATACCCACACAAGCCTCCCGTTCTGCAAGTCAAGTGAGAACTTTGGGGAAGGCTGTGCAGGTCCAGAGCAGGCCGTGATCTCTGCATTCGAACCCGGCCGGTGAGGACTAGGGATCTCGACCTTGGCAGTCGGATCCTGGCCCCGCTTGCGTGTTTCGATCAGACATGCCTAATAAGACGTATTGGAAAGTACTTCGTTCTCCCAACATTGAATTGGCGATGTTACTCCACTTACTTGCTATAAGCAACTAGCTAAAGATAGGGACAACTCGACCCATCCAGCTGCAGGTCCCGTCTCATGTAGTCGGCCGGCCCAGGCTTCGGTCTCGCCCCTTGCTCCCCGCCCCAGGCCACGGCGCTGGGGTGACAGCCGAGCGGGTATAGCAAATAACAGTTGGCTCTGCCTGGAACGGTGCAGACTACGAGAGATTTCTGATCAAGATCCGGGAATAGAAATTCTGCTGAATTTCGATGTGGTGGACCGAAGGATTCACAAAGCGCTCGAATTAGGTAGGTTGTCTATCAAGGACCTAGGTAGTCTATCTATTTCGTAAGGGGCTGAGTAAGCGGGTCCTTGCCCTTAGACATCATCTCTGTGCCGCCGAGGAAAACCCGGGCCCAAACCAACAACCAACAACCAACAACCAACAACCAACGGCCAACGGTCAACGGCCAACGACCAACAACTTGAGCCCACAGCCCCTTCCCAGGTTGCGATTGAGAGCGCTTTGCAACAAATATCTCATACGAGAGCAGACAGCCTATTCCTGCTGTCATTCCACGTGCGCATCAGCCCTACTGTTAAGTTGGGACCCTCCTAGGTTCTCGAATCAAACGGTTTTGGTCTTCCGCTATTTCAGTGCCTCCGCGCATTAAACCCACACTAAAGTCAAGACGCCGTCCATACCTCCCGCCATCTTTTCACTTGTCACAACTTCTCTATCCCTCAGCTTCGTCGACCACTTCTACGGGAGCTATGTCATTATTCCCGCCGCAATGGCAACCACCAGCAGATCCTGCCAGAACACCATGTCCATATGCCACGGACTTCAGGGTGACGATCGATGCCCACACTCCTCCGCCTCCATTTGGCCACCGAGATTACCGAGATAACAACCACGTCCGGCCGCACAATATTCCCGAAGAGGAACGCAAAACTATGACGAAGACACAGCTCGTCCTCGCGGACCCGCCCATGGAGACCGCTTGCCCTCAAGGGCCGCGTAAGACCGCAGAGCTGATCATCACTGAGCCCATCGCCACGGGTGACGATCGCGGATCACAGGTCGCTTTCGTCCGAATCACACCCGCGAAGGCCGCCGGCAAGCCGCCTTTCGTAGCCACGGCTAAGATTTTCGACCCAATGTACTACCCTTTTGAGACAGAGGAGTTTCCTGGCTATCCCGAGGAAGTAAGCTATAATGCCGACCGCGAGTACAGCCGCGAGGCATCTGCTCTGTCCTACGCCACGCAAGTTGGGCTAGCTGGTGGTTTCGTGCCGAAGTTCTACGGCTCGTGGACATTCAACCTCGACGTGCCTGGGTCCCAGGCGACCAGACCCGTTCGCCTTGTTCTATACGAACAGATCCGCGGAACAAGTTTGTACAGCCTACAACGCCGGTACCGCAAGGGAAATGAGGAGCACTTTGACGCGTTCTATCTTCCTGAGAAGTACAGGCTTGAGGTATTTGCACTCCTGCTGGACGGCCAGGTTAGGTTACTGCATAAGGGTCTCAATCAGAAGGACCTCGCACCGCGTAATGTGATTGTATCACCCGCACCGGCGGCAAACGACCCCGAGCCGGTGGTCAAACGAGTCACGTTGATCGATTATGCCAACTCGATTGTATATCCATTATCTAGGCACAAGCGGCATCCACACCAGGAGCTTGCTCTGCCAAAGAATCCAATGGAGTACTTCCGTGGCGGGGTGGGAATGCAATTCGATGGTTGGGTGCCGGATGTTTTCCCTGGCTATGAAAAATGGCTTCAGGAGACTTTTGGACGCAAGGACAAGGCTGCAAAGTATGCACCTGTAGCTGAAGACCCCCCCGAAGAATGAAATCCCCGCCTGAATATGCTGTTAGCACGTCTATAGTCTTGAAAGTGAGCAGAACATTTATTTTCGTATTTCATGTGGATTTTGAATGTGCCAATGTACTTCATATTCCGCTCAACTCATGGACAGCCTTAGTGATCATTCATACGGCAGTGGTGGCAGAATAATCGGACATTTCGTAGCACGGGCGAAAATTTATACAACAGTTTCACCCTGCTGAGAAATCTAGAGTTATTTTCTATTCGATGAAAGACCAAATGAATGATATTGCCAAGCCAAAACAAACGAAGCTGCTGTGTACTGTAACTGGACTTTGCCGTTGGTGGACCAAGCCAACGCATGAAAATCATTGATTGGCCAGATGATAGTTCAGTCTCACGATGAGAGTCACGGCTCAAGACGGATGGGACCATTCGTGGTTGGTGATAAAATTAGCGTGTGGATTAGTTTCACGGCCTTCAGTTCATGCCTGTTTGGACGTTCTAGAGGCCATAGTACAGAGACCACTGACCTTGGTTATGGAAGGTGGTATCTAGGCCTCCATTCTGGCCGCAGTTGGGCGCACGCTCGGAATCTCTCCGATGGCCTCATCTGAGGCACGCATGTGGATATTAGTACTATTTCAGGAAGTCAAAGTGGGAAATAGCATCTAGACCAGCAACAAAACATACTTTACCGTTGAGAGCTGAAGCCAGTACTTTGCATACATAACGTCTCGACTCGCCGTAAGAACCGCATCCGATTCTTCCAACCTTTCTTCTTAAAGCTTTCATGCTGTACAGACAACCAACAAGCCCATTTGAACACTTGCGCCATTTATCTACACACACCCATAACATCAGATCCTCGCCACCATGACCACCGACCCGAAGACCACAGCTGCTGCTGCAGCGAAGCAGAACACATTGGCTCATCGGCCAGCTGCTCAGGGAACCCTGAACAAACAGCCCACCATCCGTCCTGGCTCTTCCTCCAGTACTGCACGTCCTGGCTCGTCTTCCAGCACGGCACGTCCTGGCTCGTCTTCCAGTACTGCACGTCCTGGCTCGTCTTCCAGCACTGCACGTCCTGGCTCGTCTTCCAGCACTGCACGTCCTGCTGCTTCTTCCAGTGCCCAAGCAGGCCAGGGTACAAAATCTGCCCCCGTGCAGCCTGTGAAGGCAAACATTGTCAATACTACGAAGAAGACTGTCCTACCTGCGAAAAACGTTGCCCCACCACCGACCTTGCCCAACCCCTTGCCCGAAGGGTTCAAGCTGTGGAAGCCTATAAAATTTCTCAACACCACGCCGGCGGCTAACAAGCCATAGAAAGTCATTCGGAAGCATTGGGGCGTTTTAGATGCGGAGGGCGTTAGTTGTTCTGGATGTGCCTGGGAATTGACCTATGAAATAGGAAATTAGAATTAGCACTCGTTTTAAGCGATTTTCAACGTTCTTTTGCTCACCGACCGGTTCTTGATGCTGGTTACCGCAGTGGACCTATATATAAAATGGTGCAGGCCGCCAGTTTCTGAATCTTCGTTGTAGCGTCCAACCTGGTGAATATTTATCTTTACAATTTTGACCTTCAATGTCTCCGTCGGCACCTTGTGTGGACCTGAGAGCCTCCCATCGGATGCTCGGTAGAAGGAGGTGGTTCGAATATTATCCCAGCAATGATGCAAGCATGAGCGTACATTTAAAGAATACTCTCCTTTCCAGTTCATTGATCAATCGAATTTTCAGCATGTCACATAATGATGGGCTCAGTTGTGATGTCCCGCTAAAAGAGGGAAAAGGGCCAGAACACCTTGGTACACCACACAAATATCAGTTTCACTTTGTGAGCGTAATGAACTGAGAACGGGTGCGCTTACTGGAAACGTGCCTGTAACACGACTAGATCACGTGCAGACATGCGCGGCATCCAGGCTGCATATAGCCGATCTTGCATTTGGGATTGAAGAAGAGTCTCTTTACTGGGAATTGTCCAGATCCACTTCCGCTATTAGTTGTGGTATACGCAAGAGCCCATTCTCAAGCCCCAAGAAGACAAAAGCCTGATCTAGTGGTATCAAGAATTCGGAGAGCCTTCCGCCAACTGTTCTCGTGACCCAGAAATCCACCGGTACTCCGTGTTTGTTGACTTGGATTGATACGTTCGGGATAGCGGTTCCAATGGCGTCCATGTGAGATCTTCCTCTGGCCTCTTGCGTTTTGTTCTCTGTAGGAACTTGGGCGTCTTCATGCCGAACTGCCAAGGAGGCCTGACTGGCTCGATGGGTTGATGCCTGTTCTTAAAAAATCTGTTCAAGGTCGGGAGGCAGGCGCAAATTAAACCAATGCTCACTTCCGCAGTACTGAACGCACAGAGTTAGATGGAAGCTCGTGCGCGCGTTTGCTTTGCTAACCAAGGGATGCCGCTTACCCGAGCAAGTTGAATCTGACAAAGTCCACCGTCTGATCGTCTGACCTCTGGAGCATGATGACCAGATACATCCTCACGAAGCTCGCCGCAGTGGCAGTACCGCCCGCTCCCAGAAGTAGATATACCTTCATCTTTTGCCTCCAAGGCATCCTCAGCGACCCAATGAGTGGGATCGGTGCCAGCAACACCACCAGATCCGTGACCGCGCTGATGACAGTATCAGCCACGAAGATAGCCCTCTGATTGAAGCAATGAGATGGTACATCCAAGTTCCAGAATCCCATTATCGGTCGGCAGATGTTGATTTTGATGATCATAACGGGAAGATAATATCCCAGCATAGCGGCGATAAAGGAGTACCCGAAAATGACGAAGCCGCGGCTGACATTGAAAACGCGGATCATGACGAGGAGTAGTGTCACTTTGACAAACCACGCATTGGGGCCGTACACGACGGTATCTGCATAGAGTGCCTTCCAAAACATTATAAGTTCAGCCGCGGTGTTTCATAGATTCTGTTGCAAGTCTTCTCTTGGAGATGTACCTTGAGGAAATTCGAGAACCTCTCCGACGAGATCTCCCAGGAGTGAAATCCTCCGCCAAAAGCGTTCACTTCAGGTTGTCAGCTAGAAATCTCTCGCAGAAGATAACAGATGATAGTCGAGACGCACTTGCGAAAGCTGTAGAGCTATACAGATTGCTCAGGACCTGTATACCGCTGTTAGATGCAAGTCTTAAACATCGGTGCCGTTCTGGTCGTCTTACGAGGGAAATAAGACAACTCCCTGTTCAATTTACCAGTCAGTCTTATCAAAACCATTCCACGGCGGGTGTCAAATTTACGGAAAGGGGTCATACAATCATCTATCCGGAAGGGAGTTTCGTTCTTCCATCTTGTTATGTAAAGCCGGAGAGATACAACTGGCGTGACGATAGCTACTGAGAGAATTTGCGAGACGAGGTTGATCGTATGCAGAACGTCCTCCGGATTCTCGAAGTTGGGAGTCCGCCCTGGCGGTGGGGGAGTTGCACCTTGTTTCACCTGGGCCATCTCGTGCGATGCATGCTTAGCTGGTGAAAGGAGGATGCGATCTTGAAGTCCGGAAAGACGTCAGCTGGATGTACCCGGACCGGACCGCGGAGCGACCAGCCAGTTGATGGCGCTGATAATCTAAAAATTACGCTTTTCTGCTAGACAGAGAGGAGTTGTTGCTTTGAGAGGGTTGTAGCCATAGGGTTATAGTCACAATATTCGTCTGCCGATGCAATATGTGAAGACCCGGGCGTATACTTGAGAGGCTGGGCCGCATCAGCGAGCCAACGAGTCAGTTATACGGCGTATCTCTTCATGCCATTGATTTCCTACTGCAAGAGGTTTTAAAATGGTGGCTGCTCCGGACCTCCAGACTCTTCAGCCAAGACGGTGTTATCTATACTTTCCTCGAGTCATCAGGATTGGATGATTGTGAAGGGCCCGGGCACTGCCAATAGGCACATGTATATTCAGTCAAGTCATTGTTCTCGACCCTTTGCCCTGCACCGAGTCGTCCAGATTGGAAGAATATGGCGCCGGATCCCCGGACATTGATATCAAGCCGGCCCCCCTTCCAATCCCACACCACACAGCAAGTAGCATTTGGGCGCAGACTGCGACAGAGTATGTGCGCATGATCTTCGCTAAGCTTCAGGCCATGTCTTCCGGGCCAGCCGTTGGTGTTTTTTCACCCAACGCACAGAAGAAATGGCAACGTCTGCGCTTGGCGTTGGAGCTGCGCAGACATCGCTTACGGCGGCAGGCTGTTTGAAACTATCTTGGTGTGAACACCAAACTTTATTGTCACCTCCGTCTCTATCACCGGTCTGATTGCCGATTTGATAAAGCTCCGAAATTTATCCTTCCGTGGAGAAAATAATTGGACGATGCGAACTCAGGGTCTTAAAACTCTAAACGAAAACGTAGACGCTCTCCTATGTCTTGCATCTAAAGAACCTAGAAACAAACGAGAATTGGACCCCACGGAAGCTCCACATTCTTACACACTTTCCAAGAGTGCATCTTGGATCGGCCCCGGATCGAGAGCCACCGGCAGATCATGAGTCTAGACTCGAGGAGGCCCGTGAACCACAGGACCCGGTACGCCTGAACCCACGTCTTATTTTCCAATGGAAAGGCAGGCTTGGCCCACGCCCCCAGAGTTCTCAGCCCGGGCGTTAATGCCACTTCAGTCTTTTCAGAGCATATCTTGACGGACAAGTCGCCGTACGTCTTGCTTTCACACTGATGCCTCTGGTTCGCGTACTCTTTTTATTCGAGGCGCACGCACCACGGGTCGAGGCATGGAACTGACCATCTGCTTCGTAGCCATTGGAGGCTCTGCTGAGATACCTCGACGTGAGCCACGTCTCCCAGGTCACATCGACAACTGTGCAACCGCAGCTCGAGCTTGGCTCCGCACGCCATCTTGGGAAATCACGCGATGGCGCTGCCCAACTGCGCATAATGACTTGGGTGCCCGATAAGTCCGCCGAGCATCTCTGCGTTTCGTGGTGATGAACAGACGGACTTCATCAGCTGTCTGATGACCATGGCGGAAGGAAAGCGAATCGGATTCATGCCGCCTGCGCAGCTTTCTTTCCAGTGACACATGTCAAGACCTCATTCTTCCGCCCCAGAGTGGAGGTAGCCCATGCATAATATGGACTGTCCAGGTCCAAGAGCACACCCAGAGACAGCCTTGAAGAAGATCTCCGGTGGGAACAACAAGGCTGTGTACACCTAGGTTCTGAGGCTCAGAAGAGCACACCCTCAAGCAGTACACTACAAGGTGCCGGATCAAAGAGCCTACTCCCGGAAAGATCATGCATAATGAGTGAAAATAGGAAGTGACACTGGTACACCAGCTTGAGAAACCCCGGATCAGCTCCGGTGTACAAGGGCAGGTATATAGTTTCTCGCGGTCTCGGAAACAGTCACCACAATTTGTATACCGAGCACTACAAAACAGAGCCTGCATGTGTTTATATGGCTACGCCGTATATGAGTCTTCCTGGATCCAACAAATTCCGGTAGAGTCACCAGATTACAACACACATGATGACGGATCAGCTCACCTTTAAACACCAAACGTGACATCCAACCTTCTATCCAATCACCAAAACACAGCGGCTGAGCACAGCGAAGGTACTATTGGGCAAGCATCTTCGGACCGATTGCTAATTATCTTGTTTACATTGCAAACTGACATGGGGCAGGTATTTTCGGCCAGTCTACCTAGGGATCTACCGGCCGCCCACCAAACCATTTACCAGGCCAGTCAAGCACAGCCTCAGCATGGTCATGTCTAAACATGTACATTTGAAAATGGATGTTACCGGGTATATTCATCCACATGGCGGCCATCCTGGCCTTCCTTCTCAAAAGTCGCCAGTCATCTTTCAGACATGGGCAGAATTGAGCAATTGTAAGGTGAAGCGAAATCCAGTTCCTCCGTCCAAGATGACTCCTTCGTCATCACATTTCGCGTGTTTTCAAAGCGAAAACCATCGTCTCCTTCCCATCATTAAAGCAAATGTCATTGCCATCCCACAAGGTGAGCCATACCCCGTACCGCCAGCTGAGCGACCTCCCTCTTGGCCACAGTGGCGTTGTTATTGTCTTCGCCACCGCCAATGCTGTTCGCCTCATCGCTGTCCGGGTAGAAGAAGGCCGCCACAGCGATGATGACATAGGCGGCGCAGAGCAGCGCGCCTTCGAGGTAGTTGCTGCGGCCGTCGAGAACGAGGAAGTTAACGATGAAAGCCGACACGAACATACTAATGGTCTCGAAGAGCGTGAAGTACAAGCTCATGTCCTTGTTCATGATCCAGCCGATAATCACAATCAGTGGGGTAACGAAGATGGCGATTTGGATGCTGGAACCGATGGCTACGCCGATGGCCAGGTCCATCTTGTTCTTGACCGCCACAGTGACTGCTGTCACGTGCTCGGCCGCGTTGCCGACAATGGGCAGGAGGATCAGGCCGACGAAGGCCTCGGAAATTCCCGACTGACCCGATACAACTCCATCGATAGCGTCGACCATGAACTCGGCGCAGAGAGCGACCAGGGCTGTTGATCCCAGGAGTAGCAGTACGGCCGATGTGCGAGAGATTTCAGGCTCGTCATCTTCCTCTTCATTGGCACCAGTGGTCAAAGGTCGGCTGTTCACAACGATGGGAACGATGGGAGGTAAAGAGCCAGGTTGGGCGCGGTAGTACTGGTCCTGCGAGGGCATGGACTGGGTTCTGCGCAAGCCTTGGGGGCGGGGCTGCGGCTGTGGCTGTCCTTGTGTGGGCGAGTTGGTGAAATTGGCAGGGTTGGTGAAGACGTTCTGAGACAGACCCTTTGCCAGGTTAGGGCGAAGAGTGCGCAGGGAGAACGGTTTCGGCCGAGTTGTACTGGGTTGACTCTCAAGATCTGGGCCGACGGCAAAGTCCACACGCTTAGTGTTGGAGTCAATACCGTCAACAACACCGCCAGTGACGACACTGGGCGGTGCGCCAGCTGCGGCTGCAGCCTCTGCATTGTCACGAGCCTGGTCCTTGTCCTTACGGCGGCTCTTGTGTTTGTGTTTCCTCTTCTTTTTGTCTTCCTGTGCATCCTGCAAAGCTTGCGCAGCCTCCTCGGTAAGTTGAAGCGTGACCGGTTCCTGGCTGGATGACGCGGTTGGCTGACTCACGGTCCGCCCAATCGTCTCGGACGGGGACTCCGCGACAGGTGAGGCAGGCGATGAAGTGATGGAGGGCTTCTCGGGCTTCTCGGCTTCAGCTGAGGCCATGCTCTGCTTGCGACTCCTGCCTTTAATGGCTCGCTTAATCTTCTTAGCGGTGCTGACAGAGTGGCCTGAGGAGTCTGAGTCAGAACTGGACGAGGAGTCCGAGTCTGAGCTGTCCGAGGACTCAAAGTAATGAGCCGCAGGGCCAGGAACGGATTCCTGCTCAATGATATGCTGCGGCGTGGACTCGTACATATAAGCGTGGGAGTTGAGTTGAAAGACCAGATAGAGGGCGTAGACCAGCAGCAGGATGACACTGGTGCCTCGGCTGACCTTCAGGACCTGGGTGTCTGCCTCGGTGCCGCTGCTGAAGGAAGCGTGGAAGGCAGTGGGCAGCAGGAGAGAAATGACACTGAGACTGAGGAGACAGGCGCTCATCTGAGTGACAGTACTGTTGTAGATCTGCTCCCGGTACTTGAGACCTCCGAGCACGAAGGCCATGCCAAGAATGAGCAGCAGGTTTGACAGAATAGAGCCCAAGAGCGACGCTTGAACGATGCGGATCTCATCCTGCACATTGATGTTAGCGGTTATCAGACACGTGAGCAGTCTGTAAGGATCGGGGATGAACGAACCTTGACGAGGGCAATGATGAAGATGATCAACTCGACAGCGTTGCCGAAAGTGACGTTCATGAGCGCGCCGACAGTATCGCCGAGCCTCTTTGCGACGCTTTCGGTAGCGTGAGCGAGCAGACCTGCCAAAGGCACAATAGCGATGGCATTCATCGCGAACACGATGCCATCAGAAAGGCCGGCAAAGTGGGAGGCAATGCCGACAGGGACAAAGACTAGGAGCACATTGATCCAGCTAGAGGTCAAGACGTTCCAGATGACATTGAAGAAGCGAGTCATAACCGGCTTCTTCTCGAGCTGTGGCTTCGTCTTCTCTCCGTCCGCCGGAGCGGCTTCGTTTCCGTCCGTGGGGGTATCATGATCGCTCTGGTTTTCGGTCGGTCGAGCTGCAGTGGAGGAGCGGCCAGTGGAGGATCGCGGGACGCTGGTGGCACGCGAGGAAGTGACTATGCGTGAACGAGGATCACCGCCATGGGCCTTTGCCCTCGCCCAGGTACGAATTCGGTCTGTGGACGGCCATAGTCAGTACAGATTGTGGTGGTCAGAGGTGGTCAGAAGCGGTCGCAATGGGTCACACGACACAGGTGTCCCGTCAAGAGGCCCGGCGCATGAATTGAAGCAGCACCAGGGCGACTGGTTGGGTGGGCAGTGTGTGGTTCTTGAGGCCAAGAGCCCAAGAATTGGCAGATGTGGACCAAGGAAAGCTTGACGTCTTGGAAGCTTGACTTACGCATAAATCAGCACAACAACCACAGCCAAGGACAAGCTAGACACGCAGCTGCACGTAGCTCTCTGGCGGAGTCGCGAGAACAGGCGGCTTTCTACGACACGCGCTGGGGTTGGGTCTCGGTTGACAGATGCGTCAAGCCTGAAAGCTATGTCTCTACTGTGGAGGATTGGGTTGGTATCTGAATTGCGGCACCAGATGTTGGTGTTTTGTTTACCTTGGTCGCGGTAAGGTAAGGAGAAGTGGGTGGGTAGGGACAAGAGACGGGAAGGAATGCCACCAAAAGCTGACCGGGTTCTTTTTGAGGATTGATGGCTGAATGTCTTTCGCCTGTTTCTGATGATGACGGAAGCGCCCGCCAGGGGAACCTAGGAACGAAGCTAGGAAGTTCCAAGACAATTGCTGGGAGTGATTACTACTGTGCAGTGACACGAGTGGGTGCAGTAAACGGAAACAAACGCGGCGGCGAGCCCTCATTCCCTGGTCGCTTGCTGGCGCAGTCACAACGCTTAGCCAGACTGGGCCGTATGGGACGGAGTGCCGACGGTGCCAAGCGGCTAAGGCACGCACGTCTCTGGTAACGGTCCCTGTGCGACTCCACCGTCACAGGTCTCGCCCGTTCCGACCAACAACAACTGCGTCATACCTACACAAAACTGCAGGCGGTTGCCATTTGCGTGGATACACGTAGCTCCAGCCAGCCAGCCAGTACCTGCATTCTCTCCCCTGCTCTGCCAGTCCTGCCTGAGCCACACTGCAATCGTGGCGTTCTGAGGCGGTGACAGAACGCTACGGTAGAACGCCAGAGCGCCAACGGTGGGTTTTGCCTCTGTCGCTCTCGGTCCCGTCACGCCTGTCAGCTCCAGACCCTGACCTCCTCCATTTCCGTCCCAGTTCCACCACATAGCACAGCCTGGACAGATGGATGCTCGACTCATCAAGACTCCTCGCTTTGCTCCTAATTGTTGACTGGTCTGCTCGTTCCTGGCCTCTTGCTTCGTCAATGAGATCGTTCAGCCCTGCAATTGACCGATCCACGGATTCACAGATCCACCATGCAGAGTCGTGCAGATGCAGGGCCGGGGCGGAATGAACCAGAATCTAGACTGCCAGACTGCCAGATTGCCACTGCTTGCACTCATCGCCAGCCACGTACCACGAAGGCGCAGGCATCTAGACTATTTGCCTCCTTGACTCGCCTGCTTTGGCATCACTGACTGCACTGATACCAGAGCAGTACTAGCATGGACAAGCGAGGTCATCGCGGGTTACCTACCACATGCCTCGCTCGTTGGCGATTCATGCTGTCAACAACACGACGGTTCGAGAGGATGACCGCAGGGCACGAGGATGCACATTCCATTCCATCAGGTAACAGCACTGAGTTGGACAACTTACCCTGTTGGGAATGGCAGGTTCTTGCACAAAGTAGATCGCGTCTATGCAGCGTTCTGTGCGCCATGGCAGCTCACCACCCGCGATGTGACTGGCCGACAAGGGCGAAAACCCTTGATCCAATTCCCGAATCGTCGTTGGTGGTGGGTGAGATTACTCGTGGGTGATGTCAACAATGCAGCAGCCCTCTCAAGCCGCTTCATGACGTCCTACAACCGCATTCAAACATTCACCGCCGACTCGTGTCGGCCCAGAACGTGTCAAAATCCTCTCGATGCCGGGCGAGCACGAGCTGCACCCGACCGGTGCGCCCTGTCACCATGGACCGCTGCATCAAAACTTGGGTTGTATCACGCGACACACTGTGCCTGCATAGAGATATCTCGTAATGCCTTCCTGTTTAGTTGGGTTGCAGGGCATTCTTGTGAATTCAATCGCTTGAATCTGCGCCGTGTGAGTATGACGACGGTGCAACCTCTTCCATGCTCATGGCTGGCCGGTCATCTTTGACTTTGCGTGCGGCGCTTCCATCTCTGAATAGCTTCACAACAGCTACCCGCAAGATGCTTGCGCCGTAACACAAGCGCTCCGCGGCATTTCCCACTTTGGTCACCTTGAGCCAGCTCTCGTCGTTTCACCATCAAGCTCAGCCGTCGTCGGCGGCCCGCAAGAGCCACGACAGAGCCCTGCCGCCTCGGCCGGATGGGGGCTTGGGGAGCTCCAACAGGCGCCCGAGTGGGAGCTTGGTCGGGTTGATGTATTAAGTTCAGCTTACGCAGGTTCTTTTTGCAGTTGTCCGATCGGCTGCCCTGCTTCCTGTTGGCTTTTGCGAGGGCTACGCCGCCCCTCCTTCGTCTCAGTCGCGGCCTGTCAGCCCGCGGCCCAGCCCGCGACGGCATCAACGGGCTGGCAGGATTCGGCCCCCAGCGGGCTAATTTTGGGGCAACAAGCACAACGTACATATTTTTCTCTCTCTCTTCTCAATGCAATGGGCAAGCTGCCTTGACATTGGGGCTGTCCCCCGTCTCATCTCGGTTGTTTGACATCTGACCGTCAGACCTAACAGTCGAAACAGCGACCTTCTTCCCGCCTTGCAGGTCTCCGCAGCGTTGCCGTGGCCCGTCTGGAGAAGACCTCACTTGTCCAAGTGTCACCCTTGTGCGACGCAGCCGTCTTTGTTGTCATCATTGGTCGAGTGTTGCGGTCAAGGGCTTCAGCTCTCAACATCCTTTCTCCCTTCGCGTTCTGTTGGCACTTATACACTCCTGGCTCCTTAGCTCTTTACTGTCCGCTCTCTATCCGACTCTTCTTTTCTTCTTCAGTCAGGATCGTGTAGTTACATCCATCCTCGAGCCCGCTGCTCTCCTGGCTCACAGTCCATAAGTCATCTACCACTCCTTGCATCCCAGCTCAATTTCCCACACCACACCACACCACACCACATCCCCTCACAACATGGCTCTCGCCCCAGTGGCAACGGTAGCCGCCTGCGGCAGCATCCTCACGGCCGTCAAGTCAGGATGGGAGCTGTCCCGAATGATCAAGAAGAAGGACCTCGAGAAGCGGCTGGACAAGGAAGCCAAGACGGTTGTTCGCGACCTCCAGAACTCGTACCTTGACGGACTCATGTCGGAGAGGTCGTTTGAGAAGTGGTATGACCGGATCGTGGGTGCTCTCGCAGAGAAGGACGGTTAGTATAATCCTATCCCACGTCATTCAGCACAAAATGTCGGTATTGGGTGCTGATCCCATGTCCACAGGCATGGAGCTTCGCAAAGTCCGCCAGCACATCGACCTTGTGCGGTCATCCAAGGACCGTATAACACGCAGCAACACGCGAGCGAACCGCAGCAGCAGCTATTACTACGAGGAGAAGCAGCCCCACCATCAACACCACCACCACCACCATCACAGCCACCGACGGCCGCACTCAGTAGACAGGTACTCGGAGTACACGCGGTACGAGGAGAAGCAACGGCGACCCAAGTATGATCATGGCAGCCACCACAACCCGAACCTGAGCCTGGACACGGACAAGGCGCAGCGTGAGTACTATTACTCCCACGCTCTGCCGTCGCCGTGCAAGGGGGAGATCGAGTACACACCACTCAACGGGGAGTTCGACGATGCGCGGAGCCACGCGGGATCCGAGCGCAGGGGCCGCGGCAAGGGCCACCACGGCGACAAAAAGGAGGAGTACGTGTCGCGCAGCACCAGCACCGTCGACCGAGGTCGTACGCGGTCGCGGAGCGTGCACCAGGAGCGGCGGACGCGGGACAGTAGTGCCGACGCCGACTCGGAGGCTGAGGAGGTGTATGAGCGGCGCGAGTACTTTCCCAAAAGGGGTGGAGGTGGAGGGAGGCATCGCTAAGTCCATTTGTGCCTGTTGCTGCCCATGTGTCTATGCAACCAGGTCACGGTCTAAGATAAGGCGTCGTCTTCGACCGTCTCGTTCTCTTTCGCCCTCGCCATCACCTGGTATCAGGCGTAAAAGAACGCGGAGACCGATGAGGCGGATCATGATCGGGGATGAGGTGCGCCTCGTGCCCAAGCTGGTGCCGACGGAGGTGGAGCTTAGAGAAAATGGTGATGATCCAGATGAGTTGTTTCGTGAGATGGATGAGATGCTGGACGTGGCGATTGCACTTGGTGATTTTGGCGAGGGCATCGGCGCTCTGGGCGATATCTTTGAGGTTCTGGGGTCGCTTGGGGATTTGGATTTGGATTTGGATGTGTGATGCATTTGCATATATCATGGTTTTTTACTCTTGCATTAACCCCTTGCATTAACTCCTTGCATTATGATTTGGAATGAAATTCAACAACAATGACAACATCATCATTATCATCTGTCTCTACCCGCATGACATATCGTGGTGCAAGAAATGTGGTGGGACAGAGGTACATCTCACACAGCAGGAGTTCAGCCGGTTGAATCGTTTTAGAAATACGTTGCAGGCAGGGTTATAAAATTAGTCTGTATTTTAGTCCGACTACACCTCAACTGCAGTCATGTAGTCGTACTCAGCCCTTCGGATTAATTACTTGTAGTTTTGTAGTCAGACTAAAAAACTACAAACTAATTGTAGTCCATTAATTGTAGTTGTAGTCAGGCTAGTGACTACAGCTGAATTATTCACAAATTTGCTGACTACAATTATTCAGACTACAATTATTCAGACTAATCTCAAACCTGGTTGCAGGCCTTCATTGCAGGTCTTTGCGAAATTTGGCAGACAAAGCAGAGGATGGAGTGGTGGAAGAATCCCATAGGCCATGTAGACGTTCGATCCTAGCTGGGGACGAAGTCTAGTGCACTGGCTAGTCGTCTTACCTTACCGACTCAATCGGGTTTTAGTTCTTCTATCCACGAACTTGCGGTCCCTCGCGAGAGTGGAACCTGCCGTGCGCTTGTGAGGACCCTCGCAGTGCCGTTGTGTTTTACAAGCGAGAGTTCGTCGCCCATGCCGTCAGCAGCGGTGAAACATAGTGGAGTTGTATTTGTGAATTCTCAACTAGTAAATCACCAGTCGACAGTGCTGGATGTATGTGATTGAGAGCATGAATTTGTGTCATTGTAGGAACAAGTTAAAGTGGAAAGGGTCCCGAAGGGACCATTCTATTTGTACACAAATCGTGAGATATGTGTCGGTACGGGCTTCCCGTCTCGATGCAAATCATTCCTTCAACGGCAGCGCAATGGCTAATTGGCTCGCTGGCTGGCTGGCGCGTTGAGGACCTGCAGCTGGCGCTAGGGGCCCTCGACGCCGTTCGACGCCATTGCTGCGGCTCTTCGGTCCCGGGCCGTGATTCCCCCTGGATTTGCAGCTACTGTGAGTCGCCTCGTATTTCCCCTCTCCAGGCAGCTATATTCTAGGGAAATACGAGATTGGGAGATGTTCTTTAGATTGGTGTCAGTAGTTATGGCATTCATCGTCGACCACCGGCATTCACGTATATAAAAAAGCTGTGTCCCGATTCAATCACTGACAGATATGGGCCTTTGCGTTGTAACTCTCACCGATATTGATTGGCGAATTTCCCTACGCCACCTTAAAAGCCCGTATCGCCCATCATGCCGTCAATGTCACTTGTAACCACCATCCTCCTTTCCTTCCTCTCACTCACCCAGGGTACTGCCATCCTCAACGCTAGACAGTCTTTCACGCCACCTGCAGAATGCGATGTGATACCAACATGGGAGGTGACTTCCTTTAATTGGTTCAACTCGAGCAACAACCTGGACTGTGTCACCGAGTCGAATGCCCGTAAGTTCAAAACAAACAGCGCTCTTCCCAATCAAGAAAAAGAGAAAGAAGAAACAAAAGTACTCACACCAACGCTCGCAGCCCCGGAAGGCGTCTGCTTCAACTCCACCTCCTCAGGCCTGGTACCATGCGACGGCAACCTCGGCCCTTGCGACCGCTGTGGCATTGGGGCGTGCTACACCGGACTCCCGCTGCAGCCTGCGGGCTTCGGACCCCCTGACACCATCGCCATCACCACGTCCGTCTCCGGGTATGAGTCGTGCTTCGAGTCCAACCCGCAGAGCATCCGGCGCTACGAGGTCGGCGACGGCACCTTGTTCTGCGGCGGCGTCGCATACCGCATCAACTTCGTGGGCGACAGCAACACCGACGTCAGCACCGGCCACATCGACTTCAGCCCGATCCAGTCGTGGAACTGCAACAATGGCAGCACCATCCGGGCGAGTGGCAGCGTAGACTTTGAAATTGACTGCTCTCGTGACGCAGGGAACAATGCCACCTGCGTGATCCCGGGCGATCAAAGCATTGTGATACCAATTTTGTCGTATACGATCACTTAGGCAGAACTAATGTGGTCGCGCACTGAATGTGGTGGTTGTTAGCATTGGCAGATGGCTAAGCTGTTTGCCAGCAGTGTACTCATAGTGATCTGCATCGACACCAATGCCGGTCCTCTCGGAGCTGTCGTTACTGGTCATGGTGGAATGTCAACTCTGGGGATAAAAGTATCCTGTCCTTTGTGTCCCGAACTGACTTGCGCTTGGACTCATGACTGAAGCACGAGATGCTCAGTAAATGGTCGGTTTCCCAGTTCCGGAAGCACTTCTCTTATTTATTACACTGAGTGCTTCCAGTTTAGCATGACAAAGCAACCGACATTCTTTAACCCCATATTTGGATCCACCAGTTTCCAAGTGAAGTCCGAGATTTTGCCATTTCGAGATGAGCGCCGAGAGTGTGCTTCCAGAGGAAGTCTATAATTCTCCGTGGAAAAAGCAGTATTGATTGCGTAGTCAATTGTTTTGGCGTAATCTTGTCTTGGGACTAAAGACAATGTACGCAAATATTAACGTCACCCCATCGAGCGGCATGCCCTAAATTTTGGTGAAGATATGCACTGGCAGATGTTCAGTCGAGTACTCAATCTATTCCCTCAACTGCTTTACATAACTCAACTCTTTCTTCCACACCTCACAGATTCTATAAGGCTATGCATCTTGGCGTGTCAACATTCGAAAGTGAGAGGAAGATGGTATGTATTCAAAGTCTATGTGCCTAGGATCCAGTCCTGATCGACACTTGGTGTTAGAGTCAACCGTCTCGTTGTACGTGAACCAGCGCTCCACCTGCACAACATGCTCCTCTTGTTTATATATCGTAGACTTTTCACATCACCACACAGTGGCTGCTTTCCGTCCCATATATATCCCAATAGTGTGGCTTGTTAGGAATTCTCCCCTTGTCCTTTTCCCACCAACTGCAAGACTGCTGGTAGGCCCTCGCCTTCAGGCCATCTGGGCCACTCCATGAGTGACGCGTCAGGTAGCGCTGGAGCTGGATGGCAGAGATAGCACGCCCTGTCCAGTCCCAGCAGTCCTCCCTATCGTTAGGCCGGGCCACGGTCCGGCAGATCTCGTGGATGTGTGAGGCTGTGACACCTGGCGCCAGTTTGCCCAACAGGATGCGCCCAATCAGCTGGCTTGGTTCCCTCCAATTCTCCTCCCTGGACCGCGCTGTAGATGATGAATAGACCCATCCGGATGGATAATCAGGACGATTAGAGTATACAGGATGAAATTGAATGTGAAAGTAATCGCCGGGGCCTTTGCTGCCCTTTTCCTCAACCCAGAGGCCACAGTGAAAGACGCGGGGAGTTCCTTGTGTGCCTCTCGGGCCCTGCTCAAAGTACACACAGAAGAAAATGCGTCTTTTATCACTAGACATATTGATTGATAAATATGATTGCAGAGAGCGAAGACTGTGGAATGAATTGGAGACACGTTCCTGACATTGTCTCCAAGCTGTATGGGACAATAATGAATTTATTATCTTCGGATAAAAAGTGGAGACATGTATGCAATTCGCCCGATAGGCAAATGATGTTCCTACCCTTACTTTGGAGTAACCGTTGACGCTGACCTTGACCTGGGTCCATTCCGGGGAAGTCCTACCGTCGTTCCACGCTGTGAGGTGCAGTTGGGCTGACGTACTGTGACTAGGCCAAGGGGCCGTGGTGCCCGCTGTTGGTACTTGGCGTGGGTCGATGCATGTTGGCTAATAATAGACTACATGCTAACGAGGACCAACAAACGTTGGCCAACGTCGACCATCGGTGGGAGATTGCTAGCATAGATCTCGTCTCGATGAACATTGCATTGCCTTCATGCAGCATAGCACCACATACTACTCATCCAGCCATGAATTCACCGTCAAGAATGTCGAGGGAAGACGCCGTCACAGCATCACCCCGCCAAAAGGCCCAGGAAACGCAACATCTGCCGCCGCCATCACCACCACCACTACCGAGCGAGGACGATAGAAAGCCGTCGCCGCTTCCTGTATGGCTACAACTGCGCATCAAGGCCAGCGCGCTTTTGAACAGATCCCGGCGGCACGGACCCGGCAACGTGGTTGTGCTACCCTTTAACAAGATCGCCAAGCTCAATGTTTCCGTCACTGAGATCGCGGCCATGAACTTTGTGCGTGCCAACACATCGATACCTGTTCCCGAAAGTAAGTTATCTTAGACAAATCGAGCTACAATGTGTAAACATTTCTTTCCCTTGTCCCTCCTTTATTTTCGTTTCTAATGTTTAATCCGGGCTCGCACAGTCCTTGAGGTTCACTATGATGCCAAGTTTGAAGGCTTTGCCAATATTGTCATGACGAAGCTTGCCGGCGATGACCTGGCGGACGTGATCCAGGACATGAGCGACGCGGAAGTTAAGTCGGTGGTGAAAGAGCTATCGGGGTACATGAAGCAGTTGCGACGCTTCGACAAAGACATAGGCGGTAATGCACCGGCGATAGGTGGACTTGGCGGCATCCCAGGATATGATAGCCGCATCGCCTCTATTCCGTTTGGCCCGTTTGCCACGATGGCGGACTTCCACACCTACTTACGCCTTAGAGAGCCTATCGAGGATTGGATACTCGAGCCCGACGTGATGGCGGTTCACGGGAAGCCAGAGGGAACGTATAAGGTGAAGCTTACACATGGTGATATTGCGCCGCGGAACATTCGGGTTAAACGTGGTAAGATTACTGGTCTTATTGACTGGGAATTTGCAGGTTGGTATCCCGAATACTGGGAGTATACTAGGATGTTCTTCCCAGGTGAAAGGCCATACCTAAAGAACTGGTATAATGCTATCGAGGAGGAAGACGGGATAGGTAAGTATAAGACTGAGAGGAAAGCAGAGGAGGCGATCTGGTCGCGGCTTGGACCCTTTGGGTTTGAGTAATATGATAGCGGCGCACGTTGCAATGATTGAAAAAACTGCTAGAACTTCGCCCAGAGGCACTGGACAGTTGCTCATCCATATCTTTGTTGTATGACAGTCCCAGGCAGTGGAGTAGTCAAGCTGTGTGAATAATATCTGACCCTCTTGACCCTTATGCTGAGGTAGGATTGATTAGAGTAAGATCTCTACATAAAGATTAGTGCAGGATATAGACTCTGAGGCAGAATAAAGCGTGATAGAAAAGGGAGTTGGGCACTTTGTAACTACTTTCATTCGCCCGCAGGCCCGCACGAAATCATCCTTCTCTCACGCCCCAGCCTTTTTCCTCACTGGGCCTTTCGGCGTCTCCCTCATTGCCACGTCTCGCCCCGCCCTTCGTCGAGATTTCCAAGAACCATCACTGAAGCTATGAGTTTCTGGTGCCTTCACTCAAACAAACCTATAGAATCGAATGGCGCCTGAGGCATCAACCAAAGGCACCACAGTGGGGGTTGCGATTTATGTGTGTGGTAAATAGATAGTTCGAGGCTAGTTGGACTTGGTGCCAATTCTTGACCCACCAGACTACATATCAGGATGTGCGCCACAAATGACAAGACCATTCCAGCTCCCTATCACGTATGAATCATAAGAAAGACATGATTAGACAGTTACAACGTGATGTTTGGACCCCGTGATTGCGTCGATACGGGGATCCATTAGTGTGGAGACCGCTAGCCGGGCCTGCTCGATTTCGGGATGGATCCGACGATATACTGATACTGCGCATTGGTGTCGGGAATTTCGGGATGAGAATTCTTGGAGTCAGACTCTTAGAGCCAAACTACCACCTCGTCCCGAAAGAAGAATCTATACTCAAAATTGCTCATTTCCTTGACTCCGTACGAGTCACCCTGCACTCTCTTGCCGGACCGGAACGCGGCCTTTAGCAAATAATGTATTCTCTCTTGGAGCGAAGCGCTCTCACGGCAATTCGAACTCTCTTACCGTATTTGATATCAACCTCTCCAGGACAGAGCCGGAGTCTTGGGTATCTTTCTCGTCAGTGTCCAACAGTCTCTGATTCCTCAACGGCCAGATACGCTATTCATTCATTTTTTCAAATCATCATGGTTCGCTTTTGCAAACTCTTGGCACTCGGTGCTGCATTCACATCTGCCCTCGCATTTGAACGGGTTGATACCCATATCCACGCCCTTCCCCCTCCATACATCGAGGCCCTCAAGGCCGCTGGGGGTGATCCGTCCGGCTTTCCAACGCCGGACTGGACGCTTGAAGCAACGATTCGCTCTATGAATCAGGTCAACACAGACATCGGTGAGTTGAGAATGAAAGAATGGGCTTTGGGACTCATGCTAAACCAATGAGAATAGCAATATTGTCTCTCTCCACTCCCGGTGTTCCAATCGCAGGTACCGGCGAGGCTGTCAGAGTCTTGACCAGGACGCTGAATGAGTATTTCGGGAATGCTACGACAGAGGTCGAGTACAACAAGCGTCTTGGGTTCTTCGGAGTTCTCCCCGACTGGCGAGACGTCAATGGTACCCTCGCTGAACTGGACTATCTGTACCTATCGCAGAGGTTGTGCAACGGTGTAACCGCGTACACCACATACGGGGATATGCTACTCGGCGACCCTCTCTTCGCCCCCATCTGGGCCAAGCTCCAGAGTTACAAGGCGCTTGTCTTCGTTCACCCAGGTGTCTTGGCTGTCTCGCCAAAGTTCATCGCGTCCAACCTACCCCAGCCCGTGGTGGACTACCCCATCGCAACGACGCGCACAGCCGTTGACCTGGTTATGACGCAGACAGTGCGCCGGTGTCCAGATGTCGACATCATCCTCTCTCATGCTGGCGGCGCCCTCCCATTCGTCGCAGGAAGAGCGATCGGAAGCCTTGCATTGCCGGAGATTGCCAGCGCGGTAGGTTATGATATTGTTCATGCTAGACAGGATTTTGGTCGGTTCTATTACGATGTTGCTTTGAGTGTGAGCGCTGCTCAGCTCCACGGGCTTTTGGACTTTGCGGATGAGTCTCGCATCCTTTTCGGGTCCGACTTTCCGTACGCGCCACAAGTCGCCATCAACACTTTGTTGGCGCAGTACGCTGCGTTTGTAGCTACGGATGACAGAGGTTCTATGGTTGGCCCCCTGAAGCTTCGAGAGAACTCCCTCAAGCTGCTGAGCAAGCATGCCTTGAGAAAGAGCTTCTAATGTCGGCAGTTTTCTTTAATAAACCTGGCCGCTTCTTCCCTGCGCAGAGACGCTGTACATCTAAATAGAGATTCTAAGTTGGACGCATGCACAAATCTGTACGTAGTTACTGATATTAATTTTCTTTTTGTTCTGCAACGAATTTCAATAATTAATTTAGATTGACAAACTTCTCTCACTACGATTTCATGCGGAATCTACGCATCTTCATCGGTCGTCTTTTGCAGTGCAGTTGTGGATACAAATCTGATTACACATTCCATAGTCGCCGCAAACAGTTTTACACCTGCGCAGGCATCCCAAATGTTAATTTTTGACTTCTCCACCCGAAGTCGCTTTTACCAACAAATCGGGCAAAATGTGACTTTGCTGGTCTAGGCTCACCAACAGGAAAAGTTACAACGAGAATTAGAATCTGGGATGCCCGCGGAGGTGCAGCATGTTGCAGTGAGAATTTCTAAGGTGACGGGACCATTCCGAATCGCATCCACCGAGTGTGTCGGGACAGATCCGAAGCCTTCCACGCATACTTTGGGGGCCCGCAGACGGGTAAGATGGTTACGCCGACGGCCAGTATATGCGAATTAGATTTTCCTCAAAAGCATCAAAAGACAAAGTGACCTGCAAGAGATCTACTCAATGAATCAATCTACTCTATTATCTCTGTCCAAAAAAGCATCCGTCTCAATTCAACGCGATGTTTCCTCGTTTCCTACACATCATCGCGGCATATTGCCATCAAAATCCCACGTCATTTCGCCTGGCAACGGCTGCCATTGTGCTTGCATTAGTTACTTGGGCGGTTCTCGAATTCTTCAAGCCCCTGGGGAAGCGGACGGCAAAGAACGGAACCAAGCCCAGACTACCCCCTGGACCCCCTGGAGTTCCCTTGCTAGGTTCCCTCTGGAACTTCATAACACAGGATGGTGACTCCATAAAATTAATGGTGCGTAAATATACTCAGCTTATGGAATTGGAGTGCAGAGAACCCAGGTCTTTGCTGAACGACCGTGCAACGCTAATTGCAGCCACAACAGCTGAGTGACTTGGCGAGGTACGGAGAGATGACGACGTTGCATCTTGGGTCAAAAACTTGGGTTTTGCTCAATACCCACCGCGTCACAAATGAAATTATCGCCAAAAGAGGCAGCCAGACCAATACCAGGTCCCCTATGCCAGTGTCAAGCGGCCTTGTCAGTCAGGATAGGCGGTCTTTGCTTCTTCCCCAGGAGCAGTGGACGGAGCGCCGCCGCGTGATGCATGGGCTCCTGAACGGCACAGCGCTTAGACAATATGGGGAATGGCAGGAGCAAGAAAGCACCCACATGATGGCTGAGTACGTGTTCAGGCCTGAGAAATGGTACCGCCACCACTACCGCTACGCTAACTCCGTCATCGTCCGGATTGCCCTTGGCGAGCGCCCGCACAAGTCCAGTAAGGAACTCGAGGAAATGCAAGACACAGTCACCTTCTTCGTTGGAAGCATTGGCAGAAACGTCGTGGATTGGTTTCCGGACCTGGCCAGGCTGCCTTGGTTCCTCCAGGTATGGCGTCCATATTGGGCCCGGCTCGGTCGATGGAACTATGAGCTCTATAGCAAGTGGTACAATCCGGTCAAGGAGAAGGTAATGGATGGAACGGCACCGGCCTCCTTTGTTCGAGACTACCTCATGCACCCTGATACGCGGTTCAAGGCGGACGACGATGACTTGATGTACATTGCCATGCAGCTGATCGAGGCTGGTAGCGACACCACTCGCGAGGCGCTCAACATCATGGTCATGGCGGCACTCGAGTTTCCTGAGGTGTTCGCCAAAGCCCGCGCCGAGGTTGACCGCGTCTGTGGCGTCGGTGGAGCGACCAGGTTGCCGGTCCTTGGGGATATGGAGTCTCTGCGATACATCTGCGCCATGGGCAAAGAGGTTCTTCGGTGGCGGCCGATCTTCCCCCTGACCCCGGACCACGTGGCGTCATAGGATATTGAGTTTGAAGGGTATTACTTCCCTGCCGGCACTGGGTTCGTCATCAATGGGCCCGCGGTCTGCGACGAGTGCGAGGACCCTGATGCCTTCCAGCCTGAGCGGTGGCTGGATGACCATGAGACGGACATTGCTCATGGACTCTGGCAGTTTGGCGGGGGCCGTCGCATATGTGTTGGATATAGACTTGCGCAGAGAAGCTTGTTTATCAATATAGCCAGGTTGGTGCAATGTGTCAACTACAGTCCAGTAAGCTCAAGCTACCCTCCCTGACCATCACTTCTTCTGCTTCGAACAGAACAAATCTTCAAAATTAGTCAATTCGCTTACACAAAATCGATTGCAGAATGGGCCATATGATCCAAAACATCTGAACTTGGAAGCGCTGGATGAGCCATTCCCGGTGAAGGCAACTATTCGTGGCGAGGAATACCAGTCGTTGATTCTCAAGGAAGCGGAGGAGGCGGAGGTTTTAGACGAGGCGAAGTTCAGTGGAGGGTTATAAATTAGCCGCCCAAAGATCGTGAAAGAAGCTTAAGACAGAATAGTGAAGAGAGCTTGCATCCGAATCTGGGTGTGTGATGCTTTTCTAGTACCAAATTGCAGATAATACCTCGCAGTTGCCTTCCAAGTTGCTTCTCACATTTACATTCTTCACTTTGTGTTCCTAGAAACTCGCGATGAATTCGCCTTAGACAGTAATTTGAATGATTACTTCTGTATTCTAAGTTTTTCAGCCTTAGCGTTGTAGTCGAGATGCGGCCCACGCCTGCATTCTCTGGGTTGCATCCCCGAACACGCCGTGAACCCCCTCTAACAGTATACAATCATGAACTTCACAAGGGCCAACCTCTAACTTTACATCCACATCAGGGTTCATCCGGCGAACAGCTTCGCTGAATGACAACACATGATCCCTGAACACCTCCTCGTGGCCACAAGTGACATAAACAGATTCAGTAACATGCTTGATGTTCCCCAGCCAGGTGAGGTCGCTGTCCAAGGGCAGTGCAGGGTGTGCTTTGAGCCTGTCCGTCTCGTTAATGTCGCCCAGAACGTGTTTCTCAGACTGTGACACAATTGAGGCGCACAGCATGTCGACCAGTCCGTTCTCACGGAACGAGACTGTATCGGTGTGGCCACTGACCCATGGAGAGACCAAGAAAAAGCCGGCGAACCGCAACGCATCGCCTTTGAGTAGCTGCGGCCCAGGCTTCGGATGAGATAAGTGGTGTAGCAACTGAACGGCTAGGTTCCCTCCTGCCGAGTCGCCACCGACGATCAGGTCTCGAGGTGCGATTCCCTGTCCCAGGATGTGGTCGAGGGCGGCAATAGCCTGCCGTAGCTGAGTTGGGTATTTAGCCTCAGGAGCCAGGCTGTACTGCAGAACGGCGACAGCAACTTTGTGCTCCTTTAAACTTCCATTCGTGCCTTCTTTATGCTGTTCGTGTACGTAGGCGTGCCAGCACCAGTTGAGGTGACCCGGGGTCAGCGGGGCAACATAACCTCCTCCATGGAAGAATAAGACGAATTTTGTCGCGCGGTCTGGATTTCCAACCCAAAGAATGGAAGCCGCGGGTTCCACTTGGAGCGGCACAATGCGGCTTTTCAACGCCTCCTGCGAAGAGTCTTTGGATGCCCCTTGTAGTTGCATCGCCTTGACCCACGCCGTGTACGTCTCCAAAGTGGTGGGCGAAAGGGCTTGAATATGTCGAGGTTTGAGATTTCCGAGAAGAAAGCGAAATAGAGCGCTGGTAATCCACTTTTTGAGCTGGATATTACGCTTCCATGCTCTCGGCAGTGCGGCGGTACAACTGAACAGAAAGAACAGCGGAGCTTGGGGTATTGTCAGCTCCATCCGGTCTCGACAGAATATGGAAATTTGCCATTCACGAACCTAGCGAAAGCCTCATAGCTAAATCCATCTTTTCCCACACCGCCAGGCGAGGCCTTAGTGTCGACATAGTTATCTCGATAAGAGTTGAATGGATCAAGAGGAAGAAAGAATACTCAAATGGCAAGAAGGACCCAGAGTGATGGCGAGGGTCAGTCCAGATTTCTTGGAAAAGAGGGAGCAGTCAAGCCATTACTCGACAATCGGTGGATACGTCACGGGCCTCCTAAAGGCCCAAGCCAAGGAGTACCGCTGTTCGAGAATGGCGGGTGCGTTCCGAACGGACCTTGCGCTCGTATTCCGATCCGGTGTTAGGTTCCCTGGCCCGGGGCCCAAACAGATTCAATCCCAGTTTACTCTATTCTGTTTTTATTCTCGCCCCTTTCATCTTGGTTTTGCAAAGGGGAAGGCCGTATTGTGAATCGCCAAGCTCTCCTCACTAACTGAACCATTACTTACTATCAAATCCACGTCGCCTCGCCTATCCTAGTCACTATAATCATCATGACTTTACATTCTCGGGAAGGACTGACAGTGGATCTTGTTTCCAGAATTTTACGGCAAACAGCACTTAATCCTTGGCTCGCGATTCCTGTTTCGGTATGGACAGCCTGTGGTGTCCTGACGACCTCAGAATTCGCTCATGTTCGGCTGCTACCGTATCTTTGTGCCATTGTCGGGGCTGCACTTTGCGTGAATGAATGGCTCAACAAATGGTCTCTAAACAACTGGACAAGCAGCGGCTACCCAGGTTGGGATTGGGCCAAGGAAATCGTCGTGATTACGGGAGGGAGCAGCGGCATTGGTGCAAGCATCGCCCATCAGATCTTGGCTCGGGATTCAAGGACGATGGTGGTAATTGTTGATTATGCACCGATGACTTGGACGCCAAAACCGGGCACACATGTTGCATACTACCAGTGCGATCTGAGCAATGCCGGTGCAATCAGGACTCTCGCGACCAGAATCAGGTCGGAGGTTGGGCATCCCACTGTGCTTGTCAACAACGCTGGGCTCTGTCGAGGGGCGACGGTTATGAGTGGGAGCTACGGGGATGTTGAGCTGACTATTAAAACAAACTTGATTGCACCATTCCTCCTGGTCAAAGAATTCCTCCCACATATGGTCAAAATTAATCACGGCCACATTGTCAACATCGGCTCAGCCAGCAGTTTATTCCCACCGGCGAAAATTGCCGATTACGCGGCGACAAAGGCCGGGATCACGGCTTTCCATGAGGTATGTCGTATGAATCCGTGGTCAAGGGCCCTTCCCTTGAAAATGCCACTCTGACGAAAGAAAGGCGTTGCAACTAGAGTTAAAGCATATTCACAATGCTCCTAAGGTCCGCCTAACAATGGGGATTCTCGGGTTCGTCAAGACTCCTCTGTTCAAAGGCGAGACGCGGCAGTTTCACTTCCTGTTCCCACTGCTACACGTCGACACTGTCGGAGAGGCGTTTGTAGATGCCCTCTATAGCGGCCTGGGGAGAACGATCTACTTGCCCGGCATCATGCGCTATGCTGCCATACTAGTGAGTCCCTTTGGCTCTATTGAATTGTGAAGCACGCGCCTCCAAGTACTGACTCTGACAGCGAGGGGCGCCTGAATGGTTGAGTCGAGGTGTGAGGGAGGGAACAGGTTCGCTCGCCGTAGACTTCAAAGGCAGGCAAAAAGTGAACGAGGAGACGGGCGGGCTGGCGTAGTAGGTGCCCTAGATCATAATGACGCATTTAGTGCTGCGTTTTTTTATGCATCATGGTGCTTGAGAAGTAATTGCACGACTGATCAATACAATTATCACGATGTTAAGTTAGGATATTTGTTCTCACAATGACTACTCCTTGATCTCATATTGGAGCCCGATGCCATTCCATGAACTCCCTGCATCCTGCTTGTTGCACTGCGGAACCAATTTTTCACTTTCATTTGCTTCTGTGGCAATCGTCTGAACTCGGATGGTCTGATGACACAAGCTAGACGGAGATAGTGGAAATTCTTGCAGGGCGGAGGCCTAGTTTCCCTGAACCCGAGGCATCGGAATCATTCCGATATCACCAATGGCCCGTGTCAGATGCGTTACGCATTCACGGTTACGTCTGTACTTTGAACCTTGGTTCAGTTTACACTTTTGGGCCGGCCGGCAAATGCCTTATATAGTCCAGTCGCTAGACTTGAGAGGCGGTGAATCTGCCCATTGACAACTTTGTGTCACTGGTTATCCGCGAAAGTTGTCCGAATATAATATCACTCACTTCTCGGAACCTATAAAGAAGCAATGGGAGTCCTGGATCCAATAACGGAAGATGCAGTGAGCTACAGTCAGTTTGCTTGTGTTGGTACTGGCTTCTCAGCTATTGGCCTGGGAGCAACTCTCCAAAGATGGTACGGCGTTGACGGCATCGCATTCTTCGAGAAACATGAGAAGCTCGGCGGTACATGGTTCATCAATCAATACCCAGGTATTTTCCTCGATTGGCTCTTCTGGTTCCCTAATCGCCGGTCGTTTGGCGCATTCGTCAAATTGACTGGCGAATAACCCTCAGTATTCCAGTACTCTAACTTCTGCACTTGCTCACAGGATGTGCCTGCGACGTTCCAAGTAGCCTGTACAGCTTCTCTTACGAGCCGAATCCAGATTGGAGCCGTGTCCTGCCCTCAAAAGATGAGCTCTGGGCTTATCTGAATAGTGTGGCTCTCAAGTATGACTTGAAACGGAAGATGAGCTTCAACATGCAGGTTGAGCGTTGCGAGTGGATCGAGGAATGTGCCCGTTGGCGCATGACGATCAGCAACCTGGAATCTGGAACCGTCTTGACGCACGAGTGTCAGTTCCTTTTTTGTGCCTCGGGCCAGCTTGTGAAGCCCCGCGAGTTCGACGTTCCCGGGTCTGATACGTTCAAGGGCGACATGTTCCACACTGCGAGGTGGCCTTCGAACATAGACCTTCATTACAAGAAAGTTGTTGTCTTTGGGAACGGCTGTACGGCAGCCCAGGTGGTGCCCTCCATCGTCAGAGATACTAAGAGCCTCACGCAATTTGTGCGTTCGAAACACTGGATTCTCCCTCCCATCGACGCTGAGATTCCGGGGTGGGCGCACGTTCTGCTGAAACGGTTGCCTATCTTGATGAGCCTGCAGCGGCTGATTGTTTTTCTCGTTGCCGAGTACAACCTTCGTGCGTTTCCTCTGACGGAGGCGGCGCGTAGATTCCGTGCGGGACAACGTGTTAAAGCGGAGCGGTACATGCGGTCGACTGCGCCGGAGAAGTACCACGACTTGCTCATCCCGGACTTCGAGGTCGGTTGCAAGCGTCGTATCTTCGATTCCGGCTATCTTGAAAGTCTGCATGAGGACAAGCTCACGTTGACCAACGAAAAGGTCCTAGAGATAGTACCCGAGGGGGTGCGGACGGAAAAGGGAGTGGTGGAGGCAGATATCGTGGTCTTGGCCAATGGTTTCGTTACGAGCGATTTTCTAATCGGGATTGATGTGCGAGGCTACGGTGGCAAGACGCTGGTGGAACACTGGAAATCGTTTGGAGGGGTTGAAGCCTATAATTGCTCAGTCCTGAGCGGCTTTCCCAACATGTTCATACTGATAGGCCCAAACGCCGTCACTGGGCACACGTCGGCCATCATGGCATCGGAGAACTCGGTCAATTACGCGCTGCGGGTGATCAAGCCCATTCTCGACGGGCGCGCCAGCATCGCCAGCGTCAAGTTGAATGCGGAAAGAGAGTACAGCGATCGGGTACAGGCCGCTTTGAGAAACACGGTCTGGAACTCGGGATGTCAGAGCTGGTACGTCAAGAAATCCAGCGACGGCTCGGAGACGACGTGGAATGCCATGGCCTATCCTTGGTCACAAGCCCATTTTTGGTACCGCAGTTTGTTCCCTGTATGGGCGGATTGGGAATTCAGGGTGAGTAGTCTTCTCTTCCGGGGTGCGCTGGCACGATTGCGAGGTTACTGCTCACATCTTTGTCGCAGGGCCGTGTCAACAACAAAGGAGGACTAGCGAGAAAGTCCAGCTGGGCCGGCATCGTCCTACGCAGTGTTGCCATGAATGCAGCGATATTTGGAGTTGCATGGTGGTTGTGGAGTCGGGGCAGCAGCGATCACGGTGTCGACATTATGGGCCCGAAGGTCTCCATGGCTCTCGCTCGCGCCTCGGCTCTCCTGGAGAATCTGAAGGCATCAATCTTGACCAAGTGATGGTTAGCCTCGCCCGAGACTTTTCCTTCATCAAACCTGTGGCTTGCGACCTAGGAAGCGGGGAGCCGAGGCTCAGGGCATTATAGTGCGCTGTACAAATGGTCTAAGGAGTGGGTCGTGTGAGGTACGTGGTAGATAATCTAGTCGGGGGAACGCATATGCCGTCCCCGCTCGGGATGGTCCGACGGACCGCCGTTTGCCATCTAGGATCCGAATCTACCTTGATCTCATCCGGGTTAAATGGAACACTGTTGGTCTTGGTTCCGCTCAACGTGTCTAGCCGCCTAGCCTCTGTGAAACCTTGCATCAAACCATGACGATGTCTATGTACCGCGAACATCGCTTTTAGGAATATAGTGGTCCCAGGCCTTTACGTCGGCGAATTGGCCTCGTCTTTGACAGATCGTTTCAAGAGGGCATTCCAAATGTGAGGATAACCTGTGAGTACATCTCACTCTCACATGCTGCTCTTTTGCCACCCAAAACATCTTAAACACCCAGCCTTGTGTACTCATCGGTACTTTCTCCAGACGCTGTGTTGGTGCTCGTGGGCATCAATCTCAATTTCTGCAACATGGCGCCGTCGACAGGCAGCGGTGAGCGATCTCGACGCCGCAAGATCTCACTGGCTTGCGAACCTTGCCGGGTCCGCAAATCGCGCTGTGACGGCGTAAAACCCATCTGTGCCACTTGTGAACGCCGAAATCTTCCACTGAGTCGATGCATTTATACCATTGAGCAGAATGCGCGCATGGCAAGTAATGACGAGCAAGTAATGGCCATCGTCCTAAAACATGCCGCTCTCAATCTGTTCTAACCAAATTTTAGATACATCGCTGCGCTTCACGAACGCATTCGCCAGCTAGAAAGCGAGGTCCAGGTTCAAAATCAATATTCTCAGGGGACTCCCCAAACATCGAGACATCTTTCCACTGTTAATGACTTGGCCGATGGCGCCTCGATTCAGCCCGGAACTCCCTTACCTGGTATAGAGCTGACATCCCCGCCTGCCGACGATGGGTCATCGCTTCTCCCATCACTTCGCACATCCTTTCCTGCAGAGGCGGACACCTCGACAACCCATGTCTGTCACCAGCAATCAGACGATGCAATTACGAGGGACCATGGCCTAGGGCCTGGCGAGTCACAGATCACGGCCATGGGCACTGTTGCGTCCGAGGACGACCTGGACAGCGACAGCACCCCCAGAGACGAATTTTATGGCAACTCCTCCGCAGCCTCCTTCATCAAGGAGACCTGTAATGGTGTCATGAGCCTCCAAGAAGTCTTTAAACTTCCGATATATGCAGCTGGTCGCAGCGTCATGCGTGCTCCAGCTCCTCCGGCGTGGCGTACCTCGGCTTCCTACGTCCTTCCGCCACGGCCTCTTGCCGACCACCTTGTAGAACGCTACTTCGACAGGGTCTTCCACTTATATCCCTTCATTCACCGACCCAGCTTCGAGAGGGCATACAAGTCTTTGTGGGAGCCCCTTGGCCCTAGCCAGTCTACAGATTCCACCGACCCGACCGCACCCCTTGTAGGATTGGGAGGCTCTCCCAACGCCGGCGCCGACACCATAGTATTTCACTGCGCTCTCAATTCCATCTTCGCCTTGGCTTGCCACTTTTCGGACTGGATCGGTGACGATCGGGATACCACTGCGCTAGGCTTCCTGGATCGCAGCAAGTCGCTGTTGACACTCGACTTTCTCGAGTCAGAAACCTTGGGTGTGGTGCAGGCACTGCTCATCATGACCTTGTTTCTCCAGAGCACCCCCTTCGCGGGCCGGTGCTGGAACAGCATCGGTGTTGCATGTAGACTCGCCCAAGGCGCTGGGTTTCACATCGAGTGCAGTGGTGCCAGAGGGTCGCCGATTGAGACGGAGATAAGGAGGCGAGTCTGGCATGGCTGCGTTGTTCTTGATATGTAAGGGCCCCTTTCTTTCATTCTCGGTTTGATCTCCCTTCCAAGGGAGCCGAACTCTGGCATTGAGGAGCTGAAATCAACCTCACACTTCTCATCCGCGTTCACACTTTGTTCGACTGACCTTGTACTACGTAAAAGGCTTGTCAGCATGACTTTCGGCCGCCCGACCATGGTTACACATTCTTCCAATGTCCCGCTCCCTTCCCTCACCGAAGATGTCGATAATGCAGACGCGGTCACTTCCCTCGGAGACCCATCGCGAATGGAATACTTTCTGCAGAGCATTCGTCTCTCAACGATACTGGAAAAGATACTGGTCCAGGTCTACCAACCCTGGAGAAGCAAGTCCAGAGGGGATGAGACAAACGTGGAGAATCACCATTGCAGCAACTTTGACACCATAATTGACCTGGACTCAGAGCTGACATGCTTTGAATCTTCGGTGCCCAATTTTCTTAGCTGGACAACTGAGGGGGAAGTACCGGCTTCTTCCTTTGAGCCCCTCCTCATGCAACGCAATGTTATTCAAGGCCGGTGAGTATGCCTTCGGTTCCGCAATCTTTTGTCATCGCTAAAGATTGACATACGGAAAGGTTCTTTTATGTGCGACTTATGCTGCATCGGCCTTTACTTTCGAGGCTGTGGTCTTCTCATCGCCTACAGTCCAATGGAGCGGTAGCCGAAGCTTCAAGCCTAGCGCCTAGTCTATCCGGAAATACCCTCCGGTCAATTTTGACCATCGAATGCAGCAGTTCTTGTGTCCGATGTGCGATGCATCTGCTGGACCTCACATACAGCACGTTCAGGACGCAACACGGCGCGGCGTGGTGGTGGAACGCGCTTTGTGAGTTCATAGCCCTTTGGTTCTTCCCTTTGGCGCTCGGCCAGTGTCTGGAAGCTTTCTTCGTCGGAAACCCCCAGTACAATTCGATGGCTGACGGAGCGTACATGAAGATGCATCTACTGCAGGACTCGTGCTGGCGATGGCTCTTTCCTGCCCTCTGATGCACGCTTCGCTAGACATTACTTCCCTCAACAAGTCTTGGGGTGTCTGCCGAGCAATTCTGTCCGAGATTGCGAAGCTTAATACGAGTGTACGGAAGTCTCTTGAGCTATTGGACAAGTTCTACAGTCTGACTTGTGCCGGGCCCAGTAAGTCCTTCTATCTCAGCCTACCCTTGCATGGCTTCGGACTAACGTGAAGTTATGGATATTGCAGGCATGGACGAGCATTCTGCCACGTTCCATAACATAGCCGAAAATGAAGCTACTTTGCCCGATTTGATGGCGCACTTTTATCCCCAGGACCTGATTGGTGATCTGGGCGTCCTTGAATCGGACCCAACTTTGGCAGGCAGCACATGGTGACACTCGGTCTGAGGAAGTGGCAATGTATTCGACCGTCAAATAATCTGAATACCTGAGTTACTGGGGTCCCTCCAGCATGCATTAGCACCAATTAAATTTCAGGTCGTACCATTAGCTCATCAATTTGAATGTCATGTTTATTTCTCATAGAAATACCTATCTTTTGTAAGAACGAACGAACCCTTATTGATATCATCACGCTTGACGCCGACAGTAATCATCAACTTGCCAAAGTCAGCTGAATGTCTCAAACCATTATGCGTTATGCCATGCCAACGTCTTGGTCGATGTCGGAGTCACTGCAATGTCGGGTAGTGTTGATATAGTCGACTGCCTTGTGATGCCGACAAGCGAGTTGAGTAGGTTGATTTCGACCTTAAGTTTGATGCTATATACTAAAGCTCTCAGCGCTGGCTGGATCGTGGACAAAGTGGCGTATGTTGTCGCAAGCAATATTATGTCCAGAAATATCACAAAGCCGTTGACCACCAGAAGTGGCATGGCCAAGCGCTTCTTCGGCGGGTTTCCCGGGATTGATGCCTTGAGCCCGAAGAAGTTGATAGCGGATTGAATGTATAAGCCCGAAATTATTGACTCTTCGACGCAAAATAGCGTCATCTCAACTTTCCTCCATACCAAAAGGACTGCGAACCATGTTCCGAGGTTTGGAGGAGCTGCAGTAGTGCCAAGTTGAAACACCGCGGTTGGAATATGTGTTAAGATCCCGACAACAATAATCATAACTAAAACGGATCGAAGAACTATAGTTTCTTGTCTGATCAGGTGTAGTCGAGAATACAACACCATAGACTGACCAGAAACCATGAGTACCGTCCCGATAACAAGAGGACACATAATAGCATATGTTGGCAGTCCCGGGCTGTAGGCTAACAGAATAAATCCGATTGCATAAGGAAGAATTCCATTTGTGGCGATGGCAAAGGTCCAAAAATATAAACCAGATCGACGCGTAAAGGTATTCCAAATTAAAGTATTCAGCTCAATGACGTTATACATCGCTATGCTGCAGAACACAGTGCTCAAGACGACATCCAGGGTTGCCGGGGATGGTGGAGGCGGTCCGGCCCCAGCCTGGCGCGACAAATGGATCGACATATTCAGAAATAATATAAGAAGTTTCTTGAAAAAAGGTAAATAATTCTGCGTCGTGTGATCGTTCACGATTACCAAAATTGGTGGCTCTATCTGTGCTGAGGAAAGCTATCAGTCTTAACTTCCAGCTCTCCAAAGGCCCTTATGTAGCCCCCTACTTCGTTCGGTACATTAGAACTTTCATGAACAGCACCGACTTGAACTATCGTGGCGATATGACGAAACTCGGCATAGACGGTAGAAGATACGCTGCAGTGAAAAGCAATATAGTGCTCAGCCATGACTCACCAGTCGACGTTGTGCTACCTAATCGGCTCTTGTTCACTGATAAGTGAGGTCTTATCGTGCTGCAGGACAATTAGCCGGTCAGTTGGTTGGTTGATTTACTCTTACTCGGTTGTCGGGCTCTGAAAGGGGATCACTCTGAGATTCTGAACCTCACCGCCCATGGCATGAGCGAACCTCACCGCCCTTGGCGTGGGTGGCGTATCTGGATCGGCAGGTCTAGAGGCCACACGTGGCGTGTCTGGGTTGGGAGGCCCAGATGCCATGCTACGATGTGGCTGGAGTTTCAGGGCTTGTGCATCAATGGTCGTGATGTTGAAGTGCAGGTTCATTCTCAGGACAACAAGTGTTCACAAGACTTGAGGAGAAGTCAAGATCACACCGCTGCACTCAAACGAACGCGAAAGCGTCATTATGGAGTCTTGTGGCTTATTTCGTTTTCCACACAGAGCTAGGGCCATCCATTAGAGAAGGTCGTATGTTAGGGGGTATTTCAAGCGAGGTTATCCAAAGAGAGGTCGTTTCAAGAGAGCTTACCCCAGAATCGGTAATTCTATAGAATATTATTCCCTTCGCTGGATATCCTATAGTTGGTCATTCTGTGGTTGGGACTCCTGATGATCGTCTAATGAGTCCCCAATGTTTTAATTCATCCTACAGATGCTGGAAAATGGATACCCAAGATTAAGCTCGTAATGATCAGCTTCACGAGGAAACTGCGAAGTGTTTGCCTGGCCCGAATATCCTACTCCATTGAACAACGGCGTTCCGAACTACAAAACAGGACCTGCATTTGTTCATATGGCTACACCATGTATGAGTCTTCCTGGATCCAAACACTCCTAGCTCGTCACTCGGGGTATCATGATGTCGAGCTGAAAAACGAAAGCGTAGGCGGGCATTAGAAGTTACCAATAGGTCTATATTACTGTTCACATTCGGAGGTTGTGGCTCATGAGTTGTTCCATCAAGCGAAGGGTCGCCGAGATCCCGTAAACCGGCCTGTGCGTGTTCGTCTACGGGCTGATGTCCATCCCTTTATATATGGTGCGTAGATTGCAGCGCACCGGTCAGTGCAGACCAACTTCAAATGTAACAAGCATAATCAACATGCTTCTTCAGTACTTGTGGTCTATGGCACCGTAAGTCTACCACCCTGCTACTTGTACAGTGTGATATAGAAGACATGCATATGGAAGCCTCTTTGTGGTTTGTTGCAGGACAAGCTTTTTGTGACAATTTCTTTTCTTCGATGCCCCAACCCCAGTTTCCGGATGAGTGCAAATCAGAAGGATTATGTACGCGCAGAATTCCTGCACAACTCCTGCGCAACTCCTGTTTCCTGATTATTATCTGCTTGGACGCGCCGCTCGGGTTCGGATTGGTTACAATTCTCCGAGGTACAACTGGTTCTGCAGCAATACCAAGAGAATAAACCGATACAATCAACTCGTTAAAAGTTTAATGGAACTTTGATGGTTTTTAAATGGATACTCGACCCTGAATATGGAGTTTTGAATGGGTGGCGTGGAGGTTGATTGGGGTGGATAAGGGGTAACTGATCAATATGTGAACTGTACGCAATGTTGATTGATTCGACTTCCACTCTGTGGATTATGGAATTGGTCTGTGAGTAGGGGGAGAAAAGAAGATTGAAAAATTGATAACTTTTTCAATTCTGAGTCGATTCTTTGGAAACAAAATAGTTTCCAGGTAATTTTGATTGACTCAGATTTGAATCTATTCAGATTTGACATTCGATGGTTGGCTATTCAGAAATTCTAATCATTAGTTGATAGTGTGGCTCGGTATTGGGTGCTATGGGGCCCAACGGGTCCTGGGCAAATTTGCTTAATCAGCCATCCCCGCATCGCTACAGAGCAAAGGGATTGGGATACAAATAGTAAGCTGAGAAGCCTTTCCCTGGGAAATCTAATCGAGATATTCTCTCCCCTTTATAAACGGTGTCATACTGTACCCGTCCCGTAAGTACTGTGGAGGCGCGACCCGAAGCGCGTCGTCAAGCAGTTATACCTTGTTTTCGGCAATACTCCAACGACAGGGGTAGGCCGTGTGCTGCTCCGTAACATCGCAGTAATGCAATGCAACGTTGGTGGAGTTATTACTTGGCGCTTTACAAATAAACTCGCCATTCCACTTCACGCGATTGAGTGTTGAATCCACTACGCCTACATCAATTTTGATTGACCTCTCTTGTTCCTCGCGAAAATCAACATGGCCGGAGTAATCGCCACATCGGATGGCCAGGTGTCCGACGGATGGGCCAAACACATGGCAACCATCCGTCGATTATACCTGGATGAGGACATGACCCTTCAAGAAGTTATGAATGTTATGGCATCGGAATATGGGTTTGTTGCATCGTATGGTCAATCATCTGAATAAATCCTTGGCCGTGAAACTGATCATTGTCAGAATCAAGGTGTACAAGAAACGCTTGAGGGACTATAATTGCCGGAAGAATATTCGCTCAACAGAATCAGACGTCCAAGCGTATCAAAACATAACCCTATCTAAACAATGGCCAGCTCGTATCAGATTATCCAATGGCCAAGTTGTTACAGCCGATGTTCTCGCAAGCCATATGCAACGGAAGATGAATCGCACCCGAGCCCCGGTTATGATTAGAACTCCAGACAGATACTACTTCGTGGAATCAGCTTGCGCGCATACCCGGTTCTATTTGGTCAGTTGTCCCCATACTGCTTGTCACCGTTTTGGGCATTACTGATCTTTTTTTTTATCTCAAAGCTGTCCTTGATGCCAAAGCTTAGCCTCTTACAACATGCTGTTGCTTCTCAAGCAGCTTCCGCCAACTTGAAAGAGATGGATCCATACACACAGAAGTGGAGCAATTTCGTTCAGACACTCGATGCTGCGCTTGATGTATCCGGAACTAGTGTCCATCTGGACAACGCTATCATGGTGATGCAAAAAGCACCTCAACACTTCAGCATGATCCTTGAGCATGAATCAACTAAAATAATCGGTAACCTCTTAATGTTTTTGGTTGTAGCAACTCCACGCCGCCCTGGAATATCAGATAAGGAGTTGCAGGTGTTTCTAAGGATTGTGAAGAGTCTCCTCAACTTTGGGGCCACGGTTGTGCCTGCCGCTGATCCGTTGCATCACGTACTGCAGAGTCTTGCCAGATGGGACACCGAGGACATGAGAGATTTCGCGCGGAATACTTCAGCCACCTGTCTACATGGAATTATAGGGCAGTATTACCCGCCAGGCTCTCCAGGCCACGCTATTCTGTTTAAAGAGGTTATAGCAAGCCAGTTGAGCAGCCACACAGCACCTCTATCTCAGCCTCAGGGCGCAACTAGGATCAGCAAGTACGACGAATACCTTGCGAAAACAACACTGCTTCACTCACTGAGGTGATTTTTCAATTACTCGCAACGGTGCGCAGGGCAAGTCCCAGTGCACTCTGCTGTCACTTGCCATCTTCTGGGTCAGAATTATCAGGGCCTGTAGCGTCAGGACCATGAAAAGTGCGGAATCAGGCCTGCTTTTGAAAGCCCACCAGCCCCCATTCAAGACAGCAGACATCTTCAGCTACAGCTTCCAGTCTCCTGTCTTCTACACAACTACATACGGTAACTACCAGCGACACTTATGCAATGGTGTTGTGCTATACCAAGCAAGATCAACGAACGAGGTGTAAATGTCACGAGTCAGAACCAATCTATACACATATACCTAGATAGTAGATAGCGACCTTCGGTCCGCTCGAGAGTCTTCTTTTCAATCAATGTTTAATTCCATCAGCAGTGCTCGAAAGCGTGATAATAAACTCAGGCCCTACTACTACTACTTGGAGGTGGGCAATGCGCCAGTAGTCGCCCAGTAAACATTGTAATTGAAGCCTTGCGCATCATAGAATGGACCCAGGTTGACCGCCTTGCCATCTGCCGTCGCCGTGAACGCGAGATCAGAAGTACCGGTGCGGCGAATGGAACCTAAGTCTAGCTTTGGCGACGCAGTGAGAGTCGAGGTACCATAGTTTCCACTCAGGATTGCTGGTCCATAGGCTACGGCGGCGATGCTTGGGTTATCAGCAGCAGGCACTGTTCGCAGCTTCATCGGTAGCTTCACGGTGACAGTGTCACCCGACGTCCACTGGCGCTTGAGGACCGCATAGCTGCCAGACTTTGTGTCAACGCCTGCTGCCTGCCCATTCACGCTGATCGTTGCGCCGGAAGCCCACTGCGGGATGCGGATGCGCATGGTCCAATCTCCTGTGCCGGTCACCTGCAGTGTACTTGTGTCACCGACAGGGTATGTTGTCGACTGGGTAATCTTGACATTGCGCTGCGACCAATCCAACGTTGAGGGCGTAAAGAGGTTCACATAAACTCCAGCGTCGTCATACCAATAGATGGAGTCCATCAACTTCGTATTGGTCTCCACAGCCGTCCCCAGGCAGCACCAGAAGGAGTCGTAATCAGTAGACCATGTGCCGCCACCCCATGCTGGACCAACACCTCGTCGTCCGCCAGGTTTGAGGGGTGTAAAGTAAGTAATGTGACCATGGCTATCCGCTGGGTTTTGAGCCCCAAGAAGATGATTCATCAACGCACGCTCGTAAAAGTCAAAGTATTTGACATTTGTTGGGTCCATGGTCCACAGATCCCGCGTTAGTTTAAGCATATTGTAGGTATTGCAATGCTCAGCGGTGTCCGTGGTCAGATATTGCGCAATTGCATTCGGTGGACGGAAGTGCTCTGCCTGGCTATTTCCCCCAATGGCATATGTATGAGCATTGACGGTGAAGTCCCAGGCGTTCCGTGCAATGTCCAAGTAGCGTGTGGTGCCAGTAGCCTTATATTCTCGAGCAGCACCAATCCACTTTGGCACCTGCGTATTGGCATGAAGTCCATTCAATTGATCTTGTTTGCTTGCGAGAGGGTCGAAAACGGCCGCATGATCGAAGCGCTGGGCAACCGTAAGCCACCTTTTGTCTCCTGTGAGCTGATAGACGTTGGCCAAGACATCGTTCATGCCGCCGAACTCGGTGCCTAACATCTTTTGCAACTGGGAAGAACTGAGCTTCTTGGTGCGTTCATCGACCCAGCCACTGAGGGCAAGCAAGACATCGCGTGCTTTGGTGTCGCCAATAATGCGCCATGCATCGAGCAGGCCAGCCATAGTCTTATGAACGGCGTAGTATGGCACATTGCCATTGCTCAGTGTCCCAGCTTCGAGTGCATTGAACTCTGACTCTGGAAACCCAGACAGATACCCAGCATTGAAGTTTGCAGCGCCGTTGTTTGCCTGGCATTTTGCCACTTCAGCCACGAAATATGTTGCCCGATCTCGGCATGTGCTGTCGCGCAACACCGCATAGCAATTCGCCCAGCCTGTGAGAAAATGTCCTTGAGCATGCGAGCGAAAAGGAAAGTCTGGCGCATCCCATCCACCATTTGCCGCAGCGCCATTGGTGGAGAGCTTGTGCGTTGCCCTGAAGTTGTACAGCAGTCGATCAACATTTACAGAACGGAGATAATTTAGCGTTCGATTTTGGTTGTCTGTCCAGCGGCTGCTGCTCAGCGCCACTTGACTCAGGTCGAAAGGGTATGCCGAGACTCCTACCTCCGGGACGGAAATGGGCGGGATACTCTGGGCGGTAGTCAAGATGGTCGCGGGTAGACACCCGATTAGCAAGGCTTTGAGAAACATGATGCAGGAGAGAAACGACAGATATTAAGGGTACGCAGAAGCGACTTCAGCTGACAGTGGATTATAGAATAAGGAGAAGGGTTTGAACAATGCGGCATGCCGTAATATATACTCGTGCGTAAGACCTGGTCGCAAGAGCGACTCCTCTTATGAAAGAGGGCTGAAATAATGTAACTTTCTGGCTGCACACTGCCTGTTGTAAACTTAAGCTATACTACATAGTGCATGATGATACTCGCAGATGGAACGGGCATGTGGTATTCGGAGTATTAGAGCCGAGTTGACCTCAGCAACTCTCTGCCAAACGAGGTAGAAACAGTCAAGGCATGACTTGCAATAATCGTCCAGGGGAGTCGGTAGCTTTTATGGGCAATCATAATTCGGCCGGCTAGTTAATTTGTGTCCGTGGTGGAGAAAGCGGAGAGACTACTACGCAGACGAACCCATGACCAATTCGGGCCTTGGCTGCTGGATTAACCGCACTTATCACGTTTGCATTCTCAAATTGCCAATGTTCTGAGTACGACTGTGACGAGTGAGCAACGATTTCCACCTGTCAACTATTCCTTCAAATATCGCTCCATCGCATCTAACATCCAAGACTCGGAGAGTACAGCGCACGAAGACGCATGTAGGCCATCAATGAAATCTGCCTCCAAGCGCTCCAACACAGACACGACACCCCACCCCCACACCGAAGAACACGGGCCCACCACGAAGAGAAATCATACAACCATACCTGTTGGAATACTTTGGACCTCATCCGCTCTCCGATAGATAAGCTAATGAGGGCCGGAGTTGTAGTGGGGTCGGTGATGACCGGCAGATGCCCGTCGTTGTATATGTTCTTTGGTCTCTCGAGTATCGAGGGCGTAAGGGCGATAATTTGAAAAGACAACTTTGTGAACGCAGCTTGAGTGGTTCAGAAGGAGGTAACCAAGAACATCAAGAGGTTAAGAAGAGTTGTGCTCGATCAAAGATCTAACACCTTATCACAGCCCTCGGGACCAAACTTAAGTCGTAGGTAAGCTATAAATTCAAGTCTAGAGACCAGAGATGTAGCGCAAAGAGCAGGGAAGAGAGATCGGCCTCCGCGAGGAGCCTCTCTTATCTCAGAGGACCCAAGATCGGCAAATAGGGGTTACCGTCTTCATATCGAATCTCATACCTCAGCAAGAGTTGTAGCACCAATAGCCTGCCCGGACACGGGAATCAAAAAGTTGCTGCCCTGAACCTTCTTGTCCGAGCCTCTCGCCCCCTTCAATACAGACGCATCAACACTCGCGAAAGAGCTGTTGGACCAGGTTCCCGAGTTCCACGAATTGCCCGTTGCAGTCACAGTGCTAACCAGGCTGACTTGCGCGCTCCCAACATTGACAGCAGCAATGTTCCCCGTCATCTTGGACGAAGAGCTACGCATAACGAAACCCGTATCGCCGTTGTTCCACGCCGTGTTTCGCTCAAATTTCAACGATCCCGGATTCCCGTTATCGATGAACCCCTTCTTGAAGTTCCCGAACGCAATGGAGTTGCGAATGACATGGTTTGCGGGCGGGTTGTCCGTGATGCCCAGCTTGAACCCGTTGCCGTCGCCCTCGAACGGGCTGAAGCCCCAGCGGTTGTAGCCATTGCCCCACGAGTAGACCTCCTCGATGGTGACGGGGGATGCGAACATGTACAGGTCGAGGCCGTCGTCGACATTGTCCCAGAGCCGGGCGTTCCGCAGCACGTTGCCCTCGCCCTCGCCCGACTTGCACGCGAACCCGTCAGCGCTCTCGCCGTTCTTGCGCGGATCACGGTTGAGGTAGGAGTCCAGGTTGAGGACAGTGTTGTTCGACGAGGCGCCTTCGAGCTGAAAGCCCGTCTCGTAGTTGTCGTGAGTTGACAGACCGTTATAGTAGTTGTGGGAAGCATCACGAGCGTAGATGCCGTAAGGGCCGTTTATTAACCTGTGGGATTGCTCAGCACTGTGGGGGGGGGGGGTTGTGTGGCTAGATGGATGTGCAGAGCTGACGTACTCTAGGTCGTAGAAAGCCCAGTAATTGGCGTTCTGGATGTGAAAGATACCTCGTTCAGAGTTAGGCAACGATTCGTCTAGGTCCTTGGGGGTGCTAATGAGTGTTAGCGTCCCATGATTGTCAGGGCTCTTACACACGAAAGTAAATTTACCCGGGCATGTTCTCGCCGTCAATGATGACTTTCTCCCCCTGGTAAGGTCGCACGGAAATGGGAGACGTGGCAGTTCCGCTAGTAGAGAACTGGATATTAGCAGAAGGCGCATAGGTGCCTTGACGGAGGTAAATGGTGTCGCCGGCTGCAGCAGCATTGACGGCCGACTGTATTGATCCGTATGGGGCCGTCTGGGTACCGGAGCCGGTGCCGCTTGGGGACACGAAAATGTCGCGGGCGGCCACCCCGTTTAGGATGGCCAGGAGGGCCATCGGAAGAACCTTGATCGGCGCCATTGTTGAAAGTCCCAGTTTACTTTTTAATTTGCGAGGACCGCCGGCTTCATCTATCCGGCCTGGGTGTATAGATGTTTTATAGTTTATTCACTCTATTTTCTCACTTAGGGAATCTCTTTCCAACTGTCGAATTGATAGCGACTCACCATGCCAGCAAATCCCTACAGGTCAAAGACTTGTCAAATGTTGCCAAGATTCCGGCTCGTGAGAGCCGGTGAAATCAGAAATCCCCCAATCATGTGCACCCTTTCGCGGCAAACCAGGATGACTGCCAACACCATGCAATGTGGAGTAGATTCCCTAAGATGGCAGCTCCGGAAAAGATCGTTCCGCCGATGAATGAAGTCGCGAGTTTTCTAACTATCATGAATATTGTCATTTCCTGGGATGTACAATATCCGTAACAAGGTCTGCATTCTTCGCCTGAGCAGTTCCATTAATGTTACTTTGGCCGAGCAGAATACCTCGGACTCTTTGAGTGAACGGCATACCAAGAAGTCTGGCTATCAATTAACATTTGTTGAAGACACTCTAAGCTTTGCCGGACGAGGGCTAGAATGCAATTGTCCAGGTTGGCATTGAGATCAGGGCAACAGAGGGTGTGCAATAGGCGAACAGTAGCATGGAGCTGTATTATAGTGAGATACACTCCTGAAGTAAAACAAACCCCTTAACGATGAAAGATTCGGCGCTTCCAGGTGCCTTCACGCAAAGGACCTAATTCTCCGTGCAGTACTTCCTGCGAACAACAGCCAATGGGCTTTTGTTATCATTTGATTAGCAGCTTGGCATAGATAACATACCTCAGGTGGGATCCTCAAGTTGCGTGACTTCAGCAGGGTCTTGAGAGTATGTATCGTCAGGCAATGGTTGTAGAACAATGATTGCGCTTTGCCCGCTACCCCGATGTGATCTCCCCAGTCGCCGCTGCTATACACGTCGACACTCCCGTCCCAACATTTGCTCATATGGCCGTGTTCGTAAAGCACAACAGCTTTTCTCTGCGCACAATTGGAATAGACGACGTCTCTCTCAAACCGGCCCCACTCAGCCTGGGTTCCTGACTAGGTTAGTGGCAAAGAGAGCGGGAGATAGAGGGCGCTGTCGAGCTGCATGATGTTAGGTATTGTGACTACTTCTCACGGTATGAAGTACGTGCACAGCTTTGTCCACATCACATACATTATTGGAATAACAACAGATTCTAAAAGGCCGCAACACGTCATTGCGGGAATCACTGTGGCTGCGAAGCGGACACCTGAAGTAAGGCTCGTTTCTGCTTTGTGTGTATTCCTTGAAAGTGGCGTAGGTTTAAATTATCATATAGGATGGTGCTTGATAGATGGCAGGTGAAGTCAATTCTCAAATTATTTATCATAGAACAGTCGGGCTCCCTTGGTAGACAGCTATAATCAGACTGAAGCCTTGAAGTTCGGCATACCATACGCAATGTCGAAGTGAGGGATACGAACCTCGGCATGACATCGCTTGATGTACAAGCTCAACAGGGCTACTTCCGTGCGGCATGCGCGTTAAGCGTTCTGGACCCATCGAACACTAATTCCGCGGCGTATCCACCAACCTGTTTTCTCTTTAAATGTCGGATTTACGGGTTTATTTCAATGACCCTTTGGTTCACGTTACTTGATTCCGAGGTTTTTGTCATTATGTACTCATCATTGGCATAGCGCTATTTTAGGTGCAGGCAAACTGTGAATGAAGTAAACGGCGCGTTACAGTTTTGAAGCTATCCAGTGTCAGTGCGTGTTTTTGTACTAGCCACAGGGTGACAGGTCACTTAAAGCTATACTGTAGCCTGCTCAAGACAATGTTGCTAGGTGGATCATGACACTAATGCAAATTGTTAGCAAATTGGCATTACAATGGTTCGAGATCGTTTCATAACGGATATAAGCATGCGGAGCAATTGAGGGTCTTTCTTCGACTGGGCCGTCGCCAGAGTAGCCAAGGTAACGGGGCATAACATTACTCGCATAGCTGTTTAGCTGGAATGAGCAGGTGACGATGGCGTCATAGGAACATCCAGTTCGAATCTACGAAATCACCAGGACGTGCTAATGCTTGGCTTTCTGGACATATATATATGTACGTCTTTGGGAGAGCGACATTGCCCCATTCGATAAGCTACATGGCCACATACTGAAACTGGTTGTCGGAAATACTTGCTCTTGGCCTTGCTGCGTTTAATGGCTTCAGCTGAACTTCTTGTCCCGTCACGGGCAGCTGAGGTGCTCCTAACTGACACGGTTCGACTGAATGCCACTATCGATCCTCCCAATTCGACTTTGCTTGCTGTTGGCCATGTCAAAAGAACGGGAAACCGCGCGTTTCCTAACACGACTCGCTTCGATCACAATCAGATCTTCACCATGAGGGATGGCGTTAACCTCCGTGTTGACATTTTTCGTCCAGACACAGATGAACCAGTCCCTGCTATCATTATGTGGAGTCCATATGGAAAGTCGGGTTCCGGGCCTCTGAACATTGATCAGGTTGCATTGAGAGTCGGTGTCGCGCAGTCGAGACTCTCTGGGTACGAGTCTTTCGAGGGGTATGATACTTCCGCTGTAGAAATTTGGTACGGTTGACTGACGATCTCCAGCCTTGACCCTGCGGAATGGGTAGCAAGAGGTTACGCGATCATCAACGCGGATGTTCGCGGTGCTGGAGACTCTGACGGGAACCTCCGATGGTGGGGCACAGGCGAGGCCCAAGATGGATATGACCTCATCGAGGAGATCGCCGCGCAACCATGGTGTACTGGACGTGTGGCGTTGGCCGGAAACTCGTGGCTTGCCGTGTCTCAGTGGTTTATTGCAGGTGAACAGCCACCGCATCTCACCGCAATCGCTCCTCTTGAAGGATTAAGCGATGTGCTGCGCGAAACTGTCGCACGAGGAGGACCGCCAAATATCGGGTTTGTTAAGTTGATCCAACAGAGCTTGCCTGGTAGGTATTTGTGTCGTTGGGACTTTTCATATTCCTGATCACGAACGCTGATATGCCTATGCTAATCATCTTGTCAGGCCGCCAACAGCAGGAAGATATTGTACAGATGTTCAATAAATACCCACGATGCAACGCGTATTGGGATGACAAACGCGCAGACTTGACCAAAATCAAGGTGCCTGCCTACATTTTGGGGAGCTATTCCACGAACCTCCACACGCTCGGATCCTTCAGAGGATTTGAGGAGATAACACATGACAAGAAATGGCATGTTGGTTTGAATTTATATTTTGATTAACTATGCTAATGATCGTGCTCAGGTTGACCATCCATGCTACTCAAGAGTGGTATGATCTCTACAGCGAGGAGCGTACAGAAGATCTGGCCAAGTTTTTCGATTTCTATTTACGCGATGTCGATAACGGCTGGGAGCAGACAGCGCCCGTTCGTTTGTCGACACTAGGATACAACGTCCCTAATCAACAGTTTTCTCTGGCGGCTATTCCCTGGACGCAACCTGAGTCGAAGAAGTTGAAGCTGTATCTCAATCCTGACCAGAGCATGAGTGCAAGTCGTCCGGCAGCCAACCGTTCTTCCACCGAACTGGCATATCAGGCAGATGCTCCTGCAATGAACCGGGATGATGACTCTGGAGAGCTGATATTCAAGTACACATTCGTTGAGAAGACAATCGTTGCAGGACCAAGCAAGGCAACTCTATATCTCTCGGCCGAAAAACAGGACGACCTTGACGTTTACGTTATGCTTCGCAAGGCGGATGCAGGAGGGAACCTACTCCAGAGCATCAATGAGCCCTTGTCAGACCTTGAAGTGTCGTCGGCCGAGGAGGTGCCGTCTGTCAGTGTGCTCAAGTACTTGGGTCCTCAAGGCATATTGCGGGCGTCCAAACGGGCATTGGCACCGGAGCTGTCAACCCCATGGAGGCCCACGCTTTCTCACGCTGCTAACAAGACTGTGCCCCAAGGAAGCATCGTTCCACTCGAGATCTCGCTTTGGCCTACTGGAATGATCTTCGAGAAAGGCGAGACTCTTGTTTTGAAGATCTCTGGGCATGATATGCGTCTCGCGGATTTCGAGATCTTACAAGGGTCGTTCCAGGTCATTAACGAGGGTAAGCATTTCGTGCATTTTGGGGAAGGTTTAATCAACTCTCTGGAACTATATATACTTTGAATTCTACAATACATACTATGAAACTCAATTATGTTTCGTGCATTTTAAAATATTCTTTAATTTATTAGCGTCTCCATTACTGCTGATCTGCCGGTAGGGCTGAGTGACGGGCCTGTCATCTTGTTGGAGCAAGGGGCATCCCCGCTGTGGATTAGTGCAGTAGCTGAACCCTGTCGGCCTGCAATCGTGGGGTAAAAAAAAGTTCGAGTTTGCGAGAATGCGATTGTAGATAAGCGTTTTCACTTCCTCGCCCACCTTGTCTATCCGACAATTGTCTGTGGTTTTGGATTTCCTTCCCCTCCGAGGATATTATACCACAGCCACACCACACAGTCTCTTCCTTGTCCTCCTCTTCTTCCCGGGCTTCCATCTGGAGCTTCTCTCCTCCCAGCTCGAATCTCCCAGTGCACAACAATGTCGACCGCAGTACCACCGCCCTCAAAACGCCAACGCCGCGAAGAGCTCGAGCGGACCACGACACAAGCCGACGTCTCGGCCATCCTCCCACCCGACAATGGCACCTTCAAGGCTCGTTTCGTCGACAGCGACGGCAACCAGATGACAGATGTGATCGAGGTGCCGCTATCTGACGCCACCGAGAAGAACGTTTCGCTGCTACTCAACACGCTGCTGCAGCGCGACCGCGAATCCTTCCTGCCCTACCGCTTCCGCGTCCACATCCCCAACTCGTCCATCGTCGTCGATACATACCCGACCGATCTGCTGGCCCTACTGCGGTCCCACGGCGTCGCCAACCCCTTCGAGACCACCGTTACCCTCGCCGCCGAGCCCCAAGCCGTCTTCAAGGTCCAGTCCGTAACCCGCCTTGCCGCCAAGATCCCCGGCCATGGCCAGGCTATCCTGTGCGCTCAATTCTCCCCCGCCTCGAGCTCCCTGCTCGCTACCGGCAGTGGCGACAACACCGCCCGCCTCTGGGACTGCGAGACCGGCACCCCCAAGCACACCCTCAAGGGCCACACCGGCTGGGTGCTGGGCGTGAGCTGGAGCCCGGACGGGTCGCGCCTCGCCACCTGCAGCATGGACGGCACCGTGAGGATATGGGACCCGGCCACGGGGAAACCCCTCGGCGAACCGCTCAAGGGCCACAACAAGCCCGTGCTGCAGCTGGCCTGGGAGCCCTACCACCTGTGGCGCGACGGCACCCCGCGCCTGGCGAGCGCGAGCAAGGACGGCACCGTGCGCGTCTGGATCGTCAACACAGGGCGCACCGAGCACGTGCTGTCGGGCCACAAGGGCAGCGCGACCTGCTTGCGGTGGGGCGCCGGCGGCGCCGGGACGGGGCTCATCTACACGGGCAGTCATGACAAGAGCGTGCGGGTGTGGGACGCCGTCAAGGGCACGCTGGTGCACGAGCTCAAGAGCCACGCCCACTGGGTCAATCACCTCGCGCTGTCGACCGACTTTGTCCTGCGCACGGGGTACTTCGACCACACGCGCGACGTCCCCGCCACCGAGGAGGGGAAGCGCGCCAAGGCGAAGGAGAGGTTCGAGAAGGCCGCGGGCGCGCAGGGGGGTGGCAAAATCGTCGAGAAGGTTATTAGTGCAAGTGACGACTTCACCATGTTCCTGTGGGACCCGGTCAACGAGGGCAAGAAGCCGCTCGCGCGCATGCTGGGCCACCAGAAGCAAGTGAACCACGTCACCTTCTCGCCCGATGGGACGCTGGTTGCCAGCTGTGGGTTCGACAACCACACCAAGCTGTGGTCAGGGCGGTAAGCACCCTCTCATAGCTCATATACAAGTACAGCCTCTACTCTTTTGCTAATGCTAACACCACTCATGACAACAGCGACGGCAAGTTCATAAACACCCTCCGCGGCCACGTCGCCCACGTCTACCAGTGCGCCTTCTCCGCCGACTCGCGTTTGCTGGTCACCTGCTCGCGCGACAACACCCTCAAGGTCTGGAACGTCCGCTCCTGCAAGCTCGCTGAGGACCTGCCCGGCCACGACGACGAGGTCTACGCCGTCGACTGGAGCCCGGACGGCCAGAAGGTCGGCAGCGGCGGCAAGGACAAGGCAGTACGGCTTTGGAGGAGCTGATCGGCGTTTGTGTTTTGGGGTTTGTTGGTGAGAGATGAACGTAAATCGGTCGGCAGACTGACGTTGTTTTCCTTCTGGTCTGGCTGCTGGAGACGCTTCGTTGTCTGTCAGTAGGCCGCTGGCAGAAGGGTCATGTACGCCACGCTCACAAGATGCATAAAAAGTTCCCTCTGGCCTAGGGAAACCAGCTTGTGGGAACCATTGGGCCGCTCGTAACAGCCCGCGCATTTGGGCATTTCGGGCCCCATTCCATAATTGTCCTAGTAGCCCTGTGGAGGATGGGCCGGCTCTAGGAGGAATTGGCTGAGATCCATAGGAGAACCGAGAGGCATAGGCCTTGCCTTTGGCCGGATAGGTTCTTGACAGGTCCCGCCAAGGAGCCGATGTATGGCAGGCGATGACTGTGCAAGGAGACTTTCTGTCTCAGGTCTAGGATTAGAGGATCATCCTTAGGTGAAGGTCAAGCTGTGGATGTATGTCTGAAGATAGATGCGACGCGAAGACAAAACGATACCCTATTTAGATTGAGATGGTACATATACTTTGCTTCTGGCATTCTAGACGAGCTCTTTAAACAGTGACATACAAGTAGCTAATCGGTCAGGTAAACAATACGCAGGGTTTTATTGAAATTCGCCCTTCTGTATTAAAGCATGGTAGCTATCAAGGAGGTGACTATGGGCTATTCTGGCCATTTCCCTCAAACATCAATCTCGAGCGAATCTCCGCCGGCATCCTTCAAGGGAAAACAACCCCGTCATGCAAACGTCTTCAAAAAACGCGGCCGTTTGAGCAACACCGCAAAGACACACAGACAAATCCGATTCAGCGCCAACACCCAGGGCAATCAGCGATACAGGTGATAGATCAGGCAATCCCAGCGGTCTTCGATCACATCACTATCGCCACCCACCCTGCCGGTGACGTCCCAGTGGATCTGCTTCGATTCGTCAAGCATTTCCTGCGCCTCGAGCTCCATATGCTCCTCGCCGAGCGCGAGGAGGGCCCGCCCGCTCTTCCACAGAGCGCGCCCCTTCTGGAGGAGGATGTCGGCCCCGTTGGTGGTGCTGAAGGACCGTCGGTAGTCCATGAAGGCGAGGTTGATCTTGTCAAGATGCACACTGCAAGACAAGGAGAGAGAAATGTCAGCTTTGTCTTCAATGTTCGTGGTAGCGGAGGGGAATGGGCGTCTTGCTGGGCTACATATGTACGGCGCTATATTTGTACTCACATTGCCTCATCATACTCGTCCTGCTCATAGAGCGTGGCAGCCAGGCGGTACGTCGCGGCCAGGGTGAAAAGAGCAGTCTCTCCGTGAGTGTTCACAAGGACGGCTACAGCCCGCTTCAGCAGACCCAAAGCTATCTTCGACTTGAAGATGTTTCGCTTGCCAATATGAGCCTTGACGGTGCCCATAGCAAATAGGATGATGCCGGTCCTATTTTCAAGCAAAATCAGCCAGCCAGTCAGCCAGTCCAGTTGGGTTCGACTTACTCGAGGGACGTCTCATCGTCAATCTGGCAATTCTCTCCCAAGAGGGGTGTGAGGATCCTCTCCGCCGTCTCGAAGTCATTGCGGTGATGGGCATACATCAGCGCCTCGTTAACAATCGGCAGCGCGAAATCAAAGACGAGCTCCCGGGGACCTTTCAGCCGCTCGACGGTCTCGCGTGCCAACTCGAAGCTCTGCAGGGCACGCTGGCTGTCGTCGATGGTCTTGCGCATCTCTTGCATTCCTGTCTCGTTGTACACGAACGCGAGCATTCGCTCGTCCTCGCGCTCACCGAGAGTGTTGAACCTGCTCCGCAGGGTGTTCACCCACACCCTCAGGAAGCCGAATGCTTCCTGCTCCTGACCAAGCAACGAGGCCGCGATGCCCTGGAGCCGGGCCTGATTCATGAGGAGCTTGGAATATTCGTCCTTGAGAATGGGGTCTCTGAAGGCCAGCTGGTGATAGCGAGTGATTCTGTGTGCCATTGGAAGGCAGTGGCTATAACACTCGAGGTGCATGTCTCGTATATTGGTTTGAAGGAGCTCAAGCCTTGAAAATTCAACATTCGTTAACATAATGAATGATTGAGGATGGGTAGGACGGAACATACCAGGCCTCCTCCTGGAGCAGGGCACAGAACCTCATGTCAGGCACCACTTCAGCAGCCTCGAGGTCCATACAAGCAGACCGCAGCGCGACGACATGAGGCATGAACTTGCGCACAGTTCGAAGGCGGGCCACACTGTTGACATTCTGAGTGGTGAGGAACGGCCAACCCGCAGAGAGGAGAACGACAGCGGCGTCGAAAGCGAGACGGCTCTCCTTCTTGCCGTTCGACATGTCTTGCATGGCGCGAGCGCGAGCGTACGTCTTGATCTTGAGGGTCCTGCTGCTGATGGTATGGGTGACCATGCCCGCGTTCACAAGGGCGTCTCGCGCGTCGAGATAGGCGCGAGTGGTGGCTGGGAAGTTGGGTAAGGCGACGGAGCGCATTCCGACGAAGACGATCTCCTCCTGAACCTCATCGGCGTTCAGATAGCTGAGAACCTTGAGCAGAGCGCCAGCAGACGGGAGTAGATCACCGACGCCGTTGTCGCTTGCGAGCGACAGCTGCGCCATGCGCTCGCCAAGGCTGGTGGTATTGCGCGAAGCCATACTGTCGAACGAAGAAGTGGTCTTGGACGGTTGATCAGGCGTGGAAGAGCGACGGAACGTTTTGTGAGAAGCTTGAGAACTCTTTGATGATGGGCGAGTGTTGAGGTTCGTGCAGATGGTCGTCAGGTCCCTTGCAGAAGAGGCAGCGGAGGATCCGGTAAAGATCGAGAAGCCGAAGACGTGAGAGGTGGTGCGAGTGATTGGAAAAACAACCCTGAGGAAAGACCCAGGAGTGGCTGGCAGGAAAAGGACGCAGTGGATATCTGGCGAGTGCTTGATAAGAAGGAAGGCAGGAGAAATGCCGAGGTCGAGCAGTGGTCGGGGTTGGTTGACAGGAAAGAAACGAGGCAGAGATGCTCGGCTGGAGCAGATATGTCGGGGTTGCTCAACGCAGCAGGTCGCAGCGTGGATGTCGAATGTCTGAAGGCACAGGAAGCAGGAGAGATCCCGAATGATTGGCAAGACACCTAAGACGGGAGATATGTCGACTATGCTCGGTTAGACAACACACAGGGAATATCAGAGAGAGCGGTGGGCAGCGCAGGATGCAGGAGAGATCCCGAAATGAGTGGCAAGACACGCAAGACAAGGAATATGTCGACTATGCTCGACCAGACAACCCATAGAAACTATCAGAGGGAGACAGAGGTAGGCAGCGCAAGATGCGGCAGAGATGCCGAACAGGGTTGGTAAGGCACCGAGAATGTGGAAGCCCAGGAGTGTTTGAAGAAGCACAGAAGGAAAGGAGTCCCTCCAACGAGATCAGGGAGAAAGGCACAACACAGGAGAGATGTCAGGTGTGAGGTTTGGCAAGCCAAAAAGCATCCACCGGACATGGCAGTGATGCTTGACTTGGCAAAGAGGTGAAGCGCCAGAGTCTCACTGACTACATCAGCCTTTGCCTTTTGTCTTTCCAATAATCAGATGCTTCAGGAGGCAGAACCCTGGGCTTAGCTTGATATAGCTCACTCGCTCAAGTGATTACATCAATGAGCAGTGATATTGTACACCAGAACACCATATGTTGAATGGGAAATCATATCGCTGTCAGGGTGCTAAGAATTGTGAAATTTCCCTAGGCACTACATCTCATTTGCCCATATGATCGAGTCAAGGTCATTTGGATAGTATGGTGGTCATTGCAGATTCACGCAGAGCATGTATACTTGTGCCCGAATAGTCAGTTGAGGGCATGATCATTGTTGACTATAACTTGACTTTGTCTATCATATTCAGTCTCTATTTGCCCCTGACTAGAGGCCTGTCAAACACCGACTGTACCTAATGGGTCTCATGATTTCGACATCCATATCTTCGGACGATAAAGAATAGCAGGGCCCTTCTGATTTGGTAACAAGACTATTGACAAGTCTACATATGCTTTCATTTAATAAATAAGGATTTCTACGACCTCTCCTACTACCACTTCAATTTCAATAGCAATTACTCACTGCTCTCCGACAGAAGCATTCGATTGAGCCTCCACAGTTTCCTCCATAGTTCCGCCCTACCTAAATAGCGACTCATACGGTTGTCCCGCCGCTCAAGAGCCTGTCATGATCTCATGCCACTAGTGATAGTTCATAATGGCTCATCGGTACAAGTAAAACACGAGTTTGTCCCAATCCTCATCAGTTGAATCCGGTTCGGAGAAGTCCCTCTCATCAGGTAGTAGCTCGCGTCGCAGCTGCAGCGCTTCGTCCCCTGTCTGCCGGCCAAAGTCCAAGTCGCCATCCGCCCGCTCTGCGCATCCGAGCTTCCATAGCATTCGAGCCTTCTGGGCCCTTTGGTATGGAATTTCCTTCCAGAAGCGAGGCGTGGAGCTCGAGAGAATGGATCTGGAAATACTCAGGTCAGTCCGTGTTGTTTGTGTGGATGTTGCGGGTCCGAATACTCACATCACATCTTTGTATTCTCCACGGTTGAATCTGTCGACAGCGAGGCGATAGTGAGCCCAAGACACCTCCACTGAGTCCTTTAGACAAGTTTCTTTGAGGACACCCAGGCCCTTCTTGTGGTAATGGTAGGCTAAGTCGTGTTGACCTCGCATCAGGTAGATATTGCCTGCCCATACGAGATTGAGGCCATCTCTAGGATGCAGTGTTATTTGAATATATTCGTGAACGCATAGTTGAGGACGATATTGTGGATAAACTCACTCAATGTTGCGCGGGACAGAGGAGTCTCCGTTTCTATTCATACTCTTCACGACAGCTTGTAGGTATCTGTCAATAAGGACCACTGGGCCACCGTAGTAGGCGGCTAATAGCGCAAGGTTTGCGTAGGGATATGGGAAGATAGAGAAGCCAGGAGGCGTCCGTCCCTCAGGGGCCTCCCACAGCTCCATTTGTTTGCAAGCTTGAATCCACAGCTTCTTGGCACCCTCAACGTTGGGAGTTGGCTTGCGCATCATCGCCATGCCGAGGTAGTTGTACGCAGCCGCCAGCGTCATCTTATCGTCGTGGTCATCATACTCAGAGATGCGCACGAGAAGCATGTCGAACCACTCTCCCAAATGCCTCGTGGCTGTGATGTGAGAGCCAGTGTACAAGGCATTTATACCTTGATATCGGTGGCTGTCGGAGAGGATTTTGCTGTACTTGAAACGATGAACCTTGTCTACTTCTGGATCCATGACAGCCAAAGCTGAGAAGTCGTCGTCTGGGTAGTTGGTGGCAAGCTTGGCCCACGAGTACGGGTCCACCAAACGGAGCGTCTCGTATCCATCGTCGCGAAGATACTCAAGGAATTCTTGAGAGAGTTTCGCGAAGCACTGACTTGTCTTCCGGAGGCGTTGGTGGAATATGGACATCCTGGTTTACCATATGACTTAGCACATAAAACATTGAGACACCCAGTCCAAACATGAAACAAGTGTACTCACCATTGGAAATCGTTCATCAAGGCGAAAAGCTGAATGTCCACCCGTGCTTGCTTTACCGCTGGTCCCAAAAAGGCCAAGGTCTTGACCAGAGACAGAAAGAGATACTTGATCTCGACCATCTTGTTCAGACGCTCCGTGTCGTTGTGATCACAGATGCCCGCGAATGGCCAGACCGCCGCGACTAGTGAGATGGCGGTATTGAAAACCTCATGCAAGTCATCGCGATACTCGTACTCAGCCTCAGAACCACCATGTTCGCCAATCTGTGCGACACGTGTGCCAATCCTGTCCCAGATGCGATCACGGAGGGCCTTGTTCATCTTGTAAAAGACACGCCCGCGGTCGAGCGTTGTGTGGACAAGCCTAGCTGCCTCCAGACACCTGAGCTTTCTAAAGAAATCGTCCATATCTTGAGGGTAACGAGAGTCGTATCGGTACTCGTTGGTGTATACTGGCGCACTCGATGCTTGAAACTTGCCCACGCCAGCAAACGACACCTCCTCGGGGACACCTTGCTGCATTTTTGGATCAAGAAGAGACATCACCTTCAGGATGGCCTCGACGCTTGGGCCTTGTTGGCGCGCTCGGAGGACGAGCTCGTCCGTGGCGATGTCCATTGTCGTGCTTCGGGAGCCTCAGGTTTGCAAGGAAAGTCAAGTGAGCTGCAGTGATGGGAGGTAAACTACGGGTGCAGGAAAGGGGACGGCTTCTGGAAAGGGGATGGACTGCTTAACGCCCTGTGGTGTTGACCAAAATCTGGAGCTGAAAGTATGATTTCGGACGAAAGTGTGGCCTGTGGAAAATGCGCACCTATAATTTTGGTACGTCTTCAAGCCAGAACTGACGTTAAGTCGAATAGAATACTTCCATCAGGTGCCAGCTTGAGGTCAACAAACAGATTGAGCCCACACGTGCACTAGAGCATTGGAATTCCGCAGCTTTACGAGACAAGGCCCTACAGGATTCTATGGTACTAACTTCCAATTTCCTCTGAATATGTTGCCTAGATGATGGAAGAGGAGAAGTTAAATGTAGATTCAACGAAAATGTGCCCAGCAAAAGGTTTAAAATTCACTCATCTAACTCCTCAGGCAAGCTCTATGCTGATCAAGGGTGGTTAGAAAGATATCAGCTCTGATCAAGTCTAGCTGTCCTCAAATGATTGATCATCAGAGGCTACACGAGGCGTGCTATGCAGAAAGACGCCACTCTACAATTAACTAGCATGGTGTCCACGCTGAGTTCAACAAACAAAGCTCCATATAAATAGTGTATACACTATGTTCAAACATCTAGCTCCTGGGTATTGCGACCGTTCCGACGCAACAGCGCGGTGGACTTGAAATTACGCACAAGCTCAAGCACGAAAAGCAACTTGCGAAACACATCAATGCCGTGGCGATCGGCGGCTTCGAAGACTTATTAGAAACCACCGCATTGCTTTTATCCTTAAGTACCTTTTGAAGTTTCTTTGGAGACCTATTTTAGCTGCGTGCATCGCACTTTGCTATTATCTCTGTATCTCACGGGACACGAACACATTAGGCCTCACATTCGTTCTTACTGACTGAACCTGAGAAGCGTTTACACTTGTTTTGAGTTCTAGGTCGGGTCGTGAAGACTTGAACCTCATTTCCAACAACCAATATCAGCCTAAATACTGCACACAGCAATTTCGATGCATTTTACGATGCGTGGCTTTGTTATGACAGTCACACCATAACTCGAACCACACAATGGAGTTCGAACTCGGCATACTGTTCTAAGGTAAAGCCGAATTTCAAATTTGTGCTCCCTCGCCTAAATAAGGCGTGCCACTAGTTCGCGTGGGCTGAGAAACACGAGACTGATACTATCAAAGTCCATATGCCGCAGCCAACCATGACGGTCCTCACCAGATGCCTCAGCCCATTACGGAAACCCGTAGAGGCAACATCCAAATAAGCACCCTTCCACAACCCCTCTCAGCTCCCAGGCCTGAAGCTTCCGCCGCCGCCGCCGGTCGGAGATGCAACCAAATCCGAGCTTCTTCCTCGGACGGACGGAGCCAAGACGCTCGCGTCGTACGCTCGCTCAGAAGCGTTGTTCCGCCATATCTGACTCATATTCGTGTACCGCCATGTGCGGCAAGCCCATGCTATTAGTTCGGGCTGGAAAAAAAGAGAGACCTGTCATTTACGACAGCCGCCTCGAAGACCAGGATGAGGCTTCCAAGAGGTTGAATCTCGGCGGGAGTATCTTTAATGGCGGCATGGACTCGACACCACCACCTGGGTAGAGCAGCGAACGGGGCTGCGAGCGATTATCTCTGCCCCCAGGACGGGTCACAGAAGTTACAAGTATGTGTGTGTCGTCGGGCTCTCCCGGGGGCAGAGGTCGACCACCCATGGCTTCCAAGGGAGACGAGCGGCCGATAGCGAATTTTCTCTGTATGACGAGATGATGAGGGAACCCCGTCTAGGAAATCCGACGCGACCACTCAAGGAACAGGGGCGGCCCTCCGTCCAAGTCGATAGGACTTGAGAAGAAAGAGAATTGTGTGCATATGTAGGTGAGATCTGACCGAAGACGAATTTTAAAAAAACAAACAGGTCGTCTGGCCGCTAAGGTTAGGGTCTAAGCTGATTTGCTCCTGTTGTCAGACCGGTCCGGGCCTTGCACCCGAGAGCCCGACTGAGTCTTGCATTCTCCACGGCGGGCTCGCTGACAGGCCAAGCATGGCATGGCATGGCATGGATGGCATGTGAAAGCGTGGAAATTTCCGGTTTTCATGGGCTGTTGTCCCTTGGTCTAGGCCAGGCCCGCGCCCGAACGGGATTCTGCATTTGTTGAGATGCCATCCACGTTGAGCGACCGTCCCAATAGCTTGGTTCTGCTGGTCGCGGCCCCAACCGATATCTCTACTGTCACAAGAAGCATGCCAGATCGCGCAGCCAGGAGTGTTCCAGAAGGTGTGCTGGAATCCAAATGGCTTTGCTACTATTGTTCTCAATCTGGGGATTCAGTTTGGCAGGGTTGGCAATACTCTGCTAAATATTGGGCAACGAGGCACCTGGGTGGGTCCGAGTCACTTGAGGCTATTCAGATCAGCTCAAGGATCACCCTGTCCATGACAAACAGAGTTCAGAGCTGGGCAATTACGCTTTTCTGGGGCGATCATATCGCAAGACGCATTGTCCTTGGGCGCGACCCCACTCAGAGATGTAGTCGCAGTGCATAGCCTGTCACTCTTGGAGGAAGCTGCAGGGGGAGCTTTGACTTTCGGTAGAGGCTCATGCAGGCTGGGGTCTAGAACCGACAGCTTGCATGGGGAGCTTCCCCATGGAACTTTGGGATTGGGTTGCATTCCTGGGGAAAAAGTATCGTGAGAGCCCCTCATAGAGCTTTCTAGAGGCCTCGTTTGCCTCCCCCTCTGGACAAAAACATGATGCGTCGGTTTCAGCCACCTACCGTAACACAACAGTAACACAACAACTGCAGGCGGTCAGGTGGTCAGTGGTGATACCAAGAGTCGCAGTATCTCGGCAGCAGAGGTGCAGTCAGGCCATTCGTCGGCTATGGTCGTCAGCTCCTTTAGGCCGAGCTGGGCGGTTCGAGGCTGCGCGCTGAAGATGTGAGGTGACTCTTCGGTTGGACTTTCTAGAACAAGGACAGAGCACACATATCTGTGTTCCCGTCTGCATGCCGTCGTCGCTTTTGTGTGCCCTGGCTGCAGGTGGCTGACGGCGCGTAGGTTTTGTGTCCCGGGCAACACATGAGGTCCGTTTGACGGCGAGACCCGGTGTCGCGTCCAGGTACAATCGTGCGCATTAGTTCTAGAAGATCTATGCCTAGACGTTGACGCAGTATCGTCCATCACGAATCGTATTTGTGACAGGTGTGTGAATGGGTTGGCGCCCAACGGCATATCCGGCAGAGCTGGGCCATGGACAGTACCAGGCAGACAGAATATGATGGATAGATAGCGAGCGAGCTATATCATCGACGGGAGAAATGGTCCGAGCAGTATCCATCGATCTGGCTTGGTCCATCGATCCCGGGCCTGAGGTGTCCTCCGTGTCGTGACTATTGACTCTGGCAATTGGGGCGGCACAACTCTAACCGGATTACCATTGCAGGTGTGACTGGTTGGCCAGCGGCTCGACGAGCCAGGAACGTGGCAGAAGCTACTGCACGCGTCTCATGGGATGCAACGTCAGGTAAGCTTGGCATAGAGGACAGGCAGGATTCCAAGATTCCAAGATTCGCTCGAAAGGCCAAGGCAGTAAGCCGTAGGAATCACAGGCTGATATCGAGCTGGGCCTGTCGAAACCTCTCGCTTGTTAGCCGATGTAGATGAAGATCATGGCCCGGGGCGCAGAATGGCCACTGCATCTAACATTCGTTTGGGCCGGAGTCATGGCGCATCGCGATGACAAGGAGTCGGACTTTGCCGCGAGGTGCTGGGTCTCAGGAGAAAATAGATCAGCTCAGTTCCCAAACGAGTATCAAGATGCCGCGCGACAAGATGTATGTGTATGAGGAGGGGATCGACTTGGCTGTTTGCCACTCGAGCCAGAAAGTGAGATGCAACAGGAGCAAAAGCAAAAAAACGCCCGCCGGTGAGGACTTGATTCTGGCGGGAAGTGATATGTTGTGGGTAAGGAAACTCCGCCCCGAAGCTCTCGTCTCGATTGATGTTGCGACCGTCTCCGCTCCCTCCACTTTCACCCCCTCCTCTCCCTTGAACCTTGCTCATCCAACCATATACCACGTGTGCCGCCATGACAGGAACTTTCCGGCGTCGATTCTCGAGTGCAACCCACCCGCTCTGCCGCCGTAGACCAGCCTGACCGGCCTGACCAGCAGCCCACTCCCGAACTTCCGAGTGCGAGTGGGAGCAGTGATGGAATAGAAGAAGCCTCCATTAGCCGCGTTGGGCCGTTGTCAACGGTGCCAGCGCTTCTCTCGATCGACCAACTTCCACGCACAAGGAGAAAACACCACACCCTCTTATCCAGCTCCAATTCCAGCTTCCAGCGGCAGCACACCATTCCATAAGACGCAATCTTCCACTTTCCAAGTTCAGAAGCTTGCTGTGTTGTGTGAGAAGACTCTCATCGCCGCGATCGATGCAGGCCCGGATCAAAACCTCCGTTATCGATAAATAAATTTGTTTATCGATAAGACGCACCACTGTCCTCGAGGGTGAGGTGTGAATGACGATTTTCCTGATATTTCGACGACCTTCTCTCATCCACAGCCTTCTCTGCCCAACGCCTTGTTCAGAACTGATGTGACGTTATTGAGGTGCATTTGTATCCCTCGATCGAGAATATCTTCCCGGTCGGGACCCAGCAGCATTCCTGATATCTTAGGGTGCTCATTAGCGGCCTCTTCTCGCCTTTTTCTTCTTCCTCGACCAGCTTTCCAAACCTCGAGCTCCAGTCAGGCCTTCGAGATCCAGACCTGCTAGACCTGCCAGACCTGCAAAGCCCACACCGCACTATCTGGGTTTCATCGTGTCTCCTTCAAACAGACCAACACCCACGCCCTCAAAAAGATCAACAGGAATAACCCGCACTAAGACCTGGCCGGATCGCTCCTAGGCTCCCAGTCTAGTCGCCCCAAAGTTGCCCACGTCAAGATTATCTCACCCGAGATCGTCGCCTCTGCTCACCGGCCAGCCGACAAGGGCCCAAACAAAGGAAAACCTTGGAAGAGCTAAAGGGATCGGCCAATAGGTTTTACGGAACAATCAGCCTGTCAGCCTGTCAGCCTGTCAATTGTCCAATTTGCTGCAATTGTGTCCTAGGAGTAAGTGTCAATTTTCCTAGTTGGTTGGCTCTTTAGCACAGTACCGCTATGGACCGTCGCGGCCCCCAGTCCTCAGTCCCCAGTCGCAATCCCAGCCCTAGCCAGAGTCAGGCCAGTCCTGACCCGAGAGTCCGACCTGGGCTGCTGTGGTTATTCCTGGGCACCCTAGCCTGACGTGCAGCCGGTTACGTCAGTCTGGACATATGGGTCCTCTCGTGTGTTTGTATCTTTATTGCCTTTTTTTTTCTTGGACTGGATACTTAGCATCAAGCTACACACACACAGACAGAACACTTCTGTCGTTCTCATTCCCATTCCCATGTTCACTCTCATACTTCTGTTGCTGATCTGGTCCCTATGTGAAACAGTTTCCAGTACCCAAACACATTTGCCCCTTCCTCGCATCTCCAGGAGCAACATAACGCCTTCCCAAGACAAGGAAGGTCCCAAGCGCACTTTTTAGCTCCCGAGCGCCAGAGTACCAGAGTACCAGAATACCACAGTAACCGGGGTACCTGGGTACCTTCCTGCACCACCCACCCTCTGCCCTGCCCTGTCCTGCACCTGCCACCTGCAGTTTCCCCAAATTTGGCAACGGCAGCAGCAGCCGCAGCACCAAGCAGCAGCAAGAAAGCTGGGTCCCTTGCAGCTTCCCACCCTCCATCAACTCTGCACCCGACGTCAGTCAGCCCAACCCGATTTCTTCCTCTTCACCTAGATCAGATTTACCTCTGCCCAACATTCACCTCGACCTCACGAAACATACCACCCTCATTCGACAGTTCGCCTTCACTCACTGCCTCCCTAGACTGTTTCTGTCCTTTGGATCGCCCTGCATCTCGCCATAGACTTTCGGCATAGACTTTTCGCCAGTGGCCTCGACACCCTTACTCAGCTCTTTTGTGTGCTTCGAGGACAAACCATTGTTTCGCATCATTTTCTTCAGCCAGCTTGAGAGCCGCCCGCGCGCATAGACATAGAGCTCAGCCTCCAACCAAACCTTTCACGACCCAAGTCAGCAGGACCCACTGCCCCAGACGAACGGCAATACGAACCCCTCTCGATTCGAAAAAAAAGTCAACAAACCTTCCATCCTGCATGAGATACCTGCATTGATAGACTGGATACCCGAGGCCCAACATGACGGTCTTTATTGCCTCCCTGTAAGTCTCTGGCATAGCAAACCCTCTTCCTTACCCTTCCATTGTTTCCTGCGCGCCATATCACTTCTCATCGTTATGAACGTCGGGGAGCAAAAGACCCACAGCAGCCCTCTACGTCATCGTTGAAGCCTTTGAAGCAGAAATGCTAACCACGTTGTTTCATGGCACAGCTTCCTTCCAAAAACCATCCACTTCAACCTCCCTGGCACCCCCTCAAAAAATGCCAAGCTACTGCCGGAAAACCCGGCCCCCAAGAAGCCCAGACCCGCAGCTCCTCGAGCACAGCCGACCTTGTTCCCCGTTCCACAGTCCGACATCACACCACCCGAGACCCCGATCGAAGACGAGCCTGCGGATGGCATCTTTACCAACGAGGACGGACTGCGTATCCACTACCCTCCCAAGGACGACCAAGCTTCGAGTGAAAGCAAGTCCAACTCAGGACCGGGATACCCAGGACCAGGATACCAGGGCTCTCCTGTTTGGGGCAGGAGGAGTGACCAGCCTGTCTCTCGTGCTAACACCCCTCCTCCGTCGTCACTCCTCGAGCATAACAAGCAATTAAAGGCCAAGGCGCAGGAGCTTGGCCGCCAGGGCATCGTTCAGCCCCGAGCCCTCCAGCGAAGCGACAGCCACGACCGGGTCTTTGCCCACGCTGAATGGAAGGTAGTTCACGCCGACCAAGGCAATGGTGGGCTGCGACACGCTGCAGAGGCTGCCGCCCGCGAGGGTAAGCTCTCCGACGTCACCTGGGTTGGAACCCTCGGCATGCCTACAGATGCCCTCGAGGGCACCCAGCAGAAGCAGGATATCGAGGACCGACTTGCAACAGAATACGACTCGCTCACCGTCTTCTGCTGCGACAAGGATCTCGATGGCCACTACTCGCACTTCTGCAAACAAATTCTCTGGCCCGTCTTCCACTACCAGCTCCCAGACAACCCCAAGAGCAAGGCCTACGAGGATCACTCGTATAAGCACTATGTCAACGTCAACCGAGCTTTCGCCGATAAGATCATCAAGAATTGGAAGAGGGGTGATGTGATCTGGGTCCACGACTACCACTTGCTGCTTGTGCCGGGGATGGTTCGTGAGAAGCTGCCCGAGGCCAAGATCGGCTTCTTCCTGCATGTTGCTTTCCCTTCGTCCGAGGTCTTCCGATGCTTGGCGGTCCGGAAGGAGCTCCTCGAGGGCATGTTGGGGGCCAACCTGATCGGTTTCCAAATCCACGAGTACACGAGACATTTCCTTCAGACTTGCAGCCGTCTGCTCAACGCAGAGGCAACGCCTGATGGGTTACACCTCGAGGACCGTTTTGTCGATGTCATCAACCTCCCAATTGGCATTGACCCCGTGAGCTTGAGTGCCCACCGGGAAGAACCCGCAGTCAAGAGGTGGCTTGACGTGCTGCGCGAGCGCTACGCTGGCAAGAAGCTGATCGTTGCGCGAGACAAGCTGGATCACGTCCGAGGTGTCCGCCAGAAGCTACTTGCGTACGAGCTTTTCCTCAACACCAACCCTGAGTGGCGAGGAAATGTTATCCTGATCCAAGTGGCCCTATCATCAAGCGAGAAGTCGGAACTCGACGCGACAGTGAGTGATATTGTCACTCGTATCAACTCGTCCTACGCCAACCTCGCATACCAGCCGGTCGTGTACCTGAAGCAAGATATCGACTACGCTCAATACCTGGCTCTGCTCTCTATTGCTGACGCGTTGATGATAACAAGTCAGCGTGAAGGCATGAACCTCACATCGCATGAATATCTTTACTGCCAGGATGGCAAGCACATCGGCGAGAAAAAGCACGGATCTTTGATTCTCTCCGAGTTCACGGGCACTGCTTCGTTGTTCGGCGGAAATGAACTGTCTGTAAACCCCTGGGACTACCGAGCGTGCTCTACTGCCATCAGAAAAGCCCTAGACATGGGCAATGCCGAGAAGGAACATCGCTGGAACAAGTTGCACGAGTGCATCATGGAGCACACTGGGGCACACTGGTTCACTGAGTTGATGACACGGCTGGACCATGCCCATAACGAGCAGCATCGCCACAACCAGACATCTGTTCCACGTCTGAACGTAAATAACCTCGTTCAGCGTTACCAGAGCAGTCAACGTCGCCTGTTCATTTTGGACTACGAGAATACTCTCGTCAACTGGGGACCTGTGAACCAAATCATTCCATCTAGCCCTCAGGTAAGTTGAGCAATCATGCTTTGAAGATTTGGAAAACGATCCGCTAACGACGCATCGACGCAGCGCACTTTGGATACCCTTAATGAATTGCTCTTGGACGAGCGCAACATAGTTTATGTAATGTCTGGTCGACGGCCCGAGGAGCTGGATCGACTATTTCGACGCGTCCCTAATTTGGGCCTGATCGCGGAGAACGGCTGCTTCCTCAAGGACTGCGGCAGCGACGCCTGGACCGAGATGGCGGATCCTAAGCACATCCGCGCGTGGAAGGAGTCTGTTAAGGGAATACTCAACTACTACCTGGAGCGTACTCCCGGCGCCGAGATCGAGGAGCGCCGCTGCAGCCTTATCTTCCACTACAAGGGCGCGGAGAACTGGGAGCACGCCGTCAGCCAAGCGAGCGACTGTGCTTCCCACATCAACGACGCCTGCGAGAACCAGCGAGTCCATGCCATTCCCACTGACGGCTCGGTAATAGTGGAGCCGGTGGATTGGACCAAGAGCACCGCCGCGGACAAGATTCTTGAAGACTTGAAGACCCGTCTGCCTGCAGACGAGACGCACAAAAGTTCTGTGGATTTCCTCATGGTGGTCGGTGATGGACGTGATGACGAGAAGGTTTTCAGATGGGCCAACACTCTTGGAGAAGATAAGGTGGTCAAGGACGTGGTTACGGTGAGCCTTGGCAACCGGAACACGGAGGCAACAGCCACTTTGACACAGGGCGTGTCTGGGGTCTTGGTGGTACTCAACCGGCTGGCCTCCAACACCAATGAGTGAGCTCGTCTCCTCTGAGCTACACAGGCTTGCTGAGCTGAACTGGCGGAGCTCGGCGAACCCAGAAGCAACGACACTCAACGAGAGGACAAGGCTTATTGCAGATCAACAGTCAATGAGTTACCCTGGCCCCGAGTCTCATCTTCCGGATCTGGCTCCTCGCACAACGCCCATTTCGTCGGCAATCTGGCGTCTGCATGCACAGCCTTCGGTGATGGGTCATATGCACTAAAACCTATCGTGCGATCCGTCACTTTCATAATGGTACGCTTCCTAACAGAATTGGGGGCGGCTTCGATTGACAGCTCTATCTGCTGGGTCTCTTGAAGTTCTCTCACATGACCACCCTCTCATGCATGTCTGTCTCACTGGGGCTAGCAGAACAGCCTATGTGTAACCACCAACTTTTATTGTATATTGTTTCATTGTTTCACAATCCTTCTTTCCCTGTCTTGGCGTACTCACTTTTACCTCATTTTACCTCACGATGGAAGAAAAGCATGGCGATTACGGAACAATGGTTTTATTTTATGGACATGAATACTGGAAAGGAAGAGTCTCCCACTCAAGTTAGAAAATTGCGGTGGCATGCCTGTCCCTGAGTTTGGACTTCTGATGTGTATGATGATGGATGGACAGACCTTTGGATGCTTGCATATGTTGGGAAAAGAACGTACCATGGTTTGGAAAGAGAATGCAACCCTTCTTTTGTGCTTCTGTTTCCCGCATCCTTAGACTACACTGCTAGCATGGTAGTTTCCATTGGCATTACATTCGGTTACATCACTGTATTTCTCGGTTGTCTTTGTTTTTTGATTACTACTAGTACCTCTGTACAATTAGGGCAGTTTAGTCGGAGTTGAATACATTGTCACAACACTTAGGTTTCATCGACGAATGTCCCCTTAATTTTGCGGTCAGTCGTGACAATTGCCTGATCTATATTTCGCGGCCACCCTATCCACATATTACATGACATACATGAGGGGCGTATGTCACAGGATAGCTCCGACCTTCCGTGACTTAGATATCCTAGCCGCCGCAATAAGGAACGAGCTAGCGAGGAAAACAGCCCCAGCCCAGATCTGCGCCCACACATATCCCCCACTCGTCTTGTCGATGATTGCACCAGCTATTGGCGGCCCTGCGAGCGTGGCGACTCCCGACAAGGTAGCGACCATGCCGAACCTCACACCCATCTTCCGGGGGTCCGCGGTCAGGCTCGCCAGTGCACCCAAAACGATTCCCTGCGCCGCGCCGTTGGCCATGCCCAGAAAAACGCTGAAGACATACATGCCCGCCCTGGTCTTCACGCCGACCCAGGCGAACTCCATGCAGGCGAGGACGAATGTTGCGACCGTGAAGGTGTTGATCGGACCGACATGGCGGTCGGCGATGTAGCCCACCATTGGCCGCAGCGGTATCCCCGCGGCGTTGGTGACCAGAAGTAGAGATACTGCTTCGGTGGCGGACAACCCGATGACCTGGCGTGCGAATGCATTGATCTTTACGCTCAAGTCAGCAACATGTGTGGCTCAACAGAGTTCACTACCTAGCCAGCGAAGATGTGCCCGGTTACACCTACGTAGAAGAAGCTGAAGTAGAGAGCCATGAAGTAAAGGCACACTCCAATGGTGAAAAGCAGATACGGCATCTCCTTAAAGGCGCCCAGATCGACGAATGGGCCCGACTTCGCGGGAAAGACACGCGGCTTCAGGAGCAAGTTTGCGATAAGTGCCATGACGAAGGCCACGAGGGCAGAGAACCGGACGGCCCAGGGGAAACCGACCCTGGGGATGAGGTACTGCAGGGCCGAAGGGAAGATCAAGCTGCCGAAGCCGCCGCCCGTCGTGGAGATTGCGAGAGCCAGCGAACGCCGCCGCTTGAAATAACACCCGATAACAGCAATGCTAGGCATATACGCCATGCCCAATCCTAGACCAATGTAGACACCCTGTATCATCAGTATCTGCCAGTATCGCGTGCAAAAGCTCGTCAACAGCGTGCCCGACACAATCACGAGGCACCCTGCTAGCACAGCGTGCCTGGAATATCCTGCGTCCGCCAGCCGCCCCGAGACAGTGCCGAGGGCAAGCGTCAGGAAGACCTGTGCCGAGCCGATCCACGAGGCCTGGGATGACGAGAGTCCAGTCTGCTCCGTGTAGTACAGCTGGTACACGCCGAACGAGGCCGGCAGGCCCCATGCCAGCATGTTGAGCGTGTTGCCGGCTATGACCTGGGACCAGGCTGTCCAGCCTCCTTCTGGGTACTGGAACTCATCCTCAAATACAGGCGCGTGCATCTCATGGTTACCATCGATGGCGTCTTCGAGTGGGGTAATACTATGAGCAGATAGTCTGTGGGTCACAAGGAGCAGCTTTTCCGGCTTCCATTGCATGCTGCGCTCTCTGTCTGCCTGTATGCCAGGGCAGGGCGTTGGTGGCTTTTCTGTATGACAAGAGGACACTGCACAGTGGAAGAATGCCAGCAAGCAATTTACAATTGCTAGATAATGTATTAAAATACTGCCAGCTGAGCAAGCCAGAATAGCACTAGAGCGGCCCTTCGCGATAACCAGGCCCGACACTGGGGATTATAAATATCTAAAACAGATACAACTGGGATCAATAAACCTTATAATGCACTCCTATTGTGTAGTGCTCGGCAGGTGGATTAAACTCAATCCTCTTACTACGTAAAACCTGTAATATAACTGCGATATTGTTGCAGCCCGACTACCTAGCTCCGAGTTTAAATCACTCGAGCCAGGGGCTTATCGCCTATGCATTTCATGTGGGTAAGAGTATAGTCTGTTTGGGCCAGTCCTTACACACCGGGGAGAGGGGGTGGTAATGGAATACGAGTGTCCGTGCGAGCTTGGCTACGCCTTTCGGTAATGAACAGCGGAACGAATTCTCGTTTGACCTATCGAAATCAAGGATTGTGAGCACTTCCAACTTTGTTAGCGTCTTGCAGTAGCTGGCTACCTATTAAGTGTCAACACCTTCTACGCCCCGTCACGTGCAACGTCTTTCGTTAATATTTCAGCACTTCTCATTGATATTGCAAACTATAGAAGACATTAACGTTGGTGAACAAAAATAAAAATAAAATAAAGAAAGAAATAAAATGCATAGATACATGCTGCACTCTGCATGGCTTGGCATGCGAATGACAGCTCGCTTAAGTGTGCTCAACCAGAGCATAACGGCCTGCATTGCTTCTTGCCGGGGTGTGGCAGGGGCTGTCAGCAGCTTGTTTAATGGGGCAGGCTGCGAGGTATTTGTCACGCACCCTTGAGAGGATTCTTGAATAGCATGACGCATTCCTCTTCATGTACACATCCATCGTGACGTGTCACACGTCGGCACACGGCACCACACCACATTCACAGTGACCAAGGCCACACGGCTGACTTGTTGGCCATGTTGGTGATCTGTAGGGCTTAGTTCAAGACCCGGATTCGGCGCGCTCGACACCCTCTTGCTTGGTATCTCCTCGAGATTGCACCTCCAGCGGGGGTTTTGATAGGTCATAAAGTAGAGAAGAATAGGAGCACCCCTGCAGTATCGTGAACCGAGGGCCAACACCAAAAGAACCAAACATATTGGACCAGCTGGGGAAAAGATACAGATTGTGATAGAATAAGACGCCCAAGCACCCGCGAATCAATTCAGACAAACATTGCTGCGAAATCGATTCGATAAAGCCGGGATGAAAGTAAAACCAACATGCATTGGGCCACGTCCTCGCCCCAAGCCATTGCCCCAAGCAAATACCGCAGCAGCCAACTGCATGGTGCACCTTCGTTTCATCCTTCCCTCCGTTTCCGAAGAGAGTAAAATTGGACTATGATGCCTCATACTTGCAGTTTTGTGGTTGAAGTTGGGCGCGCAGATTGAGCGGCACACCAACCTAAATCACCTACGACCCACATCTCAATCGTCAAAGTCTTGTATCTTCAGGGCTGCATGATACAGGTATCATTATGTAGTCTCTGGTGGAATTGGACCGGAAATCTGCGGGTAATTCTCGGTAACTCAGAAACAGCACCGCTCATATGGACGGGGAAGTGAACGTGTGTCTTCCAGACGACAGGCAATCTGCGGAGTGACTTGTCTGACACTGTGGCAAGTGCTTGTGGAGTTCGAAAGAGTTCTGCTGTCGAGTGAAATTTCTCTGGGGTGCCGTTGCCCAACCGACGTGGGGAAGACGAGACAAGTTAACAGCTTCGCGGCAGGGGAAACCAGCACACCACCACCCATCAACCCCGGTAGACCGTTGAATCCGGCCCGAGAGGCCATCAGATAAGATGACAAGGGATGATTGTCTGGAGGAGGTCATCTTGATTGGACGGGCAATCTCCGCACAGGGCTGGCCGTCCGGGGGGTGAGATGGCAACAACGCAACCATCGCGGGCTGACAATTTAAGGGCGTGGGCCCGGCATGCATGGTCTGTTGGTCACTTGAATCAAATCGACGACAATCTTCCTATATATTCGGGGCAGGCAACATCTTCGAAGAGACTGTGTTGAATGGAAGAGGCATTGATAGACAGAGACGGTTCAATGTTTTAACCGGATAGTAGAACCGGTTGCTTGATCTTGATTGTCACTCCCCCTCCGTGACCGAAATGGTTGACTTTCGGGCCAGATGGAGGGCAAGAAAAGGATCGAAGACAGGACATTAATAGCAGGGGTCAACAACCCCTGCTGCCCGTTGGCGCACAAAGGGACCCTTCGGTCGACCAATCCACTCCTCTCCCATCCAGTCGGTACGGCTCGAGACTGGTGGGAACTGAGATACGCGAGCGCTTCTTGCGCCGGGAATAGCATGAATTTGCAAGGTTGCGGCGCACAAATGCCTCACACGCGCTATTCCCAGTTAAATAGAGGTCTGAATGTGGGTTACCGGAGTTCCGGAGTCTAAATAAGTTTGGCGGATATCAGTGACGGTGGTGGTGACCGAGCAGGCAGGCAGGCAAGCATGGTAGATGAAGAAGGGTAGAACGAATTCACAGAACCCCTGACGATGATTGCTTGCGCCGTAACAAAAGCCTCGGCAATCTGTGTGGCTTCCGTACTTCCAGTCCTCCGTAGTACATGCCACCGAGCAGCATCAAGGACGTTCTTGATCTCGAGTCTAGCCGAAAGGACTGTCAGTAGCTGTAGTGTGACCACACAAGGCACCACAAATCCTGTGGTAGACAGTTGTGTCGCGTCGACCTGCCTCTGCCTTACGAGGAGCCTTATGGAGAACCAGGCATGCCGCCGAAAACAGAAACGGCCAGCTCTAGACTAAGGCTGAGAAGGGGTATTTTCCGCAGGTTTCGTACTCCAGGTCGTGGCTCTGCCTGGAAGGGGACCAACAAAGGGACATGCCACGGCTCGGTCACCACGCATCCTAGCGTGATCCGCCCCCAACTACCGGATTCCGCCCTTTTCAACGCCTGGTAGCTGCATGAATTGCGCGGCTGTGTGGTCATCTGATCATGCGGCGCGGTTGCAATCGAGGTTGACATAACCGCACAGCCTGGTTGGACTACACAAGGGCAGCGACTTCCATGGAGTGAACCTTTCATTACCCCCCAAGAAACCATGGAATGACCATACCCAGTCAATATCAGCACTGAAGTCACCTCAGGTGATTCCAAATGTACTGAATAGGCAAGAGAGGGGACGAAGACGGATGGAAACACAAGGATCGACGATGGCATGTGGCTGCTCACAAAGCAGCAAAAACTGGGGTGAATGATAGGGTTTGTGCCGGTCATCGTGCCGAGCAATTATTTCTCGTGGCGTGCCGTCCGCTCTCTTCCCCGGATCACCAAGCAATCGCCCTTAGGGCAAGGAGATGCACGAGGTACTCATCCCGGGGGGGGGGGGGCAGATTCTGCAGCTAGATGCTGTGACTTCGGGACGGGCGTCAAGATGTCCTGGTGTCCTCCTTGCGAGGTCGCCGATAATTGTGCTCGCTGTGTCGAGAGACGGCGACGGCGACGGCGACGGCGACATCGCCTCCATTAACATGGACTGGGGTTGGTCAGAATGCTCGCGTGCCGTGTTGTATTTTCGTCAGCCGTCCTTTCTTTCAAGCGTCGCGGGCTCAGAGATGTTGGAATTGACCTCTATCAGACGAATCTAAGCCCGCATCACCCGAATCCTTTGATATCCACCCGTCCGAGGCAAGGTTGCGGATGGTGAACACGAGTTGAGCCGATATGCGTTGGGAATACTTGCTTCCGCTGATAATGGATTCCACGAGGCGTCTAGCTGGAGCCTACTGTGTGCCATGGAACTGCGCCCAGCCCCTCAGGATCACCTCTAGATAGCAATAATTGGCCCACTGGACCAGGGCGAGATGAATTGGCGGCCGCGTGGGGCCGAGCGACCGGACAATAAACTGCAGAGAAACAGGTCAGTTAAAGCCGGAGCAACCAATCCTGGATCTCCGACATGCATATCGAAGCGGGCTGAAATGGGAAAGGGGCTTCCAGAAGGGGGTGTCCGATATTGTCAAGTGATATAACACACAAAACTCCCAACTGCATATCTCCGTGATTTGAGCCCGTCGCCCCTGTCACCAACCTTGAAAGCAGCACACTTATCTACCCTGAACTGCTTCCAACGTACCTAACACCGCTGCTCGACAGCACCATTGCTCGTCGAAATTGGAAAAGTTGCCAAGAAAACAAGCCGCATCCTCGTCACTGTGCTCCACCGCTTGACATCAGCTAGATCATCCAGGCCGACGGTTGAAGATATATTGGGAGTGGCTCTGCCAGACACTTGTCCAGGGACTTGAGATCTCGCCTTATTTGAGATACAAGTGTGGATCCAAGTATCTCGCCGCATCCAACTTTCTCATCTTCGCAATCAAAGGGTGTTCCGCAACTTCATCGGGTACTTACAGATCTGATCTGTGTTCCTTCCAGTCCCACCCTGACGCACTCCATACGTTGTGCTGTCTGCACTCAAAAGTCCTGTACTATGGTGCTGCCCTACAAAGAGTCTATCGCTCTTCGCACGAAGAATCGCAATTCCACAGCCGCCTTTGCCACGCCAGCAACAAGAAGAATGGTTCAATCTTTATCTTCGCCGTCGGGGACCTGCAGCAATTGGAGCAGCAGTGTTAGCGACAGTGGGACCAGCTGTTCGAGTTCCAGCACAGTCTGTATGACACCAGTCTCTGGGTATTTGGACTTCGATCCGACGGCCAACCACCCTGTTGGACCAGAATTGCGAGAACTCGAACAGCACCCAGTGCCTACCGCTATGCTCCTGAGCTCCAACACAACGATTCCTTTGTGCACAAAGTTTGAAGCAAGTAGACCACCGCTTGTCACGACTGACGGGGGGCCCAGACCGACTAGCCTTACGAGCAGTACCCGTCGAAGGCGTTATGCCACTGAAGACGACTGGCGGCGCCATAGGGACAGGATGTCCTCCCTGTATCGGATCAAACGGCTGAAAGATGTGATCGCCATCATGGAGAACCAATACCAATTCTTTGCGACAGAACGAATGTATAAGGCTAGATTCAAGGAATGGGGCCTGAAAAAGAACGTCACCACAACTGAAGTCCACAAACTGATGGAGAAGGTAGAAGAGGAGCGGCAGCGCAGGAGAAACCTGCCAGCTTCTGGTGAAAGGGCTGCCAACGAGAGAGTTGTGTTGGACGTAGGTGAAGACCTGGATGTAAAACGTATCCAGAAGTATATGAAGCGTAAGCCCGTCGGTCTGGGAAAGCTGCGTCCGGCGTCCAGAAATTCGTTGGAGGTACTCAAGGCACTATCGATAGATAGTGGAAAAGGAGCATCAGGTCGGGGCAGGATATCGATCCCGGTAGTGAAGCTTGAGCAGCAGACTCAGCAAAAAGAGCCAGACTTGCCGCCACGAAACTTTGTCCCGTGGCGTTCGCCAGGGGCAGAGGTTCCGGACGAGATCTTTCGGCTACTTCAATCTTTCATTGACAACCGTTTCGACTGCCCATACCCGCTTACGCCAACGCCATCCGCAACATCCACACCCCTTACTTGTCATAGATGGCAGCCTGAAACCAAAAACCATTCCAATTTGGTGGATGTTTGCCCAGCGCCATTTTGGGAAGCATCTATCCAAGACGAGATGATGCTGGACTTTGTGCTTAAGATTCGCGTCGCGCACATCCTCCTCGACGATGGGTTGACAAGTGAAGGCATGCAGGCGGTCAATACGTGCCTTGACTCGGTGGCTTTCTGCATCCAGGAAGCCCAGATTACAAGCCCCATGGACACAAGACCGGCAACCTCGGTGATCCTGTGGGCCCTGTCAGCAGCGTTGGACATAATAAGCGACTTCGAGAACATCAAGCAGCTGATCATGCATATGCTTTTCCAACGGATAGCAGCATCTTGCGCGGGATACCAGCCTACAATGGCAGAATTGGCGAGGCAAGTATCCCACATTGAAGTCTACGGACAGGTCGTGATGTTGAGGCATGCACGATATTCAATTTCTCGTGCGCTGCTTGCTGGCCATACCGAATGCCAGCCAGCGTTCGAAACATATGCAAGAACAGTGGACATTTCTGAGAGCTTGCTGTCGCCAGGGGATAAAGTTCGGGCGCTTTGCACTCTGGCAAAAGACTCGACGGTCCACGGTTCGCCATTTCTAGACGCGTGGATGGAGACGCGCATCGCTCTGTCAGTGTCTGACGCATCGTCACCTGATAGGGAGTCTTTCGGGTCCCATGGCACAAGCATGTCTCCGTCGCAGCACACCAGGGGAAACAACAAGGTTGCTGCGGTACTGGGGTTGATCGCAGGGAATATTGAGTGGCATCGGGCTGTAGGCAACTGGAAACTGGTTCAACAACTGGAAAGGCGTTCCGAGTCGATAGCCCAGACTGCGAGGGGGTACATCGGGGAGGCGACACGAGAATCCAAGGAGGAGCTCGAGTTCCCGAAGCCCCCTGAACAGGTGGCGAGAGTCCTGACGCTGATGGAGCCCAGCATGTCCCATATGACGCTTCCTGAGGTAACATTCAAGATGAGCCACCTAATGGGTGAGATCCCAGGCTGGGGACAGCAGCAGCAGCAGCAAGTCCAGGTCGCGCCGCATTATGAGTCACTCTCAGATTCTGGATGGATCGCAGCGGAAACGAGCCGATGGCAGGTAGATGCCAGCTTTGGAAGCGATTATGGGATGTATAGTAATGCATGTTGAGAATGGGAGGAATTGTGAAAATCTTGTCTTCTGGCATCTGGAGTTCTGGGCGTGGCTGGACGAAGAAGAGGAAAGGAACAGAAGGGCGGAAGGAAGAAGAGGAGGAAACGGAGGATAGAAGAAATTGAGGCCATCGCTGGCACCGTATCGAGACATGCTTGACCGTAAAGAGAAGTAGCCTCTATAAAAGAAAGAGCGACTTTTGGAAGGGATAACGTCACAGGTACCTAGGTATCCTTGAATCGAAGTACCCACCTGTCTACCCTTACCCCGGATTTTCTACCCTCACCTCCCCCCACCTCGCCCCACCCCAGACCTCATCCCCCCTGCACATTTTTGAGTTGTCCCTGACTCAAATGCGAATTGCCCTGTCGCTGATTGCGCGCAAAGGAACCAGGGGACCCCGCAGTCCGCAATCGGAGACTTCGGTCGTAAACTCTGGCCATTGGGGATTTTCCCACGAGAATAATTTCTAGACCCTCTTTAGTTTCCCCTCATGAGGTGCTATCGTCGTGGTTCCCATTAGCCCCATATTTGACACCGGTCTGCCCACTTCCAGTCTGGACCTGTCGTCACTGGACACAAGATTTATCTGAACAAGCTGGTCATCAATTGCTGACTTTCCCGTCCGAAATCCTGCTGTCCGTCAGCCTTCGAATAGCACGTGTGAGCTCTTGACTCACCTTCTTCGCCCTTGACCAGTCAACCACTTCGCGACCCCTCGACGACATTGCCCAGGACGACCCTCACGATGCCTTCATTCCCTCCTCCGCCCACCAATGTCCTCGATTGGGCCAACATTGGCTTTCGCATGCACGAAGGTTCGTCTGTCGCTCTCCCAGCAGCCCTACATTCAAGCTGACATTCTCTCCTGTGTTCCAGTCAACGGCCACATCGAGTCCCACTACTCCCACAAGACCGGAAAATGGTCGCCCCTTCAGTTCGTGACCGACCCTTACATCCGTATCCACGGCATGGCCCCGGCCCTCAACTACGGCCAACAAGCCTACGAGGGCCTCAAGGCCTTCCGCACACCCGGCGATTCCGCCATCCAGATATTCCGCCCCGACCGCAATGCGTCCCGTATGCAGCACAGCGCCGAGTTCGTGTCCATGCCCCCTGTCCCAGTCGACATGTTCATCGATGCCTGCCGCGCGGCTGTCGCTCTCAATGCAGAGTGGGTTCCACCGCACGACACGGGAGCCGCCATGTACGTGCGACCACAGCTCTACGGCTCCAGCGCACAGCTTGGCTTGAGTCCGCCTGAGGAGTATACCTTCGCTGTCTATGTGCTCCCAACAGGTGTGTACCACGGCGTGCACCCCGTGCGCTGTCTCATCTTGGACGACTTCGACCGTGCCGCGCCCAATGGTACCGGGAGCGCTAAGGTTGGCGGCAACTATGCGCCTGTGATGAGGTGGACGGACAAGGCGCGCAAGGAGGGTTTCGACATCACCTTGCACCTGGACAGCGCGACTCACTCCGAGGTAGACGAGTTCAGCACGAGCGGCTTCATCGGTGCGCTGGTCGAGGGAGATAGCGTCAAGATCATGGTGCCAGATTCCAACAACGCCATCAAGAGCGTGACCAGTGAGAGTATCCAAGGTCTTGCCCAGAGCTTCGGCTGGAAGGTTGAGCAGCGGCCGGTAAGTGACAATCAGCTTCTCGTTCACAAGTCGGACAGTAGATTGACAAGTTGAGCAGATCAAATACGCGGAACTTCCTAACTTTCAGGAAGTCATGGCTGCCGGAACAGCCGCCTCCTTGGTGCCCATTCGGTCTATCACCCGACGACTGGCTTCATCAGACCCCAAATCATGGGCCGCCACCGTCAAGTCCCACACTCGGCTGTCCCTCGACGCCTCCAAGGGCGAAGAGACCGTCACCTACATTCCCGACAGTCAGGAGGATGCGGGTCCTTTGTGTCTGAAGCTGCTCGCTCAACTCAAAGGTATCCAGGCTGGCAAGGTCGAAGACAAGCTCGGCTGGTGCACAAAGATCACAGATGCGGACCGCAAGAAGGCCCTCGGCCACGAGGTGGTGACGAACGGTGCAGCAGGTGAGGAACCAAGCGTCGGTCAAATGGACTAGAAATCCGAGCGCGTCACGAGAGGTCTTCACCCAGATTTTGACCCCCGGCGTATGGGCACGAAACCTGAGAGGAACAATATACTCTCCGACTGCGATGCCATGGTCAAGGAGAAAACCTAGGCCTGCCCCACATCAAAGTCGAGACATCGCAACCAATGTTCTTCCCTATCAAACTCTAGCGAGTAAGCCGTGAACCGGATCCAGTCACTTTCATTTCAACCAGGAACATGTCCTGGATACTAGAGCATGAGGAAGTCGGCAGACTGGTCGCGAAGGCATCTAGAAGGATAGAGAAAGGGCGACCGAGTCTATTTGATTGGCCATCTTGCGATCGAATGCTTGCACGTTTCGCCCTCGAATCAAGTCATATTGTTGATGGGGCTATGATCACTTTGTAGTACCCGTGAAGCTTGCCCCCGGTCCAGTGGCCGTGACAAAATCTGCTGGTTTGATCGCATCTTCCGCGTTAGGAAGGTCTGCGAAAGACGATTGAAACGAATTACATTGGGGAAACAAGCTCCTGGTCTAGGCAACCTGCGCGTCTGCTTCCGCCTCGCTTAGCTTCTGCGAGGGCGATCCTATCCTGCGCGACGGCTGCACATGTAGGTGGGATCGACTCAGACCGCACGCGCGATTCGCAAGGGTCCAACAGCTCACCCCAAGTTTTACTTGTCTCGCCTCGGCTCGTCCCTTTGCTGCAACCCAGTGGGACTCTGCACCTTGTCTGCAGCACCGCCAACCGTGCACTCCATCCCCGGAAATCGATTCAGCCACCCCCAACTCCTCCACGTGAAAGCCAACCAATCCTACGTTGGGCCAAGGAACACTGCAGGATGCTGACAAGTTTCAGAGTGTCTGCAGTATTGCGGCTTGGGTCAGCTCCATCGTTTCTTATCTGCCAAGATATATTGCCTGCGGGGGAGACGTCATCCCCAGTACTCTGTTTTGCTGGTGAGCGGCCAAGCCATCAAGCCCGCGTCCCGTGAGGAGGATCGAGGCAACCAAACCCGTCTTGGCCATAAATAAGCGACGCATGCTCGATTGGCTAGATCATCCTTATCTCGGGCCCTGCAGTGCCTCAACGTAGCACTCGCAGCTGCGATGCAGGGTGATGTGCGAAAAGGGTGTGTTGTATCACAGGATTCTGCCCATGGTAGCCAGCAACAAACAAGCAAACGTCGGGTGGTCATCCGATGAGGCTCCTCCATTTTTGGCACTTCCTATTCTCGGCTCTGATTAGCCCAGGGCGAAGCGTCGCATTCCGAGGTCGCATGGAGCGGCCGATGTGAACCTGAGCCCTACTCGAGGTGCTATTTGGGACGAGAGCTATCCATCGATCGGACTAGCCTAGGCACGAGCTAGGCGAACGTGTCTCAGAACAGTGAAAGAAAAAGAAAAGCCTTTCCAAGCTTCCGGGGCTTAGGCTCTAGCTGCTAGGCAAAATGTCTTGGACCCTGCCAGGAACTCGGTCGTAGTGTGTGCGGCCTGTTCAGTCGACCACGGTTAAGCTTTTTACGCAGGCTCAAATCGTTCTTCGTCGCGTCTAGTCTGCCAGGGGTCAGGGGTCTTTCTGCTGCTGCAGGTTCTTGGAGGAAGTTCGGCCCAAATGATCCCCAAAACCCCTCGCGCTTCTATATTGAGGGAGGTCGCCGCAGAATGGGCCGGTATTAAGCGTGTTGGAGAAAGGGTAAGGGCCTCTGACTTTAGCAGTGCTACAACCGGGGGAGGGGAGAAATTTCCTATCGGCTCACCGCCGGGAACTCGTCAAACACGTCTAGACTATGGAGGCTAATCTAATCTCGATGCGGTATTGCGTCCTAGGCCTCCCAAGTTCACATGCACATGCCGTGCCAGGCGCCACTGGCTGCAGTGAATGCCAGAGCCGTGGCAGCGGTCCCGAGTCAAGCAAGTCGGCCGTTAGCAAGATCTCGCGGTCTTGTTTCCACGGCCCGATATCACACTACCTGCACTGCGTGGTCAGCGTCAGAGATGAGTGCACAATGCAATGCGCAAGCTGCTCCCCACGCTTGCCCATCACACCCAAATTCAGCACCAACGCCGTCCTGTCTTCCCCTGGATCGATCCTTGCTCAGCCACCTCAGCACTTTTATGGAAGCGGAATGGCAGCGGGTTGCGATCAAACGAGTCGCGCGCTCTCTCTCACAATCATAGTCCGGATGTCCCAAATATCCCTCATGGCCCCACCCGGCTTTCTGTGATGCTTTGAGTTCCCCTAGATAATAGACCACTGCACACACGCACAAATTCATTTTCTTTTCCCTTCTAGAGTACCTTACTGTCTGTATTGTGAATCTGTCCAAACTTTTGTCAAGTTATCGACTTCTCCCTTCACTTGGGTAGCTGGCGCTTCTGTGCCAAGCATTTCAGCCCTCTTGTTGTTCCAGTCCCACTCGTCACTTACACGCGAATAACAAAAGGAAAATGGCTGCGTCTCCGCCAATTTCTCCCCTGGCCTCCGGGCCAACCATCAAGATCGCAGAGGGCGCCCATCCAAACCAGCTGCAGCGCTCCGACTCTGAGCAGCGGTTCCGGCCCCTGCAGCCCACGGACACCACCGGGCTCGCGGGTGGCATCTACAACACTCGAGAGCTCTCGCGCGTCGCCACCCACAGGAGCTCGCGCAGGATCTCCTTCGACCGCCACTCCGAGGCCGTCGACGTCGAGGAGGGCGACAACTGGCGGGACAGCGAGCAGCCCAAGGTCAAGCAGGTCTACCGCGGCAAGACACTCCTCTGGCTTGCGTACCAGTCCGTCGGCGCCATCTATGGTGACATCGGAACCAGTCCTCTCTATGTGTTCTCGTCGACGTTCACGGCAGCTCCGAACTATGACTCTGTTGTGCAGGTCTTGTCGCTCATTATCTGGTCGCTTACTATTATGGTGACGTTCAAATATATTTTCATCGTACTGAGAGCCGATAATGAGGGCGAGGGTGGCACCTTTAGCTGCTACTCGCTTCTGACCCGATTTGTAAGTTCATAGCAAAAAGTCCTAAATTCTTTTTGAAAGCCTTTCTAACTGATGTATCTATGACAGGCCAACATCACAGCTCGTGACCCGAGGGAAGAGCCATTGGTGCACATGGAAAGACACCAGACCGGAAACCTGCGGCCAGGAAACCTCGGCGTGCGCTCCCTCCTGGAAAGGAGCAGATTCTTCCGCGGCCTGCTCAAGACAATCGGCGTCCTGGCCGTGTCCATGGTCCTCTCCGACGGCGTCCTGACACCAGCACAGTCCGTCCTCGGCGCAGTCCAGGGTCTCAACGTTGTCAGCCCAAACATCACAAGCTCCACGGTCGTGGGGACGTCGTGCGGCATCATCATAGTCCTATTCTTGATCCAGCCCCTGGGCCTGTCGCGCCTCGCGTCGGCCTTCGCGCCGATCGTCATCGTTTGGCTGGCCTTCAACGCCGGGTTCGGCATCTACAATCTCGTCAATTTCGACCACAGTGTCCTCAAGGCCTTCAACCCGGCCCACGCGATCCAATTCTTCATCCAGAACAAGACTGAGGGCTGGAAGATGCTCGGCGGCGTCCTGCTAGCCTTTACCGGTGTCGAGGCCCTCTTCGCTGACCTGGGCGCATTCTCCATGCGCGCCATTCAGTTGAGCTGGCTGTGCTGGACGTACCCGTGCCTCTTGCTGGCGTATATCGGCCAGGCGGCGTATATCAGTGTCCACCCTGATGCGTACTCGAACCCGTTTTACAACTCGGTTCCGCCCGGGATGTTGTATCCGTCGCTGGTCGTGGCTGTCCTGGCGGCTATTGTGGCCTCCCAGGCTATCATCACTGCTACATTCCAGGTATGTATTAATCGCTCACCCCGCGCCTTTCTTTCAAGCTCTATGCTGACGTTTGTCTCATCCAGCTTATCGCCCAAATCATGAAACTGTCGTACTGCCCGCAAGTGAAGGTTGTGCACACCTCCAAGACTTTCCAAGGGCAGCTCTACGTCCCATTGCTGAACTGGCTGCTCATGTGCGGCACTATCCTTGTCACTGCTGTGTACTCTAACACGACACGTCTCGGCAACGCATACGGTGTTTGCGTCATGTTCGTCACGTTCTTCGACACGTGTATGGTCACCCTCGTGGCGCTGATCGTGTGGCGCATCCGGCCGTACCTTGTCGTTCTGCCGTGGCTGGTCTTCGCCTCGGTGGATGGCCTGTACCTGTCCTCTGCCCTTAACAAGGTGCCAGATGGAGCTTGGTTCACCCTTACCATCTCAGCAATCATGACCGGCCTGTTTATGCTGTGGAGATTCGGAAAGGAGTCGCAGTGGAAGGCAGAGGCGGAGGACCGCTTCCGCCTCAACCACCTGGTCACCAAGGACGACGAGGGCAAGCTGAAGCTCACGCAGCGGTGGGGCGGCGACCAGCTGTCGCAGATCCGCGGGCTGGGCATCTTCTTCGACAAGACGGGCGTGATGACGCCCGCCGTCTTTACCCAGTTCGCAAGCAAGTTCAACGCGGTAATGGACGTGACCGTCTTCTGGCACCTACACCCCGTCGAGGCGCCGACGGTACCCGACAACGAGCGCTACTCCGTCTCCAAGTTCACCACCATCCCGGGCTGCTACCGGCTCGTGGTCAAGCACGGCTTCATGGACGAGGTCATGTCGCCGGATCTCGCGGCCCTCATCTACGAGAAGGTGCGCTCCTTCGTGATCCGCCAGGCCACGCGCAACGAGGAGATCCGCCACGAGGACCCCTCGCTCTCGGGCGACGGCGGCTCCCAGGCCACGCAGCGCAGCGGCATCGAGAACGTCGAGGGCGTCCCCATGTCCGAGGCCGCCACCATCGACGTCGCCAGCGCGAACGCCACCGGCGCCGAGATCACCGCCGCGCCGTCGAATAATGGCTCAAGCGGTGGCAATGGCCCCCGCGAGAGGCACATCTCCGAGAAGCTGCCCATCGAGCTGCGCGATGAGGCTGTTGCGGCCGAGCTGGCGCGCCTGGACCGTGCGTATGCGGCTAAGATCATGTATGTTGTTGGCAAGGGCCAGATGCGCATCCGGACCGGGACGCCTATCTTTAGGAAGGTTGTGCTGGGGACGTTCCTCTGGATTAGGGACAACACGAGGGCTAAGATTGCGAATCTGCGCCTGGCTATGGATCGTGTTGTGGAGGTTGGGTTCGTTAAGGAGATTTGAACACGCGGAAATCATCATTAGGGGAGGCTTTTCTGATCATGCACGTATGAGCGGGCGTTTGGGTGATGGGTTTGGCAGGGTGCTTTGATACCCATCCATGACTTCAGCCAGGAGTTTTGTATCTGTGATGTATATAGATTGCATGAGTCTAAGAATTAAATTGACCATCCAAATCACTTGTTTTGGTGCAATAATAAGTTCGAAGAGCTTAGCCGACCCCGTTGCGCAATTTGATTCATCTGTTTTGCGGAATGTTGGCGCTGCAGAAGAATTTGTTGAAGTTCTCATCAATTCCACTGAAGTTCGCACTCTGCTGACTCGTATAGTGTTCCGACAAACTTACTTGTGAATCTGGAGCGCTGGATTTGTAGGCACGCCTGAATGAGGAAGTAATCAAGGCTGGCTTGTGATGAGAGGATTAAGCTCTGTGAGCTTGGATTCATAGACAAACCTAAATGATCTACGCCCAAATCACGTATCCCAATTGAGAGAGCACGAGCTTGGAGAGTTTTCATGCCAATTTCATTCAGCGAATCGCGACTATTGTAGATCCGTCGACCTAGTAGGGAGAACATTTCTTTCTATACCGACGTCCCTCACTCGGCAGGCTTCCTCAACGGCTCCTTTATAGCGGTCGGCAACCCACTTCTAGCCCCGTGAATCAGCTCGAACCAAGGCTCGTAGACCCTTTCAGATCTTGCAATCACGTTGCCGCTCTTGTGCGGTGGGATATCATGGTAGTAGTGAGACTTGTATGCTGTCTCGATCGTCTGCCCTGTCTTTTCATTCGCAACATCATCCAAGAAAACATCGTACGCCTTCATGAGACATTCCTTGTCGGTCAGACTAGTGACGGTCAGCATACACTCTAATCATGTAAATATTACTTGGCAATCTCCGGGCAGGGAAACCTACTGCTCCTCCAGAAACGCTTCCTGGAAGCCTGGCATAATGTCTGTATCGTAGCCGTTGGGCAGAATGTTATTGATCGTGATGCCTTCTTGTGCCAACATCGGCGCCATCACTCGCGCCCACTGCAGTGCTGCCGCCTTCACAGCGCTGTACTCAGGGATAATTGGCACTGGGTAGATGGCCGCTATGCTGCCGGTGATCATGATCTTGCCTCCTCTGGCGTGAGGGGGATTGTGCCGCATGTAGTGAACAGCCAGCTCTGTCCCGTAGACGACGCCCTTGAAGTCGATGTCTGTGAGTTTGAGTTCCGGCTCCGGCGGGACGTCCTCGATTGGGGCGTCCTTGCGGCTGAGGTTGTAACGGGAGGTCTGGTCGACGATGCCGGCATTGGCTATGAAGACGTCTAGGCGTTTCCATTTGTCCCAGGTTGTCTTCAAGAGGTTTGCCTGGGAGGCGTGCGACGCGACGTCGCATTGAACGAATATGACTGTTTCTCCAGTCGGATCTAGCTCATTTGCAACGGCTTGGCCTAGCTCTGAGCGTCTTCCTGACACGACGATATTGTACCCTTTGGGATGAAGGCGCTCTGCCAGCTCTTTCCCAATGCCAGACTATTATGATAGTGATCAGAAGCAGAAAGTGACGAAGTCTTTTGTGTGAGGAAGCTTGATCAGCGAGACTCACTGTCGATCCTGTGATGACCACAACCTTTCGCTCAGCTGGTGCTGTAGAACCCATTGTCGTATAATACCTTTACAGGCTTTTCAATCAGTAAGGATTCAAAGTAACTGAACCACTGCTAAGTGCAATGAAGAAAGTTGGAAATACAGCCCCCAACTGGTCAAAGGCCGGCCTTTAAATACAATTTTCTCACCTCCAAAGTCGGCACAACTGGGATACTATAGACAGTGATGATACATATTAATGATGCTCATGCTCTACAGTACCATTTGTCAGCCAGTCGATCACTACACATGAGGATGATCCGCCCCCTCATTGTGAGCAGAGTCAACATGGAACATCACTTGGCTTTCAAATTGTCAAGAGCTGCGACGCTTCTTGACATCATCTCACCATACTGGTATTGGTCACTGAGTATTGGGGGATGGATGAAGTTACCGTCGAGGTAGTATTTGCCTGCAGGTAAGAATCAATCTCCCAATCGTCTATCATCCTTTGGGTGATGCTTTGCGATCTGCTGCTTGGTGCTGACGCCTGGTGTTTCGCAGAGCGTGAGACGGGACAGCGACCAATCTGATTGGCATCTTCGACTTAGGTCCCCTCACCAGGATACTACTTCAACCACAATTAATGCAGAAGCCCGCAGCGGCACAAATGGGCACATTGCTATTATTGAGCATAGACAACCCGAGTCTGACTGCATATGGCTCGGGCCCTATATTGCTCTGCTAGGGATATATATGTTGTGTGAGTCTCGGCGCCCGTATGATTACCATCAGTGCGCCGCTGCAAAATCAGCGACGATTACTTCCCCACGCCTGTCAGACTTTGGCATGTTCTCCGTACGACCACTCTGTGCATGAGGGTCTCTGGAGGGAGACCCGTTGAAGATAGGTTTCTCCAAGGTGCTGTTAATGTCGTCACCGTCCTTGGCGACCACTCCTAACTCTTCGTCTGCTGAGCCGTATTTCGAAGTGATTCTGTCGCTGGCCTGCTGTTCGTAGACTTGATGTCCCTTTTGGCCTCTGTATCGATCCGAAACGTGCTGCAACTTGACGCCTGAATGATTGTGTGCGCTGCCCTGGAATCCGCACGCCGTCTTCGCCATCAGACGTTTGTAGAGCGGCTTGATGGGTGGAATGGAAGCGGCGATGATTCCGACGCCGATTTCAACGAAGGCCCAGAGCAGTTCCGGTACTAGCTTCCAGGTGAAGTCGATATCTGCAGGACCGCCGTCGAAGTTTCTCAAGGTCACGGTCCTGCCGATGGCAGCCACACATACACTGCGATTTGTCAGCGGGGAAAAGGAGCAAGGTGGCAAGAAATGGGAGTACTTACAGTCCACCGCCGGCGGCGAACAGAAGCAGACACTGAATCTTGTTCTTCTTTGGTATTTGAAGCGGCAGGATGACGTGGATTGGCAGCAGCACGACTGCAATGTCGATCGTGATGTTGAAGATGCTGAGAACCAGCAGAGGTGCGACCGAGGGGCTCATGCATTGGTGAGAGGCCAACGACAGATCCCACTGGGCTTCTATCGGATGACATTCCAGAGTCAAGACGCGGATGAATGCTACTGTGAAGACGGTCACAATTCCCATCAAGGCGAACACGGCGGCTTGGAATTTCTTCTTTGGCGTGATGATAAGATAAAGGGCGAGAACTGAGAGTTTGTTGAATGAGATCATCAGGCAGCCAATAATTTGCACGAAGAAGGTGAGCTGCAAACACGAAAGTTAGGGATGTCCGTTAGCAGTTAGATTCTCTGCGATTGTTTCATACCTTGAGGATGCTAGGAGAATAGTCCACCAAAAGCACGTCCCACATGTGATGTCCTACTCCGAACTTCGTGACTGGCAAATCGTAAGCTGGACATGCAAGCGACATAAAGCATTTTCAAGTGACGTACGTTGGATGCAGAGAACAAAGAAACCAATCATGAAGCCCAAAGAAATTATCATGAGATCTGTTTTTTATAAGTCAGCGGGAGTGCAAATTGAGGCTTGGGTTCTATGCATGAGATGCAAACTGACAGTCATCAGCTTTCAGTCCGCGGACGACAAAGGCCCTGGCGTAGATACGCAGGCACACCACGACAAATGCCAGGATGGTCGAAAAGGCACCGAATCCGACGGCGATGCCAGATATGCTTGGAGGATCTTCGACATGCTGAGTTTCGCCAGGAGGAGGGTCTGCAGCCCAAGGAGGACTGGGTGCTGATCGCATGGTAAGGAAGTGAGGCTGTTCTGGGGTTGGCGATGTGACGCAGCTGCGCGTATGTTGAAAGGAGAAGATTATTGCTGTAGATGGTGACGTTGGAGAGCAAGTGGGCTGAAGACGGCTAAGGGAGACGAAAAGTAAAAGGGATTTGAAGGCTTTTCAAGAACACAAACGCCATTTGAGTCAACTGAATGTGTGGTGGTCACGCCCCGGGAGGTTCGCAGTGAATCTCGTGACTCAATTTTATCCAAACGATATCCATCTTCTCCTCAAAATGAATGGCTCCAAAGTTGAGTGTCGATTCACATTAACAACGTTTGTCAAAAGTTAAGCAGCATTTTCAGATTTTTCAGCGTTTGGCAAACCTCGAAATGGTAATTATAAGCAATGTCAGTGTGCTCAAAAGCACTTCAAACATATCAAAGAAATCGATACTCTACGAGGAACCTCAGAAAGGCGATGGATGATCTATCGGGTAAGGTGAACCTTTATTTCTCTCCCATGGATGGTTACGAGACCAGCTACGACGAGAATCTGTGTTTCCAAGGTTCTGGACCAATTTCGTCCCATCACCGCCCAACAAACGTCTGTGGACAAGGTCACCCGCCTCTTGCCCCACTCTACTTTGTCCAACTTGCACAGATACCTAGGTTTCTGAGTGAAATTTCCATGAATTGCTGGTTCTGCCCTGTGTAACTCGCCCAAGGGAACACAGGCAGACCAGTGCTTTTGGGTCTATAATACCAACTTCCACTAAGCCGACCTTCAAGAGTCATAATCCGACCGGTCATCCGCCTCCCCATTAAGCGGCAGCGCAATAATCTCCTAGACAGACCTTGCAAGCTGCAAGAAAGTCCTGTTTTACTTCAGGGTAATTTATATTGGAATTCACTTCACTAAGATAATCTGCTGTAGGATATTTTGCTCAAGGAATACCTTCTGTGGTAAAAGCTCCTCGATGTTAGATCTCTCCACAATCCGTTCTCCACAGACCTCTTCTAGGAGACATCTTTATAGTATAGTTATGCTTGAGATTAAGTCAGTACTTAATTCTGGCATAACTCACGGAAGGAATTAGCGTGGGCGCTAAGACCAAGCAAACCACGGTGGAAGCATAACTCCATCATCAGCCTATAATTGATCATGTAACCCGAACCAACAACGCCTGCTTGACATAAACAACTGACCGCGCCGCTTTCCTTTGCAAACACAGACGGACCTTTTCCACGTGTTACTCCGTTCCAACCCTTTACCATGAGCTTCAATTCAAGATGACCACCGACGAGAGCCAAGCCTACGAGCACCCGCTAGCAAGGGAGCACCTTTCAGCTCTCAAGGCCCTCCAGGCCGAGGGCCAGACCGTGGGCGCCCGGGGTCACCACATGCAGATGACAGGCTTGTTCCACTGGGGCTTTGTCATCTACCGTTGCGACTACTCGGACGACGCCCTCTTCGACAGGTTCATCGCCTACCTCCGGGAGCAGGCCGAGAGCTACCACCGGGATAGCCAGCAGGACCGCACCACGGGCCTGTACCTCCGGTGGACCATTGTGCAGGAGCGCAAGGCCCTCGACGGGGCGACCAAGGACGAGGTGCGGCGGCGCTTCGTCGAATGGCGCGACGGCCTGTCGGTCGAGCGCGACGGGCCCGGCGCCGATCACCGCATCACGCCTTACCTGCCCCGCTTCGAGTACTGCGTGCACGTCGGTAGGGACAGTCTCGACAGCCTCAGGGCGCAAGAGGAGGTCCTGAGGGCCGGACAGAAGAAGGACGCGGCGCCCCCGGTGCTCTTTGCCATTGTGCGGGCCAAGCAGAGGCCGGCTGGGTTGCCGGAGGGCTATGATCCTGACGAGGACGAGCAGGAGGAGGACGAGTATTACGAGGATCCTGCGAACGCGCCGCGTGCGATCGAGGGCTGCACAGATCAGGACGTGGGGTGGATGTATGTCCCCGCGGACCACTGGGTCACTCTTTATGAGGAGCTGCATAATGACCAGGCGTGGTATTACCTGTACGCGCGACCTCCAGGAATCATCAAGTTTTGAAAATGGTGCGCGGCGATTGCTGCATAAAAAGACTGTGGCTATTGTATAGGGCGGGCGGGGCTCGCTTACAGCAGCACGAGTACCTCAACGCTTTGCTGAAGGAATGTCTACGTCTCTACTTTCCGGCGCCAGACATACTCTTCCGAGCAACGACAGACGAGAGCGCCGTCATCGCTGGGAATGTGGTACCGCCGCGGACTAGCTTGACAATGAACTTGTGGGTCGCCAATCGCTCTGTCATAAAACTTCACAAACCTATCGAATTCGTTCCTGTGCGCTGGATGAAGAACGCGCCCGCTGAGTTTCATAAGGCTGACAAAAGCATCCTCAAGTCATTCAGTATTGGGCCTAGGGATGTCTCAGCAAGAAGTAGGTTGTATTCTTTTGCTTTCCAGAATCATTTTGGAGATTTAATGACGATTTCTAGCCTGGCTTGGACGGAAATGCGCATACTCATGCGGTATATTCTGTGGGATTTTGATCTAGTGAGCCTGAAGTCAGATAGTCAGAACTAGATCGAGCGATAGAAGATTGATGCCCTGTGGGAGAAGCCGCAGTTGGATATTAGAATTTCGGCACGTGAGCATAAAGCTGAGTAGAGGATCCCTAGTTCAGGCAAAGGGAGTAAATGAAGGTTCCAAGTTGTCAGTCTATCTGGTCTTGGTGAGATTGCGAACGAGTCTGTGGACACATACAGACGCGAGATGAAGAATGTCAAAAGCATCTATGCTGTTGCTGAAGAGTGGTCAATAAGCCAGGGGAAATGTCATTGCAGCAACGTAGTGGCAAGCTCCCAGGATGCAGACTTCATGATGGGATTTTAAGTCCGAAGAAGACCAGAATTACTGGCCTTACAGAGTAGAACGCCCATTTGCCTTACCGTGGTCCTCCTGAATTAATCAAGGTGGAGCCAATGCAAGGTCAATTCGGCTTCGGCCCGAGTACGATGTTTTACCCTAGCACCCGGTACCCTGTCGTCCCGCATATTGACAGCAAGTCGCGATTGACATAAAGTGGATCTACGCTAACCTAGGACACCACCGGTGAGTGTATATAGCCTGCTCTATGGACATGCATTCGATATGACAAGGCCTTCTCCCCTCAGAATATGAGGAGGTTTCGTTACCGCTGGTTCTGCCTATCCTTCTTCACATGTCATCTAAGATGTCGAAGACGCAGGCAAAGGCTGCGGTTCCATTAATCCATCACCTGAATGCCTCTACAGATTCCATTGATATCGTTTGGGAAGCTCCGGCCCCGTACGAGTTGTATTCTCCCAGCCCTATTTTGGCTCTTTCTGCTCTTCTCAGCGGTAAGAAGGCTAGTTGAATATTGGCTTTAAGTGCCTCTTTGACACCTGAATAGCACAAGGAGGCATAGGCATTGGATTCGCTTCTTCATTGCTTGATGAGCTTAACCGTGTCTTGCCCACAGATACATCTCGACCCCACAGCACACACGTACGCGACACCTTCGAAATCTTTGTCAAGTCCACTAGATTAGGGCTCTACCCAATCGGAGGAGATCCAGAGGACTTGATATCGGTGATTTATCTTTTGTCACCTACGGACTCGTATTTGAATCGTCTTGCGTCATCAAATTTTCAGTGAATGGAGAAGAAATCTTGACTTGTCCCTTCTATGGAGACTTCACATGGTAAAGGACGCAAATGCAAGATGATTCACAGAATATTTTGAGCCTGTTGGAAGTCTTGCGCCGAATCTAACCAGTGTGACAACAGCCTTTTGTCGTGGATGCCATCATCGCGAGTCCTCCTAGCTTCGCACATGTCCGTTGCGCTCAGTCTCTAGTTGTGGCACTACACACAATGTTCACCATATCCTGGACAGCAAAACGAGCATTTCCACATCAGCTTGCCTAAGTCGTCCCGCATTGCCCCTCTAAGCTACGTGCTATTGGTGGAGATCCTCTAGACCCGGCCACCCTGATTGATCACGAGTTTTTTTGTGAACGCGTTGCATATTAATCACCTTGAGGGCCTGCCAAGATTCCGTTAGACGCTTGAGGCTGAAAACGACGCTAACTGAGAGGATTAGGCTCGGCGGCATCAGCACCGGAACATTTCACTTGAAACATTTTCTCCTAGCACCGTAATATTGCAGTGGATAATGACCTCCTATTTGGACGCCGGGCTTCTAGGCCGCTGTACCTCATCGCGTCAATTTTGGGTCTATAAATGAAGTCAACCTCTCGTCCGACCAGTATACGATACCACACACTCATCTAAGCAACGCGTTCGCTCCTTACTCTTTCCACTTCTATTCTTACTGTCTCTCGTTCATTACACCTGTGACATTCGTTTCATTCCATAAGACTGGCCAACCGTCACCATGAGACTTTCTCCCGCTGTCGTTGCCCTTGCCCAGGTGGCATCGGCCCACTACTTCTTCGATTCCGTCGTCCAAAATGGTGTTGCAGGGACTTCCTTCCAGTACATCCGAGACTTCACTCGTGCTACCAAGTACAACCCTATCAAATTCTCAGAAAACCCCGCCGCCGACATTCGTGATGGCTCTTACATCGACGGCCCTGACAGCAGATGCAATCAGGGAGCCTTCACCAACGCCGCCAAGACAGACGTCCTTGAGGTCTCCGCGGGGAGCGATGTGACTGTGCAGCTTGGTGTCGGCGCCACCATGCAACATCCGGGTGAGTGCCCCACAGCGATTTCGCATTTGCCCACGTTACGTTGACTGACCATATGCTTATAGGACCCGCCTTGTACTACATGTCCAAAGCCCCTGGTGGCGATGTCAAGACCTACGATGGCTCCGGCGACTGGTTCAAGATTGGCGAGACGGGCGTTTGCAACGAAGGTGGCGACTTCACCAAAGACGCATGGTGCACCTGGGACAAGAATTCCCTTACCGCCACGATTCCCAGCGACACTCCCTCGGGCGAGTACCTCCTGCGCTTTGAGCATATTGGTAAGCCAATTTGGATGAACTTGCCCCATATAGTGTGTAAATTTTGTCTAACACCCCGCAGGAATACACAAGTCTTTTATGAACGAGCCTGAGCACTTCGTGTCTTGTGTTCAGGTCAAGGTTACTGGGGGCGGCAGCGGCACTCCTGGCCCGTTGGTGCAGTTTCCGGGTGCATATAAGTACACCGACCCCTACGTGAGCTTCAGCATCTACAATGGCTTCAAAGCCCTCACCATGCCTGGCCCTTCTGCGTGGACCGGCGGATCGAGCAGTGCCAATAGCGTATCGAGCGATGCCAACAGTACTGTGGCTGAGGTCTCGAAGGCTAAGAATCAAGCGCAAACGACCTTGTCAACCATTACTCGTTCTGCCCCCGCCGGCGCAAAGCCTACTGCCCCATGCGCTTCCAAGAAGGCTGGCTACTGATGTGTCAGCGAACATCACCTCGAGATAGGCTTCGTCTGAAGAGCTACCTGCGCTAGGAGGAATCGTCGGCTTCACCAATCCTTGCGAGCGCACATCGTCTTGTGCTCTAGCTCGAAGCCATTGAGAGGAGTTTGTGCGTTTGACTTTTGCAACGGTGGTCTTCGGAGGCATGGGACCTTCGGAATCTTTTATTCATTCATCTGTATTATTTTATAGACTTTTTACCTTCCACAATTGACATACTTGGCATTGTTCCACTCATTTTGTGAGATTCTGTCATGGACACCGACCGATCATGGACAGATTCTCGTAGGGTTCTCCTGGTTCGAACTTTTGTCTTGATCAGTGGCTATCTACGAGCGCGCTGGTTCCAAGAGACCACCATCCTCCTCCCTTTCCAATGCAATCATAGGGGTTGATTTTCCTTCCGGACTAGTCTGAGCCCCGTACAGCGTCGATGATCATGTTGAGTACATTCTCTAGAGATCTGTATGGCTGTTGAGCTTCCATTGCTTGTCAAACTTTATCTCAGTGTCGAAAATATCCTTGCAGGCTACATAGGTAAACATATGAGCGTCTTCTTTTACAAAGAAACTGAGAACTTATTCTTCCCTATCATGATACTAAGGCTTGATTAAATTAATGTCTCATCAATAATGGTCAAGCTTTATTTTGGTAGCGTATTGAACGTTGCCTTTCAGCGCCTGCAATCTTTGTGATATATCTGTTTTACGAGACGATCATTCCTCTTTCCCTCGACCTCAAGACATCCCGATCCGTGTCTCATCAAGGAAGCAGCTTGGCAGAAGATCACTAGTGTTCATTTGCACATCCATTGGCTCTCCTCATGAATGTGGTAACCCTCTAGAAAATGAGTGGACCCCCATTCATCCTGAGGCATCCGAGTGCCATACGATCGGAAATAGTCATCTAGTTCCTCTTCCAGCTCTATCATAAGTCAGATATAGACAAAGCCTTGAATTACATCCCCCGTTATAACGCATGTGTAGGGAAATCTTCATACCTTGGAGTGTTTTAGCCACTCGTGGCAGGAGATGAAACGTTTCCAGTCTCTCATGGACAAGAAAAAAGTGAGGAGACAGTGGAGTGCCTGCGGCATCAAAGATCGAGAGAGTGTCAACAGCTTATTCCCCTCCTCAGACAAGAAAATGTCGTTACTACAGCAAACAGTTTCGTACCTCTGGGGACAGTGAATATCCACGGTTCTGCTACCTCCCAGCCCTGCTCCCTGCATTCCTCTGCCCATTCGCCCCAGTTTGTCCAGATTTGCTGCCTCAATAACGTATTCGGCGACATCGAGACACCGTTTCACCAAGACGTCAAAGCTGGATCGACGAATCCGTCGTCTCCAACTTCGACACGGTCTCCTTGAATACGATCTGGGTCATCATCGTGTGTGTACTTCTTACCATCGTACAAGGATAGCCTTGGCCCCCCGGAATAGTAGTGGTGAAGAGTGCAGGGGAAGCAATCAACGTATATATTCTTAGCTCGAAATGCGGTAGCAAACGCCGGCACGTCTGAGTAAAACCTGCCCGCCGTTTTGTAGAAAGGTCGTAGCCGCGTGGTGGTGAATGATTGTAACCGGAGTAGAAATGGCTGTGGCCATCTCGAACCTCGAGGTAGGAACTGCGACAAGTGCATAATATTATGGAGGACTAAAGGCTTGTTGAAGAAATAGCATAATTTTTTTTTTTGGGGGGGGGGGGGGGAGGAAACGTTGCGCGCACGAGACAGAAGCTCGGAAATAGGCAGAAGCATGCAGGCGGTGTTGGTTCCGGTGGAACAACTCCGATTGGATAGTCATATTTGTTCTGAGGCAGCACCTCGTTTCTGACTTGCGAGTGGGCATGTAAAGCTGCCCTCGATGTCTGGTCCACTTCAAAGATGTATGGCGAATTCATGAACTTGATCAAACCATTTTGGCAATCCAGCATCGATGGCTACTGTTTTACTCGGTGCGACTGGGCGCCGCTACATCTTCAAGGAATTGATCCAAGAGAGACCGCACCTTGGCCGTGTGTGGCTGGCAACGTCTGCGCAGTGCTTCCATCTACATTCCGTGACCATTGAACTAATGGCGATTTAGATCCGGGCAAGACAAATTCATTTTGAAAGACATCCCAAAATACATCTTCTCAAACTTCGATGAAATCATACGACCCAGACTTCGCGAACATGCACACCTCCGGTTGCCTTCGGATAGCATCCCTGACAAATCCATCTTTGTGTATGAGTATCTGACGGACGACTTTCTGAGTCTTGTCAAGAAACAAATTCCAATGGAATCCCGAAAGCAGATCCTTAAGGCAAGTCTGCTGGGAATTGCTGAGCTGCATGATCGCGACATTGTTCATCTAGGTAACGAGAGCGATTATATCCGTGTCTCCAATACGGCAGAGTCATAGTACTGACTGTCTCTAGATATCAAACCTGATAACATCATGGTCAACCTTGGCCAAGGTTCTGTTATCGAACAAGTTCAGATCATTGACCTAGAGAATGCGGCATACCTTCCCAATGGTCGCTGCATCAAAGGCATGCTGGCTGGTAACGACAATTGGCGCAGCCCAGAAGCACATTTCAAGGGTGAGCTGAATAAACCATCCGACATATTTTCATTCGGAGCCGTGGTAAGTGTCCAATCTTTGCGTCAAATGACACGCCTGCTTACAAGCTCGCAACACAAAGTGCATATATGCTATGCTCGGCCGTGTCATTTTCGGGCCCGATGATGACTTCCGGAAACACGAATCGCAGGGCGCACTGCCTGCATTTATCCGCCTGCAGCGCCAGGTCTCATACTTTGGAGACAAGGATGGGCTTAACGGACTCATGAAACACGTTGGGGATGAAGAGATCAACTGCCAGATACTGGGAATGCTTTGGGAAGAGCGGACGGAGGAACACATACCCTATGAACCCTTTTCGACTTGGCCCGAAGTCGAAGACGTCTCGTTCAAGGACCTCGTTCAGCGGATGTTGAATCTCGATCCTACTAAGAGGATCACGGCTCGTCAGGCATTAGGGCATCCGTGGTTCGCAGGTTTTGATCTGTGATTAGCTCCGAGAATTCGTAATGTGCAGCGATCTATCTATTTTACTAAAATCCTGAAGAGGCATCCAGGCAGAAATTACGATGGAGGCGGCCCGAGGACACAACAAGTACAGACCTAGACTAAGGTAGTATAATTCAACTCAGAATTTCAAGAGCCCATTACTACTTCCCAAAGCATGGTTTGGCGGCATTTAGGAGCTCCATTTTCGGTCCGTCGTGGATAGAGTAGTCGTCTGAGTCTTCCAAGACCCTCACATACAGAAATATGGAGTAGTAGTGTTTTTGAACATACAGGTTCACTCCTGATGGATATGTAGCCGAGGGTAAATATGAAGAAATTCGCGGGAAAGCTGTCAAAATCTCCGGTGGCAAGTCAAACTGGCGTGATCTGGGCTTGTAGTCTTCGGCGTACTCACACGGGATACAGGCTATAGGATGTTGGTGGGATGTCTGTATACATTCTCGCTATCCTCCAGATAGGTAGGACATCCATCTGCACTTGGGAGTGGTACATAGAAGAGTATGGAAGATTGTGTTTCATTCATTTAAGGGAAAGCTGTCATTACAATTAAGCCAGGTGGCATATGTATGTACCCTTGTTAGCAGTTTGTTTGTAAATCTGCCTTACGGATGATATAGGCACTCTTGTGTAGGGCTTCCTCATTCGAGTCTGCCTTATAGATCACAGCCTGTCCATACCTCTAGGGCGGTCACAGTTTTGGACCATTAGGATGACTTGAAGCCTCTTGCAAGCTTGCAGTAGTGTATGCTGTACGACCCGTGCTCAGCTCGAGAAGCAGGCCAAGTCACCCCGCATTCTCATGGCCATCTATTCGCCAGCCTTGACTTCGGCATTTCTCTCGTGGCTGCGCCCTCCCATGTCTCAGTTTCTTCCTTTTTTTCTTCTCTTCCCCCTTCCACTTTTATCAGCCCGAACAGAGAACCCGAAGGTCTGGCTTAGAATAATCGCTCACCTGAAGCCTTTCCTGGAATCGCGCGACTACCTCGCCAGATCGATACAGCCTAAGCCTGACCGGCAAGCAAACCTCGTTCCACGTCTTTGTGAAACTGAATTGCAACTCACTATGGCAGAGATCCTGGGTACGGTCGTTGGCGTGGTGTCGCTGGGGTTGCAGGTCGCGTCAGGGATCAACACCTACGTTGGCGGAATTCAAGGCCACAAAGAAGATATTGAATTCACGAATAGACGGTCCAAATCTATGGAAACTCTCCTAAACCAGATCAGTTCACTCCGAGACAGACTTCCAACGTCAGCGAGCGCGCATGGCGCCGCCTTAGAACAAGCCATGACACAAGCAAAATCCGAACTAGACCTTCTACAAGACTACGTCAACCGGATTTCTGCAGACAGCGGCTCTCGGACAAATTCTGCATTATTAAAGATGAGAGCACAAACGAAGAAAGTCCTCTACCCGTTCCGCAGGGACCATGTGGATCGTCTTAATAGTCAGCTCGAGGCAGCAAACAAAGCCCTTTCCACAGGATGCCAACTTGCTGAATTGTACGGATCTATCTCTACCCCACCAACCAAAGGTGTGCGAACCTTGGCTTATTGAAATACCAGGGAAATCTCCATCAGTAACGATGGCATCTTGAGGAAATTAAACACATGCCTCACGGACTCTCACACCACAATGGTCGACATTGAAAGACAGGTTCGGAATGACCTGTCGATGATGATCACAACTCAGCACGATACCGTTATGATCAAAAACAATCTCTCTGAGGTCAAAGCAATGATAATGGCTTTGATGCCAGTTGATGCTTCCACTAATGGCCAAGCTCTATTCCGAGGACTGATGTCGAAGCCAGACGCACTGAGAGTGGCCTGTGATAACACGGGTTTAAAACAACCACAGAGACATCAAAGCAAGCCTTCGCTAGGGAGTGCTAGCTCGGATCAGGCCAATATAAGTTCTGGCTTTGAATGCCATTGCAATCTCAAGTCTCGCCGAATCATACAACGCCAAAAACGGCATTATGGTCCAGCTTTTCTCTCCCAACAAATTGTCAGGCAAAACACTCACCAGGTCGGGTGCCCGTACGCAAACTGGACCGTAAATGCAGACTACAGCTGGTCTGCGGGGATATCAGTCAAAGCCTTCCAAGGGCTACTGTCTGCGGCTGTGGCTGTCACCATGTCGAGTGCCTTCGGTGCAGGTGGATTCGGCTTGTCGCCATTTGTCACTTACTATCCTTTGCGCGATACAAGTCCAGCATTCCGGGTGATGCAACAACTGGACCTTGCTTTCTTGTTTGATGAATGGACAGACGAAGAATCCAGATATCTTATCGAAAGAGGCATACAAAGTCTAAAGACTGTTTTCAGCGCCAAGACTTCGTCGCCACTCGACCTCTTCACGGATGGAAGCACCCTGCTGGAATTAGCTGTCTCCACAGGTTGGCATGGGTGGTCTGAGCCTCTGAACGCCTTGCTGAAATTTCTGGTCGGCGTCGGCGCCCCTAAAGATAGACCAGATGCAGACGACATGTATTTCTGCTCTCAACTTTGACTTTCGAAGTGATTTATGTCTAAACTAATTCCACGTTAGATTGCCATTCCAAAAGGTTATCCCACCCTGTCTCCACCGGGATAAAGAGAGCCCTTTGATGGGTGAGGCTCTTGACATTCTATACCCAGACGAGCCTATCTTCAGCTTCGAAGGTAAAAACATGACGGAAGCGTTAAGAATCTATGAGACAAGACGGGTTCCCTCATCTCGGATGACCGAATGTAAGATCTAATATAAGAATCTTGGGAAAATGGCCTTGGATATTGTACAAAAGCTAAGATAAAATAGTGTATGAAGGCCATCCATTAGGGGCAATCTTCCTCCGCAACAGAAAGTCTTTGGCTCAGATTCTTGACAGAAGCCCTTGTGTCTTGGACTTATCAGCGTTGGACCAATTCGGGTACACAGCTTTACACCATCTTATCAGTTGGAATGAGGGTCTCGAATCTGTTCTGAAACGGCTGGGCAAAGAAATTCTTCGAATTCACGATCGACATAGGATCTCAGCTCTGGAATGCGCCTTCACTTGGAGTGAATTCATCTGCACTAACGAGACGTTCACTACTTGCCCCGAATCATGTTCTTGCGTAACTAGTGTCAAACTTCTACTGGAGACCGACGATGAATGTCTCATCAGGGCCGTGGCGCGACCGTGTTTGTTTGACTCATTATCTTATGCCTCACATAGGGCGAAGGAGCTGGTTGTTGACGACCTCAAACACCGGCGAGACGAGTTGAAAGAACTCGCCCGTGCTCATCTCAAGCCCGCAGATATCGACCGCTTAGAATTGGGAAGCCCGGAAACCCTCGACGAGCATATGGGCGAGGTATTGCGTATCCTAAATAAGCAATCTGTCACTGTCCCAACACGCCTTCTAACTGAAACCAGAGACTGGCAATACAAGGTGTTTCCGTCCGTATATCATTCGCTTTGCCACTCGGATTCCGTTTCGCTGTTAAACCTGTTCTATTCCAAAGGGTTTCATGCTATTGATGTATTCGATGAGGATGGTTACACTCCTCTGGCTAAGGCTCTGGGGAACACTGCCATCAATTGGCTTATACAGCATGGTGCGAGCTTGAAAGTCCAAATCCCCAAAAGGCCCTTCGGATACACTACAGCACATTATTTCTTTTCGCGGATTTGGACCTATACTTTGGAGGACTATGATGAGACATTGGCTGTGTTAGAGTCAATCGAAAACTTTGAGTTTGACACCCAGGACACGGACACATGCAGATGTGCCTGTTCCAGCAATGGATGTCACCCTTACACAGCGATGGTGCGAGAAGTCTTCCAGGCTTGGGGCCCATCTGATCTGACATATTATGTGCGACGGATTTCCAGACAATTCTCTGCTATCGAGAATGTCTTGGACATTCCACGGGATACGAAATCTCTTTGCGTCCGGGCATGCACGTTTGCTGCACTTGAATTGCGTCACACCTGTTGCGCATGGCGTGGGAGTAGAGAATATGAAAACAAAGAAATCGAAGAGATTTGGGAGGAGGATTCGACTGAGCTCGAGCTATTGGAGACTCTGCTGGTGGAGTTTGAAGACAGTCTCGATCGAATGGGTTGTTCTTTGACGAACTTCTTCATTGGAGTTTGGAGTGACAGAATGAAGGAAGTTCGTACTGAGAGGGAGAGTCAGAATATGACGGAAGATGAGATTCAAGGGGCCAGGAGCCTGGGAGTCTGGCTTCGGGTATCAGAGGAAACTGGGAAGGGAAGCAGCCAGGAAACCCATGATTTAGCATACTGGGTAAGGCAGCTTGACGCTGCGATCGAGTAATACAGAGCCTATATTTACCCTGCTCCTTGGTACTTTCTGGAAGTGGGTGTCTTGTTATAGCATAATGATTTGAAACAATCATGTATGATTCGAGGTTGTATGGAGCAGCATTCCCCCCCCCCCCCCCCAATTATTTCTAGTATGAACTTTGGACCTTACTGGCGCAAAACATAAGTTCATCAGTTTTTCTCGCCATGGAGAAGTTGGGTAACTGAGCCTTCCACTGCCATATTGAGCAACGGTGTACCAAGGACACGGAGTGCTTCTGAGCCACGAGCTGTCCAAGGCTATCAGTCCAACGCGGCGAAGAGCTATCCAAATCAACCGTGGGAGGTCAGATGGCCGCGGCCGCGGCTTGTGGTTATCGAGCGCATCCAGCCGGGACAGGGTCGGGAGGATGTTTCATGCGACGCCGTTTTGATGTCGAATTACCAGGGTGTCATGTATGAGGAGAGGGGCCTGTTTGCAGGATTTCTGTGGCATGCTGGTCATCGTGGCAGTGTGCGCACACACTGTGTTGCCCCTTGAAGCATCGATGATGGAAGAAGAAGGCGGATGGCGTCCGTAGATGTTGTGGTGTCTCCTGGTTGCGACGAGGATCGTAGGCAGCCAATTGTGGGTGCGCCGTGACTAGTCTTCCTCATATCACGTTGATTCGCACGCTAGCATTATCACGAGAGATCTATACAACAGGTGATGCTTGCAGCGCTTGCACAGAATCCTAGGTCTCTGGACAAGATCTTGTCAGGCAAGGAAAGGGTGAAGGAAGAGATGTTCCATCTGGAGCTGAGCCTTGTGGCAGCAATTGGTCCGTGCGCTCGTGGAAGTTTGCTAGCAGCTTCAGTATAGAATTCCCTGCCATTCACATCAGCAAGCCCCACACAAGGTTGATTCCCATCAATGCATTCAACGGCTGCAAGATCAAGAAAACGGAACAATGGCCGGTTGTCCCACAGGCACGGCAGACGTTATTTGTGCGGTCACTACATTAGAGTCGCTTGCCCGTTCGCAATCGTAGGAAATCCTTCTTCGCCCGGCGTGCAAGCACACCAAAACAATGAAAGACGATCAGTCAAGAAATGTGTTCCAAAGATTCCCTAGCCGGCCTAGACCAGCTAAGAGTGGTCATGTTATAGTTTTCAACTAGCAAAAACGTATTCTCAGGCGTACCTTCACTGAATTACGTAAAGCCCGTGCACCAGGATGGAGAGAAAAGAGAGAAAAGAGGAGGTCGAAGGGCAGAGGGCGGGAGACCGCGCCCCTTTAAATATGCCTGCAGGGTGTTATTCTGCCGCCTTTGCAGACGCGTCTTGACCGCCCTCAGATTTGGCCTAGGCTAGGCGGCAGCAGTGGGGTGAGTCAGCTTGGCTGGGTACGTACCGGAAATTTGAACGTCACCTCGCTTTTCTGCTGTCACACGGCTGTCAGCCACTGTTATAAACCGACAGCATGCCCTCTGGCGGTTCAAACAGCACCCTGAAGCCACTTTGGTTTTTGCCACCCAGGCTTAGTTAATGATCATCACAAGACCAAATGTTGAATATGCTGCCTCACGCTTAGCGCGGCTCAATCAGAATGCAGGACGACCACAGCGCGAAGCCACGGACAAAGCCCTCGCAATGCCTAGACAACAGCCAAGCGCTGAACAATTGGATGGCGTATCAGGAAGCAAGATACGTCAACACATCCACTACGAAGGCTGAGCCACTCTCCCTTCCCAAAAGCTGCTAAAGAAGCACTCGTGCATGGAAGACTGCTCCAGGAGCTTGAAATGAAACTAAATGACCTACGTTCTACTGCTTCCCGATCACCGTTTGGGCTGGATACTGTGTACGTTCGGCTCATGAGAGAAATGACACAGCAGATGCGGACAAGAAGCCACAGCTCCACACTGGCGTGAGAGCTTGTGCCAAACTACGTGATGGCTGCCAATAGAAACCCCCACACATCGGCTACCGGGGCTAAAAGACTAACACATCTGATGGCAAATGGAGGTATGTTGAGTAATCTGAGTCGCGACATTCTGCCCAGTTGCGAGACCAAAATCGAGTTCGAGGCACGTCCACTAGTAGTTCTCGTAATCCCGGAGCATGTGCCGCACGAAACAGTAGTACTCGGCGCTGTGCCGTGATCTTGGCCCCAACGCTCCCAACTTGTTCCGTTCCAACGTAAGTCTCGTTTGGGAAGCCCTGTGTCAAAACCAAGGAGCAAGGAGGTCCTTGTTCGTGCTGTGGGTTGCCAGCACCGTAAAACTGTCTCTTACTCACAATGTTGCCGTCGCTGCCACTGGGTTGGTTTGACCGGTGGCATCCTTCGCGGCGCAGGCGAAGAGCCCACCACCGCTCGAGCGACCGCTGTTGCTGCTGCCTGCCAGGCAGTGTAGCCCTGCTGTCCACAGAAACTTGCTCATCGAGGCGCCCAGCTTCGAGTTAAGCGCCATGAAATCCGCAAGCAACAAGTCGACGCCGACGACCCGGGTGCCGATGCAGCCAGTCGGCAGGCTCGCGGCCACGCTGCTGTACGCATACGTAGGTGGTCGACGAGTAGGACGCGGTGCGTGTCGACGACAATCCCATGACAGTGACGCAGTAATTCAGAGAAGGCCGTAGCCGACATCCGCCCGTGCCCGGTCATCCAGAAGCCCGCTGTGGCTGCAAGGGGCGATGCCAGGGCTACTGGAGAAGCAACAAGTCCTTCAGCGCCGGCTTTTGCCGCCATGGCCTGGAGACGCTGTGGCCGGGGAAGATGTACGGTCGGCGTCGCGAGCTTGTGGAAGTTCACGTACCCGCACAAGCCCACCGAGGAGGGCTGCAAGTGGAAGGCGAGCTTCGAAGAGATGGTCTGGTGCGGGCGAATTACCTCGGCAACAAGATGGCTGTCGGAGCGAGTGACCTTTGCACGCACGGCTGCGTTGGCGACGACTCCGGAACGAATGTGACGCAGTTGGTAATTTGGGCCTTATTTGAATTGAGACGTGACTTCTTCAGGGAGTCTACTAGATGACGAGCTTCATGCCGGTACTGAGTAGATATGTTTGCAAATATATAACATTCGTACAAAGAGTCTTTATGAAGCTACCTTCTTTGGTGGTCGATTTAAAAAGGTGACAGCCAAGTCAACGCATTTTTCTTTATTCATCCCGGCTGATAGCAGTCTGTATTTTTTAAAAGTATCAAGACTCCCGAAAAAATTGAGATTATTCTTCATGTTCCAAAACAATGCATCACCAAGTCCTGAAAGTCGTACTGGGACTGGGAGATCCAATATCCAACGTCAGACTCTCTAGTCTCATCGGTTCCCGATTCTGTACCGAGCTGCTTGTTCGGGGCCGGCCAAAAGAAACGGCATCTCGGATGGTAAGAGCATTTACTTGACATGCCCGGCTTCCAATTCGGATGCCCCATCCTAAAATTCTGCAATAGAGCCTCGTGGCGATAACGTTCGAACACCGTTGAGGTTAGGCCCAGCTCAAGATCGCAGCACCTTCCCATCTGGCCCAACTCGTAGGCCATAGCCTGTATCTGACTCCCAAGGCACTTCAAGCATACAGCATCAAGATGATGACCACTTTCGCAGTCCTCGACACACATCGTATCAGCACAAAAGCCAGGGTACAGCTTCTGCAGGCTCGGCATCAGGCGGGGGATGTTGGACAGCGTGCTCTCCAAAATGTCCGCCTCAGAGGCTTCCGCTTTTGGCAAGGCGGCGAAGTCCCCCGGGCTTAGGAGTCGCCGATTCAGGACGAACTCCACGGAGGTGATGTAGGGCAGGCCAACCGCAGGGATTTGTTGTAAAAGCCCTCCAAACGCGCACAGTTTGACAGTGCGGAGGTGGAAAGTGTTGCTGGCGTAGAGGACCTTTATGCCCTCATTGTACCTAGACGCGCCGCTCTCAGCACGAGGTAAGGCATGCAGAGGATCAACAGCATGGAGAAGTTGGAATGATTACTTACGCCTTCTGGCAGGTTAGAAGCCAGCCAATGGCCCCGACGGCGAGCTCGGGTGGCACCTCGAGCGGACTTACCCACGACCACCGACCCCCATACTGGCTCCGTGTAAGGTCAGCCAGACAAGTCTCTGAGGCTGGCGAGTCTTCGGCTGAATCTTCGGGAGGGCGGTAGCAGACGCAACCCCACCACTGCTTCTCACGTGCAGCTGGTTGTGCCTCTTCCCTCTTCTCCTTGGTCTTCTCCTTGGTCTTCTTCGAAAAGACCCCTCCAAGCCACTGCCTCGCTTTGCCCACGGCTCTGCCCGATCTGTTCTGTGACGGCACAACTGCGGGCGGGCACCGCTGGATGTGCACCGTCCTCCCCCCGAAGGCGGCGGTGAGGATGGAGACGCGCACCTCTGGTGGTAGACGCGTGAAGAAGGCGCTGCCAGCGGTCGCCTGGTCACATATATCAGCCATCGTAGGGAGTCTGAGGATGAGAAGTTGGGACAGAGCGATTTCCCAGGATTTTGTGATGAGAGGTGTGGCGTGACCCGGAGTGGACTTGTGAATGCAGTAAAACGATTTATTGTCGAGGCGAGTTGGATCAGGCAACCACGGAAGTGACATGCCAAGGCTGATGACAAAGAAAGCCCGGGGTCGACGTGTGTACTGTGCCGCAACGGCGTAAACCTGGAAGAGATACTCTGTGTGTCTCTCAAGATAGCTTACTGTTGGTCAACGGAGGCCGTAATTTACGAAAAGTCCAGTGATAATGCCTCAAGGTTTTCATTTGACCCCGGACCTCTCAAAGCACTTATATGATCTTAAGCTATGTGGCATGGGTTCTCCCACTCGGAGAGGATTTCATGCTGAGCTTTAATGGATCCACCTCTTCCTGGCCAACATACCCCCGCGCTGCTCCTCGGTGGGGCTGGTCTTTGCAGCAATAAAATAAGACTTGGATCTTCATTGTTGACTGGCTCCTTCGGACTCATTGGCCTTACACATAATTTGCTTACATACATCAAGAGCCAATTGAGATGAGAAGTGTGAACGCTGATACTTGCAATTGACTCGCCACAAGCTTGTTCTGAGGATTGATCTATTTACCTTGCTTAAGTCACTCCGTTTCTTAATGGTCGTCTTCAAAACCAAATCACTTGGCCGTAACGTGAAACTCTCAGGACTTGGTCTCTATGGCGCTACCATCTTTAGTCAAATCGCTACGCTACGTTCTCAGCAATGAATGACCAACTGTCCTGCTGGTCCGAATCTGCTCGGCCATGTTGCAATTTGGATGTATCAACCAAGAGCTTAACAACTGAATCATACAGTGTGACAGGAGAACCGATTATCTCTCACTATGAAGAACATATTTTCCTGAGCTTAGTCTTTCGTCGCCCCGAACGATCAGTGGCCATCCGGCATGGGATAATCGACTTGGGATAACCAGAAATGGGATAACCAGAAATGGGATAACCAGGAATGGGATAACCAGGAATGGGATAACCAGAAATGGGGTAACCAGGCATGGGATACCGGGTCTTGGGATAGTCGGTCTAAGATATTTAACCCTGGTCAGTCGGTGAAGTCACCAGTAGTCACTTGCCGTATGTACACCCGACCAGTAGCTGCCTCCATAAACGAGCGACAGCAGCAAAATCAGACCCTCATCTGACAAAGATGTTGTGAGTATTTCCTAACTTCTTTCCAGGCATTACATCTTTTGGCTACAGCGTTTCGCCAACAATCATTCCTTCGTGAATCGAATCCCACCTCGCTTTCTTCCATTCGCCTTATCACCACCTTTCAACTTCCAACCCCATCCTTTTAGCCTTTCGCAAGGCAAACAAAGGGGTAATTAAGCATACCTATCACTCACGTGAAGTCATCTCGCCACATGCTGTGTGGATTGAGAAAATATTACCATGGTTCCACAGCTTTTTAATCCCTACACGTCTTACTTATGATCTCTCTTCCTAAGCCTCCTTACATTCCAGCAGGGCTTAGGATCGTCCTCAGCCTCTCTCTTTTCGACTTTGGACTTTTCGGAAAGTCAGCATCTCAGACATCTATCACCGCCAAACGGTAACCTTTCACTCCGCACCATTATTTACACAAGAAAATTTGCCAAAGCCACAGTATCGACATAAAATGGCTGATCCCGCGATACCGCCAATGCCTGCGTATGTGCATTGCCCCTGGGAATCTACCCGTCGATGCCATCGCTAACGTTAGAAGCCTCTGGGGCGAGGAATATTACGCCGATGCGACCATCAAGATGGGACAGAAGACCTGGCACGTTCATCGCGTTGTTGTCTGCAAGCAGTCGAAGTACTTCGAGAAAGCCTTTGAGGGCGGATTTAAGGCGAGCGAACCTGAGCTGGCCACCTCAGCAGCTGACAGAAGTCGCTGACAACAATTTGATGTTCCAGGAATCTCAAAACAAGACCATTAACCTGACAGGTAGCGAGTTCCTGGAGGAAGACGTCGACGCAATGCTCAAGTATCTCTACTTCCATAAGCTCGAAATGCACCAGCAAAAGGACCCGATCACAACCTTTGTCGTCGCCGACTACTTCCAAGTCACGTCGCTCCGAGCCAAAGCCATCAACGAGCTGACCATGGGCCTCGGACAGCTCGCCAAAAAGAAGTACTTTGCCAACTTCAAGAAGTGGTCCCACCTCATTCTTGAACAGCACGCAGACACGCAGCTGGAGCGGACTATGATCAAGGTCATAGCCGAGAACTTGCAGATGGTCATGCACGAAAGCGGCGCCTGGGACGAGCTTACAGATGCCTACCCCTTACTTTGCAAGAAGGTCCTCGCCGAGATGATTCCCAAGCCTACCGAGGCTGACACCGTCAAGCGACCTGCGGGAGTCGCTTTTGACGATACCTACCATCTGAGGTCGGGTTCGAACAAGCGTGGCTTTCGGCCGGGATCGACATTCTACTGATGGAGAAGGGAGTCACGTGTGGCTAGTCCGTGGTTCATCTATTCGGTGCTTTTCAGGTTTGAGCGGAAATTCCGGTCCATTGGAGACATGTGCGTTGACTTTTTCAGAGGCGTTTGATGGAAATGAGACGTGCAAGGAAATCCGATGACATTATGATTTGAGGTGCGCCCGCGATGGATTACTACGCGATGAATTCATGATTTTGGGGCTACTCACTTTTGGTGAGCAACATAAGGACATGATTGGCATCTAGATGAATAACATGGCGGGCTCTGAGTACCCAGGATGAGCGCCGGTCATCGTACTTCTTGGATTGCATGTATTGTCGGCCCAACAAAATGGCACCTGGTCGTAAAGGCCTTTCATGCAGTCATTTCCAATGTTAGTTTACAACCACTGCAAGATACGGAACGGGGACATAAACGACATCGTGTCTTACCCGCGAAAAACACAATGAAGCACGGTGCTCGTCGTGTCCATCTGAGCCAAGAAGATTGACTACATTTAACTGGTGCTGAAGGAGCCTCCAGATCAGCACGAGGTGCGAGGACGGCACGAAAAAAAAAAAGCAAAGCAGGAAGCGCCCTGCATAGACCTGGCCAGCTATAAAATATCATGAAGACAGATGGCACGATAAAAAGCCCCCACGACTGATTGCATCTGGCGCAAATGGCTGTTCAAGTGGTGAAGTGACTGTCAAGATGGTTCGGTCCTTCCCATTCCAGCGCAAGCACCTTGTTGACACACGTATCTGCCGCCGCAGCTGGGGCCTGAGTCGATGTTTGCCTGCTTCCGAGTCAGGCCCAACAACATCTTTTGCAAGACACTCCAACCCTCTCTCTCCGTCATCTGCCTGTCTTCAAAGCCAAACTTCTCTTCTATGCCCTCGACCCCTTTCTTCAGCAGCAAACACCGACACAAGATTCAAAGGCATAACAACAAGAAGACGCAATACTGAAGAGGCGATTCTCAGTCACATTACCACAGCTTGTTGTTGAACTTGTCGAAATCATGGCTTCAACAACACGAGTTCCATCTACATCTTCTACCTTCAACCCTCAATCATCCGCTTCCAGTCTGCAGACTTCATCCAGCGGCCAAAGGCCTAATCCTCATGACTTCATGCGTCGATCATCACTTCCCCGGACCGCGTCCACCACGCCATCGCTGATTCGGGGCTCCCAGACGCCAGCCACTCCAACTCTTAGCACTGGAACCACGACAGGCAGCGGACGCCGCTCCCGCCCAGCATCCTCTATTGGTGCCAGCGAAGGACATCAAATCATTTGCGCCGTCGGTGAAGCTCGCGGGGTGTCTCCATCTGTTGGAATGGCCTTCATCAATGTTTCAACAGGCGAGGCTGTACTCAGCCAGATTTGCGATAATCAGTCCTATGTGAAAACGACCCACAAGTTGACCGTGTTTGAGCCCAGCCGCATCCTTATTGTCTCCACTGCTTGTCCTCCCAATCATAAGAGCAGCCTTTACGCCACCATTGAGGAAGAGCTGCCAGGTGTACCGATCGTCCCTTTGGACAGAAGATATTGGTCTGAGACAGCTGGTCTGGAATTCATCCAGGCCCTTGCTTTCAAAGAGGATGTCGATGCTATCAAAGTTGCCATCGAAGGTAACTTCTATGCTACTTGTTCATTCTCTGCTGTGGGTTGCTATGAAAGCCCCCAAGGAATTGGGGTTCGAGATCTGACCGCGACAGGTCATGAAATACCTCGAACTGGAATTCTCAATGACAATCTCGAGTCATTCCCTGCGAATAAAATATCAGCCGTCTGAAGAGTCCATGATGATCAGTCTTCCCACCATTCAGTCCCTGGAGCTCATACAAAATCTCCAGGACCCTTCGTCCAAGGCTTGTTTATTTGGTCTGCTGAACGAAACGAAGACGCCCATGGGGAAGAGAATGCTCCGGAGCAATGTGCTTCAGCCATCCACGCAGACTGAAGGAGTCCTGACTCCAAGGTATGATGCGGTTGAGGAGCTTTGTACCAAGGAGGACATGTTCTTCCAAGTTCGCAATGCTTTGAAAGTTTTTGGCGACGTTGAGAAATTGCTCACCAAGATGATACTTCTTCCCACCGAGCCCTCTTTGCAGGCCAGTGAGCAAGCAATCAATGAAGTTCTTATGATCAAGTCCTTTGTGGCCGCTGTGCCTGGCGTCTTCGGTTCTTTGGCCACTGCGCGGTCCACTTTACTAATCAAGATTCGAGAACACTGTCGGCCCGGCATGACCAACCCGATTCTCGAGCGCATGGCCGAAGTTATCAACGATGATGTCACGTATGTCACCAAGCCTCTTGATCTCCGCAACCAGAGAGTCTATGCTGTGAAATCAGGTGTGCAGGGGTTGCTCGATGTGGCCCGCACCACTTACAAGGAAGCTACCGAAGATTTGCACAAGCATGTGGAAGGGCTGAACTCTGAGCTGGGACTTGCAGCAGATCTCAAGTTTGACAACCAACGTCGTTATTGGCTTCAATTTCGCTGCGCCGATTTCGAGAATGGTCTGATACCCAATGCCCTCATCAACTGTGTTCGGAAAAAAGAATATCTAGAGTGCCAAACACTCCAAATGGTGAAGCTCAACCAGCGCATGACTGACTCGGTAGACGAGGTCATTATGCAGAGTGACAAGGTCGTCAGGCACTTACTGGACTCGATCAGGACCGACATTCCTCAACTTTTCAGGGTCTGCGAGAGCATCGCGCTATTGGACATGCTCGCCGCATTCGGACAAACAGTGACGACCCGAGACTATACAAGGCCTCAATTGAAGGATGCACTGGCCCTCAAAGCAGCCCGCCATCCCATATTTGATTCGGTATGTTTTGCACAAGAAGGTGCTTCGAAGTCCATTGTTCTGACTTGAGGAATATTTACAGACCCTAGAAAGGTTCATACCAAACGACTACTATGCGACAGAACAGCATGCGTTCCAAATAATCACCGGCTGCAACATGAGCGGCAAAAGTACCTACATCCGGACTGTGGCGATGCTGCAAGTCATGGCCCAGATCGGCTGCTTCGTCCCAGCTCAGTTTGCGTCCTTCACAATCGTGCACAACTTGTTCTCCCGAACTTCCACAGATGACAGCATCGAGTTAAACATGTCAACCTTTTCTGTCGAGATGAGGGACATGGCCTTCATCCTGGGAAACATCAACAACAAGAGTCTCGCCATCATCGACGAGCTGGGTCGCGGCACCAGCACACGCGACGGCCTGGCCATTGCCATCGCCATGGCCGAAGCACTGGTCCAAAGCAACGCCCTGGTCTTCTTCGCGACGCACTTCACGGAGCTCGCCCAGGTTTTGCAGGACCGCCCCGGCGTGCTCAACCTTCACCTCGAGACAGAGACCACGGTCGCCGACGATAATATTCCCCAGATGACCATGTTGTACAAGGTTGGCTCTGGCCCCGTGCAGGATGAGAACTACGGTATCAAGCTCGCACGCGCGATCGGCTTCCCCAACACGTTCCTCGATCGCGCCGAGGACGCGGCCAATTTCCTGAGGCGCCAGGCCGAGGCCAAGAAGCAGAGCTCCGAGTCGCGGAGGCTGGCGCGGCGGAGGAAGCTGATTCTCAACCTGCGCGAGACGCTGCAGCAGGCGTGCGACAGTGATATGGGCGAGGAGACGCTGCGGGGTTTCTTGCTCCGATTACAGAGTGAGTTCATTACTCGCATGGAGGATATTGAGAAGGGCGCCGCTGCTGAGGTTGAAGAAGAGTCCGAGAAGGGAACGGGCTCTTCGTCACCAGCACGGGATGCTGGTGATTTGGGGAAGACGGGCTCGAGCGTCATTTCTATCTCTGATGACGGCAGTTCGACTGACTACGGTGAAATGGACGTCGATGATTGAGGGCAACGACGTCGTAGTCCTCGGGAAGAAATTGGAGATACGTCTGGCGTTGCAATTTGCTACCGAGCCATATGCACTGATGGGTATTGCTGTCATAAACCACTGATGTACAAACTTCAAATTGCTATCTCATGTTCAGGGGGTATTGCTCAAACTATCAAACAATGAAAGGGTGAATTCGTCAATCCCATGCTAACTGAGCGCCATGTGCTTGCCCCGCTCCTGGTATGAATGCAAACAGAGAATCGGGCAATCGCGAATGAACCACACAAAACGGTCCTGACCGGCCTGATATCCTTCATAGAATCCGTCATTTCCAGTCAGCCCACTTCCGGGGCTCTCCATTATGTACCGTCCCTCCACACGTGGGTATCTCCCAGGCTGAAGGAGCTGGAGTTGCTACCTCCGTTCCTCGCGACGTTGTTGTTGGTGGTGCCGTTATTGTTATTTCCCCCCGTCGACGACCCCGGTCCCGTCCCCGTCCCACCTTCCGACGCAGAGGTGGACGCAGGCTCCTCTGTCCTTGCTCCTCCGATTATACTCTCCCTCCCCTGCTCGTACCTGTAAAACGCATCATCCCTGTCCACACCGGCAAAGCCCGCGCTGGAGTCCCTCGCCAGAAGCGGTGGTGGGTCATTGTAGATCCACGGCTGCTCGAGCGGGATGACAAGGCTAGGGTTGACGAACCGCAGACCTTTCTCCTTGTCCTCGTCGACGGTGCTCTTGCGGCGGCGGAGTAGCTGTTGCGGGGGATGGCGGCCGGGCCCACCAAAGACCTCATCGTGGACGACGCTGCCCTCCTCTTCTCCCGGGGAACTGGTTCCGCTGGTAGTGTTGCTGTGATCAGATTGGCGGTGTCGGATAGAGCGCAAGGCGATATAGTTGGTCAGCGGCTCAAATTGACGCTTCCAGTAGTACGAATACCATATAGTGCCCATGAGCAAGGGGATCACCAGTAGGGATGCGAAGAAAGCCAGTTGCAGGACGAGGTAACCGGCCATGGTGACCTGGAAGACGACAAGACCGAGGACCATACGGTAGGCAATGATGCGCCACGCGCCGCCGGTAGCATGCTGCGGCTGGTCCATGGCGTAAAGCAGCTGGTACTTGTAGGTGAAGTAGCCCAGGAAGAAGTAGACGACTCCTATTGCAAGCATAATATACCCACGCGGCAGGACCGAGTAGACCAGGCACAAGATGAAGATGAGTAGCGACGTTGGCAGGTAGAAACCGTAGCTGAAAGCGGGCGCTATGTTGAGCGTTGCATAGTCGCGGGGCGTCTTTGCGCCAAGTCGATTGATCGGGTAAAGGGAGACCGCGCCGAACTCGAGCAAGCGGAAAGGGAAGAGCCCTATACCTTGCAGCATGATGAAGTTGAGGTAGAAGACGTTGAGATTCTGGATCCGTTGAGCGAGCTGCCTAGCGATATAGGTGGTATCCTTGAAGGAGTCGCGGATCACGGTCCAGATCTGAGTCGCAGTACCAAAGACGGTGAAGACGAGGAAAATGTTGAAGAAGGTGAAGAAGAAATTCTTGGAGACAATAGACAGCTCGACTTCGCCCTGGGAGAGCATTCCTTGGCTGTTGGACAGGTAGTCATAGAGGAATGGAATGGCGACGTTGAGAAGGGACACCACGGCTGTTGGCAGGCCAGTCTGAACGAGAGCCTTGATGATCTCATGCTCGTTGAGGAACTCAGCCAGGCCTGGGAAGAACTTTTTGATGGTGCAGAGCGAAAGCAGACCGGCGATGGTGGCCACGGGGATAAGCCAAAGGACCGAGAGGATACTGATAAAGATGGTGATGAGCCACGCCTTGACCACCCTGGTCTTTCTAGAAGAATAGGTGTTGCGCCAGACGACATCTGAAGGGGCGGGCGCATACTTCGTCAGGAGCTGGCCTGGCCGGGGGTCGATGAGTGCCTGGGTGGCCATCTGGCAGGCCGCAATAGAGTCCATCGTTACGAATGCCTGATCGACCGGCTGGTACTCCTTCTTCCGGGCCACGTGAATCTGCTCGTCGATCCGCCGGAGCTTCTCCTCGTAGTAGTCGATGGCGTCGACCTTCTTGTACCTCAGACGAAACGGACCATACCAGACGCGTGTCTGCGGGCGCGGACGGTCAATCCAGTGGTGATGGGCGGCTCCGTTGCGGCCGCGGCCCAGAAGGCTCGACCCCTCGCCATCTTGGGCCTCCTCATCAACGACGGCCGAGTCGTCGTGTTGACCGACGGCGGAACTGACCTGCCTGTGTCTGTCATCGAGGCAATTTATAGACTTCTGACCCAGATACACGCTCCAGGTCTCCTCCAACTTGCGAAGGGTAACAGCTCTCTCGGCGACCAGGTCGTCGAGCTCCTTCCAGTTTCGGCAGAGGGTCACACTCTCGACGTTGCCGATCTCCAGCTTCTCGACCAGCTCCTTAAGCTTGGCCTCATCACGCAGCTCGCGAGGCATGCCGGAGAGCTTGAAGGTCCTGTCGGTAATGGTGCTCTGGGTGCCGAGGTAGTCCTGCCTTATCCTGATGACCTTGAATGTCTCCTTGTTGAGGAGATGGATGGTGAGGAGGGTGAAGAAGTAGGTGAAGACGAGATAGGCCCAAAGGTATCCCATGTCGTAGTTCCAGCTGTTGTCGGAGTCGTCATCATCGGGACGCTTGGGGATGTTCTCGTCGGGAACGTATCGTCGATTTATGGGCTCGAGGACGGTGGCGGCGAAGAAGAAGAGGATGGCGAAGAGCTTGATGGAGAGCTTGAAGAAGGCAAGGAGCTGCGCAGACCTTTCGTCAGGACATGGCTATCATGGGAGAGAAGAGACAGCATGACAGGCAGAGACACATACCACGAAGGCATCAAGACCAGCCGAGGCCAGGACCTGTTCCTCGGTGACCTTGTAGAGGGCTGGCACCCATCCGAAGAGACTGTCTGGTAGAGGGGGCAGGCCTATCTGTGGGCCGAACTGGCGGCGCCTGGCAGCGTATAATGACTTCCATCGCGGGCGCAGGATCTATTCGCGAGACTTATGAACATCATCACTCGGTATTGAGGATTGGGGACTCGACTGGATGCGAGTTCACTGGACGGGACTCACACAAAAGGTCATGAAGGCGGTACATCCGAGGGCCAGGGAGATGACGAGCTGGACGTAGGTGTCCTTTTCGCCAGGCTGGACAAACTCGTCGCCGCTGCCATCACAGCTGCCCCTCTTCCCCTTGTCCGGGTCGTAGAAGTCCATGATGGCTGTTGGTGTTGAAGTTGTTGATGTCAGCAGCAGCAGCAACGAGACAAGATCAACGGCGACAAAGACGACGACAGCCGCACCAACATCGTCCTGCCGTCCTGTCGCGTGCTGGGTCGGGTCGAGTCGAGTCGTGTCAAGCCGAGTCGGTGGACCAGATGGTATCCAGCGAGCCAGCAAGGCCAAGTCAACAAAATTCTTCGTCGACGAGAGCTCCAGTGTTGCAGCTCCCCTTGCTGCCCCTTGCTCGTGTCACTGGCTCTCAGGGCTCTCCAGAGCTCCTTCCGTCGCGCGCATGCATGAAGATGCGGATCCCGCGCTATGACGTGGTTGGTCCTGAACGGGCCTGGTCCCTGCAGCTTGTTGGCCGTTGACCTCCGTTCCGAGCCGCAGTTCTCTCTAACAGCTACAGTCTGACCAAGACGCACATTGATGATAGACAGCTACCTTGACGAGCTCAGCCACAGCTGAGCCACTTTCTGCGCCCCGCCAACGCCACAACCATCTGCGCGACGGTTCGGGAATCTGCCTCCACGTCTCATGAGAACGGCGCGTTCGTCACCGCCACTGCCACCAACCACCACCCATCATCAGTGTTCACGGCATAGCAGCAAATGTTGCATTTCTTTGTGCTCACATACTCTATCATTGATTGATAACGCTACAGGTATCTGGGGATCTCGGGAATAGAGTAGCTTCACAGACTGTGAAACAAATAGTGACTTTCATGCCTGCTCATAGCATCCTGTCTCTTCTCCGAACTATCCCAGGATTTCCTGGAAGACTAACCCAGAAATGTTCATCTATATCTGTATAGTACAACATAGCTGTAGCTAGCTCTTACTTCTCGACAGGTGAGTCCTCGAAATCCTTGTAGCTGTAGCCAAGGCCATCAGCCCCGATCGCCCTCTTCTTCTCGACGGGCGAATCCTCGAAATCTTTGTAACTATATCCAAGACCATCGGCCCCGATAGCTCTCTTCTCCACAGGGGAGTCCTCGAAATCCTTGTAGCTGTAGCCGAGACCGTCGGCTCCAATGGCTCTCTTCTTCTTCTCGACGGGAGAATCTTCAAAGTCCTTGTAGCTGTAGCCGAGGCCGTCAGCCCCGATGGCTCTCTTCTCAACAGGGGAGTCCTCGAAATCTTTGTAGCTGTAGCCAAGGCCATCGGCTCCGATGGCTCTCTTCTTCTCAACGGGAGAATCTTCGAAGTCCTTGTAGCTGTAGCCGAGGCCATCTGCTCCAATCGCTCTCTTCTCAACGGGCGAGTCTTCAAAGTCCTTGTAGCTATAGCCAAGACCGTCGGCCCCGATTGCCCGCTTCTCCTTTGGGAGAGGACTGGCAGCGCTTGAAGCAGCGAGCAGAAAAGCGACAATCACGTTGGACTTCATTGTGAAAATCTGTACTGTGGAATGTTAGGATCCGCTTAAAGTCTAGACGCCTTGGGCAATACTTACAATATTTCAAGTGTCCTTAGGAGGCTTGAGTTACTGAACGATGAATTGTGATCGGGGGTCGAGCTACTTTGAACTGGCTTGTTCAGTATCTACTATTTACTCATCAGCGACTACCATACAGGACTCTTATATAGACCAGTCAGAGTCCCTGGGGCATCTGTACACGCATGTCTTTAAATTCCTTTCCGCCGCATTCTCCCAGCTTTTACCGACCAGAGACGGATCGGCTACGAGAGACAGATTATGAACTCTAAGGGCGGTTTCTTCCACCTCTGACTGAATCGAGTGTTTGTTCTGGCCTCGTCAGCGGTACAACTCATAGTGCTATCGTCTCTCGGGGGCTTAGTTTCCGGTCCATCTACATCTACAGGTTCTGGAGAGGCTCAGTGCACGGAAAGTCAAGGAAAACAAGTGGGTCTGGAAACATGAGGTCGCTATGGTTTCCTCCAATCAGCGCCATCCGAATGCATCGTGATCATTCTATGCGGTCATACATGATGTTCTCCGGCTGTGGAGCTCTCTAGCATAGTCACTTCGTCACGCGAATTGCCGCCCAAAACTCCTCATCACGTCTCTTCTAGCCTACTGACTCGTGAATTATGTTTAGTCTGTGCGTCGTTGCAAACAAATTCATAACTAGGTGGTATGGCTGCGGGTCGGATAGACGGAGCCTTATGATGGATCCCACGGATTGTTTAGGTTTGCCGGCGGGCTGCCCGGATACAGAGGTCGACAACATCCGGAACTGGAACGTCTTGAAGTAAATTCCAGGAGTTTCATCAAGCTAAGTAATGGATTACAAATGGATTACCTCGGATGTACCAAGCCGCACGGAAAGTGCCGACTCGGGGGTGCTCGGATAGCAGACACCTGGATGGAACTGAAAGAGCTTCGACTTGGCGGCACGTCAATTATACCATGCCCGGCATTCGTGAAACGAATCAATTGGGTAAACTGTCAATGACGCCTCTCTTCCATCTACGCTCCCTCTAGTTTTGCAGCTAATTGCATGTTTGTTATGACTCCGACTCCAATTATGGCACAGAAAAAAACTGAAACCGATTCATACGAGCCTGTTCCAATAGATGAGCCGTTGTCTGGCTCTATTGAGCTAGATTCAGAGTACGATGAGAGATTACGAGGTGGAAAGTCAACACGTACTCTTGCAATCGTTTTCATCTGTTACTCCTTGATTCTTGTCTCGGCTACGGCTGCCGTCTCCTCGTTGGCGTGGAGAAAACAAATGTTGCATGGAGCAGGCGTTGTAGACACACCTCTACGATCAGCCATGCGTTATGAGCCAACCTTCTTCCAGCGAGGATGGAAAGCCAACTATACCCTTATGGGAACACCCAGTAATGAGCTAGATGACGCTTGGGACGATATTTTGCAACGTAAGTGGAGGTTGTTAGAATTGTGGTCTACCAAATTCGACAAGTATACTCAAATATTATGGCAGACTACTATTCAGAGGTTCCCCACCAATTCATGGAAGCACTTGGCAGACTCGACGAAGGCATTCGGTTAGACAATGGGAATTATATTGCGACCTACGGTGTTATGCACCAGATTCATTGCTTGGTACGCAAAACTTTCTGACCCCGCTAGGAAGCATGGTTCCACCTAACAAGAGCTGCCATCTAGAAACGCATTCATCACGCATTCTACCCTGATTACTATTATACTGAGTGGACAGAGAAGGAAAAGTCAGCAGAACGCAAACACACCTGTACGTTTGAGTGTTCGTTAATATTGTATAGATCAATGTTGATTGCTAACAAATCGCTTGCCATGCGTCTTTTGAACAGTCCATTGCTTGCAATCATTACTCGAGGTGACAATGTGCAAAGCAGACGAGTCCCCGCTAACGATGAGGTGGCTTGACGATACACCTGAACCGAATGGCAATCCCGTTATAGCTCACGAGTGTGTGAACTGGGACCTCTTGATGGACGAGTTTACTCGCAAACGCGTTGATCCCAGTGTATTTGTGCATCCGAAATTTGGTAAGTCTAACAAACCCATCCACTTATTCATAGCATTGGCTCGGTCTAAGGAGATTTTAGGGAAACCATGGCAAGGGAACGCGTAACTTATTGTAGTTGTTGCTTTGGATCAATGACCGAAATTTGCCTACGGGCAACATATATCATATCTCGTGCTGCGTGTACACCGTATTGATTGATAGAGTGCGTGTATTATCTGGCCGAGTTCGCGTCCCATAGTCTCCTTCTGTATAATCTAATAGATTTTCAAAATCATGCACGCAAACTTCAAGCAAACATAATTTTTAATATTGGAACATGTGGCTATTGTACTCCTACGACGCAGCAGCTCGGTATCTCAACGAATTACTACGGTCTGAATTTGAAATAGTCTCAAGCTCATGCTGTTGCGACTCGACGAGATCTCACTACTACCGGATTTGGCTCTGATTCGTGAGTCACGAGACGACGAACATGTGTAGATACAATGGCTTTCGCTTAGATCTCGGGCTTGTCAATGTCCTGAGTCATCCAAACATAACACCTTTGCCTTTCAAAACTTACCACATGATGCTTCCTTATCTAGGGATTATCTCGGAAGTACATAGAACCGGAAATCTATTCGGAACCGCATCCGCATTCGGAACGTCCCAAGCGATGTCGATCCGGAATTTCAATTGACATCACGACTAAAAAGCTAAGCTTATGCCACGGCCAACAGGGGAGGCTACCTCCACATTGTCAGCTTGTAGACGAGTCATGTTTGCTATTTTCTGATTACTGATTTCTGATATCATTCATTCACATTTCATCCTGGCGAAAAGTTAGGCAGGTGACGCTGATCAGCCATTCCCACCAAAATCATTCGATTTCAAAGAATTAATTACACTCCCTAGGTCTCTGGAGAAGCGTGTGCATAACTTAACCGCACCGCTCACTTTGAACTGCAATAAGCAAACCTGTGACCACGAATAATGGAAGAATCGAAAAAGTCGACCTCAACTGACCTCGGCGAGCACGAGTCGTCCGAGAATGGGCTAATATCCGGGCAGAAGTCTCCAGCAACATGGCACTCCACCACTTTTTTCACCTCATTGTTCTCCAACACATTCAAGCGAGGAAAGCAGTACAACGCATTACTTGAAGATGATGACGCTGGCGCCTCGCATTCAACAGACCCGCTTATTCGCGTTGTGCAAGCACAAAGAGTTTCAATCCGGAGGTGGCGTCTTGCCACTGTTTTTGTCGTGGTTGTCAATCTAGTCTTCTACGCCTTCTTTCTGTTTCCTTTGGCTAAGATGCACAATTCGGAGCCGCCGTTCACCGATTACGATGATCGCATGACTTGTGGGAATACAACGACAACGGCTCTGAGTCGCCAATGTCAATATCATCCCCTGAGCCATGGCTGGCTACACCGCGATTGCGATGTGACTCTTGCGAGGGAGTCAGTGACATCAGCTTCAAATGGCCAGCCAACATGCCAGTTCTGGCTTGACAAAGCCGGGACGAAAGAGGTGACTGGTGCCGACTGGGACGCACTTGAGAGGGGAACTGTGGTTTGGACGACACAGAGTCATCACGTCACGCACTGCGTCTACTTGCTTGCGCAGGCCGCTGCGGCCATGACTATGGGAGGCATGATGGAGGAGAACGCAAGGAAGTGGGAACACCAGCAGCTCTGCGTAGAGACCATTATGAGCGCTGTAAGCCGCTCTCCTGGTTGGAACAAGATCAAGGGCTTCGTGCATGTCGGATCTGGGGGCTGCTGGTAATGGCTACGCCATTTAGTCCTTACCGTTCGAAAATAGAGCGGATAGACAGAACCTCAACGCTGTAGCAACCAGTCTAGTCACTTTAAACATCGCACATCAGAGCTCTTGTTGCCTGTTCGTTGCCGAGTAAGCGTCCCTGCAGTACATGATGGATCCAAAGGAACCGAGTGGAACAAAAGTCTAATTCCCGCGCTGTGGATCTACAGTGTCCCACCGTGGGAAGACGATTTTTTGCTGCTTCTATGAATTGACCCCGGATCCCATTCTGGGATAGCTTCTATGTTAGTGGTGTATTTCCGTGCGATGACGAAGTTTTATACACCCGTCTATATCATATAGGAAGCGTAATGATTGATCGTCGTCTTAATGAAGACAGATGTGCTGTACATATGGGAGACCATATAAGGGTGGCCGGATGTACGCCGAGAGTTGCTTCTCTCCAAAACTTTCAGCCCTTGGCGTCTGGAAGGGTTGTTTATCTTGTGCTTTTGGCGCTTTCCTTGCAAAACCCCCTGTAGAGCTTGTGTTAACTGACTCATCAATAATCACCTGATTTGGCCCATCACTACACTTGCACCATAGTAGAATAGTTCCGGACCTACTGTTTACCTGTGTCCGCGTAAAAGTCGACCTGATTCAAGCTTTCTCGGTTAAACGAAACCCGAAACCGAGGTCTGCACGACGTCGCACAATAAATAAGGCTTTGCACCCCTGGGATACGAAACGTTATCTAGATTCACTTGCTGAAAAAGAGGAGATAGCGGCTGGCAACTGGCCACCGCTTAACCGGCCCCCGGCATGAAGGAAGGTATGCCATCATAGAGCGTGCTAAAGGCGCCGGTGCGGGAGAATGTCGGGAAAAACACTGTATCGCCAAACCTAGATTTCCATTGCCCCATTGAATAAAGCGCACTCCCTTTTCAAAAGACCTATCTTCCTGCGTCGTTGGCCCGTGGTTGATCCCCGTCAACAAAAACAAAGAGTGTAATGGATTCGCTGAAATCGACTTTATGCAACGAATAGCGTAATTGTTCACAGACTGCTTTATGGCCTCTTTCATGTCGATTGATACCATAATGGTTGGCGCAAGAAATAAGAAGATAACTCGGCGACGTGGCTCATGCACTAGGTGCAAGCTGAAAAAACTTCGCTGTGAGTTAGACTTCCCTTGATGGTATCATTTTTATAGAGTTGCCTAGTGCTCGATACTACCTACTCTTTAGAGTTTCGTGCTAATCGGCCTCCGTGATACAGGCAACGGCGATAGGCCTGAATGCTTCAATTGCCAGGTCTGATGCCAATCTTTGTGATCAAAGGCCCGGTTTAAGGAACTGATGGTATTGCAGAAAGCCCAATCAAGTTGCGAGTATCTTGTTGTCAAGCGTCCTCGTGATAAGAAGGATGCGATAAGTGAAAGGGACACCCGTAAGTGAACGATGAACTTGCCAAGCCCTTGCTCGCACTAAAGGTTCATAAAATAGAAGAAGGAAGTCCGCCGTTCTCATCTAGTACGCCGGTCGTGATACCAGAGGGCTACTCAAGGTTTGATGATGCGGAATCATTCGCGTCGATCCCTAGTCCGACAACACTTCAGGAGTCTTCTATACCATCAAGGGATTTCATAGATCCATCGTCTCTGGCGCACATTTTCAATTGTCCACCTACGAATGACGATGTTTCACTGGCAGATTCGGGGCTGCACCTGATTAGCCCACCAAATTCACAGTATTTGCACGATCCTACCACCGATCCAGACCTTGATTTCGTGTTCCAGGATGCACAATTCAGTATCAATGGAGAGAGCTTCATCGAGGGTTCGTCCTCGCCGGATGCCACTGTAAGCTCAGCCCCGATACTACCTCTGTGCCGAACGCATGAATACTGCGCTGACAATCGTACATTAAGCTTCTGGCCTTTTTTCAGGAGCCTAAGTCGGCAAAGTCTCGTGGAAGTGTCATGATCGAAACTTTGGGAGGGTTGACTGCGAAGGCCGAAGACCAGGCGGTTGTTCAAGAACTGAACACGATTTTGCAAGAGTTCAACAACGAGCAAAGCAGGGAAGTCCTTTCTGATTTCAAGCCGCACCACGTCTCGACGGCGCAGATGCAGCGGGAATTCGGTGAGAGGACTGCTAGCCAGCATTTTGAAAGTGAGAAACCCTCCCCAATCACGTAATTGAGTGAGGCCAAAGGACTAAAATGATTTAAGGATTCTTCCAAGAATACGAAAGGTACTGACGATTTCCTTGAGCCGTTCCTTGATCTTCAGGATTTGAATTAATCCGTCATATGTTGTCATGCTGATCATGGCGTAGTATCTTTCCCGTCCTCACACGGGAACAAGCCCGCGACCTGAGGCTGAGAATAGTAACGGGTCAACGAGTTGAAGCGCCGGAGATCCCATTAGCATATTCGTTACTTGCAAACGGTGCTATAATAGCGAAAGGTCAGGCTTTTTCCAACCGCCAGGAGCTGGGAAATTTAGCCAATAGATGCTTCTTCACAGCAATGGGCTTCTACCAGAAACTCGCTCAAGGACCGCCAGACATAACCAAGACACAAGCTTTATTTACTATGGTGAGTTCAGCGACCAGCTACCTTTATTTTGCCTCTTTTATAATTTACTGATATCTTCGTCGCAGTCCCTGTTTGCGCGCGTCTCTTGGCGTCCAAGCTTAGCAAGGACATTGGCTATAGATGCTGTCAAGCAAACGACGGTGATGGGTCAGGATTCGAATCATGCAGCCAGCATCACGCAACAGCATCAAGAACACATCAAAGAACTCATCTTCTGGAGTATTTATTCAATAGAGAAACCCTTGGCCCTGAGATTGAATCAACCATCGGTGAGGACTGAATTCTTGAGTCAATGTTTCTGGCTTTGATGTTCGGGTCTGAAATATACTGACCCTGAATGCACGACTAACAAGGCAATTGATGACGACTTCATTGAGTATGATTTGGAGAATTTAACTGCTGCTACAAACCAATCCACCTTGTCTAACCAGATCTTCCGATTGCATTGTCAGTACGCGCAGCTCTGCCAGCAAACATCCAAAGAAATATTTAGCGCTCGAGCTTCGAGACAACCACGCGACAGGCTCCAGCAGAAGAAGGCGGCAGTTCTTGAGAGCCTAACAGTGTGGAACACGGAGCTTCAGGCTGCGATCCACCCACACGGCACAAATGATGGCACTCTGACGAGTGATGTGGGTGGCCAGATACAATCATGGGCGCAGTATCTGATGCTGTTGCATTCAGAATCTGTTATGTTGCTGACAGAACAGTTCGTACTCATCCTTTTCTTGTACTTCCATTCCTTTGGTCGTAACTTCGATCTGTACCACAACCGAGAGACGCGCTGACCATGCCGTTTATTGAAGCTCCGAAATACGTCTCACTTTGGCAAGGATGATATTAGAGATTGGACTGTCGTTGCCATGCCATCTATTAAGCTACCAATGGTAAATTGCTAGCCCGAATTTCCAGTCAAATGTGACAAAGCTCAATCCTAACCAGCGAACTCTCTACAGGCTTGAGACCACATTCTTTGCTTTTACAATCATCCTCCTTAGACGATCACAAGCGTCCAAGAAAATGGAATATGATGCATTTGACGGAGATGATAGGACCTTGCTGCTTGCAACATGCGGCTTGATCGCGCGGACCGCGAGATTATTTGATAGAAACTTCCCCGATAGAAAGCTTTTCCAGCTTGTATTTCGGGTTTTTGACTCGATTTGACAATGAATCAAGTTGCATCCAAGGTCAAAATTGTGTGTTCAAGACATGGCCTGTCGAGACTGGATTTTAAAAAGGCCTGGGCGATGCTCATCATCTTCTCATATTTGTCATAAGCCGGATGTGATTTATATTTGATGCGGAAGGGCTCGGTGGTGAATTGATCTCTGAAGTCTTCGCTGTTGGGGTCACCGAACAAGCGAAGAGTAGAGATCCGAATGCGGTACTCGCCGGGGGACGCCCAGCTGCCGTTCGGCAGAATCCCGGTCCAGTGCCGAAATAAGGTCTCGATACGCCCAAACCCACCGACTGGATAGATTTCGCCACTTTCAAACAATGGAATGGCTTCCCCGGCTTTCTCGGCCTCTGTAGAAGAATCTCTCGGAAGAAGGTCAAACTTGACGGCGCGAGTGTACATGGTGAGGTCCACCTGCATGGTTGGCAACACCACAGACGTGTAAGCATCTGGTGCAGACAGGTCTTTATCCTTTGAAAGTTGGAAGGTATGGCCCGGAGGCACGGCTTGAAGATACTGTTTTCCAGCGAATCTGGAGCGAAAGGAGGCCATGTCCGCATCTTCCTGAGTAGCTGCTGCTAGAAAGGTTGTATTTCGGGCGACAGCTAGTGTTGGTACGGAGCGTATCTCGCACGCGATTCCACCGTAAGGTACGACGAGATCCGGCCTTTCAGTAGATTTGTTGCTGGAAAGCTTTAAATATCCGCTGTAGAGAGGGCAACGCGAGGCTAGGTTGAAGCTTCTTAGATTCGCCAATTTCGGAGAGACTTTAATCGTTGAAGACTGGCCTGGTCCAAGGGATAGTCTCGAGACAGAAATATCAAGTTCAGCATAAATCTCAGATCTGATGCTTTCGAGAAATTCTGGAGTTGCTTCCGCGGCTTTTTGAGCAGAGGAGAAAGGGATAGGATATATATCTCCTTGGCTTTCGGAAAGAGAGAGCACTGTCACTGCCGGCAAGTGCGACAATTCATATTCAACAGCACCGGTGCCTAAGTTGGTGATGGAAAATGTGGTTGGCCCTGTAGAATATTCGGTGTCATTGAAGGCGAGACTTGTCGTATTAATCGCAGTACTGCTCTGGAAACCTCGGTACGCGTTCACCCGTCCGGCTCCTTGCTGCCAAGCGGACGCAAGAAAGTTGAAAGTCTTATTCGTGCCATCATTGAATGGCAGGGGATCTGCGGTATTGACCAAATTGTTTGCAATCTGTCGACAGCTCAGTTCTGGAAAGGCCTCTTTGAGCAAGGCAATGCAACCGGTGATATAGGGAACGGCCATAGAGGACCCGGACTGGATGCCCCAGCCGCCGCGCTGTCTAGGAAGAGTGGATAGCACATTTCCGCCAGGGCCAAGCAATGTAGGGACGAAGTGTCCCTCCCCCGATGGACCCCAGGAGCTGAAGGTACTCACGCGATCGGCTGTTTCGGTGTTTGGGTGCGATCTGATGATCGCCGGGGACAGGAAGTCGGAGTCCATCTCCAGTAACACCTCGTTCCCATCTTTGAGAAGAGCAGCCAGTTGTTTACCAGTCTCAAGGTCGAGGCTTCCCGCCCCAATAATTTCATTGTCATCCAGTCGCACCTCTAAGTCGAAGACCGGTCCAGGGCGGTCATCATATATAAGCACATACTGTCCGCCAGCGAGCACGAGGTTTTCCAACTTGGTCTTGAAAGCGCAGCCACCTCGTCGTATCAGTACCACCTTGTCGTGGTAGAGTTCTGGGTCTGGAGTCAAGCCTTCGCATGCGTCGCCTGCATCCTCAGCTCCGGTCGCTGACTCTATGCTCACCAAGGGAATGGTCTTGGGAAACGAGCTACGCCACCATGCAGTCCAAGTCGGCGGATTCCAGGTGAAGTTTTGAGTATGGGGCGACCCGCTATCATTTGTTGTGGCACGGCCTGGTCGCAGCACCGAGAATGAGTGGTCAACGTCAACAGCGCCGACTGAGAACACCTCGGGACCACCTCCTTCTGGTGCAGCCGCCGAGAATGACCCGTAATGACCTGAGTTACCGGCTCCAGTAACAATAAAAGTTGGGCCAGCCCTGTTGATTCTTGAGACGAGAGCCGAAAGAGGGTCGTCTGAAAAGGGTCTCGAGCCGCTGCCGAGGGACAGATTGATGAGGTCAACGCCTCTCTCGTAAGCTTCCAGGACAGCTCTCACAACAACATCCGACGTGCTCATCCCATTGCAATCAAACACTCGGTAAAGTTCGATTGAGACTCCTGGGGCGACACCGCGGAACCCGGTCTCGGTGTCATTGGCAAAAAGAATACCCGCTGTGTGCGTCGCGTGGTCAGAGCATTCGCCGAAGGGGTCTGGGTCCGGGTTTTCCTTGAGAGGAGGGCGGACATTGTCGCCGACGAAATCCCATCCGTAGTCGGCCTGAAACCCGGCTCCAAATCCTCCACCGAGCGCGGGATGAAGATAGTCGACCCCTCCGTCCACCAGGGCGACGCGTACGCCCTTACCGCTAAGGGATAGAGGCGCGGCTTGCAGCTTGCTGACTTGGGTCATGTCGTGTACAGAGTTGATATTAACATCCCCTGCCGAAAATTCATCTTGGTTTCGGCCTGCTAATGATAAACGAATATCAAGTTGGTCAACATGGGAGCTTGGTTTTGGTTTGTCTTCGAACGGTGGTGTCCGCATGACCCCCTTTTGGTAGTAGGACATCGTATTCCAAAGTTTCGAGGCCCCTTGTAGAGTACCGAGTCTTTCCTCTATCCGCGTCCACTGGAACGAGTGATCAGTGGTCTGATAACGCAGAGAAATCCCGGCGAATATATCGCTCGTGTATTCGTGGAGAACCGTCACATTGTCCGCGGCAAAGTAGCCGGGCAGTACATTTAAAGCACTTATCCTCACATCAGGAAGAACCTGTGTATCGAGAGAGACGAATCAATGGAATGACCACGCAGAGTTATTTCAGAGATTCCTTTGCAGAGTTCCACTCACCTCCTTATTAGTGACTTCAAGAAGGTATCTTCGCTCATATTGAGGCAATCCTTCTGTTACAGCTGATCGTATCAAGCTGAAAATTACAAGTACCAGTAGACGTGGCAGCCAAAGCATGGTGACTCGAGTACTTGAAAGTACAAGACAAATAGAACACACGTGAGATCTAAGCAAGGCTACCTAGAAGAGACGATATCAGAGATGCAGTTTTTAGTGTCTAGGATGATTTCCATCTGCACGACTAGGCAGACTCCGGAGCCTCGGTTTGTGCATCTAACTTGCAGGGATATGCTTTCGGCCTCTCTTTCTGCAATCCGAGATCCGTGGTAAGCCAACCACAAGACTTGATTTCCTGAGCACCCCGGAGTCCGAATTCTATCCGACCTTCTACGGCCTACGAATGATTACAAGCGGGGCAAAGCCATCGAGACTTGAATATCATCGAGTTCTACATCCCTCGCGCCTCTATGACGGCAGTGCCCTATACATATATTTACTTACATGGTGTCCGATGCTCTCCAGAGAATGTGTGTTAGCCGGTCCGTATGTTCTCTAAAAAGGGCTCGTCCATTTTTTATGTAAGAAGTAATGAAGTCTACTTGATTGATGTTTGGAACCTTTCGCCGTGGACAAAGTTTAAAGAGCAACGCAGCAGTTGGGCAATCAGATTTGCATAGATGTGTCATAAACAAGGACAATGCAAAATCTATTCACGCCTCCGAAAGACTCTTAAAATTGTAGTTCCGCCCACACAAGTTCAATGGTTTTCGCCTTTTGAAGAAGCCTTGCCGGCCAGACGCATGCTTTGAGCAAGTCGTTTGGAACTCCTGCTATTAGACCAGTCTAAAAGGCTTCTGAAGTCTTTGCAGACGTGGTTGGCGGCGTTCCCATTTGCTCTCTCTTCAGAGCTGTATGTGCTTTGGCCTTCAAGAGCCGTATCCCCGTAGCACATGACGCTCTCACGAAGATAATCGATGCAGTGATTGACATGTCCCAGGCTGCCCACCGCTGACGGGTCTTTGATCAGGCTGTAGTAACCTTCTTGAATCCCACGCTAAACAGTAGAGTTAGCATGCAATTTTATCGACACCAAAGTCCTTAGCCGTCTGGATTGTGCCTTCTTTGGGGTGAGACATACCAAGCAGTGAAGTTGATGCCACACAGTAATACAGAAACGGTCTATTTCCAAGTCCTTTGGCTGATTAATTGGTGGCGGAAGGACCGCTGCTGTTGGATCTCCAATAGTAATGAAGCCGTTTCCTTCTGGAACGATGCTTTTCCAGGCTTTGCTCAAAGCAAGCTCTTCCTCGGATGTCGCATATTTGGGATCGTCAAGGGTGAATTTTGAGTCGTTCCAAAACATCCATATTTCTCTTCCAACTTAATACTCAAAACATCAGTAAGACATCCACCAATAGTAGCTTTTGGAAAGACACTTACAAGTGGGAATTTGGCCTGATACATCTTCGGCTAGGCCGTAATTACCGTCACCGAACCCGGTGTAGAGTATCCTGTCTCCACCTGTCTCTATTGGACTTGCAGTTAAAGTATCTTTGTATATCAACCCGAGGTAGATCCAAAGGCAAATGCTCGCGCTAACATAGAAGAATATCTTGCAGACTGCTGAGACCAGGTTCAATGATTGCTTCATTCTGGACGGGCCAGCATGATGACGGTTTCGTGCCTGGAATTGATGTCCCCTGAGGAGCGATACTTCAACGTCAGTCTCAGAGGCATCTTCAGAATTGTCGACTGGATGCTTTGTGAATTGACGCTCAATCTCTCGAGACATTTTGCGAAGATGCCAGTGTATTCGATACCAAACTTTGGAGGAAATTCTTCAGTAAGCTAAAGAACCAGTGCAACCCAAGCTATGTCTACTCTTGATGTGAGTTGCTAGTGAGATGTTCTGAGGCTCAGAGTGATCTGGAATTCGATTATCGGATTGGCAGAGGGAATCCTTGCGCCTTTTCGAATCATGTCACACGCACAAGATGCGTTAGCGTCCGGTCCCACTCGCAGATCAAATGAATCGACTCGCCAACTACAGGACAAGCCCTCCGGAATTAGCGGCTACCATTCGGAAGGGTTCAATTGCAAACTTGAAATAGACTTCCGGAAAGGCATTTGAATTCAGTGCCATGCACAACGCAACGAACTTCCGGACATGCAGATCGCAAATAGACTTTTTGAAAGCGGTTAGCTAAATGTCAACCGGTGACATAGCTCGAGCCAATACGCTTTCGGCGGCAAGCTAATCAAGTGGGCGAAGAGACAGACCTGAGGTGTGGACTAAGAGGATCCCGCAAAAAGCGGAAAGCTGGAGCTGGCCCCTTCCTACCGGAATGCAATCTTTTCAAAAAGTGAAGCTCGCATCGACTGAATCACAGCGTCAAATGCGACTTGGCACTTCACAGCAAGTGGCTTCGCTGAGAGCACAGTTTTGATCAACCTGGATCACGGACCGCATCAAGGGGGGGAGGGTGGAGTTTCTGAATTATATTGTCTTATGTTCTGTGAAATGACGCCGCCAAAAGCTTCCCTGCTGGTGGATGTACTATGCGTGGACGACTTGGTGATGAGCGCATTGATGGGGTACATGGACCAAATAGCTCGAACACTGATAGAATTTCAACTTGTTCAATGGTTTCTCCATCACTGCGAAGACTTGCGGAATGGTCGAGATGCCTTTCAAGAGCCTATACGCATACACGTCACTCTTCGCGTTTCCGGGCCCGCGAGTTGCTTAGCCGAGAGACTTTCACAGAAATATTCGATGACTTGACCCGCTGTCAGTTTATGGGCTCTTCAAATACAAGCAAGAGATACATGAAAATCAATTCCTTGGCTTTCTTAGTACAATCACATTACCCAAGTCTATTTTGCCTCATTCTCAAATACATGCAACAGCCACATCACGTCACTTTCTTATTCTGAGTCCAGTCCCGGATACATTCAAGAACATCAACAAGCCCGGCCTCTTCATTTCAGATACCATGGGAAATAATCGTAGTAGTAACAGCCAATCCTTTGTTGCCCGCCACAAGCCATCCGTCCTTGTCTTGGCCTCGCAGGTCTCGGCTGCCTTCATTCATGCTCTCGTCAAGATCCTCGAGACCGACGTTCATCCGGTCGACCCATTACAGATCCTACAAGTTCGACTATTCATTACCGGCTGCGCTTGTACGTTCTACCTATGGTACACGAAAGCGCCTGGCTTTCCCCTCGGCGACCGTGACCTCCAGTCGCTGCTGGGACTGAGAGCACTCGGCGGGGTGTGCGGTTCGATTGGCTTTTATTGTTTGTAGACAAATATTTTCATTTCGCCATCCTCTTTTCCTATTTTCGTAGCTTTAAAGAGGTCATTTAAATATCTAACATATGACGAATTTGGTAACAGTCTCGATACTCTATCTTACTCTTGCTCAGGCAACAGCGCTCAATTTTCTGGCGCCCTTAGGCGCCATGATACTGTCCAAGTATTTGGATTATGCCACTTTTGGTTTTGTCGACCAGGCTGGAGCGTTAATAGCCCTTGTCGGCGTCGTATTGATCGTGCAGCCGAATACTGTGTTTGGGCTCCAGGACAAGTCAACGTTACCAGAAAATTCCAGCAGTCATGAGATGATACACAATACCATCAAGGGCGTTGCTTACAGTGCCATGGGTGTTCTGGGCGGTATTGTAAGTTTTCAGCCGTATACTACACCTCTGCGTCGACACAAAGACCTTAAAAAACAGGGCTGAGCTCGAGGTTGACCAAACTAACATTGATATCCACCGAAACATTAGACTGCCCTAACTTCTATTCGGCGCCTGGGGTCTCGAACGCATCCATTAATGAGTGTCAACTACTTCGCTTGGGCGGTTGTAGTGGTTACTTCTATTATAAACTTGGTACAAGGACTAGCATGGCCTAAGGATCTGAGGAGTTGGATCCTACTAGTTACGGTTGGGGTTTTGGGAATGCTTATGGTTAGTGACCGGACACCCACGTCTTCGACAAGCCCCCCTTTTGTTTTGACCTTACGGACTGCATGGAATCTCTGTTGATGTCTTCGTAGGAGTTCTTGCTTACGGCTGGAATCGCGAGTGATACATCTATTACGGCGACTGTTATGATATACTCGCAGGTGCTCTGGGCTCTCGCACTGGATCGCATCGTCTGGCACATAAGCATAGACATACTAAAGCTAGTGGGTATCGGCAGTGTAATGAGCAGTCTGCTAGCGATATCTCTTGCTAAGGAGACAGCTAGCCTCCGAGCTAGGGTCAGAGTGGACTACGAGGCAGTGCCAACTTGCAGCCATCCTGGGGCGGGTAATGAAGTAGACCTCGAGATGCTGGGCAGAGCCGAGGATTTTGATGAAGTTTAGCAAACAAGGAATTTCACAGGTACTGTTACATCGTTTGCGAAGCGACCAGCGGAAGAAATAGATTTATTCGCAAGAAACAAGAGCCAGAATAAGGCCTTTCACATATAAGTAGCATCTATAGTGATCAATGTTCAAGTTTAAAAGTGTCTTGCAGTAATTAGTCGGACCACCATGAGTACTACATGCTCCTGTCGTAAATCATGGCAGCGACCCGGGACTGAAGAGCTGTGAGAGTGAAAAGAACAGCTTTCATTTTTCAAGGACGAAGGTGGAATTTTATGGTTCTAGTTTCGCCCCACTAGAACGTCTCAATAGTTCTTGGAAAAGCCCTTGACATGGTAGTTGCAACTTTTTGATAGGCTTGTCTAAAAGAATTAATTGCACAGCGGTTGGAAAATTTGCTAGACGACCAGAAGACACAAGGGCAATCCAGCCGTTGGCCGAAAATTTCTCGGAAACAACAGAACCTTCCGACACAATCGAAAGACGGTCGAGAGAATCCATACGAAATGACAGGAGTTCTGACCGCAGGGGATATGGGCAGGCAGAAGGTCTTACAAAACGTGGAATGATAATCCAAAACCTCGAAGACGACTTCAGGGAAACCGGCGACTGGATATGTGGGCGGAAGCATCTCGGGATGCTTCTTGCTCAATTGCAAGGAGACAATGATATTATTATCAAACACAGCTAATTGTTAAGACTGGCTGACTCCAGCCTTCTCCTATGTCAATGCTAGGAACAAGAACTCGAGGATGCCAACACAATGAGAGACTTTTCGCAGCTTATCCGTGGGCCATGACTTTTGAATCTTCCTGTAATCTTTTCAAGGAGCTACAAATACCTGGAATTGAAAAGTGTATACGACAGCGGCTAGAAACAGCCTCAGTCGCTTGGAAATAATGTGTTCTGGTCGACTGGTCCGACGTCTAAGACATTTTTTTTCCGACGGCGACGAGTCAGCATGAAGCTTGGTTGGCTTGCAATTCCGGAATCACTTTTCCGGGTTTGCAAAGTGTGACATCCTTGCGTGGGCTTGGCACCACTTAGCGGGAGGGGGGTAGCTTATGCAAGTCATTGAGTACTTGGCTATTGGCGGAAAGCTATCAAGTAAAGGGGAGTGAGTCTGGAGTTGCACTTGATAATTACAGTCCCAGTCCTTATGGCTGTATTTGTTTGCGACCGCCACTTCATAGGAAACATCTGACACTCAGAATGGGCCTCAACGAACAGTCCGATACCTCCGATAATCATGAAGGCACAGTCGCTTATTCTGTGCAAGATTCGGAAGAGACCCGATACTCGATGCAGGGAAGTTCAAGGACACTGTTATCACCATCCTGGTTCCACAATGCATTCAGATACTCCATGGTGAATGAGGACGACCTCGAACCAGATGCACCAATGCAGGTGCCAAGGATGCGTCGAGAGCTGGATCGTCGGAGGCGCTCCCTTTGGATCTGGCGTTCTGTTGCGGCTCTCTTTGCAATCATACTGCTCGTGGTTGAGGTCAAGAATTATGGCATGCTAGCAACAGCCGATGTTACTTCTAGCACTGTTCACGACGTGCATATGCAGTGCGGTGACACGACACGGTCTGCTATCGCACGAGGCTGCCAATTTCATCCGCTAAGTAATCGTTGGCTTCCCGGAAGGTGCCGCATAGATCGATCTGAGGCCGCAATCGCCTCGGCATTGAATACCGACTTGGAAGAGAACCAACCGTTCAAAGTGTGGCTTGATCCAGCCGGGAAAACGGAAATCACAGATGTAAGCGAGATGATTATTGCACCTCTTCTCACGTGTTTGACGACTAAATCTTGGACTTCTTGCTGCAGTGGAGCAAACTCGAGATTGGAACTCTAGTATGGACAACACAGCGTCATCACATCTCCCATTGCCTGAACAGTCTTGCGCAAACAGCCGCGCTTTTGAAGTTTGGTGAAGCAGGGGAGATGGCGGATGAGTCTGCAAGGGATTGGGAGCATACAGAATATTGCTTACAGAGCATTCTTACTGCAGCTAGTGCTCTTGAGGGATGGGATCAGATCAATAGCTTCTTCCCGATTAAGGCTGGTGCTTGTTGGTGAAGCTGCGAGGGCAGACAAGCTCACGATTTGCAGACTGCATGTACACAGGTACCTGGGAGAATGTATCATATTTGCCTAGCAATAAAACATGGCCCCTCAAGGTTGAAAAAGAGAGTTAAGTATTGAAGGGAAACACGGAAGACGATATCACTTGCAACAGCTCCCATAGAATAATGCCAGCTCACATACATTGCATTCAATTGAGTCTCTAAACAAGATTTACAAGTACAACTGTGCCTAAAGATGATATAAATGACATCATTCGTAAAGATGGAAGGGCTCGACAGCAGCGCCATTTGACCTGCTTAGCAGGCTGTCTTGCTGCTTTAATAGGGCATGGTTCAAAGTATCCGGTCGGATCACACCGGAATTTAGGAGGCCAAGCTCACAGGGTTACGTCAAGCCCAAAACTGCGTAAAGTACATAGGGTTGAGTCTAGTTAAACCTCGACTCAGTCTGTACTGTACATTGTTCGAGCTACGCTACCAACTTCACACGTTTCAAGTGCATAGCCGCAGAATGTGCAGATCATTTCATCTGTTATCGGTAGTGATCGCGCTGGCGACGATTGTATCACCTCACTCTCTTCACAACTTTGGGGAAAATACACGTTCTATCAGCCATTGCAAAACACAATTGAGGGGCCCTGGGCAGCAAGATCACGCGAGCAAACGTCGAGCGGAGAGAGTCGCTCACCTGAAGAGAGACTTGATCAACACTCAACAGGGTCATCGCAATGTCCGAAATCGAGACCTAAGTGATATACTGCACCATAACCACGAATTCACGCGCGAAGCCTTGAGAGAAAATGGAGATGACGTACTCTTGTTTGCAGATCACACATCCTACACACTCCAGGGAGAGATGATCGAGGGCCCCTATTATGTGAACGGGGAGCTTGTTCGGAGCAACATATCTCAGGGCCAAGAAGGAGTACCACTTTTCCTTGATATTCAGCTCATCGACACGTCCACATGCCATCCAATAGCGGATGCATTCGTGGATATATGGCAGGCAAACGCGACTGGAGTGTACAGCGGGGTGGTTGGCCTAGATAATGGCAACTTCGAGGACAAGTCGAACGTCAATACAAACTTTCTCAGAGGTATTCAACAAACAAATTCCAACGGCGTTGTCCAGTTTCAGACGATTTTCCCGGGACACTACGAAGGTATGCATGTCACACGTGCTCAAGTTCCGCCACTTGGCACTGTTCTCCGCGACTTCATATTATCCTCTGTGATCTTTGTGTGGCGCCTGATCTAACAAAATTCATCCAGGACGGACGACTCATATCCACCTTCTGGTGCACAACATTGCGTCGACAATAGTTCGTTCTAACAATACCATCGAGAGCTCGGATACTGAACAAGAACCAAGAGCTGTGCACGCCTCGCACGTCGGACAGCTGTTCTTCGACGCTTCACTGATTGGACAAGTCGAAGCTCGGTACCCTTACAGCGCAAACAGCCAACATCTAATCCTTAACTCGGAAGACGCCGTTCTTATCAAAGAGGCAGACAACTCGGACCCTCTGGTCCAGTACGTGTTTTTGGGCAAGACCGTGCAGGAAGGTATCTTTGCATGGATCACTCTGGGAATTGACCCAGAAATGGATATCGGGTTGAAGAGTTCTGCGTCGTGGTACGATGGTTTTGGTAAGCAGTGGCGCAAGCTCTGGTACTGAATCATAGTAGCATTCTCGGGCGATAGGGATAGATTGAAGAATGCGAAAAGTATTTGATCGCATTGCGTATATAGTATCTACATTCCTTCCAAGTACTTACTGTAATCTTGGAAATCTGGAAAAGTAATTTCTGGCCAAATACTCTCTCACAGTGTTCTTGCGATCTTCAACACTCCCATTAGCGCCAATCAGTTCAGGATACGTGTACTTAAATACCGACATATCCCAAACCTGCCGCGAGGTCCACATATGGCCCTGGTCATCTGACCGAAAAGGAGCTAGGTCTAGTCCTGAGCTGTCAGAAAAAGCGTCGATACTGGTTTCTGAAGGGCAAACTTGCCTGTATCTAATGTATCGACTGATCCTATCTGGGTAACATATGACCCGTAAATGTTCTCTTCGGGCTCAAAGCGGCTGTCTGGGTGAAGAACTTGCCATAACGCGAAGAGACGATCGAGATTTCTGCTTGAGAGTCAGAGTTGTCTCCTAGTTGGGACTTCTTTATGAGGAGAAAAAATAGCGGGTTGCGGGAGTCTGCGGCCATGAATTCTCTCTGGACGTACACGTGATGTAGGTAGAACAGCGGGTCAAAGGCCGACAGTTCAGTCTGTTTGATATGGCTCAGGTTACCTCCAACAGCATTATGGATAGTGTTATGCAGCAATTCTATGTTCTGGTACGGGTTCGAAGTATGCGGTCTGATGCATGCGAAATCGTTGTAGTGCGAGACGTAATTGAACACGCTGAAAGTTGTGGCAAGAACGCTAGTCTTGGATATTAGGCCACAAACACTCACGAAGTTCTCCGGATTTCTGCCTCGGAAATTGTGCTTACAGTGGTGCTCTTGCCCCAAGGGCTTCGTTCGCTAATGTGTGGTTACTCGTTTGCGATTCTTTGTCGAACCATCGTACTGTCCACGGCAGCTTTCCAATCTATCAGACTAGGTGTCAAGAGAAATTCCGCACGTGCATACAAGTCCTGAAGCAAAAGTTCACTTACTGGGGAATCATCGGGGAGACTGTTCCCCTCCGGTCCAGGATGAAATGTGTAATTGTAAAGAGGATTCTGAGTATACTGCCATCCTTTTGGTGACCGGACACGTATTTCAGGTGTTGTGGCTACCAAGGGCAACCGAGGATGCTCGATCCAATCCCAGTATGGAATTCTCAAATTCTTTGCCGCGTCTTCGTATGAATGCCTGTCTTCAGAAGGATACTTTTTCGCTATCTCATAGGCGGTGTCCTGAATCACTTGCTACGCCATCAAATCGGTCAGCTTGAATGTTGCTCCATGCCGATGTTCTGTCCTCCATTAAACAAACCTCGAAAAGAGCCATGTACACGCGGTGCCAGGTTGGAAATGTCACGGACTCATGAGTGCAATAGCCGGGATAGGTCCCATTGCCTTCCACCCCGTTCCAAGGCATAACTGGATACCCATGAATGCCTAATTCGATTCTGAAAGCTTAGATCACATATTCAGTTGATACTTCAAATGGCAAAATCCAACTCACCAGCGATCTGAAAATATGACAGAGGGTCATTCTGCTCTCGAGCCTGCAAGGCTTGTAGAGCTAGAATAAAGAGGTCGAACGGTGGCCCTGATTGAGCAAAGTGGTCGATTTCTCGTCTGACTGGATACCCAATCACCTGCGCATCATCTTGTATTCCTGATGCGCCTGTCACAATGGTCATGCTTTGACTTAGCGCACATAGTACCAGGAATAATGTAACCAGTGGCACAATCGTGATAGACATGCCTAACGATCAACTGTCATAGCTCATGCGCACCGATGAATCGAAGACCTAGGTCACGGGAGGATTGCAGTGCTAATCTCAAAGTCCCAGGAGTGTGCTGGGTAAGAACAAGGCACTATCAAGCCAGCCGATATTTAAGGTTTCGGACCCACATAAATTAATGCTGTGACATTTGAATTCCGGCTTTCGTCAATCTCTGCGCCATGAACCCGGTACGGAAACCTCCTTAAGCAAGACACGTCGATCCGGCTAAGCGCGTACATTGCGTATAGATATCTTTGTATTGGAGTCTTCCGGTGCCCTTTCTTGAATGTTTCCTCTATCGTAGTAGGATAGTACTTTCGAAGGGGATCAAATTCATCAGCAGTCATGGACTGCGTTGGGCGAGTAATGATTGGCCCTAAGACTCGCCTTTGCTACATGTTTGCAACCAACCACTGTTTAGATCTGGAATATTGATGCAATTCATTCCCGGCAATCGAGATCAGAGACAACTCATATTTTGAGGGTCGTGTGCATGCCTAACTTTCTTCCAAACTTAATATTTGATGCTCAATTAAAGACGATTATTTTAGCCACTGAAAACGTCATGAACCGTGTCGCCCATCTTCCATGGCACAGAATTTAGAGGCTCCTTCTCTGATTTGAGCACCATCTCCCACAAGCGATCAGTACTTCGACATTGATGCTCGTATCCGGCACCGTTCACAGACCAACTTGTTTGTATCCCATTGCCGTTGAATTGACGTGATGGAGGTTCCAATGTACCATCCCCACCGCAGGTCATTACCTTTTGCTCTATACGTTACTTGACTAGTCCTGGATCACAGCGTCGCCGGATCAGATTGGGCAGAGTAGTAAGAGACATACCTGGTACAAATAGGAAAGACAGTGAGTCGCATGCTTGGTGTCACTACCGCCGTGATGATGGCTGTCGCCGTGATCCGAGTGATCTTCCCGGCGCCGCTCAACGAATGCATCTTTTTGTTCGTGAAGTGCTGCAGTCTTGAAGATTTCTCTGATCATCTGCAAGCAATGAATGGCGTGGAACATTGTAATTCCCCAGCCTTCCATATCCACAGCGCCGTCTTCCTGATGTGAATTGTTGGTTTTTGCCCAAATCATACCCCCATTTGGAGGGAGCACGCGAGAGTTCCAAATTTCGTCGCCTTTGGGCCCGAGATCTTGTAAGTCTCTCAAATGCTGGAAGTTAACTTTGAGTATGGCTGGATCAGAGCCCACTGAGTCGAACAGAGGTCTTTCATGGCTGTCTCTGTCATTATGGCTCAACCACGAGGTGTATGTACCTACATAAGGCAACCAAGGCGCGACGTTGAAAACAATGAAAAAGATGGCCAAGAAGGCCGTGCCCCACGTGAGAAAGCGGGCGTAGTAGAAAAGATTGATCATATTCAAGTTTAAAGCTCTGACGAATGACGCAGCATCGAAAAAATTCCACTACCTGGTGCTGAATTGAAGAGCTATGGAAATCTGGATCATCGATCATTTGTGGTATCTTGAGACCTCGCAATCTGGAAAGCAGGGTCCGAAGGGCCCCTCCGGAAAGAGCTGTCCTGCTAATTTTTCACGAGTCAGCATGGGATGCCCCGATTCACAACTAAACGACGTCCGAAAACAGCAGTCCGGAACCCCATACACTCCGCACTTGAGCGACCCCACAAGGAAAAAGTAATCGCAATTTCCGATGCCGTCAGCCGGATGTCAGTCTTGCAGTACAGTAATTGTGGACTCAGATCTAGCACTCCATCAATAGTCGCTGTGAACATACCTGTCAAACTGGCTGAGCAGTTGGAGCTACCTGACTCTCACGGGCACATCGTGTCTCAAATCAACTTCACGTTCTCTCTGATTACATTGGCTTGTATCACCGTTATGGACATGGAGGAGGAGCGTCTGTTGCCAACTCACAGAGACGAGAAAAATGGGGTCTACAAAGCCAATGCGGCGGAAAGACGCTTATTTAGATACCTATTCAAGGACATACTGATATTTGTCTCTGTCTTTGCCAATATCTTTTTGCTAGCATATATCTTTATAGGCAGCGATATTCAGGATTGTGTAAAAGAAACGTCCGCTTACTGTAAGTTTGTCTATCACGCGACTTACGCAATCTTGGCTTGCATCACGATAGTTCTAATTAACAGAGAAAGCTCCATTATATGACAGATTTAAGATCACTCTATCTGAACACATGTCCGAAAATGCAACGCTACCATTGGAGTCCCTTCATTCCAAGTACAGAGGCTCTCCCAGCCCGGAAGTAGACTCTGCCTGGGAGCACATAACGACAACACACCTGTTTCCCTTGTCGCGGGAAGAGGTCATCAAAATGGGCAAGGATCCAGACTACACGGTGCTCATGCCAGAAGAGTTCGGTTTCGGCGCTGGCATGCACGCGGGATTCATGGATGTTTTCCACAACATTCACTGCCTGGATTTCCTCAGAAGGGAGGCATACTCTGACTATTACGGTGCTTCTGCCAAGTCTCCACTGGGCAAGCAGCACCTCGACCACTGTGTAGAGATCTTACTAGAAGATTTTCTCTGTCGACCGAACATGGAGGTCATCACTTATAGGTTCGTCTTTCTTCTACTTGTCCTGGCATATTGGGCTACATATCATGAGTAGAAATCTTTGATTTAGTATCCTTCATGAAACAGCATGATCGCGACAATAGCTGACATTGAATAGGTGGATGGATCAGCATCCCATGCCGGTCCCGGATTTTGTTCAGAACAAAAAGTGCTGGGACTTCGAAAAGGTGATTGAGTGGAAGGAGACACATAGTCATATTAATGACAGAGGATACTATGAAGATTACTATGTCAAACTTCGGGATCAAGTCAAACAGACGCCCCTTACACCGGCGTGGGAGGAGTTGACTAAAGAGGAAGCACTATGGCTTGCCCACAACCCCAAGGATCATTCTGATTCTCATTCTCACTCTGATTAGCCTGTATTTGTTCTGGATATCAAAAAGGAGAACATTTCAAAAACAGATTGAATTTTTTCCGAAGTGATTGCGATGTATTTCACTCTCATTATGGGGGCTCACATAGTTGATTGCGTTACAAAAGCACTGTTAATTGCTGTAAAGTAACAGAAGCTCATATTATTACATTATACAAGGGCTATGAAAACATCATTTTACAGCTCCGGAAAGGAGGGGTATGAAGGCTAGATGTGTGAACAAGCATTGTTGTGCTAGCTAAATATAGAAACGAGATACGGTCGGCGGGCTATGTGCGTCCTATGGTGCCCACCGGCGACCGTAGGCCTGCCCATCAATTGTACTCGCCTACAGCTGTGCTGAATAGCTAGGGTGATTTGCCTTGATCGCTACACCATATCCCAGGTCAATCACCGCTATATATATAGAAGTAAAAGGTTCAAGCAAATTCTAAGAATACGTGACTTAAAGCTAGGCTGGAGTGGGGGACATGAGAACTTGAGGGGAAGCCCCCGCCACTCCCCCCTCAAAAAAGGCTATTCCTAAAAAGAAGCCTTGTCATTTTTTAAGATGTGAAGGAATAAGACGGCCTTGAGACTATAGTCTTGCATGCTTACCCGCAAAAGAGAATTTAGCGTGCGTGAAAGCCAGACAAAGTCGAGAAAGGAATCAAGCCGCTAATTACGGCTGAAGCTGATAAGAAAAGGAGTGATGAGTATGACTGCAGCCCATTTGATTCCCAGCCGAGGAGCAAACCTGTATAAGTCACGTGGCCCCCTTAAAGTGAACGCAGTGCCTAGGGTGAAGGTGATATGGTGACATGTTCAATTCTTATACCTAAGTGGGAGCGAACGAAGTGCTAAAGGCTTATTGGCTATATACAGATATACATGTCCTAGAGTCACACCCAACCATTCCCACTCCTACCTTGCGATATAGGGAGAGGGACAGAGGTCTCGTGGCGCAAAAGTGATGGGCAAGAAGCAATCAGGCCGTTCCGAATTGCACCTCCGTCTCGAAGCCGGTATAGCTAAAGCCGGTGAACTCGGCGCCAATGTCGTTGCTGCTGCCATCGAGGGTCTGGTACAGCACGTAGACCTGGTAGTCGTGCAGAAAGGACGAGCTGTTAGAAAGGGAGAGCGACAGGTTGGCCCTGGCGATGGCTTCGTCCAACTGGTCGAAAACGGTCTGGTTGACCCACTCCTGGGTAGACGGGACGTCGGCGCCGTCGGTGCTGATAGTCACATTGTCCAGCCGGGCTTGGACCTGGGTGACGGCCCTTTCCAGGAAGGAGCGCGAGTTGCTGCCGCTCGTCATGCCGATGGGGGCGCCGGTCTCGGTGGTGTTGGTGACGGGCACGAGCCAGAGGCTGACGTTGAGGCCGAGGGCCGAGTCGTTGGTAAACTGGAAGTACTTTTGGGCATCAGTGAACTCGCCGGGCCGGTTGGAGATGAACAGGTTGTCGCGGGAGAAGCGCAGGGCGTCTTCGTAGACGACGCCGTCGATGTTGTAGGAGGTGTGGTCCGCGCCGTCGACGAAGAGGCCGTTGACCTCCTGTGCGCGCTTCATGGCCCAGCCGGTAGGGCTGTACCAGAAGAGGGCGACGTCGCCAGTCGCAATAGTGGTGTCGAAGTTGGCGGCAAGGATAAGCGGGCCGGCGGCGTCGAAATAGTCGCCGTCGAAGATAGTGCCTTCGTAGGGCGTCTTATTAGCAGCGTCTATGTTGCCGCGGTAGACCGAGTAGGTGCCGTTGGCGTTCTCAGTGACGGTGTCGACCGTGACTCCCTCGAGGTAATCGGCATCGATGAGGTCGGTGTAGCCGTCACCGTTAGTGTCCCAGAAACGCACCATGTGGCCGGCGATGAGGCCTGTCACGACAGAGAGTGCGGCGGCGTCGTAGCTGTCGGCCTCGGTTTCAGCCTCGTAGCCGCCCCACCAGCTCGCAGTGGTGGCGTTATAATACAGCCAGGGCACCTGATTGACCAGATAGCCGTCGGTCAGGCACTGGCTGACGTTCCGAAAGGCGGCCTCGGTGCCCGGGATGGCCCACAGGTTGATGTAGAACTGGCTGGCGGCGATGACGGCCTCCACGCCCTCGAGAGCGCTCCCCTGCTCAAAGTACTGGTCGTACTCGGCGGCGGTGACGTTGGCGGCGTCGCTGCCCATGTTGAGCACGACTGTGCGAAGTAGCGTGCCGCTGATTTCGTTGGCCGGGTAGGCGCTGCTGCAGGCGGCGAGGCCAGTGGCGGGCAGCATCGCTAGGACCGAGGCGTCGGCGAATCTCATGCTGGCGACGGCTTGGGGAGTAAAATGAGCGGAGGAGAAGCGAAATGGTAAAAAAAAGAGCGGCAGGTGAAAAGAGCGTTGGTCAAGAAATGTAACGAGTGCGAAGTCGTCGTCGCTGCTTGCCCGGCCCGACTCAACCCTCAGGACAGCAGAGGCATGCTTGATACTTGGCCTCCTTCGTCGTTGCCGACGACGATACCAGATGTTCGGAAGTCCGAGACGGGCGAGCCGGCAGGGCAGGCGTGCGGAAATGACTATAGACAGGGAGCATTGGGTTTGCGTCACCCCGTCCCCACCCTATGTCCCGGTGGCATAAGTATATTACACGGGTGCTACGCAGTCTCGGCCGAGGTGTCTCGGCCGGCGCGATGTCGTGCCTTGCGGCGGCGTCTTGCGGTGGAGTTGATAAAATGGATCTCTCGGGCCGCACGAATCATCATTTTCTGTAGGTCAATCAATCGGAGTACTGCGGGAGTCTTCCCAGTTAGTCGATTCTCGATTCGCGTGGAGAGACGGGCCAAAAACGTCATAATCTACCGACCCGGCCTGTGAAATCGCTTCTGAAGGTAGTTCTAGGGGATGTGCCATGCATTTGACTGTTCTAAAATCAGCCCGAATAACAGTTCCCTCTTGATTAGATGTTGAATGCGGGATAGTGGAGAGGTAGTTGTGTTATAGCAGATGAGGTCTACAGAAATGCCGCATTCGTGCAGTCCGAGTAGTTGGGGGTTGTCTATCTGGGACGTGCCGGGTGGGGCTTTTGATGTAACACGAGTTCCTAGGGGGAAAACACCCATTTTTAGGTGATGACGGTGTATACTTCTGGGGTCGGTATACGACTTATCCCGCTTGTCGTTTTAGGGGGCTCGGTGTTTTGCCTTGGTGAAAATCCGCGTTGTACGGAAAGGTAGCTAGGCATGCTGAGAAACTCTCTCGCGTTCCCTTCTGGCATAATGAACCTTACGTGCTGTTGTAATTATTGCTTACTTAGACGATCCCACTAAGTACCAAGCAAGCATAATCAAAGGCACCTCCAAATACCACAATGACACTTGCCCAGGATACAAGCTGCTATGAAATGTGGTTGCTATGCATCACTTACAAGCAGGAGCATTGCCCCGTGCACATATACCCACATTACGCACGCCACGCACGCCACGCACGCCACGCACGCCACGCATGCCAACCCGGGTAGGAATACAACGGTGTCCAGCTGAAGAACCTCTAGTAGCTCGGCCACATCAGCGCTACCTGTACCCTTCATAATGTATAGACGTCGAAGGGCCAGATACTTTGTTTATTGGTTACGACTTCCCTACATCCCGGGTTTAGAACAAGACTAATAGTGGTCTGAGGAAATCAAGGCGTTTCCTCAGTCTGGGGCACGGCTGGAGTCTCGGCTGGAACGTATCGGGTGCCGGTGACAACACTGTTCGCCATCAAGATGAGTTTTCGTTCATACTAAGATCCTCGCGCAGCGAGATGGTAAACTCGGGATCATTGGTGGAAGTAAGGACTTAACAGCGACGTATCGTCGAGGCAGATATCGCGTCTCGGGAGTCGCACACTGGGACTACACTCGGCTCTGAAACAATTTCCAAAGATCTCTCTACCTCGAAACTGCCGTTGTTTGTCTCGCAGAGGGATTTGGGAGCACGGGGCGAGAAGTTCAGAACGGAGGAGCGCGCAGCTAAGCCGTAAACTTTCTCTGAAGGCTTTCATATCCTACTACTCAAGGGCACCAGGGGGCCTCCGCAAGCAATTTGAGGGAAGTCAGCAGCAATCCATTTGATAGCTATAACATATGTTAGGAGGTTCAAAGGGGTGCATCGGTTGTCTCCGGAACGTGCTATGCGGCGGCGAGAGTACGTGGAAGGCGGCACTGGGTGCTGTGCAAGCTGGAAATTCCCGTAAGAAGCGGACCGGGCCGTATGAGAGGACCACTATTCCAAGATCAAGAGGCAGGCTACGTGCTGCGGGCATGCCGTGTTAATTTTGACTCCCAACTGTCTGTCCTTCAGACGCCGTTTGTATCTCCCTAATCCCACGAATAAAGGCTGTTCGTTGCACTTCCCTCCAGCTCGCTCAGAACATTTTTCATCAGTATTTGACACAACTAAGACACTCAACCCAAGCGAGAGAGAATGGATCACATGCAACGGAAGAAGAAGAGAATGAAGTCCAAGCCTAAGCCTTCAGAGGCTGTCAAGGCGCCAAATTCTCCCGATCTCCCTGATGCGACAATGCTAGCAATAATACTGATGATGACACTCCGCATACCTCGCCCTCGTTCGAGATAGACACGCTCGGTTAGTCTGATTTTTGTTTTCTCGAATTCTATTTTGTCCCTCCCCAGATGGTGTTAGAGTCTAGGTAGAATGCATGTCTGCCATCATCTACTTCTTAAGTACGCGCCTGTCTACCTACGTGTTTCGTCTAATACTTGTCTTCCTACCGTAATTGCGCGCGAGTCGTAGCCGCGGCGGCCAACGGCCCTCTTCAACACCAGCTAAACACGGCAATGACCGGCCGTCACGGCAGCTCTGTTGCACTCTAGCCCTAACCCTGAGTGAACGGAAAATTGCTGACTCATCAAGTCAACACGCTATCTTATTTTCCAGAACATGGTGGGCCAGTACCTGTCGAGCAGCCCCAAGATCTTAGCTTTGTGCAACGCGTCTCGCCTCCTCATCCCGTCTGCAGCCCGTCTTATTCCATCGCGCATCCATCCGTCACCTATGGCGGCCTGATTTATTGGCCGGGCCTCCATTTCAGGCTCACTGTTGCGACCAGAAAACATGGCCCGAGAGCAATTGTGGCACATGGACGCATCAGAGGCAGCCTGAAGTCTGACCCGACCTGCCACGCTTGCCAGTCTCGAGTTTGTCCGCCACAAGACAAGAGTACGCAAGCCACGCCACTCCAGGCTTGTGGCACCAAATCAGATCAAATCAATCATGCAAGTGCATGTACGGTAAATGCCAGCACCGAGCGAGGCAGCCAGATTGACAAGCTCGACAAGGTCCTTGCTCGGGCACAGCCGCGTGGGTGGCGACTTTTTTTCTGCACGCGCTTTCGGTACGCTGCGGTACGCTGCGGCACGCTGCGGCACGCTGTCTCGCTCTTCTCCAGTATTCCAGCCCCTCCTGGCGGGCGTGCCAAGGCGATGACGCAGCTCCTCACCCACGGCAGGGTTCCCTCCAGAGACTGAGAGCATAGCCCTCTTCGAGCCCTCTTCTCACTATGGGGAACCAGTCACATGCCACCATTTCAGCCTTCAGGCGGGCTTCTTCTCCAGTCGGACAGTGGCTCTGCTCGTTAGCTCTGTCACTTGGCTATGGACCCTTGGATCTAGGTGGGGCCTGTCTTATTCTGCATCAATCCCTCCGGCCCTGTGGTCAAGCTTAAAACAAGCTGCCTCTGATGCATGCATCTTCCTGCTTGCTCGACCCCCAACGACGTGGCAAGTGGAACCTCTGCTTTAAGAAACGCCCGTCATACCCTGCCTACTCTTCCTAGGCTGTTGTCTTACTTTCTGACCCCATTTCTCTCACTTGTTCACTTCTTGTTTCCTTCTACGTTCACCCAACGCAATCCGCGTCCTCTTGCCAACGCTGTCCCTCTTTGATGAACCTCAGAATGGGATCAGTCGGCAGCATGGATCAACAATCCGCACTAGATTCCGCCCTCGACACCCAGGGCCTCGCCGACGAGCAGCGCGGCCTCCTCGAGCTCATCGACAAGCTGCAGTTCGCACAGCTTGACAATGTCAAGCTGCCGCAAATATGTGTCGTCGGCGACCAGTCTGCCGGCAAATCCTCCGTCCTCGAGGCCATCACAGGCACCCCGTTTCCTCGAGATGCAGGCGCATGCACCAGATTCGCGACCGAGATCCGCCTGCGACGGGCGCCCGAGACCAGCTTGAACGTTTCTATCATCCCGGACAAGAACCGAGACCTCAAGGCACAAGAGGCCCTGCGAAGTTTTGGAGGCAATGTGGACAGCAACATGAGCTTCGAGCAGCTCATGAGATATGCCGTGGACCTCATTGCGCCCAAGAACATACCCGGCCGCTTCGCTGCGCGGGACATCCTCGTCGTTGAGAAGCGGGGCCCTGACATGCCTCTGCTGACGCTGGTGGATCTTCCTGGTCTTGTGCGCGTGGCGAATCGGGACCAATCCATGGATGACATTAAAACCATCGACTCTCTGTGCGAGCGCTACATGAAGAGCTCGCGCACGATTATTCTCGCGGTAGTCGGTGGCAACAGCGATTATGTCCAGGCTCCGATCCTCAACAAGGCGAGACAATTTGACCCCACAGGTTCCCGCACCATCGGCGTCCTGACGAAGCCCGATCTTACCGAATCTATTGGTCTTGAAGACAAGTTTATCGAGCTTGTTAACAACAATGATAAGGCAAACTATTTTCAACTCGGCTGGTATGTTCTCCTCAACCCTGGACCACGTGACGCCGGACAGCCCTGGCCTACGGGTCGTGAGCGCCGCCAGAGGGAAGAGGAGTTCTTCGGCCGGGGTAAATGGCGCTCGCTGCCAGAGTCAATGTGTGGCGCCGATGCGCTCAAGCAGAAATTGAGCGTCCAACTTCAGCGACACATCGGTCGTCACGTAAAGACGCTGCGCCGACAGATCCAGAAGGCTCTGGACGACACGGAGGCGGAGCTCAAGTCGATGGGCGAGGGCAAGGACACGCCAGAAGAGATGCGAATAGAACTCGTGGAGCTCTTCAGCGCCTCCAAGGAGCTCGTCATCCCTGCTGTCTACGGTTTCTACAAGAACCCACCTGGCAAGACATTCTTCCGGTCTACCGCTGACCCACGAGGAACACCGGCGCAGAACCTGCGCGCAAGGGCGGCCGAGGAGAACGACGCTTTCAGCAACCGGGTTAGGGAACATGGCCGCAAATTCGGCTTTTCGCATGCACCAGCAGGTGGAAGGGACTTGTCAGAAGAGCAGAAGCAGAACTATGTCCGACAAGAGGTACAGATGCTCCTCAGCCAGATTCGTGGTTCCGAATTCCCCGGTGACGCCAAGCCCCGAGCTGTGTACATGCTCTTCCAAAGTTACTCCGAGTACTGGCCCAGGTTAGCGCAGGAGCACAAGGATAACCTCGGCGTCGTCTGCAACGAATTCCTGTCCGAGCTGATCGACTATTCATGGCCGAGACGGATGCGCGAGCCCCTCAGGCGCGAGTTCTTGGATGTTCAACTAAAGCAGCTCATGGACAAGGCGCAGAAGGAGCTCGAGCTGCTTTCGCAGGACATGCACCTTGAGGTCCAGCCATACGACCCAGAATACGAAGAGAAGCTCCGCGCATGGCAGGCTAAGTCGCTCAGCGAGGAAGGCGCGCCGCAATGGTCCGAGGCGCAGGAGGTACTAGAGAAGATGTTGATTTACTACGAGTTGTCAGCAAAGTCCTTCATCCGAAACACGATCGTCCAAGTTATCGAGCGACACCTGCTGCAGGGAATGTACTCCGTCTTCGAGTCCCTGCACGTACTCAAGATGTCCGAGGAGACCATCCTCGCCATCGCGGCCGAGAACAAGCAGACCCGCGAGCGCAGGATGCTCCTCAAGAGCCGGCGGCAGGCGATCGAGGAGGCCAAGGATATCTGTGCCAGCCTGGCCATGCGAAAGGAGCTGAGGGCGTATGCCAACGAGGCCGACGCCGAGGACGAGGAGACAAGCGACGAGGACGGTCCGCCCCGACGCCGACCAAGCAACAACAGACAGTCTAGCACCGCCGCACCGCCTCCCCCGCAGGCAAAGTCAAGAAAACCACCAGCGCCGCCGCAGCAAGCGAGCCGGCCCGAGGTCCACACCAACGGCATCCAGCCCGGATCGAACAACCCTTACGCCAACGGCATGAACGGCGAGCACTACACCTCGCACACACCGACACCGAGCAGCGGCAACAATAACAGGCGGACCGTAGAGATCGAGCCAGAGGAGGACTTTTATACGGCGCCCACGTCCGCACCTCCCCCGCCCCCTCCCCCGAGGCCCGACAAAGTGAGGCCGGGCTCGGCGAGGGACCAGCAGGATGATTTGTATAGCGCGGACAGTAGACGTGACTCTTCTTCAGGTACGCAACACCAGCGCAATGGCTCCAGAAACGCGGGAGGATACTCGCTGACGTCCTCGCAGCTCCGCGAGATGAATACAATGGGTACCCGGCGGTAGGCACCGCGCAGCAGGGCCGGAGGGGCGGGCAGATTCGCAAGATTTTGGGGAGGGTCTAAGACAGTAGATGTGTAGAAAGAGCTTTGATTCATGGGTCTGTTTGGTTTTCTCAGCGTTCTTATGACATTTTGGATTCTCTCCTGCTGTATGGTGCTGCGTTGGGATTCATTGGGATTGGGTTCAGGTCGGGTGGAGGGATCATTGGCTCTGTATTTCGGTATTGGGTTTTGGGATCCTGGCGATGGTAGGACGCCATTTGAAATCCATAGATTTTTTTAACCGACCTAGCGGCTGCTTATATGCAAAAGACATGGAGAGGGCTTTAGTTCTCGACGGAAGAGTCCACTCATGTGTCTATGATCCATGAAGTAGATAGAATGCTAGTATCCTTGAGTAAGAGTAGTAGCAATACCAACTCATTGTCCGATCCCTGCGCCCCCCCCGAATTTACATCCTTGAAGAAATAGCATTTCGAAGTGATAATCTACAGTTATCCAATAGCATCTCATGCGTAGTAATGCTCGCGGGACACACCACCAACTCAGCTGCGATGCACCGACAACCCAGTCTCTCTATATTCTGAATGCACTGCTCACACAACTATGAAGACCCAGATATCGGACGGGTAAGTAGGTCAACATAAAGATCAAAGAACCGCGCATTGTCGATCCCAAATACCACAGACGAGACGTTCAAGACCCCAAGCCCCGGGTACGGATCCTCCTCCCACACGAGGCCCTTCCCATACTCAGCACTAAAGTCACAATCCACATCGACATACAACTCCCGCACATCCGTGTCAAAACTCTCATCATAAAGCGACGCCAGCGCAACAGTATCATAAACATACGGCCACCGCTCAATCCCCTCAAACAGCCTCGTAACAGCCGTAGGCGGCGTGTGCCCCGCAACGGCATCATACGTCTCGTTCGAAATCGCCACCGTGTCCGTGACGTCCAGCCCAATGATTTTCCGCGCCGCGAACCCCCCAGCCCGCAGCACCACCCGCGCCGCCTCGGCGTCGAACCACCAGTTCGTCTCCCCCGCGCCCCGGTACGCGTTCCCGGGGACATACGCCTGCCCGCCCATGATGACAAGCCGCCGCACCAGCGGCACGATGTCCGGGGCTTGCGCTATCGCCAGCGCGATGTTGGTCAGCGGGCCCAGCGCGAGGAGCGATACCTCGTGCGGGTGCGCGCGCACCGTCTCGATGATGAAGTCCGCCGCGTGCTGTGGCCGCGCCGCCGTGGTGGTCGCGAAGCCGTCGGGCGGGGCGACTAGGGGCTGCGGGCCTGGGTGCGTGTAGGCGCCGATGTAGCGTGTTGCGTTGCCGAATGCGGCGCGTTCTAGCTGGTAGGCTGGGTAGGTGTGCAGGATTGGTGCTGGGGCGCCGGCGTACACGCCGACTGTGTCTGCGATGCCCATGCGCTCGACGGCTTTGAGGGCGTCGGACACGCCTTGGTTTAGCCATTGGTTGCCTGTTACTATGCTTATGCCGAGGAGGTCTAATTCCCCTGCGCTGTGCAGCTGGGCTGCCATTGCGAAGGCTTGGCCATCGTCGCCGATTGTGTTGAAGTCTGTGTCGAATATTACTTCGGGTGGAGAATTGGTGTTGTTTTTGTTGTGGGTTGTGTGTGGGCTTGCTGTGGCGGCGAGGGGGAACAGGCCCACGGCAAGGAATGGTGAGGCCTTCATGATGGCATTGAATGGGTGCCCAAATGGTGACAATCTACGTGAAGAATATGCACAATATTTTCAAGCCCGTCCCGAATTCCAGATTTCATTTGTCGTATCGGCGTGATCGGCGAGATTCCCCCTCCTGGTCCACGTTGGAAGGGTGTGGACTCACCTCGCCAGCCTTTCTTGACTCGTTTACGCTGTCTGTAGGAGGGATGCACTCGGCGGCGTAGCATGCTGTAAATGACCTAGTGTTAATGACGTATCCTCCCTGTTGAAGAACATATAACAAGACTATAGGCTGAGCATGCAGCGGCTTATCATGCCCCGCTTTCCTTCCCATCTGCTGGTGCTGTTCCTTTTTTTGATCAAAAGTGGTTGTCATGCATTTCCAAGGTAACTAGGTAGTCTCGGATGCGGCCGGGCGTGCAAGGGGGCAGTCTGAATGCTCACGCGAAAAATGTATAATCACTGCTACTTTTTTTTCAGTAAAGATGTCCCTACATTTGCAAAGTCATCTCTAGAAAAATTGGCCTCACAAAGCTGGATTGAGAAGAACATAAACAGTTGCTGAAGCTGTGTCATCTTTCTGCCACTGATAAGAAAGCGGCGAGTGATCTCTTGGCATGCTCGAGGACCGTGTTTGGGAGTGTGAGAGCTTGACCTGTTTCCTATGGCTTCACTGAAATTTCTATTTGCGTATAGAACGATTTCCTTGTACGAAGATATCGTAGAGACTGATGATATGCCGAGCGCCCGGCTTGCGAGTTTTTCTTTTGGTGGCGCCGAATATGAGCTACCTTGAATCATGATATGACAATTGGGCTTGCTAGCCTTATACTCATTGTTGGCGATGCTTCTGTTCATCTAACTTTTACTTCGACACGTCGCCGAGATTGAAGATGACACTGTGAGACTCTGTTTCTATACATATGTGCTATCTCTATGAGTGTCCCAGCCATTGACTGATTAATTCTATACTTCAGTCCGACCGCTCGCCTGCTTTCCATTATTCATGCACTGTTGTGTTTTTTACAATCTTCCAATATGGTTTGTGGGACTCATCAGGAGCATCATTGCTTCTGCAGTGTCTCTTATGAATGACCTTCTCTCTCCGAGGAAGTCTTTCAAAGACATAGCCGCCGAGTCTTTCTTCACCATATATCCATTCAGAAGATATAACGGCCGTTTGTGGGTTAGTCAAATTGATCCGCGTCTTTGTGTGAGCGCATGATGTTCACTTTGAAACACATTAAACCTGTCGCTTCTAGCCATTTGATTTTTAATTCATAAAAATTGCACGGGAATACCAATTCCTCACGAGAAGCTACTGTTGTCAATACCATGGCTGCCAACGGTATGACGCTGCGAAGCGGCAGGGTTTTGGGCGCTGCTCCACCATCACCAGTGCCACCGCCGGCTGCGATCCAACCAGGACAATTCCCTCCGGGTTTGCCAGCTTTCAATACACTAATGGGACTACCGCCGGCAGTGCGCATGACAATTCTTGGAACTGTGTTCCAAGGGCAACCCAGGATGGATCTTGAAGATCTTTTAAGACCTCGAGACCTGGCCAGCTTCTGTTTAGTCTGCCAACAACTCAAGGCCGAGGCCACAGAAGCTTACTTTAGAGTCAGCCTCTTTGATGTCACAGTCCTCACCTCGGTCCACGATGTACAGTTCCTCCGGACGTCAGTCAATTGGGGGCAGCCGCCTACGCCCAACAGACCATTCTTGTATACCTTTCAGGAATTCCGTAGGCTCGCCGCACGTGCCCAGCCGCTTTCGCCATCCCGAGCCAGCCGAAGTTGGGGCAGGGCCTCCGTCTTGAGAGTGTCAGTATTGGTTTCTTTTATATGATTCAGACAAATTCGTTCACACATGAGAGATGTCACCTCAAAGTCCATAGTGAGAACTGATTTTTGAGAAACGTATAGCGCGAAGTGCTGGGGAGTTCCCCTGGGATACATGCTATCAGTGGGTGAAGGACGCCGGACCATTCATAAGGAACGTCAATTTCAACGTCATAACACCGCTCAGAGCCTACGAGCCAATGGTCAGCGTCGCCCGTCGAAACCAGCTCCAATGGAACTACCCAATCCACGGTCTATTCTCCGTGCAAGTATTGCCGGGTCCTGGGGCCAACGTGAGGACGGTGTGGTTTCCGCCCACGTACCCACCGGCCCCCGTGCCCGCCGGACTCATGCTCCCGCCGGCTGCGGTGGCCGGAATCCCGTACCCTTACTATCCTGCCAACTCCAGTGCCTTCGACGGACAGTGTCAGCGTGCAAACATCGAGGCTCGTAGGCTGCGACAGTCGTATCTGCCAGCGGTGCAACCACCTGGAGCGATGGGATTCACAGGCTTCACCCTTCTGGATTTGAGGTCAATAGCGAAGTCGTTTAGTGAACCGAGTATATACACTATACAGTACTGAAACAGTATCATGTAGCGAGATAGCTGTCAGGTACTTCACCAATTTCCCAGTCATATGGGACAGAGGACCTGGTCTCATCTAATTCAATGCTAGAGTAACTGCATCGTTTTGACGACTCGAGACAAGATCATCACTCCAACACTCCCCTGATCTTTTCGTTCGTCACATGGCCCTCTTGAGACAGCCGGGTCGTATCTGTCATCGAAGACAAAGTCCTGGAGAGGGAAAGATCTTGACGTGATCTTCGACGTCAGATGGTATTAAAAGGAACTTGCCTCTAGCGTTTCCTGATCCTACCGAAACAGAAGAGGTGGCACTGTTATCAGGACTTACCGACTAGATTTATGTAGCATCAACAGTGTCTGTGTGCAAGGCCGTAAGACCCTGCGACTCCTGTCTAGTCATTCGTACAGCACGACATTCTGTCCGCATCATGTGCTTTTGTCCAGTATTTCTCGCCTTTGCGTGCGATTGAGAGATTATGGCGAGCGCCCAAGTCAGAATAGCACCAGCTGATCTAACCTGGCACCGAGAGATATCACAGCACATTGGTCACAGGACCTTGCCAAGGGTTCTGCTGTGGCTTTGCTTGCACACTTAAATGCAGACGAGATTTACTGCTGCTGTGTCACTACTGTGCCACCGCTGCACCGCGGCGACCTGCCGCTTGCGCCACATATGGAGGGATTTTGTGTTCGAACGAATGAGAGCTAATGTGCCTGTGGTTTTTGGGCATGCACGCATTAGTATCAACAGCTGCGCCATGCTCTAAGGTAGGTACGGGTTACATAGCCACAGCAAGGCAGACAATGAGAGACGATGCGGGGTGTTCTCTAGTTGCCAGACACGATAGTCCCTCCTTCTCCCCCCTTCTCCCATTCGACAAACGGGAGAAGATTATTTTCAATGGGTTCACTGAAGTGCCCCGTCTTTTCAAGCAATTTCATTCAGAGACTCTAGCTGAACTTGACCAGCCCGACACCGTATCTGCCTTGTCATTGGCTTGTTAGCCCTGGTGTTCAGACATCATGGAGCCCCTCACTGCATTTGGGCTCGCTGCGTCTATCGTTCAATTCGTTAACTTCGCCACTACCCTGATCAAAAAGGGTTCGGAAATAAATGATTCGGTCGCAGGCTTGTCTCGAGACCTTGAAATTGACGAAACCTACGAGGACCTCAATCGATTCAGCTCGACACTTGAAGAAGGATGCAGCATAGAAATCAACACTGCGGATCCGGAGATTCGAGACAGTACCAGTTCACTAGCCACCCTGGCAAAGGCCTGCAAGTCCGATTGTAGCACCCTGTTGGAAATTATCCATAGTCTCAAGGTGCAAGGTGGCCCGAAACGTAGAGTCAAAAGTTTGAAGGCCGCGTTCGCAGCGATGCGGAAGGAAGACGTGATAAACCAGTTGAAGGAGCGCTTAACCAGGACCGAGACCCAGATTACAGTCCATCTGTGTCGCATATCCAAGTAAGCACTTTTGATGCCCAACACTTCGATTAGAAACCGGCTTACCAACCATATAGGCATCATCTCGAGCGTCACACAAGACTCTTGGAACACTTGGCGGGGCGAGCCTATGCTCTCGAGGTCGATCAAAGGGCCAGTTTCGACACACTGGCCATCAAATTGAACGAGATTAGGGCAGTCATCACGTCAAGATTTAAAATCATGCCGGATAATTCGGAAGTTGAGGCAATGCGTGATCAACTGACCGCTCTCGGCCTTGCAGAACGAGATATCACCCGAGAACAAGCAATTTTGAGCAGTCTATCTTTCGAGCATCGTTTGGATAGATACGAGGCAATAAGTCGGGCGTATAATGCGACTTTATCTTCGATATTCCACCCGGATGGTTTGCCCAGCCAAGGGGAAAGACTACTTGAGTGGCTCAGATGTGGGCAAGGGATCTTCTGGGTCACCGGTAAACCCGGATCTGGAAAGTCTACCCTTATGAGGTTTCTTGCAGACAACTCTCAAACACACACACTGCTTTGGCGGAATGGGCGGGCAGTGAACCTGTCTTTATATCGAGCCATTACTTCTGGTGTTCTGGAAACTCTTTGCAAAAGTCCCAGGAGGGTCTGTTTCGCACCTTATTGCATGGCGTCTTTCAGCGATGCCCGAGTTTGATACAAGAATTATGCCCTGATCGATGGGAAACGTCTGGAGAAGGACAAGGGGCCCAGAAAGATCATTGGCCACTCGATGAGCTACTTACCGTATTCTCATCCATCACTACCCCTCCTGAACTAGCGGTCAAGTTTCTCATCTGCATTGATGGGCTTGATGAGTATCGAGGGGACCATGTCGAAATTTGCACCACCTTGAGTGAAATTGGATTGGCTTCTGATGACATCAAAATCTGCGTCTCTAGTCGACCATGGAACGACTTCCAAAAGGCATTTGGATCAGGTGATCCGCGTGCATGAGCTGACGGAAAACGACATCCGGAAATATACTCAAGCAAGGATTTTCAAGCATTGGGCTTGGGAATATTTATCAGAAGGCATTGAAAATACAGGCTCTATAGTGGATTTGATAACGCGGCGTGCAGAGGGCGTCTTCCTCTGGGTTTTCCTTGTCACCAAGGAAGTCAGGGAGGGCATGAGCAACCACGATAGCCTATCCGATCTCTACCGAAGGGTCAAGGGCTTCCCTCCGGACTTGGATCAATTCTTCAAGCACATTCTGTCATCGGTGGATCCTTTCTATGGACCAAAAATGTCATCCGCATTGCAAACCGCTGTGGCAGTCGAAGAGCCCCTGGAGCTGTCAATTTACGACTTTCAAGAACAAGAGTTCGACAACCCAAATTATGCATTAGATCTGGCTATAAAACACTCTCGCAAGGATTTTGTCGAAAAGCGCTTGAACGATATTGAAAAACGTCTGAATGGCTGGTGCAAAGGCTTACTGGAGGTTCACTATGATGATAAGGTCTATTTCCTCCACCGCACTGTCAGAGATTTCCTGAAGACCCGTGAGACGGGGTCTTTTCTAGAATGCAGATTACCAAAAGGTTTCTGTGTCGGCGTTTCAATTGTGAAAGCACACACTGCGTGGATCAAATCACGCACCTTCTTACCCAAACGCCGCTACGGCGACGACGAGACTCCTCGATGGAAAATGCCTTTGAGAAAGGTGCGTGGCCTTCTGAAAGCTGCTTCTCATCTTGAAGGGTACTCAGAAGCCACCTATGAGGTTGAATACGCCGTCTCAGCCCATATCGACGCATTCGAAGAAGCTATAGGCCAACACGAAACCGCGTCTGCTTCGAAATTTGGCTTGTTTCGTGATTCCCAGCAATCCGTTCGTCTTCTAAGGTCACGCATCTTCACATCCGGTCTGTCGTATTACCTGCACAAGAAATTGTCATAGACCTCGGACTACTTCGAAATTGTTACAGATCGACCGTTGGAAACGCTCCTGGACGCTTGGTGCGGCCAAGAAACAGCCTTAGGGGCGTCTCCTGGTTTTTCTGATACAGTATGCCGAGATACTTTGCGTGTCTCCTCGAGAACGGCGAGGATCTAAACGCCAATCTTTCCGATATGAGCCCAACCCCATTTCAAAAGCTTTTAGCTTTATGTAACACAGAGAAACTCGGCTCATTACAAGAAACATGGCCAATTATCCGTAATCGGATGATCTCACTATTTCTGGAGTTTGGAGCCATCCAACTGTGTTGGTATCTTATTCCACTAAAGGGCGCGAAAGGTTGGTAGGGCCTTGCCATTTTATGCTATCGCTCGCATTCAAGATTGGACCAGACACCATTGTTGAAAACGCATACCTGCTGGAGCTCGATTCGTTTTTGGAGCATGGGGGGAGTCCCGAGTCGAAGGAAGTTTGGCCATCATCCGCTCCCTACCAACCGACTGTACTGGAATCTGGCCGTGAATTTTCTTTTCCAAATTGGGAACAGCGGATCATAATAGTCCCTTCAACACATCTTTGGTTTCTGAGGTCGCTAGCAGGCTCTTGCGACGGATCCAAGATCAAGCGGAGTTGGAAAAAGCATGGGCGGTCCTCCATTCGGCCCTACCAAGGGCGATCTGCCTACGAATGAGAGGAAAGGTAGCAGGAGACAAGAGGAAAATACACTGAGCATAGTACATGAGTATTTTCAATGGGCGTTTCAAGACCTGATAATCTAGATGGTAACCTAAGCATGATTCTACACTTCATGTCTACAGCGACTTTCGAACTCACACTTCAAGTACTCAAAAATCTCCTATGTTGAACAATTGCCATACTGAGAATTACTCTTATCACGATGATACGCCCATGAATGATAGATTTCAAATATGCATATTGAGCACGCCGCAAAACTATAGCTTACATAGGTATTATTTGTATTTCCCAAGAGCTTCTCAACTAACATTTTGACTTCGCTCTAGAAAGAATTTCTATCTGTGCATAGAGACGCAACATTAGTCTTGTAGTGGAGACCTATAGAGGCACCGCTCATAAGATATACGTGATCAAAGATTATTGAACGACCTTGTCTGCACAGGTCGCTAAGAGACAGGAAGGATAGCTGCCTTCCAAAGTGTCCCACGATTAGGTAAGCAGGACCGGGGCCTTTGGGGTGCAGGATACTTCGTTGCACGTAATTTGCTGATGAAACAAACATGCATCATGGAATTGGCTGTTGGCAGGCGGCAATGGATATCATGGGGACTGCCCAGCTTCCACTGCGGCTTAGATGCGAATGGTAATTGCAGGTGAGGAGGAGGTATTGCGCAGCATCAAATTGGTCAACAGAGCGAGTGGCGCATCTTCGTGGCTTCCTACATCTGTGCCGCGCCAAGGGCAAGTCTTTCAGACTCCGCGAATGATAAGAGACCGTGACAACCACACTGGGGCCTAATCGCATTAGTGCTGATAAGTGGGGTTCCTCGAGCGTGAAGTGCCCTTTGAAAAATGTGGATCCCGCAGCAATGTGTGGTTACACAACAGGAAAATGCCACAAAATGGGGCAATGTCTTCTGCCTCGTTTGCGGGAACGGATTGATGCCTTGCTGGGTTGCCTTGTGGTGAACCTTGGAAGTGTGCCATCTGGTCTGTACCCCAAGGAGCAGAATGCCAAGAGGTGGTCACGCATCTGCTTTTTGCGACAATGACGGATCGCTGATACATGTGCCAGCATACAAAATTCAGGCACCTCCTTCCAGCTCTTTACACAGAGCTCTTACGCAAATCGCTACCCAGAACCTTCAACAACAATTTAGAATGTGCACCTCTTACATGGCAAGCACGCTTGAGATTCTACAACTCACCACCTGAGCAGTTCGACACACCGTTTCGACTCTAACAATGGCGCTCAAACGAAAGGGAGATTCTTCTGAAATCCCGAGCATGTCGGGAGATTCAGAAGCCGTTTTACATGCGTCCGTTGGTAAGAATCCATGCTTTGCATTCGAGGCTCAAAAGCGAAGTGATATCTGTGATTTTCTTAGTTGCTTCTGACGATTGTTCAAAGCCCGCGAAATGCTCTTCGATAAGATCCTTGACCAGCTCGCCGCCAGCAGCCTCTTCAGCAACCCCACTTTTGCACCTACCATCTTCATCGTTTATGCGCATGACAACGAAAAAGAGGGAACCGCCTATGATGGATGTGTTCGGAAGATGATATCATGGTTGAAAAAGATCCATGCTCAAATACTGTCAGATCAATCGGCGCTCCCTCTTCTCCAACCCAGAATCGAGGGCACTGACGCCATCCGCAACATTCTTGCCAACCAACTCTGCCTGCTCCCACCGAGAACTGACGATGCTGGATTGCCGGCAATGACTAGCGTTAGTAAGGTCATTGTATGCGGCTCAGAGGTCCTTGAACGATACTATAACAACCCGGCCGCCTTGTCTTATATCGGAGACATCGTCGAGCTTTGCAATACTGGAGCTGATCAGTCAACGATGGCGCTAATCCGAGATCGCGTCGAGACTGAGAGTCGAAAAGACGACTTTCACCATGTCCTCACGGAGCTCGCGTTCCTAGAAGTCAGGACATCTCGCGTTTCTGAGATACATGGCATGGTGCCTGTTGTATTGAACCAAATCAACGCAGACGAAGCTCCTATGCAATACCTGCCGAGTTTCTACAACACAGATGTCAAACTCAAGTTGAAGTCTCCTGAGACAAGTTCACTACATAAGCTTTTCTTCAAGCTACTCGAACAGCTCTTCCCAGACGACAGAGACTTCATCAAACCTTTCAGAGACTGCTACGACTCGGTTTGCAGCAAGCTTCAGCTGGATGGCGAGGCGCCTGCGCGCCGGAGAGAATTTGACAACATCGTCAGTCTGCGTGTTACAGAAGCGTATCAAACCTTTTGGAGCCTCTTTTGCGTTGTTTTGAGAGACGGAAAGCTCCAGGCGTATGCCGGCAAACTCAGCGGCCAAGTGTCTCAAGTCCTTGAAATGACAAGCTTGTCGGCACAGCACCAGATCCTAAAGTGGCTGTCCCCTATTGCAGCTCCAGAGCAACACGGAAAATACCATGATTCGGGGACAAGCCGTATGCAAGGCACCTGCGACTGGGTAATCCAGGACGAGAAATTTTGTCGATGGTACGCTCACAAGGGCTCTGCACTTCTTTTCCTTTGTGGCAACAGTAAGTGCTCGAGACGTCTGTCAGCTTGATCACAGATATATGCTAATTAACGCAACTCCAAAGTGGGTACAGGAAAAACTCATTCTACATCGAGAGTTGTCGATTGGGTGGAGCAGGGTCTTTCAACAAATAGCAACGATGAAGCCTTCGCCTACTTCTATTGCAACAAGCAAGACCCAGCGCGCCGCGAGTCGAAAGAGATCTTGCGGAACATCATACGGCAATTGGCCACCGGACCATGGAAGGCAGCTGAGAAAAGTGGGACCATCCACAAAACGGTGTACAATTTGTGGAAGAAAAGCCAAGGGCAGGGAATAAGCTCGACCTTTGCTCAATGGGAAGCATGTCTGCTGGCGCTGATTGACACATATCCTAGGACCACTATCGTGCTTGACGCCCTTGACGAGTGTGAAAAGGAACAACGACGGGACTTGATCAACCTTTTGGTCACACTAGCAACGAGACACTCAAAGGACCAGCCGGTCAAAATATTTGTGTCGACGAGACCCGAGAAAGATATGCTCCGACACTTCGACAAATACCCCGCTATTCGCATGCAAGAAAAGCACAACACGGACGACATAGCAATCTTTGTGCGGACTCAAATTGCAGAACACCACAGATGGTCTAAGATGTCCGAACAGTTCCGGACCGATGTTATCGACACGCTTCTGGAGAAAAGCGGGGATATGTTCCTATTCGCATCACTTCAAATGGAGCACTTACTGCTTTGCAAAACTGAACCTGCGCTCAAAGCTCGCCTCGCGAAACTTCCAGACTCTTTGGAGAAGACTTACGAAGAGATATATCAAAGGGCAGCATCGGATCCTGATGAGAGGAATCTTTTGGACCGAGCGGTCCGGTGGGTTATGTGCTCGGCAAGGCCTCTGACTACCGATGAGTTGGTGCTTGCCATCTCCCAGGACTCAGATTCCGATGAAGTAATGCCACAGCGCCAAGATGTGGATGAAGAACTGATTCTGGAGTTGTGTCATAACCTTTTGTGCCTTGACGTTCTTGACGTCAGCCACGATGGTAGCATCGACGACAGGCTCAATGACGACGAAGGGAAGAGCCAGCCGGTGTGGCGGCTAGCACATCAAGCGGTGGCAGAATTCTTTGAAGGCAGCATCTGCTGCAATTATGATCTTGCTCACTTTGAAGTTGGGAAGGTGTGCCTGATGGTCCTGCTCGATACCTTCGGCAGGGAGTCTGCTCGGTCGCGAGATGGCCCCGATGACGTTTCTGAAACTAGCGAGGGCTATGTGTGCCCTTGCAGGAAAACCTCAACCCCAGTGACAGATCCTTATATGGCAAACGACCATTTGGAAATGAAAAACTCTCTTGCGGAATATGCAATCTATGCCTGGCCGACGCATGTGCGCGCACAAGAGCACCGTCAGGCCCATAGCATTGCTAGGCTGTCCCAGATACTACAGCAGTTCCTGGGTGAACCAGAAGAGAGCAGCCTGATCTATGACAGATGGCTCGAGCATACATTCCATAGACATTCGCTCAAATCTTGGTCTATTTTCTCGTGGCCAATGATGCCCCCCACCTGGGAAGGGGAGCCTAAGATGAACCCCATCAGCTTGGCATGTTACCTGGGCTTTTACACTACTTTGACGAAGTGGTGGGATCTTTTCAATTTTGACGAAAACGGTGGTTTTTCGGTCACCACCCCATATGAGTGGCAGCCAATTCGGACTATCCCCTCTTCGTGTCTGTTTCGACCACTGAAGCTGTCGCTCGTGGCGCTGGCTTGTATCCACGATGAGGTGAAGATTCTTCAGCGTCTTTTGGATCGAGGGGCCCATGTCAACACTATTGAAGAATACGAGCTGCCCCCAATCGTTGTCACGGCAGGGAACGACTCGGTAAATTCACTGGAGGAGTTGCTTCGACGTCGCACTGAAATGTGCTCACCATTCACGAGACGATACGGACACGTTGTGCATTTCGCCATCTACAGCAACTCGTTAAAGGTTTTGGAACTGCTGCTGGACCGATTTGTTGCGGGGCCGGGGGAGGTGGAAGAGACTTTGAAGGAATTCCGATGGACGGCTTCTATGTCGGCAGACACGATCACAATGCTCCTTGACAAGGGCATGGACGCGAATGTGCGTCTTGGAGAGGGATCTCTGCTGGCAGCGGCGGTAGTTACAGGGGCCGAGGACCTGGTCCGCCGGCTACTGGCAAATGGCGCGGATGTGAACGCCCAGTGGGAGGTCTTGGGATTCAGAAATGCTCTCGAAGCTTCCTTATCTCGGCACCGCGGTCCGTCCTGGCCCTGGGATCCGGCAATAACCTATGTACTGATCGAGCAAGGGGCGTGTGTCACCGCACGAACCGTCTCATTGGTGTGTCGGTGGTCAGAACACCTGCAGCCGGGTCACCATTCCCAGAGTAGGAAAGAAGAGGTCCTACAGCTACTTTTGGGGCATACCCCAGACTTGAGTGAGATATGGACAGATCAATTCGGCAGCAACACCACTGCCTTGATTGAGATAGTCAAGTCCGGCGAGGTGCGTGAAGTGCGGTTTTTGATCAAACATGGCGCCGATGTGAACCAGCAGGTGGGAGGAGTATACGGTGATGCGTTAAACACTGCAGTCTGGGCCACTTTCGAAAGCGCAAAAAATCCGGATTATCGGTATCCGACTGCCGCTGTGTTCGAGGCGCTTGTTGAGGAAGGCGCCAGCCTCGAGACCCTGGAGGGTGACCGCCTCAACACCGCACTCGTAGCTGCTGCGCTGGCTGGTTCGGAGGACATGGTGCAGCTTTTTCTCGACCACGGCGCAAATCCAAATGCGTTTTGCAAATATAAATGGGCCACCGCACTCAGCGCGGCTGCACAGTCATGGCACCCCCGAGCACCGGACGTGGTTCGTACTCTTCTGGACGGCGGCGCTGACGTCAACGCCTACTTTCCGGAGTCCATCAATAACGATTATAAGCTTGCACTTGATTATCCTCTGCATCAGATACTTCAACTATTACTTATGCATCAGTATAAGAAATGGGACTCTTGGCTTCAGTTGGCCTCCGTTCTCCTGTCAAACGGCGCCATCTGGGACATTGACTTCGCACAATGGAGGGAATGCCTCAAACTACGAGCATCCGAGTTCGAACGGCGGCATGCCCAGTCTCTGGACCAATCAATGCAGATGCTGAAGAGGAACAGAACCAGCTTCTTCCTGAAGCACCCAGCGGCAGCATCTGACGAAAGCTGGAGGTTCAAAGGCATCGAGGACCCAAGTTCAAACACGAGAAGTATCTTGAGGGTAATGCGGTTTCTATCCGAGTTCATCCATGTAAAATAATCTACGCCTTGGTAGCTTGGTGGTCTAGCTGGAACTTCTATATTACTGCGGCAGCTCGGTACTGCTGCCTTCTTCGTACCTCCGTCTTCCGTCTAAGAACCTTGGTGTGATGTGCCTGCCTCCAGAAGCGTCTGTGCACACTGTCCCGGACAGCTTTGTCATTATATGCTAGCCCGCGAGGGAAGAATATCTCCAACATGGCGAGCCCAGCCGTCGGCACCCACTTCTCAAGCTCTATCAACGCCCCATGCACACCTGGAACATGCACTTCTCTCTTCCGTGCAGAATCATTTTCATGCCCCCTTTTACAACTCCGGAATAATAACACAGAAATGGCAGATGGATGTATATTTGCATCGCCTGCGACCACGTGAGGATGTACGGGCTCCAGCCAGTGCGGTACTCCGTCTTTTTTCGACATAGAATCAATCCATTTCGGCATAGGCCGGGACCGCTTCTTGAATTCGCCCGTCTCACTCGGCTTCCAAGGTTGTGAATTATCGGACACCCAAAGAGCAAGCTCGGCGAGCCCGTCCTCGGTGACCTTCAAGTCGACCTCGTCATCTGCCTGGTCCTGATACGACTGACGCATCCCAATGATCGCCGGGGCACGAGTGGACCTGCGCAGATGGAACCTGCTAGCTCGAGGTGACCTTGGCGCCCCAGCCGCAAAGAGATTTTGCAGCATTCCTATGCCGCCGATACACACGAGATACCACATGTGATACTGGATGCCCGACACGCTTATAAGGAGACAAGTCCACAATATGCTCAATCCGAGCGCCATCGCTCTAGTTCCCGGCTGCGGGAAGAGCGATCCAGCTGCAAGGCTTTCGAAATCCCATGCGCCTGGAGCTGCAATGAACACCATGACATGTTGGCTGCCGTTCCCCCGAGTCAAACAGGTGACCTTGTGCTGCTCAACTCGTCTAGCAGTCCATTTCTCCTGGACCCATTGCGGTATGGCGCATGTGACAAGTGCAAGGAAGCTCCCACAGAAGGTAACCAATGCAATCGACCAGTCGCCGTACAAAGCCCAAGGCACGGTCGCAATCGCGATCTGGACAAACAAAGTTGCCCACCCCAGCCACCAGACCAGATCCCGAGCCGGTGGCGCCACAGGCAACAGCTCAAAAATATCGACCCGAAGAGACTCGGCCCTCCCGCCCTCCTCCACCGAACGCGGGTCAACCTCATGCCGGATCTCATGGTCCCGAAGCAGCCTCCCCAGCGCCCACGACCGGTTCTCCCGCGAAAAACCCGTGGAGCAGTTCACCAGGACGCACGGGTGGTCGCACGCCGGCATGAGAGCCATGTCGCCAAAGGCCGCCAGCAGGCTCGAGAAGCCGTACGCCACCCAACCGAACGAGAAGGCCACGGGCGCGACAGAGATCGCGGGGCCGCGCTGCCCAAAGGGCCGTACTTGATGCCCTACCAGCTGCGCGATGGCCTTTTGCACGATGTCGCCGCCGAGGAGGAGGAGCAGGCTGAGGATGTCTCGCGGGTTGCCCCACTGCTGGCGCAGTTCGGCCTCTGGGGTGCTCATTGCGGGATTTCGTCAAGCTGTGGTTCTAAAACTTCGACTCTTGGCCAGAGGAGGTTGTCGAAGAGGGTGCAGGTAGTTGTCCGGAGGTGGCGAGCTCATAACTTATTCAGGTCGGAAGGTCGCGAGAGTAGGTTTTAGCGTTCGAAGCGTCTGAGCCCAACCTGCAAGTCACAGCTGCTGGTGGCACAGTCAGCATGAAGCAGGGCCAGTACGTGACGTGACTGGACTACGCAATACATGTCCCCAGGCTAAGTGTTGCCCCATGTCTTAGGATCAATTCTGAGCTGACCTGAGGATTTACCCTACATTTGACCAAAACTTTGGGGGCGTGTTCTTGGGCTTTTCCCCCTCTGTTTATCCTTTGTGAGTGGGCATCAAATTGTTTTCTTACCTCGGGCTCATTGCTGCGCCTCGTGCTGAGCATAATAAGGCTTTTTCGCCTCTTCCATTTGCTAGTTACGCGTTGTATACTGTCTATATCAAGCAAAATACTACCCCCCCCCCTATCAATTAAGTTAATCCTATACACACTACTAAAATTTATAAACAGGTTTAAGTACTTATAAATTCTTCCTTTAATATTCTTATTATTATTACTTATATACTTAAACTATTTAATTAAAGTAAATAAAAATTATTATAATAGTTAATTATTACTTATTAAGTATTAAGTTATAAATATTATAATTTTATTTATAATTAACTTTTTTATTATTTAATAAATAGTTTAAAGCTAAATTTTAATATTATTATAATATAATTTAATAATATTATAAGTAAATTATAATTATAAGTATTATAGTTTTAAGTATATTATTATAATTATTATTAAATAATATTATTTTTAAATAATAAGCTTTTAAAATTAATAAATTTTTTTTTTTAGTAAATTTACTTAGCTTAATTAATATTTATTTTATATAATTTAAAAGCTTAAAAATCTTTTTTTTAAAAAGCTTAATATATATTTTAATAAAATATAATATTTTCTTTTTAAAAACTATTAAATTAACTATTTAATTATTATTATTATATAAGCGCTTAAAATATATAATTAGTTTAATAAATAAATATATATATTAACTTATTAATATAATAAAAATCTTTATAAATATTATTTATATAAAATTTTAAAGCTTTTATATATAATTAATATATTTATTTTTTATAATAAATTAGCTATTAATAAAAAAAATAATATAAAAAAAACTAATTAAAAATTAATTAAATATATATTAATAATTTAAAGTTTTCTTAAATAAAAAGCTTACTATTATATACTTTTAATAATTATAATTAATAATTTATTTAATATTATAATATATAAAAGCTATATTATAAAAAAGTTTTTTTTATAATAGTTAATAAAGAAAATATTACTATAAATAAACTTATACTTAAGCTTATAATTAATTTTTATAATAAATAATGCTTTATAATATTATAATAAATAAATTTATATTATTACTAAAATAAAAAGTTTTTAGTTAATATATTTTTTATTATATTTTTTTAATTTTAACTTAATTAAAGCTTATTTTAATAATTTAAAAAAATATATTAAGTATTAATATTAATTTAAAATAAATAACTTTAATTTAAATTAAAAATTTATTAATTTTTTATACTTTTATATAAAAAAAGTTAAATATTATATTAAAGCTATATAAAAGTATTTTTATTATATAAAAATATTAATAAAAAAATTTTAAATTAATAATTAATTTAATAATAATTAAAAATATAAAAAATTTAAAATAATAATAATATTATAAAAGTTAATTATAAAATAAAAAAACTAATATTAAAATTATAAGTATAAATTAAGCTTTATAATAAAAAAAAATTATATTATAATAAATATATTTAATTTTCTTTTTTTTATTATATATATTTATTTTAACTACTTATACTTACTTTATTTATTAAAAAACTTCTTTTTACTATACTAAATTACCTTTTTTTATTACCTATAATACTTTTTAATTATTATTATTACTTTCCTTTTTTTAAATACTATTAAAAAACTTATTTATATACTTATTTACAGCTATTGTTGGTTTAGCTTCCCGTACGGGTAATTCGTCACGAAACGAGTAGTTTGGAGTAGTGTAGATTCTGCTTGGTTGGTGTTAAGGTTGCAGCCGAAGGCTGCAGCCTACGTACGTCTGGCTATAGGCGAGCTGGGCAGTTAAGCTGGCAGCTGGCAGCCGGCTGGCGCCAGCTGGCAAGTGCTATCGATAAGGCTCGTCTATCCAGCACATACTGCATACGCTACTATTCCTACAGCTATTAACAATTTTAGCAATATTTATAACCCTTATAGCTATAATAAGTCCTTTTCTACCCTATTACTTTTACTACTTTTAAAAAAGCTAAAAAAATTCTTTTTTTCTTTTAAATATAGCTTTATAAGCTTTTTAACTAATATAATTATATATAAACCTTTTTTATTAAATTAAATATTATTTTTAATATAAAGCTTTTATAAATTTAAATTTTTATATTTTATTATTTTTAATAACTTTTTTAATTATATTTTTTTTATAAATATATAAAAATACTTTTATAATATTTTTAATATAAATTTTTTATATAAAACTTTTTAATTATTAATAATTTAAAATAATAATAAAAATATTATAATAAGTTTATATTTTTTTTATAAACTATTTAAATAATTTATAAAAAATAGTTTTATTAATAATAATAATATTAATAGTTTTTTAAAATTTTATAATATATATAATAATAATAATAATAATAATAATAATTTAAATAATAATAATAATAATAATAATAATTATTATAATTAATTATAATTAAAATTAAAAATATAAAAGTTAATTAATAAATTAATTATTATATAAATCCTCTTTTTTTATTTAACTCTTTTTTTTTATTTTTTTTATAATTATAAAAAGCTAATATTATTATTATTAAATTTTTTATTATTATAATTATTTTTAACTTATTATTATTATTAAAAAAAAAGTTTTATTAATAGCTTATAAAAAATAACTTTATTAATAATTATTATTTTTATTTACTTTAATAAATTATTATTAATTAAATTAATATATATATTATTCTATTTTATATAATATTATTAATATAAAAAGTTATTTTTATTATAATAATAATAATTAGCTTTATAATATATATTTAAACTATATTTTTATTATATTATTAATTATTTATAAGCTTTTTATAAAAGTTTTTAATTATTATATATTATTATAAATATATAAATAATAATTAATTTATTATAAACTTTTAAAAATAATAAGCTTTTATTAAATAATTTAATATTTTTAAAATATTTAATTATAAATAAATTATTTATAAAGCTAATAATAAACTATATTTTTAATAATTTATTAAAAATTTTAATTATTAATTATTTAATAAATAATAAATTAGCTTATAATATTAATATTATTTATAACTTTTAAAAAGTTACTTTATAAATATATATAAAGATTAAAAAAAAAAGGCTTTTATTTATAAAAAGTATTTTTATTAAATTATAATAATTAAATATTTTTTTAAAATAATTTAAATATTTTTTTATTAATTTTAATTAATAAAAAATATTTTATAATACTTATTAATAGCTAATTTTAATATATAATTAGTATAATTTAATAATAATATTTTTATTATTTTTAAATTTTATTTTAACTTTTTTTTTTATAATAATTAATAAATCCTTTTATAAATTAAAAATATTAAAAGTTAATTAATTAATACTAAATTTAATAATATAATACTTTATTAATAATATTTAAAAAAACTTTATATTAATAATTTTTATAATTAATATTATTAATACTTTATTTAAAAATTTTAATTATAATAAATTAATAAAATAATTTTTTATAATTTTAATATTATTTTTAATATTTTTTAATAATAAAATTATTTTAAAAATAAAATTATTATTATTAGCTATTTTTAAATTATTTATATTTTTAAAAATAATTATACTTTTATTTAGCTTATTAATAACTTTTTTAATATTTTTTATTATATATTAAGCTATATATTTAATAATAATTAATTTATTTTTAATAATTTTTAAAATAATTTTTAATATAGCTTTTTTATTATACTTTTTTTATTATATAATTAATTTAATTATAATAATAATATATAATTTATTAATAATTATTTTTACTATTAGCTTATATATATATATTTATTTAAATATTATTATATAATTATTAATAAATTATATAGTATACTATTATAAATAAATTTTTTATAATAATAAATATTTAATTATTATTTTAAAAATTAATTAAAATATATTAATTAAAAATTTAAATAAATAAGTATTATTTTTAGTTAAAATAAATAAAAGCTATATACTTTTATATAATAAGTAAAATTTAATTTTATTATTTTAAATTATAAAAAAAATATATTTAAATAAAAGTTAATAATAGTTTATAGTAGTTAATAATAATAATAACCTTATAAAGAGGGTATTAGTAAGTGCTTAAGCTTATTTATAAATTTTAGTAGTATGCATAAAACTAACTCGATTAATAAGGGGGGGGGTAGTATTTCGCTTGACACAGACAGTAGCACGGGCGCAGTCCCCAGCGGACCACTGGGATAGGACCGCGTCCCCGGTGAGTACGTCTCTGGCCAAGGACGGCTCTCTTACACTTTACGGGCAAGCCATGGAACGATTAGTACTCTTTGATTTTCCAGACCATGCATGTGGCCTTCGAGCCGTCCTTTCCATCCACCTATCTCACGAAAGAAGTCTCGTTGCGATAGCTGATTATTGAAATGCCAGTTGGTATGTCAATCATTGCGCGTTAGCTAGGCCGACTAACTCTAAAAACCGCAAAGCTGATTCAGGCGCCTCGCATGCGAGTTGGTCACTCTGTCCCCATCTCGCCACGATTTCGAGTCCCAGCCGCTGCTCCTGCTCAAATTTCTGTCCGCCTCGCTGAACTCCGCATGGTGCGTAAATCTTCGAAGCTTCAAGATTCGGTCTTTGACTCTTGCTTTAGCAATTGCGCCGGTTTGGATCAGCCTTAATCTTGCCATGAACGTAGCCCCACTGATGAAACTCGGAGCCAGCATGTGCACTGGTGTCTATCACGCCGCCCCGGTCGTGACAGCTCTTTTTCACCTGATACAGGTAATATAGTCAGTACTCAAACTCTCAGTTATGTCGTCTTGCCAGGAATGGAGGGCTAGCGTGACAACTTGCCTGGCCCAAGAGATCCTCGCAGACCTCCTTGTAAAGTGGCACGGCCGTCGTGCCGTTCTCGGGTTGCTGGGAAATGTCGATTCTCGCGTTGATTCGGTTCTTCTTGACATTTGTGCAGTACTCAACCTGCAAAACTACTTATCAGCTATGTGCCCTGTATTTTTACATGCCTCATGTAGACTTACCCTGCTACCGATCTCGTAGTTCCCAGCCATATGAGAGCAAAGATCGCTGAAGGCTTTTGTAATAGCGTCGTCATCTTCAATATCGGACCAGGAGGCTCCTTCGGTGTTGCAGTCAGCCAACGCAGTACCGGTGAGTAAGACCAGCAGCGAGGTAGACATGGTGAACAGGTTGAAGTGCATGGTGATTTCGGTTGGTGTGTGTGGCCGATGGGAGATTATTTGACGGTGATAGCGTGGTTGAGTCCATGTAAAATCGGGCGGGCTGGAGATCATGTCGTTGGCAAGTTGCACATAGAATGCTGGGTTTCTTTCTGCATTTAGATGTGTAGACAGTGGTGTCATTCACTTGGGCTTCACTTATATGTGACCAGGGCTAAGTCACTACTACGAGTTCCCCTCGTGCTCTCTTCAACATCAGACGAAGCGCATCCAAGCCTGGACGCTCTTAGATATCTGTGGTGGTGTGGTGAAATTTGCTGGCAGGTAGCCAAACTTATACTTGTAGTCACCAGTGCTCTCTCTTATATCACGAAATCCAATGAAGGCAGTAGATCTGTGGCCCAAAGCATGGGTGGTTCTGGATCCGTCTTCAGACCGCAAGCACGAAACTGCGTAGCTACCGGAAGTTTCAGCCACTGATGGCCTCGGGGATACCAAGATGCTACAATGACGAATGTTATTCTCAAGACATTTGACATTGGGTCTCCGTTTTCCCAAGCGGCGTACAAGTCTGTAGGTGTAAACGCTAGGTTGTAAACGTCCGCAGTCTCTGGATGTCTGTTCCACTGCTGCTTTCGAACAGTGCACTCCTCACTTGGTATTTCTACTGCGTGCACATACGTGAAGCTTCACCATCTGATCAATCATCTGGAGGTAGTAGTCCGCAGTGATTACCAAGGTCGGCTCTCAATCTAGCCTTGACGAGTGATCAGGCCTGACAAGTCACAGCTCAGAAAACAGTGACAAAGTTGATTGGAGTCTCGCAGCTGGTAGTTACTTACATCCTTGTATTGATCCCCGATGTCCCATCCTGCTTTCCTTAAGATCTTACTATCGATAGGCAACACCATTCCTGCGGCAAAATAATTCGAGTCATCCCACAATCCAAACCCTCCATCGTTAAAAGCCACTTTGCCATCATCTAAAAACAACGGAAAAAGTCAAGATGCTTTTCAAGCTATCTACCATCGCGGCCCTCATGCTACTTCTCCTCTCTGGCGTCTCTCTGGCCGACAGTACGTGCTACGGCGCTGGTGAGAAATGGTCAGGCATTGGAACAGACGATGAAGTCAGCAATGCCTTTGACTCTCTTTGTCGGTACCTTGTTGGGCGCCTCAAGACAGGAAAAGAGGCAAGTCAAGTTGAGCTCAGCAAAGCTTGGTCGCCAAGAGCAAGTCGCTAATACACAACATCCTCCAGCGCTGGGGGTGCGTCAACTTCAAAGGCAATCACATTGAGGTGGGATTCCACCTCACCAATGGCGTCGACGATAAAAAGTCAGTCTACATGAGCCAGATGAGCTGCAAGGACGCTCTCAACCAGGTAAGCTTGCACGATATACCTCGAGGCGCCCTGATGGAGAGGATAAGCGCTAAGATCATGGCATTGATCAGGTCAAGAGTGACTGTAGTGTACGTGGTGGAGAGATGGAAGGCATCGTTGTTGAGCAAAAGGATGACGGAGGCGAATGGATGAACATGCAGGTCAAGGCTGATCCCAACAGCCGCGAAATAACAGATTGCGTGAAATCGAATACTTGAAGCATGGTCTCCGGATTTTAGAAGCTTCGATGGGTTCCAGGATGGGGCAAGATAGGAGGTTCGAGCAGCATCTGACATGGTAAGGGCAGAGACAGCTACGGCAGACAGGCGGCATTGGTCCGGGAGGCTCCTAGGCTCGCGTCCTCAACCTCGCAGGCTCATGGCGTCCATTTTTCATCTGTTATCAAGCACATGGTTTCTCTCTTGGTTCTAAACACTAAGCGATTTCACTCCCGCAGTTGCAACTTCGTGAAAGCCAAAGTAGTGAAATGTGTCCGCAGTGCTCCATTCCGACATACCATCTTGGTATGCTGCTGGGACTGGGACGACAGGTTCGCCCCTCGAGTCCACTTCAGTATTGAGCGTCATCAACTGCTTGCGTCTGCTTGATATTGTACGTTTAATTCTCATCGGGTCGCATTTACGTTGGAGAGAGTTAAAGGATCGTGGGTGCACAGGCATGTTCTGACGAGAATGTTGGGATAATACTTGCGATTGAAACTGCAGATTTGACACAGCGTCATGCGACTCCATTGCCACAAGAATTGAAAGAGGATATCAAAGATCAATCTGACGGTAAATAGGATTTACACATACTGAGATACCTAGTTCTCCATTCGTTAGCTCTATGCCGCCGACGAGAAAGCCGCCCGTTTCATTATTCAACAGCTCCATCCAGCAAGCAATCCATCATCCAGTCTTTGGCATCATTCACGGCCCCAGAAGGAATGACATCGCACTCAGCAAGTCTCTCCAGAGCATGATAGACGAAGTGCTGGCAGTTCCAGTCCGGCTCGCCGCCCACAGGCGTGGAGGCGATCACATCGATGACCTTTCGCCGGTGAGACATGTCCACCTGGACCCTGCCAACGATACGTCCGTGGAGGAACTCGGGAAGCATTGGATAATTCTCTTCTCCATCAATCTCGACGAATTCGAAAGGCGTCGTTTCGGTAGGCCGTTGGGCGTGGGCCGTGATGTGGAAGTCCTCCTCGTCAGGCGAGTCGAGGTACATCAGAACGTGTCGTCTGTTATACGTGTCGTAAGGTAACCCTCTGAACATGAAAATCCATATGTTCTGTGTCATTGAAGACTCCTTAGACAGTCCTTCGTTGGATGGTGTGATTTCTGTTGTCCCATCTTCAGTCTTAACCTTGCCACTGGACGTCGGGCCTGGCTTGATCCCATCCGAGCTTGACCTCCCTAAATCCTGGTCATCGCCGGGCGTTGAGTTCGTGCTCATTTATTAAGTCGATAGCTTGAATAAGAGGTAAATGGGTGATAAGCGAGGATTACCCTGGCACAGAGTGATGTGAATGTGCTGGTTATGGAGCAATGAAAACCGCAAAAATGTGGCTGGGTACTCTGCATGGAGTGGGTCATTCTTCGATCTCCCAAACGAGCTGGGGCACCTAGCACCTAACCCTAGGTGGGGATGCTGGCTAGGGAGGGGCGGCTCATGACTTGAGGTGGACGGCACTATCAAAGCAAACGGTCTCTTCAGTCCAAGCAGTCTGCCATTTATGCAGGTTGAGATTGAAACCAGCTAGATTCTCCCAGATATTTGTTTTCTCAACGTTTGTGACAAGAGACAGCCTTTCCATTCATGCTGAAATTGTTTCAATCCTCAGATAGACAAGGTCAGGCCTGACGATGGAGACAGGCCTGATCTCACCCGAACAGGCGAGACCCTCACCGTAAAAATGGCCAACGGGTGCGGCTAAGAACCCCAATGATCTACTATTTTCTTTGATTCGCGGGAGGTGGAATTACTAAGCCCAAAAGCAGAACCAATTGTGCCTTCACCAACTGACTACACCTATGACGAGGCTGCCCGACGGGCCTTTCGAAATGTCTACTCCGAAGCAACTGAGCCAATCCACCCAATCCACCAGACCGAAACAGAAGACATCTTCAATCGACCTCATTCACTCAGTCACCTACTCAACTATCAGAACAACATTTCTTTCTCGATTTTCGCCTAAAACCCAGACATTCAACGAATCCGTATGTCTTTGTACTGCCAACCATCGCCACGCAACAAGCCCAAGACATCTACTGCAGCAACAGCTCATGTCGTTCCTGTGAAAAGCATTAAAAATTTTCCTTGAAGATCCCTCGTGGGCACTTACCATTACGGATGTCTCGCCACCTTGCAATCTCCTGCCCCTCCTCGAGACACTGCTCTTTCCAGTCGTCGAATGTGTCACCAGAGACCATTTCCAGCGACAGCCGGAGCATCGCCTCAGCCGCAGCAGGAGAGCCCGAGTAGTACCGATGAGCCCTTGCGTTGAGGTAGTAAATGCCAGACTTCTGCGCTGGGGAGGGAGCACGCTCCGCGAGCAACGAAGATGCAGCTTGGACCGCGCGGCTAAGGTGCCACGTGTGATCCTCCTGAGTCTCTTGCCACTGTGCTGCGCCATGCTCGCGGCACAGGGTGTTGAAGATGTCCCGGACTGCCAGCACGTACTGATTTGGTCGACCCCCTGGCCCGGGCTCAAGCCACGCGTCCGTGTTGACTAGCTGGCTGATCTGGACGAGAGCCTTCAAGCATGACCTCGAGAACTTGGCCAAGCGTCTCCCTAGAAATTCACGGGTGCCGCTGGTATCTAGCCGAGTGAATTTCTCCAGTATCTTGGCGACATTGATGACGGGCAACTTTTGGATCTCTGCCTGGATTGTGTCGGCCAAGTTGGTGTTCACGTTGCCGATGATGCTGAAAGATGTGACGCTGCGAAGTGAGTCCCGGTATGGCTGGAGGAGCTTAGTCTGATTCTGAACACTCATGTGCCCGGGACTGCAAGTCGTAGCAAAGGGATTATGCAAAATAATCTGGTGTCGTATCTCGGATTTAGCGTCTAGATTAAAGACGTGGCCGCTGGAAATTGCCCTGCAGAACAAGCCCACATCACGCCAGGGCAGGGCGAAGGTCCAAGGCTGTGTAGTCGTATCGGTCTCTGGCTCCTGCTCCCCCACGATGATGTGCGTTATAATAAAGCCAGGATATGTACTCAAAGCCTTATCACTCAATGGAACGATATGCAGCACGGCCCCGATGAGATGAGGGCTAAACAAGACATTACGAACAATAATTCGAATGAGCTGGTGTTTCTTCAACATAGCGAAGTAGGCTTCACAACGCATCTGGCGGCAGGCTCGCAAGATGGATGTGTCAGTGATGTTCTTGGTGGTATCGTAGACCGATGGCTCTCGCATTGGATCAGAGAGATAGTCTGGATAAGGCCAACAGGCCACCTTTCGAGGGAGAGGGAAGTCGCAGATGACAAAGTCGTAGATGGTGTCCCGTATCTCTCTGGGGAGACCCAGGAGAGAACAGCTTGAGACCTGGTTGCTGGTCTCCATGTTTGGGTACTCTGTTTTTATTACCAAGTCGTTGAGGCTTTGCGGGACAATTCAAAGACACTCTGGGAGTAGCGGTGCAATAAACGGATTCCTGCTGCAAAAAACGACGTTAGAAAATTAAGTCATTCAAGGCCGTCGCTATAGGTAGTCCGTGCGTTCTACGTGAATGTTCTACGCAGTCAACTTCAACATTCACTCTTGGAGAATGACTGGCGGCCTAATCATGCAGGGTAAGAAAACTGGGGCCGAATTACAGACCGCAAACGAGTGTTTTGGAATTATATTTCTGAATACTTTGAGAGTGAATTTATAATCGAGCAAGTATTGTCCAAATGTGAATTGAATCGAGTTCGAGGGCCTAGATATCCTCGTAGAGACAGCGCAGCAAATATGATTCCGTTACCGAACCCCAACTCATAAGCCAAAACGAACGGCGTAGCTCACATCTTACTCTGTAAAATTCTGTCGTCGCATCTACGTAGTATCTCAATGCTTCTCACTAAATTGGATGCCCATCGGGCATGCTTCAAGCTGTCGCAACAAATGCCCCTTTCCTTACTTGTCGATTATAGCACAGCCACTGGACGCCTACATTTCGGCACCGGGCCCACTGAAATGGTTGAATTGTTTCTTTAATACGCCTCCTCGTCCCGGGCTCCAACACATTAGACTTCTTGACACACTCACTTCCCCCCGTACGAAATTCCAAATCACTGGCAGACTGCATTTGATCTGGTCAACTTCCCGAATTGTAATTGGTTGGTTTACCCACATCAACTTGTTTTCAGGCAGGCTAAGTAAAGCCATGGATATTGGTTTTCTTATGTACCAGTATCAGATTCAAGAGCTTTGGGACGAGGAACCGCTGTCTCGCTATGAACCCTGGGGGTATCACCCTGTCCACCTTGACGATGTCTTCAAAGAGGGACGTTACAAAATAGTCAATAAGTTAGGCTGGGGAGGGTTCTCAACAGTGTGGCTCGCCAGAAATGCTGAGTAGGTCATGGAACTCCGTCTACTCCCTTGCCAATGAATACACACAGGGCGCAATTACAGGCAACAGCAATGGGTTTCTCTGAAAATCCTAACAGCCGATGCTACACACCAGTCTCGGAGCCACAAATGCTGCAAGCATTGCCAAAAGACAACTCGATAAATCATGTTGTTCGTTTGCTTGACTCGTTCGTACATGAAGGACCCAACGGCAGTCATCAATTTCGAGTCATGGAGCTGCTCGGCCCTAGTGTCGAGTGGTTTATCAACACTGATTATACTCGGTACGAAGAACATCTCGAGCCTAATACGATCTTCAGGATTATCAAACAACTCCTTGAAGGTCTTGCGTCTGTGCATAAGGCTTGGATATGCACAAGAACGTAAGCACTGTACTAGAGCCTTCAGCTTGGGTGATGATATCTCCAGATGTCAGCGGACGGAACATAGCGTTAATCAAACCCGGATGGAACATATGGATGGTACAGCTATGGTGGGTATATACGTGAAATATTACCATGGACAAGGGGAGGCAGCATTTCCGTCTGGAGCTGCTTCAAATGCCAGACTGCAAAGATAGATGGAGGGGATGATATGCTCAGTCCTATCCTCCGTTGCTACGAAGAATCGCTGGAATGTTCATTTTGTGTTTGCGTGGAGGAGCTGTCAAACAAGCTCTAGCCAACACAACCGCATCACGAGCAGATGGATATCGATGTCAATTATAGGACCAAGCCCGTGGGCTTTGCTCCGCGTCGATGTGCTAGTTGTGGATCCACGAAAGAATGAAAATCAACGGAAGTATGACCGATTGCACTTTTTCAGCTACAATAATGATCTAGTTGTCCCGGTTTGCATCATTGCCACCCTCCCGCCCAGAGTGAGTCGAACTGACGTCCCAGTCCGTTGTAACCTGTATTCGACCTTGTCGTGCTTTGGATTTTGTCGGGTAAACTGTGCCTGTGTGGTTGCACGAAAGTCAGTATCGAGATTTCTTGCATTAGATTGACGGAGCGTTGAGAAAATTGACTGTACCTCCAATAGTGACGAGTGGAAACTCTGTCTCTGAGTCCCTTCTTTGATTGTTGTTTTCCTCAGTCCCAGAAAGTTGCCGATGGTCTCGCGAATAGTACTTGTACCAGCGTCGGCGTCCGCTACTGCCCCCACCGGTCCCAATTCTCAACTTGATTCCGAGGAGCTTCTCAAGGGCAGGCCGCATTGTCGGCAAGCACGCATTGATGATGCCCAGTAGAGGGACTATGGCCGCAATGAGTGCTAATGGCGCGAATGAATATGTGATGTCGTTCGCGTCAAGGGCAAGCATGTATTTGATCCGAACACAAGTGATAGCGATGATGCTTTGAGCAGTTAGTTTCATTATGATGTACTTATGACACGCGTGGAGACTGCCATACATGAGCCCTAGTCCAAAAATAGCTGTGAGGAGGACCTTTCTTGAGGTTCTGAGCTGTAATCTCCATAGAATAGGCATCGGAAGTAGAATCACGATGATATCTATGATGAGATCGGCTGACGCCATAGCCGTGTACATCATGTTTGCGTTACCGCATGTACCGGGTGTAGTGATATCCCACTTCCAGGTGGCAATTAGCTTCGCACAGCGGGGCAGAAAGGTTTTCCCGGCACTCTCACTTACAGCTTTTCTTGGTGGATCGCAGAGGAACGCATCAGCCCAGAATGTTCCAATCCAGTAGGCAACCACGATGCCCATAACCCCATATACTATTTTTGCAAAGAGAGGCTTGCGGAAGACGGCGGTGTAGAAATGTAATATAGAGAGTTTGATCAAGGTGACAAGGGTCAACCAATGGAGGTCGAGGACATACGCAAGCTAATATCTTGTCAGTCTGAGGGATGTTGATGATCGCGGAGTAGCCATGATGGTTTCATCGCTATTGGTAGAACTCACCTTTCGAAAGAGTGTGATCATCTCTGGTCCTGCGGTTGCCTCCACATCCGCCTGGTGAAGTCCCTGGCCACATTTGATCACTGTGGTCATTTCAACACCATAGCGGGAAGTCATTAAAATCTGCCGATCCCTTCGTATCAGAAGCCAAGGCAAGAATAGAGTTCCGAGGAGTTAAAAACATACCACAGCAAGCAGAATTAGATAATCGTTCACTTCCAATCGCATATGGAGTATTTGTCTGCTCCATAGTCGTAGTCCAACGGACAAAAAGTTTAAAGCCAAAAGAATGCTCTCAATGACAACAGTTGCCGTCCCGACGGTGTTCTGAGACAGAGAACCCGCGAGACTGCTGACTGCCATCTCGTCGACTCATAGATTTGAGTTTGGCAACGGGAATGTATCCGAAGACTGTGAGAGTCGAGGTTTGCTGTAAGGCTCACGGGGGCCCCGACTGCGAAATAGACGCTTTCTCTTGGGGCCAATCACATATTTCTAGCACAGGCCCGCGCTGGGGCCCACGAGGGTGTCTGATAGTTGATACATTAAGTACTGTGAGGCATCCCCCGTTATAGCGATTACCTATTTAAGCCGTCATTTAGCAAGATCAACAATTCACTTCAAGCCCGAATAAACAAATTTTCTCAAATTTATATAAATAAAATAATATATTAATTATATTACTCAGAAATCGTTCGAATTCTTGTATAAAAGTTGGAAGAATTCTTTCTTTCAGGAAAACGTGAATAAAAATTATAATCCCTATTCGCAATTAGTCTTCTTTGGTGTTATTTTTTTTTTTTTTTATTAAATTGGTGAATAAAATCTAGATTCCTAATTATTTCAAACCCCTTTTTGAACATCAAATTATTTGCCCGCTTTTTTCATACAGGACCAACCAAGACATCCCAAGACATCCCAGGTCTGTATGCAATCTTCACTCCTGCCACCCCCATGTTGCCCCTGCCTACCTAGCGAACCTTAATTTTGGTCGAGGAGGTTGCCGGTCTGCAGGGTCGGGAGCAGGTTCATTACATTGCAAATGTGACTGTTCTGTCCAGGTTGTTACTGTCGCATATAGGGATTCAGTGATCAATGCATGTCATGAATCGTAAAAATGCGTTAAGTAGATGTTAACTTAATTATGTCTTGGATGAAATGACAAATTACGACTTCAGCGAGGTATCTTCGGGCCCTATGTCCTTTCTTAGTTTCAGCCGAGCCCTACACAACATACTCAGGACACCCGGTCGGTTATGGTGGAGCAGCTTTAGTGAGCCCGGGGACTCGGATTTCATACACATCACATTATGCAAGGTCCAAACGAGTCGTGCACTTCCCTACATTTGATTCTTGGTCAAATAATTCTGAACGACGTCCTGCCATTCTGTTCGAGTGTTGAATTGGTGCGTGTCCGGACACGTATGTGCTGTGCAGCTTGCAACTCGCACGCAAATGTTCGGGCCAGGAAAGAAACCCTCCAAGGACATGCTCACGAAGCAGCGGACACGGGACGTTTTTGTGATCTCGGGACCGGTAAATGAAATGCAGGGACTTCTGCCAAGGGAATAACGGTAGCCAAGAATAATCGTGCCGACCATTCAGCCCATGGTGAAGTGTCACATCTTTTGCTTGTACAGGGCAAGGGTCAACGGGCCGGAACTTGGAAGGACTGTTCCGTACAAGGAAAATTCTCCCAACATGCCTACAAAGGCCTGACCGGTGAGGGGCATATGGGGTGAACACACTCATCTCGGAGAGACCCTTACCACCCCTACCGTGACCTTTTCCAAACTCATCCGCCGTTGAAACTGGTCAATGCAGATTTTTGAGATGGGCACAGGAATGAAGGTAGTGCAAGACCAAAATCAGAATTGTTTTTGAGCTGATCAAACTTTGACTGATACTCTACTGCAGACAGGATAGGACGTGTTCCATCTGAGGGACAATCTCTTAGGGGATGCTGGTCTAAACCTTCTCCCCTGTGAGGAATATGCAGGATGGAGGCACAGCCGTCTCGAATGGGAGTTGCAGGACCAACACTCCCTAGACTCTCAGCTTCATTGGCTATTTGAACAGGTCGAGGTGGATCCCCGAGAGGGGTAAATCCAGCGCAAGTCGATAACGTGAGTGGGTATCAATCCTAACCACCCTCGGAGCGATCCTCCAAAGGGCATGGTGTTGATCCACAAGCAGCATGTGAGTGCCTTTGACCCTGCATATACGAAGCTTCCATGTCCACTCGCCTGAACTCCCTGCAGTGGCATTTATTAAGGTGTCAAGGTACAGCCCGAATGCTCATTTCACATATTTGATAGGAGCGGCTTGCAGTGCTGGCAGAATGTGAGAATCAGCGAACTGGGAAACGAGAACTGGCATGCTCTGACGCTGCGAGTCTTTGAAGTAATTTTGTGTGGATAGCACCAGGTCGGATATGCATGATGTGAGATTGAAAATGGGAAAGGTTGAAGGGGCCATAGTAACATGCCTGTCTCAGCTAAACGGAGAGCAGTGTTAAGCGAAGAAGCGTTCCGATGCCTAAGCTATAGGTGCGTAGAAGTTGAACCTCCGGTTCGGATCATACTTTTCCTTGAGTGCCGACAGCTTGTCCTGCCGCCACTGCTCATACCCATACATTTCCTGGTTGGTCTCCGTTCCAAAGGCATAGTTGACGTACGCGTGGAACTCGTCTCGGCCGGTGCCTTCACGGATAGCGTTACGTATATCCTCGCCAACCGAAATCGCCTTGGCGTCAAGGGCCCCTCCATCAGGCTCAAAAACCAAGACAGGCGCCACCAGCAGGCGATCACCTCGGTAGCTGACTGCCGTCGACTCGTGAGGCACAGACTGTACGCCTTGGAGAGAATATCCTTCGAATAAGAAGATAGATCCGTTGAGCGCAGGTGTTTCCTGGGTGGCGGCCGCGAACAGATCATAGGCATTCTGTAGCGCAGTCACGTTATAGACTAGCAGATCAATTGGGAACCTCAGCCCAGCAGTACCCGCATCCTGACACACGATGTCGTCCAAGCTCATAGCGGTCCAAATGGGGATTTCGGTGTAGCTACCTGAGGCGGCGTCGGTAGTCGTGGGCCCAAGTACATCGAAAGGGGCTGTATATTCTGAGCTCACAGTTGTGACTCCCTCCTGAAGGATATAGAACATGAGAAGAGGCTTAGCCTGTGTTAGCATGGAGTGTTCGGATCTGCCGGCATCCATCTACTGACCTTGTCACTCGTGGTGGGATCATTATATAAGAACGCATAATTGGCGATGTCCACCGGCTGAGTCCCATTCTTGGAGATATATTCATTGACGTTGTTGTAGACATCACTGAACTTGTCACCAGTGAAGATATAGGATTTGTAGGCCCAGGTGGGGTAGTCGATATCGTAAATCTTCACTGTGACTGAAGTTACGATGCCGAAGTTGTGGCCAGCTCCTTGCATAGCCCACCAGAGATCAGATGTGTTGTCGATGGTTTGCAAGGTGCCGTCTGCCAGAACGATGTTCATCGAAACGAACTGATCTGAAACGAGGCCATGGCGCCCTTGAAGCCACCCATGGCCTCCTCCCAGTCCTGGCCCGAGGATGCTTGTGCACTCGCATGCTCCAGTCACTGTGTCTGGTCAAGGACGATCCTTTTTCTGTGTTCATATCATTTACTGACCTGTCTGTTTTCCTGCGGCCCAAAGAGCTTGCGTGACGTTTGTGGACAGTGCACCGCCGCCGAGGGTAGCCGTTTTTCCATCCTCGGCGATCTCGACGGTCTGGAGCTGGTGCATCCAGATCGCAATTCCGCTCTCCATCCTTCCAACTGTGCTGATGGCCCCGTGGCCGCCATTGACGGCAAGGAACGGTATATTGCACTCAGTGGCGAATTTCACCTGGAAAAAAGTAAGATATGTGCCCCATCGGGACTAACAAAGACAATTTAGATATACATACGATCTCCGCAACGTCGCTCTCAGTGCCGGGAACTACAACAACGCTGATGGTCGGAGTCTCATATGACGACCACCGAGCTGTCGCCAGGTCGAAAGCTGTTGTCTCATTTGGATAAATTACGCTTGCAGTAGCCGAGAGCAAGGGTTCCAACGGTGATAGATCGTAGTAAGGAAGCCCTTGAGGGCACAGCAGACTGCTCATCCTGCTGTCGTGAGACAGAGTCCCACAAACAGAAGAGAGTGCCCAGGCGCCAACGGCGACGAGAACCTCCATCTTCAGACGCCGCAGCGACCGACCGCACAAGTCAGAGAAGCCAGGAATATTCATGATCAGAAGATGGTGCTACTGGGGTGCAAAGGTGTTGGTTCATGATTACGTTGCAATTGCAATTGGTTTATAGGTCAACCCCAATTCAGGGGTGGGTCTACTAACTCTGAAGGAGTGGGATGATTGCGAAGTTGCAATGCAAGGGGGCAGCGGGCTTAATCCTACACTAGGCGGGCGGATTGAAATCGTTGGGTGGGCCAACGTGGAATGCTGGGTCGGCCAATTATAGCCATCTCTAGGTCTGGAGTCGAGAGATGCAGTTATCGGCAACGTCGCCTCGATAAGCCCCAAGCGTGCCACGGCAGCCAAGACAGGAAATCCAAGGCATAGCAATCTCTCTCGCGCGGTTCCTCACGAAGCGCTTGGTTCTCCCTATTTTCCCCCCATTTGCTCTGCTCTGGTTTCTGAGCAATTGTTTTTCACTGATTATCCTGACCAATGTCTGTCTACGATCGACTGCACGCCTCATCTCAACGATAACTTCACCTCATGACGTGCTTTACAATAAGACGTCTGCAGACGAATTGTGTGCCATCCTCACTTAGTTCATCTACCAGTCCACGATTATATGGGACGGGAAGATTTCCAAGTATGCATCACTTGCCGAATACTTGGAACCTCACTATGAGGCAGATGGTGTCAGCGGTGCGGGTGGTACCATTCAAGCGTCTTACCTGTCAGTACAGCACAGGACCGACAGAATCTGGAGTCGTAAGAAGGAAGCTCAACGTACCAGAAGCCAGATTTAATTCACAAGCACCACACATCGAGAACGCAACGGTGAATCCTCAGACGTGATTTTCGGCGACAAGGAACACGACGCGGCTTGTAAATACCACTCCAGATAATTACAGTAGTACCGGTAGCTTGAGATTTGACAGTGTCGTCAACTGGCCTGAGCTTAGTGTATCACTTCCCGGACCAACGAGTCTCGAGTCGGCGATAAATTTCTATCAGCTCTGGCAGAGTGGAGATACTCGAAGGACAATGAAAGTTGGTGGCCTGGTCAATGAGTTCCGACCTCAATCTCAGTTGAACAAAAGTTACGTCTAAGGCACGGTATACCTCTTTCCGAATCACAGTCTTGGTTCCGTCGAAGACATCCTGGGTATCGCGGACACTATGTATGCTCCGAGCTTCTAGAAGGCTGCAATGAAGCCTTTCTTTCTATTTTTTTTTCTTCGACAAGGACATTCTCGCGTCGTTTCGTGTGATACATTCACATCTTCTGTATTGCAGTGGATTGCCTGTTGGTGATGCTTCAAACTCTGAACTCGCAGATACTCATGAGCCAGGTTTTGATGGAAGTTACGTGCCTTGATCGTGATGCAGGACTCATTGCAGCTGATTGGCGAGATATCAGCGTTTAATCTGCTTCCACCAGGACCTTCGAGCGCCGCCTTTGGTGGTGCGCTGATCCGCTTTACTTGTGAATTGTGTGAGGCATCCTTTCGCCCTGTTTCATACTACTACACGAGTCACATATACTTCTTTGGCTCTTTTTTACAATGTGTAATTTCTGGGAAGAGATGCTCAGGCTCTTGTGGCGATCGGAAAGCGAGTGGCGTTTGTCATTAGCTGCATGCGTTCGGAGTAATTGACTATCGGCTTTCGAATCACGTTACCATTGTCGCCACCCGGGCGACGTTCACTGGCATTTTTGTCAATGCACCCATGATAAATTCCTCTTTCGTATATTTGAATGTCATGCGGACAGATCTTTCGTGCTCAAAAAAAGAGCGAAGTCTGTGGCACTGAAAATGTACAGCTCATCATCATATGAGAAAGAACTGAGCAGCAATATTCGCATGAATGGCAGCGAATATGCCTGGACTGGCTCCCGTAAGCCATATACCAACACCATGAAAGATTACATAGCTTTAATTGACCACCTTGCAGATATTGCCTTGCTGCATGTGAGCTGAGTTCGGACTGCGTTCCGGACTTATTGATCTTCCCATAGTGTGAAGCTCGAAGAGCGATCACGTATGGGGTATTCAAGCACATTCATTCACGATTGAAGCCTTCGACTTAAAAGATTTTTCTGAGCATAATATCGAATCGCCCATGAGCACGCGTCCAAGATAAAACACTGTGTAGCCATTTGAAATGGGAGGGCGTATCTCAAACCCACTTGGATAGGTCTTGTTGCCCAATACTTCTGAGGTTATAGGGGCAGTGTTTGGGGCGAAGGTGCTTGGAAATTCTTTGATACGGAGCCTTTGACTGCTAGTATATGCCCCCATGTCCCCTATGTCCGTTCACAACGACCAAGTGCTTCGTGACCGTTCACGCATCATCAAAACACTAGATCTTTGACTGCACTTGACATTTGAGCGACAAGCACTCTATGCTCGAGCCTCACATGTAGTCTCTTTTGTATTTATTCATGCGCATGTGTTGTGGGGTGACGAATAGGGATAATGTGGCAAAAACACTCCAGGCCAAGCCCAGCTGGGCACTGTACTCGGAGTATCATGTATTCGCAGATCCACAATCGAACGTCATTGTCGTAAGTCAACTCGTTTCCTTGGCCGTTTTTCTGTCGTGAGGACGCAATGAAAAATGTTATATTCATTTCTCTGCATCTCTTAATGTTCTCAAGCAAAGCTTAACAGCGACGTTGTAGGCAAGGACCGTGAAGGTAGCCACGGAATGTAATGGTTACAGGGAAGAATCTAACCTTGGAGTACTCATCGTTCGTCTTCAAGGCAAAGTTCAAGACAGTGCGAGACCTCAAATGTCTAGTAAAGTTGTGCAATTGGACCATAAAGGCATGATATGGTTGAATTCTACGTGAAGTTTGTGCACTGAAGGACTATGACATAGATGCTATATTGCGCGCCACCAACGACAGGGAATATAATAAGACGTAAGGCATACATTTCACATGTCGGAGTAATAGACATGCGAACCCAGAGTCTGGGAATTCTGGTCACAGACTTATGCTTAATCCAGGCTGGTGGGCAGTATATATGTACACGGTGACTGACGAAGATTTTCTGGATGAAATGGAATTCACCATCCTATAGAGTGAAATCTTTCACACTTTTCACATATCAGACGCTTCGTTGTATTAGTTCAACTCAGTCAACCAAATGACTAGTTTTACACCTCTATCGTTCCCAGTCACTGGGGTCTCGTTCCAGAACGGGCACTTCGGTCTAGATGTGAGGACGAAAGTCCGCGGACTGAGCGATTTTGTCTCCAGTAAATGGAGATCTGCTGTGGGAGATTCAAGCCCCAAGAAGTCGATGATACGCAGACTCAGCGAGATTGTGTCCGGAGAGGAACAAGAAGAAGCAGAAGAGAATGAGTCGGCACAACCGAGCCCATCAGAGACAAATTCATCAGAGCCAGCGTCACCGGAGCCGAGTCTCCTACACGGGAGAAGATTCTCCCTATCGCCTTCCATCGGCAATGCACCGAGGCGCAGGACAAGCATTTGGAGCCATTCCGGCGAGTAGGATGATTTTGCAAATATTTGGTATGTTGCCCTACCACGAGACCCTGTTCAATCCGCCCAGGCTGACATTGAGCAAAGATGCGATGCAATTTGTCTCAATGTGTTCATACTTCTTTGGCGTCATTTGGCACAATGTTGGCGTTTGTCATTGAGGGATTGATCGATTCGGAAAGCATCCAGACTTCGGTAATCCACCAGCGTAGGTCTTCCTGTTTATGGACTGCAAAGATACCGAATTTACGTTTGCTTGTCGTGAATTATATATTTATCAGTGCGCGATGGCGTCTTTGATGAAATGCAAAACCCAATGGTCAATTCCTCCAGGCTGAACATTTTAATTATTGGTGCCTGTTGCGCTATAGAAAGTTGTTGGTGGCCGGGAGGTCTGTGTTACGGCCGCTAGGATGCGATGTATGCATTCACTGTTGGTATCCAGTACGGCATCCGATCCTCCATTGATTGACTGGGAATGTTCCTGTTGTGACTTGGTTGGACTGTGAGCCAAGATCAGACCGATGAATGCCATAGGCTACACTGGCGATGGGCCACGTTCAGATAGGATCAAATGGGATTGAGAGTGGTTGGATGGGATTGGATCGAGATAAGGGAACCTATATCGAGATCCTTAATCATGTCACAAGGCGTGCGAAATGCAGTCGATCTGATGCATTGTACTCTAGATGAAAGTGGGTCGGGCCGCGGGTCGCTACAGGTCGCTACAGGCCGCATCGCGCGCCAAACGCGCGCCTTGTTGTCTCACATGCAACCCCTCCTTGACCTCATTTTTTTCTCCAACGCAGTGTCTGCCTGCTGCTGAAGATATTTGGCTTTTCACAACGTATGATGCTTCGTTTACGTAGCATCTCACCCTAAGTCAAGCTTGAACCCAGAGCAGACAATCACCACAATGGCTTCCAGATACCGTGACGACTCCAATCGGAGCAGATCGCCGTCACCGCCCTTTCAAGATACACCAACAACATTGTTATCGCAGTCTCAACACTTACCCCCAACACCAGGACGGAAGGTCACATGTCCTCACAGCCAGCTTCAAAACAGAAAGCCAAGGAGGTATGCTTCGTGCCTTTCCAAATAGACGACAAAGACCCTCGGCTAACGGTAAAAATCTCCAAGATGGCCGCTCGTGCTCCGCTTCATCAAGGGCGCGATCCACAGAGACATTGCCCTCTCCGTCTTCTGCCACGCGCTATTCACCACAATAATCGTTGTCCTGCATGTCCGTCTGCAGCACAACTTCGGCCTCCCATCGAGCGTGGTCTCGTCGCTCTCGATTGTGGTCGGTCTGATGCTTGTCTTCCGCAATCAGACGGCCTATCAGCGCTTCTGGGACGGCCGGAACAACTTCGCCACCGTCATTACCTCGGTGCGGAACCTTATGCGGTCCTTTCTCGCCTGCTCGGGCGGGCCTGGGGGCAACAATGCCGCGCAGCTGTCTCAGACTGATCGTGTCGATGTCGAACGGACGGCTCGCATTCTTATGGCCGTGCCTGACAGTATCAAGAACACCCTCAGAGCCGAGTGGGGCGCCCTCAACACCGCGGCAGACCAGTACGGCCATGGCCTGCTCCCCCAGGGACTGCGTGGACACGAGGACGAGGGGCTGACGATGCCGGTGCAACTAATGTTCCTAGTTGAGGCGTTTATTGCCCGTGGTCATGCCAAGGGCTGGTTCCACGCCCCGCAGGCCTCGCAGCTGACGGTGCAGGTCAACACATTGGTCGATGCATTTGGCAAGATGGAGACCATCCGACTCACTCAGTTTCCTGTGGCCATCCTGATACATCAGCGGCAGGTTCTGGCGCTGTTTGGGTGTGTGTTGCCGTTTGCTGTGGTGGATGAGAGCCACTGGTGGTCGGTGCCGATTGTTTCTCTGATCATGTTCACCTTATATGGCATTGAGGCAATTGCCTGCCAGCTTGAGGACCCTTTTGGGTACGATCGGAATGATATTAAAATGGTATGCAATTGCCCAACAACTTAATTTCCCTGACCCTCGGTCTGCCCCTAGTTCCAAAGTTTATCGGGACTGGCTCGGCATATGCTTGAACATCAACTTACAGCATCGAGGTTACATTGAAATGCAAACATATTGTTTCAGTAGCACGCTAACCACGAACTTTATTAGGATGTTATCGTCGAAGACGTTCGCGTTGAGTTGGGAGTGATGCTCGACGAATGGAGATCCACAGTCGCCGGGCCTGTCAAGAAGGCCATGTTTTTGGATGATGTTTAGACCTGACCTGGTGATTTTCTTCGGACATACGGATATGGCGCAACCTCCATGACTTCGAAATACCCGGGGCACGTTCTTTGTCTCGTGGCCCTATAGACCGACTTTTGAGAAATGCTCACACCGACAAAATCGTGGTTCTCACAACTCCCCTTCCCAGCGGATCCCGACGATCTTGTTCGGGGTGGACCGAGAGGAACTCAGGGTTCCAAGGTTCATGTCGAAAAGGCAGGATTTCTGACACAAAAATGGTAGAGATCGCCGCCAGTCAGCTGTTAGAGCTGACGCCGGAGATGATAGATCATGTCGTGACCTGGTTGGCTTAAGATGACGATAATGACTGCAGCGCGACACGAGAACAAGATGAAGACAAGACGGCACTGCAGCGGGCTAGCCTGGCGTACCTGGCTAGCTGTATGACGCAGGGTCAACTACCTGCCAAAGATTTTTTAAAAGATTCTACATAGACTAACTACATCATGGCCCGCATTTAGTAGACCGATGGCTTTTGTGGCTTCATCTGATATTTCCGCCGCCACGAGCAAATCACAATCAACACCACACGCCAAGCTTTGCTATTTTGGCCCAGTTCCCCTGAATACACGCTGCGTGCATCCCTGCAGCTGGTCGCAGTCGGTATGTGGTCGGCTCGAATGAAGTGCCGCCAAGTGCCATGACACGACCTCAGGGGTGGACTGTTAGCTGCATGCATGCCGATCTTGTTGGGATCCCGAGCCTTGGACGAGCGCTGACGAGTCGTGAGCGGCTGTCGGTAAATCCTCCTGCCTAGTCCTGCCAGCCCACCAACCCCCCTGCCCATGCCGCCATCGCCCGCAGCCCTGGCGCAGCGCGTGTGTGTGGAGCAATAAGCAGCCACCGGTTCGTTCCCTAGCAACCTAGTTGCATACTATGACTGCACCGCCAACCTCCCCCATTGTTTCGGCCCTTAATTAATAAAACTCCCCGTTGAGACCCGTTGAGGGGTCCGACATACCCGGAAAATAAATAAGATAAAGCAGATCTGCTGCGACCTTGTGCTGCCGCTTTCCTTCTCAGTGAGCTAGTCCCTCCCAGGTCTTTATTGCAGTTTGCACAGTCTGTCGCTTCCGGCCCAGTGGAGTTCTCTAAATCCTAATCATGAAGACAGTCTCCGGCTCCGTCAGGGGAATTGCTGTGGCTGGTGCCGTGGCCGGACTCGGGGCTCTTCACACGGCGGCCGCCTTCCCCCTCTCTGAAGATCCTATTCTCCCTCCGCTCGCCAGTCGGGACGTGACGGGAAATGGCGATGACTTGAGCGGCAAGACATATGACTACATCGTCGTCGGTGGTGGTCTGGCTGGTCTGACCGTGGCCGCCAGGTTGTCTGAGGACTCTGATGTGACCGTTGCCGTCATCGAGGCCGGCCAGGACATCTACGGCGCAGATCAGACCAGATTCCTCACGCCGTCAGCGGTTCTGTACGATTCGTTCCTGAACACCGAGTACGACTGGAAGTATGTGACGACGGCACAGGCTGGTCTCAACCAGCGGACCACGCCATGGGCCCGAGGCAAGGTCCTCGGCGGCAGTTCGTCAGTCAACAGTATGTACATGGTCCGGGCTTCGTCCCGGGAATTCAACTCGTGGGGCTCGCTTATCGGTGCTCCCGAGCTGTGGGGCTGGGACAGCATGTTTGCCGCCATGAAGAAGTCGGAAGATTTCCAAGAGCCTGTTCAGGCTGTGCGAGACATGGTGCCCAGCCTTAAATGGAATCCAGCCAGCCATGGTACTGGAGGCAACATCAAGACGGGGTGGCCTGGCGTCAGCTATCCTTTTGTCCAATCTTTCCTGACCGCCGTCTCGAACCTTGGCACGCCCATCTCCAGCGACCCGGACGCTGGTGATGCCTGGGGGGCGTTTCTGGCCACGTCTGCCATCAACGCGCAGGTTTGGCAGAGATCCAGCTCACGGACGGGCTACTTGGACAGCATCGACACAGAGCGAACCAACATCCACGTCCTCACTGGCCACCAAGCCACCAAGGTGCTGCTCGACACCTCGGACCCCAACAGCGTCAAGGCCACCGGCGTCCAGTACGCCACGAACGCGAGTGCTCCGGTATTGACCGTCAACGCGGCAAAGGAAGTGATCATTTCTGGTGGCACTATCAACTCGCCGCAGCTTCTGCAGCTCAGCGGCATCGGCGATGCAACCCAGCTGAGCCAGCTCGGCATTCAGTCGACAGTCAACCTCCCTGGCGTAGGCCACAACGTCCAGGACCATATCAGCGCCGCCCTCCTCTACCCCCCAACAGATCCAAGCAAGCAGCCGCCAGCCAAGATCACCGGCGACGCTGTAACAGACTCGTTTGTCCAGTCTGCCATCGCATATATCAACCTGACAACTCTCGTTGGTGCCGAGTCGGGCACTCTCCTAGACACGCTGCGCACCAATGTCAGCAATGCCATCAACAGCGCCGCGGTATCAGATGCGGTTAAGCAGGGGTGGAACCTCACATATACCAGCCAGGTGAACAACGTCTACGACTCACCGGTAGGACTCGTCGAGATTCTTTTAGCCGACATCTACGGCACAGTCAACATACAAGTGGCACTCCAACAGCCCCTGTCTCGCGGCTCGATCCTCATCACGAGCACGGACCCCTTCGCGCCGCCCGCCATCGACCCCAAGTACCTCTCTCTCGACGTGGACCTGCAGCTGCTGCGCGAGGGCCACAAGCTGGCGCGCAAGATCGGCGCCGCCATGACGGACGTGCTGGGCGCCGAGTCGCAGCCGGGGACCGCGGCCGTGGCCAGCGAGGACGACGCCGCGTGGGACGGCTTCATCCGCCAGAACGCGGGCACCGAGTACCACCCGTCGTCGTCGTGCTCGATGCTGCCGCGCGAGCAGGGCGGCGTCGTCGACAAGAACCTGCTCGTCTACGGCACGTCGAACCTGCGCGTCATCGATGCCAGCATCGCGCCCACGAGTGTTAGTGCGCACTTGATGACTGCGACGTACGGCATTGCTGAGATCGGCGCCGATATTATCAAGGCCGCGCGCAAGGCCGCGACCCAGTCTGCTACGGGTAAGCTGCAGCAGGCTCAGGAGGTCAGCCCTGCTGCTGAGAGTGGGGATGAGCAAGGCGAGGAGAAGGATTCCTCCAAGACGGCCGTCGTGTCTGCTGGGGCTGGGACTGCTGCGGCGGGTTCGGTCCTGGCGGCCGGCTTGGTCATCGGCCGTACGGCCCTGCGAAGATGGCAGGGTCAGAAGTACGCCCAGGTTGTGTCTTGAGAGGATGGACATTCATGTGATGTGATCTTATGATAATGTTTTGACTCATGTATCATTGTTGGTTGGATTTACTCAATGATGGTGGCATCTGGTATATTTTTTTCTTCACGAAAGTAATGTATGTACTACGATTCACTTTACGGAGGCTGGCTGGATTGCGCTTGCCGATACCCTTGGGTCTTGTTTATAATGATCTTCTTTCGGGGGGTTGGCTTGCTTCGTGGGCTTCATTCGGACGGAGCGTGCCCCCTGGTTCATGTACAGTAGATAGATACTGGACCACTTTCTGAATCTCTTATTCAGATCCAAATCTGAAAATTCATATAAGGAAGAAATTTCCATTGAATGTGACTATTTATTATTGCTTAGGTTGTGGTTGTCAGTTCAAAGCGAAATGTAGTATAGAAGCAATTGACCTACACCATGAACCAGTACTGCAGTTCGATGAACACTTCTGGTTCACACTTTCCAGCGCTCCGAGAGCCCCCATACGTTTCCAAAGGCTGCCTGAGCTTTTTCTCCGTGCTAGGAAAGCGCTCACTCGACGAGAGCCGTCAGCCGAGGAAGGCCCGTTTCACGTGCAAGTGGTACGCACGTGGTGGGTTATGATCAACATCGAATGTGCAGGACGGAATGATGATCTTCTGTGCTAAAATAGTGTGACTAGCTAAACAACATCCTTGGCATCAACCCCTTCCCTCCCTCATACCCCAGTTCTATACTCACGAATAATTTCGTTAGACTTACAGACAAGAGAGAAATTCGTGCGAGACAACTCCCGATCAGTCAGAATTAGCTATCTGTCCTCCGATCACGAATAGTGCCTCCACTTTCTTATGATTACTAGATTGCCCCTCTAGGCCAACGTAGCCATTGGTGCGTTTCTATTCTTATCGCACGCGTACGAATGTACCTGGGCCACTGAGTGGAGACTTACCTTTGCAAACTATTTGACACCTCGGGTCAATATTTGAAGGCTTTTCTAGCTGTGTCCACGGCGGATGTACAATTTTCGCCAGGCACGTTGCCACTGGGATTGAAATCTCTGACATCCTATCTATGCCCTGCTTTTTTGCGCCTTTGCCTTCTACAAAGCAATCATACGTGGGTTCGTCACTTCACAACGTGGAGTCTCATGCGTTATTAATTGACAATTGCGAGTATTTCATTACGTCACCTGAAGAGGGCCGTTGGCCTTAGAGCCGTATGTAGTTGGCATATATGCACAATCCGGTCTGAATGACTAATATCCGACGCCGCGTCTGTTGGTATAACTCTTTGGGTATTATTTCCGATTCTCAAGGCAGTAGCATTCTCGCTTGCACAGGACTTTTATGCCTTCTCCAAGCCGTCCTTGTTGACGTGGACCTCTCCACGGTATATTTCCAACACCGTCATCATCGGTAGCGCTAGCATCAACAGACTGACCATCGTAGCAAAACTCCACTGTTTCTCACCCGTGTCTGACAATGGTGTGGTGGGCTGCCCGAATGCCTGCGACGTATAGATGACACGGACTGTGGCTCCCACAGCAATGGCAGTCATCGCCGCCCAGCCCGCCAGCTGCACCCACTTGAAGGCGCGCTGCCTTCTGTCATGGAGGTACCAGGTGGCGGCGAGGAAGACGAGGCAGTTACCAGCGATGACGGCGATGGTCCCTACGTACGACAGCCCAGCGTTGGTAGCCTTGTTTCCCTCGACCTGCCACGCGCAGGTGGTTGGGAGGGTGGTGGTCTCAAGGTCCTTCTGCACCACCTGCAGCATGAAGATGCCGTACACGCAGCTCAGCACGAGGTTGACCAGCATCAGGACCTGTCGCAGCCAACGGAGGACCGTGTCGGAGCGGAAAGAGGCGACGAGGACGAGGAGGGTCAGGTTGTGGACACCCATTGACAGAAGGGACAGCATCCAGATGATGAAGAAATGGTACGGCACCAGGGTGTTGATCTGGGCGAGGCCGACGGCCTGGATGCCGATGCCGTAGAGGATCTGCTGGTCAGAGAAGCCATAGAGCAGCTTCCGGCGGATCACGCCCAGGGCGGGCTTGTGTGTGTTGAGGAAAGACTCCTGGAGGATCAGCGAAAGGGAAAGGGCGACGGCGAGCACGGCGGGGATGATGAATCCGAGGATGACCTATGGTATGTTTAGTCGATCGATCTTCAAGCGATTTGCGTGCTAAGCACTCTATGGCGCCATGCAGCTCTATCCACTATGATCTGCGAAGGCCCCGTCATACTATGGAGCAGTGGAGAGACGGCCTCGCTGTAGACTTGAACGGGGCGGTACTAGATCGAACTCGCAGTTGGTCCTTACGGTGGAGTCTGGATTTTCCGCGCAGACCAAAAGTGACGACCTTGAGAGAGATATGGAGGGTGTGGGCGTCAATCAGGAGTCACTTACACCGAGGCCCGCAATGCCGGCGTTTGACGGCGTGGTCGCCGGAGGATTTGTGCAATTTGCAGAACTCATTTTGCTGAGTCGGCTGCTAAAAGAGTGACGATGCTGAGATGAGAAATGCAAGTTCACGAGCAGCGGCACGGCCGCATCGCAGTGTCAGTAGCAGCAATGAAAGATCGGAAGTCAACTGGTGAGACGGTCTCCAGGTTGGGCGAGAAAAGGGAAGGGGAAAGCTGAAATGAGATGACGCAGTTCTGCCTGTGGCTTTGCCCTCTTTCTACCTGACACAAGGGATGGGTGGCCTCTACCAGGCCTAAATAAGGAGGGGGTGAGCATTGAATGTGGCAGTGATAGGCGCGGGAGGCGTGCCCTTGTCTGCTTCTGGTTGGCCGTTGCATGGGTCACGACTGTTACAACTTCATGCGCGGTCGCGCCTGGGCGGCCAATCCACTCGCCCAGCAGCAGAACTCTCCTTTTTGGGGGAAACAAAGAGCACGAGTCGACCAGCATCTTCAAAAATAGGGCAGCGTCTCGCTTTGTCTATTCCTTTGCCTGTCGAGACATTCGCCCTTTTACTTTGTTCCGGATAAGCGCGCAATGCATATTTACTCACGAGGAATAATAACCGCGATGTTTCAATCTCGAGTGAGTGAGACATCCATCACGGGAGCTAGCCATAGGGCCGAACTCTACCGCCTGCTGCCTTGGCATCCTTGGGTAGACGCACGGAAATAACAGGTCTGTGTCTATTTCCGATAGAACTTAGAAACGCCCCTAACCAAGACTTGCACTGAATGTCCATACGGTGATGTGGTAAGGGGTTCATAGCAGTACTGCTTTAAACAATCAAACACTTCTAACTCTAGTTCCATCATGGGCCTGGATTTGGTGGTGTATCGAGACATCAAACTCCCGATTACAAGCTCTAAGCACTAGACACTACTGCACAGCACCTAGATAGATGGTGATGTACGTAAGCAATTATTGCAAAGCTGATTGATCAGAGTAAAGACGCCGGGGCGAATATCTACAAAGTCGCCATCGCCCGCAGTTTTGACGTGCTGCTACGCCTGAGTGACCTCACCACTCGGGTTGGGCAGTCGTGCCGGATCTTGCGCGATTATGGACACCCTCTCACGTACCATCATTCCACGAGCACGAAGGAATAATGGCGCAAAAAGAAATTCTTGTTGCAGCAGTTTGACAGTTGTGCCTACGAAATGTTCCCCATTAACAGGGCGTCGTCCTGAACGTTCTTCGAATGCAAGCGTGAATGAAAACTGCATCATTAAAGTCTTCCTGTGCAAGACCTCAGCGTGACTTTTTCCAGTATGGCGATCCCAACAGATGCTCCCCTGACACCCCGACTGCGAGTCGCCATCTCAGGCGGCGGACCGGCTGGTCTGGCAGCGGCCATAGCCCTTCTCGAAAAGCCGGGATTCGATGTGACTATTTACGAGCAGGCCACAGAGCTGCGAGAGGTCGGAGCAGGATTGAGGGTTGGGTACAATTCCTGGAGAGTTCTTGAACTCTTGGGCGTAGCGGACAGGGTTAACGGACACATCAAGGTCGATCACCAGCATAGGTACGAAAATGGGTCCCGTGATAATGGCCAGTTGGACAGATACTGAACATCAACAGAGATGGAGTCACTGGAGAATTATTGTATACGTACCCGCCTTACGTCGGCGAATGGAGATACCACGACACACGAGCGAGACGCACTGTGTTGCAAGATGCTCTCAAGAGCCGCGTGCCCTCACATATCATACAATTGAAGAAACGATTGGTTAGTTTGGTTCAGCAACCTGAAGGCGGAGTAGTTCTGCTGTTTGAGGATGGCACGTCCGCACATGCAGATTTAGTCGTCGGTGCAGATGGCATTCGATCAGTCAGTGCATACCTATTCTCTACCACTATCACTGATTGGGTAGAATCTGACCAGAACATAAGGCGGTCCGAAAGAGCACATTTCCTAACCATGAGACCGCTTATAACGGGACCACTATTTGGCGCTGTTTGATACCTCTTGATTCCGTCGACCATCTGTCAATCACCAAATATACCGCCTTCCACCATGGCCCGAAAAGAATGTTCAAGTGCTCAGTAGTATCTACACAGGAGGAGATTGAAGCAGGGAAAGGGCTTTGGGAGTTGACTCTGCGGTCTTACGAAGATCCGGCACAGACCAAGGGCAAGAAATACAGTTGGGGCATCCCGGCTAGCAATGAACGAGTTGCCAGGCATTTTACTGTGCGTTTCACTTACCTGAAATTCTAAACTCAGCTAAAATAAGTGACAGGCATTCTCACCCGAAATTCGCGAAGCGATTGATCGAGTACCAGAGGGCACTTGGAAAGAGTTCTCGGCCTTTTCTGGGCCAAGACTGCAACAAGTCGTGTCCCATGGAAACATAGCGATCATCGGGGACGCATCCCACCCTCTACTAGGTATGAGCTTCGATCTTGATTTCGCGGCATTCATTATCCTGACGGCGTGTATAGGGGCTTTTGGTACTGGAGCAGGCTTCGCAATGGAAGATGGGTGGCTGCTTGCGCAAATGCTAGAGCTATGTCTCAACCAACATAAGAACGACAAGAAGCGTGCTGTTCGAGAGAGTCTTGACCATTTCGACAAGATCCGTTCGCCGTATTACCACAAGATATATGACGTACTTGACGCTAAACCGCAGGGTGGCAAAATCGATTTTGCCGCATGGTCACCAACGCCTGGAGGGCCGTTAGACTGGATTTATTTTCATGATATTGGGGAAGACTGGAAGCGATTCCAGGCAGAGTTCAAGATACGTATTTAGTGAGCCTCGCTGGGTTTTGCAAATTGCGCAAGCCCCTCAACTTACGAGCAGGAGATTGTGTGGCTTCAATGGAGAAGGTTCAGCATTTAGATGGTGGTGGTGGTCTTGCTTCCTCACACAGTTTTCGTTCGTTTACATCAAAGTCGGAACTATTGTGACAGAATTGTCTCATGTGGCGTATCTCATGTTCGTACAAAATAAGGAATTGCTTTTCCCATCAGGCTGCGGGCCGTGATCATGAGATCTACAGCACTCTGACTGCTACTCTCTTTCTGGAGCGGAAAGGTCTGTTGTCGAATAATGTAATGGACAGCCAAACGTGGGTTGTACACCTTCGAGCTTTCCAAGATTTTCAGCAAGGCAACTGTAGTTCATATGCGGTGTCTAGACTGTAGACTGTGACAGATGTGTGCAACATAAAGAAGCTCAGAGACACGCCGGGCCTTTCTCCTTTTTCACCTCCTCGGCACCTTCAAAGGTTAGACGTTTCAGTCGAAGAAACATGAGAAGAGATGAAAGATTTCAACAGGCAGCCGTGATGGTCTCGGGATCAAAGTTAACAAAACGCTTGATCAAACAAGATTCAATGCAGGTTGCGCTGCTGCCGAAGAGAAGAATGCCTGTGAGGGTTTTGTTTCTTTCTGGAATTGGTGAGCCTGCAAAACTAAAAGAACCCCGATAAACATTTTGATGACTTAGTCCGCAGGTGAAGTTACAGCATTGGGATGCCCAAGGCCAAAGTTACGGACTAACAGCCCCCCTTCCTCCTCAACATCAGAGCCGCGCCTATTAAAGCAGCAACGGAAGGCTGATCTTCTACACCAAATCTAAGGTTTCCTCCATCAGACTATCTCCCGTTGACTTGCATCTCTTTTCGTACCAGCAAGCTCAGACCATCCTCTCGACAATCATGGAAATGCATAAGGCAATATATGCAGCTGACGATAAGAGAGTCGTCTGCGAGTGTGGCGTAGAACTCCGGGAGCCAGCCATGCACTTGTGTCCTGTCTCTAAGGTCATCGTGCATCTTAGAGACCAGCTTCATGGATTCCGAGCTTTTCTGGGAATCCTCGACTTTGCAAAGGATGGCCCACTCGTCTATGGCTTGCGTTCGGAAACTGAGAAGTTACACCAGGGCTTCATCGAGTCTTTTTACCGCGTTCGGAATGATAGCGAACAACACCCCGAGTGGTGCCTGGATGAGTACATCTCTAGAATGCGGATGGACTTTGATGCGACTGCGCAAGGCTATGTTAACGATGGAGAGGAGGATTGGCGCACTGAACCCCCACGTTCCGTCGTCCCACACAACGTCTTCACAAACAACACAACGCTGGGAAATGCGAAACATGAGATTTACTTTTTCTACGAATTGTGTCTAGAAATGATTAGCAATTGGTCGGGCTATCACCATTGTGGATACGACTGGGAAGCTGATGGATGTCAATACCTGAGTTCAGTCGACAAGTATTTTCAAGACACATTCGGAAAGATTACCCTCCTGCCCAGAGCTGAGAACGCTGCCATGCGAGACCTTGTCGAGAAAACGTTCGAAATCTGGAAGGAGACCCGGCGATTGTTGTGCGAGTATCCGCCACGCACATCAGCATCATCAAATCAAAGCACTTGATACCGGTCCAGGTCTCAAGCCAGCCTCATCAAGCTCATCATACCCTCACCATCGGCTTGATCTAGACGGACGCACAATTATTTGGCTACTTGTACCTTTGACGAAAAATAATCACAAAAGACCGAGGTTCCTCTCGCTGGTCCCTGTCACCCATGGTTAGAGCAGGAAAGCCCTCTCGTCATCGAGTGCAATAGAAGGGCAGCCATCCTATGAATTGGAGCTTGTCGGAACTTTGCAGGGGAGGAGTTGTATGTCAGGGGCAGTGTCTAGACTGTACACTTTGGTAGCTATGCGCTGATAAGGTTTTGAAACAAACCAGTGACTATGCCGAATGCTGCAACACCGTCCGTTCACAGCATTTGGTTGAGTCTATCTTTATTCGTATCAGAGCATACTGAATACAATGCAAATAAGCACAATCCACTCTATCGATCTGCACGTTCGCATCGAACATGTCCTTTGAGTTCAACAAGTTTGCAAGTCTTGCACATTCTGGGCCAGTATAAGCAGTTGGTTGAGATTTATTTTTTCAATCCTGGTAGTACCACGAAGATAGAGGTTCCTAAACTTCTCCGCCGTGATCATTTTTCCAAGAGCCAGCATAGTGGTGCTTGACCAATGAAGGTCCAACCGCCTCTGTCCCTTCGTACGTGTTCATGGACGAGGCAAACGAGAAGCCAGGAAGAACTAAAACCTCTCCAAGCATCTTTGGCTCTCTGATAAACCAGGTACTCTTCTCCAATGTTACAAACTCAATGTCATTCAACCCAAACCCTTGCTGTATCCCTTTAAAGATGCTTCGGGTCAGCCTTCTAGGCCCTGTAAAGTCAACAACATCACCAACCATAGATAACGTGATACCGCCAATAGTTGTTTCTTTCTCTGAGGCAATACGGTGCAGATCCTGGCTAATACCCTCGATTGCTATCATCATATGTGGTAGTTTTGGCTTTGCTGCTAAAGACCAGCTTTCTAGCTGGTGGATAATCTCGTAGCCCCAGCCCATGTCGAACTCCCAGCCGACAAGGAGGGAGGTATTGCTTTGGTATTGAGCGGGGACCCAGTCGTCAATCGGAACCTCGCAGGACACATCGAGATCGAACCAAATGCCCCCTTCCTCATGTAGAAGAAGATAGCGAAGAAAGTCGGCTTTGAGGATCGGGATGGTGAGATTGAGGTAGCTTTCGAGGATGTCTGGTCGATGAGCGTACTTATCACGCACCCATTGGTCTGCCGACGTGTCTGTCATGAATTCGGCATGGTATTCGGGGTTCAGCTCAGTACAGCTCTTTGTCCAATTTCGAGCTTCGTCGCTTAATCCCCTTGGGCCAAGTTTGTACCATATCTTGTTTGGGAAGACAGATGATGATGATTGTGATGACGAGGACAGGAAGAGTGTTGGTCTGCGAAATGGAGCAGCGGCACGCCAACAATTGTATAATATGAAGCCGACGACGAATGAAAGGACGATAAACTTTCGCCTTGGCGACCAAGAAGGAAGCCACGTCGTCAACATTAGTGTTGGAGTCGTTCGTCGTTTGCAGGCGATGGAGTATTACTGCTTGCTAATTGATGAGTGGAAGGAAGGAGGCAAAAATGCCTGCGTGGGCAAATATCTATACTTCTGACTGCCCAGCGTTTGCTGTGGGCTGTACCTGTCGCCGCAGTGGCCGCTGTTCACCAGATGGAAACTCGCAGCAAGCCCGTTCGTAATGTTAAATAACGGTGCTGGAGTTCAAACTCTGCGCGTACCCGAGTTCTATCATAATTTTAGAAAACGTGCTCAGCTTGGCCTTGTTCCCCTTCGACACATGCTTGCAGGGCGAAAGAAAAAGGGGGCACGCCGAGATCACCGGCTGCCGAGATCATCTGGCGCACAAAAGATGTCAAGCCAAACGATCCTGCACATGGCCAGCTCGGTAGGGCTTAGATTGCAAAGAGATAGGGACGAGCGGGCTTCTTGCATGAATTGAAACAAAGGGGCTTGAGTGCGCTTTCATGGGTAAAGGAAAGGGAGGGGTTGGGCTTTGGGGGCCATCAGAGTCCTCGGGCGCAGACCTCACCGAATTTAACACCGGTTGAACGAACAAACGAATGAGATTCCCGCATCACTTTCCAGCTACCTGCAGGCACCTCGGGGGCGGCCGCATACATGCACATGCTGTGCCTGTGTATCTGCGGCTGTGCTTGGCCAGAATCTCAGCACTGGTGAGCATGCCGCATCTGCCAAGACGCGTGGGACCTTCGAAGCCTAAACCTGGTTTCGGGATTTTCACGAGACCGTCTTCTTTTTGGGTGGCAGCCTAGGGCCAAAAATCGTGCACCGCACCAGCACAGCGTCAGATCACGCGCTGAGAAGACGTACTTTTCAAAGATGGTGGTCGGCAACTGGATGAGAATCCCCGTAAGATGATCCATGGTTCCCACCGGCCCACCCCTCAGTTCAGCTGGTCAGCTTTAGCTTCTGGCCTCCGGCTTGTTGTCAGAGAAGGCTACCCATAGCGATCAATGTCCTGCAAGCGAGCCCCTATGCACTCATACTCTGCTGGCCGCTGGCTCTCTAGATGCCAGATCCGCTCGAGGGTCGGGTTTCTCTTTCCATTAAATGTGTCAACATAGAAACTACTTTTGGTGTTGCGGAAGTGTATTGCTGAGGAGAGGCCGCTTTCTGCGTCGCCCGTAACTGTCCTAGCATCAGCTTTTTCGACCAAACACGCCAGGGCAGGGCTGGGTAGGATGCGCCACTGCAATGATAGGAATTCTCCCTGCAAGTAAGCCGGAAATTGCTATCATCCTTCCTTTTGAGTAATGCCCTGTGGCTGGACGGCCACTTGCGCAGTTATGAACCCGCTATCATCCTTTCTCCTGCTGTCCTCACAATTCTTGCTCAACTATCATACTTTGCAGCGCTTGCGACAAACAGTCTCAGTCATTGAGGGCTTTTCCGGACCCACAATGAACTGGCGAACTTTAATCATAGCCCTCCTGGCACCTTTAGCCATGGCGGAGATGAGCTTCATCAACCCTCCATCCAGCTTAAGTGGCGGAGGAGCATTTAGCACAAATACTGTGTTCAGGGAACAGACACTGGTGACGGTCAAATGGTCCGGGACAACGTCGAATAGCTCCTCGACAGTGGTGTTGTGGCAAGTCAATGCCAGCCTGGCAACTGCGTCAGATACCTCCGACGACATAAATGCAGCAGTCATAGGAGACTTGGAGTATGTTGCTCGTGAGTGTTCGCGTTCCCAAGACTCTCAGGAGTTCAAGTTCAAGTACGCAACGGTGATACTGACATGTTTGTTGTTCTTCTCGTTCACAGGAGCAATAGACTGGCAGGTGGACGATACTCCTTGGACTGTGACCACGCGAAAGGACCTTTCTGTGTCGAACATGTTCTTCATGAGTCTATACCAAACAGGCTCCACGAACCCCGATGACTACAGCGTTTACTTCAACATCTCATCAGCAGACGGCAGCAGCTCTACCTCATCGACAGCACCCTCTTCAACCAGCTCATCCCCGACAAGTTCCTCTGCGACCGATGCGGCTGCGACCACGTCCAGCACGAGCGATAGTGGTGGAGGTGGTGGCTTGTCAACCGGTGCTCAGGCCGGGATCGGCGTCGGCGTCGGCGTCGCAGCCATCATCGCCCTCGCTGGCGCCTGGCTGGCTATCCGGCACCGCAAGAAGGCAAAGAGCAACGTGAATCAAGCCGCGACAACAGCGCCTGGAGAGTACAAACATGCAACAGTCGGGGAGACTACATGGAATGGATATGGCGGACATCAGACGACGCCGCACGAGTTGTCTGGACGGAGTAGTCACCCGGTTGCCCCTGTTGAGATGGACTGAAAAGTATGAAATAGGTAATTGCCTGGCGGTAAGCTACACCCGCGTTTATGCATAGGTTCACTTCTGAATGCATCTATGGTTGATTCTTAGAAATCATTGATATTTTATCTTAATTAGAGTCACCATCTGCATAATACACTGTTTATCAACAGCATGTTGACTTCAATGACTGAGGCGGAAGTCTGTGCTGGCAGGCACCGGAGCATTTCCAACTCACTCGCCCAGGTAGTCCCCGCATATGCAGTAGTAAGCATAACCTTTCAATAGGTTCTAATTATTTCTTCTTTTTGTTCTTGTTGTTTCGTCTTTTTTCCTTTTTTCTTTTGGTCCTGATCCTTCCAAATCCACAACCAAGAAATATCCTCTAAAAGTCCACAGCCAACATCGGCAGACATCACAATGCCTCATCTACGTGTCGCGCATGGCATATCGGTGCCCTAATTTAGCTCCCAACTTATCAAATCGGCCTGTCTCTCTTCATCCGTCATGAAAACCCCTTACGTGCGTTCTTGTAGAGCTCTGTACAGTAATGGGATTCTTTGCGACACTTGCATGACTTAGACAAGCATAAGAATAGCCTCTTTGCTACACCTGTGTCCCCCAGGATGTTGTACGATCGATAAGAGCAACAACGCCCCGAATGCATTTAGGCGTCCCAATACTTCTGGTAGAGATGACGAGGGAAAGACGACACGGTATCAGGCCATCAGGCTAGTTTAGTCGGTGCAGCCAGCAAACGGTTATCAAGAGCACTATACCACGGAATTTCGACAGTCTAGCCGTGTACGAAGGGGTTGTTCAGCACACCGGCGATCGAGACATGACCACAAATAGAGCATGCTAAGCTTTTGCCAAGTCGATCACATCTTTCAGACGTCCCACAAAGCTTGTTGCCCGAAAAATAGGTTTCTGCTAGATTCATCGTTCATATGAGAGTTTGAAATAGAAGGAATGGGACCGGTCCACGCGACAAGGTGCTGGCAGATGATTCAGGCGTTTCATTTGGGCGATCTGATGATGGCCAGTTCTGTCGACGATGCTAACCAACACGAAGGGATGGCTATCATGAATAAAACAGCCCTCGATGGACCCAAACTATTCATCGCCATGCTGGCTGTTGGTTACAGTTGGACCAATCACCGGCTGTTTTTGTCTGTCCTTACTCCTGTTCAATATTCAATGTAACGGAGCTAGGCACGTTTTAGGGTCCAAAGAATCTCTGTTGCGGGGATTTACAGTCGACTGACTAATTGGCTTGAACAGCAATGACGGTACGACCCAAATCCTTCTGATCGCTTGGTAGCGAACAACAGGAAGCCGATTGGCTGTAATCCGCGGCCGAACCGTACCAAAGATTCTGATCTCCAGAACATCTCGTCATTGGCTGTATACCACCTGAACCCGTGTCTCTGCTACGCCCCTTACATCAATGGATCGACAGGAGCGGTCGAACACGGCCCCAGGCTAACATGCCCACATGGTCAGGTGATGCTTTGCTGAGCCTCACAGAACCGCTCGTGTCGCCGACGAATCAATTTTGGAAGCTGACCATGAAGGGCGTAAAGAAAGAATCCTACATCATACAAGATGCCGCTTTGAGCTGCTCGTTCTCAGCACCTTGCCTGGACAATTCTCTTTCTCATACCACCTCCGGTCTCCCCAGCCACCCCAACCAAAGAAAACACATTTCAGTCATTGCGAATATCTATCTTCCGCTTTGAAACTCGCAGTTTCAACTTCAGAAGCTCAAACCCACAAGCCAACATGACCTCACAAGACTCCGAGAATGCAGACCAAGGCAAGAGGTCCCTCTACCAGCGCTATCAGGACGCCAAAAGAGGCAAACCGATCCCCGAAGAAGACCTGAAGAAGTACACGGGTATGTCTATGGACAGGCTCAAGGACTGGGCCAAGGATAGGGATGGCGTGGCGGGCAACCAGGCGGCCGGCAAGCTCAACGCCGGCCCTGCAAGCGGGTTTGCTGGGTATGAGGCTGCACATGGGGTCGGCGGGTGGGGAACAGATGCCAAGGGTGTTTCGAAGTTTCCGCCCCAGGATTCTAAATAGTAGCAGGCAAAGGGTGTACCTATATTGATCTCCAAGTGGGTTTTGGGACACTCGGGGATTCGTGGCATGACTGGCTAGTTTGCAGATATCACGTCGCTGTCTTGACGTGCAAAAGAGATGATCCATGGATATTGGCCGTATCTTTGCATCGGGGACTCACCCAAAGGAAGTACACCAATAAATAACTATCACTATACCCGCAGATTGATGTAATCGTCTTGTTGAACTCAGACGACTGTCTTCCTCACTTGTAGAGCCCTTTGATCTCAACGATAGCTTTTGAGTCAAATTTGGGTTCATGGCACCGAATTTTGTGGCAGGAAGGACTGGGTCTGGCGATTATGCGATAATTTGTATTCTATGTGAGCTTAGTTGTAGTTCTGAGGGCAGAAGGACCCCAGGGCACCCAATTTAAAGACGTAGTACGAACCCACGTGACTGACACCCCCTATTCACTACCACAAATTTGGTCAAATCCGTCTTATTCTGACCAGTCTTCCAAGATGAGGATACATAATAAGAAAGACTATATATAGCGAGCAATTATCTATCACTCGGGGAGTACACTTTATTCTAAGGTCCATTTTTACGTTGCTGTCATTAAGGCTTATATAAGGGATGTCTTATATCTGTTCCAAAAATGACCCTGTAATTCAGTCGAGTTGCTCTATTCAGCTTACCAAGATTTAATAAACGATGATATGTATTCATCATGGAGATTTTGTAGACAGAGTCAACTTCTTAACTGCGTCGATAGGTGTAGCGCAAAATGATTATGTAGAATGATCCTGTTTTCACCTCGATAGAAACAAAAGATCGACTCAGTCTCCTCCAACGACGGGATAGACTGATCAGAGTTTTGTCTATATTTTGTTTCGCAACGTTAGCCGATACTTCTAACCCAAACATTTTAGCAAAGTCTGTGATGTGCATCATTCACACCTCTAGATGCTGTCGCTTCGTTGGTCCCGCCACCTGATCATTCGTCTTCTACTTGCCTTTTGCATGAGGAGTGAGAAACCTAAAGGCACACAATACTGCAACTTGATTGTCAGCAGCATCCATTTACCTTGGTTCAGTTCGTCTTCCGCTCTTTGCCTGAATCACCCGGAGGTCTTTGATTGTGGTCCTACCCAGCCAGCGCAACAGACGGATGACAAATGGAAGGGAGCGTCCCGCAGACTCTGCGTCCTCGTTGACCAGAGTTCCTCCCAAGCTTTAATGTCTAGTACCGGCGAGCCCAAACGGCTCGGGCCGAGGCACCGCCAGTAGAGTGGAATTACGTTGATGATAAGGCTTAGTCTTGGCTTCTAAGTTATCGGCTAATTCTACCCGGCGCCAACGTGCCCCATCAGACTGAGTTCAACAAGGGTCTTGCCTGGTCGACATTTGTCCGGACCCGAAGCTTGACCCACGGGGAATCCGACTTCGTCACGTATTGAAGATGGGGTGGAAGCTACGGCATCTTTGCGCAGTTGCACACTGTTTTTCTGAATTGATGCAGAGCTGAAATCGCATTCTTGGAGACCACACCAGTTCCAGTCAAACCTCCGATGAGACTGTTCCGATTCGTCACGGTGCTGCAGAATTCAGAGACGCCACGGATGGAGCTTTTTTACGGGGCATGTCACCGGCGCATTCACAGGTGAGCAATCGCATGCTGTGATGATTCCCTCCTGTCTGTTGGTGATGCAGTTCAAGTAGTGACTTCGACTTGTATCAACGAGTGCAATCCCTCCTAGTATAAGAGAGGATTGCACTTCCGAGCGCTGGGGTAAGTGGTGTAGGAAATGAGAAATTCTTCTCAGCAGACTGAAATTTGAGGCCGACCGTAAATGGAAGCACGAGCTGCAAAGCTTCGCGTCCGGCAGCGATAGCGGGCAAATTATGACACGATGCTTCTGGCTAGAGGCACGGATGCTGAACTTCCAGCTATGGATCTGAATCCTTCGGGAAACGCGTGCGGGTAGATCTCTTGATCAAAACGCCACGTCTGCGGCAGTGAGGCTCTTCTCCGGGTCGGATGAATAGGGTCGCACTCGGACAGATCCAGCCCACGGACAAATCGCTGGTCTGGAAGTGCAATTTGATTCGCTGTCATCATAAAGACTTGCCTAGCCTGGCGATGAAAACCGTGCGTATAGGGCAATGCGCAGCGGGGACTGCGGCTAAGTCCAGAATTTGTCTTTAATCCCCTTAAGTCCCTTAACTCCATACAGACATGGGTACTTTCAATGGCCGACTGGGGGTTGCAATCCTTCCCAACATGCCTGCTATTCGCAACGGCATTTCTTTGGTCAACTTCTCAGAGATTGCGGGTATAGGCTGGCCAGTCGTTGTGGATCCCCCACACCAAAACAGCACCAAAAGACCCGCACTTGCATGCCTAGATGCGATGAGACGTCCGAAATTGCTTGTCTTAACCGGATCCCGCCGTGCGCTAGGCCGACAAACCGCTTGTCCTGCGCCTCGGAGACTGCTTACTGGGTACTGGATACCTTGTCAGACATCACGCATTTCAGGTCCCCGTTTGCCAACAGAATGCCGTGCAGAGTGTTGACAGGGGCAAGCGCTGACGGCAGTATTCATATTTCACTGGGCCTGCAGACGAATCACCAAAGTTTGTCCGTTGCTGTTGCTTGGTATTATCGTGTCAAAATCTTTCTTTGATTTCATCTTGTCGACATTCGTCGCTGTATTTAAAATCCAAAGCTTTCTCGAAAACGGTGCAAACGATACCCCAAGTCCTGCGAGACCGAAAATTGCTTCAGCTGTTTTTCACCAGCGGCCCACGCAATATGGAGGGCTCCCGCGACCTCGCGCCGTCTCCTGATGCGGCTAAGATGGAGAAGGAAAACAATAACAATTCGGTCGAGAAACAGTCGCGAGATGGAGAAAGCTCAGATGAGAAGATCACATACCCATCAATCTTTATCCGTGTCGTGGTTGTGGTCAGCCTCATGCTTGCAACCTTTCTGGTACTTCACCCGTCCAATGCGAAGCTGATTCATGCGCTGACCTTTTTTATCACAGATTGCATTGGATATGGTACGTTTGAAATCAATACGTCTAGCTTAATTAACTCCCTGACGCTGCCTGCAGAGTATCATTGGAACCGCTATTCCTCAGATTACAACCGAGTTCAACAGCATGGCGGATGTGGGTTGGTACGGCAGGTAAGCGATCAGGAACCCTTTCGGATTTGAACTCCTACAATTATACCTGGAGCCGCATCCACAGTAGGAGTCGATTTGTGTGATCAAGTGAACCATGCGCTAACCTGCATATCCTCATCAGTGCATTCTTCATCACGTTAGCTGCCTTTATTTCGGCGTGGGGTAAGGCCTACAAGTACTTCTCCCTGCGAGTTGTTTACGTGCTGGCCATTTTCATTTTCGAAGTCGGCAGCTTGATCTGTGCGCTCTCGCCAAACAGCATCGCCCTCATCGTCGGCCGAGCCATCCAGGGCCTTGGAGCCGCCGGCGTGGCTAATGGCGGCTACACCATCACCGCCTTCATTGTCCCGCTCCACGTGCAGCCTATTGTGGTCGGCTTGATGGGGTCCGTGTTCACGGTGGCCAGTATAGCGGGTCCCTTACTTGGAGGTGCCTTCACTTCCGAAGTGACCTGGCGTTGGTGCTTCTACATCAACCTGCCCATCGGCGGCGTCAGCATCTTCTGCATGCTCATCTTCTTCCGCACCCCAGCCCGTGCTAAGTTGAGCCAAGGCACTCACATCAGGGAGATTCTCATGAGTTTCGACCCTATCGGCTCTGTCTTGATGTTTTCGGGCGTGCTCTGCTTCTTCCTGGCCGTTCAGTGGGGAGGTGTTGCGAAGCCGTGGAACTCATCCACAGAAATCGGTCTGTTGGTTGGGTGTGTCGTTCTAATGGCCCTCTTCTTCGTCAATGAGTGGTACCAAGGTGACCGTGCCCTTATCGTATACCGTATCCTACGAAGGAGGTCGATCGGTGCTTGTTCCGGTTTCATTTTCTTGTGAGTCACCTTCTCCTTCTAAAGGGACTACACTGGCTCTAGCTCGAATTGTGGATTTGCTAACGCCCAGCGTAGCCTCAACGCTGGTAACATCGCATTGCAGTACAATCTGCCTATCTATTTCCAAGCGATCCAGGGTGACTCGGCTATTCAGAGTGGTATCAAGATGATTCCGTCAATTCTAGCGACAGGTATGTTCTTCGCAATGAGCTCTGACACTCCGTGTCACAGTCGTGGGAGTCTAGACTAATTACATCACCACAGCGCTTTCTACTGGTGTTGCCTCGGGTGTTATGGGCAAGCTGGGATTCTTCCAGCCTTTCATTCTTGCTTCAGGTATCTTCGCTACTGTCGGTGTTGGCCTGATCTATACCTTTGACCTCAACGTCGGAATCGGTCCCATCATTGGGTACCAGATTCTGTACGGTATTGGCTGCGGTCTGGGTGTCCAGACTCCTAACCTGGTGGCTACCGTGACCAGCCCTGCGGAGGACGTGTCCATTGCCGTCTCCACCGTTTCATGTGAGTAGTAGCAAGTTCGCATAATCATGTCTCTTTATCTGACACCTCGCAGTCTTTATGCTACTCGCCGGTGGCTGGGGCGTCGCTGTATCAGACGCTATCACCAACAACATCCTGCTGAAGAGACTGGCTCACTACGTGCCTGACGTCAGCCCTGAGGCAGTCCTTGCCGTTGGTGCGGCCGGCATCAAGGACGCGTACAAGGGCGACGTGCTCATCGGCGTGAAGAAGGCGTATCTTGATGGTCTGCACGCAAGTTGGGCTCTTGCGATCGCTGCCTTCGGCGTCACCTTTCTCTGGGCTCTCATCCCAAAGTTCCCCGGCAGACTGACGCCTCCAGGTGGAAATGCTGACCAGTCGAAGGGGGACTCAAGCGACAAGAGTGCAGTCGAAGGGGCGGTTACTTCTGTGTAAATTCACAGCGCCATGTTTGGATGTATTTGAACAGTATGGATGGAGTCTCGAAAGAGAGCGGAAATTCTCAACTCTGGAGGGCTAAGACGTAAAACTCGGTGGAAACTGAACTGAGACACAAACGCAAGTTCAACAATGGTGGTCTTTGCCGCCAAGGAGTTCTCACCGGTATATAATTAATGAAGTAGACACACGTGGATGAATTGCAATATGATATAGAATAAGTATTGACTAAGAATTCAAGTCGACGTCCATGTATCGAGTTGGTTAGAGGCACTCCACATGTATCTACGATGAGCTTCGGATCTCCATTTTGAGCGACTTGGTGAGGTCCGACGAAGGGAGTAGATCTAGGGCTTTACCTTTGCCCCCTTTGATGAAAATCATAGCTTCCAATACGCAAATACGAAGATCTCTCGTCTTTCTTTTCTCTTAATTGGTTCCGGATTTTGTCGAGATTCGAACTGAAGCTACGGCACTGACTTTTTGGTTGACAATGATTGTCGCACAGCTATGATCATAGACATATTACATTTGAAGCATGCTCTCCGAGCAAGAATATTTGACTGGGATTTTAACTGCGATCTATGTGAAACTGCTCAACTCTATTTTAATTATTGACCTCGGGCATTCTGCGTGAGTGCATGTGTGGCAGACATGACAGACTGCGCAGTGGATGTTCAAAGTTTCGCGAGTCAAACTTGACCTTGGCCTCGTGTACGAATTCTCTGGCCGTACACAGAAAGGATCCATGGCAGTGGCATGAAGGCAATACCTAGAAACCCCAAGAGACTGTTTCCCCAGCCATCTGGTAGAACATTCGTGTCAGCAGCTGTCTGGTTGAACAATTTTTGACGCATCTGGGGACTTGGTGGTAAATTTGAAGCAGGTTTGAGTGTCCCGTATTAGCCCTAAATTAATTCCAAGGGAGTGCTTACAGCCGAGCCTTGCATACATAGGAGGACCTGCAAGTGGAAGAAACGCGCCAGCGATATACCGGACGATCATGTTCACGGCCAATGCGGACGCACCAGCCTCAGCCCCGAACACCTGTACGAGGTAAACCATTTGTGGCATCTATGGCATTACAATCAGCGATGAGAGAACTAGGGTATTATCACATGAGACTCACCATGATAAATACTGAGCCCATACCGACCAGCACGGTACCCAGGATGGGAACAATCCAGTGGACACGGTAGTAGGTGCTCCAGCCGTACCAGAACATGCCCGCCGGCAGTGTCCATGAAAGATACGCCATCAGCGGAAGACGGTCCTCAGGGACATTGGAGCCGTTCTTGTCAGCGCGAGACTTGGCAATCCAATTGGCAAGGCGATCGTGCATTAATACGGCAGAGAACATTCCAAAGCCGACACCGAGGTAGGCCAGGCCCGAAACGCCTACGCCCCAGGCGTACTGGCCCATGAAAACTTCAGGAAATGTCGTGAACAGGATGAACTGCAGCCCGAAGGTGAACGCGGCGTAGAGCGACAGAAGGATGACCATAGGAGAGCGAATAACGATGGCCAGTGGTTTTAGCACATCCTTCAAAGATTTGGACTGGCCAGTAGTACTGACATTAGTGCTGGTATCAGTGTTCTTGCGCTGTTTGGTAAGCACCGGGCCGTATGTCTCGCGCAAAAACAAGAGACACAAGATGGCCAACACAGCATACTATGAGAAAGTTAGCCATATTTAGTTTGGTCGAATCTGCTTCGGAGCGATGAAAATTCCTCACAGCAATTAGAATCACTCGAAAGACCCAGCGCCAACCGACTTCCTGAGCAATGAAGCCACCAGCGATGGGCCCAATCACAGGCCCGGCGAGGGGGCCGAGTACGAAGAGGCCCATCCACTTGTTGCGGTCCTTTTCCTCGAACACGTCGGCCAGTGTGCCGCCGCAAAGGGCCATGGGACATGACCCCGCGGCTCCGGTCAGGATGCGAAAGGCGATGAACATCCCGAGGTTGGTTGAGAAGGCGCACCCTATCATGAAGCCACAGTAAACAGCTGAAGAGGCGGTGTAGATAGGCAGTCGGCCGTACGTCTCCGACAGAGGAGCCCATAAAGATGGCCCCAGGGAGTATCCTATGAGATAGATGGACACTGTGAGACTCGAGATGGCGTCGCTGTTGAAATTGAAGTCTGTCTCAAGCTGTAGTGCGCCTGGGGCAAACATGGTTGCAGCGAGGTTACTAGCCAGAGGTTAGTTCGGCTATTGTTTTCTTGCTGTAGCTGCCGGTCGATAGACCAGATATGAAAATGCTTGTCTTTTCGTTCTCTTTCCCCTCTTGTTTTTCTTCGTTTTTTTTCTTTTTAGGGGCGGGAATAGTGAACAAACATGGGCTACCAACCTCAAAAGCGTCATTAGTGCAACACAGATTATTTGCATGGCTCTCTTGTGAATGGGCCAGTTCAGGGGGTTTCTCGGGTCGTTGGGCCCGTCCCACTCAAGCTCGACTCCATTTGCGCCTTTACCATCAGAGTTTGCATCTTCTGTATTTGCAGCAACTTTCTCGATATCACTGGACGCGTTGGTTGACACTGCAGCGTTGGCAGAACCACTGTCATCCAGGGTACTATCTCGTTTTTCTGACACTTGTGAAGCCATCGTGAATTACCACTACAAACTTCTTCGAGACACGTGATATGAAATTCCTAACACTTGACGAGCTATGGCCTGACGAATCTCAGGGAAAACAAGACTCAAGGACATTTGAAGCCATATGGTTTGATTCGATCTCTACTATCCCTACTGGCCGCGGACATAGTATGCGTGACAGTCCGCAATTGCCGACTGCACAACGTGGCGACAGAACATGAAGCAGGGGATGGACGAAAGCAGAAATGCCCGAGTGGAACCTCCTAGAGGGCGCATATAAGCGAGAAATCAGGAAGCCAAGGGTCGGACTCCGTACATTTCAATTCACTAAGACCAAAATGGTAGGGGGGCAACATCTGGAGAACGGTGTGGGTATGAAGGAAGAGAACGTAAAGGGGAGCCAATAGCACTACAGCTATAGGCTCCAGGGTCGAAGTATACATTTATCTTAGTGCTGACGCGCCTATTTCTTACATAACAGAGTGTCGCATCGTCGTAGAAATGGAATTTCGCAATTGTAATAGGCGCAGTTGCCTTGTAAAATCCACCTTTGGTGAAACAATATTTCCTCAATCTGGCTGTGCACAACAATCACAACACGAGATAATATCTCACGTTCAGGAATTGATGACTTCATAGGAGAAATTACGAGGCATAGGCGCGTCTGCCTTACTAGGCTTCTCCGACAATCCTAGGCAGCGGTCGCTGACCTTGCTTGCCTATCAGTTGCAGTTTGTATCCAATCGCAGGCTGTCGCTGAGCCCCTTCAGCAGGCTCTATGTATGTCATTAGAGCACCATGTCATACATGGTGATAGCCAACGATTCAACCGAAAAGCCGAGTGAATTTGTGAAGACTGTCTGTCGATTGTGCCTGATGCAGATGCAACGCACAAAGTAGTGGTCAGGAGGACGGGCTGAAAATGGTAGTATCACATTTTCTGACCCAATATACACTATCTCTTCTGGTATTTGATAACCAAAGCTGCTACTCGGCCATCGAACAGCTGAAATTTGTTCACTGTGGCGAGCCCCCCCATTTCATCCCTGACTGTACTAATCAAGCTGATCAACTCAGTCACTTCTGTCTCCTGCTCATTGGCGAATTGGAGCAGCAACAGGTTGTGTGCGCGAGCGGCGGCCTCGACGTCTGCCTGTGTGCTGCCTGCCTCCGGTATTAGGTGCGGCGCCACAAGGACCATGACCGAGTCGTTGCTGCGGAGCATGGCGAGATGCGCCTCTAGTTCCGTCAGAATCCACGAACGGAGCTTGCTCTTGGTCGAGCAGCTTGCCATATTGAGGACGTATGCCGCCGCCCCTTTGACTGTCTGTAGAGACCCTGGCGATCTTGTTTGCAGTGTGATCCGCGAGTCTATGTCACTGATGCCGAATGATGAACCTCGTCTCTGTGCTTTCCCCTGCTCCAACATCTGATGGGCCTGCTGGTCCACCTGCACAATGAAGTGCACTGACGGATACCGCTCGGCAAATGCTTGAGCTAATGCTAATGACTTGGCAGATACCTGGTGATCGCGAGTGTTAGCGAGAACCAGGGATGATAGTTTTATAGAAACCTTGTATTTTGGACTTACATCAACAACGTAGGCATTCTGAAGACTTTGCCAGTCCAATTGAGCAAGCAATTCAACAATACAGCCATCAGGGTCCGCTTGGCACTGGAGATGAGCAAGCCATTGCCGCTGCAACTTCGGCTTGTTCCTCCTCATTGACTGGAACGTCTCACGTGTCCCTGGAGTTCCGAGAGCGAGATTCAAGGCTGTCTCCTCCCCATGGTCTTGCTGGGACCTCTTTGTCGCGGCTGTCATCATTGAGGCCGCTGGCGCAGCTGTTTGCGCCAAAAACATTGCTGCGTCCAGGTAGACAAGCTTGGTGACAAAGGGCGCTGATAGAGAGGTATGAGCCAAGAAGCCTGGCTGAGACTCTTTTAGAAAGCCCGCTGTGGCGGTCATGCGCACGATGCGCAGTAGTTGGCCCTCAGGCACACCCGCGAGGTCAGCCACATCTCTCGCGGCGACACTGCCGACCAGCGGGATGCAAGCAAGCACTTGGAACTCGCCAAGCCACTGCAAGCATGCAAGCAGCTGATTCTGGGCGCTCAGAAGATCCAGGCATTAGCATTCTGCGTGTCCTTCCGTATGGTCGAAGAGAGCAAACGTGCGAACTCACATGTACTGCCAAACGCCGAATCAAGTCGTTAGGGCTTGTTAATAAGGTTTGAATCTGCGTCGCAATGGCGAGAACCTTGCGTCGATCGCGGTCCACATCACGCGCACGCACATGTGGTGCAGAGCCAAGAACAAGGTCGATCTCACGCGAATGTTGGATGAGATCTTTGGCGGTGTTGACGAGATCTTGGATGGTGGTCTCCAGTTGATCGAGTGACTGCATGGTAATCGCTACCAGGAGATGGGGTTACCGGTACAATCTTATTCGCGGGTAGCATAAACCTGGCTTTGCTCTTGGCCCTGAACTTGGCTCTGCACTTGGCTCTGCACTTGGCTCTGCACTTGGCTCTGCAATTGGCTTTGTACTTGGCTTTGGAACCTAGCTTTGTATATGGGATAACGGGAATTATATACCTAGGAAGGAATGAGATTCTCCGTACTGATGGGACACCGATCGGTACATGCATCCCTCAGTGCTCCAGTTCACTAACGGTTACCATCTAATCCTGTTCCTACGGGGTGTGTAAAACCATTTTCACATTATAGCTTTATCTCTTCGACACTTTTCGGGATTCCTTTCTGAATAGTATTCTGGAATACCCGAGTCGGCCTGCTCAAGAGACCAAAAAGAATGAAAGTGAGCCCTTATCCAGATGAATGAAACCTTTGTAGCTGGCAGCCAGCTGCCGATCCAGACAGGCTCATGGCCACCTGACAAACCAATGACCAACGATCCTAAGCGTGATACTGGTGGTCCAATTGGATAGTACTGATTGCCACCACAAACCGAGACCGGACTGGCCTGAGACCTCCACCTTCGGCTGGCGCTTATGTGATATATCACTCAAAAAGATTGGAGCTCTGCCAGCTGGCGGGTCTGGTTAAAAGTCTCGTCCACTCAGACCGGGCCGCTTCCGTCTTGCATATGCAGCCTCGCTCGTCGGGCTGACGTATCAGCATGGGTCGGACGCTAAAGACGAGTCGAGATTCCTACGGAAATCCGCATCCCACGTTCCACGACACAGACTGCCGCATGGGGGGTACCGCATACCCATACCCTAGCAACGTTGCGGGACTGCAGCGGGAATGGATAGTCGGCAGTCTTCCGCGGGGCTTAGGCTCTGGACCCTGAACAAGAGCGGAGCCGATGTTGACCCCCATACCCGTACTGCTGGATCATACGGTCGGCACCACCACAGCCTGCATGCCTCCTGACCGAGGCGAAGGGACGCCTAGATTCTCGCATGCATCGGGCATCCACGAACACCACTTGAGTCAGGATATCTGGGAGGGTAAGAATCCTTTGCGAATCCTGCGCAGAAGGCTCGCGTGCAATCAAGAGTTGAAACGCAGCAGGTACAACGGTGAATGAATTCACACCTGTTCATTCGTGCTCGGATGGCGCCTTCAAAAATGACTTCACTCTGCAGCACCACCATAATACGGGGTCAATTGATCCTTCGTTATCAGTCCTTTGAATTTTGCCTGACTGAGAAGATCGAGAGTAAGCACGTTGCAGTCGAATACATATGACCACGTGCCGCTGACAGCTTTCCTTCATATAACCGTCTGATACTCATACCTCTGCTTGTTCGTGCAACAGGGAGTTCCCGAGATCAACTTTCAAGCCAAGAATTGGAGACGGTTCGGGGGTCTCATCAAGGGCATAATTAAGTTTGAACCTGCTCGCAGGCACCTTACTCGTTACTTTATTGAGATCCACTTGACACTCGAACACATCATCATACATACATGTGTAATGCGATGGCACCGTCACAACCACCATCTGCTTCAGGCAACTTCCAAGTGTACACTCGACCACCTTCTGCAGGGTCGGTACCAAAGCTGCGAGACAGCTGCAATGCATGCGCATCATCTAAGATCAAGTGTCACAAGCAAAAACCCACATGCTCCGGCTGCACAAGGCGGGGCCTCAAGTGCGAGTATCTTACTAGCAATCGTGGCGGCCGTGCCGTCCGGAACAATCAGAATGCGGGCCACACGAGACAAAGATCTCAACCTCCCAACACCAATCCCGCCGAGGGCGAGGATGCCACAATTACAGTTGCTCGTGCCTCAACTCCAGCCGGCTCAGCGGGTCAGGCATCGACGACCTTTTTCAACGATCTCGCGCTCGATCCTGTGTTGACAACAGTATCCACACCGGCCACGACAACCTCAGAACCGGGCTCAGCCACGGTGCCACCGTCAGGGCTCTCAACGTCGTCCTCTTTGTCAAGCCTCCATGTAGGCTATCCTTTCACACCTGGTGGCTCGGGGTCTTGCAGTACCTTCACCGGCCTGCCGACGCCCACAAATCACCACGAATTTGACCTCTCGTCCCTGCTTAACGACTGTATGACTGACGACCCAATTGATTTCCTATCGGATCCATTTCTTATGCCCCTATCCTTTGACAACGCAAACTTTCTGGGAGGCACTACGCCGCTTCCTACTCCTATTCAATGTGTCGACCCTATGCAAATTGAGGACAAGGCACCGTTACCACAGCCCGAGAATGACCTCTCACGGCATCAAGACCACGACAAGTCAGACTGCTACTGCCTCTCGACGGCACTCGCGCTGATGAAAAGGCTCTCGCTGAAGCCGTCGGCCGCCACCTGCGCGACATTTGGTCAAGCTGGAGACCCGAAACCCTCATCTGCTCTCTCTTCTGCATCGTGCCCCACGATCGAGGAAGTCATAACCAAGAATCAGGGGGCCATCGAGTCAATCGGCCGCATGCTGAACTGCTCGTGCGCCCGGGACGGCTACTTGCTTGCGCTGATATCGCTGGTGCTCCTGAAGATACTTGCGTGGTATGACGCCTCCGCGAGAGCCAGTCCAGACGGCCGACCCCCAGCGGGGTCTGAAGTCTTCAGCAGCGGCAGCAGTCTTGGTGCCAGTGGCACCAACAGCACCAGCAGCAGCAGCAGCATTTTCGCGGCGAGTCCAGCGCCTAGCGCGGCCAGCAGCGATCACAATGGCGGCGTCACCGCCAGCAGGAGCAGCAACATGGAGCAGGTGCGCTGGGCGCCGAGCGTCGTCAGCAGCTACTGCTTGGATGGCGAGGACTCCGGCCGCATGGCAGCTCAGCTGGTGCTCAGCGAGCTAAGCCGAGTACAGCGGCTTGTCAGCGGGCTAGAGGAAACTTTACGAGCACTATTACAAGCAGCTCACAACAATCACAGTAGCAGTCACGGCGGGGCCGCCAGCGAGGGTGGTGGTCTCGTGGGGGCGGTAGGCGGACTGGACAGAGACGAATCAGCGACGCCGTTTCCTTTGCTTATGCTAGAAGGCATGGTGGCAAATATAAAGAAGAAGCTCAAGGCCATATCTATTGGCATAGTTAAAAAACTGAATTCAGACTAAATAAGAGATCCTGTTCTCGCGGACCAAAACTACTTTCCATCTACCAAGGACAGTGAGCTGCTGCTATTTGGTGACTTTCATAACTTATTGGGAATTGCTGCCACTTTTCAAATGCTACCGTTTTCCCCTCATGTCTTCTGTTCTTTGGCGTTCTCAATCGCAACCGACGATCTTTTCTCTCAATAGCTAGGCGACTGCCCGCACACCGCACACCGTGTATGTATTCGATTGGGGGCGGTTTGACTGGATAAGATGACGTGACAGTCCTGGTCGATCCGCTGCACTGCCGTGATTTAGCCCAAGGTACTTGGCATATCTTAGCTTTATGGAGCCAACATCCAGCGCTCGGCTCCGGGACGGTTGCGGCTGAGAATGTGACAATCCGGGGCCGCTAAGTGGGTACCTTTGTGCACTTGTGGGTGCTCTCCAGGGGTACGTCTGACAGAACCACAGAAAGGTCCACCCTCGCATTCGCGGCGTCGGCGATCCTTCGGCCACCTAGATGCAAAAGGGCCACGACTCATACTACTATGGGTCCACGGACATTGCTGGAAGGGCAAATGCGTAATCACTTCGACGTTCTTCTCAGTGGCCGGAGTCCGTTGTTGCTTCATACTGGCCCACCGGCGTCAAAGAGAGGCCGAACAGCTGTTTCGTTCCCCGTGCCTTGGCGAATCCTGCCGGAGGCGCCAATAAAGGGCGAGCCATGGGGCAGACGGGGGGCCGCATGGTGAGGATGCTGTGCTATTGTCACACGTCACGTGGTCCCACCCTCTGCTTCGGATCAAGTCGTTACCGGAAGTGCCATGACGTCGATCTTTTACCTTGCGCTGGTGGCGTGTCTGGTCGTGCGCCCGATCAGGGAGTATCTGTGGTCGCTCATATTCCCAAGCGAGGAAACGCAACGACACTCTGATGCCAGCACCGCCACAGATGAACTAGAAGTTGATGGTGGCGTTTGGGAGCAAGAAACAGTGTTTGAGTGCATCGAAAAGGGTCTGAGAGTCAACCCTGACGAGCCTGCATTGATCTGTATGAATCAGCCTGCGCACCATCTTGCGGGCCTTGTATCTGGGACAGTCAAAGTCGAAACAATCAGAGAGCCAAAGCTCAATGGCCTTTGGCCTCGGCAACAAGATATCAAAGCCGACCCATATTACTCCAGTCCAAAGCAGAATGGGTATCTGAGCAGTTTCGAGAAGACTAACGGGGTCAGAGAGAGCCCTGCGGAACATGCGCACGCACTCTGGTCCAACGACAAGCAACACAAATTGAACGGCGTCAATGGCGTGGAGTCGAACAATCACAATGCCACCGGCGGCAACATCCACAATTCTTCAACATCAATGCCAAATGATTATTTGACGTTGACATATCGGCAGCTGCATAGCACTGCTCTAAAGCTGGCAGCCGGGCTCCTCGAGAGCGGTGCCCGTCCCGACACCACGATGGTCATGGCCGTCCCAAACGGGGGCGAATATGCTATTCTTCTGTGGGCCTGTGTCCTGCTACGCATCACCTATGTCTCTATAGACCCAGGCCTTCTCGAGATATCGGGCTTCACGTCACTGAAATACATGCTTCGGACACTCAGGCCGCAAATAGTTGTGGCACCTGATGCGTCCAGAGGCAAGGCCTTCGAAGTCGCAATGTCAGAGCTTCAGCTGGCTCCCCCAATCCGGGTATGTCTCTCAGGCCCGGAGAACTCAGGTTGGCTATCACTCAGCAGCACTGCTGGCAAAGCCCAGGCCAACGCGGAACGAGACCAGAGTCTGGTGTCAGCCGCCCGCAGAGACAGGCCATCGCGCATTCACTCCGTCATGTTCACATCAGGCACGTCCGGCCAGCCCAAAGGTTGTCCCCAAAGGGTCAGCGGCATGGCGCACGCGCTGCGTTCCCAGGCGTGGCTGCTGGACGGTCAAGCGGCATCGCGCGCTCTGATGCAACCTCACAACTCACGCGGGATCGCGCCCGCGCAGACGCTCCAGACGTGGAATGCGGGCGGCACCGTCGTGATGACTGGGCAAGTGTTCGACGCGCATGCTGCGCTGGATGCCATATCTCACCTGCGTGCCACCTTCTTGGTCCTGACGCCTGCGATGGTACATGACGTGGCAGATGCTCTTCAAGCGCGGCAGCCAGGAGGTGTAGACCTCGGTTGTGTTCACACCGTCCAAGTCGGCGGCGACGCCATAACGCGTGGCTTGCTAGAGAGGTGCGCGGTGCTTTTTCCGCGTGCCCGAATTTGTGTCAACCACGGCATGACCGAAGGCCCGGGCGCTTTTCTGTGGCCATCTAGGTTTATCAGCGCACAGGAAACGGCACCCAGACTGTCCTTCTATGCTGGCGAGATCTCCCCAGCTGGTGCTGTGGCACCTGGTGCGAGAGTCCGCATTTGGGACGCGGAAGAGGGCCGCGTTGTGGGCAGAGGAGAGCCCGGCGAGCTGCATGTCTCTTGCCCCAGCATAATTCATCACTATTGGGGTGGCAGATCAGAAGAGTCATTTTCCGAGGACGACAGACAGAGGAGGTGGTTCAAGTCTGGAGACATAGCCGTGGTTGATGAGAACGGTCTTGTCTTTGTTCTTGGGAGGAAGAAAGACATTATCAGGCGAGCAGGAGTGAAAATCATGCCCGCTGTTATTGAGAGCGTTCTGGAGGCTTTCATCGGTACTCAGGTAAGTCAACAGCTCACAGTGCAGCTCAGTTCATCTTTTGCAACTTCTAGGTCTATTCCTTTCTAACAACTCTTTTATCACATTAGACAGTCGTGGTGCCTGTTCATCATCATGTTCTTGGGGCAGAACCGTTCGCCATTTTCAGCTCTTACAACGGTAAATCTCAAAATCAAATTAAGGACCATATCAGGAAGACATTGGGAAAAGGCTACGCGCTCGGCGGAGCAGCATCATTAGAACAGCTTGGGCTTTATGGCTTTCCTCTGAACTCTACACACAAGGTTGACAGAGCCCAGATTCAAGTAGCTGTAGATTCATTCACAAAGGGAAGGGCGGGCACAAAGTAGAAGTAAAGGCCTTTGAAGTCGAAAGGTTCAACAATGATGTGGAAAATAGACGATGCTAGACTTTTTGATCAGACCACATTTTATGATGATTTTTGACAATTCGGACCAAGACTCGGGCTTCCGCCGGAGAATGACTGGAAAGACGCGTCGGGGTCCGACATCAGCCGACTTTCATTCATTCCCTCCGTGAACAGGATGAAGTGCCATGGGGTCGCATAATCCACAGCCCAGTTATGGCACTATATAATGCTGCTGTCTCAAACCTTTTCATATGCAAATTCAGAGCACGAAATTCAAAGCGCGCAACAAGGGCTGCATTTTGAAATTTGTTTAACAACTACACATACTTGCAAGATGGATGTCTCTCGAATCCGGTTGGATTCGTCCAAGCTCGGCATGGTGCGGACGACAGCCAACATTCCAAAGGACTCTATAGAGGAGTGCAACAGACTGTTGCAGAAGAATCATGAAGTCTTTCACATGTTCTTCAGGGACACAGCTGGCCACAATCATATCGTCCACAGTCTTCTCACAATCCTCGCGATGGGTGCGAACTCGCAAGAATTGCAAGACCGCTACGATGACGGCGTGCCAATCCAGCGGCCCATCCCTAAGGTGGACACAGACTTGCTGGAGAAGCTGTCAGACAAGGAGGTTCTTTTTAAAACCATCGGAGAGATTAAGCAGTACCATACCTTCCTCGCCTTTTTCGAGCGGGAGATTGACGCCAAGGGCTGGCGCGCCGTCGTATTGGAATACGTTTTCGCGCGAACGGCGGTCGCCGACGAGATCCTGGCACGCATGTACGAGGGCGCCTACCACCCCATTATCCACCTGGGACTGGGCGTCGAGTTTGAGCAGCCAGCAATCATAGCCGAGGCGCTGGCGCAGGCTGCCGCCCACGATGACAGCCACATCGGCAAGCTGTTCCGTAACGCAGAGGAAGAGGCTGCCAGCTCGTACCCTCAGCGCGGCCGGCCTAAGCCGCTGCTAGCCCTGCTGCACGAGGTGCGTGCCAGTGACGAGATCCGCGGTGCGCCGCAGTGGTCCGACTTTGGGCTCAAGATGCGCAACGGCATCATCGGACGTGCCCTGGAGCCGATGTGCTCCATCGCGTCGCAGTTCCGCATCCGGGACGGCGACGAGGCAGAGCTGGAACGTCGCACCGCCGAGATGATCAGCGTGTGCGCCTTCTTCGCGGGCGCCGCACAGCGCTCTGGCCGTCCTCGAAAGATCGACTTTTTCTATATGCACAACGTCACTAGCAGCATCTTCTTCACCGTGCTGGCTCGGCAGGACTGGATCCCACTCGCCGACCGCGCGCGCCTTGTCGAGTGGAAGGGTCGCCTGGACCTCGCTTGGTATGCTGTGTCAGGGTGCGCACCACTCGACGCCACTACCATCGCTGAGTATTCAAACCCAGCGAGCGACGGGATGGGTTGGTCTGAGTTGTACGCGGCAGTCAGAGAGGAGCACGATGACGGCCACGCGGCCAAGTTCATCCGGGCGCTCAAGAATGGCGAAGAGGTGTCTAAGGCTTTTGAAGAAGATGAGGAGTGCTTCCCAGTAAGGGGTGACATGTGGTTGAAGCTGGCCCGCATGTGTCAGGATACGACGACAAACATGGACGTAGACCTGAAGTGGATCTTCTTCACAGGATTCGAACAGCCGTGGAAGCGACCAGACCTACAACCGACAAAGAATGGTGTCGCCAAGGAGAACGGTGTCGCCAAGGAGAACGGTGTCGCCAAGGAGAACGGTGTCGCCAAGGAGAACAGTGTCGCCAAGCAGAACGTTGTCGCTCAGCAGAGCGTTGTCGTCTAAATAGCCATCAATTTTATTAGTCCATGTATTTGTTTCCCTGCATATTTCAGACTCTCAGTGCATTTGCAATCCAATTACATTACGCGGTGTTGAGAATGAGAATTGTTTGAAAGCAAGACCATTGGGGAATGAGATGACAGAATGTATACACTGCAAATAATGGAGACATAATGTTCATTGCTGCCTTCACCGGACATTGACAGAACCACCCAGGTGAGCGCAATTAGTCGAAACCTCAGTCAATTCCCTGCCTATTGCATTTCTAAAGAGAAAATTGTGATAATCGCATGATGTATGCACATCGTGTCACTCATGCCTTCGCACGAACTTTTTATTATCTCGTTTTTCTATGTGACTCAAAAATTTCATTCGTTCCTTGGTCTGATTATCATATGCATTCGAAAAGAATTTTTTGATGTAGGTAAAAGGGAAATGAATATCAAATGTGATGAAAAATACGAATATACACATCGCCGCTTCTCATCACGCGGGCCCCGTCGAAGGCAAATACGGGTGAAGCCACGGGAAAAAGTGGCGCAACAACCCCATCAAAATACATTGCGGCGTACCCTTAGGGAACTTGGCACCCACCCCTCGAGTCTTGTTCACGACGCCCACATTCCTCCCGTCGTACCGGCCCTCTTCGTCACCGGCCGCTTCGATCATTCCCGCAGCCAGGTCCAAATAGCTGATAAAGCTCTCCTCCTCGTCAAGAGTTAGCCTGTGGCCGCGCGAGACGTCGGGCGACAAGCCGGCCGGTTTGATGAACACGGTGGACAGCCAGTCGTCGTGGGACCGCAGCATGGCTTCGGTGAGTCGCAGATCTTCGTATACGTGCGACGCCGCGGCAAGCATGATGGGCCGGAACCAGCCTGGCATGTCGCGCGCCAGGTGGTCGTCGATGGTGGCCGAGCTGAGCAGCACCAGACGCGGCAGCTTCGTGCCCGCCGCCGATGGCGACGCCTTGAGCCGCTGTAGTGCCTTGACCACGGCCGTGGCCGAGTCCAGCCCGACGCGACACCCGGGCACGTTGTCATTGGTCGTCACGGTCAGGAAGACCGCCTTAGCGTCTTTTACGCAGTCTGTGATGAGCTCGTCGTCGTAGATGCTCCCCGCGAAAACACGCACGCGCTTATTGTCGGCTATTTCTGGCACCAGTCGCCGCAGCTTGGCCTCGTTGCGACAGTAGGCATGGATGATAGGCTTCTGGGGCGACTGGAGCAAATTCTGGATGAGGGCCGTGCCGCAATTGCCAGTGCTTCCTAATACTGCGTATGTCGCCATAATTATGAAGTTGGGCGACTGACTGGTGTAGATGGTACAGAAAACAACAAAGTGAATATCATGTATGGATTTAATAATCGTATACGGATTGATAGAATGTTGGATGCAATGGAATGAGAAGGTCGCTGTCGAATATCGATATAATTTCCGGCACCTGAAATAATTAAGCAGCTTGACAATATCCAACCTTGGATTCATATAATACCTTGCCCGTTCGCATTGGCAGCAACGCTGCACACCGAAGTTGACTATCCGTGCTGTTCGGCATTAGCCCTATCCATCGTTTTCTCCGAAGCATCGGGATTCGGTCAGCGCTACGGAGAGACTGGTTGTGCTACTGGATCACACTTCCGGTGCTGACAGGCCGTGTAGATAGCGGAGCTATCAATTCGCTAAACCCATGTCCGTCTCCATATTCTGCGTTATCTTCCATCATCCTTCCTGATGAAGCCTGAGCTATCCTTTCGATCTCGTGAAATTGGGAACTTCTTTGACGGCCGACGCAGACTGTGGTGACAATACTATAGAACCTCTGTCACTTTCTGTAAGTGCATGGACTCTGCGCTCTATCTAGCCATTCTTACGGCATCCTTCTACTTCATTGCCGTCATCATTATCGACAAAGCCGACCAATACCTGTCATCAAGATGGGCTTCCTCTACAGTCAGCTCGTCAAGAAGCTACCCTACCCGACGGGTTCCTACTCGGGCAAAACCATCATCATCACCGGCAGCAATGTTGGCCTCGGCAAGGAAGCCGCGCGCCACTACGTTCGCTTGGGCGCCAGTCGCCTGATTCTGGCCGTCCGCAGTCTAGACAAGGGACACGAGGCCAAGCACGACATCGAGGCCAGCACGGGCTGTCCCGATGGCACGATCGAGGTGTGGAAGGTCGACATGGCGAGCTATGCCAGCGTGCAAAAGTTCGCTGCGCGCGTGCGCGATGAACTCGACCGCGTCGACATCTTCCACGCTAACGCCGGTATAGCGCGTGGCGCCTACAGCACGGTCGAGGGTAACGAGGAAATGATCACAGTCAACGTCATCTCCACCCTCCTGCTGGCCGCACTCGTGCTGCCCAAGCTCAAGGACACTGCGTCCCGCTTCGGCGTGCGCCCGACGCTGTCCATCACCACCTCGGGCACGCATGGGCACACGACGTTGCCTCAGAAGTCGGCTCCCGAGGGAGGTATTATTGCCGCTGTCAACGATAAGGACACTGCTCAGAAGCACTGGGATGACCAGTACCCCATCTCAAAGCTTCTTGGCGTGTTTGCAGTGCGAAGCATTGCTGCGAGGCACCCTGCTGAACAGTACCCGGTCACCATCAACTTGGTTGATCCTGGTCTTTGTCATTCAGAATGTATGTACAATTCTTTGGGCATTTGATTACGATGGTATTTACTGACACATGACACCACAGTGGGGCGTGACTACCCTGGCTGGGGATTCTGGTTGATCAAAACCGTGCTCGCTCGGTCCACTGAGGTCGGTAGTAGGACGTTACTTCACGCTGGAGCTGCTGGTCGAGATTCCCATGGGCAGTACTGCGACGACTGCGAGATTAGTGTTCCGGCACCATTTGTGACGAGTGATGATGGCAAGACAGCGCAGGAGCGGGTATGGAAAGAGTTGATGCAAATTCTGGAGAAAGTTCAGCCGGGTGTGACAAATGAGTTCTAGATGAGCGGACCGCATCAGGAGTTTGGGAGAGCAATTAGTTGACTTCCTTGATTCATCTCTTACACTGAAAATATTTATACCACGTCTTTGGTTCCTTCTTAGCTCCCTACTTCAAAGTGCGGGTTTCAGTGGATTACTTGTAACGAATGCCACGATCTCTATATCAAGGTTCAGCAAGGAAGCTCGAAATTCACTTCGAATTGTACTCTCACCCGTAACAGATATAGAACGCAAAGTCCTCAATTACTCTAACCCTACTGTACAATTATTGAATACTTCAGAAATGTGTAGTCTTTCCTTAAAGCTATATAATCCGGAGCTGACTGCCTTGGTGTCTAAAAATTGAATTGTAAACCATCATATCGACGCAATCAATCGTTTTGACTTTCGAATAGGCACTCTCAACCTGGGGCCTCTAAGACCAGTCGCCATCAAGTAGATCTTCCATCCTCTTTCCCTGTGCAATATCCTTGTACAGCTGCTCAATAGTCCAGGGCACAAACTTGTGTCCAGGCGGCGTGTTTGTGTTCTGAAATTCCTCGCCAGCAACCAGATGAGCAAATGCTTGGCCGTACTTCTCGTACGCATACGCTTCAGGATCATGGCTGAAGATCCAAGCAGGGAACCGGGTTCGAATCTTGGCCGGGTCCGCCCAAATGGCATCCCAGTTGGTGTCGGTTTTGAGCTCGGCATTAACAAATGACATCTTCTGCGCGCAGCTGACGCGCTCGTACCGCAGCAGGTTGTACACCCTGGCGGCAACTCCTGCGGAGCGCGGTGAGCCTCCGAGCTGAAGGCACGTCGCGAGCGTAATAGCGTCCTCAAGAGCTTGTGTCGCGCCGTTGCCCGACGTCGGCGTGAATGTATGTGCGCTGTCACCAACTTGAACGACCCGCCCACCGTGGCTCGTCCATGTTCGCCGCAGGTTGCGCCATAGGAGCGGCCAGTGGACGACAGCCCCGCGCGGCGCCGTGCGCACCAGCGCCGCCACCGCTGGGTGCCAGTCCGGTGCAGCCGACACCATCATGTCGGCTACTGTGTCTGGGTCCACGTCAGGCTCCCACGACTCGGTAGCATCGTCGCCTTCGGGCTCCTCGCGCGGCGTGAAACCCCACGCCACAAGCTCCGGCGACATGAATATACCCATGTACATACCAGGGCCGAGCCAGAACTCCCATGACTTTGAGTCTGCATCAGCCCAACGCTGGCGCACTACGGGGTCCTTCATGGCCAGCGAACGTGTGTATGAGCAGCGATATATGGACATACCGCTTGACGTCGTGGGCTGCGGCTCGGGGCTACCGGAGATGAGCGTTTCTGAGCGTGAGCGAATACCGTCCGCGGCCACCACGATGTCGGCGACACGGATGATGGTCTCTCCGGAACCCTTTTTGGGTGCTAATATCACGCCACCTTTTCCGGCGACCTCATCCTCGAAGTAATCCCGTACCTGGGCTCCGTACTCGATCCGTAGCCCGATCCTAGCCACTTGCCTGAGGAACATGCGGAAGAACTTGTGACGAATTTGAGCCGCCGCCAGCGATGGACCCTTTCTCCCAGTCAGGTGCTCTGGGTCATTGAATGATGGTGTAGTGGGACCAAAGATGTGTTTGCCATCGTGAGTCTCATAAGTGAGGTCCACATGAACTTGGTCTGCTTCAAGGTCATGTTGCATGTCAGGCCAGTGGCGGATGATAGAAGTGACCGAGGGCAGGATAGCAATAATATCTCCTATGAGAAGCACAAGGGTTATTATTGGCCGTCATTTAGGTATTAGGAATACAAATTTAACTTACCGGAATAAACTGGACCGTCATTGCGCTCTAGAATGCCCACCACGTTGTGTCCCTTGCGCCAGCATTCCAAAGCCGTCATCAACCCTCCCATGCCGCCACCGACGATGAGAACATCAATCCCTGTCTCAGGGTGTCGTTGTGGGTTGGAGTTTGACGAGCCATTGACGTGTTCATGGCTATTGGCGTTTCCGTTTGTGAGTGATGACCAATTTTCAGGATCGAACTCGTGCTTATCACCTGGGATATTGACACCAAAAGTGTGGTCGTGCATGGTGGGCAATCAAAGCACTAACCGAAAAGAGACCTCGAAGATAAAGATGATGAGGGGGATTGAGGCTTAAACGTATTGGATTTTCCAATCAGGCAATCGAAAGGCCAACACGTCGTCACTTATCATTGATTCAGCCGACTAGCTGGAAACCGAAAGTCTCCTGTCTTATTCCGCCATGCTGCCCTATTCTGAGCATCTCCGAACTCGAGAATCCTTCGGACAAAGAAGAGGGTCTAGTACAAATTGGACACGGGGATTACGGACACCAGTCCAAAATGGCTGGCATCAGGCAAGGCAGTTGTTTCCAGAAGGTGCAATCCTGGGTCCAGGCCAATTTATAACAACCACAGGGGCCACTCAGCCTTAATCAAGCTGATCAGTCGTATGATTCTCTACATAATCTTTCCATGTTTGTTTCCTCTCTTCTGATTTTCCTCGGACTGACCCCAAAGGTTCGTCATGGCCGCAGAAATAATGTCTGCTCCGAAGAAAGACTATAAAGGAGGCTACAAACAAATCAACAAGGCTCTCAACATCTGCGCGTTTGAAGATTATCTCGAGGCGCAGACATCAAACTTACCTGAGATCGCCGATGTGGAGCAAATAAGTCCCCGGGTGCTAAGAGTACTCGGCCAAAATGCTGGAAAAGTACGCTAAACCTTTTCATCGGTCTTTCAATCGCCATCGTCGTGTTTAAGTGACTGACCGTTGTTCGATGAACCTTTCTAGTTCACACTACAAGGAACAAACACATATATTGTAGGGACCGGGGAGAGAAGACTCATCATTGACACGGGTCAGGGAATTCCGGAGTGGGCCAGCCTGATATCCTCCACACTGGTCGACTCCAATACAGGTCTCTCCCACGTCCTGCTCACACATTGGCACGGCGACCACACAGGAGGGGTACCAGATCTTCTACGCCTCTATCCTGACCTGGATAAGTCAATCTATAAAAATACCCCCAGCTCGACGCAGCAGCCCATCGAGGATGGTCAGGTGTTCGAAGTAGAGGGTGCGACTGTGCGTGCCGTCCATGCGCCAGGTCATTCGCTTGACCACATGTGTTTCATCCTGGAGGAGGAAAATGCCATGGTAAGTGCGCTGTTGTTCCACTCATCGTATGCTATCACGACGACTTGAGATGGATGTTGCCACTGACACATCTTTTCCCTAATTCACAGTTCACGGGTGACAACGTGCTAGGTCACGGCACCGCAGCCGTAGAGCAGCTAAGCACATGGATGGACTCGCTGCGTATCATGCAGTCCCATAGGTGCCAGGTTGGTTATCCAGCGCACGGCCTGCCCATTCGCGACTTGCCGCGGAAGATCGACCTTGAGCTGGCATCCAAAACGCGCCGAGAAACAAAAGTGCTAGCTGCGCTCAGCAAGATTCGGAAACCGGGCGCCCGGCGAACCGACTACAGTGTCACCGTCAAGCAGCTAGTCACGGTGATGCATGGGGACAAGTTGGACCCGGTGGTCCGCGAGCTGGCGGTGGAGCCGTTGATGGAGGAGGTGCTGAGAAAGCTGGCCGAAGATGGTAAGGTAGCATTTGAGCTTAGGCGCGGGGAGAGAAAGTGGTACGGAATTTCATAGAATGCACTGATAGATGTGCCGCGAAGAAGAGATTGTAATTTTAAGCCTGTTCACTATGGATTTTACAATTGTAGCACTTTTGAAAGTGACCTACGTCTGATCAATTTAACTCATCCTGTGCAGATGGCTTGTGCCATTGTTCTCGCTTCCTTCATATAGTCCTCAAAAGATTTCCTCCATATCAACGGCATTTGAGCCTGACATGGGATGTGTTCAATTGAAGTATGCAGAGATGCCATCACCTCGATCGTTTCTACAGTGTAGGTATCATGAGTGGCTGTGAATGGAGAAGCACGGTGCTTTCAACGCTACCTAGCTTCTAGCTTAAGTGGGTCATGGGCAAGCACCATTGGAGTTTGAAATTCACTTTGTCAACATTTTGTGGTCCGCATGCGTTATTTTACAAACACAAGACTCCAACAAGTCATTATTTGCAGTACTGATGCCTGCGGTGACTCAGCCTCGGGAGTCATGACTAAAAAGCCGAAGGATCTAAAGTCTCTGTAGCTGCATCGGAAATCAGCAGCTCGGGACCACAGTGACAGGGATCGGGCAACGTCTCGGAGGTCGGTCGGCCTATGTTCGTTTTGGAAGACTCCACGCGTGATGTGAAGTAAGCCAAATTCCATCCTATAGGAAATCGAAAACCACTTCTATTTTGTCACTTACAGCACTTGAATCATCGTGGCATTGGTGTTTCGCCTCCAAGGTACACTAGCGAGCTGGACAATTTGTGTGAATCCCCTTGTACAAGAAATAACCAACATCAACATGGCTTTCGGAAAATTATACACGCGTAAGGTATGTCGCTTGCCCAAACAGGATCTCGGCCCAAGATAGAATGTGTCGTGCTGCTAACACCTTGCTCAGCCAAATCCTCGGACAACGGCAATACTGGCTGTCGCCAAGGCTCAGGGACTCGATCTCGATATTGTCTACCACGATCGAGAGGACCCACACAGCCATGAAGAGCTCCTGCGCATCAACCCCCTGGCCCAGGTCCCAGTATTCGTCGGTGCCGATGGTTACAAGCTGACCGAATGCATTCCTATCGCATTATACAGTATGTGTTAATAATTCCCCTATGTTAACACCGTGTTGAGCTAGTAGCATGGAGCTAAATCTTAATGCCAAAGTAACGTCACAAGAGGAAAACACCAAACTCCTAGGTTCCAGCAAACAAGACTACTTCAACATCATTCGGTGGATGTCCTTCGCGAATTCGGACCTGCTACCCGCCATCGGCGGAGTCATCCTCCCGGTCATCGGTCTGCCTCTCGAGGTACGCATGAACGACCAAGATTGCCTCCGGGTCCTGCGCCGGGACTGCAAGCTTCTCGAGGACCAGCTGAAGAAGTCCAAGTACCTGGTCGGTGATCAGGTGACGCTCGCCGACATGTTTACGGTGGGGCTCCTTTTCGGTGCTTTCATGGTTCTCCATAAGATGCTGGAGGCTGAGTACCCTCGCTTGACGGAGTGGTACAACGAGGTTTATCATATACCCATGTTCAACAGCGTCGCGGGACCTTTGCATAAGTTGGATATTCCTGTACCGACACTTAGCCAAAGCCAAAACTAGTCCTAGCTGCCAAATATTTAATAAGGAATTCTCCTATCCAAAGAGACTTATTAAGTCAACAGAGGAAGTGATTATCCTTCAGGATTATGTAATATTGGCAACGTATTTCTACACAGGTCACTCTAAGCGAAATCAATTTTAGACGGACTAAAGTGTTCCACTTGCCCTGAACGTTCTCTTTCCAGATGTACTTCTTCGTGCAAATCTCAAATGTTTCTTATTGACAGTGTGAGGGATGTTGAGCGACGTGGTGGCGTGGTGCGAACAGATGAATTGAAATATTCTGCAATACTGGATTCTACCAAGAGACGCGCCCAATCTAAGACTACCATTTTCTTACAACAAATCATGCGATCCGGTCAATTATCATCCGCATAGGGTTTTGCACAAATATTTCCACTCAAATTATACATGTGGCTGCCTGGTTTCTAGCACTGTATTAAGGTACGAAGGGAAAGAAGATCTCGAGTGTTTGAGGGCCTCAATTGTTCCATGAAGGTACAGTGTGTCTCGGTTCAAAATTCTTCACGCCAGTTTCCTACGCAGCACCGCCATCCAAAGTCAAAATCTTTCCATTGACCCACTCGCCCTCCTTGCTAGCCAGGAAGCAGACAACGCGGGCAGTGTCGACCGGGAACCCGTTGCGGTGGAGGGGAGACGCATGGGCAGCCATCTGAACACATTCGCAACTCTTGTCAGCAAGCTTTCTTCTTTTTCCGAATAGAAAAGCGGTTGCACTGTGTGTGCTTAGTATTGCGACGTACCTGTTGGCGCTCCTCCGCAGTATACTTCTCTCCGTTGGGAATGTAGTGATGCGAGACCTCATGGAACATGTCGGTGACGGTCCCGCCAGGCGCGACAGCGTTCACGGTGATCTTCTTGTCACCGCAGTCCTTAGAGAAGACCCGAACAAAGGAATCGATAGCACCCTTGGATCCAGAATAGACCGAGTGCTTTGGCACGCTAAATTCCTTGGCGGTGTTGGAGGATGTAAGGATGATGCGGCCGCCCTCGTTCAGATGGCGATAGGCCTCGCGAGCCACGAAGAACTGGCCCCGTGTGTTGAGGCTGAAGACCCGGTCAAACTCCTCCTCCGTCACATCGCCCAGATGTCCGAAGCTGACAACGCCTGAGTTGCTGCAGACGATGTCGAGGCCGCCGAAGTGTGCGACAGCGTCATCCATTAACTTTACAGTCTGGGGCACCTGTCGACACCATGTATGTGAGCTAGCTGTTCTCTCTGCTCCCAAGTCCGGGACTCCTTACCTGGCGAATGTCGGCCTTGAACGCAATGGCGTCAGATCCGAGCTCCTTGATGCCGGCGACGACCTTCTCAGCAGACTCGGGCGAGTTGGCATAGTTCACCACGACCTTAGCGCCCAGGCGACCCAGCTCTGTAGCGATGGCTGCCCCGATACCGCGGCCAGACCCTGTGACGAGGGCTACCTTTCCATCGAGGCGGTAGGGAATGTGAGGAGAAGTCATTTTGAGGATGTAGGTTTGGAAAGTGCTCGACTAAGTCACAGTTGAAGCAAGGTTGTAGTGCTGAGGAGGTCGTAGAAGGCTGATGCATTACAAATTTCAATAGTGAAGATTTCTGAATATCTATTACCTATATAGAGAATTGATGACTGGAATAACAAGGATCGGGCTCCTAGTGGCTCGGCCCGAGTCCAAGACCATTCTGTTACTACCCCTTTCACTTTCTGCTCACATCTTTCAGCCCCTTGTCATCTGGCGAAATGTCGGGGTGGGGCTTCAGAGGGCCGTCCGTGTACGGGACGGCGCCGGCTTTGCTGGACTGTAATTCTGAACGCTGCACCGTAAACGAATGCGTGCGGTTATCCGAGAACATTTTGATCACCATGAAACAGTTTACATACGTTAGAAATCATGAACCTTCGACACAGTGTGGAATTATTTGATACAAGCGCGCCAGATGCTCACGTTTCCATCTCTACACGGTCCCATCGCGCGCTTACGCTGCGCGGACCCATCACCTCTCACCTCATCCTTCAACCCACACTCGGACCCCGTAAATCCTAGCCCGCCAAAATTGCACTCGCACCCAAGATAGCCCCGACCAGCGGCATCAGAGACCGCATTACGTGCATCCAACTCCAAGAAGTTACCATCTCGCGCACCGCATCGAAACCAGCAACCCCCGGCTCCGTGACGCTGGCCGCTTGCAAGCGGAACAACTCGTCGTTCGTGGGCAACATGAAGGCCCACGTGAACGGCACCATAGCTACCGTCGCCACGCCCGCTGCAGCGAGGATACCCCTCGACCGGCCTTTGCCCTTCTTCGATGCCCTAGCCGCGTAAATGTAAAGGAGGAATGTCCCGACGCTCATGGTCGGCAGGGCAAGGTGACCGTAATGGTATGTGCGTGTCCAGGCGGTGAGAAGCTGCGGCGCGTCCCTGGTCGTTTCCAGCAGAACGGGGACTGCGATGAACGAGAGAGACATCATGGCGCCTGGGGCAAAGAATTAGACTCACTTTCCCAGCATAAAGATCACTCTGAATTGTATAGCTGCGACTGTTTCGCTGTCTAGGTGGGGAAGAAACTCACCGGACAGGAATGACCCTGTCACTAGTGCCGTAGTCTGGATTCCGGTGGGTCTTTCGGCGGACATATTGAGTCTCTCTGGTGTGTATAAGAATACGGTTTGGTATAGTAACCTGGGATCTTACGCAAGTCAAAATTGGAGTATTACAGCAATCGGGTGTTCAGGAAACCGGAGAAGTCCTTATATAGGTAGACCTTCCGTCGCGTCCCGGGGCTGCTAACGGCGGGCAACCGGGCTTGGGGCTCGGGGTCTAGCAGGCCTCTTATTTCAAGGGCTGATGTTAACAGCCGAGGCCCTTGTCGATGCATCCTGCTTATTTGGACTCTTGTCTTCATTCTCATGATGCACACAAAATGTAGGCAACCATCGGCGTAAGCATGTAATGTCCATGATCGTTTCAATTGCCAATATCCGCAGCCTCCCTAGTCTTAGACAATCGAGGTTATGCTAACAATCCTTCATCCCGTCCACTACCTTCCCATCTCGTATGAATTCGGTGATCCACCCTATTGTCATCATACTCTTCTTCGTATCAGCGAACTTCTCATGATCTCCTGCCAAATGTTCTTTATACCATGGGTCCTCCTTCATCCGTTTGTAGTCTGCTACATCTTTGAAAACCACCTGACTGAAGCAGTCAAAATCTGCCAGGTTTGCCATCTGGTGATCAAAGAGCTGTTTCATGAAATCACGGCTCTCTGTTGTGTTGTGAATCTAGTAAGCATGGTAAGCCGTTGTACAGTGTAGGAGTAAAGAGAAAGGCGCAGAGGTGAAGAAGCTGTGCGAATAAAATTGAAAGACACTGAAAAGATTTGTTGGTTGGGAGAAAATTGGGACTCACCATAGTCCACCTTTTCACACCATACTTCACCATGAGATCTTTGGTCATTGGCGCCGAGACCTTTGTCATATGGTGTCTGTAGTCTGCTTCGCTCATGCCCGGCCGCCGGTACCCACAGATGGTTAGGCAGAGGAACTGAGTCTCTGGGTCACCCTGGGGGCGGGCTGGGATATCGTCTGACACTGCAGTCATTTTTTTCTGTGGAGGAAAACGTGGAGAGAATTCACCTTACGCCTTGGTTCCGGGAAAAACATGAATGGGCATTTCGCGTATTATTTAGGTATAGTAATAAGTTGGAGGTGCCGCAAGTAAGACCGAACAGGACTCCCGGAAGTGCATCACTTTCGCCGCTACTATACCCTGATGCTCCGAGTCCCGTTGCCGAGATCGCAGATTCTGACCCAGGAGCAGTAGTTATGAGATCTGCGGAAAGATATGGTTCCTTGCAGATAATTTATTCCTGCAATTGTCATCCTCACGGTGTCTTGAATTCATTGCACGGCAGAGCCTGAACCTGCACAGCTAGGTTCTCCATGGATCCTCATCTCCATATCCCACGTAGGACGTAGGCTTTTAGAAGGGTCGCTACATAGATGATGCTAATGTTCTACATTGGGCACGTGTACGGAATGACGGGAACAGATCTCATATAACCTGCGACTCTTTGAATCGAACATGGTAATCAAGGCATAACTACCAAGACATACTCTTTTTTTCTTCCGTTCCTTTTGTGTCTTTGTTTTCTTTCTGGGCCGGGGTGGGGAGGGGTTCCTATCTTTACCAGCAGGGATTGAGTCCAGTGTGACATTCTATCTATCTGCCTACCTTAGGGCAAGTAGAGCTTATTCATGGCACTTCAGTCTTGTCCCAGTATCGTGGCCGCGCTTAAGTAAATCTTTAATACGGCCAGTAGAGGCATCCATCACTATGCTCGGTATATAAGATAACTGCTTGACAGTAAAACTTTTGTTCAGATGAAGAGCCACACGCAGAAGTCTACAATTTATACAGTCCTAGAACGCATCGAGGTCGTTGAATTGACGATCACATATTCGACATATGGTGCTGAGATCACCAAGATGATAACCAGCCGTACGCTTCTCCAATACAGCTTTCCAATCACGTAGCTATGTGTACCTGCTTTTCTACCAGCGATTACAGGAGAAGATCTGAGCGAATGAAACACCCACCCTCACTTTGCCACCAGTACTCTGGACTTGTCTTTCCGACTCTAGCCACTCAAGGGAAGGACGTCAGGGCTCTGCTCTGGCTTGCACTGCTGTGTTGCGATTTGCCTAGAGTGTGTAGGTTTAAAGGATCCACATCTCAGTGAGATTGCGATGATCAAAGTGACGCGGGATTTGCAGATCGGCCATTGCCTCTTTTCGGAACTCCAGAAAGTGGTCCTTTAGCTCTTAATCCCATAAACTCCACAAAATCCGCAATCGCCGTCTGCTCCCGAGGGAAAGACCCAGCGGATGAATCCGGACAAGTGGACAAGTTTGAATGTCCGTGATGGCCAAATAAGCAGAAAGGGGAGGGGCCATCGTGCTTTTGCCGGGCGCAGTATGTTTGAGCATCTGCCGATGGCCTGTTTGAGGTCGTTCATGTATACTGGGCTCCACTTACCCCGAGGAACCAATCAGGAGTTCGTGTGTGCGTGTGATTCGCCCCACTTGTCCCGACCCTAGTCAACCAGCGCTGACGGAGTTAAGGGAGCTGCACATCTCGAGCAGGAAGGGAAACATTTTCGAACACTAGTGTCTGGCACCAGAGAGGTCAAGCACGCCTCGAAGCCAATGAAAGCTCTCGGCAACCAATCTGTGGACAAGTGTTTATCTAACACGTAGCCTAGGGTCTAATTAGGCAGGTCACACAGCTGCTCCCAGTCTTGACATAGCAGTGAGAGTATGAGTCTTGGAGGCATGGCCTCTCTGGCGTAAAATGAAAAGATGTCTTTACAGCGTAAGTGTTGCGCTCGTCATGGTCTAGATGACGTATGTACAGATGATTGGTCAGTTTTGAACTACGCTAAGAGCGAGGCTTTTGGCAAGGCAGCCAATGCAACTCGGCCCTCACTTTGGCCAATCAATGTACACGGAATTACGGATTTACCAGATGTAGATTCAGTTTGAGTGACGTCATTGGCTGCCACAGTTTACTCGTGCAGCCTCATTGAATAAATTTTCGAAGCAATTCGTCTGTTGTTCAAGTGATTGCTTTTTTTTCTTGAATGGGACCAATTACTATCCATTGAATTAAATGACCGAAGGAAGTGATAAGTAGTAGAATAGTCATTGCTAGGCTACTTTCTAATCTTTTGACAGCTAAGAACATGATACAAGAGTCGGACCAAGCTGGCCCGCACCGCAGCTGGATCTTGTAGGTTGATGAATGTGCTCAGAGAGATACTTTTAGAGATATCACTTGTTCCTGTACGTAACACGCATGTGCAAGTCCTCCAGAGATAACAGGATACCTTGGTATTGCTTGCATGGGTTCACTGGGTCTGCGATTTGAAAGTCGAACTCACGCAGAAGCTGTTGTTAATCAGAGTTAGCCATTCTTGTCCGTATTATTTTTCCGCATCCTAAGTCTCCGAGAATCAAAGGGGAGAGTTACCTCGACAAAGATCTTGCTGAGCTCCATCTTAGCAACGACGTGGCCGGCGCACATGTACCGACCGTAGCCGAAGTTGTGCTCAGCCACTCGCTCCATGTTGCGACGCTTCTCAGGTGATGCCTCGACAAAGCGCTCGGGGATGAACATCTCAGGATGCTCCCCAAAGGTCGGGACATTTTGCATGATAGCGGGGACGTTGACGGCGATGTGGGTACCACCTGGCACGAATTGTCCAGCCAGGGTATCACCTGCCGGGGGAACGACCTTGGGAAGATTGCCGAATGCGGGAGGAAACAGGCGCAAACTCTCGTAGATGACGGCCTGGAAGCAGTGGTTAGTTTGAGCTTCAAAGAAAATGAATTCGTGTCAGGTTTCTTAACACTACGCACCTGGAGATACGGCATTGCTTTTCCCTGGGCAAATGTGATCGGCGAGGAGATATTCCCGGCAGCAATCCCTTCCTCGATTTCTTGCTGCAGGCGACGATACGCTCTGGGAGTAGAGACAAGGGAAAGCATTGTGTTACGGATGGCGTTGGAAGTCGAGTCAGTGCCGGCGATAAGCTGGAGAAGGACCTCAATCTCGCACTGTCGCTGCGTCATGCCATGGCGGACGAAGGATCCCTATGGATCAGTTCTGTCAACGTTCCGTCGATTGTCACCTTGACAGGTTGTATGTGACGGGTCCTTACCAGCATGTCTTGCTGCTCCTTGGCATCGGGACCAAACCGGGTGCTAACTACTTTGCGGCCAACCCTAGTGATATGAGAATCAGCAAAGTTATACAAAGTTGTCAACACATGTACTGGTGGGCCAATTACTCACTTCATCAAGGCACCGATACCATCATTATCAGTGGGCTTAGGTCCGAACATTTGAAGCATTGGCTTGGACCAGAAGATACGGCGAATCCACGGGATCTCGGTGCAGAGCTCGTTGAAGACGGAACCTTCTTGCATAGTCTTCACGTAGCCGGCGATATCATCGTCGTGAACCAGATAGCCGAAAGCGTCGCCGTAGGCAATTTTGGTCAGAGCGTCAACGGTGAAGTATTGCGCCGCCTTGGACATGTCCAGTGGTGGAGCAATCTTGTCCGTGGAAGAGATGTACTTGGTGCGGATGAGGTTCTTGAGTGACTCGATTTGCCCGTCAATATCAGACTCCAGACGAGGCACTTCTCGTCCGGTGTAGCCGGCTGAGGCCATGGACTTGATCTTGTCGTGAATTGCGACTTCGGTGGCGCTAACCATGTTGTGTGATTCAGGGTCTACCTTAGCGCTGTGGTACCAGTCTCCCTTGCGGTAGCCGCCATGAACGGCGTTGATGGCGCGCAGGACCTCCGGGCTGTCGGTAGACAGCATATCCGGTGAGACCCGGATGAAGGCTCCCCCATTAGAGTGTTTCTTGCGGGCGTCCTCGATCAGCTTGGGAACTTGGCTTTTCAGAACAGCTCGTCCGAGCCAGAGGTAAGACACCGACGCTAAAAATGGTCCGGGAAACTGTCGCAGTCGATACCATGAGATGAAATAAGACACCAAATTGTAGAACACAAAGGCACCCAAAGCTATGGGACCCCAGGTGCGTACCAGGGGAGGCAATTCCGTGTAGTAGTCCATCTTAATATGGAGTGGCAAGGAATAATGAGATGTGAACGAGGGAAAAGCTAGGAATTGGTGTGATACTGTTCAGAGTCATATATCAACGAAATGGAGGCCTAGAAACATGGCCAGAACCTGCAGATGTTGACTTTTTAGCCATGCCCAGATGAAAGATGAGATTAGGATCGCGACTCCACTAGGAGCGGCGCCGAGGATGGGAATGGCCGAGATGTGTTTTCGGCGCACGTTAAATCTTACGATACAGTTCCTCTCGGAATCCGACATGCGGTAGTCCCAATGCATGTTTTCGGGATCCCGAAGCGGAAATCGATGAGTCTACAGATCCGAATCTACCTGCAGCAAAGGCATAAACTTGAATGAGCGTCAGCATACTGTGTAAAAGCCATCGGGACTTGGCAGCTCTTCTTCAGATTTGAATACTGTAAAAGAAAAGAGCGACCCGGGAATTTTGGAATCTGGTCTGACAGCGCTTTGGAAAATACTGTTTAGTAACTTGAATTTTCTAAAATCCCACTCACACAATGACTGCAACAAACGGCGGAGAGGTCTCCAAGACCAATGGCCACACCAAGGCCAAGCAGATGCAGGCGTGGAAAGGCCTTTCCCAATGCCTGCCCGCCCGAGACGCAGATACAGAGTATTGGTGGCAGCTCACTGGGCGTCAGCTGGCTACTCTCCTAGATGCAGCTGGCTACTCTGTGGAGAGGCAGTATGAGGTCCTCGTGTTCCACCACCAGTGGGTTGTGAGTGGTGTTCCACGGATTGCCAAAATATCCCACACATTTTATGCTGACTATTCGTTAGGTTCCATACTTGGGCCCTGCACCAACTCCAGGCAACTTCAAGCCGAAGTGGAGATCACTGATCACTCTTGATGGATCGCCAATTGAGTGCTCATGGAAATGGAACATGGCATCCAAGGATCCAGAGATTCGGTATATTGCCGAACCGATTGGAGAGTATGCGGGCACAGCTCTTGACCCGCTCAACCAGCTGGCCACGCGGGAAATGATGCACCGCCTGACAACGGCCCTTCCAGGGATCGACATCAGCCTCTTTGACCACTTCATGAGCGATCTGTACGACCACGACAACACCAAGTACTCCCAGGAGGTTGCGGCAGGCGCCAAAATGAAGACTAGTGTACACATCGGCTTCGAGTTCCTCAAGGACCGCGTGGCAACCAAGTCCTACTTTGTGCCGCGAAAACTGGGCCAGACCAGTCTCATGTCGGTGCCAGACTACGCCAAGGCGATCAGCGCTGTGCAGCCAGGTGATAATGCGGCGCTGAAGATGATGCTCGACTTCATCGACACCCACCCAGAGGGCAAGCTGCTGACATTCTACTCGGTGGCCGTTGACAACGAGCCGCTGGACTTGACGCGCATCAAGTGGTACTGCCAAACGCCACACACGTCTTTCGAGTCAGTGCGTGCTATCATGACGCTGGGTGGGCGCATCGCCCTCCCACACCTCGAGGGCTGCCTGGCCGAGCTGCGCGAGCTCGTCAACGCCGCTGCCTGCGTGCCGGCCGACTATCCCGAGGACCGCGAGCTCGAGGCCGAGCGATGGCACGCCGAGGAGCAGGCGCGCCAGTTCGACGAGCTCGCCAAGTACCTGTCGGGCTTCGTCTACCACTTCGATATCGCGCCAAACAAGCCCCACCCGGAGATCAAGGTATACGTGCCCACTCGCCACTACGGTGGCACAGACGCCACCATCGGCCGTAACCTCGTCGCATGGATGGAGAAGCGCGGTCGCGGGGACTTTGGGGAGCGCTACTTGCAAGCTCTGGAGGAGCTGACGCCTCACGGCCATGCGGGTGCCGGAAAGGGTACGCAGACCTTTGTGAGCTGCTTGTTCAAGAAGAATGGAGATCTTGACATCACTTCGTACCTTGCACCGCAGGCGTTCAATGAGAAGCGCATGGGATCGTCGTCACCGCGTAGGGGTCTACGTCGACGAGGGGACTATTAGATAGATTTTTGACGGGTGCAGCTTTAGGCATTATCAGTCAAGACCTAGTGTTAAGTTAGTCATTTTATTTCTCAGAATACGATATAGTCTTGCAGTATTTGTTACGGTGAATTAGACTGTTGAAACCATTGTCTTTGCTATCGCAAATTTTATGTGCAACCTCAATGCAGCTATATTCAACATGCCCCAGCATGATTCATTCGCAAGAAAACGTTGACTTGTAATCTGCTTGGTGATGTGCTTCACGGAAATCATGCCATTTGCCGTGCCATTGGTCGGTCCCCGAGTGACACATTGAACAGCAAGGCGCCATCAAATCATTGCTAATTATAACGCCTCACAAAGAAAATTTGCAGAATAGTGCACGCGCGGGGATAATGTTTCTGCAGGGGTCGGGACCCAATTCGAAAATCACTTAGTCTATCCCGCAGTCAGCAACTACAGCTCGGAATCCCGGACCACTCCACTTCGCCCTACAGGGGCAGTTCCGATGCATGCCTTCTACTGCTTCGGTGGTTCAATTAGCTGAGAATCCGTGTATAAACGAGACAAGATCGTTTCTAAATTGCATGCTTAGCGGCAGGGATATCACGATCTAGCTCTTCAACCTGACCTAAGCACATGCAACCCCCCCACAAACACAGCATGGCTTCCAATAGACCGACCCAAGACGGTCAGTCCAGTCTCGCACTTTCGGTTTTCATATGAGCTGGCTGACAATAGTTACAATTCAAAGAGGTGCTTGACTGCCAAGCAGCCTTTTTCACATGGTGCCAAAGTCACGACAGCAAGGACTGGGACAGTCTGAGAACATGCATAGCTCCCACCCTCCGAGTACGTCTGCCTAACACGGTTCCGACTTTTAAGCGTCCAGGGTTACGCCTCGTCTCCCAACTAACACGGACCAGATGAATTATGAGCACATGAAGAATCAGCTCATCGAGTTACCGTCGGAAGAATATGCTAAGACAGCCCACATGAATCACCTGGACGTCGCAACCCAGCACCTGGTCGGCGGCATCGCAAAGTGGGCAAAGACCGAAGACGAGATAACGGCCACGTTCCAGATCCGGGTTGCGAAGCTGAAGTACACAGACAACAGCTGCACCGAGGTAAAGGCCAAGGCCAACGCTTACGGCATCTGTACTGTGCCGTATCGGAAGATCGACGGCGAGTGGAAGGTGGCGGGCTTGAAGCCACAGATGTTGTGGGTGGACGGTAACCCGGAGGTGTTCTTTGGCGATGTCAAGAAAATGTCCGAGGACATGAACGCCTAATCGCATGGCTGAGTGGTTGAGTGTTTAGGGTTAGAACAGATTAGATCAATAAATGGGAAATTCCCATCACTTAGCATTGATTTTATACGAAAAGGCTGAGCTTAGACACTTACATACTGCTTAAATCTCAAGTGATCCTTCACGAAACAAACAGCGAGTAATCTTCAGTTTCTCTTTATCAGATTTTCTATCCCTACAAACGGGCGCGAACCGTAAGATTGGATGTGTGCGTCCTATTGCAAGCATCTAGCTAGGATACTCATCGCAGGGGACAGTCGCCCAATTTTCGTGTTAGTGTATTGGCCAAGGCCATCTCAGCTTCCAGCGACCAGCATTTCACGCTCAGCTGTGCAGTCACACTGTCATCTACACACGCCGTTTCTCCACTGGTGAACAATGTATTCTGTTCTTTTCCTTAATTAGCCTGGAAAAAAAATATTTGTGCAATCATTCACTAGATTACGGAAGTTGAAGTGATCGCCTCAACGGTCCTTGTACACTTGCTATCAAAATCATGCACGGACAGCTAGCAGATCAAGACTCGCTCATGCAGCCCGAATGCCGTTAAGTGTGTCCGAGGAGTAGGCCACTGATTTCTAATGCCCGAAAAGCCTCTGAAGGACAGAGAGCATCCATCTTGCACGATTCTATTCCATACCAAAAGCGGCTCAGGCATCAGCTTACGCTGCTGAACGGCGCCGCGGTGGTTCGTCGGAGTTCGGTCAAGGGTCGTGTGCTCCGCTTATCGCGCACCCAAATGCATCCTTTCGGGGATTGGCCAGGAGAGGGTATCCGACAGCCACATGGCGGAAACAGCACGTCTCGGGTCATGGAGCAGTATTGCGGGATGGGGCATCAATGATCAAGGCTGTTGGCTGTCAAGTAAGTTCAAATAATAATAATTAGACAGTGGGAGCTGTCATGCAGCAAAATGTTCCTCACGAACCACACCACATAACGTAGCGGCCCTGTCTCAAGTCATTCGCTGCTCCTCTCATCGACCATGTCAAACTACACACCTTCTCGTTCATCAGAGGAGAACAATCCGGTCAAGATGAGGCTTGTTTACTTTAGCAACGAATTTCCGTACGATGACTTGCAGACGCTGTTCCGAGAGCTCCATCAGCACAGCAAACGCAGAGATCATCCCATCCTAGCCCTCTTCTTGCAAGAAGCCACACTCGCGCTGCGCGATGAAGTGCGGCAGTTGCCAGCCGAAACTCGAGCACTAATTCCACCTTTCGAATCTATCCTGAACTTTGCAGATTTCTCGGAGCTGCGGAAGGGACCTCTGAGCGGATCTATTGACGGTATACTTCTGTGCACGGTCGAGCTTGGAGCACTTGTTGGGTAAGCACATCACAAATATTCAGTCATTGACCATCAATGTAAATCTGGCTCCCTCCTGACATTTTCAATATAGTCATTATGAACGATGTCCGGAAGACTTTGACCATAGCAGCTCAGCCACGGTCCTGACAGGCCTGGGAATGGGTCTTTTGGCTTCGGCAGCGCTTGCATTATCATCGACCGTTGCAGACCTCCCCTTGGCCGGCGCGCAGGTCATACGTCAGGCTTTCCGTCTCGGTGTTATGGTTGACGAAGTTTCACAACACCTCCAGCCTCGCAACGAGGAAGCCGGCGGACATCCAGATTCCTGGGCGTACGTTCTGCCAGATACGACTGCAGAGCAAGCACAGAAGGCGCTAGAAGAACTTCAAAAAGTACAGGTGAGTGAGCCTTTGTTACAGCCGACTTGCATCGGGATCTCGACATTGTAATGGATGTTTTGCTGACGATACGAAAAAGAGTACGCCTGAGGCAAGCAAGATCTTTCTCAGCGCGGTGAGCGCGGCATCAGTCACAGTCAGCGGACCACCCGCACGGCTCAAGGCCCTCTTCACAGCCGCGGATTTCTTCCGCGACCGCAAGCACATCGCTCTCCCTGTGTACAGCGGGCTGTGCCACGCAGGCCACATCTATGGCGAGGAGAACGTGACTTGGGTCGTGCGTACCCCGTCGGTGCAGCAGCTGGATGGACGGCTGTCCCCACGCCTGCCTGTCCTCTCCACTAGTACGGGGCGGCCTTTCGAGCCCCGGCCCAGGAGCGCCGCTGAGCTATTTGAGCACGTTATTCGGGAGATCCTCACCAAGAAGATTGAGTGGGACAACACGGTGCAGAACGTGGTCGAGCGGGCACAGAACATGGAGGTATCGCAGTGCCAGGTGCTTGACTTTCGCGTCTCGCTGCCCATCAAGGACCTGACAACCTCTCTAGCCAACAAGGCTCCCGATGTGGAGGTGTGCACCAAGGAGGTCATCTCCTGGATCCACGACAAGGCTGGTCTTGTGGATACGGATCCAAGAGGCCCGTTGCAGTCCAAGATCGCTATTGTTGGTATGTCGTGCAGGCTGCCCGGCGGCGCCACCGATACGGAGAAGTTTTGGGAGGTGCTGGAGAGCGGACTGGACGTTCACCGCAAGATCCCTGCCGACAGGTTCGATGTCGACTCCCATTACGACCCTACTGGCAAGCGTGTCAACACTAGTCACACGCCATATGGCTGCTTTATTGACGAGCCTGGCCTGTTCGACGCACCGTACGTAACTCCAACCCAATCCTTCTTGCAGCACTGGAAGAAGCATTGTAGCACTTCAATGAGATAGACGCTGACATTCTTCCAGTTTCTTCAACATGTCTCCGCGTGAGGCGCAGCAGACAGACCCAATGCAACGACTTGCGATAGTCACAGCGTATGAGGCCCTGGAGAGGAGCGGCTATGGTATGTCCCCTGCCCGCCCCCATTCGAAAAGGTGTATTCCTAGGGTTCTTTGCTAACGCCATCGCAGTGAGTAATTTGCTAATGCTAAGGGAAATAAATGATATTTGATGTACCCAGATGCACTAACACATAATACCGTTGGCAGGTTGCTAATCGCACAGCGTCCACAAATTTGCATCGTATTGGCACATTCTACGGCCAAGCCAGCGACGACTACCGTGAAGTGAACACCGCTCAGGAAATCAGCACGTATTTCATTCCGGGCGGGTGTCGTGCTTTTGGCCCTGGCCGTATCAATTATTTTTTCAAGTTCTCGGGACCTAGCTATAGCATCGACACCGCGTGTTCTTCAAGCTTGTCAGCCATCCAGGTAAGCTCGGCTCCATGTTGCCCAAGGAAATTGGGGATTCTGACATGTCTGGTGTGTCTAGACTGCTTGCACGTCGCTTTGGAATGGCGATATCGACATGGCTGTGGCCGGTGGCACTAACGTGCTGACCAACTCGGACGCTTTCGCTGGTCTCAGTCACGGTCACTTCTTGTCCAAGACGCCGAACGCCTGTAAGACGTGGGACTCTGAGGCCGATGGCTATTGCCGCGCCGATGCTGTAGGGTCTCTTGTCATGAAGCGGCTGGAAGACGCTGTTTCAGACAACGACAATATCTTGGGCGTAATAACAGCGGCTGGTACAAACCACTCGGCCGAGGCCGTATCGATCACCCACCCACATGCAGGTCATCAGGCATATCTTGCCCAACAGTCGCTTAGCCGAGCAGGCATCAGCCCGCTGGATGTGAATTACGTCGAGTTGCATGGAACGGGCACCCAAGCGGGTGACGCTGAAGAAATTCAGTCCGTCACGGATGTCTTTGCACCTCTGACCACGAGCGCCGTTGGCACAAAACGCCGTGGCGCTCAGAACCCCTTGTACATTGGTGCCGTCAAGTCCAACGTGGGCCACAGCGAGGCAGGAGCAGGTGTTACTGCACTAATGAAAGTCCTGCTGATGCTCCAGAAAAACGCGATTCCGCCCCATATCGGCATCAAGGGCACCATCAACCCCAGGTTTAAGGATCTGGATAAGAGGAACGTCCGGATCGCGTTCGAAAAAACCTCATGGCTTCGCCCAGCGGACAAGAAGCGAGTCGCAGTGGTGAACAACTTCAGTGCGGCGGGTGGCAACACAACAATAATTCTGGAGGACGCACCGCTGCGTGATAACTCTGCCATCGGAACCGACCCTCGTCTGACCCATGTTGTGGCAGTGAGCGCCAAGAGCAAGATATCTCTCCGGGAGAATTTGACGCGCATGCTGGCATACCTGGATGTCAATGCTGACACCACCAGCCTAGCGGACTTCTCCTACTCCCTCACGGCGCGTCGCTACCACCACAACCACCGTGTTGCCTTCGCGGCTTCCGATTTCGACCAGGTAAAGAAGCAGTTGACTAGTGCTCTTGCGAACGTTGAGTCGCACAAGCCCATCCCGACGAATGGACCTGCCCCGATCGCATTTTCGTTCACGGGCCAAGGGGCGTCCTTCAAATCGTAAGTTTTCTCGAAATGATAGTCATGCTCACGGGTGAAGAGAGAGCGACTAACACAGCGCGAAATAGGTACAATCTCGAGCTTTACCAAGACGTTTCGTCATTCCGCTCTGAAATCCAGCGTCTCGATGCCATCGCTCAGCGCCAAGGTTTCCCGTCGTTCGTTCCCGTGCTGGATGGAAGCCATGACAGGGACTACCAGCACAGCGCCGTAATGACACAGCTGGCCCAGGTCTGCTCCCAGATCGCCCTCGCCAAATACCTCGGGACTCTTGGTATCCGGCCTAACGTGGTCATCGGTCACAGCTTGGGTGAATACGCTGCTTTGCACGTGGCCGGAGTCTTGTCCGCAAGCGACACGATCTTCCTCGTGGGCCAGCGGGCGCAGATGCTGTCCGAGAAATGCACGCCCGGAAGCCACAAGATGGTTGCCGTACGCGCTTCCCTGCAGCAGATCCGGGAGTGCATAGGTGATGGTCAAGGCGACAAGACTTACGCTTACGAGATCGCATGTATCAACAGCCCCAAGGATACGGTGTTGAGCGGCTCGTCCGAGGACATGAAGGCGGTCGCGGAGGCGTTGGAGAAAGGTGGCTTCAAGTGCTTCAACCTTGATGTGGCCTTCGCCTTCCACTCCGCGCAAACAGACCCCGTGCTCGAGGGTTTTGAGGCCGCCGCCGCCGGTGTCGTTTTCCAGCCGCTGCAGATCCCCGTCATCTCGCCGCTGCTGAATAAGGTTGTTTTCGACGACAAGACACTGAACGCCGCGTACCTGCGTCGTGCCACGCGCGAGACGGTCAATTTCCTTGGCGCTCTCGAGACGGCGCACAAGATCGGCACCCTAGAAGATGACACGACTTGGGTCGAGATCGGCCCGCACCCCGTGTGCACGGGGTTCGTGCGGTCTTCTCTCCCCGGGGGCCCGCCACCTATCGCCGTGCCCACTTTGCGCCGCGGCGAGAGCGCCTGGCAGACGCTGGCGCCCGCCCTGGCTACGCTTCACTGCGCCGGCGTTCGTGTCGACTGGCAGGAGCTGCACGCGCCGTTCGAGCGTGCGGGTGCTCTCCGCCTGCTGGACCTGCCCACGTACGCGTGGAATGAGAAGAACCATTGGATCCAGTACAACGGTGACTGGGCGTTGACGAAGGGAAATACCTTCTATGACGCGGAGAAGAAGGCTTTGGCCGCGGCCTCGGGGGCTTCCAACGGCGGGCTGCCCAGACCTGTGTCGAGCCTGAGTACGTCGTCGGTACAGCGCATCGTGGAGGAGAGTTTCGATGGCGCGTCTGGTTATGTGACCATGCAGTCCGATTTGATGCAGCCTGACTTCCGTGCTGCGGCTTGGGGTCACAAGATGAATGGCTGCGGCGTTGTTACCTCTGTAAGCGAACTCTCCTGATTTTTCTCAGACTGCCTAGGAGTCGTCTCTGCCCATGAACAGTTTTTGCTAATCATCTAATTCGTCCCTAGTCCATCCACGCTGATATCGCCTATACTCTCGGTGAATACCTCTACAAGAAGCTCAAGCCTAGCAGCAAGCAGGTGCTCATCAACATCTCCAACTTGGAGGTGCTGAAGGGCCTGGTCGCCAATAATGACAAGACTAAACCGCAATTGATCCAAGTCACCGTGTCCACGCCCAATGTCCACAGCAACACGGCCGAGCTGAAGTGGTACAACGTGCAACCAGACGGCTCCGTGGCCGAAGATTTCTTCGCAAGTGCCACACTTGGTTTTGCCGAAGACCCCGCGGGCTGGCTCAACTCGTGGACACCGATGCTGCACTTCGTCGAGGGCCGTATCCAGGACTTGGAGCGCCTCGCATCAGAGGGCACAGCCAGCCGGCTCAGCCACAGCATGGCGTACCAGATGTTCGGGGCAAACCTCGTCGACTACGCGCCCAAATACCGCGGCATGCAGACTGTTGTTCTGCACGGCCTTGAGGCCTTCGCCGACATCGAGCTCGTCTCCGAGACGTCCGGATCATGGACTGTTCCGCCGCACTTCATCGATAGCGTCGCCCATCTTGCAGGCTTCGTCATGAATGTGTCAGATGCCATTGACACTAGGGCTAACTTCTGCGTCACGCCCGGCTGGGAGTCGATGCGCTTTGCCCGCCCGCTTACCCCTGGAGCCCGCTTCCGCTCTTATGTCCGCATGATCCCCACGCCCGCAGACCCAACTGTTTATTTGGGCGACGTCTACATCCTGCAGGACCACGAAATCGTAGGTGTCGTCGGCGCCATCCAGTTCCGCCGCTACCCGCGCATCCTGCTCAGCCGCTTCTTCTCCGCGCCCGATGACACCCGGGCACCGCCTGTGGCAGCGGCAACCTCATCGGCCGCTGTGGCAGCCAAGCCAGTGAAGGCTGTTGCAGCCGAGGCTCCCAAGGCCCCCGTAGTTGTCCCCCAGCCGGTGGCAGCGGTGGCCTCAACTGCCAGCAAAGCGATTGCTGCCGCTGCTGCTGCCGTAGTCAGCGATGCGGCAGCCACCACAGGGGACGCTGCTCAAGCCGAAGCTGCCGATGAGAATTCGACAACGGCGAGAGCGCTCCGCATCATCGCCGACGAAGCGGCTCTCGAACTTGCTGAGCTCGTCAATGACGCAAGCTTCGCCAACCTGGGAGTGGACTCGCTCATGAGTTTGGTGATTGCCGAGAAATTCCGTGAGCAGCTTAATGTTGTCGTTTCAGGCAGCCTGTTCTTGGAATACCCTACTATTGGGGACTTGCGGGCCTGGTTAGAGGAGTACTACAACTAAGGGGTTGAGTGTAATGAAGGAGTCTTTTTTTTCTTTCATATTGCATTAGGAGTCGTAGATGATCATGTAGAAACGGATTTCCATATTTTCCAATATATGCATAAGTTTTCACAAGCACGTTCCTATCCTTCAGAGTACTGCTTTGAGCTATTCGAGTCTTCAGTTGGTCCGTAAAATATCCATGTGGGGAGATAGACATACCAAAGTTGGAGCAAAATCTTATGAAAAGCATATCAAAATATCCCCCTCGAAGTGAAGGATATTTCAGTAAGAGAAACACAAGCAAAACGGCCAAAACAATGCTCTCTCCATCTGCACATTCGCAGTGGTCCTTTCGTCGCTTATCAAAGGGGTTTGGGACAAAACATGCAATGTTCGAGTGAACAGCGCTTACAATAACTCGAGGGAAAATTTCAATTATCTGTGGAAATATATGTGATAGTTTGGAAGCTTGTTTCTTATCCATGATTCAGGCGAACACCTATGCATGACACTATATACGCGATTCATTGGATCCAACCATTCACGAGCTTTCCCCCTTGCTAAACTTTTCCTCCCCCTCCACAAAGATCTTGTCATGGTCATACTCAGACCAGCGAATATTGGGCTCGATTCCCGCAAACTTCCACACGCCATCCACCTTGCGGTACCAGATGTTGCAGCTACCATGGGCGTGGCCCTTAACGAGGACCTCAGACATGGCGTCGTCAGCATATTTCTGGTGTGCCACGCGCATCTGATGCGAGCCAGTAATCTCGTTCTCACTCGTCTTCGTCCACTTGGTAGCCCCGACAAAGTGCTGCGTCTTGACCCGCGGGTTGCCGAGGACCTTTGGGTCCGACGCCATGGCCACGAAGTCGCTCAGCGGCATGGCCTCCCATAACCGGCCCAGAAATGCGCGATAGTCGATCTGAGGGAAAATAATCAGAATTTTCGCGTCAGTCGTAATTCTTCTAATTCGGCAGCATGCGAATGAACATACCCGGAGTACCGGGGCACATGTCTGCTGAAGACGGTCCCAGTCTTTACTATCGTAGCTCTCAGCCCATTCATATAACGCTGCTTGGCACCCCAGGATGTCTGCAGACATAAGTCAGCGGGATTAATTATACGATCGTTGCTTTGCACAGATCAGGCTTAGAAAATATCTAATAACCTTCATATGGTGGAATGGCGGCCATGGCTCGGCTGAGGTTGCTTATTATCTCCTTGGGATGTCTTTAGGTTGTGGTCTGTTTGAAGCTGCGGAATTTCGTTTTCTTTCAATCTACTGGTTTTGACCTGGCCATCTGATCCCTTGTTGTGGTAGACTGCTTAAATGAAGAGACATAATTTTGTCTCTCGGGTTCCTGCAGATTTGGCCGTACGATCCCAACTACAGCCCATGGAACGGGACTCGGGGTCCTCTTTACGAATGCTACTAAGAATTCTTACCCTATTGTCCATGTCAAGGTAGACCATCCTATCCCGTTCCAACGGCCAGCATTTTTCTTGAGTGTCCTCTCACTCATGCATAGCCCAACAAGCCCAATCATTCCCAGGTATCCTCATCATGCAGGCCATACAAGCCTCCTTAGTCGCCATCACTTACTCCTTCAATCAATATGATCAATGACGATACACCACCCAGAGAAAATGGTCTCATTACGGGAACACAGTTGGATCGGGAGAGGCTCAATTGGCCTACATGCCTTTGCTTATCCCGGTCCAACTACGACGGGAGCTTGACCAATCACATCAAGATTGGCAGGGGGCTGTCGGTCTCCGTGTCTGACATGAAGGAATGGAGACCCACATATCCCGATGTCCACCCCTGCCAAAATGTGTGCAACACCGCAGGCTTCCCTCTAGTCACTGACTAGACGGTTCCCAAACCCTGGCAAAAGACCGAAGTGGACATTTGCAACTAGTCAATTTCATGTCCGGTGTCCGCCGATGTCTACGACGCGTGGATATTGGAATCCTCCGGCTTCTCGGAGGCCCGCCCTTATTTCGCGACTGGAGTTGGGTCGAATGCCTGCAATACCGATGATGTCGTTCGAGAAATCCTTCGATGAGGACATGCTTGCCTGATGCCCCATAGCTTGGGAGACGCTGGCAACATGATATACTATCTATAAGACTCGATCTGCCTCCCAACATGAGCTACATGGTGGACTGCCTCAGGTACGAGCTATAGATTGGCCAATTGGACTGCAAACCTTGCAATCACATCTCGATTGCATCTCGTACCTGGCTTCCTCAATTCGTCGTGGTTAGTACCTTGGCACGGCCATGTCCAAACTCCTGTGGCTTGCTCTTCCGGGGCTCCTCCTCACGGAGGCTCGTTCCGTCCCTCGCTACGCATCAAAGGTTTCGCGTGGCACTGCCAATTTGACCAGCTACGACTTTGTGATTGCTGGTGGTGGAATTGCTGGTCTCGTGCTTGCGGATCGCTTGACCGAGGACCCTTCTGGTGGGTTTTGAGTTTATGCCTTTGTGAATGAAGGCCGCAGACTGACACAAACACATGATAGTCACCGTCCTTGTCATCGAAGCAGGACCCTTGGACCAGAATCAGGATGATCTTTATATCCCTGGTGCATGGAGTCCCTTTCCCTATGTTTGGTTTGCCACAACGGAGCCTCTGAAGGGTCTGAACAATCGCGTTGAGTCAGTAGTCTGCGGAAAAATTGCTGGCGGAGGCAGCACCATTAACGCTATGAATTTCATGAGGTAATTAGGCGTCCTGATTCGACGTGCTGAGAGCCCCGAAGCGTTGTGCTAATGACAATATGTTGAACACAGGGGCGTTGCAGCTGATTATGACGGTTGGGCTGCCCTTGGTAACCCGGACTGGGGATGGGATGGAATACTTCCTTATTTTGTGAAGGTAAGAAACCGATAAAAGTCTAACGCTATTGCGCTTACTGACCGAAATACGCAAACCAGAGCGAAAACTTTACTGCTCCTGACTCCGAGTTTGCCAAGACAGCCAATATCTCGTGGGACACCTCTGTGCGCGGATACGAGGGCCCAGTCCAGTACACATATGCAAACTACTACTACCCTGATGCATGTGAGTGTACCTGTTTCAGCACCAACAAGCTCGTTGCCGTGCTGAGCTGACAATTCTTAGCAAACTGGTGGGATGCAACCCTGTCCATTGGCCTCGAACCTGCCCTGGACCCATTAAGGGGAACAAATACTGGCATCTTCTGGCTCCCGTCGGTCCGCAACGAGACAACACAGAGGCGATGTGATGCACGGACCGCACACTACGACAGGGTCATAGACTCTCGGCCTAACTACCATGTCCTCATGGAAACCACAGTTTCCAGAGTCATCTTCGACGGAACACACGCAACTGGAGTTGAGTACCTCCCCTCGGACGGCGGTGATGTGTCAACCGTCTCGGCCTCGAAGGAGGTGATCGTGGCGTCCGGCGCTCTGCACACACCGGGTGTCCTCCAGCGCTCTGGAATTGGCGCCAAAGCAGTACTCAGCTCCCTTGGTATTGAAGTGATCTCGGATCTGCCGGGCGTCGGGTCCAACTTCCAGGACCAGACTACCGTTCATGTGCCTCTCAACTGTAAGGAATTATTTCTCTATCCATGGAAGATTTCCAGTCAAAAAACTAACAAATGCTCCTTAAAGTGACCAAGAACCTCAGCCCTAATGCCAACTCCATCAACATTGACGCCGTCTACAACGCTACGGAGTGGGCAGCTTACCAGGCACACCTCCCCAGCGCCTACACACTTGCGCACAATCTAAGCACCACCTTCACTGGCGTCTCTCTCCAGGACCTCATTTCGTCATCCGTCGATAACAACACCATCATCACAGACGCCGCCACCTACAACGCAGCGGACTCACTCCCCGCTGACGTTGACGCCACGGTGCTGGCGGGCTACAAGGCGCAGCGGGAGGTGCTCCTCAAGGAGATCAAGAACTCGAGTCTGTCCGTAGGGTTTTTGTACTTCGACACCTTCTCATCGGCCGAGGCGTACCTCATGAAGCCGTTCAGCCGCGGAAACGTGCACATCAATTCGACAGATCCGCTGGCCCAGCCCGTCATTGACTACGGCACCGCCACGGACCCCGCCGACATCGCTCTCAATGCCGCCCTGCTGGGCAAGCTGCGCGAGGTTGTTGCTGCCCCCGCCATGCAAGCCCTTGGCCCCATCGCTGAGGCTCCTTTCGGCGACGATGTTGTGACCGAAGAGCAGATTGTTGCTGGTGAGTGATTCACTAGCTCTCATCAATGGTTGACTACAAATATCTTTTAACTGACCCGTCAAATATTTTCCAGCCTTGAGAGAGAACCTTATCATCTCGAACGCGCATCAGTGCTGTACCGCCCCCATGATGCCGTTGGAGCTCGGAGGTGTCGTGGGGCCCGACAAGAAGGTCTACGGCGTCACCGGCCTACGTGTCGGCGACATTAGCACATTCCCGACCGCAGTCTCGGGAGGCCCCACAGGAACCGTATATGGTGCCGCGGAGAAGGTTTGTCTACCACCGCTCCGATCTACAACTACGAATTTTGCTAATTAATGTGCCTTAGCTTGCCGATATCATCAAGAAGGAGTGGTCCACCAAAGGCTACTACTCTTGAGATCCGTCCGCCACAGCGATAGATTTCAGAGAAAATGAAAACTGGAAGGTGCAATGAGTGTAAATAGGGGAAATCCTCGGAGTATCTCGGTAGAAAGTTTCAAAGGCGGACAAGACAGACCACGAGACATGGCTGAGTCAACTCAACATATGCTAAATGATTAATTTGACAGATTCAGCCGGCGATAGAGCTTAAGATACGTTTGGCACTGTCACTGTGATTTTTTAATTTACTATGCCGCCCAATGTCAAGGCAGCTCTATTACCAGGGAAGGCTTTGATGTCTTGATATATCCGTTGCATGATTCAAGCGCCGGATAATTCGAGAAAAGTTCACTGAGGCCGTCACTTGACTTCGATTTTGGCACGGTGACTTGTATGCGAGGCGATGTATTCATCCCATATAAACCAAGGTCGTAGCAATTTGGGTATCAAATTTAATCATCCATCACACATGCACGGTCCTTCAAGCCTTTTCACCGTCAATCACCTTCTTGCGCCCAATCCCGACCATCTGCACCATTTCCTTCCAGAAGCTGCTTGGGGGCTCTTGTACGAGCAGGTGCTCCTCGTACCTGTCCAGGATGGGGCGGTCCCAGACGAGGTCCACGTCCTTGGGTCTGATGTACTTTGTTCGTTTGATGACCTTCCATACGATAAACAGGATAGGAGCCACGATCTGCATGGTGTAGTTGGAGAAGAAGGTGCCGACGTCGAATTGCGGGCGGAACGACGACCACCCGTATGTCAGGACGACAATGGTCTGCAGCACGAGAGCAACCCAGGCGCCGTAGGGCTGCAGGTATCCGTAGTAGGGCATGGTCCGGCGGTCTAACCCCTGCGCCTTGCACGCGGCGTGGTAGTTGAGGAAGGTGATGGACATCACGATGTAGTTAATCACGCCCCCTCCGGTAATGAGCGCCAGCAGCCAGCTGAGGACCTTGGCCGAACCGCTGCCACATTGGAGGAACGATAGCATGGGGAATATCATGGTGATGCAGAAGCAGTAGATGGGGACGCCGTTCTTGGTGGTTTTCCGGAGAATTGCTGGGGCGCGACCGTCGATGGCAAGAGAGTAGAGGGACCGGGTTGCGCAGTAGGTGTACGTGTTACCGGCGGAGAAGATTGTCGTGAAAAGCAGAGCATTCACCAGGTGAGGGAGGCCTTGGATTTTGAGGTTCTCCATAGCCATGACCCATGGAGAAGCAGCGGCTGTGCCGCCACCGCTACCTCCGCCGAGATAGATTTTCTGGAGGGTCGGGTCGTTGTAGGGCAGCACGATTCCACATGTCAAAGCAGCGCCGAAGAAGAAGAGGCCGAATCGCACATAGACAGTTTTGAAGGCTGATTTGATGTAATGGCTGGGGTGCTTCGCCTCGGCAGCGATCATCGAGATGTAATCCGGGCCGACAACGGTGAAGGTGGCGGTCGCCAGAGCTCCCATGAAGCCTTCCATACGGCCAGTATCACCAGCAGTAAGATACGTCGCAAAGGATCCGGGATTGGTAAAGTATCGGAATCCGTAGGCATCATGGGCTGGGTTGCCTCCGACCATAGTGACGAATGTGAACACGAACAGGATGAAGATGAGAATCACCTTGCCGCCAGATAGCCAAAATTCTGCTTCACCAAATATGCTCACAGCAGCCACATTCATGATACTAGAATCACGCACGAATAGTTTAGCATACACACACAGACACGACACGCACACACATGGGGCAAGACGGGGCAGAGACGGGGTCACCCGGGGAGGGCGTGGAGAGCTCTAGAGTAGCCGGTTTCTCTAGTTGGCTTCGACCCCTCCGAAGGAAAGAGAAAGACAGATCAGGTTGACCAAAAGTGCGCACGGAGCGCGCAGTGGTGCCTTACCCATAAGCGATGATGATGGCGGCGCAGATGCCCGCCGTGGGACCGGGCTCAGTAACCTTGTCGCTCCAGAAAGAGAGAACGAGGTTGAGCGCGGTCACTTCGAACGGGATTAGCAGAGCCTCGTAGAAGAAGTAGTTCCAGCCGACCATAAAGCCGAGAGCCTCGTCGACCCACACGCCCGCCAGGCGGATGAAGCCGCCCGAGACGGGCATGTAAGTCCCCATTTCGGCGATAGAATTGTTGACGAGCGCCATCACGCAGGCGTAGAGCGTGTACGCGAGCAGGAGGCTTCCGGGTCCACCCTTGACGAGACCCTCGCCTATGGTCACGAACAGACCGGTTCCTATGGTACCGCCGATGGCGATCAGTTGGATTTGCCGGTTGTCTAGGCGCCGTTGCAGGCCGTCCGAGTTGTGTCGCACGGGTGAGGAACCGTCGCTGGAGCTAATGGAGGCCCGTTGGCTTGCGGGAGCCTCCTTGGAGGCTTTGAGCTCGGAGGATGACATCGTGGAGGGGTTCTGAGATCCACCGTGAGGGATAGTATGGGCGATGTACTCAGAATCTTCCGGCGATGGTGAAGGTCAGGGCGAGGTACAACACCACAGGGTGCATGTGGAACAGCGGAGGGGGGATTGTGCGCGCAAACGGTGGGACTGAGAAGAGTTGATGCAGGAAAAACCTGGAAGCGCTTTCGAGTTCGAAACTCTGCGCGGTCTTATACTGATTTGCTGAAAAGGGTACACCCCAAGTAGGAAAGGTGGGGGGGGGGCTTCCAAGAGTGGGAGGGAGTGAGAAAAAATGTTTGGCCTGCCCAGACATATTCCTACTGTGTTGTCGTTGTGCATTCATAGAGAAAAGGACTTCAGTGCACTTTTTACAGTAATACTGTTAGTAATGAGTCGGTCGCTATAATAAACGGCGTGATTATTGCATCACAAGTTCAGGGCCAGTCGAAGCTCCATTCGTATCTATGGACGTCAGTAGTCTGTGTGGAGCGCACTGCGGATTCAACTGGGGCTGACCCTGACGAGAACGTTGATCTTTTCTGAAGATGGACCTGCAGACACAGTGGATCTAGGAATGCGCGCGTGAGCGGATCCCTAGCAGTTGCTCTGCAACCTATGGTCATCATCTGTTTAGATTGTCTCAGGCGAAGTCTTGGCCTCTTACATAAAAAGCCAAGAGTGAAATATCTGCACCTCTTGCCACTGCGTTGGTAATTCTGGCTCGATGAAAGGACCATGGCTTGATCCTCCAACCGGTTTGCCTCGGCATACATGCAGATTCAAACCTGACGGGGCTGTGTTTACTCCTGCATGCGAGTACATTTTACCTGCAGATGCTGTACTGCTATCGCTATGTAGACAAAATCAGAGTTGGCTGTACTTGAGTGATCGGCAGCACAGAGGGACTATTTTGATATGGGGCGTCGCTGCAGGGGGAGCACATGACCTCCACTGTTTTCTTTAACCCTCCCCAAGCCCGTCGATCGGTGATGACCACCTGAGTTTCATACAGAAGAGGTGTTGCTTTACAGAAGGCCACGACAGTGGCTCAGAGTCACCACGCTTTGCGATCTCAAAATGTGGGTGAAATATGGCTGTTTCAACTGTGTCGATACGGAAGTTTTGGAACACCTCGAAAATTTTGTAAAATGGTCATTGATAAACTGGTCACTGACTGTGAATTACGTGTCTAGGAAGGTTTATGTAGTACGGAGCAGATGCGCTTAGGTGGGATTGCGGTATATTATTGCTGGGTAAAACTACAACATGTATCATTGAACCTGCAGCATACACCATCAGACTGGCATATATTTATTGGTCCTCCGGATGCCTGCGCCACCAGTCTTGGTATCCATGTTCTTCTTCTTTTGAGAAAGTTTCATTTTAGGAAGCACGACAAGTCAATCAATTGACACATTCATCTATGTGAGGTCTGGTCTCATGAGAAAAGAATCCATACTGTCATTCGCTCGATTCAAGAGCCCCAGCTCTAGGCCTAGAACTGAGGCCAAGGTGCATAATGATTATCTCTTTCAACTATAAAGTCGAACCCTGCATAGCCGGGGCCACTTCAGCCTTGATAACGCAGCCGGCTGTGGTGGGCACGGGTGCTAATCTGCCGTCTATTGTCGATAAGCAGGGACGCCAGCCACACTTGAGCTACAACTTTACTGATCACCAACTTCACTTTCTCCTCACATCCCGAGTTTGGCCCGTTGAATGATTCTATTTGCGTCTAGTTGGCTTGCAATCACAATGGTAGGGGTGCGGGGAATGAATTCGGGACTATCAGTCTTGAGGTACGAGATTCCGATTTTCGGCCCCGAACACGTCTTGGAACCTAATATCGCGCCGTTGGGACGACATGCAGGCTTTGTGAACCTTGCGATACTACTCACTTACCCCCGTGAAAGGATTCTTGGCTGCCAACAAGCAGCAAGCCAACACATTCGACTATCTTCCGAAGAGCGTTCTCGGACCATCTCGCAGTGCTATGTTCCTCCTTTCTACTGGTCGTTGATGAATAAGGCGCTCCGCAAATACTTAGGTATCCTGCATGACTGCAATTCGGGACGTTGACGTCGAGCAGGACACCAGCGAATCCCCCCGCCTTCACTTGCGGGCATGGCAAACGATCTGGAGGTGTGCAGACATGTAGCCTCGGCCAGGAGGCGGAGTCCGGGGAACATGCGTATCTGTCTCGGTGTTTCTCTTTTCGGCCTGAACACGCGCCCCCATTCTTGTTGAAGTCATCATGCTTGGGCTATGGCGGGAGCGCGAGTCAAATTGACACCATTTGCCGCGACAGCTAAAACGTCTGTGGCTTCTTTATTTGCGGACACGATGTGGAGCCGGCGTACATGTGAGCAGTACATGCAATGGACTTGAATAGACAGTGATCGTTGCTGCGGGGCACCGCTTGTGTCGCACCTGTGCAACGCGTTCAATGGGGAAATCGACGATGAAGAGTTGGGGGGAGCGCAGCAGGCGACATGTGGTGCATCGGTATCTATGACTGCCAAGGAACTTTCGCTGCCCCAGGGCAAGCAATTGGGGCAAAGAGCCCCGTAACTCAGAAGCTCGTTGAGTTCGTACCGAGCAGGTATGTTGTAGGACTTGAAAGCATAAGAGAACTTCAATATCAACTCTGAGGCTCATGATCGGCCGGGTCAGTAGCAAGTCAGGACACCTGTCGCTGTGTGCGTTCCTACACCTTCGGTCCGAGGGCCCTACCGGCCTGCAGAGCTCCAAAATTGACCGTAGAGGTAATAGATATCATACCTCAAAGTTTAGCGTGCACAATTGAAATACTGCGCACAATGACTAATCTAACTTCAAGGTGAAATTTGTATCAGACAGCTAAAGAACGGCACAAAATTTTACATGTCGACGTTGGAGATCATTGGGCACCATCTATCTACCTTAGCTACCGTGAAATCATCTATCTGTTGTACAAGTCGAAGTCCTTGGTTAGAAGTTTGATTACACGGGGCAAACGGTGAAAGCTATGATGTCGATCGAATATGGCAAAGAGGATATTCTCGACGCGCTCAGGACCCTCTACTGCTAAGTCCTTGCTGTTCCGGTCGAGGAGGTGGACATAAACTTGTCATTCATTGCCCTAGGAGGTAAGGCGAAGTTCCAATCAAGGCTGAAAATACCATCAAAGAATTATTGACTAAGCTTTACTCGGGCGACTCGTTCAGGGGCGTTATACTATTCCAAAAATGCATCGAAAAGCATATTCCAGTCTCGTATCAGGCTATACTGAGCCGATCCTTGGCCGGGAACACTGCTGTCGACATCGAGGCTAGGGAATCTGTCGATGAAGATGCGAAATCGACAGCCTCGTCTAGTTGTGACAAACACGAACGATTTAAGTTAATGTCGAGAGAGTATGACTTCAGCAATATCGAGCATATTTTGCTGGAACACCATGGATTGGGCCTCGAAAGCGTTGAAGACATTTATCCCTGCAGTCTTATGCAAGAGAACATGTACATCGGTCAGAAAATGGGGGGATCTATGTTGTACCAGACTACAAGCATCTACCAGATCCCATGTTCTTACACCTTTGATCCCATCCGAGACGCGTGGCAGCAAATCGTTGATCGGCACCAGCCCCTTCGTACAGTCTATGTCGAAACTTCGGACTCGATCTCGGGGAGGCTACTGGATGCGGTTGTCCTGTTGGAGAAGGCAGGTAAAGTGGTCGCCGGCACGAGTGAAGACAGAGATGTTATAATTGCCCGAAGGCCTCTCAAACCTTCTACACTCGGCCAAGGCACATACCATCAGCTCACAGTGTATCCAAATTCACGATCGGAATTGCTCAATTGATGGGCGGTGCTTTAAAGGATCCGAATGATTGGAACCGAGTCGTACGCCAACTTTCAGGCAAACGTACTAAGCAAGGAACGTAGCACTCGATCGACCCAATGTCGCATGATTCAAAACTGATCATATTGTGACTTGGCTCCTCATTTTGCAAACAACCTCGTGATACCTATAATTATGATTCAGTATTTCAGTGCCGGAGCCAGCGGGAGGGAGAACGAGAAGCAGAAAACGAGGGACAGACCCAACACGGTCATGGATTGCATAGTCGTCAGACCTGAGCCGGAACGGCGCTCTTGCGCGCAGAGCAATGCTGGCTCAAATGAATCAAATTCATTAGCCTCTGGTGCAATACCCATAGCAATCTGCGGAATTGGCATGCGACTACCAGGAGGGTTGGACACCCCATCAGCACTATACGACTTCCTCGCCGCAGGGAAGGATGCACGCGCTCAGCCGGACGACGAGAGGTTCTCCTCAAAATTCCACTATTTCAGAGACCTGGACGGCAACAGCCAACCGCTTCCAACCCGAGAGGGTTACTGGTTGTCGAATAAGGACGTGACTGCTTATGACCCATCACTGTTCCTCACGAGCCACAAGGAGGCGGTAAAGATGGACCCGCTACAACACCTACTGCTCCAAGTTTCCTGGGAAGCTTTTGAAAGCGCAGCAGAGAAGGACTGGGAGGGTAAGAACATTGGCCGCTACGTGGGAAGCTTTGGGGACGACTGACGAGAGATGCACTCCAAGGACGATCTGGACGAGGGGGCGTACCGTCTCACTGGATACATGCCTTTTGCGCAAGCAAATCGCGTTTCTTATGCACTGAATCTGCATGGCTCAAGGTGTGTGATGTGAATGACAGACTTTGAGCTTTTCACCACCACATGTGTTGGCCCGGGATATTGCTAACACAAGACGAAAACGCCAGTATGACGCTCTGGACTGCGTGCTCAGCAGCAGGTCTAGCCGTTCATCTGGCCTGCCAAGGAATACGAGCCGGCGACTGCGACACGCACTTGTCGCCGGTCGGGTTCACACGCCTCATGGCCGAGCAGGGCGTGCTGTCACCAGACACCTCGTACAAGACGTTCGACGCCGAGGCCAACGGATACGCAAGGGCCAACGCGACCAGCTGCCTGTTCATCAAGCGGCTGGACCATGCGTTACGTGACGGCAACCCGGTACGGGCGATCATCCGGGGCTCGGCTACTAACAGCGACGGCAAGAAGGCTGGGCTCACGACGCCCAGCCCGCAAGCACAGGAGCAGGTGATCCGGGCAGCCTACAGACAGGCTGGTATAGATGACGCCGACGTGTGCAGGACGGCGTTTGTACAGTGCCATGGGACTGGCACAGCGGTGGGCGACATGGTGGAGGGTTGCTCCGTCGGCGCTGTCTTTGGCGACAAGGGGATTCATATAGGTTCAGTAAGTCCTGGAGGAGCGGTCGCTTGAGGGAATATTGAACTGCTGACAGTAAGCATCAAGGTGAAACCAAACCTCGGTCATTCAGAGGGTGCTTCTGCCCTGACGAGCATCATCAAGTCCGTTGTTGCCCTCGAACGACGTACAATACTACCCAACATCAAGTTCAAGAGCCCCAATACGAGAAGTATGTTTCCAAAACATGCAGACGGAAACGCAGGAAGAATAAAAAAACACTGACAATGACAAAATGTCCTGTATAGTCCCCTTTAAATCGGCAAGGTTAGAAGTGCCTACCGAACGCCTTCCATGGCCAAGTGACCGTCTCGAAAGAGTCAGCATAAACAGCTTTGGAATAGGGGGGACAAATGTCCATGTGAGCTTAATGACCAAGGGATTCACGTCACGCCGCTGACTATATTGTGAGATTATCCTAGACTCTGCTGCCTCTTTCATGGCGGGCACCTCACCACGGCCAGCACCATCACCATACTCACCTCCCCCGTCGCCGCCGCCAGGACAGCAGGGCGCATCACTGCTGGTCTTATCCGCCGGCAGCGAGAAGTCCCTCAAGATGATGATCGAGCAGTACATGGACTACCTGCAGCGTCATCCGACCGCCCTAGACCGGCTCGCATACACGCTGGCCCATGGCCGGCCCGTCCTGCCCTTTCGGACTTTCTGCGTCGCCCAGCAGCCCGACGACCTCCACACGTCCATGTGGCCCATCATCAGGCCTGTTGCAGGGTCGAACCGCGCCGTCTTCGTCTTCACGGGCCAGGGTGCGCAGTGGCCGCGCATGGGTGCCGAGCTGCTCAAGACGTCGCGCGAGTTCCGCGAGGACATCAGGTAGATGGACGCCAATCAACGTTAAGATCTCGAGCTCTGGGTATGGTGATGCAGTCTGCAGACCAGACTCACACGAGGATGTCGATGCCGCACAAGGCCCGATATCCTATTTCAAGGGGATACGCCTTTCCCCAGTGGAAAGCCTCGAGAATGGTGGACAAGGGGGTGGTACCAGTCACGGCGCCATCGAGCTCGTCTGGAAACCAGATGTCGACCTGATTAGTCCTTCGGCTTTGGTACAGCGGGCGGCCACCAAGGAATTCCAGGACATACACTCTTATCTCCAGGAGCTGTTCACACTCTGTGCACTGGATCTGCAGGAGGGACTTCCTCCAGCATCGGTACTTGGACTCGGGCCATCCACTGTCGACTCGAACCTGCACCTCGCCAAGCAGTATGAATGGCTCAAGAGCTACACGCCCGAGCAGGGCATGATCTCGGGCTTGGGATCAGGGCAGGTGGCCGGTAGAATCGACAGCTTGGCAAGGCAGCTGGAGGGAACTTCAGCAGCAGCCGCGGCCCGCTTGGTCGTGCAATGTCACGCACATGCGCGGGCGCTCTTCAACGGCGATGCGAGCCCCCTGGATCTGTTCCTCCAGGACAATTCCCTTCATCATCTCTACGATTGGATGAACAGCATTTGGTCGTATCGATGCCTCTTGCAGCTGCTTTCGCACCAGCGCGGGCGAAACCTCAAGATCCTGGAGATCGGCGCCGGCACAGGTGGACTGACTTCGCGAGTCCTGCCAGACCTAAGGGAGGAGGAAGAGGCAGAGGAAACAGACCGCAAAACCAGCACGATCGAAGAGAAGGCCATGTTCGGGAAATATGTCTTCACGGATGTCTCAGCCGGTTTCTTCCCCGCGGCCAAGAAGCGGTTCGCCGCCGTCGTACCGCCACAGTCGATGGAGTATCGCGTGCTGGACATCAGCAGATCGCCTCAGGAGCAGGGCTTCGGGACGGGCGAGTACGACTTGGTCATTGCCAGCAACGTGCTGCACGCGACACCCGACCTCACGCAGACGCTGCGCCACGTACGTTCTCTGTTGCGGCCCGACGGACGGCTGCTGCTGCAGGAGCTGGCATGCGGCGTTGAGTCCAAGTGGATCAACTTCATCATGGGCTTCCTGCCTGGCTGGTGGCTGGGACAGGCCGACGCCCGCGCCAATGAGCCATACCTGGCGCCTGAGGATTGGTGTGGCCGCCTGGTGGACGCCGGGTTTGACGCCCCGGAACTCGTGGCTCTGGATGCCGATGCGCCGCTGCAGCTGAACGCGACCATGCTTGCCCGCCCAGCACCCGTCGCCGCCGACCGTGCGGCTGAGGCTGACGCCGTGAACTCACCTCCTAGCGTCACGCTGCTTGTGCCGCCTGAGAGCGAGGGCGCCGCCGACGGCCTCCCTGCCGTCGTCTGGGCACTAGAAGAGCGTCTTGTTGGCCGCGGGCACCTGGTCTCTCGAGTGTCGATAGGTCAGCCCCTTAACCTTCCTGTCGCTGCCAGCCAGAGACATGTCGTCGTTTCGGCCATCGACCTCTGCCTGCAGGACGGGTGGTTTTACGACCTCACAGGAGAGAAGCTCGCCAGCTTCCAGCGTCTTATCGGCGAACTGCAAGCCGCGAACGTCAGCATGCTGTGGCTGACGCAGCTGTGTCAGATCCGGCCAAGCAACCCGAGCTTCGCTCAGTGTCTGGGGGTTGCAAGGACAGTCCGAGCCGAGTTAGGAGTACGCTTTGGTACCTTGGAGCTCGACCTTGCCGATAGCCGCGAGGGCAACGACGCTGCCTTAAGACTGGAACACGTGAGTCGGGCTCTTGAGTCTTTCATCCAGAAAGGGCGCATCGCAGACAGCCAGGCAAGTGACGGCTTACCAGACCAAGACATGGAGATGGCCTACTGCTCCGTGGCAAAGGCAATCATGATCCCACGTGCCCGCCCCGTATCAATCCGTAGTGCCATCCACAGCAGCGCCATCAACGGCGCGGCCGGCTGTGCAGCCATCACAACGCTCAGGGCTGTGCGTCCCGGGTCTCTGGAGAGCCTGCAGTGGACCACAGTGCCTCGAGCCAAGTGTCATCCTCCCTCAACAACACCACTTCCATCTGGAGCCGTCCGCGTCCGCGTCGAGGCCGCCGGCCTCAACTTCAAAGACGTCATGGTCGCCATGGGCCTCCTCGAAGTCCCCGGCTCAGGAGACGCACAAACTCAAGGCCTGCCGCTGGGCTGCGAGGCCGCAGGCGTCGTGACGGCCGTAGGCGCATCGGCCTCGTCGAAGTCCCTCAGCATCGGAGACCGCGTCGCCGTCTTCGCGCCGCAGGCCGGCTGCTTCTCCACCGAGGTTGAGGTCGACGCGCGGCTTTGTGCGCGCATCCCCGATGGCTTGTCCATGAGCGAGGCGGCGGGAATGCCGTGCGTCTTCACGACCATACTGCGCGGGTTGGCTGACAAGGCGGGCGCGGGCCCCGGTCAGACGGTGCTCATCCACAGCGGCTCTGGTGGCGTAGGTCTTGCGGCCCTCCAAGTCGCACAGCACCTGGGCGTGGCGCCAGCCGACATATACGCGACGGCCGGGTCCGATGAGAAGCGGGCGTTCCTGGCCGAGCGATGTGGGCTGCCGCCCGCCAACGTCTTCAGCTCACGCGACGACTCGTTCGTGGACGGCGTCATGGCGGTGACACGCGGACGCGGAGTCGATGTGGTGCTCAACTCGCTATCGGGCGACCTGCTACACGCGTCGTGGGGCTGCGTCGCCGCCGGCGGGACTCTCGTCGAGCTGGGAAAACGGGACGTGGTTGCGCATGCCAGGCTGGCCATGGCACCATTCGATGATAACCGCTCCTTCGTGGCCGTCGACATGGCGCGCCTGGCCGTTCAGGATCCGTCCGTCGTGGGCCGCCTGCTGCAACGGACACTCGATTTGTACAAGCAGGGGGCCGTCACGCCGGTGCAGCCACTGCGTATTTTTGGGTGCGATGAGGTCGAAGATGCTTTCCGGCATCTTTCAAAGCCATCACACGTCGGTAAGGTCGTTGTCAACATGACCCATTGTCAGTCATTGAGGCCCAATCCTAAGAATGTCGTACCTTGGTCAGCGTCGGTTCCTATGCCCGCTCCTGAGCTTGATCCCGAGGCTGTGTATCTCCTAGTCGGTGGGTTTGGTGGCCTTGGACTATCCATCTCGCGGTGGATGGCGTCCCACGGTGCTAAATCGCTCGCCACCCTCTCCAGATCCGGTGGCAAGAACGAAGCAGCGAGAGACGTGCTGGCAGAGCTTCTCGAAATGGACTGCAAGGTCATGACCCTGGCTTGTGATGTCACCAACGAGGATGCGGTTCGGGAAGCCGTATCGCACGTGTCCTCGAGCACACAGAGGCGCATCGCCGGCGTCCTTTTCCTCCCTATGGTCCTGGCAGACGCCGCACTACCGGACATGACCATTGGCAGATGGCAAGCAGCCACCGATCCCAAGGTCCGTGGAGCGTGGAATATACACAATGCTCTGCCACAATCGTCGCATCTGGACTTCTTCGTGCTGTTCGGCAGCACGTCTGGCTTTTGCGGATATCCCGGCCAGGCCAACTACGCCGCCGCCAACTCGTTCCTCGATGCCTTTGCCCAGTACCGCCGGGAGCTCGGTCTGCCGTGCTCTGTCGTCGACCTCGGTCCAGTTGAGGACGTTGGCCACGTCAGCAACAGTAAAGAGATTCAAGACACAATGGCCAGGTCCGGCGCGAGGTTTGTATCCGAGAGGCACATGCTAGAGGCTGTACAGCTCGCCATGCTGAGGTCTACAGCCACGCCCTCTCAGGACCAAGTAAGGGCCATCGATCGTGGTCTTTTGATCCAGGGACAACTCGGCGTCGGCTTCGACGTACAAATACCGCTGGAAGATGCCCGAAACTCGGTGGTCTGGAAGAGGGACGCGAGAATGGTGACGCTCTGCCCTGGCGGGCCTGGGCCCCAAAGTCCGACAGCCGAGCCAGGTCCGTCGTCTAATGGTCTAGCCGACTTTATCTTACATCTACGGAGCGACCCGACCGGCTTGGATAGTCCGTCGAGCTCGACCCTCATTGCACGTGAGATCGCGTCTCGGCTTTTCGGTCTGCTATCGCGAGAACTGGATCCAGCAGACGAGGTGCTCTTAGCGTCCGTATCGTTAGCGTCCCTTGGCATTGATTCTTTGATTACCATTGAGGTGAGAAATTGGTGGAAGCGTACATTTGGTTCTCAGATCAGCTCCATGCAGCTGATCAATGCGAACAACTTTATGCAATTAGCATCACTTGCTATTACCCAGTTCAAGTTGAGGGAGGCAATCGCGAAATAGGCTTCGGCCCCGGTAGATATTACGAATATCATGATGACAGTCGATAGCAGTCCAAGGAAACCGGCTGGAACATATATATGAGCACAAACACACAGAATAGAGAGAGAACCAGAGTCGGCTTACGTAGCAAATTGCATTCGCCAAGCCAGCCTGTGTTCTATGCGCCAACCTAGTGTGTCCAAATTACTGGCTGTACGGCTTCAACCCTTGATACTATCTCTGCTTGAGGATGGATTTTCTTTTTTTTCAAGACTAATCAGCGGCACGGTTCGTAACCGAACAAACAAGACCATTCTCAGCTTAGAAGAATGGCAGAGGTTCGGTTTTCGTTTAACCGCGGTGGGCTAGTGCGCCGAGATATTCACTGACAATCACTAGGCAGTGCGACAGGGGTGAGTGAGCACAAGCATCTCACCTGATGTGTCTGCCTGGCCGGATTTTTTTTTTTTTGAAAAAAAAAGATGACATCGCACTTGGCAACATCTCCTGCTTTTCTCTCTTACCGAGCACCTTTCGACTCTTTGTATCTCGACCGAGCGGCCAATTACGCGTTACGAAGGAAGATGTCGTCGACCAAGCTTGAATGGTTCATCGCCGAGGGCGACAACTTCAACTGGTCGACCCAGCCGTTTGCCACCACAATGAAGAGCATGATTGACACAGGGCTCCACGAATGGGGCTTTGTCATCTATCGCTGCGTCTATGGCGACGATGAGGCATGGCAGCGGTACATGAAGTACTTCGAGGAAGATATCATCGAGGGTCTGGAGCACCATGGTGGTGACGTAGTGGTGGGCGATTTCCATATATACAGCCACCTGACTGATGAAGCTAATGAACAAATTTCGTGCAAAGTTACCGCAGTACGCCAGATGGACAGTCATAGAAGACCAGGAGACTCTCGACAGCGCGAGTATTGACACGGTTCGCGACATGTTTGTTGAATGGCGCAACAAACACCAAGTGGAACTCGAGGAGCGCTGGATCAACCGGATCATTCCCCCTTTGCTGAGGGATGCGCCTAACCGGCTACCTCGCTTCACGTATTGCCTCTATGTCGACCAAAAGTGTCTCAACACCGTCACAGCGTTCGCAGAAAAGTTTCCAAAGCCGTCTTTCCTCGCGCCAATTCCGCCTCCTCTCGTTGCGGTGTTGGTCGATAGCGACTTCAATGAGAGCCTGTACGTGGGCGGTGGGTACCGCGCTGCCCCGGACGAGCGAGGTCAGTTTCCTGCCATCGATGGACGCACATGCAAATACATCGGTTGGGCTTATGTGGATGTGAATGGGCTGGGTAGTTGGTACGATGAGCTGCATCGTCTCCGTCTGGACGATGCGATGAGCTACCGGCGGCCGCCCAAGATCATGCCGCTAGGGTTTGAGGCGTTGACTGACAACGGCATCCAAAGAGTCTGAGACTTCGAGGCTTGGAAGACATAGGTTGTACTTGAACTTGGAGACAGATAGCTAGAGAACAGCTTAATACACAAGCTAGGATGTATGCCGCACAATATCCGTCTTGCGGATCTGGCGGGGGCTGTATATAGTGCAACTGGTGGAAGACCGCCGCAAACATGTCGTGAACAGACCGCTAGTTCGGCGGAAGCAGCGGCTTCGAGCTGCCCGCCCTATCGAAAGCCGCAATCAGGTCAATTGGCCGATTCAATGCGCATGTCCTGCGATATCAGCTGCATGACGTTAGCAGTTGAGACTGAATTCGCGGTGAATAGCGCTCACCTGGTCCAGAGCATCAACCTCGTTGAGCGAGTTGAACGTGACGTCGGCGTGACCATGAGATGATGGTGCAGGAAACGTTCAGACGCTCTCAATTAAATGAGTACGGACGTTTAAATTGCGATACTTGTGTTCAAATCGCTCTTGTACAAGTGCCAAGGACTAGGTCAGGCTCGGACTGGGGAGCGCCGGCCAAGCAACTTCGCTCATGAGGATCTTCACAACAATCCACATCCGGAGAGTCATTCGCCAACATAACAGGATAGCGCCGTGTCGTGATTGCAGTCGTAGTTCGGGTACTTATCGCGCTGCGACAGTTCCACGTGTTTTGGCAGCCTGCAATGTCTGAGCGCGTATCAACACGGAATTGAAAATACGAAAATATCATGTGACAATATAGTAGAATATCTCATCTCCGTTGAGAATCAGACTCCGGGCAAAATTCTCCCACTGATAGTGTCAAGAGCTGATGATATTAGCCACGTGATCAGACTTTGGACAGCGGTTCCAATGTGTGGTTGCACGAGACGGCAGAGGTGGCCAGAGACAAAGAATCAGACCAAACATTTCAAGCAATTAGTTAGCTAAGCTCAAAGTCATCCGTTGACCGGAAGGGCGCTGCAGTGGCGGAGCAGGCTTGCCGGAGAGTACTGATCCCGAAAAGGGATATGGTGCCAAGCCTGCCTACCTGCCTTCTAACGGACGGAGGCGGCCATTGGCGATTGCGACAACACCAACCATGTAGGGAGGCTGCTGTGCAACCCGTATGAGAACAAGCAGGTTTATATAGCCCGAGCCTGGTTACCTACAATCCTCGATCTGCGCAACTCTTCTTTATTATCTTCATCAATAACTGAAAGATCAATCCAAAAACCCGTCAGACATTCCTGTCCTTGTCATAGCACCACGTTTCTTACATGTCGACCTCTAATTGCACTGGTCCCATCGCTGGTAGTGCTGCGAATGATATTTGGCGTCAGCATGAAGCCCAAATCAGAAATCTTTACCAGAACAAAAAGAAAACACTCAAACAGGTAAAGGAGGAGATGGAGAAGAACGGGTTCCCCGAGAAGCCGTAAGATTCCAGCTAGCATATCTTTACAGTATTCTGAGCATCTTATTCAAGCGTTGACCAATGCCTATATTTGAAACAGACTGTCCACATGGGAATCAAAGCTCAGAGTTGATCTTAAAATTCGGAAAAAGAACAAGGCTTCTGACTGGAAATTGGTCTACCGACACCTAACCCCTCGTCTTGAAAGACCAGGCAAGAAACGACTAAGGAAACCAACAACAATTCGATTGGACGGGAGGAATATTCCATTCGATGAGGCATGGAAAGAGATCCGGAGGTCGGGTGCACATATACTATCTCCACGCCAGTGTAAGTGAGTTATGGAGGACGATATACATCGTGTGACTTCCGGAAGGAGCTAACGAACAATCCCAAAGTGCCCCAAGGTAACCTTCCGTGTGGGATAGAGGTGAGAACTCCATCGCCTGACCTCTTGCAACGCTCCGCTACAGAAACCTTGGCTTCATCAGTCGCGCCCATTGTGCCAACGAGTTCTGAGTCTACTGCGGCTTTACAGCTATATGCCTCACAGACTGCGATTACAAGCGGTCCGCCGCGTATTACGTCTAACGTCTTAGTCTTTTCGAACGATCTTCCAACTACCCCATGGGTGTCTCTGTGTCTCAATCTACGACGTATGCACATGACTTCTTTTCCTTTCCCCGCTAGGATGGACAGACGCTGATACTAGTCAACCAAAATAGATCTTTTCCATGATTCGATCCTTCTTCAGCTATATGCGGCATGGAAATCGTTGGAATGGTGGAAGATTGTTCCAGTGGGCCGAAGTCTAGTGGCTCAAGAGATCGAACATTTCCAATCCCGATCATATCTGCTCCCAGCTAGTTCACTAAGGTTCCCCCGTCCATCCCCCGATCTTGGATATAGACTCGTTTCATCACGGGGAAATATCTCTCTAAGCGACTTCGTCTCGATTTCCATTTATCTATTATCCAATCGACTATATGACATAAATGATGGTGATAAAGGGTTACACCTTTTATGTTTACTTTTTGAGCATAATGTTCACATCTTCACCCAAATACTACAGTGCGAGACATCAACTGGAACGGCTACATGGGAATCATTAATGCATTATTCAGAGGATCATCACCACAAGCAGATCTTTAAATATCTGTTGGAAATCGGCATCCGGTACGAATGGACCAACCGTTATAACTTTGGCGTTCTCGCCTCTGCTCTTCACATGGATTGTCCAACCGATGTCCTTGTGAGCATTCTTGCTTATCTTCGTGTATCCAGTCACATCTCTTGGAGAGAGATCCTCCACGCGATTTCGAAAGCACTTGAGAACAAATATGTTGGAATCGCCAAATTGCTGGTTCAACGTGTCGATATTAACGCGGAATTGGCCCGTGATGGGCTGGTTCCGCCTTCACCGCCACGGTCAGTATTCCTGGCCTTCATACTGGGGTTTGACAGCACCTACGATAGCAATTGGCACATATTGGACTTTTTCCTGTCGAATGGTGCTGATGTCGACCGGTTTCTGCCCTCAGGGCTATTTACCCGCGAACCAAGCAGAGACTGGTACAATCGCAACGAAATCCATCGTGCGCTACGTCCAACAATACTAGACCATTCATTTGGCTTGGATCGATCTTTATTTAAGACGCTGTCGCAATATAGCAAAGTAACGGAGTCAAAATTGACGAAATCTGGCCTCTTGATTTCCCTCGAGGAGGGGCTAGATGCATTCCGAGACTACCTGAAGACTAGAGTATCTGCAACACATCTCCTCAGCTGGCGAATCATGCGCGAACCTTTGGAATTTCTTCTGGGCGACCATGTCCACCATGAATGGCGAGACATCAGAATTTGGGAGATTGATTTGTATTCTTCTCGCTTAGAGATGCGTAAAATGGACTTGAGGATCATACGCAGCCTTATTGAGTATGATGAGAACTCCAGTTCATTTTCGATCTTTCTCCCTCACACCCACGACATATTGGACGCCGTCTTACGACAACTTCGTGATCAAATTACGGACGATCGTTTGCAGCTCTTGGATATTCTGATGCAGAAAGGCGCTGATTTAAGGGAAGATCATCTCGAAAGTGCAGTAGAAAAGGATGGAATCAAGGTCCTGACTTGGCTTCATCCGAGGGTCAAGAACTTTCCAGCGAAGGCTGCTGGGGCGTTGGCTAAAGCTGCGCTCCTGAACAATTTCGAGGCGGTGGAATTTCTTCTTCAAAGCGGAGTGGACCCTAATTCATACATCAGCGCCAGGACCGCGAAATTGGTGTGCCCCAGGAGATTCGCTGTAAAACATATAACACAGGGTTCCGTTGAGCAGACTTACAGTGTGCAAGCGATCGCAGCTGGAGTAGGCAGGCTCAACCTACGCAGGAATTTTGATTATTCCAGTTTGAGAATGTGTCAAGTTCTTGCCGAAAAAGGAGCGAAATTGGTCGTCGGTCCAAACGACAGTACTCCCTTTGCATTCACAGGGCTTCTGTTGGAAAATGGCTGGGGTGATGCTGAGCTTTTCGCCAAGGTCAAATTTGCGCTCAGTACCCTAAAACAAAGCAAACAATGGGAAAGACCTCCAGCATTTCTGCTAGAGCTCTGCGTCGAGAATAAGACACAGTTCGGAGGAGAAGAGATTCAGGAACGGCTGAAGATATTTGAATATATTTTGAGTGAGGGGGCTGATGTGAATCCTGGATCCCCTCTCGCAGCCCTCGTCACTACTGGGCCCCCCAAAGAGCTTGTGGAACGGGTTTTGAGTCTGGGAGCTAAGCTGGACAATTACACTGCCGTTACCTATCCGGGACCGCGGGTACGCTTTGACACTAAGACTCCTCTCCAGTCCGCAGCACTTCAAGGTAACGAGGACTTGGTCTACTTGTTTCTGGAGGCAGGCGCTGATATTAACAGTCCTGCGCGTGGCAAATATGGGAAGACAGCCCTTCAAGCGATTTGCTCCTGGCATCCTGCCACAGAAAAGGAGCACCGTCGCAAGATGACAATATGTGACATACTGTTAAATGGTGGTGCAGACGTCAACGCTGCTCCTGCCAGGCGGATGGGATCCACCGCTTTACAACTGGCAGCCACTGGCGGAGATCTCGAATTGACGGCGATGCTGATCCGACATGGTGCTCACGTAAACGCACCAGGCATGTGTGGAGGTAGTGCTCTGGATGATGCTGCTCGCGGGGGACGTTTGGATGTGGTCAAGTTGCTACTTAACGCCAATGCTTTAAGCGCTCATCGCAGATCAACTGGATACCACGGGTCTATCAAAATTGCTGAACGTTATGGCCATCACGCTACCGCATGCTTGATTCGTGATCACCTGGCGAATGCTTTGGGGCCGGATTCGAGCTTCGTTACATTCGGCTTCGAGGAAGGTGTAGAGGATGATCACACCCATGATAGCGACACAGACGGTGGATCCACTGAGGATGGATCCAGTGATGACGAGTACGGGCGCAGTGAGCATGAATTGTCGACTGACGAATATTGGAAATCAATGGACGAAGAATCCTCTGAATGTGATGCAGGAGAGGACTCAGATGACTCAGTGAGCCAGGCAGACAGTCTGATGCGCCTCGCCCCAGCAGATGGGCCAGCAGATGGGCCAGCAGACGCGCAGGTAGTTCCCGACTTGCAAGCTGTGGAAAACATCTTTACGGACGACTTTATGGGCTACTTGGGAACCGAGGTTGATTTGAATGCGGAATATGAGCCCATGCCGGATTCTTCCATGGGACCGCTGACTGAGATATTGGGTACACAGTCATTCCCTGGCTGGCAAATTGTTGCGAATACTTCTATGAATGATCGGGTTGGTTACTCAGATATGGGCTTCGTTTTGCCGGAGGAGGATATGCAAACGCAGTGGGAAAATGAGTCCACATTTCAGAATCCCTTTGAAACCTTGGTTAGGATGCCAGACGATAGCGCGCTGTGGCAGCAAGTCTTTGAGATGCAGGACCAGGAACTGGGGATCGCAACACCTGACGCAGGTCTTCAAATGTCTACTTCAGATAACTCGGGTAGGCCAGACGTCGAAGGCCAGGATGCTGCAGAGCAGAGCTGTAAACCAGAAGTGCATGGGGATTGAGGTACGTATCAGCAATCCGCTGCACCCTGTGAATCCTGCTAACGACAAGCAGCTACTGTCACTTGTGGCTTCCGTATCTTCCTGCCCACTGCCGCCCTGTGCACCGCAGGAATGAGTTGGTTCACGATAGTGACGTCAACCTCTAGTATTCAGTTCCCAAGATCAAACAACACACACGCTCTCATGCAAGCAATTCAACTAGAAGCTCGTTTCACAATATCATCAAGCCATTAGTCCCAATTAGCTAAGCATCGAAACTCATATCCGATGATCTCAATTGACAGTAGCTCTACTCCTTTCATCTAAGAAGTTATTCTTATGCCTCCTCATTGCTACCAGGCCTGCTCTAAAACAGCGTGTTGATAGCCTACCCGTTGGGCGATTAAACCAAACCCGTCAGCTAAAAACATTCGAAGTATTTTGATGCATAAAACATTAGAGTAGGATAAATCCTATGGTGTCTTCGAAAACCTGTACTCCTCCATCAGATGTTTCACCTCTCATAGTATTTCGCTCTGATTCTGATACAAATACTTGATTTGAGCCTCGTGCTGGAGCTTAAAAGTTACTAGTAGCACCCTCGGGGACGGGACGGCGGGAAGCTGGTGTGCAATTATTTCGTTCGTAGAGCAAGTAGGAAGAAAATTAGACAAGTGGAGAAAAGATGCTTTGACGATTCATCAGGCTGGGTTTATATTGAGGATTTCAGAACGAACGGCATTATCTGCAGTACTGGAGAGGATACTTGAACAAAACTCGCGGTATTGTACCTTGGACCCATGGTATCTGATAGGACTGGCCGAAATCTGCCTGCATATAGAGCTTAATATTCTCCCGCGTTTCAGCTGCTTGCTGGGTTGCACAATGCAAGCGCGTGCCCAATCTCCAGTTGATACTGCCCCGTGCTTACCTGGCACTCAATACACTATTGCTCAGCCCCTGCTACAGCCCATTCTCCTGACCAACCGGAGCGTGCGCCTGAAATGCTTTTCTTCAGTCGTGTAACACTTGACGGCTTTAGCTCTCATGCTGAGGGCTTTCCTCGACAGAATGTCCAAATTCTTGTCACGTGAGCCCGTCCTCTTTGTCACCCCGTTCCAATGGCATGGCCGGTCAATACCATTGGCTAATACTGGGATGTCCCGTTGTAAAATGCGATGAAGGTCTCTCAGAATTTGCTCGCAATGTTAGTTCAGCCTCTTCATAGTAGGGACTGCTGGCAAACCTGCACATGTGATGTACTTGTCCGAAATCTGGTCACCTATTTGGAACATGTTGACTTCAGGTATACTTGCGCAATACTGGGCATGTTTGACAGCTGTTCTTGAAGAATGCTGTCCAAAGCCTTGTCTTAAAAAGACTTGACGAGTTGCAACAATGAGCGAAATGCAAACCTGCTGGCCCCCAGGTGCCTTCTCTCGAACATGAGGCCTGCTATAAAGTCCGGCCATGCCGTCAGACCTTTGGGCTCTTGACAATAGTTCTTTATTTTACAATCACACGTCACATTTTCTCCTCATAATCCTCGATATGGCTACCATGACGATTGATAGTAATGCGATTATCGGCATTTTGACACTGTTCGTCACTTGCGTCCCAGGTATTTGGTTCCTCCTGCGCTCAAGGGAGCGACTCCAGAGGCTGGATCAGCAGTCGATTCAAGAGCTAGAAACTGGATTCTCTCAAGCTGGACGTGATGTTCCCCTCGATTCGCAATTTGCACTCTCCTCGCCTTCTGTCGTCTTGGCTTTCTGATCTAGTTGTTGCAGCCATCGTTTCCTGTCTCCAAACCTTCCATTAGATCTCAAAGACATTGTCTGTTACCTATGCTGACTTTCAAAATTTGATTAGCAGAACTATAGTGGTCCTGTTATTGCATTGCCACGCAGAGCATACATTCCTGGTAGTACCGCAATGACTACTTGGTCGCCTTACTCCGAGTTACCTTAACAAACTAATGTAAGAGAAGGCATACATCGATCTTCACTTGGATAATTCACTCCAACCAGGTCTCAAAGGCAGGGAAACATACCGCTAAGTTCAGCCAATTCCAGGCCCAGCTGCTTCACAACATCAACCAACATACTTCTCTAACATCATCTCAAGTCTGGCCTGGGATGAATTACTACCCTCGGCCCTTTTCGCTGGTTCAACAGTGCGAGCGTTGGGCTTTCAAAGTCACTGAACAACAATAAAACTATGAACTCTAACTTAAGCAAGTTCTTATGCAGCTTTACCAACCATTGTCGAGAATGTTACCTACACAAATGCCAACGCCAATCTCACCAGTGTTCTTGGGGGATTAAGAAGCAGCGGAGCCGGTGCGTGCTCAATTGGCATCTGGAGACGATGGGTGGAGACTGCATACCTGTTGAAACAGATTGAATACCAAGATTACTGGTAGATGGCCTATGGGCTTGTGAGGTCATTTCGTGGGAAGCGGAAGGCTAATGTGGTGAATTGCATGTGGACGGTGGCTGCGAGGGACAGCAGGGTTCTCATTCCGGCGGCTTAGACACGGTGGATCACTGCGGTCTGACATTTGGAACCATGGACAGAGAAGACGTGGGATTGCGTTCGACGTCAGAGCAGAGTCGAGAGAGGTCATCTTTATCAGCACAACCTTGAAGAGTCGTCATGAGACGCGACCGCCGGGGATCGTGGTCGAGGGAGTATGGGTGCAGAAGATCTGGATGTTAAAATTATTGGTAAGCCCTGCATGATGGCAAACTCATGAGCAGGGTCGAGCTGGTATCCACAAGAATCCCAGCTACCAGGTTTTCATTCCTTTTTTTCCCACGTTGGCGTTGTCCTCAGTGACTCAAACCCGTTGTCAAGCACTGCGAGTTCCTGTGGACTCTTCAGTTATTCTCAATTTGTCCCACGGAGAACATGTTCCAGGACAGAAATGTATCGTTGTGCAGGCCTGTGCTTCTTGAAGCCAATGCGTTGCTCCATAATTCATACAAGTACGAGCCATTTCCCACCAAGACGCACATTCGCCTCTTAATTATCAACCTCGGCAGAAGCGTAGATTTTCTTTCTGGTAGTTATGGCTGGTGGCAGTGGGCTAGGGCAGTTGGTCCCTGCAGAAGCCCCCTTATCGATAAGGCCAGCCTACCCTACAGCTGCTGCCCTAAGGGCTTCGGCAGACCTCTCTTGCCTTCCTTTCTTTCTAACCACATCAGGCCAGCCTACCGTAAAGCCCGTGACGTCTCAACAGTAATGGTAGCAATAGAGCAATAGGTAAGCTTATACGCCAATGCAAGCGACGCCTTACTCCCCATGGAAGATCAAGAAGTTCTTCTATATTTATGAATACTGGGAATAGTAGCGTTAGCGTTTGTAGCGAGCTGATTGGTCCCCTGGGCCTACACCCGTAAGTAGGCCTTGGAGGGACGCAGCCTTCGGCTGCTTCCTGCAACCAAGCAAGCAACACACACAAATCAGCACCAACATCCCCAAACGCGCATCGTATTCGACTACGTGACCCGGCCAATGAATACAAATGTTTGCTCATATACCAAATCCTACGAACTTGAAACTTTATCTTCATCATTGAAATGCATTTCAAGTCGGACTGTCAGGGCGTAGAGCAAAGCCTCAGCAATGGTAGATCTTTTGGGCTCTTTGTTTAAGTCGTGTTGCTGGCGGCGGACGATCCGTGACATCACTTTGGATGGGCTCATGCGGCAATGACTCGTGGCTGCGCGACCGCCGAAAATCACCTATGTTGACCCTTAAGAAAAGAATGTGGACACTACTGCCGGAACGGAAAGTGGGCGACCTGCCTAATATCCGGGTCGAGTACCGGAGCTGGAACTGCTGGGCTGATTTTAGCTTTATGCTTGCTAGATAAACATAAAGGAGAAACGCCGGGGTCTCGCAAGTAAACTTTACCAGGACACTGTTCTGGTAACTTCTTTGGGCTGCATGGGTAGGAAAGTTATGGTAACTAATCAGTCTCGCTCTATGTTCCCCAGCTGTCAACACGATACCAATTTTAGACGGCGTCCAGACGGCGTTCAGGGTAGTAAGAAAAGACCCCGGCACAGAGGCTGGCTGTGCCTCTGTTTGTTTTTTGGTGGCAGTGTCTTCCGCTGTGTCCCATGCGCCTGCAGGCCATTATGGCGCTCCTTCTTACTAAGTGTGCTACGAGCTTGACTAATGGCAGTGGGTCTTGCTGTCCCTTTTCATGAGATCACACAATGCTGCGAAGGGGGGAATGGCCTGAGTCGACCAGTCTTGAGGTTTTCAAGGTCGCATAAAAGACACCAGTCTGTCCTCGACTCAAATGCCTTAGTTGTTCAGTAATCTGTTCCCTCATTTCGCTTTTCACTCAACGTTGACAATTGTCAGCTAAGTCTTTCATTTACGTTCAAAATGCATACCAGCAGCCTTGCACTCGCTTCTGGCCTCGTCGTAAGCGCCCTTGCAGCTCCTTCGCAGCCAATTTCTCCCAGGGACACGGCCTGTGCTGCTTTCAACGGGACATTCACTATCGACAACTACAAGCTGTACCCAGAAAACCTCGACTGGGACCCTGTACACTGCAAACTCTATATCAGTGCCAACTTCAATGCATCAGTCCTTGTCTACGATCCATACACATCGACCTACGACATCCTATCCTTTGATGGGATTACAGACGTTGACCCCTACCATGTTTCTGGCATTGACTACGATGCCTCCACTGGCTCGATCCTCATCTCCGCCAACAGCGGCAACCCCTTCGTGACTTCTGGCTCCGACATGACCGGCGCCAACAAGATCATCCGCTACGACACCAACACTAACTCTGTCGCCTATACGGCTGACTTGGCTGACTTCACGGCTCAGCTCGCATTGGGTAACACAACTGGCGGTGGCATTCAGGACTTTGCCGAGGATCCGTCCGGAAACGCTTACGTTCCTACCGTCTTTCACGTCCCAAGTATCGCTAAGATCACGAAAGATGGCTCAATCACATCCTGGTATACCGGGGAGCCGACCTCCACTTCTTCATACATCTATCTCGGCATCATCTACCACGAGGCGACCAACAAGCTTATTGTCACTGCGCCATACCTCAGCACCTTCGTGTCTTTCGACGTAGGCTCTGACTCTCCGGCACCGACAAACATCACCATGAACGGGCGCCCTGCCGATGGTTCCTACCCAGGGCTCGAGTGCGATGGCCTGATCAACCCCGCCCGCTACAACCGGGACGTCCTCCTGTGTAGCGAGAACGGGCTGCAGGCCATAACACTGTGGGCCACAACCGACGACTTTGCGAGCGTCGAGTATATTGGCCAGGTCGTGGACAACTCGACGACTGATATCGCAACCTGGGGGAGTCCGACCGCGACGGTGGAAATTGGAAACACCATCTACATCTCGAACGAGTACTTCCATGACTTGAACGAGTTTGATGTTGCCGGCAACAGGAGCAGCTTCTCATTCGTAGATGCTACAGCCCAATTTGATGCTGTTGTGACTGCCGCTGGTTTTACTATTACCTCATGTTAGACCTCTTGGTATCGAGATGCAACAATACTGGGATTGCTTCGATGGAATTATGGTCGACCTTTTGGAGGCAAACATGGTTGAGACATAGAAAGCTTGACTACTGAGCTCAAAAATACTTTCTGTACATATTTAGCAGACATCTATGATGAGGCTCACGCCGTCGAGATCGTCGAAAATAAACATCGCCCTTTGATGAGTACTGAGTTTGCTCATATCTGCTCCGAGATCTCAGATTTATACGACCCTTCCCGCTTTGCTGAAAGATAGATACCATTATACGTATAGGCCGTTTAACTACATGTAATTAGCATTTGCCATGCGTGGAAATTGATGAGTAGAGCGGTCGGATTGATGTCATGAAGAAGTCATAGTTTGCGTAAAATCAACTGATGTCAATGATTAATTGGATAAATGAATAGAAAAGCAGCATTGCAATACCCTCATCAACCCTTGTGTAAAACTTAGTCACGTTCCCTTTCAATCGTAATATCAGTCTTTCATCCATCTTCGCAACCTGCGGGGCAAGCCTTTTACAAGCCCATCTCTCCTTCGGCGCCCAAGCAAAAGGACCGCGCGTCCTAGACCCCCTGGGATAAAAAAGAAAACTTTTCCTTGCTACCATTTGGGCCACTCATCACCGCTACCGCACGCGGCTTTCCAGGTGCCACACGACGGCTGTTGTGGGCTCGCTCTAAAGAAGCCGCCTCCTTGACTTCCTGCTCGGCCACGGCTGTTTGAGCCCTTACCAGCACGTAGCCGGGTAATACGCAGATAGATGTCTCCTCTTTGTATGTGGCCAAGAACTCTGGCCACACCTCTGCGGCGATGTCTTTCATCAACAGACGATCTTTGGGCTCTGACTTTGACTTTGTCCCGTTTGTGGTACACCCCGTTGAAGATTTGGCTTCATGAAACAAATCTGAGAGAGGCTCCCAATCCAGCATACCCTGTTCATTTGATAGAGGCTCAAATTGAGCCTCGAATCTGATTTCGAGTTGTTGGATGGTCATCCAAATCTTGCAAGCTTTTTCGTACCACTGAAGCACAGCAGCATTGAAAGCCTGACCGTCGACTGGTGAGGTTATGAGAAATCCTAAGATTTTGGAGACCTGATTTGCGGCAGTCTTGGTGCGTTTGAGACCATTGTCCCGCTGTCCCTTCAGATTCATGTTGAGCAGCACGCTCCGCATCCAGTGAGCGTGGGAAGAGCTAACTTGACTCAGAATCTCCGCCACCTCCATACCATTTTCTGTCAGATATACAGGCTGAAAGATGTACTGGTATGCGTTCTCGGCCATGAGGCGAAGCACAGCTGCTACGCGCATCTGTCTCGCCGCTTCCGAGTTACCTGGTGGCAGGGGGATACCGGAGAGGGCGACATCTTTGGTTAGGTCTTCCCAAAGCCTTGTATGAGTTACCTGAGGCTCTTGAGTCAATTGACCGAAGAATTGGAGAGCCAGCTGGTGTGCTTCGTCAAATAAACCAACTAGCTGCCTGACGCTGCAATACAGTTAGCGTTGTTGTTATCGAGTGAGAAAAGGGGTGAAATGATGTACTAACAGGGTTCGAAACTCAGTCTCATTCAAGCTTTTGAGAGGCAAAGCCAACTTTTTGAAAGCTGCCAATTCTTGATTCGCCATGTCATATTGTTTCTTGATACGGTCTCCTTCCACCCGGGATGCCTTCAGATCCTGTTCGGTCTTCCTCGCAGACTCCAGTTGCGCTTCTTTTTGCTTCAAATTGGCCATCGTCTTATCAATCTCATCCTTGTTTGTCACGAGTTCCATCTTGAGATTCGCTATTTGATTCTGCGCCTTTTGGAACTTGCCCTGGGTTGCAGATGCTTGCGTCTGAGCTTTGTCGAGATCAGCATCCTTTTTGGCGCATTGATCCTTCATGTCTTGGTTCTCGTTTTCGACCTCCTGAACTGCGGCCAAGATCTCCGTTTTCATAGTTTTGCTGTCTCCCACCTTCTTTTTGAGTTCCTCATTCTCTGTCCTAAGGTTTTCCACCTCCAAAATTAGGCCGGCGATGTTCTGGTAGCCCTCGTCCGTGGACAGCTGTCTGATTATCCTGACAAAATCCTTGACCAATCCTTGCTGAACGGGAGGCTGACCTTGCCCATTTAGCACGGGCTGCTTGGCGGGCGCGGACGTAGTCATTTTGATGCCGAAGTGGTAAATGTGTATATTCGAGGTTGCGTAGCACTGCCGTTGCTGTAATCTTGGGCAAATCTCGAATGACCGACGTGAGCTGCCATGTCTAGCCATCAAGTCAGTCAGGCGTTTGATTCTATTTCTGCTCGTTGGGTCGGATTGCGGTATCTTCGATCAGTTGAGCCTCAATCACCTTAGCATGTGCAACGATGCATACATGTCCAATGAAAGTTCTCGACGTGTTTACACCTGCATGTGCATGTTCACAATCAGCGGGGCTTGCCTCGAACTCACCTTGGCGCGCAAAATGGTCCCAGTAGGCCTCCCGCAGATACGGGTTTCGTTCAGAAACCATCAATTTTAGTGGTCGTCGAGGGAAATTCCAGGTCGTGTGTCGCACTGATAATGCCTGACAGCTGTTCGCATCGCTGCAGCTGCAAACTCAAAGCCACTTACATTGTTGCAATTTCCGATGTTAGCTCACCGATGCAAGCAGGCTGTACCAACCACAGGTGATCATTGAAACGGGGCCAGTCAAGATGGGAAGAAGGACACCATCTGGCATGCAGGCCCGCTACCAAACGAGGCGCATTAATCTTGGTTGGATAAGATATCGATGTTGATGTAGATGGCATTCATGATGCAGAAGTGACCAGGGCGTCCACAGGACTATTGCGGGTGGGGGTGCATGTCTTCATGGTTGCACAAACATTGTTGCACTTGAAGGCCTGGCCGGGCCGATAGACTCGAGGAGCATGCATCTTCTCCCCGTGGAGCCTGTTCTGCTCTAGACCTTGGCTAGTAGGACTCAGAGATGAATGAAAGTTGTAAGCCGGAAACTCACAAGACTGGGTCGATTTCCTGCAATATTTCTGTTTGTTCAACTTGAGCTACTACAGGCCATCATGATCATTTACCTGCACTTTGCCCTGCGTTACTGTGATGTAGGCTTCGACGATGGACTTGAAAATTGGTTCGTTCTTCTGACTTGACTAGGATAGGCGGTCCTGAAAGGTGGAAATAAGACCAATAACAGGAATGCCGTACCACAAATATATTCCGCTCATTAATCGCACAAACCAATTATATGGGCGATCGAAGTTATACCGCGAGTGTTCTTTGTGCCTCACCAGCTATTTGGACGGAGGGTTCATTATGTGAGGCTGTACAGGTCTAAAGTATTGGCATGTAGTTAAGTGTGCGCGTCAATCCGAACAATTGTTTGTAAGCTACCCTTACTTGGCGAGATTTCCAGACGCAGTCATTCAAATAACTTGATAGATAAGAATACTCCCTACTCAACCAAAGAAAGATGAACGTTCTGGTGGAAAATGTGCACGATGGCCATTGCTAATCATGTCACTTGATCAAGCTACTGGTGTCGCGATAGTAACATTTGGCGCAGGACTATGTTTCTAAAAGTTGATTCGGCGTGTGACTCTCACTTTTCCAGGCCCACGAGTAACGTACAATGTATCAGACCCACAGGCCTCTGACGGGTATTTTGCATTCCTAGTCATCTAAGCTTGGGCAAGGCTTTCGACCATGGTTTCACATAAGAACATTCAATCTTGATGGCACCTCGGTCAAATTTGCTCAAGTAGCCGTTGTACTTTAGGGTTGATCGGCTGACCTGGGATTATTTACTACTTCGTGAAGCAGATGGCTTGTTTCGTTGACATTGTCGCGTTTTATGCACAACCAAGGCCTCAACCACGGTTTCAACCAGACCCCTTGCAAGCTCATTCAATTAAATTGGGCATTCAAACTGCGGCACTTCATGAAGCTCCCCATTTGGTTCTCAGAACCCGCGCCCCTTTGTACTTTAGAGCGGGCTGTCCAGGCAATCTGCCTTCCAGTCCAATACTCCTCTACGCCAGGGCATCACTTCGATGTCCACTCTGCCAAGACAACTTCAACTAAGGTGCTCAATCAAATAAGTCGAGTGATGCTGTGATGGGACACACCGCCAAGACTAAATTAACCGGAAGGATATGAATCGTCTTGGCAGTTGCTTTGTTTTGCCACGATCTTCGGAACATTTACGCTTGTTTTGTTCATGCGGAGCTACTTGGAGTAATAGATGTGTCAGATTTTCAAGAGAGCGGTTAGGCCTCCGGAATTGGCAACAGCTATCATCATCGTAATCATCGTCGTACCATGGGTTAGCTGTGGAAAGGTGATCGGGACGAGTACATCCGGCCGTGATGAGCATATGAAATGGAGGCAATTTGGGACAACAGCGGTGAAATAATATCCCTGGTGCTTGACTGGATTCAATATGCAAGCGGGTTCTGTGGCAGTCAATGCTCGAGGATAGGCGGATCCACGGTGGTATAGAAGGAACCGGCCGAATCCGTATAAATCAAGACGTCCCATGAACTGATCGGTGATAGAGCGATTTCTAATGCATGGAAGCTCCAGCACTCTAGTTGAATTTCCTCAATATGTTGTTTCCCTCTGTCGCCCTCCTTCTGGGCCTGAGTACACTCTCCAAAGCCCTCAGCACTCGTCAAACCAGTGATGAGTATGACTACATTGTCATAGGCTCTGGGCCTGGAGGGGGGACAATTGCCTCCAATGTGGCAAGAGCTGGATATTCTGTCCTGCTGATCGAAGCTGGCGACAATGCGGCAGAAGAGCCTTTTGGTGCCTACCCGGCATCTTCAACATGGGACTTCTTCGTGAAGCACCACGAAGAGGAAGCGAAGACGATGAAATTCAGGTTCCTTACCTGGAGAACAACCAGTGGGCAGTACTGGGTCGGCAACTCGGGACAGCCTTCTGGAGCAAAGTTGCTTGGTGTCTATTACCCCAGGGGCGCCACTGTCGGCGGTTCGTCGATGATCAACGCGATGGTGACGTACCTACCTCCTGATAGCGACTGGAACTACATTGCCAATTTGACCGGGGACACCTCGTGGAGGTAAGCATCACCCTCAATGCCTTTCTATCATAACCTTGTCCAGTATGTTTACACTGAATGCAGTGGTTCATCCATGCGAACGCTGTTTCAAAACATCGAAAAGAACAACTATCTTACAAAGGGTACAGCCGGTCACGGCTTCGACGGCTGGTTCCAGACCAACCTCCAGGCTGGTTTTGCTCCAGACTTGGCTTTGTCGCGCGCAGAGGCTTCTGCCCTTGGGAAAGATTCCAACCAAGTCCAAAACATGATCAATGCCGATCCGAACTTCCTTGCCGCCGATCGTGACAAGCAGGTTGGTATCTGGGGTATTGCATACCACCAGAATGGCCAGGGCCAGCGCTTCAGCTCGCGTACTCGCGTACAAGAGACACTGAACAACAAACAATGGCCTCTAACGCTCAAAACAAACGCTCTGGCCACCAAGATCCTCTTCGATACCAATTCCACCTCCTGCGGTGGGGCAGTGCCCAAGGCGACGGGAGTAGAGTATCTCACCGGCCAGTCCGTCTACAAGGCTGACCCGCGCAACAACGGCGCTGCCGGTACAAAGGCCACAGCGCGTGCCCGCAAGGAGATTATCGTCGCGGGCGGCACCTTTAATACCCCACAGCTTCTACAACTTTCCGGTATTGGCCCGGCCTCGCTCCTCAAATCGCTCAGCATTCCCGTGATCGTCGACTCCCCCGGCGTCGGCGCCAACCTGCAGGACAACCAGGAGATGCCGGTCGTCGGGCGCTCCCAGAACGGGCAGGGCTCGGGTGGAGGGTACACTTTCATCAAGACGAACCACACTTCGAACGACGAACGCGACGTCTGGTTCATGCACGGCGGGCCCTTTCGTGGCTTCTGGCCCCCAGCAACGCGCTTGAGCAACCAGCCGGGGCCCCAGGACGCAGCCGGAACTCTCAGCATGAGCATGGTCAAGCAGCATGTTGCCAACCGCGCAGGCACTGTCAAGATCACGAGTACCGACCCCCGTGACCCGCCCGATATCAACTTCCGCCTGTATACGCAGGGCCGTGAGACCGACATGGGTGCCGTCAAGGACTTTGTCGCCTGGAGCCGCCGCGTCCACAAGGCCACGGCTGCTCCGGTCGGTCCAATCACGACCATTGAGCCTCCCTGTACGAGCGGCGAGGACTCAAACGGTAGCTGTGGCCAGACCGACGAGGACTGGATTGAGGGTCAGACCTTTGGCCACCACTGTACGAGCACGGCGGCCATCGGGCCTGACGGCGATGCCAATGCGGTTCTGGACTCCAAGTTCAGGGTGAGAGGCGTGGCGGGGCTGCGGGTTGCTGATGCCAGCGTGTTCCCCAAGATTCCTGGCATCTTCCCTGCCGTCGCGACGTTCATGGTCGGGCAGAAGGCTAGCGATGCCGTGATTGAGGATGCCACTGGCCTTCACTGCTGAGTGAGTGGCAATGGACTGGAGAGGAAGATCTGTGTTTCTTGTTGAGAGGATTGAAAGGCGAACAGAAGGAACTTATTCGGGAAGTTCTTTGCGTTGGGAAGAGAAATTGCACAGTTGTAGTTTACGCGTAGTTGATGTAAAATATCGTTTGAATTCCTGTTGAACTAAACTCCCATTTTTTCCCGCCATCTGCCGTTCAATAAATCACCGGCCTGTGCGACACAAGTAAATTCCCATGAATGTGAAGTAATGAATCTGAGTACTCCCACAATGGCACGTCTCTCAGGTGCCCCCACCAGTGCCAATGAAGACCACCAGCACAGCAGCGTAGGCGGCGGTGCCCGACAACACATCAAACGGCTTGTCCAAAAAGATGGACATGACCAGGCCAAACAAGAAAACGCAAACCGAGGTCGTGATCAACGAGGTCACCAAACCCGGCAGGAGGACCATCACAAGCATGGGCGCAACGAGAAAGGTGCCGCCGATCATTGCCATGGCGAGTTTCCTTGTATACAGTTCTACCCTTTCCTTCCGATTGACTAACCCTCGGGTTCCTCCTCCAAATGGAAGAACTTTGTGTTTATCGGCCCTATCACCTAAACCGTGCTTCGTGAGCTGTTCCATGTCCTTAGTGAACTGCTTGCGTGTGGCCGGAGATGTGCGCGTGCGCCACTTCTTCTCGACATCCTTTAGCAATTGACGTTGCATTGTGTAGTCCGTGGAGACGACAAATGGATCGTAGCCTTTCTTCTTGCGTGCCTCCCTCATAAATTCAAGGCTCTTCCAGGCGGAGACTTCTCGTAGCAAGAAAGTCAGCGATGCAGACGGGAGGGTTTGAACTAGAGAATGGGGATTACATCACCATATTGGGACAAATATTCTTCTGCCCGAGAAGTAAAATCCTTGTCTTCGTTCTTGTCTTCATCATGTTCATGCCCATAGCTGAATTCGAAGGCTACGTCCACAAGACGCTTTTGAGAGTATTCAAGGATCACACGATTAAACTCGGCAAGGTTAACACAGACACGGCCGCCTGTCACGTCAATGACACTTTTTTTGTAAAAAGATCGCAGTCTCCGCTCAAAGGAATTACCGTGATTAACATATTCTTCTGGGCCGAATGACTCATATGAAGAACATCCGACAAGCTCTTCGGCTAACATTTCTGAGTGTTTGCTTTGATATCTTGGCCTTTTGCGCCTAAATGGCAGTGAGCTCAGCTGCGGCAGGGGACAACAGGCAGCAAGCAGGCTGTGCTGTCTGTGCTGTGAGGCCTCGGAGAGGCGTCTGGGCTGGGAATGATTCCGAGTTTCATATTGAGGGGTCGGACTAGGTTGATTTTCGATAACGACTTCCCCTCGGGTCCGGGTTTGTTGTAGCCTTTGGGATTGCTGATCACGCCGCCGACGTCTAGATTCGTTGTCTGCTAAATATTCCATTAAGCGCTTGTCGACTACAGTTTTATAACTTCGGCAATGACTTTGCTTACTGCGGATGGCAGACGCAGATGGAGATGGCGAGGCTGGGGCAAAGTCTTGCACGTCGGTGGCCGGTGGCGGCGAATGACTCCCTTGCCGTCGATTGGCCGACTGCCCTTCCTCGCTAGTTGTCGCTCGCTGTTCAAGCATCTGTCGGAGCTCTTGAGAAGCCCGGTCGCAAAAGTCAAGCACCAGAGCAAGATTCTCCCCTTCCGCATCATTATCTAATGGTGTCAGCGGTCTCAACGAGCCCGATGGTTGCTCCCGATGCGCTGTCTGCTCAATATTCAGATCCCGGGATGGATCCCCGGGCATCCTTCCGTTCCGATCCAATATCCGCCTCCTCTGCTTGGGCAGCGATTGAAATTGGTCATGTCGTCTGCCGTACCTTGAGCCGTTCCTGGTTGACCTCTTTGGAGCTGTAGGCACTTGGTGACCTTTCTTGTCCACGAATCTCAGATGCAATGAATTCGTCTCAAACGAGGCTCCGCCACCGTCCTGAGAACCAGGGACCTTTTCTTCACGCGAAGAAAGGTGAGAAGGGGGGTAAGGCGAATCAGCTCTTGCCTCTATGTCGTCTTTCGGCCACTTGGCCCGAGATGAGCCGAGCATCCTCCCAGCTGCTGAGAGGGAAGAATGTATGATGAGCGTTAGGTGCGGAGGTAATCTTGCGATAAGAGGGGACAGTTGTATGGTAGCCGAGCTCAAGCGTGAAGGCTAGGAGGGAAGACATGTACTCGGAGGGGCTCATGCCCAAAGACCCTTGCTGCATACCATGGCTTACGGCGCGCCTAAGCGAGTAGAAGATGGCCACTGAGATTAATTGTAACACATGCCATCACTAGACCTATCTAAGGCGGAGACATCGTCACGAGAAATTTCGTCCGCTTGCCGAACTGTGTGAGCGGGCGAAAAGGAATGGCTACTTAATGCCAAGTACTAGAGGTTCAATTATAAGATACGCTTTGTTGTCTTCTAGTAGGATGATAAATAATATTAATAGTGTTAGCAGTTGTACTTTGTATCCAATTCAATGCAACCTACCGCCCAGCTGCCCTCCAGGTACCCTAGGTTGCTTCCACAACCCACCGTAAATGTCATTTTCAATGCTGTTTACCCATAATCACTAAATTGTTCACCATTGTAGCAAATATAACAAGCACAATAATAATTATATATCCAACAACTTACATCATGAAGTAAACTATTAAATAAGCTGATAGAAAGAATTGTCATTATGAAAAGGCAATAATTAAAGAATGTAATTTTTAAGATATTACTTTATGTGTATACAATACAAAGTATAGGATATATACAAGAACACGTTATAAATTTTGTATTGAATAAAAGGTAGAGAACTAGAAATGTTACGCTTTGAATGCAATCTTTATCGCTAAGAGATGCGTGTGTCCCTGCTCCTCCGAATGCTTTATTACCAATCAAACTCGATAGACCTTGAGCTGCCAGGAGTGCAGTTACTTGCGAATAGTTCAGATCGACCTGCTTATACCCGCTCGATCTATTCGCGTGCTTCTGTCCGAACGTTGTACACCAGACGTGACAGACAACCGGGCTATAGGGAGTGACCGGCTTACCGAGGCAGTGGCGGTGGAGCTATAGCAGATAGTAATGATGAAAAGAAATAGGGGCGTGTTTGTGTGTGTGTGCGGTGCCCATGTCGTGGCTTAGGATGGGAAGGATAAGCGGATTGGTGAGATTTCAGAATTGCGGACAAGATTGGCGGATGGATTCCTTGAGAAGACAAGACACATATATGTGATCAGGTACAGCAACCCTCGGCCCACAACCTATTAAAATACTTGGTTGCATTCGTTGTGCTCCCAACCCCGCCACATCCCAGCTCACAGGCCGAGAGAGGCCAACAGATGCTCCAAGTCTATTCGCCGAATTTGGGAGGCGCAGCGATCTAGTGGAGATTTTGCATCGGCAGGAGCTGCAATTGCAGCTCCCATGTTACCACAGGACTCTACAGCTGCTTGATTTGGGGTTATATCTCCAGTGGCGTCCAGTGGGCGGGCTCGACGGGTGCTAGTGATGCACAAGGGTTCCATCATCACACGGACTACGGGAAATATTTGGCACTTTGTTGATTGGTAATGGCTTTCAGGGCCCTGAACCTCACAGCCACCATGCAACAGGGCAGTGTCTTATGGTGGTCCAGGTTAAGCCTTTCCAATAGCCCTGATCGTTCTCCTGCAGCACAGGGATCTATAGACGGAGCATGCCTAGGTTCACCATAAGCAAAGAAGAGACGGACTGCTAATAGGCTATAGGATTCTGCCACACGCATAGGCGTACCATTGAGTTTACATATCTAGGTACGAGAAAGATCCATGTGAACTTGGACTATAGAAGCATTGGTGTCAAGGCGGAGTAAGCCGGACACCATTATCTACGTGGAAGTCCAGGCTCAGATTGGTCATATATAAGGCCTTGTTAGCTCAATATCTATGGGCGCAAAACGGGTGACAATCGAAGGAGAGGGGGCCCCTCTGGTCTTATACATATTATGTGATCTCCGCCGTACATGAGTATTTCAAGACTAGCATTCGACCTACAAATCCTAACATCTTGTTGAGACTGCACTAATTTCACAATCTCTCTCCTCATAACCCTCCTTTGACTAACACCATTCCTTTATCATGTCGACTCAACATCACGAGCCTACCAGCTATGCTCAGGCTCGGCCATTACCAATGCCCTCACCGTCCCCACAACGTGCATATCCCCAAAGTGACTTCAGCCTACACGACAAATATCGTGTCCGATCATCTGCGGGTCTAAGTTTCTCTGCCCATCAACCGACAGTGCGGCCGCTCGGCAAGCCCAGGGCAAAGAATAGAATAAGCAAGTTGGATCTGTCCGTGGCCGCGATATCCCTTGTCTGTCTCGCAATGGCAGTCATAGCAGTTGGAAATGAGGCCGTATCATGGCGCCTGGGAGTCGCGAACAATCAACTGATCGTCGTCGGTCTCCTTCTAAGCATCATGAACCTGTGCCTCGCCAGTGTCACGTCTACATTCTGCCTACTCATCGAAGCAAGATTCGGAGACTCCATACTCCAGAACTACGACGGGATCCTTCGCAACAAGCCGTTGGCTCCGAAGCTGGGTCTCCGCTGGCGGCTCGTCCTCACCTTCTTCCTCATTGTCCCCATCGCCGCTAGTGTTGCCTACAAGACCTTCAAAGGGGGTCAAAGCGCCAAAAGAGTGAACAGTGACGGATACGTATCGATTCCGACCCAGTATGGCATGGTAGCAGCGCCTGGCCTGATGGAACCTGGCCAAAGGCCAACCGGTCTTCCTCAATTCTTCAACGCTACTCAGCCGTTCCGGGCGTCGTCGTCACCATCAAACGGCTCTGAGCCACGGCTCCCTTCATTCCCAAAGTCTTATGGGTACAATATCCTATTGCTCGATGTAAACAGCACCGCAGTACTAGACACCTTGCAGCCAGAGTTCATCACCTCGGTCCAGGACGTCCTTGCCGTTGGAGAATCATGGGTTGTCAACGCTCCGGTTATCGGCACAGTTGCCACGTTGAACACCTCCAAGGCCTCGGATCCTTCCGCTTTTAATTCAGACTTCCACTCAGCTTGTAATGATTCTCAAGGAAACGTGAGCTGGATACACGGAGTGATGAACCTTTGGGATCACAAAGTCACATCGTCGTTGTGGTTATTTGATGAGGCGCGCGATCGCTCGAATCAATCGATGCAATACGTGGCTCTTGTTGACCGATACAAGCAGAACATCAGCTGTCCCGGTCTTGCGCCACATGCCCAACTATACAACATCTATCGTCAGCAGTGTCAAGGCACATGGTCAATCACCCGCGCTGGCATGGAGCTCACGAACGGGTCTTGCAACGGTGCACCTCTGCCGGGGGACAAGCAACGGATGATCGTGGAAAATACGCTGCACCTGGTGGATTTGTATATACCAGCCCTCATCGATTTCCTAGGGGCCTTTGGCCCCTTTGGTCCTAGAAATCAGTCAGAGTGGCGTGGCCCGTACACAGCAACCTCCGTGGCGGCTATGTTGTGGTCGAGACTTGTGGCTCTAAGCACTTTTGTCAACAGTGATGTCAGTCCTTTGATTACTACCGAAGGATACAATGCTAGTGCAGTTGCCTATGAAGGCTGGAAAACTTCAGATGGCACATTTCTTACGTACGAAGACGTCAGGCTGTTTTACTCTGTCAGTCCGTCCGACCAGACAATATTTTATGTACGACCCACACTACGGAAGTCACCTCTACTCTACTTCGTTTTATCAGTCCAGCCGCTGATGATGCTGGCTATTCTTGGCTTAACACTAACAATGCATTCGGTCCCACTGGATAAAGGCTTTGGTCTGGTATCGATCGTTTCTGGCATCGACCGCGACACTCTCGACATCTTATCTGGCGCATCGCTCTCGGGCGAACTCACTGATCGTGTTAAGCTAATCATTGTGCCTAAAGACAATGGACAGACTGGCAAGTTAGCTTTTCGGGTCATTCCCGAAGATCGAGGCTCAAATAGAAAGGGAAGGTTGCGCCGAGATGTTCTGTATTATTGAGAACATCAAATCTACTGTCATCGGGATTTTGCGATATCTCACGCTGGGTCTTTGAGCGTTTACTACCGTGTGAAGGAAACGCCTACAGCTCGATCATAACAGTATGTATACAGGTCATGAGCGAGACCACCCACTTTTCATGTCTAATACTAACTAGGTGCTATTTTAGTATGTTTAGTGGTGTTGTTCCACATAGGGACCTTGTCTAGCCATTTTCATCAAACCTATATTCTAAATGGTCACAGTTTCAGCATGCACTTATCTCGCGCAGTGGACTTTTAAGCGGGGTTTGGCGAGAAAGATAGTCACATACACTATTGGAACAACACCACCGCACCTTCAGAAATAACTACACGTCATTGCGGAGCCCCCTGTGGCTAACATCCTATAAGAAAGCATCCTATAGCTAATTATCCCAAAGAAATAAATCCCCAGAAAGTTATTACATAAGAGGTCATCTTATAGCAGATTATCTTATATTTCCCTCGTTTCCTCTGGAGTATTTCAGAGATACTGTGATCGCGAAGCGGATACCCGACCTTATTGTTATCGAAGAAGCAACAGTTGAGTGATATGTCCCCAGGATACCACCCCATTGATATACTGTACAAAGTGTGGGATGTACGCAGGTGCAGGTCATGACCTCCATGTTGAACAAAAGGTAGAGGACGAGAAATGGTACGCCTGGGATGCAATCTTTATCGCTGAGAGAACCCCTGCTCTTCCGAAAGCTTGATCACCAATCAAACTCGGCGCTGGCCCAGTCTTGGCATAGTCTCCACCGATCTGCAAGCTGCATCATCGTTTGGGCCCAAGTTCCTGGGACATGGATAGCTGACAAAGGCGAACTCATCCTCTTATCTACCTCGATCCTTTGAAACATCCGGCTCGTCACCTTGTTCAGCAACGGGCAAGCAAGGTCCGGCTTTCAAGATGGAGAAGATATCATCGCCACCCAAGAGCAGTTGCGTCACGGCAACACTCGATCGTATTTGGGATCTCAAATTCAAGTCACCAGTCCCGAATCCGGATTATCCACCCATCTCGAGCATCCCCCGGACGTCCCCAGAGCGGATCCAGCGCGCAACAGCAAAGGGTACTATTGTCGATCATATCCCATCCTCATCACCAGCAGCGAATGACTATCTCTACGATCATACTGCCTTCGTCCCAACCGTCCTCTACCTCGCATACGGCTCCAACCTATGTGCCCAGACTTTTCTCGGCCAGCGCGGCATTCGCCCTATCTCCGCTATCAACGTCTCCGCCCCTTCTCTCCGACTTACCTTCGATCTTGCCGGCATTCCCTACACGGAGCCATGCTTCGCCAACACCGCTCTGCGAAAGATACCGAAGCACCCACCGATCCCGGATCCACCGGGGCAGGTGCCCGAACTCCCTCACCCGCCCCCATACAGATTCCCTCCGAAGGCCAACGAGCATGAGAGAATGTCCCAGGAGGATCAGATTATGACTCCAATCCCTAGCGGAGTGCACAAAGATGTCAACAAGAATGCACACGGCGATCCGGAGTGGGACAAGGGCCTTATCGGCGTAGTCTACGAAGTCACACCCGAGGACTACGCGATGATCGTCAAGACCGAGGGCGGGGGTGCTGCGTATCAGGATATACTGGTACCGTGCATCGCTATCCCGAACAAGGTCGGAATCCCGGAGGATCCACCTATTCCAGAGCTTCCGAAGCCTTTCTTCGTGCACACGCTTTACGCACCCCGGATACCGAAGAAGCCGGGCGATGGAGATGATGACGGCGGAGAAGGCAAGACTGCCATAGTCCGAGATGAAGATGATGACGGTGGAGATGGCGATGAAGACGACAAGAGCCCGCTCGAAAGGCTCAAAGAATGGTGGCAGAACATGCTGCTCCAGCCCATCCGGCCCGACCCGGAGTACGCGCAGCCTTCAGCGCGGTACCTGAAGCTCATCACGGACGGCGCTGCGGAACACGGCCTGCCCGATGAGTATCAGGAGTGGCTGGCGAAGCTACAGCCGTACACGATCACGTCGAGACGGCAGACGATAGGGCAGTACCTGTTCGTCGGTGTGTTTCTGCCTGTCATGGCTCTTTTCCGGGAGCTGAGCAAACGTCTGGCGGATGACAGGGGCAAGATCCCGGTGTGGTTGGGACTGGTTCTGGAGACTTTGTTTCACTTGGTCTGGCTTGGATATGACAGAGTCTTCAAGCCGCTGTTTGGGGATGGAGAGAGGACTGAGGACGGTGAGGAGTGGCTAAGACGTCGTGGTACAAGGAGAGTGCTGAGAAAGCCAAGAGTTGGCGGCCACGAAGAGAAACTACGATTGCTGGATGATGAAGTCTAACCTCACGTTTCATGAACGATTCGAAGGAGGGCTGGCTGCTGGGAAATGAACATACAAACGAAATTTGACAATTGTTACGGTAAAGCGAGCGATGATTTGGGTAGACTGCAAACAGGAATAGCGAAGCGATTTCGGTACATGGACTTGTCATATTACGTTCAGACCAGTTGCTGGTGACTGAATCGCCAGCCTAGGCATATCTCTCCCATCGTGACAAAATTGTAGGCGTGGCAAGAGTAATCCGTCCTCAGTCGTTCCGTTCGCATGCGAGGCTCTTGATTGGAAACTAAACATTGGGCTGAATCCGTGTCCATGCTGACAATGGGACTGGAACTTCTAGAATGGCATAGCACTGGCAAGTGGAAGCACAATGTTTGCGACGAGGATTTATATTGAACGAGTGTGTGAACTACCGAAGTATATCGCTACATAACAGCACTTCTCTCAGACCATGTCAGATCTCGCCCGCGGATCTTTCTATGCCCCAAACGCCTGACAGCCCAAACCAGCTGGAACATGCCCACACCAACAGACCTTGACCCCTTGCCGTTGTCCCCTGTCCCCAGCACCAAAGCAAATGCGGAATTCTCTTCAACTCGAGACACCGAAAGCATGCAGCCTCCAACCTAGGCGTACTTGCACCTGTAGTTTCCAGAAGGTGAGCTGCGGCTCAAGCGGAGGATCCCGTGCGGCGCGACGTCGGACTTCAAGACCTTGAAGCACATGCGGATAAGGGAGCCCTCCGAGGCGGACCCGGGGTCTGGAGATATCATAATGTCAGTCTTGTTGCTGGAGATGGCACCAAGTTAAAAGTGAAGGGGGTTGCCTCGAGATCAGTCATGACGCCGAGCCATGTTTGTCTCGATGGGCAGTTTGAGGATGTTATCTGGGTGTCTGACTCACCGGGAATGTTGACCTCGAACGTGGTCATCGCACCGTGGCTTTGCTCGTACACGAAGCGGCTACCCCATGCCTTCTGCAGGTAGTAGCGGACGGTGGGGGCGCAGGAGGAGCAGCACTTGTATCGGAAGACCATCTTTGCGGTTGGGGGTTGGAAGTGATTGAAGTTGTTGGTTTGTAGGAATGAACAAAGCTGAACTTGACCGGCAAGTGTAAAAGGCGGTATGCTTGATGAAGCTGTGAGGATAATGAAATGAAAGGTGGATGATGAGAAGGAGAAGGAGAATGATTGATGAGGACTTCCTCAGCTTTTGTATCCCACCGGCTCACGGCTTCGTCGGAGAGCTTTGACAAGTGATGGCGATCTTCCTGGTCGCCATTTCTGGAGTTGTAAACAAAAGGCCGTTAGGAAGAAGGGCCGCCGTTGCGTCAAGGCCGCGATCACTTGAGGATCACGTTTCGAATCCTCAGCTCCAAGAGCGATTGTCCAGAGTCTGAGCTAGAACACCTTCCCACGGGCTGCGGCAACGGCCTGGCGCGTCGAAAATGGAAGATATTCTCGCTCGAGGCCCTGCCCGGCTCAGAGGCTCTGTCACGAATCCTGATCCTAACGACCCTAACTCTGTTTTACAGACAGAGAGAACGCGCTATGCCAGGGCATTCGAGTGGTCTAGAGCCACGGAAACAAGGCCACGTACGTGTGCTTGACCATATCCATGGCCGACCTGAGAACTCCAGGAGCGTGGCTAGAATCCTTATCATGGACCTCGTGTCAATGATCTCTAGTACAAGAACACGTCCTCGATCTAAGTCAAGCTAAAGTTTGGACTCTGTGGGCTCGCTGCCATGTTTAGAAGGTCAGGAACACGTTACAGGCCGTGGCTGTGACCAACTACACCTTATCTTGGGACGCGTCAAGGAGTCCTGGTACATGGCGCTCAGGAAAAGTCAGTGGCACCACCAGCGGGATCAAGAAAAAGCACTATTCCGTAATGGTGGTCAAGGAAATGCACAGACTGATCCTGCCGAAAGAGCCTAGGCGCAGATCGCGGCACTGCTGCTCGATAATGGACAACAGTTAAGTTGCTGAAAATAGACTGCAGCTGGTTCCGGCTTGGCCTAGAGACAGCTGAGGGGTTTCCGCGAGGAGGCTACGGTACATGGCACAGCGCCTTAGCTCGTTATGATCAAGGCATATCCCTTCAACGTTCCCTCTGAAACAAAGATCTAGCCACCAACTAAGGGCTGCTTAATTAGCAATGTGCAGGGACATGGCCCATTCAATCACAGCCAGATCCAAACGATCCCTCTCTTGTCAACTTGACAGCTGTGTGACAAAACAAGCGCATCTCTTGGTAGAACATCGTGATTCACTGAAGAATTAGGAATCTTGTGCAGAGAGTAATATAGAATCCTACCTGGGCAGCTTTCGAAGGTGTCATCAATTCGCGGTGCGGACCGCCATTATCTAGCCAAGCTCAAAGCTATTACAGATGAGCCATGGGTTTGCAGAACAAGGCTTGACACGTGCTGGTGTGATAGGTATCGAAGAGGACAAAAGGATTACATTTGTTTCGGTTCGCAGGAATAGGTCAAGATTGCACGTTCACTTGAGAAGGAATCAGTCTGACACCGAGCCTCTGTCCCGATCTGGACCAAGTACCTGCTTTAGCTGATGCCGGTCAGCCGGGAGAGGTTGCAATAAGATGCCAATCTTGCGGCAAGGGTTCGCCTTAAATGCTGACAGGCAGCAGGATCTCATGTATTGGCGCTACTGCACGCTTGGTGCGACCGTCTCATTCCCACCAAACCTAAACAACGGACACCCAATCCTTCAGGATAAGAGGCTCGGCCAATATCAGCCTTTTCAAGACAAGAGCGTCCGGCCTTTTCCCTAGCAATCTAGGTTGTGAAATTGATCATTGGCTGGTTGTTCTTAACAAGCAATGTGCTTTTCCTGTCGGGTGGGTGGACAGAGTTGTTGTTGCCAGACATCCATCTATATCATTTCGGCAAGAGACTCGACCGTTGTGAAAGTCAGGATTCCTCCAGTATCTAATCAATCCGTCGTGGTATTCACGCCATGGCAGAGGCACAAGGCTAGAAGCAACTGGAATTACTCAGAGCCTGTAGAGCCATGATGATGTCGCAAAAAAGACAGTGACTTCGGCAGCCAGCCAAACTGTTCCAACCATGTGAAAAATCATCAGAAGACACTACGACAATGTTGGCAATTCCGGTAGCCTGGTATCGTAGTGATGTCGAGACAGGCAGCTTACAAGGCTTTTCACGTATGTGTGTAGCCCTCAATATGCTGTCGCCGTTTTTCTGCTACTGCATGAAGCTTCCAGAAGAGGCATTTCTAAAACTTTTTTCTCTTTGATTCCCTCAAAGATTTCTTTTCTGTTCTACGTAACTATGCCAGTGCAGGTCTATAGGCAATCTGTTCGCGTCAAAAATAAATCAACGAGGCATAGCACCTTCAGCTATATATCGGCTGGAATCATCCAACTTGACACGGCAAAATGGATCTTTGGTCTATCCGGCCCTGTCTTTCTCCCAAGAGCGTTCACTCCATCTCTCAAGGCGAGCACGCTCCTGAGAGAGGTTGATACACGGGACTATTACGGTCTTGGGACTATTACGTTCTTCCGTGCCTGGCCCTGAGCTTCTCTCTACACAGAGACACAGATAATCGGAAATTTGTGGGGGAGTCTAGATGAATACGGACCTTACATGTCTCTCGACGCAGAGCGTGTTGAGACTCACCCTGCACAATGGGAGCTCCTGGCGACGGTAGAACCAAAGAATGAGAGCCCATCAGGTACTACAACAACACCAAGACACCAACCGATAAATCAGCTGCGAGAGCAAAAAAAGAAAACGTAGGTGAAACCTGCAAAAGGAAGTAGATGGTCCCGGAGAGGATCGAACTCGCGACCTTGGCATCACCGATGATTCCCATTCAGGGAATTATTAGTACCACGCTCTAACCAGCTGAGCTACGGGACCATTTGTTGTTGAAATCAAGTGCAAAAAAGGGATTGTGTTGTTGCGACAATGAAAATTTCTCACGAGTGGGTCGGATATTCATTGAGATATGGAGCCTTGACGGTGACGAACAGGGAGGAGCCGAGGTGGGGCCGTGCGCCGCATGGACCAGTTGACGGTGGTTGCACAATCAACGGACCCCACGAAAACCACAGTCGAATATCAACACAGTGCAGTAGCTGCCTCTCTGTCTGTCGTGCAGCTAGGAGAGAATGGGTTGGATAATATGTGGTCCCTGTTGTATTTTGAGTACTTCGTGGTCGGCCAAACTACGACGACGACGCGCTGTGCCGTTCCTAAGGTGCGATCAGTGACAGGAGTTGTGCCAGGCAAGCGATCGCTTACTCTGAGAGAAGCCCGGTGGTAACGAGAACTATTTGGTATCACGACTTTGAGAAAGTAATGGTAAGTCTGGTAAGATTGAATAAGGGGTTAAGAATGGGGAGGTGTATAGGGTCAAAAAATTTGAGTATGCTATGTGATTGCATCACGGCAGATCATAGCGGGGCAGCTCTAGTGTTCATGCCTACTCGCAAGGATTGGTAGTGTCTCTTGAGAAATCATAGTCAAGACAAGACAAGACCGAATAAATAAATACTTAAGCAGATGTCCACGTCCTTACGCATACGTATCACTAATGTTGTCTGTCTGATCTTGGGTCAAAGCAACGCCGTCGTCCCCCCCCCCCCCGGGTTTTCCCGCCCTCCCTCCACCTACACTCCACGTAGAGCAGCCATGCTTAGCAGTCTCTAACAAAAAAGAGCTTCCAGAGGCTCTCTGGCGGCTCCTTATCATTCTCATACAGTGACTTGTACCTCTCCCCCATGACCCAGCGCTCGGCACGCTCCTTCAGCACTGCTTCCTTATCGGCTAGCCACCGCCGGCCGTCCTCTGATTCCCCATACAGTCTACTCTGAACCTCGTAGATCCAAGTCCATGGCCATACGAAGTGAGCGTAGAATTTGGCCAGGCCAGCGTTTCCAAGCTGGGCCAGGGGGCCCAGGATGCGCGTGTATGCTTTCAGCACCTCATGTTCGTTTCCCTTGCACATAACTCGCCGGTCACCCTGTGGCGACAGGTCACTCGTATCTGCCATGTATAAGCGCACTGTCAGAGCCTGTGCATTCATTTTCTGCTTCATCCAGCCGATGCAACTGACCCAGTCCTTCATAGCGGCATCGTCGTCCATGGGCCAGCTGTCATAGCGGTAAGGCGGGAAAACTATCTCTACAAAGCGGAGCAGACTCGGACAATTATTCGGTACAACATCCCTTAAAAAGATAGAGATAGCGAAACGCTGATTCGGATAGCCGCCATTTGCAGATAAAGGAGGGTGACGCCAAGGGCTCAGAGAGTCGAAATCGTGGACCACAAAGCGATTGCCAGAGAAGAACACAACTTGCGCATCGTGGTAGAGGGTCCGGCAGATGAGGAACAACGCCTTCGGGGCACCCCAGCACCTGCATGTAGACGACGAAGCGCTGTGTGCAAGACGACAGAAACATCCAATTGACGGCTCAGGATAAGTCAGCCAACATCTGGAGAATTGGCACCCGTGGTGGACAGCAGGTGCACACTCAATGCCTCGGCCCTCCAGGTTGTAACAGCCGCTTCGACTTGCCGAGTATGCAGATGAATCTCTATCCCACGAGACCTCTTTCCATGGCGTGATGAGGTCGGTGTGCTCGAGGATGCGGAAACGAAGCTCGCGCGGTAGGGCAAGCAGCCGAGACGCGCTGCTATCATTCTCCTTGCGGCCCATTCCTGCTGAATTTGAACTCCCTTTATGCATCTGAGAGATGCCTCGAGCATTCAAAACAGCATTCTGTGCTATTTCCTGGATCTCGGCGCTAGACTCTCTGCATAGCCGGACGTGGCAGTCCTTCAGTGGAGCCAAGGACGCGAGCGGCGCGACTGCAAGTCGAGCTATCTGTGGTTCTTCGCAGCAGACGTCACAAACGAAGGATAGTTCGAGATTGGCCAGATTCACACCCCGTGAAGACAGAAGCGTTGCTGTTGACTGCCATTCGGCGAGCGTTGCTTGCGTGAATGGGTCAACGGCCTCCAGTGGGCCATCGTGAGGGATGTTTTCGTGGCTTTTGCAGCCGCGCGGCGGAATGTCGAGGCGCGGGTCGACGTAATCGCAACACTGACCCTTGGAGACCTTGGCCTTCCGAGGATGACACGATGCCTCACTGATAACGATCTTGAGGTTTCTGAGCGATGCGAGAGATGAATCGGTGAGAGCTCGCAGAGGGGCAAGTCCTGTGCGCTGAGGCATGTACATCCCATACGGGCTGGGAGGCGGCATTCGAATGACAAATCTGTTAAGAGAGTAGAGTAGTGCAGATGCTTCCGTATAGACCTTCCGGCAGGAAATCAGTAAGCCATGAAAGCCGAGACGTGAGGTGTCGAAGTCGCCATGGAGGTCTAAGACGCAAGGCAGCTCATCCCATTCCACCGGCGCCAAACCAGCCCAAAAGTAAACGCGACGTCGCAGCTGAGGTGGAAGAAGTAGGAATGGAGGGGAAGGAGGTGGAAACGTTCGACTGCCGGACATTTTCATCAGTAAATCGTTGAGGCAGAGGTCGGCTGGAATTTTTGCAAATGTGGTTATCATCAGGTGGGGATGGAACAAGAAGTTGATTTGACGCGTCCGAAGACGCGTTGGTCGGATGGCTGCCTGAGAAGGCCCCTGGGGGAGGGGATGGTTTGAAGCAGCTACTGTTGAGACAACCACCATTTATATACACTCATCATCTCTGCTTTGTTTAGCTGCAAAGAAGAATCATATTTTAAGACATTGGTCAATACAGATAATTTTAAATACTCTGAGACTGCCACAAGAGCAACAATGGCACAAAGATTAAAGAAGTCACCATGACAGAGAGCCTAGAGGACCGCTTAAGACTGCTGCCCTAATCTCCTGGGATGAGACCCTACATGCTTAAGATGCAGAAACCCCCATGTGAGTCCCTGCAGAAGCCCCCTTATTGACAAGGCCCGCCTACCCTTACAGCTGCAGCCCTAAGGGCTCCGCCAGAGCTCTCTTTCCTTCCTTTCCTTTTTAGGCCAGCCTACTCTTGAAATCCATACAATTCGGTGCAAACTTCGAGGCCACGTGCCGTAAAGCCCAAGTGGCGTCTCACGGGTGTTGTAGGCGCAGTCGGAATTATGGTTGAAAAAATTGTATTTAGATTAGATTTCTGAAGTGAAATTTGGGAAATGGTCGGAAGAGCAGAGACGGACTTCGATGAAAGAAGCTTGCCTCTTGATGATAGGCGGAATGGGCGTAGATAGTCCAATGTATAGGATATCTTCGCGTAAGGACCTGTACTACAGAGCCAACAATGCTGTATATTCGAGTTCCCATCGCCGATGCACCATCAACGAGACCAGTACATGATGGGCTTCGTCCAGTCTTCATCCTCCAGATCCTCCACGGCACGATGGTCGTCGTGAACCACCGCATGTCTCAGTCTCATCGCTTCCTGGAAAAGCTGAGCGCATTCCGAGGCTTTCCCTGAAGCCTTCAATATGCAACCCTTCTTCCATAACGCACGCGCAGCTTGAGCCTCTCTGTGTGGAGCAGCTTTGAAGGCTTTGATGGCGTCGTCTAGCGTGCTCCTGTTTGTTTCAGTGGACGTCAGTGGGGGATGCACACTTGAGAGCAGAGGAAGGTACGCACAAGCCTCGTTCGTTCTTCCCTTGACGCAAAAGATCTGTGGCTAGGCTATATAGACAGTCTCCAGTGAAGTAGTGCTTTTCACCGAGAGTTATGCTGATATTGCGGACTGCACGTTCGTGGTATTCCAGGGCCTCATCATACCGCCCCTGCACGTTGCGAATATTCCCCATCGCACGCCAGATGTGGCCAGATCTATGACTGTCAGAACAATTTCAAATACCGCGTAGATGAGGTCTTAATACTCACCCTGTCGTGGAAGTGTCATCTTTCCCTAATATTCGCTCGTGCTCCTCAAGCATAGGCCTCAGGACTTGTTCTGCCTCGTCGTCCTCGCCCTGGAGCGCACACATCAAGGAGAGAGAAATTGACGGAAATGTTCCACTAAATGCAGGCGCATCACTGACGGATTTATAAGCCGCGATGCTCTGTCTCCAGCTGCTCTTCGCTTCCTCAACCTTGTGTAATGTGATCAGGCAAATGCCCATCTGATTGTAGGCAGTGGCCAAGGCCAGCTTATCTGAATCGAGACCGTAACGTTTGATACGATCGTGAAGGATATCAATCCACATTGTGACGTCCTTCATACCGTCGGATGAATTTGTCAAGCATGCTGAGAGGGACTGACTGTGATGTGCTTCACCAAGCCAATGGCTGACTCGTTCCTCATCATCTGCGCCTCGTTTGATGGCCTTCTCGAGAATTGTTTGCGACATGGACGCAAAGCGTTCGGACTGGTCTGGTAGTCCACGTTCTGAGATATACCTGAGTGATCTCTATTAAAAAGGCTTCATGGTGGTGACGCAATGACAGGATAGGCTTACCATGCGTAGCTGCTGAAGACGAATCCGCTGATCTCCGTCCCGTTGAAGCTGCCTTCCTTGATGCTTTCACCAAAGTGTTCTTCCAACTTGCAAATATGTGGCGTGTACCGGTCAGCGATTGGGACCCTCCATGCTTGGTTTCGTGTGGGATCTGTTCCAGATACGAAAGGCCATACAGCGGACAAGAGGACAGCCACGGCGCCATAAACCGAGTGAAGGAGTTCGTCATCCATGTTTTCCCTTACTACATCCTGTACGAGCCGATGAAGACGTATCTCATTTGATGCCAGATTTCGGGATACCAACGATGTGTGAATCAGCTCAGCTCGGGCGTCAAAGTAGTGACGTTTTTTGACCGGATAATTGGGCAGTGTGACATTTTTCGCTCCATCCAAAAGCATATCTTCGGGTATGAGATCGGGATCGAGTACTGAGAGGACGTTGAGAAGAGCGATTGCAGGATCACTGAGCTGTTCAACAGCCCAAGCAGTTCCAACAGTGTGTTTGTAAGTCGACTGTGGACCCTTCACCCGCATATCGCGAAGGTGTTTCGAATCTTCTTCGTACCATTCTTCGAAGTCGTTGAGACTAAGGTGTCTCTGAAGAATGATAGCGCTCATTTGTGAAATCGCCAAGGGGTGCCCGCCTAAAGTTTGAACAATGCGTTTGCTGGCAGCCCAAGCATCCGGATCCTGCTGGCGACCTGACAATTTCCGAAGCATTTCGCTGGCAGAATGCGTTGTGAAAGGTTCAAGATCTAGTCCCCATTCGAGCCGAGGTGAGTGCTCCTTCACGTAAGGATATTTTCCAGTGACAAGGATGCAGCCAGGCCCTTGATCGGGAAGCCAGTCGTACAAAACATCTGGATCATCTGCGTTGTCAAACACCATGAGCCATGTAACATCCACTCTCTGAGATCTGCCCCCTTGGATGCGATGACCGACGGGACTTGTCAACCAAGACTTGACGACGTCTCGAGCTGAGATTTCATCCAACGCCTCCGAGATAGATTGGCCTCCCAGCTTCTTGGCGAGAGTGACGAATTGAGAACCCAACTTTCGGCTCGTGTCAGCATAGATCCAAATTATTGCATCAAACTTGTCACGCCGTGAGTACGCATACTCGATGGCGGTCTCGGTCTTTCCTATTCCTGCCATGCCACACAAAACGAATGTCTTCGGAATATTCAACCCTTCGGCACCTATAGGGCTCGAGGGATGTTGGTCAGTTGGGTCAGGTTCAGGCCGAGTCTTCATTCCAAACGCGTAGTCTATTTCATCCAAGATATCGTGTCGACCATAGAATTTTGGATTTCTCGAAATAGATGCGAAATGAGCGAAGGGCATCTGCACGCTTTGAGGCCCCGCTACACTACTGCTGTCTTCCCTCAGAAGTGCGCCGCCGTCTGATTGCTCAGCAAATTCGCTCGATCTCGATTCAGGAGTATATGTCGTTGTCTGAGGAGTGGAGAAAGAAGTGTCGCCGAAGGAACTGGTGCTGTTTCTGCCTCTTAGGTTCATCTGCTCCATCTCCTCCTGTGGGACTTGACGAAACGTGTATTTGACATTGCTCGGGGCATTTTGGGCGAAGCTTGAGAAGAACTGTGTCAGTCGAGGATACACGGGGTCCGTATCCTCCACATTGCACAGCTCGGTGTGCGTTTTGTCGACTTGGAACAGGGTTTCCCTCACTGCTTTCACCTCGACCATGGGTCGTGTGATTAACTTACGACGTCAGTGATCAATGATTCTGGTAAAGAACTTCATATATTAAGTGGCTTACCAAAGTGTTCTGGTTGTTCTTACGCCTCATAGAGCCCAACAGACTTTCGCGGAACTTCGTCTCGCGTCCTTCGTATATCGACATGATAGGAATCGTCATTTGCAGGTCGTGAAAGCTGCGACACGCTGACATGAGCCTTTCCATCTCAAAGTCGGCCATGTTGCTCTTAGAGATATCTTTCCTATCTGCTTTCATGAGTATCTGCGTCTGTGTCCATCCTTCAGATGACTCTGTAGTTAAATGCGGACATCCCAGGAATATGATGCCGGACGTAACATCGTGGTACAATGAACAGCTTTTGAGTCCAAGGGTCAGAGCCTTCCGTCACGTTAGCAATCGACCCTTCGGAACCAGTTTTATGGGCAAGAACAAGAGATGGTTATTACCCTTTTCACAATGAATCCACCAAGGCTGTGGCAGATTACTAGAAGTGGCCTCCTCTGAATTCTCGCCATGGTTAGCCGATGGACTTGTGTCGTTAATTTTAGGTATGAGTGGTTTCTCACGTCGCACTCGACGCGTTTCCCGTCTAGAGCCGCTAGCAAGATACGCCCTTGATCTAATAGTTGATCCCAGAGAGAAGACCCGTCTACTGTCAATGAGTACTCGAAGATGAATACTCGAGTATCATTTGAGATCGCTTCTGCTAGAGGCTTTGCCCACGAGCAACCTAGTTTGATGGCTGAGTACTCGATCCAAACTCCTGGCACAACGACGATGCTGGCACAATTAGTATCACGGATTGATCCATCTACCTTCAACCCTCTTCTATTTTTCCTTTTTGTTGAAGACAAGTGGGCTTGAGGTACTTACTCAACCCCCTCCTCGGGCGCACTCGGATCTTGGATGTGATGAATCAGCCGAAGGCTGCCCGGTCTCTTCTGCACCATCTTCAGCTGGGCACTTGACGCAAATCCGAATGCTTATCGACATGCCCCTCAAGGATATCAAGCGTTTGATTATAGGGTCATCAGCCAAGAGCTACGCTGTGAAAAGGGGGACCCGGTCCCGCCGTGCATATACTGATCATGACAGTATCACAATTCGAGGGCAGGCAGGTGGACGTCCAATCAGCAATCGTTGGGCTGCATTCGACCTTATTGCCGTCTGTGGTAAGCAAAATGAGCCCCCACCCCTGTCTGCTTGAGCTGTGCCGTGTACGCCATACAAATTTGTTAGCAATACTGGCAAGTTACAAATATCCTCTATTCCATCAAAAACTACATCGCATACCATCGTCAACCACGTTATACAATTATATATTTTAAACTCTTTAGACTCTTTAGACTCTTGAAACCCACTCTAATTTGTTGTATTTGAACTAAATGTATGCGCGTTGTGTTATGTCGATATTTGTGAGTTGCCGATGTTGTCTGCAGACTTGTATAGCGTACGCGGCACAGCTCAAACAGACAGGGGTGGGGGCTCATTTTGCTTGCCACAGACAGTGGTACTGTAGTTGGTCACGCAGTCGCCCCGCAGCATACTGCAGTCGACAAAGAGCCGCATACGCCGCAGCCTGACCGTTCGGGCGAATGCACATCTCACCGAAACTGGATCAGATCTACGACAGTCGTGTCACCACGTTCGTCACCTTGCAACCTCGGCGGCCAATAGGTCTGATACAGGTCGTCTACGTCCAACAGGATACTACGTTCGGGTGCAGCTGGCTTGCAGGTGGCTTGCATAATGATACGAAGACGACCACACCGGCACCGACTGGGACGTCATGTGCGGGGACTATTCTGCAGGCAAATAGGCAGAAACGTAGAGCCTTGTAAGTCAGTTCTTCAGGATCACGATAGCGATCTCTTGCTTGAGTTCCATATGCCGTTGTTTGCCGAGTCTCGGACGATATCTGATGCGGCTGCCCGAAATTATGTTCGGCTCCGGGCAAAATTACGAAGGTGACCAGCGAGCGATCTTCTATCTTCCACCAAGACCGTAAAACCATTCTTCGCAAAGGATGGCGACGAAGACCATGATCACTCACGTTGTTTCGAAGACAATGGATCAATCACAGGAGTTCTCTCAACCTATCCTCTCATCAGTTTGGTTTCTTCAACCGCTCAAGCTGTACGAGTCGGTCAAGCCATACTGCTTGGCTTTCACACCCGACCAGCAGATTCCTCGCGAAAATATTCAGCGGCAAGAAGTTCCTATCCGTATATCGGATATGCGGAACTCTGATACAGACTTTGATCTTGAGAGCAATGGCTTCACGTTGTTGACACTTCCAGGGAACGAGCAGGACTTGGACTGGGAAAATGTCGAAGACGTGAGGAATATACATTACCCGGAAGTAGTCTCAGCGGTCGAGTCTGCCATCTCTGGTGCTTCCTGTAGAGTCCTACGCCACCAAGTGAGTGCTCATCCAATTTACTGATCGTTTCGATCGGTCATTTTGCTGATGTATTTGTGAGATCCGAAAACGAGATGTTTACTTCCCAAAGTCAACTGGAAGCGATTATTCTCATGGGCAACCTTTGAGAGCAGCTCATGTCGGTGAGTCATAGTCTGGGGCACCAGAACGGCAATTTCGACACATGCTAACCAAGTCGCGGGACATCAGACATGGTTCAATCATCAGCCGAGCAGATGATCCAGGAGCAGCTGGGTCAGGAAGCGAAAAGGATTCTTGGAAGGAGATACATGGTGGCAAAGTAAACTCACTGATCCATAAGATTGTCTGAAGGCTCGACTAACGCTCGTTGTTCTTTTCAGCGTATGGCATCCTCTCAAAGGGCCTAATCAAGATTGGCCGTTAGCCTTGTGTGATCTGACGACTCTGAACTTGGAACGCGACCTTGAAATTTCAGATTATGTTACGCCAACATCAAGTCGTGAGCATTGTATGGTTTATGCCCGCGAAGAGCATAAATGGTGGTATTTGAGTAATCAGAAGACAACGGAAGCTTTTCTCTTTTGTCAGTGTGACCCCGCCAAAGGCGTTGCCTCAGGTAAGAGCCCCCAAGTTTCGATGAAAACCCAGAGACTGACTCCATACTCCAGGTGTTCCACATGCATCCTTTTTCAACCCTCTATCCGAACAAGTTGAGCCGCGACAGAGCATAGAGGTTGTGGTGCTAATATTTTTTGACTAGTTGTCTTCCGTAGAAATGATATTTAGATCAACAAATTCTCGACATATGTATTTTAGCCCAGATCGTTGGAAGCACATTTCATACATTATCAATTTTTTGAGACAGATCAAAGGCCTCCTAATTGAATAAGATGGGTGCTCAATTGCCTGCTTTCGTCTTCCTCCGCTGGACTCACTCGCAGTTGGTGTTCTCGATGAGCACCAATCATTTTCGCTTCTGGGAAGGCTAAAAGAGTGTTCTATTCATTGGTGGTGCTTGCCTGACTATATAACCCCTAACTAAACTAATCCTTGATGTTTGCTCCCCTAACAGTGAACCAGATGAATCGTTGGGCTCGATCAAACATCCAAGCTCGGCCTCAATCCAATGGGTGCATTTCCCATGATCAGCCACTGTCCTTGTGGGATACCGTGGGTGCTGTCAGAGACCTGGTCAGGAGTACCTCCACAAATGGTCGCCTTTTGAGGGATGCCGCTAGTCTGCTGCATCCAAGGCTGAGTCTTGGTAGGGGACGAGTTGTGAATGTCCGAAACTCCGACCGGAGCGGTAGTAGGAGTGGGTTGCTGGTAGTTGTCCATGTTTTTCAAGTGCTCCAGGGGGCCTGATGAAGTCTTCTTCCAGCGTGAGTTAGTGGGACCTCAGTAGACTTTAGGAAATGCGCACCTATACTGGCACGACTCTTCTTGCACGTTGTCAGGATTTTCAGTCTGTTTGGTCGAGTTGCGATGTATGGAAGGGTCAAGCCCCACGCGTCCAAACGCGATACGCCCGGCGACTTATAGCCAAATATTCCATACACATCTTCCACAAAAGGCCAGTATGAAGTGAGGCTCGGCGCATATTGACGGCATTGAGAGCACTTGAGCCTCATTTTCCTCCTCACTCACTTTCTCCGCTTTCCCCGCTTTCCCGTGTGGGTGCACAACACCCAACAATCAGGATTTTTGCAGATCACTCAGCCGCCGTTATCAGTGCATTTGTGATGGTGCACAGCCTCCCAGCAGTCTGCAATGAAATCACATCAAGAGCAACCACTACATCTCGGTTGTGTGCAAGCGTGCTTCTGCCTGATTTCGGTGCCAAGTCCCAAGTCACTGCCAGCAAAGTGCATATTGTGCTGACGATTGAGAGATAAGCTACATGTACAGTACCTAATTTCAATACTGACTACCTACTAAGTACTTCGAAGTTATCGATCATGCAGATAGCAGACTGATCAAAATTTATCCCAATCATTCCCTCGGTGTATCAAAGCAGCATATTACTACCGGCCTATGTCGTGGTACGCTTATGTCGAACGAACTGCCAAAAACGTAGGAAAACAGAAATTACATCGACAAACCATGCAATGAGCGATAAGATCAACAAAGCCACGGCCATAGTAAAAAATGACCAGATACTAAGCTGTGTTCCTAACTCTTTAAAGTTCATACCGTAGAAAGACGCCGCGAAAGTTATCGGGATGTAGATGTACGCCAAAAAGCTCAGCTTGCCCAGCCTATCAGCCTGTTTCATGGCCTTCTCAGTCTGATCTTGGGCCCGAAAGTTCAGAGTGATGTTGATTCTGCTGGAACACTGTTCCGAGAGGCGTTCAGAGCGTCTGAGAAGACGCTCATACCTTGACTGTAATATTGAGGCCGCGCGACCAGCCTTCCGTTGATGGTCGGGCTCATTTGCGCGGGGCCACGTAGGACCCCCACGAGCCCTCACTATTTCCAAAGTCTCTTTGACATAGCTTTTGTAGTTGTCCACTTGGTCATGCAAAATCAAGAGCTCGGAAAGATTCGCTGGATCTGCATGCTGTGACAAGGCGAGAACGTTTTCCTCGAAAAGCTCGAACAGCTGGTCGATCGAGGCCGCGGAGAACTCGAACAGCTCATTCAACGCGTAGAAGGCGTCATGTGCCATGATATCCGTCTTCAGAAATCTTCCGTATTTTTGGTGAATGTGACCAATGCTTTGTGGTAATGAGGGCTCCTCGTCCGGTGCCTGCGGCTTTTGATGTCGCGCGGATGATGGCTGGGCAGTCCCGGAGGCCGGATACAGTGCCATGCGACTGCGGTGCTGGAAGACAGGGAGCAACCTTGTATTATTAGTGGATGCAGATCCGTTCAGCCATGGACCGCTGCTGCATTGGCTGAGGTCTTTTCCGGGGTCCATCAATACGACGACTATGAGAGAGAACTTAGCCTGGGAAAGACATGGCTGATCACGACATCCTGTACTTACTGCTCCATATCTTCGTGTGGTTGATTACTTCGATTGAAATCGTCTGCTGGATGGAAAAGGTATGCAAGTTGTGCAGAATGAATCGGCGGACTATAGAATCCCCAGCAGAACAGTTACGCATGTTAGAGAAATCATCCAGGTGAGTTCTCATGCTACGGTCGCAGCTCTGCCGGAGTGATGTAGTGGTCGATTTACTTTGACTAGGGTTCAAGTCCCATGAGCCTGTGTTACAGACTCGCAAGTGTATGATCTGATTTGTGCTTGGTAACGGCGTCGGATAGGAGATTGCTGTCAACGATGACTCACGCCGGAGTCCGACTGGAACATTCAAATGTCGATAGAAAAGTTCTGGATCAGCATCAAGAGCTGCACCCAAGTGATTAAGCCACTCAGCAGAAGGTACACCCCGTAGAAATACTATCCGACCAGGTTGTTTCCGTCCAGAATTACTGGAGCTATACTCTGTTGCGCTCCCTGCTGAATCATCGATATCGCCATGGTCTCGAAGTCCGGCTTGTGATGCTGTATCCGCGTTGAAGGGTTGCTCTCCATCCATATGCTTCATGAATTCTTCCGGCTGTGAGAAATGGCATGTGCGTAATGGATCATCATGTTTCCTAGCCATATCACACACTGAGACTGTCTGGAATTGTTGGTGATCGATCGAGACAGAGCAGTCGTCATCGTATCTTTGATAAGGAGACAGTAGATGTTTGCCAAGGCGAGTGTAGTGACTTCCCGACAGGTACTCGTCGCCAGCATCGAGCCGCGAGTAGTTGACAACCTTCTGTGCGTACCATTCTGCAGAAGAGACTAAGATTTGTCAAATATGAGCATTCTCGAACCTCGAAAAGAGGCTTTCACAGAATAGATTAGACCTACAATTTGATTTAGTTGGATGCAATGGCATGTGTCCCGTCGGCCGTCGTTTCACTCCTTGATTAGTTTCGATATCAGACATCCTTCCGGCTTGAATTGCCAGCGGGAACAAGCAGTGGGCCACTCCCGAGCTGTCTGCTGATGATTGTTTTCTCTTTGAGGGGGATGGGGGTGGAAACCGAGTCAAGAGGTCTCCGCAGGAAAGAAACTATGGTTTGTTTTGATGCCGGTGACGGACTTTGGATGTCTTTTTGAATCAATGGTTGGATACTTCAGTTGGTACTTGAGTGGGCACCCTCCTAACTAAGTAGTTGATATATGGGGGGCCATCACAATCCACGGCCCCGTTCAAGAATGATTCGATACTGGATCATCGAAACTTCACCCCTTTTCCGTCACGCAGCGCGCCTCCTGGCGCCTAAAACATGCATTTTCAGCCCCAAATCATTATTCCCACTGACGTCATGTTCAGCTACTCTTCACCAGGATACTCAGCTCTACTCCCGTCCACGTAGTTATACATATTACCATAAGCGAGCAGTCAATAGCTGGTGCTACAGCTTCAGTGGTGAAAAATATTAGGAGTTTACTTGCGGCAAAAAGAATGCTGTGGGGGGGATTAGGTACCTATTGTGTAGAAACGGGAGCCACACTGTAGCACGCGGGCCCGCGGGTTAAGGTTTTTGTACCACGCAGGTACACATGTGTTACGCCCCCCCCTCTTGCTCTAAGCGCCCTACCGTAATCAAACCCGAGACATGCAGACAAGCGTTGGGAGGAAAAAGTGATGCTGCAGGATTCTGACGACTGAGATGCGAGCGACACGCTGGCTCTTCTACATACCAACTTATCATTCGGTTAGTTCGATTTTGCTCAGGCACTGATTTGACAAGGCAGATTCTGTCTCCCACTCGATCGCTCGCTGCACCAGAAAGGCGGCAAAACAACAATTGAACCGAACGCGTCGACCATGCCTGATAGGGGGGGTCAGAGATTGACGTCCCCGCAAACTTTGGGATCGACCACGATGAGCATTATGGACGCGTTGAGCCCAAGAGCAGTCGGCTGCGGCATTCTGCTGGGCTGCGCAGTGTGTTTCGCGAACATGTACTTTGGGCTTCAAGCGGGAACCGTGAACGCGATGCCCATGCAGAGTACATTGCTCGGGTTCGCCTTGTTCAGAAGCATCCGTCACCACCTTTCCAAGTTTGTGACACCCATGGAGGTCACCACAATTGAGATTGTTGCTGGAGCCTTGGGACTGGCACCCTTTACTTCTGGTTTCACTGGCTTGATCCCTGCCTTGGAATTCCTTTCGGCACCCAAAGACCAGTCGCCGCCGACTTTCAGTGCGGCCCAGCTGCTTCTTTGGTCGTTGGCTGTCTGTAGCTTGGGCATCGTCGTTGCCGCTCCCCTTCGCCCGCTATTCATTCTCCGCGAGCAGCTCCGGTTTCCGTCAGCCACAGCTACTGGTTCCTTAATCGGTGCCTTGTTTGGCAGAGCAGACATCATCGACCGTGCAGGCAAGGTTGCCAACAAACAATCGAGCTCGCAATCTGAGTCAGCTGCAGCGATCACCGAGCCTTCACAAGATACAGCCATCGACGAGGCTCCTACGGACCAAGACCCTGCGATGGACGATGTGGGTCATGCTGTCAAAATTCTAATCTTTTCGCTGGCCTGTTCTGGTGTCTTTGTGAGTCGTACCGACAATAACAGCGGAGACAAGTCATGATGTTAACACACTGCAGAGTCTAATTTCGTACTTTATTCCGGTGTTGAGGAATGTGCCCGTTTTTGGGCTTGTGGCCGCCGAAGACTGGCTATGGGCTCTAGACTTGTCCCCAGCGTACTTTGGATATGGGATCATCATCGGTCCTAGCGTCAATGCATACTCTATGCTTGGAGCCGTGGTGGGCTGGGGCATACTGTCACCTATGGCCAAGTACAACGGGTGGGCCCCGGGCCCTGTCAGGAATTGGGACAATGGGTCCCGTGGGTGGATAGTCTGGGTGAGCATGGCACTAATCCTCGGCGATTCAGTCGTCGGTCTGCTCTGGATCACCGGCAGATCCACATTGTCATTTATAAAGCGAAGCAACATACACTGGCAGACTTCTGGAAGGCCGCCTCGCCCATCCTCTGAGGAACAGTCGCCATTGCTCGGCGATTCGCACATGGCAGCACCTGAGGCTGGGACGCGAATTTCTGACCACAATATCGATGACAGATGGCCAGAAGCATCCATTACCACAACAAGCTTGATCCTGAAGACATCGGTCTTCCTCCTCCTTCTATACTTCGGAGTCATGTTCTTGGTCTTGAATCGGTCCATTTACACTGGCGCAATTCCCCTGGTTGTCGCGCTTGTGCCGTTTGCTGGATTCATATCTATGCGTTCACTTGGAGAAACTGATAATGGCGCGGGTCTCGCAATAGGTACGATCGCACTCTCTTGATAATGGACATGGCTTTTTAGGACACGCTCTGACAGTTTCAATGCAGCCAGGTTGGCACAGTTTCTCATTGGACTTGTGGTTCCCACGCCAAGCCCGCAATTCATATCTACAAACCTTTTGCTCGGAGGTGTTGTTGAGGCCGGAGCTTCTCAGGCTTCCCAACATATGGGGGGTCTGAAGACGGCACATATGACCAGAACTCCGCCTAGGGCTGTCTTCTTCGGACAAATGATTGGATCTTTCATTGGAGCAATAGTCGCCACCATCGCGTATCGAACATATACTACCGTGAAGACCATACCTAGCCAAGAGTTCGAGCTCCCTGACGGACAATTGTGGCTCTTTGCAGCTCGGCTTTTTCACCACGAGGGGCTCCCAACAGGTGCTCTGGAATTTGCGACAGTGGCATTCTTCATTGGCTCATCCTTCAGCATCCTTAGGATCCTGGGATCTGATCGTTGGTGGAGCCCATTTATTCCCTCCAGTGTCGCGGTCGCCATAGGTAAGAACACCCCCCGAAGTCTAAAGGTGCAATTCCTGCCGAGATATTCCGGATGCTCAAATTCCATTCTAGGCATGTATATTGTTCCAGCTATCACATTGGCTCGATTTCTCGGCAGCCTTATACTTGTAATCGGCACCAAACGTTTCGGCATAAACTCATTGGTGCTGATGTGTTCAGCGACTGGGCTCATTTTGGGACAGGGGCTATTTAGTCTGATTGCTCTTCTTCTTGATGCGTTGAAAACGCCACATCTATAATTGGGCCAGAAGTCGGAACGGATCAAAGGGAGACATGAACTGTCAGGCGGACGGGCCACAACAGTGGAATGAACATCTGGGTAAGCCGCTAGACGCAAGGGGGCGTTGGGTGTTAAACTTCCAACAGGTAGTGCTCCCCGTCACCTGCAAGCTGCATGTGCTGCATGTGCTGCAGTAACAATTTCACTGAGTACTACCTGAGTGCCAATCATGATAGTGCACACTCCCTGAACCTCCCAACGAATCACCTGCAGACGTCATGATCCTGGCTGTGGCACTCCAAAAAAGAACAAACACCCCCGCCTGCCCGACCACCCGCCCGTGCACTTTTGCAACCGTTGCTCTTTGCCCGCGTACGTCGCCTGTCTACTAGTCGACACACTTTAAACTGGAACAAACACCGCCATCTGGCCAACTACCCGGGCACCTTGCAACCGTTCCACTTTGCCCAGATGCGCTGTCTGCCATCTCACCAACACCTCAGGCTACACAAATAGATGAATTTATATATGTGATCATGTTTGGATTGCAGCTTTCTCGCTGGATCCCATACAGTCTGTGTAGGATTATTACCATCACGAGCTGGGTCACCGACATCAACTGCGCACTATCAAACCCTTTTGAGGCAAATATCAATACAAAAACGGCAATCACATCCAACAATATGGAAGTTATAGGTGGGCCAGCAAACTTCTGGCTCTACTCGAACAAAACTGGGTTTGACCTTACTCACCCGCCCACACCAGACGACCCACCCATATTCCCGCGCATTTCACTCAAGACAACAACAGACACCGTCGCGATCGATCCTTCTAAGACAGCACTTGTCGTGATTGATCTAGAGAATTACTTCCTATCTCCTGCCCTTGGCCGACCTAAGGATGCGGTAGGTATGGAGGTCGTGAAGAAACTCGTGCAGAGCACTATACCAGCGTGTAGGAAGGCCGGGATTCCTGTCGTATGGCTGAATTGGGGCTTAACGGATGACGATATCGACACTATGCCGCCTACCATACTCAAGGGCTTCGGTGCGGATATTAACTTTGTCGACGGGGAGAAGCGCATTGGATCTCTGGGAGAAGATATCGGCAAACTGGTGCTGGAGAACGGCATGGTCATCGACGGTGGAAGAAGCCTAATCAAGAACCAGTGGAACACAGCCCTATATCAACCCCTCGCAGACAAGGCTGATCTAGACCAAGATATATGGATCTACAAGAATCGGTTGTCAGGCTTTTGGGGAGGCACGGGCATCGAAGACGCCTTGAAGGCGCGGGGAATTCGGACACTACTTTTCTCCGGGGCAAACACCGACCAGTGTGTCGGTGGTAGTGTCCAGGATGCCTTCACTAAGGGCTGGGACTGTCTCATGCTCAGTGACGCATGTGCTACTACGAGCCCAGCTTTTGCAAAGGAGATGATTGAGTTTAACATGGCAGGAGGTTGGGGTTTTGTGCTGACGACCGAGCAATTTGCAGAGGGCGTGGATGATGTACAAGCATCGACAGATGCCGCAGGGTAAGCCATGGCGGCTTTTGCTCTTTCTAACAGCAGGGGAAAGCCCGGAGTGCAACGCCTGGGTAGTACTAAGTAGGCAGACTGATACCCAGAGAAACGGGACCAAAATGTTATAAAGAAGAGCAGAGGGGTAGTCATCAGCACTTTCAGTGGCTTTGGAACTATGAGGGGCTGCAGGCACGACTAAGTCGAAGCTTTATTTCCTAGCAAAAATAGTCAATCGAGGGTTTCAACCGGGTTTTTGTTGGTCTAAAGCCGCAGATGTGGCCCCGAAGCTGGTCGGGCTGACTTTCTATTTGACCAAGTTTTCCGTATCAAAGTAAGAAATAAATAGAGAAAGAAAGAAAATATACATCTGTATTTCTTCTCTGTACTTCATTAAAATGAAGAGGTGGGATTTCATTAGTAAGTGAATGTTATTTGTGATCTGAAAAATAGAGTTAAGGTTGGTACTTTCATTTTAATTAAGCCTTTTCCCTGTTCTCCGCGTTGCGGACCTCGTTCATCCGATGCTTCGAGTAGGTTATCATAGCAGTTCAATATTCTCACACATTCAATGTATCTGCCATCGAATGTCGGGATTCATTGTGCTGTGGCCGAGACGCGAAAATAGCAACAAGACATAGCATCAACAAGCAAATCGCATATGATGTATTTTCTCACTATATTCAGCGTCCTGGTTTTCTTTTGCTTATGTTCACCTACTTTCTCTAGCTTAGACTGGCCAGCAGATCGAGCGTTGCCTCTATTCCCAGATATTGCAGATGAAATCGAATATTCCAAGCTCGGCGTATTTTCCGGTGATGAGCAGCTGCTTCTGACCTCTCTGCAGGGGCTGCTCAACCGGCAGCAACCCCGCCTTTACCTGGATTGGCCCCAACTGCGTGAAGAATCCGACGACCTAGTCAACGAAGCCTGGCTAAAGCAAATCGAAGCCAGTGGTGTTCAAAGCGTCGATGTGACGAGTGCTCCTTTCCAATTAATCGACAAATACAAGTCCAATATTCGTGGTGCCATTGTCTATGATGTCGAAGTACCAGATACGATCAACTTGGCTTCGACAATGGCTGGGATTTTTGATGCCGTTCTGGGGACCGAGGAGCTGGCGCGACGTTATGATATACCCATCCTCGAGGATCTCAGAGGTCGTTTCCATGACAAGCACGAGGTGTACGAATATGCATCCAGTTACGTATGGCCAAATGTCACTGATCGCCTCATCACGGCGATCAAACCTCTTTCCACCACTCTATACGCCAACAGGACCTGGGATACACTCTTGAAAACCAACTCGTCCGTAACTGATGCATCCAACAACGGTACATATAGAATCGATTTGACTCGATTCATCAACCGCAGTAATACCGTTTATGTCAACATCTCGGATGCATTCCCAACAAATGGCTACGGGCCATCAGTCTACCATGTGAGCCTTACAGCGGATGGAAACGAAACCATAGCCGACTTTCAGCCTGGTACCGATGCTGAAGACCCTTTCTTATTTGACGACGGCGGTTCACACTTGGCCGATTATCCTGGAGGATGGCGGTTTGCAGACGGCACATCGTCCATTGTCTACAAATTTGACTATCCGTCCCGGGTAACTCATCTGACAATAACCTTGTCGATGTGGAATCAGTTCCATGTATCGGCATCAGCATCACAGCCTGGTTACCAGGGAGCGAACGCGATATTCCGCGACTATATTGTGGCCACAGCGGCTCCATGTGTTTGGCTGGATAGCAATCGGCCGCAAGAAGCGGCACTGCTCGACAACATTCTGCGTCAATTCCAGCCCAACACAGCGTACCTCGGCTGGTTTCCGAACGGGGACGAAATGAGCGGTGTTACACAGCTGGCAAGGCACGGCGTGTACGTGGCCGCCACAGACTTCTACTTCAACCCTACCATATTCAGTGGATTTAAACCAGGAGACCAATCTCGACAGCCTTCACAGACAGAGACATCACCGCGTTCTCCCCGGAGAAACAGTACCAAGATCTTCCTGTCTTTAGTCTACCTCGAAGGCGACAACATCCAATACGACCAGCGCCGCATGTTCACACACTGGAACGACGCTGCAAGGGGCACCGTCCCACTCGGCTGGACTATCTGTTGGTAAGTGTCTCAATCGTACGAGAGATAAACAATAAGTAAAGCAATTGTATTGATTTGTCTGTTGTGTATATTATCTTCTTGTTCCTTGCTAATTAATCTATTAACTAAAAAAGGCTAAGTTAAAGTAGTGCTTAATTGCACTTACTAATACTTGCAACCTTTTTTTTATAAAAATAATTTCTTAATATAACACACTAAGCTTACTTTATTTTAAAAACCCCTTACTAATATATACTTTTATAATAATATTCCTTAAAGTATTGTTTTTTAATAATGCTTATATCCTTTTTATATACTTTTAATAATTATACTCCTTTTCTTAGTTGTTTTTTAATAATACTTATATTTTTTTTATATATTTTTAATAATTATAATTTTTTTATTTATTATTTATAAATTCCTTTTTATATACTTTTAATAGTTATTTTTAATAACTTTTATATTTATATATTAAAATGCTTTTTTTTTATTTTTTTTTAAACTAGTTATTTTTATTTTAAATACTATATATAATTAAAATAATATTAGCTTTACTTTAAAATATTATATTTTAGTTTATATTAATATTAATTTTTTTAATATACTATTTAAAAAAAGCTAAATATTTAATAGCTTTTATTTTTTTTTATTATTAAAGCTTTGCACTTTTTACTTTAGCTTTAGTAGTAATTTATTTATAAATTTTATTTTACTTTTTACTAAGCTTTATAACTAGCTTGCTTTTTTTTATAAAAAAAAGATAAAAAGTAATAATTTCTTTAATATATAAAAGTTATATATATTTATTAGTTTTTTAATATAAAAAGTTTTAAATTTAAGTAAATATAATAATTTAATTTTTAAAAATTTTATTTATTTTTATTTTATAAATATAAAAAATATTAAGTAATAAAATGCTTTTAAAATTAACTATTATAAAAATTATAATAACTTTATATTAAATATAATAATTTTTTTAATAATTATTATTATTTATAATACTTTTTTTTTATTTTTTTTTAGTTATTTTAGCTATTTTAATATGCTTATAAAAGTTTTAAATAATGTTATTAAAAAAAAATTGCTTATTTTAATATTATAAGTTTTAAATAATTTATATTATTACTATTATAATAAAAGTATTTAAAAAAAATATTTAAATTAAAGCTTTAGCTTTTTTTTTTAAAATATTAAAGTTTATAATATATTAAAATTTTAAAAAAGTTGCTAATTTTTTTTGTTTTTGCTTTTTATTATTTAAATAATTGCTTTCTTTATAATTTTTATTAAAATTTAATTAGCTTAGTTATAGTTTAATTACTTAATTAAATTATTATAATTGTTAAGTAAGTAATTATTGTTATTATTATTATTAGTTTTATTTTTTTTATTTATTAAATAATTTAAATATACTTATTATTTTATAGTTTTAGTGTTTATACTTTTTTTAGCAGTATTTTTAATAGTAATAATTGTATTATTTTATTTATTATTATCTTTATTAAATACAGTAATTATATTATTTTATTTATTAATAAAATTATTATTATCTTTTTTACTTTTATTAAAAATAGCTTTTATAATATTTATAAAGTTTTTTATATTACTATTATTTAATTTATTAAAGTTTTTTATTTTCCTATTATTTAAGTTATTATTAACTTTTTTATTAAAAAAACTATTATTATCTTTACTAAAAGCAGTAATTATAATATTTATAAAGTTTTTTATATAACGATTATAACTAGTTCCTGGCTAATAAACCTTAGTAAGCGGGTTTATATTTAAAAAGCGTTTAAGATAATAGTATTTTAAGCAATATATAATAATAGTTAATTAAAAGCTTTATAATTATTTAGGGTAAATATTTAAATTAATTACTAAAAAGCTATCCTAAGCTAATACTATTTATTTAATAATAAGTATATTTTATATAATTTATTTTTTTAGCTTAGCTTATAAGGCTTACTAGCTTACTATATAATTTAATAATTTAGGTAATTTAATAGCTTATTTAGCTTACTGTTTTTATTAGTAATCTAAATAATCCTATATTTAGGTAAGTAAGTATTATATAACTTTTAGCTGGGTTTTTAGTTTATTTTATAGGCTTATTTTATTAGCTTATAAAGTTTATTTATGCCTTTAAGGGACTAATAACTAATATTATTCCTATTTTTATTATATTTATAATATTATTCCCCTTTTTTAATGTTTTTTTATTTTTAAAGAATTTTTTAAGTAAGTTTCCTTTTATTTTTAATATTTCTTTTCCATTATATTTAATTTTTCCATTTTAAGCCCTTTTTCTAATTTAATAATTATAATAAATTATATTTTTAAACTTTATTTTAAAAAAATAAAGTAATATTACACTTTTACTTTATTAATTTATAAGTCAAGGGTTAAGGTTATGCCTTACAAATTATATTATTAATACAGTTAAAAGTATTTTATATTAAAATTAAATAATAAATTATACTGCTATAACTATATATATATAAGTTATTCTTATATAAAGGCTAAGGCTTTTATAAGTATTAGTAAATTCCTTTTTTCCTTTTTCTTTCCTTTTTTTTTTAATATTTTTTTTAATATAAGATTAAATATTTAAAAAGAGGTACTTAAAGTATAAAAAACAAAAAGCTAAAAAAGCGCTATATCTAGTATAAAAGGCTTTACTAAAGAAATAGTATAAAATAAACAAGCGCTTAGCCTAATTAAATCTCCTTAAGCAGCAGTATTAAAAAGTTACAAAGCAAAGTTGTTAAATACTTTGTAAAGGTTTTCGTTTATTAAATAAGTTAAAGGCTATTTCTAATATTAAAAAAAAGGCCTATTTAGCAGCTAACTAAGCAGTTTTAAAAGCTTTTAATTTAGTATCCTTTTTTTAATTTAATAATAGTTTTAAAGTTATTAATTAGAAGGCAATAATAGCTAATACTAGTATAAATGTTTTAGATTAAGTATTTAATAGTAATCTTAAAGTACTTTTTAATAGTTTATTAAATTTTTAAAGGGTTTTTATAAATTATCTTTATTATTATAATTTTTCTATTTAACTAAGTATTTTATAGTGTTACTATATGTTTTATAATTAAGAATTCGTTTTACTTTATATTCTAATTTGTAATTATTAAGTTTAATACTATTAGCTAGTTTAGCATTTATTAGTACTAATTTTAATATTAAAATATAGAAAACTAAATAGATTTTTATATTTTTAAATAATAAAAGTTTATAATTAGTTTTTAATATTTATTTTTTAATTTTAAATAATTTAATTTTTTTAAAATTAAGTTTATTATTAGGTTTTTTTATTTTAATTTATTTTTTATAAAGCAGGTAGATTATATTTTCCTTTTTAAAAGTTAGTTTTTTTAACCTTTTTTAGTTTACTTATTTTATTATTTATTTTTATATAAATTTTAAATTATTTTTAAATTATTTTTAAATTATTTTAATTTTATTTATATAGTTAATAGCTTATAGTGCCTTTATTTTTAAGATTGCTTATTAGTAAGCGTTTAAGTTAAATTTATAATTAGTATAAAATAGCAAAATATTAATAGTATATATATTTATACTATTATATATAAATTATATAAATAGTAAGAGTTATATTTAATTATTTTATTAATAATTAATATAATAGTATAAATATTGTTTTAATATTTAGTTTAATTATTTTATTTATTTATTTATTTATAAGTATATTATTATAAATAGTTTATATTTAGCTTTTAATTATTTTATTAAAAAGGATTAAAAGTTTAATATAAATAGCTTATTTTTATTAAAAATAATTTTTTTAAATAGCTTATACTAGTTAATAATGATTTTTAAAAAGGCATAAGTAAATTCTTTTATTATATTAGCTTTTTTATAAGGTATAAAGTAAGTATACTTTATAAATTTATTTATTATAATTAAAATACTATTATACTTAATTTTAGTTATTAGTTTTATTAATAAGGAGAGTTTAATAATAAAGTTTAAGTTAATTAATTTTTATAATTCTTTAAATATTAGTAATAATTAGAATAGCTTATATAGCTTATATTTTATTAGTTAGCTTTTATTATAAGTATTATATTTTTTAAAAATTTAAATAACTTTTTTTTATATATTAAAAAAGTTTTAATATTTTTTTAATTTTAAGTATATAATATAAATACTTTAATATTTATATATTAATATTTTATAAAGTTTTATAATAACTTTTTTTTAAAAAAGTGTTAATAAGTATTATTTATTTTTATAAAATAGTATATTATTAATATTTTATAGCTATATTTTTTTATTATTTAAAATATTATTATATTATTATTTAACCTTATTAATTAAATTTTTTTAAAGCTATATTTTATAAGCTATAGCTAGCTAGTATTATTTTATTTTTAAGCTTTTATTATTATTAGTATATAGTATTATTTATATTTTAAAAAATACTTTTTATTAGTAGTTTAGCTTTTTACTAAAAGTATTTACTTATTTATTTTTAAATCTTTTTTAATAAATTATTTTAGTATTAAATTATAAAAGAAATTTTACTTATTTAATTTATTATTTATTAAGTTTTTTAATAATAATAAAATAAATTAGGTTTTTATAATTAGTAAATACTTATATTTAATATTTAGCTTTTATTAAATAATACTTTTATTTTTTAAATATATTAATTATTATTATAAGTTTTTTATTATATATTAAGTAGTTAAATTTAAATTTATTAAATTTTTATAAGAAAAATGTAATTAAATAAAATTATTTTTATTTATTTTATTATTTTAATTTTCTTTTAATAGTAAAGTTTAAAGTATTAGTGCTTATTTTATAAATTTTATTAGAGTTTACTTTTATAAATATAAGTTTTAATATAATTTATTTTTTAATTTTATTAAATATTTATTATTTTATTTTATTTTAATAAAAGGGTTAGTTTTTTTTAATAAAGTTTATTAAGGGTTTTAAAATATTTCTGTAATTTTTAATAAATTATTAGTAAAAGTTAATATAGCTTTA